TTCAAGAACTTGTTGAACTACGAAGACGGAATGCTTTATGTGATTGGAAAGCCAAAAATTGTTTATTCTTTGCTGACGAGCTTATTATCCTCGAGAACTGCAACCAAGAGCCTCGCAACGAAAGTGATCGCGATAATCAGCATTCAAGAGCGTCCGAAAGGCAGCGATGCAATTTTAAATGGAATGAAAATACTTCAGACAAGATTCGGCACCACTTACCGGTTTAAGACATGGTTGAGCTCAGTGGAAGAGGTTCTTGACTCTGTTTCTCTGACTGCAACTTCAGAACCAGCCTCAGATCTCAAAAGCTATCACCCTCTAGAAGAGCTTAGAGACTATTGTCTGGTTACGGTTTTTATTTTCGTGTCTCTGCTCATGAATCGGGATGTCACAGAGAGGATAAAATTGAGACAGGAGTTTGAAGATGCAGGGCTACTTCAGGTTTTTGAAAGGATGCAGACCTTGAAGTATGATGTTCTCAGCGACGAGATCGAAAGATACAATTCTGCTGCGGAAGAGGACGTCCGAGACATGATGGACGAGGAATCTTTTGCGTCAGATGTAGACCTGAGTGATGTTATTGATGAGATCAATTACTCCACTGAAGCGGAAGAGAAAGCTTGCATTATGCGGATCCTGAGGAATCTTCTATTTTTGAAGCAGAACAAAGCTGAGGAAGATATTTTGAAGTACTACAAGGCCATTGACACTTTGGTACAGTATGTGTCTACTCAATCGTCCCTCCATAACAGTGGAACTGACCACTATTTGAACATGGCCATTCACAGACTGATCGACAGATTGGGCTCTGATGATATTGCAAGACGAGCAATTCTAGAGACCAAGGAACTGGCATCCCAAGTGAGATCACTTCAAAGAGAAAATGAGCTCCTCCGAAGATCTTCCCCTAGAGCCCCCAACCTGATCATACCTTCGGACAACCTGAAGCCCAACGCGACCATACCCTATAACAACCTGAATCCACAAAAATTCAAAAAACGTTCTGAACCAACTTACCCTGACTTGAGTGCAAAGAACCCTATGAAAAAGAAAGACCTCTCTAAGAAGATTCCTTCAGCCCACAAAAGGAAGCATCACTCTGGTGGTGTGGCAGGTGAGATTGAGGCATGGTGGGAGTCTATGGGCGAAGGTCTCACTCGCAAAGCTGATAATTCTTACCTTGATGACGTTCCCATAACACGTCCATATCCTTCCCTTCAAATCCCACACAATTCAAATTACTTTGAGCCTTATGAGAACTATGAGATAGGTCCCATGGACTTGTTAAACACCTCTGGTCGCAATGTATCCTTGGGAAGTGCGGATTCGGGAACAGGCGTCGATGAAGCACTGTCATCAACTTCAAACAGAGCCACTGTGGGTAGTGGAAGTGGTTCTGGAACTGGCATTGGTTCTGGAAACGGTTCTGGAAATGGTTCTGGAAATGGTTCTGGAAATGGTTCTGGAAATGGTGTTGTTAACAGTTTTGGCATCGGTTCTGGCTCTGGTAGAGGTTCAGGCAATGGTACGGGCAATGGTTCAGGCACCGGAAATGGATCTGGTAACGGGTCTGGTAACGGTGGTGGGGGCACTGATGGTGTTAGTGGAGCAGTTATAGCACCATCGGCACCTCCACCCATTCCAAGTTTCCTTGAAAAACGAGCTATTGCCTCTATACCCCCACCACCACCTCCACCACCTCCACCACCTGTTCCTTCTTTTCTCGAAAAAAATCAAGTGGCTATTACTACCTCTGTTCCCCCTCCTCCACCGCCAATACCAGTATTTCTTGAAATATCTGGACCTCCACCTCCTCCTCCAGTTCCTGGATTTCTTGAGAAAGCCAATGGAGGACCTCCTCCGCCACCACCACCTGTTCCTGGGTTTCTCAAAAAGTCTGATGATTTACCACCCCCTCCGCCACCGGTGCCGTCATTTTTGGATGCCGCTACACTTCCGGAACCGTTTGTGCCCGAGTCAGATGATGCTGATGTTGAGCCTGAACCAACATTTGTATATCCTAAGCCTCGTCAAAAATTGAAGCAGATACACTGGGATAGACTGGAGGACATCGACCAAACTTTTTGGAAGAACCTCCGAGATGAGGATGTCAACACCAAGCTGTTGCATAAAGGCATTCTAGATGATGTGGAGTTTCATTTCCCTGTCAGAGAGTTTAAGGTGGCTACCAGACCTACCACAGAAGTCAAACCCACAAAGATCTCATTCTTATCTAGAGACATTGCTCAGCAGTTTGGTATCAACCTCCACAGTTTCTCAAACCTGAGTGAAGAAGAACTTGTTCTGGCCGTCTTACACTGCGATCCACGCATCATGGAGAGCATGAATATTCTAGAGTTCTTTGCCAAAGACGAACTGGCAGATATCTCACCAACTTTGAGAAGAAATTTTGCACCATATGCCACAGATTTCAGCAAGCCTGACTCCAAACCCCAGAAGGATCCAGAGGAATTGGAAAGGGCAGACCGGTTGTTCCTCCATTTGTGTTTCAATCTTAATAGTTACTGGAAGTCTCGGTCTCGTGTGTTATTAGTTGTCAATACCTATGAGAAGGACTGTCTTGATCTGATGAAGAAACTATCGGTGATAGACGAGGCGTGTGAAAGTATCAAAAAGTCCACCTCGCTGATTGAAGTTTTAAATGTGATCAAGATGGTGGGAAACTTCATGAATGACGATAGCAAGAGGGCACAGGGGTTCAGACTGGCAACTTTGCAGAGATTGAAATTCATGAAGGACTCAAAGAACACAATGACGTTTTTGCATTATGTCGAGAAGTTGGTAAGGAATCATTTCCCCGATTTGGGTGAGTTTGTGGACGATCTGAGAACTTTGAATTCAGTCTCGAACATGTCAGTTGAACAGGTCGATGCTGAATGTGTTGACTTCGAGAGGCAAATCGACAACAGTCTTTCGTCCTTAGAACGCGGAAATCTGAAGGACAGTTCAAAATTTCATCCTGAAGATAAGGTGATCGATGCCATAGAGGCTCCCCTGCAAAAGGCGAAGAACAAAACAAAGCTTCTGCGCTCTCATCTGACTCGCACCATGAAAAACTACGATAACCTGATGATATACTTTGGAGAGGACCCAGAGGATCCGGTTGCGAAAAACACCTTTTTTAACAAGTTTTTAGTCTTCGCTGAGGAGTTCAAAAAGGTTCACCTGGAAAACATTCACAGAGAGGAAGAAGAGCGTGCTTATGAGGTCAGAAAGCGCATGATAGAGAGTTTCAAGCCGGGTGCTAGTCCAAGAAAGAAGACTGCAGAAGGCGACGATGAAGATGTCGCTGAGGTTGGCTCTAGTCAATCTTCGCAGACAGAGGTGATAAATGTTCTTCTGGAGAGACTCAAAAGCTCCGGAAGGGACAGAAAACAGAAAAAGTCACCTAGCGTACCTTCTTCTCCTGTAAATGCAGACGACTCTGTCACTGAGCAGGCAAGGAGGATGCTTCACGAGCTTAATGTTGATCCAGCATTGTCAAACAGACAGTCTCCCACGGAGATTTCGGTAGAGCGGGAATCGGAGCCCGATATGATGGAAACCAACAGTCTCATATCTGGAGCATTTGCGGATTCTGTCTCTAGCAAGTCTGCTATCCTGTCGTTGTATGATGACGTGGATACTTCTCCTTTGAACCTGCAGAAAGGTTTAGCAGAGGACGAGGTAACTGACCCAAACAAGGAAGAGGCCGACGATGAGGAATACGAAGAAGATGAGGTAGATGAAGACGAAGAAGATGAAGAAGAGGACGAAGACTTCGTTGACGCAGAAGAGGCGGGATTATGAAGAGGAAAACGAGAAAAGAGAGACACACATGATAAATTATGGCCGAAAAGAGCTGAGCTCAGCCAACGATGAAACGACGAATTGTACTATAGATAAGAGTTATAATATGTTATCAACTGGTAGATGGCTGGTGGTTTCAGCCACCCGAATTATGAGATATCATCAACCCATCTGTATAAATCTGTCTTTCAAAAGCGCCGCATTAAAATGTGCACCGCACTCCTCATTTAACCCGATCGGGCAAAAAGGTTCACGAAGGCAAACAACAAACAAACAAAGAAGACCACCAGTTCATGTACAATTGGGAAGATTCCGGCAGTTTGTAGTAGATCAGGGTGATCCTATTGAAGGCGTGACTGAAGTGGTTACCCATAGTCATATATTTGGTGGCTCAATTGCGAGATTCAGTTGGTGCTGACTGTCCAGACCTTGTCCAAATCTTGTTCAGATCAAACAAGACATAGACAAGCCAGCAGAACACACCAGAGCTAAGTTTTCGATAAACACCGAGGAAAATACATATAATGGGTGTTTCGGGCCTTTGGGACATTATTGACGAAAAACTAGGGGAAACTCCCCGAAGAATTAGATTCACCCAATATGCCGATGAGTGCTGGCAGAGAACAGGCCAACCAACGAGAATAGGTGTTGATATATACCAGTGGATTTTGTCATGGATAAGTACTGCTGAAAAGAAAGAAGTGAACAAGGGTGAATCCACATTACGGATGATCGAATCCAAAACGAGAGTGTTGATTGCGGCGCATGTGTCATTTCTGTTCGTGTTTGATGGTGTGGCTAAAGAGTTCAAGAAGAGATGGGGAGACTCTGGAGGAGAACTGAATGACGGAGATTACCTCCAGAAATACAACGCAATCTGTGGACTTGTGCAGACGAGCGATGGAGATTCCGAGTTGCAGCAGATCATAGGCAACGTCAAGAAGATGTTTGATGAAATGAACATATCGTACGTGCAAGCACCTGGCGATGCTGAAATTGAACTGGCCCGTTTAAATGCAAGCGGTGTCCTCGATGCGGTGATAACTAACGATGGTGACGCTTTGATATACGGAGCTCGTATCATGCTGAGGAACTTCTCGAAGAACTCGAAGGATGCACCTTACAACTCTACGGGTGAAAAACATTTTTACGTGACTATACTTGATGCCCGCGAACTCGAGACGAAGACAGGTTTCAGTATGGAGAGATTGAGATTCTTCAGAGTAATGTCGGGAGACGATTACTTTGGTGGCTTGGAGGATTTCGGACAGCTGAAGGCATCACAACTGGCACTTGTCGGGACGCCTTTTTTCAAGAGAAAGGACGACGAGAGTCTTCCAAACGAGGAGGATAAAGAGGTAGATTTCACAAGAATGCTCGACAGGATATATATGCCCGAAAGTAACACTTTGATGCAGATATTGAAGTGTCTGAACTTCCCAACTCTCAAAAAGAGGAAGGACGATCTCTTCGAGTTTGAGTCCAAACTGAGAGATACCATACAGAAACACTCAGCATATTACTTCGGCAGGAATTACTCCAGTCTCAAGTTCAGGTGTGACGACGAACACAGTATTAGTATGGCCTTTCTGCCGCCTCTGGCCAACACGCTCTATTTGTGGAACGTGAATGACACTAATTATGCTTCATACGAGCCGAACAATATCCAGATTGAACTTTCCAGAATTCCACAGGGAGCATGCATCACGAAGCACTCAGAAGACAGTATAACGGTTCTTAGATCCTCTGGCCAAGAATCAGTTTTCAGGTACAATCCGCAGAGAAAGACGTATGTTTTCACAGATGTCATTGGTGGAAAACGTCCACACGACTGGTTTGCGAAAAGCCAGATCTTTCTTCCGACGGATGAGCCCAAAATGAAACGAATTGCAGAGGCCTATGTGACTAGAGCTATCATATGTGGAGACTCCGCCATGGTGGGACCTCTTCATATAGATAAGAAGTCCACCGACACTACCCAGGAACCCGAATACAGAGTGAAATATCAACCCTTTAGAATCCTGGGCCTTGAAAATGCTACAACAACCTCGTGTTGGATAAGCAGCACGAGGCTGATGCTTTGTGGACAAGCCGGAGAGAAGTTGACTATGAATTTTCAAATCAGACAAAGTTCTGCCGAGGAGGAGAGGACTCGCAAAAGCGCAGCAAAAATACTAAAAGCTCCCAAAAGCCCTACAAAGCAACGAAAAAATCAGATCGACAGAAATCAGAGGACTATCGTCGAATTTGATAATATTTTCAGAATCAAAAAATTCAGTGGTTCTGGGGACTACACCAAACCAGTGTCCAGGCCTCTGGAAAGTCCCGGAAGTCAATACCACCCCGGAAATGGCCCCGTCTCCCCGGACAGAGAAAGGCGCGATATTTTCGAGCAATCTGAGCCCAACACGCCGGCGAACCAGTCTCGGGTCCGAAAGTACGATTTTGTGGACTTAACTGTGGAGAGCTCAGACGAGGACTGAAAAAATACGGCAGGATTCGCTGTCGGGTCAATGGGAGAGTGGAGAGGCCGGAAGGACTAAAGGAGCAAACTCCGGGGCTGGGTCCCGGGCGGGAGAAGCCGGGTGGTTTTATGTATGAGGCTTTGGCTACTGCCCCACAGAAATTTCCCGATTGGGACATGAGTAATACCGGGGTTTCCACTGGTATAAAACGACGCAAGTTTGTCAGATTGGAGGTTGCGTTTAGCTCTGTTACTGCTTTGACATTATTGCTACTAAGAACTCTCTTTAGACAAGAAGGTTCCAGTTCGCATATTCCAAAACGTTTAAGGTACCCATTTCACATCACGCAAACATGGCCCCTACAGCAATAGATTTGCACCATTCCTACTCGGAATCGTTGCCTGTTTCGGCTCCCTCCCAGAAGGCTTCTCGCAAAGACTCTGTGATCGCCAAGTTGGGTCTGAATCCCGATGCCGTTATTCACTACAACTCTGCCGTACCAATCCTCTACGAAGATGCCCTCAAAGAGAAAGGCACTAGTATCTCGTCCACTGGAGCATTGGTTGCATACTCCGGTTCCAAGACTGGAAGATCGCCAAAGGACAAGAGAATAGTCGACGAGGAGACTTCTACTGAGAACATCTGGTGGGGACCAGTGAATAAGAAGGTTGATGAGACCACTTGGAAGATCTCCAAGTCGCGTGCCATCGACTACCTCAGAACCAGAGAGAAAATCTTTATCATCGACGCGTTTGCTGGCTGGGATCCACGCTACCGCATCAAGGTTCGTATTGTATGTGCAAGAGCTTACCATGCCTTGTTCATGAAGAACATGTTGATCCAGCCAACCGAGGAGGAGCTGAAGAATTTCGGCGAGCCAGACTTCACCATCTGGAATGCGGGCCAATTTCCCGCCAACGTCTTCACGAAGGGAATGACCTCTTCCACATCTGTTGAAATAAATTTCAAGGACATGGAGATGGTGATTCTTGGTACAGAATACGCTGGTGAGATGAAGAAGGGAATCTTTACCGTGATGTTCTATCTCATGCCTATCCGACACAAGGTGTTGACTTTGCACTCTTCTGCTAACCAGGGTACCGTCAGTGGTGACGTGACCCTTTTCTTTGGTCTTTCCGGAACAGGTAAGACCACTCTTTCGGCGGATCCAAACAGAAAGCTGATTGGCGACGACGAACACTGTTGGTCAGATCATGGTGTGTTTAACATTGAAGGTGGATGTTATGCCAAGTGTCTGGATCTTTCTGCCGAGAAAGAACCAGAAATCTTCAACGCTATCAAGTTTGGTTCGGTTTTGGAGAATATCGTCTATGACCCAATCAGCAAAGTTGTTGACTACGAGAATAAGGACATCACCGAGAACACCAGATGTGCCTATCCTATCGACTTCATCCCCTCTGCTAAGATTCCATGTCTTGCTGACAGACACCCTTCCAACATCGTGCTTCTGACCTGTGACGCCCGTGGTGTTCTGCCCCCAATCTCCAAGCTTACCAACGCTCAAGTCATGTACCATTTCATCTCTGGTTACACCTCTAAGATGGCAGGCACCGAAGACGGTGTGACTGAACCTGAAGCCACCTTCTCCGCATGCTTTGGTCAACCCTTCCTGGTGTTGCACCCAATGAAGTACGCTCAGCAATTATCTGACAAGATCTCTGAGCACAAGTCGAATGCCTGGTTGCTTAACACCGGATGGACTGGTTCATCTGCCGCCAAGGGCGGTAAAAGATGTCCTTTGAAGTACACCAGACGTATTCTCGATGCCATTCACTCGGGAGAGTTGAACGACGCAGAGTACGAGACTTATCCAACTTTTGGCTTGCAGATCCCCAAGTCTGTTCCTGGCGTTCCTGCAGAGATTCTCAACCCATCCAAGAACTGGGCTGAGGGCCCCGAAAAGTTCAGCGGAGACGTGAGGAATCTTGCCCAATTGTTCTTGGAGAACTTTGAGAAGTACTCGAGCGAGGTGACGGAGGTGGTCAAGGCTGCTGGTCCTCAGTTATAGTCTTTATCAAGACTCATGATCGGTTTTGATCCTACAGATTCCAACATTTGTTATTTTCCAGTTTATCTTTTATTTTCGGGTCAAAATGGGCATAAATCGGCTAATAAAGTCGTTTTCAGATTTTTAGTATCGTAAAAAAATACTTTGATCTATGGTTGAAATTCTGTAGCACTTACTGTTCTTCGTAATACTTCACCGCTTCCGAGCCTGCAATTCTACCAAAAACTGCACATTCCAGCAATGAAGAGCCTCCCAATCTGTTATCACCATGAATACCTCCAGTTATTTCCCCGGCAACCCACAGTCCAGATACAGGACCAGAGGCAGTGAGTGGTTGAGCACGAGTGTTGAACTTGGCTCCGCCCATAGTGAAGTGAACCACAGGAGTAACCTGGCCTATATAAAGAACCGTTTCTGGAGTGAATTTTGGAATATTCCAATTTCCTCGAGTGGGTCTGTTAAACGGGTCTTTTGAAGATGAGCCATACGCCTGCAGGGTAGATCGGATATTGACGAAGCTCGCCTCCATGCTAGCGAAATTCGTCTTCCAGAGCAATTTTTTGGCGAGATAGAAATCTGAGCTTGCCTTTGTACTCTTGTAGGTCTCTTCGTCCAATAGAATCCACAATTTGTATTGCTGGAGCTTTGGATCTGCATAAGGGTCTCGGACTATAGTGTTGATTATGGCATCGGATACACGTTTTCTCGTATCCAGCTCATTAACAAAGCGGTCTCCCTTATCATTGATGAGAATTCCGCCTTCACCCCTGAGAGCCTCGGGAGCTAGAAATTTCACTCTATCGTCGCGGTTGAAGTGCTCCACCCACCCAGTGGGATGAATTTGCACATTTGACATATCCACCAATTCCACCCCCAGCGAACTCAACAGATGCTGCGTTCCGGGTCTTTCTGAGTTTGTGGTTGGTAAGTTGATTAGTTCTGGTGCATACTTCGAAATGTATTCATGGGAACCTGCGAAGCCACCGGTGGTGAAGATGACCGGACCATACAATCGGTTGGCTCCATTATATTCCACGCCAATCACCTTTCCTTCATCATCTGTAAGAATCTTGGTAACCTCACACTCCAATTTGAGCTGGGCCTTACCCTGGAGAAGTTTAAGCAGCGTGGTTATGATCGAGGCCCCAGGCGGAACAGGCCCGTCTCCACGGTGGGTTCTTGCAACTGAATGACCACCTAGTCTCGCAACTCTCGTCAGATCCACTCCTAAACCCGACAGCCACTCAACAGACTCTTTGGACTGTGTGCACATTTCTGATATCAGCTCTAATCGTCCATTGCGCCAGTCAGACTCCAAAAGACTGTTCCCCGAAGACTTGATCGTATCAGATTCGAACGACGTATCTGGCCAATGCTGGAAAATCGTATTTGCACCGTTTATACCAGATGAAGCCTTTATGGAGTTTCCACCTGGCTTTGCAAACTTTTCCAGAATTACCACCGGTATTTTGGGGTTGGTCTGCACAATGGTGGTTGCTGCGGAGAGTCCGGCCAGGCCAGACCCGACCACTATAATGGATCTTTGTGTTTTCTGTGGAAAGCTCATATATAATAGCGCAACTAGTAATCCTATCGTAAGCAGTTTACGAAGTGTATACTGCATGTATTTTTCGCTACAGAGAAGGGAGAGGGGAAGGTGATTTGGGGTGCACCTGGCTCATATAGTCTAGTCCTGAAAGAGTGGTATGACTTCATCGGCTTGGACCATCGGACAAATATCGGGGATAAAAATAATTTTATTTCAGCGAGTAAATGATAGAACTGAGGAATAAAAGGCTTGCATTTCTTTTTCGAAATCTGTCAAGTATATGCTCTAAGGATTACCACAGTGTATGATCTGAGGCTAATAAACCCACAGAAACGTTAATCCTTATCAGTGGGCTATCTTGAAAGCCGCATGACTGCATGATGACGCGTTTCACACAAATCTGTTACACCATCGCATTTGCAAACACGTCAACCAGGCGGGGTGTCAGAACGTGAGTTGAACAACTCTCACAACATCAAAATGGTATCAGCCTGGGAACCAAATTTAAAACTCAAACATCAACCACTTTGATTCAAAACTTGACACACTTATTGGGCTTATCGGTCAACGTTATCGTGCAGATCCCAAAAAAACGGTTTCTACACATCACTCCCTAATCCCCGCCCTTTTGCTTCTGTAGCCCCTTCCTCTCCTCTCTCGTGGCGCTATCCAACAGTATCAACAATCACAGTTTGTCCCATTTCATTTGTCAGTAATCCAGGAGATTACTGATTGGCCTCACTGAACGTTGATATTGACTTGTTTTGTTATGCAGCGTCTAAACAGCACCACAGGCTTACTTTCGCCCCATCACTCTATCATCCAAGCACTTCAGAATCCACAGTTGGAGATGTCCCACGAGAATGTGAGTCAGGAAAACCAGCAATGGAACGATCCTCAAATTGCGAACGGATTCTCGTCATGGCAATCAATATCCAGCGGTTCGCCGCGGCTTGGCCACAAGCGGAGTTCACCGGGCTCCATACTTTCTAGCAGTGACTCAGACGAGGAGATCATCGCCTTCGACTCTGACGACGAGAACGGAGATACCACCTCCACGGTGAAAGAATCAATTCCCAGCTTCATCATGCCTCGGGTTTCGATGTCAGAACCTGAGGGGGTGGTAAAGGTTCAGGTATTGGGTGCACAAAGTGAAGCTCTTGTAGCGAGGCTAAAGACTTACAAGAAGAAGTTTCTGAAAAACTGCGAATTCACAAAGAAGGATCCTCATTTAATTCTGTTAATAGTTGACAACGAGAATTACGTTCTCCCCAAGCTCTTGAACAAACCGTTCATTCCAATACTGTTGGAGGACGAATATCGCGGCCAAGACGAGGAGGACTTCGAGGATCTTTCTTCCCGAACCTTTTTCAAAAACTCCATGATTTGTGATCCCGTGAAGCTGAAGTCGATTGACCAGGATTTGTTTGGTCTCATAAACTTTCTATCCAATTTGGACTCCAAGACATTTGGATCGACCCTGACTCATGTGTCCAAGTTCTCTCTTGAAAGCAACGCTATATCCCTTTCGCAGCTGAATTCCATAGTGTTGGACCAGCAGTCCTCCGAGATTCTACGCAAGAAAGCGCTAATGCGGAGGCGTAGCTCGGCTGCAAGAAGTTCCACTTCGCGCTATGACGATGACAGTGAGGATAAGAAGACTCCGTTTACATCGGTCTACGGGTTGCGGATCAAACTGGTGGTGGGTGCAACCATTGGAGCGGTGAGTCTCACGTGCATTTGGATGTGGAAGGAGTTCACTACGGCTATGGACCCGAACTGTGCACTCGAGCTCAAGGAACTGAAGGAACTGAAGGACTTGAAGGAGCCATCTATGAATATGGACATATCGAGGTTAGGGCTCACTCTGGGATCATGTTTGGCTCAGGGAATGCACCATCTCGAGAGCTTGAGGGAGATACTTTTGAGCTCAACCTTTTATTTCCTGGATAGAACGCAGATTGCCGTATCGCATATCATGAGGTTGGCGGATTCCATCGTTCCAGGCTATTTTCTCGATTGGTGATTGTTTTTTTAAGGTTGGTGGTGTTGGTTGGTTGGTTTTGGTTTATCTATTTTATTTTTCTAGCGACGACTTGCAAAGTTCGCGTGTCTCCCATTTTGTATTTTTGGCCTTTTTTATTCTCTTTTTTTATGACTATCATTTTCCATCATTTCAGCACATGTTCTATTTTGATTTTGGTTACTGGCTCCCGCAATTTCTGACACATTGATACTTTCTTCCACCATGGACTGGTTTATACAGTTATGGGGCCGATTTGAATTATAGAGCTAATCATTATGGCAGAACTGTAGAGACATGTAGCTTTACTGACCAGTCTGAAAAATTGAGTAGGGGGAGTTATGGTGATCTTCGAACTGAAACCCTAACTTGTAGACAGTCACTATTCAATCAAGTTATTTTCTCAATGGGAATGTACAATTACTATGACGTTAAATTGAGCTCGAACACCAGTGGTTTAGTCTCATTTAGTCTTACTGCTTGGCCTACAATATAAAATAATGCCTATTGAGCCGTCCAATATGACGTCATGGGCATCCTCGAAAAACTATTGTCAGCGCAGCGCGGATTCTGCGGAGGTACCGACGATCGTGGTTTTGAGGGAACAAATTAACAAGATAAATAGGACAAATAGCAAATATAAGTTCCAAATCTCGTATCTTTAGTCTGTCACTTTCCATATTCGGCAGCTTTACCAATACTTCACCAAATTTCACCGTCTCTTATAACTATCGTGGCGGACCTAAAAAACACAGAAGCAGTAACCAAGAAAGGGATATACTCTCAAAGACCTCAAAAAAAAACATTCGAGTTATCCGGCTAACACAACATTTTTGCCACAGTTTTGTGTTGAACTTGCTCTTTATTTTTAGGCAAGAACATTTTACGGCTGCCTTTGCGTTGTCTGACTCTAAGGCTCGATTGTTCGATAGTGTCAACGCCTCGGGGGTTCAAAGCAAACCCGAGATAGAGTGGCATAGCCTGGATACGCCTGTCAGCTTTTGTGACACCACTAACAAAAAAAAGGCTTGGGATTTTTCGATTTGCTGAGTTGTTCTGCTAAAGGGATCTGTTTGCTAATCGTTTGTCCAAATTCAAGTCGTCTTCGGCTAGCTCTACATTCACCATGGTGCTTCACAGACTGCGGATCAGCATACGAACACAGCTGATAGCTTTGGTATGTATTGTGGCCCTGCTTTCGTTGGTGATCCTGGCCATCATAACTGGAGTGTATTTTACGAATAATTTCACAAAGACAAGGTCGGAAAGACTGGAGATCATAGCACAGCTGAAAGCGTCCCAAATGGAACAGAGTTTTTACTATTTCTACTACCAGGTGTATTATCTATCGACCAGGGAAACGCTCCAAGACTCACTCCTCAATCACAAGGCCGGAAACACGAGTTCTTCGGTTACGACTGCTGCCATGAATACTATCCAGCAATTTCTGGATTCCAGTGACACGTTTGCGCAGGCCAGTCTGTATGACCTTTCGCTCGAAGTCGTTGGAAATGCAACAAACGATGTTTTGTCAGTGAACACAAATGTGTCCGATTCGCTGTACCCTTTTTCCAACAACAAGACCTTTACAGAAGTGTTTCTGGATAAGGGTGGATACATCAAGGGCCCTACCAGAAATGATACTTCCTACTTCATCTCGCTGACCTTGCCAATATACACCAATGCGTCGGTACTGATATCAACACCTGACTTGAGTGGCTATTTATCCATGATAATAGACGTGAATAGTTTTGAGAGTGTTGCTAACGATACCACTGCTCTGGAAGACACGGAAGTTACCATGGTCAGACCCATCATGGATTATAATAACGAATCCTTGTATGATGCGTACAACCACTCCCAACCCACGGGATTTCGCTACATTTTTCCTCCGAAAAACGAGCCAACAGATGTTACTGAAGTACTTTTCAGTATATATTATTACCTGGCGGTGTTAGATGTGTTCCTCAGTGGTGATGACGTGGGAGATATGGACAAAGTACGAAACCCTTTTGGCCAGGAGGTGGCCGTTGGTTATAGTCAAGTGGATCTGATGTTTGATACATGGGCTGTTATAGTGGAGCAGGAAAGGGGTGCATTCTTGCAGCCAGTGAATAAACTGGTGAAGATCATAGCAGGGACAGTGATCGCGATCGCTGTATTCATGTGCTTGGTGACCTTCCCTCTGGCGCATTTTGGAGTGCGGCCAATCATCAGATTGCAAAAGGCAACAGAGGCAATAACTCAAGGACGAGGCCTGAAAAAGGGGAAAAAGAGGAAGCTTCAAGGGAGCTCCGACATGCTTTCTCCAAGGAGCGAGCATGACTTCAATGCTGGAGACTCACCGACGGAAGAAAAGTTCAGACACAACAGTGTTGGCAATGGAAGCCGGTTTTCTGCAGTGTCGGGGATGCTGACGCCGAATTCTGATGCAAGTTTCCACGTAAATGATTCACCTTCGTACCCACAGCATTTCAGCACTCCGATTATTGTATCTAAGGGAAGCAGGTTTATCGTGGATGAGTTAACTGAACTGACGGACGCTTTTAATGTCATGACAGAAGAACTGGACAGGCAATATTCCCACTTAGAGGATAGAGTTAGAGAGCGCACCAAGGAACTGGAAGTTGCCAAGATCCAGGCTGAATCCGCCAGAATGCAAGCGGAAGCTGCTAATGAAGCAAAAACAGTATTCATTGCCAACATCTCTCATGAGTTGAGAACTCCATTGAACGGTATTCTCGGTATGACTGCAATAGCGATGACCGAGACTAGCATAGGTAAGGTGAAGGAGTCTCTCGACCTGATCTTCAGAAGCGGTGAGCTTCTGCTTCACATTCTCACCCAGTTGCTCACTTTCAGCAAGAACCAATTGGACAAGTCTAAGCTGGAGAATCGCAACTTCCAGATGATCGAGGTTGCTTCTCAGGTGAAGTCTATTTTTGGAAAGACCGCTAAGGATCAAAAAGTCATACTTTCACTAGTGATGAAACCAAATTTGTTGCGCAAGATGATCCTATTTGGAGACTCAAACAGAATTATACAGGTTGTTATGAACTTGGTCAGTAATTCGCTCAAATTTACCCCTGAACAGGGAACTGTTTCAGTGGTTATCAGAGTGCTAGGTGAATACGACGAGGAAAGATCAAGGAGATGCGATTATGAGAGGGTTTTCGTCAAAAAACCTCACGGATTGCTTATGGCGATAACGGAACAAGAAACGAATAACCAGGATACCACAGTATTTGAAACGGAGAGCGGAGTGACCACAGAGGAGGGCATTCCATCTAACAATCCAACAAGTGATAACACGGAAAAGATTTTTAACAGTGATACTGACGGCAAGACCTCTGAAAAGAGTGTCGTCCCAGATCAGGTCTCTGTCAGCAGCAGGGGAAACAATTCTGTGGAGATTGTTTCACCTCAGGATGATACACAAACATTGCACACCCTATCCTCTTCCGTTTACGAAAGTGCAATAGAGTCTGCAAATGAGTCCAAGAAAGCGGTGGGTACTTCGAACTCGAGCGTGTTGATAGGATCATCTTTTAGTGAAGATTCGGACGATTATGTGAATACATCGGAAGAAGGAAAGGAAGTCATAAACGAGAAGGAGGAAGATACGTCTTTTAGTGCTGATGACGACGGTGAGAGGTTTGCCATCATGGATGAGGATGATGATGATCTGCTTGGAAAACAAATGCCATCTAAATCTCTCAAGAACAGGAAACGGTGGGTCATTGAAATTACCGTTAGTGATACCGGAACGGGCATTGAGGAGTCTTTGCAAGAGAAGGTGTTTGAGGCTTTTGTACAAGGTGATCAGACTTTGTCGAGATCATACGGTGGTACCGGTTTAGGACTTTCTATTTGCAGACAATTGGCGAAGATGATGCATGGAACTTTGACTCTCAAGAGTGAGGTTGGATGTGGTTCCACATTTACTTTCAAAATACCATTACCTCAAACAGGTGAAATCCTAGTGGACAAAGCGGATGAAGAAGAGTTTTTCAACGACGATTTCCACCCGGATGTTGTTGCTAGGAGAGAGTCCAAAAGGGTCACAATCCAGGAACCAAATGATGCAGATATCCACGAGATTCAAAGCAATTCCGGAAATAATAAGGGACTGGTAAGGAAAGCCAGCTTTGAGCAGAGAAACGTGTTGCATCTGTCTGTTCCGATTCCAGGGAAAGACAATTCTGTCGACCCTTCCGCCCAACTTCTTACCAAGCCTCAGTTACTAGCACGCGCATCAACAGGCACTGCCCATTCCGAGCAATCTAGCCTTCTTAAACACAGAGGTTCGAACGTGGAAGGTATGAGGATACTGGTAGCAGAGGACAACACGGTGAACCAGGAGGTCATCAAGAGGATGTTGAATCTGGAGGGTTTCACTGATATCACATTGGCATGTGATGGCAGTGAAGCCATTGAGATCTTGAGGAGTGTCATGTCCGAGGAAGAAACGTTTGATCTTATATTCATGGATGTACAGATGCCCAACATCGATGGGTTACTGGCTACGAAGCTCATCAGACAGGAAATGAAGTATGAGGGCCCAATCGTGGCTTTGACAGCGTTTGCCGATAAGTCCAATGAGGAAGACTGTCTGGAGGCTGGAATGTCCGGATTTTTGTCGAAACCTATCAGAAGGAACCAATTGAGAAAAATTATTCTTGAGCTTTGCCCCAAGATATCGAAGGATATGATGTCGTCAACGGGTACCGGAGAAACCAGCGAGGAGTTCTACGGAGCCCGTTTGAAAAGTTTTTGAGCTGAAACTGCTGTTAAATATAACAGTTGAATGTACAATGAACGCTACTCTTGTAAAACACTCATTACCATCAATCGTAACACCCAGAAGCAAGTGGAAATGAAAAATCGGTATCATACCTAGTGGTCGTGGGTTACCCTACCCAAGAGGCTGGCTCAACTCTTTACGTACTTTTATAGGAAAGAATACATCGCTTGTTGAATTGAGTTTAGATTCTATACCACATCCAACCTGCAATTCACTAGCCAAGCTAGATAAATTGGGTCATTGTGGAATTCAGCCAGAGTGTTGAATTCTTTATTCGGCCAACATGGAGGAACGTCCGGAAAATCCATCCAAAGGCGACGGAGAAGATATCAGTCTGAAAAGTGAACCAAATGTTATAGCAGATGCTCCCAATGACACCGTTGCTAAAGAGATAAATGCTGAAGCTATAGATGCGACAAGTGATCATCATGATCAATCTGACCGTTATAGTGAACATGCGGTTGTGTCAACTGAACCAGCTCTGCCAGACGAGGAAGAACTTCCATCACACCAAACACCTCTAGATGAAGAAATTGCTGGAAACAGCACCACCACAATGAGCAAACCTCCATTTGAAGTGATAAGAGACTCAACAGGGGTTGAAAACGAGAATAGAGCCATCAGCAGATTTGCTCTGGGCGTCCAGTCACCAGAGTCTACAGTCAATCTCAATGCACTGTCTTCTTTCTTTTCAATAGATAGAGAGCAGCTGGAAGAACTGAACAGTGTGGTAGTGACTCAGTTGAGTAACAAATTCCGCGAGTACCAGTCGTTGAAGTCAGACAAAGACGTCTTGATGATGAGCTTGGAACAGCTTAAACACAGCTCCAGCAAGAGGACCGAGTCTCTGAAAGGAGAGCTTAAGACGTACAGAGGCAGCACATCAGAATTACAGCAAAGACTTGCCACTTTGGAAGGTGAAAAGCTGAAACTTGAAGCGCAATTGGCCGAACAGCTGGATAATGGAGCATCAGATAAGTCACATCTACAAGAGGTGAACAACAAGATCACCACTCTGACCAACGACAAGAAGACTGCCTTTGATCTGCTTAACAAAAAACAGAACGAGGTAGTAATGTTGCACCAGGAGGTTGACCAATTGAGCGAAGCTAACAAGACATTGCGGGCCAATCTGATGCAAGTGCAATCTGAAAACGAGAAGGTGACCAGCGAGATCATCAGGAGCAAGTTCGAGAAGAATAATATACAGCAAGAACTTACACTGGCGAGCAGTTCCTCGACATGGTTCAAAGAGGAATTAGACAGAAAACTGGAAGAACTCAAACATTTGAGAGAGGAGAAGAGAAATCAAGTCTCGAGTCTTCAATCAGAACTGGATGCCACGAAAACGGAGCTCACTTCGACTAGTATGAAATACGATAATCTTTTGAACAAGTACAATCAAGCGACCAGAAGTCTGGATGAATCATTGGAAAGTTTGAGAAAATCTAACACAAAGGTTGCTCTTCAAGAAGAGGACTTTGCAAGGGAGATGTCTTCCAAAGACAGATTGCTGAATATTTTGAAATCTTCCAATGATGATAGGCAGAAAAGAATCTCCAAACTCGAAAGTTTGGTCGAGTCTGCCAAATCTTCCACCGCGAAGGATGTGGCAACCCTCAAGTTGGATCTGGAGAATGCTCAGCAGCAACTTGTGTTATCCGAGACCAAGGTCCATGATTTGCAGGAGACAGTCGCTAATCTGACCCATCCTGAGTATTCTGGGTTTGAAGATAAGACTGTGAATGGGACCTCGTTTCTTTCGCAATCTGTTAATATGACCGCAAGCAATCTAGGTGGAATTTCACTCTCTCAGCTGCTTGCCGATTTCCAGCTTGTGAAGAGACAGCTGATCAACGAAAGGAGACTGAAAGAAAGAATGCAGAAACAAGTTGATGATTTTGTTGAAGAGTTGAGTAAAAAGGTCCCAATCATAGAGGCAACCAAAGAGAGATGCAACGTTCTTGAGATGGAGTTAAGCGAATTGAGCATGATACTAGAAGGTGCGAACAAAGAAAAAGAAGATTTGGAAACAGAAAACAAGATTTGGAAGAAAAGACTTGACGAGTCAGAGGTGCAGGTCACAAGTTTGCGGAAACAGAAGTTGGACCTTAGCGAGCAGGTTTCAACACTGCTGATTCAAATCACACTGAAATCAGCCAATGACTCTCCTCTCACATCAGAGGAACAGCAATTGATCACCAGCATGGTTGGAAATGTCAGAGATGATGTCGATTTGTTCCAGTCTGACACCGACAAATTGATCAGTGAGAGACTAGTGAAGTTCAAAAACATTGTTGAACTAACTAAGAACAATGAAGAGTTGCTTGCCATCACCCGCTCACTAGGAGTTGAGCTGGAGGAGCAAGAACGTTCCAAGAAGTCAAAGTTTGAGCAGTTGGAAAGCCAAGCTTTGGATGATGCTAAGGAAGCAATTCTGGCGCTGAAAGATGATCTTCAGGAGACCGAGAGAAAGCTTAAGAACGTTATCTCTGAGCGTGACATGCTGAAAACCATGACAGCCAGCCGCAAGAGTTTGATATTCAATGATAGTGTAACCGACCGTTCCATTGACGAGTCTCAGATCATCGACAAGGTTAAATCACTTCAAGACAAACTCGATCGATGCCAGGATGATTTTGATGCTTTCAGAAAAGAAAGCAACAAGACTATTGCATCTCTTACGTCTAAGAATGGTGAGTTGACCGATATCAAGTTTAAACTCTCCATGGAAGTTTCACATCTTGAATCAAGTTCAAAGTTACTGGAGGAAAGACACAAATCCACACAGGAAACCTTGCTCTACACCAAGTCCACCAATGATGAGCTCAGTAAACACTTGCAAAGATTACAGGATAGTCTTAACCGGACTGAATCAGAAAATCGTCGCTTGTCTGACGACCTTCAGGATATAAAGAGCAGGATTTCCCGCACCGAAGCTGAACTGACAAATGCTCGCTCAGAAACGGCGATGCTCAGAGCTTTAAATGCGAGATTAGATTCTGATAATAGCGGTTTGATCGAAGAGAGGAGAAAACTCAATGACGTTATCAGTAATTTGCAACACAAGGAAAACGAAAGAGACTTGTCATACAAAGAGGCAAGCAAAAGATCAGTTTCAACAATCTCGTCACTTGAGAAGGAGCTTGAGTCATTGAAGGAGAAATTTGAGAGATTGAATGATGATTTGAGAGGTGTTTTGGTTTCGAAAGAAGCAGAAGCAGGTAATTATCAGCAAAAGATCGATGCTTTAAGAGCAGATTTGAGCAGAACAAGGGAGCAGCTTGCGGTGAAGACCACTTCAGTATCTCATCTGGAGGACACAGTGCAAAGAATCACTAAGCAATTCAATGAAGTTGAGACTAAGCTCTCAACGCTTTTGAATGTGGAAACTGATGATGGAAGTCCCGAAGGAGAGATTGCTCGCCTTAAGGAGCAACTTTCCTCAACTCTGGACGACCTGGATCATGCTCGTCGTGATTGTGATGAATTCAGATTGGTCTCGGAGAACTCGGAGAGAAACATTGCTGAATTAACACTTTCGTTCGACAGTTATAAGGCGGATGTTGAAGAGAAGGTGAAACACCTTGAACATGAACGTTCAGAGCTTCAAGATCAAGTACAGAAGTTGACTTCAACAACAGAAGACCTGCAGAGAAGTAACAAAGACTTGAGTTCCGAGCTCAACTCCAAAGTTTCTGAATACAAGATCCAGATTACATCTCTGGAATCAAAGGTTCAAACATCCGATGCCATCAGAGACGATTACAATCAAAAGGTACAAACAATTCAAAATGAGATGCAAGCTCAGGCCAAGATTGCTTCGGATGCTCAATCAAACTACGAACAGGAATTACAGAAGCATGCAGAGGTTGCTCGTCTCAACACGCTGTTGAGAGAAGAACTGGATTCGGTGAAGAATGATGTGGGCAAATACCTCAATGAAGCTGAATCTGCGAAGGAAGCTTTGTTGATTAGCCAACAAGGATGGGAGTCACAGAAGGCTGCTCTTGAAAACCAAGTCAGGGAGGCTTCAGTGAGGGTTTCGGAGGTTTCGGAGCAGAATCTACTACTTTTAAACCAATTACAGGTTGCATCGTCTTCAAGTACCTCTATCGAAGGTGCTGATGGACTGGGTGCATCAGAGGACTTGTCGGAGATCATCAATTTTTTGAGACGTGAAAAGGAGATATCCGAGTCGAGATTACTGATCGCTGTCGAAGACGAGAAAAGGCTACGTCAAAAACTCTCAATTGCCAATGCCGAGTTGCAAACTGTCAAATCTGAGTTAGAAAAGGCTCATCTGTCTTTGTCAAAGGCTACAGAGTTCTCTAAGGACGAAGCTGCAATTACGGAAAAACTGTACCAACTGGATGTTCTGAGAGAAAGCAATTCCACACTGAGAAATGACAACTCAAAGAAGGTGGAAAGGATCAGACTGCTAGAGACTCAGTTAGACGAAGCTTTGAAAAAGCTTCAGCCTTTGGAATCGCAGTCGGCCAAACTTACTGCCGAGCTCAGAGTGAAGGATGAGGAAATCAAGCTGCGTGGAGAACAGATTAATCACTGGAAGACACGTACTGACGAGATTCTGAACAGTTATGACCGTGATCCTGAGTTGAATTCTAAGGTCAGTTCATTGGAAGAGGAATTGGCAGCTGCCAAAACTTCGCTCTCTGAGACACAAGCCAAACTTCAGGAACGCGAGCTTTTGTTCACCAAGCTAAGAAATGAGAGTCAATCGAAACTGAATTCGAGCAAATTGACCAGGAAGAACCAGCAAGACCAGATAGAGGAGTTGAAGGTGTCTATCGGGAAGATCACCGAAGAGAGAGACCAACTAGCATCGGAGCTGAAATCGACAAAGGAATCAAGAGAGAAATCCACCACCGAGGAGAGCGCGAAGGTTCAAGAACTCGAGGCTCAGAAACAACAACTGGAAAGCTCTATCAAAGGCTTAAATCAAGAGCTCCAAAAAGCCAGAAGCGAACAACCTGTTCCAACTGCGGAGACTGTTGCGAAGATCAGAGAGGAACTCGAAAAGTCAAAGGCCGAGGAAGTTGAAAGAACGGTGAACGAAAAGATCGAGGCCTACAAGAAGGAGTCTGAAATTAGTGTGCCTAACTCTGTAGCCGCTGCTGAACCCTCCCCGGAAGCTTTGGAGGAGATCAGGCGCAATTTGGAAGTTGAATTCAACGCAAAACTTGAAGAACACAAGAACAAGATCAGGGTTTTGTCGCTTGAAAAGGTCAATGCTGCTGCAGAGAAGAGGTTTGAAATTGGAAAGGCTGATATTGAGAAGCAGTATAAAGATCAAATAGCTGCCCTAGAGGAGAAATTGAAGAAGAGCGAACAAGAGTCGTCTGGAACTGATCAGAAGGAACTTCAAAACCTCAGAGAAGCATTCGAAAAGGAAAAAGCCGATCTTGAAGCCAAGTTTCAAGCCGAGAAGGAGGCTTTGAAGAGCGATATCCAGGCGAAAGCTCGCAAAGCCGCAGAAATGAAGGAGAAACTTCTTTTAAGGAAAATCGAAAATCTTACCAAGGAGAAGAACGCTTTGACTGAGAAGTCTGTACCTTCGGTACCCTCATCTTTGCCTGCTGTGCCTACTTTGCCTTCCGTACCAACACCTGTGGTTTCCTCTACACCAGAAGCGTCTGCTGAGAACCCTGCAACCAACAAAAGAACTGCAGAGTCTGGCGAGAACGGGGAGCCTACTGAAAAGCGTGTGAAAACACAGGAATTGTGAATGATTTGTGATATAGTTTGTAATATAATCTTGTCAAAGACTTATTGTGTTGAAAATCGTATCTGTAGGTACACGCAACTGCATGTCAGACGCGTAAGAAATATCGATCTTTGTCTGCTAGAACGCGATGCCTATTTATGGATGGAGCATCCGGTCTGAATTTACTAATGAGCGAGTATTTTTCCGGGGATCCCAGAGAGATAGTCTCAGCTGATGAGTTTGATGCTTTTAATAGTGACGAAAGTGCAGATGAGAGAGGTAAGCGTGATTGGATACAGTTGTTCCCCCACACATCACTAACTTTTCATCAGAGATCCTGAAGATGGAGGCTGCTCTAAAGCAGAAGAGGGAGTTACTCATGAAGAAAAAAATGGAGAAAATTGCTGTACCAGAGGATACACGTGTGATGGTACCTGGATCGCCCAAAAAAAACAAGATCGAACAGCGACCTGCTTCAACCGCCTATTTTGAGGAACGAAAGGCCGAGGAAGCCCTCAAGGAAAGGATCAGGCAGGACTCGTTACAAAGACAGCAAAGTAAAGCCTCTTCGTTTGCGGATAGATTTATTCAGAACAAGAACATCAAAATTAAAGAAACTCAGAAGCAAAAAGAGATTATGATTAGCAGAGTGTACTCCTTTTCACCAGGTCAGAGCCTCGAGTCAGTGACTGAAACTGTTGACGAACGAGAAACGTACTCGGGCATTAACATATCGAAGAGATACGTGAAAGCGTCAGGAGTTGATGAAGCCATGAAGGGAAAAAAGATCATGAGAGTAGACAAGCTTCTCGCCGAGGTTTGTCCTCCCGACTACGTACAGCCTTCCTATCCAAACTGGGTCTTATTAGGAATTGTGATATCCAAGGCTGAGGCCAAGAACACATCCGACAACAAATCGAGATATGTCACAATCCACATCTCCAATTTCAAACAGAAAGTTGCTCTGGTTCTGATGGGAAAGGCCGTTGAAAAATACTTCAAGCTTAGAATGGGTGATGTGATAGCTGTATTGAATCCTACGGTGTGGCCATGGAAGGAGAAAAGTATCACCAGTGGTGAAGTAAAAAGTGGCTTCAGTGTTTCTCTGAAGGAGGACTACGACAGCATTTTGGAGATTGGAAAAGCCAGAGATTTTGCATTTTGCTCCGCCAAATCCAGAGACGGGGTCCAATGCAAAACAGCAATAGACACGAGCAGGACGGATGTTTGCGATTTCCACAGAGAACGCGTTCTAAAAAAGACCACAGCTAGACGAATGGAGTTCAACACAACGTCAGGAGTGTTACCTCCAAAGATGAACGGTCAGACACAGCATATGTATATGAGCACCTCTAAGAAAAATGGAGGGTTGAAAGGTCAGCTCATAGGGGATTCTTTTCTCACTGGAACGACGTCAAGGGTAGTATCTGCCAGTGACGACCCCAATTCTGCATTCTATAGGGAAAACTATCAGTCCTCCTCACTGATCAGCGACGCAAAACGAGACCTTCGCATAGCCCAAGCAAAGAAAAAAGAGAGGGAGCTGCAGAGAAAGCTCATGGACATGACTGGGGGTCATTCATTGAGAGACGAAAATCTTGAAACCACAGAAGAACGGCAGCTAAAGGTCAAGGCCAAGAACGTTGCATATCCTTCGACTGCTCTCAACAAAATCGGTTTCAATCCAACACGCCGGGTGTTTGATTCGCGAAAGTCAAATAAAGGCAAACCCGAGTCCAATATAGTATATGAGTTAAAAAAGGAGATCAGCACCACTAAGGTGCTGACACCGACTGAAGACGCCGTTCTGAAGAGAAAACAGAGCTGGAAACAGAGAATGGCAGACCTAAAGCGTTCCAAACAGCCAATAGTCAAGGCTCCAGTCAAAGAGGTATTCAGCTCCGACGATTCGGATTTGGAAATTGAGCCACCTGTTGATCCAACTCAGCTTGCACAGTATATCAAAATCACTGGTTCATAGTTGACAGCAAAACTAGTACTCATAATGCGACACACGAAATCTTCCAACCATTGACAGACGATCCCACCGATTTAACACGTAGAGTTTTGTCTCCCCCCAAAACCACTATCTTACCATCAATGCATATCCGGCTGAGACGCTCATTTGACTCTTTCACTTTTAAAGCAATCGTCTTTGGAGCTTTGACCTCCAAGTACCTCACCAAAGGATTCTCAATATGGGCCCCATTGTTGTAGGCTTCTCCCATTATCTTCATGGAATTCTCCGTATTCACTTGGTAATCGAAGCTTATTACGTACAACGTTGAATATTTAGGATCGCTCTTGGGAGAAATGCAAAACTTCTCCTCGAACCTGGGGACTGCCGCAATCACAAAATATGACAGTGTATCATCAGACAAAAACTCTTCCACTTCGTCATGCAAAATTCCCAGTTGACCGTGAAATGAAGGATTCTCCTTCATTAAGTCCTCAAACGCCATCTTGAACCTCTGAATGCCGAATTGTCGCAATTCTGGTGAATCACTATCAGCAACAAGCGAAGCATGCAAACCCCAAGAGGCCACCACGAAAAACAGCATCTCGTCAACATCACCCCCAGTTGGCAAATGAGTTCCCTCTGAGAATTTTGCACTGTAACAATTAAAAGGATTGACTTGAGCTCCAAACAATGCCTTGACAGCATCTGCCACATTGTGTATTCCCACTGAATGAGAGTAGGCATTACCAGTACCCATTGGAATAGGCAACAATGTCACGTCCCGCCCACTTCCGGAAATTCCGCTCAAAGAGTTGATAAACTCGCTCAGTGTGGTATCTCCCGAGAGAAATATCAAGGTCAAAGGGACATCTCCTGGAAACTGGTGGCAAAGTTTGCTAGATGCCTGAGAATCTCCTAGCTTGATGTACTCATGTATAACACCCAATCTGGCAAATATTGGTTTCAAAATCAAGGGATATGGATCACGGGAATCAGTTCTTCCAGACCCAGACATAATGGAATCAATTACATATATCTTGCTCTTGTCATGGGAGAGATAGTACGGCAGAGACTCTTTGTTGCACTCCGTCAAATCATCATACTCCACACCATTGAGCTCTGTAAATGAAACACCAAGGCTCCTTTCGTCATCAGTTATGTCCACATCGACATCACCAGTTATTCTCAAGACCTTGACCATAGTTTAGTCCAGTGAACAGGAGGAAAGGGAGTATATGAACGACCTGACTTGTGCATGGATCTTACATATGCAGACCGAGCCACACCTCTTCACGTGCCACTGAGTGAGGCTGGGTCTCCGGATGCGGTAATGACCTTTAAATGGGAATAAGAACTGAGAATGAAATATAGAGAAACATTCAATAATGAAGTTTTTAGGCTAAATATACACAACTAATAATAACCTACCTCCTGTAGTCGTCACGTCTTTGGTACCCTGACTGCTGGTACGAGCCTCTATTTCCATTGTGGTTATTGTAGCCCCCATTATGACCACCATTGTGGCCGTTAGATCCTCCATGGTAGCCACCGCGACCTCTGCCCCTGCCCCCATAGCCGCCTCTGTTCTGGTTATGCTGATAACCTTGATTAGACTGATATCCCTGGCTAGAGTGATATCCCTGACTGTTGTTATACGATGGAGCATAATTGGCTTGCACGGGTTGCTGCTGTTGCTGCTGGTACAATTGAAGAAACGCCTTGTATCCACCAACACGCAGCCCATACATGCTTTCACTAGCAGGACCCACATATTTCTTGTAATCTTCGGTCACTTTGTTCTGATAGCCTCTGTTATTACGGTGGTAGCCTCCGTTACCGGAGTACATAATGGCATCTCTGTCCTCCTGCGTGATTGCACGTAGATGAGAAATGAAACCGGTGAGAAGCATAGACTTGCCTTCTGCCTTAGGAGGCATCTCGTATCCAATTCTCATGTAGGCATTGTTAGGAATATCCTCGTAATCACCCTCTCTGAGCTTGTACGGCATACACCGAGTGTTGGCGTATAACTCGTTGGGGTAAACCTCACCAGCCAACCCAGTGTTTGACGAAGGAAATGTAATTCTGGCAGTAGTTTGCTTCAAGTATAATTCTTCGTTAAACCGGGCAAAATTTTTGTTGTGGCAACTAATGAAGAGCTCTTCGTGCTTGAGAGCATTTCTGTCCTTTTCGGCCTCACTCAAAAACTGGTATTGGGCCCTCACCGCAGTTAACAGTCTCTGCGCGTCAATGAAAGGAAGTAGCGCTATTCCTTGCCACGACATCTTCTTTCCGTTCATGTCTATGGCAAAATCCTCGGGGTAAAAGTCAATGATTTCCGAGTTGGGATCGCTCATCAGAGGTCTGAAAATTTCAGGTAGATTGTGACCAGATGCAGCAGGCAATACACTCATCAATTGTTCAAACGGCAAAATTGGTTTTCCTAATTCAAATGTGACTTTTGTCCCTGCAAGTCCCTCGAAGTCAGCTGCAAACGGGGCGTAATGGTAAGGGTAGTACCAACTCCATGACGGGCATCCTTGGTAGTAATACAACAACACCCAAGATATTCCCTCGCAGTAGCACTTGACCATATCGTGCCTGATCCTCTCGATCTCGTCTTCATCCGTAGTGTGAAATTTCATCTGGTAGTACCTCCTTCTGTATCCTGGCTGCCATAACCTTGCGTCCCCGTTCAAATCGCTCTCTGAATCGCTCGATATCGCAGAAGCAGTTCTCTTATCGCCAGCGGACGCCTCAGAGACATCCACGGGGAGCGCAGCATCCTCGGCTTTCACTTCAACAGCACTAGCGGCACTAACCGAGTCAGGTTTCTTCAAGAGATTCGCTTTCAACATCTCTGCCACATTTTTATTCTCCATGTTGGCAATGGTGACGGCAGCACGGTTTGCTACCACTTCGTGATTAGACATATGAGTCTGGCCAACACTCTGACCTCCGGGAGTATACAACGGGATATTTTGGTTGGGCTGAAGAGGAGCTTTATCCTGTCCCTTTGAAACCGAAGACATAAACTGGTTTCTGATGGCCGCGTTCTGCTCCCTTTCGGCCTTATATCTCTTATTGTTGTCTTCCCTCCTTCTCTCATTCTCGTATCTCTTTCTGAAGATTCCATCTTCTTGAGTACCCAATTGCTGCATCAATTTTTCAACGATTCCTAAATCAATATGCCCGTCTTTGGTCATATAACCACCCAGGGACGGAAGAGAACGCTTCCAGATGTTGATCAAAATGTCGATACCGTTGTCCCTCACGTCCAATGAGGGAAGATGGGGAAGGAAATCGTTACCCACAAAGAAACACATGAATACCCAGTCATCAATGGCTCTTTCCAAATCAAATTTAAATGGCAATCTGGGAACACTGAGCTCAACCTCTAGGTATTCTCTCAAGATGCTGACATGCAACCACAGAAAAGGTTTCTTGGCATCGTTTTCCTCAATTCTCGCTCTCATATCATCGGTAATGGTCAGCTGGTCTTTCAATCTCATCGATCTGTTATCCTGAGCAAAAACATCTTCTCTTAGAACTCTGAAATGGGGTTCGTGAGTCGCCAGACCCAAGAAGATCAAATCAGCATCGAGACCATAAATACAATGGGAGGTATTAGGATCATGCTCGGGATCCGATCTCTGTGACCTGATAAACCCCATGATCTTGTGTTCACCCTCACCTGGAACCGTAGCATCGCTGATGATCACCTGCAGGTTTGCCCAACCAGGGTCACTGGCCAGCTTATAGGCCACCCAGTATCTCAACGCCGAGGCAAGTGTATCCATGAACGGGGTTCCAGGAGTAATTGCATTAGAATCCCAAGACTTCTTTCCCTTGATCGCCAAATCAATCTGCTCACCCCTCGTCTCTCTTTCAGCAATCTGCCTCTCACGTTCCTCATTGGCCAGCTTAGCCTCCTGGGCAGACCTGAAACGTCTTGATCGCTGCTGGTTCATCTTTGCACGAGGAGCCACTCCATCCACTGCAATCATCAGAATCTTTCTAGGCCTCGCCATGTTCAATACTCTGTCTGTATACTTGAACACATCAAGCATCATCTCATCCTCAGTCTCTGGTGCAGGTTTATGTTCTGGATGAGAACACGGATGCACGATACCGTTCATATCCAGATAAAGATTGTCCAACTCACCATTTGGATTTGGATTAGCATAACTTGGAGGCCGGATTATCCCTCCAATTTCAACTGCTTCCTCTTCTATCACTGGAGAGATGATTTTTGGATACTTCTTGGAGAGCCATCTGAACAATGCGGGGACTCTATGAAAAACGTTAGTATGTAAACAAGCTGGTCACAACAAAAACCCTCTTATGACTTACCCCATAGTAGCGTATTGTTTTTCTTGTGAATGTCCCGAGATGAGAAATTCACTAGTAGAAAGAAAGAAACCGAATCTCACAAAAATCTCTTGTTTAGTGGCCTCTTCATGAGCTGAAAAGTTTATGGGGTTGGCACACGACCCATCGAGCCATCGCCTAAAGAGCTTTGTTCAACACTCTGAATAATCTTAACAGAGTGGATAAGAACCAGCTATTCAACCATGTTTCGACTGACCACAGCTGTGAGACGTCGCGCGTTTAGCACGAAGTCGTTAACGCTAGTTGAAAAGAAGAAGGAGTTCGTGCACGATTACTCGGTTCTCCCATCAAGTTTGCAGTACAGATTGCCCGAGAACGAGGTGCCCATAGAAGAAGCGAAGAAGACAATACGATTGAACGCAAATGTGTTGAAGACAGTCTTGGAAGAAGGTGGTGTGGAGTCTTTGAAGTACCAGAAAAATTTGGCTTCTTTCTTGGAGTATCCGTTGACAAACTCCAAGAAGCTATCTAGGCGGAGGGAGAGACCGAGAGCTTGCAAGATGCTAACGAGGGATTTCATCGAGGATTCGTTGTACAATCCTAATTACGGTTATTTTTCAAAAGAAGCGGAGATTTTCCATCCGGCAAAGCCTTTTGACTACAAGAATCTAAAATCTCAGGAAGATTTCATGGCACATTGGCTGAAGGCATACGATAAGTACGACCATGAAAACGAGCCTTCTAACGAAGCAAAGGAACAGAGGATAACAAGACCTTCCTTGCAATTATGGCACACACCGACAGAACTATTCCAGCCGTATTATGGCGAGGCCCTGGCCAGATATCTACTTGTGAACTACAAGCTTACGCAATACCCCTACAATGACCTCATAATATACGAGATGGGCGGTGGTAATGGAACGCTGATGCTGAATATCCTGAACTACATCAGAGAAAGACAACCTGATGTTTATGCCAGAACAAAGTACAAAATCATTGAAATTTCAGGAAGATTGGCAGAGAAGCAGAAACAATCAGCGATTGAACTGAGGTTGAAAGCTGAGGGAGGAGACCACAAAGACAAAGTGGAGATCATCAATAAGTCTATTTTTGAATGGAAAGAGGTTGTGAGTGATCCCTGTTTCTTTATTGGTCTGGAAGTGTTTGATAACTTTGCACACGATGTTGTGAAATACGATATCAATACCCAACAGCCTCACCAGGGGTACGTGCTGATTGACCAAAATGGTGACATGAGAGAGTACTTTTCACCCAGACTGGATGGCTGGACTGAGGCATTTCTGACCTTGAGGGAAGAGGGAAGGTATCCCGTTTTGCATGCTCCTGGTCCACGTCTTTGGGGGCAGCATCCACTGGAGAAGCCTGTTTTTTACAATCAGATGAAAAACTCTCTCAATCCTCTAAGGGCTGAATTGAGTGATTCGGAGTATATCCCAAGTCGTCTCTTGCAATTCTTTCTCATTCTGAAGGAAAAGTTCCCCGAGCACCGTCTTCTGGCTTCCGATTTCCACAGCTTACCAGACTCGTCTCCAGGTTACATGTCTCCAGTTGTCCAAACTATGCTCAACGACCGAATGGTGACTACAGATTCATACATGGTGCTTCAGGGTTACTTTGATATTATGTTTCCTACTGATTTCGAACTCATGAAAGACATGTACCGTCAAGTAGTGGGAAAAATATGCAAAACCTCTACCCACCGTGAGTTTCTGGAGCAATGGTCCGACATAGACGCCACCACCACCAAGACTGGAGAGAATCCGATGCTGGACTTGTATGTGAATGCGTCGTTCATGCTTAGTTAGACTCTTTAAAATCACCTGTATATATTAGCGTAACGATTCGAAACGAAAGATAGTTAGCATACTTAGTAGCCCATGCACGCTAAGGGCGTGGCCATGCAAATCGATTAGCTTGATTCTCTGTTTACCTTTTAAAACCTTATCTTTCCTACACTTACTAGAGTACTAGGAACAAAGCAACTTGTTCAAGACAAAGATGACCGAGGAACAAAATAGTCGAAAACGCAGGATTCCCCTAAGTGAAGTGGTGAATCGAAATAACCAGGATAGTCTGTTTAGTCGAGCACTCAGCAAGAAGCCTCTTACGGAGCAAGGTGAAAAATCCTGTCCAAGGTCATTGTTTGGCCTGGAATCCACAGAAAATTCAAGCACAATAAGGAGAGATGGCAGTATAAGGCGACAGGTCAAAACTGCACCCATAAGTGAGTTGCTGAAAGAAGGTAGCATTGGGCAGCCTCTGAATCCGACCCCACACAGTGTGGACCTTTCACAGATCCACAAGCAGTTGCTTACGACAAACCAGGGTTCAGGGAATAACTCGTTCAGTTTATTTCATGACGCTTATAATCAGGAGGAGCTTGTTTCTATGGCTGAAAAACACCCAAGACTGGTTCCCCCAGATCTGGGTAATGGCTCACTGGTGTCGCAGCTAGCCGAGAACGTTGCTAAGATCAACACTTGGTATAATGCAACGAATTTCACACATTTTCCTGCGAAAGGTGCTGAAAGACATCACACCCAAACTTTCACCATTAGGAAACTCGAAGTTGCCTCCCCATATGCGTGTGTTGCAGAACTTGGTGATGGAAGAAGTGTCTTACTAGTGAGCTTCAAAGACCAGTTCAAATCCGCGAGTGAGCTGGTCATAGGTGATACCATAACTCTTGGAAACGGCAAATTTACCCTGGCTGAAGGCTTGGACATGGAATTGTATTACCAGTGGCAGAGGATATAGGAAAGGTCTGCTGGTGAACATTTTAGAGGGGCTATAGCGGAGGATGAGGAAGGCTGTTGTTGAAAAATGTAATGATTATAGCTAAAGTAATGACTATTCAGACTAAACTCATGCTCCGCTTCTACTACAATACCACCATTCGATTGTGACTAAGCCAAAAATGATCATTAGCTTTTATATCCGGCCTAACGAACTTAATCTGTACATCTTCCCTGCGCAACCCTCTCGACATGATAGAACAACCACTTGCTTTGGTAACTGGTCATGCCCAGAACCCGTGAGCGCAGCCTCATGTTCTGATCGTCCGTAACCAATGCATTGTAGCAGAATGTGGCGGCTTCATCCGCGCTCAAAATCTTGTTGTTCTTATTAATGCGGCAACCTGCGCCAGTCCTTTCGTCGCGGCCATGTTCGTTGCTCTTCTTGACCGCGTTCAATATGATTTCTTCAGTGTTCGACCTCCAAGTACTGTTGTTTTCAAACTCTGTGGTCTCATGCAGGTTTGATGCCCTCGTTCCATCAGCACGTAGAGCATAAATGTTTTTCTCGGAGTAGAGCTGCCTGACAGTGATCACTGCCCTGGTTGCCGAGTCTGAAACCAAAGCGTCCTGGGAACGTCTCAAAGATCTTAGTTCCTGGAAAACAGCCAGTGGAATCGACAGTTTGAAAACGTCGTTTCGAATGCAATTGTAGAGACGCCCACAGTGTTTCAGCCAGGTATTGGTGTCCAGTGAAATCCAAGTCACAGATGTATCCATACGTTCGCCTAGATCACCGGCAAGCTTGGTGGAGATTGGATGGGAAATGGAGCACATATACTCGTTTTCCTCTTTGACATCGTCCGAATCGTCCGCCTCTGCATCTGCTGCGTACAATAAGTCGATGTTCTCGTCAATCTCTAGATCGAGACTCGAATCATGTCTTTCACGCATTGGGGTCAGACTGTCCATGAAGCCTTCTGAGTGGAGTCTTGGGTCGGGGGTATCCCACACCGATACCGGAGTACACCAACTTCCCACGTCTAGTGGCTCGTTTAAACCCGAGGCAACCAGTTCTGGCTGGGGTTTTTCTATGACACTCTCAAACTTGGGATCACGCAAATAGTAAAAGAGTGTCTGTTTGGCAGTTTCCTCCTCTTGCAAGAAAGGAGCCACTGCATCGGAGTACCTGTATTGGTTTCCCTTTCTGATGAGACCAAAATCGTAGTAATCGGCAATGGTATTTGCAAGAACCATAATTCTCACGAATCTGTGAACGTCCTCTTTTCCATCGTACCTGGGTCCACTGGTTGGCAGATCAAATAGCTCTGGCTTAGCTCCAGTCTCGGAAACATATGCGTAGTCCCCTTTGAAATGAACATGGTCAAACCAGAGAGTTCCCCATGATTTCCATACCTCAAACAGACGTTCGTTCTTGGAGAAGTACGAAAGCACATCTCCATGCTGAACCTCAAAGTACCTGTTGGAGTATGTCATTAACAAATCCAGAGCCTTTTTGTCACTTCTAACCTGGAACAGAATGTCATTCAAGTACCTGACCAAAGACATCCACGGAAAGAACTTCTTCACAAAGTATGTCACCATTGGCTTGGAAGTGGGATGTTTCTTGACACCTTCACCCAGTGAGATCAAGAAGTAGAGCCACACAATCACGTGTGGAGTGGAGCTCTGCCATGGACCGGTAATGTATTTTTTCAACATCTTCATGCTCAATTCTATGGAGCCGGTATTGATAAATGGGATCAAAGTGAACCATTTCTCCTCTGTAAGCTCATCTGCACACAGCAGCTCTACACCATTCGTCTCTACATCTGCAGTCACGTTGTTTGGGTCGGTACCGGTCTCGGGGGCCTTGGCCTTGCTCTTTCTCTCACGCTTATCTTTGCGCTCTTTCAATGCCTCTGGAAGGCCAAACAGCTTGGCCAGAGGATTGCGGCTGTCTCCAAAACCAATCAGATGTGTGATGTTGCAGATAGCAAAGTTGGGGCCCTTCTGATACCAGAAAGTGAGCTTTTCGGGAGGAAACATTGGGGTACTTCCATGGAACGCAAAGAAATCGACGCGGTTCCCATCAAGGCCAAAATTGTTTGAAAAGTTTGTGATAACTGCAGCCGCATCTCTGTGCTCATTATGCATGAGTAAAATTTTGTGGATCCGCACGAAGTCGATCATGGCAACTTCTATAGTCGCAAGAATATTGCGTTGGTTTCCTGCTGTTTCAATTAATCCATAGAGATATTGGGGTGATGGAGCAAAGGCATCACGGCAGGCCACACTTTTGGCAAGGCTGACGAGGGCTTCGAGCGAATCGGTCTCTACCGAAGCCATGTGAAAGTATATCTTTCCGTGGCCAAACTGAGTTCTGGCCGCAACGTCAAACCAGTACTTGGCCGCGACTTTCCAGTCAATGTGCCTTGAAGGGTAAAGGGCTATGGCCATGCGGCAAAGATCACCAAGCCTCTCGGCCCAATAGCCCTCCATGCCAAACGCAGAGTCTGTGAGACAACTGATGATGTTGAAGGACCGGGAAATGAAACAGGAGCATATCTCGTGGTCAATAAACACAGACGAGACGTTCTTCAGGACTTCTAAAAATGCCACCACTCCGTATACCCACAATCTGCGTGGGATCTTGTAGTTGGTAATGAGCTGTTTTCCGGTCTTCGAGAGAGGCGGTCTCAGACAACTGGTAAGGATTTCATAGTATAGATCCAGTAAGGTTGAAATGTTCTTATAGGCGTTCCATATCTGCGGCGTTATCACTCCAGGACCAACTTCACCCTCTAAAAGCTTTTTATTCAAGTCAAAACAGCCGTTCCGGCATTCCACCTCCAACTTCACAATCTCGCGAAAAGGTTCTTGGAGCCGCGAAAACAGATACTGTTCTTCCTCGGTAGCCTTTGAAGGCTCGGAAGTGCTGGACTGCTGATCCTCAGAGGCCTCTGTTTTCTGATCAATGGCGATATCGTGGGAATTCGCCTCGGACTGTTGCTCAGGCGCAGAATCAGGCGATTGTCCCGTCGCCGGCAAATCGTTCATGTCACTTGAAGCTCCCACACTGCCTTCAGTCTCAAAGATACGGGCAATCGACTTCAGTTTGGGCGAGCCAACCATGTTCGGGGACGCAGGTACTTCGCCTGTAAGCAGTGAGGGGGTGGGGGTCTTGACAGCAGCTATTGTGGCCTTCTTCTGGGGTGTTTGCTGGACCAGAGATGGATGATCACCTACAACAGACTGCAAAATAGGCACAGTTGCACTATCTTGGGCGTTTGAGCTGATGGCACCGCGTTTTGCGCCACCAGGAAGAATGTAGGATTGCGAATATTGGCGCTTTTGTTGCAGGCTCTGCAGTGGCTGGTGATGTTGTGGTGTGTTAGGGTCGATTTCAGGAGAGCCAGATATGCTCAGTTCCATTGGCTGTGACACATTGAATTGCTGGTGAGATCCGAAAGGTTTGTTGGCGTTGGATGACATCAAGCAAGACAACAAGAGCAAAGGCCCGGGGCATGGGCTTCACGTAACAGCTGGTTTTGAACAGGTGGTTTGGCGAACAGAACCGGCCAAGGTGTGGGGCTTGAAAAGGGAAAAAAGCAGGTGAGTAGCAAGCACGTGATTGGGCAATATATGCAGCGTGTTGCCGATCTATGGCGGTCGTTTGGATGGGTTGTTTGCTATGGCGTCCGGTGATTAGGGAGATCATCTTGATTTGAACCTCCAGTTTTTTCTCCATTTACAGATAGTCTGTCAATTTATGAAGGGTGAGTAAAGAATAAGATCCCAAAGGTGGGGAATTGGGGGAGAAAGTGAAGGAAATTGGAGGCTTCTTATTTATATATAACAGCGGTGTCAAGTTTACTGAAAAATTGGAGAGTTTTGATAGCATTGGGTTGTTTGGAGTACTGTTTCAAAGTGTTGAGATGTCGGAGTGGGGCGAGGTATCGTTTGTCAGGCGCGAGATAGTGGGAGATGAGCTAATGTAAGCTAGTGAGGTAGTGATACTCAATTTGGCAAGATAGTGGTGAGGTATATGATTATTATGCTACTGGTGATTGTTAGACATATGAATGCATAGATATACATATATTTACATAAGGTCATTCATATATATATATATATATGAATGTCCTTATTTCCTTATTTCCTTATGTGCTTAAATGCCTACTACTTGCCAACTGGAATTGGTCACTTGATTCACCCACTCAGCCCTCATATGGCAATTACTTACTCACATCACCGGGGCTGGCTCGCTCAACGATGGGAAACGGCAAGGCCCGTTTTCTTATTCAAGCCCTGGCACATAGAGGTTTAAGAGTTAGACTAATATGCTGATCTTTGATATTTGGTGATGTTCATCTCTGGTGTCACTCTGATTAATGCTCTCCCCTCTGGTAGGTCGGAGCCTGCTTCGGAAGGTGGCTTGCTTATTCATCTGATTATGGACCAAATGTTATCGCTTGATCCTCTCCAAATTATCCCGCATAATTGATAAAGGCAAGTCCAAAGTTGTACAATTGAATACTTTTATTATAAACACCTTAAATCCAACAAATATTGTCTGATTGTCTGGGAGAAGCTGACCTCCTCTGATAGCCTATTGATTGCCCTTGGACTAAGTCTCGGAGATATCCTGTATCGTAAACGATAGATCGTTAACACAATTTTCACGCATATAAACACCCTAGTATGACCGAAATATACCCCTTTCACTAAAAGTACTGCGGACTACATTCCTTAGCCTTAAATTGTGCTCTGTGGCCCTCACCTGCTTGTGAGTTCATCAAGCTCGTGCGGCTCATGCAAGCATACCTGAGATTGGATATTAAAGATTTCGGAAATTGGCTAGCTAGCTACTCTCAGTCTCGACTATGCACTTCATCCAACCTGATTAAAAATAGACACACTATCTCCGCTTTCTTTCTGGTATCTGATTTCATATTTCATATTTCGTCTCCATATATTGTCTCCTCCTTTGCTCATCTGCCTCCTCGTGTGTACTCCATCTCTCTTTCCCTTTGGTCCCCTCAACTGTCAAATACTCCCCTCATCCTTTCGCATTTAGCACGTCCGGGTCGATTCAAACGGCTAAAATAGTCGGTCGGGGCTTTGCTAACTTCACATTGCTTTTGCTAATGGACTATAAATCTCAAATGGCAGGTTTTTTGAAGAATCCCAGAAACGCTAGACCTTCCTTTCTCGGAATTCAGGGAGCCCAAGCTAACTCATTGGGAAAACATAGTCTCAATTTACACAATCCTGAACTCGAGTCTCAGCAAATAGACTGGTTTCTCAGCTACAATTAGTCACATTCATACCTGCCTATTCCTCACTACATAAAAGCATCCAATCGGTGTTGAGCCTACCCAAACAACCAGGACATTCAACGACAGCAATTCTGATATCTAAACGACAAGTGACTCCTTTTCAAGCATAAGCACAGAACAATAGATATGCATATAACATTACTGACTCGTCGTCCTTTCGCTGTTGACGTGCCATCGTTTCCGTTACAGAGTCACCTAATTCACCAGAAGAGTCAGCCTCATCGACCTCTTGTGTAATTACGGGACCGGTCTCAGAAGCACGCAATTTTTCAAAATAAATTTAAATACCATACGCTGGAGCAGACCCAAGGCATTTCAATTCCAGCAACCAAACCGACATATTGGCTTTTGCCTGGATAGTTGCACACATTTTGATCCATGCTACAAAACTCGGCAAAGACTGTCGCTCGTAGGGCTGGTCTAGCACGTCTGGTGGCCTCAGCTGCTAGAGGTACTAGATCTATATCGGTAACGTCTCCAGCTCTAGCCGCAGAGGTCCTTTCCGGAACAAACTTGGCCAAGAGAATACGAAGCACTGCTGCTGACGCGATCACAGTGAAGCAAAACGAAGTTCCAGGTTTCAAGCCTTCTTTGGTGATCATTCAGGTTGGCTCCAGACCAGACTCGTCTGCCTATGTTCGCATGAAGCTAAAGGCTTCTAAAGAGTCCAACATTCATTGTGAAGTGATCAGATTGGCCGAAGATGTTTCTGAACGTGAACTGCTTAACCACATCGAGAAACTGAACGATGACACCAACGTTCACGGTGTGTTGATCCAACTGCCTTTGCCCAAACACATAGACGAGGTGAAGATCACCAACAGCGTGGTTTCAGCCAAAGATGTCGACGGCTTTGACAGATATAACACTGGTGAGCTTGCTAAAAGAGGTGGTCAGCCTTTGTTCTTGCCTTGTACTCCTCACGGTTGTATGAAGCTGTTGGAAGAGTCTGGTGTTGAGCTCAGTGGTAAGCATGCCGTTGTCATTGGAAGGTCCGATATCGTCGGAACTCCAGTCGCTGCAATGCTCAGAAATGCTGACTGCACAGTCACAATTGTGCACAGTCGGTCCACCAACATTCCCGAAATTGTTAGAGGTGCTGACATCGTTGTGGCTGCTGTCGGAAGACCCAACTTTGTGAAGGGTGAGTGGATCAAGCCCGGTGCAGTTGTCATCGATGTTGGTATCAACTACGTTGCGGACTCCACCAAGAAAAGCGGACAGAGACTTGTTGGTGATGTTGAGTACGAAACTGCCAAAGAAAAGGCCTCTTTTATCACGCCTGTTCCCGGTGGAGTGGGCCCTATGACCATTGCCATGTTGGTCGAGAACGTGAAACTTGCGGCTGAACGTCAACTCCAGAAGGAAAGCCAATTGGCACGCATCACTCCTCTTCCTTTAAAGCTCCTTGACCCTGTTCCATCCGACATTGCCATTTCCAGGGCGCAAACCCCTAGACATATCACCGATATAGCAGAGGAGCTGGGCATCAAGGACTCCGAGCTTGAGCCATATGGCCACTACAAGGCCAAGGTTTCGCTTGATGTTTTCAAGAGACTTGAGCACAGGCGTGAGAATGGTTACTATGTGCTTGTAGCTGGAATTACGCCGACCCCTCTGGGAGAAGGAAAGTCCACCACCACCATGGGAATCGTCCAGGCTCTTGGAGCCCATCTCGGGCTCCCAGCCATTGCCAACGTCAGACAACCTTCTATGGGTCCAACTTTTGGTGTTAAAGGTGGAGCTGCTGGTGGAGGTTATGCTCAGGTCATTCCCATGGACGAGTTCAACATGCACTTGACCGGAGACATCCATGCCATTGGGGCTGCCAACAACCTGTTGGCCGCTGCTATTGATACGAGAATGTTCCACGAGGCCACTCAGGGCGATAAGGCTCTTTACAAGCGTTTGGTTCCCGTCAAAAAGGGTAAGAGATCGTTCTCTCCATCGATGTTGAAGCGTTTGTCGAAACTGGGAATTCAAGAGACTAATCCTGATTCACTCTCCGAAGAGGAGGCTGCAAAATTCGCCAGATTGGATATTAATCCTGACACAATCACTGTGAAGAGAGTGTTAGACGTTAACGACAGATTCGTTAGAGGTGTTACGATTGGTGAGGCCCCAACTGAAAAGGGTTTTACCAGAAAGACAGGCTTCGATATTACTGTTGCTTCCGAGTTAATGGCCATATTGGCTCTCTCTAGCGATCTTCACGATCTCAGAAACAGAGTTGGAACAATGGTGATTGGTTCTAATCATCAGGGTGTTCCAATCACCACCGAGGATGTTGGCTGCGCGGGTGCAATTACTGCTCTGCTCAAAGACGCTATTAAGCCGAACTTGATGCAGACTCTGGAAGGAACCCCAGTTTTCGTGCATGCTGGGCCTTTTGCCAATATTTCCATCGGAGCGTCTTCTGTTATCGCCGATAAAGTTGCTTTGAAGCTGGCTGGTAGACCGGTTGGCTCCGACGCCAGAAAGGGCTTCGTCGTTACCGAGGCCGGCTTTGACTTCACTATGGGTGGAGAGAGATTCTTCAACATTAAGTGCAGGGCTTCTGGTCTCAAGCCAGATGTGACTGTTCTGGTTGCTACTGTCAGAGCTTTGAAACTTCATGGTGGTGCTCCTGATGTTAAGCCAGGTCAATCGCTTCCTGAAGAGTACCTCCAAGAGAATGTTGAACTGGTCAGAGCTGGTTGTGCGAATTTGGCAAAACAGATTGCCAATGCCAAAACCTACGGATCGCCAGTAGTGGTTGCAATCAACCAGTTTTCTACAGACACCGCGGAGGAAATCGAGGCTATTAGACAAGAGGCCCTCAAGGCTGGTGCTCTTGATGCCGTTCCTACCAACCACTGGGCCCAGGGTGGTATTGGAGCTGAAAATTTGGCCCATGCTGTTGTCAAGGCTGCTGCCTCGAACGAGTCTACTACTCCTCAGTTCCTTTACGACTTGGACCAGACGGTGGAGCAAAAACTCACCACCATCGCACAGAAGATGTATGGAGCTGATGGAATTGAGTTGAGCGATTTGGCCAAGGAACAGGTCAAGCGCTATGAGTCCCAGGGATTTGGAAATTTGCCCATCTGTATTGCGAAGACTCAGTACTCGCTCAGTCATGACCCCAAGCTGAAGAACGTTCCTTCGGGATTCACCGTTCCTATCAGAGAGGTCAAGATTAGTGCGGGTGCTGGGTATTTGTATGCTTTGGCGGCTGCCATCATGACCATTCCTGGTCTTCCTACCCACGCCGGTTTCATGAATGTTGAGGTTGACGAAAAGGGAGATATTGAGGGATTGTTCTAGATCAGAAAGATAAGAATTTGATTTTGGACTGTAATGGCTGTTTTATTCAAGATAGTAGTCGTCTTCCACTTGACAATTCTACCCAATCCTCTCCCCCTTTATCCTACAATGAAACCCCATTATAAAGACATGCAACTGATAAAATGAATTTAACCACACTTGCTTCAAGAATAACTTCTCAAATATGTTTATATGGCCGTTGCCGCTTTTGGAGGTTGTCTAAATTTCCCCCGTTCGATGAGCTCGGCACGTGGACCTCGGAAAGCCGCTCAATGCACAGCGTCAATTGCCTAGATCAACGTGTCGCTGCTTATTGCATGAAAATTGAAACCAAAAATTGCAAACAAAAATTGCTGTGGATAATGAAATCGGCTCGATAAACCTATAGAAAAAACATTGAGTATACAGCATCCTGTTTGAGAGTGTAGTGGGTTTTTTCCATGTTTAGGCGGCTACCGGACAGCGCTTGCACGAAGCGGCTCAAAAAGGTACGAGCAGAAAGCGGTGTAGAACCCCCAAGTGACCGAGAACACACAAAGATAAAAAAATTTAGGTTTCTAGGGAATCCTTCTGGGTTCACTGAGCCAAATGGGGAGACATTATCCAAAATGGTATCCTCAATGGATATACTATTTCGTCCCAATCGGTATGGGAGGAACAGATATGTGCTTCTTGCATTAAATGACATCCCACGTTGCCATTGAGCGATAAAGCAGTTCATTTGTACTAAATTGGAATCAAGATCAAAGAATATTTCCAAAAAAGGAGATGTAGCAGTTCTTTTTCAATATCGAGGAATGTTATAAATAGGGGTCTATAAGCCGCGCTGAATCAAACTCCATACCAAGACTGAAAAATCCTCAACTCTCAGCAGATTTTGTCGGCGTCTCCAAAAGATGAAACTAACTAGCCTTGCTACTGCAGCCCTACTGGCCTCCACCTCTTTTGCAAAGAATATCCTGCTCACAAACGATGACTCCTGGGCGGCAACCAACATCCGCGCTCTCTACTACGAACTCAAAAACGCTGGCCACACGGTTCTCCTTTCCGCTCCAGCAGTCCAGATGTCTGGTCAAGGAGGAAGATTTGTGATCCCATCCACGAACGTTTTGCAGCAAGACTCAATTTTCTCGTACAAGAAGGCTGGAGACCCAGCTTGGGGTTATGAGGAATCTGACATCAACATCTGGTACTTTAACGGTACTCCAGCTGCATGTGTTGCGTTTGCCTTTGACTACATTCTTCCAAACTACTTCAACAATATGTCAATTGATCTGGTAGTTGGAGGACCAAATGAGGGAACCAACATGGGAGCCAGAGACTACGTCCTCTCCGGAACCATTGGTTCTGCTCATTATGCTGCCGAGCGGGGATATCCTTCGATCGCCTTTTCGGGTTCGAATTCAAACAACTCCTTCTTTGAGGATAATCTCAACGGAGACGTGACCACTGCTCCATACATTTATGCCAAAGCAGCCACAAAGCTGATTAACGCTCTTTTCGATGCCCAAGGTGATAACGAGAGAGTCTTGCCATTTGCTACTGGTCTCAACGTCAACTTCCCAGTAGCCGGTTCTGATCTTGGCTCCTCGTGTCTCGATGTTGGATCTTTCCAGTCAACCAGATTCTCTGGAAACTCTCTCATCTACAAGATTGCATATGACTCCACCACTGGACTGGTGAGCCAGACCACGACTTCTGGCGTTGGAACCACTGACTGTGTTAACGGCGATTGCACTCTGGCCTCAGAATTCACCGTTATTGGGGCCGAAAATTGCATCTCAACCATCTCTGTATTTTCCGTTGACCCAGATGCTCCTCTTGCACTCCATGAGGAAGCTCAAAATCTGTTCTCGAGTGTTCTTGTCTAAGGCTTGAACGGCTTATACCACCAAAAGCGCAAAGCGCAAAAATCCTTTTCGACTTCTCCAACGATTATTTAACCCTTTCCATTTGGATTTTTTAAAAAGTTCATTCATTTATTAATCATTAGTACATTAGCCATAAATCCTGAACTGTCTTGAGACCAGTTTCCCTGTTTAACTAATCAAACCGGCATGTTCCTTCCAATGATCTCATTCTGCTTCTATATTCCTCTTCTAAAACTTCAATGTTTCTCTCATCAACCAATCAATGGCCCTATCATCGCCACAATCCTCCAGATACGGCAAAAGCTCTTTCCTTAGCGCATCATTGTAAGTATTTAGCCATACAATCTGTTCCTGAGTCAATCTGCTCGTATCTATCAGCTTGCGACAGAATGGAACCCTGGTGATATACTCAAACTCAAAAAACTTTTGCTCGTCGGAATCGCGCTCCCGAGAAACAACCAGCATGTCACTTTCAATGCGCACTCCGAAGACCTTGTCTTTGTAGTATCCAGGTTCATCGCTGATCACGTTTCCCTCCTGTAGTGGCTTCGAGTTCTTGGTGCCGATTCCACAAGGTCCTTCATGAACACATAGAAACGATCCTATACCATGACCAGTTCCATGACGGTAGTCCATACCTTCCTTCCATAGTGGTTGTCTTGCCAATATATCCAACGTCACACCCGAAGTATCTGGTGGGAACCGCGCCATTGCTAACTGGAGATGACCCTTTAGCACCAGAGTGTAAGCCTTGATCTCCTCCGCTGTTGGTTTGGTAAAATGGACGGTTCTGGTGATGTCAGTTGTTCCTTCGAGATACTGTCCTCCAGAATCACAAAGATATACCTGCTTCTTGTCAATCACGCTGAAGTCAGAGGGAGTAGGTGAATAGTGGATAATTGAAGCGTTCGCACCAGCAGAAGAAATTGTCTCGAAACTCAAACCTTTAAAGTTGGAGAGAACACTTCTGTAGTACATATTCATCTCTGCGGCCTCTATCTCGTCCACCTTCTCGTTTTTGACGATCAGTTTTTCTTCTAGCCATGCAAAGAACCTGGATAGAGCGATTCCATCCTTCAGTTGAGCCCACTTATGACCCCTGATTTCAATCAGATTCTTTACTGCTTTATAGTCTTCAATCAGGGACTTGTGAACAACATGCGAGATTGTAGAAGGAACGTTGGTGGTGAGAGCGTAAGTCGAGTCGGCCGGTATCACCAGAGAATCGTAATCCGGATCTCTGGTGGTGTTCTTGATGGCAGGAACATCATCCCAAAACAGCTTGTAGTCTTTTACAACCAAAGAGTCAATTCCATGAAGATATTCTCTAACCGCTGGGGTAATCTTGGAGTCCTCAATGTACAACCAAACGTTCTTAGTGTCGATGATCACATAAGCAAAGAACACTGGGTTATAAGGGATATCAGAAGCTCTGAGATTCATCAGCCAGGCAATATCATCTAGGGCGGTAACAACCAGTCCAAAGCTCTTTTTCTTCTTCAAATACTCCCTCACTCTTTCCACTTTGCTGTTGGTGGTCTCTCCACTGTATTTCAGCTCGAGCTCGAACAGTTTACTGCTGGAGAACTTTATTCCGTCTCCCAGCTTACCCCTGGCCTTGTCAACCAGATTCTCCATTATCGGCAGAAACTCGACGTTGAAATCGTAGCATTTGGTTTTAAAGTACTTTCCAACGGTATCAGTAATCAGCTTGGGGTCGACGGCTAAAGTCTTGGAAAAGGGATTGGAGATGGTCCTCGAAAGTGCCCATGCCTGCCATGTAGGATACGAGCTCACACCCTGTTTCAAAAGCATCCAGTTATCATCTAGCTGATTTGAAGCTTGCAAAAAGTAACGTCCATCAGTTGAAAGAGCCGCCTCACCTTCAAACGTAACGGCATCGGTCAGGGTTATGACAGCAACACCGGCAGAACCGGTGAATCCAGATATATACGAGCGACGTTGGTCCTTGGCGGCCGTGTATTCGCTCTGATGTTCATCTTCAGATGGAACAATATAGACACCAACTTTGTTAGCAGCCATAATCTCTCTGAGCTGTTTTAACCTTTGTGAAGAGTCAAACCTGGTGGTTAACTCCGGTCTCTTTTCGGCATATGGGGCAAACAGCTTGTGGCCCATTTCCAAATCTTTGGACTCGTCCTGGCAATCAGATTCATCGTCAGAGATCAACTGCGACTTTTCAGAAACAAAAACGTTGTTCTGGTAACTAGGTCTTCTGGCTGTAAAGAAGGCGGATATGCTGGTGAAACAAGAGGTGTTGTGTTCCGGAGAGGTCGTTAGCCTGATAGGCCCGGCGTCGTAGTTGTAGGGCATTTTGTTCAAACAAAATAAGTCTTACAGTTCCTGCAACGCGCTGTTGGTCAGGAATGAAGAGGAAAAAATAGCGGAGAATGCCGATAACTTATAACCCCATGGCAGAAGCCTCTTATCCGAGTGGCTTAACATATGCTGCATGATGTGTATCACGAGTCGTGCATCTCGTATATTCCTGTACACATTGCTCCTAACCTTACTTTTTCTCTAGTTACACTACTACGCGTTTCTAACAAGACGCGTGTTTCCTACTTCGTGACACAACGCTATCACTACTTATCCAAATCACCTGAAACACATAAAATGGGACGACTAGTGGGTCTGGAACTCCACAACTTCAAGTCGTACCGTGGAACTGCTTCAATAAGCTTTGGAACCTCGTATTTCACGAGTATCATTGGTCCCAATGGTGCTGGAAAGTCAAATATGATGGATGCTATTTCGTTCGTTCTCGGTGTTCGGAGCAGCCATTTAAGGTCTTCGCAGCTTAAGGATTTAATCTACAGGGCAAGACTTTCCGAAGATGACGATATCGATTCCGAAGAGTCTGATACCCCAACAACTGCTTATGTGATGGCAGTATACGAGAAGACCGATGGCGAGGTGTTAAGGTTGAAACGGTCCATTAACGCGTCTGGCTCGAGCGAATTCAAGATCAACGAAAAATCGCATTCTGCGGCGCAATACTCAGACGTTTTGAAGGCTGAAAATATCTTGATCAAGGCCAGAAACTTCTTGGTGTTCCAAGGTGATGTTGAGAAAATCGCGTCTCAATCTTCCCTGGATCTGAGTAAAATGGTTGAGGTTGTTAGTGGATCCGCTGAATATGAAGATGAGTATGATAGACTCAAATCTGAACACGAGAAGGCCCATGAAGAGACTCAGACAATATGGTCTACAAGAAGGATTCACAACGGAGAGCTCAAACAGTATAAGGAGCAGTACGCCGAGGTTACCAGATATGAGTCGAAATTGAAGGAGCAGCAACAGTCCATTCAACAGCAACAGCTGGTAAAGCTGTACCATCTTGATAAGGAAGGTAAGACCCTATCGCGGAAGATCAAGGATTCCCAAAACACTCTGGATGAGACGACCGAGACTTTGAAGACAGAGGAGTTGCTCCTTAAGAATCTCACATCAGATCTGGCCAAAGAGTCGCTTAAAAGCAGCAAGATTGAGAAGCAGATTGTTAAAAACAGGCGATCTGCGGAAGACAGGAAGCTGGAGATGATCCCCATCAACACCAAGATGGACATGAGCGCTAAAAAGGTGAAGGATTATGAAAAGAGAATTGCTGATATGAAAAGTGACCTTTCTCGTCAGGAGAAGTCTACGAAGATTGCTCGCAAACAACTAGATTCTTTGCGGAAGCAAGAGGCAGACTTCAAAGCCAAGCTGAAGGACATGGAGAAACAGGGTTTGAGCGAAGTTGCCCAGAAAGAGTACAACGAGCTGAGAGGAGATTTTCTTATGAAAGGGGGCCATCTGGACTCTAAGAGATCTGAGTTGTATGCCACGAAAGCTAGTCTTTCCTCTCAGGCTTATGCTTTTGAACAACAAATAGAGATTACCGAGGGAAGAATCGCGGAACTGGAATCTATGAAACGCGAGGTTTTGAGTAGGCTTGACGATGCGACGACAGTTTTGAATGACACCTTGAGTTCCATAAGCAAGAGAAGAGGTGATCTTACTACTCTAAAGACTAGTAAAGAGGCTTTCCTGACTCAAGAGCTTGCTCTCACGACGGAGTTGAAAGAAGTGTTGATCGAATTGAATGAGTTGAATGCCTCGCAGAGAGAAACCGCCCGAGAGGTCAAATTGCGCGAGAACAATGCCATGCTCAAGAGGTTGTTTCCTGGAGTCAAGGGAATGATGCATGATCTGTGCAAGCCCAAGCAAAAGCGATACGAGGCTGCTGTAGCCACCATTTTGGGAAAGAACTTCAACGCAGTAGTTGTGGATGGCATTGACACTGCAAAGAAGTGTATCGAATACCTCAAAGAACAACGTGCTGGTGTTGCATCGTTCATTCCCCTCAGCACGGTCTCTTCGAAGCCTCCAATGGCGTATCTTCGCAATCTCCATGAAAAGGCTAGACCGGCAATTGATATCTTAGACTTCGAGGTTGATATGGAAAAGGCCATACAGCATGTCTGTGGTAACGCTGTTGTTTGTGACAGCATGGATGTTGCGAGATTTGTGAGATGGGAGAGGAAAGTTGATGTCAAAGTGGTGACTTTGGAGGGGTCTATAATTCACAAGGCTGGACTGATGACTGGTGGTAGAACCAGAGATGAAGGAAAGCGTTGGAACAAGCAAGACGCTCAATCTTTGGCCTTGAGGAAAGATGATTTGAGGTCAAAAATCGAGGATATTCAATCGAGCCGGCCAAGCGAGCTGCTAGAGAAGAAGATATCTGACGATATCGCTAACCTCGAAGATAAGCTTCCGGCTCTGAGAAGTAAAAGATCCGAGCTTGAGAGGTCGATCCACGACTACGATGCTGAGATTAAGAACCAGGCGAGGATACTGGCTGAAATCCTTGCCAATGCTGAGGGCAACAGGGAAAAGCTTCAAGAACTGGAGTCAGTGATTTCCGAGCTGTTGGTTGAGTTGAGGAAGGTTCAAGACTCTGTCTATGGAGATTTTTGCCAGAAGTATCACATTCAAGGCGGAATTGGCTCGTATGAGGAGTCCCAAGGCCAAAAACAGAGAGAAATTGCCAAAGAAAATGCTGTTTTGGCCAAATCCATATCCGTGATAGAGAACAAACTGGTATTTGAAGAAGAGAGACTTGAAGACACTCAGACCAGACTTGCCAAACTGGAAAAGGACAAAGCTAAGTTTGAGACTCAGTTGGAGGAACAGAAGAAGAGGAGAGAGGAACTTGTGGAGCAAATATCGCGGTTTGAAGCTGAAGCTGAAGTGAGCGCAGCTGAGTTGAACGAACTCCATACCGATCTTTCCGCCCTCAACAGAAGAAATGCTTCCATCTCCGAAAGAGTGTCTGATCTCAAACTTGAGATTACTGGGCTTCAAAAGAGTATAGCTTCGTATGAAACCGATCTGGAGAAGACTGCTGTTGGGAGACTAGGAATCCTGAGGTATTGCAAAATGGAGAATATTGACGTTCCGTTACTGTTTGGCTCGCTATCAGAATTGCCGATTGGAAATGACGGTGACGAGGAAAACCCAGATGAGGCTGCTCTGGAGATCCTCAAGGATTTTGAGTTTGACTACTCCTCTCTGGAAGAAAGTGTCAGGAACAGAGATCTGGATGCTCTGGATAGAGAGTTCTCAGAAAAGATTCGCTCGATTGGCGAAGAACTGTCTGGCTTTTCCCCCAACATGAAGGCTGCTGAAAGACTTCATGAGGTTGAGAACAAACTGGAAGAAATTGATCATGAGTTCAAGATTGCTCGCGAAAAGGAGCAGGAAATCAGCAATTCATTCAGAACTCTGAAGGACGAAAGACACTCGAAGTACATGCAAGCATTTTTGCATATCTCCAAGAAGATCGACTACGTTTACAAAGAGCTCACCAGATCGCGGGTGTCTCCTTCAGGTGGATCGGCTTATCTTACTCTCGAAGATGAAGACGAGCCTTATCTAGCTGGAATCAAGTATCATGCTATGCCCCCTCTTAAGAGGTTCAGAGACATGGAGCTGTTATCAGGAGGTGAGAAGACGATCGCCGCTTTGGCACTGCTTTTTGCTATCCACTCGTTCCACCCATCGCCTTTCTTTGTGTTGGACGAAGTGGATGCTGCTCTGGATAACGCCAATGTCAACCAGATAGCTAGTTACATCAAAAACAACTGTGGGCCAGACTTCCAATTTATAGTCATCTCTCTCAAGAACAGTTTGTTTGAGAGAAGTGATGCTTTGGTTGGCATTTACAGAGATCAAGGCGTTAATAGTTCGAAAGCCTTGACTCTGGATTTGAGGGAGTTTCCAGAGAACGAGGTTGCTGCTGTTTGAGCGCAAATTTGCGATCAGTTGAAGGTGTGACTATTATTGGAGTGTTTATACTTCCCTATGACGTTGAATAGACAGCAGCTATGAATTTGTCGATATCACACGTTTCCTTTTGCTCTGCTCAGTCATCCTTCTCGCGCTCTTCTGTTCGCACTACTATACATCTCCCCTCGATTGCCTTGCAAAATTGCCCTAACATTACGCCGTAGCAGAACAATCCTTTAATAATGAAGCTGCCCATAAGTGAAGTCGCACAAAGAACCGGTCATCGTGCAAAAGCTCCACTAAGCTCTTTGGTTTTGTCATCTGGGCCCTTCTAAAAAAACGCTCGTTTCCAACCTCGTCATTTCGATCACTTTCCACTGTCGCCAGTCGATCTCGTACATAAACGATAATCTCTTGAATATTTCCCACAATCAGATCCCACGAATGAATCACCTCCCCTTCCTGCTCGCCTATAACCATTAATGCGTACTTGCGCTCAGATCCTCTGGCCAGAGAATCTCTCACTTTGAACGTCATCACAACAGAATATCCAATTGCTTGATCTCCAAACATTATTGGTGCTGACGAGTCATATGTCATCTCCACAGAGAGACTTTTCATCACTATCTGTCGTAGAGCACTGTATTTCGGCTGTGAAGATGGGTATTGGGAACTGGTATAGCACCGGCCAGCTTCCACCGTGCGAATACTGCTCGGCTCTTCCAAATCGCCTTCGGATTTTGGTATGATCAACCTGCACGAGCTGCATAACTGCGATGCAGTGGGTGGTGCCGCCGCTATCTCCTCGGCTCGGTCCAAGGCCGTTGATTGTGTACACATCACCACGGATGGACCATGGATCTCGCAAAAGTGCGCCAGGCACACCATAAATTGGCCCATAGTGTCAGAGGATAAGTGCGCTCCAATCCTCGTTAGCAGAACCAATTTAGCGCTGGATGTCACAGAACAATGCAGGGTTTAACCGCTCCAGAAAGCCATCTCGTGCTTCCTTTCTGGGGCTCTCGAGGCTCTTCACCACCTTTTCGAATGCACACGACCCAAACTTTTCAGACGGCTGTGCCACAACGATGTGGCTGATTATCGCTTTCGGAGTCTAACACTCCCAGACGCAATTTAACGGCTATATCTGTACTTCTATAGAATGTACAAATCGGCGCCAGCGTCGCCGACGAATTCTGTAAGCACGGGCGGAATTCCGTCGCGTTTAGGAGGGACGGGATACAAGTCTAATGAGGGAGGCCATCCCTTCAGGCTAGATTCAGAGAGGGTGAGTTTGGCAACTTCCAAGAGGGATTTAAAAGATTTCAGAGGATTTGAAGAACTTTCGAGTACTGACTAGGGCTTTAGATGGTTATACGACATCTCAAAGGAATTTCTGTGAATGGAATACGGCTGGATATGCCGAAGACACCCAAACCACGACGCGGGGTGCCGCGATCGCTGCTTCTATCGCAAAAGACCACAAAGAGTTCGACTGATCTTGCGCAATTGAGGGCCCAGCATTTACAGGAGCCTCCATTTGTACCCAGCGGATTAAATCTGCCGAGGCGACACCCAAAAGAGACGATATTTGGACTTAATGATGCAGCCCAGAAGCAGTACAGACTGCAGGAAATCAACGGCAAATGTTTGGTTGATACATTTGTTTCACTCCATGATATTTCAAGTGATGAGCCTTTTTACATAACTGAGGTGGTTAAAGATACTGCTTTTGCCGACTTTGAAGACTTTGATCTGACAGGTTTGAAGGTTGCTCAAAGAGGAGCTCTTACCATCATGGTCTGGTGCAGAGAGCACGGATCAGCAGTGTGGACTCTTCTCATGCGAACGTTTTTGAGACTCACGTTTCTGGAGTATGTTGGTGAGAGTCATGAAGCTGTTTTGGCGAAAACTGACCGCATGAGAAATACAATTGTTTTGCGGTTAGGCGACGGTTATTACCTCGTCCCAGAATCCGCTTCGCGAATAGCAGAGGCCGATTTGACCTCACTAAAAATTCTCAGACGCAAACTAAGTCATTCACAACAACCGACTTGCTCTTTTGATCAGATCTTGAAACTGAATAGTGTCCAAATGAGTGTGGTGGATACTCTCAGTGTGAAACAGAGAGTGGCTGCTGAGGTCAACCAAAAGCTCGAAGAACAGACAAATTATGAGTCTCAGATAGCCGATCTAAGGCGACAGAGTCAAGGTTATAATCTGGCAATTTCCCAGGCAAAATTGGCTCTAGAATCGTTGCAGAAGAGTCTCTCGGTGACTCGGTCTTTGATACGCAAAAAGGCCGAACTCATTCACCAGTCTCCTGCTGAAAGAGTAAACCATGCCAAAGTCGCAGTTTGTCGTGAAGAATTTGGAGAAGTCTCTAATGCTTTGGAGGATGTTAAAGAACGAATCAGCGTCGAGAGAGCCCGAATAGCTTCTGAAATTGCAGAGGTGTTCCCCATGGAGTCTTCAGAACGCGGCTACGAATTTGCCATTTTCGGGCTAAAACTTCCCTCGTCACCAAGCAGATCATTGTCACGTTCTCAGGAGACTGAAACTGCTGCTGTGCTAGGGTTTGTGTGTCAGGTGATTTACATGCTGTCTGCCTATCTGAGGTGCCCATTGCGGTATCCAGTGGAGCCATTTGGATCTCATTCCTATATCATGGACCCAATTAGTATCATTTCTGGAAGTCGCATGTTTCCTTTGTGGGTCCAAGAGAAGACCCTGTATCGTTTCGAGTACGGTCTCATGCTGGTGTGCAAGGATATCGAACAGTTGATGGAATCTGTGGGCCTACGCACTGCTGAGCCCCGCAACATCCTTGGAAATCTCAAGATGCTGCTTCTGTGTGTTTCATCTCGACCAGATAGCGATGTCGATGTTTCTGCTTTAGAAAATGCGAACTTGTACAAGTCAAGACTGGACCATATCAAGAGGCATTTGAACCAGCGGAGTCTTTCTGTGAGGAGGTAAGAGGGAGTGAAAAAACGGGAAAAAACCGAGGAAAAAATCACGAAAAAAAAACCAAATTTATGACAGGAATATGCAGAGTATAATAGGAGGAAAAAACAAGCATTTAATGCAAGTTGGCTTGGATTTCTAGCAATGTTGGTAATACCTCGACTTCCCTCCTAGTTCCATCTCATGTCAACGATTAATGGTCTTGCTCACTAGACATTACAAATAACGATTTTTGCTTAGAAGTCGTGTGTACAATATAGATATTATTGTGTTGTTAGCTATAAAAAACGTTTCTGGGAATTGTGACAGTAGTGTGACCTTCATCTAATTCACCAGCGACATCATGAATTCCAACGCATACGCATTGAATGGATGCAAATTCTCAGTCTCGAGACCATCTGGAACAAAGTCAGCACGATAAATATCGAAGGACTGGTCAAACACGGATGCAATTCCACGTTTGGCCTTAAACGTCTTGAAGCCTGAGTAAAATTCCAGTGCCAGAGTAACCAGCAGTATGGCACCAATCAGTAGAGGGCCTTCAATGCGGTCCAAATGGTTTCCTTCACGTAGTCGAATGATTTTGAGTCTGTAATTGTACAGACCGTAGGCCCAAATACCAGAGAAAAGAGTCAGACCAAAGTAGATGTAAGCAATGGAGGTAGCCAGAGTAGGGAAATGCGACTTTTGCACAGAGCTGTAAATCACAAATGTCAAAGCTGAGAACATGGTTGTCACATGGAGCCAACGCACAAAAGTACGTTCGTTTGCAAGCCAGACCTTAGCTTCAACCCTCACAGGACCAGACTGGCGTAACAGCGTCTTTGGCTTGGTGACACCAGGTGGAAGAACAACCTCCTCGTCTTCAGACTCTCCGTCAAGTTTGGAAATAGCACCCAAAGATGCGAAAGAACGTCCATTGGACTTCTTACGCAATGGTGACGAAATCGGCTCTGCAGCCTGAGAGATCGGGGTTGTTGAAGAGGCAAGTATTTCCTCACCATACTCATCATCACTGGATTCGTTATCGTCTAAATCGGCCTCACTCTCTCCAAGTTCGGTGATCTGGTCCAAACTATTCACTGGTCGTGGTGATCCGGAAGTAATATTAGGACTGGCAATTGATCTCTTGAGGTTCTTGAGCGACTCATCTTCAAGTTTTTGTTTTTTGAGTTTTTCTGAAGTGTCCTTATAGGCCTGTTCTGGGTTCTTGCGGATATCATGCTCCAGTTCAGGTAACCAAAAGGGCAAAATGTCGAGATTATCGTCTTCCAAAAATAACGAGGAAATACCCTGGATAAACTTCGAAAAGTTGGGCACCTCTTTCACAAGATGGCCGTTGATGAGATCTGAAATCCACTTGAATGTCTTCGAATCAGGGTTATTGAGGATCGACTGGGAAATCTTGATCTCCATTACCGAATATGGAAACTTCGCGTATTCGCCCTTGCGAAGTAACGAATAGGGATTATCAATATTGGCGTCAATGTCCTTGCGATGCCAGTCACGAGGATCACGAATGGGTCTCTCAGCATCAAAACTATCCTCACGAATGAACAGAATGTTCGAGTCAATGATGATACGAACCTTGTCATCACCAGGGATCTGGAACGCGGTACGCGTGTAGATAGTCCTCAAAACTGGCTGAAGGTGACTCTTCTCTATGAATGAATGAAGGTCATTGTACTCCGCTGCATAACGCTCAACTGTCTCGCGACTGAGACCACGCTTTTCTAATTTGCGGGTGTAGCGTTTCAAATCCAGTTTCAAGTTCTTCTTGGACGCAAACACGTCAGGCTCGGCGTCTTCTGCGTCATCCGAAGAGCCAGCTCCAGCTCCGATAGAGATGAAATCGTTAACGTACTTCTCTTTGAGCACCAATCTCACATCTGACGATTCGCCAGTGTCATAGTTGAAAGTCTTCTTCTCCAGAGTCAAATCCGGGTTATCGGCGAGCTTGCCAGACCAACGGATGCGGAAACTGGGCGTTTTGTTCAGGTTTTTCAGCAGTTTTGTGTTGTAAAGCTCGAAGTTCTGGTTGTCAAAGTAGACAGATGTCATCGTGGGGTCACTGACATGGTCAGCATCGTCATCTGCCGAGTTGTTGTAGATTAGAACCGGTAGATGTCTCAAAATTGTGGTCTTGATCTCCATTAGATTGTCTGGGTGAACCCAGAACTTGAGCACCTTGTATGTCTCGACTCCTGGATGATTCTGAGGGATGGAAAGAACAGACCCGATCTTTTCAGAGCTGGAAAGTCTGTTATTCATGGACACCCCCAACGAACTGGACAGACTGGAGCTGTCAAACGAGAAGTTATCGCGCAGAAACTGGTACAATACCGATAATCTGAACAAATATGGACTGTAGTCCTCGGAATGAAACGGAAGCGACTTCAATCTCACGTTTAGCAGAGCCTTAACAGAATACTTTTTGTGCAATCTGTCGTGTTTCTTGACAATCTTCACGAAACCGGTGAAATTGAGCCGTGCAAAGTGATCCAATTCCTGAGCCATAGCCAGCGTATTTTCTAGTTCGGCTTGGAACTTTTTAACGTCAAAATTGCTTGTCTTTTGCTGTACTTTCTGATCATAACTCTCCAGGAACTCCTCTGAAAGGGCCTCCAACGCAGATATTTTTGTGTCGAGCTCGGCGTATCGCCCACTCTGGAATCCATACACCTTTTCGAGCTCACGATCCAGCTGAGCAGCAAAGGCGCTCTCATCCTTTTCGCTCCACTTCGCAGAAGAAGCATCGAGAACCACGTTCTCTCGAAGCAGCTTCTTCAAAAGATCGTACCGAATATAGTACTCCTTCCAGGGCGGAAAAATCTCATTTTGAAGCTTGACTCCAAACAGCATCTTACGGGAGATGGCCTTTGATTCAGACATTGCTGAGAAAACAAAGCTGGGAAGAATTGGACGATAAACACGTATGCCACCTGCGAGGGAGGAATTGCTCAAGAGAGCGGCTTCTGAGGCAGGCAGCTGCACTAGCCACGTGTGGCTAATTTGGGAATGAATGGGGGATGGGTGGAGGAGACTATGTGAGGGAATATGGTTTCGATAAGTGGTTTGAAACTTATATTGGATAAGAAATATTACTGTATATCAGAATTATACTGGTGAAATAATGTTGATCGCACTTTTTTCTGGGTGGCTTGCATGGAAGGGCAAGCCAATTGATGTTTGGTAGGGTTTTGCAGGCCTTGCTAGACCTGTGCGGCTGAAATGAAGCTTGACTTGAACACTAGTGTGACGACTGATCTGAAGTTACAGCAGTCTTAAGCAGAAGATGAAAACCCCAGTTGGTTCATGAATATTTACAAGATTGTGGATTTGCGGGTTGATCTTTGAGCTTACTAGTATGCATAGTTTTCACCATATTTCTACTACAGAATCTGTGAAAATACGCACTTTCTTGGTTAAGAGACTTTTATGCATATTTCTGAAAACCTGGAATTTGTTTCCTTGTTCGAAAAATTGACAATCTTCCTATTACTAGACAAATGAACAGTGGTGAACCCGAAGCACGTTGATTTATATTTAAAAGTTTATAGTTGTGGTGAGTGGGCCTCCGATCATCTCGAGTTATGGTGATGTTCCGCCAGTTTTACGAAGACGAGAGATATATTGTAACTGGTTTTGTTATGCCAATCACTCGCTCTGGATTGACTGCTAACTTCTCTGATAACATTCTCAAATCTCTTTCACTTTATACTTTTCTATCCTTTAAAAGCCTGACCCCATCAATTTCTTTCCTGCAGCTGCAGCTGCACTCGCTTCTCCCACGTGGGTGGCGGTGCAACTTCTCTGGGGAAATCAGGTCGTGGGTCACCAATTAAGACATTACCTAATAGCTTATAAATCTGAAAATGGTTTATCCACTACAAATATCCTTTCAAGGTCTTGCCAACCACCAAAAACGCGATCTTGACAAGTTCTTGACAAGTTCTTGCTCAGCCCTTGCGCTTTTTTTTGCGGAATATACCGAATGGATCCAGTGAAAGAAGAGTCCACGGATGCCGCGACCAAGAGGTCCAAGCTGAGTACTGCTGGTCTGATGTTGATCACATCTAGGTTCCGCCATCTTAAGAAACAAGATGGTAACGCTTACTGGAAGTCTGACATTCAGTTCGAGTTTCTCACTGGTTTGATGTTCAACGGAGTCAGGGCATTTAGACTGCCGTTTACGGTTACGCGTGATGATGTTCCTTTGTTTTCGCTGCGAACTCGTGAAGGCGAGGGCCAGACAATAGATGAGATCCTGGCAGCCGGATCGCGCTGGACGTTTTTCGAGCTGTATGTCATGACTCTGATCCAATCAGATCGCATATCCAAGATCCTGAAAGATCGCTTGATTCTGGACATTAATTATGCCTTTAATTTCGCGGTTTTAGCGTTTTTGGTCAACATAGGAAGGCTCAACACCACGGTCAACTTTGACTACGAGATGAGATCTCAGTTGCGCACTTTCCACTCAATTCCATCTTTACAGGTGAAAAACAACCTTCCACAGCTTGCAAAAGTGTATACAGTTGATGTGGATCAAGTCCAGGATGCACATGACCCTCCTCAAGAAGAGCCGTTAGATACGCTAATCGACAGTTTCCGCACGTCTTCTGGCTACACTATGGCCACAGTCAAACAGCTTCAGGACACGCCGCGTCTGAAGTCAATACTGAAAAGTGTGAGCAATTTGACGAAGGGGGTTTCGAAGTATTTCGACGAGTTTGTCGCCCAAATCCGCGGTTCCGACCGTTCTACTCCAGATCAATCTAGTCAGGGTCTCAATGCCGTTTCGTTGATTTTTTTGTTGTGCAGTTTTGAGGCTTATACTTTAACAACGTTCTTAGGCTTCTCAGACATTTGTCGTGAAGAAGAGATCGAAGCTGAGCAGAAAAAGCGCCAGGAAGAAGGCGGAAGCCCGTTTTCCACTGGCATTTTGTTCCACGATATCTGGTTTCACGATGAAATTCATCCTGCTGGAAAGAGCCAACGGTTTTTGTGGCTGATGTATGCCTTTCTCGAGACAAATCTGTCACCAAAGGATCTTGCTGCCAATCCTTTCAACGAGCCTGGTTTCGAGCCCTATGAAGAGGGAACCCAGATCAAGGACTGGTATGCCACAATCATTCCAAAGTATCATTTTGTTGGCTTGGGGGAAGAATTCGACGTCGATACCGAGGAAGAACGCAAATTTGGCGAAAGAATGAAGGAAAAGAGACTGAATTACATTCGCAATGGTGCCAAGGACGAGAAAGCGCTTTTCAAGAAGCCCAATGTTCGCTCATCACAAGAGCACCATGAACTACCAGATTCGGATACTGCTGAAACGATAGCAGACACTTCGGACGCGGAAATGCCTGATGCCGAGGCAGGTCAAGACGGTGAAGCTGATGAGGACGAAGATGAAGACGATACGATTGTCCATCCTGCCGTAATCCGCATCCGCGGACTAACACGTGCCTCTGGAGCATCTCCCACAATTGAGTCGTCTTTCCAGCCAATGAGAGGCAATCTGGGCAAGTTTCGCACTCTGGTGAGACGGCCCAATGAGACATACAACCGCCAACTTCACGATTTTGTGAAGGAGTATTTCTCCGTTCAAGACCGCAGAATGAAGACGAGAAGAGCTGCACGTGGAAATATTCGCTATTTCTGGAACACTCCCACGGCTGCAGACTCGAATCTCAAAATCGCAGAGTATCTGCTGCTGCTCGGCGATTCCGAAAGAGCAGATTATCGCGATTTCTACTCCAAGTTGCCGTTTGAAGAGGAAGCAGAGCGCCAGAGGTCAGCATTATCCCCAACAGCGACTTATCTAGATTATGGTGAGTTCAAACGGGCCTATCATCGCTCTTTGGTCACAGCCAACAGACGTCTAAGCGAGAAGGTGCATGCCTTTGGCAAGCCATCACGTGTTGTGGATTCACTCTTCGAGAAGTTGTAAGAAGAATGAATTGAAAATATTGGTTTTGGGGAAAAAATGCTGATTGACTAGTAACAGGGACGTTTTTTTTTCTATTATATTTATTCAATGACGCTTCTGCATGCTGATTAGGTGAAAAGTTTCATGAAACTTCTTGACTGCACCACGAAAGTAAAAGGTTACCCGTGAAATGATAGAGAGCCACTTCTTTGCACTAACCGATTCCACAAAGATCTGTCAAAATATATAATTATATGTGCACTAACGACGTGCTTGGTTCTGACTATAGTTTAAGAGGTTCACCAACTGGAGTGTGCACTAACCGGATCTCATACATGATACCGATTGGCACCTTCAGATGGAGGAGTCTAGCTATGACTCCAGGCAATTGATAGAATTTCAGTTCTACAAAACAATTAAAATTCACGAATTTTGCCAGTTTGGCGTTGGTAGTACACACGTTAGAAAATCCGAAGCAAATCGTGTAGCCGAAAGCCTTCAAGAATACCGCTCAAATAGCAGATGATGACCCACGTCTAGCGAAAACAGCTGTCGATTAGCGCCCCAGTAATCACCCTCAACACAGAATTGTCCATCTTCATATTAATTCTATTGACAATATCGAATTGCCGCGCACAACACTTGTGCCTAGCGGCGTCCTCTCGTCCTGATGGACCTCCACAGAGTCCTCCACCGTCAGGTTGAGAAAACTATCATAGCCACGTAGTGTGCCCTCGACCTTGCGCGACCCATTCAGATGGATTACCAGCTTTTTGTCCATGTACTTTTTCAGTTCGGGTGCGGAAACCATGGTGGGTTGACTGTTTAATGTGGTGTTCAGAAGATTCAAACCTACTGGTGCTTCAATATGCCCCCAAATTTTCAGATGGTAGGAGTCGTGCAATGTGACTAAATAGTGCACGAACTAAGTTGAAACGCGAAAACGTAGGCGCGGCTTGTAGTACTTTTCATGCTGGCTGTGTATTGAAAGCTTGTTGAATCGTCATTTCCATAAGCAATGGCTGAAACAGAATCTTTGATTGACCTTGGCAAGAGGAGAGACCAACTAATTCTGCGTAGATCAGGATTAGCCGCGCAAATCGAAGAGTTCAAAAACGAGCTGAAAGTCAGCGGGGAGCAAGATGATACCTCAGATCAAATACGACAAGGGTCAAGTGCGCAACTTGAAACGAAAACAAGTGACGTTGACGATTTTGTTGACAAGTTCCTTGAGCGGTCGAGAGTTTTGGGGAGGTATGGTACTCTTCCATCAGATGATTGGCCCACACGATTGAAGTATCTGGGTCGGTTCTTTCCTCTGATGGAAATATCCAAAGTGGAGGAAACTCTGAAAGACGGTTTGAAACAATTGGAATTTTGTTTCGAGCTCAAAAACATGTTTTCGTTCGATTTGGCTGTGGAGTTCGACCTAAAACAGGAGACTCTATCCAGGTTCGAGGTGGTGCGACAGAGCCTCCCGATTCCCGAGGCTCTGGAGTTCACATTACGCTGTCAACAATTAGGGGATGTATCGGGCTTCATTTTTGGAATCAATTCTTATGCCCAGAAACGACAATTGCGGCTGCAAACCTGGTGTTCGCTTGCGGAGAAGTACGAAGACACGTTTGATCTGGGGAAAATCGGTTCAAAAACATCTCAGGAGTCACCAGATGTTGCTCTGCTACGACGCATCGTTGCTTATCAACAAAGTGACTCGATTTCTTTCACTCATGCCGAGAAAACTGTGCTTATTATGTGGAAACTAGGGTGGGGCTTGGACGACCCCACCATGGCGTGCGCCAGCGAAATAACCGCATCCATCATTGAGCGTGGTCGCGCTGCAGATGTTTCTGAGGTGGTGAACGACGCGGTAGTTACGATGGGAGTTATGACGGGAATTTGTACGGTTGTCGAGGGGTTGTTAAGTGCATAAATGATTCGTTGTAAGCGTATAATAGATAAATTAGAACACGAAAAAAACATCAGAAATTGAAACATAAAGAAAAGTCCAGCGCCCAGTGAAAGAGAGAGTGTGTGAGGCAGATGAGGCACAAAAGAGATGTGTGAAAAAAGATCTGAGGGATCACATATCAATTTTCACACATACGTTTTTCGCGTCTGTGAGCCTGATGCATATAGAAGCTCCCCAAAATTCTTTTAATATCTATACCCCATCTCAATGCCCTCAACCTTCAACCCACATTTCTCATAGAAGCCAACGTTGTGCTCTGAACAGTCCAATATCGTCTTGTAACACCCGAGATCCTTGGCTACTTGCAATAAATAGCGAATCAGGGCAATTCCTAGCTTTTTGCCCTGCTGGTTTTCGTTCACGGAAATGTCCTCGATATGGCCCACCTTTCCACACGCGTGGATCAGCTTGTACTCCACGAGAAGGGTTCCTGTAGCAACAACGAGCCCCGAATTGTCCACAATAACCATATTGTGATACATATCACGTCTGGCATCCCAGTAAGCTAGCAGCTTCTCAAAATGCAAGCGTGACACGTCGCCAACTGTAGTGAGACCTTTAAGACAGTCCAGCACACCATTGTCGTAGTCGGCTGCCATCAGGGGCCTAATCGTATAACCAGCAGGGATAAGAGATTCAACCATATTTGCGTCTGATATTGTGTAATTTAATGAGAGTAAAGTCTGTTTCCAGATTATGTTTCAGATCAAGAAGAAGATGGGAAGAAGACGGGGAAGAGACGCGGTTCAAGTTGTCAATAATTCTATTTATATCTAGTGCCCCGTAGGAAATTCCGGGCTGCCTGCGTGCGCAGGCTAAACTTCGAAAACCAGCCACCTTTTCATAGCCTCGGTTAACCGGAACTCACGTGATCAAAAATCTCTGTGCAGCGCACGCCAATACTTGTGATTCGTGTGGCACACATATCCAAAACTTTTCAGTGTTAGGCTTATCGTCCCCGGTTATCTTGTCTCTTATTTCCACAGTTTGTTGAGTTTGTTCTTCTCGGTTTCTCTGGTCTGTTCCAGCTTATGCTCTCGCTCCTTGCTAGGCGTTTCTACTCAAAAATGTCAACACAGGTGCTCAAGGTGGATCCGCAGACGATCTCATTCAAAGACGGAGTCCTCAAGATCACTGACCCAGAAACAGCAAAAAACCTTCGTTTTGCCTCAGAGCTTCTCATCCACTCTCATGAGGCGATCGCGTTTCCCACAGAAACAGTGTATGGTCTTGGAGGTTCGTGTTTGGTAGACGAATCCGTCCAAGCCATCTATAAGGCCAAGAACAGACCATCGGACAACCCATTGATTTCACATGTTTCCTCGGTCCAGATGATCTATGACAAATTCTTTCCCGGCCAGAACTATCAAATTCCCGAGATTTACCAGCCGCTTATTGACAAATTTTGGCCAGGTCCCTTGACCATCCTTTTGCCTGTTCTGCCGGGATGTCCCATCTCCAAGTATGTCACAGCAGACCAACCAACCTTCGCGGTGCGAATGCCCGCTCACCCAGTTGCGCGTGCTCTTATCGAAATGAGCGATGTTCCGCTGGCTGCGCCCAGTGCAAATGCATCTACGCGACCAAGTCCGACTTTGGCCTCGCATGTGTACACGGATTTGCATGGCCGCATACCATTGATTCTAGATGGAGGAGTATGTGACGTGGGTCTCGAGTCTACGGTGGTGGACGGTTTAACTTCGCCTCCAATGTTGTTGAGGCCTGGAGGAGTTTCTCTGGAGCAAATTCGTGCTGCTGGAGGAGACCAGTGGAAGGATGTGGTGATCGCTAAGAAGACGGCCGGTAAGTTGGAGCCAGTGAGGACCCCCGGAATGAAATATCGTCATTACTCGCCCACGGCTAAAGTTGTGCTGTTCAACAATTGCGGTGATGGAATAGAAGCCACTGGAAATTATTTGCAAGAATTGGAGGCCTCCACGCGCATAGCGCTGCTGAGGTCGCGCAGATTTGCTCCTCCATCTGATAAGAGAGTCACTGCCATAGAGAACCTCGGCACCACGGGTGATGATATCCAGCGCAACCTTTTTGCATTGCTACGGAAGGCAGACGAAACAGGAGTGGATTATATTTTTGTGGAAGGAATTGACGAATCAGACGAGGGTTTGGCTATAATGAACCGACTCAGCAAGGCCGCATATGCGACAGTGGATGGTGATACGACATTGTGATGTGAATAATAGGGAGAATTGTATATATACTAGGAAGAGAAAGAGGTTATGACTTGAGTTGTTCACCTCATGTGTAAGACCTCAGCCCCTTACTATGGGATCTTCTATCAAACTGCAAGGTTGTACATGCCGTAGTTGGACGATTGCTTCGCGAAATACTTCCTCGCTTCATCAACCAACCAGACAGAGCTTGTCAACGCAATGAGGTACGCCAGATCACCAAGACTGAGAGCCTCAGTCTGGAAAATGCTCTGGAAGAACGGCACGTAGATGGCACACAGTTGTCCCAAAAGCGACCCTCCAACAGCAAAGTTGAACATGTTATTTCTAAGTCCCGTCTCGAAGATGGACTTGGAGTGATGGCGACATGAAAGTGCGTTGAACATGTCAAACAGCACAAAACACGTGAATGTCATGGTGGTATCTCTGGCCGTCACCTCATCCTTCATCTCCTTTATATAGACGAACATCGTTCCTATGATTATGATCGCAGCCGATTGAAGAACCCTCTTGATCACAGCTTGCGTCAAAATTTTGTCCTTGCGTGATCTGGGAGGCTTGCTCATGACTTCCTGATCGACGGGCTCAACACCCAGAGACTGGGCTGGAGGTCCGTCCATGAGGATGTTGATCCACAGGATCTGCATGGCATTGAGTGGGTTTGGCAGGTTGAAGAAGGTTGAAAGTGCAACCAAGGACAGGGCAGCAACTGAGGTTGAAAGCTGGAATGTCAGGAAGTTTTGGATGTTGTAAAATATACCCTTTCCTTCCTGGATCGCGTTCAAAATCGTGGAAAAGTCGTCATCAGTAAGAACCATGTCAGCTGCCTCTTTGGCCACATCAGTTCCGTTCTTACCCATCGCAATACCTATATCGGCCAGTTTCAGAGCTGGAGCATCGTTGACACCGTCACCGGTCATCGCAACGATATCTCCACGACGTTGCAAAGCACGTACAATAGCAACTTTGTGCTCGGGAGTGGTTCTCGCAAAGACAGAGACGTACTGAATTGCCTCGGCAAGAGCATCTTCGGACATGGAGTCTAATTTTTCACCGCTCATGATAGACCTTTGGGGATCGTTCAAAGGCATGCCAATTTTGCGAGCGATATTAGCTGCAGTGGTTTCAGAATCACCAGTAATCATGATCACATGAACACCTCCTCTCATCAGCCTGGCAATAGACTGAGCAACCTGAGGCCTTGGAGGATCGTTCATGCCCAGAAGACCGCAGAAGACCAACTCGGAAACCGGAGCCACATCGTCGTAAACCAAAGGCTTGGTGCTCTTTCCAAACGCCAAGATTCTGAGTCCATCGCTGGCCAAGACATCTGCCATCTTCAAGATCAGCTTCTTCTGCTCCTCGGAAAGAGGCTTGGTTTCTCCGTCACTGGCAACATATAGCGTAGACATCTTCAACAGCTTCTCAACAGCACCCTTGATGTGTGTCTCGGACTTATTCTTATCACCTCCGTGTGAAGAAACTGCCATAAACTTGCGACTAGAAGAAAAAGGCAATTCGTCAATTCTCTGTCTAGTTCCTCTTATATCGTCCAGACTGAAGTGTTGAAGAGCCTCAATGATGGCGATGTCGGTAGGGTTACCGATCCATTTCTCCTTTTCAACAGAGTACTTGGCATTGTTGCAGATGTTTCCGGCTTCCATCAGAGATCTCACATCTTTGGAAAGATCCGAGATGCGTGAAGTTCCCTCGACAGATAGCGAATCGGTCTTCATCGAAACGGTCCAAGCCTTGGTCACGGTCATGTGGTTCTGGGTCAAAGTACCAGTTTTGTCACTGCAAATAACATTAACAGATCCCAAAGTCTCCACACTTGGAAGCCTCTTGACAATTGCCTTCTTATTGGCCATTCTGAGAACACCAAGGGCCAAGGTCACAGCAACGATGATCGGCAAACCTTCTGGAATGGCAGCAACAGCAAGCGATACCGAGATCTGGAACATATCTAACCAGGATCTGCCCTGGAAGACTCCAATTACACCAATTACACCAATGACAACAAAACTAAAAATGGAAAGCTCTTTTCCAAGTTTGTCCATGGCATTTTGCAATGGGGTCTTTGGCTTTTCAATAGAAGACATCATCTCGAACACGGAACCAAACGCGGTGTCACGACCAGTGGCAATGACAATTCCAGTTCCATGTCCGTCCCTCACTAGAGTACCCATGAAAGCAATGGAAATGCGATCGTTGATTGCAGGAGATCCCTCCACTGGCTCAACAGACTTGGTCACAGGGTTGGTCTCTCCAGTCAAGTTACTTTCGTCGATAGTCAAATGGACTGCCTCAATTAGTCTCACATCAGCGGGAATTCTATCACCAACAGAGAAATGAATCAGATCTCCAGGAACCAGCGTGGAGGCGGATACAGTTTCCGATGCACCGTTTCTGGTCAGATGGGCCTCTAATGGAACGAGCTTGTTGAGTGCCTCAAGCGACTTTTCAGAACGGTATTCTTGCACAAAACCAACGGTGACAACTATTAAAACTGCCAGCGTGATACTGATGGCATCGTCAATGTTTTCCATGTAAAACGACACGAAAGCAGACGCGATCAACAGCATGATCATCGGATCGCCATAGAACGTGGCCAGAAACTTCAGCGCCAGATTCTCTCTTTCGTCCGCTTCGAGCTCATTAAGCCCATGAATACCCCTCCGTAACGTGATCGTCTGAGTATTGCAAATTCCCTTGACAGGATCCGTTTCGAAGTCCTGGAGTGTTTGTTCTATGGTTGATTTGCAGTAGCGCTCGGAGGGTGAGTTGGGACGCGATTGCAAAGCCATTGGGTTGGTATCGAAAGGGTTTTCGTGTGCTGTGGACATTATGCCCGTTGTATGTGTATCAAGTTAAAAAACTCCGGAAAAAGACGACGCAAAACTGCCTTTTTCAGAGACAAAAGATTTGATTCAAGTCTGGTCCCTGGTGTAAGCAGCTTGAGCACGGAGTCGTTCGCCTGGCAAAAATGGTGTCTAAAAATAAACAAACGGGCTATCAGAAATGATATTGTTACCCTCAACAAGACTGATTCGCAGCAACACTTTGGTTGGAGAAGTGTGGTGGTTGTGCAATCTGGAAGAGAGAGGTCTTTATGTACGTTTACATTCGGCTATGTCGACGGATGCTTTGTCGTGTTTTAACCAAAATACCACATAGTTGGTTTCGTGTTTTGGTGTAAAAATGGGATAATGTCAAGATTTTACGGTGGTTTATGAGAATTTGGTAAATTCATCGTTTAATATAGCCGAGGAACTTGGGCGTTAACAACAGCAGGAGTCGATCGGCGCCTCTTTTGGACCCTTGAACCCTTGAACCCTGACTTCTAGATACGACAGAGATAACGTGTTCAGAATGGGTATAGGGGCACACAACTGAGGTCAAAGAAGGTATTACCAAATTGGGGAAAACTAAGGACCTTGACATACTCTGAGTCTTGTCTGTTTCCAGGCACTCAAATACCAGACCTATTGACCAATCCGCGACCCCTTTCTGTTGCTCTTCAGCGTGGCATACAGCCAGTATCGTGCATTTCCCAAGATCTGGTTAGGAGCACCGATGGTAATATTTCACTCAGCGCACGTCTTTGTGTTTTTCGGGTCTTTTTCGACGACCTCTAGATAGTAAGTGCGTCTTGGCCGAAACCTTTCAACAACCACACAACATGGCGTCTATAATACTCAGGAGAGCTCTAACGCCTCGCCTGCATCATGTGGCGTTTAAGCCATTTGCAGGTGTGAGGTGTTTGGCCGACAAGGCTGGGCCGGTTCCGGACGAGACAAAGCAGGATCACCTCAAGTATCTATCACAGTTTTATTCGCCTGAACTGCTGGAGTCAATCAAAATTGCCGAATCGACCGTCAGTCCCGAGCAGTGGAAGAGCAAAAAGCCAAACACCATTGAGTTTGCACCAAAATACCTGGACGATTTGAGCAAGTACGATGAATTCTGGGACAAAGTGCCAGATGAGAAGTTGCAACAAGAGCTTATTGACTACGAAAAGCCTCTTTATCCACAAAGGAGCATGCCCCAGGAAGGCCTGATTTTGGAGAACTTGTCAGAGGATCCCTTATCGACATTGGCTATGAATCTATACTTGAAGTTTGGTCTGGACCCCAACTCGGTCAAGGACTTGCACTTCCGTGTGCTGCAGATAAAATTCGTCAGCAACCAGACAGGTAACGGAAAGATCGGATCTTATTATGCCATTGGTGTTGTGGGAAACAAGAACGGAATGGTTGGGATTGGAGAAGGCAGAGACCTCGAGAAAATCGAATCTGCAGTGCTCAAGGCCAGGTGGTCTGCCATTAAGAACATGCAAAAGGTGGAAAGACTCGAGAACCGTACGATCTATGGAGCTGTCGAGTCCAAGCTCGGATCGAGTATCGTCAAGTTGCGCTCTGCTCCTCCAGGTTCTGGGTTGAGAGTCAACCCTGTGGTCTTCGCGATCTGCCAGTGTGCTGGAATCAAGGATCTTGGAGGAAACGTCTACAGGTCCAGGAACAAAATGAACGTGGCGAAGGCAGCTTTCGATGCGTTGACCAAACAGGTGAGTCTGGAGGAGATTGCTTCTAGAAGAGGAAAGAAGGTTGTCGATCTCCGCAAGACGTACTACTCTGCTGCGTAGATCATGTATATAGAATTGGGTCAAATGCATCGTTATTAGTATTAATTGAGTGTAGGGGTGGATATAAATGATTAGGCTGCAGCCACAAGGAATTTGTGAAGCCGACTTATCTAAAGGGACACTTAGTTCGGGCTTCCTCTGTCTGGAACTTTCTCCAGATTTTAAACTTCACTAAATCTGAGACCTCACTCACTCAATGAAACGACCTCAATCGGTTTTAAAACTTCATCCTCATCTTCACGTTCACTTTCTTGCCCTTTTTTCGGAAGCCTCTGCCACTAACTCCTCAAAGATCCGAGCCTCTTCTTGCTCTCCGGAGGACCTTTCCGTTCCCAAGAAGATATCACCAATCATGATCAAGGCCCGAGCCCTCTCTATGCGTTTCTCCAACGAAACAGACTTATCGTAAAGAACTGAGTCACACGCTCCTCTCACAGTTCCAGAAATCTCAAACTGAGAGCCCTTCCAAGCAGCCGCCAGCACCTTTCCCAGAAGTCTCTTCTCCATTTCGGCGATATCCTCGTCCGTGGGAATGGGCTCTTCTTCCTTTTTGGGCTCTTCCTTAACGGCGTCCTCAACTGGTTCTTCCTCTTCTACCGGTTCCCCGCGAGCAATCTTCTCGGCCTTGATCCTCTCCTTCTCTTCACGTTCGAGCTCCAGCTTCGCAGCAGTTTCTTTACGTTCCTGCATCTTAGACAACTCATTCATCGTGCTCTGGGCATCCAACGCAGTAGAGATCGTCCTGAAAGTGTCCATCACAACTCCGCCTTTCTCTTTTATCGACGAGAAAAATCCAGAGATTCCCAAGAACTTCTGCTTATTAAGGAAAGTTTTAGCCTTGGAGCGGTATATCGACCCGATGGTGTGTAAAATCTCAAGCCCAAAAGACTCCATCTTTAGTACTTCTGCCTCGTACCGTAGCTTCTCGGTGAACGATTTGGTAACATCATTTGCTTTATCGGTTTCTGTCCATAGGGAAATCCGACTGATGAGTTTTTGTGACAGCTCGGCCACCATTTCTTCCTTCTTGATTCTGCACTCTTCTTCATACTGGGCGATCTCCTCTTCTTTCTTCTTCTTTCTTTCAAGGTCGATGGCTTTCTTGCGGTCTTCTTCAGTCATTTGAGGCCCACATTCAGTTCCATCACCTGCAGCAATGGTCAGACCCGGTCTGCTGGTTGTGAAGGTCGAAGCCGTCTGTTCCACGTGTGTAGTCTCGTGTGACTCTTCAGAAAAGTTTGACGTCTTGGCTCCCTCGGTTGAGTTTCCCGGATTTGAACTCTCACCAGCCTTCGCAGACTCAGGAGCTGTCTCCTCATCATCAGCTTGCATCTCGTACGTCTTGCTGAGATCCTTCAAAAGAGTCAGTTCACCTATATAGTCAGCAAAAGCACTGCCTCCAAAGATCATCCCGAAGAACTCGCTCGGATCTTCAAACCCTTCCTTCGGTATCGCCTGCTCCTTTCCGTACTTATCATATCTGCCTCTAAGCTCTTTATCGCTCAGCACTTGATATGCCTCTGCGATCTCCTTAAAGCGGTCTGCCGCCGTAGGGTCATCCTTGTTTTTGTCAGGGTGGTGTTGTATAGCCTTTTTGCGGTAAGCTTTTTTTATCTCAAGCTCGGTGGCTGTTGCCGATATTCCCAGCAAATCATAATATGTTGAATCGACCACCATTTCAGTCTATGTGGGGATGTTTGGAGAGATCTCATGTCATGGAGATGAACAAGAGACTCAAATCTTACCGCCGCTGAGCAGATTCAGTTGAGATTTAGCCGGGCACGACCAAAATGGAAAAGTGGCGTCTTAGTCAACGACTGCTGGTAAAAAAGTGAATATTGAAGTAGCTGAGTTCTCCCAAGTAAATTCTTTCCTATTATATCCGTATTTACTGCCCATTTGACAAGTTTCATTCTGCCTTGAACGAGTGACCTTGCTTTGCTTGAACCAATAGTCGTAGGTACACGACCCGAGGAAGTAGTTCAGCCGCTCGTAACGCCTATAACCAACGCGTCATTACTGCGTATATCGAATAGAGTATTGTTCTTAATGGTCGTATGATTGGGTATACCAAAACGCTTCTCAATTGTGCCCGTAAGCCCAACTGTTGGCGTATTTTCGAACCTTACAGCACATCTCCAGCTTTACAGCCCTTTGCGCCTATCTTTTTGGGCGCTTATCGCTCCAACACCCGCTAGAATGTCCTGTGCAACCAATTCGTCTGCGCGAACTCGTCTAGGAATATAATCCAGAATCTGATCAACTGTAGACTGTGGTAGACTTGCTGGAAGTCTCACCACCCCGTTTTCATCGGCGATAATGGTATCTCCTGGTGAGATCGTCGCATAGGCGCCTGATGGAAATCCATCCACATACACCTCTAAAGGTTTATTTAATGCCACGGGTTTTACAGCAGGTCTTGGAGCCGCCGTACCAGTTCCGTAAGCAAACACCGGGTACTCAAGCTCTCTGTGTTCTTTCACATCCCTGATTCGACCGAAAACAACCGTTCCCACGGCGCCCAGATAGCGGGCCCTGGTTGACATGAGACCTCCATATAACGCATTGTTAACCAGAGTATACGGGGCATGTGAAACTTGAAGTCGTTTGTCGAGACCAATGCAAAGAACAGAGCCTTTCTGAACAGAGTCAATGTACTGGACTTCCGGCCGCGGGTCGTCAAAGAGAGCAAATTCCACGGTGTAGGCTGGTCCTGCAACCGTTGCGGCGGGTCCCGAGTACTGGAGTAGGTTCGGCAGGGACCCGTCTAGCCCGTGCTTGGCCATTCCATCCGAAACGTCACATGGTGAGTATTTGCTGAGTATTTGTGAGACATTTGCAGGTTGTGACATAGTGTGTTAAGTGCTCGGTATTGAAATAAATGGAGTGGAGAAGAGGCGAGGGTTAACCGCCCAAATGCAGGGTTCGGGGGAATGGAGTGATGAGATTGGTGTGGCCAGTACTTTTATATGCGTCTTGAGATAGAACGCGGCAAAATCGGGTAGAACATTCAGCAATATTTGCTCCTTTTGGGATCTTTTGAATGTTTTTGAACGCTTTTGTTTGTTTTTCATTGTGTTTCAGTGTAAAGTGCTTGACATGTAGATTACGTTCTTTGCGTCTGAAACTTTCCAAACCACTTACACCTTCTGTCGAGTGCTTTTTGCAGATGTAAAACTGAATCTTTTATACAATGTGGGCACTTTCCATTTCCAACATTTTTTCTCCTCACTTATAGATCGGAGGCCTATTGGTCTTATTTCTGGAAAGTCTTATGCCCAACCACTCTATCGCTTCCTTGACTCCATCACCCGTAATCGCACTTATCGGCAACACACGGCTATCTCGCGCGCTAAGATGCTCAGCAATAACGTTAAATATCTCTTTGATATCTTCCACCTCGAGCTTATCTGGGATATCCTGCTTATTGGCCAGCATCAGCACTGGAATACCCTCGATAAGCTCGTTGGTCACCACCTGGCTTAACACCCGTTGGCATTCCACGAGCCGGTCCTTGTCTGTTGAATCGATTACAAATATGATACCATGAGCTGTGGCATAATATTCGGTCCATAGCTCGCGCAATGTCTCCTGGCCGCCAACATCCCAAAATTTCAGTGTGGTGTGAGCATCCATAGGTATGGTTCCAACGTTCTGGCCCACCGTTGGCAATATGCGATTAATTGGGATGGTCTTGGCATTCGGCGTATATATCGATTTTAGTTTTTCGAGAAACGTAGTCTTTCCCGCATTGTCAAGTCCGAGGATCAGTACGGAGTACTCTGAGAATGTCAGTACAATGCTGACGTGGAATAGGTGCCATATTAGCGTGATTTGATCTGGAAACTATGGCAAAATTCAAAGAAATCACTTACGTCCTTTCTTGTTCCACGACTCGTATAGTCCTTTTGCCAGGTGAAACATGATGGGAGAGGAGATTGTGATGAAGATTAGTTGCGCGAGTGTCTTCAGATCGACAGAGAATACGATGTGCCTTAAACAATTTCGCGCCGCATCTACGTGACGCGCAGAATAAAGAAAAACGGGCAGTGGATGGTGGGATGATATGAGCCTGTAGGATGTTTATTTTGGAAAAGGAATAAACAGTGAGACGTGGGTGAGCAGTAGGCGCCAAAAATAATCTAGGTGGTAAATATGAGGCTGAATGTAGAACTGACGAAGTGGAAAACTGGATTGCAGGTAGCGATACAACTGCTACACGCATAACCTCTACGATGGACAGTTCGAAGCACACGCACAACTGATGAGTTATCAACTAGTAATATTCATATAAACATATATACTAACGTCTTGTCGCCCAAAAGAGGATCTTCAAAATCTGCTCTCACATCAATTTACCATCAAGAAGTCCACCCCCATCAATGAGTATCTCAGAACCGGTGATAAACGTGTTTTCAATTAGTGCAAGGTACATGTGAGCAACCTCATCTGGCAAAGCATAATGCTGTAATGGTAGCTTCGGACCCAAAGCTTCAAAACGGGAAGTGTTTGCTCCCCAAAGCTCAGTGCGAACCAGACCAGGGGTGACCAAATTGAATCTCACGGGCGCGAATTCGGCTGCCAGAGCACGCACGACAACAGCAGCACTTCCTCCACCTGCAGCAATAAAAGTCCAGCCTGCTGGTGGTCTGTGTACCCCAGAACCAGATGTGAGGGTGACAGAACTGGTATAGTCCTTGGTCATGAGATCGTACTTGAACAGGGCCTGGATCCATCTCAAAGGACCGAATACACGACGGGATGCTCTCGCAGTAGCTTCAATGATGTCTGCATCAACCACTGACGTCTTATAGAGTGGATCAGTCGCAGTATAAGCCAGATGGTTAACCTTTGTTACACCCACCTTAGCGAGGAGATCCACGATAGCCTGACCGTGGATGGAGTCATCAGTGAGATCATACAGAACACCTGAGATTTTGGTCTTTGGCGCCAATTCACTCAATTCAGCAACGACTCTAGCATTCTTCTCTGGGTTCAGAGAAACAACTACAAGATGTGCTGGATCCTTAGCCAGAACAGCCTCAGCGACTCCTCTCCCAATGCCGGAGCTGGCTCCGATAATTATAACGGTGCTTCCTTTAACTGTATCTTTCATTTTAGGTGTGTGCTGTGTCTTGGCAACGAAGTTCAACAAAATTAAACAAAATTACATCCTATTTATAGTTGAATTGGGGCAACTCCGGATTAAATCCGGACTAAATTCGGGATTAGGAGTTAGGCATTAGGAGTTATGAATCAAAGTCTGGAGGCATACCGTGCGGCGCGGGTAAATGCAATGGAAATCGTGTGCATGCCAATAACAAGTGGTCTGAATGAACATTGAGTAATCAAATTGATACAGTAAGACTAATTTCAGGGTATTATCGGACTTCTGTCGGTGATTTTATCAAAAGTGTGGTGGTCATCGTGCCAGTGAACTTATATCTGGTAGATTTGTAAGCGTTTTGTACTGGTGATCTGGGGGTTAGTGTGGCGTTACACTGGAGCCAACAACGCAGATGGACCTGCAGCTAGTAATGCATATGGTAATGCAGATACCACTACCGGTGACGAAGGTAACATGGAGATTGATCCCCGCGATCCGAATTGATATGTACCGTACCACTGTTAAAATGGCCCTTACGCGTCTTTTCTCCTGATATTATGTTTTTCCAATTATTTAATTGGTGAAGATAAGTTATTGAAAAACAATCATACCAAAAAGACCTCAGCGTGAATCCCTCTCAAAATCGGGCGTTGAAAAGCTTAATTTCAGCAGTTGAATTGCACTGATAAGCCCGTATCAGGAATAATATACGTAGCCAAATACATAAAGTTGCACCATACATCGTCATCTAAGGTTTAATACCATGATCAGAACCATCAAGAAGTGCACCGCCATCAATGATTACCTCGGAGCCAGTGATATACGTATTTTCAATCAAAGCAAGGAAGATATGGGCGATTTCATCTGGCAAAGCACAATGCTTCAATGGCAACTTTGCGCCTAAAGTTTCACAAATGGCAATGTTTTCTCCCCAAAGCTCTGTGCGAACCAGACCAGGGGTGACCAAATTGAATCTCACGGGCGCGAATTCGGCTGCCAGAGCACGCACGACAACAGCAGCACTTCCTCCACCAGCAGCAATAAAAGTCCAATCCTTTGGTGGTCTATGCAAAGCAGTTCCAGAGGCTAGAGTGACAGAACTGGTATAGTCCTTGGCCATGAGATCGTACTTGAACAGGGCCTGGATCCATCTCAAAGGACCGAATACACGACGGGATGCTCTCGCAGTAGCTTCAATGATATCTGCATCAACCACTGATGTTAAATGGATTGGATCAGTTGCAGTATAAACCAGATGGTTAACCTTTGTTACACCGATCTTAGCGAGCAGATCCACGATAGCCTGGCCGTGGATGAAGTCATCAGTGAGATCATACAGAACACCTGAGATTTTGGTCTTTGGTGCCAATTCACTCAATTCAGCAACGACTCTAGCATTCTTCTCTGGGTTCAGAGAAACAACCACAAGATGTGCTGGATCCTTAGTCAGAACAGCCTCAGCTACTCCTCTCCCAATGCCGGAGCTGGCTCCGATAATTATAACGGTGCTTCCTTTAACGGTGTCTTTCATTTTACAATGATACTGTGTTAATTTTTGGAAGCTAACTTCGAGGAAACTTTACGTCTTATTTGTAGCTGAAACCCCAAAGAGTCCCGGGCCATTTCAAATGGTGTAAACTAGGATATCTTAGTCAGCTACTTGGTGTGGGACACCCTATCAGTAAGGCGGACAACTGTAGATGCATCAATCCGGTCTACAGCGATATACTGGAATCTCCATAGAGGTTTCAGTCTATAAAATCAGTCAATATGGCGTTTTCTACTAGTGATGAAATGATGGTATCAATGCTGGGCACAAAGGCTGGTCTCGCGTTACAGAGCCCTGCTGCTATTAATGCATATGATAATGCAGATAGCACTACCTGTGATAAAGGTGAGAAGGATACTGAGATAGGATAGTAGCAAGATCTGAATTATGCAAGATAGTATGACCTTAAACTGGTCAGTGAATACTAGTGTTTGAAGTGATGGTAATAATTTCGGGATTATCAATAGCAATAGGACTACGAACAAAACTGGTACTTGCAGCGCTCCTGGTTGCACCATTATGATAATTGCTAGCAATGCTACGAATGAACTGCAAAATCGGAAGATGTCTTGAAGTGCAAATAATTTTCGCATATTGATGGTAATAATTATGCGATATGGCTAGTTCTGGTTGGTAGTAGGGACTGTATACAGTGCAATGATTAGCGCTAGTGAGCACACTAAGTCGTCAACGCCTATACCAGATACTACAGAATAGCTTCAACCATCACAACGCTGCATTATGAGTCTACCCACTACCACAACCGCCACCAGGGTATCCACCACTGGTTGCTGTCACAAAGGATGGGCAGTTTTGTTCACCTGACGTCAATTACATTCCCCAACCCATCTACTGGTGCAGGCGTAACTGTATTACCCCGGATTCCACGACGGGTGATTAATAGACCGCGATCCCGGGGTTCTCGATCTGTCTTCCGAATCCCGGCTGAAGCATGCGGACCCGACAACAGTTTAGTTATTCATGCACGTACGTCACTAGAACACGATCTATCTCTAGAATATCCCAGGCCTGAACTCGTTACCGCAGACCATGCTCGGGCCAATCATCTGCGTAAACTGTGAGTCAGGCGGCTTTCAGGTCGTCACCGCTGGCGCATCTGTGTCTGTCCACGACCTTTCGGTGTATCCCCGTGGATATGCAACTGCTTTTGGGCATTTGGTATGGGGCGGTTCCAATTCGCCCTCCAAAACAGGGACACCAACCGCTATCAGAAGACAAGAAGAAAAATTTTGCAAGGGGAATGACTAACGGGGATTGCAAGAGAATGATCCATCAGCCACCAATAGCAAATTTTGACGGATCTGGGCCTCAATCAGAGAAAATACATGATCATAGAAGCAGATATTTGAGTTTTTCACAAAAAGAAGCCCCACTTCCGTCCCCATCAGCTTTTTGCCTTGAAGCCTATGCAGCATTATAGCCTTCCACAGAGAACCCGGGGAAGTGACGATGATAACACATGGGGTCTTCCATAGTCTTCCTAAAGTACCATACACCGATCGAATTGAAGCTCCATTTTGGGTTCATTGCAGGATCACAACCTCGATAATCAAGATTCTGCATCCATTCACCTAAAAATAAAAAAATACCACATCAGCTCGAGTCTTGCATGCGTTCACCAATCGCAGAGTCACCGGTATTTCGAGTCGTGCGCCAACGATAATCACACCCCGGGGACGTCCATCTGCAACACTTTTCCCTCTTTTTAAACTCTCCCTTGTTTCCTCTTTTTCCTTTAAACAGGCCAATTTCCCCCGGATTTCGTCGTTTTTTGCTCTGCTGTGGTGCGCGATAGACTAGCTACACTTAGTGAATTCCTAATACAAAATGGCAGATTCGTCGCTCCAGAGCTTGAGAGACAACTCTCTGGTGCTCGGGTCGAACAACAAGATCCTCGTTGCAAACAGAGGAGAGATTCCAATCAGAATCTTCCGTTCTGCCCATGAATTGTCGATGCAGACTGTTGCTATTTACTCGCATGAGGACAGGCTTTCCATGCACAGGTTGAAGGCTGACGAGGCATATGTCATCGGCAAGCGCGGACAGTTTTCGCCAGTTCAGGCCTATTTGCAAATCGACGAGATCATCAGTATTGCCAAGGAGCATGGCGTTAATATGATTCACCCTGGTTACGGCTTTTTGTCCGAAAACTCTGAATTTGCCCGCAAGGTTGAGGAGGCTGGAATGATCTGGATCGGACCTTCACACACGGTGATTGATGCCGTCGGAGACAAGGTCTCTGCAAGAAACCTTGCCATTGCCAACAACGTTCCTGTTGTTCCCGGAACTCCAGGTCCAATTGAAACCACTGCTGAGGCCGAGGCTTTCGTGGCAGAGTACGGTTACCCTGTGATCATCAAGGCTGCGTTTGGTGGTGGAGGACGTGGTATGCGTGTTGTTAGAGAGGGTGACGACATTGCCGATGCATTCAACAGAGCCACATCCGAGGCAAAGACTTCTTTTGGAAATGGAACTTGTTTCATTGAGCGTTTCTTGGACAGGCCTAAGCACATTGAAGTTCAACTTTTGGCCGATGGTTACGGAAACTGTGTCCATTTGTTTGAGCGTGACTGTTCGGTTCAAAGAAGACACCAAAAGGTCGTTGAGATTGCGCCCGCCAAGACGCTTCCTCAGTCTGTTAGAGATGCCATTCTTACCGATGCTGTGAAACTGGCATCTTCTGCCAACTACAAGAACGCTGGTACTGCTGAGTTTTTGGTTGATAACCAAAACAGACACTACTTCATTGAGATCAACCCCCGTATTCAGGTTGAACACACAATCACTGAGGAAATCACCGGTGTGGACATTGTAGCTGCTCAGATCCAGATTGCTGCTGGTGCCAGTCTGGAGCAACTTGGTTTGCTTCAGGACAAGATCACTACTCGTGGGTTTGCCATCCAGTGCCGTATTACCACCGAGGATCCTTCTAAGAACTTTCAACCAGATACTGGAAAGATCGAAGTTTACAGATCATCTGGTGGAAATGGTGTCAGACTTGATGGTGGAAACGGTTTCGCGGGAGCGATCATCTCTCCACACTACGACTCCATGCTTGTCAAGTGTTCTACCTCGGGTTCTACTTATGAGATTACCCGTCGCAAGATGATTCGTGCCTTGGTTGAATTCAGAATCAGAGGTGTCAAGACAAACATCCCCTTTTTGCTGGCTTTGCTGACCCATCCAACTTTCATGGCAGGTGACTGTTGGACCACCTTTATTGACGACACACCTTCCTTGTTTGAGATGGTCACTTCCCAGAACAGAGCCCAGAAGTTGCTTGCCTATCTTGCTGATCTCTGTGTCAACGGTTCTTCCATCAAAGGCCAGGTCGGTGTGCCCAAAATCACAAAAGAGGCTGACATCCCTGTCATCCACGACATCAACGGGTGGGAGTGCGACTACTCAGAGCCACCAACCGAAGGATGGAGGTCTTACCTTTTGGAGGAAGGCCCTGAAGCATTTGCCAGACAAATTCGTGCTTTTGACGGAACTCTCATCATGGACACTACGTGGAGAGACGCCCACCAGTCTCTGCTGGCCACCAGAGTTAGAACGATTGATCTCGCTAACATTGCCCCAGCCACTGCTCACGCACTGAAGTATGCCTTTGCCCTTGAGTGCTGGGGTGGTGCGACTTTTGATGTTTCCATGAGGTTCTTGCACGAGGACCCATGGGATAGACTCCGCAAGCTTCGTAAGCTCGTCCCCAACATCCCATTCCAAATGTTGTTGAGAGGAGCAAACGGTGTTGCTTACTCTTCTTTGCCAGACAACGCAATTGACCACTTTGTCAAACAGGCGAAAGATGCTGGTGTCGATATTTTCCGTGTGTTCGATGCTCTCAATGATCTTGAGCAGCTCCGCGTTGGTGTCGAGGCTGTTAGAAAGGCTGGTGGTGTCATTGAAGCCACTGTGTGTTACTCCGGTGACATGCTCAAGCGGGGAAAGAAGTACAACCTGGCGTACTATCTCGAGATGGTTGACAAGATCGTCGAAATGGGTACCCACTTTCTTGGAATCAAGGATATGGCTGGTACTTTGAAGCCTTCTGCAGCCACGCTTTTGATTTCTTCCATCCGCAAGAAGTACCCTTCGTTGCCAATCCATGTGCACACCCATGACTCTGCCGGAACTGGTGTTTCGTCTATGGTTGCATGTGCTAAGGCCGGTGCCGATGTTGTGGACTGTGCTCTCAACTCCTTGTCCGGATTGACGTCGCAACCTTCGATGAGTGCGTTCATCGCCGCTGTTGATGGGGAAATCGATGTGGCAATCCATGAGCGCAATGCCCGCGAATTGGACTCGTACTGGGCTGAAATGAGACTGTTGTACTCGTGTTTCGAGGCAGATCTCAAGGGTCCAGACCCAGAGGTTTACCAACACGAAATCCCTGGTGGTCAGCTTACCAACTTGATCTTCCAGGCGCAACAGGTTGGTCTCGGAGAGAAGTGGCTTGAGACCAAGCGCGCATACGAGGAGGCCAACATGTTGTGTGGTGACATCGTCAAGGTGACCCCAACCTCGAAGGTTGTTGGAGATCTTGCCCAGTTCATGGTTTCCAACAAGCTAACCAGCGAGGATGTTAACAGGCTCGCTTCTGAACTTGACTTCCCAGACTCGGTGTTGGACTTCTTTGAAGGTTTGATGGGTACTCCGTACGGAGGATTCCCAGAGCCTTTGAGAACCAACATCATCAGTGGAAAGAGAAGAAAGCTCACGAAAAGACCTGGTCTTGAGCTCAAGCCTTTCGACCTTCCTGCTATCCGTGAGGAGCTTTCTTCGCGTTTCAACAAGATCACTGAATGCGATGTGGCTTCCTACAATATGTATCCTAAGGTGTACGAGGCTTTCCGCAAGATCAAGGAAAAGTACGGTGACCTGTCGGTTCTGCCTACCCGTTTCTTCCTTGCCGCTCCAAAGCTGAACGAGGAGATTGCCGTGGAGATTGAGAAGGGTAAGACCCTTATCATCAAGGTGATGGCCGTTGGTGATCTGTCTCTCAGCACCGGTACCCGTGAAGTTTACTTCGAGCTTAACGGTGAGATGCGTAAGGTGACTGTTGAGGACAAGACGGCTGCTATTGAGACTATCACCAGACCAAAAGCAGACGCACACAACCCCAACGAGGTTGGAGCCCCAATGGCCGGTGTCGTCATCGAAGTCAGGGTCCACCCAGGTACCGAGGTCAAGAAGGGAGACCCAGTGTGTGTTCTTTCCGCCATGAAGATGGAGATGGTGATTTCTGCCTCTGTTGCCGGTAAGGTGGGCGAAGTGCCTGTTAAGGAAAATGACAGTGTTGATGCCGGTGATTTGATCTGTAAGATCGTGAAATAGGCAATAGGCCGGAATAGTTTTGAAGTGCAAATGCCATTATTGGTTTTGGTATATCGTTGTTATATTTATCTGCTGAATTCGTTAAACGTTTGTAGAACAATGTAGAGAGTGTTGGAGAAGGGGAGAGGTCAGAGGGCTCACTACAGGTAGAAATTCCAATTAGTTGGCTACTTGGAACTAACTACAAGTGATAACAGATAGCGCTATTCACTTAGTGCTAGTTTTTCAAATATCAATCAACGTTACCAGGAGAGTTGGCACTATGCATTAACAGCTGGTAGAGGCCGAACATCAGTAACTGACAGAGCTGAGTGTGATATCACTCGCAAAAATTAACCAAAACGCCCGATTGTTCATTAAAATTAACGAACATAAATTCCCATTCACATATATCTCTCTTCGAAGTGCAGAATTAACTCTTCTCTTGACCTCGTTTGCTATGTCCTCTAACAATTTTCCTTCTTCTCATCTCCCTGTCTCTCGCCACATCTTCATCTTTTCTTCCCATACAATCTAGCCTCTCTATCACGAATCCTCCTCGCTTTGGCCGCTTCTAACGTTTTCTTCTCTTCGTTGGCCTTTAGTAGTCTTGCCCGTTCGTGCTCCAAAGCCCGCCTTTCAGATTCAAGATCCTGCGTCACCTCTTCCTGTACAGTCTTCCAGCGCGAAGCTCCATACCATTCGGGATCATTCAAATAATCTGTTACAGATTTGTCCTGTGAAATAATCATCGACCAGCAGTCCAATAGCTCGTGCGAAGCATTGGCTGTCTCTGCCGTCTGTCTTAGGTCGCTCCTTATTTTCGACACTGTGTGCAGTAAAGCGTCGAATCCGGAGTTCAGTAGTTGTAGGTGTTTGAGCTCCTCATTCAAAGTATCTGATCCACTTCGTACACTCATTTTTGAGAATAAACAGGAGAGATACCCTAGTTAATTAGAAATCGCGTCGCGTCTTGGTCTCATAAACAAGGTCGTGTCTTCTACATTTTCATGGTCGTGTGCTCGTTCCACTATTCAGGAATCCTCTCTATTTTTCACTATATACAGTATTCACCTCAACTTTACCTAGTAAGTTTAGGCTCCCTTTCAGTACCGACAAAAGGCAATCCAAGTCCACTCAACAGTTGTCTGGCCTCACGATCCAGCTGTGCAGTGGTGTGTATGGTAATGTCCATTCCAAAACGCTTGGCCCATGCGTCCTGATTGTAGTAGATCTCTGGGAAGTAAAGAACATCCTCGGGTTTCAAACCAAAAGAAACCGTTCCGTATCTGCTTCCAGCTCTGTTGGAGATACCCTCAAACGTTGTGATGCGTGGAAGCACCAGTTCCGTTAGAGTCGACAAAAACTGCGAAGCGTCTCTTCCAGTGAGTTCAACCTTAGCACCCATCTTGACTCCTTTACGTAATCCAAATGATGGCAAATTGGTTTTAGCATAAACGGATTGAGGTTTGACGCCTGTTATCTGTTGCAGTTGCAAACTGACCCCGATGTTCAGCTTTGGGTCAGAGGTACAGTTGGCCACGAACGAGTGCACTACCACCTTCTCGATTCCAGGAACGTTCTTCCAGCTCTGAGGCATAATTGTTGGTGTTGGTACCTTTTCGCCCTTTGGGGGCCTTGCTGGACGGTTGATGTGGTATGGAGATGTGAAGTCCCACTGTCTGCGCTTGAGACCTTCAGCAGGCTTCTCACCGTGAATGTAATTGATCAGCATCAAATCGGATCTCAGTGTATTGTGAATGTGTTCCTGGACTCTGTCCTGGTGTGTGATTTCTGGTCTGAACTTTGGCGATCTGGGATCCGTTGGCGAGAGCTTGAGCTCGGGAAACCTGGGCGATAGCAGCTTCTTGATCACTTTAACACGGTGGTGCACAGGCTTGACCATGGCACATCCCACCTTTAGGGAAACCGACGAGGTCGAGAATGAGCGATAACCAAGCATTATTTGACTGAAAACAAGCTGATTTGTAGTACCTAATCCTTTCCATGGTTCAATGAAATATTCTTGGTCTTTCGAGATGGCCGACTTTTCAAGTGATCATATTTACGCTTGGCCGGTCTCACGACTACACGCTTCTTCATCGTAAACACTCACCTCAGTAAGCCATTAGACACTGGACAAACCTCATAACAAGCGTACGGTTTTACTTTTTACGATTGCAGTCATGAGGTTCGTGCCTGATCTGGACCCTTCATTTCAGCACAGTGACGACCCTTTCCAAGACGGCTATTCGGACACAAGTTACGAGACTGACGATGAGGAGAAAGATGTGGTCTCTGTGTCCGTTTCAAAACAGCTAGAAATGGCTATGGAAGAGCTGGGATTGGGGGAGCATTATAAGGCTGCTTCAGAGCTAAAGTCCCCTGAGTCTCATGATTCCTTCACTCCAACATCGGCACATAGAACATCTGGGCCGGCAAACAGTAGAGTGCGAGAGGATAAAGCTGGTTTCGTGGGAGCTCAGTTCACAGTTGATTCTGAAGAGTCTGGTGACAAGAATGAAGGTGAACCAAACTCTTCACATAAAGCCCGTGAGGCCAAGATTGCATTCGATATCCGTGTTCGGATGGACAGTCGGTTGGGGAAGATTGAGTCCATACTGGCTGAGAGAAGACGGGTTCGAGAAGAGAGGGCAGAGAAGCTCAGGCGTGAAGCTGAGGAAGCCAAAAGGTGCGAGGAGGAGAAAAAGAGGCAAGAGGAAGAGGCCAGGAGGAAAGAGGAGGAGTTGGAAAGAAAAGAACAGGAGAGACTACGGAAAGAAGAAGAAGAGAGGGCTGCCAAGAAGGCTCAGGAAGAAGCTGAAAAGGCCCAAAAAGAGAAAGAAATGCAGGAACATCAGGCTCAGGAACTTGTGAGAAAAGAGGAGGAAAAACGCCTACGAATGGAGGCTGCTAAGAAGGAGGCCGAGTCCAAGAAGTCGTCATACAATTTCGAGGCCATTTCGGCTGAATTTGTTCAGTATAAACAGGATATCTTGGATATAAAAGCTGATGTTGTTGAGGCAATGAATAAGGACAAAGATTTGAAAAAACTGGTGAATCAGCACAAGCGCAAGATCAACCCTAAGTTTGGCCAATTGACCCATACCTTGCCTCAGCTGCGAAAGATCACCAGTGAGATCGTGGCTCTCGTTGAGCAGACCAAAAATAACATCTTGGTGTTTAAGTGGATCCTCAATTTCATGGCAAAGGCGATTGTATCGCAAGCTGAGACTGAGGTCACTGTTTCGCCTGGAGCGTCGTTGCCTTTGGGAATGCTGGCATTACATCTGACCATTGTTTTTCCAGAATTCCGGTACTTCCTTATGGCACGATTTGTCAAGAAATGCCCGTATGTTATTGGGTATACCTGTGACATAGACACAGACGAAGGCCGGATTCGTATGGGATGGAAACGGTCTTCGGATCAGCGGTGGGAGGCTGAAACCAAGTACAATGAGCGGGTGGGTGGTATTTGCACGTTATTTTCTGCAATGACTAGACTAAGACTGGATCCTAGTATAGTTCCACAGGCCCAGGGAGCAAAGCATCCCTTCCCGATATCGCATGGATGGAGACTGGTTTCCAGAATGTTGAATCTGCCGCTGAATTTGTTGCAAAACACGCACTTTGTGATTGCAAATGACTGGTGGGATGCCTCTGCTGCAGAGTTTGTGATGGCATATGGCAAACAAGCTAATAAAATCCTCGAGTTAATGACAACCGAGTGGGTGGCTAGCGTGGCAGACAGAAGATATCCCGGTGCCGCGCGCCTGGTGCTCCAAAAGGAAGAGCTCGCCAGCACTGGCAAGTGCAAAAGCTTTAAGCCAATGGACGCTTACGAATAGAGAGTTGTGTATTATAGTAATAACGATAGAGCATTGACATCAAAGATTGTATATGGAATGTGCGTGATCAAGTTTAGCGCCGCACTTCTGGCGGTTGTAATATTCCTAAGCGCCCGAAAGCCCCTCGTTAAGCGCTCAAAAGTCATACATACACCACCTTCTCCTCCTCATCCCGTTTTATTTCTCATGAGCAGACCACAAATTCCCGAGGTGCCGGTGGCACCGTATCCGGTTGTTGTGCCGAACACGCGAGTTGTAGCTGGTTTTGGCAGAGGATCGTCGTCAATCGGGATCCCTACAGCGAATGTGCCGGTTGAAGACATACCCGCTGAAGCGCTGAGAATCCTGGATACCGGTGTGTATTTTGGTTGGTGCAAGGTTCTCAGAGCAGATGAACCTGCTCACACGGAATTGCGCAAAGATGGGACAACTGAAGTTGAATTCAGCAATGGCGAAGGATTGGTTCAAGGCCAGGACGCAGATGTGGTCTTACCCATGGTGATGTCTATTGGGTGGAATCCGTTCTTCAAGAACAAAGAGAAGGCCGCTGAACTGCATATTTTGCACAAGTTTCCGAAGAACTTCTATGGAGCGAAAATCAGCTTCGTGGTCTTGGGGTATGTTCGCCCAGAACTGTCATATACCACGCTAGAGGCGTTGATTGAGGATATTAATCTTGACATAGCGAGTGCAAAAGAGTATCTTGCGAAGGACGCGTATGTGGAGTATAAGCATGTGTTGAATTGACTCAAACTAAAGCAAAGGTTTCGAGAAAAAGGAGCTTGCAAGTGTGAGGCTAGCGAGGCAAAGTACTTGGTTGTACTGCTGTGAGACTAATTTATGAGCCTAATTGATGAAATTTCCCAGTGACGTAACTGGGTTCCTACGAGCAGAGTTGGAGAGGCTTTCGAGTGATAACAGGTGGTTTTTGGACTAGTGGGGATTACGGTGGTAGATCATGAGCGAAGTTATTAGAAGCAAGCCAAATTCACCAGAGTGACGCATATTCTATAGTGTATATGACAGAATCTGCGAGAAATTCTATTTGAGTATATCGGTGTAAGATAGTTGCCTCGCCGAGCTCATCATGCTCTCTAAAACGTAGTTATTCGAGGAACTAAGCATAGATATCGGATTGGACTGTCATCCTCAAATCAACTTCAACTTTGTTTCGTCAACATCCTTTTTGAACATCTTCTTCAGTGTGGTTATCGCCACAGTCAGCATCTTGCTGAACCAATAGACATTGAGGACATCCAGCACCACATTGCCCGAGAAGATGGTGAGTGAAAACAGAGTGTTCGAGCGTGGGTCGTTTCTCACTGAATAAAAGTCCATACCTAGACGTGCAGCATAGTACCAGCCCCAAGCGATCCGCACAAAGAAGAAGATCAGGATCAGGATAGCGTTGTTGACGAGCGCAATACGAGGTCCAAACCTATCGGGGAACTTGAGAGCGAACCAGCGCACATTGAGGAAAGGAGTAGACAGTTCGAACAGCAAGAAGTGTGGCGCGTAGAAGTGAATATACCCAGAGGCTCCAATTAAAAACATGGCCGAGGAAACAACTCCGTGGATGAGATATCCGATTCCAAAGAGACGAACGTAAGCGAGGGAGATCAGCGAGTCCCATACAAAGTACCCCGCGGCTGCAGCGGAAACCATTCCGGCATATGGTGACACAGCAAACACGCGATGCTGCGCGAGGTGCTCATTGCAGAACAAGGGCATAATTGCTAATAGAATGACGATACTCTGAAACATAGATACGATGCGGATCGAAAAGTCGACACGCGTCTTCGGCGAGATCGTCTTATTCAAACTTGGGTTCAAAAACCGCAGATATAGCCTGGCAAGCACGAAAACAATCTGGTACAAGATGACGGTGGAAACCAGCTCGTGAATATGATTTTGTAGCCTTCCGTGGACCAATGGCATCAGATATTCGTCTACCAATGGAACCCTGACATGTGCCAGAGGGTCGTCATAGGCGTATGCCTTTTGCAGACGGCGAAAACTGTCCATGTTCTAGCAATTGCACACTGGCAGTAGAAGTAGCAGATAACAGTCCCCTGTGGGAAGTGGAAAGCAAAAAGGGAGAGGAAAGTGGGACTGGTTGTATCAACTCAGGGATAAGTTGGAGACTCTGGGAGGTCAAAGTACGGAGGAGTGTGTGCTGGTCGTGCGCTGGCTGACTTTTTGTTGGGATTTTGGCCCGGGACGACCTTTACGATCTGGACCGGTTATCTGTAAATAAAAATGATTTGAACGGTCAAAATCGTCAAAATGATAGCGTATTCGCGGGCTGGTATGTTGAAAAAACTAGAGATTGTATTTTGACAAGTAAATTGTGATAGGTCAGCGAAATGGTGTTTAACAAGAGCAAGATGCCAAAATTCCGGTGTCTACGGTCCCATTCAAGCAAAAATTAGACTATAAAATACACGCTCGGTGGTAGAGACGGTAAAAGTACAATGGCGCTAGGAACAAACGGGGCAAAAGAAGAAGTGAAAGTAGGTCTCACTTCAGACCCAAAAGAAAAATTCAGCTTGAGTCGCGGAAAAAAGTAGAAAAAAGATTAACAAAGAAAACATTCACTAGTGTACAGAGGACAAGTCATAAAGAGATTGCTAAAGCACGTCTCATTTCTTGGCCTTCTTCACCACCTTCTTCACAACCTTCTTTGGAGCAGGCTTCGTCACCTTGGAAACGACCTTCTTTGGAGCAGCCTTCTTCACTGGCTTAGCAGCTGGCTTGGTCTCCTTCTTTGGAGCGACCTTCTTAGGAGCAGCCTTCTTGGGGGCGGCTTTCTTTGGTGCAGCCTTCTTTGGTGCAGCCTTCGTAGGGACAGCCTTCTTAGGGACAGTCTTCTTGACCACCTTCTTAGGGGCGGCCTTCTTTGGAGCAGCCTTGACCACCTTCTTTGGGGTGGGCTTGGCAGCTGGCTTAGCCACCTTCTTTGGGGCCTCCTTCTTGGCAACAACCTTCTTTGGGGCTGGCTTGGATGGAACCTTGTTCAACTTGACTGGGCCGGATGCACCCTTTGGTTGGACAAAGTAGCCGGCGACAACACCACGTCTCAACGCGAGGTTGAACTGGGAGTCAAAGTTCGTGGCAGCCTTGGAGTTTGCCAAGATGTACTTCTTGATGGCCTGACGACTATAACGGGGTTAGTATGGGCAATTAAGGCGAAGCAGTAATGTCGATGAAAAATAGTGCATTTTGGCATTGTCATATCCTAACCTCCCTGCTGCAACAACATCAACGACAAATTAAAACAACTTACCTAGAGCCATTTCTCTCCTTCAAAGTGGTGATAGCTGCGGTGATCAGGTCTAATGAAGTTAGTATAGGCCAGGAAATCGAAAATGGCTGCAAAAACTTCTTGTGGGTATCTGTTTCGTAAAAACCAGATATTTGCTTCATCAACACTTACCTTTGTAGGACTTCTTCTCAACCGGAGCAGATGCTTTAACCTTTGGAGCCATTGTAATAAAAGGGGATTGGATTGAACAGAATTTGTTGGTTTAAACAGATTATGTTCTGAAGAAAGAGAAAAGAACAAGAAGGAGAGAGGGGCGCGACGCCGTTGTTTTCGTTTCTTCAAAATCAAAACAAACAGGGTTTGAGTTTGGAACTACCTTTTGACAGATCGAATCTGAGGCGTCTACGAAGTTTGAGAGGTTACAAAAATTGCGGCCTAAAGAGAAGTAAGAGGAGCAGTTTGATTTTATAATTCTGGTGTGCAGTATATTGTTTTTGGGGAGAGAGTAGAGGTGGTCGGTGAAGTAGTAATTGGATTTTAAGCGCCGAATGTATAGGTTCAGATGTTGGCATGATGGACTATTATTGCTAAAATCGGGACAGAGGAATTTGCGCTGAGGTATGCATGCGCCATGATTTCAGAGCCATCGCGGATTGATTGTGTGGTACGAAGTTGCGGGTTCGCAGCGCGCAATTGGTCTGACCGCGCTCTGGCGCGTAACCAAAATATAACCAAAATATCAACAACACCGTCACTACGCCAAAAACGCCCATACACCGCGAATACATTTCAACTCTGTCTTTATTTGGCCTATACTGTATTTTCCTTGATTCTAAGCTATTTCAAGAGTATTCGCATGTCCTAAATCACTCGGACTATGTAACAATGTCAACACACTTGAAAAACACCACAACACCCTACAACTCTCAAATTGCACACAGAAGCAATTTCATCAGAAATGCTTTCAATCACGGTATATTCTACCCGTATTTCGTCTTTGAAATCCGACTTGCAGTAATCCTTATTCGCTATCACAAAAATTACAATTGAGCCGCACAGTGTTTGGATTATCTAATATATGACTAAGCGGCGAAAATTTGGCTTCCTGTCCTTGCAGTAAACACACCTCTATCTTACTCTTTTCTCTTCTTTTCTTCCTCTCAATCAGATTATCGCTTGCTGTGTCATGTCTCTGGATTCTGTGGATCCTGTGGATCCCGTTTTTAGTACCGAAAGCGTGGACACCCGCCCGTTCGATGCGAACAACATCGAGAAGGAAATCTCAGAAATTCTGAAGGAGGATAACGAGGCCTCGGGCCAGCCGCAGCAGCAGCCGCAAGAGGAAACGGCCGAAACAAGTTCCGAAAATGATCGCTACGGTAGCTTGGTGATACCCGAAGGGTCTGAATTGTTGAAAACAGGGCCTTCAGCACTGGACCAATACCGAAGGCTGATGAGTGACTCCTCCAGTCTGGCGTCTTCTCTAAGCGCGAAAAACGAGAATTCTAACCCCCAACTGGCCGCATTGCCGCTGAACATTACTTCCCCAGCGGACATCCCTATGAACGCCCAGTTATTGATAAATACGATTCCAGTGTTGGACAATCTGGCCACGCAGATTCTGCGGACCATCACTCAGACGCCATATGAAACTATCATGGAGATCGTTTCCAATCGCGATTCTTTGGACTCAATCGCGTTTTCCAATCTTGTGGAACTATTTGAGGTGACCAAGAGAGTGTATAACTCCGAAGACAGTCCATTTTTCACCGTCGAAAACGTTACCTATGGGCTGTGGAAGTACGGTTCCCATGCTCCGTCCTTCTTGCGTGGAAAAGAACAGTCCATTGAAAGCACGCTTAGAAAGGTCAATTTGGCCACATTCTTGAACGCAACGCTTGGTATGGTGGATATGGGTTTTTTCTTCCTTAACGAGGCGTTTTTGGATGTGTTCTGTCCTCCCCAGGGCCTAGACCCGGCGCAGACCATGTCCAACCAGACGAGTTTTGGCGTTTCCAACACGGGAGCAGGCCCTTCGACCTCTATGGTTCCTAGTAAGTTGCTTAAGCAACAAGCCATTTTGTTTTTGGATCTGAAAACTCAGGCGTTCATCTCTGCCATCGAGCTTGGCGATAGGTCCAAGGAGGAGATAGTTGATGATCTTTTCCCCTCGAATCTGGATGAGACTTTGATACGCAGAAGAGAGCCGCAGTTTGATTTCCAAGCCCATCCAATCGTTCGCAATGCGACGATGTTCACTCCGGCCGAGCTGGTGTTTCTGCAAAAGTGCGAGTCGCGCAAATCACATCTGATGCAGGCGGCCAACGACGAATCGCTGCTCCACAGATACGAATGGCTGAAATTTTTGGCCGATATTCTGGACTATGTCAGCAAAAATGTTGGGTTTTTGATTTGGGGCTCTGAGGCTAGGGGAATCTACACAAGCACATTGCCTGCTTCGCCGTTGGAGTCTTACAGACACTCCAAGAGATCGGCCGATTCGCATTCCAGTAACGGCGTGAAACGTCCAAGAGCTGCGTCTTCGACTGTTTCCGTTTCCAGAGATGCGCCGGCGCCAATCCAAACCACCTCGGACGAGTTTCTTCCCTCTGATATCCGCAACTACCAGTATGCCACCACGGGAAGGCCCATACGATCTCGCAATGGGTCTGGTAGGATGGCCTGGTCCAAAGAGGAAGAAAACGCTCTTCGTGAGGGCATCAAAGCGTGTGGAACGCAATGGTCTGCGATTCTGTCGCTTTATGGTCCTGGTGGAACTCTCAGCGAGGCCCTCAAGAATCGGACTGCGCTTCAACTCAAGGATAAGGCTCGTAACTGGAAAGTTTTCTATCTTCGGTACAACCTTCCTCTTCCAGAGTTTCTGGTGACGGTTACTGGAGATCTTGAGCGTGATGAGAAAAACAGCAGGCGGTCAGCCACGCGCAGACCAAAGATGCTCAAGAGCGATGTAGCCAAGTCCAAGATGAAGCGGATTGAGCAAAAGGAAGATTCCAATATTGAGCCTGAGCTTATCGAGGCTGATAAGCAGGGAGATGCCCACAAGCTGGCGGATTCGCAGTCGGATTCTCAGCAAGAGGCTACTTCTCATGACAATTACGATGAGCTAATCACCAACTTGTTCCGTGACCAGGCCAGGCACGAGGCCGAGTCTGAACAACCAGTTCAAGGAGAAACCCACGAGGGTGAAGGTGAAGAGGCCACCGCCGAGTTGAAGAACTTGGTTGCGGCTGTTTTTGGCAATGTGAAGGAGTGAAGAGAATGATGAGAGTACATCTGCTTTGGATGTGATTACTGTATAACTTTGTATTATTATTGAAGATTAGTAAAGGGAATTAAATGTGTAGCTAGGCGATGGTTGTGGACTGTGGGGGAGTGCATGATGCCCTGCATGACTGCATGACGGTGTTGATATTGAATGTAAGAAGGTTGGATATTGGAATCTAAGAGAAACATCAAAAAAAAAGATTATTTGCAGGGTAGTTTAAGGATAAATTTCAGCAATTTGAAGAGGTTTTGATAGTGTCTTAAGAGTATTTCAAAAGTGTCTGAAGAGTGCTTAATGAGTGCCTAACGAGTGCTCAAAGAACATTCAGTAAGTATGAAAACTTTGAAAACTTTCCTGAGCATTCTAAAGAGCTTTTTGAAAAAAAAAAGTACTCTAGTTGCATGTTCAAGCTGTCCAAAGAGTATTATGACATTATTCCAATTTTTTCAAAAGTTGTTAAATAGAGCTTTGACGTGAGTTTGATGCTGTTTCTGAAGGGCATTTACTCTAGAAGAGTTTCTTGATATTACTTTTCTCATCTCCACTTGTATTCTCTTGTTCTTACGCCTAACCCTATCATCCAACAATCTCTTCTCTCATCTGCCTCCCCCTATTAGCCTTCTATGCCTTAGCCTTCTATGCCTTAGCCTTCGCCTTGGAAGCCGCTTTCCCCTTCGCCTTGGCCTTACCACCAGCCTTCTTTTTCACCTCCTTGATCAACTTATCCTTCTTCAAACTATTGTCCTCATCATCATCCTCATCCGCCTTGTCGTTCATATCATCAACAACAACATCCTCTGAGTCAGCAACAACCTTTTTCCCACCACCAGATGCAACAGAATTGCCGGTCTTATATATAGAGATCGGATGTGTCATTCCGTTGTACTTGCGAGTGAACGCAGTCTTGACCGGAGTTGGGATCTTTTTCAAATTGGCCTCCATTTTGAATCGTCCAACACCAAAGTCCATAATGTTGTCCCAATCCTCCTTGGTCAGGAAATAGCAATCCATTATCTCAATCACATCGGAGATTCCCTCCTGTTGTTTGGATACTAAAGGCTGGAATAGCCTTTGAATCAGATACGTCATGTAGCTGAGTCGCAACTCAACGTTATTGGTAGACGTCCGGATCGAAGTGCGGTACTGCAGCTCTTGGAGCAATCTCGAAAACTTCATTCTCTTCGAGTTCTGGCCCAACCAGGCAGTGAAGTTGATTCTGGATTGAATCTGCCCGGCAACATAGCTCGAAGGCAGTACTGAAGAAACAAGCCCGTGAAACGGCAAGAGACTCCATTGTTGCTCACCACTCCTGATCTTACTGTTCACCAAGTCCGATTCGGAAATCGCGTTGGATGCCTTTTCCAGAAGCTCCAATTTGCTGAGGTTCTGGTCTTTGGGCGAACCACGGCTGAGCCGCGATGGCGCCGTACTCAGGTAGTTTTCCTGGACCATCAAAGGCGTGAAATCGATATCGTCAAAGTATAGATTAAGCTTATCGTTGAGTGACATGTGCGATGATTCCGAGAACGTGGAACCAGAGAGTAACCGTCCAATGATATCAAACGGTTTCAAAGAAACCTGTTTCTGCCAGGCCTTTTTGATGGCAGATGCATCTTCGAACCCAAGTTTCTTTTGGGTTCTAGAAACTTGCGACAAAATGTTGATGATCTGTCTGATATCATTGTGGGTTGTTTCCACCAATTGGTCAATCACATTCGGGTCCAGTTGGAACTTCTCACGATGAGCAATCGTCATGAGCCTGGATCTCATCTCTTGGGCACTGGGTCTTCTCCACGTCAAATCTAAAGTCACACGATCAAAAGGCCTCATCTTGGGAAGAGACTTATCGTTGCAAATAAGGATCAATGGCATCGAAGTCTGTCTGCAGAAAGCAGCCAACTGGCCCACTCCACCATGGTCTCCACTCGACATTCCGTCCACCTCGTCCATTATTAAAACAAATTTATTTTGATTGGCATTGTGGTTTTCTTTGCCTTGGAAAAATCCCACTAACGAGGTATTATCCAGCACAGACTTGAGATCTGCGTTTAAAAGCGATTTTGATCTCACGTCTGAGGCGTTTTTCTCTAGAACATCAAAACCAAGAGACTTAGCCACCACATGAGCAGCTGTGGTCTTTCCGATTCCCGGTGGTCCACTTATTAGAACAGCTCTGAAGACACCCGTTCCGTCTTTGCCCGGATTCTTGAACCCAGCCTTGGAGTTGGCAAACCAGTTCGTCAGCCAATTGGATAGCTTCGCCACGTTCGACTTGTTTCCGCAGATATGCTCCATTTTCGTAGGAGCATATTTCACTGTCCATAGCTTCTCGGAGTCTGGTTTATCGGACGTTTTGATAATAATTGGAAGAGAATCCTTGGAAGAAGATGATCCTGACTGCGCCGACCTTTGAGCCAGTTTTTGCAACCTCTCTTTTTCTCTGTTTTCTTCCTCTTTCATTTCCTTTTCGGCCTCTGCAATTGCCTTCTTCTCTTCTTCCTCTTTCTTGGCTATTGCCTTTGCAGCAGCCTCACTTCCTCCTCCATTGGAGGAGACTCCAGATATTAAAGAAACGAACCCATCTTCGTCGATAGCTTTGATACCAAATTCTTTGATCTTCTTCACTTTTGAAGGTCCCGCCTCAGCACCTATCACGACTAGACTTGTCTTTTTGCTAAGCGATTTGGTCACTTTAGCACCGTACCGTGTAGCCAGCGACTCCGAGGTGGATCTATCCAGAGAGGGCAAATTTCCAGTGAAAACGATTGTTAGACCGGCCAGACAATTGGGCGAGCCTTCAGGTATTTCGCGTGATCCCAAGTCTGGTTGAGGAGCCTCTGCTTGTCTCTGTTTTAGCTGGAAAAAACTGAGACCCTCCGTCTCAGAGGTATCTGGGAGAACGGCGTCTGGGATCGTCTTTAACAGTTCCTCGGCGGTAGTCCCACCCAAAGCCGGTTTCGAGGTTGATTCTGGTTTCTTGGGAGTTTCTTTCTTAACTGGAGACTTCTTGACCGGTGACTTTTTCACCGGTGAGGGAGTAGCAACTACTGGCTTGGACTCTCTCCTAGAAGACTTGGGAGGCTTCACCAACTCCACAAAATCGTCGTCATCGTCCAAAATCTCGGGCTCATCAAGCTCCTCGTCTGCAGCTTCTGACTCGTCCATCTTGAAATCATCGTCGTCAAAATCATCGTCCGAAATCACCACCCTCTTTTTCTTTTGGGCGGGTCTCGCCTCCGCAGAAGAAGAAATGGCAATTGGGGCCGTCTTGGATTTCTTCGCAGCGGGAGCCTCTGACACCGTCTTCGGGCTTTGCTCGACTTTCCTCTTCACAGGTTTTGCGGCCTTTGGCTGTGAAACAAACGTGTTAGTAACCACCATTTTCTAATCACCAGACCCTTAGCAGGCCCGGCAAGGTCGCGTTTGTCGCGCCGAACGCGGACCACAAGTCCCACTAAACTACAGAAATGGTTCACATACGCCTTTTTGGACCTTGAAGAAATCTGTCAAGTCAACCATTGTCCATATAAATTCCAGCTCAAGTAAGAACTTTGAGAAAGACGAGTTAAGCGCCCAAAAGACTCACGCGTTAAGCGCCCAAACGCAGAGGGGGGTCGACCCGCCAATGCCAAAATTTACACGCTGGCATGCCTCACTTAAGTAGCGAGTGTATTTTGGTGGTTTTTACACACATTTCGTGGGTTTTTTTTGTGATCGTTTTTTCGTTTTCAGCCAATTGAACAGCACCAAGTAGTCTGTATCACGTATACTTGGATATTGTTGAGCCATGGCTAAAAACAACAAAAATAAAAAGAAGCAGAACGGCAACGGTGCTGCGAGCTCCAACGGATCTGCAGGAGGAGCTGGTGTTGGTGAGAAAAGCCAAAAGGCAGACGTTGCGAACGTTGTTGATTCTCCCGATGATAGTACTGTTGATTCTGGTCTTGGTGATACTGATGTGCCGTCTGGTGGTGTTAATGGGAGTGTGGATGAGAAGGATCGCGAAAAAGACGACGAAAAAGACAGTGAAAAGGACAACAATGTGGTGGAAACTAGCACAATAAACGAGACTGCAGATCCAGCAAATGTGCCGGAACCTTCTGATCATTTGAATTTGGCGGCTTCTTCAGCCCAGCTCGAAAGAATCCAACTCCTCGAACAACAGCTCGCACAGCTCTCGCTACAGCTCGCTGAAAAGAGCCAAGAAACAGATTTATTGCGCGCATCCAAAGCAGAAAGAACCAGTGATACCAACACTACGATACGAGAACTCCAGGAGCAGCTCCGGGATAAAACCGAGGAGAGTGAAAGACATGAGGCCGACTATAAAAACCTTCTGGGCAGGCTCAGCTCGATGAAATCCGTATTCAGCAAGATGAAGGAGGCACAGTCAGAATTGGAGGAGTCTAAAGAGCGCATATCGCAGCTGGATACTATAAATGGTGAGCTCACAGCGCGATTGGACGCTTCTGTCAGAGAGACCAAGAAGGTCAAAGATCAGTTAGCGGAGTTGCAGGAAGAGACAAACAGCTTGAATAGCGAGTGCGATAGGTGGAGCAAAGATCTTTCTAAGCTTAGAAGGGAATTTCAGACGAAAGATGACGAATGGAATGAAGAAAAGCAGCAGTTGGTGAGCTCCCGGAACAAGCTGTTGATCGCGAATCAGGAGCTCAAATCCGAGCATGAAGAGCTCGTGATCATGCTGAACGAAGAAAAGATGACAAAACAGAATTTTGTTCAAGAAATCTCAGATTTGAAGGCAACGGTTGCCCAGCTAGAGGCCAATGCTGCTTCCAGTGACGGAGTCAAAGATGCGATATCTGAGCAGATCCTCCAGGTGCGCGAGCAATTGAGGGAGTCTATTGAGAAATACGAATCTGAAATTTCGCTCTTGAAAGAAACTATAGTCTCACAGAAGGCTGAAATAGCCCAGAAGGCTGAAGCTCGTCAAGTCGACGAAGCTACCATAGCCCGGTTGGAAACAGAGGTTGCCCGTATCTCTGGGTTGGAATCGGACATCAAGGAAAGACAAATTCAGATTGGAAAGCTGAGACACGAGAATGTGGTTTTAAACGAACATCTCACCAAGGCCTTAAGGCTGATCAAAAAAGACTCCAATACCGAGCAAGTGGATCGTGAATTGGTTTCAAATCTGTTCATAAGCTTTCTGAGTCTCCCCAGAGCGGACACGAAGAAGTTTGAAGTTTTACAGTTGATTTCCAACTTTTTGAACTGGGATGACGATAAGAAGATGCATGCTGGGTTGATTGCGAACCCAAACGCTAAGAGTGCGAATGGCAAACACTCGAGAACTCCTAGCGCCAGTAATATTTTGATGTCGGGGGGTCCCGTGGATACCCGATCAGACTCGTTTGTTTCACTTTGGACTGAGTTTTTGGAGAAAGAGACTAGTTAATAGTGAGGAAATGCTGCAAAAGTGATGCAGAAGTTGTTACTTGTGTCTGTATGTGTGTAGTGGAATACTCAGAATATATGAACCTCAGTTATTCAGCTTTACAGGTGGGACCACAAGGTGGGATCACAAGGTGGGACAGCCAGGTGGGACAACCAGTTGGGACGTCTCATAGACATTTCCGTCACCAAACGGCTGATGTGCTGAGCCACCCCCACCAGTAGTACTGAAGAAAGTTGAAAGGCCAAGAGTTCCATGGACATCTTTGTCAGAAGGTCAATACTTAATGAAGGGATTGTTCAGGTCTGTAGATGGGTTGAAGAAAGGTTCAGGAAGAACTCAATTCCTCTTAAGATTCTACTGTTCATGGAAAAAATTGCCCTTAATCGCCATGAGTAATGGAATACAGTCTTCTGGTTATTGATTATATATCTTCAAAAAGACAAGAGAAAAATTTCAAAAAAATGGTAAATTTTCGAATATGATGCTATTCCATTTGATCAATGTGAGGAAGCAGCGTCCAGAGCTACACCTTCAACATCAGGCTCATTATTTCCTTGAGATTCTAAATGGAAACGATAACCAGAGTGTAATTTGTCTCAGGGCTGTTGCACTTTGGGTCTCTTTTGGGTACTTTTTCGTCCTCATGTCGCTTCTGAAGACCCAATATACGCAAATCTTGATGAATAGATCGATTAGGAATCCTGTGCCTGAATGAGCATTATTCAACACAATTTCTTCATCAAAGCATTTTTGGCATTGAGAGAATATTGAGGGAGGATCTCCATTATGCGATCCCCAGTTATAGAAATTTCAGGTGCGGCGTTAGCATGTTCTAACCTGATTTGCGTGTGTCACCAAAATGGATAAGGTGAGATTAAACGATAACACGCAGGGAAGCTACGATGTTGGTAAAAGTCATGATTACCACGCTACCTCATAAATCCGAGCTATCCCCGATGTTATCAGTTGAAATATCTAGCCGTGTTTCTGAGAGACGTGATCCGAAAATTCCCCAAACGTTTCTGTCACTTATCCACCGGTCTAACCCAGTGGAGCACCAGCAGAGCCACTTCTTCCCCCACCGTAGAGGTTGACCGGAGTTAAAGATTCCGTTTCCAAAAAAGAACCGACGGTTGATACGGTTAAATTCTCGAAATAAATTGCGCATCTACGATGTTCGATGCTAACTAAACCTGCTGAGGTTAAGTATGGAATGTACCAAAGTACCAGTGTGTGAGATGCGTATTACTATAACTTTCTGTGTTCAGCGACTTTCCATCCTAGTTCATGACCCTGTTCATATGTCTAATCATGTCCACCTAGTTAGCAGAGAACGAATCACTATCCCCGAGATTGCTTACAGAAACTAATATGAATGGAATATTGCGATTAATTAGGTTGGCAGGTTGCACGCAACTGCCCAGAAACAATGCGATTGGCATGGTTGAGATTATTGCAACCAACCGCACCATAATCAGCAATTAATCTATCTGAACGAACGATTTGACAGCCCATGGCCCTGTTTCCAGGTTCCCCTTCAACTTGCCTCCACCTTATCGATATCGCATCGAGGCCCTTCTCAAGCAAGATTTCCCAGATAGGAAGGAATTACCTACCCGACTATCCATGTATTGATTCCGAAGGGTTTATGCACATTCTCAAGTGGGCAGTCTCTTATCCGGAGTGCGCAATCTCGGCGGTTATCTTAGTCTGATTCATGTAGCTGACTATTCGTACTTTATGACATGTATTTAAAAGGCTCTAGATAAGCGTTTTGGCTTATTCCTCGGCCTATTCTTCACCATTCTTACTATCATGTCTGAAACCAAAGACTCCAAAACCGTCGAGGTCATAGTCACCAACGAAGAAGTTGCCTCAGCAGAATCACAGGATGGTGGATTCAAAGTGACCGATCAACTCTACGATATGTTCCTGGCCTCCCAGGAGTATCCCGTGGAACAGCTCGAAGAAGACTCCAATAGAGTCAGGCGCAAACTGGACATGTACCTCATGCCTCTGTTGATGTTCACCTATTTGCTTTCGTTTTTGGACAAACAGACACTCAATTATTCCAATGCTTATGGTTTGCAAGAGCAGCTGCACATGGTTGGTCAAGACTATTCCTGGGCAGCCAGTGCTGCCAATTTTGGCCAACTGATTGCGGCATGGCCAGTGAACATGATGTTGCAGAAGGTGCCTGTTGGAAAGACCTTGTCTGTGTTTGTATTTTTCTGGGGAGTTGTTTGTCTTTGTACTGCTGCTAGTTCCTCTTTTGGTGGACTGATGGCTGCTCGTGTGATTCTGGGAATGGTTGAAGCCATCATTGCTCCGGCGTGTATGGCTTTGACAGCCATGTTCTATCAAAGAAAAGAGCAATCGCTGAGAATGTCACTTTGGCTGGGCTGTAACGGAATTGCCACCATGTTGGGTGGAGTTATTTCATGGGGTTGTGGCCATGCGCATTCTAGTTTGGACTCCTATAAACTGATTTATATGGTCGTGGGGTCTATTACATGTGCCTGGAGTTTCGTGATCTTCTTCCTCCTTCCTGACACTCCAAGAAACGCCAAAATGCTGACAGAATACGAGCGCATTGTTGCTGTCTATCGTATTGCGAAGAACAAGTCTGGAGCAAAAAACCTTCAGTACCAGAAATACCAGATCAAGGAAGCCTTCATGGACCCGCTCGCTTACGCTATCTGGTCTTTGCAATTTTCTCTTGGTCTCTTGAACGGAGGGGTTGCCAATTTCACCTCCACATTGTTCAAAGCCTTCGGATTCACAGGAATGGCTTCCACCCGGCTTCAAGTCGTTGGAGGTGCTTTTGAGCTGGTCTCGTGCTTCTTCTTTGGGTTCCTAGCTGCTAACGTCAAGAACACGCTCATGTTGTCCATTTCACTGGCTGCTGTTCCTGGTATCGCGGGAATTGCAGGTATCACGTCCATTCCGATGAAGCACAAATACGCACTTGCTGCCTGCACTTGGTTCCAGAACACTTTTGGTGCCAGTATCATCCTCACATGGTCCATTCCTAGCGTCAACATCACCGGTCACACCAAGAGAGGAACCGTTGTCGGGATTGGTTTTGTGGTGTATGCCGCTGGAAACATCATTTCTCCTCATTTCTTCGACGCCAAAGATGCTCCTAGATTCAAGCCTGCGACTACGGGTTTATTGGTGTGCTACTCCTGGTTGATCTTGACTCCATTGTGTTTGGCTGGTTTTCTGCACTATAGAAACAAGAGTCGTGACAGAAAGGGATACATTGTTGCAGATCGTGAAGAGATCCTCGCGGGTTTCGCCGACCAGACGGATTTCGAAAACAAGGGTTTCCGCTATATCTTCTAGGTTATCTTGAATATTTCTTACTTGGCCGAGCCTCGAAGGATTATTTATTTTTTCAGTTTGCTTACAAGTCTCTGGTTGGATATCTGCATGCACCTACCAGCTGCACTAACTTCTAAGGGTTACTGTGCTCCCCTTCTCCCGCTGTTACCGATTTTTTTAAAAGTCTTCCAATTTTGACCGTGCCTATTCCTTGCAACCATAAAATACCCAGGGTAGCCATCTCGTTATCTCTGTTGCCCCGTGCCTGTATCTAAGATAAGCGCCGAATGTAGGAAGGTTCTGCGACCCAATGCGGCATCATTTGCGATGAGATAAGCGCATTTCCTGATGCGGCCCATTTGCACAGGGATGCCCCGAATGGTGCAACCGCAACCGCGCGCGCATAATTCTGGTTAATTGCCGACAATTCACTCAGGCATGATATTAATGATATTGTTGCGACGTTCGACACTTGATCTTGAATTCACTTATTAACACAAGCACAAAATGGTGGTTATCATCAATTGTAAGGGTACACCATACGAGGTGAGTCTTGGATTAGAAGCAGTCACGTGGTCTCCGTGGGATCGACTCTGTTGGTCAAAGTTTCAATTACTAACACCCGCAGATGGGTTATGCCCACGGCTCCACAGCCAAAAAGCAGATCAAAAAGGTCATTGAACTGTACTCGTCATGGAATCTTGAATGGTCTGGAAGGAATTGGGCGGAGTTGAAAGAAGATGCGAAGCTTATCCAGGCCACTCTCAAAGAGAAGGCCAGCTTCCTTCTTGAGGAGATCGAAGGAATCGCAGCAGGAGCGGGCGTTGACGTTCTCGATATAGTTGTTATGAACTCCAGATATGAAATCGGGCTTTCTGGGGCTGCTGCAACGAAAAGGGCCGAGGAAGTACAAGCGCTTTCGGTGGATGGATGTACTACCTTTTCGGAGAGGTTCGAGGGGAAACAATGGATTGGTCAAAATTGGGACTGGCAAAACGAAATTCAAGAAAATTTGGTCTATTTGAACTTGGAAAATGCTGATCCTACAATTCCAAGAATTAAGGTGGTTGCTGAGGCCGGTTTGCTGGGTCAGACAGGTTTCAACGATAGAGGTGTCGCCCAAATGGTGAACGCACTATACGCTTCTGATCTTGATACTTCCAAGATTCCGGTTACTTTGATTAGAAGAATTATTCTGATGCAGAATTCGAAGGAAGAGGCTCTGGCCAAGATGAACGAGTTGGGATGCGCCGCTGTTGTCCATCTGATGGTTGCAGACAAAACTGGTGTTGTTTCTGTTGAAACCTCTCCATATGGTCTGTCTCTTCTCAAGGACGACGAGCAGAGACTGGCTCATTCTAACCATTGTATCAAGCCTTTTGAGGGATGTCATGTCAATAATCTGTTGAAAGACTCTTACCCCAGACTGGACAAAATGCGCGAAATGCTCCAAGAGGGAAAGGCCGAGCCACCATCCTACGAAAAGTACCTTAGGATGTGCAGTGACGAGTCGAACCCTCCTAACTCGATCAACAGAGCTAATGATCCTTCGAAGACTGGGACTTCTGCCCACAGTAAGACCTGCTACACCATAATCTTGAATGCCAGCGATGGCTATGGAAGAATATCGTTTGGCAGACCAACTGAGCAGGAAGAGGTGTTGGAAATATCTTTTACAGGCCCCGAAAAGGGCGTTGTGTACGCGAACTAGTTAGAGATAAAAGAAAAAGTGAATGCCTCGTCTGGCCCAGAAGTAGACAGCCCTGGAATTTCCGGTTTTGTATCTATCGTGTATGTCTCAATAATGTCCAAACCTATGAGAAGTCGTCAATTCCCAATCATCATCTATGGAACGTAAAGAAGATCTTTATACGAGACAGAAAAAAACAGGCTATATTCATTTTTCATTATGTTTAGACTATCCACAGGCGTTATCCATTCTGCTAGAAGGTCTGTTATGCAGCAATGCAGATGGGAAAGTTCTGCCGCATACCAGGAAGCTTTGAAGGCCATTAGAGATGACTTGAAGGTGAACTTTCGCTTCAAGGCAGATGTTATAGAGTGAGTCAATTTTACTTTCCAAAATTCGCAAGATGTTCTTGCTTCAAAGCTGTCAATGTGGTAACAGTTCTTCGCAAATTTCGCAGATCCCGGAACTAATACTAATTATGTCCTTCCAGAAAAAACGTCATTAGAAGCATGTTGACTGAAATCAAGAACAAGGAGATTGACACCCCCACTAAGGTCCATGACGAGTTCGATTTATATGAGCTGTTTGCCAAAATGATCAAGCAAAGGCAGGAATCTGCCAAGGAGTACATGAAGGTTGGAAACCCAGACCGTTTCCATCAAGTTGGATTGAACGAGTTGAGAGAGGTTGACTACATTAAGAAATACATAGACGCTTTGCCTGTTGCAACGGATGCCGAAATCGACGCCAGAGTTGAGAAAGCTGCCAAACTTGCACTGGAAGAGGGCGCCAAGTTAGAGAAAATTTCCGACCTGATGGCCAAGATCCCTTGGAAATCCATCAATAGCGATTGGAGGGCCTCCAAAACTGCTGTCTCTGCCAGTGTCCAAAGAGTCTTCAAGGACTTGTAAAAAGTGAAGATTTGGTGCGGAGATTGAGGGCTTTGATCCTATCAGAAGGCCTCGACTAATGCGCTGTCTTGCAGCTTTTCTGTTCTGAATAGATTGCAAGATTAGGAAAATAGGAGACGCATTCGAGAATCTCGGCGTACAATTGATTCGTGATATTAACAACTAGTATTTCGTGAGCTTGTGATCATATTATCACTTGGTTCCCATTACTGTCCAAATTCTGAAAATTAGATGTATCGTAGTGTGCCAACCGTGTGCGGCGCAATATCTAGCCGCCTAATACCAGCGCTTAAGTTGTCTATTACCTCATGATGTGAAAGCGTTGAAAATTGATCCAGACTGTCAAAGACGCTCAAGTAACTGATCGCAAAAGGCACCAGGATCAAGAACACCGTGCCTGCAACGATGTGGACGATTTACCTCAGATGCCTCTCTTTAGTTCTGGTTCTGAGTCTAGCCCAAGGATCTATCGCCAACTCAGTTGTGAGTAGGGTCAAAATATTGGACAGAAATGTCCTGCAAAGACATGGTGAAATTCCAACAGTAACAGTGACCGTTCCCCATTCCACCATTTACGTGACTGTCACCACCAGTGTCAAGGAGCCAGTATGGAACACCACAACTGTTGTGAGCAGTGTGTTCCACAACACCACCAGTGATTCCAGCAACCACACGGTCGTGACAACAGAGGCAGCTTCTTTCGCTTCACTGCCAATAGCGGAGACTGCCGTTGCTTCTTTCGAGGAACCAGCCAAGGCCGAGGAGGTCTTGCCGTACGACGAAGCTCAATTTGACCAACATCTGGATGCAGAAACACAGAGGGCAGCAGAGGAGTACGAAATGCCTCTTTTTGAATGGGATGAAAAAGATGGTGTCTTGTACGCAATCATCATGGACAAAGAAAATCCCAATGCGGTTTCTCCTAACGATACTGCGGTCCCAGAGCCAGTCCAGGCGGTAGACTTTGTCGAAATCGTTCCAACAACAGAAGCTTCTTCCACTTCCAGCACCAAACACTTCACCAGAACTCGCCATTCCAGCAAAAACGAGACAACAAGTGGTTGGAGTGTAATTTCCGAAACCTCCTCCGACGTAACCTCCTCCGAAACCTCCACCTCTTCACGCTACTATCCATACGGCAACGACGATATCAGCGATGTCGATTTGGAATTCCTCATCGGCAACGGCGCTGGGCGTGTTGGTAGTGCCGTTTTCAGTGCAATTCTGGCTGTTTCTGCTGCTGTGGTTGTGAGTCTCTTGTGAAAAATTGCACCTGCATCCCAGCACACACCGCACACACCAAGTGCTAACCACATTTCAAACAACAATTAATTCTTCAAACAATTATTTGTAGATCATGACATCCAATTAAATCCCATTCATAAACTCTAAATTCCACCTCTCTTCGCAATTGGACTAAAACCTCGTGATCCTCCACCCAATGCATGTGCCCCACCGACCTGCGTCTAGTGAGAAATTTCTAGGCAGGCTGATTTTTGCAGATTCGTCGCAATTCCCCCTTTGGCCTCTAATCCTTGCAAATCTCACTTTTTGTTAGAAGAATCCATACAACCCACGTTTGACACGTTGTTGACCAACTTGTTGCGATAGATTGATTTGTTTCGTGTAAATTTATTGCGGATTCGTGGGAAGCACGAGAAAGCCAGTGGACGAGCAAGGGAGTTTTCACACAGAACACGGAACAAGAAACAAGAGCGGAACAAGGACAAAACCAACACGCCGCAATAATTTCACAAGATGTCAGAAGTAAGTTACCAATGGCTTTGATTCTTTTTGGTTGCGCGGCTAACTAACGCTTTGCAGGTCAAACGAACCATCAGAATCACCACCATCCAACGTGTTTTGAAAGATGTGGCCCCCGTGCAGGAGGGATTTCCAATGAGAAAATGGTCGATCCAAATATCCATGCTGAATTCGGACGGCAAAGAAGTCCCCGCAACGATCTTTGACAAAGTGACCTACCATCTGCATCCTACGTTTGCACAACCCGTCAGAGCCATCAAGAAGCCGCCCTTCAAGATTGAGGAAGAGGGATGGGGAGAGTTCGATCTATCAATAGCATTGACTCTGGTAGACAGAGCTGGGGAGCGCAAAGTGGCCCACGATCTCAACTTTTTGAAAGAGAAGTATATCGTCGATCATACGATCTCGATACCACTGACCAAGCCCGGCTTGAACAAGCTGCTGGCCGAAACGGGCCCATTGCCTGGAGACGATGCTTCTGCTGGAGACAAACGCAAAAACGGTACCCCAGTTGATTCCTCGAGAACCAAGAAGACAAAGAGCGTGGCCACCAAGGGTGGAGTGGACTTAGAGAAGCTTGCCGAGGGCCTGACCAAGTTGAACGAGGACGATCTTCTGGGAGTCGTGCAGATGGTCAACGATAACAGAACCCCCGAGATGAACATCAAGAACGATATTGAAGGAGGGGAGTTCACGATGGACCTGTACACTCTGCCGGACCAGTTACTGAAGAGTCTGTTCGAGTACGTGACCAAACGCGCCCAGTAAAAAAAGGACGAAAAAGATGAGCGAAGTATGTGGGCTTTCTCTGACTGTTATATTGCTGTTCGTTATTTTGATTCACTACTGTAGCATTGCGAGTAAATTGTTCATATTGCGATGGTGGAGATAACGTCGATGTTAAACTGCCACAATTGAGGAGAGAATCTCTGCAGACGCTTTTCTAGCAATAGTTTCTTGGGGTTATTTTGCAGTCTAGCAGTATGTCCTCGATTTTCTCCTCTTGAAATATAATGTCCGTATCAACAAACTACACACCCCAAATTTTCAAGGTGAAATCTCGTGACCCAGTGCAAACAGCCAGGCCGTCTGGACTGGTTCTGATCTCACTGACAGCCTTCGAATGACCATTTAATGAACCTACAACTTCCCCCCTCAATGTGTCCCAAATTTGAACACCGAGATCCGAATAGCTCACAAACATGAGTCGCCCCGAAATGGAAAAGTCGAGAGAAAGCGTCCCCGGGTTGTCTATCCTCTCGTTCATTGAAGGCATTTGGAAAGCATCGTTGGAAGAGTATCTATTCGAAGAACGAGGTGTGAGTGCCAAATGGGAAGCCTCGTAATTATCAGAGGGCATAGTGTTCTGAAAGGTATATCGGGATATTTCCCTTGGTGAATACCTTGCTATCTCTCCATCCGTCCTAAAATCCAGTAATCTGACAACCCCATCATCACTACCAACCGCAAAAGAGGTTCCTCCGGGAAGGAACCTAATTGCAGAAGCATCGTAACTTTCGGAAAGAGGATACTGTCTCGTTGTATATCTCTCTCTTACATCCCACACGTTTGCCATTCTATCAGAACCACAAGATACAAACACCTGACTTGACGAAAAATCTGGCTGACTTCTCTGAACATCAAGAGCAAGTACATCACCTAAATGGCCTTGATACGCCATGGTTTTGGAGCGTCGTGACAGATCCCATAGCATGCAAGATCTATCGCCAGATGACGTCACAATCTGGCTATTACTGATAAATCCCACGTCTGAAATGTATTCATTGTGACCCTTGAACACAGCACTAATCTCGTGAGAAGAGCCCAGCATCTCGCTCTCTGGACTGGTGGGGCTAACTGACATCTTTCTGCCATTCCTGTCTGTGGTTCCACAGTCGCTGTCATTGCCTACCTTGTAGAGGATACAAGCATTTTCCAGGTCACCAGTGGCAATAAATCTGCCGTTAGGAGAGACACAACACGATGTGATCCAAGGATCGTACAATCTTATGGCGTTGGTTTTGGTGTTCGTATACGCATCCCATATGATCATGAAGCCATCTTGTGACCCCGACACTACATGTCGTGAGTCTGGAAACCAACTTAAGGTCAAAACTTTGTTGAAATGACCACGCATGGTCTGGTATGCTGACATGGAGATACCATTGGTCAAGGGTTTAAGATGTGCTGCAACTTGGTCCAACGTAGCATCTCGAGTCTTCTCCTTTGCCCTTGCAATATGCGATATCAAAAGTCTTGATTCCTTTCGTGCCTGTAGTATTCGTTGCTCCAAAACCTGTTCATCGCCCATTCTTCGCGAATGGAACTGGAGACACAGGGTTGATTGTATTATGGTTGTGGGGTCTTATTGCTCAAACGTTGCGAATCTTGGGGCACCGGATACGCCTACGTGAGTGCAGCTGATAACAAACGATGAAGCACTGTCCTGTTTTGCAAATATCAATCCAATTGCCACTCTAACTGTCACTCCAGTGGTTTAAAATAAAATATAGAGCAGACTAAGAAAGCCCAGAATATTATTTCTAACTACGATGTCTCACAGAGAGGGGATGGCCAATTTTCAAAGAATACACGAGACTGTATCCAGATCAGGACACCTGCAGACGTGCGTGATGGGGCATGTACCATAATAAGTGCAGGATACCAACGCCTATTCCGCTTGCGCCAAAAGTGGTTGCGATGGAAACGGGCAAAGCAAGGAACCACCATTTGAATATGCGAATTCCAGCATCATCTAACAAAAAAAAGCAACATTTCTGGCCCCTATGTTGCCAAACCTTGCAGCCGCTGTTAGACGCCAGTCTCGCATTCGCCAAGACGCATGAAGCGGGATTTACCAACACATGTCTTACATGACACGTGAGTCAAAGCATGGGTTTGATGTCAACTCGTTTCTGTTGTCGGGTCGAGTTTGTTTCAGATCTAATCACTGTATGAATATATATAGCTCTCGATTATGAAGCCCCAGACTACACATGGAGGTGTCGCAGCTAAAACACATTAGTGTGGCCGGAAATTGGAATAAACGGGACACGGCAGGCTTTCCCGCTCTACCCCGCCGAGATCCTTCATCTAGTAGTCGTGCAAAAATATAGAATATAACGATGAAGAAAAGAGTTGTTGGTGATTTTTGATCGCCATGCACAGGTCTGCACTACTCTCGCAAGCATTTTCTAGGGTTTGTCTGCCAACTGTTCGACCAAATTGTACCGTCCTCTCATTTACCTCAAGTCAATGGCAGCATGACGCACACGGCTCGCATTAAGCCCCTAGAATCGGTGCAGGAAATTGCTTAGGCACACACGCGTGTGTCAAATTATGGCAGCCTAAAACCTTATTTAATTACCCAAACAACCAATAGTTGCGGAAAGGCGTTTGAAAAAATATCATAGTGTTCAATTTTTTGCTGTGGACATGACATTAAAACACTGATTAATTTTCAAGCGTAATGATGGAGTTTGAAGAACAAGCACCCCAAGCTTGACAGGCTCCCGAATCTTTTTGGGGCCGTTTGACATGTGAGGCAGTGAGGATTCCCAGTAGCTCTCCATGCCCTGGCCGTAAAGATAAATTAAGGTTTGGATCATCGCGGATGGTCATCGTTACTCTCATGTTGTCGGTTGAAGATTGACTCTTGATGTCAGCAGATTTTGATGTACTTCTCAAGGTGTTATAACCGTCGTGCGATGGACCTTTGACGGTGATGTCACACTCCTTGCTTCGTTGTGCACTCCTTGCTTCGTTGTGCACTCCTTGCTTCGTTGTAGTATCCACTAGCTGGTCGTCATACCTTCAATCATACACCTGGGCCTATAATACATGAGGCAATTAAACGACTGTCTGTATGACCAAGTTAAAATACGGTTGATTCTGCGAGAAACATCAAATACGGAGCTGATATCTAAATTGACCCTAGTAGTTTGATATCACTGTAGCATAATTCCCTCATGACCCCTTTGGCTTTTTGCTTATAGCTTTATCTCTTATAGAATCAAAAGAAGTAAAAAGGTACAGGGAAGTGCAAGTACGATGTAATGCTATGCAATCAATGATTTCTATTTATAAGGCACAGAATTTCACATGGAAACATCCAATAGGTATCATTTCAATAACGTCATCCCAACCATGAAAATTGAAAAACTCCGCAATCAAGTGCTATCCTAACATACAGTGCCAACTTGTGTCAATCGAGACAGTTGCGTAAGTCACAGAGGCAAATAACTATGGACTTGACTTTACTAAATCTTCACAAAAAGTACAAAATGCAAGCTGCCGTCTTGCGTTTAAGTCCGAAGACTCTATTTTCTTGCAGCTACGAGCGACATTTGGCGTCGGGGAATGCAGCTTGGTCGTTTCCATGGAAAATGCGTTCCACTGTTAATTTAAGTTTGAATTACAAACGAGTTAGAGCGAGTATCTTCATTTCATGTGTTAGTTCAACAGGGCATCTCTTAAACAGTTCGTTCCATCGTCTACGAGGGGTTTTTCTTCTCAACAGACGCTTGGAACAACTGAAGACTTATGGATGAGTCATTAGTCCCAACAACTGGGCTCGAATCCTCTAGAAGATCAAACGGCTTGGTGTAAAACTTTCGGTACGACTCCGTCTTGGAATCAAACACAAACAAATTCTGCACATTGTCCAACGCAATTAGTCCATCCTTTAGAGAAATATCCTTCAACAGGTACCTCAATTTGTTGTTGTAGCTGGGAGGGACAATGCTCATTATACTTCCCGTTGTGGCCGTTACACCTGTGGGATGCGTTGTATAACTAGCGGTGTTGAACCTGGACACAGTTGGGGTTGCGGGCGATAAAAACGATTGAGAACCCGTAGGTGTGTGAGAAGCTCTACCAAAAGGTGGAAATGGCGACATACCGCTGGAAACATTTGTTGTGGTTGATGGCATAGCAGTAGGGGCATTAGAAGACTGTTGCAATCGGGTGGATGAAATAGTTGATGGGTTTGTAGACAACGATTCTGAGATCAACATCTTGATGGAAAGGAGAATGTCATACAGCAAGTTCTTCAGCTTGAAACTTGAATCTATGATCTCCATTGTAAACAGCTTTGTGAGATTTTGTAGAAACACATCTGTCTGTAAGTTGATGGATCTTTTCATCACCAAGTCCACCAGGAATCCTTTATGTATCAGAATGATTCTTGCAAGCAGAGCGATAGAGGTGTCAATTTCTTCATCCCCTTCTGAATCTGATGAAGAAGAAGATTCTGTATCTATTCCGCCTGTTGATTTGGGTTTGGACATGCTTTTCTGAAGTTGCGACTTTTGACAGTAATACATCAGCTTCTCCAAAGACAAATTCAATGAGAACACCAGGGAATCGGACAATGGGATGAAACCAGGCTTGAAGCGGCCAGAACCAGGCCCATCAATGTACGAAAATTTTGAGCAACTGCTGATCATACTGCCCAATAAAGGTATCACGCTAACATTTGATCGGGCTTCACCAATGACAACTTTTGGGAATACATCAGAACCAAGTAAAATCTCTTCGCAGCAATGTAACAGCTTCAGCTTCAGCGGAGGAGCAACAAACTTGAAAAGGTCACCCAAAAGAGAGACATCGTCTTTCCAGTAGTCATTAGTGTCCCATTTCACAGCTTCTATCAGCACAGAAGATATAATTTCCGAAAGATAGGAGCTTTGTTCTTCGTCGTTTGATGAATGTTTGAATTCCTCATCGAATATCATCTTGACCAAGGACTGACAGATTGGCAGATTGAAGTAGCTGAGAACTCCAACCAATCTGTTGGTATCTTTTGCCTGTGTTACTGGGGCTTCATCAACCAACATTTGATTGAAAAGCTCAATCAGTTGAGGTTTGGATATTCCCTGTCCGTTTGAGTACTCTGATTGCACCCATTTCAACGTTTTTGAAGTGTCCTTTACAGCCATTACCCTCAAAACCCTAATCAGCTCTTCACGACATGGTTCAGCAATTTCAGTTAAATTCCCACCAAGGTCATCAACAACCATAGGGCTAGTCACCATGGGTAGCGGTGTGGTCATGCTGTTGGAAACTGGGGTTGGGAGATGATCAACAGATGCTGATAGAGCGGACTGATGTTCACGATGTTGATCAACCACTCCAGGCGTGTGAGCAGATTCATCGATGTTGGCAAGATCACCAACCATGGAAGACATCCCGGAATGAACACGACAGTTTCGGATGAGTAAACTGACATATTCGTCAACTTTCTTTTCCTGGAAGTCCTTCCTTGCAAGTTCAAACACAATTGACTCGCAAGCTTCCAAAGAGAAGGCGCTCTTCTCATAGCGATTTGTGTTCAACAGCAAACTCCAGACCAGCCTTTGGCCAGACGAAGCATCCAGATTGTCGTCATTAGTATGAGGTGCAAATGCCTCGCATGCATCTTCAAAGCTCAAAATCTGATCAACAATTAGTCTGGCGATGAACTTGACATTTACATCGAACTCTATAGAGAGTGTAGGTGCAATTGTCTTCCTGATATGTTGGTTCAGAATGGAGCTGAACTCCGATTGCTTCGCGGATTTCAGAGCTTTGAGTAGCCTTGAGAGATCCAGTCTCGTTGATCTATCCCCAGACCTAACAATGCTCCAGTAATGGCTGATCACTTGAATAACGTGCTGAGAGAACTCAGAAGGATTTAGCAGTCTTTCTGCAGAATTTATTCCAAGAGCTTGCAGTGGTTCCAGTGGAAGTTTCGACAATTCCGCTTTCTCAGTTTGAGTAGCGTTTTGCTTTTGTTCGTTTCTGAAAACCTTCAAATCCCTCTTGACATCTTCCGACTGCAAGTAGGTGTCCTGTATAGGTCTTGTGTCAATCGATTTGAACATTCCATCGTACTTGCTGGCCATGGACAGTATCCGTGCAACTTTTTCCTCTAATGCAGATGGATATAACTCTGTATTTGATGCAACTCTTCTAGCAAGAATATCATGGTTAGAAAAAACAATGGAGATGATGAAGTTCACCGTCCAAAGGTCTATCTCAAAACAGTCACCGTACATATCAAGTGAAGATACCATCATGTCCAGGAAAAGGTGTAGGTTGTACATTTTCTCAAACAACCGATACAGTGAGGATACATCACTAAGACTCAGGCGAATTTTGTTAGAGGTGCCACTGCATTGTGTTACCAGATCATAGAGTTTCTGAGAAGACTCCTTTGCCAATATGAACCGCATTCCAATCTCAAGTTGGTCAGTCAGTTCAAGAGCATCAACCAGGTTGAAATTCTGGTCCATACGAGGTTCAATGGAGATAGCAGGTGAATTCAAAGTGCCAGTATCTTGTTTTCTGCTGTTAAGATAAAGAAATACCTTGTGTCTCACCTCTTTCACAAGCGCATCCGATTCTGAACCGGGAAACTTCACAGAAGTCAACCCTTTCAGAATGTTGTTGACGTTGGTATCACTCAACGTCGGGAGAGATTTCAAAATGAGTGTATGGAATCCGCAAGCCAAGTTCGCATCTTGCAAGTAAATTACACCGGATGCAATAAGCCTCCTCACATAAGATGAGACCACGAACAAGTCATGGTAATAAAGCTCGCTAACCAGCACAAAAACATTTTCAAAGTTGATGTCGTTCCTTAAGTTGTCAACGTCACTCAGAGGTGACATAGGCAGTAGTTGCGGAAGGTCGAATTTAACTCTATCATTAAGCGCATAGATAAAGTCCAAAATCTCAACCTCCAATTCCAGTTTCATAGCTTTATACTTTTTTCCTCTTCCATTTTGAGCTATTTGAAGCAATCTCCACTGAAGGATACTCACAACGAGAGAAACTCTTTTGATATCAGAGCACCTGTATCCCGTGACTGACCACTCTAACATGAGCTTCAAATTCTTTTTCCAGGACTCATTCGAATCGTTTCCGTCTCGCGTGCTATAGAAAACCATATCAGACAGTCCCGGTATGCCCACATCAGGCCTTTCGAAGTTATCCAGCTTCCATATTATAACAGAACTGGTGCCCAGATTCTGGTTCGACTCGTCATCAGCTGGAAGATCGATCATCAAAGACTCGTTTCTGTACGAGACCAGTTTGAACTGTTCGCTGATTGCTGTATTATTCATATCGATCACCTTCTTTAGAGCACTCTTCAGGTGTACCCATGTTGTAGGGATGATGAAGGAGTCAGAGTTGTAGTAGAACAGGTAAGTAATGAAGAAATTAATCGACGAAAGAAGCTTGTTCGCTGGTTCGTGAATATCCTTTCTGGAAGTATTAGGGTGTGATTTTGTTGCTGCGATTGTATCCGTCAAGGCAGAAGAGATACGAAGAAGTAATTCTGCAAGCTCCTTGGAAAGGTAATCCACCTTAATGATCTTGAACCAGAACAGTCTCAGAAAGATGACATGGGTGGACAGGTACTTGAAGTCCAGCAGCGAAGTTTTGGCAGTAGAGAGTGAGGTTTCCACAGAAGAGTTCACAAACCTGCCGAGGCTTCTCACCACCCACGCCAAAAAGGTCTCCTGGTTCAGCAATGCTTCCATGTAAAGATGGGCACTCAGTCTGGTGATATAGGTCAATCGCGTTCGCCAATTAGCGTTTGCGTTTGGATTGAAACAGTTTTCTGCCACTTTCTCGATATACAACGTGACTTGTTCTGTCCATTCAATTATCCAATTGTTGGTCAATGCCGCTGCATTTCCAGCGGTACCTTTCCTCTTCAGCTGTCTCTGCTCGTTTGTGGAAACGCATCTTATTAACCACAGGGCTCTGGGTATGGGGACCGAATTCTGACTGCATTGTTCCAACAACACTCTGTTCCGTATTCCGTGCGGTATTGCCCTAGAAAGTTGCTTGAGGCTAACTTTAGAATCGGCAAGGTTCTCTATCCACTTCTCCTTTTTGTTATCTGTAAGAGTCACTCTTGGTGGTGGTTTGTAGGTGGTTTTTGCCCGAATCTTGCTGAGATTTCGTCTTTGATTAATGGCTTTGATCATGAACTCGCTCAGAGCCACAAGTTTCACATTCGGATTGTTACCAGATGTTGGAACAGGTGTACCAGATGTGGGTGCTGTAGACGGGGCGGTGATAGATGCTCCGTTGCTCGAGATACCAGTGTCTCCACTCGATGAATGTTCTATCCCGTCAAATGAACCAGCGGTTGCGGAGGTGGTGGGCCTTGTAGCGGTCTCTGAATGAAGCAGCGTAGTCATGGTGGTTCTGGCTGACAGAAACTCGTTGCTCACCAGAGGAGGCTCGAAATAACCCTTCTGCAAATAGTTTCTCATCCTGATATCATCATCCTGAGTATGCTGCCACACCTTGAAATCCGGATATATATATTGCTTGGAATTCGAGGAAGCAGACGTCTGGCTTGTTCCCGTTGCCGACGATGGAGGGCCGGCAAAAGGATCGTCTCCATTCAACGGATATACGCCTTCGGGCTTTTCCACCACCGGTTTGGAAAATTGGACAGCTGGATTCACGATTCCACTCATGTCTCGTGTGGAAAGCTTGTTAGAAACGCAAACCTGGACCAGATACTCTCTGGCTCTGTCTTGGCTGAAAGGAGGGGACGATGTGACAGTGGTTTTGGTTTCCACCCGGAATTAACCGAACAACCTTGTGACCTGTATAAAAATGTGACACAGTCTCTGATTAGAGATTTGATCCAAGAATGCGATCTTTTTTCTTGTTAATGGAGAAGGGTTGGTGGATCACGCTTTGCAGAAAGTCTGGCCAAAATGCGGGAAAGAGATGTTCCGGAACCAATTTCGTAAGTCCAGTCAAATTCAGGATAGCAGATGAGATACGGAGGAGATGGAAAAAAGATAGCGCGGTGCAATAGTAAAGATAAGGTTAACGAAAGTATAACCGGATTGGCGCTATTGTGGCCTAATTTGTGGCCTAATGTTGAAAAATTGGCGGTATTTACGGTGCTGTCTATTAGGTGATCATTTTATATGTAAGAGAATGCACATATGGCAGTTCTGTATGGAAGTTTCAGTTCCGGCTTATGGTAGCTGTCGCTGTCCATCGCCTATTGTATGCATTTATCCGTTAGTCCAAACGAATGTGAAAATAATTGTTTGGCCCTGCTTGTGCTGGACACACGTTTTTACGGTGGTCTATATTGGTAATAGTCGTATACTGCCTTCTGTACTACTATTCCCAAGATAGCCCTGACCGCTAACTTGGTTCATGAATTGTCTACGACTCCTTGACTGGATAAGCACCAAGAATTTCCGCACTGTCCTTTCCATCTTCTGTTCTTCACGTCCGCCTCTTTCCAGTTACATACTTCACGGTAATGGCTCGCTTGAACTGCTCAACCGGTTCAAATGTAAATAAACATCTGTCCCATAGCCCTCCATGCTTATTAGCTTGAGGTCGCCTCCAAAATAACGAGCATACAGTCTACTGATTGGTAACCCGTATCCGTAGCCGGCCATAGGAGCCCTAAAGTCAGTTTTTCCGCCCCATGGGTCTTCCACTGGCAAAGCCTCCACTGTGGTATAGAGATACGTCCATATCAAAGGCATGGCACTTCGGGCAATTCCACCGCCCTCGTCCGAGATTTTGATGGTAATGTCCTCCTCTCCTTCGGCGACAATTATCTTCACAGGTGGAAATTGGATATCCTCGATGTCCTTGTCAAGGTTTTGCTTCAGATGGTGTTCCACCGTCGCTCGTAAAGAGTTCTTCAATGTCTCGAAAAGCATGTGGACCAAATGGCCAGGAACATACATGAAATTGAGGTTTGTGGGGCAATACAACTGGACCTGTGGTGCCTCCATTAGACCGTAGTGTTCCTCGCACGTGAAACGCGCACTTTCAATGGCGTCCTGTGCGATTTCGGCGACATTTGTGTTCAAACATATGACCCCCACATAGTCGTCATTGAACGTTGAATGGTCCTGATTGATAGCAATTTGCTGGCCAATCAACATTCTGATTCCGATTCTCGAAAGATAGAACCTGTCCAAAAATGATTGCACATTAGTGTCCACCAACGATACGTGCGTGTTGTGCTTCCATTCCTGAACACCCTTTGCGACCGTCGTTACCGTGGCATCGTGTCTTTTCTTGATCACCTTCAAAGTATCTGTCACCACCCGGTTATACTCATACACTTCGGCAGGATAAGTCTCATTGATAGGGCACGGGATGTAGTATCTTTTCTGCTTTGTCGTTGCTATGTAATCCTCCGTTGTGAGGAATTGGTTCTGTTGTTTGTACTGACTCTGTTTGTGGGTTGTTGACTTCCTTACTATAAGTCCATCATCATCAAAGAGTAGCGGTGTTGAAGTGGCCGATTCATCTTCGGCTGGCGGGTTCGAGTTGGTAGAAGGGTGGTATAGGTTGTTGTTTCCGTTTCCATACAACAGTTTCCGCAAACTCTCGTCTATTGTCGGTTTAGGCAGTGAAGTCAGCTCCTCGAATGATTGAGCGTACCAATCCCTCACCAGCTGGATGGACTCCACCTTATTCAGGTCATTCGGTAACTCCTCAAGCTCTTTCACACGATGAGCCAATCGTATGGGTAACTCCTCAACCACAAATTGAGAAGCGTGGAATAATGTTCCAGCCGAGGGCTTTGGCCCGAACTGGACCATCTGCCTTAAAGAGACTCCCGTTGGAGGAAACTTGGCGTATTTGTATATTTCCTCTCGCAGAGATTGTGTGAGTTTCCAGCCGTGCGACATGGCGTTTAATGGGATTCCAGTGCTTTTCTGGCAGCTTTTGGGCAGTTATTTCGTGATCTGAGCCTTGTGTGGAGTCGTCGTGTCTGTGTACGTGCTGCCGGCGTAACGGCAACTTCCAACTCTGCTTATTCGGTCAATGACTATTCAAATACCAACCTGTGCTTACGTGATTGGTTTGGTCGGATAATTTGGTGAGTATGCGATTCCACCCTCCAAAAAAGATGCAAGCAACACAGGAGCAAGAAGAACACGTTCGCTGTCAAACCGAATGGTCCCAAAATCTGGAGAAACGGAAGCGTTTGGATGTCACATGGTCTGGTTGTAGTACACTACCTTTACTGCTTATATGCTGACTGAAACGAAGTAAGTACGAGAGATCAGCCGTCTTAAGGAGATATATGTGTACCTGCGCGTGTATTTACTTTGATGCACTTTGAATTTTATCATCTACACTTAAGGCTCGGTTTGAGACACGCTAGTAGTGACCTGTTCTTTGAAGTTTTGATTTGGCGAGCTCATTTCCTCGGGCTATTTAAGCGAGCTGAGACTTAAATTAGGCAGGGTACTACATAAGTTTGGTTGTGTCTGTCTAATCAACTGCTCTTCTAAGTCCTCATGGATTACACAAAAATTCCGGTCCAGGTGGATCTTCACGATTTGGCCGATGGGAATGTGGATCATCTCCTCGACAAAGCATTTGGGCCTGATTCGCTGGGGTTGATAATTATCCAAGGCTTGTCTGAAGAGTTCAGCCAGCTTAGAAAGCGTGTTTTAAGTGATGCCTCACGATTATCCGCCCTGCCTACGACCGAGCTAGAGAAACTGGAGTCTCCAGAAGGCCATTTTTTGACTGGTTGGTCCAAGGGACGTGAGAACTTCAGCGAAGATGACTTTTACGACGATTTGAAGGGTTCCTTCTACGTCAACTGTTCGTTCCACAAAGACGCGTCCTTGGAACGGCCTACTGAAGGCGAATGTGACAGGTTTTCCACCTTCAAAGCTTACACTACACGAAATATGTGGCCCAGGGAAGACTTGATTCCGGGATTTGAGAAGAACATGAAACTGCTGTGCAATTTAATCATCGACGTTGCTACGGTGGTGGCTGAGTCCTGCGATAGATACTGTTTGAAAAACGTTTCGAACTATGAGGCGAATTATTTGTCTAGAATTGTCTCTGAGTCTACCACCACCAAGGCAAGGCTATTACACTACTATCCCTCATCAAACGGTACCCAATGGTGCGGTGAACACAGGGATCATTCGTGTCTCACTGGATTGACCTCAGCTATGTTTCTGGACGAAACCAATCCTGTTTTGGGCGAGATCGATAATCCGGATGTTCAAAGTGGCTTGTATATAAGAGACAGGCTTGGCGAGACCGTTCAGGTGAAAATCCCACAAGATTGTCTCGCTTTCCAAACTGGTTCGACTCTCGAGGAGGTATCCAGAGGCCAATTCAAAGCCGTCCCTCATTACGTGACAGGTTGCACGAAACCAGGAATAGCTAGAAACACGCTGGCCGTTTTTTGTCAGCCCAGCCTCCATGAAATGGTGACCCCTACAGAGAACTTTGCTGAGTATTCAGAGAGGATACTTGAAAGTAACGAGTAAATTACCCCGACAAGGAATGTGTTTGATGACCAAGGGTTTGCCTCTGGACATAAGTGTCCTACTAATTGCGACGTATCCACGCTATTCTATTATAAGAACATTGTGGTACAAATATGAACTCAGTACCGTAATCATTGTATGCTACGCTGCCGCATAACTTGGAGTAGTGTTTTTATCAAGTTTTTGGATCGCACGACCCGACCTCATAATCGCCACTTCAAGACCGTAATGGTGGCATATTGAGTTCAGTCAACACCGCTATTACTCGACACAGTCTGAATTGAATCAGCCGATAATCATTCAATGTCTAGTAAGTGCCAGAATTTGCTTTCAATTGACTTTTTGATACTCTAGCGCGAACGCGTGACTAACTCACAACGACAGATTCAGCTGGATTCGACAGGCACATCACCATTTTCTCGCCAGAGGGCAGGCTTTTCCAGGTTGAGTATGCCTTCAAAGCGATCAACTCCTCGAACATTACCGGTCTCGGAATATGTGGCGAGGACTCTGTAGTGCTTGTTTCGCAAAAGAAAGTTTCGGATAAGCTGCTCGACCCATCAACCATCACGTATCTGTTTCAAATTTCCCCCTCGGTCGGTATGTTGGCCACGGGATCAATAGCAGACGCTAGAGTGCAGGCTATGAAGGCGAGAGCCGAAGCTGCTGAGTTCAAGTACAAGTACGGATACGCGATGTCTTCTGATGCTTTGGCCAGAAGAATGGCGAATCTGTCCCAGATATACACGCAGAGAGCGTATATGAGACCTTTGGGTGTGTCGCTGCTATTTTGTTCGATAGACGACGAACAAGGGCCTTCTCTGTTCAAAACTGACCCTGCCGGTTACTATTTCAGCGCTAAGGCCACTGCTGCGGGTCCCAAGCAACAGGAGGTTTTGACTTCGCTGGAGAAGACTTTCAAGAAGAAGAAGACTCTGGTAAAGGGAGATTGGACCAAAGTTGTAGAGTTTGCAATTATCACGTTGAGTGATACTCTAGGGACGGACTTCAGGAAGAACGACTTGGAGGTGGGTGTTGCTACGGCTGCAGGGTTCAAGGCGTTGTCCCCTGATGAGATTGATGAGCGTTTGATTGCCATTGCTGAGCAGGATTAGAGGGTTAGCTCAGAGGTGAGGTGAGTCTAAAATGAAACTCCAATAGGATAGTCTCATAGTTTGGATGTGAATTCGATACAGAAAGAGATTTCAAAGTAGTTTTTAGTAGTAATCTAGGAGTCTTGTAGTGGTCTTCAGCTGCCTAAAAGACATAGGGAATGAACAGATACGGACATTTCTCGACGTACGTGTCCCAATCTGCTCCATACTTTTTCTTGCATTTGGCAATATCCCTAGTCGTTCTGTGTGCTAGAACCACGGTGTAGAAGGCTGGGTAGAAATAGCAGATGGGTGCACCACCACAGATAAGCGACCAAGTCAAAGACTGGATAAGATCAACCGTGTAATGGAGCTTTCTTGCATATTTGTACCAACCATCCGTCAACAGAACAGAGCCATTGGCACATTTCAAGTAGGATGGGTTTTTGAGCACCTGATAAGGCAAAAATGGGAACGTCTTTCTGATATGTGTGTCTCCGTTCATAAATTTTCTAAAAGAGTTCTTCTGAGCATTTGTAGTGTCAAAGAAATAGTATGCAGTCAACAAGACAACGAACAAAGTGACATTGTAGCTAGTGGACCAGTTGTAACTCTCGGGTTTGTTGTAGAACAGGAACAGAGTGCCTTGACAGTAGGTGTATGGAACACCAGCTATGTTCCAGAATATCAGCATGAAACCAAACTTCTCGTAGGCCATGTCCCATGTGGGAACAATAAGCTCCTCACCCTTCGAGCACGCATTGGCATAAAGCCAATGGGCAAGCATCAGGAAAGAAGCTTGGGTAGAGACAAACCCATACTCGTCGTACTGCTTCAGACACAGCGCCATTGTCAAAAACAGAAGAGTATACCAAGGCAATCTCACTTCGAAGAACATCTTAAGGTCAATAATACCAACTCTGGGGTTCAAAGGAGCTCCCATGAACATGTCATAAACATGGTTACCGGACATGCGGTGATAGTCCTTGGAGACCTTGAGAGTGTAGACATACAATCCAATGGCCATGGAAAATCCAGTGATGATAGCAACGGTCATCAGCTCCCCGAAAATTTCCAAAATGGTATAGAGCTTGAAAATTCCAGTAAAATGCAAGGACAAGACCATGAAGATGTTTACATAGATGGTGAAGGCTGCATTGCAGTAGTATGGCAACTGACGATTGTCCAAGTGCGTGAGGGGTTGGCCCTTTGTCCATATTCCGGGCAAAACCACGTAAAAAATCGCCTGGATTGTGAAATATGACACGAAAATCGTCCAGGCCTGAATTCCAGGAACAACGTTCTGTTTTAGCAACTCCAGGTAGTTGATCAGGAAATGGCTCCAAGTTTCACCGTCAGCTGGTCTAGCAAAGCTGCCACCGTAAAACTTTTGACTGATATAAAGGTAGTACATCAGTATTGGAAATGATAGCATGATTGCAGTCACACCAAAAGGCCCACCGAACTCGTAAGCTTCGGGCTCTTCTTCAGGAGCACCAGACGTGGTCTGTTTCTTTGGTGCAACTTTCTTGGGCTTGGCTTGTGGAAGCAACGCATCGGTCTCACCAGGAGATCCTGCCTTGTCCTGTAGTCTTTTTGAGCGCCTCACAGACATTTTGATCAATATTCCTCGGGAAAACTCACAAAACTTGTTAAAAAAGTGGGTGGAAGGTTGGATATTATGTTGATAAAAGATACGTAAACATCGCCTAGTTGAAAGTTCGGTAGGAGATACCCGATCTGGTGGAAATACGATGCAAACGATGCAAACGAAAAGAGATGGTTGGTGCACTTCTGCGGGGTGTGTAATGTGAGCCATTTCACTGGGTACTATGGGTAGCATGGAAATGGAATTGCATGTATATATTAGGGTGAATAAAGCTTGAATATGGCTGAATGCAAATTGGAATAGATAAATTTCATCTTGTTTTTTTAGCAGTTTTGCAAAGAAAGCTGGCGTGGATACTAGCCCCGAGTGCTAAAGTCTACTGCGTATATATTCAAAAGCAAAATCAATATATTGGTGTATTCAAGCGAGAGGCGTCAATGGTCTGGAAGCCTGCTCAGAGTCAGGACCCAATTTCTCAACTCCGTAATCTCCAAAGGTATTGTACCCGTAGTTAGTGTGGGTGTAGAAGAACTCTCTCTCAAACGGGGTAAGCTCCTGTCCCTTACGAATGCGAGAGCGCAAGTCTGGGTTAGAGGTGAATGATCTGGCGCTTCCAATGAGAGTGCGGTTATTGGCATCCACGTGTTCGATGAGCGTTGAGTAACTGGGATCTGTAAAGTACCCACCAGAGCGAATCACGACTCCCTTCCAGATATCATATACCCATCTGTTATGGTGAGAAGTAGTTCCCTTCTGGTCCAACCACCATTCCACCCTTGGCTCGGTGGTCAGGATATATGCAAGTCTTTTTCCTGAGGCTGCTCTTCTCTCAAATTCGCTGAGCAAATATCCGTATGTAACCATTGGACTGATTCGGGCGTCGTCTCCAGAAGGCATACCCTGGAAATTAGACCACGGTGTGAATCTGATTCCCACGCGCTCGTAGCCAAACCTTTCACCAATGGCATCGACAACCTCCATAATAAATCTGGACCTATTTTCGATAGAACCGCCGTACTTGTCAGTGCGCTGGTTGGAGGTCTCCTCAATAAACTGATTTGGCAGATACCCATTGGCAGCGTGAATTTCCACCATATCGGCACCGGCCCCTTCAAGAGCGTTTTCTGCTGCAACGACATAATCCTGCACAAGCTGTTCGACTTCTTCAGTCGAGAGTGCATGCAATTCTACTCCAGATTTTTCGGCTTCCTCCCTCGCTTGTTCGCTAAAATGAATCTCAGAAGGTCCGTACAGAGGCAGGTTTCTGGCCTTGGAAAGTTCTGGGGTCGCTACCCGTCCTAATGCCCAAAGTTGAGAAGAAACGAACGAACCATTTTTATGAACAGCCTCGATAATCTTCTTCCATCCAGCAGTCTGAGCCTCGGACCACAATCCTGGGGCACCATTGTAGACTCCATATTTGGGGCTAATCAGAGTTCCCTCGGTAATTATCAAAGAACCGGCATCCCTGGTCCTGTCAATGTACAATTGTTCCATGGCATCTGTGGGAACATGTTCAGGACTATTTCTGAATCTAGTAGTGGGTAGTCCCACTAGTCTGTTGGAAAGTTCAACATTGCCTACTTTAATAGGCTTGAATAGATTGCTTTCGGCGATGGCGGTCATTGAGTTGATAGTGCGGCTGTGACAGAACGGCTGCTGGTAGCTTTCTGCTCTGGTAACACCATTGAACCTCAATCTCCATTCCTGTGTATCCCATCCCTTTTATATTCTACATTTTGATCACCCGCTTCTCCAATTGGTAAGCTCCTGACTCTGCTTGACTAATACACTGTAGAAGCCGAATGGTTCCGGCAGCCTGGTATCCTATCAAAAGCATAGCCTGACAAATCAATGCCTGCAGAGGCTGCATGGATGGAGCATGGGGAGCATGATGGAGCCGAACAAAAGCAACAAAAAAAGCAACAAAAAAAGCAACAAAAAAAGCAACAAAAAAAAGAGCACAGGCACAATTATGGAATTATTTGTTTAGAAAGATTTGACAAATAACGTCCATGCCGTTTGATCTAAGAGAAAAAGAAAGTGAAGCTCGGAGTTTAATTTTGATATATTGCTCAATATTCAGATTGATATATAGTACTAGAGTTACACGTTGAAGTAGGATATGATAATGCAATGTTTTCCTCGACCGATCTTGAATGTCTCTTCATTCTCCCACGAACGTTGAGACCCCAATTTGTTCTAATGTACACAAAAAAAGCTTTTCTCTCTTTTGCAATGGGGAAACGGTTTGACCTCAACATGAGGTGTCCCTAGTTTCGTTGTAGTATAATGTAACACATGACCGCTGGTTCAGACGGTCGGAACGCTCGAGACACTGCTGCTAGAGGAGTGTCTGTGAGCTGATGATGCACTTGATTGGCTGGAGCGTTGTTGAATACGGCCTGAGATTCTTCTTCCATGAGGTGTGCTTCTAACACTTGGCAGCAGTGGCTTGATGACAGCTGACAAGTCCTCAAATCGTTTGGCGTCAGCAACATCGAGACTTGTTTGCAAGACATAGTTGCCAAAGGCATCGTGCAACAGGGTCTGGACTTCTGCTGGATTGTCTAGCATGTAGTCGATCAGGACTCTAGCAATGAATGGGATGCGCAAGCACTTTTCAGTTACGTTGGAGCCGAATTTGTGCAGTGACAACTTGAACACTGCTACTTTTATGGACTCCAACATAGTGGCCATGGCTCCGTGTTCGGGGATTTGCGAAACCAATTGGATGCCTTTACACTCCCTTCCAATCACATATTGTACGACGTAGTTTCCAAAGGGGTCCAGTGAAAGGGCAATACAATTCTTGCTGACTTCGACCGACAGAGCCTCGCACTGCTCCTTGGAACCGTGGTCAAGACACCGTTGTAGAACGCAACAGCCGTGTCTATGAGTAGCAATCTTGGAACAGTTTTCGTAGGCACAATCAAATATGAATTGGAACTGATCCGGCCTAAGCATTTGCAAGCATTTCTGAACAACGTGATTCCCGTTTAGATCACGACTCAAAACAACCACATGGGGAGTCAATGAATCCCTGAGGACTTCGGCCTCTTCATCCGTAGAAATACACTCGACGAGTTTTTGAAGAGCCCTGGTTCCGTGAGGGTCCAAAGCGATTCTGACGAACTGCGAGGATGCATTACGGACGAAGGTGGTCCTCAAGTCAGTTGGAAGTTTTTCCAAAAGTTTCTGAACCAAATAGTTTCCAAAGGGATCAACCATAAGATCAACAACATGGTCCACAATCTCGTTGAAGATCACCACAGCAGCGTATTCGCCCTGGACGTCCAATTGCCTTTGCAAAAACCTGCATCCGTGCTGATCTTTGCACAGAGTGCAGATTTCGCCCATAAAGTCCTGCAGCTTAGCGTTCACAAACCTGGAGGCGTCTTCTCCTTTTCTTCTCTGAGTTGGCTTACGGTGCATGTTTGGGCCTCCAGAGCTGTTCAAGCTCCCTGGGCCATTTGCGTTACCTGCAACACGGTTCCCGTTCCAACGGCGGGAATCAAAAGATTCAAAAGAGCCGGAGTTCCTTGGAGCTTGGCCTGCGTTGTTGCCCATCATGCCATTTCCAGCACCAACGTTGTTCCAGACGGGGGTCTGATCCACGTTGAAATTTGGCTGGAAGTTTGGCTGAAAGGACCTTGGCGCCATCATGTTGATCTGTTCATTCGTGAGTGGCATTCCATTTGAGGGAACATGCTGGGGCAATTTTTGCTGGTTTGACCTTCTTTCCTTCAACAATGGACCGCCAATCAGTGAAGGTTGCAGAGAAGGAGCCGCCAAAGGATCCTGGTCAATCTGGGATTGCTGAGCCTGGTTCTGTTGGTTCTGTTCTTCGGGCAGATTGAATGGCCTCACGCCCATCGCGCCAAAATTGGACCCATCGATAAAGGATCTGGCTGGGGGTGCTGATGCTGGCATGGTAGGTGCCGACCAAGTGGGCGTTTTCGGCATGAAAAAGCTCGAACTCGGGTTCGGAGTCAAAGACCCGGCTCTCTGGTAATCTAGACCCCCGTTCTGGTGGGGTTGGTATCTAGAGGTGTTGGTTCCGCCAGTGGTACCGGATGGGATCGAAGATGAGATCGTAGACGCAGAACTGGCGTCGCCCTTGTAAAAAAAACCCTTGTTCATTTCCATAAGATCATAGTCCAGGTTCAGATTTCCAAGAGCAACACTCAGGTCCAAATCACCGGAATTCTCGCTTTTGAAATATGGCGGGTCATACATGGTGGGAGGGGCAGTAGAGTGGTCGAAGTTGGATCTCTGGACTGGGGTGGTTATCTTGGTGGAACCCAACGGATCAAAGGGCGTGAAGCTGGTGTTGAAGTAATTGGACTGGGGTCCAAGAGCGGTGGGTATCATGGACTTTGGTGGGGTCAGAGGTGTCTGGAGGAACGGATCCACAGACCCGGAAAGGATGGAAGAGCCGTCTTTGGTAGGAGTCGTGGTGGCAGAAGAGCCAGAACCAGAATGGTTCGAGAGTTGCGAGTGGTCTTCAGTGGTTGAGTCAGCCATCGCAAATCTGGAAAAAATGCGAAAAAAAACGGGTGCAAATGTGTCTTGTGGTGGTCAGTGCTTCACCAAATCTCACTCTCACTAACTCTCTCTATTGTACGGATCTCGCAAAGGCCCTGGATCTGAACTCAGCAACAAAGAAAATTTCTGGTCAAATGCGAAGGCTTTGGGTTCGAAAGCCTTGATGAGAAGAAAAGCCTTTCCAATGAAGGATTTTCTTGTTTTTGCTCAGGTCTCAAAGGTACAACACCTTCTTTGTTAAACTCTGGCAAATCAGGTTGGGGCAGCCAGAAATTTTCTGTGTGCTTTGGACTGGTCAGATTTTTTAGACACGGTGCACGAGTGTCTGGGGAGGGTGAGTAGGGGCACTGGAGTAGGGAATTGGTGCTGAAAATTGAGAATTTTGTGGTTTTTGAATGCTGAGATGTTGTCCAGTGGGTTCTGATGACAATTCGACAAACAATTCTGCAAAAACAAGCACAAAATTTGAGTTTTTGGGGCGTCTGGTTGACCTTGTGGTGTCCTTAGCAGTTGAGTGAGTCTCCTAGTCAATCTATGTGGAGTTGTACAATGGGGTGGTGATTAGACAGGGCCAGGACCAGAAGCGTTGTATTTTTTTGTGAGTATTTCTGGATATCGCTTTGATGTCTTGATTTCACACCTCTTGCGAACTTGAATGTGTGAAAACTTGCTGTTGTAGTGTCTCAGGGGCACTCAAGGTTTCAGAGCCGAATTCGGTGTGTGCGAATCTGCAAAGGCTCCATCGGAACGGGAGGTCTCCCATGACGGGAAACTAAGGCCGGGAGGAGACTAATGGGGAGATTCATCGAGTGGAGAGGCTACTTATATTCAAAGGTCTAGATGTTTTAGATAATAGTATCATAGAGCAAGATATTACAGCTGAGCTCCGGGAATTCTGAGAGGAATTGCAGGCAATTGCGGGCGATTGCTTTCTGATGGCTGGAGCCTGCGATTGTAGAAGCTTGGGCTCTGCAGCGCTTAATGCGTAGGCTTTGATTAGAAATTGGAGTCATTTTTAAACTTGGCTTGGATCGATGCCGAACCATATAGAAATAGAGTTATATGATGTTACACTATTATGAGACTCTATAAGACCATATTATTCAATAGTTGTATATTCTGATAGGTTGGCCTTTACTCCATTATTGGCCCTTATAATCCTCGGCTAATTTAAATTTGAGCCTGGAGTGGCCTGGAATTTTTCAGTCTGTCATTTGCGTATCTTTCTCGTAGATTATCATTTTTAAAACCATCAGCGTATCTACTCTGGTGGTACCATGCTGCAATAAAACGATAACGTAATAACCTTATATCCTCATGGGTCATGGCGGCATGGCCTATCCGCCTCATTCCCAGGCCCACTCTCCTTAATGCTGGCACCTCTTATACCCACATATCAAATTATTCTCTTTGCCTCAATATATTATCTGGTATTTTAATGCTACGAGTCCTCTAAGGTTTGTAATATATTAAAATATTATTGGGAATGAGTAAATTTCTCGAAAATTAGACGCTGTTCTAACTCAACTCTAAAAACTTTTCGATGAAAAATTTGGATATTTAGATGGGATCTAACCAGACTTTTCGTGTTGAGTAGAAACACGTTGCATGGAGGTCAAGAAGTCCTCAACGGTTCTCTGAGGAGGCTTCTCCTTCATTGGCTTACCGTTCATGAGTCTGTCGAAAGATTCAGACTCACTCATCAGGTAGTAGGCACCACCCAAGCAGCAGAAGACACCGAAAGAGAAGATCCAGACACGGACAACGGTGACGATGTCGTTCCAGTTCTGAGACCACCAGCCGAACAAACAGAACATAGTGGCAAGGATATCAACGATGAACACAGCACCGGACAATTGCCACGATGGGATGGAAGACCAGAATGGACCAGCAGCACGAGTGACGAAAATCAACCAGTTCTCGGTCAAGGAAATTTGCAAGAACAAAACACCGTCAATGGAACCGAAGTTCTGGATGATACCACCCTTTGGAACAAACATGGTGGTCAAGGTAATCCAAGTACCGATGGCCAAAATGATACCCATGATGATGGACATACCCCAAAGTCTTGGCAAGTTCCACTTGACTGGCTTTGGAGCGTAAGGAGCATTGTCGTAGGCAATGGCCAAGGTAGCAACATCGGCGAAAATGGCAATGAAGACAATAAGCTCAATGTTCAAGGTCTCGTCCAAAATGGCAATCCACAAACCAAGGAAGATCTCCAAGTGAAGGGAAAGGGCAATACGGTAGACAACGTAGGAGTACATTCTGTGGAAAATTTGACGCGAGGTCTTCAAGGCATCAATGATAGCAGAAAGACCTGGGGCAAGGAAAACAATGTCGGCAGCGGATCTGGCAGCATCGGAAGCACCTTCGACGGCAATACCGGTGTCAGCCTTCTTCAGAGATGGAGCATCGTTGACACCGTCACCAGTCATGGCAACCAAGTATCCACGCTGTTGCAAAATCTCAACGACATTGTACTTGTGCTGAGGGAAAACCTCGGCGAAACCATCGGCGTTCTCAACAAAGTCAGCAATCTCAGAACCTGGCATGTCTCCACCACCGGAGATTCCGAGACGTTCAGCGTTGTAAATGTTAGTTCCCAAACCAAGTTGACGACAAGTCTCCTTAGCGATACCAACGGCATCACCAGTCAACATCTTAACCTTCAAACCGAGGTGTCTAGCCTCAGAAACAGTCTTGGCAGTGTCATCTCTTGGAGGGTCCATACATGGCATGATTCCGAGAATCTCCCAGTGACCTTCACCTCTCTTACGGGCAACACCAAGCGAACGGAAACCACGGGAAGCAAATTCAGCAACCTTGTTTTCGTAGTTCTCGTGAACGTCCTCAGGGATTGGGTGGTCCTCCTCAACGGTCTTCAAGACGAAAAGTGGGGCACCCTTAACACAGATAATTCTCTCTCCTTCTGGAGACTCAACGTAGGCAGTAACCTTCTTGGAAACAGGGTCGAAAGGCTGGAAGTCCAACACCTTGTACTTGGTGAGGGCAACCTTGGCACGTGGGTAGTTGATCAAAGACTTCAAGAAGGCCTTGTCAATGGCGTCCAAACCCTTCTTCTTTCTGGAAGCAGCAAGGGTGGCAGTCAACATCAGGTCGTCGGCCTCAACACCCTCAACGGTGTAAGGCTCGTGCAAAGAAAGCTTGTTCTTGGTCAAGGTACCGGTCTTGTCGGAACACAAAACTTCGACACCAGCAAGGGACTCAATGGCAGAGAGCTTCTGGACAATAGCCTGCTTCTTGGCGAGGTAGGCAGCACCGACAGCCATGGTGGTGGTAACGACAGCTGGCAAACCAACTGGGACACCAACAATGGTGATGGCCAAAGTGTAACGAAGGATTCTAACGATCTTGTCGGTTCTGTAGAAACAGGCAACCCAGACGAGCAACAAGGTGATGATAACCAACACCAGCAAAATAGTACCAATACCGTTCAACACCTCGGTGAAGTGACCGGTACCACCTGAGGCCTTGTTGACCAAAGCGGCAGCACGTCCGACGAAGGTGTTGTCACCAGTAGAAACAACGATCATGAGAGCCTCACCACGCTTGACGGTGGAAGAGGCGAAAGTTGGGTCTCCAGAGTGCTTGTCAACGGCCAAAGACTCACCGGTGATGGCAGACTGGTCGACTTGCAAGAAACACTCGTCAGAAACCAAACGACCATCGGCAGGAATAACGGTACCATCCTCCAATTGAAGAATGTCACCTGGAACAATGTCAGCGGCACCAACCTCGACTGGCTGACCGTCTCTAATAACAGTGGCAACGTTGGCAAGGGTCTTCTTGAGCTCCTCGACAATGGAACCGGCCTGGAACTCCTGGATGAAACCAACGGAGGCGTTAAGCATCAGCAAACCACAAATGACACCGAAATCGACCCAGTCCTCAAGACCAGCAGCCAGAATGGCAGCGGCCTCCATGACGAATTGAATAGGACCAATGAAGAACATACAGAACTTGATGACCAAGTTCTCCTTCTCTTCAGCCATCTTGTTCTCACCGAACTTCTTACGACGTCTAATAACCTCATCGCTGGTCAAACCACGAGTTGGGTCGGTCTGGAGCAGCTCCTCAGGAGTTGCCTTGTAGGAGCTGGAGTGCTCCTCGTCAGATGCTTCCTCGTCATCCTCCTCACCCTTGTCGGACTGCAAGTCCAGGATGAGCTGGTCGATGTCTTCATCATCATCGTCGTCCCCAGCGGCAGCTGGGACCTTTTCCTTTGTTGGTTCTGTGGCGGACATGTCCAATGTTTTTGTCTCTTCTGAAGTTTCTAAGATCCAAGTCTGGTTGCCGGTTCGTTCGGAAGCGGTAGCCAATTAATTAACGGATCGAAAGAGACTGGTGTAGAAGAATCGAGGGATACGTGAAGAGCTCAATCGAGAACAACACACACCTTTGGATTAGCGATTAAACAAACAACAGAGTTGGAAGAGAAAAAAGGGGAAAAAAAAAGCATCCTAAGGGATAAACTGGGAGTCGTTGTTGTTTATATGGGCGAAGGCAGCCAACGACAAAATTCACGCAGCACATCCAATCAAAAAGGTGTTCTGGTAGGAGGGGGGATCGGTGCCGTCCGAGTTGGGAGGGGCGGATCGGTAAACACGGTGACCGAGGAAGTCGAGGCAACGGATGCCGAAGTTGCTGGAACTGGGTGCTTTGGTGCTAGAAAATCACAAACTAGGACATGCTACGGGATGATACGATATTCGTAAAGCAATCTATTGGCTTGTCTTGCCTTTGTTCTAAAAATTCTCCTCGTATACGCAAGCCCCCCGTCTGCTCGTTCCCACAAGCTCCCTTTGCTTCGTCGACGAAGTGGTCTATCTCGGCCATCCTGATAAGAAAGTCGCCGATATCCAATGTCGTGTATCCGGCCCAAAAGGGCAAACAACCCAAGAAACGGTATTTATCTTTTTCCGTATCCAGTGAAGACCTTCCCGAAACGGGTTGCTCTCGAGCCCGCTTCAAACCTCAAGACGGCAGTTAGTACACCGGATAGAGCGGGTAGAGGTCTGTACAACTGGGACTGGCAGAAGAGAATGCAAACCGCTTAAGTTGCAAATACGGACCGGGAGAAGCGTTAGAGCCTTGCGGAGTGAGCAACAAGAGCATTGAAGAGATCGATAAGGTACAGAGGCGAACCGTTGAGTGTTAATGCTCGTTTCTTGGTCTAATTTAGTACGTAGTTGTACCCGTTTGGGCCCAAACCTTAATCTGTTCAACAGCGATCCGTCTGACCAATGGAAGTGCGACTCACTACCACACTACCTGTGGGCTTTCGTCCGTTTGTAAGCGTACAATCGGTACGGGGTGGAAAGAACGAGAACGTTGAGGCATCGACGTCATCTTGTTCCGAAAAGTTTGCCCTGCTTACTATTGGGCTCCCAAATTGAACTCTGGGCTGTTGGCCCCTCTGCCAGTACAAAAATTAACACTAACTCCGCTAACTCGTATACACCGATACAATTTATTTGTTCGATCGGGTCAATTTATTCAATATATGAATCGGTATTCCGTCCAGAGCGAATCCCACCCGCCTCTTTCGACGACTTGAGAACTGGCTGTCCCCGTACTGCACACGACCATATCGACGATTAGCCGAGGTTATTTTCGAGAGGTTACCTCCGAAAACGGTTGGCGGAACGCTCGTCCTCCGCCCGAGCCGTCCTTTTATGTGGAATAGGTCCAGTAATGGGAACCGCCGCAAGGTCCAGAATATGCCAGCTCCGAGAGTGCCCGAGTTTCCCGAACGAGCCTGAGAGCCTTAAGCTAGTGAAAAATTGCTCTACTCACACAAAAAAATAGTCTAGTAGGTTTTTCAGAAACACCGTATGTTCCGTGCCATAGTTAGCTCTCTTGAAGGTGAGCAACTTCCCGCTCAGGTTGGTCTCTTGAAGGTGAGCATCCTCCCCTCTAGTTCGCGATCCGGCACATTCGGAGGTCTTGATAAGAGGTGCAAATGCAAGTGCGGCTGCGAAGGCCCGGCAACGGGATGATTTCGCCGTTCTGGGACTCCCCAAAAGGCAGAAAGCCGAATTGGCCATTTGGACCACTAGCACCACTCCATACGGCGAGGGAGCAGGTCTTTGATTCAGAAGGCCATACCAGATTGGCTTATTTTCTCAATATTTTTGTTCAATTCAATCGCTGTATTTTCAGACTGCACTACGTGAAAATGGAATTGGGGCTTTCTCTAGCTTTCAGCCATTTCTAATACTCTGCCATTTGGTCCAGTACTGTACCATTCGATATGAGTGAATTTTTTGCCTGCTAAAAGACCTCGGAATGAACTTCTAAAGTGCTCAACCCACGTGACTGCTTCCAATATATGAGGGCAATTCGAAAGCCCAGGATCCGAGGTTCCAGTAAAAGCTTGGTTTATCTACAAGTAGACCTTAGATTAGCCTTGGCCATATTCCCTCACTCCAAAATGCATCTCGTTTTAGAACAAAGCTCGGATCCCAAATCTTGTCCAGAACTTCCTTGGTCCACGGCGCACGCGCACCTTTTCTCCGGCATCGGGGCATGCACGTCCATGATTTCCCCGTGGGAACAGATTTTGCGTGCGCACATCCAACAAAGGCTGCGGCTTTTAGGATTCCCGTTTGAGACGGTTATTGAAAAAGATTACTTTGTGAAACCTGTACTGATTTGTCCATACCAAGTAATTTGAATGTACATATTCAAAGTCGTTTGTACATTTTTCTACGGTTCGAGTTGTCCACATTTGACAGGCTTTTCCGGCCTCTTAAATTGCTCTCTTGGCGTTACGTAAGCCCAGTCTTGGCTAAGGACATAGTTTGAAAGATTTATCAGGCTGTTGAAACAGGATATCTCCACAATTTAAGAGGCTAACTGCAGATATCTGTGAAATTTTTCTTTTGCTATATTTTTCCTTGGCAGCTATAAACGCCCTTATTGGCCCTTCATATTGCCAGATATCTATCCTGTTCTCCTGGACCATTTCTTCATCTTATGCCTTCATGTCTCTGAACAACTATGCTATCTCTGAACTTCATGCGGTTATCTTGTGGGCCTTCTTGTTCTTCTTATTGTGCTTTTTCCCACTGGCAGGAAGCTCGGTTTTGTGGAAAGGCTTGGCGTAGGTGCCTCTCACCTCATTCATATTGAAGAACTCCCGGTCCAGCTCGTCACCAGCACTGAACAGAGCAGCCTGCTTACCACCGTAGTTCGTGCCCGTGTGTGCTTCAGCCTTCTTGTCACCATCCTTAGCACCAATATGCGCACTAAACGTCAGCTTCGAAAGATCTGTTGCCAAATCCACCTGGCTCAGTCCCTTGTCACGTGCGGCTTGCATCAACTGTTCTCTCCTGGTCTCAGGCAAATAATCCACCGTATAGAGCTCAGCATTAAACGCCTGTTCGTCTTCCAGTGTCACCGGGGTATCATCGTCATGTGGAGGCGGCTGAACATGCAACAGTTTTCCATTCACGTAGTCCTTCAGGATGTATCTGGCCGCCCTACTCTGGTCAGCAGAACCAAAACCCTGTGTCATGTAACCTCTTGCTCTGGCATAAGCTGTGAGAAGCTCCTGAGATGTAGGATAACCCTTGCCTCCTTCCTCTATAGGTTTGATAGGAATGGCAATACCGTATACAGCCTCTAGGAAGAACTTGGGTATTCTCTGGGCAACCAGCTGACAGGGACCTGTGATCTCGCGCAATTGGTCAATTGGCAGCACTCCGTTACAAACAAGATCACCATTTGTGTATGCAAAATTTGGGAAAACGAGACCAGGACAATCACACAGAATGACCTTATCAGAAAGCAGAATTGTCTGGAAATGCTTGGTCTTACCTGGAGTAGACGAGACCGACACCTTCTTGGAGCCTACTAGGGCATTGATGGTCGAAGATTTACCAACATTAGGGTAACCCACCAAACCAATTTGAAGCTTTGGTTCTTGGCCATTGAGAGGAACAGTGAGCGGGCCAGGTGCTGCCTTCATGAACAAGCTTTCCAGTTCGTTTATGCTCACGATGGCAGTCATGTCTGGGTCTTTTTCGAGTTCCTCTGGCTGGGCTACAGCGTCATCAGTCACAACTTCACTAGCTTCATTAGCAGCCTCTGTCTCCTTGGAGGCAGCAGCTTCTTCCTGGGCCTGTTTCTCCAATAGCTCGTTCGCCTGCAGTGCACTAAAGAATGTGTACTTGATGTTATGCTTCTTGAAATACTTGGCCCAGGCCGTCCTTTGCTTCAAAGTCAGCAAATCTGCTTTGTTCACCAGCAAGAGATTGGCCTTTCTCTCGTCGACTTCCTTGACATATTTCTCGAGATCTTTGGACCTGAATGCCAACGGACTTCTGGCATCAACGATCTGTACCACCAAATCAGATCTCTCCACCACTCTCCACAGCTGCTTCCAAACCTGTAAATTTCTTTCAAAAGGGGTCAGCAAAAGATCGTTGTTCTGCTGCAAAGAAGCCAGTTGTCTTCTCCACTCCAGAAAAGCCTCGTTCTCTTGTCTCTCCAAGACGGTCTTGGTCATGGTCTCGTCCCAGCGCGGTCTGCGTGGAACCGTGAGCTCAAACTCCAAATTCTGGTGCTTGTGGAAGGCTTCTTTCTGCTGATCGCCTGTCATCAAATATGGGTTATTGTCTGAGTTGTCAACCCTGATAATTCTCACACTGGATCCACGCTCCGCAGTGAAATCCGTGTCTGCCAACTCTGCAGTATTCAAAAATTCGTCCAGCGCATTCTCCTGGGTCACTGATCTCATCTTTACCCAGTTAGCCTCGTGCTTATCTGTGGTGAATCTCATCTCTCCGTCTGGAAGATACTCGACTCTGTTCTCAGAGGCCCTCTGGTTTTGAATGGATCTACCCAAACCAATGGTGTTCTTGTTCTTGTGGTGCACCGGCTTGGGGCCCTTTGGGGGCTTCCATTTGACTGGTGCAATCTTCTGTGGTGGCATTTCTGTGTATAAAAATCAATAAGCTGGTGCTTTTAGTTAATAGCAGCTTCTTGTGTTAGTAATGAGGAGGGCCTCGTTATTTTTTCTGCCCGAATTTTTTTTGCGATGGGATTATGTAATCTTGGATGTACACTACTCAGTCTGTGCATTTCAAAAGTGCGGCTCAAAAAGATTACCGCTTCAGATATGAATAATCTATAAACTAAGCATTTACTATCTAATATCTAACTTGATTAATTAATTACTAAGCAACTGATTAACTAGCTGCGCGCCAAATATGCAACTATCACATGACTATAAAAATATGTAACATATACAAAGGTTCCGATGACCACATTATGATCATACTTCGATGTCGCTCACACCCTATGCTAACTCCCTATGCTCATGACTCTTCAACTAAATCTTTACCACCAGCCTCGGCAGTAGACTCATTCTTTGACCTTACTGAATGCTCGCTTGAATCCACTCGGACCAATTTCTCTGCCTCTTTTGCTTCCTGTTCCAATTTCTGCTGAGCTGCGTCCTCCGGTCTCTGAAGACCTCTGTCTATGATGAAAAAGCCCATCAGCCAAACCACCCCCATTATAGGTGTAAAAAAAATAAACACAGTTCTCATGGAACCAGCTATAGCACCCCTGATTGCCTTTTGATCGGACGTACTATATTTGGTGAGATCAGGCCTGGAATACACAGACTTGATGAGACTGTTTAATTCTGCCTGCGTAAGGTCAGAAAGATCTGCCTGTCTCAGTTTTCTGCTCAAAACATTAGACAAAATGGCAGAAGAGGCTGCAAGACCTATGGATCCACCCATGGATCTCATGAAGTTCCGTATGGAAATAACAACAGCTCTATCAGGCTTCCGACAATGGGCTTGTAGTGCGACGATAGTGGGCTGGAAGATGCATCCAACGCCCACACCCTGGCAGAGCAAAATGAATATGATCCCAACAATGGAGAGGTTTTGGTCGAACATAATCTGCAATCCGGTTCCCAAAAACCAAACGGTATAACCGAAATACAAAAAGAACCCATACGACCTGTACTTGGATATCAGGGCTCCACAGACGGTAGACACAACCGCTTGGATAATAAGATATGGCAAAGACATACACGCTGCAATTGAAGGTTTCATTCCTCTGACCAGCTCGCAGTATAGTGGGATGAAGTAAACGTTGGAGTAGTAGACCAATCCAAACAAAAGACCCTGCAATAGCATGATTGCAACAGAGATATTACTGAACAGTCGCAACGGCATCATTGGTAGTCTTGACAATTTCCATTGTGTGAATAGGAACAGTAGTAAGAAGACAGCTCCTATAGTGAGCAGACATATCACTGTTGGACTGTTCCAAGCATAGACGTTTCCACCGCCAGATAGACCTACCAAGAATAGGATAATTCCGGTAGAACTAGAACCAAACCCGTAAAAGTCAATCTTCTTGAAATTCTCGTAATTCACCTTCAGCTCCGAACTCTGAGGAATTACGAACATCGAAACCCCCGTCACCAACGCTGTTAGAGGGCACAGAAAGTAATAAACCCCTTTCCAGCTGACGCTTTTCAGAAACCCTGCTGCTATGAAGGGACCAACAGCATTTCCAAGCCCAACACAGGTTCCAAGGATTCCTTGGTACTTTCCTCTTTCTTCTAGTGTCACCACATCAGACACAATCATCATAGTGAGCGACTGAATCCCACCATTGCCTATACCAGCAAACCCTCTGAACACATAGAGTTGAGTACTCGTGTTACAAAAGCACGTTGCCAGCTGACTGAGACACAGAATGGACATACACCCGAGCAAAACCACTTTTCTCCCGAAAATATCCGACAATCGCCCAAAAAGCACCTGGAAAGTAGTATTGGCAATTAGCAGAGAAGTGCCTGCCCAGGACGTGGTGTTAGTCGCGTGCAGGTCTTTACCAATGTCAGGCAGCGATACTGCCAAAGAGTTCTGATCTAGGAACGAAGCCAGTAATCCTAAGGCCAAACTGGCAAAGGTTATAAGCAGTTTTTTCTTCGGCAGCACGTTAGTCTGGTCCTTGATCGCTATTTCTTTGACCATGATTTCGATTTTTGTCAGTCTCTATACTTGTATGAGCAGTACAGATAAGCACCTTGGTAAAATTTTAATGAGGTAATTCATGAACCAGTTACCAAGGTATTACCGCAAGCACCTTACTAAGCTTATAAGAGTCCCGCTTAATCAACAAAATGAGGAGAAGCTAGGTCGCGAGGGTCATACTAAGGAAAATGACTCAAAACGATCGGGCATGCAGCGGAGCCACACGTCCTCGGGGTCGGGGTTAGTGCACGAAACGGTCGATTAATCCGATTACCTTGGCAACGTTTTTATTGCCAGCGTCATCGCACAGGAAAGCCGGTTCGGGTTACGTTATTCAGACCTTAAACCCGAGACCATTTATTAACAAGCATTTTTATAAGCATTTTGTAGACATATCAAGGTGACTAGGCTCCGAGATCGGACCCAGCCCTCCGAGATGTAGATAGCACTATGCATTGCCGCCACAGCGAGCCAAAGCTTAAAGGTCGTGTGGAGGATACATAGACACAGAGTCCCGCAAAGCCAAACGCGACATTTCGTTCTGATTGCGGCGTGGTCTGGTCGGTCATGGAGCGAAGGATTGGACTGGTTGGGTTGTCGGACCAAGATCTAAAGGTGCTGGACAGGTTACCCTCGAATATTGGGCGCTCTAGTCTCGTGATACGGCTTATCAAGGCATATGATCTCGATCTAAGATGTGATCATATTGGGAGACGTGAGGTTGCTCTGGATGATCTTGCGGAGTATCACGGGATTGAGTACTGCAAATTTTTGCTCAAGCCTCGGGAGGGCAATGCAGAAGATGATGATCCTGCTCAGCTTGCGGAATTCGCACTGCTACACGATTGTCCTGTCTTTCCATCAATGGGTGAGTACGTCAAAACAGTAGCCGGCTCCACCTTAGCTGCATGCCATTGGCTTCTCAAAAACAGCGGAAATCTCTCCGGATCACCAGTAGCTGTCAATTGGCATGGTGGGAGACATCATTGCTTCAAAAATCGCGCTTCTGGATTCTGCTATGTCAATGACATAGTTCTTGGTGTCTTCCAGTTACGAAGCCTGTTCCCCAGGATCATGTACATTGATTTCGATATTCATCATGGAGATGGGGTAGCCAAAGCTTTCCAGTTTAGTCCAAAAGTCTTGACTATGTCATTGCACCATTTCGATGTTGGTTTCTACCCGGGAACGGGATCTGTTCAGGACACGGGAATGGGTCCAGGAAAAGGATACGATGTCAACATACCTCTGAAAAGAGGTCTGAGCGATTCCTCGCTGCTAGAAGTGGTACGTCGAATTGTCCTACCATATGTAGATAGTTTTGACCCTTCCTGTCTGGTAATTCAGTGCGGTGCCGATGGACTTTGCACGGAAGAGTTTCACCAATGGAATTTGACGATCAAAGGGCTGACTAGTGCAGTGATGGAAGTGATCAATCATGCCAATCTACCCTCTGTTCTGCTTGGGGGAGGAGGCTATAACCACTTGGAGACTGCCAAGTACTGGGCCTATCTGACGGCTTGTCTGATTGAGGGTAAAATTGATTTGGAATGGGATATTATACCTGACAAATTCACAGAATCAGGCTCTGAAGAACTTGAGGATTTCCGATTTTGGAATGGTAACGAAGCGACGAAAATGAATGATTTAAATGATGTCCATTATATAGATTTTCTGGAGAAAACTCACAGCTTGAAAAGGTGATGCTTTATGAAGGCTTTGATCAACCTTCAAATACTTCTTTCAACTTTCCACTAGAGGCTTAAGCTTACGGTCCCATTCCGCGTCCCACTTCTCAGTGCTCTTCTTCAGCGCTCCTTTCTTCAAAGTCTTGTATTTTGGTGAGCTTTCTGTCAGCAACTGCTCGAATTCCTTTACCATTTCATCAGCAGTTGAGACTATCGCACCATTCTTTCCGTCCTGCACTAATTCCCCGATGGTCTCAAATCCAAGCGATATCACAGGGATTCCGCAGCCAAAAAGGTCCACCACCTTCATGGGTAAATCCAGACCAGATGATGATACATGCAATGATACTCCCAAATCGGAAACTGCCAGAATCTCAGGATATTCCGATATCGGTAACCAGACCGATTTAACAGAGATTTTTGAGAGCTTGGCAGATTCAAGGTGGGAAAGGAATTGATCACGCAAAGGACCTTTTCCTGTAACCACAACGTGCAAAGTTTGTTCAGACTTCTGCAATAACTTCTCATATTTTACAAGAGCAGCCAAAAATAGGTCAAAATCTTCGTCCTCCGTGAAAGAGGTAGACGTGACCAAAATCTTATCGTTTTCGCGGTAATCCACAAATACCTGGGGATGTGATCTGATGATAACCTCTTTGAGACTCTCGTTCTCGATGGGTGAAAAGTGAATACCAGCTTTATCGTACAGCGTTATGATCTTCTTCTCATCCACACCAAACTCAGACGTAAGGAATTTGCGCAGGTTTTCGGTGACCGTCAGATTCAGGTAGGCAAACCTGGAGAGCTTTCTCTCATAGAACTTCAAGAATCTCACTAACGGATGATTCAAGTTCTTAAACTTCATGTTCAAAATTGTGTAGTTGAGATTGTGCCAGTCTATTATCAGTTCGCATTTGTGGAAAAAGAGCTTCTGAAGCACCACTATGATGAATAGAATGGGTATCGATGGTGGGTTCTGGATCATGATGTATTGTGATTGGCGCATTGTGGAAAACAACAACGCAGTGAGCGTGTATAACTGATACAGCAATTTGTAGCCAATAAACGCCAAATATGGCAGTCTGTGGGAGTTTTTGACTGGTCTCAGCGGCTTTATCTCAACATGGTCGTCCTGTACTATGAACGAAGGAAGACTGGAGTCTAAATACCCACACAGATAAACGTTGTATTTGAGCTTAGAAAAACTCTGAACGTGGTAAAGCATTCGCGGAGAGTGGCCAAGATCCCCTAGCACGCATATAGTGATTGTCGGCATTTTTTGGTTGTGATTGTAGAGACTTGAACAGGAAGAAACACATAGGCTTATATTTATGCTCGTGTAGAAGATGCCCTCTTGTCCTCATCTGACAGAAGTTTGAGCCGCACGCGCCCTTTGAGGCTTACAGAGGGAGAAAACGCTTGAACGAGTTTGTTGTTGGCTCAAAAAAAGAAAATGAAGCATCAAAGTGGTGGTTTTGTTTTCTTCGGTAATAGCTCTTTTTTTAGAACTTCCAAAAGGAGGGAAGCTCTCGAAACACAAGCCTTGTGTGCGCCTCTATGGATTTCAGCAGGTAACCAAATATCATCCGGTCGTATCGTTTCCAGAGTCAAGGTCACACAGGTGAAAGCCGTTTCCTACGATTGTTAGAAGTTATTTTTGGAACAGATTATTACGAAAACAGCCTCACCAGAGCTCTACAAACGAAAACGTGACCGGTTCTCACCATTCATGTCTAAGCCTAGTTCTGAGCCCCACGCAAAAAAGCACTCAGCAAGAAGGGCAAATTTACGCCCACGGTGTGTAAAGCAAGTCAAAAGAAAGGTTTGCGTTTGCTTTCAGTCTCGCAATGAACCTGTTTCTTATATTATATAAAGTCTTAAATCTCACTTCCTCCTCCCCCTATCTCACCTATCAAAAAACACTGAAAAACTCCACTTCCCAGCTCTTCCGGAGCGTGACAGATATCAAAGGTCGTGTCCAGTATACCGATTATTCGCGTTGTCAATTGGCCAACTTGTTTTCTCCTTTTAGACCCATATTCACCCGAACAGACACAAAGCAAGCAGTTAAGATACCGAATCAAACCAAATGGTAAGTTAATTCTGGTGAATATGGTGGCTTATTGAAAATTGTCGGGGGAAAGACGCGGTATTTTGTCTTCTTCGTTTCAAGATGAAGGAGTGTTTTGATCCCAGCTTGCTGATGGCAGCGTTTTATCCAAAAATCAGATTCAATTCCCTCATCATTTTAAATTTTCGCGCGTACTAACGTTTCAGGCCGACCACCTTTCACAAGAACAAATCGCCTCGTTCAAGGAGGCCTTCTCTCTGTTTGACAGAGACGGAGATGGAAAGATCACCGCCAGAGAGCTCGGAACCGTTATGAGAGCTCTTGGCCAAAACCCAACAGAAGCTGAATTGTCGGATTTGCTAAACGAGGTGGACTCGAACAGCGACGGATTCGTTGATTTCGCCGAGTTCCTGACAATGATGGCCAGAAAGATGAAGGACTCCGATACTGAGGCCGAGATTGTCGAGGCTTTCAAGGTGTTTGACAGCGATGGAGACGGAAAGATCAGTGCTACCGAGTTGCAGCGTGTTTTGACAACCATTGGAGAGAAGCTGAGCGAAGATGAAGTCAACGAGATGCTGAGAGTAGCAGACACGGACGCAGATGGACAGATTGACATCAAAGAGTTCACAAAGCTACTACTACAGAAATGATACATTGAATTTGAAATCCTTACCCCGGTCTATCCGTCTTTGGTTGATCTGTTGTCTTTGGTGGATCATCCTGTCTAGTCTTTATAGTAAGTTGGTAATTGCTGTGTTCAGTTACGTCACGTGCGGTGGCCCTGGGGTCAACCAGACTGAACCCAACCGGGCATTCAATCCATCAGATGCAGTTAGCCAGATTTTCTAAGATAATATATAATGTTTCACGCGTTTCTTGCTATATAAGCTTCCTACAGGTATTCTACCCTCACATATGCCAAAAGCCCCGGGGCATCGCCGGGGTCCCGAATTATAATGGTAGTGTGATCACGAGTCACGGGCCCCTCCAAATTCCAACGTCTCTTCCCTTTCTTGGAACCCCAACTTTTGCTACAGAGAAGCAAGCTCTGACCGGGAACACGCAAGAGTGGTTTGCTGGTGGTTCTGAATACACAAAATTATACTTTTTGGACACAGTGAGCTCACATCTAATTCATGATGGTTGCCTCTACAGAGTTGTCGCCCAAACCGTAAGTGGATCACCCGGGCGCTGGACTATGACGCATCACGGGGGGGTCCAGTATGGACTCGTTATTCGCCCCATTTTCTATTCTACTTCAAATTACTAACACTTACTAGCAAAACCATCAAGGCCTCCGGTGCCGAAAGAGTCGCCCAGGCATGTGACAGGTGTAGGTCTAAGAAAACCCGGTGTGATGGAAGACGTCCCCAATGTGGGCAGTGTGCCATTGTGGGAATCGAGTGCAAGTTGAGTGATAAGCTCTCGAGGAAGGCTTTCCCGAGAGGATACACAGAGTCTCTCGAGGAGAGGGTCCGAGAACTGGAATTTGAGAACAAGAAACTGCAAAAACTTGTGGAGTTGAAGGGTTCCGAACCCAGCCTGGTGAAACCAGTTACCAACGAGAATTTGAACATGCTCAACAAAGAGCAGCTGGTTTTGCCTCCTGATCATATACATGATGCTACTTGCAACTGTGAAAATCATCCAAACTCCGTTCATGAGAGACCTGTCTCTATAGCTGGATCTGTGGACTTGAACCTTACTGACGATACTGACTCGCTGCTCTCGGCAACAGACTTTGCGCGTATTTCCAACGACGAAAACAGGTCTTTTGAGCAGATAAATGCTCCTGGTGCTGCTGCTGCCATTGCCATCCAGAATAAACTGAATTCGAAAGACTTTATTAACCTAGCCAACTTGATCGCCATGTCCATTCCTAGGTCTACTGAAGAAACGATGTTCATTCCAAATGTTCTGGCGAAGATTTGCAACGTTCATGGCTTCAATTCAAAGGCAGCCTTCATGACAGCCAGATCGATTGCTTTGCTCAAGGAAACATCCACCAGCAGTGCATTTAAACACATCAACTTCAGAGGCGTGGACTTCACCAGCCTGACCAAAGATGAATCGATAGAGTTCTTTCAATCGCTGAACTTACCCAACCATACGAATCTGGACCTTTTCATTACTTCTTATTTCAGCAGCTGGAATGATTATATACCGTCTCTGAACAAACAGCTTTTCATGGCTAACTACGTGAAGTTCAACAAGAGTCGAGACGTGGACTTCACCGATGGGCTGATGTTTGGAAATGAGAGCTTTGTTGAGATCCTGATTATTATACTGACTCTGGTGATGAAAAATCAAGAGAAAAACCTTTTCTCACATCAAATTGACAGTGAAAAGGAAATAACCAAGCAAGAAACCCATTACGAGATATTGATGTATTATGACCACTTGATTCATCAGTTCATCAGATCCAATCTTTCTTCTATTTGTTCCGTCCAGTCACTGCAGAATACCACCCTGGAGCTCTTTTACTGTTTGAATATCGGAGACCTTACCACGAGTTACGATCTTAGAGGAAAGATGATTACCATGGCCCAGCAGCTGAGACTTCACAGATGCCCCTCTGCTGTTCTCGGTTCAAGTGGCTCCACCCTATCCAAAATCCAACAGGGTGAGAGAAGAATCTTGTTTTGGAACATATTCACTCTGGATTCGTTCAGTTCAATGTTGCTCGGTGTCCCCAGACTATTGAAAGACTCCGAGATTGAGTGTGCTCTTCCTTCCAGTAACAACGACAACAATACCACTGACGACATCAACATGGTGATGTTTAACAACACAGCACTATCATTGGTTGGTAAAGTGTCGGATTCTGCTTTGAGTATAATGAGATACTCCAGGGTGCTGGGGACTGTTTTGGACTCAATCTTCAAAAGGAACTCGGGTAGCTCCATCAGTGATGAGATTTGTTTTGTCCTTGAGAACCAACTGGAGAGCTGGAGAAAGGACTTGCCTGGCTACATCGCTGGTGATGTTGATGTGAATACTGTTTTGAAGGAGGCAGAATACACGAACTTGAACGAAAAGCAGTTGAGCTTTCTTTTCCTGTATTTCCAAGCAAAATTGCTCATCTATTTACCAATAATGGGCTCGGAATCCTCAACATCTGCTTCCCGCAATTCTTCGTCATACATAATTATTCAGCAAATCACGTCCTCCCTGCTGTCTGTCTATCAGAAGTTGTCCACCAAAGAGCACAACTTTCACGCGTTATCGTTGCCTCTGAGCAGTTCCAAGCAGGTGGCTCGGTTTGCTCTCATCTTTGCTAAGGGCTCGCTTGAATACGGACGAGGAGGTTCGCTTTTTCAAGAATCCAAGATGCTCCTGGGAGATATAATCAAGATGCTGAAGTTCGAGACAGAGATTGGGCTCTTAGGATGTATTTCCAAGAACTGTGTTGAATCCCTGGAGGTTGCCATTGACCAGATATTGTCACCTCCTCCATCTTTGAAGAAGATCAAGAGGAAAACTCCGCCTTTGAGAACATCTGAACTGAGACTGAAAGATGAGCACGAGTCTACGTTGAATGATATATTCACTAAGAGGGCCAAGTTTGGAGGTGAACCTACTATTCAGTCGAAACAGAGGAATGAGCCTTACGATCTAAACAACCTCTTCCAACCATATTTGCCTGAGAATCTGGAATTTGGAGTAGACGCATCGCTTGGTCTGAATTTGTTGAACTTTGACTTTGATTTCAACCTGGGTGGCTTCAATGGTAACCCAAATAGCGGTCTTGAATCGGGAGTTAAAAAGGAGGGTTCAGAAACATTTTGGAATGTTTGAATTCACTTGATTTCATTACCTCAGGTTGTTTTTGTCATGGTTTTTGCAGTGTATTTTTTTGGCCGTTGTTGGTCTAGGTGTTTGCGCTTTTTGTTAGTCTTCATTCTGTAAAGGTTTGTGTCATGATACTTATGATCTTATGTTTGCAATGATTTTGTGTTATTTTGTGTTGTTTGCGTTATTTTTCGGTATCACGCGTAGTATGGCCTGCGTCTCAGCACAATGGGGTAGCATGCATGTTCAGTTGTAACGGGACCCGGTAGATATCAACCACGCTGGCTATTGGGCTACCCAAAATGACCAATATACCAATTGCTCGAAGGAGATGCAATAATATTGGCTAGAAACCTAAACCTGAATCTAAAAGCAAAAAAATACAAATAAAGAACATTTTTTTGTTCTGGTATTTTTACTAATTCACTCCACATTTACCTGACTTTGTCAGAAATCTAAGAATTTCAAAATTTATACCCAAATGAGATTAGTGTGAATAGCTCAAAAATTCTGCCATTGCCCTATATAAGAATTTTTACTAGTGAAATCCAGCTTCTCTCCCATTCTTCTCTCTTCAATTGAATTGGGCACCTTTGTGGGATAACACTTCTTAATCCTTTGGGATAACATGGGTTTATGTCTTACTTCCGGTGCCCAGAATAATTACTGCTTCTTTCGCTAACCACGAATTCTTTCACCATAGATCGTTGTTTGATAGTAGGAACGCAGACATTCCTTTCACTCTGAGTACCTCTCACCCTAAACCTTTTCGTATCAATCCGCCTGGCCTTTGCCGTGGTGACTGTTATATAATGCAAATCATGTGCTGTTTGTCGTAGATTTCACTGAATTTTTTAACATTACCAGTGTAATTTTTCATTTTTGAGATCTGAAAGCTTTTCTCGAAATCGGCATCCCCCACTGTGTGTAAAACTCATCGCTTGGAGTTTACATTGCCAACAGCCCCTCCATCTTCTGCATTGTTCACTAACATTGCTTAAAAACTTGTTTTTTCTACTTTTGCTTTTGTTACCGCATCTAATGACTTCAATAACCCAGCGAGTGAATACATTAAACAGCGTTGACTTGTTGCTGTCCAAAGTGGATGAAGGCAAAAATGATGCTGACACCCTACTGGATACACTGCTACTCAACAACGCGGCATACGATCTATACCAGGTGCGAAAGGATGTGATCAGTCAAGAGCTAAAAAACAAGGGTCTGAGACCATTAGAACAACTCAACTCTCTTTCAAGATCGGGTGCTAGTTCTAGTCAGAAAGACCGCATCCATCAATTGACGAAAACTGTTGAGGATAAGTTGTTCGAGTATGATTCGCGATTGAAAGAACACAAGGAGCAATACGAACAGGAGTTGAGATTGAAAACCCAAGCAGAAGAGTTTCCGACAGGCCAGGATACTTCTGTATTGCACACAGTTCTGGAAGAGGAAGATGACGGTGAAGATTCGATGACTGCCTTGAGAAAGAGGCTTTTGAGCACACAAAGATCTTCTCAATTGGACACTATAGAAGACAAAAACAAGTATCACGAGACTCTACACGAAGATTATCTGAAGGATATCTCATTCTTCGTTGGCCAGGCAAAGAGCACTGCGTTGCGATTCCAACAGGCTCTTAGCAACGATGCTAGTATACTGAAAGAGGCAAGCGAAGAATTAGAAAAATCCCAAGGAAAACTGGGCAAAGTTGGTCAATTACTGTCACATTATCATCGCACTGGAAAATTGTCTATTTGGTTCTACATAAGGTTGATTCTCGCGCTGTTCATTGGTTTCTTCATATGTTTGCTATTGATCCAGATTCTTCCCAGGGGTTAGTTTGTTCACAGTTCTGAAAAGTTTGGGATTGTGAGTGACTGCACGAGAATAGATTCGGCAGCTTTCCCTGGTCTCTGGTAGCCATATAGTCTGATGATATCTGAGGGGCTTTGTCCCACGAATGTGTCTTCGTTTATCCACTCTGGCTTCCACCTGGTTCTAAGGTTCTCCAACCATTCTTTCATAATCAAATCTCCGGATTGAATTTCACTGGCTGCGTTGTCGTATTTGAGAATTCGTGCTGCTGAAACATGGCTCTTTTTGTGAGAGTTCAACAGTCTATTTTCAAGCTCTTTCATCTGTCTAGAAATGGTTGTGAAAACTCGACTCTGGCCTCTGATAAGAGACAACGCATTGTCTCTGTTCTTGGTAGAGCAGTTTCGTTGCGAAAGCTTTTTGTCGATGGAGGCTTCCTTGGGCAAAATCTTTCTTCTCAGATCAAACTCTGTTCTGAGTTCTGAGACGGCGTGGAGCGCCATTCGCAAGGTGGCTCTGTCAGGTATCTCATGGGCAACTCCGAGTGTCTTCTTGTCAGAATCAAGCATGGACAGAAGAGAAACTAATTGCAGCATTTCAGGTGGAATTTTCTCCTGAACGCGGAAGATAAACACATCGGAGCCAAAGTTCAACCAAGTATAGTCGGATAGTTTGTGCTTGAAGAATTGCACAACTTCTTGGTTCCTGCCTAACCAGTGAGAGCTGAAATCGCTTGGTTTTCTCATGAACACAACATGGTCGAATTCATTATTGTCATATGCAAATCCATAACCCAGGAGCAGCTCCGAGTTTGACTTGGGTCCATAGTTGTTCACCAGTTCCAGGGTGCTCAAGTCCACATCTGGTACGAGCTCAAAACCTGTTTCCACGACGTTCCATTGAACGTGTGATTTTGGTTTATGGTTCAGCAAGTCTATAACCGGCAGTAACACCATCGCATCTTCTTGAACGTGTTTCTTGAACAGTCTATATGGAAATGCTCGCGATGCAAGAACAGAATGTGCCCAGAGGTAGTTTGGAAAACTCCACCAATAATCTTGAGTCGAGTAAAGATCTCTTGAGACTTCAGCTGCATGATCTTTAAATAAAGTGCTGTCGATGTTTTTGATGGCTTCAATGCAATTATCGCTACTCATCAGGATCCTGTAGACATTCTCCCACTCCTGAACTAATAACGCAAGTCTTCTGTTCACTTCAATATCAAGGGTGGTGTTTTCAAGAAGTATTTCTCTTTCAGTCAATGACCAGCTCAACACAGTGTTGATCTCCTCCGATGATTGGGGCAGAGACCGAATGTATGGAAGAAACGTAATTCCAACATCCTGGTTTCCCCTGCCCCAAGCCAGAAACACCTTGAGCATTTCGTTTGAAGGTTGCACCGAAGAGCCAGGTATCAGGCTCTCTTTTGCGACTTCACTGGATAGTTCAAGATTGTGTGGTATCCAGATCTTCAGTCCTGCAATATCATCAGCCTCTGAGCGTTTAACCGAAGCCATTACACCGTCGGTGAGCCCGTATCGCTGGAACTGAATACGAGGGTCTATGTGCGCACCGTTCTTTGTGGCCCATTCGAACAAAGGGCTAATTTTTGAGTCAATTTCACTTGAAATGCTCATCTTGAATTACCGGCCAAAAGAACGAGAAAAAAGGGGTCAGTTTGACAGAATCTCCATGGATTATCGAAGGTGGAGTTTTTCAACTGGTGCTGGCATGCCATCGCCAATGTTGAGTGGACTGCAGAGTTTTGAGCATTAGTGCGGTTACAAATAGGTTTTCACACGACAAACACGCTAGTCTTATCTGGAACTGATTACCCGATAAAGCACAGCCGAGCCGAGAACGTGTTATGAGTCAACACGGGCTGCAAGGCGTTGTTTACAAAAGTATAAGCAAAAAAACAGTAGATTCATTAATGATACAGACGGTAAATCGATAAAAAGCAAAGAGAAAATAGTAGGCATTCAAGGATAAGTAGCCTAAAAAGGTCAACAAAGAAGTACCAAGAGGAGGACACAGCCAACGTGGTTGCCTGCGCTATCTAAACCAGTTAAATTCGAGGGTGTTGTTTCCTAGAACTTCTTTAGATGGCTTAAACCAAATTGCCCCCAAATCACTTCTTATTGGACCCTCTGCGCTTCTTCATTCTCTTAATGCTCTTCTTGAATCTGTGGTCAACCACGTTCTCTCTCTCCAGGGCATCCTCAAAGTCCACCTCTGGGTTTGCAGTCATTTCCTCGTAGGCCAGGAGATCGTCACGGAACTTCCTGGTATTTCCCAATTCGTTTGCCAGTTCGAAATCCGTAATTGAATTCTCTAACTCTGTATCGTGGTCAATCACGACATTTGGTGCCTTTGCAGAGGCCGCAGCCGCGACTTTGGAGGAGGGAGAAGGCTTCATAGTCAATGACTCTGTGAGCTTCAACGAAGCCGCCTCAGCGTAGGAAAGCTTGCGGACCTGAATATCGATGAACTCATCATCAGTGTTGCACCCAATTGCTTTCATGGCAATGACCTTGGTGGTATCAGGGTTCAAGGCGGGCGCCGTTTCAATTGTGGGAGCAGCGGTTTTTGCCGATGGCCAGAGGCTGAACCTTGAACGCGTCTCCTTCGAAGATCCAACTGTTTCTTTGAGCTCCTGGGACTCTTTTCCAAGGATATTGAGGTCAACAATAGGAGGGAACTCGGTGGCTGTTTTGTGGGTGGAAGCGTCTAACACGGTGGGGCGTTTGGAGGATACCCCGAGTCTGAAGAAGGAAAGCATGGCTAAAAGGTGCGTGGGCTGGATGGTAATATTCACAGTACTTGCAAAACAGGTGATAAAACGCGGTTTTTTATCAAGGTTGTTACCCCCTGGATGAAGAAAGAAAGAGGGCGATAAGCCAGATAAACAATCGAGGAGGGGGAAGAGGCCAGATAGCTGCCCTCGGGGGCGGGATGGGCCTGCACAGCCGTGAAACCGATAACCCGCCAATCTCATATCAGATCGCTCACCGCGTGATTCTTGAGCTTTCTATTGGCGCGCTCATAGCCTCTGTATTGTATTCTGTTCCCGTTTAGTAGAACTTGATATTCGTTTTCAGGGTCGTTTGGGACAGGAATTCGGATCAAGAACCGCGTGTTTCTCTTGCTGATGACTCTTAATCCGCCCACCTCTTCTGTAGACGAATATGAAGGGGCCTCCACGGATTTCAATTCGCCTTTCCATCCGTGTAGCTTACCTCTTCCCGTGACTATGATAAAATTAAACTGGGACTCCCATATGACGATTCCCTGAATCCCCACGTTGGAGATGCACTTGCTATACTCCACCTCTATGAAGGCGCCCACAAACTCGGCTGTGGATAATTTTGAGCCCATTGTGGTCAACGTTGTGTTTTCATCATTCCCCAGAAAGTCATTGACGTAGGTTTTCCACAATTTGTTGATTGCAGTGAAATCCTCGATTTTAAGCAGTTTCTGGAACGCCTTGCGGTTGACAATGTTGAGATCGTTTCCCTGTGCACTTCTGGAGGCTTTGGCTTTGCTAACGTTCTTGCGCGCTAATCTCTGGAGCTTTAGGTTTGAGTTTATGAACTGTTTAAACTCATTTCGCGTTTTCCATTTGGAGTATTTGTTTTCTGATCCTGACTGTGATGTTCTATATCTCGGTATGGGGGGTTCCTCTCCAACATCTGCAAACTGGAGAACTTTGTCTTTTTTTTTGAGAACCTCTGGCTTCACGACCTGATAATCGGATTTTGCAGGGTTCAGTGACAAATAGTTCTTCTGGTCTCCTTTCAAGGAGTATCGACTGTTCAAGATTGCCTGGATGGAATCCTCATCCTCAGCGTATCTCGTACACCGTGACAACAACCGGCGTTCTATCGAGAGATCCTCCATAATAGAAATAGGCTGTGGTGTTGGTGACAAGCGTAGTTTTCAAGGCAGGTCCAATTTTAAATAACGTGATGAGAGTCCTTGGAATGGAGGCTCGTGTTTGAACTTTTCAGGGTTATACAATTTTTTTTGGGGAAAATTTTGTGGTACACATCAACCCGGCCTGTTGTGAAAGATAGCTTGGTCTGCCCGCTTTCCACTGTTTGACATTCTTACCGGTCTATCCTCGAAAGCTATGATACGACCCTTGAGGTTTGTGACTCATATACGACATGTGTGCAGAATTCACCCAGCATGTGCTTCGAAGTTTAATCCGATACGACATCTGGGTAGTTCGGCACCTTTTGGTGATGATTTGGGTCCAGAGAGTGAAGAGGAGCTGCTGGAGAATTACCCGAATTTGGCTGGTTTCTTCGAGGGGAGTACAAAAGTGGAACAACAGGCTGGAAACGCAATTGATATCGATGATGGATACGACTTTTCTGATATCCCTATACTCAAAAGTGGTGATGAGGTTGCCAACTCCCAAGGCTTTGACAATCTATCTCTCTCTTTGAATGGGCAACATTTCTCCCCTCAACAAGCAACTGAATTGTTGACAATGATCGAAGGTCAAAACGTGACGAATACAGATCAAAATGTGCGCTCAACTATTGCAGGTCAGAAAGAGAGAGTCGATGCCAAAATTGATATTCAAGGATTTGACAAGTTTCTCGAAATTTACGGATTTCCAAAACTTTTGCAAGAGTCAAAAAACACAACACCTTTGGTGAAAAACAGCTGGAAATACCTTGAGGACAACAAACCGACTGTATTCGTTTTAAGATCATCTGATCCTTATCTGAACTTGGCTTCTGAAATGTACATATATGACAAAATGCCGCCAACTTCGAAAAGACTGGTGTTATACGCCAACTCGCCATGCATAGTGATAGGCAAAAACCAAAACCCGTTCAAGGAGATCAATTTAAGAGTGGCAGGTGCCCTTGGGATTCCTATTCTTAGGAGGTTCTCAGGGGGTGGGACCGTGGTTCATGACTTTGGAAATGTCAACTTTAGCTATATGTCAAGCAAGAGCTCTTTTGATCGTGTGGGTTATACCAACACTTTGGTAGAGCAGATGAATGAGTTTGCAGGATCTGAAAATTTGGAGCATAGAAACACCTCTTTCAAATTTCCAAAGTTCTCCCTTACCACAACTGCCAAAGGAGATGTGGTGAGTGAGATAGACGAGAAAAAAGTTAGCGGATCCGCCTTCAAGCTGTCTAAGGGAAAGTTTTTACATCACGGGACCATGCTTCTCAGCTCTGACCTCAACATCTTGAGAAATCTTCTGAATGTGGGCGAGATCAGGAAGTCTAAAGTGCAGAGCAAGGGAACCAACTCGATTCCAAGCAGTGTTTCAAATTTGGATTGCTCTAGAGAGTTATTCATGTGGCTATGCGCCCTGTCCTTCTCTAAACACTGTGACCTCGGCCCGACAGATAATTTTGACTGGCAAAACGTGAATATGGAATGCCTCGATGATTGTTCGGCGATCCTACCAGAAGTAGATGAATACCGGAAAACTTTGAAAGATTGGAACCACACTTTTGGAAGTGGTCCGCGCTGGTCTCACGAGGTTGCATTCAACGATACTGCGATAAAGTTTGGCATCAACAACAAAGGCCACATTGCTTCCGTTGAGACATCAAAAGCCGCTGATGAATTATCAGATCTTCAGACTGCTATAGAAAGAGGTGAGATAATCAGATACCGAGGGGAGGATGTTCAGAAGTACGTGAAAGATTTAGCATTTGGTGAATGCCTAGCTTGGAACATTGATTACGCATTAGATTATAAAAGAGTGGGCTGTGCGGATTAGGCATATCATTTGTACAGCCATGAAAAATGATAAATTCACCTCAAAGCAGTATATTCTTTCTGGACAAAGTGATTGTGACTGGTATTCAATGTGCGGAATGCATACGGCGGGCCCACCTCCACCCTGCGATGAGCTAAAGATAAGAAAGGTTTGGGCGCTTCGACCTGGACCGTACAATACTTTTTAGCTCATATCGAACCAAAGCTTTACTCCTGCCCCTAATATTTGATATAAGGGACGCAGATCACTGGAGTTGAAAAAAAATTCATTTTATCAACAGCCATTACGCGCAAGACGTAGACGAATTGAGCGCTTGATTTGGAGTTTGTTTACGCATCCAAGATAACAGGCATGTTCTTTCCATGGACGGCTTGTTTGCCTCTGGTGGTGAGTCTGATATCGATAATTTCACAATCCAGTGCACTAGATATCTCATATAATGAGAGATCGAAAAGCGGAGATATCTACAACTACACTTCGGGCGAGAAAATTCAAGGCGTGGCCTTGGGAGGTTGGTTGGTTCTAGAGCCTTACATAACGCCAACATTATTCAACAATTCATTGAAAAAGGGCGAGGGCGACTCAAAAATTCCTGTTGATGAATTTCATTACTGCAAGAAACTCGGAAAAAAAGAGGCCAAGATCAGACTTGAGGAACACTGGAGGACCTGGATCAATGAATCCGATTTCGCGACCATTGCAAGCTATGGGTTGAATATGGTTAGAATTCCTATTGGATATTGGGCATTTGAACAACTGGATGAAGATCCTTATGTTTACGGCCAAGAAGATTACTTAGATAAGGCAATAGAGTGGTCTCGCAACCACGGTCTCAAAGTGTGGATTGATTTGCATGGTGCTCCGGGCAGCCAAAATGGATTTGATAACTCAGGCTTGAGCAACCGCATTGATTGGCAAAAGAAGGAAGAAAATATAAACATGACGCTTTCAGTATTGAACTACATATCGACCAAGTACGGTGGAAAAGAGTACCTGGATGTCATCACTGGAATTGAGATTCTAAATGAACCACTTGGCCCCAGACTGAGCATGAAAAAACTGCATGACTTTTACAAAGATGCTTACTATACACTCAGGGAAACTACAGACAACAACTTGGTGTACCATGATGCTTTCCAAGCTGTGGGATATTGGGATTACAGACTGAACGGTCACATCGTTGCAGCAAACAATACTTACTCAGATTTGGTCAATTTGTCTGCTTCTGTCGCCAATTCAAATTACGAGAGAGTTGTAATAGATTACCACCACTATGAGGTTTTCGGTGTCGGAGAACTCAAGGACAACATTGCCGAACATCTTAGCTCAGTCAAAGGCTACGGCCATGCTGTCGCTGGAACCAGACACCCTGCAGTAATCGGGGAATGGTCTGCAGCTCTCACTGACTGCGCGCCTTGGTTGAACGGAGTTAGAAGAGGAGCTAGATATGATGCTACCTACCTTAACGATGAGTTCATAGGCTCGTGTGAAGGAATTAGCGACTTCTCAACTTGGAACAGCTCTTTCAAGGAGAGCGTGGGTAAGTTTATCGAAGCACAGTTGGACGCCTATAACATGATCTCGGGATGGGTTTTTTGGTGTTACAAGACAGAAAATGCAATTGAGTGGGATCTCAGCAAATTGATCGAGCATGACCTATTTCCTCAACCACTCGACAAGAGGGTATACACCAGTTTATCAGTAAGTCTACACCAGAGATTCAGCAGATCTACCATGATTCTCCAACTTCTGCTAGTGCTGACCGCAGTATGCGTTCTTCAGTGAGAAACCATTCTAACAACTGTACATAGCAAAAATAGAAAAACATAGACAACCATCAAAAACATGCCACAAAACAACGTCGGCCATTGAAACACAAAGCATGTAAGAAATACACAAAAGTATGTAAAAGTAGAAAGCAAGTCCCGGCGTATGACCTACTTCTCAGGGAACCAAAAAAAAATCAAAAAAACTCGTCAGATTATATCAAACATATGCTGACAGATGATGGAATGAAAGACTGTAACTCTGATCGACACCCACCATTTCTGAAAACCATGTATACGTGTATTCCAAATCTCCTCAGTGTGGTGCGGCTCGACATAGAGGAAGCTTTGCCGCTAAAATACTTTTTGCTACCAATATTCCAAGAGCGGATTTGAGCTACAAAATCGGTCTGTCAATTCGGATTTCCAAAACATTCCTGAGAATGACATCTCATGGTACTTAATAGAGCACTACGGTACTTAAGAAGGCATCACGAACATGACAATAGAACATCGCAAATTCTCAAATCAACAAATCAACAAGTAGACATAGCATCCGCGGGCAAGACAAATCAGATCTCAAGTCCATCTCGGCATACATCATCCTTATGAAGGGAGGAGGGGCTTATCGCCATCACATCCAAACAAACAGCAAACAGGCTCCTTACCAGGCTCAGAAAATAAATAGATGAGTGATTAAATTGATCAACATCACCATTACAGCTCGGCGTACCACTAATATCCATTTTATTCACCTATCAACATGATGATAAAAACAAAGAAAAACAATGTAAATGGTAAAAACTATCAGCGACAAAAGCCGTTCTCCATCAATGCATTCTGCAGATCATCATAATAATAGATAGCACCCTAGATCCTTTACGGCCGTCACAACATTCACAACATTTCACAGCTGCCGCATGAAGAAGTTTATACAAAATACTCGATCTTCAATAATTACCTTGCCTTATTTTTGCAAAGAATAGCCGAAGATGATGAAATCTCAGTACCAGATTGGCCGCTCTAACAGAATCTAGTCCTCAAAAATTGATCGATAACACGTTCACAAATTGGTGTAGCATCTTCTTTTTATTATCATGATTAAAAAATTTGTTATTCATAAAGTCTAAAATCAGCACAAAAAGAGTAAAAATCAGATAAAAAGTCCATGCAGAGCATAAGACACTATTTCAATATTGTGGCTGACAGACCCGGAGTAGCTGAAAACATTGTTTATTTTCAGTTTCTGTTAACAAGAGATAACTACAACTGTCAAATGCTGTCATCAGATATGCTGCTCGATCAGATTGCCAGTCTTTGTTGTTTGCCTGGTGCTAACAATTCTTGATATACTTCGTTCTATATACTGGCAATTAAGGAACTATATAAAATCCTAACTTTCATAAGCAGACGCTGTACACTAAACCTGATCCGATATTGCTTTCTAAACCAAGTCTGGGAATTGTCGCAGGATAATCCGGAGTCCCAACTAAAAACTACTCAAATATGAAGGTTCCAGCGCACGTACCTGTGCTTTCTATCCAGCCACTGTAGTATTCATATGGTTTTAGCAGCGGCTTTGAATCCTGAGCACACCTTACGATTTATATGATTGATTAGACCTGACTGATATATAGAATTCCGCAACAACTGGAAACAGAGGGGAAGAAACAAAACTCCGACTAAACAAAGAAAGCCCGAACAAGTTCACCACGAAACCCCTAGCTCCGAACATCAACATCGCTCTCACTACCATTGTACTGGTTCCTCTCAGTGCTTGAGAGTGCTGCAGGGTATTTTTAAAAATCAATGTTTATATTGGTTTAAATATACATTTACATTGAGCCATCTCATCAAGTAAATGCATCATCAAAGTACTAACTGGTGCGCCGACACAACTCTTTATGAAGTCCTCGGGAACCTGTTTAGGAACTGGTTAATCACATAGGTAAGAACCGCATAATGTGTCTTCCGCTTCACACTACAGAAAAAGCATTTCGGCTCTCCGCAATTTAGTTCTGAATTTTACTAGATTTTGAATTATTTAGAGGACAATCAGGTATAGTATTAGCACAATAGTTATGTCCATAGCTGTTCCCAGAGCTAATCTCATCAAAATAACTAATGTTAAGTGCCATTTATGTTCCACACCCTTTGCATATACTAGTTAACGCTATAGTCTCGTTATAAAAATCATAAACTGAGTTGTCTAGGTTCTACATAGCTTGTGACATTAGAAGTTCCTTTAGGATTATGTGTTGATGTTGTTGAAGTGTTTACAGTGTTATGAGGTGTTATGCAAGTTAGTTTGCTTGGAGACGAACAGAACATTCAACGTAATAAAGGAAACCTGTTCTCTTAGCTATGCTGCTGTGTGATCCAAATGTTATGAAAGAGGATTTAAAGTCACTAAAAAGCCGAAGATTTATAGCGTTCTTAGTATCCTGACTTATAGAAATTTTCTTGGTTAAAATGAGTTACAGTGATAGACCATGCTGTAATGGTGTTATTAATCAAATTCAAGAGAACACTAAAGCGTTGGTTGGTCTTATGCATGGTATAACTAACTGGGTCAACCATCCCCGGCTTAGAGAGTACTATGCGGTTGTAAGCATTCGATCAGACTCTTGATCCTACTATTACTATCAGCGAATTTGCTATTGCCTTTGGTGCTTATTGTTTGCCTTCTGAGGCTCGCATCAAGCCATATGATCATGCCCGTGACAATTCATCTGGCCCCGTCGGGACCCGTTATAACCTTGAGCAGGTTGTGGTTGCACTTGATAGATTTCGGATTGTTCCTGGTCATGATACACCCCAATCGAAGATCTCGTCTGCTCTCCTTGGTCTTGCTGCTGTTACTTCGATCTCTTCGAAGAAGACCAGGTCTGGACTGTTGAAATCGATTAGATTCAACAATTTCAACGTGGACGCCCTATATGTTATCGCTGCCATGAATTGGGTCATGTCAGGACTGAGTGTCCTAAATTACATGCGGGTCGTTAGGCTTCTTTGACTCCTGTTGTTGATATGACTATGCTTGCTTCTTGTGCCATTAAGGCTTCCTCGATGACCTCCTCTGACTCTTCGGCTTAGTATCTTGACTGTGGTGCTGCGGGTCATATGTGTCTTGATCGTTCTTTGTTTACTGAGTTCACACTCCCTTCACTGGGCAGATTCTTGATGTTCTTGTTACCTCCTCTACTGTTGAAGGTAAGGGTACTGTTTACTTTGACCATGGCTCAATTTCCTTTTCCTTGTCGAATGTTTTGTATGTTCCGCGCATTGGTTTCAATCTTGTTAGTGTTAATCGTGCTTGTGATGATCTACTTTTACCCCATCACATCGGTGCTTCCGGTGGGTATCGTTTGTTAGCTTCTTTTAAAACTTCAAGTGCTTTGGCTATCATATTGTCCGGGTTTAATTCTGGTACTCGTTCTGGCCACCCATCTGACGGAGTTTACGCAGCTTCAATGTAAGCAGCGTTTGCATTACCCTTTTCGTGGTCCTCAATCGCATTCTTGTAGTGGCTATTTTATTGCAAAAGGTACACAGCATTCTTTCAGTCACCTGATCGAAGAACTGCCCACCATTTTGAGCTTCTTCACACTGGTATCTCTGATCTATTCGATTGATCCATTCTCCAAGGTGTATCGTTTTTCTTAACCATTGTTGATTGTTACTCCCACTATGTTAGGGCAATTTTACTCATACTGAATCAGATGCGACAGCTTACCTGATCAGCTTTGTTAACAAGTATGAGCGTCCTTCCCAAAAACGATGCCGCAAAGCTTGTTCGATGCACAGTGACAGTTGTGGTGAATAGTGTAATGCAAACATCTACTTTTTCATATTCGAAACTATGATTCACCATAATCCGACGAGAAGGATCTCTATCATGGTCATCAAAATGGTAAGTAAAGCTGAACGTGAGAGTGCCTCAAGAGAAGGATCGCACTCTTCTTGAGTAATCATGTGTTTACCTCGAATTGCGGGTAGAATATGTTATATTTGCTTTGTTTATTTCCAATAGTTTTTTTTTTCGTGTTCTATTGACTTTGATATTCCTCATGAACGTTGGTCGCGTGTTCCCATTTGCTTCAGTAATATGCGCACCTTCTGGTCTGCGGCGCTTGTTGCATATTACCCTCTGCACTACGTGCATCGAAGCATGCGTCTGCAGCTGTTCCCCGTAGTTTCGTTAAATATGTTTGTTCATTCCCATACCGTTTTTTGATCCTGCTACATATTAGGACTTTGTCTTATCTCAGCATGGTTTTTGGAATGAGTATCAGAGCTTCTCAAGGTCTTGTTTGCTTCAAGCAATGCGTACAAAGAGTTCTATGTTGCCGTGGGATTTTCACGTTCAAAGCTCTTTCATTAGCCTGATTAGAATGTTGAATTTTCACAAAAAAAAAAAAATTCTGGTCGGATGCTTTGCTCAACCTGTGTTGAATAGCCTAGCAATTCCGACATAGAGCAGTAACACATGTGATGGAGCAACTGTGCGCAGGCAACAAAAGAAGAGTTTGAGACCCGGTTTCTTGTTATCGGCTCCTTCAGCTTTCTACCGAGCTCGCTGGCTTGCGAAAGGTGTACGGCTTCGGCATTATTCCGGTATCGGTCCAGGCATATTTTGGGGGTTTCAAGCCAAAAAAAATGGCACACTCTGATCTCTGGTCTACCAAAAAGTCTATTGTATCAAGTCCACTCGAAACGGGAAAGTTTCAGTTGCAGAACCAAACGTCCGGCTACCGTTCAAAGACCACCCAGTGATCACATATTAAGGAGTTCGGTAACCAAACAAGGGGAGGAACATTTTGGCTGGTGTTCGCAATTGAAGGTTCTTTACACTACAAGTTTTAGGAAAACATCACACGGGCTCAGACAGTCTAATTGATGTCGGTTTTATAGATATGGCTGGGAATTGAATCTGAACTTCTGCTCCCCAATTGGTATGGCCATCTTCGAACCAAGCGTTGCATATCTCATGGCATCTTACAGGCCTCGCGAAGCTTTTTTGGGTACCATCTATGCACCAGCGGGTTTCAGCATTCACTCAATCAGTCACCAAAATCTCATAGAACCCATACCATTCTGAGATCCGTGGTCATAAAAAAAGCTGCCATACGGGGATACAAACAACAAGAAACCGGATCTATACATCGAGTTAAGTTTGTGACCGAATCGGGTCTTTTTGAGCAATACATAAATGCTCTCATTTGTTTACAAATCTGGTGTCAGGTGTGGCATGATAAGCCTTTCCAGTGTTTTGACTTTTGGGTGCCATCTGATGAGCATCTGCAATGATGTCTCTACATGAGGAGGACAAATTAATATCAGCAGCCCTCCATCCATAACTGCGTTTGTTATAGGTATAACGAGGGTGGTGCAGAATTGCTCGATCCCAAGACTGATTAGAATATTTTAACGTTTTTCGCGGCGCCACTTTGCCTTAGGTACCTGATTAAACTTAGCCAACACTGAAACCGGGTAACCGGAGTTTTGAGAACAATACAGAATTTTCTACGGCCGGGTAACCCCACGCAAAAATCTCCGTGGTGACCCAAAGTAGCAAAAAAAAGCAACGTTTTAGCACTAAATTTTTCTCGAACCCGCATTGTCACCTGGGCAACCATGAGACCCGAAAAATAACAACAAACTTTGAAACTACAGAATTATTTGTCTTTTGATAGAATTACGATAGTATTGGAAGATTCCACTGCTGGGTATACATAACTAACGGAAAACTAACAAATATTAAAACATCTTTGTATCAACTTAATACCAGCTCAGCGTGCGGGTCCGGCGAATCAGCTACGAAAGCGATAACAGGACACCCAGGAACGCCAGCCAGAAATTCTGCAGAACAAATCACTCACCAAAAACCGTTCTTTAAACTTACAACAAGTAAAGAGCAGCGGCACCCATGGCAGCAGCGGCAACACCGGCTTGGGCGTAAGCAGCACCGGCAGCACCCTCGAAAGAGGTGACAGCTGGGGAGGTGGTGTTCTCAGCGGTAGAGGTGACGAAAGCAGTGGAGGTGCTCTCGGTCTCTGGGCAGAAGGTGGTGGTGATGGTAACAACACCACATCCGTTGTCGGAACAAGAGGTGATGGTCAAAGTCTCAGTAGAGGTGATGTTGACGTAGGCAGCAGAGGCAACGGCAGCGCCGGCCATCATGGAAACGAAAGTAGAAGCACGCATATTAAATGTTTGGTAGCGAATGTAGGTAGTTGGGATCGAGAGATGAGAAAAAGGGAAAGAAACAGAAAACGACCTCGGGACGGGGGGGAGCTGCCTTATATACGCAAGACGCAAAGCCTAATGAGGCAGAAAAAAAAACATTTGAGATACATCGAAGGCTTTGCGTCTTACTGCATTGGGAAACGCATATTTCCGAAAAAGGCAACCAATTTCCCGAAGTGGATACTACCGGATTTGGACTCAAACTGAGATGTGAAGTGTGTTTGTGTGGTAGGCGGGTGGTGGATAGACCAGAGCGAGACTCATAGGCGAACTTTGTGAGCACTGAGGACAGGTCCTCTTCTACATTTTGTGTGAAAAATGTTTTTCAAAAACTGATCACAAACGCCTTTGTCGGAGTCTTGTAAATAATCAATTCCCTATAGTGTCTGGTCGACAACAAAATCAACAACATCAGATCTATTTTTAGTGGACAGATTTAGTCACCCCTCGAAGAAGCAATTCAAAACATTGGCGATTACCCTTTTCGGTCTTGCTGTGGGCTCCAATTTGCATCGAATTCGGATACCCGAATAGAAAAGGGTTTCGACTACACACTTTGCATTTTGCAACCCGGGCTATCGCTGAAAGGGGATGATGAGCGTTGAAAAATATTGGCGGGTTGATTTTGAAGACTATTAGAAACTGCACTTGGCTGATACAGAAGGTGTGTCGCTGATCGCTCCATCTCTTTGAGAGCGATTATGTGCAAAGTTAGAACTAAAATAATTATGGAATAATACAAGGATTGAAGAAAGATGTCCGATAGCCGGATAGCCGGTAGCGTTGGACTGAGTTTTACAATTCGAGCATTTTCATCACACCACGCAAACAATCAACTCCACAATCTTCTACGTACTGGTAAAACGACGTTTCAGACCATGTAGATGGTTGCTGGTCTTACATTCTTCGTAACTGATACTGTTAATGCAGTGTGGCTGAAATTCAATCGGAGGCTGGGTATGTGTGCTATGCTTAAAGACAATCAGGTGAAACGCTGTGCTCAACACAATCGGCAGAAACTCCTGGCTCCAGGTGGCACAGTGCTGCAGCCTATTTGGCTCGTACGTCAAGATTCTTCTCATTGGGCCTGATTTATTATAGGGGGGCTATCGTCTGATCATGAATTGAATAGGTAATGAACCGCAACTTAGTTGTGTTATTGTTTATCTGTATTCAGAACAGAAATTCTAGAAACCTTTTGAATTTTTTTTCGTTTACTCATACGTCCATTTTGAGATTTTCAGAAATTCGTAAAAGATTGAGATTTCTTGTCTTTTTTGAATTTCAGTGCACACAATTTTTGGCTGCATCTGATGGTTTTGTTTTACAGTCAGTATTTTGCCTTTTCCCACTCAGTATCCAGCATGCTTCTGTTTTATCAATCCTAAATAGGTCTTTTTGCAAGATCTCCTCCCCTCGTACTCCCCTCTTCTGATTGCTGTAAAAAGCAGCGTGCAGGTGTGTTTCTGGGCAGCTGTTCTGGGCTATTTTACAAACGGCAGTTTCAGACTACTCCCTCTCAACCCTAAAATAGATGCTCGTTCTCTCATGTACCTGCACGTTACCGATGGAAGAAATCTTTTGCGAGTCGTCTAAAAAATACGAGACTTGATAAGGAGCGTTCCAGGAGTCAGCATGATATGGCTGTGCAGCGGCTTATTAAGGGCAATGCATAATCTACACAATATTCTTTCTAAGCACTCCACTAACCAGCCCGTCAAGGCCCAAAATTGGGAAATTATAGTAGAAGTCATAACCAGGATTGTAATATCGATAGAATTTTCAGAAAAGCTTATTTGAGGTCGACCCAATGATCACGTGATCTTTACTGTCTCCGCTCCTGGGAGATAGCAGAGATCAGATAGATATCACCAGGCCTAGTTTGCAGCGTTTAAAAATCTCCAATCCACAAATTGAACTGCATCCAGCCATCCAAATGGATTCAGCCGATCGATCTTTTCTTTCAGATCTTAGTTATAACTCCTATTCCAGTCTTCGTAACGAGGCTACCATAAACGAGACCTACCGCAACACTCTTGAGATATTTGCCTTTGGCAGTTACGGCGATTACAAAGGTGAGTCATGGTGAATGACAACAGTCAACAACCCTCTTATTGGAATCCCTACTGACAAATTTCAGCCAATCATGAAAAAGTGCTGGAGCTCACCCCTGCTGAAATCATCAAGCTAAGACAGCTGACTCTTCTGTCTGTAGCCTCAGGCCAACGGGTAAGCTAGACTCTTGACATCTAGATTTTTTGAATGTCATGCCAATTACTAATCGCTTTTTATTTAGACTGTGTTGTTTTCCACCATAAGAAAAGAACTCGATTTTCAAAACGATGCCGAACTCATGATCACTCTACTGGCCGTTAACAACACGCTTATCTCGTTCGTGATGGACCCAGAACAGGAGAGCATTGAGGTGATTGATTGGGCCTCACGCGAGATCTTTGTGGCGAGTCAGGACTTGCCGTTGAAGCTTTTGAATGTGGAAAAGGTTCGTGATATTGATAGCTTGATTAGGAGATTGGAGAAGTTTAGGAATGTTAATGTGGAGAAGGCATCTGCATGTTTGAAAACTGGTTCCGTGAAAAGTCTGGAAGGCGAAAGTGTGAGCCAATCAGAAGCAACACCAGGAAAAAAACGCAGAATACCGTCTAGTGGATAGCCTGAACGGGGTAGCGTTCCGTCTACTCGGACTCGCCAAGTGTGGAAGTTGTCTACTAAGAAGCGACCGCCTTCGCCGATAGGCGGTGTTTACAGCAAAAATGCGGGACATCAGCGCTAGCGGGAGACTAGGGGCCTCATTTTGGAAAATGCCTTCCATTCAGAATAGTACTCAGTACACAATTTTTTGTCTTTGACAGAATGCCCTTCTTCGAGGAACGCACATACTTAGTGGAGAATATACCCAGCGAAGAAAATTCTGCCCAAACATACCCTTCATGATGATTGCAGTCTGATCAAAGTCTAGGACCCACTGTGCACGATATAACTGGATTAATGAGACCATGATACGTCACCCACTAGAACTATTAACTTCACGAAATTTCATGATGCCTGTCTACCAACGGTAGCCTAATAAGTATACAATAAACACCCCGGTTACTCCCAAGTCTGGATTATATGTCTACATAGATGTTTTAGCTGCACGGTAAACAACTGATCTCATGAGACCAAGAGACATGTCTGCTACTTCTTCCCTCAATCAGAACCACCAAGTGTATCTGTCCAACCACTACATTAACTCATGTGTACGATAAATAACTTTGAATGTATGAATATTTGATATACGTCAATGTGGAAATCAAACAACCACTAAGCAGTCCATAACTTCTTGATAATACCAATCAAACCTTCCTTCTCCCTGGACTCGATCTCGTAGATACCGTACGCAGACACGAGTCCTCCAAACGAAAGAAGATACATTGCATAGTTGTGAAGGCTTCCGTAGGTTCTGGCTGGGATATAATCGGCAATACATGCGCCGAAACCGATGTGGCTGTGGACGAGAAGCAACGCTGCAAGAATGGAGTCAGCAATACCGTACTCGACCCCGGTAACCAATGGAACAAAGGTCAATGGAACCAACCCCACAGAAACGAGTCTTTCAGTGGTCCAGTGAAGAGAACCATGAGTTTTGGAAGCAGGGGGAGCGATGTAGGCGTCGTTAACAGTTCCAATAACTCCTCCAGCGGGTTGAGGCAAAGTCGTTATACATCTTCTCAGCGAGGAAACGGCCATGGGCCTGGTAAACTGAGATTTCATCATCTTGAGCCCTGAGCTGGATAGTTGTGTTCTGGCCAACATTATAAGTGGATTCTGTATTATTCTTAGAACTGTTTGATACCAAATGAATTCAGATCGTATTCTGCTCCACAGAAGACTCTCTTGGTTAGGACCTCCGGGACCGGGATTACATCAGCACTTTTGGAGGCGTGTGATTGGCTAAGATTCTGGAAACGGTGTTCTACGCCAAAACAACAGAAACAGAATATTTTTCTCAGAGAAAAAGCAGAGAACAAATATTCAATCCATCAGAATATTAGTAGCCGTTTCTAGTACTCTTGAATATTAGAAATTCCGGTCCGGTCGGCCCAATGAATTTCACCTCTTCTTTAGCCGTGTTACCCTTAGCATTTGGGACGCGTCTCAAGATTATGGGGAAGATTGAAATTTCCAAGAGATCTGCTAGAACGTATCTATCATCTAACCTCTCCATTTTTCCTCAAAGTAAGATGCAGGCATCCAAAATCGCGTGGAAATCCGTTCGGCTGGATCCGAGGGTGTGTATTTGAAAATATCATGGACTTTATACGCGTACTAACTTTGCATAGGAACTCGCCATTTCAAAAGTGCTAAGATGTGGTCAGGCTTTCAGATGGAAACAGATCGATGGCATATGGTCTTGTTCCTTGCGAGAAAGAGTGGTTTTACTGAAGCAAGATGACGATTTTTTGTATTACTCGGCAATTTTTCCTGCAAACAAAAACCCAGAGATTGATGATACTTTGGAGGTGGTCACCGACTATTTCAACCTGAACGTTAATCTCCAAAATCTCTACCGACTGTGGAGTGAGCTGGATCCCGCATTTGAAAAAAAGGCACGCGTTTTTGGTGGCATTAGGATGCTCAGACAAGACCCCTGGGAGAACTTGGTATCGTTTATATGTTCAACCAACAATAATGTCAAGAGGATCTCAAAGATGTGTGATTCATTGTGTGAGAACTATGGTGAACGGATTGCCACGTTCCAGGGGATCGACCATTATTCGTTCCCTGGACCCGAGAAACTTCTAGACTCGGAATCAGACCTGAGAGAGTTGGGATTCGGTTATCGTGCCAAGTACATCGAAAAGACTTGTCAGATGTTTGCTGATGATCCAACTTTACGGGACCAGTTATATGACCAGAGAAGCCCCAAAGTCTCCAGTCTTGAAGCTCACGAGTTCTTACTTCAATTTACTGGTGTTGGGCCTAAAGTTGCAGATTGTGTATGCCTGATGAGTCTTGACAAACACGAGGTTGTTCCTGTCGACACCCATGTGTTCACTTTTGCTACCAGAGATTATGGCTACCGGTTTAAGGGCAAGAAAGCGGTAACACTCAGCAAGGATGTTTACATTGACATCAGACACTTTTTTGAGACGTTATGGGGTGATCATGCTGGCTGGGCGCATTCAGTGTTGTTTGCAGCCGATCTGTCCGACCTTGAAAATGGAGTCAATATTAAGAGCGAAGTCACGGACGAAGTTAAGCGCGAGACCAAGAGCGATATCAAGAGTGATATCAAGAGAGAGATCGTCGTCAAGACCGAGGACCAAGTTCTTGAGGACAAATTGGCGCAAAGAGTGAAATTGGAAAAATTAGAGGAAGATCTTGAGAATCTTGAGACCATTCCCAAGACCCCCAAGACTGGAAGAGGACTCAAGAGAGGCCGCGCCTTGAAAAATAAGCAAAGTTCCAACAAAAAAGCTTTGGTTGTTTGAAATTGGAGTGCTATCCCAGAATGGGCAAAAATCCAAGCGAGTTTAGCATGGTTATTTCATAGAAGATTATAGAGAATGATTATCGCATACTATTGGTTCACTCAGTCCCTTGGAATAGTTGAGGAACATCCGCCAAAAACTTAGTAATAAAAGTAAATTGGCCAAATTATTGATATAAAGACAGAAAAGAATCTCTTTAAATTCATTATGGACTTAATTTCAAACAATGAAAAAACATGTCAAGAAATCGGCCCCATGCAATAGCCATATCCCATAGTAAGCCAATGGCCATTGATCCTTTCCAATATTTAGTCAAAAATTCCTTGTAAATTCCTCGAAAAAAAGCCTGCATTATTCTAAATCCCCAATACCATTCTGCGAATTTTTTAGCAGCATTAAAATCCACTTATGTCGAATGGTAGCCTAATTTACACCAAACCATGTCAACGCAGATAATTAAGATTGGCAGCGATGCGTTTTCCGAGGAAGCTACCGCAAATCGCCAGTCAAATATTCATCCTCTCCAATCAGTTTTTACCACCATTTGAACTCAAAAAATAAGACATTATCATTAATTCATAGTCGTCAAATATCACAATGGCACCTTTAATAAGGACTAAAGACCATCAATTCCGTTCGTTCGAGGTAAGCTTGAATTGTCGCGTCTTTTCCACTGCTACTTACTAACTTCTCTCCAGACCCGCGTCTCCACGCTCACGCGAGCTGTTAACTTGGTTCTATACTGTTCATATGGAATCTGCATTCTGCTGCCATTGCCCAATCCAATTGCCAAAATATCAGTTGCAGTTTTCACCGGATTATACACTTTTGTCATGCTGCTATTTGCTGTGTATGTACAGTTATCGCAGAGCCACATCGATTCTTTGCCTCAAAAAGAGGATCTGGGGCAGCAGCCGGTCAGAGCAATTTTCCGGCGACTTCTGAACATGCCTTCGGTGATAATTGACCGGATAATGGGACTATTGATTCATCTTTTGGGGATAGCGTATCGCTTCGTTTCCGGAAAGCAAGCTTCTACACACTCAGAGGCTCCCCTCATTTCCAGTAGAGTGCTTTCGTTTTTGATTCTGACTCTGCGGAAAGAAGTGGCATTTTTGTGTTGGGTATATATCACCACGGAAGATTCTACGGCCGTTCATTACAAGTCGTTCGTGGCCATGTGTTCTATGACCACCATCCACCAATGGTTCATTATTTCCCAGAAACAGGGTGTTGAGACCACCAAAAGCTCCGCATCGCTTTTGTGGAAGAGCAAGTCGAAGAACTCCAAAAGAGTGCGCTGGTATAACTCTGGAAGGGTGTATTTTGTTGGGTGTGTCATTCTAGCAATCTCGGTTCCGGTGACCATGTATAAGCACCAGATAGAACACCATCATCACAACGAAAGCTGGCTGACTGTGATAGACACGCAGCAGTTATGCTACTGGTTCCTGGATTTGCAGTTTACCACCACTGTTTTCCAGGATATCATGGATTTGGAGTTAAGAGTAGTGAATGGTGCCCACGGAGGTGGAGTCCTACGATCGGATGATGAAAGAGTTCATCTGGTGTAAATGTATGCAATTTTGTAAAACTACATGAGATGAAAAAATTATATCATTGATCTGCATGTTTAACGTTTCGCATTAGGTGCACAGCGTAGCGTCTTCTCCCCTCCATCAGGCATTACTATACCTCGCGTCCTTTCGTATCACTTTAGGCGGCAATAAAGGGTCCATGACTAGCGTGATATTGTCCAAAAAGTTGATTTTAACTATGGGACCAAAAACAGCGCCTCGCTTCTTGAGTCTTTTCTTTCTCAGCCTCGAGTTCGCCAGGTTCTCGTCGCCTTCAGAGTCAGACTCAATAGTAGCGCTGTTCTCAACGAGTTGTCGCTTAAGCTCGGCCTCTCGCGACCTCCAATCATCATAAGTCTTCGTAAATAATCCCAACTCGCGCATAGTTAAATTGTACTTCACGTTCACCTCGTAGTGGTCTGCGGGATTGTCTATCTTGGTAATCTTAGTCAGAGCTCTTACAAGAGCATCCGACGCTTCGTGGCCATTTCCATTAGTCCTTGTTTTTCCAAAACCCGTCAGGTTAGTTAGATATTCCCGGAAAGTGTCATAATCGGATAAAAGCCGGTTTTTATCTAGATTACTCATCTTCTTCTCTTCCTTCTCTCTTCGCTTGTGGTAGGCAAAGTATACTTGGTCGTCCAACGGATCGATCAATTGTCTCTTCCGACTGTTTCCAGCCTCACTGTAATCTCTGTGACCTGAGTGTCTTATTCCTCGGCGGTTAGGCTGTGAAGGCGTCTTGGTGTTGACGTCTTCGACATTGGCAAGGACACCGCTTGACCCTTTCTCCAATACCGGATTGGATACCGTCTCTTGCACGTTCAACCTCGGATTTTCGTGCGGAATAAAACCCTCGTAGCCCTCACCAAGTATGTTAACAATCTCTATCGAAAGCTGTTCTGGAACTGATGTCTCCAGAAAGGCATCAAAGTCAAAGGGTTCCCACCCACCAGACGTGAACGCAACGCCAAAACCATCCAGACCAGCGGTTTCAGACCCGCTAGAAGTGCCCCCTTTTCCACCATCAGTTGATCGCAGATGTCGCCTGTCATTTTCGTTATTCATCCCGAGCGACTTGGGAAATGATTGAGTGTTTTTCAGTAACACAACTCTGGCACGAAGCTTTAGGCGGCTGATGGCTCTGACCTCGGGCGTGCACCACTGTTTTTCTTTATGGGGTTCTGATCCGCGATTGTTTGGGCGGCTGTTCTCTTGGCAAGTAGTCTTTACCAGTCCGACACGGCCAACTCGAGCCCAAAATTGGTGGTATTTCTCAGATTCAATAGAAGAGAAGCCATGGATGGGTCTGTGTCTTTTAAACGGCGTGGAAACGACGATTCAAAGATATGGAATGCGGTTCGTCCCGAAGACGCGCCGGCGTCTATTCCCCGTCGTGAAGCAAGGGTTGGCAGTGCCGTTGGCGGCGCGAATAAATTGGCACAGGCAGTATCTGGAATACGATGGAGACATTTGGGTGTTCTTCTGGTTATTTGGTTGGTGACAATCCATTATCTGGAGAGAACTGTGGTGAATAGGGCGATCTCCAAGTGTTCATGGAAGAAGTGGGAGCGTTGGGAAAGTTCCAAAAGCCGAGGAGATCATGCAACTGGTCCAATTGATCCTTACCGAGTCGCGATAGTTGGTGATCCTCAAATTGTGGATGAGTATTCTTACAAAACGCGGCCAAAACCACTGCTGCGGCTAACCCAGACACTCAGTGACAACTATCTCCACCGCAATTACATGGCCGTGCACAGAAAGCTTTCTCCCCACTCGGTGATGTTTTTGGGGGACCTTTTTGATGGAGGAAGAGAGTGGGATGACGATGTTTGGCTCCGCGAATACCTGCGGTTTGCATCTGTATTTCCTCCTCTGGAGCACACCAAGTCCATCTTCTCCATACCCGGTAATCATGACATTGGCTTCGGCAACGACGTGAATGCCACACGCCTGAAACGATTCAGAACGATGTTTGGGGAGGCTAACGAGTATCAAATATTGGGAAACCACACGTTTGTGTTGATCGATAGTATCTCTTTGTCTGCTACTGATCTCCCAGAGGTGAACACAGAACCTACGATCTTCCTAGAAAGCTTGGTCAACGACAAAAAAATGAAGGAGTATCCTCGGATTCTGCTATCGCATGTTCCGTTGTATCGGTTCACAGATCGCCAGCATTGTGGCCCTCTAAGAGAGTCGAAAAAACGGTTTCCTGTGATGAAGGGCAAGCAGTACCAGACTGTTCTTGAATACGAACTTTCCCAGCGACTCCTTGAAATTGTCAGGCCGAAGCTGATTTTTTCAGGTGACGACCATGATTACTGCCATGTGCGGCATCCTTTCGACCAAGCGTACGGCGAAGGCTCTATCTCAGGTGGAGGTGCTGGTAATTCATATGCGGATGAAATAACCATTAAAACTTTCGCCATGACGGGTGGAATCAAATATCCTGCGATCCAGCTGCTTTCCTTGTGGAACCCAAGAGATGGTTCCGAGCCTGATACGGACATCCAGGAAACAGGTGAGGTGGTTGTGACGGATTCGACGTTTCGAACGCGACTCTGCTACATGCCGGACCCGTACCATGCACTGCGCATCTACGCCGCATTAATGGTGTTTTCCATTTCATCGCTGTTCTTAGTGTGTGTGACGCCTCGGTTATGCAGAAAGATTCACGTTTTACTATTCAAAGATGCGGCCAGGAGGTCTTCAATACTACCTACGATAGCGGAATCGGACGCATGGGCAGTCAAGCCCACCAGGCCGGCGACTTGGAAAGACTGCAAGATACCAGAGAGGCCCAATGCAGGTGTATTTTTCCTGTGCCTTCTGCTTCTTTTTACCGAGGTCTGGATTGTTTTCTGGGTGTATTTTTCGAGAGCATAAAGGAGACAGGAGACGGGAGAGGAATACTCAAAAACCCAACAGAAACAGGGAAGAACCGAAAGGGAGATACAGATGGACCAACTGGCCGAGTAAAATACCCAAGGCTACAATCATTTATAAGGCATACCTTTTTTTTCAATGACATTCAAGCATATGCAGGTGTGCCGATGACTAGGTGTAGTATGCAGACGAAGACGCAGGTCACTTGCATCAGTTAAGATGAGAAAGTTAAAAGCTTTAAAGAAGGCTGAAATCATTCGAAAGACCATTCAGGAATTTTTTTACATTTTGCAGAGAACTGAGTTCTGGATATTTATTTAGAAGTGTCTTAGTTCATTCAATAGCTGAAAGGATGTTGGTGAACCGAGGCACCTAAACCAATATTTTGAAGCACTTTGTATATATACATAATTTAACATTTTGATTTGATCCGGTTGAATTTAGGAATTTTCTTTGAATATCACTATTTGTGACATTTTTCGTAAGTCAAGAGAGCTAGTACATTGTTCCCGATGACTTTCCACTGGCGTCTTCCATTTCTATGTTATGACAATATGGAAAGGTGTTCATGATGATTTTATTCTCGTTTAAGACAAGCTGTATATATGACAATGCCAATGCCTCCCGCTCATTTCAATGTAGCAAGATCAACCTCTGAGCCAAGAGTAACGATATCATCGTACAACAAAGTGGTCAAAAATTCTGCAACCTCAACTTCTCCACTGATCTCTTTCTTTAGACACTCAGCAGCAATCGCATACTTGTTTCCAGACTTTCCTTCACCAAGTTTAGCCACCTGGGCATCGATCTCGTCACAAACCAATTTTGCAGTTACAGTCTTACCAGAATCCTCCAGAACAACCGCATGTTTAACCCACGAGTAAAGTTGCAGTCTCGAAACTTCAGCTGTAGCAGCATCTTCCATTAAGTTGTTGATCGGAACACATCCAAATCCACGCAACCAGGCCTCCATATAGTTGAGTCCGATGTAGATGTTGGCATCGATACCCTTGGACGTGATCTTACCGCCTTCAATGTGCGTGTCCACGAGATCGGATTCGCTCACCTCTTCAGCATGCACTGGGATCTTGTAAATTTGATTAGGTGTAGGCATCTCAACGTTGAAGACATCCAGCGCAATTGGAGCCAGAGCTGGGTGCGCAATCCACGTTCCATCATGACCAGCAGTAGCCTCACGAAGCTTATCTGCCCTCACCGAAGCCATAGCGACAGCATTTCTTTCTGGGTCATTTTTGATGGGAATCGTAGCTGCCATTCCACCCATAGCATGCACACCACGAGCATGGCAAACTTCGATCAACTGGCGAACATAGTTGCGCATGAAGGGAACCGTCATGGTTACCTGGTCACGATTAGGCAGAATGTGTTCCTTGTGGTTTCTCAACCTCTTGATTGTGGAAAACATGTAGTCCCAACGGCCACAGTTCAGACCAGCAGAATGATCACGAAGAGCATACAAAGTCTCGTTCAGCTGGTACGAGATCGGCAAAGTTTCAATAAGAACAGTAGCAGAGATGGTTCCACGAGGAATTCCAATACAGTCCTGGGCAACATTGAAGACATCGTTCCACAACCGGGCTTCCAGCCAATGCTCCATTTTTGGAAGGTAGAAATATGGCCCCAATCCTTGTGAAACCAAAAATTTGGCGTTGTGGAAGAAATACAGTCCGAAATCCAGCAACGAGGCAGAAACAGCTTCTCCATCAACCAGAACATGGCGGTCAACCATATGCCAGCCTCTAGGCCTAACAATGATGGTAGGAATGTGACGACCCTCTGAACGGTTCACCTTGTATGACTTTCCAGTAGCAGCTAAGGTAAAGTCGATTTGATCACGAAGAGCATCGTACAGGTTGACCTGGCCATAGATCACGTTCTCCCAAGTAGGCGAGCACGAATCCTCGAAGTCAGTCATATAAGTGAGAACATCAGTATTCAGAGCGTTAACAATCATCTTACGTTCTGGAGGTCCCGTAATCTCAACACGACGATCAACCATTCCTGGCGCTGGCGCTTTGCATCTCCAGTTTTTGTCGTTGCGGATGTAGGCCGTTTCTGGGAGGAACGTCAACGACTCTCCTCTGTCGAGTTTGGCCTGAACCTCCTGCCTGTTGGCCAGAAGCTTCGTTCTGGTGCCGTTGAACGTTCTGTGGAGCAATGCGACGAATTTCAGCGCATCCTTCGTCAAAATATCACGAGGTGTAGTTGGCGAGTCGTACAGAGGGGTCGAGTCCAGCTTGCCATAGACCTGGACACCCTCTAGAGTTCCGTATGTGAGCATGATGTGGAAGATAAGGAAATATGGATCTATAGAACAGCCCTTAAGTTACTGTGATCTTCAGGGTTTTCCAGGTATTTTTTTCGACGAAGAGTCCCATATATATACTTGCCGCCGGCGATAAGGCACCGGTGCAGCGGCTTTGGCCGCGCCCCATCCCGCGGCCCCGGAGGGACACCCCACGTCCGATCCGCCCGCTTAGCCGCCGACAAGCCGTTGGAGCGAAATTGTTAGGCGATGAGCTTGTCAGAAAGTGTGAGTGACGGCACATTGTGGCTAGGAAATTGTCATTTATCAGAAACCGAAGGTGTATCTCTCTACTTCAGATTGACAAGAGAGCTCAAGGGCCAAGATAGCCCTGGGCTCAATGGTAGGTATTTGACCGTTAGAAAGAGTGCAATACCCAATAATATAGTTCACTAGAAACACTACGAACCCCGGACTACTGGAGTCTCTAGGGCTAACGGCTGGTGTTATCGCAACCGATTGCTTGGAATTTCTATCTTTTGATTCCGGCCTCAATTCTGGCCTGAATAGTGTCATCTGACTCACCGTTCTGCTGGATGACTCCCGCGGCTTTTAATACCTCGGCAGTTTTGGCCACCGTAGTGGTGAAGTCAAGAGTGCTTGGGTCCTTGCTGAACTCTACCGTCTTGAGCCATTCACGGGCATCCTCCTCTGAATAGTCCAACGCAGTATAGATATGTTTCACAGACTCTTCAGGGTTCTCATTGAAGTAATCAATCCCACGTTTCAAAGCTGCAGTGAATTTGGTGACCAATGTGGAGTCCAAAGAAGCACTGCTCACCACCACCCAAGATGGCCATGGAGTGTAGATCTGGCCTATTTTGCGGATCTCGCCAGAGTCATAATATCTCTTGGACGTGAAATGTTCCCACATGAATGCTTCACTGCCCTCGACTCCTGGAACGAGATTTACCGAGTCCCTCAGGTTCTTGAAGTTCTGAACAACCGAGAACGAGCTGAAAAATGGCTGTTGAAATTTCAGTTCCATGGCAAGTACAAATGACATCACGTAAGAGCCCGAGCCAATCCGGGAAACTCCAATTCTCTTCCCTGAAAGTTGTTCTGGCAGCGAAACATCGGGCCTGTCTTTACCCGTGGAGATGGCCCAACAAAGAGGGCTTTGAACATACGTGCCGACCAGCTTGTAATCTTCATCACCATCACAGATTCCTCTTACAAAAGCCTCGGTTAATCCAATTGCTATATCAATTTCACCAGATTTGAGCGATTGGATCAGGTGACCTGATCCAGAAGGGTACTCCAAGAGCACCACCTCGAGGCCCTCAACCGCAAAGTACCCCTTCGCCTGGGCATAATGAATCGGCGTTGAAAAATGCTCGGGGATAAATCCCACTCTGATCTTTTGTGCCATTTTAGAGAAACTCAGCAAAAAAGCAACCAAAACCGTGAATACTTCTGTAGTTCAGAAGGCTTTGTTCTCCTCCTGTGGCCTCTTTGGCTATTCTCGATCGAATTTCCCCGCACACTACCTCCACGTTTCTGCAACACACGACTGGAACATCTTCGAACTCTTTTAGAGCCTTATGAGAACACTCGCTCCTCCTTTGGTTACACCGATACACACGCTACAAATCCATAACAAAAACATGTCAATTACGCTGCGCGACGGCTTCGTGGACGAGCCGCTCGAACGGGCGATGGAAGACCTCTTAGTGAGATTCCTCGTCAACTGTCCACCAGAGGACTTGTCCTCCATAGAAAGAGTTTTCTTTCACATCGAAGAAGCACAATGGTTCTACTCGGACTTTTTGAGACAGCTGAACCCATTGTTACCAGATATGGACATGAAAACTTTCTCAGCAGAAATACTGCAACGGTGCCCGGTTATATGGAAATGGGGAGATCGGGCCTCTGCATTGAACCGGTTTCTTAAGTACAAGAAGACGATACCTGTTAGAGGAGTTGCTCTGCTCAACGAGAAGATGGACAAAGTGCTACTTGTTCGAAGTGTCCAGGGAGGCAATTGGGGGTTTCCGAGGGGAAAAATTTCCAAAGATGAGTCCGATTTGGACTGTGCTCTAAGAGAGTTGAAGGAAGAAACGGGATTCGATGCCAAAGGCTTGGTGGATGAATCAGATTTTACGGAAAGAACTGTCAGGGGAAAGAACGTGAAGATTTTCTTTGCCAAGAACGTCCCAGAATCAACGGTTTTTAGACCAGAGGTGAGGAACGAGATAGGCGCAATCCAATGGAGAGACATCAAGCACATCTCCAACGCCCTCAAGAAGCAGAAATACACGGACTACATGATGTCTGCGTTTATTCAACCACTGACGCAGTTTGTGTCGCAAAACAGGACGTCTTCGGGCAAATCAGAGGAGTTACTCAAGAAGAGGGCTGCCGTCCAGATCAAAAAGCTGCTTGGAGTGGGCGAAAACGAAGACGAAACCGCCGTGGTCGACCAGGGAAGACAACTTTTGGACATGCTACACAAGGTCACAGAAAAACAACAGTCTTCGGATCCTGCCAAACAACTTCTGGACATTTTGCATACCGTCAAACCTACCTCAGCCCAAAACGGTGGGATTGCTTCTCAACAGATGCAATTTCCTCCTGGGATGCAAATGCCATTTGCCCAGTTTCCGTTCTTTTTTCCTCAGCAGTTTCCATTTCCTCAAATGCCAGCTTTCCAGCCTCAATTCATGCCTCCGGGAATGCCTATGCTCCCCTTTCCTATGCCTCCTGCCGTTTTCCACGGACTTCCTCCTCCTCCAATGCCGAACATGAATTCCCAGGGTTTTCATCCCGGTCCAGCGGCTTCTGTGCCGCAGGCTCCACAGGAATCTGCTCCGTTGGCTAGTCATTTGAACAAACCAACATTTGGAACTGGCCAGCGTCATTCGCAGGAGGAGAGAAAAGAATTGCTGAGTATTCTAACGAAGAAGCCAGAGCCGGTTGTGACGAGCGATTCTGGATCAAAGGGCCACCCAGACTCAAAGGACCTTTTGGACCGTCTTTATGGAAAGACACAAGAGCCTGTGGACGATACCAGGGCTTCGCCCAAGACCTCTAGCCTAAGCCCCTCCAACCAGCTTCTTGGCGTTCTCAACGGATCCCACAAGAATTCTGAAGACTCTGTCAAAGACAAACCGGCTTCTCTGCTAAACCTGTTGAAGAAGGACTTAACGCCTTTTGAGACACAGAGACCGACTCCAGCCTCAAACGGATTACTGGATTTCGCCAAGAAACCATTATCCGAAAGAGCAGCAAAGCAGAAGGGAGAGGACGAGATCATGGCTGTTTTGAAGCCTAAGAGCCAGGGAACTCCAGAAGCAGGAAACCCTGATTTATCCAAAAATGTCTCGAACCCTCCAACTTCTATCAGCGATTCTACTGATCTGCTGTCCATTTTGAATAAGAAAAGTCCAGAATCCGTGACTTCATCCACTGACTCATCTGATCTGCTGTCCATCTTGAATAAGAAGACTGAGGCACCAAAACCACCAAGTGACTCGAGCAGTTTGTTGTCTCTCCTTAACAAGAAAGCTCCGGAAGCCACGAGACCATCCAACGGTTCTAATGAACTTTTGACTCTCCTGAAAAAGTCTCCAGAGATCAAAACAGAGACCAAAACAGAAACTCTGGAGGCCGAACCCAAATCAAACGGTTCTGCCGATCTGTTGTCCATACTGAATAGGAAATCTCCGGTGCCTGCGACTGCAAATGGTGATTCCTCGAATTTGTTATCAATTCTAAAGAAGGCTCCCGAGACAAAAGCTGCATCTGGATCTTCTGGATCTGGATCTTTGCTGTCTATTCTGAACAAGAAGTCTCCAGAGCCAGCTACTGCATCTAGTGATTCATCCAACCTGTTGTCTCTTTTGAACAAAAAATCACCAGAGGCAACTACCTCATCTAGTTCTGCATCTAGTGATTCCTCGAGTTTGTTATCCATATTGAATAAGAAGGAAGCTACGAAAACATCCAATGATTCAGCTGGTCTGCTTTCTATTTTGAACAGAAAGAGTCCCGAAACCACCAAACCACCCAGTGACTCTGCCAATCTACTCTCTCTCCTCAACAAAAAGGCGGAACCTCCCAAGAAGATTCTCCTGACAAGAAAACTGGAGCAAGACTTGCCAGAGCTTTCAAACCACACACCGGTTCAGGTGCAACCGTTCAAAAGCCCCAAGCTTGCTCCCAGCCCTACCCAGGGAATCCTCAAGGGCAAGAAGGTGACACTTCTGAGGCGAGACCCGAGCCCAGGAAATTCTCAGCCTCTGGCCACATGCTGCTTGAACCGCGTGCGCTCAGATCCAGACTCTACAGGCGAAATAGACACTGCCTACTCGGCTACAGACGATAGCAGCGTTCCTGCGTCCTCATCAGAGCCTGTTGCCAGCTTTGTGGACTCCAGCGACGAGGAGCTGGATTTTGAAGATTTTGACGACCTGAACGCCGATTATTGATCATGTACCATAATAAATTCATCTTTCATTTAATTTTGGCGTTTCCAAGTGCTGTTTAAGAGAGCCTTCGTAGTTGTAAGCCAAATCTTTATCATCACGTGACAATATTACATAATCATTTTCCAGGACGCGAGGAGGGTCCTCTAGAAATGGTTTATGAAAGGTCCAATTCTGGTCCTGTGATCCCTGTTCAAATCGCATTTTTCATACTGCTGAGCATGAATAACCAGGAGGAGCCCATGGATGTGAATCCGTGGGGAGATCCTGTGCTTAATGCTTCAACTACAACCTTGGATACAAACGTGTGGGTTGGCGTCGGGGACGATCGTTTAGAAGAGCATGGTCAAGCAATTGCGGAGCAAAGCACGGATTCGTATTCGCAAAAGTTGGCAAATGACTTTGGGGATGCGAAGAGTGTCTCTGATATCATTGATGAGCAAGACTGGCCCAGAGAAAGTGTCTCGGTTTCTGCTTCTCCCTCTGCCTCGGAAAGGATACGAAGGAGTCCTGAACAACCGTTTGAAGATTATGCAGGGTCTGGAAATGAAAAAAAGGACGAATCAGCACACCAAGATGATATAGGTTTCAATTTAAATCAGAGAAAACATCAAGGTGATGATACAGCTGTTGAAACAGCAGCTAGTGAAGGGAGTAATGACACTGAAGCTGACTCTGATTCAGATGTATTTGATGAATTTGAAGAATTCCAGCAAGTGCAGGTGCCCAAGTTCGAACCAGTGGTAAATATAGACGACGCTCTAAAGCAGATTTACGGCGGGGAGGTGCGATTAGACGCTCCCAAGGAGCACATATTGGACGTGGGATCGAGTCGATCGCGGTATAATGTGATAGTAGCACACAGCCGTCAATTTGGCTTTGAAGAGAAGCCGATCAACTTTAGACTGAAAGATGGGTGGAGGCGTACACACACCAGGGCCGCTGTTTTGGGCATCGTTCACGAATGGAACGAGGTGGAGAACGGACTGAGTGTGGGTGGAGAGTCCAAAAAGGGCTGGAAGCTGTTTAATTGGTCAACAGGGACAGAGGAGGCAACAGAGCCCGATGTCAAGATAATAAAAAAGTCTGTGGGAAAGAGTCTTTTGAAAGAGGCAGGCAGGCATGCTCTTGAGCTGAAGACCCAGAGACTGCAAAGAGAACGGGCAGAGATAGAGAAACAAAACCGAGAAAAGGCCGAGAAGACTCAGAGATTGGAATTGCAAAGGTCCAAACGACTTGCTAATGCTAAGAAGTATGCGGCCCCAGAGATTGCACTTCCCCAGAAGAAGACGTTCTTCACCAAGTTGTTTGGAAAGAAATCCACTGGAATTTCGAGCGATAATATGTCACCAGAGCCGTTGGCTCCAGGAGAGGACACCCAGCAAAGAGTAGATCCTTTTGAGTTTCAAAATTATTCCGGATCAGACGAGGATGACGAGGATAACGAAGGCTACGACTTTGGGTATAACCAATTGGGTGCGGACGATGAAGTTGAAGGAAATTACATTGAGGAGACTGACGATGTTGAAAATGTTCAGGAAGCTAAACAGGATATTGGAGCCCCATCAGAAGACGAATTTGCCGAGTTTGAGTCTTCGGCATTTGAATCACCACCAGCCAATTCGAACCTTTCACCTCCAACCGAGACGTTGGTGGTTGAAGAAGAATTCGACGAATTTAAATCGTCATCGCCAATCGTTTTGGAAAAATCAGAGCCTCAAAAGAATCCTCAGATTGTGTCCACAGTCCCTGGAGAAACCCCAAAAATTATCTCTGAAGACGAGTCTGACGAGTCTGACGATTTTGACGAATTCAATACTCCGGTACCGGCACCGGTAGCGGCGCCGCTAACGGTGGTGAAGCCGATGCAGGCTATGAAGCCGATGAAGCTCATGGTTCCTATGAAGCCAATGAAGGCCGAGACTTCGCATAGTCCAAAGGAAGACCCCAAAACGGGATTATCAGGTGCGTTGATAGATCTGTAACTATGAGGAGATGGTAAATGCACGACGACAATTGAAATTCTGTAAAGTATAATACAATTATGCACTATTGTCAAGGGCCAAGCCAAGGTTGGGGTTGGCATGTTTGGAACGTGGAACGTGATTGGGCAGACCAGGAGCTCGTTGTGACCACAATGATGGACTCGATAGTGAGCAAAAATGTTGTGTTGAGCATTCACTACGTACCAATGCTCTTATTCCCAATTTTCATCTATTGACGTGAATGTTCTCGGCTTCTCAATAGTTACGCGGAGGCAACCCCGGACCAGAGTTCCTACTCGCATTCCCATACGTCACCCCGGAATGGCCCGGATAAACTCGCGACCGGTGCTCATTAGGACGTGCTTGTAGTGGTAAAGGCATTGGTGGTCTCTGGACCAATCCCGAGTCAGTGTCTTGATCACCACCGGTGGCCGCAAAGGGTGCTGAAAAAGTGTGGGGAGCATCCTGTTCTGCCATTGCTTCTGCATACGACGGCGGAGGTGCTGAATCTGAAGCCTCCAAATCGTGTTCCTGACTCTGTAGCATTCCTGGCGGGGGTGTAGTTGGTCTAGAATAATGACCCGGGGGAGGAGTTGTTGGTCTAGAGTATTGACCTGGCGGTGGTGTAGTTGGCCTTAAGTATGTCATTCCAGCATTTGGACTCAGAAAGTCCGGTCTCGGCGCTAAAGGCGGTGGAATTGCCGGCCGAGCGTCCAAATTGCTTCGTGGAGGCAATTGAGGCTTGTTGACAGAAATGGAGTTCTGGTTGGAGTCACCGTCTGTAGTCGGGGCCTCTCCGGGCGAGCTCGTTTGGCTGGGTTTGCCCTGATTGGTTGTTTCGTCGTTTTCGTCAGTTCCAAGAAACTGCAAAAACGGGTTGCTATCCGAAAACGATGGCTCCGTCATGAACTTGAGCTTGAATGAATACCCCGATGTTTGAGCAAGGCAAAGAGTGGAGAATGTCTTATCGCTTGCTCCAAGTGAGGCTTTGAAATGCACGTGATTCTGGCTGCTGTAATGGAGCCCTGGTGGTAGGACTCAGACATTTCATATTTCGGTCTAAAAGCAGGCATAAGGAGTCGGCTTATGACTATTATTAAAGGGGTGTCACCAATATGGGTTAGTCCTGCTAGAGTTGAGTCATTTAAAAAGCCTGGAAATACCACAATTTCCAACATGTTGACACTTTCGGGCTGTCGCAAGCCGCAATCGTGCACCAGCATATCCTAACCAGAGTACACGACCTCAAAGCCTGGGCCCTGGATTGCCAACTAAATTCCACAAAAAAGATCTCCGGATAAAAAAAACTTTGGTTGTTTCATGGGTATAAGAATCATGGAACACAAAGCAATGCTCTCCGTAGTAATTGAGGTCAGACGCCGAGCATTAACGAGTTAAACATGTAAACCAGCTCTGCCCACTACAACTACATCTCTACGAGTCTCTGATTTTCTCAAATCTGTTGTATAAACGCTAGATAGAAACTGATTAGGCCTTGGCAATGTGCTCGAGCAGGTCAACAACTCTGGTGGAGTAACCGTACTCGTTGTCGTACCAAGAAACGACCTTGACGAAGGTTGGGGTCAATTGGATACCAGCCTTGGCGTCAAAGATGGAGGATCTGTTGTCGGACAAGAAGTCGGTGGAAACAACAGCGTCCTCGGTGTAACCAAGGATACCAGCAAGCTTTCCCTCGGAGGCCTTCTTGATGGTGGAGCAGATCTCCTCGTAGGTAGTTGGGGTCTTGAGGTTGACAGTCAAGTCAACGACGGAAACATCAGTGGTTGGGACACGGATGGACATACCGGTCAACTTACCGTTAAGCTCTGGGATGACCTTACCAACGGCCTTGGCGGCACCGGTGGAGGATGGGATGATGTTGCCAGAGGCAGTTCTTCCTCCTCTCCAGTCCTTGTGGGATGGACCGTCAACAGTCTTCTGGGTGGCGGTTATGGAGTGGACAGTGGTCATCAAACCGGACTCAATTCCGAAAGAGTCGTTGAGCACCTTGGCCAATGGGGCAAGACAGTTGGTGGTGCACGAAGCGTTGGAAACGATCTTGAGGTCGGAGGTGTACTTGTCCTCGTTGACACCAACGACGAACATTGGGGCATCGGCAGAAGGAGCAGTGATAACAACCTTCTTGGCACCAGCGTCAATGTGCTTCTGGGCACCAGACAGGGTGGTGAAAACTCCGGTGGAGTCAATGACGAAGTCAACGCCAGACTTTCCCCATGGGATGTTGGCTGGGTCTCTCTCCATGAAGACGGTGATGTCCTTACCGTCAATGGTAAGGGTGGAGTCCTTTCCGGAAACCTCACCCTTGTACTTTCCGTGGGTGGAGTCGTACTTGAACATGTAAGCGGCGTAGTCAGCGGTGATGAAAGGGTCGTTGACAGCGACAACCTTGATGTCTGATCTGGTCAAGGCAATTCTCAGGACAAGACGTCCGATACGACCGAAGCCGTTGATTCCAACAGTAATAGCCATGTTTAATAAGTGGTTGTGAAAATAAGTAGGTTTATGTTCCTTGTTCTCACTAGCAAGGAGGCAACCCGGAAGAGGGGGAAACAGTCATATTTATACGGACAGCGATGAGGCCGCCTGTTTCCCGGGGTCATCCACTGGGCTGACACACGACCTTGAGCTACACACGACAAATAACAGGTGATGATAGTAATGGGCGATAAGAGCCCGGAATAAATGGGGAAAAAAGCTGGAATTAAGGATTAATAATCAACTTGGACAGCAGCTCAACAATTCATCCTATTTATGCTCCTTTCCTATAGTTTTTGGGTGGCAATTGGGCAGTTCTGTTGCCTCCTCATCTTCGTCTGGGACACATCCGATGATCACTCTGCGAAAAATTTGCCGAAAGCGTCATCTGACAGAGGATGCATCGCGACAGAACGTGGCGTGGACGATGTGGGCTGTTGCGGAAGTATATAGTGTCAATTGGTGGTGTGATGTCATTTTATGTAGCGAACAATCTTGTAGATTAGTGAGAATCAAAGTGTGCACGTTGACAAGTATGCATATATCGGAAACTGGAGATTTTAGGCTTTATTGGCTTTAGTGAGGCTTAAGTGAGGTGAGGCACGAAATTTCAGACCCCGACTTCACCGATATACAAGCGGCAATTGATTGAAATGTAACATTTCGTGACTGGAGATTGTGGACTCTCCTCATTGCTACACCTTTTTCTCATCCTTTAGACCGTTTCCACACCCGGGCATCGTGATCGTTGCGAGTCCCGGTCCCCGGGCATGCACACTGCTCAATGAAATGTCCGGGATATGATATACCGAGAAGACGAGTGAAGGGAATCAGAATGAGAATAAGAACACACCAGAATTTAAACATCCAGAACCAATGAACTTTGTAGTATTAACTGGGTTTCTGCATTCTATCGCGTTCTGACGGTTTTATGCAACTCGTGTTCGGCCTAACTAGGCGAGATGCTATCATGAGGTCATCGAGTCATTGTGTGAATCATGATAGTGTCCAATCTGGGTACTTATTTGAAAAATTTGGTGTTGTTGGTATTAGTAATTCAGCTGATCAAATATTAAACTTGGGATCCAACTTGCGATTGTTTACATCTAGATCAATTTGTGAATGGTCGCGACTCGCTAGTGGTCTCTAATAGTGGTTTTGGGTGGTCCACTGCTTATCCATTATCAATATACTATACGGTATACAATGCTGTAGCATTAGTCGATCTATTAATTTTACTAATGAAAAAGGCGACTGTTTGAGCAACTTCCTTGCCTCTCAATATAATGCTATTGGTGGATAATATCGTGGCCCACTATGCTTATTGCCGTCTGAGATCAAGTCATGGTAGCCAGTGATCCTTCCTAACTGGTCTCACTCACAAATCTCTCTCTATACCCAGCACTATTCCTCCTTTATTGTTCTGCCATCGCTTCGCACCAGTGATCTCTATCTCTCTCTCTCTCTAGCAATATGTTTACTTCATGGAACAACCAATATACCTTTTATTCAAGCAAAAAGTGCATTTTGCCGTTGTTTTATCACGTGTTCTGGTCTCTCTCTTGTCGTTTCCCTTGTCTCTGCCATCGTGCGGCGTGACAATTCCAACGCGACTCAAGTTCACCACCTCACCAAAAGCCGCTCCCTCTTTTCACGTCCTCCAGAACAACCAGGCTTCTGGTGTTTGTCTTTCTTTTTTCATCTGTTTTTTTTGCATGTTGGTCAAATTGCGCCACATGACCACCAACAAGGCGCTACGACGCGTCGCATCTTTCACCCTCGATGAGTTTGACCTGGCTGACTTTGACCAGTCCCTTGCCTCCTCAGGAACGGACGCCAACCCCGTGGTGGTTCTCTCTTCGTCGCCAGAAACATTTGCCGTGTCCCAGAGGAAACGCGATTTGTCGCCTGTTCACAATCCGTTTTTGCTGAAACGTAACAGATTGGACCTTGCGAGGGTGGAATATCCCGACCTGAAGGCTCTTGTAAACGCTTCAATCGAGACTCCCAAAAAGCCTCAGGGGAAGCCTTCAGAGTTGCCCGACTCCAGGATCGAGCTGCTGACCCAGCGACCAAATGTTCTGAAGACGCCTCCCCGAAACAACGTCAAGACTGTCCAGGCCATCACGCTCAGCTCGGAGCAGACACGCGTTGTTGAGCTGGCCAAGCACGGAGTCAGTCTGTTCTACACGGGCTCAGCTGGAACGGGAAAAAGTCTGTTGTTGAGATCCTTGATCAAAGCATTGCGAGCCCAGCACCCCCCTGATACCGTTGCTGTGACTGCTTCGACTGGACTGGCTGCTTGTAACATTGGTGGTCAGACGCTTCATTCGTTTGCTGGAATCGGACTGGGACAAGGCTCAGTTGATGATCTTTGCAAAAAGGTGAGACGGTCGCGAAAGCACCGAACCCGCTGGGAGAAAACAAAGGTGTTAGTGATAGACGAGATTTCTATGATCAACGGAGAGTTACTCGATAAGCTCAATGCCATAGCCAAGAAGCTGCGGAAGAACACTAAGCCTTTTGGTGGGATCCAGCTCGTCGTTTGTGGTGATTTTTTCCAGCTTCCACCTGTTTCTTCTCGGGATTCCGAGGTTTCGTTCGCTTTCGAAAGCTCCAGCTGGAAAGAGTGCGTGACATGCACGCTTGTGCTCAAGAAGGTATTTCGTCAACAAGGTGATTCTGACTTCGTAGATATGTTGAACGAAATCCGACTAGGTGCTGTTTCGGAGAAGACTTGTGTGAAATTTCACAGTTTAAGCCGACCTTTAAGAGACGACAATGGTATCGTTGCTGCCGAGCTTTATCCTACCAAACGCGAGGTTGACGATGCGAATCGCCGCAGGCTTAGGTCGATTCCAAGTCCTTCCATTGTTTATAGAGCCAATGATACCGGATCGATTGCAGATGATGCGGTTAGGGCCAAAATGCTGGATTCGCTTATGGTTCCAGCTTTGCTGGAGCTCAAACTGGATTCTCAGGTGATGCTGGTCAAGAACATGGACCAGACGCTGGTGAACGGTTCCTTGGGGAAGGTGATTGCGTTTGTGGATCCAGCCACCTTCAACGTCGCAAATGCAATGGATGAGATGTCTCTAGAGGAGATGGAGGCTGCTGTTGAAGCAGGAACTACCGCTGCCACTGGAGATTCTAAGGAATCCTCGGATCCCTTAAAAGGCTCAGTATTTGATTTTCTCGGAGATCTCGTGAAGAACACCCCGGAAGGGACGAAACTGCGAGAGGATTTTGATCGCAAAGTGGAGCTCTTGCGTCAGTTGGATGCGGCAAAATCGCAAGCTCGTCTTCCATTGGTTCGGTTCATCCAACCAGACGGAAGCACACGTGAAGTGTTAGTACAGACTGAGACGTTTGAAATGGCCGACGAGAACGATGTTCCAATAATTTCAAGAACACAACTGCCGTTGATTTTAGCCTGGTCTCTCTCTATTCATAAGGCCCAGGGGCAGACTCTTAGTAAGGTCAAGATTGATCTACGCAGGGCTTTTGAGAATGGCCAAGCGTATGTGGCGCTTTCGCGTGCTACAACGAGGAGAGGGCTCCAGGTGTTGAACTTCCACCCAGCAAAGGTTAAGGCGCATTCGAAAGTTATTGACTTCTACCACAGCCTTGTGGAGGTAGACCAGGCGATAGAGCAACTGAATGAAGAACGGAGGCCAATTGACGAGATGGACGAAATGGATGGCAGGAGGCAGTACGATGAGAGTTATGACGAGGAGGAGTTTGCATATAGGATCAATCAGCAGCGTGAGGCTGCAAAATAGGTAGAGAGTGAAGAAAGTGAAGCAACCAACTGAACGACTGAAATACCGACAAAAAGGGTCAGGCTACTGATACAGATCACTTGAGGAATTCAACTGAGGGCCCGGAGAGTATCCCAAAATTCAGCCAATCGACATGTTCAATATAATGATGAGACTAGAAATACATAACCAGTTGAAGATTATTGACTGGCTCACCAACAGAGGTGTAGCCAGTGATACCATCCGCTTAAAATCACCCATGCAATTGCCTCGCTTCTAGTTTGATGCTCCAAAAGCCCAACTAATTAACCCTCCGTTACCATCAATCACCTCCAGCGCAGCTGAATTCAACGACCTCTGAATCCTGCTAAGACCGGTTTCCCTGGGCTTTTGAGTGCCGCTGTCATGTCTCTGTGCCAGATCCGACTCCAACAGCTGCCATTGTGCTAAAACAGCCCCGTAGAATTCAACAGGAACATACAATAGCAAAAGAGAACAGACTTTCAGCTGAACCATTAGTTGAGCAGACCCTCCGCTCAGTTCGTCTTCCGAGGTGTATTTGCACACCTGAAACAAGGCCGCCCAGCTATGTTGGATCTGGGCAATGGCAGCGTCAGAGGGCTCATAGAGCAAGTCCAAAGATAAGTTGGAGGAAAACGCAAAGTCCTGATTGGCCATAGCATACTCCAAACACATCATCTGAAGTCTGAGCCTAGCCGGCTCAGCGTCAGTTTTGATGCCAGAGAACCCCATTTCCAATTGAAAAAAAAGAGGTTCTAGACGGTCAAGATCAAGATACGCTTTCAGGTTAAGTTCTAATATCTTCATGACAACTTTTCCAGCATCGTGGATTTCATAAAGGTTCTTCGGAGTGAGCGGAACCCCGGTCTCAAAGTAAACTTTGTATCTGAGTAATAAGGGAAACGAACTTACCAGGCCCTTGAGTTTCACGAAGTCGTCGGGACGAGTGGAAACGCCCAGACTGATGTAAGCAGCATCCCAAAGGTCCAGACACTCTAGACAGCTCTTAAGCCATCCGATTGACGTATCCAGATTGGTTGCTTTGTTGTAAAATCCCCAGCTGTATTGAGACAATACGAGGTCGTAATCAGAGGCTTTCATTTGCGAAAACTCAAGAAACACCCCAGCAACTTGCAGACTTCTAGTATCCATAATACGCTCGAGAACAGCCTTATCCAGACTGGATCTCTTCATTTTACGGAAATATGCGGTGTTGTCAAATAACCAGTAGACCGAGTTTAAAACCGCTGCCCATTGGCGTTCGTCTGAATGAAGTTCACTGGTTTCATTGGCCAAGAACTTGTTCAATTCCTTAGCCTGGAGCTCTTCCGAAGACCCACTGAGCTGAAGAATGTCCACCACCGATAATCCGCTTGAATACAATCTTTGTGCACTTTCCACCAGTCTTTCGGCCGACTCAATTGACCCCAGAGCAGGCTTGACCTGCAGCAACAGCCCAACGTCTCGAACGTTCTTAGTTTCAGTCAACGCGGCGAGTTGAGCATCTTGAAGGTCATGAGGTGTAAAATCCAACGAAGATTCATCTGAAGAAAGTAAACCAGTCAAATAGGCGAGGCACTGTTTCATAGCCATGAAGATCTCGAGCGATACCACGGGACAGACATATATCTGTGAGACGACAAGGCACACAAATTCGGCTGCGACGTCAGGATGGTTATTCGACAATTCGTCAATCAAAACTGATTGTGACAGAAGGGTAGTCAGTTTAGCGTAATTTTGCTCCAGCGTCGCCAGATTGTTTCCGTCAGCCAAAGAGGAGTTACAGAATTGCTCCAGCCATTTCCCCAGAACCATCCAGGAACCATGATAGTCAAGATACGGTATCAAGGCCTCGGAGACCAGCTGAGTGGCATTTGCATCATTCAAGGGCTGCAGAAACTGGTCAATGGCATCATTATCGGTCAGCAAATCCCAATCCGTAAGTTTTGGAATGGTGGTGATCAGCGATAATTTCTGTAATGGCTGAAGTAGGCCAGCTTGCCAATTTCTAGCTGATTCAGATGAACCGGCTATACTTTGTAGAAGATTTTGTGAAATGGCGATATTTGGCACTGCTGTGTCAACAGCAAGTACTCTGCTTTTGGCAAATGCAAAAAGAATAGAGTCTGTCAAAGCCTTCATTTCCGTCTGTGTTTTGGGCTTCCTGGATGTCCTAGGCTCTTCTTCGATGTTCAGTGTCCAACTATTATCCTCGATCAGCCCAACCGTGTCCAGCAACACATTTTGACCCCACTGCAATCCACGGCATTCAAGTCGTAGTCTCTGGTATACCGCCTTGGCCCGTTCACTCACAGACTCAGGGCTAACATCAATCAAAGTTGCCAATTCGGGCTTTTCTTGCACTATTTCCGCCAACACCTCCTCTACATCAAATACACTCTCCAAATTAGCCTCCAAAGGCTTGTGGATATCGTTCTGGAGGTGATACTGCGTCACAGCCTCTATCGTCTGTTGCACCACTGAGTGTTGCTCAGCAGGTAACGTTTTCGGCAGCCAACACACCAAAACCCCAAGAACATGATATAACGAAAACGATGGAATTTCATCGTATGGATAATCCCCTCCATTGACCGAATTTTGCAGCAAAAGGTTTGTTTCTGTGTATATAAGAGGTGCCAGCTTAACCAGAGCACGGCCTAGTAGATCAACATCGCCTTTGGATGCCAGAAAGCAGGATATTATCAGGGCCTGGTTAGTGAACATGAGAAACACCTCTGTGCAAAATTGTCCTCTTCTTATTTGCCTTTTGTTAACACGCTTTGTGGCCTTTGATCAGTTGCTAGTCTCTCTACAACAGCTGGCTAAGTCGTGTCTTTGGTGACCGACTAAAAAGGGCAGAAGCGAATCGTGCGATGAGCAATTTGGTAAAGGTGCACTACCTTGTTCAGGTCTTCAGGATGCACTAAAGGTGTCTAGACACACTGATATCCATGCATAACGGTGACGCTAAGAACCGGGTGGCAACGAATATGGACGATAGTGAGTTTGTGATCCGATGGAGAGAATATCAGTTTCTGGGCGTGCAACTAACGAGATAGAAGCAATCGTGGCCAACAGACGCAAGGTGTACGATGTGGACATAGAGCAGTACCTCGAGTTCAGAAAGGAACTCTGGGCAGTTTCAAATAGTGTCAAACTCGGCAAAGCCGCAGATCCCAATAGGTTGAAGGAATTGGCACTGACGTTGGAACGGTTGCAGACACGACTCGGGTTGAACGTGAGACTAGAGAAGCTCAAGTACTCGAGACTGAGCTCTGAGAATGAGCACATGGATATGTTGATTGACTCACAGTTGAGCGGCCTTGTTACACAGATGGACAGCGAAAACAGGCGATTGCGATTGACAACTGATAGGTTGAAGCGCGATTACAGGAAAAAGTTGCAATTGAACAGGCTTATTCGTAACTTCAAATCGGCAGAGTCGCTTATCAAGCTGGATTCTGCGCAGATATCCGCTCTGTTCAACAATGCCGAGATCGAAGACGTTGTGAAACATTCGTCACAAGTTGATGGAAGACAAGGCCAGAAGACTTATACGTTCAGGAAGCAGAATCTGTCTGCATCTTGCCGAGAGCTTGAGAAGGCCATTGAGTCAAAGAAGGCAGAGTGTGCTGCATTGAGGATCAGCATCAACAGCAATCGCGAGAAGTGGCTGAAGATATCGCAAAGGATCAAGTTTGTTGCAGAGAGCTTAAGTGGGGTTGACGGAGATGACATGGAGGTGGAAAGCTAGGGTTGGGCCTTGCTGTAAGGAAAAGGCTTCGATAGCTCTCTCTGAATGTCCAAGGCGAAATTGCTGGAATCGAGATGTCTTTCATACTTGCCCTCAGTATGTGTACGTATGTCATGGGTATATGCTGGCCAGCTTCTGCGTGATTGTATCGCTTGAAATTGATAGCTTTCACTGGTTGAGTGATGACTTCCACACGTTGCTAAAGGGGTATGCAATGCTCTACTAGCGAGGTAAGAGATTCAAGATCTCTTTTATCAGTGTCTAAATCAATATGTGATTCACTTGCTCGGCATTAGAGTCCTTTTGACTAAATTTGATCGTCTCTCTCGAAGTTTCACTCTCATGTCTGCAGCTGTCTGGGGCTGTATATCTTCAATCTATGATTCCTTATTGGACTCATAAAAGAAGTGACTCTTCTCTAATGTTGTTTCCTGGTCTAAACGTTGGTTTCTTCAAATGTTAATAGACTAGAATATTTATCAAGAACTCATCTCCTTCTCCATAACTTACTATACTCAAGATACCAATCACAGTCTTCTTCTATATACAGTTCTTTTTATATTCACCTACTGAGTCTCCTCTTCATACTGAGCGATTCTGTCGCGAATAAACTCCTCAACAATGGCAATCTCCTTACTTTTCTCGATTGTGAAGTCAGAAGCCTCCCTGTACTCAACAATCTTTTCGCAAGCCCTAGCCACTCCAGCAGCATTGGGCGATTCCTCAAAAACGGCGTACATCTCTGCAATGTCTCTGAGCTCTCCAAGGTCCTTTCCAACTTCTTTCTGGAACCGGTGGTACTTGAGCTCGGCGAGGTAGCGGATGCCCTCGAGGTACTTCTCGTCAACCTTTATGGAATCATCCAGAACAACCGGTATGCCAAAAACTGCACTCTGGAAACGATCTAGACGATCAAACCAATCCTGTGTGTCCACATTGTCGGCCTCGTTGTATCTCTCCCTGAACTCCTCGAGATACTCCAAGCGGGCATTGCCATCTTCGAGACTGCTCTGTGTGTTCTCAAAGGCACGGTATCTCTCGGTGAGCACGTGTCTGATATTGATCATGGACTTGCGCACAACTCCTTCCTGATCTTCGTACAAAGACGAGCTTTGCGACCGTATACCATCAAGCAGATGCTTCTCTCTGAGGATAATGTTCGATTCCTTAAGACACACATACCACAGCTTGTGCAAATCTTCAAAAGACTTCCTCCTCAACTCCTGGACAGACCAACTTCTTCCGGTAGATCTGACCTCATTGGAGTCACGAATGAACTTTTTCTCAGAAAAAAACTGCCACAACGGATGGTCATCTGGAACCTTCAAATTGTTCAGCGTGGGTATGATGGGCTTCCTTAGTTTGGTCTGGAGCGCCACTCTCACTTTGGCATTTGCCACCGACGATGTGTGAAACCCCGATCTTTGAATCCTCGCTAACATCTCTGGGGCTTTAGGGTTTGCCTTTGGTGTGGATAATTTGATTTCTAGAAAGTCCAGTTCTCGTCAAGCGCCCGTTGACTTTTTTCAGAGATGAAAGGTCGTGCACAAGCTAGTTTAATCTGACCAATCAGAGCTTGATATGGCAGGATGTGGTTGTGGGCTAGTTTAATTAGGAAAAAAAGCCGTGAGAAAGTATATAAGCAAGAGGTTTATAAATTAGAAGTCTGAAACATTTTTTATCAAATTTGCTCCAAAAAAGGTGATTTCTTCTTGACGCTTGATTTTGTAGTGCGGCGCACAGAAATAGCCGCCCAAAGGTCGAGACTGAAGTGAACCATTCTGGCACCCTAGATTTTCATTCAGCTTGTTGTCGCAAATACGCAATGCGGATATTTGGCACAATTGCTGGGCGATGTGTGCAAAGATCTATGTGGTTTCACACCAGGTGGATGGCTGTGCGAAGACCCTTTCATCACTCGTGGAGGATGCTAAACGAAGCTGGAGAAGAGGACAAAATCGAGCAGATAGCGGCCAAGATCGCGCGAATCAAAGTTCCCAAAGCCAACAAGATGCCACCTCGACCTAAGATCAATGAAAATGAGATCGAGGAAAAGTTCATAAAGGGAGGCAGCGGCAAGGGCGGTCAGAAGATCAACAAGACCAACAGCAAGGTTCAGCTGACGCACATACCTACGGGGATAGTGGTCACGTCGCAGGCAACGCGATCAAGAGATCAAAACCGCAAAATTGCACGAGAGATTTTGGCACAGAAGATTCAGGACCAAGCCAACCCTGACACAAGCAGAAGTGCCATGGTCATACTACGGAAACAGGCCCGCAAGAGTCGGGCTAAACGCAAGACGCGCAAGAAGTACAGACTGTTGGACTCTGAAGACGATACCCATGAGACAAACGATAAATAAACACATAGTCACATAGCGAAAATTAGACGCCCAAAACTCGGGTCAATAGCCGCTGGTTTACAGAGAACCGCATAGACATGGGTCACCCACGACTTCTGCGGGGGGTGTCCCTCTTTCAGAGCCGGTTGATGGTTAGATAGGCAAGTAGTGGCACTGCCCCGGAGTCTATTCGGGGTGGGTAAATACTCTCAGCCGATTGGAGACTCTGCCGCCAACTGAGTTGGGTTTTGAATATAGGCTTTGATTCGCATTCGCTGCTTTTTATTCCGCTCGTACCGCTGCTTTCTGCTAGAGCTAATTGCCTGAGGTACAGATCGCAACAAAATGGCGTTGAGACAAGGAACTTCTCCTCCGCTAGATACGCCTAGCGGCTCTAGAGACTGTGACAAGAAAGGCCGGTCCACCTCGTGCTATTTCTGTCAGAAAAGAAAGCAAAAGTGTGACCATCAGCTTCCTTCGTGTAGTACCTGTCTCAAGGCTGGTGTCAAATGCGAACAGCCAGAGAAGTATGGAATGACCTCGAATTCGAACGTGTTGATGTTGGAGAAGAAAATATGCCATTTGCAGAAACTTTTAGAACAGAAGGCTTCTATGGGAGTTCCGTTGCCGAAATATACCATGGTTCCAGTGACTTGTCCCCATTCTGCTGCTAGTCCTCCTATCGACGGATTGCACGTTGACGAGAAAGATTACCGAAGGTCCATTTTGGGAAACTATCAACTACAAGATTTCTTGGAAGTTCCTCCGATCAACAACATTGATCCCAAAACGGCTAAACAGCTGCTGGAGATATATTTTGCTCTTTTTCAGTACAAGTTCCCTCTACTAGTGGAGAGAGATGTATTGGAGTTCCACAGAGCCTATTTTGCCAACGAAATCGACAACTATGATGATTTCCACTTCAGTTGTGCACGGATGTGGCTGATATTTTCGATTTCAGCACTATTGCACATGACTACTGGGAAATACAAAGGCCCTTCCCCTGCGGGATTCTTCTCTACTGCTTTGAGGCACGCTTCCAAGCTGCGGAACATCACTCCGCTGCAAAAAGTGGAAATTCTGATTCTACTGGTGTTTTACCTGATCAGAACAGACAAAGATTCGTTCTTCCTGTTTGACGTGGTTAGCGAAGCCATGCGCCAGTGCAAAGCATTAGCCCTTCATCGCAGGCAGGGCTACGAGAACATGGACCCGGATCTCCGTGATCGGCGCATGCGGTGTTTCTGGTGCACTTATCTGCTAGAAAAGGCAATAGCATCTTCTGTGGGGAAGCCCTATGTTCTATTGGAAAGCCAAATGGATCAAGACATCCCCATGTTTGACCATGAGCCGTCCAAGGCCAATTCCACCAAAAGTGGCACCATTTTTGTCAATGAGGCCATCAAAATTCGCCGTATTGAAGCTAAGTTTGTGGAGGAACTGGATCTGAATAATCCTGAGTCTAATGCCACTAAACACCAGCTTCCCAAGGTGCGGTGCTATTTTGCAGACCTGGAGAACTGGCGCCAGGAATGCCAGGGGTTTGGAACAAAGGGTATTGAGAATGAAACGCTTAGTGTATACTACTGCCGGTCAATCAGGACTCTTATACAGCCGTTTTTGGAGCTTTTGGACCCTGAAGACAGACTTTTCAAAGAGTGCCAGGCTGCGGCAGGGCAAATCTGTCAGTCGCTCAAATCATTTCATCAGCGTACGGTCACGGGTCATTCCATAGTCCATATTCACACCATGTTCGTTGCAGGTGTCACCCTGATTTACTGTCTTTGGTTGACAAGAAATGTGGATGACCATCGACGTCGCCAGCTGGGAGACGACTCCAAGCACACGCGGCCCACAGTCTCGGAAGCACTCTTTCGCGGATTGGACGATCTAAGATCATGCTCAGTCTGTCTTTATGTGATGGCTGAGAGAACTAGTTATGCTATTAGTTTCAGAGATACTTTTGACGATCTCTTGCATGCTACCATGGCGAACTTGATTCTTAGATGTGGTCCAGACTCGAGCGAGATCATCTATAACAGCAGTCCAGGTCTTCCGCCAGCTGTGGTGCGGAAACCTCTAACTAACTATGCTCTAAACATCAAGTTGAACATGCGAACCACCGAAGCTGAGAAAAAAGAGGAGGAAGATCTCAGAAAGAAGCAGGGCCAGCTCAAAAAACTATCGATTCCAAAGGGGCTGAATCATCTGCTTGCCCATCCGCCTCCATTTGGTCCAGATGACGATCTCAAAGAGAGAGCAAAGAGCACCAGCCAACTGCGCTCGACTCTTCCAGAGACCAGGCAAGAGCCCAGACCTGTTGCTCAGCAAACGGCTCATCAACCGGCCCACCAACCGGCTCCCTTTTCAGCCGAGGTTCTGCTCCAGCCAGAATTGCCAAGCACAGCAACTTCAACAGCTAATCACAGTCCGTCTGTGCCACTTACTTCTTACTCGTATTCTACTCCGGGTATTGAAGACAGTTGGAGCCCAGAGTCTTCGTTTGGAGCCAGACCAACACAAAACCACAGAGTTTCCGGTGCAAACACTTTCAAAAAGCGCAAGCTCTCCGACTCCAGCTTGGAAAGGATACAGGACGTCGGGTTTCAAAATAACCAAGTTGATTTGTCTTCCCTTGTTGGAAGAACACATGAGATGATCAACAACATCTCTACGTGGACTGGTGAGAGTGGTCAACAGTTCCCCAATATTGTGAACAATTTGGCACCGATCGAGTTGCCGGAGATGAGGAAGGCAAACCTGGAACTGATGGTACCTTTTACGGATGTTCAAACTGAGGATTTTTGGAGTGGATGGGAAGATTTTGGGTTTCTTCCATGATAAGACCTCTGTTCTACCAAGCCCTCAGACTGCTGCTCTACTCTCAGAATGTTTTTCAAAGTCCTTGTCAAGCCCATTACTCTCCAATTGCCTTTCTGGAAGTCAGATGCTACTCGCTATTTTCATATCTTTCTCCATTTCTTGCTTTATCTCACCTTCGCCCTCCCTTTCTATACCAACTCCACACACCGCCATTCGACATCGCCCACCTTGAGAACATCTCCTTCACTCCCGTCAAAGTCCACGGGGAAATCTGTGGCATTATTGCCAGTGGCAAGCACACTTTCCCATATTGAGCCGTTATAGAACGACCTAACTGTCGATATGGGCGCCCAGTTGGTGCTATCCTCTTTGTCCCATAGAACGCCCTGTCCCCAGCTACCAATTCGAATATAACGTCCAACAAACCTGTCTGTAGTCACATCCAAACATATGCTAACTGTACTAGTAGTACCCTCCAGTGCTACTTGACTCGCTGGAGTGGAAGTATTCGGGTTCAAACTGCGCCAAATCTCGATATATGGCTGTTCCAGTCCAGTATCGGGGTTCACCATTACACCGTCTTCTCTGCGATCACCGCTCTCCAAAGACTGGAATTTGCCGATATCACGACCCCCCATCTCTACCTTCTCGTCGATATCTTTGAGCTTGTTCTCCTGCATTTTGATGATAGACATTGAGTTGAAGAACTCGTGGCTGAACTCGATCTCGTTCTCGGCAATCACCACTTCTTCTCCTGCCATTGCCCAGTTCCATTGGTATGGGAAGACAGACAGAGAGTTTTTGAGAGGCCTCAAATCGACGTAGTGAGCTCCTGGAGTTGTCAGAACCATTGTGGTGGTCTCTTCGTTGGCTTCAGCTGGAGGCCACTGGATCGAAATTCTGACAGACATCACGCTCTGATGCGATTTGTCGTCAGTTTGTTCCTGAAAAGCAATTGTCATTTTGTGTTTGTGATGGATAGTTTCTGTGTGTTTGTTTGCTGAACTTGAAAGCCTCAGCAAAAGTGCGTGTCTTATGGATTCGCAGGAGAAGACTTGTTGGATGAACGTCTTGATGGGGAGAACTGGTGAGGCTGCATAATATTCTTGCGTGCAATCGCAATATTTTCGCCGCATGGGGGTCTGACTATTTTTCAATTGTATCTGTATTCGAGCTCAATTAGCTTCTGAAAAAGTGTTTTCGCGTTGACTCCAATGAAAAGAAATTTGGTTCTAACAAGCACTTTGGAAATTATATTGGGAACTACCAGAGGAGACCAAGCACAATGGCCTATGCACTCTTACCACTATCTACCATCCTCTGGTGTCTTAATTGCGCACTAATCACTACCAAGAATACAATCATGAAAAATAATGATAATAAAAGTATTGAAAACTCATTTATGTATACATAAACATAAACTCGGGCAAACACGTGATTTCATTACCCAAAACTATCTAAAAATTCGATTTTTATATCCATTAGCCATCACCTTTGGCGTTTTGTATGGTCTTTCCCTTTTGGGAAACGTGATGAGGCCTAGTTGACATTTGTTGCTAAGAGTAGTTTCCTCGCGTTGTCTGCGATACGTCTATAATACATTCGCAGCATTCTTGAACGCGAACTGCGCAATCCCTGCCAATGCAACTCAATGTGACCATTCCGGTGACTCTCACCAGAACAACAATATACGTGTTGATTCTGGTGGTGGCCACCACATTCGTGTTGCTGCCATGGTCTGTGATTATGTACCTTCGGTTCTACCAGTACCTTATTCCGATCCCGGAGGTTGCAATCCCGCTGAAATTCGATTATAGACTTCACAAGCATGGAGCTTTTTCGATTCTGAATTTTGGTGATGTTGTGGAAGAAATGCGTTCCAAGGGTGGTGATGTTGATGTCGGTAAGATGTCTTATGAAATCGCATTAGACTTCACCAGCTGGTGCGACTTAAAGGTCCAGTCAATCTCAGACTTTGCAGAGACTGACTCAGCATCTCTAAGCGATCTCTCGTTCAAAACTGTCGGGGTCAAGATCAGCATTGTTCGCGATAATACTTTAAACCACCAACTGAAGCCGTTTGAGCTAGACGTCAGTAAGAGCGCACTTTTCAAATCAAAATTCGCACATGTCTGGCCAATCACGAACCGCGACGAAACCCCAGCTCGCTTTGGGGAGAAGTCTTTTCCTTTATCTCCTAATTGGAATTATTTCAATGCACAAAACCAGTTTAGTACCTCGGGGGTACTGCTATCCGAGTCAGCATGGTTCCCCCAGAAATGCATAGGCAATCTCAAGGATACCTCCCACGGGGAGGAATTCGGCTGGATTCCGCCAGTTCTGCGCCCGTTTATGCCGCCTGTATTTACGCGATACTTTTCCTCGAGTATAAACCGTGGTGTCGAGAATCTTGGCACTAAACACGCTCTCGTGCTCGTTCCTTGCTTCCAAGTGGGCCACAGTCTCAGCCAAACGAATATCGCCAATTTGCGGAACTCCAAACTGGTTCTTGAATTCAATACGCCCTCTTTGATGGTGCTGAACGAACCGCAAACTGCTTTGCTAACTTTTAAGGTCAAATGGTCCGGATTCCGCCAGTTTGTGTTTGAACATCGCGTTCTCAGTCTGCTGATGGGAGTAGCACTGTTCTGGGGGGTCAGCAGCTCTACGTGTGTTATAGTGGCCGTTTTCATGTGGTATTATCTTACTTCGCAGATGGACCAACCTACTGTAACCAAAAAGCCTATTATCAATAAGGAACCAGAAATCAAGAAAGAGCCAGGCATTAAACAGGAAGGCATGTTTGACACTTTAGACTCGCTTCTGGACCAGAGATGACTACGCGAATGCTCTACGGGCAAATTGTATGACGAAACCTGAAACAAGAATCCAATCCTGCTCATAATCGGGTTGAGATTGACGAAATAAATATGAATGAACCAATAAATAGAAAAATAAACCTAGAAAAATGGCATGAAGGTGGGGGTCGACACTGTATGTAGGGTCATCTGACCCCCCGAAGTAAACGTCCCGGTGATAAATAGGCACAAATAAAACAACGTGATGGAGATTATAATTATAATCAAATGGTAACAATAGATGCAATGGCAAATCCAAACGACTAACAGTGCCGTAGGTGTGATTTATCTGATGGGTAGTGGGGGATGAATAAGCGTTGACATGGAAATTCGGCATTGATCAGTAACCGTTCAATATCCATTCAACTTATTAGGAGATTCAACGTCTAATAATGGAAAGTCGTAATGGCTGTTCATGAACATCTCAAACTGCTCAACACACAAATTCCATTCTGCGAAAGACCTTCCCAAGTTATTCATCCGGTTTAGATCCAAGGCGTGTTTCATCTTGGGCTTGAAAGGAGTGAATCCCAGCTCGAAAAAGGCATCTTGACTCTCACTGAAAGGTGACTTGGGCAGCCTTGGGGCCGGCACTTGGTCTAGAGGGATGGATGTTGGGGCAACGCCCGACAGTCTCAGGTTTCCGTTCAATCTGTTGACGAGGTCAATCTGTCTGCCCATTGAGAGGTCATCAATTACAAGCTCGAATTTGTACTGCTGACGATACACATCCGGGGTCCTTTCTCCAAACTTGAAGTCGGGACTGACGATGTAGTCTTCGCCCAGCGCAGACTCCACGGCTGGGTACTCCTCGTCTATGAAGAGCTCCTCAAAGGAGGAGTACGATGAAGGAGGTGAATTTGCAGTTCTGGTGCTCATGACCGATGGCGATGAGGATCTTGACGAAAGGGAAAGTGAGCTAAATGCTTTTGCAAAATGGGTATCTTCCTTTTCATCCTTCGACTTGGCATTGCTTTTGCCTTTGGCCTTCACAGCATCACCAAGATCACTAGCATCGTGGTTCATGCCCTTCTTGAAGAACTTGAACACCGAGCTGTAAAGACTCACATTGGACTGTGTTGAACTCGACATAGACGTCAACGTAGTCGATGAGGGTGTTCTCTGAGGCGTAGAAGTGCCCGTGGTGTATGTCGATTCGTCAAAGATCTCGTATGGATGCGTCGTCGTGAAACTTCTGCTAAAAGATACAAGGTCTGAAGTGTACGGCTTGTTCTCATCAAAAGACCCGACTAACAGTTGTTGCTGAAATTGCTCCCAATTTCCGGCGATCGGGGAAATTACCATCTTGCGGTTGATGATCGGAGAGCTGGGCTCAAAACTGGGAAGTTTCACGTGTGGAGAAGACAGGCCCGTGCCGTCAAACTGTAAAATGTGATTTACCAGCTTCTTCCGTGAGCTTTTGAGTCGATTCGAGACAATGTTCTGAGTGTTGTTGCCGTTAGTCATCAGTCTCCAACAAACAAGCCTGTGGTAATATGTCCTAACAAGAGGCTGCCAATGACAAAAGTACTTGAACCAATTGGACATTGTCCAGTTGACAAACTCCTGCTGATCCGCTATCATGTCCCAGGAGTTGAAGAGGTAAGACAGACCTTTCAGCTCGAGCGTCAGGTTATCGCAAGAGGTCATTCTGTCAAGAACTTTGAGCCAAAACCGCCAGTCAATGAACTGCGTGTAGAAGGAATCATTTGTTTGGTAAACGAATGTTGTAAACTCGAATTGCAAATCTAACACCATGCAGCACTTTTCGGTATCGAAGACCGAAATTTTGGAAGCTATTCTACCGAGAATGAGATCAACACTTTTGCACACCATTGGCACAATTGCGGATTCGTAGTCGTCAACTGAGTTAAAGCAAAGATCCCTCAGTGCCCTCAAAAATTTGAGGAATGGAACAGGGATCTTCAGATCTGTGAATCCGTCGCGCTTTGCGGGAGCTGAACCACGCCGCTGGACCTGGATCTCGGTGTAAGAGTGCAAATGTGCCAAAATGATTGTAAATCCCGGACAGCAAAGCGCTGCGTTCCGGAGACTATGGGTGGCAGTGGATCTCAAATACCAACCGCAAAGGTTGAGGTAATGCCTGAGAAAGGAGAAGAAAACGTCATTGTTATCGAGACAGCTCCACCGTTGAACCCAAAGTCCCTTGGGATCATTGATACCCTTCACCGGATCACTGGGTGGAGGCACTGCATTCAAAAACTTCTTTTCAACCCTTAGCAAGTTTTTGGAAGATTCAAATCTAGATTTTGAGCCTATGAGACCAGAAACATGCTCGGGAAAAGCAGCTTTGAACAGAGTCTGCAGTCTATCGAGATCTATCTGCTCATCTTCCACTTTGGGAGGTCTATTCTGGCTGTTCAGCAGATCGAGAGGAGATTGCGCTTGCGCTTGCTGCAGCAGCGTGTCTTTGACAGTGTCCAAAGCATCTATTTTCACTCCCAAAAGAAACAACATAGCACCAGCCGCTCCTGGAAGATTGAAAAAGGCATATGCAAACACTTTTCCAACGAAAGCACTCGCAGAAAGACTGATCTTTTTGGAATCAAGTCTTTTGATGGCATACTCTAGTGTTTGTGTGAGGAGGTCTCTGTATACCTTGGCAAAGTCTTGGGCTAGAGACCATTCTCTGCGAGAAATGATCTTAGACAGACACTCCAGGTGCACAGACCGATCGCTAGAAGGCATTTTGAGATCTGTTTTGAGCGCAGTGAGGATCTCAACCCACCATCTAGTCAAGGTCGAACACACCATTCCCCAATATCGTGAATTCACTGGGAAACTTTGTAGTTGTAGAAGAACCGGAATAAAATGAATTCGTAGCACATTTGAACGCTCTATTCCCCGCTTTGAAGTATATTTGCTAAGATATCTGTTTAGACTTTTGAGTGCGATGATCCTGTCTTGAGAGGCAGATGGTGATGCTCCTGTTTCATCTGGCGGAGATGCAACTGTCTCGGGTTTTGGCTCGGCTGTACTTGCCCCAGAGCCCTGGCCAAGCAGTCTTAGTGACAGCACAGACCTTCCCATTTGTCGCTTCGAAGTCAATCTTTCCATCGAGCAAATCGGAGGTTTCAGCTAAGCGACAGGATGATCTCCTGAAGGCTGCAAAGGTCAGACCCTATCGATGTGGAGAGGCTCAAAATGACGAATAAAAAGACCAAAAAGACCTGTAAAAGGATCTCGCAAGTATTATCAGTGGCCTGTAGTAAGTACCAAAATCTAAAGCAGAAACGCTAGTGTTCTTGTGGAATAGTCGTAACTTTAACAAGACAACACAAGCTTTGTTAAAGGTAGAGGCGGAAAAGCTTAAAACAGCGTGGAATGCTGCAAGTTTTGAGTCAGGTACACGCCTCGGGACCTGGTTGGATCTTTTTGACACAATTCAAATGCCGAAACTACAGAACAGTCAAATGACTCAACTCTGATCAATCAGCAATATCAGCAATATCCGTAGAATAAATTCTTACACACTACAAGGGCCATTTTGCAGTACTTATAGCAGAGTTCCAACCCCAGTGCCACACATGAGAAGTGGCTGGACGGCCTTTTACTGGGTCCAAGGCTTGGGTACACAGAGCCAATGTCAGCATTACCCGATGCGGCCACAACCGATCCACAACCGAACCCCAAAACGCAAAGTCCAAGGGTGTGTGCAATTTAACCCAAAGCAATCATGAGGCGCTAAATCTGTGCAAAGGCCGTAATAGGAGCATCTTCAGTTGTGTACTGGAAAGATTTGAAATTCCGTATTTGGGTTAGCCTCAACAATTAGGCCGGGTAATAGAATATACATATTCGAGTGACCGCATTTCTGATTAGAAATACTAAGAAACGCAATCTACAGTTCAAAGCTTACATTAAGAATTGCTGTAATAGTTAAAATATCTTATGACCATGACAGCCGGTTACTCCGCATAATTGGCCGAACGGCAGAATGATATAGGGCTCTGGCTGTTCCAGAGAGTTCCATCAGATGATCATTTCTGCCTGCAGATGCCTCATCTCCGGAGGGCCCGAGCCTATGTTCCAAACCATTCCGTGCTAATTTAGTAACAATTTATTAGCGCAAAGACTTTATTTTTCATTTCATTGAGTTTGATTTCTTGATTCCGGCCACTAAATTTGTGCTTATCATCAACCATAAAGCCCACTAACCTTGAGTTCCTGCTCCCCTGCTTAAAAGCCGCACGCAAAACGGTTTGGTTGATGCACGGAAACTGACGATTCATGCATGTAAGATAGCCTTAAAAATAGTAAGTACCAGTTGTCGTAAGAGATACAGGGGTAGGCCCATTAATTTTGAGGGATTTTCGGGACGTGACCTCTTTATTTGGGTTTTTCTGGTGTGATAGAGACTTTGCGTGATCCGGTTTCTTCCGATGAGTGGAGTTTCGAACGTATCGTCTGATGAGTAGCCCTGCATTCGGGTGCATATATAATGATGAGGGGATTCCCTTCTGATTGAAAGTTTGAAACACAAAAAAATACCACGGATAACTTTCCAAGCTACTCATCTATTTTCTATAACATCAATGACAGACATTACTGCGACACATTCAGGCGAGACAGCTGCAAACCCAGCTGCAACCCCAGATTCCGAGAAGGGCACTCCAATTGTCCAACAGCCAGAAATCTTTTATAACCCTCCTTCAACTGCAAATCTGGCTACCGGTTACTTTCCCGCACCAACACGCAAATTTGCCAATCCTGTTCCTGCGGGAATGTCTGTTATGGCTACGACACTGTTCACTTTAGGCTTAATTCTTTGTCGTGCCCATTCCGTTGACAACCTCATCATTCTGGGCTCTACCTTCTATTTCTCTGCCGGTTTAATTCAAATAATTGCTGGTATTTGGTGCATTGTTGTTGAAAACACTTTTGCGGCAGCTCTACTGCTTAGTCTGGGTGGATTCTGGGCTGGCATTGGTGGAATTGCCACCAATGACTTTGGTGCTCAGTCTGCCTACGATTCCGACACCTTCGCTAGTGCCTTTGGTTTGTTCTTGTCAGCCTGGACAGTCTTTGACTTCTTGCTTTGGACTTGCACTTTTAGGTCTACTATTCCTTTGTTCTGCACCACCTTCTGCCTCTGGTTCTTTATGCTTCTTTGGACAATTTCCATTTTTGGTACTCATCCCAATGTTGAGACCGCAGCAGGTGTATTTGCGTTCCTTACCTCTTGCGGTGGATACTATGCCGTCTACGAGGGCCTCACCTCTGAGGAGAACAGTTATGCTCGCATCCCTAAGTCAAAGCGCTTCCTTATGCCTTACGCCTACAACGCCGAGAAGGCTGAGAAGTCGCTGGTTTAAACACTTGGATTGCCCTATTTGATTCCTGCTTATGTTAATGCGACACGATATACGATACTATATGCGACATACGATTAACGAAGTCCTATGATAATATTTTTTTAACGATAGGCCTCTTTTTGGAAAAAATTGTAGTGCCATTGGGTGGTAATTTTACTACCTGATAGGGCTGAAGGTGGTGGTCTCCATCACAAATTATAGTCGCCGCGTTGCAAATACCACTGCTATCAACATCGGCAAAACCATAAATATCCTCAAAGAGCCCCAAACTTTTCATCCTTCGAATGTCAAATGTCAAATCAAAGCTCAGGGTTAGGATTGTCGTAAACCAGAAATCCTGACTTCTTTCCCACCCTAGTATAGAGCAACTGTGCACGATGGTTCTCAAACTGTGTCATCCAATAAACCTTGAAACATCCCATAGCCTTTGCTTCTGCGTAGACATTCTCAATCAAAGCTCTTCCAATGCCTTTAAGCCTTCCATCCACCTTGACAAACAGGTCATTCAGATAAATCCTATCGCGCATGTTCCAGGTATCCAAGTGCCTAAGGTAATGCGCAAACCCCACCAGCCTGCCGTCTCCATCAACAGCTACCACACACCACATGGGTACCTCGGTATCTAAAAAACGCGCAAATGTAAATTCTATGGTCTCTTTATCGAGTTTACTTTCATAAAACTCAAGATATGACGAGGGTCCCGAAAACAGGGCCAACCATTCGTCATGGTCGGACTTCTCCACAGGTCTGATGGTTACCATTGTATACCAAACGAATCAGAATGAATTTGAGCAAATAACGGAGTTTTGCTATTTATTTTATATTACAAACGTTAATCAAATATTAATTAGCTATGCGCCTGGAACGACCAGATTAGGCGCAAAAACCCCTGGCGCAAACTCATGTTTCTGAATTTCTTATCTCTAATGCGAGCGCAGCTTTGATAAGAAGATCATTTTATTTAGCGGGGCTGCGTAACCGCTCAAATGTGGAGGGCTACAAGAGCTTTCCAAGGTGGAGAAAGAGAACCAAAAGTAATATATTTCAATTTTTAGAATTGGTAAAGTACTTTTGATTTGGTTTCTACAAGTACTTGTACTCGAATCCAAAATTATTACCAAATATACCCTTTGGTAATATCTGTCTGCACGATTTGCATTGGCCAGAAATGAGAAATTTTTCAGATTTCCAGTTAAATATGCAAATGAGTTACATTGATACGCACAGGAGTTCAGAAAAAAATATGTTAAAAATGACTTTACTCAACTGAATTTTTAGAAGCAAGACTCAAAAACTACCCACTTCGCCTACTCGCTCCTTCTTCGCTATATTTTAGTACTACCTATCTTATCTATAAGATCTTATCTCGTTGATCTGCATCTACATCTGCATCTCCAAACCTCGAGCCTTTTTTAATTTCCGAGTGCACTCTACCCTTTAAAAATCACGTTAGAACGCATAGATCATATCAGACTTTATATATAAAATTAAGCTTAGATAACAGTACCCTTGTTCTGCTTCTTGTCGATTCTGTAGTTTTTCCAGATACCAATTGAAGGAATTGCCAATACCAGAATGCAGGTGGCCGAGATGGCACCGTTTCTCTGGGATTGACCCCAAGCGTAGTTGATGGCATTTCTGATGTCTCCTCCAACTGGGTAAGAACGCTGGACAGTAACACCGCCAAGGTAGATGGTAGACCAAAGATCATCAGCAGAGTCAGCAGGTAAAGCCTTACGCAAAGCAGATGGGAAGATGTTGTCGTAAATGGCAGCTGCCACGGCATAACCAATGGCACCTCCCACACTCGAACTGAGACCCAAAATCGAAAGCATCATTGGAACACCTTCACGGTCGGCAGCAGCCATGACAGCCATGTCCTCACCGATGACAAGAGTACCACCTGCAAAGGCAATGAAGATCTGACACATGACGATGTAGCCAATGTTGCTCTCTTGGCCACGGAAGCGGATCATAAGACCGGCACCGAGGAACATGAGTGGAAGACCGAAAAAGAGACAGGTATACTTGAAGGTCTTGATGTAGCGAACCCACACACCAAACACCACTGACCAGAAAGTAGAGCCAATGTTGTAGATCTGCGACATGTAACCAGTGTTGGAAACACTCAAGTTGTAGACAACATAGACAAAGTTGTAGTAGTACAGATCCCAAGAGTAGAAACTGAAGTAGAGAATGGCTGCAGTGCAGAAAGCACCCAGAACGGTTCTTTGACGGAACAACTCCCATTTGACGAAGTGGGTGCGAGCGAAGAACTTCTCCCAAGCAGCAAAGACAAAGAACAGCAAAAATCCGATCACCACCATGGCGATGAAGGTGGCACTCTTGTAGCCAGCACGGCCGTAGGTCTCAAGACTGAATGGCAGCAAGAACAGAATGAAAGCAGCCATCAAGATGAAAGCACCAACGACGTCAAACTCGTGAATGTAAAACATAAGGGATTGAGCGAAGGAACGGCCACTCTTGTCTCTGACGAAAAGACCCATCTTCTCAGCCTTGAGTTGGTAGAACTTGAAGACAAGAGCCAGAGGAACAAACACAAAAGGCATGATGATAGCGAAAGCTCCGTAAGCCCATCTCCAGGTAGTCATCTTCAGGAACGACTGAGCAGCAAGGGGACCAGTGAAAGCGGTACAGATGAATGGAGTACTGGCGAAACCAAATGCAAAGGCTCTGTTCTTCAATCCAGAGGTATCGGCGATGAAGATATCCAAAATCATGTAGATCGCATCGTAGCCGATCCAGTAAAGTACATAGCCAGCAGCATAGGAGTTGGGTCCGTTGCAAGCAGCAAGAATTATGATTCCCAGAATGTAAACACCGACGAAAAGAAGGAAACCCTCGGCACGTCCCACAATGTTCAAGGTTTTGGCAATTGGCAGTTTCAAAACACCACCAATAATAGACGCCAAGATACCCGCCGTACTCACTTCCGGAGCAGCAGAGAAGTCTGCGTAGGCAAACGATTGAACGTTGCTTCCAATCGACTGTTGAAGAGCCAACATGAAGAAGCACAGCCAAATCCAAGCGTAGGTCAGATAAACCGCGGTTTTGCTCCAAACAAGCGCAGCGGCCTCTGCCTTCTGAACACCTGGAAGAGCATCCTCGGTAACTTCATTGGGATGCAGGGCAACTTCCTTCTCGTTCAGAGCCTCCAGACTGGTAGAGTCTGATGAATCTTCAGCGGATTGCTCCAAAGCAGCCTCACCATCGGCCTTCTGACTGCTTTCGTCGTTAGCCGTGAAAGTAGTACCTTGGACCAACGAGGCGTCGTTACGGTTCTTGATATGGTCGAAGACACCCATAACTGCAAAAGATGTTCACTTGAGCTATGCAAAAAAGTAGAACAAAGAAAACGGAAACCTTGCTCTCATATTTATGCGATGGAAAAAAAAACAACGTATCTGACTATCTATGCAGCTACCGCTAAATTAGATTCCGCAATTGCCAAAAATTCCTTTTCCTGGCCTATTTGGGGGAGATGAGCTTGCCGCCAAGTAGCCGCGGGGGATGCTCCCTTGAGAACATTTTGGGCCTGCTGTGGGATGCATCAATGAAGGTGAACGCCGATGAAGCCTCCGACATGATATAAATCAGTTCCTTTGTTTAATGTTTTGATAAGCTTCAGGTGGATCTGCGGGTTTCGAAGAGGTTAGCTTGAAACCGCGGAAAATTTGGCAAAAAAACAGCCGTTGTAGCCTTTTTCTCACACACAAACACTCATTTCAGCGGATGGCTTTTGGACTGCGAAGAGCAGTACAAATCTCTATAAAAAAACGCCGATTTTTTTGTACAGCAACTTCCTAACGGGCTTAGCTCAAATATTTAAAAAAAGGTCATTTCAATTTACGCTCAAAGGCACACAATGGAGTTAACCGCCAACTACATGTGCCAAGTGGGGGAAGCCGCGCAAAAGGGAATGCAAGGCCTGCCAGGATCCGCACCGTCCCAAAACGTCGTTTGATTGATTCTCTATCTTATCATTTCAATCAGTTCTGCCGACACCCTTGCTGTACAAAAAGTATACAATCTTTCATCTGTTTTAGCTTTTTAAAGCCTAGGGCGAGACCGCTTTGGCGGATCACTCGAAAACGCACGGCTTTACGTTTTGGAACACATGCGTCTACCAAAGTCAAATTCCATTGGGGTTTATTGCGATCGTTGCAAACTCAGTGAAATCTCTTGGCTTAGTTGACTAGAAACCGAAAAGGCCGAATATTTGCGGCTCGCCCGCGCACGAAGTTTTTTTTCCTTTTTTTCTGTCCGCACACACAAAACGTTAAACAACCGAAGAGCCGCACGGATCTTATACGAGCAATATTTGATTCTACATTGAAAAATTTTGCTTTTTGGCGAATATCTTCACAATATTGTTTACTGATACAAAACAAGCAACTTGCTGTTGCGACGAATGGACTCCTCCACAAACTTCATTTCGTCATGGGCCTCATTCGACGAGACCAAGACTAGGTTGGAAATTCCGCTGAAGCTCGGACTGTTTGAGTCGATAAATGCCTCAAATTCGCCCGTTTCCGTGCAAAGTAAAAGATTGACCTCAGTGAGTCCCTTGGTAACCCATTTTAGCGCATCAATCTCTTCGGTCGGACAATTCGCTGCGTTGACCATTATGGAAGCGAGCTCTATCCTCTCTGAAGCTGCTAACCGCAAAAGAAGCTTCAAAGCAACTAGATCCGTCACCGATAAACGCGGAGCCCCGCTAAAATTGAGAACAAGCGTAATTGTAGTCAACTGGAAACTTTCGGGATTGAGGATGGTCTGTGTAGAGAACAGCGACGAATCATCAGTCGCATCTTCATCACCGGCATCCTGGTTGTTGTCCTCTTGGTTATTGTTAACGAAAACACCAATGTGGGAACCGGTTCCACTCTTCAGAGCTCTTAGGCTATCTATCAAACCATCAGAGTCTACCAGCAGATCCAAAAACTTCTTCTGGTGGACGAAATGGAGGAGCAAGGCACTAACGTCGAAATCTTCTCCAGAGAGACCCGCAAACACCGAGTGTTCGTCGCTGGAAACAAAACGAATTTCCGATGAGAAATCGACATTTTTGAATCCACAAAAAATCTTGAGAATACTCAGAGTTGCATTTAGTTTATGTTTCCCAACTTCGTTAGCTGTGGCCGTGTAGTTTGAAGCCAGGATCAGGTCCGAGATTCTCTCGGTCAACTGTTTGATGTAAAGAGCATGAACTGATGTCCCCCTTCCACCATTAGAGACCTGACACACTCTTTCGATAAAAACCATTGCATTCGATACACTTTCTGTGTTTGTGATAGAAAAAATGATCTTTGGGATCGAGAACTCATCAAAAGTCTGGAGGGTCACATCTGGCACTTGCGAAACTTCCAGGGACCCGCCCACTTCGCGAACAGACCCCTTGTCACCCTTGTCCGAGTCCTGGATGGAAATACGCTCGGCGAACTCTCTGTTCTTGAGCCACTTTTGAACGTTTTGTCTGTAACTTTCTGGATAGACAAGAAGAGTCAAGGGAGTGGTGAAAACAGTGGTGGCCAGAGCCATCACGATAAACATAGAGTAAAGTTTTGGAGTAATAATAGAGGCACTGAGACCAGTCTTGAGAACAACAATTTCAACAATTCCCTTACAAGACATGAGAACCCCAACGGCAACAGATTCCCGCGAATACAGCCCGTTGAACTTAGCAGCAATAAAACCTCCTCCAATCTTTCCAACCATTGCAAGCGATATAATCCCAATAATATATCCCCAGTCCCTTCCTTGACTGAGAAGCCCCAAGTTCACATTGAGTCCCGCGAGCGCGAAGTAGAGTGGGATCAGCATCACGTAGACCAGATCTTCAATGCGTGCAGCCAAACGCGCAACGTAATCGTTTTCGCGAGGGACTATTGTTCCCACAACAAACGCACCAAAAATAGCATGAACTCCGATGATATCTGTAAAAAAAGCCGATAATAATGCGGTGCACAAAATAACCAGTGTAGACAGTTGGGAGGGTCCACTGTGGTTGTCGATGTCTTTCACCACATTGAACAGAAACCACCGCAGTGTCCATCTAACTGGGAAAATCACGAAGAGCATCCAGCCAAGTGCCACGAGCACTATATATCCTGTGGTTTCCGGTTTGGAGGAGTTGGCTAGAGTAACACACAAAGCAAGCAGAACCCAGCCCAGTAAATCGTTGGTGACACCAGCAGCAAGCACAATGACTCCTACACGGTCCTTCACAAGTTTGAGCTGAGTGAGAATACGCGCAAGCACAGGGAATGCAGTAATACACATTGCAACCGCCACAAACACCAGAAATGTGGTGAACTTGATGTGTGGCTCAACGGTTTCCCTGTAGTCCTTCCAGAGTCCAATAGAGATCAAACATCCCAATCCAAAAGGCACAGCCATGTTGAAGATACCAACAGAAAGAGCCACACGCATATGTTTCTTGATGAAATGAAGGTCAACCTCACACCCAACGATGAAAAGCAGCAGACAGACACCAACATTGGCCATCAACGTTAACCCCGGAATAGATGCATCGGGAAACACCGTCTTGGTGAACCCCGGAATCTTCCCAATGGCACTTGGACCAAGAAGGATACCTCCAATAACCTCGGCAATGACCTTTGGCTGTTTGAGACGACGTAGTGGCACATATAAAAGTTCCGCAAACACTATGATCACTATGGCTTGAAAGAAGAATAGCGTGTAAGGCGACGAAGAGCTGTATTCGAACGGGTCACGCCCGGCAATGATTCCAGCCACGGAGGTGGTGTTCAACATGAAGATAATTTCTGATTCAACCAAGCTTGAAACAATAGCCTTTGTTATGCCGATCACGATCTACTCCTTGTGTCGCAGGATGCAATTTAAAACAGGGACCATGTGGAGGTGGTGTATCTACCAATAATTTGCGGCGCAGACGGCAAGGTTCTCGGAGTTCTTGCAGCGGTGGGAAAGTTAAGCCGGGGACAGGATTGTATTCGAAGAAGTATACATATAAATGTTTATACGATTTTTTTTTGCAGAGTGCTTAAAGACAGATTCTCGCTCACTTGTTCATCGTAATTCAATCAGGGGGGAAATGCTGGACTGCCTTGAAGAACGGAGACGCAAAGCTTATAAGTGTATTAGCAAATAAGTTGCCGCATGAGCTACGGATGTGGGGGGGTTGAACAAGGGGGGGGGGGGGGGGGGCAGAAAGTTATCAACGGACACCATCTCATCGGATATATACAAACTTGCGTAAACCTGTCAAGAGACCCTGAAATAGCATCTAGAGGTTAATTTAGAATTAATCTTGCCGGATTCGGGAGTAGGGGTTGACAGCATTCGGCTAGCCCAGAGAGCTTTAATGGCTGCTCTTTTGTTTCCCCACACTATTAACCAGCCTCGGCAACGGACGAGTTCCTACGGTTGAGACACGGTTTGCCCACGGTTTCCAGAGACGGAAAAACAGGCGAGCGTCTTCCGGCAAACAAACAGATTTTTGCCAGACACCTTAGATAGTGACTGCGGTTTATTTCCGCGTTGGGCCAGGGGGAAGCCCAAATGCGTGTATTACTTCCTCATCGGGCACTTTTAGACGTTCCAGCTCAGTAACCGCAAATACCCAGTCTTCGCGTGATCACACTAGAACCACTTCGAAATATAAATAGACAGTTGCGGGCCTGAAAAGCTCTTGAAGAAACCTCTTCTACCATTTCAAGTTGTAATTGATTAGAAGAAAGAATGACGGTCACTAAAGCAGAAGAGCATGATCTGGTGCTGCGCACCTTCAGAGTGTTGATAGCAGACCTCGTTCAACACTATGGTGGGGGTCACCCCGGAGGAGCCATGGGTATGGCGGCGATCGGAATCGCGTTGTGGAAGTACACAATGCGTTACTCTCCACGCGACCCCAACTATTTCAACAGAGACCGTTTCGTTCTTTCGAATGGTCACGCTTGTCTCTTTCAATACACCTTCCTCCATTTGGTTGGATACGAGCACATGACAATGGACCAACTCAAATCATATCATTCCAACGAGCTGGAATCATTTTGTCCCGGCCACCCGGAGATTGAGCACCCGGGGATCGAAGTGACCACCGGGCCATTGGGCCAGGGCATAGCCAACTCTGTGGGGATGGCTATTGCGGCCAAGAATCTTGCAGCCACTTATAATAGGCCGGGCTTTGACGTTGTGGATTCAAGGATCTACTGTATGATTGGAGATGCTTGTTTGCAAGAGGGAGTAGCGCTGGAGGCAATTTCTCTGGCAGGCCATCTCGGTCTGGGCAACCTCACGGTGTTGTACGATAACAACCAGATTACGTGTGACGGAAGCGTAGATATCACTAACACCGAAGATATCAACGCCAAGTTTAGAGCTTGCAATTGGGATGTTTTGGAGATCGAAGACGGGTGCAATGATGTTGATGGAATCGTCGCTGCTATCCACGAGGCCAAGACCACATCCAAGCCCACTCTCATCAATATCCACACCATTATCGGAATTGGTGCCGATATTCAGGGAACTGCAGCAGCTCATGGTGCAGCCTTTGGTACATCATCAGTTGAGAAATTGAAGGAGCACTTTGGATTTGATCCCAAGGAGTACTTTGTGGTGTCCCCACAGGTTTACCGCTTCTTCGGCGATGCTGTTATCAGAGGTGAAAAGTTGCAACGTGATTGGTCCGATTTGGTTGAATCTTACAATGCTGCATACCCTGAACTTGGTGCAGATTTTGCTCGGAGGGTTAAGGGAGAGCTGCCTTCAGACTGGAAGAAATACATTCCTTTGGAGTTCCCCTCCACCCCAACCGCAACACGTAAGTCCAGCGGTTTGGTCGCCAACCCACTGGCCCAGCACATCAACTCTTTCATGGTCGGAACTGCGGATTTGACTCCTTCTGTCAACATGGCTTACAAAGACAAAGTGGATTTCCAGAACCCCGAAGTCCGTGTAAGCTGTGGAGCCAACGGCGACTACTCGGGCCGTTACATCCACTACGGTATCCGTGAACATGCCATGTGTGCGATTTCGAACGGACTGGCTGCCTATAACAAGGGAACCTTTATTCCAATCACCTCCACCTTCTTCATGTTCTATTTGTATGCAGCTCCAGCTGTCCGCATGGGTGCCCTGCAAGAGCTGCAGGTCATCCATGTTGGTACCCACGACTCCATCGGAACCGGAGAAGATGGCCCTACCCACCAGCCAATTGCATTGACCAATTTCTACAGGGCATTGCCAAATTTGCTGTATCTTCGTCCATGTGATACCGAGGAGGCTGCTGGTAGTTGGGAGTGTGCTATCGAGGCCAAGTCCACCTCCTCCATCATCTCCTGCTCCAGACAAAATCTTCCACAATTTGTGGGCCTTACTGACAGAAACAAGGTCAAGCTGGGAGCTTATACCCTATACGGACCCGATGATGCTGATCTCCAGATCCTTGGTACCGGTGCGGAACTCGGATTCGGACTCGAGGCTGCCAAACTACTCGAGCAGAGAGGCATCCGCGTGCGGGTCATCAGCTTCCCATGTGTCGAGCTGTTTGAGAGACAGTCCAAAGAGTACAAGGCCTCTATTCTGAGAAGAGGAAAGGTACCAACCATCATCGTTGAGGCGTACGCTGTGAATGGATGGGAAAGATACGCTACTGCCGGTTTTAGTATGTCCTCCTTCGGCAAGTCATTGCCTGGCAAGGACGCTTACAATTTCTTTGGCTTTACTGGTGAGAAGATTGCTCATAAGATTGAAAAATACTACAAAAGCTTCCAGGAGGATCATGATTCGTTGTGGACTTTCCAGGACTTGAACTGATGGATTTTGATAGAGGACTGAGTTATAGAAGTTGTTAGAAGAGGCTAGAATCGGATACAGATGAGCCAATAGCGATTTTATGAGTTTAACCTGAATAGCAGAATGTGGTATCAAAGAGCTCCACTTGATTATAGTTAATTATGGCTGAATATTTCTGGTAAAAAAGATTGAAATCGATTAGAACTAACTTACTAAACAGCAGATTAAAGAACCACCTACTATAACTGAAGAAAAAGAAAACGAAAATATTACATCAGTTTATAGTTCTGATAAAACCTAATCAACTGGCAGAACGTGAGGGAAAGAACAGAGTCCATTATTTTAGTGATTCCCAGACAATTAGGCTGAACGCGAGGTCCAAGCAGTAAAGACTCAACTGTCATTTCCACCATATGGAGGTGATATGTCGACGCACTCAAAGTGACCTATTATCTATCCAAAAGGCCCCAGTAACGTTTGAGATCGTGGGCGCGCCATGACATGGACCATCCAGTCCTCTTTTCAATCGCATACAAAAGATCCACAATGATCTTGTGCTCGGAGGGATGACTCAAAAGAGTCCCAGCAACATACAGAGGCTGAAGCGAGTTGATGAGACAACCGTGGTGATCGTTTGTAAGGGAAATGCCCACAATCTGCTTTGCATGCCAGATCAAAGGTCTGGTGAGGATTCCAGAATCGGAAACATCAACCCGAGGTCGGTTCGACATTAGCAAAATTGCCGATGTGTGGAAAAGCTGATTCCCAGAGATCGCAGGTGAAACACAATAGAGGATTTTCGGAAAAGGAACCTCGTTACTTGGGTTTTGAAATTCAACTGGGCGCATCTCTCCCGGCCGCTCGTCCCACCAAAGAGACAGTTCATTAAATAATCGTAGCCACTCCGATTCAAACTCTTTAGGCTCCAACGATGGCGCAAAAATGAGGTTCAGCACACGCGACATCAAAAACACACTGTAGTTGGCAAAGTTATCGCAGGCCTCGTTCCAAGTAACATTTTTATGGAATAAAGAACGCGCATCGTACACTGAACTTCCTGCTGGCAACCACCTTTCGCAAGGTATTACCGTCCGCATTCTCCCAGCAATGGCGAAACTTATGTCCATTCGGGCGAAGCACCAAAATACGGCGCTTTTGAGTTCTCCGGAAAAGCCGTTTACTTCGGCTGTCTTGAACAGCTCGGCACAGCCTTCTAGATGTTTTCTCCAGGCAGGACTTGGACTATTCGAAGCCATCATCTCAAAACAACAAAGTATGACACAACTCGACACAATATCCATAGACGGAACCTGCTTCACCTTGGGCAACAGATGGGTGAGACATTGCTCGTAGAGCCGAAAAGTGCGCTCCTTTGCGGAAGTATCAAACTTTTCCTGTTGTCGACTAGCGATTGTAAGAATCGAATACAGTAGAGCCCTCTCTTTAACCATAAGAGGCAAGCGTGACGTAAACTGGTTGCGGTGGTCAAACATGTCCAGCCAGGGTGCAACCTCCGAGATGTACCTGTTCAAGAGTCTGATTTTCTCGTCTTGAGGCAAATCGGGCGGTGGAGGCTCCGTGACAAAATTGTCAAGCGAGTGAGTCACTTCCAGCGCCTCAGCCTCCAGATAGAAAGGCTCCAATGGGTTTGTTGTGAATGCGTTCAGAAACATATAGTCTCGAAACACGTTGTGGAGCACATCATAGTCGTCGTAGTTGTATTCGCCATGTACAGGCGATGTAGAAGCAACCTCCGAGCCCACAGAACCAGCAACTTCAGAGTGAACTGTGGATGGAGTTTTTGCATTTTCAGGTGATCCATTGGACTTTTTAACGGAATCCCCAGTGTTGATCCTGATCACATCTCCTTTCAAGGGCCATTGGCACGTCTCCCCCTTTTTCGAGCAGCTGGTGCACACAGGTCGCAATTCATCGCACTTTTTGTGCCTCCTTCTGCAGTTACGGCACCCTGTTCTGACTCTCTGCATCAAAATTGCTTGGCTGGTGCTGTTGTGAAGTAACGACGACGAATTTGTTCTCTCCGCTTCATTTTGCGGGGGTTCGATGACTAGGCGTGTTTTAATTGATTTACATTCACGTGATAAAATTTTTTCTGGTAGGAGCACGGCAATAACATGGTGTAGACCAATCAGGTGATGGAAAATAGAACGACTAGTGCTATGAGTTAGAATTGGTAGCTGCGTGACCAGAACTCAGAGTTTGGTATCTCTACTTCGTGCAGCTGGATGTTACAGATTGGACTACGTGAATGGATGGACCGCCAACCCAAACGGCAGCTTCGTTCGTCCACTCCATTGCTGTGCGGCGGGCTATCAGCTCCTGCACACAACTAAGCCCAGAAACAGGTTCCCGGGGCCGGCGCGGACCTAATGCCCATAAGTGTCGCATATGTAAGCACTTGGCAGCCAAGAGAACCTTGACGTTTGAACCTCTTGGTATATGATAAGCAGGGCCAGCTCAACAGACGAACATCTAAATATGTTTCAAAATCTAAATGCCTAAATCATTAAACGCCACGTGCCGAAAAGTGATCCCCGAGATCTCGTCTACACTGCTTGCGTCTGGAGGCTACGAGCACTAACCCTTCTTGTAAGCTCACATTCCAGGGGACTTATCCCTTTCAGCTCTTCGTTTATCTCATTTGTAATATCTTTCTTAGACCTCAGACAGCCTTGCTCTTGTTTCTTTACGCCGAATTTATTCCGGAATCATCATCATCTTTTTTCTTTTCACCAACTCTTTCCCCAAAAGAGTGACCTCATTTTTAGCCAATACACGCCACCCTGGGCTTCCCCTTGTTCGAAACGAGAAAGGACACAAAATTTTATCCCCTTGTGGCAACAAGAAACCGAAGCCACTCGCCGCATTTCGTTGTTGATTCGGCTCAAAAGACGCGCGTTCAATAACACTGGCTTGCTATCACGCTCCCAGTATTCCCCTCGTGTTCCGCCATTTTTCGCCCGCCATCGGCTTTGTTCCCACGTTTTCCATCTGTTTCCCACCGGAGAAGTTCACAACTCCGAGGTGCTGAAAAGCCCTGAAGATCCAAACTTTGCAGCCTGTTGCTCTGCTGTATTCTGATTAGCCGTGCTGTGCACCTGTGATCTCCGTATCGCTTTGCAACATGTCCGAAATTTTGGACGCAACCGTCCAGCCGATTCCGAAGAAGTCCGCAACTATCAAGACCGACAAGCCGCGTCCACACGCATGTCCCATCTGTACGCGAGGGTTTGCACGTTTGGAGCATTTGAAAAGACACGAGCGTTCGCATACTCATGAGAAACCATTTCAATGTGCTGCTTGCGGCCGTTGCTTCGCCAGACGCGATCTGGTACTAAGACACCAACAGAAACTACACACATCGCTACCGACGATTACAAAGAACAAGACCACCCGCAAAGTGGCTACTGATACCATCCAAACCCCAGAAGATGCCAACGAGCATATCAACATAGTGCGGAACAATACCGCTGTCAAGCTTCCACTGCCTGAAGATGGAGCAAGTCCCGTGACTTCTGGCAGTGCCAGCGATGGAATGGGCTCAAGCATTTTCGACCCGAAAAGAGAGGGAGATGCTAATTCACCGCTTGGACATTTGCCGGATTTCACACCGGAAAGCCTGTTCTCTGCGACCCCACAGACACACAACCACCAAGACACCTTTAGAGACCACCGCCATGCTTCCTTCAGCGCAGCCACTTCACAGTCATACGTCGGATTTGAAAACGGTTTCGATCAGACCTCTTCTGGGCCCAATCAGGTGACGTTTGCGTCGCCACAGCTTACCCCACGTGATCATCTTGCGGATGCGGCTGATCCTGGCTATGATGTGTCTGATTTGCTGGGAGATCTCTCAAATAAGAGACCGCGCGATTTCTTCGATGCAAACCCAACTTCTCCGATCACGGACGATTGGCTTGCCGAGTTCATCAATGCTCCAATAGACCACGAATTCCCAACGGTGTCGTCCCACATTGGTTTCGTGGACACCCCACCCGCGACAGCAGACACCGGATTAGGTTCTGCGTCCGCCACAGCCAATTTGTCGGCTTCTGCAGCATCTCCTCACCAACGGTCTACTCCAAGTAGCTCAGCAGGGGTGGGTAGTCCACAGATTGCAGACCTTGGGTCTTTTTTCCGTACGCGGCAGCTCGATCTTTTCAAACAAATCAATCACAACACGGATTCTCAACGGTTCACCCATGAAATGCGCGAATACGTGATTACCACGTACAAGCTGAAGCCTTCGCAGTTCCCAAACCTTGAAGATTTGAACAGATATCTGTCTTTGTACGAGTTTGAGTTCACGAAGTATTTTCCATTTGTGCATTTGGGCTCGCTGTCTCAGTCATCTGATCACATTGCGCTGCTTCTATCTATGGCATCTATAGGTGCCCTCTATTCGTTCCATGCGCGCAATTCGTCGATTCTTTTCAACTTTTCACGGTTTTTAATCCATAACTACATGGAGAAGAAGATGGGCGAGCGCTTCTTTACCGACGTTCCTCTTTACATCACACAGTCATTGCTTCTTCATATGTTTCTTGGAATGTTTCACAATGACGTTGAGGTTACTGCTTTGACTCCGCGCCAGCTCAATTCGCTCGTTTCACTCGTCAAAACGACAAACTTGACTCAACCCTTCGAGAACTTCGTTCCGACACCTGCGGTCAATCTCAAAGATCCAAACTCGGTGACGCAGTGTTTCGAGTATTTCATCACTGCCCAGTCCCGTATTCGCACAGTTCATTGTCTATACTATCTTGGAATTCTCTGTTCCTGTATCATTGGACAGCCAATCGCGCTATCGGCTGATGACATGAACTGCGGTGTTCCATGCAAGAATGAAAACCTTTGGCTTGCCAAAAGCCCAGAAGATTGGGCTGCGTGCATTGAAGACTCTAGCCTCAAGGTGACTTCCAAATTTGAATTATGCGAGCTCGCAAATGGGTCCAAATCGTCTTTCCGCGAATCATGGCGCGATTTACAAAACCATCTCCATAAGAACGACTCTGAGCTTGGGCTTAAGTGCATGTTCTCGCTGCTAATGTCTGTCAACGGTGAGATATACAACGATAGAACGAGCATTGGCAATATGGACCAGCGTGAGAGTGTCCGTGCAATGAAGTGGCGGATGATCTCGCGTCCCAAGATCGAGTCTCTTATCAAGTCCTGGGAGAGTCTTTATGTGCGTAACGACGGTGTTTTAGTGCCTACGGGAAACAACTTGCACCTAATTAACCAGACCCCTTATCTCAAACTGATTCTTCCTCTTTTATCGTTTGCAAAGATCCGCAAGTGTCTCGGTGTAACGCCAATTCTTGCCAAGGTATGGAAGCGAGACTGGACTGGACTCAACTATGAGGTGAAATCTTTGGAAAGTGATCCAGAGGCATTGCGCGATGGTTCGAACTACTCTCTTGCCATCGTAAACCTTTGGATTGAGATCATTTCAATCACTAAGGACGCCGAAAAAACCTCGGTACGCACTCCGATCTTCTTCCTCACGTGTATCTTCACCTCGATCTTGATCATCTCGGAATACCTTTATTTAACCGAGAAGTGGGCCGAAAACTATCTTGAGAACTATCGCACAAGAGGAACGGCCCAATCAAGCCTCACACCAGCAGACCGCGTCTTGTGGCTTAGAACAGAGACGATCCTCAAAAAGGTTGAGAAGAGCCTTCTTCCAAAAGGTTCAAACAACACGTCTTACGCAGAGTTTTTGCGGATTCAGGCCAACGGGGCGCTTGATGTTGATTCGCTGGATGACGAAATCGCAGCGCTTGCTCTCAATCCAAACGGTGACGTCGACCTTAAACCGATCGCCGAAATAGTTGCTTCTGGAAGGCTTTCTACGAAGTCGCTCTCATTGGGAGTGCGGATTCTAGCAGATGCCCCTGTTTGGCCGGTAGCTTTAGTCTTTGCCGAGGCCCTCAAGGCACGAGCGACACACATTCACCACGGCCATGCCAATGGTGTTTCACCACCATTTACGAACACCAAAATGACCTGAATCATCCTGTCAATATCCGACCGCGTGCCATTCAATCATCATCTACATTTGCTATACTTTTCTGGCCATGACCAAAATACGGGCACTTGTATCGATCATATTCATTATCCAAAAGCCAATGACCTTTTTTTGTATTATGTCCTTTTCTTGCTAGTTTTTTTTTGTGTATAAAATAGGATTTTATTACGAATTAAATGTACATGAAGAGTGAGAAGCAGCCTATGTGCGAGATTGTACATAAGAGTGGGAAGCACACGACAATTAGCATTTGCACGAAAACAGTTGAAACTTTTTATCTCTAATCTATAGCACTTGCATCTTTTCTCTCTCCCCCAACAACTTCCACCATTCTGTCTATAATTCGAACGAGAGTTATTGTGAGAAGCCTGAGGATGGCACCCGTGAGAGAGATGGGCACTGAAGCTCCCACCAAGCTAGCGGGCCCAGAGCTTTATGAGAAGCTAGGAAGGCCCCACAAGATCGTGGCTCCGATGGTTGACCAGTCCGAGCTTGCGTGGAGAATACTTTCGAGACGCTATGGTGCAGATCTGGCATATACGCCGATGTATCATGCCCGGTTGTTTGCCACAGAACAACACTACAGAGATGCTAACTTTGGCCCGCTTGATGGAGATGCTGCCTGCGATAGGCCATTGGTTGTGCAGTTCTGTGCCAACGATCCAGAATATTTGCTTCAGGCTGCAAAGTTTGTTGAGAACCGTTGTGATGCAGTGGACTTAAATCTTGGATGTCCCCAGGGAATTGCCCGAAAGGGCCATTATGGCTCTTTTCTAATGGAGGACTGGGACCTGGTGAGGTCACTCATAGCGAAGTTACATGCCGAACTGGCGATTCCAGTCACTGCCAAAATAAGGGTCTACGATGACTGGGAACGGAGTCTTGAATATGCGAGAATAGTTCTGGACGCCGGTGCCCAGTTTATCACGATTCATGGTCGTACTCGTGAGATGAAGGGCCAGAAAACAGGCATTGCTGATTGGAAATTACTGAAATACTTGCGTGACAACCTTCCAAAGGACCAGGTATTCTTTGCAAACGGAAATATCTTATATCCGGAGGATATCGGACGGTGTATTGATCAGGTAGGCTGCGACGGAGTGATGTCTGCAGAGGGCAATTTGCATAATCCCGGAGTTTTTTGGACTGAGACTGATGAAAAAGATAAGCAGTTTCCTCGGATAGACAAAATTTCACGTGAGTATTTTGAGATCCTCAAAACCACGCCTGGGGAGGCTTCACGAGTGGCTTTCAAGTCCCACATGTTCAAGATGTTACGGAACTTCTTGCCCCATCATACGGATATCCGCGACAAGCTCGCCAGAGTGACCAAACATCACACACTTGATCAGATAGAAACAGAAATCATTGAAGAGATCGAGAGAACTGTCGAAAAAGTGTGTGAAGAGTCGAAGGACGTGGTGGTGACAGGTGAAGTCGAAGAGTGGGGCGGGGCCTACAAGCAGATCCCCTACTGGAGATGCCAGCCATACTTCAGGCGCGTCGATGGGAAATCTGGCCAACAGGTGGTCTCCAATTTGATCCAAGATAGAAAACGCAAGGCTGAAAACATAGATGCCGAGCAGCCAGACCCCGAGGCCCCCAAAGCCGCACGTCTGGAAGAACCGGGGTATCGTGCCGCAACCGATTCGGCAAAAACCGCCGCTTAGCCGACACGGCTGGCGATAAGCAGAACCCATTCCCTATATATAACAGATTGATAGGCCTCAATACAGTGACAACAACACTCGTTCTTCTCCAATATCATCAGTTAGAACCTGAGACAAAACACCGGAAAACCCGAATTCTCACCACTTGTACGGCTTTCCCGTTTTTACTGACAAATAAGCAATCAGGAGCAATTGTGAGGTCATCCGAGTCATCCATAATCGGTCCATAGATCCCATAGTTGCCGATAGAAGCCCTAGCCGCCCCAAGTTCCGGCCCAGCTGTAGGTTATACGTCAATTTCCCGAGAAGGGTCCTCGAACTTTCTTTTTACCGCTTACATCCGATCAGGGCCGAATATCTTTAAAGACCAAACATGGCGTCTTCAGAAGAAACCCCTCTGATTCCACCAGGAACAGATGCCGTGGAATTGTCGGAATCGATGGAGTTGAGACTTTACAAGCAATCGCGTTCAGTCGCCGCTTGGAAAAGGTTCTGTGCCTTTGCATTTTTTGGGCTTCTGTTCATTCTGGGGTTCAACCTGGTGTTTCTGCCGCGAACGTCTCTCAGCCGTGATCTCAGGCGAATCCACGGTGACAGACTTACCGCTTTCGATGTGCAAAAGACGTTTTTGGAAACGTTGGAGCAGGAGAACAATGCCAGAGAGATCCTAAAGAGATATACCTCTGAAAATCACATTGTTGGTGAAGGTTACGGATTGGTGGAGTATACCAAGGCAAAGTTCGAAGAGTACGGAATCAAGACCCATGTTGAAACCTTCTATGTTTGGCTCAACAGACCCGTGGCCAACCACTTGAAATTGCTTGATTCAGATGGAAACCTGGAATATCAAGCCAGTCTAAAAGAGGACGTTTTAGAGGAAGACGAGACCACTGGTGACAAGAACAGTGTTCCTGCCTTCCACGCCTATTCAGCCAATGGCAACGTCACGGCCAAATTCGTGTATGCTCATTTTGGCCGAGTGGAGGATTTTAAAGCCTTGAAGGAGGCTGATGTTTCGCTCGAGGGAAAGATCGTTATAATGAGATATGGTGCGATTGTGCGTGGCCTCAAGGTCAAGTTGGCCCAGAGATATGGGGCTGTTGGTGTGGTTCTGTACACCGACCCATACGATGATGGCGAAATCAGGGTGAAAAACGGCTACAAGGCATACCCAGATGGACCCGCAAGAAATCCCAGCTCCATTGAAAGAGGTTCGGTGATTTACTTCAGCGATATTCCCGGTGATCCTACCACGCCTGGCTGGGGCTCCACCAAAAATGCCAAACGCGTTTCTCCTCAAGACTCGATGCCAAAGATTCCTTCTCTGCCATGTAGCTACAATGACATTAAGCCTATTCTGGCTAAGTTGAACGGAAAGGGCCCAAACCTGGGATGGGCTGGTGACGTTGACGAGTTTGACTACTGTGCTGGAACCTCCGATGTTGATCTCAACCTTTACAACGAACAGGACTATCAAATCAGGCCCATCTACAATGTAATGGGTGAGATCAAGGGGATAATGCCTGATGAAGAGATAATTGTCGGAAACCATAGAGATGCGTTCATTGTTGGTGGGGCTGGTGATCCCAACTCGGGCTCTGTGGCTCTAATTGAAACTGCCCGTGGACTTGGAGCTTTGTTGAAGAAGGGTTGGAAACCACTGAGAACCATCAAGTTGGCCTCCTGGGATGGAGAGGAATATGGAATGCTTGGTTCCACTGAGTACGGCGAGAAATATGCCAGGCATTTGCAGGACCACACGTTGGCCTACATCAACCTTGATGTGGGAGTGGCTGGGTCTGCATTTGCTTTCAAGAGTAATCCAATGTTCATGGAGTTGGGCCACAAGGTTGCCAAAGAGATCCCTTTCCGCAACAAGGTGGATTCAGGATATTCACTGTTTGACTACTGGTCTGAACAGAATAATGCTACCGTCAACACCCTTGGAGCCGGTACTGATTACGTTGTTTTCCAGGAACACCTGGGAATTCCCTCGATGACCATGGAGTTTCGCGAAGATGGAGTTACCGACCCGGTGTATCACTACCACTCCAATTTCGACTCATTTCACTGGATGGACAAGTTCTGTGATCCAACATGGGAGCTGCATTCGACCATGGCCCAGTTCTTTGGATTACTGCTTATTTCTGTGACCGAACAGGAGGTTTCAGTGTTGGATGTGAAAACATACGCTGAGCAGATCTCCAAGTACTATTACGATATGATTGCAACCATTCCAAAGTCTTGGGTCGATTACCTATTGCTATTTGATGCTGAGGACGGGCAGACTCCGGCCTATATGAAAAATACCATCAAACAGCTACAAATGGCCCATGGAGCTCCCAGACTCAAGGATCTTATGGCCCTGGTTGAGTCTAATATCAAAGGTCTCATTGAGCATGCAACGATTTACCAAAGCTACAAAGAAGACCTGCAGGACAAAATCACCGAAGATTACCCTTGGTTCAGGCTGTTCCACAAGGTCAAGATCGCTGTCCAGATAAAAGTGGCCAATTTGAAACTTCTGAAACTGGACCGTCTGTTGCTATTCAAAGATGGTTTGAAAAATAGAGTTTGGATGAAACATGTCATCATTGCGCCTTCCAGAGAGAAGGGCTATGACGGAGACATCCTCCCAGGTCTCCACGAGGCCCAGATCGATGGGGACTTCGACGAATTCGTGCGCTGGTTGGTCATCATTGGCGACAAGATAAAGCTCGTCGGTGACAAACTGAAATAAAGATTTTTAGTGTTTTATACCTCTAATGATATGTATAGATTAGACCAGTCTATCTTCTGCCCTGTAGACTTCTGTCATTTTTCAGCAGGGTGAATGACCCCAGAGACTGCCAATTTTCAAGCGGGCCATCGGTTCCTCGGGCGTGCTCCAGAACTTCGGCAGTTTGAAGCATTTCCAAGCTCTTCTTTCGAACAAGAATCCTATTCAATTATACCAGAAATGTTTACCAAATCTTCTTTGTCTAAAATTGCATCAGTCCGTGGATTTGCATCGTCTGCCCAGGCTTTTGAGAAGCAAGTCTTTTTTGACGTCAAGGTCGGTGATAAGACCTTGCCCAGAATAGTATTCAAGCTCTTCGACGAAACCGTCCCAAAGACGGCAGAGAACTTCCGTGCTCTGTGTACTGGAGAGAAAGGCTACGGCTACAAAGACTCTATTTTCCACAGAGTCATTCCGCAATTCATGCTTCAAGGTGAGTAAACAATACGATCCGTTAACCCCAAGTCCAGCTTACTAACTTCACCAGGTGGTGACATCACCCACTTCAACGGATTCGGAGGCAAGTCTATCTACGGAGACCGCTTTCCAGATGAAAACTTCAAGCTTAAGCACGATCGCCCATTCTTGCTGTCCATGGCAAATGCCGGCCCTAACACCAACGGCTCGCAGTTCTTCATCACAACCGTTGTGACCAACTGGTTGGACGGTGCTCATGTGGTCTTCGGAGAGGTGATTGAGGGTCAAGATACTGTTAAGGCTATTGAAGCGCTTGGAAGTTCTTCTGGTAAGCCAGCTCAGGAGATCAAGATTGTTGAGTCCGGTGAGTTGGTCCAGGAGGAGTAAGGTGGTACACCCAGTTCAATGATTTAACTCAATGAATTTACTCCAGCGTGATTCTGTCTCTGATAACTTGTTTGTGTCTGTATATACGTTTATATGCGGCTCTTTTTGAGTCATATTTTGAAACTTCACCCGTAAATTATTAGGAGTATCTGGAGCGTTTTCGGTGCGTCTGCCATTTTGAACATGGTTCAGAGATATGAAAAATATATGCGGCCTCCATCTAATCTTTTATTCAGCAAGATAGACTATTTTGACTGTGTGAACAAGGTCAAATCTTTGAAAGATCTACCAAGATTTCCAAATTTACAGCAAATTTATCTAGAACTTATGTATGGTCTGGATAAGAAGAGAAAATACGAGGGAAATGGCCCCATTGGTGACTCCAAGAACCCCAGAATCGTTAGATCGGAAGCAGAAACACAAGTTGGTGTCTCACAGGCTTCAGACGACGACGATGAATTCCAATTGTTCCCAGGGATCAAGTCTCAGCTACCAAAAGTGAGTCCCGAAAAGTTGGTATCATCAGCGGACAAACAACTCGAAGAAGTTCAAAGCAAGAAGGATGAGCTTGATGATCCAGAGATCGAAGATGACGAGGAAGGCAGGTTTGTGAAAACCGCCTCGTCTATTCCAATTCCGGGCACATCGATAGTGCTAGAGACTGAAGAAGATATTGCAAAATGGATAGCAGAAAGAAGGAAAAATTGGCCCACCAATAAGCGAACCCAAGAGAAGATGAGTACGCAGACCCCAGTGACTGCGAAGAGGCAGGAAAGAGTGCCGAAGATATGTCGTTTTTTTGCACAGACGGGCAAGTGTAAGAATGGCCAAAATTGCAAAATGTTACACGAGAGACGGGAAAATGCATCCAATCATTCAAGCACCATTAGGCCCTTGAAAAACTACAAGCTGGGAGACGTCAATGGCATCACCATTCAGATCCCCCTAAGATACGCTCCCTCAGCAAATACAGGCAAGTCATTGCACAATCTATTGGCAGAAAATGAGATTCTACGAGACCAGAATGGTACTGTTTTGAAGGTCATAGAGAAGTTGGTGAACTCCGGGGTGGTCACGAAGGACTGGGAAAGCCTCACTAAGAACCTGAGGCTCAAAGAGAAGAGGTAGAGACTGTAAGATATCTGTTACGAGCGTGAAAGAAATGTCAATTTTTTGAACGCATAATTGATTGTTGAAATACTTCACTCAGGGTTGAAAAAACGCTTGATAGAGTTGACTGCGATACTGCTGAGAAGTGCTATGGCAACCATTGTCTGTGAATCACTCGTGGATTTGTCTTCGCCAGGACTCGCTTCTTCATTGGATGGTTTTCTCCTTTTGGAATTCCCAATTTCGTCCGCTGCTGCCTCTTCATTGACATCACTCATGCCCTTTCTCTTCCTCACCAGTGACGGAACTTTAGCATGCACCTTTTCTCCATCTTCTTTGAATCTGATCAACCTCTCTCTAACCACTCTTGAAGAGGGTTTTTTTGATGAGTTTGCCCTCAGGATACGCCTATGAGTTGGTTGTCTCAAAGCTGGTCTTTTGATTGGAACTTTAGCAGAATTGCCCGGTGTCTCTTTGCTTGATTCTGGCTCGGTGATGCGGTCATCAGCCAGAGTGGACGAAACCTCATGATTGTCTTTTACATTAACACCAGCTGCTTTGATTACCTTCTCTTCATCTGATTTGGCGCTTGCGGTATCAATCTCAACTTCATCCGCAGTTTGACTTCTAGTGACATCGCTTTCGTCCTCAATGAGTTCGGTATCCTCTCCCCCATCTGGAGAAGTCCCCACAAAAATCTCTCGAAGTTGACTTGATATATCGCTGATTTCCTCGGAATCTTTTTCCTCAGGCAATTTTTGGAATGGTTCTTCCTCTTTTGGCATGTTGAGCAAATGATCTTGAGACCAGAGTATGGTGTTCAAGGAGATCAGAGATAAGTTGCATGACGGGACATCATATACTCACATCTGATCCGAATTACGACTATACAAAAATGTGATACATCACTACATGAATATAATGATATAAAATTCCAACCAAACGACTATACGTAAAAAAAGAGCAGAATTGAAAGCACACGAGCTCACGGGTATCAACGACCAAACCCCAAACCAGCAACCAAAAAAACCAAAATAAGAGGGAAAGGAATTTCAAGAAAACCTTAGAAACAGAAATCTCATACAGCGTGGCATATCAAAGATCTAAAGATTGGCCAATAGCTGCCAAAACGGTTACCGTTGCAACGGACCCAATCATAGCACCTATAGCACCAGCCTTGAGCGATTGCGACCACGAACTTTCTGGGGTCTGTTCAAACTTTGGAAGCTTCTTCGCAGGCATTGAAATCTCTTCCTCTTCAATAACATCGAATTTCCGCTTAGTCGAAGAGAGCACTGCAGCTTTGTCATCCGAATCCTCCTGGCATTCGTTGCATTCACATGTATAGAAATGCCAATCAGACTCTGATTCTTCCTTGAGGAAAGAAGAATCGCTGCCCGAATCGCCGTCAGAGTTACTGTCAGAGTTTTGGTCCTGCTCATAGTCCACAACTCCAGCAACGATCTCTTCCCAAAGTCTGAGTTTCAATGCGTCAGAAGAGGTGGGTTCATCCGAACAGCAACCGCAATCATCAGATTCTTCAGAACTGTTGTCATCCGAGTTGGAGTAGAAGCTCCCCTCACCGTGGTCGTCATCTTCAACCAAGACACAAACCTCAGCATTCTCTTCAATAAGTGGTCTGGTGGCGTCAGAAAAATCTGCGCCATCGGATTCCGAAGACAGACTGAGTTCTTCGTTGTCATCAGAATCTCCTTCATCTTCCCGGATCTCCAACTGGGTTGAGTCTGTATTGTTGGAGTCTACGGTTTCAAAAACTTCTCCGCCCTCTTCGAACTCGTCAAAGCCTTCATCAAATGCCTGTCTGATATCGGCCTGGCGCACACTCCTTTCACCATCACCAATGCAAGCGGCCCTGTCCAAATAAACAAGATAAAGCTTTTGCTTGTGATCGCTGACAACCATCAGCTGAATTTTTGTGTGCCTGAACACGTCAATCTGCTTATCGGAGTCAAGCTTGCCTTTACTGGTAACGATCAAACCTATGACAACTCCATCCTTCAACGCTATACGCTCATGAGATCTAAGATGAAAGGTTTTGTCACCATACGAAAGCACTGTGCCATGCATAGAGTGATCCTTCACGTACCAGCAGCCGTCTTCGCTGAAGATGGTGCAATGCAGCGCACTCAAAGTAGCATCGGCAAACAGTCCGTTATGGGCGCTCTCCTCGCGCCCAGCCTTTCCAGTTAAAGAGGCCCTTCCAATAACAATGGAAGTCTCTGCCGTGGAATCGAAGCTCCTAATGGGAAACTTCTGTCTCCGGTCAACGCAGAGCATGTTGTACACAGCGGGGTAAGAACGTGTAAGTTTAAAGGGTCAAGGCTGGGAGGATCTCACTTTGGTATACGTTTCAATCGGCAGGAAATCCAAAATAGCCTGTTGAATTGATAGCAATATCAAGTACAAAGGCTTTGGTCTTGTTGTAACAAAAAATGATTAGAAAGAGAGTGGCAATAGCAGAGAAGCCCCTGAGATGTCAAACGCGGTTGCGGCATTCTGAGTGAGGCGACATATTCGTTGGTACACACCATAATATTTACTCGCTCGTCTGCGAGCTAGACCTTAGAGCTCTGACCAAATCAGCAAAGTGAATAGGCCGTTTCAGACTGACAAAATCTGGATCTCCTGATGTGTCCAGCAGGGGAAATCCTTTGAGACAATTCGGATATTGTCTTTCGCCCTGTGTAGCCAGGATCAGTTTTGGCCGGCCAAATTTGGCCATTTCATGGGTGATATCTTCTGGCTGTTCACACATTGATTTTGTGAGGTTGACGAGTCTCGGCTTGTAATCTTCTGGGGAAAGGAGGAATATAGAGACTGGATCTGGCGTTGAATCCTCGCGCTCGTTTGAAGGCACGGCAGCCAAATCTCCCGAAGCCTCAGTCTCAAGCGTAGAACTCTCGACGCTCAAATCCACCGGAATAGTTTTGCTTCCATCAAGTTTAGCAATAATGGCCTTCCGGGGGAGATTGGTTCCAGGCTGGGATACCCCATACAAAGATTGCAGCTCGGCAGTTATCAACTCTGCCAATGTCTCCATATTATCGTCCCAAACACCTGTCTTCTTCACATAGAGGTACAGACTTTCTGTGCTTCCCATACAAATAAGCCAAGAAGCAAGCTTGGATGCTTCGGTTAGCATCTGAATCGTTTCAGCAGCGACATGAGTGTTCAACCCAGCACTCCATTCTGCCCTCTGGGCCATCACCTTCTTGATCTCTTTCTGAGAAGGCAGTTGTATTTTTTTGTCTGCACTTAAAAAAGGCTGGGGAATTTCTGGGGGAGGCTTTTTGACAAACTGGGCCATTTCCAGGATCACTGCAACCGAGTCTGGAAGATTAACAGAACGAACTGCTCCCAAGATGGCCACATTATCCTTTGGACTGCTTTGGGGAAAGACATAACTCTCTATCCATGCTATCCAGGCGCCAAAAACCCGCAAACCTCTCAGAATGCCTATAAACATATCCACAATGCCGTACTCAATCAAAAATCCAACCACAAGAGTGTACGCCGAATCTCTAAGTAGGACGCTCCTCCCCCAGTACCTGAGAACTGTCCCATAAACGTCATGAAAAAAAGAGAGACAGATTCTGAGCAAATGGAACCGTAAGATATTCCACGTACTCGATGGATCGAATGCTTCCAAGTTTGTACCCGGTAAAAACAACGCGTTTGTGCTGAATCCTTTGTAGCTGACGTCCTGACCCCACATACTAGGCAGTATGAAGCGGCTTTCCACGCCGTTGAGAGGGATTTGAGCAGTTGAAGCTGATACCTCTTCCATTCTGTTTTGATCTGACATGTGTGAAGAATTATACGAAATAAAACCGAATTTAGTCAAGAATCAACAAAATTTCCTTGTTTCAACTCAAAGAATGTGGTAGTGCAAAAGAGTTCAGAAGGCCCAAAAGCCTTGAGCCGCTCCGATGAGTTTTTTTAATTAGCAACTGGTAGTGGTGAAGCCAGTTTGCGGGCCAGTTGGATAATTTGTCATTCCATTCCTTTCTCGTATCTGTCACATTAAACGGTTACTGGCTATGGATCCATGTAAACCGCAGGCTTGTGCCATTCAAGGTGAGTCTTGGTTTGAGGTGGACGGAGTTCATTTGATGCTTGCTACTAACACACATGCAGACTGTCTTAAGAAGGCAAACTACGACGAGTCGAAGTGCACTAAGGTTATAGACCAGCTGTACCTTTGTTGCACCAAATTTTATGCTGAGAACGGAGAGGAGGTGAGGTCTCCGTGTTGTCCAACCCCCAAACTGCTGAAATTTAAAATAGAGCAGCGGAAGAAGGAAGGTGACTTGGACGCCAGGCTTCTGCGATGAATGCGCGAGATGAAAACTTGAAACCAAAGTAACAATCAGTTGGTGTTCCGCTGAAACACAGGCCGACAAGCCTTCTACGAGTCATGATATTACGTGGGTGGAAAGAAGATCTTGAGAACACATGACCCGATCCAAATGGACAACTCGCTTTTGGACAGACTTCTGACCAAATTGCAGCAAATTATATGACAGAAATTGTATTCCACGAATTGTCACTTTTAAGTTAAGAAATGTAGGTTTAAGACCGCGTAGCTCCAAAACAGAGGTATGGAGCACGACATCTGAGGCCGGAACAAACAAGAGATCTCTCGATCTCCCATTAATCTAAGGCTTACCCGAGCACGAAATCATAAATGATGATTACGTATCTGAAAAAACGTAACCCGTGACTCTAATGGGCGCCTAGTAAAAAGACATTGTATTTAGAAGAAGAGAACATGGGTTGAAAGGTTGGAAGCCAGCAGGAAAATTTTATAGTCATAATGAATTTGGCAGCGCACGTAAAAAATGACTCCAGCATAAAACCTGCTGTTGATAAGTGTATTGGATTTTGGGGTATTTTTTCTCAATAATTGGCGTGAAACTTTGGGAAATTGTATTTATGATGCGTATATATGGATCTGTGTAACATGGCTTTGTTTTGGTCCTGGGGAGCAGAGTTGTGCTGCGTTTTGCAACCGCCGCACACGTGAAGCCAGTAGCGATGCTGAAATGACAGTTTTTGGGCTGGTAACAACGAATTTCCGACCACAATTGTCGTGATACAACCATAATGACAAGAGAGGAAAGCCCTCTCTATCCATTTCAGTTTTGAGCACGATGGTGCAATCTAGAGCACCAGATTGGCGTCTGGTGCAAGCAAAGAAAGCGTTGATTCGGCAAGCACCTTCAAGAATCCTGGATTTTTTTTCAGTCAGAAGCAATTACCTTGCGTAATTTAGTTTTCTGATTCAACCTTCCCTCTTGTCATACTCATGGATATCAGGGAATTGGGCTTTCAAGGCTGCTTAATGTTAGTTACTGCCACTCGAAAACCGACAAAAAGACATACTTACTCGAATCATCACTGACCCAAAGTGTCTGGGGAACCACTGCCAATGCATTATCTCCCTTTACGTGGTTTTCAAAGTCTGCAACAGCATCGTCTATGGACACTTCGTGACCCCGGGTTAGTATGAGCTAGTGAAAAATGGGCAAAAAGTGGATAGAACATACCTGGTTGGATGTCATTCTCAATCAATTGCTCTCTCAGAAGAGCAATGTGCAATCCCATCTTCATCTCGCGTTGCAGCATCTTCTTACGCTCAGAGAGCGTCTGCAGATTCCTCTGGCGATTCTGTTGCTGGAAGTTCAACTGTAAGCTCCTCAGATTTTTTTGGTACTTTCTTGTCAACTCGTCCATCTGCTTGTCGGCTTCTCTAGCAGCAAATATGTGATCAAAAAGCAGACATGTGACCGCAATCAGCGAAATACTCATGGTGATGTCTTTAAACCTGAGAATTCGGTTAGTGGATTCGTAGTGATCAGAATGGCTGGTAGATGGTTGGTAAGCACTAGATGAGCCATACTGCTCAGAAGTGATCTCTGGTTTCGTACTAGTGGCATCATTGCGTAATTCATCAAGCGTCTTGGGTGGATTGGAAAGACTCCCAAAGTATGTGGGAGGCTTCTGGGACGAGAGCAAGCGAGAGTGTAGCATTCGTCTCACGGAGCATACATTTGGTCTCATTATATGTGAAATCATGATCACCACCAGATTACAATCACAATGCAGGCTCAAAACTCAAAATGCCTCCGACCTTGGCCGAGATCAAACGAGCTATTCAAGAGCTTCAACTGGTGGTACAGGGAGGTAGCCTCATTTAATGGATATGCGCACTACTTTTGGTGGCTCCGGTTTTGTTGGACTTGGAGCTCGATAAAACTCAACAGAGATGGCAGAACTACTCCAGAATAACCCACTATTGTCAAAATCTTTATTAAACTATGAGAAATGGTAAAGGGCTTAGTGACGTCTAGACTCTTGGATGATCTTGTTCATCTCCTCAACCTTGGCCTTGGCTCTCAAGTGAGTTCCCAATCTCTTCTTGGCCAGCTTCTTGGCACGCTTCTCACCAGCATTTCTGATCAACTCAATGACACGTCTCTCGTATGGAGCCAAACCGGACACTTCACGGACAATGTCTCTGACGAAGGCGGTTCTCTTGGACAAAGCACCCTTTCTGTACGAGATTTTTGGGGCAACCTCCTTAGCGGTCACTTTGTGACCCTTGTTAACACCAGCGGCGATACCTATTGGGATGTTAGTAACTATTCATGTGGCAGTGAGAGTGCATCTTGATAAAGGGAGAAGGGTTGTAGTGGTTGGGGGTTGGTATTCTCCATATCGTATCCAGACCTATTCGAATAAGTCCAGCGACAATATCTTGATCGGGATAAACAGCAGATAAAATGAGCCAGATAACCACTTAGAACTCATCCTCATGCATCACTGTCTTCAACCTCAAAGCGTTGTTGTATCATCTATCATATTTCTTGAGTCTTTCGTCTCTGCTTTCAATGTTCGACCAATCCGTAACAACGTTGCTCCCCAAATAAACTATTCACCCGGACTTCACAATGGACACCTTATACTATCAAATCTAACATACCAGACTTAACCATTTTTGTATATGTGTGTAGTGTACGTTTGAATGTAAAGTATGAAGTTGTGAATTTTCAACTTCTACAACTTGAGAAGATTTGAACGAGGGTGTGTACCGGCTCAACAAGGTTCCGGATTGGGAAATTTTGTTTGTGACTGCTTTTTTCCCGCTGCCTCTTGAGCAGAAACTTCGTGCACTAATTATTTGACAGAAACTTTGCGGCGTTCAATTGAAATATATACACTACCCTATATTATATAAGGGCACACCAAACGCTTATTTACACCCTCACCTTGGAGAAATCATAGCCATATTCCTGCAACCGGTTTACTACGTCCTGAACACTCGTGTTCTTGACAGTATGGCCAAATTTTGCAAAACTCAAATTCGTTGAGTTCTTCTTGGCCAAGGGAAACAGCTCCTTAAGTAGCTTTCTCTTACCAACCTTGAGTTTAGCTGGTTCTCCACCAATCAAAACCTTGAAATAAACTCTCTCCTCCTCATCCTTGCTGAGCTGCTCGATTTTTGCCTCTTTAGCTTCCTTCCTCATGATAGTGGCCTGCCTCGACAGTATGTCAAACTTCAGTCTCCAACCCAGTGGACCCAACTCTTTGACTCTGGCAGATTTGTCCTTCAAAAGATAATTGTCAAGGCCACCTTCCTTAGTGATAGTGCTGAGAACACGCGTAGATACCGTCAATGGAATCAGCTTTTCCAGGCTCTCGGACCAGAGCTTCTTTTTCTGGATGTTCACCCTCCACGTCCTACTGCTCTTGTTTCCAAACTCGGAATATTGCTTACCGAAGTTGATCACCTGGCCTCCGAGCAAAGCTTTGTTGGCTTTCTTGAAGGTGGTATATTCACCATACTTGTAGTCAGGATATTTGGGCAACTCTTTGGGCACGAAGACGGTGTGTGGTTTTACGTCGCCCTCTTTGTATTCTGGCCTTTTGGCAACTCTCCTGGTAACGACTGCCTTGTATGATCTGGCTGCAGAACTCGAAGAGCTCGAGAACAGCCTTCTGAGAATAATGGGCGATTCCAACATGATCGATACGGAGTGTGGAGTGTGGACTGAAGGAGGTAGCTTGATCTCGTTCAGCTAGGAATTTGTCGAAGTTAGAATTGAATTTGGCAAAAGTAGTGCAAGAACAAAAATACCGACTTAGGCAATCACCTTCAACAGGAACAAATGCTAACCATTTTTATAAAACAATATCTAATACCATCTAAATACTGATAGCAATAGCATGGTTCTATTGAGCGGCATATCATCGGAATACTCCAACAATACAGGAGGCGATTTCATGTCTTTCTCCTCCTCCATTTTATATATGACTGTAGATTTTCTTCAACCTCTCAAACTCCTTCTTCTCCAAAACGTCTCCAAATTTGACTCCCTTTGCACCAGCGATCATTTTTGTCTCGAAATCAGATCTGCGTTTGGTCGACATCTGGCCCCCATGCTCGTGCAACGAGTGCATGAGTTCTTCCTCTCCAATGACTAAATCGTCTCCCCTCTGGCAATACGCAACCTCTGCCAAATCGCGCAGAATATTTGCAGTTAGCCCCCAAACGTCTCTGGTCTTTTCCCCCAATTCCATGTCTGTCTGAGACTCTTCCTCCTCGCTCGAAAGATCCTGAACTTCAGAAAGCCATCTGACTTCGTTGTCGTTGTGTAGAGGAAAGATGTATGAACGCAAGTTCCATGGGAGCCCGCCCCATTTGGTTTTCACGTATGATTGCTTGAGACACTCCTGGAGCTCGTAGCGCCTCGGTTTGGGTTGGAGGAAGTCCTTCAAAGGAACCGAGAAGATCGACGATGACTCGCCAGGATTAAGCAGAATAGAAGATATATGTTGATCTTCTGGGTTCGCCAGCTTTTCCGGAGCCCATTTCACAAAGCCCACACAAGGCCGTACCGCCAGAAATGTCCGCGAGAGATACGAAGGAAGCATGTTCACGTACTCTATTGAGAACCCGTTCTCGGCGTTCACTCTATCGTATCTGGAAATACCAATCTCTTCTTCTGTTTCTCGCCTGGCAACCATCCATTCACTCTCAAGACCGGTATCGGCCCTTCCACCAGGGAGGGAAACGTGACCCGAGAAGCTCCTCAGGTCGCGCGACCGCTTCGTGAGCACCACACGCAATTCGCCGCTCTTGCCTAGAAAAAGCAGTACTAACACTGCAGACCGTCTCACCACCGGCAACCGATGCCATATTGAGACATTTGACTCTCCAAAAAACCGTGGTGTGTAGTTGGTGATATTGGGGAGATACTGAGACTCCATCCCATGCGTGTCAACGATATGCTTCCAAGGATGGTGCTGTGACTCACCGTGAATGGGTGGAGGAGGTATATTATAGGTGAACCGTGATAGCAAATGGTTATTCAGCAATCTCGTGAGATTACCGGTCAAACTCGAGGGCCCTGCGTGGGATGAGTATTGTATGGAGTGCTGTAGCTTTGACTTGAAGTTCGCATAATATAACATTTGAGTCGCGCACTTGGTGGGGCCTCTTGTTTGAGCCGCTGCTGCTTCGCTTGCTTGCTGGGATTCGGGCCGATCAACAACCGTAAGAAACTTCCAGAGCCTCTCGAGAAGAACAAAGATGAGAAGAAGAAGTCCTGGGTGGGTTTGTGGCGGTATATATTGGAGATAGGGAGGCGAAGGCACTCTCCCAACGGATTTTACAGCCTGCACCCCTCCTCTGGAAACGTAAATACCTCCCTTTGACAACGGGCGGGTTTCCCCTCACCTCCCGGTTCTGGGAACGGTGGGAACGAGATAGGCAGAACATAAAAAATTGATCATTACACGTAATTAAAGAGGATGAAGAGTATGAGGGAATGAAGAGAATCAAGCATGGCAGCACACTGCACACACATCTGATAGAAATGCAATTCTTGCAGCCGAATTAAATACTTGTACACTCAGTCAATCCGTGCCTCGGCCAGTGTGTGAAGAGGCTTGATGTTGTTGGAGAACTGGTTGGCCTTCCTGCGAGTGAGCTTCTTGAGCTTGCGTTTGACAACCATCACGGGAACATTGCTTTTTCGGACGAGATAGTTCGAAAGTGATCCCAGCAACACACCCTTGAGTGCGGACTTACCTTTGGATCCGACTATCACCAACGTGGGTGAGAGATGGTGAATAATTTCCACGATGAAATGGCGTGGAATTGGATGGTGGATAGACTCGCAAACAACATGCACTTGGAGTTTAGTCAACCGCAAAAGCTCCAAAACTTCGGCTGTCATCCGCTCCACATTGTCAGTACGTAGTTTGTCACGGGATTTGGAGGGAGCCGAAGCCGGAGCAGATGCTGTTGGAGTGAGAGGGCTTCCCTTAGAGTAGGTCTGAGACGGAATACCATTCAGGTTCATGGACGAAAAGTCATCGTCCTCAATCACATTTATGATGTACAGAACAGATCCATCCACCAGAACGGTTCCCACACACCACTCCAGAGCATATTTGGACTCGTCTGAGAAGTCTGTGCAGAGGAGAAACGTTTTAGGCCTCTTCTGTCCCTTCACTATCTCAAAGAAACCTCCCCGAGTAATTGTCCGAATAGCACGCGCATTGTCACCACTGGATTCAATAGGAGAAACCTCTACGTGCTCGTTCAGACTGCGCGCTAACTCGCTGTCCTTTCTCTCCTCCACATCCGAAGTGTAGGGAACCAGAAAGTTGTCATTAGCATTACCCGTCGGAGAGACGAGCTTCTTCTTGTAAACCGCGTATTCCTTTAGCTTTTCCTTGCGCTCCTTATCCTCCTGGAAGAACTTGTCATTATGGGGCGATCTGGAATCGGCTCCTACCATCTCGGCCACATCCCGGGGAACATTTTGGCCTACCAAGCGAGCATTCGCGACAGCTCTCTCGGCAGCAGACAATTGGTCCAATTCTTCCGCTTTTTTAGCATCCGCAATTAGTCGTGCTGTATCGGCTCTGCCTATGGACGCCACCTCATCCTTAATGTTCACTTTGTCAGTAGTTGCAGTCTCCAAGGCAGGAGAGTACGTCGCAAAGTTAGGCAGCAACGCCCCACCATCATCATATCCAAACTCCGAATCGGTATCGCTAATCTGCTCCTCATCTGAAGACAGACTCGCTTCATCATCAGATAGAACATCTTTTTTAAGTCGAGTGGAACTCGGCGAACGTAGTCTCTCTGAAGGATCGTGCTGTGTTATCGAGAACCTGTCATCAGCAACGCTGCCGCGCGATAACGAGCGACCTGAAATACCACGCGATTGAGTTCTAGCCATTCCAGGACTCTGAGATCGACCTCTAGAGGAGGCATCCTTTGCTTGAGCCTCGGATTTGCGCTTCTGCCTCTCCATGATCTCGATGATCTGCTTCCTCTCATCGTCCAAGGCCGCTTCCAAAGACATCTGAGTGATTAGTATAAATAGGCCAGAACAAGATGACGGTAATGCAAATTGGCAACAGTAAATCCAGTTTCGTTATCAACAATCGATTCAAGTCCTTTTTGGACTCTTTGGTTTGTAAAAAGATGTGGAAGAAAGCATGCAGCCGTCCGTTCCAGAAGACTGAGGGCCCCTTAGAGGACGTGCGCAGAACAACACCTTGAGTTTACACTACTTTGACATAATCCCTGTTGCCAAACTGCTTTTGATAATAATAAGATCTTTGGGTTTACTCTGAAAGCAATGGTATGTATTGGATATGACTGAGTATTGACTTTTCGTAAACCATGCGCTGATCGACAATCCTCACGTTATGGGAACGTCCCTTGACAGCCACATGCGGCTCAAAGATGAGCAGGGTTAAGGATGCGGCCCGTGATGGAGATATTCGAGAATGCGAGAGGTCTTGGAGGAAGTACTACATATATGAGCAGTTAAATACAACACACCAGATTGTACGGGCTTGAGTAAGAGAATCAAGTGGAACTAACCGGAAGAGTCATGGTACAGCTTCGGGATTGTCTCGAATGCACCTGCTGCCACATACAATAGGCTAATCTTTGTTTCATTAGACTGGGTGAAACCTATGGCAATGACACAGAATGACACAATTAAACAAGCCGAAAAAAAAAAAAATAGAGCTTATAGTCCTGCCAATGCGAATAGCCCGAATTTGACAGCACCAATCCACAGGGTGTACCATTCAATAATACGCCGCACAAAATAAGATGCAGATTATCTGCAAGAGATTGGCACTCGAGGAATGCCTCAAAAAAGCGTATTATTTTACTCCAAAGCTCGAATTTGAGTACAAAAAGTTGAAGAGAATGGTACCTCTTTCCCACATGTATGTCCACACCCATGTATCCGCACATTTCCATACAGACTACAGCATCGTTGTTTGAGACCCTTTCGGGTATGGCTTTCTGTTCTGCACAACACCAGGCACCTGCGTGAGTCTCGGGGCCATCACCGGCAGCAGATTCTGATCCTGTGTCTGTCCTGATTGTGTGCTACAAACATTGAATCAAAAAGATAATACGGTGAGCCGTTATCACAAATGCGGTCGTGTACACCAAACGCGTGACACTCAAAAAAGTTCTCGCAAACATTTACCACGCCGTCACACGCCAGTATGACGGACGAATAAGCGACCCAGAAATTAACCGAACACGCATGTCTCTCCATTGAAACCACCAAATGCACAGGAGTACCGCGGGCTCTGAAGGGCGAGCCGGTCGTAGTTGGCCAGTTCAGGCAATCAACCCCGGGTAACCCCAAAACCGGCGCTCCGATAACTCGATCTGGACAGCACACGACCCCAAACCGGCTGCATTTCGGTCCTCGTGCATATAAGCAGAGAACTGGGGCCTTTTGGGGTCGGTTGACATATTACAGACAAGTTTTTCCTCTTTCTGTCAAAAGTTTTTATACATGATTGGGTTGAGAAAACGATCATGCTGATAACCAATGCAATATCTCACAAGGTGTACCTTCAGGGGGGCACCCGAATGCTAGATGCAACTGCCTTTGCTATCGCATCTCTATCCTGTCTTTCGCTTGGAATTGTGGTATTGTTTGCGCTATTTACATACCCATTACAGTACGATCTCGCATATTCACAGATCGAGATTAACAGGATTATTATAGCCCAGACGCTGGGTGCGAACGGATTTTCTCCCGTGATGGGTTTGTTAGCGGATACTCACGGTCCTCACGTGTTGGGTCTGGTATCGCTTTGTTCGTATGTTGTTGGTTTCTTGACGATCATCCATTCTTATGCCGCTCACTCAACTTATCTGACGATGGTAATGGGCTTTTTCTTTGTTGGAATTGCCAATGGGTGTTTGCTGTGTTGTTGCACGGTCACGTGTGCCAAGTCGTTTGCCAAATACTCCACTACGTTCGCTCTCAGTGTGCCCAACGTGATGGTGGGTCTGAGCGCGGTGCTGGAGGTCCACATCGTGAAAAACGTGATCCTGAAGACCTCCAATGACTTTGCACCGGTTTTCAAATTTTTCCTCGCGGTTATGTGTGGTGCTTCAGTGTTGGCGTTCATAGGTGCTTCCGTGGCTAACGATGCAGACCGAATTGATGAAGATGGATATAATCTTGGTGACGACGAGCTATCGCCCCTCATGTCTTCACCATTTATGACCCCATCGCACTCGGTAGTGATGTCTTCTCCCCTGCTCGCTGCGGGAGCCGCCGCGGTGGTTTCGCCCGATATCTTTAGACACATAGACGATGGTCTACTGGCATCGCCTTCTCTGGATGCCCTCACACTTTCGGGATTCGAGCCCAGGTCATATGCTCAAAAGGCGCGCCAATTCTTCACAGATCCGCTTCTTTACCCTCTGATTGCTTTTTTTTTGGCATCAGTTGGGTCCTCGGAGTTGTTTCTTTCCAACATGGCTTCCATAACCGCGTCTTTGGGAGAGCCAGTGGAGGAGTTCGACAGACTGCTTTCCATCCATTCAATGGCCTCCACCGCTGCTAGAATAATTATCATGCTGACCACAGATTACATCTCGGCATCGCCTGCCTCTGAAACCTCCTTGGTGCGACCCATATCGCGCGTCACCATCATCTCTGCACTCACCCTGGTAGCAGCTTGCGGCCATCTATTTTTGTCTTCCTCGGAGCACGCCGCCCAGCATGCGCTCTCCATTGTGGTGTCCAATGGAATACTCAACGGAGTGGTATTCACACTCTATCCAGCCCTCGTGGTGTATATCTGGGGGGTTGAAATGTTGGGGCTGACGTGGGGGGTGTTCAGCACCATGCCTGTACTTGGGTCCCTTTTCTATAATACCATTTACGGCTACGATTTCGAGGCCCAGTGTGTGGCCAAGGACTCGTTCGGATTCGGAAATGATGGAATGGTGATATGTTCGACGCTCACCTTCTTTGTGACTGGAGTCACACTGCTCGTTGCAGGAACTGGGTTGTCTGTGCTGAAAAACAAATATCTGGCTAAGAGCATTGAGTTCTTTTGAGGCCCGTATAGACTCGATAAACTATAATATTATTTGCATTGCATTTGACTGAGGTTAGTAATCCCAACTTATTCACGTTTACCGCTGACGCCATTGATTAGCCGCCAGTTTGACCCAAAGCGGTAACCGTTTAAAGGCCGAGCGTGTAAAGGCCGAAATCAACACAGCCGTGCTTCCAGATTGGGTAAAGGCCGAGACTAACACGATATCAGAACGCCATGATCTCTCACGAATCGCCGAGATTGATCATACTTGCTCTAAGTATCGTCATGCATGATTTAGTAAGCTCGGTATTGGCCGAAATGGGCGGACGAAGAAACCAGCTATATAAACCCTTGGAAAGTCGCAAGGAAGTAAGATTATAATGGATCAATAGTAAAAAAAACATCCACAAACTTTTCCAATGCCCACAGTCCTTGTCACCGGTGCCTCAGGCTATATTGCTGCCCATATTGTCAGTCAGCTACTCGAAAAGGAGTACACCGTCATCGGCACTGTTAGGTCTGAAGAGAAGGCCGAATTCTTTCTCAAGAAGTTTTCAGATTCCGATCTGAGTTTCGAGATTGTTGCTGACATTGCAGAGGCAGCTTCTTTTGATGCCACGTTTAAGGCGCACCCCGAGATTGAATTTGTGATCCATAGTGCAGCTGTTCTTCCAAGAGGCGTGCCTAAAGAAGATTTCTACAAGCAGTATGTAGAGACTTCTATTGCAGGAACCACCAACATTCTCAAGGCCATAGAGAAATATGGCCCCAAAGTCAAGCATGTGGTTCTCACGTCTTCTGGAGCATCCATTGCCGACTTCAGATTATTGTCGGACCCTGATCTGTTTTTGACGGAAGAGACATGGAACGAGATGACTTGGGACCAGGTCGGAGATTATGAACTGTTGGCTTATGCATACTCAAAGGCTGAAGCTGAAAGAGCTGCACTGAAATTTGTTGAGAGACCAGAGATCAAATTCACCTTTACATCGGTTTGTCCGTTCCATGTTATTGGACCACAGAAGTTCGTTGAATTGGAAGGAAACCCATCCAGCGAGGTGCAGCATGTCATCAGTCTCGTTGAAACTCCTGCAGATAATCCCGGTCCCTTTGATGCCTGGGGAGTTGCTATTGATGTCAGAGACGTAGCAAAAGCACACGTGTTGAGTGTTGAAAACTACGTTAAGTTCAAGGGAGCGAGACTGGCTCTGGGCCGGACTGAGTTTTCATCCCAGATTTTCCTCGATTTCATCAACAAGAATTTTCCCGAGCTTGTAGGAAAAATCCCAGTTGGAAATTCGGCAGACCATGCTGCAACCTTGGAGGCAAAGCATGTTGCCCATGATTTCACGAAGACCGCCGAGATTATGGGCATTGACTTCATTCCTCTTGAGAAGTCGGTCGTTGACGGAGTCAGACAGTATCTCGAGTACAAGGATCTTAAGAAATGAAGCCTAAATGCAGATCTCATATAAGTATTGTATTTAAGTAAGTTTGTTTGATTGTTCAGCCTGACACAACGTACAGTAAAGCCACAAGTTTTCATCAAGATATCCTGGACCAACCAAAAAATCGAGGAGGCTTTCTTCGCGGACTGGTGAGTGGAATTTTTGGCTATTTATATTTGTAAGAATTCGAATTCTTAAATTGAGTTATGGCGTTTGCGTGAAATTCATCTGCGGTTATTTAAACGGCTGTTTGGACGGGGGGCTCGAGTGCATGATCCCGCCGCGTGTAAATGCACATGGTGCGGCTCAAAATCAAGAACTTTTTTGAACGGCGTCTGGGACTACACAACACTTTGATACTGGTAATTGGAGGTGTTTTGAATGAGTTGGAATAATCACATGAACTACTGAGGCTTTTTTGCAGTCACTTATAGAACCCAAGACTTATGTGGGAGTTACCGGAATTTAGCAAAGAACTGAGATATATAAAAAGGTGCTGTCACCCCTTGAATATGTCACGACCTATTCACCGTATCAAGAAAAAAGCCACTATTTTCTTTTGCAAGACCTCGTCTTTCAGGTAAGTCTAACAGATACTCCCTCTACACTGTAACTTCACTCTCATCACCACTCTCTCCCCAATGTCCACTGTTCTCATTTCTGGAGCCTCCGGCTACTTGGCCCTTCACATTGTCTCTCAGCTCTTAAAAAACGGATACACCGTTATAGGAACGGTTAAATCTAGTGCTAAGGCTACTATACTGACTGGGTTGTTCTCTGAACCACGTCTCAGTTTTGAGATAGTCCCTGATGTCGGTACTCCAGGCGCATTCGACGAGGTTTTCCAGAACCACCCAGACATTGAGTTTGTCATCCACGCTGCTGCCGTTCTTCCAAGCGGGATTGATAAAGATGACTATTACCACGCTTTTTTTGAGACATCTGTAAAGAGTACCACGAACATCCCCGAAAGCATTCGTGACTTTGCACCAAATGTCAAACATGTCGTTCACACGTCTTCGAATGCCGCCCTGCAAAACTTCAAGTACCCATCAGACCCATCAGCTGTCGTTTCAGAAGAAACTTGGAACGAAACATCATGGGAAGATGTAAAGGACTTCGAACCTATGGCTTACTCATACTCCAAGGCAGAGGCTGAAAGGTCTGCAAGAAGCTTTGTCAAGTAGCCCGGTGTTAATTTCACTCTCTCTTCAGTGTGCCCATCTTTTGTATTTGGACCTCAGAGATTTGTCGAGCTAAAGGGAAACCTGACCAGCGAGTCATTATTTTTCCTCTCTCTTATTGATCTTCCATCAGACGCACCCGGCCCCTTCACCAGCGTTTTTGGCGTCTGCTGTGACGTTAAAGATGCAGCAAAGGCTCACGTTCTTAGTATTCAAAACTATGCAGAGTACAAGGATGCCAGACTTGCTCTTTCCTCTGGAGAGTTCACAACTCAATCACTACTTGACATCATCAATGACAAGTTTCCTGAGCTCAGAGGAAAGATTTCCAAAGGTAACTCTGCAGATCATGCAACAACTCTCAAAAAAGAACACGTTCCTTTTGATTTCTCCAAGACTCTTGCCTTGACTGGATTTGAGCCTGCGTCAATCGAGAAGATTGTTTATGACGGAGTCAAGCCAGGCCTTGAGTTCTGAGCTTTGACAAAGGCCTAAACAGAGGTAGCAAACCGAGAGTCGATTTTATATTGAGATTAATACGGCTTTTATCAACTTTGAAATTTGCGCCTGAAATTAGAACTGAGATATGCTGTAAGATTTATATTTGATTTATGTCTAATGTTTCTCATACCGGCTATTTATGAATTTTGTAGTAGTATCTCGACTTTGGAGGCTTATATTCTGTAATCGGACGCTTCTTGGCTACCTGCTGACCAAAAGCATTGAACAGCTTGGACACAGGGTCTTTGATCCACAAGTCTCCATCTGGCTTGAGATAGGCGAGATGGCCACCAAAATCGGTGGCCATCAGATACAGATATGGATTCCTCTCAGCGTCTTTAAATGGTAAATTGACCGAAACAGTAGGATCATCCAAGCTGTTAATTGAAACCAAAGGAGTCTGGATCTGCGACATGCGGTTTACCGGCCCCACAATCCGGTAGTAATCCGATGCAGACACAAACCCAGCGTATTTGGCCGTGTATCTGTCATCGAAGTCAGGAGGGGACTTGATATCTGGATTCTTATACTCGGTACCAAAGATATCGGGTCTTTGCTTCAACACCTCGAAGTTCACCTTGATCAAATTAGTAAGGAAATAGGTGATTGCAGGTGCAAACAGTTTTCTACCACTCCACGAGTGTTGCAGATGGTACATGGAGTCCAACAAGTCCCAAGGAGCACCAATAGTGACGGCAGCGGTCACTACTGATTTCTCTGCTTCTTCTGCGAGGTAATTGGCTACCAACAAGCCACCAAACGAAAAACCCATTAGGTAAATAAGTTTGGTAGGATAAGCCTTGTGGATCTTGTCCACAAAGTATCTGATATCGTCGGTGGAAAATCCGCTGAACAATTCCGGGGTGGTGATCTTTGAACGACAGCATCCCCTTGAGTTGAGCACCACCACGTTCATGCCTTTTCCATGATCAAACAACTTCTCCACCACGCCCCTGATAGCAGGCTCATGCGATCCTCCAGCCAATCCATGGTTAATAATCACAATGTCATGATCGTTAGAGGCCCAGTCTTTATCCAGCGCCTTAGATTCGTCCTCTGTGAGATACCTAGTTCTTGGATGAAGCCTTGGATATCCTTCCGGCAAAGTCTCCGCACACTTGGCCTTGAACTCCTCTCTTGATTCCAGGGGCAAAATCGCATAATCAGCTGTAGTTTGACCGCTGGTTAGATGAGGATAGTCGGCATCTTCGCCTGGGAACTCAATGATCTTCCTGCCGTAGTTGACTTGGTATACCTTGGAATAGTCGGCCTTCGAGAGGTACATCGTCTGCAAGGTACCGTTAAACAGCAATGGGTGGAAGTTGGCACGTGCACCGTTCACAAACTCGGGAACATTGTTCTTGATCAATTCGTCCAGAGAAACCGGAGACTTTTCAGAGTCTTTTGAGGCTAGTTTGACAGTGTCATTGGAGTAATGTGCATGCACGGTATTTCTAAACCCCCACGATGGCATTTTGTGAGTGCTTGTGATCTAAATGCAATTGTTACTAACCTGCTAACCTCTATACAACTAAAACTTCAAAGCAATGCCTCGAGAGAGAATAACCAGGAAGCTCGCGCATGATGTCGAAATCTCCCGTTATCGCCTCGGCTCTCTTGCTCACCCGTCAACTGCCATCCTGCGGCCCAGCAGATGCGGCGCAGCTTCCTGCAGCCAGGACAACTCTATTGAACTCACTTTCCTGGAATATCCTCTGGTGGTATAAACGTGTTCAATGTACATGATAGCTTCCAGTTTTTGGGAAAACAATAACGAGGACGGATGGATGGCTACCAGCTGACCCGAGCCGATTGTGCGGTAAGACCTGTCAGGCATTCCTATTGCGGTATTGGAGATGAACCCACGTATGAATGGCTTTAATAAAGTCGAAACATCCAGTGTCCTTTCGTACTTGACCTCTCCCGTAAACTCGTCGACGGTCTCGCCTTCTAGTTCAAAAATCGAGGGTCCATCTCGCTTGGTGCGAAGTAAATTATCCATATACTCGCGGAGTTGCTGTCTCACTCTTATGACGTTCTTGAATCCTTTGTAGGATAGATCCAGGTCCCTGCACCACTGCTTCTTTTCCTGTGTATCCGAAATATCCAGGAATATATCCAGAAGCTCTTTGAGCATTACAAGATCACCGTATTTGCGACCCAAAATACACGCTGCTCTCCTTTTCTCGTTGACTTCATCTCTTCTGTCGTAAGCCGGGTTCAAAACCAGATTATCCACAGAAAGGCACGCAGTGATATCTATCACAGGAACTAAGGAGTGCATTTCATATGCTGTCAACAAGACTGCAGAGAGATGTGGCGATAATGGAAGAACGGCCATTTTGCGACCCAAGTCAGTGATTTGACCCGAATCGTTGAGCGCAGCTAACGAGTACAATTGCTGCAGCGCAAATACCATCGACTCTTTGCCGGGATTTTGAAGCCAGTTCCAGTTGAGGATGTCATCAACACCGAGTTTCTTCAGCATCAATACCGAGGAGATTATATCCGATCTCATAATTTCGGCCTCAGTTTGCTCTGCCAACTTGAGATAGTCGTCTTCGGTATACAGCCTGTAACACTTGCCACTGCTCTCTCTACCGGCTCTACCAGTTCTTTGGGTTGCTGAGGCTTGCGAAATAGGCATTGTAAGCAATGTGGAAATACCCAGGCTGTGTCTCCATACCTTTACCTTCCGCAGTCCCGAGTCAACTACATACTTGATCCCGGGAACGGTGATGGAAGTTTCTGCAATATTAGTGGCCAGGATGACCTTGCGCTCATGGCTCTTCACAGGGTTGAATATTTTTGTCTGTTGTGTGGTCGGAAGTGCTGCGTAGAGCGGAAGAGGCATGAGCAATGGAACGGTTCTTGGTAGCTGAGGCGCAATCTTTTGTAATGAAGAAACGGCCTTGTCAATTTCTTCTTGACCTGGGAGAAAGCACAAAACATCACCTTGCTGTTCACTTTGGTTGATAGTCATCACAGTTCGTATGGTAGAATCCACAATGTCTTCAGAAGGCTCTCCTAGATAGAATCTGTTCACAGGATACATCTTACCCTCCACGAACAAAATCGGGGCATTGTCAAAAAATTTGGAGAATCTTTCTGCATCCAGGGTGGCAGACATAATAATGATCCGAAACTCTTTGTCGTTCTTCCTTTTATCGTACAGAAGGCCCTTGAGAAAGCCAATCAGTAAATCCGTGAGCACGGTCCTTTCGTGGGCTTCGTCGATAATTATAGTAGAGTAATTCGACAGTTTTGGGTCTATCATCAACTCTCGCAGAAGCATACCATCTGTGAGGTATTTTAGCCTAGTGCTGGAGTTTGCACGGTTATCGAATCTGACCGAATAGCCCACCCTGGCACCGAGCCGTGATCCGTTCTCCTGGGCAACACGCGTTGCAAGGTTAATAGCAGCAACACGTCTCGGCTGAGTCACGGCAATGGATCTTTTGTTGTGTGGGATCAAAAATTGCGGTATCTGTGTAGACTTACCAGATCCAGTTTCACCAATCAGAATTGACACTTTCTCCGCCAATATCCTCTTGAGAAGTTCGTCTTTCACCTTGTAGACGGGAAGCGATTCCCGCACCTGGAGCAAAGAACGGGCAGTTTTCTGAAGCTCATCGTTTGAAAATCCTATTTGAGTTGACTTTGGTTCATCGTCATCGTCATCGTCATCCTCCTCACCAGAGTAAAAGTCAACCACTTTGGCCCCAGCCTTGGGTGCGGTGGATATCCTTTTTGACGGCCTTTCTCTTGCAGGACTAGAAGGCGGTTCTTTACCAAAAACTTTCTTTGCATTAAACCTTTTCGTCTTGACAGCCATATCAAAGAAACAATAGGGAAATTCAAGGATAGGATGGCTTTGTGTGGTCCTATTATTGCAATTTGGAGTTGTTTAGAAGTCCAAATTTTTTTCAGACATCCGAAGTGCCCAAACCAAACCAACGCCGCAAATGTCAGTGCAGGATATGAGTGATGCGGCTTATGCTACGCTTAATTCTTAATGAAATACTTAACACTTGGATATAAAAAACAGAGATTAGAACAACCAGCCAATAAAGGTTTCGTAGAACCAGCTGAGGTCATGTGGGCGTCCAGCCCTTGCAGCCTTCGCCTCCTCGTCTTCTTTGAGACATTCAGCCTCCTCGGCGTCAATCACATCCTTGTAGGTGTAAAGATCAGCCTCCTCTGGCCTAACACGCTTCGAGCGCATAATGATCTTGTAGCCAAATAGAGAAATGAGGTAAACAGGGATACCAATGTAACCGGTGATGAAATTTTTGTAATCAAATCCTCCGATGAAGACGGTGAAGTTCTTAATGAGGGAGATGAGAATGCACATGAAGAGAGCAAAGTAGGAAGCATAAGGCTGGAAAGGTGCTTTGTAAACGAGATCAGTCTTTCTATTGATTCCCTGGGCAGCAAGAGCCTTCATGAAAAAGATGTGGGTGACCAGAATGGAAACCCACGTCAGAAGACCGAAGATCGAAACAACGTTGACGAAGTAGTTGAAAACGGTCTTCGAATTGGAAGAACACGCCATGAAAGCAAGACAACAGAAAACACAAGCAAAAGCCAATGCATAAATAGGGACACCGTTTTTGTTGGTTCTGGAAAAGACCTTGGGTGCTTTTCCATTGGCGGACAATCCGTAGAGGGTTCTCGTAGCAATGTACAAGTCAGAGTTACACGCCGAGAAGATGAAGATCAGAATCGCCGCGTTGATAATGTGTGGCAGCACTCCAATTCCGGCGTTCTTGGCGGCAACGACGAAAGGAGATGCGGCACTGGAAGTGGAGCTCTTCTTGGCTGCGAGCAGATTAGGGTCGTTGTAGGCAACACAGCATCCCAAAAGAAGCACAGAGAGACAGTAGAAGAACAGGATACGGTAGAAGGTGAGTTTGATGGCCTTCTTGATGCTGTGACGAGGGTTGCGCGCTTCTCCAAAAACGACACCCACCAGTTCTGTTCCCAAATAGGCAAAGGTAGCGTAGACAAAAACGGACCAGAATGACACGAACTTGGCGAGTGAATCAGGCTCGACACCATCATACGGTTTAAACGAGCCAGGCGTTTTCCAGTAGCGGAATCCAGTTCTGTCGTGGTTGGGGCCTCCACCCAGCATGAGAACGAACAGCAAGATAATTAGACCAACAACGGTAATAACTTTGAGCGAAGAGAGCCAAAACTCGAACTCACCAAAGAACTTGACACCAAAGTAGTTGATGAACGTTATAACCACCAGAAAAATTGCAATCCACACTCCCGGGTTCACCCTATCGGCATCGACCCAGTACTGTAGTACCAAGGAAGCAGCCACCAACTGGTTTGGGGTGATGATGAGATACTTGAAAAGATAACAATAACCCACAGCAAATCCGAGAGCAGGATCGACATATCTAGAAGCATAACCAGCAAAACCCTCGGGCAAAGGAATGTATGTAGCCATTTCACCCAGAGCACACATCACACAGTAGACCACTAGTCCCACAATTGAATAAGCAACGAAAACAGAACCTGGGCCACCGCTTGCAAGAGCTGAGGTGGTACCAATCAGGAGACCCGTTCCAAGAGCACCACCGATAGCAATCATGGTGATGTGTCTACTCTGCAAATCTCTCTTAAGCTTATGGCCCTCGGCCAAGGCAACTGGAACAGACTTGGACACTTCAAGGTCATATTCTTGTGTATGCACTGACAACAGAGACTGGGCTCTGCTGGAACTCCCAGCCTTCTCGTTGCTGGAGAAGTCCTTATCTTTGAACATGAGAAAATGTAGTTCCAGTTGTAGTGGAAGCAAAGAAACAATCCGGATAACAGCCCAATTTAAAAGATTACAATTGCACAGCAACTACTTGGCAGAGATAAAACGGATTCCCCCTCAGTTGTGGCTCCGATTATTGGAGTTACTTTTCGGTCTGGTCTGGTTTACCCGCCAAAGGCAAGAAAGCCTCGTGAGGCTTTCAGGTGCATGGCATTCCATGCAGGGCCCAGAAAGCGCAGACGCCAAGATTTTTAGTTTTGAAGGCTCTACAATAGGATATTACCCGAAATAAAACAAGCCAGCATGTGGCCAAAGTAATCAGGAATCCTATATTTCTTTCCATACCCTTTTTTTCCATCTGAAAGGGCCTGAAATTTGACCTCAAAATCCAGATGGAATGGCCGCAACAAAAATACGCTTCTGGCGTATGCAGACTATTCCCAAAAGAGTAATCTGCCACGGCTGAAATTCACGGCAATGAAAATCTTACCAAGCTGGATCTGGGCTTTGCACCGGCCCGATTACAATACAGAGTTCGTTAGTGGCGCAGTCGTGATGCGATATGCTGTGCGGTAAAATGCAACTTTTTCGGTGCGATTATTTACATTATTCGGCAGCTTTATTGGTTCTTTTGACGGGCAAGATCGAATCTGCAATATCACGTGACAGTCGTATCGCCTAGCATTCTGGCTAAACGCACGACCTCTGCATCTGCCCAGGAGATCAGAGTCTGTGCACTGCCCGTCTTCACACCGAAATTGGCGGATACACGGGCAGACATCGCGGCGCTGAGTGAATCCGTTTTCTTGGCAAGGGTATCAACCCGGAAGCGGTCGCTATCTTTCGAAATTCGAAAGGCATTGCCGTAGAAGTGGGATACAAGATCCTTATCGCTGGAGCTGATTTGTTCCGAGTCTGTGGCAGCGTTTTTGGGTATCAATAGCGCTTCTGATTCGGCGTCTATCGGAAAAAGTGAGTGTAAATTCCGCAGCTTGTCGTCCTCGCTAAGTTCGCGATGCATGTTTTTTTGAAACCAGTCTAAGTATGCATCGGTCTGATTTTCGCTCCAATCAAGCAGCAGATCTGGTTGGGTCCCATTCACCAGGAATTGGCCCAGAGCGACATCAGAATCAATTCCCAAATCCTGGCTATTGTATTCGTGCAGTTCGATTGTTCTGTACATCTCATTGAGAGAGCCCAGCCACGTCGAAATAAGTGGCTTGGTGCGGGCTGTGCTGGCTGTGCGAGTGTTTTGGGCTTCGATCTCTGATACCTGAAAGTACACTTTAGTACATGCAATAGCGATTCCCACAACTTTAAGCTCTGGGAAAGAGTCTTTGGAGTATACTGGAGATTTCCACCTGATCCGCGACCGCGGAATAGCCATTTCGACCCCGTGAAACTGGATTACCTTGCGAGCCATCAGGTACACTTGGGGTGGAAGCAGCATTTCACGGCATACACGTAGTAATAAAGGAGGCCAAACCACACAGTATTCCTTTGTGAATATAGTGGCATTCTCGTCAACCCGATCGTCCGAATATAGATGCAGATCGTTGTACAGATTCACCACGGCGACGTAAAGATGGTCCTGGTCTGGCGCGTGAAGCGGCTCCAACATGCTCCAAACCTGTTTGGACATCTTCTTTGTCATTTGCACTGGTATTATTGATTCCACGTTCAGGTATGGAATTGCATTCGTGGTTGCCCAATGGACAAAATCGCTTGCATAGATCGCCAACTTGAGTTTGAGACACGCCAAGTAACACAAAGCGAGAGTATCAACATGGTTCGGTCTTGCGGGGCTTCTATTTGCCGGAACCTTTATTCCATCTTTGAATGGCACCGATGATGTCTGGTCCTCATTTGCTTCATCCTCTTCCTCTTGCTCGCCTTCGTAGTCTTCATCCAACGGAACGAACACTTTCTCGACGTACAAGGTCCACAGATAACGACCATGTAGCTCAAGCGCTTCGGGAGCCCCCTTCGTCTCGATCAGCCACCGCAACTGGCGGTGAAAAATGAACTGCATCGCACTTATTCGAAGATAGAAAGCTTCTCTACCGAAAACTCGAGCATTTGCATCTCGTTGCTCTGCCAGTTTCTGCGATCGCACCTCTTGAGTAGCAATACTGACATCGTTCAAACCAGCAACAACGTTGATCCGTCGTGTCACCATTCCTGTGTATTCATCCTCCTCATCATTAAACTCGTAGTCGCCTTCTAGCACATGGCCATAGCGACATATTCGCCTCCCGTCCACTGACCGCCACTCATTGGACGGACAATTGTCAACCCCACAAACCGGACCCGCACTGAAAACCGCGCTCATTTGGTTTTCTGGGTAAATTAATCCGGTCTTGACAGAGCCACACCTGCGAAATTAGAGAAGCCCCGGCCGTTGGATCTTTTATCTTTGCCGATTGAGTTGTACACTTTGGTAACACACTACGGTACCATTTTTCAACTGTCCGGTGTGAACATGGCATTGGATCTCGTTCAATCCCAGACCTTTCTTAAATCTGAAATAGCTGAGAGCTGTCGCAAAGATGGGATTTTTCATTACGTTAATAGCACACGGAGATGCTCTTCCCCAGAGTGCAGTGAACGATACCGTTGCCCTGATATCTTCACTAAAACTCAACCTCGGAGACATCCGCAAGCTCAACAGCAAGCGGGCTGTGGATTTCGAGGTGGATTTGGACGTGAAGTCGCTAGATGATACTCAAGACCTTGAAGAAGTGGTTCAATCAATCCGTGATGCCTTGAAGGCTGTGCAATTACAACCAGGGCTTGGATACGATATAGTATTCCAGGAAGACGTTGGTAGAAAGGACCGTAAGCTGTTTGTTTTCGACATGGATTCCACTCTGATATACCAGGAGGTAATTGAGCTAATTGCCGCCTATGCTGATGTTGAGTCTCAGGTTGCTGAGATCACTACCCGTGCAATGAACGGTGAGATAGATTTCACTGAGTCACTGGCCAGTCGGGTGGCATTACTGAGAGGAATAGAGTCTGAAACGCTATGGGAAGAACTTAAACACAAGATAGAGATCACAAACGGAGCATCTGAATTGTGTAAAGGTCTGAAGGCCTTGGGAATCAAAATGGCAGTTTTAAGTGGAGGGTTTCTTCCGCTGGCACGCTACGTAGCGAGCGAGCTAGGGCTCGACTACGCTTACGCAAATAACCTCCAGGTGGAGTTCGAGAATGGCAAGGAAATTCTGAGTGGAAAGACTTGTGGTGAAATTGTTGATGGGGCCAAAAAGGCCGAGTTGCTGAAGAGAATCGCAGACGAGAACGAGATCCCATACTCTAAGGCGGTTGCTGTTGGTGATGGTGCCAACGATCTCACCATGATGTCCGTAGCTGGGTTTGGAGTTGCGTGGAATGCGAAGCCCAAAGTCCAGCAACAGGCTCCTGGATGCTTGAACAGCAAAAGTTTGAAGGACTTGTTTTACGTGTTGGGATATAGTGATCCCGAGATAGAGAAGCTGCTGGGGTAGATCCACCAGAGAATCATAGAATGTAGATAAATAACGAGGATTTTAAGCCAAAAACTATTTGTTTGTCCTGTGCGTATCGTTCTCAAGCTGCCCTCACAACACCTTTCTTCACACCAATGACAGCGTTCATGATCAACACCTTCTGACCAGGCTTCACATCCTTATAAAGAACGTGATTTTCCACCAGGTCTTTGGATTGAAGCAATTGTCTTCTGACGGTTCCAATGAGTGTCCCACTAGACAACGGCGGCGTCTGCCAGTTTCCATCTACCCAGAATGCGCAATTGCAAAACGACGACTCGGTCATCTGACCAGCTGTATTGTGCAAAAACACATCCTCGAATGGGGTCTTTCCCGGAAGGCATCTTTCCCTGGCACTTGTATAGTGATCTCTCTTAGTGGTCTTGAGCGAAGTAAATGGAGATACCACGACTGGTTCCGGGTCAAGATAGATATCGTAGACTGGAGACTTGTAATCCTCATCTGGAAGTAGACCATCCCATAAGTCATCCACTGGAGCCACAGGATATGTCTCAATCTTTACAGATCCCACAGGAGAGATCAAAATTCGCAACTTGTATGCATTTTTCAGATCCAACGGCGAGACAGCCGCCGAAAGCTTTTGAAGCAAAACTTCCTGCGAGAGGTCGAACCCCCAGTTGAAATACTCGAGCGAAAGCTTCAACCGCGCATAGTGGTGGTCGACCAAGAAGAAACACTCTTTCGGAAGACTGTTTCCGGAACTCGCAATTGTCTCCAGATCAGAAACGGGCCCATTATACATCTTGGAGTCGAACCGCAGTGATGAAAAGATCTCAAAGTCCTCCTTCCCCGTGAAGATTGGGGCAATATATTTTTCACTGATTTGCTTAGCGTAATCCATCTCTTGTTGAGATACTTGAGCAGGAGGACGTATCCTCTTTGCTCGGGGCTGATATTGGGCCATTTGGAGTGAGATGTGACTCACGATGGTGGTGTAAAGGGGTACTGTTAGAGATTTAACATGGCGCGTAGATAAGGCATTATTTTTCAGGGCTGTGCGGCGCTTTTTGGGCGCTTAATTCGGCCTAGTTGTAGAGAAATCGGATATCATTTAATTGATGTTGTCGTTTTTCTTTGCCGAATTATGTTTAGAATTTGGCTATTTTTCTCATTCAAATGTAGCATTTCTGGCGGTTGTATCCGTGTGTTTGTGTGTTGGGATGCTAGGAAGCAAAGAGACCCGATGATGGACCAAGAACATATCCGCTGGAAACGCCGAAGGATGGCGTTATAAAGTTTAATGACTTGATTTGTGCAAAATGATATGATTAGTCTACATGAAGTAATGCAGTAGTTGTCCTGTTGGGAATGAGCAGTTCTCCGAGTCATAGTTTTGGATACCGAAATAGAAGACCCAGAGTCCATTGAAATTGGGAATTTTGCCGAATATCTCCTACTTTCTACAAATACCCAATATTCAGCATGTGATTGAAAGTGTAAATGGTTACCAAATTACGAGTAGTGATATCTCATAAAAAAGATTTACTTTTACTGTTATGTGTATGGTGAATCTCATGTCGTCTGACATTAATCGCTATCTATGGCTAACATCTAACGAGGTAGAGCTCAGCGAGTCAGTACTCAGACACCCAAAGCAACAGCTTCAAAAAAAAATACAAACAGGTATATCCTTATCAAACAAACGCAGGAACCATAATATTGCTCATCAAATCTTATGTCCTTTTCTAGTCAAGATCTACAGTTCTGTCAATGTATACACACATCCATCCTATCCATCTCTCTCTCTCTGATCTCTCGGCTCATCTCAGATCTCAGATGTGTCACAGAGGACACAAGAGTCACCAGAACAGCTCAAAATAAACCAAATTTTCAGCTTGAGAGCGTCAATTTATTGCCATGACAAGAATTGCAAAACCACCAAGTAAATTTCCCTCAATATATCAAACCCCCAAGATTATAGCACTTTTTCGAATCCATCTCCTGTATCGTATTTACGTCAATTCAGATTACCCGATTAGGCTATATTGAACCCGGATTGGGGCTGTGGAGCCGTGCCGCCAGATGAGGAAGTGTATAGCAAGCCACTTCCCTCCTCCCCTACTTCTCTTCCTTTCTTCTATCAAATTTGCTCAGTGTTGCATCTTTTTCTAGTCAACTATAGCAATAATGAAGCTACCTGTATCCACTTTGGCATTATTGGCCACTTGTGCCGTTGCACAGGGACTTACAATTCCGAATGTTGGCGATATCCAGACGCCAATGCAGCTGGGGGGCAACATCCAGCACTCGTTCAAGAACGCCGCTTCCACACTGCTGGACAAGGCAATTTCGGTCTTTGGTTCTACTGAAGGCCTCACTGATGAGCTGAAATCAACTTGGGCCGATATGGAGATGAAGTTCCCCACAATGATTTCTCAGATGTCGTTTGAGTCCAAGCCAAAGTTCAAGGTTGCCAAGAGACCTTCTTCGCACTACGATTTCCATGTGGCCAACGAGCAATTGTCCAATTACAAGCTCAGAGTCAAGAAGAACGATCCTGGTGAACTCGGAGTTGACTCTGTGAAGCAATATTCGGGCTATCTGGACGTTGAAGACGAAGACAAGCACTTTTTTTACTGGGCGTTTGAATCCAGAAATGATCCTAAGAACGATCCTGTCGTGTTGTGGTTGAACGGAGGCCCCGGATGCTCTTCTCTGACCGGATTGTTTTTTGAATTGGGTTCTTCTTCGATTGACGAGAACATCACTCCCGTCTACAACCCTCACTCCTGGAACTCAAACGCTACCGTGATCTTCCTTGACCAACCAGTCAATGTCGGATACTCGTACTCGTCGTCTTCCGTTTCGGATACCGTTGCTGCCGGAAAGGATGTTTACGCCTTCTTGCAGCTGTTCTTCCAACAGTTCCCCGAATACACCAAGAACAAGTTCCACATTGCCGGTGAATCTTATGCTGGCCACTACATCCCTGTGTTCGCATCCGAGATTTTGACTCACGACGAGCGTAACTTCAACTTATCGTCAGTCCTGATCGGAAACGGACTGACTGATCCTCTTACCCAATACAAGTACTACGAGCCAATGGCATGTGGTGAAGGTGGAGAACCATCTGTTCTGTCTGAGGCGGAATGCCAAGGAATGCTGGACACCCAGCCAAACTGTCTTTCTCTGATTGAGTCGTGTTATGATTCGCAATCGCTCTTCTCGTGTGTTCCAGCTGCGATCTACTGTAACAACGCACAGATGGGGCCATACCAGAAGACCGGTCGCAATGTATACGACATCCGTGCGATGTGCGAGGGTGGAAGTCTGTGCTACAAGGGCTTGGACTACATCACTCAATATCTCAACCAAGATGTTGTGAAGGAGAAGCTTGGTGCAGAGGTTGAAACCTACGAATCCTGCAATTTCGACATCAACCGTAACTTTTTGTTTGCCGGTGACTGGATGAAGCCATATTTCAAGGCTGTGACTGCCCTGCTCGAGGCTGACTTGCCAGTCTTGATCTATGCTGGTGACAAGGACTTCATCTGTAATTGGCTCGGTAACCAGGCCTGGACCGATGTTCTTCCATGGTCCGGAGCTGATGGATTCGCCGACGCCAAGGTGAGAAGCTGGAAGGTTGATGGCGAGAAGGCTGGTGAAGTCAAGAACTTTGAAAACTTCACGTTCTTGCGCGTTTACGGCGGTGGCCACATGGTTCCATACGACCAGCCAGTTAATGCCCTAAGCATGCTCAACACGTGGTTGGATGGAAAATACTCCTTTTAGGTGCGAAATCAGGCAGGCAAAGTCATCAGTGACTTTCGAATTAAGTACAAGATCAAGAAAACCATACCGACAAAAAGAAACTGGAGAATTCAGTAAGAGTAAAAGTAAAATGTTGAAAACTTAAAGGTACAGAGTGTGCCTTACTGTGAAATTCTAAAGCAGAAATAAAACACACATATACTGGTTATAGATTCGAAGGATACCCTCTTTTTTCCACCTAAGTTAATTCCTTGAAGATCAATCATTCGAAACAGTCAAGCATTTCTTCACTTACATGATTCTTTTTGATAGCCGATAAGGACTGACAGTGACGTGCGTGCACGTTCAATTTTCTCAGCGGCTAGACGCTTCGGCACTTAGTAAGCGCCGAGGAACAACCGAATCAACGACGAGGTCTGAATCTACTATTTTCTTGAAAACTCTCTGTTTAAGCAGTACAATCGTAAGAGGTCTATTATGACATAATATAAAGTATCACACGCAAAATCTCGTCAAAGACGGGCGCTTCAGAAACACTCGCAGTAGAATTAAGCGCCCAAAGCAAAGGACCCTTCTGCGGATGCGTTCATGCAAATTTCGATAAAAAACCAGACAGCCGTAGAGAAAAGCAAGCGGCAACCACTTTGTCAGGCCATTTCAGACCTAATCTAAGCTAAGCTGGCGATAGTCTGCTTGATAGCAGCTGGGTTGGCACCAATGACCTTACCGACAACCTCACCCTTCTTGAAGAAGAGAATGGTTGGCATGGAACTGACCTCGTTGGCGCCAGCAACCTCAGGCAACTCATCAACGTCAACCTTGTAGAAGGCGGCAGAAGAGTACTCGGCGGCGAACTTCTCGAGCAAAGGTGCAATCATCTTGCAAGGTCCGCACCAGGTAGCGAAAAAGTCAACAACAACGAGGCTCTCGGAAGAGATAACGGATTGGAATTCCTCCTTAGACTTGATAACAGCAACCATTATGATTTCTTGTATGTGTTTAGTGTGAGAAAAGTATGTATTTCAAACAGGGGAGAATAAGGAATGAAGAAGGACAAAGAAGGGATTATATATCTTTCTCAAACCGTTTGGCGGCGGGGGCGCGAGCGGACGGATCTTAGTAAACATTTGGTTAAACCACTCTTTTGCCTCCCGTTTCTTTTTTTTTGATTTCTTTTTCCAACGGTTGAGCCAAGGCTCACAACCACAAAGTTTGTGTGGAGAAGTTCGGATTTTGATAAGGTCCCAATAGAGGAATCAAACGGCCAATATTAGAGTACAAAATGGATTACTAATGCGGTATTCAGTGCATCTGATCTTTTTATATCGTCTGGTGCTAGTGTCTAAACGATTGGCGTGACAGCTTCCGCCGGAGTACCTGCAACGCTCCCAGCCCCACTGACAGACCCACTCGTATTGGACTTGTTATTCACAGTGTAGTACAGAGGACAACTTTTGTTCGTACGAATGTGACCCAATGCACCACAAGTAGCGCAGTGTCGACTCGTTGACTTTCCCTTGCCGATACCTTTCCCGCTGATTCTGCCCTCAGAATCAACGTTGCCAACTCTCTGTTCCTGGTCTCGTTGGAGACGTTCTAACTCCTCCTGAAGTCTCCGCTTGTTCCGTTCGTTCTCCTCAGCATCATCCGTAGGAGCAAACTGGTCAGGCTCAATACCCATCTCTTTTTCGATCTGCTTCTTTTTCATCAGGTACAAAGAAATCACCTTGGGATCCTTGATAATCTCTGTTTGACGTTGGACAATGCCGTTTTCATCTTTAACCATTCTCGTAATCTTGAGATGATTTCTATGCGTATTGTTCAATACACGGAGCTCCTTGTTCAATCTCTCACCAGCCTTTCTGATATAGTGTTCATCTTTCAAGATCGTCTGGTCAAACGGTCTAGAAGCATGCTTGCTCTTACCAAGACTTTTCTGCTGAGCATACCAGACTTTTGCAATTTCTTCGTCGTAGAGCTTTTGCTGGACGGCCACATTATAGCTGTGACCACCAGTAGCTGATTTTTTGCCATCCAGGTCGTTTGAGGCTTTGAAACCACCCTTCATCGAAGTTTTCAAGAACGAGAAAGCCTCGCCCTTGCCTGAAAAATCACCTTCACCGTGAATCTGGAGCATGGCTTTGCCTTGGGTTGCATTAATGAAGTTGCGCGACGTATTCCAGGGGGCAAGTTGCTCCTGCAAACTCTCCTCACTCTCCTTTTTGGCGAACATGTTTGCTTCCGGATCATCTGTGAACGAGGCGTAATCCTCCAATCTTTGGAGACCCACTTGCATAACCTCCAATAACGCAACATCTTCCGGTGAAATCATCTTTCTCGTATCTTCAATGGAAGGAAAAGCTTCCGTCTGCTTGATCTTCCAATATCCCTGGTCCTCACCATTACGCTGATACTCCATAAACTCCTTGAGCCTTTGGCGATTTTGCATGTCGTTCTGATCAGGGAAATGCACTGAAATATCTTTCACAAGCAATCTTTGCTGGTCGTTCATTCCGAGAACGCGGAAAACAACCATCTTTAGACGGTTCTTGGACGTGGTGGTAACTTTCCGCGAATGCGGACCCGGAACATCCACCACAGGCATTGTCTGGCCCACGGTGAACATGTAGGGAATGGAACGGATATAGCACCTTTGCGGATTTCCACCTCCCGAGCTTCGAACCACTAGAAAATCTGTCTGGTACGGATCGTGACGGAAAACAGGCGCGCGAACCATCCTATTATACAGCGTGGGGATGATGTTCCCTGGCTCTACGAAGCCGAAGTTCCAAAATGGTGATCTGTCCTGTGTTCCCAGAACATGAGTCTCACCCACGGGCAATTTCGGTCTCGAAGTATCGTCTTCGCTGCGTTTTCTATAGTAATTGATCAGTTTTGAGCCCATTCCGAAGTTGGAAAAGGCAATCGGTACCTCTTCACTGTATTCCAACATGAAAAAGGGAGCTGAATCACCCAAGGTTAAGTCTGAACTCTGGCCGAACAGTTCGTTCACCTCCTTGCCCTTATCACGCTTGCGCTTGCGAGTCTTTGGCTTGGCAAAAACCATTGTGGTGTAAGGTCTGGCCTGGAACTCTGGACGGTGGAACCGACGTACCTGCTCCTTGCGAAGTTTGACAGGGTAATAAGGCGATTGGAGGCGGATAGCGGGAAGCGTATGGTCAATTGAAAGGTTACCAACAGTGGAACGAACCCGAATCTGATAATTCTGCTTCAACATGTCGTATTCTTTATCGTTGGATATGTTGTAGCGCGCTTCCAGGAGCTTCTCGTTGGTGGGAACCATTGCCACGTTAAATCCCTTGCGCTTATTTTGCGAATGATCGACGAAGAGAAGATTGCTATCGTTCATGTCTAGCTTCAAGTTCAAATCACGGACATTAATAACCCCCTCTAGGATTGCATCATCATCAACGTTCCAGTTATCCAACTCAATCGGCTCAACTTTGAGTCGACGTGACGACGACACCTCCTCGCCACCGTTCAAAATCACTTCATCGTCCCAATCTGCCGTTGAAAGGACGAGATCCTTGTCGTAAGCCACAATACTGTCCATTGGCTTGAAAGGCTTGCTTGGTTTCGGTAAAAGGGCATCCAAATCTGAATCGGTGATCTGGACCACGCGCTTTTGCGTCTGCTGCGCCTTTTGTCGCTGCTGAGTCAGCCAGTTCTGTGTTCTCGCGTTTAATACCATTCTGAAAGTCTTTCGCTGATCCAGTTCCACCTCAAATGCCAATTTGCGCGGTATCAGTGGTTTTGCTGGAGCAGGTACCTGGTAGGGAAACTCGGCATTTTCCACCGGAAATAGACTCTGCATCCGTAGAGGCTTGCCAGGGATCAACGTAGGAAAGTACAGCTTGATTAACCCGCGTCTACGCCTCTTTTCACGCTCTTTTTTGGTGGCCGCTGCCTCTTGTTGTTTGAGCTTGGAGCCCTCTTGATGAAGCAAATTCTCGAAATGACCATCATCTTCCGATCCACCAATGAAATCACCGCTATCCATGTCAACATCTTCAAGCTCAAGATCTGCTAGACCTCCATTGCCGCCAACGGGCTCGCCAAAGTTGATCGGAAGAGCCTCGTCTTCATCCACGCCCTCCATGGCTTCTGCCTCCAGCTCTTTCATGAAATCATCTTCGTCCTCTGCAACAGCGGGCACACCAGCAACTTCTTCATTATCACCATCATATTCTCCATTATCACTTTCCTCTTCTTCGTCTGCCAATTCGTCCTCGTCGCTGAAATCAATCGCATTGGCAGCGTGCTCGGTGGACCCGTCAAACATATCTTCTAGGTTCCCGAACTGCCCGCTCAGCGCCATGTCAAAATCGTCATCGGCCGAGTTACCGACTTGATCGCCATCATTAGAGGCCATTTTTGCGAACACGCGCAAAAATATTCGCTTCGGTGCTGATAAGATGGAGGAGAAAGCAAGTTCCTTGTTATATTTTGGAGACAGAGACTTGAGATTTGGAAAGACCATATTCTGCTTCGGTACACGACGATATCTTGTTTTAATTTTCGCACTACCAGGGTACGCGAGGACTCGTTCTGTTAACTATGCTGTTCAACAAGATCGTAGGTACACATATCCACGCTTTACACCCCCACCATAATGGCCATCAAAAATAATCTTTACAAGCAGTCACTAGTTAGGAGTGCAAACTCTCATCTGAACTTGCTGGACCAGCAGTCTGGTGAAAGACGCTGGACTAGAGACTGGTTTAACCCTCCGAAGCCCAAGACGAACGAAGGAGGAATCGCAAACGGGATCAATGGAATCGTTGGATCGAGCGCTCCGGATTCGCAATCCACCACACCTCAGCCGGTTGCGATATATCCGTTTGAATTGAAGACGTGGGTATTGAAGACGGATGAAGCGAGTGAGCCAATTGTCGATGGAGACGATGACGACTTCATAGATTTGACGAAATTCACAACTGGTGAGCCTACAAACACGGAATCTGAAGCTTCTGGCTCGCGGACTGATTCAGGACTGAGTGCAGCTGATATAAAGGGTGCTGTTGGCGGGGATGCCATTCCTGGGTTCTCTAGCAGTGCTGCTCAGGAGATGAAGGAGAAAGAGCTACAAAACCAAGCCTCTTTGGACTCGGACAAGGAGTCATCACAGACACCTGTAGCAACGCCTTCGGAGACACCGGCTGAAACTCCTGCTTCTACCGCAGATTCGACCCCAGAAGTATCGGAGCAGGTGGGAACGACAGAGGCTTCGGCGGAAGCCTCTGCTCAGGTTTCTGCTCCAAGTGGAAGTGCTAGTGTGTCTGAAACGCCATCCTCGCTAGAAATTGTGGCAGAGCCTTTCGCAGCAGGTGCCCTAGCCGGGGAGACCGGAGAGTCCACAGGTAACTCAGAGTCCCAGACGGACGCCGACGGAGATGTCCAGATGAACTGAGGATCAGGACATTGTACACTAACTGGAGCCAAGACAATTGTTGTTGAGCACAAGATAAACTACGAAGGGATGGAGCAAATGATTAGAGAAAAGGGCAAGAGCACAGATGATGAAGGTGAGGAAAAGACCAGGTTTTGTGATAACGGAGCTCCTGGACTGAAGTATAGTTGCATTCATGGGGCTCAAAACCCTCAAAATCGCTGCAACTAACTCAAAAGTGCTCAGATTTCCTTCGTTCAGCCGTGCAGCACGGAGACATCGTGCATCCATCCATTCCTTCCGCCCAAGATTGTATAATATTGTGATCCAGGAATAGACTGGTGATACCGGTTGACGATTCAGCTATTTGGTATAATTCCAGCTCCGAATAATTGAAAAACAAGGCACCTTCCAGTAATCAATTCTAACTCTTTAAATGCGCGTTAGAGAGCCCTGTCCGAAACTTGATTCGGCGGTACACGCTTAACTAAATCAACACTAAGCGTAAACACTTTAAGCCGCAAACCCTTGTTTTACCCTCAACATCTACAACGTCTTATCCCCACGCTATGAATAATGCAAAAACAGGCTTCTGGGATAAGTTCCTGAACAATTCTAAGTCAAACCAGGGCACTTGGAGTGCACGAGCCAAAACGCTGCTGGTGCTGGGAGGAACTGCTGAACAGCAACGCGACCTGGTGAAGAATCTACACATAGAGGCCGAAAACGTCACCATCAACAACCGTTTTTTTGGAAATACAAGAGCAGAGAAGAATCGTTTTGTGCCTGAGATTGGTGTGAGCGAAGCATTTTTGGGATACTCATATATTGAGTACAGGGACGACATTGATTCGAAGGTGCTGACTTCCTTCCTGAATCTGTACACGTTTCCAGGGGAGTTTTTGCCTGAAAAAGCAATTTTTTTGCATCAGTTCGCAAAAGTTGACCCAATGGACTTATTCGTGATAATTCTGACACCTACTGGGCAAAACATCGCCAAAAACATCAACTTAGAAGAGTTGTTGATAACGCGTCGCGACCTTGCCAGATGGATAAACTGTGTTAGGGACTTGTTCAAAGACGTGTCGAAAGATATATTTATACAGCAGCATGCGGTAAGCAAGATGGATTACTCCGACATTGCTTCTTTTCCAGTTTCAGTGAGACAATTGCCATCAGGTTTGGACCAGGGAGAGTGCAGTGATCCTCTGGGATGCAATCTAATGATCCTGGTAACGGATTCGGACAAACACGGTCAGGATCGGTTTGGATCAACGATTTTGAATGCGTCTGAGGTGGAGATGTTTCAGCAATGCTTGAGAGTAATATGCCTCAATCACGGTGCCTCGTTGGCTTTCCTGCCTGATTCACCGTCTGAAGAGAATTACGCTCCTGTATTGCGGGCAATCAACAGAGCAATTTCTCTGAAGATACACACATTGTTAGGGGAAAAGGCAAATACCCTTCCACAACCGGCTTTGGACTCATACGAGAACATTTTTGTTCCTGCCGGATGGGATTCCTGGGGCAAGATTTCGTCCAACGATGAGTTTGATTGCTCGGCTGTGTCAAGGATGTGGGAGGAGCTGCTGATGAGAGAAAATGGAGAAAATAATGATCAAATTTTACACAGCAGGGACGAAGCCTTACTTGAACATCCTAGAAGTGTTTTCAACGATTTTTTGCAGGGTATTTACGAAAAACAGCAGAGCAGGATAGCGCTATCATAGAAGACCAACACGTGAGGATGTTGCGGGGCATTCCAAGTGTATTTCCACCTAACAGTTTTTGAAAAGATAGTTGCTGAATTCTAGAAAAAGAGAGAATCTAACTAAGGGTCGGAAAAGAAATCAAATACGAGCTTTTGGTTGCTTGTTGAACCAATTTTGTTTGCCTTACTGAATGTAATGATCAAAGAACTGGGTCAGATAATGAAGGGACTGCTTGTAGTACCTCTCCTGGGTGGTATAGTTCACATATTGCAACCCAAATTTCACCTCCAGTCCACTGTTCCACTCCAAGTTGTCCATCGTACCCCAGGCAATTGCCCCTTTGATTGGAATCTTGTCCTCGTTATACGCACCAAGGATCTCCCGAAGATAGTCTTGAAAATAGATGGTTCTGTCGAGATCATACCGAGCCTGGCCAAGTTCCATTTGGCTTTCATGATACACCGGAAACCCGAATTCGGTAATGATAATCTCGTTTGGTGCGTATGTAGCGTTGATGAACCGAAGAGCATCCCGGAACAGTTGAGGCGTGTTGAAGTTGTGGCTTGTGCCACCAGCAGGACCGGTTGGCCAGCCACCAGGTGCAATATTGGTGGACACGGCACAAGAAGGCCAATTGGCATCTGACACATTGGCAACACATGCGTCGAAGCCTTCATCTGGTGCGGTATAGTAGTGTCCGTTATAGAAGTCATGGGCATAGAAATCGACGGAACTTTTCACGAGTGCAATCTCCTCTTTGGAGAATTTTGGCAGAATATCGCCAAGTATCTCCTTGTGCAGATCTGAATAGTCTCCTTTCCAAACGGGATGACCAAACCAATTGATAGCTAGGTTGTTTTGTCTCTGAGATGCCCGGATGTCGTCTGTCGAGTTGGTCAATGGCTCCGAGTAGAACCACGCGCCCTTATATGAAACTTTAGCGGGTCCATAAACAGGTTCAATTTCTTTTCTGAGAATATCAACTGCTTTGGCATGAGCCAACAAAGTGTTGTGTCCACACTTATAAATGATCTCGTTGGTGGTGAGATTTGGCCTGGCAAAAAGTTCCGCGGGTGTCTCTTCGGTCAAACGAGGGTACAAATTCGAGCATGCTAGTTCGGGCTCATTCATGGTGATCCAAGTCTTGACCCCCAATGGAGCTAGCGCTTCAAACACCGTTCTGGCGTAATTGGCATAATCGTCGACGATCTGCTCTCCCAAGAAACCATAGTACCAGTCCTGAAGTGTTTGTGGGAGATCAAAATGGAATAGAGTAACCACAGGCTCGATTCCCAGTGAAATGAGATAGTTCACCTCGTCAATATAGTGATTCAGACCAGCTTCGTTTACAGTTCCGTTTCCGAAAGGAAAAATCCGAGTCCACGAAACCGACAACGAGTACGTCTTGATCCCAATTGCTTTCAGTCTTTGAGCATCCTGCTTGTACAGATAGTAATGGTTATCGGCTATATCACCTGTAGTTCCGTCGGTGATGAACCCATCTACTAGATGTCCGAGAGTGTCCCATACGCTTGGACCTCTTCCATCCGCATCGACAGCACCTTCGTTCTGGAATGCCGCACCTGCCAATCCCCATAGGAAATCTGCCGGAAGTCTGTATTGCGATTCCAATTTGGGCATAACTGGAGGAGCAATCAGATCAGTAGAGGGAATTGGAGTCGGTTCTGCAACGGTAGTGACGTCGGCGTAAGAGACGTTCAAGGGTGCCCACAATGAGCTTAACAAGGAAGAGGTATAAGCCGCATCGATGGAAGCAGAAGGAGCAGCGGTGATGCTCGTTGAAGTGGAATGATGCTTGACTGGTGATGAGGCTACATGGCCCAAGCAAAAAGCCACAGATAGCAGGATTTTGTGGATAAACATCAGTTGAGCTTTTATTGATGGAGCAACCCAGTACCTAGGGAGCTGGGCCCCGACCAAGCCTTTTATATCATTTTCCCTCGAGCGCACAGGAAAGATTTACCTTGACGATCTTTTCAAACAGTTGGTGCAGTAAAGTGCATGAGGTGAGAATATACGGAACATACTTGTGAAAGTCTGCCGTATGTGGAAAGGTGGGCCGCTTGCGTCTAGCTGGTCCTGATGCTGGGGTATGAATCCGAATGAGAGTATTTATCCGAGCTGGAATAGGACTGGCGAACTGGGTCAAGTGAACTCTAGTACAGTGCTTGGGAATTTAATTTGTTGAAAATATGAGAACTCAAAAATGCAAAAATACCCCTGGTATTCGTCTTGAGGGACATTTCACGTCCCCTCAGTGGCATGCAAGTGCTCCTTGGTTCGGAAGAATTCATCCCCACATATGCATGACTGCATCACCCGGACATTTGACTCCGGCGATTTGAAAGTTTCACCTTGAATGCTTGTAAACGGTTCAGATGAACAATTTTCCCTGATCCAGAAAGGATGTGCTCAGAAAAACTTCGAATATCAGAGGATTACGTCGGCGAGTCGCACTTTTCTGGAGGCTCTGCACTTGCTGGGCAAAGTTATCTGCCAAAACCGGTAATCCCAAATTCGTACACTTCCGCTTTCAAAAAAATCAAAAGGATTCCTGGAGCGTCGATCACAGCATTGACGTTAACGCAATTAGCCACACCCAACACGCATTTTCCTAGCTAACATGCGCCAGTATTCTCTGGTAAATTAGTCGATCACCGCATTGATGTTAACGCAATCAGCCACACCCGACACGCATTTTCCTAGTTAACATGCGCCAATATTCTCCGGTAAATTAGTCGTTCGGATAAAATTTGCGCTTATTGCCGAAATCACCTCCGATAGATTAGGCAACAAGTTTGAATGAAACAGATGAACTTTCATTAAAAGTGGAGTGAACGATTGTAGATTTAATGATGAAAAATTGGTGAGAATCCCAAGAAATACATCTAATTTGAGAACACATCACAAGCTTGTGGCAGAGAAAATCTATTCAAGTATTAAACCATCTTAGAAATACTGATCTCAGTGACTTCATTATTACAAATAAACTTCTATGGATAGAAAATCCTGTATTACAAACATTTAATGATTGAACCTTGACTCAAGCTTTGAAATGAGACGTATCACGTGATAAAAGATTTCCGTTACGGAGCCCCGCCCAAATTAAACCACCCGCGCCCATAACCATCAACTTTTCAAAAGTCAACGATTCAACCTTTAGCAGAAACTTAACTTCAGTTGCCGAAGACTCCACACCACACCGACACGGATTAACAACTACAACCATGTCCAACAAATTTCGTTCTGTCAAGTGGCTGGTGAACAACAACTACGCGCCGCAGGTGTATCTATTCAGAAATATCGAGTCTGGCCAGGTTGCCTACTCTCAGCTTCCTCACATCAACGTAAGTGACTTGTTTCCAAATACCATCGTCCTCATTTCTGTTTAACTAACTTTTCTAGACATATCAACTCAAGACCCAATGGTGGCGCCCTAACTGGGAAAACCGCAAACCATCTAAACGGCGTGACATTTGGAGGGTGATGGCCGTGGCCACATTCGAAGACCATGAAAAGGCTTTGAAAGCCTACAACGCCCTGGTCGAGTTGAGATATATGAGAGAGGTGACCAAAAGAAAAGAAGCAGAATCACTCCGTAAACGCAACAGTGATGGAAATATCTGGTATTACGCCCAATATAGGCCCACGTACTCGATGGAGTCAGTGGCCGACTTATCAGAGGTCATAGACCAGTTCAAGTTCAAGACCAAGATTCACTGGGAAGATATATGGAGGAAAGGAGAAGACAAGCATTGGAGCGCAGAGCTAGCTGAGCATATCGAATTGCCCAAGTTCAATCCCAGAGAACGGTTTGCTGTGCTGGATCAATTGAGAGAGGAAACCTTGAGGGAAGCGAAGGAAACGAAGGAGATTGTTTAGATAGATTGGGCTACTTTATCCGTGTATATAGAATGGAAGTCATTTATTGTCAACTAAGGTTAATTTCCCTAAAAATTGCGTCTCTGGTTATGTACTGATGATGGTTTGAGAGGTAGTGAAGGTGTAATCGGGTATTAGGCTGAAGTGCAGCAAACAGGTGACATCTAAACGAGACCGATTTATTTGATTTTGTTCATTGTCCTTGCTCTTTGGGCTTCCTCATTTTGTTTTTGCATCCTCAGGCTCATCCTCGCTACCTGAATATACTGCTTTCTCCTTCTTGACACTGGCTTTTACTCTCCGATTCTTGCGATCCTGCAAGTACTCATGGTACTTTTCCAACGTGATGCGCCGCTGCTCGTCTCTGTACTTGTCGATCTCCTTGAAGTCGGTCTTGAAAAATTTATCCCAAAATGTGAAGAAAGGCTGCGAAAAGTTGGATTTGATCCCAAAGTGCTGGTGATGGATATCATGGTACATCGAGTTGTTGGGAAAGAGCCACTGGAATGGGTCATAAGGCAGCGCATAGCCACAATGATCATCCACGGTCTTCATTGTGGAGAAAGTGAAAAGAATTATGGTTTCACGAGGGGTCAGACGCATCAAAATTCCGGCCAGTCCGGCCCCGAGAGTATCCAATAAAAATCCCTCGACCGGATCATTGAACAGAGCCCCAAACGCGTAGGGCACATACAGCTTGTGGTGCCTTGAGTGAAACCTCCGATAAAGAGTTTTATTCAAGTGCATGAGCCTGTGAAGGAAGAATTGCCACGTGTCGATAACCACAAAAGCGCACACGATCTTTATCAAAGAGAATCCGTAAGTATACACGAGATATATCACCTTCGCTGGTACGGACGGAAAACGATGCTGCAATTCCCACATTTCGCGCAGCTCAAAGCCTGTCATAGGGGTTGGATCCAACAGGAAGAAAACGTAGCCAACTGTGGTTTGAACAATATGCTGGACGATCACGTCGTGGATTACTTCGGCCTGCGAAACCGTGTTTCTCGATAACACCTCTTCGCTCGGGTGAATCCGATACTTCTCCGCAAGCTCGTAAAGATCGACCAGGTGGAAAAATGTGGAGAAGATCCAGTATGCAATCACGGGTGCGGCCAGAGATAACAAGCCATCCGGTAATCCGTGTATCAAGTCCGGTTTCGTTTGTATGGAGGAGGCTGGAGCGAACTCGGCCCTGAGCAACTCGGTGACATTTCGAGGAAAAATCTCAAACATTGCGATGAAAGTGTGATGGTCAGCTATGGGTATCTTGCAAGTTCTTGCTGTTGTGTTTTCGGACTAAAACCGGCAAGTTTGGTGGAACTTCGCTATTAATGAGGCGGTCGGGGTGGAGCAATGCAAACAAGCCGAGGTCCGGCGACGAAACTCAAACAGAAAAATGCGGCGAGCTATAACTAGCGGGTTATCACAAAAGACTTTTTCCGGTCTCGATGCTAATCCGAACCGAAAGGAAGTACAAAAGCAAACGCGGTTTTGGTGGAATAACAACAGTAGAGAGGCAAGAAAAAAGACATGAGATTTAATTACTGGTCTGCCAACGTGATGGGTGAGTAGTTTGCCGCCGAAAAAAGCCGCACTGCAAGCTGGACCATTCATTGTTCTCGTTCCCTATTCACTATCTACTATTAAGACCAACAATAGTCTTCATTATTCTTTGTATACCAGGTTGTTTTCAGGTTTAATAATGCTCACGGGCTTTGGTTTCATCTCAGCCTACAAACAATACGACACAAAACTATGTTGAAAGGTTCATGCAAGCGATCACGTGATCATTGAAAAGAAACTTTGACACTTTAGAGCAGATCTTGGATCCAGAATGCGTCCTTTTAAAGCATGAAAAATATCGGGTTATTGAAAAGCGGTATTAAAAGCTCATTTGGGAGTACGTGCCCCAAATCCTGCACTAATCCCGTTTGTCTTCACTTTCACATCATCAAACCCTAGTTCGCACATGTAAAGAGCCAGATCAACTAACGCAACGGATCTCACAAACCCGTAAATGCCAGATTCTGGCGTAGTTTTCAAAATCAGGGACTGATCACTGCCAAGTCTTTGCCTGAACCTCTTTGATAGAGGGAATTCCGATCTTTCATGGTAGCAACAAGGACTGACCAAAACAGGCCCCAGCTCCAACGGGAAGCCCAGAGACCCAGGATCAGACCATGCGGCAAGCCACGATTTTACGGCAGTTATGGCAAGATCGCCACAGAGGTTTAATCCAACAAGGCACACACTGGGAACATTGACTGGCGTCAAAACTCCATTCTTCCATCCGACCCTAGAGTCCATGCCAATCAATTTTTGGCTCTCACGGAGTATCCCAATCAAATCGTCGGGAGTCTGAAGGTCTGACTGAACCGTGTGGAGTCGTTCGTGGCCAGAGGCCGTGGTTTTCCCCGAAGCAGATGCCCTTGAAGCCAATCGGAGCTCGTCACCGTTGACTAAACGATGCACATGCAAGCTTGATTTGTTCTTTATCCAGTTGCGATCAATACATATAACACGCCTTTTGAAGTGGTTGCACAATATCCGCGATAGATATCCTTTTCCTGACGCGACTTCCACCATAACGGTATTCTCTTCAGTGCAAATCTCGTCAGCACGAAGGGCAAAATTCCAGTTCTCAAGAAAACGTGTCCATGTCATCCCCAGCGAAAGGCCTGTGTTAAATAGGCGCTTTGACCTTTCATCTGAATGAGACTCAGTGTCTTTAGATTCCACCAAACACAGATGAGAAAGAGCTTTCGTATCTAACCCAGCCTCCAGTTGATTCACTGATTCCAAAAGCTGCTCAAGATAATCAGACCCGTTGTTGAAATGTGTCTGGTCATACTCGATATATGGCAAGGCGATTTCCATCAAAAGACTGGGGGCCTGCTTTGGCTATGAGGAGTGAGGCTTTGGTCTCAAAGATGGAGATATAATTTAGAGTAGTGTGCTACCAAACCAGATTTCCAGCCGCACACCACGACTTAGTTAGTGTTGAAGAAGCCTAGAGCTGGCTTACCAGGTTAACCGAACCGTTGGTAAGAATTTCTGAAAAAAATAAGACTAGTGCTGACACAAAATCCAATGGAAAGGTCTTCACACGATAACAAATAATCTCCGAAGAGTTTGCGGGTGTTATCTCGACAAGTCGGCAGCTGAGCCATCCGCAAAACCCTTCTGCCAATGGTCCTCGGCCCCCCATCTTTACCAGCCACGTAGTGCAAACTCTAAAACCAAATGTGGCACAGTATTCCTCAATCGAGCAGAGGATGTGGCACTGCAAGCTCCATGTGTTATTTTTTCCACAACTTGTGTATAAACAGGCTTCAGGGACCACTTTCATCGCTTTCAAAATCTTCAAATTTCACTGAATTCAAGTGAAAGAACTGAGCAAATTTTTACAGCCTTGGTGCAAACTACAAGTTTTTAGTTTCCGCTCCGTTTCGCACCATTCTGGCCTTCCGTTCGTTTCCAGAGCTGCCCCTCTGCTGTTGCTGCTAATTTCACCTTTTGCTAACAAGACCAAACCGACCAATCGGCGAGCTTTCCCACCATTTGAACCAGATTTAGAGCCTTAGAGGCTACATCACAACAGACCCACATAATTGGGAGAAACATTCATTACAACCATCTCCAATCGGATCACAACACCTCTTTCTTTATCATGGTTGTCCGCACCAACATCTCCACACCCTCGCTGCCCGATCTGGAGGAGGAGGATTTCACGGAAGTGGAGATTTCCGGGCCTTCGACAGGATTTCGGATTTCTCGGCCCGTGTCGTTTGAAACACCGACCGGCCTCGGAATTAGCGTACCCCAGAGGCGCCCTAGTGACTCCATCATCGGCAACAAGGGTCTTCAGCCTTTGACAGCTTTGACAACAGACAGATCTGCCGAAAGACCTACATCGGGCTCTTCCCAGGATTCGGATTGCTCCGAAGACAACCCGACCTCAAGACTGAGCTCCATGACCTCGGTATCTACCTCGATTTTCGCGTCACCTGATTTGGCGTCGCCCAAACAGATCACGAGTTCAGCTTCGAACTCCACCATCACGTCTGCAACTACTGTTGCGTCAGCCATAAGCCCTCAGCATCCACAGCCACGGCCTAGAATGCTGCATTCCATGGCCTCTTCTCCGAACATCGGACTTAATCGCTATGACTCGGCTGTTTCGCTTGCCAACTCGGCAACATCGTTGGCCAATTCGTCTTCCACAACGCTACACATGGGCCACCGCAGTTTCCACTCCAGTGAGACTACTTTGGCAGCTACAAGGAGGCCACGTTTTCACAAAAGCGCATTCAAAAGCTCGGTTCGCTCGGCCAATCGTGCTAAGCAGTATGAGGAGCTGGAGTCAGATGACGAGATCCCGGAGAACTCACAAATCTGGAATATCCCGCTTGCAGCTTCGTCAACTTCCTCGCTTTTTGTCAGTGGAGCTCCCGAGTCCGTTAAGAAGGCGTTTGATGACTCAAATGCGCCATTACCACCCAGCCCATTGCCTTCAGGGCTCGGATTTCCGGTCCTTTCCTCCAAGAATGACAGGAAATACAAAGTTGCGAGCCAGGACTCTTTTCTCAGTCTTTCCCCCATTGCCAAGGAGATATCCACATTCTACGAGGCGTCGGGTGAGAGCTTCTTCCAAAACGAGCTCAAACAGCGCAAATCGCTTAGTGTGAATGTCACTGGACCAGAGCAGATAGCCCAGGCTGGACTTGAGGATTTTAATATCATTTCCAAGGAAAAGTGCGAGACTGTTACTCCAACGCGACCAATGTGGCTTCCTCCAAAGGAGAAGGCTGAGTCGCGGAGGCATGAGCGCGAATTCCGAAGGATGGTTGAGAAGGCTGGACATTTGGAAAGACAGAAAAATGAAGCCAGAGAACTCTATAGACGGACCAAGCTGGTCAATGACGCGAGACTTGAGTATCTCGGTTCTAAGGAACGACTCAGCTCGGCGAATTTGGCTGAAGTCAAGAAAATGGCGTGGAAAACGGGAATTCCAGCCTCGTTGCGATTCCGCATCTACTCCAAGATCTATTCCCACGAGAAGAAGCCTTTTGATTTGGCCTATGGCGATTCCGCGAGACTAAGCACACCAAAACAGCACTCTTTGGACACAGCCACACGCTTTAACGTGGATCAGAAATCACTAGCAACTCTCCTGGAGACAGTTTCCGTGTTACCAACACGTTTCGGCTCCAATGAGCTATGTGCATCCTTGATTGATCTAGGATTTACGGTTCCGCAATCACTGACTGTTCTCAACCTCTTGAAACAGTCTATGTCATCTCCGGATTACATTGCCAAGTTTAACGGAGCCGTGCAAACAAACGAGAAGTTCCGCAGTCATTTGACTGCCGACTACCGCGACGAGCTTTCTGTTCTTAATCTCGATATTGCCAGCTCTGTTTTGCAGGCGAGCTTTCCAGTGCGGGTTCTCTCGCGACTGGTGGAGATTCTTCTGGTTGATCCAGAGGACTACAGGTTACTTCTAGCTGTGATGGTTGTTATCATCAAACATCACCATTTTGGCTGGGGCAATCTGCAAAATCTCATGATGGACAGAAAGGTATTTACTATCGGAGACTCCAATGCTTTTTTCACGAAAGTTTATTCGAACTACAAAAAGCTCCGAAGTATATGAAGAAGCATCTGCTTTTGGATTTCAAGATACTAAATGACGTTTGAGTTTTCATCACACAACAACTGTTATTATTAAGATGCATCACATGGCCCTATTGTTATTATCATGACCAAATATTTTCTTTCCTTCATAGTTGTACTCTAAAGGTTTCGGTCTTAATTCACCGCATCATTACAATTTGAGCTCAATGGTTGATTTTTACCAGATTTAGTTTTCAATAAACCTTCACCAGGCTTTGTTCTCAAAACAGGTCTATATGCAATTGTCTCATTGACTCATCCACTTAGCTTCATTCCTGGCACTTATTTCAGTAATAATAATCTCGATCGAACATCCGGCTTCAACAGCCCATATTACAGCCTTTCCTTTCATTGTAACTCAGGTATCGCTTCGTCATTCACTCCCCCATTTCCTGTCCCATTCCCCATGATGGTTTCGTCAGCACCATTCTCCTCTAGATCGTCGTCGTCGTTTTCACCAGAAAGATCCACTCCGCCAAACACAGACTCAGTTGGCATCCGCCTCATATCCTGCTGTTCCCTGAATAACGGTCCAATCTTCTCGATCCACTTGGCTCGTTTGTCCAGCAGAGCCCGGAAACCACTGTTAGCAGCCTGCTGCTGAGCGCTCAACGCTTCCGATTGGCGAGTCATCGCAACATGTGCAATCGCTCCTGGACCTCTCTTCTTGGCCTTTTTCAACGGCACAGTGATGCGCCTACGGTATGCTTGCTCAACCTGTTTGTCCAAATCCTCCAGAATCGACATGTACTCCTGCCAAGCAATTTGCTCCTCAACAATGGGAATAAGACTTTCCTTACGTTTTTGGTTCCGTTTGGTTACAGTCTTCAATTCTCGCTGCAGCTTGCGAAGTTCCACACAAATCTCATCGTCTTCACGCCCATTCAGCCAATCCTCCTGGAATTCGCCGTTCTTTTTCAAAGAGCCATTCTCAGCACCATTCTTTGCTCTCAGAGTCTGTTCCACATTCATATATACTCCGATATACTTGAGTTCTCTCTTTAGTCTCTGCTCCAACGAGCTGTAATCCGGTGCAGATGCAGTGCTTTTCCATCCGGGGCTGTCTTCGCCTTGGTCCTCGTCATCTGGATCGCTCTTGATATCATCGTTTAAGTCCTCTTCCTGCAGAATGGCTGAAAGAAGACGTGATGCTAGAGGACCACAGGATATGTCTTCTGTTTCCAATGTCTCATCTGTAAGATCTTGGGCTGATCCTTTTGGAGCGACTAAGTTGCGCGAATGCTCATTTTGAAGAGCCATGGCCTGCGCAGTAGCCCCACCTGCAGGTTTGGGTACCCCCGTTCCGGAATTAGCTGAGTCCTCTTCTGCCCAAACATCACCATAGAAAGGCCCCATCTTCGGGATAATGAATGGGGTTAGCCTGTCGTCGTAGTCTTTCGGCAGAGTAGATGGTAAATTGACTCTCGTCTTAAGAAGCTTGATATCCTCATCCGTGTACGGCCTGAAATAGGGCTCAATGTAGGACTGAAATGTCGTGAATGGAATCTGATTGGGCGGTTTGTTTTTGGAGAAGTCGATATCGGGGATCTGACCAGGCAACATATCCTTCAAATCGCGATGAGGAAACACAGCCACACCATACTTGCGCTTCTTGAACTCATCATCCACAAGCTCCGGGTCTTCAGGTTCTTCTTCGACGTAAAGACCAAGAACGGAAATGGCGTCAGGAAGTACCTCTGCTACATTGACCTCTTTCTTGAAATTATCTGCTACCTCGGTCCTGGCCTCATCCTTTGGTACAGCATCTGCTTCAGACACAACCGAGTCGTTATTCTCAGCATCTGCAACGCTTTCGTCATTGTCATTATCATCGTCTTCTCCAGGGTTTTCAACGTCTTCATCGTCTTCTTCCCCATCTTCGTCTTCCTCAGCCTTCACATCAGCCAGTTCCGTTTCAGATTTTGGTTCTGAGGGACTTTCAGCCTCAACAGTCTCGCCGCGTTTTCTCCGTTTGGGTGGTCTTGAATCTTCATCCTCAGAAGCAGAATGCACGGCTTTATCAACTGACTCTTTAGTTTCAGCCTCCGAATCGGACCTATTCTTCTCATCTTCAGCGGAAATCGCCTTACTACGCGACCTTTGGCGGCCCCTTCGACCAGGGAGACCTCTGGACACTTGTGGCGGCGATGGCGGCGCCTTTGTCTTTGATTTGGGCTCCGAAAGCTCGTCTATCGCACTGAGAACATCGGAATCGCTTGCGATTGTAATATCCAACCGTGCAATCAACTTTTCCAAGGTGCGCTGTATAGAAGAGAGCACCGAGTCGCTCGGTGCGTTGATTATGGAGTCACCTTGGAGCTGTCCAAGTGACGAATCAAAAGTCAAATCAAGCTCATCTAGTATTTGCATCAACATCGTGGATGGAGTACCCGGAATCGACTTACCTTTCCCGGCACCAGAGCCGGATCCGGAAGATTCTGCAGCTCCATTCTTGCGAGCTTTTACACCGTTTCGGTTTCGCCCGTATGCTCTGGGAGGCATTATGTGTTGGTGTCTTGTGTGGAGGATGGCTACAACAGAAGCCTGGAGATCGTCTCTGGAATCTGTTTTCCTCGTGGAAATTTGCTCTGCAGACCTGAAACCACACCAACAAGGTATCTCTTTTGAATATTCAAAAGATCACCAGTTCTGGTTGATGAATTGAGGCGTTGGTGAGTGTCATTAGTCTTGTGGTGGTGAAGATGGCCCGGCGCACACGACGGAGATGAGGGTTGCGAGCGATGGGACCATTTTTGCTGATTCGTGCACTACAAATAGTTTTTCAAATGGATATAAATTGGTGAAATACGAGTGAATATATATATATGTAAATAGAAGTGAATTCTCATATTCATCTACATATCTGCACACCATGCTTCTATCCAAACATCGTATCTGTTAACTATATACAAGCTTCACGCAAACGACCCTCCAATTGCATCCTTGAACGGATTGAACTTCTTCGCATTCTTATCCTGGGGTTTCCTCCATTCCTTAGGAAAAGAATACTGTCTTTTGGCATGGTGCCATTGCTTTTTGTCTTTCGCCGTAATGTGCCTCACATCCAGAGGGATGTCCGCGAAAGTCTCGTTGGAAAGGTCCTTCGACTCTCTCAGCAAAGCGTTCAGTGTATCGCTCAAGTATCTGGAGTTCTGTGTAGCCTCTGCAAATCTGTCACTCGACATCTTGAAAGTGTCAGTCTTGTAGTTGTATCTTACGCCCGCGAGCACCTTAAACTTGTGGGCTTCAGCCTCTCCCAGACCGAGATCGGCAACAACAGTGGTCAAAACAACCTTCTTTTCGGCAGGATGGTCCTCTCCGAGATATGATGTGTAACGTAGCTTGACTGGAGTCTCGGTGGCTTTTATTGGAGTGTATTCCTGTCTGAACTTGGCCAGATGGGGCATCTCATAGGCCGCAATTCGGTTGAACTCTCTCTGTTCTCTGTGCTCATCAATAATATCTTGCGTAACAGTTGAGTATTCGTCATGCTCGTATTTGGGAAATTCCAGCTCATCGTCGTCTTCCTCGTCAATCTCCAACATGGTCTCAGATTCAAGCTCACCACCGTAGTACAGAGCTTCGATTTCGTCGTATTTCAACCCCGAAACGGAGGAAGTCGACAGAAGTGCCTCAAGTTCACGTGGATCACGCTTGTACTCTGTTCCCAGAGCGGCCAACCTCATTTTGTACAATTTGAAAATCTCGTCCGGGTTCCTGCCCCTCCAGGCTTCGGGTCTCAGGTGTAAAGGCAGCGGGGTCACCTGTTGCATACGAACAGCAGACATGCTCAGACGCCTAGCAAAAACCGCTATCCTCACCATATCTAGATAAAAAATTAGGTTGTTGTTGGGTGTTTAGGTATGGTTGGCTTGTCTTGGAAAGGCCATTTTTCGTCAATGAGCCAAAAGACATCGCGACACGAAGAGCATTGCAGGCCAACGCTTTGTGCTGAAAAGTGGGAAGCGCACGCCCAAATACCTGCAGCCTGCAGCATGATCTTTTTGTATAAGAACTATCGATATTTCAGCGTACATTTAAAGCTAACCTTCTTTATAACCGTTAGGATACATATGAAAACACTAGAATTACAGAAAACAGCCGTATGACCTCTTCGTGGTTTATTCGGTTGTTTCAGCCGCGGCCTTCTTGCTCTTCTTCTTCTTTTTCTTCTTTTCGCCAGACTCATCGTCTCCAGATCTCTTCTTAGGAGATTTTGATGGAGAAGCTTCGGTTGAAGCTTCGTCCTTTTTCTTGTGTTTTTTGGCAGGAGTTTCTGAAACGGCAGCAACAGGCTCAGCAGGCTCAGCAGGCGCAACAGGCTCAGTAGGGTGCGCAGGTTCGGCAGGGTTCGCAAGTTCAACAGGTTTAGCAGCCTTTGGGGTCTTTGGAGCTCTTGGAGTTTTAGCCTTCACCGGCTTAACTGGTTCAGCATCAATAGGCTCAGTCTGAGATTGTGACTGGGATTGAGACAATGCAACATCATCAGGAACAGTTTCACCTTTCTCGAGCATGTAGGCGGTATATCTGGTGAGCCAATCCTTGCGAGCGGCCTCGTACTTGTCCTGCCACTTCTTCTTCTCTTCCACACTGAGATCGTGATAAGCCTTAGAACATTCAACAGCAACTTCTGGGTTACTGAGGGGGGCTTCACCCGTGGCCTTGCGCTCGCTCAAAACGCGCTTGCGGTAATCCTGCGAGAACATGAAGAAAACGGTCATTGGTTTCTTAGGGGCATTTGGGTCAACGGGCTTTCTTTCACGCTTTTTCTTTTTTTCAGCCACAGGCTCTGCAGGAGCAGGTGCTGAAACTTCTGCAGGAGCAGCCTCAGCAGTAGAATCAACAGAGTCAGCAGGAACAGCAGAAGCAACAGGTTCAGCAGCTTCAACTGGTTTGGCAGCCTTGGCAGCAGGAGCCTTCTTCTTACTGACAACAGGAGCAATTGCAGCAGCCGTCTTGGAGATGTTTTTCAAAGTCTCAGCCGTAGAGGACAATCCATTGGTGATCTCGGAGTCGTGAGCCGAAAGAGTGTTGACAAACGCAATCGTAGCGAAAGAGGCCTCATTGGCGACTTTGGACAGCTCGACAAGGGACGCGACCAACTAGACAATATTAGTAATTGAGTAGAAAAAAAAAGATTGCCAATTTCAACAAAATATCAGCTATCACTTACGGCATCTTTAGCCTGTTTAATATCCGTGGACGACATGATACGGATACGGCGATAACACCAACAGAAGATCAAAACAACTGGCAGAAAGGGCTGAAGCACCAGAAAGGGCTGGGCACTACGAGAAGGGGCTGGGATTCCAGCCGAAAATTTCCGGACCTGTAAAGGCAGCCAGCCGTTTTCAGCCGTTGGAGCCATCAGGTCGTTTCCAGCCGGCCAACTGCTGAGCCAAGGCTATTGAGAAGGTAATATCAGAATAAGGTGCACTTTTTTAGGATCTGTGATAATTATATTTAATCGATATACTTGGAAGCGATTAAAAAGCTGTGCTTCATTAATTTTTCTGTTTGCTTCGAGCGACAAGTGGTGATTCTGGCAAAATGGTGAGATACCGGATTGGCTATGGCAGGAAATCCTGAAGAGGAGAGTAGACTTCCATGCAGATCCCAGGGTGCATAATCGAGAAAAAAGGTGGAGGTTTGAGATTTCCACCAGATTATTCTACTTTATTCCTCTTGTTTGGATCTATCTTAATATCCTGACGACTATTCATATGTTTCGAAAGAGACAGTAATCACGTTACAGTGCACAAAATATACAAAGAGCACAGGAAAGAGGCCCATAACCGCGAAATATGAATCAAGCTTAATTCTAATTAATTGTGCTGTTTAAATGCACACGCAGTTAAATAAATAAATATATATTATTTCTAGGCTTCTCCCGTCTCAATTATTCCCATTAACAGCCTCTCAAATTCAGCAAAAAATGCACTCTGATTAACCTCCTGCACGCACGTCAAACTGATGGACAGTCCCGTCCCATATCCGACCGCGTTTGTGCAGAAATACCCACTAACATGACCTGGAGCCTGCACAAATACCACTGAATCCACAACAGACGTGTCCAACTTGATCGAGCCGAGATTAGAAAGCTCAAAAGTTGATGCCTTAGATTTTGTGGTGGCTTCCTTCAAATACTTGTTAGCATCCACACTCTCCAAAAGACCAACATCGGTAATAGCTTGTGGTGTCGCCAAGGCATGCAAATTAGCATGCAATTTGCTTACGATATCCCAAGAAAATTTCTTTTGTGAATGGATCAGAAGAGAGGCCGCAGTGACAAAAAAACCAAAGTCAGGATCGAAACCAGGATAAACAGTCGAAGCCTGTTCCTTGTCCAACCAGCGTCTCAGCGAAACAGGCACATCACATACCACATCAGTATTTGCCGTAAGGTATAAGGTTGCAAGATGGGTCAGAGATAATAACAGAGAAGAGAGAGCGACCTTGCGGGAGCGACAAACTGCAATCAACCGATCAGTCTGATCTTTTGATAATGTCAAGACCTTTATATGAGGAGCTCTTCGTCCAGGCGCACTAATAGCAGCAGGCATTCTGAAGGTATTTCTATGGTACCACCAGCTCTTTAGAAGGATACCAGCAACCTTTTTGACTATTTCAAGCTTTGAAGGAGAGTAGTTGACTAGTCGTGTAGAATCGACGAATGGCACATCCACTTGACCATCAATTGTGATTCCTTTGCCATCTCCAACATGTTCTGCGAACAGCTTATGAAAATTCGCAGCAGATTGACCATCAAAGAGAACGTGATTGCAATGGAGAATCAAAATCTGTGAGTTTTCCGCGTAATATAATCGCCAGCCCACTTCACCTTCGTAAGGAAATGAAGATGTGGCGCAGCATAGGTCAACGCAAAATTCTGGTATTTTCTCGGGTGAAACAATCTCTATCTGTGCAGCAATATCAATCTGATCTGGAGAGAGTGTATTAAACGTGGATTCATGACATGCTTGGCGAAAAAAGGCATGGCTGCGAACAATAGATCCCATAACATTTTCGATGGTATTCCGGTCCAAAGGGTTGACGAAATGGGAATAGGTCACAAAGGTGTCGAACAAGTCTTGTTGATACCTGGCGTGGTAAAATTTCTCGATAAAATTGAATTCTCGTGACATATCTCAATATGGGATCGACAAAATGAAGATTAGGTTACTCAAAAGAACTGTGTCTGAAGCAGTTATAGATGAAGGTTGCAGAATTTCATGCAAGAGAAAGTACGAAGTCCTCGGTAAACTTGATTCAGACACAACGGTAAGCACACTTCCCTAAGGCAAGCAGTTTGAGACCACGCGTTCTCGCAAAAAAAAGACTTTTTCAAAAGAAAACTAAAGTTTATATCACTAGATGTAATCTGAACAAAGTAATAAAAGCGTAAATCGATCCTTTTTGCAACAACTAGCAGTTACAGTAGTGCAACTGCTACAGCCAGGCTATTGCTGCCATCATCGATACTTCATCACACCACACAGGCTGCAGTTTGCACCATGCCGCCTCGTCACTTCCGATTGACAACAACAAAGGTAAATGACCGTGTTTCGTCATGAAACAAAAGAACCCAGAATTAGTCCCTCTCTGGAAACTGGTGCCCAATTTGAGGTAGTGCGCATTGACAGAGCGGGGCGGTCGTGTTCGGCACGGCCGGAGTTTCCAAAAAGCCCGATCAAGTGGAGACACACAGGGCCCAAAATAGAGCCGTTCTTTTTGACGTGGAGAAGACGGGGACAGAGTGGAAAATCGTAGGCTACCCCGATCCATCACCATAATTAACTGTGGAAACACGCTAAATCAACTCGGAAAACTCCCCAAGAAGCTAGTAAGACAGCACCAGATATGCTGATCTACAATTTCGGTTGGGATCACCGGTAACCGGCACTAAGGTCCGCGTCTCTCGGCCAGAAGGGACTCTAATGTGCCGGTGAAAAGGATTCCTCAAACTGTGAGGCTCAAAATTTCCCCACAATTATAACCTCAGTTGCCTCTTGTCTGTCGCCTAATTCCTTGTAGCCGGAGATTGATCACCAGCTTGAAAGATTAATGCGGAGTAGGTGGTGGTATAAATAATGGTGTAGTAGCTGCGCTGTCCCAAAACAGAGTAAACTAGCGGATAACTGTCGCAGCCTTAATATGTCCACTTCGTCTACAGCCGAAGCCGCTGGGACCTTCCCACCTGACGTCGAAAAGAATTTATACGAAAAAGATGAGGCTGCGCGTGCGAGACAGGCGTCTACCAATTCCACCTTCCGCCACGATGAAAACCACATTTACATCAACGACACTCCCATTGACAAGCGTGACTTTATGTACGCCTTTGGTGGTACATTCACAACTGGTTTGAGCACGAGACCTAGAAGGACTTTCGGAAATCCCGTCCCTGCAGGACTAGCTGCGTTCTCATGCACCACAATCACTCTGGGTTTGGTTCAACTTCAGGCCCGTCACGTTAGTGAGGCTACAGTTTTGCTAGGATCGTGCTTTTTTTGCTCAGGACTGGTGGAAATTATTGCTGGAATTTGGTGTTTGATTCTGGAAAACACATGGGCCTCAACAGTGTTCCTGATGTTTGGTGGTTTTTGGATGTCATATGCTTGTGTTCTCACATCAGGATTTGGTATTGGAGCTGCATACGCTACAACAGAGGAATATAGTCAGGCAATTGCGTTATTCTATACACCATGGGCAATATTCTCGTTCTTGCTGTGGATTTGTACATTCAAGTCTACGCTTTCGATGTGTTTGCTTATGTTCCTAATTTGGTTCTTCGTGCTGTTGTTCACGATTGCGGAATACACTGGATCTGTTGGTACGGCGAAGGCTGGTGGTGTCTTCTGTCTTTTGAGTGGTCTGTGTGGGCTCTATAACTGTTTGGCTGGTATGGCGGACACGTCCAACTCGTACTTCACGCTCAAGCCGTTCTACTTGCCCGGTGCAGCAAGACCTCCCAAGGCTGAGAAGAAGGAGTCTTAAAGGGATAGTTGAGCTGACAGGTGAACTGAAACTTGCCCTAAGGCTTGAAAAAGGAGGAGTGGACCAAATATAATCCAAACTTCGTAAAGTGAATCTTTATGTCCATTTCACCAATCACCCCACCGACCTCCACCAAAAATTCCTTATCTATGTCACATGACCGGTACACAACTTATCTATTTCATCTATTGCTCTAATCTACTCATGCCAAAGATTCTAATACTCAAATGTATCTCCATCGAAAACGTAACCTTTGGAGCCAAGTTCTTCAATATAATCCTTCCACAATGGCGATTCCGTCAGACATTCGGTATCACCTATCACAATAAGACCGTATTTTGCTCTGGTCAGAGCCACGTTCATACGACGTTTATCTTTCAAGAAACCAATAGTCTTTCTCTCGTTCGAACGGACGCATGAAAGAACAAGAAAGTCTTTCTCACGACCTTGGAATGCATCAACAGAGGCAACCAATAAACCAGAGACCTGGTATATCGTCAGTGGAGCGCTCGTATCAAACACATCGTCTCTATCAACAGCAGCGACAGCAGCTTCTTTGCTTGGGTTGATAACCTCGTCTTGCGAAATTTGCTTGGCAAGATGATCACGCTGACCACGGTATGGTGTCACAACACCAATTCTGTCGCGCGAGATACCCTTTTCAACGATAAGCGCGCGAATCACGTCCAACACCAACTTGGCTTCTCCGTCGTTTTTGTATGTCATCGAGTACCCGTTTGCTCCCCTACTCTTCACAATGGATTCCCGTTTCCCTTTAGTGTTCCAAAAATATACTGGGTATTTCACAGAGTCAACAGTGCGGTCTGCAGCAGTCACACCGTCATGAAGCCTGTCTCCATAGAACCGTGTACGTGGGAAATGGGATATATCTGGATGCATACGGTACTGCGTGTCAAGCATCATGGGCTCCGTGTAGGTCCCGTTCAACAAGATTCTTTCGAACATGGACATCTCCAAGCTGGGAACACGAGCAAAGCAACTCAACTGGTTTTGGTCTCCGACAAAAACAAATTTCTGCAAACCCTTTGATGCTAGAGGAATCAGAGTTGCTGGCTCAGACGATTGTGTTGCTTCGTCCATGATCACAACTGGGATAGACTTGATACTCTTGAATTGGGGCCCACCAGCTCCAACAGTCGTGGTCAAAATTACCGAAGCTTGTGCCACGTGTGTATCTGAGGTTTCAAAAGATTCCGTTTGCAATTTCTTGAAGGCATTCTTACTCACACTGGAAACTTTGTTCGTTCTTATCTTTTGAACAGTGTCCTTAGCGTTCAACCGCAATCCTTGAAACACCTTTTGGTGCAAACAGATCGGTGCCAAAGGATGGTCTGCACGATAATCAGATTCCTTCGACTTTGCAACGATTCTCACTATCGGAACATCGCGGGTCATCAACTGCTCGGCGATATTATCAATAGCGATGTTGGAAGAGGCGACAACCAAAATTGGATAAGTGTGGAAGTTGGCCAGAAGTTGAAGAATGATCTCTACAATTGTAGAGGTCTTACCCGTTCCAGGAGGGCCCTGCAGAACCGTCACAGCGTTGTTCAAAACAGATTGGATTGCCTTCTTCTGTGAATCATTGAAGGTATCGCGAGTGAACTTCACATAGTTGTTAAAGCGAAGCTGACGAATTGGTTCCTGACCGAGACACAGGGACCGGAAATTTGAGTGACGAATATCGTCCATTCCCTTAATAATTCTGCTCACCTGAACACTCGTTGGTAGCAATTGGAAAGTGGCAGCAGGAAGTTTGGAATGGTTCCAGCTGTACAGCTTAATTGTCACCACCAATTGCTTGACAGTCCGTCTTCCAACTTGCTTCTTTGCAAGTCTCATGTCATCGACAAACCCATACCAGCACCTGTCCTTCTGAAACTTGTCGATCAAGATCAACGTTTGGCCGTTTGCATATGGCCATGGGCGAAGACGCTGGAACTTGGGGTCGACTCTGCGGTCCATCTCTTCCTGGTAATCCAAGGTGAACACAAATCCTTCCCGATTGGACTTGACAGTCACATCAGATGTAAGCTTCACATCGTAAAGCTCCTCCAATAGCAGGTCGAAAGCAGTTTTCTGGAAGTAGTCCTCCAGCGAATCATACTTGAGCTGGGCCTCTCTGGCATTCTGCTTGATGAGCTTCTCGAGCATTTCGGAACCAATATCTTCATGCTCCAAGTCAAGATCATCTTCAACAGTGAGCTTTGCCATATTGGAAGCCAAATCCGAACCTTTGGGCGTTTTCGAGGTCTTCTGGAGAGAATTGGATTTTTCAGAAGCTTTGTCACGTGACTCTTGAACCTGCCTTTTGTCTTTGGGTTTTGACGATTTTGTAGATTTGAAGTCTGATTTTGCGGTTGACTTTAGATCAGAGGAATGAATTGTTGAAGCATCTTTCGAGCCGTTCAGAGACGGCAAAGGACGGGAAGAAGCAGGTTCTACAGAACGTCCTCTGGAGCTGACACCGGAGGCGGTCTTTCCACCTCTTGAACCCCCATGATCAGCTCTGGAATCCCTTGAAGCCACAAAACCACCCCTGGAGCCCCTTGCTGAACCTCTATGGTCTCCTCGTACTCCCCTACTGCCCCCTCTGCTCCCCCCTCTGCTCCCCCCTCTGCTTCCTCCTCTACCTCTCCCTCGACCCCGCCCTCTTCCACCTCTTCCACCACGACCTCTTTTGGGCCCTCTGCCTCGTCCAGAGTCCCTCTTGGCACCAGAAGCAGCCTTAGCCGCTAGTGAATACTCCCGCTTAGCAAGGACAGCAAATAGAAATGAATCGTCGTTGCTATTCACAAAACTCTTGCCGGCCGGAACAGTTATTTGGGGAAGACAAGCGTTACAAACCACGGTATCGCGGTATTTGCCGTTTGGGATTCCTCTCCCATAATTCAGATCTTTCTCAAACTCACCACATAGCTGACATCCTAGCTCGCTGATAGCATAATAGTCTCCTAGTCTTTTGAAAAAGGACCCATTCTCCAGAGTATAACTAGTAGCTGCCTTCTCAGTTTCTTTGGAAATACACGTTCTACACTGCAGAACAAGCTCACGTCCTCCAAATCTCTGGATCTGCAACATATGGATATTTGAGTCTCCGCAATCCTCACACTGGATGGGCGTCACCTCTCCCTCCGTCGTTATTGACTTGTGTCGGCTGGTGTTGACATGCTTGAGGATATCGTCCTCGCTGAACACCCCTGAACAAGTCAGACATTCAAATGCAGCCATGGCAAACAGTCAACTCTATAAATACCTGAAAAAAACGAAAACCGGCTTGTGTTAGGCGGATATTTAGTGGACTTCACCAAACTTTTCATCTGAGATATATTTTGGTGTGTTCCAACTCATTCGCTGCCGCACGACTCACGTGTCAAGGCCTACGGGCAATGAGGCTCAAGCACAACCAACCTTGAGGTCTTGTCTTTCTTTCTTACCAGTTACCTCTATTGGCACTTCATATATATATTTCCATGTCACATTACGTTTGCCAGCGATGTAAGCTGCCGTTGGTAGTGGATGATTCACTCCAGGATCTAAGCACCGCCCAGGCCAAATTGCTAACAGATGGGGGCAACCACGATGCTGGTGCCATAGGAGAACTGCCAGTGATTCCTCATGATAGACTTCAACTTTTCAATGAGGCCTCGGTACATCACCAGTTTGCAGAAGGCAGTCGTGTAGCTGAGGAAGGATCGTTTGTGATACTCAATGAGAACAGGGACAAGTCCTTTCCTAACTTAGGAGCGGATGAGAAAGGCAACACACGAATAAGACCAACAGACGTGTCCGCAGTCTCAAATCGCATAATTGACGACCAGGAAAGTGATGATGTTGAAACAACCGATTTTTCCCAGATTACAGGATCAAACGATGTGATTTCTGAGCGAGTTGCTACGCTCGACCGTGTCTTCAACATGTTGAGTTCCAACCACGAGATTGATTTCCCCGTTTGTAGCGATTGTGCGAATTTGTTGACAGAACAATTGCGTGTGAAGTATGATATCGCTGCCAAAGAAAAGGATATCTACGTGCAGTTTTTGAAGAAGCTGACGAATCAGATGGGCCCAAACATGGCTAAGGCAGAAGCCTCTTTGGCGGAAATAGAGGAGCTTAAAAAGGAACAGCAGGCCCAAATACGACAATTGGAAACTTTGGAGCGCGAGAAATTGCAATTGGAGAAGGAATTGGGTGAAGCAGAGGCTGAGATGGACCATCTCAGGGAGCAGGAGTTTGAGTTTTGCAAGACGAAGAACAAGTACGAGAACGATCTTGGCGAATTCATGGAAGAGCGAGCTAAGATCAAGTCGCAATATGAGTACAGTTTGAACCAGCTGGATGCTTTGAGAAAAGCAAATGTTTATAATGACGCGTTTACGATATCTCATGACGGCGTGTTTGGAACGATAAATGGTCTGAGGCTAGGTACCGTGGACAATTGTAAAATCTCGTGTCACGAGATCAATGCTGCCCTTGGTCAATTGGTATTGTTACTAGCAACTGTTGTTTCGCGGCTGAATATCAAGCTTTCCGGGTATATTTTGAGACCCATGGGATCCACTTCGAAGATTGACAAGCTGGAGAAGGATCCAAAAGATCCAACGAAGACGAAGACGGTGACTCTTGATTGTTTTTCCAATGGTTCTAGCTCTTTTGCTACTCTGTTCAACCAGAATAAGCTAGACTACGGCCTGGTAGCCATTGTGGATGTTGTTTCGCAAATCGGAGAAAGACTCAGATCGCTGGACGACTCGATCATTCTTCCGTATGCCATGTCGAAAGACAAAATCGCCAAGTGCTCAATCAAACCTTCTGCGAAAACTTCGAACGAGGAATGGACAAATGCGTGCAGGTACCTTTTGACCAACGCGAAGTGGATTCTTGCCTACGCCAGTGCACACCATTAATTAATTTTCGGTTCAGCATCTAAGAAAGAGCATTATTGACCAACTAATGTAGAGGTAGGCATAGTGCTAGAAGAAGACAATAATTCACAATTTACAAAGAAGAAATTAGACGAGAAAAGATATATGAAAGAACGAAATGAAGTAATATTGAGGTCGACAGAGTCATTGACCAAGTCTATGATGAATAAACCATTTAAAGGGAAATGAAAGCCAGATGCTTATACTTGCTCCGTCCATAAGTTCTTTGCCTTCATCCTCACCATTACGAACTTGGGAAGCATGACGTACCCAAACACCGGAATAGCAATATGACCAGAGGCAGCTTCTGGACCGGCAGAAACGGCGACCGTGGCATACTTCTTTGCTTTCGGGATCTTTTTGGTAAGTGGTCTTCCCCTGAGATAGCTGTCGACATTTGGCACGATGACTGGGATGAAGGTTGCAGTCAACATATGCGCCTTACGTGGATAGTCGGTGACATCGCCAATAGCGAAGATGTTTCCCTTGGCATGGCCGGCAGCCTGAAACGTTTCTGTTATTTTGATTTCTTCTTTGGAGTTTAACAGGTTTGCAATGGAGATTGGCGGCGTGTTGGCCCTTGGACCAGTAGTCCAGTATATCTTGTCTGCAACGACTACCTCGTTGGTAGAACGGATAAACGCACCGCTTTCGGCAGATCTTTCAACATAGCAGTCGTATTTGATTCTGACACCCAATTTCAACAGACTGTCTTCCATTCCGTGCTTTAACTTTTTTCCATAATGACTTGAGAAGAAGCTAGACGAGGCGTGGTATATAGTCAGGGTCTTTTCCCCGGACAACAACTCATCCTGGTAAGCATGGGCGATTTCACCAGCAAGTTCCACACCAACAAAGCCACCACCAACAACAGCGACATCTTTGGCCTTTGCTAGTTCATCACTCTCCATTCTTGCGTAATCCTTCATTCCCTGAATGGTTCTATCTCCCCAGAGCTGGGGTGAAATGGGTGCGTTCCAATGGGCACCGGTTGCGATTATCAAAGCATCAAACGGAACAGAAGAGCCATTGGCCAGTTCGACGCGTTCAGAATTGATATCTACCACGTCATCAATGATCAGCTTCACACGGCTGTTAAGTTTTTCACTCAGGGGTCTGGTGAGCTTTTCAATCCACTCTTCCGGGTCTGGAGCAGTCAGGTTCCTCACAGTAGCAGGCAACATGTAGTAGTAGTCGACGTTGTTAATGACGGTCACTTGGTACTGCTGGTAATTTTTGGAAAAACTGTTGGCGGCTTCAGTGCCATATGCGCCGCAGCCGACGATGACAATTCTCTTCATTGCAATAGCCATGATAAACGCGTTTTTAGGCTTTGATTTCACAAAACTCTTTCCGAAATATGGTAAGAATACAAGACAAGAATGATACCAGTACTGGATCAACGGTCGTCGCCTCGAGATCAACTTTGTAATCTCACATTCCAGGGGTAGCATGCAAGCAATTTAGCAACTTGGGGCCCCTATTTACCGCTGGAATAGGAAGGTATCTGTTAGATCGGTCTTCAAGTGTGGGCTTGTCAGGTTGCATTACAGTTCTGCAGACTCGCAGGATTGTGCGTCTGAGTGGTGCACGTCGCGGTTATCAGGGCAGTACCTTTATGGGCGGTTAAATTTAACCTTTCTAATCGAATTTTTGGTTTGAGTTTGTGATCTAATCGTGATTCTAGTGCTTGTGTGCTTGCGAAGTAAGTAAATAAGCAAGGTCGTACATGTTCTTCTTGCCATTATATAAAACTTCGGGTGAGTTTGATTTTGGGATGGGCTTCGGTAATTAATTAGGCTGGGCAATTCCGCCTCTGAGAAGTCTAGCCCCCTTATGCTCCCTTTTTCACACTGCATGTCCTAGCGTTACCGTCAACCTATCGTTTGTGCCCGGACCTTTTCGGTCTCACACCTGAGAGAATTACTTGTTAGGCTCACCTCTAAATATCGGCGGAGTTACCGAATTCCTCGGCTGGACTGGTCAGAAGTATTCAATTTATCCGAGAGTTGGTTCACAATCCTTCGAAACATTAAACACAATCCCTGGGATAATTATAGTTGAAAAGTTTCACAAAAGCAATTGATATTCACAAACTGAACTTAATAACTGCCAAATGTTTCAAAACCTCGCAGTTTAATAGAGAATTAACAAGTTCTAATTTCACACAATTGCGCAAGTTCTATCTTCCAAACGGCCCTTCCAGGATCGGAGTTGCACTCCCTTCTGCTTTTCCCTCACAAGACCGAGAGATACGGAGCAATAAAATCGCGTGTTTGACCCCAGAAATTTGGCAAATTTTGCTGATATGGAATTTGCAGGCAGAGAACAATTTTTGACGCGTCTCCATGGATACATCCATGCGCCTGTGGTGCCAGATCGGCTTTTTTGGGCAGCCTAAAATGATGCAAGTATGCGGGTATTTTGTGGTTTGGGCGGTGCACTGAAGGTGATGGGACAGACGTTTCTCATGGGAAGTCTGAATAAATGGAGGACTTGAATGGGTGGATTATTTGTCGAAGAAAGTCGTCCTAAGGACGTATACTACGACTGCTATCAATTTTTCACCAAACCTTCTCTTTTTGCAACGCGTAAAAAACTGTGCGTGTAGTCTGCAGTATGAAAACATGCAGATGCCCAATCGGGACATTCTTTCTTTCTTTGAGTCAACTCCGTATATACTCAATGAAGGCTGCAATTGACTTCTACAACCAGATGAAATTGCTCAATTACAACGTATATTCTTATGCAAAACTTGATGCATTCCGTTAGACTGTTTTGGGGTCTCATTCTGTTCTATAATGTCCATGAGTTAGTTTAGGCATTGATTCAGGATCAGATCACGCAAGCCCGCTTTGGGGCTCATCGGGATCTTTGCCGCCACCTCGGACAAATTTAGTCATCTTGAGGACGGATCCAACGTATTCAACGTCTAAAAGTTTATGCGAGCAGTCTTACTTGTTCAGACGACCAGGATTGGTGCTCATGATTTTGAGATCATGGACAATATCTTATGACTCTCCCTAGCCCAACAGCCTATCGACAACTGCATGGGATTTCCATGGCAATTGCTATGGCAAGTACTATACGGAGACGCTTTACATTTCTCCAAGAAACATCCTGGCTACTGTGGATGCATCACCACACACATCGAATGCCCCACCGGCAATACTTACATTTTGGTGCGTTTTCGCAATTCAATTGGCATTGATTACTTTTGTGGAATCGTGATTATATATTACTGAGAGACCAGAATTTTACACTCTGCATTTGGTGTCCAGTAACCACTTCCATATGAGAGAGAAATTTCAAACAACCTCTAGTAGATCGCATTGCTAACTCCCAGTTTTGATTCACAGATACCGACTTGTGTGTAATTGTTTGAGATAGGGATGTCGTGAAAAAAGGTCAGAGGTTCCTATGAATGCACCACCGAGTATACTAGCCTACACTCAAATCTCAATCAGAAGACTGTTATTCAGCAACATCAAGGCAGCAACAACGGTAGTTTCAGTAGCATACAAGCAGAAGACATTGAAGCCTTACGCAATTAGTATTTGAGGATCAGCCATAGGCAAAACGGTGGGCTGTGGGCACTAAGGTTTCTCGGCAATAGCACCGTTGAGTATGGTGTTAATTTTTGTTTCCTGTGGAGCTAACCAAATTACAAAACCATAACATCATTTGCAACTACCTCTTTTCATACTTTTCCCTCTGGCACTGGACTCAGGCCAAATATTTTCAATTCACCAGCACCTCTCACCAAACATCTGTACTGGACTTCTCTCTCTTGCGGACATAAATCAGTCCTCACACGCCCATAGGCTCGGAGTCGCAGCGAAGCCGAATTTACCAACTTGGCCAAATTACCCCGCGCACGACAAAATTTTCATTCCCTCACAATAGCGGGCTTGCAACACGCTCAGCCTTCTTTCTCCCATTTCGTCAGGGACCCGTGGTTTTATCCCTTCCTCGAATTTTCTTACTTCTGCCCTTCTGCTTTCTTCCCACGTAGCATTCTCGTTTGTGAATTTTTCAAAATCCAAGCCTTGCTTCGACTTTTGCTTTCTGGTTTTTTGTGCAGACTGTATTAATACTCCAGCTAGCCCTCTTTCTTTGTGCCAGATCCTGATCTAAAGCCTGTTTTCAAGCCTGATCTAAAAATACTGCTCAAAAGACTTTCTTTCCCCACTTGAATCAACAAGACATAAATCCTTTTAATATGGGTCTATTCAAAAGAAGTCAACCGGAGAAAACTGGTTTCCATGGCGGAGTTGTCTCGAACGAAAAGATTACTTCTGAAGATGAAAGACGTTACAAATTCAAATCAGGCAATGTCCATGATCCAATTCTGTCAGCCGTCAACGAAGCCCAGCCCTTCGAACAACAGGCCAACGATCACCACAGACAGGTATCGTTATCCAACGCGTCTGGGGACGGCTATTTGAGAGATATTTTCGGCTATGCCATTCAGGTTCCAGACGTCTCCAACCCTGCCAGGTCTAGAGATGAAAGACCAATGGACACCATTCGTTCGTTTGAATATGCCATTACCGGAGACGCTACATACAGAAACCAACTGGAGACTCCACAACTGGGATTCAGAGTGAGGAACGATTTCCCAACCTTTGGAGTCAATCCGTACGCAAGCGAAGCTCCACCTGCTAACGCTTACTATGCTGGAGACTCTTTTGCCCAATCACAACCAGTATACCAGGCGCCTTTGAAGGAGGCCAAGGATGCGAAGAAGAAGCGTTGGTTTGGAAAGAAGAAATAATAAAGAAAAGATATGACATTTGACCCATTCAAACACAGTCAAACAAATTTACTATCTTACCACCTTTCATGACCTCTTTCTACACTTACTCTCATGTTTGAGCTCCCTGCTTTACTGTTGCTCCTTTAACTCTTTGTTTCATGCTGTTCCATCCTGTTCCATAACCATGCTGTTCTGTTTTTGTCCATACCATATACATATCTTCTAGTTGCGGAAGTTGATATCTTTCCGAAGTCTTGTTGCCTCACTGCGTTTCTAATTAATTTTTATATCTTATGTTTGAACTTCCATCCTGTTTGAGGGTTGAATTTGTCTTGTGAACAGCCAATCTCCGAACATCAACGGGGTTGTTAATTCTATATGACTGTAATGTTGTTTCGCTGTTATCGCCATGATGTTCTCCACATAGTTGGGAGGGTTTCGTGCGGCAACGTCAACACCACATAATTCTAGACCGACGCGGTCGCGTTCGGCATCACTGACGTCACTTCATCACAAACGCGTCAACATGGCACAATTGGGCCTATGCGAGACGCAAGATGACACAGTAGATGAAGCCGTAAAACAGTTTAAACTTCTTAGATAGTAAAACTCATGTGCGAATCTAAAGATGGAGACTGTGCATCGTCTTTGCATTGTATGTTCAGTTTCAAACCAGAAGGAACGGACTGAAAGCTTGGTACTGACACACTCGGTGATGAAGTAACCAGACATGAATCAGGGCTTTGTAAATATTTGAAAAGATGAATGCAAATACGTTTACAAGTACAGTCTTACAGATTGTGGTTTCCTGATGCACATCCTGCAGAGACGCGTTATACTTAAAAGCGAGTGCATGCTTTCTATCAGCTTATCCTTTTTTTCAAGCTAAAAAGTTCTTGGATTGCTCTGTCAAGAATACCTTGAAATCAGTGTTACGTCAACCAACTCAACAAAATTTAGGCTTTCCATTCAGCTTCATGTCCTGCTTATCTATTCTACAGTTTCGCTCGGCAACTCAACGGGCCGAAGCCAGCATGAAATTCGCCCGGTGAAAAATGGCAGCACTGAAAAACTTGAAAGCAAGGCTGTTCAAGGCCTCGCCAGAGCATGCAGAAGGCTGAATTCAAATCTACAAAGCTTGCAGTTTGCTCGGTGGACCTACCTCAGCCTACATCAAATGTCAGGATCTCAGATTGACCCTAGCCTCTTTACCAACCTGGATGCCCAGTCGCAGCAGGAAGTGGCCAGATTCCTCGAGGCAGAAACCTCCAAGTCTAAAGTGCAAATGAGTATTCACCAATACACCGACATGTGTTTCAAGAAGTGTGTCAAGAAGATCGATTCGAGTGATCTCAATTCAGGAGAGCAGCAGTGTTTGCAGACGTGTCTGGATAGGTTTCTGGACACGAACATCTCAATTGTGAAGCTGTAAGTGAGCATTGTGCCTGTTCTGTAAAGACCAGAAATTCTTCCCAAACTTTGAACTAACCATTACAGATTGCAACAATTGCAGAAATAAAGTGGATTTGTGGAAACTCACGAAAGAATATTCGTGCCTTGTATATATTTCGTTTTAGGAACATATTTCGATCGTGAGGTCAAAAGGATATTACATCGTACACAAGGCAAACTGGTGCTCAGTAAAAGATCAAAATGCTCAAACTGACAAGCCATATCGATTATGCCAGTCCATGACGGTTACAGCCTGTACCGGTGAATGCTTACTGCGGTTTGCCAAATAATATCTGTCGTACCGCTAGCGATATCGATCGGGCAAGTTTGATTGCTCGCAGAATCTGCTCTCAGCTCAACGAAACATGACCCAGAATGAAAACAATTCTGGTTTCCTCATCAACCACCAATTGTTGCAAATCGAAACATATCCTATAAACCTCTTATAGTCAAAAACATTCCTTGAGTGTATCCAAGATACACGCAAGCTTGTCCAAATCTCTCAAATAAGTCGTGCACCAACCCAGAGAGGGGCCCAATGCGTTTTCCTGAGCGGGGTAGTTTCGGTCAGAAAAATCGTGGACTCTTCAATTGGCTTCTTTCGCCAACTCCCTTTATAGAGCCAAACGTCCACTTGAATCGCACAATGGCATCCAAATTTACGAGATTTTTGAATTCAGAAACAGGTCCTAGGACCGTCCACTTTTGGGTACGTTTTTTCTGGGTTATATATCGGGGTATTCTGGCAGCATGAACACATTGGGGGAACGACCCCCATGGCCACCTCACTCCGATATGTCTTCGACGAAGCCGATTCAATTCCAAATCAGCGCTAACAAATTTGTTAATTTAAGGCTCCAGTTCTCAAGGTGAGTATCAGCAAAGACTATCATATACTGTTTTCGTGGGAAATCTCTCTCTAACTCCTTAACAGTGGTCGCTTGTTTTCGCAGGTGCGAGTGATATGCAAAGACCCGTCGAGGTGGTTTCGGGTACACAGCAAATGGGTGAGTATAGCGATTAAGCCTATGGAGTCGGAACGTGGATCTGATTCTGATCAGCCCTTTTGGGCTGTGTATTTTTGACTGTTTTGACTCTGTTTTTGCGAGGTATAGGCACTAACCAACCCTTTTAGCCCTCTTCGCTACCGGTGTCATCTGGACTAGATGGTCATTCGTTATTAAACCAAAGAACTACCTTCTCGCATCCGTGAACTTCTTCCTGGCTGGGTTTTCAGGATACCAGATTGCCAGAATCTTCAACTGGAGAACAACACAAGGCGATTCAGCCTTGCAAGCCTTGCAATATTTGCTGCATGGCCAGCCAGAGATTGCTCCAAAAGACGTCGAGAAGGTCGAGGCTGCTGCTAGTACTGCTTAGAGATTGCCAGCTATGATTTGCCTACACATCTAGGTTTTTTTTTGCCCCGTTAACACATTCTATAGGCACACAAAGGGCAGATCAGCAAACGGTAGAATCAAGACGTGTTTCTATATGAGCGGGGTGTTGATTGGAGGCTAACTGCAATTCAGTTTTTGAGTTGATAGGACTATTTCCAATGTTCTTCATGAATTGCTATGGACAGGTCATTGTACATCGAAATTTCGTTTTCAGAACTGCGTAGTTCTGGATCTATATTACTTAACATTCCGTAGCCTGATGGCCAAAATAGGTCGTGAAACAATTGGGTGTTTGGAATTCAAGAGGACGCAAAGTACTATCAGCTTTGATAAGCTTTAGTCTGGTTCAATGAGCCTTAACCAGCCCCTCCTTACTCTTCCAATACCTCCTCTTCGTAGTCTGAAATTTCACCTTCTGCCTCTTCTTGAACATCGTCAACTGCCATATGATCGTCCTTTGTGTCTGGCTCCTCCGTACTATCGCGTATATCAGGTGTTATTTCGCGTGTACTCTCACGATCGTCAGTCGGAGGTCTCACCTCTACATCCTGATTGACCTCCTGATCAACCTCTTGGTCTCTTTCCGGACTAACATTTTGTTCAGAATCTTTCTCTTCTTCTTGATCGGCCGCCTTCTCAGGCTCTAGTTCATCATCCTCGTCTTCCTCATCGTCATCCTCAAATTCGTCTTGGTTTCCAGATCCAACCAGTACCTTCTCGTCATTGACATAATCCTCGGCCTTGATTTGGTCTATTTCATCAACAATCACCTTCAAATCATTCTCAAGGAAATTTGCAAGCTTGTTCACCTTTTGCAACCATTTGCTGTTCAAAGAGGTCATGGTGGCACGATCACGACTATAGACCTTGTCGTTCATAAATGCCAATTTGAACCGTTTCAACTGCTCTTTCGAGATAACTTGTTTTAGCCTATCAACAATCTCGCGCTCTTCATTTTGGGTTGCTTCGTCGATCTCTATATCACCTTCTATCAAGTCCTCAACATCCCTCTGGACTTTGGCTAGGGTATCTTCCTTGGATAAATCCAACGATTTCACCCATGACTCGTCGTCTGCGTCGTCCAACTCCAACGAATCCAAAACTTCAAAGTTAAACAGCGCACTATCATGTTCTTGCAAAACCCGGTTATTTTCCATCACCAGTCGGTCAATCTTCTGTAGTCTGGGATCCTGTATCGGGTTGAACCGTGCCCTCTTCACCTTCAAACCATCATAAACCGTCTGTATTTCACCCTTGAGCAAGTCCCGCTGCTTCACAATGCCAACATTCTCGCGAACAAGCTGTTTTTGCAAACGCGGAAACTCTTTTAGTTCGGATTCCGCAATCTGGTCAACAGTGCCAGCTACCAGATGGCCGTGGAAAGCAGTGGTGCTGGCCAACAGCGCCTGCGCAGTGACTAGCGATTCCTTCAACGTAACACGATACGCCTCATAGTCTGTGAGTGTGTCACTGGAAACCATTATGGTAATCACTTGAGAATCAACGTGTACGACACTAGCTTGTGTTGTCCTTCTCTGCTCCGGAAATATCACCTTTTCACCGCCATAAGTCTCCAGCCTCACCAATGAGATCGAGTTGGCACACGACCAACCGCCAAAGTCCAGACATGCCTCTTTGTTAGGAAAAGCCAACAAAGTATACTACGGTCATTCACCTTCCCTCCATATATTCTTATATTATTTCCACGGAATGGACTTTGAACAGCGAAATGAGCTTACAGAGACTCTTCGTTTGTCGGTAGACTGTTTGCGCGATCTCAACCTCTACAACGCGACGAAGTGGTAAGTTGCACTTTCACAACGCGTACATCAACAGGAATACTAACAAAAGGGGTGGTTTCACCCCGATTTTACAGGTGCAGCGAAGCTTTAACCGGATTAAGACCACTGACCAATCAAGAGGCTCATTCGGTCTATCTGAGATCGAAGAACCCACAGCGGGGCAATCTGCCAGAGGTTTTACCGGAGCTGTCACAACAAGAAGAAATGCTTTTGTTTCTAGAACGCGACAAGATCACGCTGGCACAGTCATATTTCAACACCAAAGAATTTGCACGGTCTGCGCACGTTTTGAAGGATTGTAAGAGCGCGAAAGGTCTCTTTGTGAGACTATACTCAACATTCTTGAACGGTGAGAAGATCAAAGGTGACCAGGGCGAGGGCATATTGACTGGAAAAGATGGCGTAGCGCCGAATCCAAAGGTGTCAGAGATTTCTGGCGAATTGGAAGCATATTGCAGTGCTGACAGATTGACAGACCCGTTCCTGCTGTACCTGTATGGGGTAATTCAAATGAAACAAGGAGACATTTCCCAGGCGCGAGAGTCGCTATACAGGTCATTGGTGCACTTTCCATACAATTGGAGCTGTTGGGAGCAACTTGGATCAACTTTCAAGACGTTTGACGAGGCTTTGACGATGATAGAGAGGTTTGAGAAGAATCACAGGTTTTCTTCGAGCAGAAACTACGGAACCATGTTGCTGTTCTTCAAGGTGTTTATCAACCAGTCGTTTTTTCAGCAGTCAGAAGACGTTTATCAGGATATTGAGTTTTTGCTGGAGATATTTCCAAATTTTAGCTTCTTGAAAATCCAGAAGGCCCTGATATCTTACAACTCTATGGATTACCCTACAGCTGAACACGCCTTCGACGATGTGTTGGTGAATGATCCATTCCGGCTCGACGATCTGGATGCATTCTCCAACATATTGTATGTTATGGAGAAGAAATCGAAGCTTGCGTTTCTGGCGCAGTTTGCCTCGGCAATTGACAAGTTTCGCCCAGAAACGTGTTGCATTGTGGCCAACTACTATTCTCTCAAGTTTCAGCACGAAAAGGCTATCATGTATTACAAAAGAGCTCTATCACTCAACAAGAACTGTCTGTCCGCATGGACTCTCATGGGCCACGAGTTCGTGGAGCTCAAAAACTCTCATGCCGCTATAGAATCATACAGAAGAGCTGTTGATACCAACAACAAAGACTTCAGGGCCTGGTATGGTCTCGGTCAGGCCTACGAGGTTCTGGATATGCACCTGTACTCGCTTTACTACTATCAAAGAGCATGTGCCTTGAAACCGCAAGACCAAAGGATGTGGCAGGCTCTCGCAAATTGTTACGAGAGACTGGGAGGTGCTGAGGAATCCATCAAGGCATATAAGAAAGCACTGGCCATTTCAGAAGCAGATTCAAACATACTGTACAAGATTGCGATGCTGTACGAGTCGCTTAACGATGTGAAGAACTCTGTTGTCTATATGAAGTTGACGCTTGCTGAAGAGGTGAATGAAGGTGTTTCTGACGAGACTGCAAAAGCAAGACTGTGGCTAGCCAAGTTTGAGGCGGCCAACAATAACTGGCCTATGGTGTATAGGTACGCCAGTGAGATGAACGAAGGGTCTGCTCATGATATAGAGGAAGCAAGAACCTTGGCGAGGGAGGCTCGGGTGAAAATGAAGTCCTCATGAAATCACCTTGGCAAATCACCAGAGCTCGTCAAAGTGCCGGTCTTTCCTCCGTTTCCTCCATTTCCAGGACGCGCTAATATAAATTACTCATCTGTAATCGCATTGAGGATTTCAATCCCATTCATTGCTGGAAACAGTGCTATTGGAGATCCCATTCTAGGCCCTTTAAATGACCAATAGACTGAAGGGCGTGTGTAAGCAACGATGCGGCTCGGGACTCATGCGAGGGAACTTAGACAAGTAAACGTTTTCAACACGCTTTGTTTCCAGAAGTAACATCTTCTGATCATACAACTGCAGTACAATGACTTCAGAATTGAAAGAATTATTGCCGGAGCCTGTTGAGATTGACGAATCGGAGATATTACCGCCACCAAAAAAATGGTCCATTGCGACGTGGGTCATTCCCCACCTCGTTAGTATCCAGAAGTACTCGGTGATACCGTTCACCGTCTTCTCTGCTCTACATCTTTCTAGTACGATATTTGTACCCGCTGTTGCGGGTCCTGGTGCTGGTGAGGATGTATTTACGATGGCCAGAACGATATACCAAGCTCCGGGCATCGAAGAGACCATGGTGCTTGGAGCCGCGGGTACCCATGTGCTGAGTGGGGTGCTGCTGAGGATTTGTCGTAAGATCAAACACGACTCCGAGTACGGCAAACAGAAGAGACGTTCGAAGGCTTATATGACCGAAGCAGAGAAGGCCAAAGATGCGGATTTCGGACTTGGTGGGTTCTTCTCGCTGTTCGGCTTTGGATCGAAGCAATCTGTCGTTTCTAAGAAGTTTGGCATATCACCATCCGTTTTCAGTGGATATCTACTAACAGTTTTATTAACCTGTCATGTGGCAAGTTTGAGACTGGCGCCATTGCTGGTGGATGGTGATTCTTCATATGTGAGCCTCGCCTATATATCTCACATCTTCAACCGATCGCCGATATTCACTAGCGGAGCCCTCGGATTACTCACAGCTGTTGGGACTTACCATATGTCCAGTGGCTGGTTACGAATCCTACATAAGTTTTCTTTGAACTGGAAAAGGGCTGCCTACGGGTCTATTGCTTTAACGTGCGCTCTTCTGAGTGTGGCCCTTTCCAAAGTGGGTAGCCTTGGGCTCCAAACAGGATTTATGGCTGCAAAGTTTGATGCCTATCATGATTATTTCCATTGAAGTGGTGTGTACAGAGAGTTTTCCTAGTACTCAGTGACGGAGAACAGTCAAACGGACAATTGCAGCTTCTCTCGACTTTATCTCATTAAAGGCCATAGAAACATATTCTTCCGCCAGTCCTAATACCCAAACCTGCAAATACTGCTATTGCGGAATGAACAATCATTTATTTTCAATGTCCTCTATTACAGAAGAACTCCAAATTGTAGACCTAAGCCGCACCATCACCACTTTCATGCTTCCTGTGAATCTTTTTTCAGCTTTTATTTTTGTTTTCCTTTTTGTATTTCATTCATTTGTTCAATCCTTCTTTTTCTCCAGCTCCTCATCCGATAAATCCTCGTTGAAAGCAACAACGATATAACCAATCAACACTATGTTGGCCACTAAAGCAGCCAGACCTCCAGAGACAATGGAACTGGCATCTGTCGAGGGGTTAGTCAAAGACACACAACACAAAAACCTGAACTGGCAATAATCTCACCAAAACTCCTAACATACTGAACACATTCGATAACGTGAAAAACGTCAACAATGGGGCTATGATCATCATAGCAGTGCAGAAGACAAGCTTCTTGATAACGCTCCTGCAAAAGAGTTAGTCCGGGGATCTTCACCAATTCACACCTCGAAATCCTGACTCACGTTGGGATGTCTGCCATTGTTGTGGCTATGGACGATTGTATGGGTGCAATTGATTGGAATAGCTGTTCAACGAGAAATCCAACTTGGCTCAGATTCATTCAACAGTTCAGTGACTTTTCAAGCCGTGCACCGCCACTCCCGATTTGGTGTGGCACCGCAATCTCATCGTTTGCTCGCATAAAAATGCATGCCTGCCTTTCGAGGACTATCAATAGTTTACTTGAGCTGTTGATCTTCTCGTTCGTAGACCGAGCTTTCAGATGTTGAACCCAAAGACTACAGAAAAGGACTTTTTTGGATTTGTCGGAGCGGTCACGTTGACGCTGGGCTTACCGGCAACTGTCCTGTTCCTGAATCTGTGCGCGAATGATGTGTATAAGGCCGAGGGAATCAAGGTTGACGCTGAAAAATTGCAATTGGCGTTCACAGAGAAAATCCTTAAGAACCCCATGGAATTGCTATTCAATGTTAGTGCCTGGAAATGGTATTTGACTTGGTTTTTTGGGCTTGTAGCTCTGGGACAGATCTTGCCTGGAAAGACTCTCCAGGGAGTGGAGCTTAGAGACGGAACCAAGCTCACGTACAAAATTAACGGTCTGGCTGTGGTGGGATTTGTGTTTGTGTATCTGCCATCGAGCTATCTGAGTCACGGAGGAAGTGTGCCGGAATTGGTTTATGTATACGACAATTTCTGGCCGTTGATGGTGACCTCCTTCGAATTCTCACTGTTGCTATCATGTTTCGTTTACGCTGGTTCGTTCGTTCCATTGAGAAAACCCAACGGAAAGGGCACCAGAGAAAGAATTCTGGCCACAGGTGGTAACTCTGGAAATGTACTCTTTGATTGGTTCATTGGACGCGAATTGAATCCTCGCATCGGATCATGGGACATCAAACTGTTCTGTGAACTCAGACCAGGTTTATTGCTGTGGGGACTTCTCGACTTGTCATGTCTTTATCATCAGTACAAGACTACTGGAACAATCTACGATTCCATGGCTGTGGTGGTTGCTTTGCAATGGTTCTACATTCTCGATGCTGTACCTAACGAGGAGGGACTTCTTACCATGATGGACATCACCACTGACGGTTTTGGCTTCATGCTTGCCTTTGGCGATCTTACGTGGGTTCCATTCACTTACTCGCTTCAAGCTCGTTATCTAGCCCTGACACCTTTGCAATTGGGCTATAAGTTCATCTTGGTGATCGTCTCGATAATGGCCCTCGGCTACTACATTTTCTCCTCGGCCAACTCTCAAAAGTCCAAGTTCAGGGCTGGTAAACTACCCCAGATGAAGTCGATAAGTACCACCAGAGGTACCAAACTACTTTGCGAAGGCTGGTGGGGGTTATCGCAGCACATCAACTACTTTGGTGATATTCTCATTGCGTTGAGCTGGTGCCTGCCCACCAGAACTGAGACTTTGCTCACCTACTTCTATATCATATATTTCTCGTCCTTATTGATCCACAGACAGACGAGAGATGAGGCCAAGTGCAGGGCCAAATATGGTAAGGCCTGGGAGGAATATGAGAGACAGGTGCCGTATAAGATCATCCCATATGTGTATTGAGAAAGGGTCATGGACTTACAAAATCATTGGCAGCATTTTGTCATTTTGCGCTTGCCCAAACTACGTAGGTTACTAACATGGTCAAAAGTCTGTTAAGCTGTATCTGCCAAGTCTCGTTACCACATGCCACGGCTCTAAATTGTTCACTGCGTCTTCTTGCGGGCGTTGAATGGCTTGTCAAAAGCCCTGTAGCTGACCTGGAGCGAAGACAGCCAGTTTAGAGCTACTCCGAACACAAAAACCAGGAACAACGATACCAATGTGCACATCCAGATGCCTGGTGTGAAGTAGGAATACTTGTCGAAAAGCGAGCCATCAGTGGTGTTGAATGCAGCGGAAACGGATTTTTCGTAAATTGAGATCGGTTTGTCGGAATTTTCAGACTCGATCATGTCCTCGATCTCCTGGAAGGCCTGGTCCAGCTCTTGCTGGATCTTATTGTAGTCCTCTTCGCTGACAGTGTCGTCTCTCTTTTGTATGGCAGGAACAGTTGGTTCTGCAAAAGTTGGCAGTCCTTGCACTATCACCTTATGCTTGGAAGATAGTATAAGTGTGAGTTGCTCGAAGTACTCATTGATCTTGGAAACCTCCTCTGGAAACTTCAAGAAAATGGCTTGAGCTTGGGCTTCCTCCATTCTGCTCAGCCAATTCTCATCCTTGACAACATCAATATTGTCAACAGTGCACGATTCATGTGCTGAGAGAGAAGAATCTTCGTTTCGGGCGTAACGAACATGTGGCGTGTATTTGGCCCCTTCGTTCTGTTTCGATTGGATGAAGTCACTGATGGTGTCTAAGTACCCGTCATTCAACAAATCCTTCGAAAGTCCTGGAATTGTTACAATCACCAACTTGTCATCCGTGGAACAAATATTTGAAGACAAGATGTGGCTCTTGGCCTTGATATCCGCGAATGGTGTCAAATAAGACAGTTCCTCAACCGCAGGCCATCCAAACAGAAATGGTGCAGAATCCCGGAAGGCAGCAGCTCCCGATATGAGCGATCCAGCAGCAAGGAGGACACCTGTCACTCTCATTATAGAAAATTGAGGAGTCAATTGAAATAATAAATGCGAAAGATGGTGTATACGTTTGGTAGAAGAAGTACAGTTTGAGATACCGATCCTCGCTCTGGCTGCTGCTCTTGGTGACGTGAACCGGGTAACCAATGTGGGCTCGTAACCACACAAAAGAGAAGGGACATTTGAGAACTGATAAGAGTAATATGAGAAGAAAGTCTAAGAAAATTCTGAGCATTTGACATTTCGTACCGAAAGCATTCAAAGAATCATACAAGGTTGTTATCCTATGAGCTCCTCGGTTATTCGCATAGGTAAGTTCTTTTTGATGGTTTTTGGTACCATCTCCTACACTGATTCTGGTACTAACCAGCTTCCAGAGCGACTTCCCAGAAAAATAGCCCAATCAGACGTTGTCGATGTGTTCATACCGTTTGGTGAAATAAAGGCCGTACAAATAAACCAGCAACGTGGTTTGGTTGACGTCAAATACGAACAAGTTGAAGATGCTGTTGAAGCCAGACTGAATATGGATGGATTCCTTTACTTTGGCCAACATCTAAAGGTGAGGGAACTGGATGAGACCGTGTTCGATTCCAAACAGATTCTCTCAGGTTAACGATTAATGATAAACGATATATGTTACAGCCGGCCATTGCGGGGTCAGATTCTGTTTTTTTCTTCTTCTATATTGGTACAGGTGAATGGAATTAACTATGCTCATGCGAACGAAACCTTCTTCTTTTTTGGTTTTTCTTGCTCAATTTCCTCCTTGGATCTACCTTTAGCATTTCTGCGCCTCAGTATTCTCGCAGCACTGGCCTTGTCCTTCAATTCTTGTTTTTTGTCCTCTAATTTGCTGACCTTGGCCTGTTCTTTTCTCTCCAGCTCCTGTCTCTTCACCTCTCGTATTTCCTCGAGTCTCTTGGCTTTCTCCAGTTTGCTTTCGTTAACAGAATCTTGAGCATCGTTGATGGTTCTCACCAGTCTTTGCATTACCAGCGTGTCGTGATCATCCACGAACTTTTTGCCTTTCTTACCACTCTTCTTCACGACACCAGGGCTAATAGCCATGTTCAATTTGGGCAAATCAAGTTCTTTCTCGGTATATTCACGTTTCTTCTTCTTGCCGTAGAGCTCCACTCTTTTAAGCTCCTTTTTCAGGGCTCCTTTTTTGGGCTTATGAATCCTTGATTTGGGGGTAAGGTTTGGTTGGTTAGCCAGCTGGTTCCTGGCGCGCGAATCCGACGTCACCTCGCTGGTAACCTCACGGGTGCCATTTTGGGTCTTGGACCTTTTGGCTGTCTTAGACTGTCTTGGTGCCATTTCAGTGGTTGATGTGAGATGTCGTAGGAAACAAAAGAATCTCTTTTAAATCTTCTTACCTGGACTGAAAAAATCACTCCCAAATTTTTTTTGGAGATGAGGCCCCGGAATACCCTCGGTTTGATTCGGATAAATCTCGGTTTGAAATTGTGATTGAAGTCAAGTCGAAGAAAATCGCCGTTAAAACCTCAATTCTTTTACTTGATTTTCCATTTTCATTTATGCTGCTATGCTTAGTGTAGTTATTGAGTCCCAATATGTGCGCAGGAAGGTCTTGGCCGCGGGATATGGTAGATATAGCCAGATCCAGGACAAGAATTTGAATCAGTGAGCTTCCAGTTTCAAAGGGAAGACTACCTAGATGTTCAATCGAACCAAATCTTACTCTCCTTTCTCATACTTCTTAACCAACTTGTCAAATCTTTTCCAGGATGGAAATCCCTCAATAAGACAATCCAGCATCCATTCAATCTTGAAGTCTAAAGGAACTCTGTGCTTATTCAGTCTTGGTCTCATACACAGAAAACATTCGCCAATGTGTAGAAATGCAATCAAGTAGAAACTGAATGGAGTCAAAAACCTCACAAAGTCGGTGACTGGCTGAGGAAGAACCTTTGGATAAACCACCCCATAGAGATAATCCGGTTTGAAGAAACCCCAGATCAAAAGCACGGTGAGTACCAAAACCGGATAATTCTGCTTGGGTGGATACACCATCTCGTTGATAGATATGTGTGAATATCCCCTTTTAGCTGCTGCTTCTTTGGCCATGGCCACCAGTCGTTCCCTTGCCTCTCTCAAAGATTTCATTGGAGGATCAAATGGAATGGGCTTCAACACCTCGGTCTCTATGAGCTCGTGGTTGAACCCAATTGTCATATGATCCAACTCTATGTCTCTCATTCTGACATTTGCCACCTTATTGTCCACAGTTACACCACCATAGACACTGAGGTAATCCTCCACAGCCACACTGTGGTCTTTATTCATATGAGAGAGTATCCTTGCGGTAGCGTCTGACATTGTGGAGACGTCTGAAACAGAGAAGAAGATATTTGAGATCAAGTGAATAAGATCGAATTGATTTCGAAATACTGGCCAAAACCCGATTATATAGAACCGAACCGAGAACAATCCTGCTTACAAAAACACGGGGACGAAGTAAATCGAGGTTATCGGCCTGTACCGGGGCTCCTATGCACTCAACGGCTTTGAGCGAAAAACAACAGTTCGGCTTGTTGTTCTTAATCAAGGTTTGTAGTGGTCTGATTAACTCATCCTGGCCATCACTTAAGCCACAATCATTCTTTCAATGGTTAAGAGGAAAGGAGGTTCTGTTGGTGGTTCCAAAGCAAAGAAAGCGAGGGAGACCCAAATAGTGAAGAACGAGGAGGGTCCAGATCGGAGCCCTGCCGGGGAATCACCAAAAAAACCACTACTCAAAAAACCCCCAGCTTTCAGTCCAGACTCAAAAGGCAGGCGGTTTTGGCTGATCAAATCTGAACCGCTCACCAGATTGGACGATAAAACTGGGGAAGATGTGGCTTTCCCTCTTTCTGAGTTTGCGAAGGTTGAGAGAGAACCATGGGATGGCGTGAGGAACTATGAAGCCAGAAATAATCTGCTATCAATGGCAGTTAACGACATTTGTCTCTTTTACCATTCGAATTGTCCCAAACCCGGAATTGTTGGAATAGCACGGGTGGTACAGGAGGCCTTTCCAGACGAGTCTCAGTTTGATCCGAAATCCAACCATTTCGATCCGAAAAGCAAAAGAGAGGAACCCAAATGGTGGTGTCCCGCCGTGAAATTCGTGGGAAGACTGAGGCACAAGGTAGCTGCAGCGGACCTCAAGATTGATTCGAGGTTTACTGATCTCGCATTGAATAAGCGAGGTCGTTTGAGTGTGACTCCAGTGAGTGAGTCACACTTCAAGCTAATACTGGAAATCAGCAAGGAGGGAGACATAGAAGACGACATTGATTGCGAGATTAGTCGTAAATATATTGTAGACGAAATATAGATCTGAGACCAGATACAGTTAAACTGTTTTGGAACAGTCCATTACTTCATTGATGCTGGTGTGACAGGCCAGCCACTTTAAGCATACAATTGTGGGATCAATAGGATCAAATCCGGTCAATGACCAAAGCCTCAGGGAGGTTGGCAAGTTGTCTTGATCTTTACTGGTATTTGGCCGATAATGGCTGGTGATGACAACCACCCCAGACTTTTCATTGGGCAGGTGCACAGCCCGGATCTGCCCTGGCAAATCTTAAACGGCCCACTTCAAGCACGTCATTATGATAAAAATAAACCATATTATTCAAATTCAAAATGGCGGTTCTTGTTTACTTCCTGATTTGGATTTAATTAAGACTATCCTCGTGAGAAATCGGCAAAAATTCTTTCCCCTGCATGGAAAACTTCTAAATTTAAACATTGGGGATCATCTTCCGCATTCGGGCTAATTGGTACTGTTTACATATTTCCCAATTAGGAAAAAACCGATATTGGGACCCACGCGATGACCAGCCATTTTTCATAGATACATTCTTTCGAGTTCCTAAAATAACTCGGCCGTTGTGGCCGTGAACAATATATAAAGGGGATGGAAGATCCTCTAATGATGGGTTTTTGTTTCTTCTTTATCATCAGTTCAACAGACAGAAGAACTTCTCCATCCTCATCACATCTCATCACATCATTATAATGCCAGCTACTAAATACTCCCTTCTGTGCGCCTTGGGTCTCAGTTCATCTGCTCTCGCTGCCTACATTCCATCTGAGCCATGGTCAACCTTGACACCTAAGGGAGACTACGCCGGTACTATTACCGACTACTCCAGCACTTTCGGTATTGCTATCAACCCAGTTGCTACTGCTGCTGCCAAGGTCAAGCGTGATGCCGTTTCTCAAATCGGTGACGGTCAAATTCAGGCTGACACTACCACCAAGAGCACTGCTGCTGTTGTGACTCAGATTGGTGACGGTCAGATCCAGGCCACCACTTCCACAAAGACTTCCGCTGCTGCTGTCGTGACTCAGATTGGTGACGGTCAAATTCAGGCTGACACCACCACCAAGACTTCCAAGACCAAGACTTCCGCTGCTGCTGTCGTGACTCAAATTGGCGATGGTCAAATTCAGGCTGACACCACCACCAAGACTGCTGCCGCCGTTGTGACTCAAATCGGTGACGGTCAGATCCAAGCCGACACTACCACCAAGACTGCTGCTGCTGTTGTGACTCAGATCGGTGATGGTCAAATCCAAGCCGACACCACCACCACCACTGCTGCCGCCGTTGTGACCCAAATCGGTGACGGTCAAATCCAGGCTGACACCACCACCAAGACCACCAAGACCAAGAAGACCAAGACCAGCACCAAGACCGGAGTCAGCCAGATCAGTGACGGACAGGTCCAAGCCACTTCTACTTCCTCCTCTGCCGCCGCTTCCTCTTCTTCCTCTTCTTCCGACCCAGTGACTCAAGTCTCTTGCAAGTCTGACGGTGCCTTGTCCTTGACTCTGTCTGGTTCCATTTTGACTGATGGTAAGGGAAGAGTCGGTTCTATCGTCGCAAACAGACAGTTCCAGTTTGACGGTCCACCACCACAGGCTGGTGCCATCTACGCTGCCGGTTGGTCCATCACCGATGATGCCAAGTTGGCCATCGGTAACACGACTGTCTTCTACCAATGTTTGTCTGGAACTTTCTACAACTTGTACGATGAGTCCATTGGTGACCAATGTACTGAAGTCTACCTTGACGTTGTTGACCTGATTTCATGTTAAACAACGCGTTGACAATCCTCAAAATTTCTTCTTCTCGTTCGATTTATTATTACTTCTCGGTTTTGCATGACAAACTCTTACGATTTTTCTAGCTGGTACATACATAGCATAATGGTTACACAAAATGAAAACAATAAAAAATTCTGCTCTTTCAATTCACATATCTTGTAAAATGCATTTGCATCTAATCTGTAGTTGATGATTAACATCATGTATGGATGCGGATAACCATGCATGCGCTCCCGTTTTCCTGGGGTTTTGAAGTCAATCAAAGAATTTGGATGCCCTCACCTACAGTCACATATTCCTAATTATATTTATTAAAATGTTTTATGGTGTCAACTAAAAGTTGTATAATGCTGATATTAGAGATTTTATCGAAAAGAGCTGCAACTAGTTGGGAATGATCAATGTTTTCAGGTAAGGCAAGAATAGATAAGCAAGATTGAATTTCCAAATCGGGAAGGCGCTTAAGGCGAATTCAGTAACAGTGTTCTGATCCATGGGCACAATTTCCTCATATCTGTTTCTCACAATAGAGAATCAGAAAAGGAGACCAAAGCATTTGTTCCATTCACATAAGGATCTTATTGGAGAATGAATGGAAGGTAGGATCGCTCCTGGCACAAGCGAGCAAATGTAAAGTCGAGATAAGGATAGCCCGGTCCCTCGCCAGGATATACCGTCTAAATTTTCGGCCGATCTCGAAGACAAATTAGGCCATATTTATCCAAAAGGGTAACTGATCCGACCGTACCTTATCTGATTTTGCCGTTCTATCTACCAGTTATTCCCCAGTTATAGCTCCCAAGGACCCCTTATCTATCACAATGTTGCGAAGAGGGTTTCTTCTATGAGACAAGTCGCCAGAAAAGGACAGAATTATCTACGATCGTTATCTATACTTGTTTGTTAAAAGTACATTTTTCGCCTTGATTTTGTGTATCCCGCTTCCCATTATTTTTGACTTGTCAGCTACCTTTCATTCCGAACTAATTGGTCAATCTCTGCCCTATGTCGGAGTTCAAAACACCAAAAGAGGTCATTTCCGTCTATGAAATTGACGAAGCACAACCAGACTCTGGTCCCGCTATCAGGAGCAAATTCGACCCACTTACGGGTGTCAGAAGAGGTCTAAAGACGAGGCATATCTCGATGATGGCCCTTGCAGGTGTCATTGGCCCAGGTGTCTTCGTGGGCATGGGTTCAGCTCTACATTCGGGTGGGCCAGTAGGTCTGATTGTGGGATTTTGCATTGTCGGATTGCTGGTCATAGCTATGATGAACTGTATCGGAGAATTGAACACTATGTACGATTTCAACTTCACTATCCACTGCTCCAGATGGGTTGATCCTGGTTTTGGTGCTGCCATAGGCTGGTGTTATGTCATGCTGTGGGCCTGCAATATGATTGCTGAATATGTATCTCTCACTTCCATTCTTTCCTTTTATACCGAAAAGGTACCCATCTACGGTTGGTATCTGATATGTTGGTTTTGCTTCACCATTTTTCAAACGCTGGGTGTCACAGCCTTTGGAGAGAGTGAGTACGTTTTGGCAATTCTGAAAATCATGTTTCTGAGCGGTGTCTACCTGTTCTCAATTATTTTTGCAGCTGGAGGAATTCCCGACCACTCTCCTGGAAACCCATTTAGAGATTATCCATTGCCTGACGGTTTCAAAAGTATTGCCAACTCTTTTGTATGGGCTGGTGCCTTCTACTCAGGTATCGAAGCAGTATCCATGACTACATCAGAGGCTGCCAACCCCAAGAAAGCTGTACCCATAGCTGTGAGACAGACCATCTGGAGAATAATTTTCATTTATCTCGGTGCGTCAATTGCGTACGGTATTACAGTCCCATGGAACGACCCACACCTATCTCTGTCAAACAAAACCATGAAGGCTCCAGCCACCATTGCTCTGGTAAAAGCAGGTTGGGCAAATGCGGGCTATTTTACCTCAACAATTATTCTTGTCACCTGTTTTTCCTCTGTCAACAGTTCCATCTACCTTGCAAGTAGATCTCTGTTCAATCTTGCGACGGAGGGAAACGCACCAAAGATATTTTCCAAGACTGACAGGAGAGGTACCCCATACGTCAGCATCCATGCTTGCCATTTGCTGGGATTTCTATCTCTTTTGTCGACTAGCTCGGGTGCTTCTACAGCCTACAGTTACATTGTCAGTTTGGCAGGTGTCTGTGCTTTCATAGTCTGGACTGCTATCGCTGTTGCCCAAATCAGATTTAGAAAAGGCTGGTTGGCTAATGGATATCCAAAGGAAGGTATTATTTACAAAGTTCCATTCTTTCCCCTGACATCGCTCTTCGCTGTTGTTTTGGGAGTCGTGCTTTCCTTGGTTCAAGGATGGTCTACTCTGAAGCCTTTCGATAAAGGAGACTTTATCGATGACTACATCATGCTTCCCATCTTCTTTATTGTATGGGGTGGTTATTCGTTCTACCACAAAAAGTTCTGGATTTCATATAAAGATATGGATTTCGAGACTGGTAGAAAAGATCTGGAAATCACAGAGGATGATTTGAAACATGCCGACGACCCTGAAGTTAAGCCATCATTGCTGTCGAAGCTCTGGGCAATGATCTGATAACCAATTTCTCTGTCTTTATTTCTTTCTTGTTTATTTTGTTTACTTTATATATTGGAATAGTACAATTAAATCTACTTTTTCTGAGCCAATTTTCGTACAAGTCTTCAGAGAAACATGTTCTTGGAGATATGATCCTCCTATTCTTCGGTCATCAGCTTCGTCATTCCTTTCCTAGGAATCATCTTGTGCAAAGTTGAATAGTCGCTCAGCAGAAGTGTATTATCCTCGGTGTGTCAAACATCTACATTGTAACTAAACTTTACGATATCTCGAAAATTTACATATTCATTTCCTTATCGCACCTGATAAGCTCTAGCATATTAGTAGAATGCACGACTTCTGTGTTGCGCACGAATCATCTGAAAACTCTGAGCTTCAACGACGACAACATTATCCTATTCTCCTACCACATCCTACACTATTCCCACGCAAGGATGTTATATGAACTAGTCGCGATAGCGCGTGTTTCTAACCCGGTGAAGCAACACCTGGATGCTATCAAGTACGTATTCTGTGCTTCTGTCATTCCCCTTTAGTTCAAAGATGTGGACCGACCGGATGACATTCATATAGGAATCAACATGAATTCTAACAGTTTTTCTAGTGTGTCCAAAACTATAGGAAAGATGGTGGTGGAGAATAGAGGAGTGCTAAGAAAGGTGATCTCTCTAGGTGTGAACCCACTCCCCAAAATCATGAGAAAGGCAGGGGATGGTCATTTCCAAGGATCCCAGTTTTTAATGTTATTTGACTCGTCTGCAACTGTTCAGAGTGAAATTCTGAGATCTCTCAGAAACGATCCGAGAGTTTTGAGGGTTAACGTGTTCAAAGTGAACGATAGCACAAACTTGAACGTTGCTTCCTCTGTGGAAAGAGCTAGAGCTTCGTTTTAGATGGAGAGGTCGAACGGTAATGAATGATGCATGTAAATATGAAATATTATAAGATTTGTGAATCTGATTGAGTTCATGGTTTCTTGTGAAGAGCGTAGGAGTTTTTGGGTGATGGAAGTTCAGTCAATGAGGTTGTCGATATCATGCAGAATGAATTCTTTTGCAGATTTATCTTCTGAAATACCGCCCTTCGGGGGTTTCAAAAGAGACTGGCCCCAAAGTGAGGAATTTGACTTCAGAAATGGGTATGGTGCCAGGGTTTGAGTAGGTGGCTGTGATATTGACTGATTTGGCTTGGTGACACTCTGAGGCACAACGCCAGTCTCCTTGACATTTTTGAAAGTTGGCCCCTTTATAGGTGAAAAAGCAGAAAACGCAGCAGGAAGATTCAGCGTCTGACTCGGAGAAAATCTTTCGCCGATTGAAAGTGGCTGCGGCGATTTGAAGGCACTCATCAGGCCAGGCAATTCGGCTGATAGCCTGGAGGTGGGCCTGGAAGAGGGCTTGGCCATATTGTAGGAACCCTCCAAACTTGAAATGCTAGACATTGTAGAATGGGTTCTGAAGTCGTCATCCGAGTCGTAAGTGCTGGAATTGCCCAGAGTTTCGGAGTTCTCCATAAAACTATTGGTTGGTGATTTGAGCTCGAGTACTCTTCGCTTGAACTGCATCGCCTCGAACATCTTTTCAACGTCATTGACAACTGCAACGCATTCCATGGTTCCAATGGTATCGTTCTGGGAAACACAATCATTGAGTTGCTTTAATAGTTGATTAACAAATGAGGTATATTTTTCAACCGTTTCCTCGGAGAGAGGGTGGCTATCGTCATACAGAAACAGATGGTCCTCCAGCTCTTTTCCGATGGTGATGAGCTTGGCCTTGGAGTATGTTACCGAAATTTCCTCTTCCAATTTGTTTTTCAGCCGAATAATCCTAAAGCTCAATTCACATAAGATCGTTCCTGGATCGGAAATGCACTGAAGAGGCGAGAGACTAGAGACATACTCGTTCAAGTCCTCGACCTCTTCGCTGATATCTATAAGCAACCGTCTCAGATCAAGACAACTCTGCAAAATCTGCGTGGCCAATTGTGAATTGAGTTGACGTTTTTTGAACTCTTCCGGACTCATATGAACTCCTCGGGACACTATCTGGAAATTCAACGAGGCCTTATGCCATGTAGAGGAACGTAGTCCTATTCTTTCAAGATCCCTAAGGATCTGGAACCCATCAAGACATGATTGTTTCAGTTTCACCTGTTCCTGTGGAATCCCTCTTATTAAAGAGAGCAGCTTACTAGACTTCTCTTTATCTTTGTTGAGACCTGGATCCTTCAGCAGCAGGATCAACGGGTCCTGGTAGATCTGGATTTCAGCCATATCTGGCCGTTGGTTGGATGTGGGGCAGGAGACTTTTTCACCGATAGTGATCCCAGTCTGAAAAACAGCACAGATGCAAAACTAAAGACGGAGATATGCCTATGAGCACCCTCAGATTACCATTACCGGTTTTGTAAGAATATAATTGCGGTGGAGTGGAAATGGGCCGAGATGAAATCAAAGAAAAGTCGTCTGAAAAGTTTAGATAGGGACCTCTGACCAGATCACGCCATTGGCTGGTTCGGCAGAAAGGCTAACGGCTAACTACGATTCTACCGGTTTAAATACACGTATTTGACGCTCAAACTCAACGAAAAATTGGTTACACATTATTACAGATGGCCAATTCAGAAAACCAACAAAAACGGGTAAATAAAATAAAACACGCGCGAAATGAATGACCACAAAGCATGTGGCTCTGAGCCGAGCTTCTCTTCACTTATCCTTATATCTGCCTGCCAAACTTCTCATCCAGCACTTTGTTCTTCATGTACAAGTACCAATCCTCCAAAGTACCAATGTTCTCGTGCAGCGCAACTATGATGATGGTCATATTGTCAAACCCGATACCCGTGATGGTGTTAGCCATGTTCAGACAATTCTCCAGAATCAGCTCGATTATTTCGTCTAGTCTCTTCCCCAATGCCAACTGGTTTCTGATCAACTGCACCAACTTGTGCGTCTTGTAACAGTCCCATATTCCATCGCATGCCAGCACGATGAACTCATCACTGGAGTTGAGCTTGTGGTATATTATTTCTGGGTCCACCGTCACCTGGTATTCCTCCGGAGAAGTGAGTTTCTGGCGTGAGGCCGCACGTAGCGGTTGTTGCTGTTGAGATTGCGAAGGCTGATTTGTCGTATTCAGAGAGTCAAACGCCTTTCTGTTGAGCAATCCCGACCGAGCGGTATTCGTTATTCTGTGGTGGTTATTTGCGTTGTGCATTTTGAAACTGAAGTCGCCAAATGCCCGCGACAGTGCAAGCACCCCATTCACTCTGTTATCAGTGACGTAGCCTCCATCGTTTCTGATGCGCAGAAGCTCGCCAAAATTCTTGGGCTTATGGTCAAACGAAAGCATCTTGGGAGCACCCTTGTCGCAACTCAAAATACACCGCGAGTCGCCAACGTTGGCCACCACAAGATACCCGTCAATCATAATAGCAACCACAGCTGTTGATCCTGATCGAATGCCCTTGTTGTACAGCTCATTGTCGCACACCATGAAGGCTGATTTGAATATTGTGATAAGCTCTAGCTGGTCAACCAGAGCTGGCTTTTTCGAATTTTCGCTCGAAATCGTCGCATCTTTCTCCAACGCCACCGATGTCGATATCAATGTGTCTGTATCTGTATTTGTGTCTATTGTTGCCGTCAAGGTAGAAACTTCAGCTCCTTGCTCAGGGTGCTGCCTCGGGCTAATCCCATTGATAGCTGCCTCTAGTCTCTCGGATATAATCTGCGGCAATCTCGCGCCTATATATTTCGAGGCATCCGCTCCACCGTGACCATCAAAAACTCCGAAAACAGTGTATCCAGCTTTGCCAGAGTCCCGATCTGGTTCCACAATCAGATCGCAGTAGGCGTCCTCCATAGTCAGCCGGTAGCCCTGCATCTCGCCCACGACGTGCGACACCTTGTCGAACTCGCACGTCTTGATGTGTTTTTCCGTGATGGGCTGCGATAGGAATTGACCCATTGTAGATGCTTTTCACGGGATTGGGCTTGTACGGAAACGCGGGTGTTCTAAAGGGGCAGGCGAGGCGAGAAAAGAGAATAGTCTCCCCTCCTAGGCAATCGCCGCCGGCCGGAAGTGAGGTCGTGCAGTGGCTAAATATCCAGGTGCGGCGTTTTATATATTTATTGATCAATACTAATAATACTTAAAGGGTCTCTTCTTTCTTGTCTTGTTCGTCCTCACATCTTCAGCAGCTCCTTCACAAAGTTCTCGCCCCAGAAACTGGCCGTGTATTTTTCGATGTACTTGAACATTTTATCGAAATTGCCCTTTCTCTTTTCGTCGGACATGGTCAAGCCCTCATAGATCGCATCACTCAATTCCTCGGTGTTCCATGGGTTCACGATCAAGGCGCCATTGAGGGATTGCGCAGCACCGGCAAACTCACTAAGAATCAACGAGCCGTGTTTCTTCTCCTGGCAGGCCACATACTCATAACTCACGAGGTTCATACCGTCACGTGTGGAGCTCACGAAGCAGACATCACATGCTCCGTAGACGGCAATCAGTTCGTCAAACGGAACAGACTTGTGCATGAAGTGGATGGGTACAAATTCAACCGTGCCAAAACGGCCGTTGATGCGGCCAACCAGCTCATTCACCGTGGCTCTAAGATTCTGGTATTCTTCAACATCTCCGCGCGAGGGCACAGCAATCTGGATCAGGACGACTTTGCCAATCCATTCCGGGTGGGTCTCGAGAAAGATCTCAAAAGCATGCAGCTTTTGGGGAACACCCTTGATATAGTCTAGTCTATCAACACCAACAATAAGCTTGACCCCTTGGCCGAAGTTGCGCTCGAGGGTCTGGACCCGTTGGATCACCTCGTCGGTCTTCATTCCGCTGGTGAACTTCTCAACGTCGATTCCGATCGGATACGCTCCCACGTTGACCATACGGTTGTTGTAACGAACTCCCTGTGGTGAAGTTGGCGCCTTCACCACACGCTCCACGGAACTCAGAAAGTGCCGGACGTAGTCATAGGTGTGGAAGCCGATAAGGTCGCAGCTCAGGACTCCCTCGAGTATCTCCTTCCGCACGGGCAGAATACGGTATATCTCCGAAGACGGGAACGGAGTGTGCAAAAAAAATCCCAGACGAACATTCTTCAAACCTTTGCGGTCAATGATTGCCCTGAGCATCTCAGGAAGCAACATCAGGTGGTAATCGTGGATCCACACAAGATCATCGTCAACCACCTTCTCGGCAATGGCCTCTGCAAACAGTCGATTGGCCTCGATGTAAGCCACCCACGAATTCTCATCAAAATTCATCTCACCTGGATGGTAGTGGAAAAGAGGCCACAAAATGCTGTTGGAGAAACCGTTATAGTGCAGGTCCGCGATCTCGTCAGACAACCATATGGGAAAGCATTTGAACTTCTCCTTGAGGTCCGATTCGACCTTGGCCTTGTCCTCGTCCGCGACTTCTAGTCCTGGCCATCCAAACCACTTGAACGGGGATTTGAGTCCTTGCAGAGCGGTAACAAGACCTCCGGATGACATGGTATACTCGTACTCACCTGACGGTGTCTTCTTGATGGTGACGGGCACCCTATTGGATACCACGAGAACATTGGGCGCCATTGGAGATTTTGGTATGTCAGCACAATTCTCTTAACAATCACGGCTTTACACGGGTTAATGAAGCCAGAAATAAAGTCTCTATGGTGGTGGAGACAGAGGTGAAATTGTACCCGAAGGAGCCCACATGTGTGCCCCGGATTGGGATTGATAGCAACTGATGAAGAATCTAGAAGGAGTGCACCGCTCAAGAAAAGCATCGAAATTGTCGTGTACCGCGTCCAACGCTTGAGAATCGTCTGGAAGGGTAGTGCGCCTTCTCAAATCTGCAAATGCTGGGTGAGAGCGTCTGGGCAGGTGGACACTTTTTAGCGGTTGGCCCAGGATCCGGCTTTCTTCGCTTTTTTTTCAGATTTGACGAGGATATCAGTTTAATCGCACATATATCATGTCTATTGTCCCAGAAGGTGAGTAGTGGCTTTTTAAGTGGTGCACAATTGATAGGCGTACTAACGTGATGTGCTTGCAGTCTTGTGGGCCCAGCGGTCCAACGCCACGGAGTTGGCCAAGAACGTGTTGTTTTTGACGGTGAACATTACCGATCCCGAGAACTTGAAGGTCGAATTGACCAAAGATGCTCTCAAGCTGTCTGCGCACTCGACCACGCATGACAAAGACTATTCTTTAGAGCTCAACTTCTACGAAGAGATCGATCCAGAAGCCTCCAAGCATGACGTTTCTGGTTCGCACATTCTTTTCCGTTTGCAGAAGGCGAAAGCCCAGGAGGGATTCTGGCCACGTTTGATAAAGGAAAAAGGAAAGTTCCGTTACATCAGGACTGATTTTGACAAGTGGGTCGATGAGGACGAGCAAGAGGAGGCGGATCCTGTTGCTGATGAGATGGCAGGTGGAATGCCAGGAATGCCCGGTATGCCCGACATGGGAGGACTGGGTGGAATGGGTGGAATGCCTGGTATGGATGGTCTTGATGGGTTCGACTTCAGCAAGTTGGCTGGAGGAGATTTTGGTGGTGCTGATATCAGCCAACTGGCTGCTTCTCTGGGTGGTGGAAACGCTTCAGATATGTTGAACCAGAGTGCCGAGGTTGAGTCTTCTGATGATGAGGAAGAGTCTGAGAAATAGGAGAAGAAAGAAAGAGGAATGGGGGTCATTGACTCGTATTAGCTAGGGAAAAACAATGTCTATTATTGAGTTCTACGTAAGAGAGAAGATGAAAAAGCTTCGAACAAAGAAAGTCATTTAAATAGCTTTGTGAAAGGAAGTGCACGTGTAGCACCCATAAATCAGCCTTGATTAAGCAAATATTAGCAACCCGATGAAGAAAAGACCTTCTAGTTAGTCTGGTGACTATCTAGCCCAATTAAACTGCGTAATCTTATCGTCAGAATTCTAGTTTTCAATGCCTCTAGTCTGCGAGATCAACTGGTCCAGTTCTTTCTGGATCACTGGATCTTCGACTTTCCGTCTCAGATTCACCAAGACCTCGCTGTCTTCCCAGCCATGTTTTTTAACGTCGTCCATCCCAAACCCATAGATTGAATACAGGCCATACAATGCCACCAAGGCTGATGCCACCAATGCAATGTAGCCCTTTATAGTGAAGCCTAATGGTAAAGGCTCAGGTTGGAGTTTTTCACCACGAAGGTCATACCAATCATAGACGTTTCCTGCTGCATTACCATAAGCATGGAACTGATTGCTGTTGACACAGTTGTCCAGCTGATCTTTGGGTAAATTTGATCCCAGTTGCTGCTGGATCTTTAGAGGTGCCTCCACTAGCGTCAGCGATAATCCTTGCTCCAAGTGCCAGTCCAAATGGCAATGGAAAGCCCATACACCAGGGTTGTCGGACTTGTATCTGATTACAAAATGACCATTTGCGGCAACAGTGAGCGTGTCTCTCCTACTTGGAAACTCTGGAAATTGTCTAGAGTGATTGGCATGGTAAGGATGAGGTACATCGTGGGGCTTTGACCTTTCGAGTATCTGAAACTCGTGTCCATGCAGATGGAAAGGGTGCTTGTTGTCGTCAAAATTGTTCAAAACGATCTCAATTGTTTCGTTATAATTCAGAACAAACGTGTTAGTATTTGACCCATAGATCTTTTCGTTCGTAGCCATTTTCCCAGAAGATAAAACCGTATAAAGGGTAGGCACCTTAGGAGCCATGTAGCTCTTTTCGTTGAAAAGGGCATAGACCACGCCATCCCCAAGCATCTCCATCTTCATATCAACAACTATGGACATATCAGGTTCCGGTAACAACGGCATTCTATCAACAGGCACCAGATCGACGTCGTTGACAAAATTTAAATCCCAGGTGTCCAGGTCGGTTCGCTGAGGAAGAGGAAGGTTCTCGTCATAGACTACCCAGTTTGTGGAAACAGTTTGCAGGTCATCTGGCACAGTATCTAGCATCTGCTCATCCATCTTCTGTACCAGGGCATAGTTTTTCTTCCCTTTCTTGGTTCTTAGAAGGACTGAACATCTCTGGCCCACGGAGAGATATAAGAGCTCGGTCTTTGCAGGATCCACCAATACACCGTCCACTTCCACTATTTCAAACTCGTGGTCTTCAAGATACACCCATTGTGACACCATGATGCCCATGTTGATGAACCGGAGCAAATAGGTCTTTTCAGGCTCGACATTGAAGGTCACGTTTTTGGAGTCGTTCATCAACGCGTTTTGCGGGATAGGCTCTCCTCCAGTAGGATTATATTTTGATAGCTGTCTTTTGGTCAACACGGTGCTGAGGTCGTGATACCAGTCACTGATCGTAATAACCTTTTCCTCGTCGTATTGCAAGCTTTCGACCCCGTTTTCCGCGTCTCTGATGATGAAAGCGCCTCTAAGACCATCACTATATTGAGCACAAGTATGTGAATGATACCAATACGTTCCACTCTGGCCATCCACTGTGAAATTATACAACATAGAACTACCCTCCATTATGGGACATTGCGTAAACCCTACTGGACCATCGTACCAGTTTGAAGAATGCTGATATAAACCATGGAAATGCATGGAAGTGGTGGAGTTTCCAAGCTCATTGATAAGCCTGAATTCCACACGATCGCCTTTGTTCACTTCTATGGTTGGCAAAGGCCAAGTACCGTTCAGTGTGATAACTGGTCTGTACTTAACACCGTCAGGGTTCAGCCATGCCCACCTAGCAGCATAGTTAAAAGTGTGGGTTTTGGCCTGTACTGATACCAACAGACAGACCAATAACAGTGCATTTGCCAGTAACATGAGACAAGTTCCTAAGCGCCGCGACTGGTGAAAGAGATCTTGTGAATTCTGGCCGTCTAAGAGTTGCCAAGGCAAACAAACCGTTTTACATGGCGTGTTTTGATCAGGTTTGAGATTTTGGTCACGTGGTAAGTGCGGCTCGTAACGTTGACGTGTTTCAGAAAGATTTCTTTCCACCGGTTGATTCAACAATGGAGTACAACGCCACGAATAAATCCCTGAAAGTTGGGAGGGTTAGTACATATTTACTGGAAATGGTTCAAATATTAGAGCGCAATGTTTTGGGGGTGGTGGTATTAAAGGAGACTATCGTCAGGCGGGATAGACTGGGTGCGGATATAGGTGCAAATGAGTTTGAAGAAGTGATCTTCTGCGGTTGATCACTGTCTCTCATTCAGCCAATCAAACAGGGTCATTCTCAAAGGCTCATACATCTTGATATGGCCAAAAAGCGCGTCAGTCTGTTTGTGTGTACTGGAAATCGCTTTCATCTCCTGCCTGTGGAATCTGGAGAGCTTATGGGTCTTCAAATAGTCCGTGCTGATTTCAGGATAGTCCAGCAACTGTATGACCTGCTCATCAGAAAGCTCATTTACCCATGAGGCAAATCTGTCGATGGAGAACTTTCCGTCTTCCTCTTCATACGCTGTGTGTGGAAGAATCTTTTTGATCTTGTCCTCATGGATCCAAAGTCCTAACTTCTCCACAAAGTTGAAATGTTCACATTCAGACCTGGCAAGACCCTTTTTATACTCGACAATTAGCATGTCCTTGATCTTATTGGGTATGGCGGTGGGGACACCTTCCATCATGGTGAGTCTCATGGGCGATATCTCGTCAAACGAGTAGAAATGGTTGTTTCTACAGTTGAAAACGGGGATAGTCGACTCTTCGCCATACGCCTGTTTCCATCTGTTGGCATAGTCATGGTACCTAACCGGCATCTTGGTGTTGGTGATGGCCAAACCGGTGATGTCTATGAAGGTTCCGGAATCCACATCGATGAATCTGGCATCGATATTGTTGTTTCCATTTCCCTTCACACGGTGTGTTGAGAAAGTTCCACAGTCGATGAAGAACTTTCCGTATCCTTCACGTGGATCTTCCACTACCAGTGTCTGGTTGTACAGCTTGCCGAATCTGTCTAATTCCGTGACGGGCATCTGAACATCTGTATCCATATCCCAGGGGAACGTCATTCCGTCCCAGTACCACGCAAGCAACGAGCCATGTGCTATCCATTGAACAATGCCCTGGTCGTACGTGAACGAGAGCCAGTTACGGATCAGTCTTTGTAGAACAATACGTTTCCGCTGAGTCAATTGCTCCTCGTTGAAGGACTCGTGCAATTTCTGCGAAAATCCGCCCGCATAGAACCGGAAATCGTAATGGTGACCGTTATCCGAGTTTGGAAGAGGCATTGTCAGCTGGGCCTCGAAAAAGAATTTGCCCAGATCTTGGTCTGCCAGATCATAGGAAACACGCAGGTTCTTGCAGTACGAAACTTCGTTCTCAGGCATGAAGAAACGAGAATAATAATCGTCTTCTGTCACCAAGCCGTTTTGCCAGTTGTCAAATTCAATCTCGTGAGCCTCAACCTTTGCCTCGCATTCTGCCAGAATCTTCTCCACCTTTGCGGTTCCAAATTCAAACATCTCGGGAATAAGATGCAGCCGGTTCTGGGTCTCGGGATTGAGAATTTGGGCCAATTGTGGCTGGGCAGCATACCGAGGCGGAATCTCACTGATGAGCTTGTCAAACTCTTCCATTGCATTCAGGGGAATTTTGTCGCTCTCTTTGGTGAGCCCATGCTCAAACAAATACGAATCCATGAGTTCGGATTCTATCGCCTTTTGCGTTCCATCTACTAACACCTGGTAGGAACCACCCTTTGCCTGGAACATGATCCTCGCTGGAGGAGGAACACTAGTCAGGAGATAGGTCTTCGAGACAAGCAGCATATCCTCCGGATTGGTTCTTGTGCTTATGTACTTAGTGACCGCAAATCCCGGAAGCGCATCCACTGATGGCAGTTTCCACTTGGAGAGCATCTCCGAAGTGATGTCTGCAGCATTGGTACAAAACCCCTCGGCCTCATTCCCGTTGGCTCTGGAAATGAGCTCCTCGCACGAGACCTTCGACTCAGGTGGTCGCGTTATAAACGGGTTCAGGTACGTGAAGTCGGTCCAATCCGTCCACGAAAACGGCACTCTGATGGTTGAGTCTGCCTTTGGATTCCGCTCATTCTTAGGGTTCTTCATAAGGAACTCCTTCCGGATATAGTTGAGATAAAGACTCAATGTGAAGCGGGGGTCATACGACAAAATATGCTCCGTATTCTGGAGAGACTCTGGGCTGTGCTCATTCCAGAACAATCTGTCGAAGGAATGCTCAAACCTGGGCAAAACTTCGAACTCTTTGGGTTTCCAAACCGCAACGTTGTCGTGCGGTAGAGTGTTTAACAACCAACTGTTTCCGCCCACCTGATGCGCCTTATTGAGCAATTCTGTTTCGAACGAGGAAAGACTCAAATCATCGTCTCCAGGCACCATAAGACCATTCAAATTTTTGTTCCGAAAAGCCTCTGAGGTAATCTCCCACTTCATTAAAGCACGTGCTGTTTGATCGATCTGGGTTATAGGTTGCGTGTCGTGAACCTCGTGATGTATCACCCGAAACCGGTAGAGATCGACATTGTTGAGCAGCAAAATAGCCAGTGTGATCAGCGACGTTGCGACCACGAGATTGCGGCGGGTCAGCACGCGACGACGGCGATTTCGCAAGCCAAAAGGGATCATTGTAAAAATCTGGATACACGGCCGTTTTTGGCCTTTGGCCTTGATGGGTGCTTTCTCAGATTCTTTCGGACCTTCGAAGTCCTCTTGAATCAAGCAATGTGTAGAATTGGTAGCAATAGGTCCAAATAATGGAGCTGAAATGGTGGTATTGAATACCTGGTTGGCTTGGAGTAGACACGCGGAGCAAATGAACAAAGCTATCCAGTAAGAGAGGAAGCCGTCAAATTATCAACTAGAGTGAAACTGAAAACCTCAAAACGCTTAAAGGCTAAAGACCGGAATGGTTAACTTGGCACGCTCGGAAACGGAATGAGCTCAACGGCGACAGGGTTTGGACGCACTGCCTTTTTTCATGACATGATAGCTGGTTGAGTGATAAAAGGGTTGATGATGGAATCCTTCGGATTGATTTTATGAAGATTATACTAGTCATACATATCAAGCTTCTCAGTGTCTGAAGTCCTTTCTTGCTCGTTCCTGAAGGGTTCTGAAGCTAAGCAACTAAACCGGATTTGCATTTTAGACCGTAATTGGTATCGGAATCGTGTCTGGGCTAACTTGCGGACTACTGGCCGTATTGGCAATCAAACTAAAGTAATAGCTTGCAAATGGTTCCGGTTTAGCGCGTACACATGAAATTCAGTCGGAAAACAAGAAAACCACGGGGAACCGCAGCAGAAAGGGTTTCAGCAAGGCTTATCGCTTGGAAAGTCTTGAGAGGGCGGTATCTTCCAATTCACCCAGTAAACACCAGTGCATTATTCATGGCCGCTTTACTGAGCGAGTGTCAATAATTTTTTTCACGTAATTTGGATTGGACCTATTGAACCCTTAAATCGGAAGGGTGAGATCGTACCTGACGAAGACGCAAAGCTTATCAATGGTGTATCCGATAATTGGCCCGTGGTATCGACCGAGAATGCCCAAATACAACAATATATGCTTAAACTTTCCTTTTCCAACCCAGCCAGTTGCGCGCAGTCCCCGCCCCATAGGTCTAAAACTTACTCAACGTGTCTATCAAAGCAGCCAAGCCAAAAACAAGGTTCGCTCCGACGCGTAGCGGGTGCGTCAATCCGTACATGGTTAGTCTTACCCTAAACCAAGCCGGTAACTGGAAGCGAAAGATGCACTGGCATGTATACAAGTTAATCAAACTCAGTAGGACCAGATTTACTCAGATAAGCTCGCTTTATGACTTGAATGTTCTATTATTGATTTCAGGCAATCAATAATATTGTTTGCTGTATTTTGACCTTGAGTGTGGGAACAGTCGCGATTGCTAAGACTGCCTTCGCAGTTTCCGATCTTGCACCTGCGGGGCCATTACTGGTTGGAGCACGCTTCACGATGTTGAAAATGTTTTTCAGGCGGCAGACCCTTGAGATTGAATTCGCTGGTGCACTATTGTTGAGACACTACCCCCATTGCACAGAACCATTTTACAGGGGGCAGCTGTCTTCTGCTTCTGCTGCGACAAGATAGCAAGCCAAAGCTTTGGATAAAGTTCCAAAGAGGGATCTTGGCATAATTGTGGTATTCGCGGAATTGTCTCTGTTTTTGATTTCGCACGATGCAAGTGTTCGAGTGGATGTTCGGCAAGAGCCTGACGCCCCAGGAACAGCTCCGCAAGAACCAGAGAGCTCTGGAAAGAACGCAGAGGGAATTGGATCGCGAACGGGTCAAATTGGAACAGCAGGAGAAGAAGATTATTCAGGAGATTAAGAAGTCAGCCAAAGCAAACCAGATCAAGGCAGTGAAGATACAAGCCAAAGACCTTATACGTATTCGCAAGAACGTTGAGAAGTTCCAGCGTATGAAAATCCAGCTTCAGGCAATTTCGCTACGAATCCAAACGGTTCGCTCGAACGAACAAATGGTCCAATCAATGAGGTCTGCCACACAGCTTTTGAACTCCATGAATAGATCCATGAATCTTCCGCAGTTGCAGAGGATCACCATGGAATTTGAGAAACAGAATGATATAATGGACCAGAGACAGGAAGTTATGGACGATGCCATTGGCGACATGATGGACGGAGAACTGGACGAGGAAGATGAGGATGAGGTAGATGAGGTTGTGGGAAGGGTCATGGATGAGATTGGAATAGACTTGAACTCTTTGTTGAAGGACACGCCCAGCGGAGTGTCTGTGGAGCCCGTCAAGTCGCAACCCCAGAGGCAGATGGTTGCACAGGGAGCTGGTGGAGGTGGAGCTGAAGACGATGATTTGCAGGCGCGGCTTGATAGTCTGAAAAGGAATTGAGTGAAGACTAAAAGAAAAGTGAAAAGCTTGTGCATCAATATGAAGAGAATCTAGATGAAGTTGAGGATCTCAAGCTTCGCTAGTCGATTTACCGGTTACCAGTTTTATCTCTTTCTGTGAGTTTCGTTTACTATTTGGGAGTTTCTAATCTTTTTGAGGTCAATGTAGTACAGTTGTTTAGCGGATATTGGCTCATATCATGCACTACGGAATCAGCGTTGACTCATCGAAGCACCAGAGCGTTTCTACAGGTCATGGGGATATGGTATTACAGAGAAGTGTTATAAAGCGTATAAGAGAGAAGTGTGGCTGCGTCAACTTCAACACTTACGCAGACTTTACCTTTTTGCCGTCTTCATATCGTCTTCGTTTGCGGTCAAGAGCTCGTATTGACAAAAGTCCAGAGCGAGCTCTACTAGTACATAGGCATCAGTTGCGAAATCCTTGGTGTGAATGATAAGGACATCATCAAAAGGATCAGCAAGAGCTAGAATCTGTGTTCAACGTGTCATTTGCTTCAGTTCTAGCAGACTCTCACTTTGATTAGATATATTATAGCAGTGGACGATACTGTGCACGCTTCAGCAGATTGAGGACTCAGGTCTGCTATCGAAACCCTGCTGAAATTTTCAGTCAATTGGCTGATGCTGCGGCGCCCTCGCCAGATCTTGACTAGTTGTCAGTCGTTTCATTCCTCTTCAAAATCATCAATTGCAGCCGCACTTGTCGATATGCCCCATTTCTCACTAACCACCGAGTCTTTGAGAGCATTTATATTCTTTGGAAGAGCTTTCGTCTCAGTGCTGATAGCTGCCTGCAACTCTTGATCCTTCAGTTTTTCATTCTCGAGTTTCTGCTCTTTCGAAAACAGTTCTTCCGGTTTTAACAATGCAAACTGTTCCGGTGTAATCTCTTTGTTTTTAATCGCCTCGCGGAATCCCGTTTTTGAGTTCCGCAATGCTATCACGTCCTTTCTAAAGCTAGTCCTATATTGTTCTAGGCTGTTATGATTTTTCTGGTATAGGGCTCCTTCGTAAGATTTGGCTAATGCGGCATTTTCCAAAATTTCTGTTATTTTTGCCACACAGGCTTTTCGAGTCTGTTAGAGATAAAGTTAGTCATTTTTCGTTCGCTTTCACGTCTAGCAATCCTTATTCTAACTCTAGTGAGAACACAGATTTTCAACAAATTCTCACCACCTCCCCTTATATCAACTCACCGTATTCCAAACATCAGCCACATTGTCAGCGGGCCCTTCACTTGGTGTTTCCTTCTTGGAATGGTACCTCTTTGCTCTGTCTCTCAAATTCACCATAGCTCTATTCGGATTGTAGAGCATAATCGAGAAAGACTGATAAGAGTGAAGACCAGCAATTATAGGGAGTGACACGATTCACAATGGCAGATGAAGAGATAAGACGAAAGAGCCCGATAAGCAATGATACAGAAAGTGAAGAATTGAGCAATATAATTGCTGATTGGTACTTGATGTAGGTCTGCTCCTTCTAAAGAACGATCCAGTTCTCTTAAGTGCTGAATTATAAGTGTTTTTTTGGAAAATCCTGAGAAATTGGGAAAATCTATCAAAGAAGCTTGTATATAATGGCGCATAGACCTACATCTATTAGTCTACTCTAAATCTCTAAACTTGCCAGCATCATTTCCACCCATAACACCTCAAATTAAATTCACTCTCACCAAAATCGTCCTTACCATTAGAAACGTGTTCGAGCAAAACCCTCAAACCCAATCGTTCTATCAAACCCCAAACTTCGTCCCTTTCCTTCACAAATCCCTTACGAATGGGAACCTGCAGCAATAGTCTAGAATCTCTCTCGTTCTTTAAAAATCTTGCCACCATTTCACTCACCAATTTTGGGTGCGAGGAAGAATAAATACAATCGCTAACCAGTATGGTGCTCATTGAGTGCGGCTCAACTGAAGAGGCCTCAGGATCCGTCCAGTCAAGTGTAGAAACTTTCACACGATCAACGCCATTCAGATCGAGGTTCTTGCGAAGATTTTCCACAATCGGTGGGAGATCAGTACATAATAGAGACATCCCTAACTTTGCCAGTACTATACCCACCAGCCCAGTACCCGAACCAAGTTCCAACACGGGCTCTTTCAACTCAAGTCCTCCGAAATGGTTGACCAGATAATTGCAAAGCTGATGAGATGATCCCCAGGTTTTCAGGCCAAGATGATCGAAATCAAAGCCGGGCTCAAATAGTTCCACTTCCAGAGTACCTATACGAAGTACCCGTGTCCGATCGGACCGAAACCCAGAGTTGTAATCCGACATTTTCGTACTGGAAAGCTCCCAAATCAGCTCTCTATCTTCTTCAGCTATCCAATCAAGAGAACTCGCTACCAAAGATGTCAAAAACGGCATTATTTGAGCCGCGTCGTGGAAACTCGCTCTGAAAGATTCATCCAAGTCCGGGTATATCAAACGGAGTGTTGGACAGTTTTCCGCGAGCCAATACAGGTCAGATGGATCCAAAACTACTCTCGAATTTCTGGTTCGGTACTCGCCAAACGAATTCGCATTGGTGTCTAGCGATTGCAGCACTAACAATAGTACTGTACCAGAGGGCTTCCGCCTTAAATTAGGAAGGTCCAGATGGTGCAACAGAGTCAATGTCATGTCAGCTAAGACCGGTCCATTGTTTCTTTTCCTACTGTCAAGATGCAGGCGAGCGTCTAACTCGATTTTGATTTCTGTCCTGCGACCTCAGACTCGGCAAGGTCCTACGGTTTCTCTACCAGAGGGTGGAAAAAAAAAGTTTCGGGGGTGGACGTGCTCCAACCAGGGCGGAGTTGGCCAGGTGCGAATTTTTTTTTGTCTCTCCACGTAGCAGAAGCAAAAAAACAGTGGAAGCGGACACCCAGTTGCAAAAAGCAACCTCTGTCAGTATAAGCGCTCGGATTTCGTGGCTGTAAGTGCGACGCACGAGGAGACCAAACCAACGGTATACATGTGTGCCAATGTATTACAATAGGTAGCTCGCCTAGTCAAAAGCTAGATAACTACAATTAAGCGCCACACATCTGATGCTGCACGACGTAAATTGTGACATAGTATTGCATCATCGGGTCGGTACAAAGAGGCAAAAAACGAAATACCTAGAGGTTGCAGTCAACATGAGATATGAGTGAACGATGAATCAAATGACAGTGGAGAATAGGCAGAGTCAGACAAACAGAGTTACTGGTTTTGTTTATTCTTTTTTACTTTTTTTTACCTGAGTTCAATTTGTGCTGGCACGCATGATCGGCTCGAACCAACATCAAACCAGCCGAGCTCATCTCCACCGGAGACTGCACTGGCTTCCCCTCCAACACCGTTTTTTTCGAAATTGCTTTTGATTACCCTTTTCGGCCGTCCTGCGCTCGTTTCTTTTTTTCATACCCGCTATATGCAAAATGCACCGTAACACATTTTTCGAAAGCCCCTTCTATATCTACTGCGAGACACCCTTGTCAGGACCGTTTAACCCTGTCTACCTGGCTTAAGAGTTCTTGTCGTATATTGCTAGTTTAAGCACTCGTGCTTGTCGGTTTTTGACACTTGACACATCCCTATATACCTGAGTGATTTTCAAGCAAAAGGCGGATCGATAGGAACTTCGTCTTCAACTTCAACAGAAAAGAACATAGCTCGACCAGTCTTCAAGTGTTCACCAGAACTCTCAAACGCCATAATGATAACGCCACCTCTGGAACAAGTGTTATCCGATAATGCGCCCGAGCCATATCATCTGGAGGCCTTTTCCGAATTCCTGGCATCAAGACACTGTATAGAAAACCTCGAGTTCTACCAGATTCTCACCGGTTTCATGTCGCAGGGCATGGAAACCTCGATACCCGATATCCAACGCTGGAAGCTGCTGTTTCAAAACTTCATCGTCTACGATTCGCCTAGAGAGATAAATATTCCATGCTCCCTAAGGACGGCAGTCACTGCCGACGAAATTCCCCGTTTGGAGACCCTTCAGGATCTTTTGAGTACGGTCAAACTGCTGCTTCATTCTGCTTATCTCGAATTCGTGTCGCAGTTTTGCTCGAATATGAGTTCGGGATCACTGTCTAGCATGGAGGAGACCAATAGCATTATATCGCCTAACAATACGAGCAGGAACCACTCAGTTTCGTCCAATGGCTCGGCAAATGTGAAGGAGAGCAGCTGGAAAAAGATGGGCAAGAAGCTCAAGTGGAGACGGAGCTCGAATGGATCTTTTGAAGAGACGGTGCAGAACCAGCAAGGTGAGGTGTTTACTACGAACTAGGGATAATAGGTTTGCTTTGGGTTGGAGTTTAAAATTGGCGTAACGCCTCTGTATGATACGATCGATATGCTGGTTAATGTGGATATTATTTGTCTAAAATTTGTAACTATAATGAGATATGACATAGCATTGAAATTTCTAATAGATATGGTTTGTAATGATTAAGCGGAGACATTGAATACAGATGTGAGATAATAAAACAAGGTGCGATAAATATCAGCAAGAAAACTTGGTCTATTTTCCATATTGGTAGATATGTCAGCGATACGACTGCACTACTCATAATCAGATATGATAGACATGTCGAATTCTTTTGATGATCTGAGGTCATAACAATAAACTTCCCCACTGCCATATATCCGCACAGTCCTTCAGGCTGGATTCAAATCCGTTTAGCTCAAACTGTGCCTTGGAGCTTAACAATCTCTATTTACCCTTGCTGCATAACCCCTGACCTTCATAATAAATGTCCAAAACCCCTCCCTGAGTTTACACATCAGTATTCAGCATAGACCAGATTCCACTCAATGACCACAATCCATCGATATCCATCGCTTTATTGACCTCCCCTCAATAAGGTCACTTCGAAAACGTTTTGATAACAAAAAGCCTAACGCTCACACAACAGATGAGCCAATTAAACTGATGCATCGTGTGCTCATTCGCACCCCTAGACGTGCATGCGCATACATGCCTCTGATTGGCGGAACACTGAAGTGCATTGCCAGAAAGATAGTGTCAGAAATGACGTAGTGTTAGTTGTGGATGGAGATGCATTGGACGAAAATTACTAGTTGGGGCTGGTATAATGCAATACTGTGTGATTTATCGGAGAAGTAAAATCTGTTTGAAATCTAACGTTCGTGCTAAGTCCGGGCAGAGCAACTTTTTGTGTGATGTCCAACGGTCAAGCCTGCTAAGGCTACCCCTCCTTCATAGCTTCTCCACATCAATCACTTTTCCACCTTCCTTATTGGAGTTCACAATCGCATCAACAATTGCAAGATGGTGGAAAGTCAATTCAGGAACAGTGATGCAATTTGCTGAGTCCCCCGATATCAGCGCCTCGCCGAAAAGCTTCAACTCCTGCGATGCTCCGAAGTTTTCGTCCTCTATAACTATGGTTTCCTCCGAGTTTTTCGATTCCGGAGTGGCTCCTCCGTAGCGTGCGGTCACAGTTGGCTTCGAACCGGGTGAAAAATCGTAGTAAATTGACCCGTTGTCGCCCAAAATCTGGAAGTAGCAGGTCTTTGCAGTGTTTCCAAACGCAGATCCATAGGTGAACGATCCAATGGCCCCCGAATCCGTCGTGAAGAGAGAGTAGGCCACATCGTCCGTTCCACTCTGCTCACGGACTTGTCTAGAGCGGGCAGAAACCGATGCAACTGGCCCAAGAATACCCGTTAGCAGAGCCAACTGATGAACTCCTCCGTCGGACAAAAAGCCCCCGACATGCTTTGGTTTTTGCCTCCAAGTGGTCGCAAGATACTTGTTATTGAAATTGAACTGACCGGTTGACGAATACGCAAACGACACCACGTTTCCAATCCTTTCCAGCTTCTCTTTAATCAAGGGGATCGCCTTATAGTACGCCCATTGCTCCAAAACCACAATAAGAGGTGCCTCAGGGGTCGCGGCAAGGTCAACTATCTTATGAGCTGCGGCGAGAGTGGCAGCAATCGGTTTCTCGAAACAAAGTGGCTTGTTGTACTTCACAGCTAGCGCAACAACCTCTTCGTTATACTCTACAGGAAGCAACGCATCAACCACATCGATTTCTGGGTCCTTGAAAGCATCCTCCAAGGATTCATATATGGTTGTAATTCCTGCAAGTTTTGCAAACTCTTCAGCTTTTCCACGGGAGCGATTGTAACAGGCGTGCACCTTGAAAAGATGGGGAAGTTTTTGAAAAGAGGGCAGGTGCTCGTTTTTGGCAAAAATACCTGTTCCGATGATAGCAACTTTAAGCGGTAATTGCGAAGACATTGAGATAGTTGATTAGTCGTCTGACAAGTTTCTTTAGCAAAAAAATCTGGCAATTGGGCGAACTCAATTGAAGGAAAACGGCTGGTAATGAACAGCAAGAGTCTAAGTTTAATTCGGGTACGACGTGTGCGGTCCAAACTGTGGGGTGGTGCCCTAACCGATATCAATATCTATCTATGTACAGGCTATTCAAAGCAAACCCCAAGGAGTCAGATAACCCGATCTCCTCTCCGCCCAACCTAATGCTAACGGAAACGCAACTACGACAATTTCAGACCGAAGGTTGTGTCACGATACCTGGGGCATTATTGCCGGAAACGGTAACGACACTTCTACAAGAATCCAAGCGCATGATTGCAGGCCTGGATCTTGAGTCTCATCCGATGACCAAGTTCAACACCGGAGACGACGAAGAGTCACACGTTGGAGACGATTATTTTCTGAATTCCAGTGATAAGGTGTCGTTCTTTTTTGAGCCTGATGCTATCGACAAAAATGGCAGGTTGGTTCGCGAGAAAGAGACTGCTATCAATAAGATTGGTCATGGTCTCCATTTTTTGAATAGTGAGTTCAACAAGGCTACTATCAATGGGTTTAATGCTGCGATAGCCTCTCAGATTGGATTTTCCGATCCTCGGGTACTTCAAAGCATGGTTATTTGCAAACAACCTTCGATTGGCGGGAAGGTGCCCAGCCATCAAGATGCAGAGTTTCTGTATACTCAGCCACAGTCATGCGTTGGCTTTTGGTTTGCTCTCGAAGACTGCACACTCGAGAATGGTTGCTTGAGCTATGTGCCTGGTTCTCACTTCACCGCTCCGATAGTGCGACGGTTCGTCTCAGGCCCTGCGGGCACGAAGTTCATTAATCCAAACACTGGTCAAGAATGGGAGGGGTTCACGGAACAAGAGCAGGCTGTTCGCGAGAATGAGTCGCTTTTCAAGACGGTCGAAATTCCAGCAGGTACCCTGGTGTTGATTCACAGTAACCTGATACACAAGAGCGAGCGCAATACGAGCGCCGCAAGCAGATACGCGTATACTTTCCACGTCATTGAGGGCGAGAGTGAGTATGACGCACAGAATTGGCTACAGATTCCGCCAAATAAGCCATCCGGGTCACTCAATTTTACTTCATTGAGGGTTAGTTGAAAGTTATTTAAGAGTGTCTTGGTAACCTCACACCATAGCAGTATATTTTCATGTAGTGCATCTTTCAATCCGGGGCTTTCTCGGGGATTCTCGGATTTAACTTCACGAACTTCGTGGGGTACACGCACGGCTCTCTACATGATACGGAATAATGTTCCACGCTGAAATCTGGGGGAGATCCACCTTCTCCAGACAAATATTCGGGAACCAACTGTTGAAATATAATTTTGAACCAGATCAAAGTAATTTTTCTCACACAGATCTCCCAGATTGTCAAGATCAAAACCTTGAGGATCTAAGCTGTTGAACAGCCGCCGAAAGATATCGATCCATTGCGCGATTTACCGCGTTCAATGAGTCACCCTTACAGCAAACTATAAAAAGCGTCTACGCTGCTCCACACTGGAACATGCTGAAAATTTTCTCTGACGAACTCGGTTTTCATATTTTCTGACTTTTCTTTGCTTCAAAAGAAGAAACAGAAATAGAAACAGAGACGGAAAATCCACCTTAATAGTATTAAAGCTGTAGCTAGTAAAAACTGCCCCACCATCAAAACAGATCTTTTCTTGTCAAATCATCAGGACACAAAACATCATTTCACAGGCGCCAGAAGGGGTATTTTGTGGCGGGTTCCCTGAACATTTGAGCTCAATCTCGCACGGCTCCGATCAAGAAAGTGAGACTTAGAAACTCGCACCCCCATAACACCCCATCTGTTACTCCCTGCTTCTAGCTCAATATCTGCTCTTTGTTTTCTTTCCCTTCTTTTCTCCTCTTGCCAAGTATCAATCTCTGACAAAAACAATAGCACATTTATATCCACGTGCTCAATTACTGCTTAGATTGCTACAGATTCACTTGCTACGAAATGAATGGAGATATGCTGCCTTCCTACTACATGCACCAGTTTGTGCTCAACAGATCGGCTAACGATCTGTTGCTTGAGCAGCAGACGCCTAGAGATTTTGATGAGATTTCACAAGATCCAGTTACTTCCGATGATCCCAATGGCGCGGACAATTCAGGTATGATGACCCTGACCCAGAGCTTAACCAATTCCGTTTGGAATAACTTACACAAGACGGCTTATATGGACCAAAACAGAATTCAGACGTCGGTGGAGCTTAAAGACGGCTCCGCGGCTTCCTTTTCAAATGGCGATTTGATACAAGGACTTGTTTACTTGAAAAACTCAACTGAGATGAGCATCTCGTTTGAGATGTTTGTCGTTTCTTTCGAGGGTGATCTTTTCGTGAAAACAGACCCTTTCCAGAACTCGACAGTTAACAAGAAGTTTTTGAAAATGGTTGATTTTGAGGCCAGTGGAGCACTGAGCCAGAAAACCCCCAGACGCTTTCACAAAACGACAAAGATAGAGAAAGATACTACCGCTGGCAACGGTAAAACGACGTGCCAAAACAGCGATGTTTCGCTGGTACATGGCCTGCCTGAAGATAAAATAATAAGGCCAAAAACTACTTATGCGATCCCATTCACATTCAGGGTCCCAGAATGGCAAGTTCTGGAACAATCCTGTGTTTCGTGTCTGGATTCGCATCTCGAGCTTCCTCCAACCTCTGGAACGCGGCATATGGCAAACCGCTATGTCAATGGCCTTTCGGAGCCCCGTTTGTATGACGACTTGAACTCTAGGAACTGGTATTCCGTTGGATACTCTGTCAATGCGCGGTTGTTCCACGTGAGTGCTCCTAAACAGGATATGGAGCCTACCGCAATCATACGGTCCCATGCGGCAAGGCATGTGCGCATCATTCCATCTGCAGGCCACGGCCCTGTTTCGCCAGACTTCAAGCTTCAAGCGGAAGACCAGTTGCAGTCGTTTTTAGATCACGCAAAGACCAGGATTCAGCACATCCAAGAGTCCAGTCTCTCACCAAGACGCAAATCTGACAGTCCCTTGTCTGAAGAGACCATGCTGACTTTGAAACAGAGACAAATGTACTCTCCATATGTGTCTTCGCTGACTGAGCAGCTAAACTGCTTGAGGTTGGATCATAATGACTCGAAGCATCAGCTCGATACGAGCGGGCTCAGTTTACAGTCGGGACAGGATGACGCTTCCCGCAGGGCTGGTTGTCCAAGTTGTGAAAAGCTAATTCAGCTCGTGGAAACCAGAGATCACAACCATTTCAAGGATAAACCGCGATATATGCCGCGGCTGAAAGGTGTAAAGAAGAAGAAAAGGGAGAGGCTGCGGCAATCGCCGTCGGCCGCCTCTTCTTCTGCTTCTCTCTCTTCTTCAGATGGGAAGATTCCGCTTGTTCACTGGGACACTGTAGACGATTCGGGCTTGCTACGACTGCTTGATCGAACGCGTTCCGTGGGTCCTAACCCAACATTCACCGTGAACTACCATCTGATGAAAAAAAGGGAAAAGAGCTCGTTTCTCTCGAGCCGGCTCTTTGGTGACTCCTGGGGGTTGAAGAAGTCACACAGTGTCGATTCCGATGACATATCAACTTCTTCTCGCTCCTCGATGTCATCATCGCCGTTCTCGTCAGAACATCTTTCCCCTAGCACTTCAGCATCAAGTCTGGATTTTCTCACAACGCCCAAGCTAACTGCTTCCGTCAATGACCTCAAAGTTGACAAGACGGATACCGGTTGGCAGGTGTCTTTGCGACTAGACCTGGAGCTGATGCTTTCTGATCCATCTCTTTTGGCAAGTCTGAAGCCGAAATCCCATGACTTTTATAAGTTATCATTGTATTGCCTCGATGTTTCTTCACCTCACTCAATTCCAGTTGATATATCTCCTCTGTGGTTTCCGCATCCAACGGCACCCGATGCTGTATCGATGAAAATTCGGCACCATTTCAAGAAGCTGCTCACCAACTATGAAACGGCCGCAAGGAATGATGCCGAATTACAAGACGTTCATTTGAAGAACTCACTCAGCAGTCTCTCAGAGCTGCGCCCTGAGATGAAAAGAATTGACGACAACGTGATACGATGGCATCGAAGAAGTCATGGCTTGCTCGACGTTCAGACACCTTGGATTGATCGAAGGTATGCGCAATCTCGTCCGCTAGCTATGGAAACTGACCTGAACTCATTCAACTCAGTTCCATCGTCTACCGCATCGAGCTCTAGTGCGTCGATCAGTTCTGATGGTTCAACCTCCCTTGAAGGACAACAATGGATTAAATCTAGCTCGATTAAATTCGAGCTGATCAATGATCAGATTGCCTCTTCTGTAAACAACAACAGCAGCTTCCAATCGGAAGAGAAAACTAAAGTTATTTCGCTCTTGCCCAGTTTTCAAACTTGTCTGGCTTCCAGATCCTACTTTGTGAGGATCTGGCTCAGACCCTTTGAATCAGACCAGTTTCAGGCGGCCAAAGACCTTGGCCACGGACTGGAAGTCTGCGAAGATTCATGGATCGATATCCCTCTGAAACTGCAGTACTGATTTGACTGAGAAACCTGATTGTGGGATAACCTCTTATTTTTCATCTTCGATTGGCTGTGACGCCTGTTTTTGGTCCAAATTATTATCTTCTTTTTCCCTATCTTTGTGCGGAATCATTGCCAGTGATTCCACTTTTTTTGTTTTTGGACTGGTGCTCCCTTTTTCCCAGCCCTTCAGGTTTTTTTTGAAGCCCATCCCCGTTTTCCCTATTTGTTTTTGAGATATTACTGTATATGGTCTATTTATTCAATAAACTAGTACATATTATGCTTTGAAGTATTTTCGAGGGTTGTGAGCTTATATGATGGCTTTCTCATACCGCATTTCCTCAGGCTCAACGTTTTACAGCATCTTCTTGATCACCCTCTTCACACTGAAATCGTTGTCTTCGTCGTAATTGTTATCCCCCAAAAATCTGTCCAACTTGTCCTCGTAATCCTCAATATCGTCGTCATCATCGTCAAATTTCTCGAACCCTCTGCTTTTCGCAGGAAGCTGGTTTTTCTTCTTCTTCTTCTGCAACCAAGCGTCATTCAAATCCTTATTGTTCTTCAATATCGCAACTGACGATTGGTCCATTTTGCTACCCAGGTCTGAAATATATTCGTTCTGTCTCTGTAACTCCGAGTTCATGCCTTTGCTGAGTTCGTTGAGGTTTTTTGCCAACACATAGGTTCTGTCAAGATTCTTAGATAGTTTCAGTTCTATCTCTTCATCAGACCCATTATCGTCCTTATACTTCAGCATCATGTTTTGAACCGCGTCCAACCGCTGTTTTCTATCCATCGGTGATTCGTTGAGATCATCTTCATCTGATCCAAGTTCTGGTTCCTTGGTATCCACTTTAACTCGATTGATCAAAGTCTCCATTTCTGTCTGTCCTTTCTGGAATTTAGCGTCTCTCACAGCACGGTCGCCTTTCCGTCTCAATAACGCCTGAGTCTTCAAATCCACAAAATCCTTGGCCTCCCTGCTTTTGACTGGAGCCCTTACTTTAGCTGAGAAGATTGACCTGTCGTTCCATCTGAGATCATCAATCGACTCTTCAGCAGCTATCTGTTGTTGTTGAAGAACATCGGCTCTGTTGCGCGTAGTATATAACCTCTCTCCCTGCGATGCCAGCAAACCCGTGGTGTTAATTCCTGTTTCCAGAGCACTCTCCAGATGCTGCCTGGTATTTTCTGAGGATTGCAGCGTTCCCAGCCGGACTTCTCGTATGCGTTTCTCAATTCGGGCTATCTCCCTCTCGGCTTCCGTCATCCCATCTTCCTCTTGCAAATCCGCAGGTTCATACATGTTCAGATTGTCTGGATCATACGAGTTCAAGTCGCTGTCTATTTCAGGGTGGGTCAGTGCATACTCCGAAAATGGGTCGTTGATCCGACCACCCGGTCTTTCTGAATTAACAGGAGCGGAAGCCTCACCCGTTTCGGTCAGATGACTTTCTTGGGGCTTCCTTCTGACCCTCTGCATCGGCTTCACGTTGTACGCGTTGAACCTATTCGAAGGCTTTTCATCGTACACCTCAACGCCCTTCTGTTTTAGATACTGTTCGGCCTGCTCGTGCGATGCCTCTTTAGGTGGTCTAAACGGATTTCTGATTCCCATAATTGAAGGTCGTGATATTCAACGCCTAATTAAACAAAATGATTACACAAGAACAGATTGTGAAGCTAGTGATGGATTCACTTCGATGAGGTCACGTGGTATGCGGGGACACACACGAGATAAATATAGAATAGTACAAAGAAAGAGCGTTTGCAATGTTTACAATAGAAAAAGAGAGAGAGAGACATTAGTGGTCAAACTAAGCTTTTAACAAAAAATATGCCCATTATTCTCATAGTGCTTGGATTGGCTATTCTTCCTGTGAAACAATCACGTGTAAGATTCAAGTCTTGATTATATCGCCTGTTATCTGTCGTAGTTTTTGTCGAAAAATTAGTCTCGATAGTCCTTTTGATGCATTTATTTTAATGTGGAAGGCTTGAAATTGCTTAGAAAAGAGCTTTCGATATTTTTGGTTCTTTTATCATGGAAACTGCGCAATCCAAGTGCGTTTATCCGTCAGAGTCTGCATATCTGCTTCTGCATGTCTGCTTCTGCATCAATGCCTCTGCATTTTTCCGATCACGGTTTAACCGTCTCCATCCCTCCTCGCCTTCTTCCTCCTTCGTTCACGAACAACACATCAGCTTCGAGAAAAATCCCTTATTAGACCCATTCGACTCGCCGTCCTGAGCAGGCCTGTTGCGGTTACCCGAAACCAACGGATCGTTCAAAGCTTGTGGCTGTTGAGCATTTGATTGCTTGAGATAGTTCGAGTTGCCAGGCAAGTTGGGCAACGGTCTGTTGTTCGAGTCCTGCTGCTGGTGCAACAAGGCGCTTCCATTCAGTGCCGACTGTGACTGGTGGATGTTGTTCATGTTCAAACCGTGGTTCTGTTGCAGGGAGAGCTGGTTCTGCGGAGTGCTCGACTGCTGAGGCTGTGACTGTTGAGGCTGTCTGGACCTGCGCTGCTGCCCGTGACGGTGTCTATCGCCTGGTGGGTTTGGATGACCGTATCCATGCAAGTTGGGCTTCTTGTTTATCGCAGCGTCCCATCCTCGGCCGTTGTTCAGTCTCATCCAGTCATACTGCCCGTCTGCACGGTCATTTATGTCATCAAGAACAGAAAGAAGCAGGTTTCTATAGCCCTGGTAATCCGGCTCTGCCTCGAATGGCAAATTTCTCACGGATTCAAGGTAAAGCGCAAACTGCTTAGGAAGCCCCATACACAAATCGTACACCGGAGTGGTGCTCTTCTTCTCGCCAATTTTCTCGTACTTTTGCTTGTTGGTGGGCGCTTTCAATCCTTGCCATGGCAATTGGCCTCTCAGGAAGTAGAAGAACACATGGCCTAGGGCTTCGAGATCGTCTCTTCTGCTCTGTTCTCTTCCCAGATGTGTATTAACGGACATATATCTCGCCGTTCCACTCAGCGATTTCTTCTCGCGATAAGGAATGTGCTGCTTGGTGCGTGGGTCTCTGTAGTATTTGGCCATGCCAAAGTCCACGAGGTGCACGTTGTTTTCGTCTGGCAAACCTGGACGACCAATCAGAAAGTTGTCCGGCTTGATATCACGGTAGATCAGGTCGTGGCTGTGAACGTTCTCGATTAGCGTGAGCATTTGAACCGCAACCTGCACAACGGTCTTCACCGAGAACCGGCGTCCACACCAATCAAACAAGTCCTCCAGAGAAGGGCCCAAAAGGTCGATAACTAAGATATTGTGCAGTCCCTCTTGGCCAAAATAGTAGGCGTTGGGCACTCCCTCAGATCCAGCCAGGTGCTTGTAAGTCCTGTATTCATCGCGGAGCTGAGGCGCCTCTGTCTTTCTCGGTTCAAACTTGATGGCAACTGGAACTCCGTTTATCATGTTGGATCCTTCGAAAATCACACCAAAAGACCCCTCGCCTATCTTCTTGCCAATTTTGTAATGCAATCCGACAATCTGAGTCTGGGATCCCGAGTTTGAGGACGAGTTGTTCTGGTTACCGCCGGTTGAGGCGGCAACTGCGGCTGCCGCAGCTGGCGATTGAACCATTGGAGCTCTCGTGGCCATTTTGAGAGAAAAGAATTAAAAATGAAGATGCAATGCGAGACTAGATATTCTGTGAGAGATTCGTGGAAATTCGTCGAGAAAACTCCGCTGGCTCGAAAATGATTCGTCAGATCAAACAGTCAAGCGCCCAAACACAACGGTTCAAGTATGCTATCTATAATGAAACCAAACAAATCTGAAAATTGTTCTTTCAAAAGGCGATTTCGGTATAATCCAAAACCCTTAATATGAGAACGATATCCAAGATGGATGCAACGTAGATGTAATCTGACTTCTCAAAGTTTCAGCGTTTATGAAAAGAGTGCAAAACAACACGCAAACAGAAACCCTTTCAAAAAGAAATCGAGGCCAGAGGAATATAGTACACCGATGGATGTGCCTCCACTTAATAAAAGGCAATATTGAGTTGTATGACAGTCCTTTCAAGGAATAAAGTGAAAGGGTTGGATGATTGTGACGATGGGATTTCAAGGTGCTGTGTGTACAAATTTGGGCGTGTGGACGAATGTAAGCGCTCAACGAAGGGAGGGGGTGTAAGAGCACAGCCACTTTTGGACGGAGTGGGATGTTTTGCCGGGTGTGAACCGGCACAAGGCAAGTGGGATTGTAGTGGGATTGTAGTGCGGTAACCGAAGCGTAATTGGTTTCGACGGCGGATATGGGCGTGGCCCCCTTGGTTGCTGGTATTTTCAGAGGCGCTCCTACGTTTGTTTGCATCCAGTTTCACGATTCTGCATACTTTTTTTAATAGCTTCCAAATCCCACTTCTACTATCCGATTCAGACCTTTATGCCAATCCGGATACGACAGGACCTCTCCGATGCATATTGATTGGGCCACGACCCATCAACAGCTTCGGTTTTTTTTCACATTTTTCACCACATGCAGATGACTCTAAAGAACACCTGCAGACATTTGCGCAACTCCGATTTAGTGATAGCCTCCACTGTTTCGTTGTTTTTTTTGCTCAGATACACATACTCCGACTAGCTACTTATAACATGGTGAGTTCTCCAATTTTTAATCTCCTTTGAGAAGGTTTAGCTCATGTTTCAGGACCCAGACTAATGTGATGTCAACTAAGGCCACACCTGCCCCAGAAGACTACGACGATGTTCGCATCCTCGGATACGACCCACTGGTTTCACCAGCCCTCCTTCAGAATGAGATCAAGGCCACAAAGCGCTCTTTGCAGACGGTGGTACAGGGTAGAAAGGATGCTATGAACGTGGTCTCTCAGAGAGACGACCGTTTGCTTGTTGTAGTCGGTCCATGTTCCATTCACGACGCCGATGCTGCTTTGGAGTACGTGGACAGATTGAAGAAGTTGTCAGACTCGCTTTCCGATGACTTGGTGGTGATCATGAGAGCATACCTTGAGAAGCCCAGAACCACTGTTGGGTGGAAGGGTCTGATCAACGACCCTGATCTGGATACCACTTTCAACATCAACAAGGGCTTGAAGATTTCCAGAAAGCTTTTTGTTGATCTTACCGACAGAGGAATGCCAATCGGCTCGGAAATGCTGGACACCATTTCTCCACAATACCTGAACGACCTGCTCTCTTTTGGAGCTATTGGTGCCAGGACCACCGAATCGCAACTCCACCGTGAGTTGGCGTCGGGGCTGTCTTTCCCTATTGGATTCAAGAACGGTACTGATGGTTCGTTAGATGTGGCTATTGACGCTGTCCAGGCCGCTTCTCATTCCCACCACTTCATGGGTGTCACGAAGCACGGTCTGGCTGCCATCACCACCACCAAGGGTAACGAGTTCGGGTTTGTTATTTTGAGAGGAGGAAAGAAGGGCACCAACTACGACGAGAAGTCTATTGCTGAGGCCAAGCTGAAGCTCCCTCCAACCGGCGTGCTGATGATTGACTGTTCCCACGGAAACTCCAACAAGGATTACAGAAATCAGCCCATTGTGTGTGCTGAAGTCGCTAGACAGGTGGCGAAGGGCGAGGACAAGATCATTGGTCTCATGATCGAGAGTAATATCAACGAGGGAAAGCAGAACATTCCAGAGGACAAGTCCCAGCTGAAGTATGGAGTTTCGGTCACTGACGGGTGTGTTTCCTGGGAAAGTACCGTTGATATGCTTCAGAACCTGGCCGAAGCGGTCAGGAGTAGAAGAGCCTTGAAGAACAAGGCCTAACAGGTATATATTGAACACTAGCAAAAAAGCACATTGGATTTATGACGAACGGCAGTATGGTGGGCGCTGTAGTGGGCACTTGAGTGGGCAGAAGGATGGGCCGCATGGTGGGCGCAATGATACAGACAAGGTGGAGGGCATTATGGTGAAACTGGTACACACTCCAAACACAAATTCCAATCATTATATTAAATATACATACTCATCTCGGTTAAGGCCATGCTCTACTATTTCAGCGTCCTCTTCCTTTCTCGTATAGTGACAACCTCGCCTTCAATTCTCCACAAACAGTTATAGTCACCCACCAGTGATTCCCAAGACTCACCAGTGAACATCTCAAGATCAAGTCTCTTCATCACAAAATATGCCGACCCAATGCTAGTCAAAGCCCAATCAAGGACTTTGCGGTGCCCCAATCCCATTATCGCACCGTTTCTGGCACGGATAGCATCCTTCGAAGAAAGTTCCCGCTTGTAAAGTCGAATCCATGTGTAGAAGTCTCTGTTTGAGTATGAGACCAGTGTCGCATATAATCGCTGGGGATCTGACATTTTCTCCATGTCCAGCGATTGCCCAGGAGTAAGACTGGTCCCGTCTCCAAGTACATCCACGTACTTGAAGAACAGTTCAAAGGCATCGTTTATAGCTCCGTTATGGTGCAGTTTGTGCAAAATCAGATATGTTAGAACTTCTCTTTCTTCGTCTTTGTTCAGTCCCACTGTCTGTCGTATCTTCTGCAGAAGATGAACTATTGCAGGAACATAAGCCTGGTGATTCTGCACACTCGCTGAAACCCTCACCGAGTAGAGGAACACCTCCTTGGTGAAAATTGTCGTTTCAATTGCTATTAACGCTTCTCTCAATTTTCGCAGGGACATCAAGACCCATGCCATGTTTTCTGGTACCTTTTCTAAATCCGCTTCATCATACTTTGTTTTGATTCTCTCGAAGAACTCCACTCTCGCATTGAAATCTTTCTGTAGTCTGAAGTCTTCTCCTCGGCTGAGTAACCCATAGTCGTTGTTTTGGACAGGAGACTTGCTGAATCGCTGTCTTCTCTTTTCCAGAACGTCATCTGAGACTGTTTGTGATTTCTGGGAACCGGCAACCAACCTCCTTTGATTCTCGGATTGGCCCAGATATTGTTTTTCACCCATCTTCACAGAATCGTGAACTACTTGCTTCAAATGTTTTTTCTGTGGACTCTTGAGGCCTGGTCTTGCCAAAGTTAACGCAAGAAGGATAAACGATGATGGTGCGGCCCGATTTCTGTGGAGAGTTCGAGGTCATACCCAAACTTGGCGTGGGACACGCATTTGGTAACTACACGTAATTGATTTGAATCGGCACTGTTAATCAGATATAAAGTTTATTGAAAAGAGCTGGTTTATTACTGGTGTTGCTAACTAGATATATCTGGCACACCTTTTTTCCACGTGACTGCCTGTGTGTCATACGGTATAAGTACTCGGTACTCTAACGGTCAGCAATTCGACACCTAGCAAGACCGAACTGGTCAAATGATTTGATCTCAGATCTGCCCATGCCCAATATGCATCTGAACCTTGGCAATTATTGACCTCCAAGTCACAGCTTGGCTTTTAAAGTTCATCCCTAATTGCATCTAAACTCCATCTCTCCCAGGCTGAGTCCTTTGTCAAAGCTTTCAAAGTTCATCTTTCACCGTCTTCCCTCCACCTGGAAAAACCACCACATACTCTATAAACAAGTCGCCGTGCTCATCTTCGTTATTGTGCTTGGGCATACCCTTGCCCTTTATAGTCTCCACCTCTCCGCTCTGAACCATCTTTCCAGCCTCGCGACTCAATGTTATGCTCGGATCGTAGTTGTCAAGGAAAGGTATCTTTCTCGTCCAGCCCCCATGAGTAGCTTCCTTGAACGAAAGCACCTCTGTGCGATACAGATTGATACCCACTCTACGATAACCCAAGTTCCCGTCTGGCTTCTCGCCCATGACAACGTGCAGATCACCGGCCACCCAATCGGGACTCTTGTCTGCTTCTCCCTGTATGATCTCAACGCTGTTTCTAGGTGCTCCCTGCTGCAAATGGAGAGGGTATGTTCTCTCCTCGCGGACCACAGCATTTCCTTGGCATGTGGTACATTTGTGCTTCACCACACTTCCCTTTCCACCACATTGTTGGCACGGAATGTCCTGCTGTTGGATCATACCAGGCGCAAGCTGTCTCTTTATCCGTACTCTTCCACTTCCATGACACACGTGACAGGTCTGTGTCTTTTTGTCCTGAGACCCCGTTCCATCACACTTGCTGCACACACTTTGCATCCTTACTGTGAAATCGGTGGTTTCTCCATTGTAGAACTGCTTCAGTGTGAAATCAATCGACACAGAGGCATCATTGCCTCGTCTCTTGCCTTGTCCTCCACCTCCACCGTGTCCTCCACCACCAAAGAAGTGTGAAAACATGTCAAATGGGTCGTACTGGCCTCCTCCACCTCCTCCTCCGCCACCACCGTTTTTTACTCCCTCAACTCCGTATTGGTCATAGAGCTTACGCTTCTTGGGATCGCTCAACACCTCGTACGCCTCGCCCACCTCAATAAACTTGTGGTTGGTGTCTTCATCACCGTTGTTCTTATCCGGATGATACTTCTTGCTCATCGCTCTGTAAGCCTTCTTGACTTCTTTATCGTCTGCATTTTTGGAGATTCCAAGGATCTGTAAAGTTAGTCACCTAGCTCAATGCTAAAGGCCAACGCTGGAGCATGACGTCAGCTATACCGAGTAGTCTTCCCTATCATTAACTCACCTTATAATAGTCCGGATCTGCTAAAACACAGGCCAATAACAGTGCTAGTACCAGTAACAATCTCATGATCAAACAAGACTTCCATATGCAGCACTGAAAGAGATTGTGATTCCAATTTTCAATGAGGTGCAAAGTAGACCCAAAACTTGAAACGTGATTGGCCAGAAATCTTCTAACACAAAAGCACCAAAGCTTGAAATCTAAAATGTAGTTTTCAGTGGTTGACGTGAATGAATACCAGATTCGTCATTAAGCTCCACGTATAAGTTCAGGCTTCTGGAAAGGACGATTGGTTCGGGCACTAAATAGTTCTGTGCGGCTCGAAGGGCGTTCGGTTTTCGATAGTGAACAGAGTTTTATTTGCGTCACATACGGAGTTAGCAAAAAAGTGGGTACAATTAGTTTGACAAATTGACCAATAGCGGCCGCCACTGGTAGCTCAAAATTTCCACCATAGGTCATTGACAAGAAGTACATCTGCTACTTACTAGAGACGTGCAGCGTGCCCTCTAGCCTCTATGAGATCACTTCCGCCTCCACGCTACTCCAGGTACCGAAGAATCAAACGGATTAACCGATCAGTGTGGATATTCATAACTAAGGGTCGTATATCTGATTCGGATGCCTTTGTGAAGTTCAGAAAGCCATACATTTCCAAAATCAGACCGTCCAGAGTCACGAAAAGAACCACCGCCAGACCGAAAGTCAGAGATAGGGTCTCCAGAAGGGTAGTCAATGGCACCCCTAGCACTGTTGGATCTTTTGCAAGAACAATGGCTTGTTTTTCGGGGATGTTTCCTTTCAGAAGGAGAAAGACAAGGATGATGAAGATGGATCTTAGGCTTTGAAAAAGAGTCAAGGATCATCCCTTTGGGTCTAAGCGCCGCAGTGGGCCAAACCCAACAGTTCTATATCTCACTCAATTTCCACAAACAAAACTTCAATTAAAAAATAAACAATGTATATACAATGTAGTATTTTTTGGATATTATATCATTAATTTATTTCAGTCATCGATCGCGTCAACTTGCCAAATATCCCAGGCTAAATTAGCCGCCCAAAGTCCACCCAGCGATTCCAGTATCTCTTCCCGATTCGGAAAATTGGTTAGTTGACACCTTTACGCCAACAGGTCTAGTCCTCACGCTTCAAAACACAGTTGTACTACTTGATCAAACCTAACACAAGGGTCTGAATCTCACTTATTGCCATAGACTGAGACAGCTATCACCAAATAAACCAGCATTACCTTAATCACGAGAGTCAGAATCCCAACCATCATAATTTCCAATCCATCAACAACCCTATTGATCGAACACCCAGCGCAGACGCTTTCGATCCAACGCCTGCAGACATGGAGCAAACCAAAATGGCCACGAGACCGCCGGTTTCTGACTCGGATAAGATTAATGTGAACCGGATACTCCAGCGAAAGAGGTCCACGTCGAGAACGCAAAGCAACTACCATCCGATTCCTATTGCAGAGTCCCCAGCACAGGCTAGTTTGCAGCCCCCACAAGCCAATTCGCAAACGCAGTCGTACCAACAATCACACTCGCTTGTTCAATCAGAGCAACCGAATCAACTACATAGCCACGTGCAACTCAAAAAGAATGGCGTGGCCAAGGCTATCCCGCAGCTGCAGAAACACGTGTATGTCGTTAAGCTGGTTCCGTTTGAAAGCTCAGGCGGTGATCTTTTGAAGATTCTAAATGTCCCTGTTTTCCCGGAAACGTTAAAGATTGGAAGACAGAATGGTCCCAAGGTTCCCAACAAAATCACCGACGGATATTTCGATTCTAGGGTTCTCTCCAGGACCCACGCGGAACTCTACATCAAGGATAATTTGCTATATTTAAGGGATCTGAAGTCCTCAAATGGAACTTTTGTGAATGACGACAAACTGGTTCCTTTACAAGAGTACCAGCTGAAGTTGGAGGATAAGATAGACCTTGGCACCACTCTGGAGAACCAACTGACTCATAAGAAGATTACCTGTCGGGTCGCAGAACTCAAGCTGGTAGGCCTGGACGATTACGATAGCATAATCAAAAGTTCGAAGTCGCCGAGTTCTGTGGAATCCGAGAAACTGGAATTGTTCAATGGAGTTCTTGATTCGCTGATTTTTGGTGATGTGATTGACGAGCAGGATGATCCAGTGCTGGAGGCCATGTTGAAAGAGCTAACTGACCAAGATCTGGGAATCAGTCCTGTTGGTCCCGAAGAAGTGAAAGCCCCCGCTCAGAACCAAGAACTCGTTCAAAATCTCAACATCAAAAGCAGCTCCAAAGTTGAGGATGTGATACGAAAGCTAATACTAATGATCAATAATGAAAATCTGCAGCACCAGAAACTGTCAAGCATTGCCAACTTCTTGACAGATTATACGCAATCTATTCCTCGCACAAACAAGAAGGATAATGATGTTGCTGAGAGACTCGCTCTGGAGAAGAGCATGAAAGAAGAGGGAGTGCGTTGGAAGAACAGAGTGAACGAGGTAGAGACCAATCTGAAGAGCGTACAGGGCGAGAATTTGAGTTTGAAGAGAGATCTTGAAACCGCGCAGTCAGCTATGAGTGCGCTTCAATCCCAGGTTGATGAGATGGAGAGAGTGGTTTTGGAGTCAGCCACAGCAGTTAAAGCCAACGGTGTGAATACGAGTCATGCTGATTCAATTGAAGACGCAAGGGATATCATAGGGGATCAAATACCTCTTCCTGACGGAGAGATTTCGAAAGACGAGAGTTTATTGTCCGATAAAGTCGTGGAATCTCCTCTCAAAAAGCTGCCAGAGACTACTCTTCAAGAAGATAAAGAGGAAAAGCCTGATAATGAGCAGTTGTTACTTGCACCTGAGTCTCTAAAGAAGGTGAATAATAATGCGAGTACCGCTATCGCTCAAAAAGGTGCCCGTTCTTCAAAATTCGGATTGTCTTTTCTGGTTCTGCTCACCACATTCTGTGTCGTATTCCGACTTCTTCCTCCCGATTTGATTCAATGGGTGTCTACTTATTTCAAATGAACTGCGCTATATACAGATCTCGATTGATACCAGAGGCCGCCTCACGCTGAACAGCAGACTCTAATATCGAAAAGCACGATATTTCAATCGAACGCCTCGATTGAAGCTTTTTTCTCCCACGTCTCAAACAATTCAGCAGCGTTCTCAACAACCAGGAACTCAACATTAGGAATTCTCAGTCTACCGGCAAATTCACCAACAACCTGCTTTGAAATGGACTCTATATTGTCAAACTTTCCGCCTTCTTGCTCTATTGATGTTTGTTGAGCATTTTCCAGGCCGCACATCACAATTCTGGGATCGTTGACATACGATAAATCAGTTCTGCAGTTTATGGAAACTCCATGGGATGTGATAGACCTCCGCACGTTGACTCCAATGGAGGAGATCTTCTTCTGGGGGCCTTGTCCTTGGACCCAAACGCCGGTGTTCTCATTTGTCAATGCATCCAGTCCATAGCTGTTTTTTAGTACACTTGCAATGGTCTTCTCCAACGTCGATATGTAGCACTTAGAGGTGAGCTTGTGGAAATCAGTCAGATCCAATAATGGATACAGCACAGCCTGGCCAGGTCCGTGGAAGGTCACCTGGCCACCCCTGTCAGTTTGAACAAAGTCCACGTTTTTGAGCTTTTTGTAATCGTGAGACCCGGACAGCTTTTCTCTTTTTCCGCCTGTATATGTGGGTTCGAACTCGAAAGAGAGAACAACCGGATGAGGCTTCACTGGAGCTTCTCCAAGTCCTTCGCGCTTCCTGGGATTCTGAGACAAAATTTTGTATTTTTTCGACTGTAGAAATCGCGAAACGATAAGCTCCTGTATTTTGTCGCCAACAGCGTACGGTAAAACACCTCTGAAGTGAATATGCTTTAGCGTGGATGCATTTGGGTTCAGTGGATAGAATGATGAGAGGCTACACTGGTCGGTTGAATAGTTTCGTATTCTCTCAAACGCTTCCAGTCTCCTGCGCAATTGGCATCTTGAACTAAATCCCACAAACATGGACAGAAAGAGTTCAAGAACGATATTCCTACACGTTGGATAAGTTTGCAAATTACAAAGAGTCTGCCAAAGTTCAGCCGAACCGGTATCAGTTGGTGGGTACGCTACCTATGATCTGGGACCGCACGACCGCATCTGAGATCTCCAAGAATGTCACGTAGATGTTGTGTTATCAAAGGAACTTCATCACTCCTTCCAATTGCGCGGATATTTCAAGATGGCTGGTGATAAATCATTGAGAAGGTCGAAAGTGCCCAAGGGAAGATGGCAGAACCTGAAACAGTCACTTTCATCTACATCGCATTCGCATTCCAATAGCGCATCGTCGCAGCCTCAGTCACCACGTAAAGGGTCCAGTTCGTCGGCTAGATTGGATCCTTTTGTTGGGTTAAACAAGCTTGATACTCAAAATGTGCCGCCTCTTCCCAAAATACAACAAGGAAAAATCTCGGATCTGCAAAATCCTCAGAAGCAGATCCGAAAACCGGCTTCCTCATCCTCCGCCGGAGGGATCAACCGGAGATTTTCCGTGAAGATGAAAGATGATTCAAGGCCAGATTTCTCGAACGGATCGGGAATGCCTAGTCTTCCTCCTAATTCCAAGTCCTTGATCAGTTCCAGTCAGGCTGGGAACCAGAAGCAGCAGCAGAAGCAGCAGAAGCAGCAGATTGCTCCTCCGAAGATGGGAATGAACCTGGTGGACGATATTAAGAACCCAAATTATGAAGCCGAGAAGTACATTCGGTTGACTTTGAAGAACTCGAGTGCCTCTAAAATTGATGAATTTGTGAGTACTCTGCAATCTTTGGAACATAGCAATAATAGAGAGATGAAAGAGAACGTTCACAGTTCTTTGGTGAGTATTGTGAAGGTGGGTGATGATTTACACAACACTGAGCTTGCAATAAAGAGTCTCAGGCTGGACATGAACAGGATGGGTGATATAATTTCGCAAATGCGGGAGATTGCAGAGTTGAGACTGTCACAGGAAGAGGAGAAACGAGGTTCCCCTATGAAGCAACAGCACCAGCTTCCATCCAAGAAGACACGCGATAGAAACTCGGTGATGCTTTTGGGCAAAATGTGGGGAAATGAAATGAGCAGACTATTTAAGAACGTGGAGGGCTCTCAGAAATTTTTGGGCTCGGCTGCGGGAAAGCACATACTGTACCAATCGAGCTCATGGGTGGAACTAAACAGTGCCACATGGAGACCGATTCAAGAATCGCACATATTTGTTCTGAATGATCACATTTTGACGGCAACTCCGAAGAAACGAAAGGCTGGTCCTGATGACCAAAGTCTCGTGGCTACGCATTGTTGGCCGATGAGAGATGTGGCCTTGTTTGATGAAAAGAGAGAGAAGAAGTATGTCATTCGCCTCAAGACATCTCAGGCATTAGACTTCTACTACCAGACAGATCGGATGGATCAGTTCATTCGTGTATGTTCTTCTATAAGACAGGCCAAGGATGATCTCCAGATAGTGGAAGACGAAAGTTCAAGATCCAGAGAGATCAAGTCAATGTCGCGACTCTCACAGCGCCATTCCATACAGGAAATCGAAAAGAACATGCATCGCAGATCTCGATCTGTGGATACCCCGGATACCAAGAAGGAGCCCAGTTTGGATTTCTCGCGAGTGGACGAGGGCTTGTCTGAGTTGGATGTGTTGATGACTCATCACAGGCATGTGGAGTCTGTGGGGATGATAAAGTTCCTCGCAAACAAGATAGATGAGTTTGTGAAGAAGGCAGACCAATCAGACTTCACGGTTTTGATGTCGCTGGAGTCCAAGAGGTCCAAACTGGCAAAGTGCAAGGAGATTTTGCTTTCACATCTAGAAACTGAGGTGAAGAATCCGCGGATATCCACTGAGGATCTCAAGAACCATATGGGGCTTTTCATCAAACTGGATGAACTAGATAAGGCATGGAATATGCTGCTGACTAGTCGCGATGTGCAGGTGGACTCTCTGCTGAGAAAGCTAAAGTTCCAGGGAGATATCCCTCTTTACATAACACAGTGCGCTCTGATTAGGTTTCAGATTCTGAGGACGACAGCGGACTTGTTTATGCAATGTTTTGATGAGAGTAATTACATACATTTGGTGTCATGGTGTCATCTGGAAGTTCGAAAGCATTTTGACATTATGAGGAAACAACTGCACGGGGTCAATGCTAAATCGCAAAGTTACAGGAAGTGCGTTGATGTGACCGCAACTCATGTGGAAAGCTTAAAGCAATTCGGTATTGATGTTACATTTTTGATAGGTGAATTTGCCGCCTAGAGTCGCTTCGCCGGCTCGACAGAATCATCTATGCCCACCGTCGTCTTTAGATTAGTATCGTGACTTCCATTATTATGCTATTTATCATTTGTCTCATATCATTTTAGGTCTAACCATGGGTCTTCCAAAATCTCACTCATTGTTGGCCTTAGCTTGATGTCCCTTACCAGAATCTTCTTGATCAATGAAATGCACTCCTCACTGGCATCCGAGAACTCGGGAAATCTCAAGCCTCCTTCCATGATTTCGTCAACGTTGTAAAATGGATTTTCTTTGAAAATCAGAGTGTACAATAGAATACCCATTGCCCATACATCCTGAGGTTTACCCTCGTATGGCTTGCCATTCAGAACCTCTGGTGCAGCGTAATCAAGAGTGCCCACAAACACATCAAATGGGCCATTTTTAACATAAGCTGCTGATCCAAAATCAATCAGTTTCACAATGCACTTAGAATCAACAATAATGTTCTCATCCTTTATGTCTCTGTGGACCACACCATGTTTGTGAAGATGTGATAGTGCCGAGCAGCACTGTTCGAAGATGTATCTGCATTCCGATTCCGTCATGTCGGATTTCACCTCAATCAGATCAAACAAATCAACCCCAGGAGGATCTCCGTGCTGGGGTGTTTCCAGGTAGTAATACATATCATCTTCGAAGAAATCGATGATTCTCATTATGTTGGGGTGGGGATCGTTCTTCAAAGAGGCCATTATCTGGATCTCACTAGGTATTGTGCCTAGTTTTCTGTCTCTAACCCAAGTATCAACCAAGATTCTCTCTTTGAATATCAATTTGATCACGACCTTGTACTTTGGATCTAGTTTGTGCTGGCAAAGAGTCACCTTTCCATAGGCTCCTTCGCCCATGTTCTTTATCACATCGAACTCAGAATACTTCTTCTCGCGCCGTTTGGCACCCACCACTTTGGGCCACAGATGCGAGGTCGCTTGCACTCTAGAGATCTCATCGTTCTCTATTGTCAGTAAAGACTTGGTGGACTTGAATTGTGGTCTCTCACTGAACGTAAGAGCCGAAACTTTGCTTCTGCTGCGCTCAATGTCATAGTTGGATACGGTCTCCAGAGCAGTCTTGCTCAGACCCTTCGGTACCGATGATTCTCCCTGAGAACTGTTGCTGCTGGCACTTGAAAGAGAGGGCACTCTCCTGGTTCCGTTGCCATTCTTGGTGACATTTTCACTTGATTTCCGTTTCTGTGGGACTCCAAGTGCAGTGACAGATCCTGAGATGCTTCTCATGCTGCTGTTTCTGCTGAGACTCCCACTGCGACTAATACTGTTTTGAGTTCTAACACTGTTGGACCGACTCAGTTCATCCGAAGACTCTCCACAGGAGTTGATCTCGCTTTCATGCTCTGGAAATAGCATCAGCTGTGAGGGCATGCTGAAAGCATCACTGTGGTGTTGAAAACTCGATTCCACAGGACTGGAGCTTATCGTGACAGGGTACTGCTCGTTACTGACTTGTCGACTCAAAGGAGCAATGCTGCTGGCTCTGGACGACTTTATGCCAGAGAAAGCACCCTGGGTGCGTGCATATGTAATCCACAGAATAAAAATCTCAGGCTTAACAAATCGCAGTTGTACATCCACCTTGAACTTGAAGCCATCTCTATGCCTACCGTCAATTCCACGAGAGTTCAAAAACAAAAGCTCTCTTTCGTCATCGGTTTTGCCAGTAAACTGTGCATTCAACTTTCTGAAATAGTGCTCGGGAATAACAAGTCCTGGTGGGAACCTCACAGAAGTTTCCTGTTTGATTGTCGCAGTCAGCAGCTTGGAGAACCCGGGCAAGATGTGGTCAATGGTTTCTCCTTCGATGTGACCATCTCCGAACAAATTCTTCGCAATAGACTCGTTGAAAGACAAAATCGTAAAGTTCGAGGACGATATCACAAAAGTACCGGACATGTATGGAAGTGAGTGGACATTGAGTCTTATCGTGGAGACATCGTCCAAATCTAAAGGCACAGAAGTTATTGCACATGGGGCGTAGGAGTTCTCCACTCTAACGGTGAAATATCTGATTTTGTTAATCCTTTCGGATTCTTTGGTGCTGAAGTCATATTGGGAAGCAACTTCTGAAGTTTCTCTCAAGCCAGTCAATTCTTGGACTAACGATGGTGAAACTTCAGATAAGTCTAGCCCTATCGGGTTCATTCCTTGAAGCAAAGAACCTGAGCTTTCTGTGAAAGATCTCACCTTGTATTCCTCTCTGAGCGGTAAGTCTCTCTCTATCTGGATATCCACGGCGTCACATGGAATCTGATCGAAAATCAGAACCATCATGCCCCCCTTGCGCTTAGACCATAGCGAAGTCCAAGCAATGCCTTTACCGTAACGCGAAATGGCAATAATCTCACCCGAAAATACTATATCTTTGTCCGCTCTCAATAGTTTGTCGAGAACGAAATCCCGAGATCTGGGTGCAATGAGATCCATCAACGTCAACGACCTTAGCAACGACCTGGAGATTCCAAACATCAGGAAAGCCAGGTCATTCGCAGCCTTCATGCTCCAAGGAGAGTCCAGCTCACACGTGAACACAGCCTGAGGTGCTATGTTCTTTCCTGTGGAAACGGCATGTACTGCTCTATTTCCTGGACCGTACATGGAATTCGACAGGGTATCTGCCTGTTGGAAAGACTGAGCGCTAAGAGTGGAAAGAGCAGCAGAAGATATGCCTCTTTTCAAAGGAACGCTTCCCATATTGTGCATGTTTTCCACAAATGGAGTGGAAAGGGCGTGCAAAAGATTCACTCGTAGCGCATTCTCCTTGCTCACATTGTTCACACTCGACACCGACAAATTCTGGAAGTTAAGCACCAATTTTGAGTCCTCCCATTGGCCAGAAATGTCTGTGGGATCAAAGCTTTTGTCCAGCAGCTCCAGGATGTCTTTGAGGTTATTGCTGAGTTCCTTATCGATGTTAGCTATCTTTCCTAGAGAGTCCTTCTTGGGCTGTCCTTTAGCTGGAGAAGACTCGGTCATTTGTAGCTTTAACAGATTGGACAATGCCATAGATGATCCTCGCCTCTCCATCTTCATCACATTATTCATCAACTTTGGAGTTTTCTTGGAACTTATGGGCGAATCCAGTATCTTGTCATTACCACTCATAGAAGATATCAGCTCCGGTCTATCAACCAATATCTCCAGCGACCTCTTTAGCACATTGATCCGCAACGCTAGCGAATTCGGCGACAACAGTGTGTAGGAATAAGACTCTTTGGACTCGGTGGGAAACTTGATCAGCTCATCTGGCGAAGCCGCAGCGAAATGGGTCCCGGTGGCTGAGCCTGCGGACTGTGAAACACGGCCGTCCGCAGCTTCCAATATCACTTTCGGAGCACCAGCCAAAGCAGAATTCATGGTAAGTGGTCTTGGTAGCTGCCTGTTTTTGGCATAGGTGGATGGCCTCGTGGGGGCTATGGGCGAGGGTGTAAGAATAGGCTGTCCGTTTCTCTGAAGGCTGTTGTCCTCCACAACGGAATCGTCACCTTTTTCATCTATGAGGAAGCTTGTACTCGTGTTGGTATCATGCTCTACCGAGCCATTTGCTTTTTCTGTATTCGTCGTAGAAGACGGAGTGGGTTCTCTGGAGATTATGGAGCGAAAGGCAGCCCTAGCCTCATCGTCAGCGGTGGCCACGCCACTTGCCATACGCGAACGGATCGGAGGAGTATATGGCATGTGATTCAGGCCTATGCTGTGAATGGGTTTCAGATTTTTAAAATGAAATAGAAGAGCAGGCCAAGTGGAGCTCTCGTGTGTGTTTTAGCCGTGTTAGCCTGTTGATCCCTTCTGCTGAGGCGAGATGGGGTCGCGGTTCACTCAATTCCAGAGGTCACCCAAGGCTTATCTGACAGACGTGACATGCCTCGGTACCAGAACGGAGTAATCTTACAGTAGAGAGTCTTACGGCATTGTCATTATATTACAGGAACACTAGATCACGTTTTTCGCAGCCAGAATTTCCGCAATCAGGACACCCGCACCGGCAGCCCCAATGACGGTGTTGTGAGAAAGAACCACCATCTTGAAGTCCAGCACTGGGTCTTCTCTGATTCTGCCAACGGAAACACCGTATCCGGCATCACGGTCGCGGTCCAATCTTGGCTGCGGTCTGTCGTTCTGCTCGAGCACGTGGATTGTTTGTTTGGGGGCGGAGTGGCATCCCAGTTTGAAGGCATCACAGACGTATTCCCTGAGGGTCTGCTTGACCTCCTCAACACTAGGAGCAGGTCTGTTCTTGAAACGCAGCGAGATACACTCGGTGTGGCCATCGCTAACAGCCACACGATTACATTGGGCAGAGACCTTGATCTCGTCGTCGGAAAGAGGGACGAATTTTGAGCCGTCCTGGTTGGTGGAACCCAGGATCTTCTTGGTCTCCCACTCCATCTTCTCCTCCTCACCCGAAATGTATGGTACTATATTGTCCAAAATATCAATACCTGGAATTCCTGGCGAAAACCCGGCACCAGAAATAGCCTGCAGCGTGGTGGTGGTCAACAGGTCAATAGGACCGTATTTTTCAGTCAGAGGCTTTAGTGGGGCAACCAGACCAGCAGTAGAACAGTTAGAGATACACACAATAAATCCGGTCTTTTCGCCCTTGGCTTTAGCAGCCTTCACCTTGTTCTCCACCACCGACAAATGCTCGGCGTTCACGATAGGGACGATCAGAGGAACGTCAGCTTCGCGTCTGTAGTTTTTGGCATTGGAAACCACAGCCAAGCCAGCCTCTACAAAGGCTTTCTCGATAGGGCCTGCATACTCTGCATCCAGCCCAGAAAACACGATATCACAGTCCTTGAAGGCCTCAACAGTGCACTCTGAAACAGGCACTTGCGAAGCAGATTCAGGCAACAAGGATGTTTGCTTCCAAGTGACAGCATCGCCGTACTTCTTTCCAGCCGATCTTGAGGATGCACCGAGAACTGACAGTTCAAAGTCAGGATGCTCAGAAAGCAGCAAAATAAAACGTTGGCCAACACTTCCGGTTGCGCCGAGAACACCTGCCTTTTTAGGAGCCATTTTCACTTAACTGATGTAGATGTGAAGAAAGAAGAAAGAACTAACGTGAAAAGTTCAAAATTCAAAATTCAAACTTCAAAGCCCAATGCCCGCCATCGCGCCGGAAAAAGGTGACCGGCCCGATGAGTCAACGCAGGTGCATATGCCGTCTTTCTAGCGTTATCTGAAAAATTAGTGTGTGTCGTCTTTTTTTAGTACGACAGTCTGGCGCTGAAATATTTGATTAGATTTCAACATTTAATCTCAACGTCTTCCTATTGATGGAAACATTAGATGTCTCTGGTTTAGACCTCGTGACCGAAGAAGAAATTGCAGACCATGTCTATGAACTATACACCCAATCTGCTCCTCCCAACCAAAGAGGCCTGGGGTATCTAGAACGATCCGATCTTATACACGTTACAGTCAACGATCACGATCTCCAGATCCACCAGTCCGTGTCATCTCTTTCTGGAAAAGAGTCCAGCTCCACAGGATTTGTTGCGTGGTCTTCTAGTGTGCCTTTTGCGCAATGGCTTCCTGGCTGGTTGGGACCGTCTTTGAAAGAGCTACAGATTGTCGAGCTGGGTGCTGGTGTTTCTGGCATTTTAAGTGCCACGATTGGACCCAAATGCTCTCGGTATCTTGCTACGGATCAGAAGCATATCTTAAAGTTGTTGAAAAAAAATCTCGAGGAGAATTTATCCCAAGAAGTACACTCCACTACGCTAGATGCGTCTCTTCCCAGAAACACCAGACGAACTGATATCAAGAACTATCCCAAAATTGACATTGCCGAGTACGATTGGGAATATTCCGACTCTATGAAAAACGATATTCTCGCGTTTTTCCCCGGAGGAGCTCCCGATCTCATCCTGGCCTCAGACACCATTTACAACGAGTATCTTATCAAGCCATTCGCAGATGCCATAGAAGGTCTCAGTGGAAACCATACCGGTTTTTTGGGTATTCTACAGCTTCGTGACGAGTCAATAATAGAGGCTTTCCTGGTTGAAATGACCAATCGCGCATTCCAATGCTACCATATACCCGGTCACCTTGTCTCAGACGAACTCTCCCATGGCTACGTTCTCTATTATATGCGCAAAGCAGTCGTGCCTTCATTCTGAACTATATACAGTTAATAATCTATCCTCTTCAGTACGACAAAAACCACCTGCCCTTCTCTTTCCTGTTCTTTATGATCCTTCTTCCCGTCCTCGAACACATTCTGGACAAAAATCCCAGTCTTCTCTTGCGCTTTAGCGTGTTGGGCTGGTATGTGTTACCTCTATTTCCACCACGGAAACCACCTCTTCCCCAACGTCTCTGCAAAAAGGCCTGCAATGGCGATGGTGTCAGGATTATATGCGGTGTCTGGATACCAGTGGTGAGACGCTGCTCAATGAACGACTGTAGACCGACGCGGTTGACGGAAGAAACCATCGGGGTTTTGAAGGAAGTTATCGTCATGTTACGACACTGGGTCGTTGGTCTGGAGACTGGGTTAGTATTCGTTCGTTGGTCTTCCACAAAAAGTATCACTCACTTGACCAACGTCGAGGACCAAATGGGTCTGGTTGCCAACAGTGCTCTGCTGAACATTTTGATATTTCCTCGTTGAGATATTCTACCGAGATACTCCTCTCGAAGCTGTTCGTATCGTTCAACCTCAATGGAAGCCTTGAAAAAGTTCCGGGACGGAAAATACGCCGGCGCTCGGTAAACACCAGCACATTCAAAAAAAATTAAAAGTAGGCTTCTCTAATCTATAGCAGGCTGGCATTCAAGATACGGATCAAGTATCACAAAAAAATACACAAAAAGACTCCAATGTCCAGCACAGTTCGCACTAGAGCACCCAGGAAGTCCACCCTGAACACGCCAGTGGTGGCACATGTGGCCGCCATTCGGGTCATAGAAGACGACCAGGCGCAGGTCATCTTATCAAACTTCATTGATCAATGTGAAAAGCTCGAAGAAGAATCTCTGTCCACGACTTTGAACTCGGAAGGGGGATCCCGCACAACATATTCTGGTCCACCAAGTGAAAAGGTGAGTCATTTGAAAAGACTACAGAGAGAACTGCGCGGGCTGCCGCCCCTCCTAGTGGAGTCAGCTGGATCGAGGCCAGCAAAGGCCAAGAAGGCGTTTTCTGAAGGAATTTCGGGAACTCCAGCAAACAAAAAGATCAAATTTGATGATGATATCACTCCTTTGAACAAGAAGGTTATTTTTGAGGATGAGGTGGCAGACACGAGTGCCATGGATGTTGATACTCCCGTGAAGGAGACTGTGGATGAAGAAGTGAAGTCGCCCAAGAAAGAGAAGAAAGAAAAGAAGGACAAAAAGGACAAAAAGGAGAAGAAAGACAAGAAAGACAAGAAAGAGAAGAAGATCAAAGACAAAAGCTGAACGGTGCAATACTTCTCCAATTTCATCAAGACCTACCTGTATACTAATCACCAAGATTGAAGGATCAAACCTATATATCCAATCATGACTGCTCATGTTGGGATAATGCCTCATACTTATCATTCTGACGTGTGAATTGTCCCCACGAAATAAAAATTAACACAATTGCCAATGCAAACCCAAATGCCATGATTCCAAACGGCAACGTCAAACAGTAGTTCCACGAGGTGTTATCAGCCGAACCAACACAACTCCTACTGTACTGCAATGCGTAGAACGTTCCTGCCAAAACGCTCCCAGTAGCAGGAGCAACCATGAACGTTCCCCAGGTAGACCCCAGATTTTCAACGCCCCATCTGGATGCAACTATCGTGGGAAACAGACTGAATACGGCACCGTATGTGCAGCCTACCAATGTGGTGATAGTGCCAAAATGCGGCTGGTTTGTAGCGATCATGGAGAACCCGACTAAACCAGGGATGCAAGTCACTAGTAGAAGACCCATAATGGCATATTTGCCCTTGAGACGGCTGTTGTTCTCCAAAAAGTCACTCAGACCACCCACAAAAAGTCTGGCCGTAGTAGACGAAAGACTGAACGCACTCACCTGTTTGGAGATGGGAGAAGACGCACCAGAAGTGCCCACGACCTTCAGAAGATTACCCATGTTCGTCACGTACATTTCCATGGGTCCTGCTAGAAAGAGGAAGGCAAATAGAAGCATGTATGTGGAGGGCTCTTTCAAGAAAGCGTCAAACGTGCGCCTGTGGTTTGCCTCTTCTTCCGGAGAAGAAAATGGTTCAGAATCAGCAGTAGACCCGTAGTTCTGTTCTGGAGTATCAAATACCACTTCCTTTTCTACCGTGACCATCACGGAGGCAATCCAGTTGAGCAAACTCAAAACGCAGTACAGTATGGTGAAGCCAATGAAACACTTGAATGGGTCTGTCATGGAAGAACCTTCCTTTGAAAAATAGCTGAGCTTCGTGATTTGAGTTATAAGCATGGCACTGACTCCGAAAGCAGTCACAGGCCCCGATATGCTCAAACCTTTGCTCTGGGGGTATATTTTGGCACATGTCAGTAGCGAGCAGAAGTAGAGCGAGGCCGTGGCTGCGCCTATTAGCATGAAGGCCAGGCACATCAGCAGATAACTCAGCTTATACTTGTAAACTATGGCAGCAAGAAAATAGGAAGGTCCAAATGTTAACATGCTCAGTGCAGCCAGAAGCACGGGTCCGTGTAGATCAGCAAGATACCCGAGCATTGGTAGGAAGAAGTACAGCCCCGCAGCTATAGAGCCTCCTATGATGTTGATCTGTAATTGTGAATATTGGAGATCATATATGAGGGGATCGGTGAATAAAGAGAAGGTCATTACCGAACCTGCAAACAGACAAACTCCCAATGACGTGGCGAAACATGTTCGCCGGAGGCCCTCCTTTGAAAAATGCTGGAATAGAAAGACCCTGATATGGTGAGTCAATGCATGTTCTATGGATGAGATCTCTGATTGGACCATAGTGAGTGTTGCTGGTATTCTAGGTGGAAAATGAGCAGCTCTTTATCACTGGTGGTCACCAAAGCTGAATCTATAAGTGGTGAACTAGAAATCTTTGGACCCATGGTATTTGTTCAAGTGGGAAGTGTCAGTCATCTATCCGAGCCGTAGATAACCAGGCATCGGCCAATCCGGGGGAGGTCCGGGCCTCGGAATACGTCTATTTTTCACTGCGATTCAAACCACGGTTTGGTGAGAGATAGGCTCAACCGAGTATTTCGAATGGCTCCATGCACAGAATATCTGCTAGGATGACTTCGAAAAGCATAGTGTGCATTATTGGAACCACGGGGGTTGGGAAATCCCAGGTGAGTAGAACGTGAAATTTCACCACCCTATCAGCATTCTAACCAGGCTCTGCAGTTCAGCATAGACCTCGCTAAAAAGTTCAATGGTGAGATCATAAATGCCGATTCCATGCAAATGTATAGGTCAGCTGCTATTTTGACGAATAAACACCCCATGAGAGAGAGAGAAGGTATACCGCACCATGTGATGGACCATGTAGGCTGGAACGAAGAGTACTTCTTACACAGATTCAAGGCAGAGGCACTGGCAGCGATTGCAGATATACATGGACGGGGAAAATTGCCGATATTGGTGGGCGGAACTCACTACTATTTGCAATCTATACTTTTCAACAACAAAACGATAGTCACTTCAAATACGAGTGAAGCTAAAATTTCAGGTGAGGAGCAGGCCATTTTGGATGGTGATCCGGAACAGCTTATCACCCACCTGCGAAAGTATGATCCCGAAGTTTCGGAGAAATTTCATCCAAATGACACAAGAAGAATACGAAGAGCGTTGGAAATTTACTTTACCACCAAGAAAAAGGCTTCTGAATTCTACGGTGAACAGAAGAAGTCAGACACTGAGGAGTCTCCACTGAGGTTCAACACCATGGTTTTTTGGCTATATTCCGAAAAAAGTGTTCTTGACGCTAGATTAGACACCAGGGTAGACAAAATGATGGAGATGGGGGCAATTGAAGAACTCAAGGAGTTGTACTCTGCCTATACCTCTTTCCAAGAGCCTCCTGATCTCGAGAAGGGTGTGTGGCAGATGATTGGTTTCAAGGAGTTTCTGCCTTGGCTGGAGTCGGACGAACCTGAAACCGAGAAGAAAGTTCTTTTGGACCAGTGCATATCCAAGATGAAGCAAGCCACACGCAAATATGCTAAATCACAGGTCAAGTGGATACGGAACCTGCTTGCTCCCGAAATGAACATGGAGCAAGCACACGGCTTTTGCAAGGGAGGCAAGATCTTTCTGCTTGATGCCACAGATCTGCATAAATTTGAAGAAAACGTCATGGAGAGAGGTGAGGGTATCACAAAGGAGTTCCTTGAGAAAGTGAATGTGGAGAAGTATCACCAAACACCAGGCGGCATGGAGAGCCTCTTACCTCTCTCGAAGTATACGGATTCCAAAGAAAAGAACTGGAAGCATTATGTCTGCGAGGTTTGCACCGATCCAAAAACAGAAAAGCCGCTGGTATTTGTGGGAAGCCAGTATGACATTCACATGGCTAGCAATAGACATAAGAACACAGTTAAGAGGCTGCAGAGGAGAAAGGAGAATGAGAAATGGATTTTGAGGAAAAAGCAGGATACTGGAGCGACGAAGTCCTAACAAACTGATTCAAGTTCTTCAAACTTTGAACCTCACCCAAACTTAATATCATCACCAGGAGTCCAAATACCTTGACTAGACTTACCATCCGAAGCGCCAAAAGAAGGATTAGCACCAATGCCCACCTGGCTCAGCTTTGACATAATTTCTCTAGCCTCGATCTGTCTCCCTTCCGCATATGCCTCGCAATCATGTAGCAGAGCCATCAACGTAGGGATGAACTTACTGTAGAACTGCACACCATCTTCAATGTTCCGAGTCAAGACTTTGTATGCCTTGAATGAGTCTTCCATTGATTGAAGAACTAGGCGGCGATTTTGAGGAACGTCCATACCAATTTCCTTCAATTGTGAAAACTTTGCAAAGAACTTGTCCACATCCTTCAAGATGTCAGTTTGCTGTTCACGCTGTTTAATCACATAGAGAGAATCACTCTCAAACACACTGAGCTCTCTCCGATAAATACCAATGAAGTTATCCTCCGTGATTTCCTTGTCGTTTCCTTGATTCTTCAACGTTTTGTATTCCGAAACCATTTTTGCCATAATACTCCAGCGGTCTGATTTGCTATCAACAGATTCCATGAAATCGTCGCGATTCTCCTCTATTATGCGACATTCTTTGAGCTTCTCACTCAGACTTGTCACCACGGACTTCATAGCTGGATCAAGTTCAGCGATAACTGCAGGAGGGAGCCTTTCCTTGAGAAGGTTCTCGCTGTTGCTTGCACCATAAATCTCAAGAAGATCCTGTATCTCAGTGAATTCGTGATTGATTACCTGGTCTCCTTCGCTAGCTTTGGCCTTCGTATCGATTCCATTCTGGATTCTAGAAATCAGCTTTGAGGCGGCCTCTTTGGTATTCGAACGGGTCCATCTCCGCGATCCTTCCCTCTCTCTAAATGATGTATCTTCTAGTTCTTCATCGTCTATCTTTTTCTGGCAGCGTTCGAGAATGCTTGAGCACTTATTGCTCTGTGAGTCCAATAGTTGCAACGATTTTACAATTGCAGGTACTCCACCGTCGTTTTTAATCGATTCTGAGTGCTGTCGTATTGAATCTGGTAGAGTATGTGGTCTTTCCAAAGCTTCAACGGCTGATGGTAGTCCTTTGGAACTCAAGTATGCTGACATTTCATTAGACAACTGCCTTACTGGATTCTTCAGCTCCTTCTCCACATACTCTAGCTGTCTCTCCTTAAAGGACTGAGCAATCCGAAAAACTGAAAATGGGATAATGTTCTGAAATAGTGGTCTTCCATACTTATGATGATCCTTCTCGCATGCTTCGATATCTTCAATATCGATGCTGCCTGCTTTGGCTATCAGCGCTCTTTTTATGTCGGGTAAGCTGCTCAATTCCGGGACTTTCTCGAGATATATCAGGTCATTGTCGCGTTCAGCTTTGCGTGCATCTTCGCTCAAAACAGCCAGAAAACTCTGTAAATCGTCCAAAACAGCAGGAGAAACCCCCTTGGTATTAGCCGTTGCATTTTTGCCTGCCTCACTGGCTGCCAATAAGAATGCCACTTGGGCCCCATGGTTCCCACTTTCAAGATACATCAATGATTGTCTGTAGTAAGCAGCTCCCTGGAAATGGTACATTTTCAATGTGATATGATTTTTCCATCCTTGGGGAATCGCACGAGTCTTCAAAGCACCCTCTTTGGCCAGATAGTAAAAGTCTTTGACCTGAATAGCGAGTTTGGCAATCGCTGAGTCCCTCGTCTTGAGTCCCACTGCGCGTTGCCAGATACTCTCCTGCGCTTGGGCCAGCATGAGGTCCTTGAAAACAACCACTATCTCCGGCTGCAACTCTGAAGGAATATCAAAAAGCCTCTCGCTGTCTTTGGTGAGCTTGAGCAACATAGCGAAGGCCCCAGCAGCAAACTGGAAGTAAGCACACGATATTTTCATGCCTTCCACACTCTTACGCGATTGCTGATATCCCAGTTGCGAATAAAGAGCTCCAATGTTATACGCGACATTCAATGCCTCAAATCGCAGTGATTTTATCTTGTTAGGACGAGACACATGGCCCCCCAAAGTATTGGACCAGGGGAATACCACGAGATCATCCGGCATTTTTTTCATTAAACATTGCAGATTCACATAATACTTTTGAAGCAGTCCCAAGCTTTCTAATGACACCGCGGGTATCACAATATCATGGCGTAGGCGGTCGATCTCACGAATGTCCTCGATGAACGATCTGGATGATTGGTAGAATTCATTCTCAATGATCTTAGTTATGGCCTCCCCCAATGGAACATCCTCGGTAATTCGAAAAGGAATCTCCAGAACGTTTGAGCTCATTCTAGATCTCAAATGAGATTTATCGTCAACTCGTTATTAATTCTCGTGAAGAGTCTATGTAGATAATATGTTTACTTAGGTGTAACAAGACCCCAGTCGAGGCATCGCATCTCCAGCTCGCTAGCGCACTATCAAAGCACGACCTTATTTATTCCCCACGCTCTCTGAGCTCCTTGAGTCTTTGCTGACCTGCCTGTTCTGCCTGCACCAAATAATCAACTCCGTTTTGAATATCGGCAGAATTGTTTGCGATTGCCAAAAACTCGTCCTGTGCAACCCTGGAATATACCACTTCCTTCTCCTGAAGTTTGAGCCCTTCCTGTAGGAGTTCATCTCTCTTGACAACAAGTGCATCATGTCTCTTCAAATATCCACCAAACGTTAGTCTGAGCTTTTTCTCGAGCTTATTGGAGCGCGAACCCAACTTTGTTAGAAACTCGATTGTTTCCTCGGTTCCCACGTCAGTGGCACCGATCGCGATGTCATAGCTCTTTTGGGGCTTAGAGGTCACCTCCAGGTCAATGGCTTCTTGCACAGCAGCTTTCTGACTTGGACTTAAATCTTCCAGAGGTTGGGTTGAATCTTCCAGGGTTTTGATATCGTCCGTTATCAGAGCCAAAACTTCGCGCTGTATCATGTTTTCAAGAGGATCCTGACTGTCTGTGGTGACAAATTTCAAATTGCTAGCCAATGGAACGGGGAGCCCTTTGGAGAGGATCTCTGACGTCCTCACGAAAGTTCGTGTTTTGTCCGCTAACTGTGTGGCATTTTCTGTCTCAAGCTCGGGACTCGATATATCCTCCTTATCTTCCTCTGAAAGCTCGAATTCCAGATCGTTTTCTGGTTTAGGTAACGCCGCCAATCTGCTTCTCAATGATGAGAGGCCCTTCTTGACAGGAGCTGAATCAGGTGCCTGCTGGCTGGTCTCTAGGGTACTCTCGTTCTCGCTCTTCTCATTTGTTTCGTCCACATCCTCTTGCTGGCCAAAAGCAGCATATAATGCCGATTGGGTACCCGAAATCTCCTTCAACTCACGGGTTGCCGCGACTATCCGTTCGTCTTCGCCGACCACGGCGTACTCCCCTCTCTGTTCTGCCTCTGTAGGAGCAGAAAGTTCCAGCCTTCGTCTTTTCACCGGTTCATCTTCGGGTGCAAACGAGGCTTCATATGTTACAGCCTGCCTCGCCTCCTTCTGATTCTGGGATTCCTTCGATCTCTTCTTGCGATTTTTGGTCTGCTCGTTCTCTGTGCCAAACCTATTCACCACATTAGCATACTTCTCATTGTCATTCTGGTTCATCAGCTGCTCAGATTCAGTGTCAAACGGTCCTTGAGGAGGAACGTGCTCAAGGGGAATATCGGCGTTGTAATCCATCTGATCTTTATACGTGATTTTCTGCTTGATCTTGGTTTTTATACCAGCCTGCTTCAGCTCCCTTCGTTTCTGTAACATCGCCACTCTTTGATTCTCCTCCATCATTCTCTCACGTGTCTTCCTCTTGGCTTTTTTCCCCTGTGTGTTTACCAGACGAGCTCTAGCCTCGCTGATCATCTCCCTCTCATCGTCATCCATATCTTCAGCGTCAGGCATGGCTGGTTTGCTTTCAGGATTCAAGTTTATGTCACCAACCTGTGAATTCCCAGTAGCAGCACTGGACTCCAAAGTTAGGCCACTCAGCGAATATTCAGAAGAAGCCTGGCCCAACGCAGCATCGTCAAGTAGCTTCTGATACCTCTCAACACACTGGGTAGCGGTCCTACCGAGAACGGCCTCTATAGACCGCCACTGGTTTGGCATCGTCTTTGCCAGATATAACAACTTTTCATCCTCCTCTCGAGACCACTCAAATTTCTTGACATTAGGATTCAACCATTCCGTCCAACGGGCTTTGGCTTGTTTGGCAGTCTTTCTTGCCAACAAGGACGACACTCTGGACCACTGCGTCAAACCATATTTCTGTACCGCAGCCTTGAGGATTTCATCCTCCACATTCGACCAGGCGCCTCCTTTGACATATGTTGGTGGCATTTTTTGATAAAATTTAAAAGTTCGTAGAAGTAACACAATACTGAAAGTCAATCAAGCTAACAAACCATCTCAAAAATTACACTTGGGAAAAAGGTCGTGCGGCTGATGGGCCAATTTCTTGTTAGCGGATGGAAGGCCGAGGCTTGAAGACACGGTAGTCTGAGCTGGCGATTACTCTCTTGTACACCATTGATCTGTCTTGGAGCTGTTTCGGCTACCCTCAAATTGGCGAATCCATCTACCGCTTTGATTGCCATCTCTCGCAATGGGTTTAGTTTCTGGACTCAGGCCGAAGCATCAAAAGCTGATCCTTCGGTGTTATCCCGCAGGTAAGAGCACTGAGAAAAAACCTAACAACGCCGAATTGAGCTATCTACTTTATTATGCCACGACAAGACGGACAAAATTGGAGAAAGTGGGTGTCTTTTTGGAGAAAAAAACAGCCGTGGACACCAGCCGTGTTAAGACTGGGAACATCCAGGTTACCCTGGACATCATTGCCGAGCTGACTGAGAAGTGTTCCGAGAATTTGGGTGTCTTTGCAGGGAATATCGTGAATATACTGACGATGGTGGTCAAAACTGGTGATTTGGCATTATGCCAGCATTCTTTGAAGGTCCTCGGTATCTTTTGCAAGAAGCTGAACTCTACGCTTGCGGCCGACAAGGACTTCATCTCAGGGTTCTCTAATCTGGTGAACAAGTATGCAGAACTGGGAGCAAAGCCTCAGAAACCGAATGAATCGGAATGGCTGGTTGTTTCTTTGGTGGCTTGCAGATACGTTGCCGTGTGTTTGAGATACTCTTACTCTTTCGACAGAGCTGTGATCCAGAAGGCTGTTGCTTTGATTTTGAGCTCTGTTACTGGCCACTTCAGCGAGAACGCATTATTGGCAAAGATGAAGTCCCATGTTTCCATGGAGAACGACACCATCAGGGCAGCCAAAACTGTGAACACGGATCTCAACTATAATGATCTGAATGTGGAAGAGGAGGCTATTAACTCGTTGAAGGCTCTATTCAACACGGACTATCCCTCGCAACTAAGCCAGTCCACTAGAGCTGTGGGCAGTTTCATAACATCTTCCGTCCCTAGCATGGACCAGGGATGGTCTGATGCTCTTATAGAGATGATTGCCAGTTGGACTCCCGTCCAGCTTCGCTATCTCATCCTGGAATCGCTCATTTCGGAGGCAATAGAAAACAAGGATTTCAAGTCTCAGAAGACTCTTATAGACAACATTAGCGCCCTGTTGTCTTCATCGGTTGTCATTATTGGTCTATCGGTGAGAGATGTCGTCAGCAAGCTTCTCGATCAACAGGACAAACTGGTCACTGTTGCCAACTCCGAAAGCTTGGTTGGAAGCTACTCTGCGTGTATACAGAGCCTGGCAGAACACATCATCTACAAGGATCAAATCTCAGATATGGTGGACGAGTCCTTGTTGGTCTTCAGTGAATCCTACCTCAAATTATCAGAGGAGGTTCATGGCTCAGAAGCGAGCTCCAAGAGGTTTGAGTTGTCATCAAAATGGTTTATTCGCGATATAAGTGGGATCATTGATGTTGCACACAAGCAGTCGGACACTGTTGAGAGACAACCGTGCTCCCTGGGTATTTGGAACAAACTCTTTTCCATCATTGGTTTTGAGAGCATCGATAACACAGTGCGCATTTCTGTGCAGAAGAACTGGCTTGATCTTCTGATCAAGTTCTTCACTACTGAATTCACACATGTCAAAGAAACAACTACACCCGATTACCATAACTACATAACTTCAAATGAAGGAAGCAACGCCATTGTGCACATATTTGCGAGTCTTGATCAGTTGTTTGCGCAGGGTTCCCCCGAGCTATATGTCACTCTGGCCAAAGTTGTTCTCGTGGTGATTGACAAGTTCTCCATCAACGCTTTATACAACGGTATGCCATACTTCTTCCGCTGGCAAGCTGAATTGTCGAAGGATGCCAGTGTCTCTAAGGTTGCCCGTGATAGTCTGTCCATGCTCTTTCTGTTGAGGGGCTCACAACAGCTCGAGATTGAGGGTTTAGAACATGAAGTGAGAGCTAAAATAGCTGCCAGAAAGGCCAATGGTGTGTGGTATTCAGATTACGACTTTGCTGTTGGAACTCTTGTTGGTTCGTCTGCGGTGCTTACCTTCAGTAAGCCAGAGCTGATCTCATTACTGTCTGCGAACGAGGCAGCGTCAAAATGGTTGGTTCCTTCCATAGACCCTGAGTCTCACAGAGGTGACTTTAATATGTTACTGAGACCCTCCAAAGTCCCAACATTATTGTCGATGTCTGCCCAAAGCTCGTTTCTGCATCTGTCCAACGGACATGACTCGATCAGAGGCACCAGCAGCGCTCATGACGGTAACATTGATGACACACTTGCTCGCGATAATCACACGGACTCGGACAATCTTACGGAAACGTTTGACAAAACTGCTGATACTCAGAGCCTAATTTCTGTCGCATTCTCGTGGGCCGCTCACTCTACTGCAGTCAGCCGTCACTCTAAGGCTCCAGGCGTGAAGGACCTACGCAAGGCTGTATCAGGCGATATTCTACTGAGAGGCAGGCATGAGGATTCTACTGCTGATAACGTCAGCGTAAACGTAACCAGAAGTGGTCTTGCGAATCTGGTGGCTGGTCTCAGTCTAGAGGATGACCATGATACAGATGGTAAGTTGATCGCTGTTTAAGTCAAACGTACTCGAAACAAAAACTGTTCTCATTAGATTCTCGTGGTTTTTAGATTCAATAAAAGAAAAACAAAGTTCATAAACCTGATATAAATATCCTCGTTACTTCCTAGATGGAATCAGAATGGAGACCGAAGATCTATGGCAGGGGCTAATCAGCTCAGCCAAATGGGCATAATCACAGGCTCGTTCAATCTTCTTCATCACCCAAAGCATCGAATGCATTGAATGTAATGGTTTGCTTTTCTGCGATGGCGTCCCTAAGATCGGCAGGCTTGGATGAGATGTTCTTGCTGTTAGTCTTCACCTTGAGCGCATGGTCCTTGGACTCTCTAATCTGTTCTCTGGCACCCTCTTCTCCTTGACCAGATAACCTTCTTCCGCCTTTTGGAGCTGGAACTGTCACGGTCCATCCATCCGCATCAGTCTGCTTGGTTTCACGGTGCTTGGTCTTTCTTAGGTTTGGACGAGTAACTAGTCTGGTTAGTAAAGCGATCGTCAATTCAACTTGGGATTCATAACTTACAACCAGAATTTGACTTCCTTCTTCCGTTCAAAAAAGCACTGCAAAAACTCCGTTAGTGAAATTCTTCGAAAGCAATAGCTCTCATCAAATAGCTTCTCAACCACAACTCACTCTTCACCTTCGAACTTGTCAGATCTGACGATTTCGGCGAAACCAGTCAAATCTATTCCCTCCGGAACAACAGCAGCAACACTGTAACCGCGTAATTCTTCCTCGGTATACTTTACTATTCCAGCCATAGCCAAGACAACTTAGTTTCAACACTCAATTCTGCACAACCGTTAAACTCCACCAGAAAAGTCTCTTAACAAATTTTGTCCAGTTTGGCCAGGGCATCTAACCTCTTGCCCAAAAGTCGTGTGAGATCCAATCACAACAAAAAAATTTAGGAACCAAGACTGAAGAAAGTGCTACTATGCTTTCTTCCCAGTCCCACTTCACACTATATCATATATAACTTTTTCAAGATGCCTATGGCCAAGAGTTTAGGAAAGGTGCAGAAGGCTCTCAAGAGCTCGCGCGGTGCGGTGCATCCAAAGGGCAGAAAGTTCAAGATGCTGAACCGTGCAACTTTAAGAGAGAAAAAACTTCAGGATGCAAAAGTCAAGCATGCTGAGAAAAGAGGAGGAGAAAACTTGATTTATTCCTTCTTTCAGCAGGCCATTCTCACTCCTCAATATCAGAAAGACAGTTTTTCCGTGGATGAAATCAGGACGTTTATTGAGGCGTTCATCACAAGAGACGATGAGGAACTTGAGGCTCTAAGAGAGGACCGCAGACCAGGCAGACCACCAACTGCTAGGCAGCAGCATTTGGAAGAAAGAATCAGAAAGGAACAGCATTTATTCGAAACCGGCTGGCCAGTACCTGATCTTCAGGATGCAGAGAGTGTGAAACACTTGAAGAACTGGAATGGATCTCCTGGAGGACTCACCATCATAAAGAAGATCATTGTAAAGGAGTCAGCTTAGTTAGGAATCTTCTGAACCCTTGAATCTGTATATTAGATTGGAGTTCATCGGGAAGCTTCTGCCATGACGTGAAGTTAACGTGAGCTCAACGTGAGTACTGGAAGACTAGGACATACATATCCAGAACACGCTTAATAACAATGAGTTATCGCCAATTGCATAATAAAGAGGACATCGTAGTTTTATCTCAACTGTCAGATCAAAAGTAACCGATCGGGGACCGATCGCTCAAATATGCAGGATACTCGCAGAGTCACAAAAACTCTCGGACTCGTCGGTCGTCCCCCCTAAAAACTTCCTGACTCCGTTAGCCGAGTCAGCAAAATTCCTGCATGAACCCCTCCATGGGCTTCCCCATGTTGCCAATACTTTTCCTTATCTGGTAAAACCGTTATCTGCTATTGTATCGCGTCGTTTGTGCTTATCAGCCTCAGGAATCTGTCTGGGGTAAGTTTATCGCTCGATAGATTTATAGATCTGATGGAATGTTGAACACCACTGGGCAACGCTGGAGCTGCCGATCCGACGAATAGGATGTCTGGGAGTGCAGTTGCCGGGATTGAAGAACTTTCACCTGTCACGTGACTGTGCGGGCTTTGATACAGGCCCCATTCCTAAGGTGTTTGGCCTGATATAACCAAATAAATATGGTATGGTTATAACCATCGTATTCAGGAGATTCCGATTGTCCATTTATTCTTCCGAAATTCCAATGGAGCGTTGTTTTATGGGCAGATTGGAAGTATTTCACCCAGCCCGGTTTGTGCTATGACTAATGACAGATAGGGCATGCATCTGCATAGTATAAAACTCCCATACTCGCACCTTTATAATTTTAACCTTCTTGCTATTCCTTTCTTTAGATTAGTTGACATTATTACGCAAGAATAAAGGCTCGCAAGCTCCTTTCATTCTTTCTTTAAAGAAACCTAAACAAATCATTTTCTCCAGCAGTCACTTTTAGTTCTTCAGCCAGAAGGGAAAAAAATGACTCAGGACCAATTCTACCCATGCCACAATGAGTTCAGAAGTGATACTTTCACTGTTCCAACCCGATCCATGATTGAAGCCGTCACCATGGCCACGGTTGGTGACTCAGTATACAAAGAGGACCAAGACACCCTCGACCTTGAAGAGAAAGTTGCCAAGATTGCCGGAAAAGAAGCAGGATTGTTCTGTGTTTCTGGAACAATGTCCAATCAAATTGGTCTGCGTGCCCATTTGATGCAACCACCCCACCGCATCCTCTGTGACTTCAGAGGTCATGTCTATGCGCATGAAGCTGGTGGTTTGGCTACGTTGTCCCAGGCCATGGTCACTCCGGTGATTCCAAGCAATGGGCTTTACTTGACTTTGGAAGATGTCGTTGACAACTACATTCCGGATGACGGTGATATCCATATGGCACCCACTAAGGTTGTCTCTCTGGAGAACACTGTCCATGGAATTATTATGCCACTCGAAGAAATCGCAAGAATCTCCGAATGGTGTAAGGAAAACGACGTCAAACTACACTTGGATGGTGCCAGGCTTTGGAACGCATCTGCAGAAACAGGTATTCCCATCAGTGAGTACTGTCAATACTTTGACTCTGTTTCTCTGTGCCTTTCGAAGTCGTTGGGTGCCCCAATCGGTTCCATCTTGGTTGGTCCTAGAAAATTCGTCGAAAAGGCCAACCATTTCAAGAAGCAAAACGGAGGAGGTATTCGCCAGGCTGGTATGCTTGCCCGCATGGCCTCCGTTGCCATTGATGAAAACTTTGGAAAGCTCAAGGGAGCATCTGCTCTCGCTTCGGACTTTGCAAAGTTCTGTCAAGAGCACGGAATGGCCTTGGAGGGACCAGCCGATACCAACTTTGTCTTTCTTGACCCTAAGAAGGTCAAGATTGACCCTGAGGTTTTGCAGACGATTGCTGCTAGAAATGACGTGAAGGTCATGGGAAACAGATTTGCTTTCCATTTCCAAACCTCAAAGATGGCAGTCGAGAACTTGAAAAAAACCATTTTGGAAGCTTTTGAGCACTCATTGGAGCATCCTTATGTTTCTTCCGGAGCCATTCGTTTGTACCACACAAAAAAGGCCTAGATAACTTGACTTATCCTTCATCGGTATGGGAAAAGAGACAGTTACCCACGGAGACTTGACGTTTAATCGCGCTATTTATTTCTGGGAATTGGGGTATTTGTTTTTAAATTGTCTATCAATAAAATATCGTTGTTAGAGTGTTATAAACTAGATTTTGGAAAAACCCGTAAATTTCTGAAAAGATACTAATCTTAGGGCCTTGCAGGCCTTCGGATTGTTGTTTGGCCGTACCAAATTTCAACAAAAAGACCAAAGAAACCCACAACAACACCCATTTGTACACAAGCAAGTTCGCTGCACAGTTTCAACGATTAAAACTTATGCAAGCGATTGAACTGTAGGCTTCATTCATTCTTCTCCGTACTTTTCACCAAGATCTGAGCCTCACCTCATCATGCAATAGAGCTCGAAATTTCAGGGTGCGCACGACCACCGACAACTTCTTCTTTTGTTCGAGTCGGTTAGTCGGTAAGGCTTTCTTTCAGAAACACAAGAGGGCCTTGTTGAGCCTTGTTTCTACTTTATTGCTAGATCTTCTAGAGGACAAACAAGTAATCAGAGCTATCATTATTGCTACCGATTAGACTCAACGAGCCCAAGAGGAACTTGAGTTGGAACACCCACAACAACCTTCGCCATGATCATCTACGTCCTTTTTTTGGCCGCAGTTGGCTGGCTGATACACAGGTTCATTGACTTGAACACGGTTCCAACCGAGAAGGCCATTTGCAACTTGAATATCCATGTGCCTAAAGTGCCGCAAATATCCATAGACAATGTGACTGAGAGCTCAATAGCATTGCATTGGGATACCTCCAGTGGATCGAATCATTCTGAGGATCAAAGAGATTCGCTCTCAGATCCAACTCCTCCGCTTGGATTGTCAGCAGTGAATACCTGTGCCATTAATCACTACGTTTTATACGTGAATGGTGTTCAGGTTGCAGTGATCGACGGGGGTCAAAAAGCCTGTTTGCTAGACTCATTGATCTCCAACACAAACTACCAGATAGACTTGGTGGCTGTCAACGTCTCAAACTACAGATCCAAATCTTTCCCAATATACGTGAAAACCCGGGAAACCCAACTGTCCCAGCCAATGGCAAAAGAAGAATCTGCAAGCGAAGGTCTCGAGTTCAATCTCAAGGACGATCCAGAAGACCTGTTGAACCACTTAGCCCATGCCAAAGAAGCAGAGAAAGAGAAGGTCAAAATGCACAACACTTTCCGCAAACAATCACCGCCTGGGAGACGTTCCAGATCAAACACTGTTGAAAAACCACAGGAACAGCTCCCAGACCCGGAGACTATTACCGATATCGAAGAGCTGAGGTTTTTGCTGGAATCTGGCCAAGAAGACCTCAGGTCCATCTTGCAGCAGCAGCTTCAGTGCCAGCTGGAGTACAGGGATGAAGAAAACCTGCTAAACTCGACCAGAAACGATCTAAGGCAGAGGAAGAAGATCGAGGATGCCAACAGAGCGAGTGTCAAATCCGAGATAAAGTACTTAGAGGATTCGAAAAGGAATTTTGAGGACAAAATTTTCAAAAACAGAATGAAGCTCGACGAGAAACTGAAAACCATTGACGAAAAGGAGAAGGAAATGAGTGAATGGATGGAAATGTTAGAGGCAAAGAGAAACTCCAATAAAGAGCTGGACTCAAATGCGTCCCGTACCGAAAGGGAATTGCTTTCGAAGACAGAGATGCTCAACAAGGAGATATTTGCACTACAGAATGAGAACCATGAAATAGAGGACGATATCAAGGATTTGTCGGCAAAGAGAAAGAAGCTGGAGAACGATAAGAAACATTTGGTAACTATATTCAGAGCTCTTGAAACCTCAACCGATATTCACACTGGTGCAGTTGGTGCCGAGGGTAGCAAAGCCTTGGAGAAACTGTCAGAGCTGAATCCCGGCTGGAAGACAGAGATTGAAGCGGAGATTAACGAGGATTCTGCGCGGGATGCCAGATGGAGAGCGTTGCAGTTGAAGGAGGTTCGGAGATTCCAAACTATCCAAAAGCTGCGTGACACTAAAACAGAATTCCCAGGTGCAGAATCTCAACAGAGAGCTGGTATCCCGCAGGTCCAACAATTTGTGCCTCCTCCAAGCGTCCAGCCCTCAACTCCAGTCCATGCACCAATTGACTCGAAGCCAACAGCGTCTCAGACTGGAGCTGAAATGGCCAATTCTTTCGTTCCAGTCTGGGGAAGCAACCATTATTTCAGCTCACCATCTCAGAACATGAATCTTAGTCCAGCTGGAGGCCTGACTGTGGATATTCCCCCCAACCTGACTGCTGAAGAGGACGATATTCCTCTTCCATCACCAAGTGTGAACATGCTCTTGCCCCAATCACTCATTGATAGTGAAGACCTGAGCAAGTTTTTCAAGATCACCGACGAGGATATGCTGCCTAGCTCATCGCAGGTGTCATCACACTTCAGCACCAACACCTCTGGTCATCACGCGAGTTTGAGACCCGTTTCTTCGGCAAGCGAGTTCCAGCAGAACGGTGTATTGGCACCAACAGGAATTGACTTCTTCCATACTAGAGGTGGCCATTTGAAAGACCCAAACCAAAGCCATTCTCGTATTGCTTCCATGCACTCCAATACGAACAACGCAGCTATGATGCCAACATCTGTTGAAAATATGGGCTCACCGGACCACAGACTTTTGCCTTCCACCAGTAACTCAATGCTTGGAAGAGACCAATCTCTCTTTGATCTCATGACCTCGCCTGGTAGCTCCAACCACGCTTCGCCGTTGATACCAATGAGTTCTCATATGAGTGAAGCTGAGCTTCACATACCAACCGAGAACCCCATGTCTGCGTTTTCTCCAAAGAGATTATCGAATGTGTTCAACTTCGGGAAGAAGTCGTCAGACATCAATTCAGATGAAACGCAAGCTGTCCACCAGGAAAACCCCAACGGTAATAACAATCCAAGCTCGAGGTTCTTTAACATCTTGAGAAAACAGCCCCACCACCATGAATCGCTTGGAAAGCTCGATCCGTTTGGAATGAACCCAACACCTCAGCCAGAGTTTGATGGCAGTAGGAACAGAAGCGAAAGTTTTGGAAGCAGCATCTGGAACAATACCCCGGTGAAAGAAACCACCGATCATTGGGGAATGACCACCAACAACTCTTACAGCTTTAGCCCCACTTCGAGTCTCAGTCCCACCATGGAGATGGTGGCTCCATCTCAGCCTCAGATGAAGATTAACGCTATGAACCAAGCATTACAGTCCTTGGTACAACCTTCCATTGTTGTCGAACATGAGGATGACTCACCAGAGGTATTCAGAGGATATGATCACCATCAACAGAAGAACTCGGAGTCTCTCAGCAGCGTTGCTGTGGATGCCTCGGAGTCGGAACAGGACGATGCGCCATCTTCGCCATCGTTTTTCAAGAAAAAGATCTTTCCTTTTGGTGTTTCTCCTACAAAGGTGCCCACTAGGGGAAGTGACAAATCGAGTATTGCGGTCAACTCTCTGAATGATGACGGAACAGAACCAACATCTCAAAACGAATTGAGCTACCATCCAAATATGGGCTCACCTTCTGGAATGGCCTCGAAGTCTTCTAGATTCTTCTCCAAGATTTCGAGAAGGAACTCACAGATGACCGTTGCAAGCCAACTCTCCACAAGTTCTCCCGGATCAGCTGCCTCAAACGGCATTTCTGGTCCAGGAGCCGTTTCTTCTGGGAAAGAACCAAACGCTGGAAACTCCTTTACCCGAAGGCTCAGTTTCCTGTCGAAGAAGGAAAAAGAGTCCGATAAGGATAAAGATAAAGAAGGTGAAAAGATGCACGGCCGGGAGTTTGAAACTCCCGTGATAAACGAGGGTGAAGTACTCAATTGAAAAATATCTACTCATCTGAGTACTCAAGCTCGTTTGAATCTTCAAAATGCATTCGTATACGATTCTAATGACTATGACTATTACCAAACCCATGTGTAGTCCAAGACCTTGCTTATCCATATGACCTGTAACCCAAATAGCTTTCTTCATCTCACACACCCCCGTCAGGAAATAACGTCCTGATTTCGTCTCGCGAGAAAACCAAAATGTTATCTTTCCCCACCTGTACCTCTGTGTCTGAAGGCCTAGCCTTTTCATACGAGTCTTTCTCTAGCGTAGTCTGGTACATCAGATGAGAGAGAGACTGTGGATCACTTATCGATATCTTATCCGGGGCTTCTTCTGCTAACTCAGGAACATACTCAAGGTAAGGAGACCCGGGAGGCGATTGCAAAATTGTGGTGCCAGGATCTGGCAATTGGAGATAGTTGGACTTGAATACCGGATTGGGAACATCGGATGTCTCAGTGGTGGCATTTGGCGACAAAGACCACTTACCCAAATCTTCAGTACCATTAACATCATGGGATCCACTGAGAGTTCCATTTAAGAGCATGGACTCAACGTCAGCGCTCTGGGGGCCATTATACTGTTCCAAAGGCGATACGTTATCCCATAGACTATAACTAGCCTTCAGTCCGCATGACTCCAAAATGTCGTGCACCCTTTCGGAGGTGCTGACGCTGCTGAAAACAAACACCGTCTTCTTCAAAGAGCTTAGCTTCGACGCTCTAACAGTCTCCGTCACGGGAACACTCTCCTTGAGTCCTTCGATCAGCTTGTCTAGAAGGTCCTGGTTCTCTGGAGCGTGCAGTTCAGCACCTGTGAGAATCAACGTATTTGTCTTGGTATCGCGGCGTATTAGCCCAGACGTGTGCAGTTTCTCCAGAGTATTCGTGGTAGTATCAGCCATTGTGAATTCTGAAGTGGTTCGGTTGCAGTAACACTCTCTAACTGTTGAAGATGGGGTTGAACTTCATCTGAACGAGGCGGTGCAGACAGAACAGAGGTTCAAAATTGAGTCTCACACTTCGACGCCTACGTATGCTCGAGACGCGTCAAAGACAAGGAAGCGAGCGTGCATTCAGTTGGACCAAGTCAACAGGACTTGTTTGGTTTGTTTGACATGACTAGAATATGACTAGGGTGTTATGCGTTGCTGAGAAGCCTTCTATTGCGAAGTCTGTGGCCCAAACTCTGGGTGGCGGCCGGGTGTCTCTGCGGGAATCAGGCAACAAATACGTGAAAAACTACGACTTCAGATTCGAGTTTCCCGAGTGGGGTTGGTGCGACGTGACCATGACATCAGTTTTGGGGCATCTCACGTCGATAGACTTTCCCGAGTCTTTTGCCTGGGGAAACTGTGATCCCGACAGACTGTTCCAGGCACCGATCATGACCAAAGGCTCTGGATCGGACAGTGCTAAAGTGGCCACCAACATCACGAATGAGGCTCAGCGTGCCAACCATTTGATGATCTGGACAGATTGTGATCGAGAAGGAGAGTATATCGGGTTTGAAATTTTGGAACAGGCCAAAAAGAAGAACGGTTTCTTCAATCTGAATAACACATACAGAGCGCAGTTCTCTCATCTGGAGCGATCACACATAGTGAGAGCTGCTAAAAATCCCATCAAACTGAACAAAAATGCTATAGATGCGGTTAGCACGCGAATGGAGGTTGATCTTCGAACGGGTGCCAGTTTCACGAGATTTCTGACCGAAACTTTCAGGGCACGATTCAAAGACACCGTCCCCAAGGTGGTTTCGTATGGGGCCTGTCAATTTCCCACTCTTGGATTTGTTGTTGATCGGTACAAGAGAGTGAAAAGCTTCGTTCCAGAAGAATTTTGGTACCTGTCGATTGAGGCTAAAAAGGGGAATTCCAAAGTGCCTCTCACCTGGAGCAAGCCTTCCTTATTTGACAGGCTTGTTGCTCTTGTGATCTACCAGGAATGTGTCCAGTTTTCAGGAAATCAAGCAACTGTCACCAATGTCAGTTCAAGACCTACCAGCAATTGGGCGCCATTGCCCTTGACCACTGTAGAACTTCAAAAGTGTTGCTCCAACATCTTCAAAATGGGTGCGAAGGAAACCGTCGATTGTGCAGAGAAACTGTACAACATGGGTTTCATTTCATATCCCAGAACAGAGACTGATAAGTTTCCCAAAAACATGGATTTCAAGAGCCTGATAGAGAAGCATGCGCAGTCTTCTACGTGGGGAGAGTATGCAGCAGCATTGGCCAACGAGCCTGGCAAGTTTAGAACTCCGAGGGAAGGTTCTCATGACGATAAAGCCCATCCTCCAATTCATCCGATCTGCTTCACTGATGGAGCATCTTTGAATGCGAAACAGAAACAGGTTTACGAGTTTGTGGTTCGCAGATTTCTGGCATGTTGCTCTAAAGACGCTACTGGAAGTCTTACCACAGTCAAAGTAAGATGGGGAACTGAGGATTTCGCTGCCTCTGGGCTGAACGTGATTGAAACGAACTACTTAGACATCTACACATACAGCAAGTGGGAGTCCTCCAAAAAGTTGCCTGCGTTCGAAATGGGAGAGATCATAAACCTTTCTAAGGCTGAACTAGCGACCGGCCGTACTTCACCTCCCGAGTATCTCACCGAGTCTGAGCTAATTGCTTTAATGGACGCCAACGAGATTGGAACCGATGCCACAATTGCAGAGCATATCGAGAAGATTCTGACGAGAGAGTATGCTGTCAAAGTGCCGAAAGGAACAGGCAGGTCAAAAGTGTTACAAATCGTTCCCACTGAACTGGGCTATGGACTAGTAGAAGGGTTCAACCAGATTGGATTTGACAGGATATCGCTGACCAAACCGTTTTTGAGGAGAGAGTTAGAAGGCAAGCTGAGGAACATTGTTGATGGCCAGAAGAGAAAGCAAGAGGTCCTGGAGGAGATCATTGAGCTCTACCATCAAGCGTTCGTACAAACTAAGCAGAACAAGTCTGTTGTTTTGGACTCATACAGAAAAATAGTTGAGTCAAATAGTTGATGGTGAAGCGCAAGCTATGAAACACCAGAACCCGGTCTCTTGGTGCTAGCTACGACAAACTCACGTTATAATGAAACTAATAATGACAATATGCATTGAACCTTCTCGAATAAACCCACAATATACTAATTAACATATCTCAAAGGGAGGAGGAATAACGGGCACTTCCCCGAGCCAGAAACGATCAGCGTTGAATGCATTCAAGATATTTTCGGGCATGTCCTCCAGCTTGGTCTCTTCTTCAGGAATATCAGCTTGGACGAACTTTTGGGGTTGGCCGAAACCGGAGGAAGCGAATGGGGTATTGTTTGTCTGAGACGCAGCACTGCCGAAAGGAGAAACAATATTGGTGGGCTGTGAAGTGGAAGCCGCCTGTCCAAAAGGGGAGTTGGTGGTGGCAGAATTCGCAAAAGCATTTCCAAAAGCAGGAGCTGAAGACTGACTTTGTCCAAACCCAGAGCTTCCAAAAGCAGGCGCTGCGCCGCTAGAAGCGGATCCGAAGCCAGAGGCCGAGCTTCCAGAAGGAGGGGCTGATCCAGTTGCTGTGTTTCCAAACGGAGATGCTGAGGCTCCAAAAGCGTTTCCGAATGGAGAACTGGCGGATGTTGTGGATGATTGTCCAAATGGTGAGGTTTGAGAGGGCTGCTGACCAAAGGCTGGCTTTCCAAACGCAGGCGCAGCGGTCTGACCGAACGGGGCATTTGATGTAGCCGTCTGTCCAAAGGGTGAACTGGTTGAAGCACTGCTTTGACCAAAAGGTGAACCAGTTGGAGCAGTCGTTTTGCCAAAGGGCGAACTAGCTGAGGGTCCAGCCGTAGTAGTCTGACCAAAGGGTGAATTAGTTGAAGGTGCAGAAGACTGACCAAACGGTGAGCTTGTTGATGCAGTGGCTCCAAAAGGCGACTGGGTGCTAGCAGCTTTTGCAAACGGAGATGTGGTGGGCGCAGCCTGGCCAAACGCAGATTGACCAAACGCAGGGGTAGTAGTGGAATTTGCTGATCCATACCCCCCAAACCCCGACGAAGCTTTCCCAAAAGGCGAACCTGAATTAGAAGAAGCTGTTCCAAAGGGTGTTGTGGCAGAAAACGAGCCGAACGCATTTCCAGTCTGGGAAGACGTGATCTGGTTCTGGGGCCCTGATGCACTGGAACCAAACCCGCTGGATCCAAAGGCAGGGGCAGCGGAATTTCCAAATGGATTGGCCCGCGGCTGTGTGCTGTTCGAGAATGCATTATTAGATCCGAAAGCATTCGATCCAGATGATGGCGAAGAGGCTTTCAAATCCACTCCAAACGGTATGAAAGGATTGGGTGTCTTGTTTTGCATTGTCAGGCAGAGTTGCAGATATCTAGCGGCTTTCTCAGAGTTTTTATCGAGATAATTCAGACACTTCACAAAATCGTTTCGCCTGGCAGAGATCTCCTGTGTATATTGAGGTACTGTGTTGGTTTGGACCGCTTCCAAATATTGCAGCCGTTGCTCCTCGAATGAATAGTCTCTACCGCTTATGAGATTCTGATTGGCGGATTTTAGACTGTAAGATGTGAGGTCCTGGGGAAAAGGAAGATAATCCTTTGCCTCTTTGACGTCAGCCCTAATTTCATCGGCTTTCTCCTGAAGCCTCGAGTCCTTTATGAAGTCTGCCTGGTCTGGGTCGAGATGAAGGAAGTGACAACTCGCTCCCTTAGTACACGTTCCTGATTATAAGTTAGTATATGAGATCCCATACCAGAGAAACCGACAACTCACCTTTTTGGTAAAATTTACAAATGGATGCGGGGGCCATTTGTCGTAAATAATGCTGTGAAGAGAAGACTTCATAAACAAGACAAGACAAGTTTTGCTGAAGTGCTTTCAATGAGTGTCCAGATCGGGTAACCCCCGATGAGCCAAGGGTGATGAGCCAGACAGACGGCCTTTTCTGAAAGTGCTCCTTCATGGTTCTACTACCAAACCAACTAGTAACAAAGCATGATTTGCGTGGAATGCTCGGAGCCAATTGAGGCTTTGTATTATAAATACAAGGGCGACCACATAAAACTCACAGTGTGTGATGTTTGCCACAAGGTGGCAGACAAGTATGTGGAGTATGACAACGTGCTACTATTTATCGACCTGATGTTACTGAAACAACAAGCATATCGTCATTTAATATACAACCATTTGGTCAACCAGACAAATCAATGCACTTTTGTTAACAATCCGGAATCTACTGCCAAAGTTTCGTTTATACGAAAATACGACAAAACTCTGCGGTTGTTGGTGCTGGTGTTGCTGTTTGAGGTGTATCTGACCTGGGCCTATGAGGAGAAGAACTATATAGAGTCACATTCCAGAAGGCCTACGGCCACCACGAGGGTGATACTGGAACACACAAATGTGCTTTCGCAATACGCATTTTTCTTGTGCAAGGCGATTATAGAATTTTTTCTGGTTGACATCACGGTGCAGGTTTTGCTCTACTTTTGGCTGAACTTTGGGAGTGCTGAGACCATCACTTTCAAGAAGATCCAGCCGCACGTTTTGTCCAGCACGTTGAGGAGAGCTTCCGTATCTCCTGAGCTTTCAGATTACAGTGACGATTCATCCTCCGTGTCTGTAGTCACCACGGTGCAACAATTTCATTATTCGAGATCGTTTTTCGTGGTGATCATCTCCACGACGATCCTGGTGTCGAATCTGATAAAGCTGTTTCCCATAGTGATGTTGATCTGGCCTTACGATATCTCAATTTTGAACCTCACAAAGACGCTCGTTCAGTTCATTCACACCATAATCCTCATAGAAACGATCCATATCGTCCTGCTCAACAACCCCAAGAACGACTACTGGCGAGTCACAATCTGCGTGCTCTGCGGCAATATCATCAAGACCTCGATCAGCCAGCTGATCTTGGTTTCCATCGTGAGCAAAATGTTCGGACTGCCATGGCTTGAGTTGGCAAAGGATGAGTACCTTGCAATACAGCAGAAAGCACTGGTATTTGAGGAACTACTGAAGTAGCTTTCTCTTCGAACTCTTTATATAATGTCCCAACTAATGATACACAAAACCCTTTTGAACACTCAGCAAAAAATAAAATAAAATACAACAACCCTCAGTACTCATTGAAGGTGTACCGCTTTCTTACCGTGCCGTCACTGGTGACCATGATGATCTGGTCGCCGTCTAATGCCACCCAAGGCCCGTCCAACGCACCAACCAAGTAAGGATATTGATAATTCTGATTAAACTCCCTTCTCTCATCAATTGTACGGGACTTTGTTGGAGTCAGCAAACTGTGTGGGTTTGGCCTTGATGTTGTATCAACAGCATCGTCCTTGATAGCCCTAAGGGCAATGAAGAAACTCAACGGCAGATAATTCCTCTGAAAGTTCCACAAAAAGGCAACTGTCAACAAAGGCAACGGAGCAAGACATGTTGCGAGAATGTAATCGTTGGTGAAGGTCAAGGAACCAGCCATCGTCAACTGAAAAATGAGCAAACCCATCACCACTCTTCTGAAAATTATAGGCCAGACTTTTCCAGTCGAATGCTGTGGGTGCACACATGAGTATATCAACTGGTACTTGTAGACATAGAATCCGATTATGAAATAGAGCAAACCGGAGGCTAAGATCTTGGTAGACATCACACTGTAGATGATGGTAATCACGAGGATCAACAATGGTCTCGGTAATTGGAGACCAAAGTTGAAGAGAGGAGGCTTGTATAGTTCCTTGAACTGCCTTGGGGTTCTGCAACTAGCTCTGAAGTAGGGAAACTGCACCAGTTGTCCTAGCAACAACAGCTTGTATGGCATCATACCCAGACCTTGAAGCAAAATGGTATCAACATAGAACCCAGCAAGTCCTCTTAACGAAGCAGCCAATTGAAGAGCAAGCTTCTTTGTATCACTCAAATAACCCCAGTAGTTCGAAGCCGTTCCTGCCATCGTGAAAACTAGAAATAAATTCACAAAAACGTAGAAGAAGTTCTTGGAGACAATCGAGAGCTCTTCCTCGCCATAAGACACAAACCCTTGCTTCGACGACAGCCACACATAGAGATATGGAATGACAAAGTTCAAGAAAGTGAACAAGTACACAGGAAGCATTTCAGTAACAAACGTTTGGGCCCAGACGTTTCTCTCTAAAAAATCTCCCAAATCTGGCCAGAACTTCGAGATAGTCTTCAAGTTAAGCAGCGTTGCTAATGAAGAAACGGGGATGATGAACGCAACACACAAAAGACCCGTAAGAACGGTGATATAGTAAACTTTCAATATTCTGTCTTTTCTTGGAAGGCAGACGTTTTCCCAGATTACATCGTGCGGCGCCGGCGCAAGACGGGTTATCAAGAAGTGGACATGAGGGTCCAAAACGGCTTGTGCTACCATTTGAGCAGTAGCAACGGAGTCCATGGTCACGAAAGCTGTTGGAGTGGCAGGATAATGACTCTTCCTGGCAGAGACAATCTCGTCATCCAAAACAGCAAGCTGCTGGGAGTAGAAGTCGATAGCATCAACTGTTTTCCCGAAATAACCAAAGAAGCCAGTCTTGATAACGGGCCGCTTTCTATGAGATGTACTGCTGAAGCTGATGATGGACTCAGACAGCTGCGTATTATCTGGTGACGAGGAGTTTGATCTTTCACCGAGACTCTCGCTGAGGCTTTCCTCTTCAGAAGTGGTCTCATCTCTGTATCTGTTCTCTTCGTCTGATGGCGGTAGTCCATTTCTAAGAGCCAACGAGCTGGAAACAAACGGCCGAATATTCAAAGAATCAATCTGAGTTCTTCCCAGATACTCAGCCCAATAATACTCGAGATGCTCAATAACAATTTCACGTTGTCTGAACAGATGATTCAGCTTTTGCCATTCCCTGCAGATTACGATCGAGGACACTTTGCCGATGTTAAAGGACTCAATATGGTCCTTTAGCACAGTTTCGTCTCTCAGCTCCGGAGGAATCCCACTGAGTCTGATGGTCCTATCTGTGACTGAGTTCTGTTGACCGAGGTATTTCTGCCTCATTGATACCACCCGTTTGGTCTGGTCAAGAAGATAATACTGTGTCAAAAATGTGAATAAGTATGTGAAAACCACGTATATCCACATAAAAGCCTTGTAATCCGTTTGGGACTCTCCAGAACCGTCTTCCATAATTCCTGTTCCATCTCCAGAATCCCCATCATCATCACCTCCTTGATCATAGTTGCCTGTGAAATGGTACCTCACTGGAGATAGAACCGTAACGGCAAACAACAAACATACAGACAGCAGCTTAATACTCATCCTGAAAAATCCCAGGAAGACATAGGCATCCAAACCCGCGTATTCCAGAACCTCGTGTTCCGAAATGCGGTAAACGACGGGAATCCAACCGAAGAGCGACTTGACAGGTAGTAAGGGAGGCATGAACTTTTTGTTGGAGTTATTCAGGTAGTTCAATCTTGCCATAAAAATGTTTGGAAAGTTGCATCTCAACACACAGAACGAAATAAACGCAAACAGACCCAAAACAGCACATATTATGGCCTGTGTTGCAACAAAGCGTGTTGGTGGAGCATCCCTCAAGTTCTTGTTCACACTCCACAAAGGGTCAGTCTCGGGCAACTCAAACATTGAGAGAATAGAGAATATAACCAAGCACCACCCTGGTTAGATCAGCCTAATCAACCAACTTCTCGGACTGTCACAAGAGCAACACCACTGTAACCCGTAACCGTCTACTCTACAATCCAACAAACACACATCACCAAACACCCTATCTGCCGATTGCGCGTGCCTCGCATGATTGTTGGGGGTCGTGTACCCAACCTACCGAAATATGCCCGAATAGAAAATTCCTGCTCATCTGCCATTTATCCGTCCTGTCCACCCCATGAAGCTGTTCATCAGGCACAGAAGTCTGGAGTGATTTGGACGCCGTTGTACCGGAAATTCCCATAAACAGGCCTTATATCGCTATCAAGCCATATCCAACTCGACTTTTTGATCATTTGCACTCCGCGCGTCCTGGGGCGTTTTGCACGACACGACTCAAACGACACCCCTACTCTCACTGTTCTATTGAACCGAGCCGAGCTTCTACGCGGTTTTCTCGTTGTTGTTGCTTCGGTTGTTACGAGCTGTCTTTTTTGGCCTCATCATAGGGAGTTTTAGTGTGCTGTTACGATGACGAAGCCCATAGTGGTGGAACAGATTCGGGTGCTCAAGATCCAGGTGGACGAGATACTCTCCACCAAATTCATAGATGATCAGACGCTGATGCGGACCATCAACCTAGCCCAGGAAATGTTTTCCAGCTTGGTGTTACTGGAGACCAATGTCATTCTCGACAACCCGCAAATGCAGTCGCAAGAGTCGCTTGAAAAGACGACCCTGATAGCTCATCTCCTGAACCAGGTCTGGAAGGACTTCCACCACCCGGTTCTGAAACATTTTCAAGCTCAGTTTTCTCACTTTGCCAAGAGCAAAAAGATGCCTGCTAATGCGCCTAAGGGTGGACGGAAACAACGTCTGGTGAATCCAGTCGGGGCCAGAAAGTTGTTTGACAAATTTGTCAAGGTGATAAATTCAGCCCATCTGTTCTACTTCACCTTGGTGAAAGAGCTTCTGTCCTCGTGCTATCTGTCCTCCAAAATACCAACGAGGAAGATCTGCCAAACTTTGAAGATGACACTGGAGAATGTCAGCACTAGGATGGTGCCTTTGGAGTGCATAGTTCCCATTGCTACAGCCGTGCACCGGTGCACTCTGTACATAGGCGATCTCTCCAGATACAGGGCATTAATTGCAAAGAAGTATCTACCATCAGATGCCATCTCTAAGGAGGATAATAATAACTACAGCAAGTCTATAGAGCTGTACAAGTTGGCGCTGCTGATTCTACCCTCCAACGGTGATCCATTCAACCATATTGCTCTGGTCGATAATTTGAAGGACGATAAGTTCAACGTGGTTTACAACTTCATGAGATCATCTTCCACGAGATATTTTTGCGAGGCGGGTATTTCAAATCTGTTCAGCATGTTGCTGAAGTTCACCAACTCCCATCCGATCCTGGATGACTTCAGCCAGCTCTACAACGAACAACGCTCCACCCTAACCAAGAGTGATAAGTTCAATCTGATCAAGATGGAGTTTATCTGTCTTGTTAATTACCATCTTTTCCCAAAGAAATGGGGAGAAGGTGAAGGAATCACGAGAGGTGGATACGAGGTGGAGGCTATCGAGAACGAGTTTTACGGCTACCTGAAAGAGTTGGATTACCATAAGCAGATTAACAACGATTTCATCTTCAAGCAACTGGTGATCCTGATAGGTGGCTACGGGTTGCTGACAGATGTTCAGAACGAAAATTTCACGTCCTCCAAAGAGCAATACCTGGGCTTCGTCTTCAGGGAGATCTCAACGATTCTGTTCATAACTCTCAAAGGCTGGGATAAGTCTGATCTGAATCTGAGCATCATTTTGCTACCAATACTGCGACTGATCCTATGTTGGTTTGTCGCCAATCCTGAGGTGTTTGCGTATGCGATGAAGTGTGAGCTAATCATGACGCGGTTTGCGGCTGTCTTTAATCTGGGTGCTGAATATTTCGAAGTGCAAGGCTTCGACAAGTTTGACTTGACGTTCAGTGGAAGACTGAAACTTCCGGAAGATCCGATATCTCGCTTTTTGGACACTCCTCCACAGAGACTGAGACTTTTCAAAGAAGATGTCTTGCTCAGAGAGTTCAGACCCATAGGCTACCACATGCAAGACTTTGACGACAGAAGGTATATTTTTTCTGCTGATAACGAGGAGACTTGCTTGGCTCAAATCGGAGAGTTTTTTGACAAAGAACAGAAAGCTTTCAAAGCCGAGGAGTCGTATCTTCGTCTGGTTGCTATCGTCACCACATGGAGAAGACTCACTCAACAGAATGACGTTGGTATTTCATCTGGTACGCTTTCTCATCGCTTCAACATTTCGCAAGAACTGGTGGAAAAGCACCTGGCCGGTCTTGTGTCCTGCGAGGAAGATCAAAGTGATGCTGCCAAATACAGCCACATGGTTTCCACTATTGTGGATGACGAAGATGATGAAGGAATGAGCGAGTCCTCTGGCACGAGCAGTGCAACTCCAATCTTATCTGACGGAAAACCGTCCTCTTTCAAAACGGTTTGGTCTGAGAGGTCAGCTCCTACCATTTTTGGTCCATCTACTCCGTTGGTTTTTGGAAGTTCAGAATTCCCAGTATCCACCCAGAGTTATCAGCTTGAGTACAATCAAAATGGCATTCAGCATAGCGAAAACGTACAGCCTCATTCATTTGGCAACGGACAATTCAATAAGTTTGGCTCGAATGGCTCTGTCAGCAGTTGGCCAAGCTCAACCACGAAGTCCGAAATACCTGCGAATTCAAATAACTCTTTCAGCCGTTCGGTGATGTCACAATACGGAGACAAGTTTGAATCTCCTTTTTTTAAAACGGATTTTTGCAAACAGGAAAGCCACTCTAATGCCCATGGAGGGTTCAGCTTTGGAAACTAATAGAGAGAAGACGACAACTACAGATTTTTTTACGTGGCGTTTATAGACAGTTGACCATATTGGTTTCTCTTTTAGATATATATAATAGACTTGAATTTTATAGAAATTTTCAAACATTTTTTGGGTATGTTTTTTGGTATTTTTTGATGCCCGGGGTTGGCCATATTGGCATTTTTGTGACATTTTTTGGCGATATTCTGAGTTCTTTTTGGCATTATATGTATAAAAACTGTATTCCTCGAACCTTCAGAACCCTCTTATTGACATATTTAATATGCTTATAATTTTTCAAAATTTTCAAGACCTGTATTGGCAAGTATCATAATACATTTTTCTTGTAGCGGGCATTATACAATACATTTCCAACGATACTACCGCTCTAGCTTAAAGACCCGGCTCATAAGCAGAGTCATCATCATCATCGTCAACACCATCTTTTGGATAAACATCCAAGGTTGGACTGTAATTGTCGTCATCGTCATCATCGTCGTACGCTTGAACCAGGCTTGGTGCTGCCGCACTGTCAATCTGCAATGAAGTGTTTCCCTCATCATCAAAGAGGAAGGAAACCATTGGACGAGTGAATTTAGGCACCAAGTCCGAATCCTGAGATAAGCTGGATTCCAAAGGCGAGTATGGATCGGGATCCACGTTGGGACCAGTTATACGAGCCTGCTCGAATTCCTCCTCCATGGAGTTCAAAATGGTGCCCGAGCGCTTCTTTCCTTTTGGAAGCGCGTCTTGGGACACAGTGCTAGTCAACCAAGGAATACTGTCAAAAACAATCACTTCTGGGTCCTTCCAATCGAGGTCTAACATAGCTTCTCTCAGAGCAGAGGCCTCGTCTCTTCGGGTCTCATTGAGGTCTTCATGGGGACGATAGGTTTCCGAATCGCTGTAGAAACGACGGGCCTGAACCAGTTCAGCATCATTGAACTTGACCGATTTTTTAGGACCCACATGTCCCGTAATTTTGAGAATGCTGATGAGACCATTTTCGTTCTTTTTCTTTTCGATAATTGGAATCTTTGGATCTTCGGACACAGTAGGAGTAACTGGCTTTTGAGCCTCAGCAACTGGTGCTTGCTTCTTCTTGATGCTTTTGGTATATTCAGAGAGACTCCATTGTTTAGCTGGAGCTGCTGCAGAAGCTGGCTTGGTGGTTTGAGCAGTCGTAGTTTTGGCGCTATCCACGGTATTGTTCGTCACAGGCGCGCTCGTCTTTTTCGCAGTTGTGGCAACGTGTATGGAAGATTTGGCAACTTTTGGTTTTTGAATAGCTGGTGCTGGTGCTGAAGCAGCAGGGACAGCAAGCTTTGAGGGTTTAGCCTTTTCGGCAGTAACTAGTTGTGTGGGAGGTGGTGTGGTCGAGACCGCTGGAAGCTTTTCAACCTTTTCAACTGGCTTGGTCTTAAACACAGCCGGAGTAGCACGCTTGACAGGTTTCACACCGGAGGATACCACAACAGGCGACACCGACCTTCCAGAATTATTGGGCTTTTCAGCATTCGTCAAATCTGCTCTGAAAGAAGCCTCGGAGTCTTCTCCATACTGAAGAATAGACCCGACTAAACTCTTGAAGGACTCATTGGTGGATTTCTTCTGAACGAGGAGCAGCACCTTCATGAATTGATACTGCTCAAGCAAGGTCGTTGGCATTCTGATCACCAAAAGGCAGGACAACAGTGCTCTGATCGACATTTCAGAGGAAGCCTTCACAGCAGTTCTCAACCATTTGCAGATTCTGAAGAAGAACTTCGTCTTGAAGCCGTATCTCCAGTCAATGTTAGCTTCGGTTCTCACATTCAAAATCGCAAGCAGAACCACGAACCTGAAATCCGTGGGCTTATCATAGGTGGACTCTTCGAAGTAGGCGCAAACGATTAACCATAGCTCAAACACCCTGATGAACTGGTCTTTATACTGGACACTTATCTTCTTGATAAGGGCCTTGACATCTCTAGTTTTAATCTCATCAGTACGCCCGGGCGCAAAGATCTCTGCCATAGTCCTAGTCACGCTCTCTTCGTCCGAGACGTCGAGCTGGATGCTTGTCGAAGCTGGCGAGGCTGCTCTTTTTTCCACCGTTCCCTCGTTCGTTTTGAAGTGTTTAGGTGAAGCTTCGTCTAACCGTTCTGCCGAATGCTTCAAAGGACGAGGCTCGTCTATCATTGCAGGAGACTGCGACGGAGCTAGTGCACTCCACTGACCATTCTCCTGATGCTGTTCATGCGGTATCGGTGTTTGAGAGATGTTCGTGTTCGAACCTGGAAAGTATTGCATTTCATCTCCCACGTGGAAAAGCGTTCCCTCCATAGGGGCCTGGGTTTGAGGAGCCAGGTATTGCTGTTCATGGCCGTAGTAGCCATCCGAGTTGTAAGCCTGGGTATTTTCTGTATTCTGCTGGGGCCTCTCGTAATTGGTCTGTTCGAACAAATTCAACCCCTGCGGCTGGTTCCACTGAGGGTATTGTGCTATCTGGTCTTTGTTTTCCGCGTGAAGTTGCCAGCTCTGGCTGTTGAAGTTCTCCATTGCATGCACAAGCTTGGGTAGGTGAGTGGGTTTGTAGGATGACTATAGATATGAGAGCTACTTTATTACAAGGGATGGCTCAGGATCGAGCAAAGCAGTCAAAAAACAAAACACGTGTGAACGAACAAATTGGCAACAACGTTTGACAATGGAACTCGGTTATATTAGCTGTTCTCCACTTTTCACTCTGGACTGCTATCTTAGTGCAGTCGCTACTTGATCCAACGGGCAAGTGATGCGAACACGCTAAATCGGGCTTCTGTCAGCTTGCCTGAGTTCAAAAACAACGCTGATGGATGAATGGATGGATGGATCGGACTTCTAAAGCTGATGGCGTTACTAACATAACCAAAGGGGCTCGAAAAAAAGTTTCGGCAGAGAGCTGCGGGCCGGGCTCGAAAACTGGGAACAGCACACGACCTTCTGATGGGTCGGATTGGGGAGTACACGCCGGAACGATGCCCTTGTTATTGTTTACACCTCTAAAACGTGAAGCATTTTTCAGTCTTCCAAAGAATGAGAACTCGCCGAATATGGATGACTTTGAATATCTGAAACCTGGTATGTTTTGCCAAAATTGTGAATTTGTACGCTTTTTTTATACTAATATCTTTCCCAGGGTTTGACCCCAAATCTCTCAAGGTTGCTCAGTTGCGGAGTGTCCTGCTGGAACATAATGTTGAATACCTGTCTTCTGCCAAGAAGGCTGATCTTGTTAAGCTTTTTAAGCAGCATATTGAGCCCAAAGCAGACCAATATTTGGCCAAACTGACTTCGGTTAATCCCAACGGACGTGGAATCGTTGATGCCAAGAAGCCTGGTGCCACCACCAAGAAGGAGGAGCCGGATGAAGACAAACCTTCTAGAGTGTCCAGACGCAAACGCCGGGAGACGGTTGAACCTGAGACTGAGCCTGTGGAACGCAAACCGAGGGAAAGAGCCTCGAAAACCCCGAAGACAGATGAAAACGAGCAAGAGGACGAGAACGAGAAAGAACCTGCTGAGAAGTCCTTTACCCAAAACAACGTGTTTCAGGCCTCTCCTTTAGTTTCACCTAAGAAGAAGCGTGTTTCTAGCCGGACAAAAGCTTCCGGAGAGAAGAAGGACCAGGAAGAAATCAAGAACGGTTCTGAGGAAACCGGAAATGATGGGGAGAGGTCGTTCTCCAGCACGAATGTGTTCCAATCAGCACCTGTTTCTGTGCTCCCAAAGAAGAGACCTTCTCCTGTCAAGATTCAAGAGCCTGAGGTAGCCAAGAGAACCACAAAGAGGAAACCCAGAGTCTCATCGATCACTGAGTCTAAACCACTACCCAAAAGCTCTCTGGATCTGGAAAAGTTTGAGAACGAGGATGATGCCGAATTGCTTGCAAAGAGCTACAATCAAATGAGGAAGCTGAATTCCAAAAAGAGTGAAGATGGTAGCATTGGTAGCTCCACGATGAAGCTTAAAGGTATTACCAAGCCAGAGAAGCCAGTGTCGCGAACTAGCAGGACCAAACAGAGAATACAGTCACTGTCGCCGCTAGCTCAATCATCTCCCAAGGACGTGAAGCCAAATATCCGTTCAGAAAAGACGGAAACATACGTGAAAAGCTCGAACACGTCTATTCCAAAATCTTTCCTAAATTCCCTGAATGTATCACAGGAGTTTGCGGAGAAGTTGGGTGTGTCCCTGGACGGGAGCCCTCATTCCAAAATCATCAGTCCTCCTTCACCATCCATGGTGAATAAGAAAATAACAGAGAAGGCTTCCAAGGTGAAATCTCCAGTTTTCGCCAGAGAAAGTCCTCAAGTTCAGAGAATCACTACCCCTTCTCTTTCAGACGATGAAGAATCGCTGGCCAGGTTGCAGAAGGAGATGACCGAAGCAGATGAACTGATCCAGAAGGAAACCAACGATACTTTAGTCGCCCTGGAAAATTCTACGGAGTTTTCATTTGTCACCTTCATGAAGTTCATCAGTTTGTGGATATTGTCGGTCCTGTTTTTTATAGGAGTTTGGTGGTACAGAGATCAGGTCATCCAAGTTGGATACTGTGGAGTCGAAGTGTATGCGCCTACACTGGCATATGGTGGTGATACAGATCCGAGATTTGCGTACTACGCTGATCTGGTTGAGGATAAGCTCCACAGTCTAAGACCTCCATGTGACGTATGTCCGGCGCATGGAATTTGCTATCGTATGTCTAAGCTCAGATGCGAAGAGGACTACATGTTAGTTAGACCTTGGTATTCCTTTGGAGGAGTTGTACCCAAGACAGAATACTGTGCTCTTGACACACGAAAAGCTGATAAAATCAAAAAAATGACTCAATATTGTTTGGATCTGTTGAGGAGACGCAATGCAGACATCAACTGCGGTGAAGGATCTGATGCCCAGGTTGGCCTGACGATCGAGGAACTCCATGATTTGCTATATGCCATGAAATCCGTAAGTTGAATGTTTTTTTCTTCCTGAAAGTCTGCATCACTAACATGTTTAGGAAACAATTGACGACGAAGAGTTCGAGACATATTGGGCAAGAACACTCCAAGACCTTGAGGGCGAAGACGACATCATAGTAAGCTTATTTCTCTTTTCAAATCCCTCCGTGAACCCCAGGTTGCTTACTAACTCAGATATCCAGTTTCGGAAGCCATCAGGTCTCGATCAAAAACTTGGCTCTAACAACGTCGGTGGTAAGGCACCGAACAAAGGCACCGTTATTCGATCAACGTCCACCTCCAAGCTCAACTTTCGGTGCAGACTGGAGAGGGCTTTCTTTAGGACACTTCTCAAGTATAAGTTTAGGATACTAGGTCTGGTGTCATTGTTGGGCATCCTTCAATACCTCGTCATACAATACAAGCGGACTGCCGCTACTAACGCGAGAGTGGAGATGCTTACCCAAAACGTTTTGAGTATTCTTCACAAGCAGGCCCGGTTTGCGCGCGAAGACCCCAAGGGGACTGCAAGACCTTATATGGGAAGTGTCCAACTGCGCGATTACCTACTTAATTCGGAAGATTCGCATTCTAAAAATAAGTTGTGGAGTGGTGTTTCCAAGAAGATTGACCTCAATACCAACATCAAAGGAACTACGCTAGAGGAACACGGAGAGATCATGAAGGTTTGGGAATGGGTAACCGATATCGGTTTCACCGATTGATAAAATATGTAACGATTATATACTGATGAAATGTAATTAATTAATTTAATTAATACCATCAACTCTGCCCAACTCTGAAGCTGAATGCAGACCTGCATAATGGACATGTACTGCTGCCTGAGCTCTTGAACCACTTGTACAGACACCCGGAATGAAATTTGTTATTACAAGTGGTACAGCTTTTCGTGGGCAAAGAGTGATCGATATGCAAAATGGAGTAGCAAATAGCACATTCTTCGAACCCCGAGAAGTGAAGCGAGACGTTCTTGTTGAACAGTTCAATGGCCTCCACAATGGAGCCATTCTGCACTGATATAACGTATTGTGAGGCCAAAAGCCATGCCTTCCACTGTGTTTCTTTAACTCCAATTCTCAAAGGCCCTGTCACGGACACATTTGCAAGAGGGTATGATGCGGGAATAGCAATCACCACCTCCATCAGCTGTTCGTCAATGTGATGAAAACACTTTACTTCTTTCGTAACTCTGTTAATTCTGATGGAGAAATTTTCAATCTCCTTCAAACGGTCAACTTGACCTTCAACAGATGCCAATTGTTCTTCGATTAACTTGGGAGAAACGTGCGTCGTGGTGAACTTCTCAATTTCAGACTTCATGTTACGATCACGAAGATCGTTGAACCAAGACTGTGCAAAAGAGCCCGTGAATTTGAGAGCCATGTAATAAGCAACAAAGGCCAACGAGTAAAGTCTTTCTTCACCTTCCAAATCCGTTATTTCGTTGAAACTCGAGAGCTCGCCCAAAGACGAGACATCCAGGGCACTTCCCCCATTTGTCTGAAGCCAATAAAACACGGTTCCAAAGAACCTTGCCAAAGCATCATTCTCAGTAAGCTGCTTGGTGTATTCTTGGCGAATTCCAGCACTTACATTGGAGAAATGAGTGAAAATGAGACACCAACTCCATAAATACGTGCTAGCACGTTTGAGTTCTTCGGTCTCATCCATATCGGCATCCCAGATGGCACCAACATTTTTCAGCAGTTCTTCAGGAAGTTTCAAAGTTTCAACAACTTCTGAACCTTCACTAAGGCTTGTCCTGGATAATTCGTATTCCACAACCAAGGCATCCTGACGAGAAAGAAACAGCTTACTCAGACTCTTAGCTGCAACTGATTGCAGCTCAAGAGACTCCGAGTTCAAGAGAGTATAAAGAGTCTCCTCCTCCAGCAAACCAGTCAAGACCCCGGAGTCAATTATCCTAGCAATTAGATCTTCAACGCTGAAGTAAGACTGATCTTTTGTCTGCTTTTCCGCGGTAAATTGTTTCACAATCTCCAGAATTTCTTCGCAGAAAGATGGAACCTGCTCCTCCCAATATGGATTGACAGGTGCTAACCTGTCCAATGCCAGATACAACTTCAACGAGTAGTAGGTGACGGTCTTATTATAAAGACCGTCACCAACTGCTGCGATTCCCAAAGAGTCCAACCCCAATCTCATGGCAAACTCAAGAAACTTGGGCAGACTCTCCTGCGAGCTGGCCAAAGAACTAGCCCTGTTCAGATAAACGCAGCAAAAATTGAGAAGTTGCAGTCTCAGAGTCAAAAATTCAGGCTCATAAGCCAGATCAGAGTCTAACCAATTATTGAGGTTATTCAATACCATCACCCATCTGTTCAAAGGTGCAACAGTGAAGCTGGGAGAGACCTCCGACACAAAATCAAACGAGATGAAGTCGATTAGGAGAGTAAGGTTAGTAAGTCCTTTGACCAAAATTTCGTTACCTCTCAAACCAATCAGCTCGGATGCAACTTGATTTCTGGCTCTTTCGAGTTTCGCAGAAGTCAAAAACTTGGGACTAGAGCTCACAAATGCGCTTATGACCAGAGGCATTTTCAACAACTTGGCCCAATTAAAATCAAGAGACTCAAAACTGATGACCGAAGTATTCTCAACAAGTTTTCCAAGTGCTCTTTTCAAAACTCTGGCAAAGCCAAGTCTGGCGTTGAAGGTGTATTTCTCCGAGTTCACCAGATCAAACAGCTCCGAAAAAATGCTACCGTCTTCACCAACAGCAGCTCCTTGAAGAATGTCCACAATATTCTGGTTCAAAGCATTATTGGAAATTGAATCCTGAATGATCTTGTCAGCCTTCAATTGCAAAGCGGTTGCTTCAGGCTGTAATTCTTGGGACTTTGATTCTGTTTCCATAAATACGAGATCGGCTACAGCCTCAGCAGCCACACCAATAAGAATCTTGACCTGGTTCGAAAGGTCGATACCAACCAGGTCAGATACCAGCTTCATTTTTGCGCAAAATTGAAACGCCAATTTTGGGTCTCCCAAATGGATTTCTCCCTGGTGAGGAAGCAATATATTTGCTTCAAACGAGTTCGATATGAAGAGTCTCAAGTCTGGACTTGAACCAAGGGCAGAGCCTAGAGATTGTGCATCAGTTCCAACCAAGATATTCTCAAGAAGAGCAGGTTGTCTTTCCAAAAGAGCTGAGAGTCTAGTAGCAATCTCCGGGCTATCAACAAAAGTGTTTCTGTCGGATGTAAGATAAACAAGCAGTCCTTGGAAGTAGGCCTTTACCACATTCGAGTCTTCTGATTTCTGTTCCACCAGATCCAATATTTTCTGTGAATTGGTATTATCCAACGAAGACCAGATATAAGAAAACATTTCTGAATTAGAAGCCAAAAATTCCTCGACAGCAGGTTGGAAATTCAAAGCACATTCTTGGGCAAATTCTGGTAGCTTGCCCAGATGCTTGGCCTTAACATAAAGATTGTATATAATCTCTCTTGTCGCCAATTTGAATCCCAAAGAGCTTCCCTCAGCAGTAACATCAGCAGACTGTTCCTCAATATAATTATTCAAGTCTTCACACTGTGTTATGTCAAAGCCTTTGAAGCCAGCCAAATTGTCCATGAGCAACTGCAGATTGTTCTGGGAGTTTTCAATCATAGTTGCCTTGATATAGCAATCGTTAATTGATCTGTACAAGGTCTCCTTCTTCAAAAGCTTGCTCTGGCTATAGTGAATCAATAACTTCAAAGGAAGAGCGACAAAGCTATCTTCAAGGAACATTGGTAACTCCTCGATGAACGATGTCAGTGTTTCGCCCTGTTCGAAGCCAACTGTAATGCTTTTGTCGATAACATGCAAAGCAAACACTGGACTGCCTGTTTCTTCAGACTGAGAACCCACAGACTCGAAAGCAGCCTCAAATAGACTAAAGACTAACTTATCGTTGGAGCTCTTGAAAAGTTGATAGACGTTATCCACCAAAATCGAATAGTCCGTATACGAGACCCCACTGGAAAATTGAACAGGTCCACATGGCAAAGAGGTAGTAATCGACTTGTGCAATGCCTGTATGAACCTCTGGAAACAATCTTTTTTGGCCAAAATGTTCAAAACTGGAAGCGGCAATTTAGTGCCTAGCTTCGATTCTACCGTTTTGCTGAAGTTTTGAGATACCAAAGTACTTTCGTCCTCTGGGAGGGTCTGCAAGGAAAAAGCAACAGTTTCCAAGTATAAATTCCATGCTCCTTCGGCAAATTGAACTTGTCTCTCTTTATCAACGTTTTGGCCAAAGGCAGAGATCAGCTTGTTCACATCATCGGCACTTGAAAAGTTAACGATAGACTCGGGCAAGGTGCGTGATTTGAGCAGCGATAGCACTAGCCTAAAGTAGGAACTGTGAGAATTGCAAGAACCAAGAGAGATCAGGTCGAAAAGTCTCGTCTTTGAATTCTTCTGGTCCCAGACTTTAGCGTTGAATGCGGTTAGTGTGATCAAACACTCCAACATTGGAACAATAACTGGAGAATAAACAATAGGCTGAGGCACTGACTTGAGTTTGAGGCCTTTGATCACATGCTTGCATAAGACTTTGTAAATATCCGGGGTCACTAACGTGGGCTGTTTCGTGACAAGCAGACTGCCAAAGACATAAGTAGCCTTTTTCAACTGTAGGTCTTTCGATTCAGCGCAATTCCATAATGATTCTAATAGCAAAATATCACCAAGTTTTTCTGCCAGTTCTTCAGACATACTGCTATCCTGTTTTGTAACAAAGGTGCTCAAAATAGAGATCGAACTGAATAGCACTCGCTGGTACTTTGCTTCCGCTTCGTCCTTTCCAATAAATCTCTCGTCAGAAAGTGTTTCCCTGCTTTCAAACTTGAATACCTGAAAACAAAATTCCAGAATCTGGACTGGAAATATTTTCCAAAGCGCATCTGTCTTGCCTTGGTTTCTTCCAAAAGCTTCTTGGATTGATATAGCGCACTCTTTGGCAGCTAACCTATCAGACTCGAAACTACCTGCTAGCCACACACCAATTGTATCTTTCAGAAACTTGGCATATTTCTTTCCCAACACCTTAACAAATCTGGACTGTACCTGGTGAGAAAGTATCCTCACCCTTTTGGAGATATCCAAAGAGAGCTTGGGATACAGCTGGACCCAGGTTAGTACCACCAGATCATCGTCTATCTCCGTTGAATCCTCGTCTATTATTTGCAAAAGTTCTGACAAACTTTTCTCTTTTGTGGTCTCATCCCTTTTCAATAGTGCCTTGAATGCCAATTTCACTTTTGGGGAGCAAGTCAGGATATTGGGATCGGGAACCCCACTGATGTAATTCAAAGAGACTTCGAAACCATTCGTTCCCAGTGTTGTACTACTACTCCCAAATCTGAAAAAAATGTTAGTAAATGCCTTAAATTGGAGAATATTACCAATTTACTCACACATTCATTGTATATAGACGGGCTATTGGCGATTTTTCAGCTGGTGAAAATTTAAGGTGCGGTGAATTGCCTCTCAGAAGAGCTCGAAGACATCACTCGACCGTGGGCCCAAATAGGCAAGGATCAGGTATTCTTGCAAATCGTGAAAAACCAGACAGAATTGTGGAATTTATAGATGTAAAGAAGACTGCAGTTGAGATATTGATAATTTGAAATATGCCTTGTGTTTTTTTTTACGAAATTTGGGTTTGAATCTCACGCTATTGCCAAGATTGCCGTATAATGCTTGATTAGGCCTAGCAAAGGGTCTGTCGCTGTCTCTGTCGCTGTCTCTGTCCTTGGTCCTTCTCACATCATCCTACCAATTCCAGTATAACCAATCCAAGTTTTTATTCTCCTTCTTTACTTACATATGTATCAACGGCTTGACTATCACAAACTCCTCTCAATAGTCGTCATCTTCATCGGCATCTGGAACGTCCTTCTCCACAAACTCCTCGTCCAGCTTGGTCTGAGCCTCTGCATCTTCAGCAACGGCCTCACAAGCATCCACCCAGTCGCTATATATATCAACCGGCTGGGACAGGGAATTTATTGGGGTTTGGAAATTTTGACCGCATATCTTGCAATGCAGCAGACCGACTCCGGCCTTCTTCTCCATCGTACATATCACTGACTTTTCATGGTTGCAAAACAAACAACTGAACTGGGTGTCCAGTCTTTGTTTCACCTTTTTCACTGGTCCTCTGGATGACTTCTTCCGTTTTCCCTATAAGGCTAGGTTAGATATCTCTTTGATGTATCCACAGGGTATACCCAGGGTGATAGGGCGTGATGCAGACTTACCATTGCGGCTTATTTCAGGAAATCCAATTCAAAGATACTGTTTGAGATCCGGAAAGTAGAGAAAATCAATAGATTTCTTCAATTTGTCGCAATTTGGTGATTCAAAAAGACACGTTAGAAGCTCAGTCAATAACCCAATCAATCTCGAAGTCTCAGCGCTGCAAGTCAGGATGGCAGATTACGGGTACGCGATGCCCTCTGAAGTTTTTTTTTTTTCTCTATTCAAAAAAAGATACCACAGCCATCTGTTGCAGTTTTTCTCTGATATCTCAGTACGCTAATATTAAACCAAAAAATGGCTAAGAAGGAAAAGAAGCAAGCCATAAATCCAAAGAAGGCAGTCAAGCCTAGACCAGCAAAAAAGGGAAAGGTTGTGAAGGGTGTGTTTGCAGAAGCAGAGCCCAAGACGGAAGTTACTAAGATAGCTGACAAGACAACAGTTGCCGGCCAGGAACCTCTCATTGCACTGAAGAAAGTCGTTGTCGAGAAGGCAATTTCGGAACTCGAGAAGTTTTCCGAAAAGAGCAAACAAGACTCCGAAAAGAAGAGCCAATTATTTGAAGACGATGGAGAAGCTCTCTTCTTGCAGGTGACCAACCTGAAGTTTTTCGCAGACAAAGTTTCGCTCAAACCAAAGTCGATAACTGTTCCACACCCATTGCATAACTTGGAGGATTTCAAGGTGTGTCTTTTTGTGAAGGATGATCTTATCGACTCCGAAACCTTGGAGCAGATCGAGGCCGCAAACATAAGCCATCTTGACAAGATCATTTCTGCCAAAGAGCTGAAAGGTGAGTACAAATCGTACGATGCCAGGAGAAAGCTCGTGTCAGAATACGATGTTTTCTTGAGTGATGACTCTCTCGTGACCGTGCTACCGAAGTTGCTCGGAAAAATCTTCTATTCTAATGCTCGCACAACTCCAATCCCCATCAGACTGAGAACGGGAAAGAAGCTCTCCATAACCACATTGAAGAATCAGGTTGAGAAGGTGGGAACCCAGATAGTATATGTTCCTCCAATGGGTGTGAATGTGGTGATCAAGGTTGGAGACCTGTCATCGGGCCTTCCTAAGCTTTTCGAGAATGTGAAGGCTATTGCCGAGCACTTCCAGAACCAACAGATTAGAAGCTTAAGTTTGAAGGTCCAGTCGTCGCCTTCATTGCCTATCTATTACGCAAAGAAGCTTTACACCGAGGAAGACATCAAGAAAACTGTGGACGAGGAGAGCAAGCCTCAGGCTTCCGTCTCCGACTTTGACAAGGGTCTCTTGGAATTGGCAGTCGATGAAGCTGCCGCCGCAAAGTTCATTTCCAAGAAGAGAAAGAACGCCGGATCAATTCAAGCTGCCAAGAAGCAGAAAGCTTAAGCCTGGGTTTGGTTTTCACTGTTTAAATAGCTCTTTTATCTTCACCAAAAATTTCGACATAGCCATCTGAACCTCTCAACGTAGTATTAAATGATATGTGTTACAGGTAATCCAATCATTGTCCGATATTGATTTTAAAAAATCATGCTATAAAAATTTGCATTCAAATATTTGCCTGCAACAATTCATTCTGTCCGTTATATTCTTAATCTGAACCATCTCCTCTCAACTTCAAGAACACAGCAGCCTATTGTGGACCAGCAGGAAAGATGCTGCCGTAGCTCAATAATCTCGTTAAATGAGTATATAATTAAATCCCAATACTATCCCTTTTTTGTCTCAATTAAGAAGACTTTCTATCGAAGTTCTCCTCTTCATCTGAAGTAACACTTTCGAAGCGTCTAAATGGTTGGGATCAGGCATCTCTGGTGCGGCGCTGGGTGCGGCGCCCAACGGAGATACCGAAGGCAGCGACGAAGAGGAACCATTCACATCGGCAAAACTTGGCAACATTCTTGGTTTCTGCGGGTTTGAATAGTGAGATGTTGGAGATGGCACATTAGCGTTAGAAGGAGAAATCGCAAGAATTGATGGCGACTGCGAGGCCAATGCAGGAAGCGGCAGTTTGAAGGCATGACTGTTGTTGAGCGGTTTTGGCAACTTGAATTGTTGCCTATCATCTGGAGTTCTGGATGATGCCGAGGTGGAAAGGTCCGGAGTAATCATAGGACTGGGTAGCATCATCTTGGCGAATTTGGGCGAGTCAATGGGCTTACCATCGTTTTGCGCAACCTTATTGAAAAGAGATCCAAAATCAAACTCCTTATCAATGTTCCTATAATCGTCCAGTTCAAGGTCAAATTGTGCAAAAGAGAGGTTCTCCTCTGCTGTCCAGGAATTATCGTGCTCGGAAATTTTCTTGGTCTGCAAGTTTATGATCTCGTGAAGATACTTGATGTACTCCACAGTCGATTGCAAGATAGTCAACTTGTGCATCATGTTCGAATTTTCTATCGCATCAATACTTGGACTGTTCGCAGGATTGGAGCCAGCAGAAGAACCAGCCACAATTGGGGTACTGGAATTAGACCCTCCCACCATTCCGTTAATGATAGCAATGCGGCACGCAGGTATAAGAAATTTCAAGGCTTCGAATTCTCGGTTCATTTTTATCCTCCTCCTCTTCTCAATGATTGAGTGGGCAGTTTTCATCTCCTTCTTCCTTATCAGCATCTCATCTTCATCTGGGTCCTCATAGTCAAACGAGTTTTTTCTCTTCTTTCTCCTTTTCTGCCTCTTTTGCTGTGCATTATTGGCTATTACTGGCGACTCAGCGACTGCCTGTTTTGAATCCGCCTCCGGATCCATAATATACGAATACGTAAGTGAGGAATTGTACTCTGTGATCGAACCACTTCTCTGCATCCTAATAAATGTCGGTCTGAAGACCGGAACTGGTGGTAGCCTTGAGTTTGACATTTCTCCTAGAGAGCCGACTGGGTCAAGAAAAAAGTCAAAGGTGGCTGAAAAGGCTAGAACTCACAAAAGAGAGGGTAAAAGAAAGTATGGATCAGCCAGGGTTTATATCCTAGAATTACAATGTATTAATTATGGTAAATATTAGACTTCTCGGCGTGGTGCCAAAGTCAACCAGCGATTGTGTGCGGGCGTCAGCGGCACGTGGGGATGTATATTTCAATGTCGCACACGAGGGCTTTGTTCTGCGTTTGGCCAAGAAACTGTATTTTCTGGCATCTCAGTAATTACCGCCTCAAACGCTGCAAAAGCCAGATGAAATATTATGAAACTCCTAATCTTGGGGTTTCCTCGTGTGACCCACGTGGGTAGTGTACCAAAACCAATGTTTTCGTCGCACGTTTGGGCGTCTAATCTGGCGTCTGCAAGGCCGGCAAGCAATGGAATAAGCGCCAGACTCAAGAAACATTAGATAACATGCTATATTGCGAGCGGTTGGTACCCCATAGAGGACCAGACTAAGCGAGATCAAGTCAATAGGGCTAGAACGTGTTCAATATTTGATGATGGCCATACCTGTGAGCACTTGTAGAGCGCTTGTAGATTTAGACCTTAGTCCCACTGCATGAACGTGGGACTCTCATCCTCACACCCCCTTTACCCCATCTCTATTTGCCAGGAACGTATGTGTGGTATCGGATAAGCCGTCCAGCTTTTCTCGGCTAAAACAGATTACACGTGAATATGGCTTTTGGATCTGAACGCGCCTCGAGAATGGAGATCATTTTTTAGATTTTAGCCTCGATATCTTTGTTGCCTTTCATAAACATCCACCGTGCAGAATCAATGGAGTCGAATTTTCGATTCAAGTTTACTGGGACACGCCTCGCCACATCGTGTGGAGACAAGTTTTTGCGAACCCCGCGAATCCAGTCTTGTATTCAAAGTTCCTCTGAATCAACAATTTATCTTGGCTCTTCTACTCATTGAGTGATGCAAGCTTCTCAAAGACCTCTGGTATCATTATCCAAGATCAACTCGAGAGCAACTCAAAGGCTTGCACAGATTCATTGCCACACCGGGACAAAGATTCCAATGTCTACTTCTTCAGAGCCCAAGAAGTCTCTGGCTAGTCTTCCAAAGACCCAAAGCTTTACTGAAAAATTGCCCGCAGATCCAAGAGTTCCGGATGTTGCGACAGCAAGAGATCCCTCATTACCGTTTGATCTGACCCACAAGGCGAGAAGACTGCTATCGGGATTTTACACCTATGTCACTCCTGAAGTTCGCAAGAACTACAAGTTTTTATTGGCTTCAGAACGAGCACTGATTGATCTAGGGTTGGATCCAGAAGTTGAGCCTTTGGATAAGGATTTTCAGAGACTGGTCACAAGCCAAGATGCGGCTTTGGAGCAATATCCACACCCATACAGCCAGTGTTATGCGGGATATCAATTTGGGCAATTTGCCGGCCAATTGGGAGATGGAAGAGTTGTGAGTCTGTTCGAGGTTAAAAATGAAGACACAGGGAAGAGATATGAGCTACAGCTGAAAGGGTCTGGAAAAACTCCTTTCTCCAGGTTTGCAGACGGAAAGGCAGTTTTGCGGTCTTCTATCCGTGAGTTCATTATATCCGAGTCTCTTCACGGGATAGGGATTCCGACCACAAGGGCGCTTGCACTTTCATATCTTCCAGGTACGTATGCCCAACGGTATGGTGCTGAGCAATGTGCCATAGTGTGTAGAATGGCCGAAAGTTGGATCCGAATTGGCAACTTTGATCTTTTGAGAATGAGGGGGGACCGCAAGGAAGCGATTCTGCTGGCGGACTATGTACTCGACGAAGTTCTGAAAGGCCAGTTCAAGTATGAGTCAAGCTTTGCTGATAGCACAGAAGTTCCAGATGGTTTGACTAAGTACGATAAGATGTACCTTGAGATAGTGGCACGGAACGCCCATACAGTCGCATACTGGCATGCGTATGGCTTTTTGAACGGAGTCCTGAATACGGATAATACTTCTATTCTTGGGTTATCTATTGATTTTGGGCCGTTCGCTTTCATGGACAATTTTAATCTCGACTATACCCCCAACCATGAGGATACCCAACTGCGGTACAGTTTTAAAAATACGCCCAATGCAATCTGGTGGAATTTGACTCGACTTGGTGAGGACCTAGCCGAGTTGATAGGTGCGGGACCTGAGTTATTGAAGGATCCTGCATTTGGAAACGAGTTCAAAAAAGAGTGGGAAGTGCCAGTGATTAGCCGTGCCGAGAAAGTTATTGGTTTCGCTGGCTCCGTATACGAGGATGTCTTTCTTCATGAATACGAAAATCTCATGGCAAAGAGGCTTGGGGTAGAGAAACCTTCTCACGACTTCCACAGCGAGGTGGTATCTCCTATGTTGGACATGCTGAGCACCATCAAAGTTGACTATAACAATTTTTTCGTGGATTTGCAGAAGCTTGATTTTTCAGCACCCGATTTTGATTACGATTCTGCTGTCTCCAAACTAACTCCACTGGATTTTGTTTCTGAAGAAATCGCAGGATTGACAGAGGAGACACTAAATCGCGAGCTGAAGTCATGGCTACCAATTTACCGCACCAAATTGGAAGAGCTGAATATCTCGTACAGGCAACGTCATGAATTGGCGGCTTCATACAATCCACTATTTCTTCCAAGAAATTGGATCTTGGATGATGTAATAGAGTTCACTCAGGATAGCGATGCTGAGGACCTGAGGTATCTCAGGAAACTACTCAAGATGTCGAGCTACCCATACGATGCCACAAAATGGGGTTCCGAAGATAAAGATTTGGAGTCCAAGTGGCTCAAACCACCAAAAGGTGAGAAAAGCATGTTACAATGTAGTTGCTCGAGCTAAATGACCCGGGCTGCTTGTTATTGTAACATTCATGTCATGTTCTGTTGGACGCCATCAGAACAGAATCCAGAAAACGAGACACAGATATATAGTGCGATTGAGCAGCAATTGATCATGGTCAGATTTTGTCTTCTTCTGCTATTTCTATAACAATTTTAGCCAAATATGGACACAAAAACCATTGCAAACAGAACCAACACCCTGTCACACGAACTCATAGACGAGAAAGTGCTGAGCTCCGGATCTACTACAACCAATGCAAAACCGGCTGGGAAACCCAATTTTTTTAAGAGTATTTTTCGCCATTTTCCCGGAGTAAAGTCGCGCAAGAATTTTGAAGACACAATTGATTCGGATCAGCTTGAACCAGACGAGCCGCAGGCTGCGGATAGAGAAAACGATTTTTCAGACCACCCAATGGGCGAATTGAAGACAGGGTTCAGTGAGTTGGGTTTCGAAAAAGGCGGATGGCAGTCATACTATCGTCGCGGAGAGGCAGAAGTACTTATGTCTATTTCGACGCACTCGGAGTCTTCATCTGTTCCGGAGCATAACAGTTCCTTTTACAGTTCTTTGATATCGTCCCCGGAAGAGACGAAGGTTTTTGATGAACTCGAGGTATCAGATGAGAGTAAGCGAACGAGTAATCCCTCGGTCATCGAGAATCTGATTGACCTTTACGATGACCTTGTTTCCGAGTGAAGAGACTTGACTACGGCACCGCATTGAGCAGCTATTGAGTTCAAATGAAAAAAGCTTTATGCGGGTAGCTCAAAATGACGTCCTATAGTTTTGAGGCACTTACAAACCTCGGCGAACAAACTCATTGTACTCCTCTTCTTCCAAAAAAACACCAAGTCTAGTTTGACCATATAGCAATTAATAAAAATAATGTTTGACTCTCTGTCTGCCGCCCGCTCCAGACAGGCAATCTGCGCCCCAGAACAATACTGCAGTGCCATAACCAGAAACAAAAGTCCAGAAGACCCTTCGCCCCAATTCGGTGTTGCTGTCCTGCATGACGCTGTTATTTAGCCAATGACGATGTGATGTCCACAACGCTTCGTACAAAACCATTCAGTTGTAACTTAATCTTAGCTGCGCGTAAGCAACGTATACACCATGCGGCTGCATATTGAGTCGCACACATTAAAATAGCCTCCAGGGCACGTAGACTATCTCCTTTCCAGATTAGGTATGGCGAACCGGTCTCGAGATGAGCATGATATGACCCCATATTGTACTTCCCACTTAACAACTGCCCCTTCCCCTTTTCTCTTCTCATAGCATCGGTGGTATAATGACAATGGCCAGAAACGACACGTTCGAAGTCCAGCTCCCGCTGATGCAGTTGAACCCGAGGTTGCTGTTCTTACCTGGAATCGTATACAGGACCTCATTCACCCACGAACAGGCAGTCGCCATCCTAGCGAGATTCAGCTCTATTTTGAAGGACACAGATTTCAACCACAGAGAGGTTGTACAAGATGCTCTTTTAAAGGGAGGCAAATCCTCCATTTCTCAGTCTTCTCTGGATGGATGTCAGAGTGTGAAGAAGAAGCTCTCGGTTGAGTCTGATGAGAATCCATGGCTCGTGCTGGTATGCTTGCCAGGATCCACCGTCACTGGTGACGAAACGGTAGGAACTGTTTGCTCCATTGTTGACATCTCTGAACGATCCAATGAGGTTACTATCAGCTTTAAGGCCCTTTCTCGGGGACTCTTGAGGCCAGCTAAATCTGATCCACAGAATGAAAGCAAGGTGGTGGTAGAATTCAGAGCCGGATCTAAATTGCCGACAAAAGATCTCCGCAAAACACTCACCAATTGTTTGAGACTACTTGGGAATGTCCAGTCATTTTCAAAGCAATACAGAGATGCTTCCAAAGCTTTTGGCGATTTGGATGACGACGAGAGGCTGAAGAACGTGATGCTGGTTCTGACCCCTCTTGCCTCTGTTCTGTACGACCAACTCTCGTCACAAGAAATGTCTCAATCTTTCGTGAGACTGAATCGTATGTTCAAAGGGTTGGACAGTGAATTCGCTTCAATGAGCTCGACAGAGCAAGCCGTAAGATTGCTGCAATTAGTTGATATTCTGACTGCTGTGTTCCCATTCACTGCGACTCATAAGAACAGAGTGCTTTCCTCATTCTCGCAGAGTTTGTCCAGACTGGATGCTGCAAATGAGGCGATTGATTTTGGCAACAAGATTTTCGAGGAAACCTTGAATATGAACTATCTGGTAGAGACGTGGAAAAGCCTGGATGTTCGCAGTTCGCCTCGCAGAGCCGCAACAACGAAGTCTCGTTTCATTTCAAACCATCTGAGAAGCTTGAAGCTTCTTTTGGAAGAGATCAATGACGCCAGACCCAAGGGCAGCAATAAGGGCCCACTCAGACCTCGCGACACGAACGAAGATGACGACTCGGATCTCGTTTCGGTGTTTGTGAAGAACATCGACAACTTAGATCTTCCCGAGGATGGAAAGAAATTGATTTTGAAAGATTTCAAACGATTATCTTCGATGCAACAATCCAGTTCCGAATATCAGGTGATAAGGTCATATCTCGAAATTGTGGCAGATATCCCATGGACAAAGTTTGATGCAGCGAGAAACTATTCTGCGATTGACTTGGAAAACGCAAAATCGCAATTGGACAGCGACCATTTTGGGCTCAATAGTGTGAAAGAACGTATACTGGAATATCTGGCAGTTCTATCTCTGCATAGCAGATTGGAAGATGTCTCAAGCGCAAAGTCCAAGGATTCTGCCAATTCGATCTCTATAGGTGATCCTGATACCAAGGCACCTTCCCCTTTGGCACTAAGTAAGAAGCGCCCCAGATCCACCGTGAAGTCACCAATATTATTATTGACAGGTCCACCCGGTGTAGGAAAGACGTCTTTGGCGAAGTCCATAGCTACTGCATTGGGGAGAAATTTCCAGAGGATTTCGCTCGGCGGGCTGCGCGATGAATCTGAAATCAAAGGCCACAGAAGGACTTATCTTGGTTCATTACCTGGAATGCTTGTCCAGGCTTTGCGCAAAGCACAAACAATGAACCCGGTGATCCTGCTTGACGAAATTGATAAGGTTGTTGGTGGTAGTGCCGAGAGCGCAGCCAGGGCACATGGGGATCCAGCTGCAGCTCTTCTGGAGGTTTTGGATCCAGAACAGAACGTGAACTTCCATGACCACTATATTGGGTTCCCGATCGACCTGTCGCAAGTGGTTTTCATATGCACTTCCAATGATCTGTATCGCTTGAGTGATCCTTTGAGAGACAGGATGGAAGTAATTGAGCTTGGTGGGTACAGCTACATGGAGAAGGTCGAGATCTGCAAGAGGTATTTGGTTCCAAAACAACTAAAGAGAAATGGACTACCATTGGAAACGAAGAGCGGGGACTCTTATCTTCAAATCTCGGATAAAGCCATCCTGAAGATCGCTGTGGAGTACACCAGAGAGGCTGGTATCAGAAGTTTGGAGAGAATGGTGGGTTCAGTATGCAGGGGCAAGGCGATTGAGCTCTCGAGACTAATCAAGAACTCGGACGATCTCAAAGAATTTCCACCAGGTTATAATCCAGTTGTCAGCGAGAATGACCTTGCTAAGTACATTGGCCTTTCCCCACGCTCTTCTGAAAACGGTACTGCTGAATCTGGAATCACCCCAAACTACGGTGTCGTCAACGGCTTGAGTTACAATTCTGACGGAAGCGGCGGTTTACTGGTATTTGAAATGAACGGAGTTGAGGGCGGGTCACAGGCCTTGACGACCACAGGAAGATTGGGCAACGTCCTGGTGGAGAGCATCAAGATCGCGAACACAATTGTCAAGTCTGTGCTGAACAATCATTTGTTGTATTCCAAGTCTGGGGAAGGAATTGAAACTTCAAGGCTTTTGAAAAGGTTTAACAGCTTGGACGCCCATCTTCATGTTCCTCAAGGTGCGATTTCCAAGGATGGCCCTAGCGCAGGCATAACGATAACGTTGTGTCTGCTCTCACTGGTGCTGCAGAAGGAAGTCCCAACAGACGTCGCTATGACGGGTGAGATTGACCTCCGTGGATTAGTGTTGCCAATTGGCGGAGTTCGTGAGAAATTATTGGGAGCACATCTTTCCAAGAAGGTCAGCAAGGTTCTCTTGCCAAGAGCAAACAGAAAAGATGTTACTGAAAGCTACTTGTACAGTATATCTGGTGAGGACGGATCTGACGATGTGCTTTCGCGTCTTATCCAAGAAGAGGAAAATTCGGTGAAATCATCAGATAAACACACCAGATTGACAGTGTTTAGTGACCCTGAAAGATGGGTGAAAGATACACTGAAAATTGAAATATCCTATGTCGAGGAATTCTCTGATGTTGTCAATGCCGTCTGGGGCCAAGAGATATCGCTTCATCTTACGCCAGACTCTATCAAGTCAGAGGAAAAAGTGGTCAGTCATTTATAAGCCTTAAGCTAAAGATCTTTCCAGATAAGTTTATCAAGAATTTCCGTTTTGCCTCCTCTAGCATCTCTGACTAGGCCCAACATCTGCATTTCAGCCACGCCTTGGTAAAACAACGCCAGCGATAGCTTATCCCAAGCCAGTTCGGATTCTTTGCCGTTATCGCTTTGTATAGTTTTGAGAAGGAGAAGGAGATTCTTTCTGGTAGCCAGGTCTTCTAGTACCGACGACGAATCCGCCGAATCCAACATAGACACCAAAGCATCCACCACATTTTCTCTAGGGAAGTTTGCCTGAAATGCCTGGTAAAAGTCATAGATGTTGATCACCGTGTTAGCTTCTCTATAGAGATGGAATAACTCGGTAAGGATAGGTCTCACCGCTTTGGAGAGTTGGTTTCCAGCCGAGTTGGCATCTTCACAAGTAGGAGGTTTGATATAATGAATGTTTTCCAAGTACAATCTGGGGTCATGGAGCGCATTCAGAATGGTAGATCTAGCTGCGGGAAAGAATGCGGAAAGAAGTAGAGACTTGTTTGGATTTCCCGATGGTATGTCAATGGTGCACATCTCTTTTCCTACCATTTCATCATTCTGAAGGGGGATGAGACAGTTGTTCTCGTAACGAAAGAGTAGCTTCACTAGGCCAATGGATATCGCCTCCAGACGCTCCTGATATTTTGGGGGTAGACTCTTGGAAGCAAGCGACACATTCTTAAGCTCTGGTTTATTGGCAAATTCCTTTGCAGCCAGATCCAGTTGATCTCTTATAATGCCTTTCAATGCCACTGCAACTCTGCTCTTTCCAAGGGTTTCAATGAAAGTCAACATCTCGGAATAAGAGACCCCAGCGAGTGCATCCAACGTTTCCTTGTAGTGTTCAGATTTGACCAAGCCTTCAGGAGCCCGATAGACATTTGCAGCGATCTCAATTTTACTCATACGCTTCTTGGAGCCAGTCGCAAAATATTGGTGAACGAGATACACCAGATCGACATACTCTGCAAACCCTGTGATCCAAGTGAACAAGTTGTCTTTGGTGTCCCTCGTCAATTCCACCAGCATCTCATCGTTGGTCATAACATCCATGAACAATTGCTTGGCCTCCTCTTTAGGTGTCTCTGGATCTCTGGCAGCATGGAAGATGAAGTCGGTCACACTGCTGAGCGATCTCAACACCTTTAGATGTTCCGGTGTGATCTCTTCTGTGTCGTCCAAGCTCCAAAAAACGGACAATGGCTGATCATAGTAGTGTATCATGAAAATGAATTTGAGAAGCGATATGAACGCAGTGACACTCAAAACGTTGGCATCACGCTGCTTCCAGAGCAGATCCAAGACTCTGGGACCAATGATGAGATCATTGTATGAAACTCTATCGGTATTAAAGAGGACAGTCTCCAGAACCCTGTCAATGATCTTTTTGGAATTGTTTGTTTGGAATGGAACGGCGTGCAATTGTCGTATAGTTTCCCGAGACAGTTTATCCTGGAACACACTTAGTGGGGTGGAAATGCCTAGCAGGACACTGACCCTCACCAACGGCGCAGAATGGTTCAGCAAGTCAAGCAAAGGTTCCAGAATATTCGGCGGCAACGAATCGGCATCCTGGATAATCACGGTTAAACAGCTCTTTGTTCTCTGCAGAGAAACAAACATATTACTCAAATCGAGTTTTTTCGAGGTGATGAGATCCTGCTGGGGTTCCTCAAAGGCCTCGTTATCTGACATACTCTGCAACTCTGCTGCTGCTTCTGAACAGCCTATGATCTGGCCTATTGCGAATATCAAACTTGGACAATTTCTCGACGAAATCCTCGAGATCACCACCTTATTCTCCTTGGTTTTCAAGAAGTCGCAGAAGTCGTCTATGGTCCGTGAATGGTTCGAGATATTAGATCCCATGTACAACAACGCAGTCTTCAGTTTTTTTATCTCAAAATCGTGATTGCTGAATCCATGCACCAAGAATTTCCTGAGCTGATCGTAGAAACCCTCGCTCTCTTGTAACAAAACTGCATCTATCTTCTGCTGTTGATAAGCCCATGATGATCTGAACTTCTTATATCTCTTATCACAAATATCCTGCGACTCAGCTCCACCTAACAGTCTGGGAAACACACTCGTGTTTTCAGGATCAAAAAGCTCTTCGGAGTGGTAAGCTTTCAGGGTTTCAACATGGTTTGGAACACCCTTTTTCAGCTTCTTCCTTGCTGGCTCCAGCATGTACACGGACTGGACAGTTAGTCATTCACCTAATCAAGCTTGAAAAATATATTGCAGTAGCTCTGTACTCACCTTCTGAGCATCCTCAAAATCGTTTAAGTAGGAAGCCATCGTTCTCAATGGTGGTGACGTTGTATTGAAGAGAAGTATCGCGTCAAGAAAGATTGAGGGGATTGGAGATAGAGCGATGAGTTCGAAAGCCCCCACGTAACTGGGACAAGTTAGTGTGAGAGATTGGCTACTTTGGCTTTATTATCAACGATTTTGTAAATTTGAATTTGAATTTGTTCATTATATCATTATCACAGAAAGATTGGGGTTTTTTCTCATATCATATCTCTACCTCGTTGGCACTATTCTGCTTAGACCGTAGTATCTCGTCATGTAGCGACTTAACGGTGGCCTTGTCAACATTGTAAAGTAACACAACGATGTATCTTCCATTGAAATTGTAACCACTGAGCTTTTCCACAGCCAACTTGGCGGCCTTGAGATTATTATACACAACAAATGCAGTTCCTTTCACCTCTGGCTGTTCACCGCATCGCACCTGTGAGATGTTACCGAACGTCCCAAACAGTGTATACAGTTCTTCCGCTGTCGCATCATACGGAAGGTTTTTGACCATCACTATGGGAAAGTCCTGTTGCGAATTCATTTTGAAGCTTCCAAATGGGTGGGGATGGGCTGTGTATTGTATAGTTTGAAGCTCCCATTGACCACAGTCTGATCGTGGCTCCAGAAGAGAAAGACAATTTTAATGTTGTGTACAAATCAACTTTCAGCCGCACCACCTGCCGTCCCATGACGACTGTCGTCATGCTTATGGAGATTTTTGACATTAATGGTGCAATTCTGTAAATTACAAAAAAAGGGCGAGCCCGGGGAATTCCGCCCGGATTATTCGGAAAATTCGGTCAGAAAGGCCTTTTTACTTTCAATTCTGAGATGAGCTTCTGTTTCTCTGCAGCTTCTTCCTTGGATGACCAGATAGCAACCCTCACTATTCTCCAGCCAATTCTCAGGCACATTTTCAAGGAAAGACTGAGTAAGGTTAAACTGCGTTTCAGATCTCGGAAAGATTCCCGAGCGACCAATAGAACCCTGCCATTTAGGTTGGGTCTATTTAACTCGGGTTGCTGGCCCCTACCAAATATGCATGCTCACATGCTTGCTACTTGTCATGATTGCTATCTTCCAAAACTATATAAACGCCAGGATACCCCCTGAAATCTCATTCCGCTTATTTTTTCTTTTTTTAATTCATCGATAATTGAGAATCAATTATTACTCTATTCAACAACAAAACTATTACAATGTCTGATCGTAAGTACTGACAAACTGGAGTGCATCTGTAGATGACACAGCAACCTACGATTGTTGATTCAGCAACCCATACTAACTTCTGCAGTTGGAAGAAAGAACTTTGCCGACAAGGCCTCTGAAGCCATCAAGCCTGACTCTGAGAAATCATACCTTGAGCAGGCTAAGGAAAGTGCCACCGGCGCCTACGACAAGATTGCCAGAGACGTTGTTCCTGATAGTCAAAAGTCTTTCGGCCAGTCTATTGGTGACTCTGTTTCTAAAGGCAAGGACGAGGCCTCCGAGAGTGGCAAGTCCTATACTGAGACTGCAAGCGAGTACTTGGAACAGGGTAAGGAAGCTGTTGCTAAAACTGCTGAATACATCTCTTCTTCTTTGACTGGTGCTAAGGAAGGTGCTAAGGATGGTGTTGACGCCGCCAAGAAGTAAGCAGATCTGGTAACGTTTTGCGTGGTAAATAGCTAAATTCTAATACAAGACTATTTTTTTTCTCAAAGAATATTGGATAATTGAGTATACGTTCAAGATCTCATATATTAAAAACAAACTTAAAGTTTGTCTGTAGTCTAGCATTTTCTGGGGAAGGGCGTTCATTTACAATTAATCCCAAAGAGGAAGTGTTTCCCAAAAGGGACGAAACACGTCCCAGCCTCTTTTACACGCCCTTTTACGCTTCCCGCAGGAAGGAGTGTATGGTCTGATACACTTGATCCCTTCAGATCAAACTATCTGTTTCTTTGTGGATACCCCCAACACACTCCAATATATCTCTTCAGACACAAGTCAGATGTCTGAGCCCAAGACACCTCCAAGAAGGCGATCAACTCGCCATGAAAGGAAGTCCTCGTTCACTCCTTTCACTCCAATAACACCATATAGCAAGTCGCCAAAAAATTACAAGCGGTTACCAGAGACCCCCAGGCACGAGGATGTGGAGATGCCACATATTCCAGTCACTCCCGATCCAACTCCACGAAGGTCTACGAGGAAGCTTAACGATAAGATCGAGTCGCTCACTGGTTCCTCAAAACTATTGTTCCCACTTGCACGTTCTACAGTGGGGTCAGGCAGGACCAAGAAGAGCACCATCAGACAGTTGTCTTTTGACGAAACGCACAACGACAAGTACGACAATGAGTCTGTGGATGAAGAAGTCCCCAGCACTCCCAAGGCCAGGCTGATAACTGAGTCAATGGCGAGTGAATGGATTATGAAAAAAGGTCCTACGCCATTCAGTGACAGTCTCGAGGACGATTTCAAATCCACGCGTTCGGTAGAAAATCCTTTCCTCTCGACAAGTGCAAAATCTACGAAGGTGGACCATTTCGGTGAAGAGTTTGAACATTGTGTCACATACATCAACAATAAGACTGGCGAAAAGATCATTCGCAGGCTGGATGAAACCGAAAAAAAAGTTAGGCCAAAAAGATTGGTATTCGAGGACAGTTTTAGTACTCCAAAGAAGACCAACGTCTTGAACTTGTCCAATGCGCCCAGAAAACATGCCGCCTCAAGAGACATGGAGTTCGTGGATTCGGAGACGGGCCAGGTTCTGAGCGTAAAGGACGAGATCAAACCAAAGAGACTGAACTTTTCAGAATATTGAGCCGTGGGATAACATCTTTTTTATGAATATTTGGCAATTGGCATCTTGTGCTGGTTCACAGTTGGTCAATACATGGGATAAGTTTTTGGAAATGACATCATGTAGCTCTTTCTTATCCGTAAACCTAGAGACCAAAGAAGCCAAAGTATCTTTGTACTCTGTGCGCAACGAGTCAACAGCATGTGCTACTGAGTCATCTGTTATCTCACTGGGAATATCGCCGTATTCGATTAACGGCTCTGGTAGCTCCAAGAAGAACAATTTGATGATCGAAATCACAGTCTCCGGTTCGTACTTCTGAAATAGCGGTAGGATTTTCGTGTTGACAAATTTTTTGGACCAGTATTTCTTTTCAGACTTGGTGATTTCAACTATCTCTTCCCTAAGCTTGAAAGTCTCGGAATCGATCATCGAATGCTCCCAGACTTCCGAATCACTCTTGATACCGTCAATATGCTTCAGACAGGCATATATGATAGCGGGTATCGTTTTATCTTCCTTGATAGTCAACTCCACCAGATCACTTCCAAATATTTGGTTTTGCGTAAAATTTTCAAACTCGTAAAGCTTTTTGAAACTGGTGAATGGGATTTGGCGAGGTCTGTAGAATCCAAATCTGTATTTCATGATAAATTTTTGCAAGTCCTGAACAGTATCCACCTTGGGTTCAAATCCAGGAATGAGAGAGCTCAAATCCTCAAGGCATTGCCTCATCTTTTCTCTTCGTTTGAATTCCAATTCTTCCAGTGCGTTTAGAGTTAGCATGATCGTTGAGTCAAGATCACATCGGCATTTATCAACCTCCAAAAACATCTGAAACTGCGCCTTCTTCAACTCTTCGAACTCCAGAATACTTGCCCGGATTCTTCGAGAGTCATCCAGCTGCAAACTCGCTAGATCCATCCCAAGGTCAACAAACTTCAAAGTTTTATCAGTCCATTGGTAATTTGTGCTTATCCCATTGCCCTCGAAAACTTTAATAAAGCCATTCTTCACCAGGTCAAACTTGAAATCCTCAACTTCCTTGAAAGAAAGCTCATAAGTCGCGTCTATGAACTCAGAGAGCTCCAATCCTTTGATCACGTAGTCCTTATCCGTGTGCAACTGCAACAGCTCAACTAGCACCTTGCGCAGTTCAGATTTCTTGATCTGCAAAACCGACAACTTGTAATCATCGGATTCCTCGGTGTAAAGCTTTTCATTTTCATCTCTGACCTCTTTCTGCACCTGCTTCAGTATTAAGTCCAGAGAACTGTCTTCCAATTCCAAACTTTCGTTCGTTTGCCTCAACTCCTGATACTTCTGCTCGAAAATCTGCCTTGACTTCTCATAGAGGGAGACCATATCCTCGAATATCTTAACAGCCTTGAATATATTGTCAGACTCTTTTTTCAATGTCTCGCGATGTTCGACTGCAAACTTCCTGAGATTCAACAAATTGGACCTTTCCAGTAACTGCGCTAGCTTTAGATTGGTCTGGGCCGAAGAGTGCAGCCTATCAATTACCTCGTCTATGTCTCCATTGGCTAATCTCTGTGCTTTACCGTCATCATTGAGCTTCAGAAGGGTGTTTCCCAGTTTCTTTTCGAACAGCACAAGGTCAGCCACGAACTTGCAGAGCTGATCCAGTTCTTCGGTCCTGCCAAAGAGGATCTCAAAAAGGCGCTCTAGCCCAGACAAATAATCTTGCGACCAGAAGCTGTCATTGAACCTTAGCAATCCCATCAGTAGAAACTGCTTTGCCTGCAAGAGTATCCCTAGCAAAAGAAGTCCACACCTAAACTGTTTTAAGCTGGGGTTCTGCCACGCGGTACATACCGTACCTTTTTCATGTCTAGCAGTAGTTTTATCACGTGACCAAGACGGGTGCGGCGCTTTGGGTTTATGCCGATACCAGAAATGAGAGGTTATGTAAGTACGTAGATGTTCTGGGTTAAACATTGCGGACACTCTAAATATACATATTATCAAGTTATTTCATTAATTTTGGGAATAAATTATGAAGGTTCTCATGACCAGGTCGGGTTTGAGCAGGTCCCTATCTGATAGGTCTAGTGAAACTTTTCAGACATTAAACATCAATGCCCAAGATCTGTTGTCGATGGTATATACAAAAACTGACAAACACAAAACACCAGTGTCTTGTTTTATAGTCTGGCTCAAATAACACGGTTGAGAAGTCGTTTGAGACTTTGTTGATGAATGCTTTCCTATGTGCTGAAAGCTTATTGACGGCGAGGTATGATATATGGATGATCAGTGCTTTGTAAGTGTCCTTAATTTCCTCTCGGGATGAGTTCAGCATATTCTTGATTTCAATTTCTAGCAATGAGGATTCTTGCGGGAGACGTTCCATGATGCGACGCATTCTGGAAACATTCTCGGCTGCAAATAAGGGAATAGGAAGCTCTAGAAAGAACTGATGAAGGAGAGCAACAACGACAGAAGTATTGGATCCCTTGAATAGCTCAAGAGCCGCAGTTTTGAATCCCTTCACTGTGGACTCATTCAGTTTGTTCACTTTATCTCTTAGCTCAAACATCCCCTTGGACACCTCAACCCTACCCCATACCTGCAATATTTCATCCACTGACATCCTCTCATACGCTTGGTCCAGATGTCGAAGAATACAGTGCAATATCAGTGGGATTGTCGATCCACCATTTGCAAGACTCAATTCAATCAGATCCACACCAAAGATACGTTGGTAGGGATAGTCTCCGTGGGGGTTGAACAATTGGGCCACGGGTGGCTTGTAATAGCCAACCTGTATGAGATCGTTAAACTGTACCTCGTGGAGCTTATCCAGTTTCAAAATCAAAGCAGTCTCATCTAACCACGATCTCAAAGTCTTATTCAGATCCAGGTTTAAAAGCTTTATGGTGTGGGAACATTCTAACAAGCTGATATCAAGATCACACCTGATCTTATCTAGCTTGTCAAACAGCTCAAAGTATCTCTGTTTATACTCCACAAGATCCAATTGGGTCTGTTTGATATATTTCGGATTTTTAGAAGCCTTAATCAAATAGAAACCTGGCTTCTCCATTGGCGACCCAATGAACTGGTACAACTTCTCGGTGAGCTGATAGAACTCTACCTGGTAGCTCGTGAACTTCTTGAAAAACCCGACGTCAATCATGGCAGTAAGGAAACTGACCACTTGGGAGTATCTCATAGAATTATTCTCCTGAATCCACGAGGCTAATTTTGATTCTTCAATAGATCTCTCCATAGTCATGTTCAGCCCGTAAGACTTGTATTTTATGGTTTGGAGTTTGAGATTGGCAACCATCTCTTCTAACCAACTCTTCAACTCCAGTTTAGACACTTCCAAATTCCCAAATCGCAGAGAGCTTTCAAAGGAGTCAAAGAATACTTGCCATTCTCGTTGTTTAGTCTTTTCATGCTCCTCCAGCACCTGTTCTATCGTTTGACCCTTCATCCTCAACTCCTCTTTGATCTTACATATTTCGTCGTTGCTGCTTTTGAACTTTACTCGTGTCCTTTCAGTAGCAGCACTTGTAGATTTGAACTTCTGAACCTGATCCCTGAGATCAGTTTCTATCAAATTCAGCTGGTCCTTGTATGTATCATGCTTCAGCCCAACAACGGTGGTCAGGTTGGTTATATCCTTACCGATCTTGTTGTTAACTTCGCCATGTCGACTGAGATGAGTTTGCAGGTCCCCGAATCCAAGACTCAAAGTGTCCTCATCAGCAAAAATGGGTGTTGATACCGTGTTCCAGAACTTGTACTGCATGTCCTGAATCTTTTGTAGACCGGTGGACATCTTGGCCACTTTGGTGAGGTCCTCAAACTTTAGCCTCTGCGAGTCCAAAAGAGTCGTGACTTGGCGGTCATAATCATTCATTTTATGGTGCTCAATTGGGCGAAAATTAAATCAAATGCTGATATTTGAGCTCGTGGACTGGTCTAGATCTGATCAATAATCTCTGTAAAATGGGGTACATTAAGACGTGTGACACGGAGTGCGATCCTCAATTGAGTACTGCGCGACCTATGCGAAATGCCGTTTACAACTTCTGAGGCTAACCATACTAGTAACTGAATCATCAGCGGATCGTGTGAATTATGGGAATAGCGAGGATATTATAATACAGCAATGCCGAAAGTTACCATAGAATATTGTGTCAAGTGCAAATGGCAGCTCAGAGCGACGTGGTACCTCCAAGAGGTGTTGCAGACCTTCAGTTCATCTGAAGTGTTGGTTGACGAGGTCTCACTCAGACCAAGTCTTACACCAGGGACATTCCGAGTACTTTGCTATTCTGTACAAGACTCTGAGCCTGCGGTAATCTGGGATAGGACTGTGGATGATGGGTTTCCCGATTCAAAAGCATTGAAGCAGCGAATCAAGAGTTTGATCCAGCCGGATCTGAATATCGGACATAATGACAAGCCGCTCAAAAACAACGGTGTATTGAAACAGGATCAGCAGAAGGATTCAAAGGAGAACTCCAACCAGGAAACTAACAAGACTGTACATTGTGAGGAGTGCAAGAGTGCAGAGTGAGCATGAAAACGCAATGTGTTCCACAATTGCAAATCTTGCGGACAAGTGTCTAATGGCGTGTGGATGTTTATACCCAGGTTTCTAATCAAAGCAGATCCAAAACAGCCAAGACAATATACGTGATAACCAGCATCAACCCAATATACCGATACAGATTCCCCGATTTCAGATCCGGCGAAAGCCGTGTTCTCAATCGCGTAGCCAGACTGGCATTGTTCTTAACGGACCCTGTAGTCTCCTTGATTTGCTTGATCAATTCGCCATTTCTATTCGCCAGTTCTACCAGCTCATTCAGATCCTGGTACCCCACAGAACCAGAACTCAGAGAACTGCGTGTGAACCCGCTGGGTTTCTCCAAAATTCCCAAGAGACTGTTCCCTGTAAATCGCTGATACAACCTTAGAAATTCGTGCATGTCCACCTTGGATCCTTTGTTAGCCTTGATAAACTCCATGAAACGCGTCCGCGAGATCGGTGTCACCAGCTCAGCACCTGTCTGGCGGTGAATACCTTCAAGGAGTTCTAAAAGACACACAGTCGATATGCGATCATCCGACGAAATCTGGCGCCAGCTCTGTTTTATAGTGTCCATATTGAGATGATTTAAATGACAGAGAAACAGAGACACTATCATAAATACTTTTAGCTGTTTTGACGCGAGATCGTGCCAGACCCATCGGAGTGCACCAACCATAATGTGCGCTTTCGGCCTTCAACGCTCGGGACAGTCATCTGGCTCGCATATGCACTTAACTCGAGTCAGCTGCACCAGTGCGCTTTTCTTTAGGTTTTGCTAATAGTGCACGCTTCAGCTCAATTCGAATCGTTTGGCTTTTCTCCGGTCAGTATTATTTAACCCGAAGGCATCCCACCCATTTGCGCTGCTCATTACCTCGGGGGGTATTGTCCTCTGGCTTTATTTTTTATAGTGATGAACTACGAAGAATATGATTACTACTACAGACATGAGGAATTCACGCAGCAGGACCTGAATGTATTGATATATTTGCTGCCTATGGCAGAGCATTACAAATGGAAGTTCATCTCTAACAGGCTTTCGAAGCTGCGTTCGAAGAAGGTGAACCTGGACTTCTGCTACAGAAAGACGAACGAGATGTTCAACCTTCCATCAGATGCCGGTACCAACAATGGCCATTTCCAACCTCCCGACCCCAATAGCGTGAGTGGCTTGTTGGGAACAAGCATACCGTATCTTTGTCACATGGATGAGCAAAGTGGGCCATAGTGAGCGAGCTCTCGGGAATCATCCATTCGAAACTCAACGCATAAACCCCACACCATCCCATCCATCTCCCGTCACTTCCATCACAGTCATATCAAGTCATGTTCCAAATATTATTTCACCATCACCATCACCATCACCATCACCATCGCCATCGCTATCACCTGTTTTTCCCCGAAGAAAATCCTGTACCTCGTTCGAGCGCGCGCATGGCCTCGTCGCAGATAGCTCCCTCGACTTTGGTCCGGCCAAGCATTGTACCATTCTTGCTATCTCTGCTGTTATTTGTCATTCGGGGCCTAGCCTCCCTTTTTTATTGCTATCTAAGCCTAGTTGATTTTGTTCTGAACCTGTAGTACTTGCTAATTTTTGCCCCTTTGTTCCTCTCCATAACACCAAGTGGTTGGATCTGTGTGGTTGAACTAGCTCAACCCGGCATATCTCCATGATGCATAGGCGCCAGCTACACAATCGGCTGCACAAAGCAAGCCGCCGTTAGCGCCGATTTGTGGGAGTCGTCAGCCGTAAAAGGTAGAATGCAGATTCTGGAAGTAAATTTTACAATTATTAGAGCTCTTGGGACCAGTTTAAGAACGGCTCGGGATGTTTTAGAGCCATCTTGAGAAGTGTTACGCACCGGAAGCTCGGACCTAAGATCCTAGTTTGAGACTACACGATAACCCACAAAAAAAAATGACAAGCAAGGATTAGTCAGATCGGATCCGCTTTGCTGGTCAAACATAAATTCGGAAGAAATCCGCAGGTGCAAGTGTCGGAACACGTATGACAAGCAACGCAATGAGTGACCTGCGCGCAAATTTGCAGAGTGTGTGACTTAGAAGGTGACAGTTTGAGAGACACGAAACCCCGGCTAGCCGAGAAGAGAAGATCTAGGCGGACTTTCTATTCCTGTGTGGAATTTGTCAGAATCTACCTATTATGTCTCATTTCAGGTGTTTGATAAAATCCATCGCGTTTCATAGCCTCTTCAATGACGTGGATGACCCCAGGTTTCATTTCACCTCACGTTTCCTGTCGGGGGTGAAATTTGTCAAGATAAATAGATTCGCGGTGTGATTCCATTGTTTACACGGTAGTGTTTTTTGAACGAAAGAATAAACCTAGTCGCTGTCAAATAAGTTTTGACAGTCTAAATCGAAATTTTAGCGTAGTCACAGTATTAATGACGTCCCTCTATTTTAGCGGCCAAAAATCTGTTTCCCTGCTTAAACAGCAATCTTCAACGGTCATTGCAACTCCGAGCACATGGAGGGGGGTGTTTGGCTCAAAAAAACGCCCTCCGGATCTTCCCCGGTTTTTTTGGATGAATCATAAATAACTGAGACGCCGCCATTAACCTGGAGAAGGTGAGACTATGGATATATCCCGGATATAGATTTGGATAATCTAACCATATTTTTTTCAAATTCGGGTCTTATTGACGTCATCTTTGATCAAATTTGATCGCATTCAAACCCTTACCAGCATCTTCGATTTCAGCCTCATTCAGGCTCAGATTTCATTTGGTTACTGCCATCGCTCAGTTACCTTTCTACCACACCCAGTACTATACAGGGTGCTTTCTTCAAACCCCCACGCGCGAAATCCGTGATATTCACTGTTTCGTGTGAGAAAATCCTTGTATTCCACCTCGTTGTTATCAACACTTTCTAGTTTGTCAGTCGGTACTGGCAGCACACCACCTCATCTCAGGCGCCTATCGAATTTCATCCCAGGTGTGATTTCTTTGATTGCTGCTACCACTACACTGCATTTGTCCAGATATCCGGGGAAAGGTTCAGAGTTTAAGAAATTATTCACTAAATCATGAGGTTTTCGTTATTTCTACTCTATTTGCTGGCGGTTGTGAACTCTTTGGTGCTGCCCCTGGACTTCGCAGCCGGAAGAGCCGCCAGCCACGAATCCGCCGTCCAGAGCCAGCCGGGCTTTTTGCAACTGATAAAGGAATGGATTGCCATATTTTCCACTAGAGAAGTTGCTAGTGCCATTCCCCGTGGCAGTTTTGAGAGCTGGCTTCAGGAGCAGGAGAAGATCTCCTTTGAGAGCATCCTCCAGAACATCGGCGGGTACGGCGAGTTTGCGCAGAACGTCTCCATAGGCGCCGTGATTGCGTCTCCATCCCAGACAAGGCCCAATTATTTCTACCAATGGACTAGAGATAGTGCTCTGACTGTTATGTCGCTGGTGGAATATCTTGACGACCACGAGCTTCAGGACTACGAATTTGGCTTATGCGGTCTGGTGGAGTCCTACATTGAAAACCAGTACCACGTGCAGAGACTGGCCAACCCTTCAGGAACCTTTGAGGATCTGACGGGTTTGGGCGAGCCTAAATTTATGGCTAATGGTGAAGCATTTGTCGACCATTGGGGAAGACCCCAGAGAGACGGACCAGGTCTCAGGGTCATCACCGTGTTGGGCTACCTCTCGTTGCTGACCAAATATGAAGGTAACTTCCAACACGAGTTTTTCACCAGTCATGACGACTCCTTCCGGTTTGTTTACGATGAGATTGTGAAACCCGATTTGCAGTATATTGTCCACCATTGGGCCTCTCCAGGTTTTGATCTGTGGGAAGAAGTTAACTCCTTGCACCTCTTCACCAGTCTGACCCAGCTGAAGGCCCTGAAGCTCGGAATGACGTATGCTCTGGCATATAGCGATAGTGAGTTCTACGCGGTGTTGACAACTGCCTACAATGCGCTCAACTTCTTCATCCAGGTAGACTCCGGCTACAAAACCGGTAACCTGCCATTTTTGATAGAGACTCCGACTCTTTTGCTGACTGGCAAGAGAATCGGCCTAGATATAGCATCCATTCTTGCTTCCCTTCGCGCTCACGATGTTGACGATGTTGGTGATGCACTTGATATCCCGTTTGCTGTTGACGATCCGGTCGTACTCAACACGCTTACTGCCATGGTCAACGATATGAAGTACAGGTATCCTATCAATCACAACAGACTGGGATTTGGCACTGGCTTTGCTCTGGGAAGATACCCAGAGGACGTTTACGATGGATATGGCACCACAGAGGGAAACCCCTGGTTTATTGCCACAGCTTCGGCTTCGGAATTGGTGTACAAGATCCTCTACAAGCTGTACAAGTACGAGAACGACCTTTACATCCCTATTGGTTTGAGGGAGTTCTACCAGCCATTTTTCGAATTTGAGATCAAGCAGGACATGGTAGTTCCATTTGGCTCAGACGAGTTTCACATGGTTGCAGACGGCCTTATCAAATACGCGGACTCCTTCATGGATGTGATCAGAGAGCATGTTGACAACAACGGCCATATGAGCGAGCAATTCAACAAGTATTCCGGCTTCATGGAGGGAGCCGAGGATTTGACCTGGTCATACAGTTCATGTTGGAGTTCCATGAGATGGCGAAACAAAGTGGTCAAGCTCATGGAGAGATCCTGAGAGATCCTGAGAGATCTTGAGAGATCCTGAGCTCTTGACCAAGCCATAGAGAATGCATCTGTTTTCACGTTTTTCCGCTTCCTTTTCGTTTTCCCTTTCCTTTTGGCTTTTTCCATTTTTCCATTTTTGAGTATCTTTTTTTTTCTTAATTCCTTGATGTTACCGGTGGTCTGTTCCCTTTCAATTAGTGCCTACGCTTTTCCTTTAGATATGGTACCATTTACGAAGTCATGACTGGAGTTTTCTCTTACCTTTTTCACGTTTTCAATCGTTATAAACGTCGAGACAATCAACCGTGTTTGTGTGAATTATAGTAGATTTCGGTGTTAGATGTAGAGCTGAGAGTTGGTTGACACCTAGAAGCCACTGGATGATCCATCCTACCTAGGGTGCGAATTTTTTGAAGCCATACACACGTCCCATGGTATGTCAAAGGCATATCTATAACATGCATATCTCGAAATATGCACCTTCTCAAGCTCATCGCATGATCTCACTTCAGGCCTACCAGATTGGTCAAGCCTCAGGACCCCAATGGTCGTGCGTAAACCGTTCTCCATCTCGGACCCGACTAGGACTGCTGCTTCCATTCGATGATCAGTTTGGTAATACTCCCTTTGATTTGGGAACCTTTTTTCACTCTCAACACTTCCACCGATCTTGTTCCTTCCTCTCTAAACCAGCGATAGACTAGAGATATCTATTTTTTTTTGCAAGATGTTGAACTCAATTACAAAGAAGGTATGTTAATTTTTCCCAGCACGAGCTTTTACATGAGTTGTGGGCCTTGTGCTACTGGTATTCGTGTTGAACGGCATATGGGCATTGATTGTTACCTGGCCGTGATGTTCAGTTCGGCGTCTACGGCTACGCGTTCCAGATTTCTCGAGGCGATGAAATCTGTGGGGTGTCTTGTTTTGTCCTGCAGGTTTTTAGTACGCCAACACTTTTGCCTAAGCTCTATTCATGGATAATCTTCTTCGACGTTCATGCTAACATACCTTCCTAGGCCCTTTACGCTCCAAGCCGTACCTTCGCTACCTCCGTCGGAGAGAACTTCCTTCCAAAGAAGTACGGTGGAAAGTACACTGTGACTCTGATCCCTGGTGATGGTATTGGTAAGGAGATCACTGACTCTGTCAAGTCCATCTTCAAGCAGGAGAACGTCCCAGTTGAGTGGGAGACCATCGAGCTTTCTGGTCAGGACTCCGATGCCAAGATCGATGAGGCCGTTCTCTCTTTGAAGAGAAACAAGGTTGGTTTGAAGGGTATACTTTACACTCCCACCGGCACCGTCACCAGATCTCTTAACGTTGCCCTTAGAAAGGAGCTCGACATCTACGCGTCCTTGGTCTTGATCAAGAACATTCCAGGTGTGGACACCAAGCTCAAGGACATTGACATGGTCCTTGTGAGAGAGAACACCGAGGGTGAGTACTCTGGTCTCGAGCACGCGTCTACCCCAGGTGTTGTCGAGTCCCTCAAGATCATCACCAAGTTCAAGACCGAAAGAATCGCCAGATTTGCATTTGACTTTGCCAAGAAGAACGACAGAAAGACTGTCACTGCCATCCACAAGGCCAACATCATGAAGTTGGCTGATGGTCTCTTCAGACAGACTGTTAAGGAGGTTGGTACTACCGAGTACCCAGGCATCGATGTCAAGGACATGATTGTCGACAACGCCTCCATGCAGGCCGTTTCCTGGCCACAGCAGTTTGACGTTTTGGTCACTCCTAACCTTTACGGTTCTATCCTCTCCAACATCGGTTCTGCTCTGATTGGTGGTCCAGGTCTCGTCCCTGGTGCCAACTTTGGTAGAGAACATGCCGTTTTCGAGCCAGGTTGCAGACACGTCGGTCTGGACATTAAGGACAAGAACGTTGCCAACCCAACTGCCATGATCCTTTCCTCCACCATGATGTTGAGACACTTGGGTTTGGACGCCTTTGCTGACAAGATCTCCAAGGCCACCTACGATGTCATTGCTGAGGGCTCCATCAGAACCCCAGACATTGGAGGTAAGAACACCACAACCGAATTCACAGAAGCCATCTTGAAGAAGTTGCAAGCTTAAATCTCGAATTGAAACAACAAAAAGCCCAATAAATTACAATTCATCTTGGGAGGTGCCCGGTTTTCATGTTGAAGCCTCTCTTCTAGTCGAATGAACTCTATATACACTAACAAGTCATTCTTGCGAAACATTATGATGTAAATAAGATGTTGAAAAATACTAGATTTCTGAGATTTACTGAGAATCTGTACATTCGTAAAAAATTGGCCAAGGAAATAATGCAGTGCGTACCTTTTGAATTTTTCACAAACTCTTGCTGATTATTCTAGGACGGTAATTCTCACTTAAAGTGCAGTTTTTATTGGATTATTCAAGTAACTATTCCTGTCTGAAGTGATAAATTTTGACACAAACTCATAATTTGCCAAAATGACGGAGATACTCATTTTTCTGAATGCCATATGATGGTATATGTACGTCCCATGCACACATCGCTATTTAAACCCCGATTTCAGCCATCTATAATCCACTGACTACCACTATTTTGTTAATATCTACTATATAAATGGTCAATTTTTTCACAGAAATATTCATCAATATAGCTGAAGCGATTAAATTTAGTTTCAGTTCAAAAACTTCAAAATTCAAACAGATAATGCAGTCTCCACATTCCCCAAAATCCAACTCGATCTCCAGAGGTGTGCACAAACCCAAAGCCGTATCGGCTGGGGGCTTCTGAGGGGGCCAAATATGAAGGCAACGTTGTTAAGCACCTATACAACCCCGGATACAAAAGCCATTCTCTTCGGTTCTTTGATCTGACATTTTGGCAGAGTATATTTTTCCTCATTGGAACCCCGTTGGTCAACCATTTACATCTAAAAAGCCTGTATGTCGCGTGGAGCTATATCTGCATTATAGCCATCACCTACTCATGAGATCATTACGCTCAGCTCCGCGTCCGCTGTTTTCGGTGGGTTTTCCACGGTTGATCTCCAGAGTTGAAGTGGCATGCTCTAGGAACTACAATGGTGTTCGGCCTGCAAGCACGATACCGGATCATGGTCTTGAAGCTGGTGGTATCAACTTCCCAGGACATGCCAAGACTGCCTCTGTGCAGAATGGGAAACTGAAGAAAGCTTTACCGAAAGACGACAGCAAAGGCACGTCATCATTTCAGCTCTTTGAGCGTAATTATCCGGACGAGATCAGACTCTTGAAGTCGTTTTTGGCAAGCAGTAAGGTTGATGTGCAACGGTTGTCTAAGAAAGACCAATCTGATCTGCTCAATAGGTTCAAGATCGTTAGTCATTTTGGCAAGCCTTCGTTGCACAGCAAGAAACCGTCCTTGCGATCAATATCTACTTTTTGCACGCTTTTGAAACAGGATCTCAGTCTATTCAGGTATTTGGCAGAGGCGCGCTTGACGGGAAGCCCTTTTGAGAAGAAAGTCCCTGAGAAGGAAGTCCCGGAGAAATTCCTACGGGATAAAGACGATTTTGCACCCCCAGTCAGCGCTGAAAGTGAAACATCATTCAAATATAACACAGAAGAAAGACTTGAGCAGCTCTTGAACAACACAGTGGCCGAGACGACTCCCAAAACACTAGCAGATGATCATGGCAATATTCTATTCAAAGATGTACTTTCCACCTCATTACCAGAAGCTTCCAAATCTCCCAGAAGCAAAGAACTTCACTTGTCTGATACCATGGAATATCTGCAGGCGCAGATTGTGCCAAAGGTCAAACGTTCGGATCTGCAGGAGGACCTTTCAGATATAAATGCAGAAAGAATAAGGGCTACCTATAAGAAGCCGATCACATCTGAGCTGGGAGCTGATGCTGGAGCTTCTTTCAGAAGTCAGGAAACCCTCGACGACTTCCAGGAGTTTCTCAAGTCAACACAGAAAGACCACGAGATCAAGAAAGAAGACCGTTTTAGACAGCAAAATGCGTTCGAGTGGAGCAGATCAAAGTCGCAGAGCTACCCTCGTCTTTTAGAAGAGGGCAATTTTTTCACCCCGAGGTGTATTCCAAAGACTTTGATTCCAATCAAAGATGTGCGGTCTGTCGGTGCATTTGCACGTGCTGACCTTTTGTTTCCAAATACACCATCTGGGAGAAAGGAGTTTCTCATTCTGGTTGGCAGGAAAAAGATTGTCACCCAGGATAACCCATTGGGAAACGACTCACTCCCGGAAGATATGTTCACCATCTTTGGAAAGATGAAGCATCCGGAGAAGTTTATGAAAAGGGTCAGCCGACTCCAGCGTAGAGGCTGGAAGCTCATTGGCGGGGGTGGACCCAAGGAGTTTTTGGTCTTTCAGAGATCTCTGGCTGTAAAGAGACGCTTATTGACTTGGGTCAAGTCTTTCGTCGTCTTCATAGGGACTGCATCGCTGTCGCTGTTCGCAGTGAGCTTCATGTTTGAATGATCATGTTCTCTCTTGTACGGCTTATCTATATACTCCTTTAAACGATTCAATCGCAATTTTCATGGATGTCACTTGCCATAAATGCAAAAAAAAACAAATGGGGCATTCTGGGAATCGAACCCAGGGCCTCTCGCACCCAAAGCGAGAATCATACCACTAGACCAAACGCCCTTTATAAAGAAGAGATGCGCATTTCCTCAATATACTGAGCCATAGATCTATTACGTGATACACGACTACTAGTCAGACTTTCGCTCTTGCTCGATCTTCACACACTTTCAAAATCCAACGATTTGAGTTGTTTGACCTCTATTCCGAGCTCTGTTGTATAGGATGGCATTGTGGGCTGATCCGAGTGTCTACATGATGCACTCAACCGAAGTATTGTTTGGCAGGTAAGAAAGAACATGGTACAAGATGGCGCAACATGGTACGTGCACTCGTGGTTCGGTATGTTTATCATGAAAAAGCTGACCGTAATTGAATGGAAACTCAACAGTTGTTCAAGCCAAATTCAGATGTATCCAAATTCCAGAAGAATTGGGCCAACAAGTTTGCAAATGTTGGCTTGCGAGGCTGACTTGCCGATTCACCCACTGACAAGTGAAACCACCACATCTGTTAATTCAAAGAAAAATTTGCAGTGCCACATTGCTCACTTCAAATCAATTCTCTTTGGGATGTTCTTCCATCCTCAAATACTCGCTACTAAGGCACGTCGTGCACCACAAGGAGTAGTCTCAATCAGCTGGGTATGGGATCTTCAAGCTCAAAATTGGGAGATTTATTGGGCGTGTGGCGCAGTGGTAGCGCAATTGCTTCGCATGCAAGAGGTCGCCGGTTCGACTCCGGCCTCGTCCATATAGATTTATTTTTTGCATTTTTATCCTCACGAGACTTTACAAAAGATAAACTTTTAATTATATTTTTAATGAGCAACTGTGACTGGTCGAGCTAGCTGAATTTGTAGAAACAGCTAACATTTCGCTGATTGCGTAATTCAGGTACCGGTATGACAACTGCACATCGCACGCACAAGTGAAAAACTTTTTGGTAGACTTCACACTTTGCTTCTTCCTCTTCCTCTACAGTATACCAAGACTTTTCCACAACACATAGCGCAATGAAGTACGTCAAATCCGACGAAACCCTGGAGATCCCAGCCGGTGTTACTGTTAACATTAAGGCCAGAGAAGTTACTGTCACTGGTCCAAGAGGCAAATTGTCGAAGAACTTGAGACACATTGACGTTACTTTCTCGAAGGTCTCCGACTCTTTGATCAAGATCACTGTCCACAACGGTGACAGAAAGCATGTTGCTACCTTGAGAACCGTCAAGTCTTTGATCGCCAACTTGATCAAGGGTGTTACCCTCGGCTTCAAGTACAAGATGAGATTCGTCTACGCCCATTTCCCAATCAACGTGAACATCATCAATGAGGACTCTAAGACCTACGTCGAGATCAGAAACTTCTTGGGTGAGAAGAGAGTTAGAAAGGTACTTGTTCAGGAAGGTACCACAGCTGAGCTTTCTGCCAACCAGAAGGATGAGTTGACCGTCTACGGTAACTCTTTGGAGAACGTTTCCCAGACCTGTGCCGATGTTCAGCAGATCTGCCGTGTCAGAAACAAGGATATCAGAAAGTTCTTGGATGGTATCTACGTTTCCGAGAAGGGTACTATTGAGGAGGAAGCTGCCTAATGGTAAAGCTGCTGTTGTTTTTTTATAGGGGGTTTATATCAACTTCGGTGTCATTCTATGATCAAAGGTGAATGGTGATCATTGTTGGCTTTTGTCAATGAAAATGGCAAATTTCATGCAAAAGTCCAACATGGCCTGTTTGCCGTCCCGCAAATCGTTACCGAGCTCGTGAAAATAAAGAGCCAACTACGATTATGCTAGTAAATGTGTCTTCTCCCAAGTAGATGTAAGAGAGTAAGTTTAGCAGTGCTATTGAATTGATATCTATTTCAATTGCAAGTCTCGATTGCCCGAGACTGCTAACAAAACTCTCTTTGCATATTTCAAAATCCGGATATTCGAATTTTCAGGTTCTCTTGATTTCTGTTTTCAAAGTTGTCTCTGGTCTACGGGTCAAACTGGCATGCGCCGGGCTTTTCTGTATGTCACCTACAGCTTTGTGTCAAATTGTCGAATTGTCAACCTCTCAATGCGTACAATTAAACCGAAGACACATTTCAGTCTATGCAACATAAAAAACTGCTGAACTCCAGCCTTCAGATTTGCTTATAAATTCAAATCTTCCAGTCTAAGAACAAAATTTTCAAGACAAAAAACATTATACAATTTCCTCCTCTAATTTCCGTCTTCTCACTAAGAACTGTGAGATATTTAACACGGCAGTAGAATTCCACCAGCCGGACTTGCGGGACTGCGTGGCCAATCAACTTTGCGAAATTCGCGATGACTATGTCCCGGAACCGTGGTCGGAACCAGCCTTTCCTAGCTGTTTGGCGGTAGTTTTCGTGCTTGAGGGCTCAAAACTGGCCAGTAAATGAGATTTACCATCCTGGGAAATATACTACTTGCTATGTCCAAAAATTCCCGTAAATTTACCCGTAATTACCGCAGTAAACCGCAATGTTGCCAACTGGTCCCGGAGTTGGCGCACGACCCCCACCAGGGAGTTCATCACCCAAAAAGGGCTCAAATTTTTGTATGGGGGACCGATGATATATCGAAGGTGTCTTGTTGGCTGCAGTCTCGAGTTCTTTCTGATCCAGCTTCAGGTTTTTTTGATTTCTTCGAATTCAACTGAACAACCCAGCAGACCTCGCCCAGCAATGTTGAGAGCTTTAAATTTCACAGCAAGGCGCCATGTCTTCAGACCGGCTTCCAGGTTCCCGCAAATGACAACAAGGTCGTTAGCTACGGGATTTGATTCGTTTCTGCAGACAAACAACGCAAATTACATAGATGAGATGTACCAGGCCTGGAAACAGGACCCCAAGTCCGTCCATGTTTCGTGGGATGCTTACTTCAAGAACATGGACAATGCCAGCATCAGTCCTGCCAGCGCCTTTGTTGCTCCCCCAACACTGGTTCCCCAGCCAGCTGGAGGAATCCCACAATTGACCCAGACTCCCCCAGGGATGAACGAGGACGTTTTGACTCACATGAAGGCTCAGCTTCTGGTCCGTGCATACCAAGTCAGAGGTCACTTGAAGGCCCATATAGATCCTTTGGGAATCTCCTATGGTGACGACAAGTCTAAGCCTTTGCCCAAAGAGCTCTCTTTGGAGTACTACGGATTCACCGAGGCTGACCTTGGCAGAGAGCTCACTCTTGGTCCGGGAATTTTGCCCCGTTTTGCTATTAACGGCAAGACCACAATGACCTTGAAGGAAATCATCGACACCTGCGAGAAGATCTACTGCTCCACATACGGTATTGAGTATGTCCACATTCCTTCCAGAGAGAAATGTGACTGGCTCAGAGAGAGAATCGAGATCCCACAACCTTACCAGTTCTCGGTTGACCAAAAAAGACAGATTTTGGACAGAGTTATCTGGTCTTGTTCTTTCGAGAACTTCCTGTCCACCAAGTTTCCAAACGACAAGAGATTTGGTATGGAAGGTGCTGAGTCCGTTGTTCCTGGTATGAAGTCTTTGATCGACACCTCTGTTGATCTCGGTATTGAAGATATCATCATCGGTATGCCACATCGTGGTAGATTGAACATGCTTTCGAACGTTGTTAGAAAGCCAAATGAGTCTATCTTCTCCGAGTTCACTGGTTCCAAAGAGTTTGACGAAGGTTCTGGTGATGTCAAGTACCATTTGGGTATGAACTACGTTCGTCCAACAACTTCCGGTAAGACTGTCAACCTTTCGTTGGTTGCCAACCCATCCCATTTGGAGGCTGAGGACCCTGTCGTTCTCGGTAGAGCTCGTGCTGTTCAGCACTACAAGAACGACGTCGGTGAGTTCAAGAAGGCCATGGGTATCCTTTTGCACGGTGATGCTGCTTTCGCAGCCCAAGGTGTTGTCTACGAGACCATGGGTTTCTCACATCTGCCAGCATACTCCACTGGTGGTACCGTCCACGTGATTGTGAATAACCAGATTGGTTTCACCACTGATCCAAGGTTTGCGCGTTCCACTCCATACCCATCGGATATTGCCAAGTCTATAGAGGCACCTATCTTCCACGTGAATGCTGATGACGTCGAAAGCGTTATCTACATGTTCAACCTCGCTGCCGAGTGGAGGGCTACTTTCCACTCTGATGTCATTCTCGATGTTGTGGGATACCGTAAATACGGTCACAATGAGACTGACCAGCCATCTTTCACCCAGCCTCTGATGTACCAGAAGATTGCTGAGAAGAAGCAGGTTTTGGATATCTACGTTGAAAAGCTTCTGGAAGAGGGTTCCTTCACCAAGGAGGACATTGACGAGCACAAGAAATGGGTTTGGGACACATTGGAGGAGTCTTTTGGCAAATCCAAGGAGTATAAGCCAACCTCCAGAGAGTGGTTGACTACTCCATGGGAAGGCTTTAAGTCGCCAAAGGAGTTGGCCACCGAGGTTTTGCCTCATCTTCCAACTGCCATTGACGTTGACACTGCTAAGCACATTGGTAAGTCCATTTCTTCATGGCCCGAGAACTTCGAGGTGCACCGTAACCTCAAGCGTATTTTGGGCGCCAGATGGAAGGCTATCGATTCTGGTTCTGGAATCGACATGTCCACCGGTGAGGCTCTTGCTTTTGGTTCGTTGGCTATGGAAGGTTACCACGTTAGAGTCTCCGGACAAGATGTTGAGAGAGGTACTTTCTCGCAACGTCACGCTGTTTTGCACGACCAACAGTCTGAGGCCACTTACACTCCTCTGAAAAACCTTTCCACGGAACAGGGTGCTTTTGACATCTCCAACTCTTCCCTTTCTGAGTATGGTGTCATGGGTTTCGAATACGGATACTCTTTGACTTCGCCAGATGCCTTGGTCATGTGGGAGGCCCAATTCGGAGACTTTGCCAACACTGCCCAGGTCATTGTTGACCAGTTCATTAGTGCTGGTGAGTCTAAGTGGAAGCAACGTTCCGGCCTTGTTTTGTCTCTGCCTCATGGTTACGACGGTCAAGGTCCTGAACATTCCTCGGGCCGTTTGGAAAGATACCTGCTGCTCTGTAACGAGGATCCAAGATTCTTCCCATCTCCAGAGAAGTTGGACCGTCAACACCAGGACTGTAATATGCAAGTCGCCTACCCATCCACTCCAGCCTCCATATTTCATCTCTTGAGACGTCAAATGCACCGTCAATTCAGAAAGCCTTTGATTATGTTCTTCTCCAAGTCTTTGCTGCGTCACCCATTGGCTAGATCCAGCTTGGATGAGTTTGTCGGTGATTCGCACTTCCAATGGATCATCGAGGATGTTGAGCTCGGAAAGTCAATCAACGAGAGGGAGGGAATCGAGCGCCTTGTCCTGTGTTCCGGTCAAGTTTACACTGCCTTGCACAAGAAGCGTGCCTCGCTGGAAGACAAGACTACTGCTTTCATCAAGGTGGAACAACTGCACCCATTCCCATTCGAACAGCTGCGCGAATCGTTCAACTCTTTCCCTAACCTGAAGGACATTGTTTGGTGCCAGGAAGAGCCATTGAACATGGGTGCTTTCTCTTATGTTCAACCAAGAATCTCCACTGTCCTGAAACAAACAGACAACTACAAGGATGCCGACTTTAGATATGCTGGTCGTGACCCATCTGCCTCGGTTGCTGCTGGTTCTAAGAGCATGCATTTGGCTGAGGAGGATGCTTTCCTTAACGATGTTTTCCAATCCTGATCACATCCACACTACATACGTGAGTTTTTATAAAGTCAAGAATGATCATGAAGTATATTCATATATGAGAGAGTTGGGATCTTGAAGTAGATATGACCTGGTTGGTCCACAGTTCCAAAAGGTAGTAAGCCTGGGAGATGTAGAGGTCTCAAGCAGGGCACCAAAATCTCTAACAACTTTGAAAAATCATGAGTTCAGTATGATAACATCAAGAGGTGGTGAACGACAGAAAATATCATACAAGTGTTCTCAGAAGCTTCTACAGTTTGTTATTAGGTGGAAATGTAGTGAGGTAAAGGAGGCGATCCCAAGAACCAGGTAAGGAATCAAAAGCCAATACGCATCACACGATCCAAACCTCCAGGATGCAATCGAAGTATCAAATCAAAAGAATCAGACGTTTGGCTTTATCTTCTCCATAATTAGAACCCATAATTCGATGGAACGAACAGAATATGAGGCAGAAACAGGAGTGTTATTAGATTGAAGATTAGAACGAGTCTAACCACGAGGATAAGGAAGGTTACCCAAACAATGGCACTCAGCACAGCTCATGTGGATTTCTCATGCGATATCCCAATGACCTATATGATTGCCTCTGAGTGACTAAACTCCCTGTATCATGCAAATCTGTGCAGATTCATAAGAAGAGAAAAGGGAAAAGAGGGAAAGAGAAAGAATTGTCGGTGTGAAAAAAAAAATTACTGTGTATGAGTAGTGTGTTTGCCAAGTCTGTTGCGGCGCGCTCCGGTGTCTCAAACAGATTATTATCACCAACAGAATTAGGTGTTCGCAAATGCGTTATGCCAGCCGCAATAAATTAATTGATATAGGTATTTTTATTGGACTCCATCACTTGATACCATCCTGATTGCAGGCATTTATTTCTCCAGGACGGCAATTCAATGGAGTTGCTTGCCCCATTATGGTTTGCCGTTTCCTCGATAGCATGGCTGCTATCGTTCCTACACTTTTTGTTTCTTCAGCCAGCCATCACATCTATTGCAGTACTGAGTCATGGTCTTATGATGCCTGTGAAGACGACCATGCGAATTTTTGGTTTCACGCCGGTGTCTTTCGATGGAGATAGCTGGGACCTCATTAAAGCACTCTATCTTTTTATCAACGTTTCAATCATTTTTGGGATTGTCCTCGGTCTTTTTGCTGGGCTTTTGATGGTGGCTACCCGGTTAGTATTGAACTTCAAAAATATCCCGTTGATACCGGTGCGCAAAACCGTCTATGCGATTTTGGATGCTGTTGGAGTGATCAGTATTGTGAAAGTCGTGGTTAGATGGTTCCACGATGAAGAGAAGAAAGTTGAGCATGGAGTACAGAAATTTGGGCTAGAAAGCTTTATTATTGAACGGAGGTCCCAGATATCTGTGCCAGGGCCGATGCCTGCCAAATCTTCCACTAAAATGATGGATAACGAGGACGTGATATACGAAGATGATGATGGATACAGCTACAGATACGACGACACGGTGTTGTCTGTTCCTGAAACTCTGTTCACAAAAATTTCAGAGGACACCCAGGCCACCAGCGATGACATGGACGAGAAATCTAGTCTTGGTGGGATTCCTGAGGAGGATGAAGACGAGAGCTGAAGGAGGGTTGATGGTGACATAGAAAACAAAAGCAAAGCGGATGACGATCTCTGAATGAGACTTACTTGCTGAGATGAAGCTCGGGATCAACTAACTTGTCATCGGGTAAATCCAGACTTATCACCCTCTCTATCAGAGAGCACAGATTTGTATAAACCCCCAAGTCATAGCCCGCTTTGGCGCACCCGTTTTGGTAAATTTCCAAAACTCTTCATGTAACGAGCAACGAATAATGAAAATCACTTAATTGGGTAATTTTTGGACAAATCCCTGTAAAGTTCGAACATATCAGTTACAGCCAAAAGGCTGCTGGTCCGAAACCTTAATTAGCCAACCCCGCCAAAAGTGACAGATCTAACTTTCAGGGAGTAGAGTAAATAACCAAACTTCGCTAACCCTGTTGTTGTTTGTTGTTCTTGATCTGGAAGACACTATCGGTTCTATCTCTTGAAAAGTGGTTTTACTGAGGTATGATTAACATGTTTGTGGTGGACGGAGAGCCGGTACTGCTGATCCCAGTGAGCATGGTGGTTACGTTTGGAGAGAGGTTCCCGCTTGAGTCCAGGACTCGAACCTTGAAATCTCGTCGTGAAAGGAGCAGCAGCCGCAAAGGATGGAGTTTAGAATTCAGCCGTGGCCAGAGAATGCTTCTTGCAAAGGAGATCCAGAAACTTGATAAGCTAAAGGGTTCTACTGAGAGACTCCACGAAGAGATCAAGATCAACTTCGTCGAGTATTTCCGAAACCGGAATCTGGTTCCGATCTCAGGAAAATTCAATGCCAACAATATCACCCAGGAATTGAATCTGTTAGAGAGGTCTCCAAGATGCTGTCAGGTATTGGTGCAAATGCAGGAGTCTGCAAGTCGAATTCTCGTGCGGATCAAGATGACATTCTACAGGATCGACGATCGCATGAAAAGCAGGACGCATTTGAAGGCAGTGGTGATGCGGGTATTCGAAGACAAGAACTACATTTTTTCTTCCTTCAAAACCGGCCTGGTACTGGAGAAGATGGAGATCACGACGGTAGGGTGAAAAATCACTGCTTGTTTAGTAGTTTCAAATTCAATTCCTCGATGTCACGATCCGCGTACAATTGCCTTATTCGGCCATTTGAAACCTAAGTAGTGCGCCTCCCATGCCCTTTTTGGGCTCCGGCAAGCAACGGCTCTGAACAGAAACCAATTCCGTGGCTTTTTTTGGCCCGGTCGGCTCGTTCTGTGCAATGTAACCTCTGTGGCCGGGGTGTTTGGCCCTGAAAATCTTCGAGATCTTCCAAATTTGTCCGAATCCCCCCGGCACTGAGCATCACTCCAACGCGCCACACTGTGTACTCTGACGTCTCCTAACTCAGTTTAGCCGTCACAGCATTTGCTACCACTGCCCCAACTCAGCCAACGCCACCGAATTTTAATTCAGTATACTGATTTAGAGTGACTATCTGCTAGAATATTCCACACATTTAAATATCACGCGTAAACTTGCCGATTCACCTGACTTGGTCACACTCTTTTGCACGGTCTACCGCTTCTGCTAATCTAGCTGTGTGTCACTTTGTGTGGCAGTGTCAGTGGCAGAGCAGAGGGCAGAGGGCTGTGTGGCCTTGTCTATCTTTTTTTTCTGGCACCGCCCTTCTGTCTATTTTTTTCCCACCACTTCCAAACCACAAGAGAAAAACAACTCCAATTACTGCCGCTGTCTCGAACGTTACACCATCAAAGGCCTGTGAACTTTTTACTTGCCGAGAAGAAACTCGTTCGAAGAACGTGAAGTTTGTTTTTCAAAGCCTGCACTTTTACACGGTGTTAGGCTTGCTGTCTATACTGGTGTTTGTGCCTTTCTTTGCTGGTTTTTTTGTGTGAAGTCGTGTGGATTTACTCGGAGTCTTTCTAAGTACTAGTGTTAAGGATGGGGGAAAATACCGTGGCTCAGAGACCTAGAAAGTCCACCATCTCTAAGATAGGCCGTCTGTTTGGAGTGGACCATAAGGAGACTCCCTCCGACTCGTCCTCGCCTCTGCAGCATGCCAGTTCTAGCAACAGTTCCACCACCTCGCTGGTTCTTGATGTCAAATCGAGATCGCCTCGAGAATCGCCGCTGTTGAGGCCCTCGACCCCAACTGGATCTGCGAAGCCATCAAGGCAGCCTTCCTTTAGAAAGCCCAACGGCAATGCTGCCTCAGCCGAGAGAAAGCCTTCGCCTTCTACGACCAATATAGCTGCCATGAACCTGCTCAGTTTGAAGGGTTCTCCGGCCATAAATGGCATCCAGGCTCCTTCGCATGTGCCCTCTCTGCACATAGATACCCCATCACAGTCCACAGCATCGCTCTCAAGATCAAGCTCAGTGATCTCCACTAACAAGATGGGCAGTCCGGTGATGCAACTGCGGTTTTTGATGAAAGAAGATGGCTCCCACGAGCACCATCTTAAGCACGCAAAGAGACAGGAAAAGCTGGGGAACATGCTGAAGGACCTCTTGGGAGCCAAGAAATTGCGGAGTGAGGCCATTTCAGCTGTTCCTAATCTCCTCTCTTCTGTTATCCCCGAGGAAGGAGGGACCCCGGTCCATAAGCCCCCAACTTTGATCTCTGGTCTGATCGGTCAGGTCAAAAGAGGTGATATCACGGCTTATCCTAATGGACAGCCCGTCTTCCTAACTCAGGTAGCTGCTCCTGATATGACGACACTGCAGAGTACGTCTTCAGACTCGCGCTCGTTCGTGGACAAGTACGGAAGGTGTCAGGAAGTGATTGGGCGTGGTGCCTTCGGCGTGGTAAGAATATCCCACAAGAAGATACAAGGAACTGAGAAGCTATATGCTGTGAAGGAGTTCAGAAGAAAGCCCCAGGAAACCGACAAGAAGTACTCGCGGAGACTCACTTCAGAGTTCTGCATCTCCTCGTCGCTGCAGCACGTGAACATCATCCATACTTTGGACCTTTTGCAGGACGCAAAGGGCGATTACTGTGAAGTGATGGAGTTCTGTGAAGGAGGTGATCTGTATTCCTTGATCATTGCCAGCGGGAAGCTCGAATATGCGGAAGCAGACTGCTTTTTCAAGCAGATTCTGAGAGGTGTCAACTACATGCACGAGATGGGAGTTGCACACAGGGATTTGAAACCAGAAAACATTTTGCTGACATCCAGCGGAAACATCAAGATCACAGATTTCGGTAACGGTGAATGTTTCAAGATGGCCTGGGAAGATGATATTCAGCTCAGTGGAGGCATATGTGGATCGTCCCCTTATATCGCGCCTGAGGAGTACACCACGCCTCAGTTTGACCCCAGACCAGTGGATGTCTGGGCCTGTGGTGTGATTTACATGGCAATGCGTACAGGAAGACAATTGTGGAAGCTCGCCAATGTTGAAGACGAGTTTTATGCAGGTTATCTGCAGAAGCGCAAGGACGCTAAGGGCTACGAACCAATCGAGCTTTTGAAGAGAGCGCGGTGTAGAAACGTGATATACTCGATTTTGGATCCAGTTCCAGCGAGAAGAATCACAGCGCTGCAAATTCTGAACAGCGAGTGGGTGAGGGAGATTAAGGTGTGTGAGTCTGGTGAGGCTGGAAAGGAGTTGGAGTGAAGGAGGAAAAATAAGTAGTGTACAGTAGTAATGATTAGGGAACGAAGAATGCATAAGAGAATGATGATGAGCTGGTTAATGGCATTTTGAGAGAGAAAAGAACTAGGCACGAGGCCTATAATGAGAGGGTAAGAAGCATATTAAGGGACAATGAAAAACGCATGCAAAGAAGCATATAAGGAAGCATATGAAGGTGGACTTTTGGAGATAGACACGAATTAGTGTGGAACGAGGATTATCGGATTCCGCAAGGATCTTGCATTGAAAAATGAAATGATGGATATATATTTGAACATAATTGGATATTTAAGATAGGTATTGGGAATGGAAATTGGACCCGTGTTAATGAATAGTGATGACCATTAAGTTTCGGTCTTTCAAGGCTGGCAGGTACGAATACGAGATACCCTTTTGGGTAGCCAAGAATATCTCCAGTATCGCTCTGCGAGTACATTTATATACTCCTAAAAACGTGGTGATTAGTGTGAACAAGTCTCTCTCTTTTTCATCTCATTTCAATGTATACTCTTCGCGATCTGATCGAGTTCTCATACGCCTCGGGTTGCCTTCTTTATCTCTCTCAGTCAGAATCACGTGACGTCCAAACCGACAAGCATCGAATCCTTTTCCCCTGAGACTTGGTCACTGAAGCTGATTATAAATTCGCTCTTGACGTCCTTTTTCAACACTGACTCTATTGTTTCAATTGAGGCGATAATTCGGTTTATTAGCGTCTCTTTTCGTTGGATTGTTCGGTAATATTTCGATTGGTGTGCAATCATGTCCTGGGATGGGTTCAAGAAGGCGTTGAACAGAACCGCCAATTCTGTGAGTATTTTTTGGTTGTGAGATGAGGGTTTGAGTTGCGCGGTTAACGCGGTTATGGGAATTGGCATGATAATTATGGCATTCGAGTTCTGACAACCATACCACAATTGATGGGGGTTCTTATACTGTCTGAAATACAGAAATCATTTACCAAAGACTCAGCCACTTGACATTAGCTTATTCATGCTCCAGATTCAAACTCAATCACCTCATTCAATCAGGTTTATCAGAAACAACTCTAACCTCTTTAGGTTGTTGTGAAGTCCGCCGATAAGGTCTTGGACAAGGATTATGATGTTGAAGAAAGAAGATACAAGACGTAAGTATATTGTCGTATCTCTGGCAACGAACTGCTGCTAACCTCTCTTTAGACTCGAAAAGTCGGGCCAAGCACTTGAGAAAGAAACCAAGGGATACCTCGATTCTATCCGTGCTGTTACCGCTTCTCAAAGTGCAATTGCTGAAGTTATTTCCAACCTTTATGAAGACAACCAAAACAACGGCGCTTATAACAACCTAGGGGGCTACTATCTTCAGGTCATTCAAGAGTTCGACCAGGAGACTGTCAAGCAGCTTGATGGCCCTTTCAGAGAGACTGTTCTTGACCCAATCGGCAAGTTTTGTCAGTACTTTGACGAAATTGCCGAGGCGATAAAGAAAAGAGCTCACAAGAAGGTCGATTACGAACAGGCTAAATCAAAGGTCAGAAGGCTGATCGACAAGCCTGCTAAAGACGCCTCCAAGTTGCCTCGTGCTGAAACAGAGCTTGCCCGTGCTAAGGGTATTTTTGATGATTTAAACAACCAATTGAAGGCGGAACTACCACAGCTGGTTGACATAAGAGTGCCATATTTCGATCCTTCTTTCGAGGCCCTTGTGAAAATCCAACTGAAATTTTGCTCTGAAGGTTATGCCAGAATCGCACAGGTACAACAGTACCTTGACCAGACTTCCAGAGATGAATATGCCAATGGTGTCCTTGATAACAAGGCTGCAGACTTAATTGGCCAGATGAACAGGCTTAACATTTGTGCTCTTGGTTTCAAATGAGCGACTATTTAGAGATTCAACTACGCGCAACAAGTACTTAGCTAGGCGACTGAGTTACGTCTATGATCAACCATGTGTCACAACATATCCCGTCCAACGGATCCTTTCTCAAGATAATTGTAGATATTCAATGTAACACGATTGTGGAGATCTCTCTATAGATTTTTTTACCCGAAAAGGCTAGGTGACATCACCCTTTTGGCGTATGCATGTGTGCGGCGTGGTTACCCGACCCAGAAAGCCATTTCTCAGGTTAGAAGCATCACCAGTCCTTAAGGCCCTGTCACAATTGAACCATCTGATGAACACTTCCCACACCAAAGCGTTGTTTCTTCCTTGTGTATTACGTCAATTTGTTCGCGGTCACGCGGCTCCTTGTATCCCGACAATTTTATTTTTTTTCTTACATCTTCCACCTGGTTTTGCAGCCCCTCTACATATCATACATCATTTCCGAACAAGCTTCACTCTTTGCACCACCTTGTTTGCTTGAACAATGGATTCAAACTTGGATTTAACAGGTCTTTTCCGTCAATACCAAGGCAAATTGTTGTCTTGGTACACATCTTTGGTGCTGCTCATAACCAGACAACAATCGAAGTTCATACTGTGGCCAGCCTCGATAGTCTTTGTGATATCCTATCCTGCGCTTTACTCGTTCGTGTCGCAGATACCGCACTCCTCAACCGCGTCTACATCTAACCTTGTCGATGTGTTAGCTTTGAATAACTCGACTGACTTTGGGTTCGAATCGAGACAGGTGTGGATACAGCCGAGCCTCGAAACGATACCGCAGGAGGGATACGCCCTAACAAAGAAGTTTCTGATGGATTCTCTCGAAGTTCAAACAAGTCTACTGGAAGGCATAGATCTTAACCAGGGGCTGTTGCATAGTGTCTTTGAATTCTGGAATAATGACCTAGATGTGTTGAACAGCAGTCAGAACCTTCTAAGAACTGTCCAAAAACACGATAACTCGCACCTCGAGCATGACGGGATCCTCGCTGGGATAGTGCGGGTTGATGGTGTTGTTATCAGTGCTGAAGCTCTTAAAATATCGTTGATATTTGAGAAAGGATCCAAGATAGGATCCCAATGGGATGAAAACGTCTCCAAATTTCAATCTCAAAAGTTCACGTTGCTGACGCCCAGTTCCTCTTCCAATCGTATTTACGAGTTCAAGTACATACCGTTTGCATATTTCGGGTTCACGCTTTGCAACATTTCCTATCTTCTTGTGATAATTTATGTGGTCATGTCCATTTCGAACGTCCAGTCGGTCAAATCCAGAGTTGGTTTACTTGTGGCTTTTGTCGTGGAGATAGCACTTTCACTGCTTTCTTCAGCAACAATTACATCCTATTTTTTTACAGAATTGGATCTAATGGAGGTTCCGATGCAGATATTGGCTTTTGTGGTCATAATTGTTGGATTGGAGAACATGTTTCGTCTGATCAATGCTGTTTCCCAGACCTCGGAAGATCTGCCCATGAACAGGAGATTTGTGGATGCCTTCATCACGCAGAGCTATCTCTCCACTATAATTGTAGTGGTGGATGCTTTTCTTCTCCTGGGTCTGGTGCCTTTGTTTATAGGAGCTGGAAAGTCGACACTGCAATTCTGTCTCTTTGCCTCTCTCGCTATCCTTATTGACCACTTCATGCACTTGACTTACTTCACGAGTGTACTGTACATAGACATGAGGAGGATGGAGTTGGAGGACCTGATTCAAGAGCAAAGTAACCACAAACCTCCCAAGACTTTGCTCCAGAGATCGAAATTGGATTCGGTCAAGCGTGCGATGGAAACCTACATAGGGAGGGCCCAGCTTCCTTTAACTACGACGGTGACAGGTTCTGTTGTTTGCGCGCTGTTTTTGCTTTTTGCCAATATTACCTGGATGGGACGTGAGGTGGTGGATTCGTCTTCTGTTAATTTGATCCCCTCGGGATTCCAGTATGCTTTTGAGGATACCACGAAGAAAATCCCATGCACCACACGTTATGTGCCGTATTTTCTGTCTAAGAAAGCACATGCGTACGAAATGCTCAAGTTTTTCGATAGGAAAACAATAGCGCTATCCGTCTCTGAACCGGTGGTAATTGCTTACTCAAGTTCTCTGAGCGGCTCTGTTGCATTTGACTTATCAACAGTCTACAATTACGATATCTACTATGTTCTGGAGTTTGCCGCGTGTTTGATTTTTATCCTGTCCACTGCAGTCATCATCATGAAGTACTCTTTGGATAAGAAAGACATCAGTCAACTCCAAGAAGATCAGGAGGAGGAGGGAGTTCTAGATTCCAATGGAAGGGCATGTTTTCAAAGTAAGGAGCTTACCCGTGGTCATTTCCTCGATATAGTGAGGATTTCCACCTCTTCGTGTCCTTTCGTGGTGACTGTGGGGATGGACCACAAAGTTTTGGTTTGGTCCCCACTAAGCTTGCCACTGCCCATGCCCTCTCAATTGCCTGTTAGTGGTAAGCTTTTGCCCATAATCGATGTTATTCTCTCGAATTCAGGTGGTTTCATTGTTATAGTGAGCAAATCGGGAGTTCTAAAGTGCTGGTCGAGACTCACTATGTCCTGGATTTGGACCATTCAGATTGACGCATTAAAGAACGGGCGAGCATTGGAGTATTTCTTCAGAAAGAGAACCAAATCGTCGGTTGGGTCGAGAAGATTGCGAGTTTCCAGGCCTTCGAGGCTGTCTACAGTTGAGTCCAACGAAACTATCAACGAGACTACAAAAGAGGCAGACACTCAGAAGGCGCTTTCTCCTCAAAGACAATCCAGGAGCATAGACACTAACAGCATGATCCAGCAAATAAGGTCCATGTCTATTGATTCTGCTTACGATAGAAGCAACAACCTGAAAGCGCTAAGCGAGAATACAAAGAAGGACTTCATCACTGTGCTTCCAGACGGAACGATCTACGTGATCTCTTGCGAGGATGGATCTGTTACAAAATTTGATGCCTCATCCCAACCACTGGTTTGTGCCAAAAAACTGATATCTCCAAGGGTTAATGACAGACTAGTATGTCTGACGGCTGATGGAACACTGGTTGTAGGCACCGTTATCAACAACAAGTGGAAAATCAGAAAAGTACATATCCAAAAAGAGAGCTACAATTCTGGTAAGAGTCTCACCACACCTGCAACTCTGTCTAGAACATCTTCTATGGATTACCAATCATATTCGCAGTTTCAGGCTTTCAAGCATACTGCTCCCAGTCTCGACTCAACAACTCCACCATCAGTTGAGAAAAAGGACTATTCTTCTGCGGAGATCGCAACTGTGCCATTTGTGGGGATGGTCGTATGTGCTCATGGGACTAAAGCTGATCTCATTGACGTTCAAACAGGCACTTTGATGAAAACTTTTGAAATTTCCGAGTTCAAGAAAGGGACCTTCAACGTCTTCCATCCGGATCCATACCATTGCAGATTCTGTGGATGTGCGTCCGTTTCGTCGTTCTCGTTAGCATACATTGAGAAGGATTCAAAAACGTTGGTATTGCACACGTTCTCGATCGATAACCGTGCCAAGAACAATATCTGCCTACGTGTGGAACGTGATCCTAGAGAAACACGTTGTCTTGGTTTCGATTCTGTTTCGGAACACCAGTATTGTTCCAGCAATGTGGAAGGCTGGTGTACCACTGATCTCAACATGTTGATTGGAGTTAGAAAGAAGAACGTCGAGGATATACCCAGCACAAGAGAGGCTGGTCTCAGGAATAGGAAGTTGCACCGCTCATCGTCAACCAAAATTCCCTCCCTCAGTGATATCTGGGAGGGTTGGACATTATCTGCAACAGGAAAGACCAGAACTTTCGAGATTCCCAACGGCACAGACCAAGGGCTTTTGATCAAATCTATTGGTCCAGTTGCCAAATTTGGTCACAAGTCGATCATTTGCTCATTTGGAAACGTCATGAAGATCCTTTATCTGGGTAACGATAATCTCATAGAAGAAGGAGATTTGGATAAAGAGGGAATATCTGGTCTTTCCAGTAATGAGAACTCCACTGCCCTTTCATTTATCAACAGACGTCGCAAGATGACTCTCAAAAAGTACAATCTGACTCACTCTACAAAGTTCAATGACCCGCTTGACGCTGATTGAAAGCCAACAAAATTACAGATATACGAGCTTTTGTATTCTGTGACTATCGATTCAATTCTGCCAATTGTTTATATTATAAATTTATTATTCCTTATTGTTAATATTGAACTGTAGATGGTGACTAGAATGGCAATGTGCGGCTACATTTCTGAGAAAACACTACTGTAGCTGAGTAGTGTGAGCCCTACAATTTTGCGCACGACCCTCCGTCAGTTTCCCAGGCCAAGATAATTACCCTATTTTAACCATTACTTCTCTACCTCTTTTCACCTCTGTATCAACGGAGCTAATAAATAAATCTCACAATGGGCACTTATGTGAAGAAGAAGTTACGGACGAAGTCCAATGGTATGGCGGCCAGACCGCAGGTGATGTATCAGCACCAACAAAATCAGCATGCACAACACCAGCAGCATCATCAGCAACATCATCAACAAACAATGCATCCCGAAGAAGCGGTCACAGCTCACGATGAGATGGATGTGCTATCATATAGAACGGCTGCTGCTACCCGGTATGTTTACAATAACGACTGGATCGAGAATGTGTTGAGCAAGTACATCCCCTTCCACAATGTTATACCACCTACGAGCTTCCCTGACCCAATCTACAAGGGCGAGAAATTGAGTGCGAATGGGACTGCTCTGGCTCCTTCTGCGATAAGTACTCCAGCTGGAACCGCTCCGGCTAGACCAGATTTCAAAGTGGAGGAAATACAGCCCTTAGACGTTGTCTTTGGCAGTCTAGAGCTGATGAAACTGAAATCCAAGGCCCTCGAGGGCGAAATAGCCGCGCTGGAAGAGTCGCCATTGAAAGACGGGGCCAAGTCCTTCTTATCCGAAGAGTACTACTTCCAGAGCTCCAAGTTGAAGGACTTGCGCATTGCCTTCAATGCAGTGGCTACGGAAACGGACTTTGCAAGTCAACAGGAATTGCTTGACAAAACCGTCGAAACCTGGAAGAACACATACAAGAAGAAACTGGACGATTCTGTTGTGGAATCTCGTTTCCAGCAAAAGCAGCTGTTTGTAGAAGGAAAAGTGTCCGTTTCCGTGGAGGAGCTGCGAGAACAGCAGGAGGTGAAGAGAGCCGCACTTTTGGCCTCACAGGCCGAGCTGGATCTGCAAACGCAGAGTAACTTCCAGAGTGGGTATGCTGACCTGAACTCGATCGAATCCTTTGATCCGAATGGAGCAGGAAACATGATTTTTGAAGGTAACGATGCCGTGGCGACAGAAAGCTACAACGGCAACAACGGGCCCGACGTATTGAACACTGATATCACACAGGGGTTTTTTACAGGCGACGAGCTGATGCTTGACGATGGGGCTTCTTTCGGAAACATCCAGTCGACCCTGGACGATCAGGTGTTTCTTAGTCAGATGGAGTGATGTGAAGGTTATTCCTCAATCAGATGTGGAATGTGTATTTTACGAGGTGGTGGTAACTCTGTATTCCAAGTTTGATCACCTCCATGTTATACGAATGGAGATATAGTTACCCATAACGAGAACAGAGAAATGAATTGAATTGAATTCAAATGGCTGGACAAACGCGATTGAACTGAAAAAAGACCAATAATGAACAAGTAGAGAATAAATGGAAAGCCGGAATTGAAGTCTAAGCAAGAAGAGCGGAGCGTGAGTGGGTACAGCGAACCCAACGATGAATGACAAAATGACGACTCTTCATAGGGTATAGCGACGAATCGTGAATTGAATGAAGATATACTATTGGATTAAAATCCCGTGGTTTTTTTTTTTTCGATGCACATTCTCATTTGGGCGGGTTATGCGGTGTCGAGATCATGAAACTGACGTTTTGCTTTACAGATCTCGTTGGTGTAGCAGCGGTGGGAGACCCAGTATTTTTGCTTTCGCGAGTGTCTTCTGTTGGTCCAACAACTGGCGTAGTGACGTTTGCTGGCATGTTTGCCGGCACGTTTGCCGGGACGTTTGCCGGGACGTTCGCTGGGACGTTTGCAGAAGACCGCCATTGCAATGGGGGAGGTTCCCTTCTCGTAGGAGATTCCCAGCTGTCTCTCCTTGGCTGTCGAGGGACCTGGTGAACTGGAGGTGGGAACACATAGCTCTGACCCATCTGGAGCGGAGGGGGGACCGGAGGATACGTTCCAAACTGTTGAACGGGTGGGGAGTAATGGGGTGGCTGCGAATATTGTGGAGGTACCGGTGAATACTGATACATGCTCGGCCGGTACGTCGATACCTGGTGAGGCTGTTGCATATGAAGCTGCTGAGGATGGGGTATTTGAGGCTGGAGACCCTCGGTTGGTCTTCCAACCACTTCAGACAAGTTTCGGCGATGAAGGCTAGATCTTCTCCTCGGGGATCTTGGCTGAGGGTTCGGTTGCGATGGATGTGGAGCAGTAGAAACAGACGAAACAGAGGACGTTCTGGGTGTCTGTTTCCGTTTCGGACTGTGCTCCTCTTCCTCCTCTTGAGCAGCAGACTCGTCAACACTAGAGGGACCAGGCCAATGATAGAACTGGTACCTTGTTTGCTGCGTGGGAATGTCCACCTTCCACACCTGTTGCGATTGCTCGGGAATTGTCGATGTTGTTTGAGATCTGGTGTGCATTCGAGGGTTGTGGAAAGGTGGAGCTGGTGGGATATTTGAGCGTTGTTGAGGCTGGGGCTGAGGCTGGGGCTGAGGCTGTTGAGCTTGTGAGGCCTGTGAGTGTGAATAATTTCTCAGCATCGATTCCAAGGCTTCGCGAGTCGTTTCGTCTGTGTTTGGGTTGGATGGAAACAGCATTGGGATGAACTCTGGTGGAACTCCTACTGACCTTGCGAGCGATACAAGATCTAGAGAAAGACGCAGCGTCTGGTTTTTCACCTCAAGCTGTTTGGACCTTTCTTGTTCTGCTCTGAGCGCCATTGCAGATATCAGAGCCTCCTCTGAAAGAGGCCATTCCGTCAGTGACGAGTCCAGCAGCTCGGAAAAGAACTTCATGATGTTGCTGTCCAATGGGGTAGGGTGGGATGTTTGGGCTGCCTCATCCCCGTGCGGTTGAGCCTCTGGATTTTGAGGGTTTTGAGGGTTTTGCGGGGTTTCAGACTCCTTCGTCGGACTTCGCCTCGGAATCCTCAGAGGAGACAACAGACTGCGCGATCGCTTCGGCGTTGAGGAATCCTTCTTTGGAGGACTCATGGTAACTCCTCGGAACTAGACTGTGGGACCCGGCTTGGTGAAAAAGGGACTTTCGATGAAACAATTCTGATAGTCCAGACTTAGTTTTGTACAACCATTAATGCAGCGTTAGGACGTTTTCCATGTATAGAGCTTCGGATTCTCGGGTTTCGAGGCAGGTGTATTGAAGGAGCGTCTTCAGTCCCAAGCTATGGTGCTTCGTTCAAGTATATTCTGATAATGCTGGATATGCAAAATATTAGATCGCGGGATTATTCCAAGTTCCGTAGAATTGATATAAATATTCCACACGATGCACAGCACACTCGTAGATTCACGGGTTCCTCAGGCGTCTCCAAAAAAATGTCAAGACACCGAGCGCAGCCAATCCAACACTTCGGACACCTCACAAAAAAAATTAAAAAATACTCAAACCTCAATTGAGACGTGAATAAGCAAATTCCACGTTACAGGTCACAACGGGCCAACAAACTCTAAGTCTGCCGGAGGTTATAGCCGGTGACGATCGCTGTCGAGAACTCAAAACGCTCTGCAATTTCTCTGTTTCGGGATTCCCTTTTCAATTCGATAAGGGGATGTCGCCAGAAATTGAAGTTGGGGCACAGGGCCAAGAAATACCTGGAATGCACTCTGAAAAGTTTAATTGGGCACAAAAGACAATAGCACCGTAAATGGGTGGATTATGGACAGAGAAGGGAAGCGAAAAAGCGAAAAAATCACTACGCGCCGATCAGCTGGAAATGACGAAACGGAGAAGATTGGCTAACCGACCGATTCCAGACCTCAATTTGGGATTTTGTACAAGTCGTAGATCATCACTAGGTATTGCAAAATAATTTTTTCTTAACTTTCTAGGCATGCGCTGAGTCTATATAGTCTACCTTGGTGCGTCCACTGCAACTGCTGTGAAGGGGTGCGACTCGAGCTCTGGTACACCGCCCATTAGATCAAGGCGGGTTTCTTCAATGATCCCCTTTTCTGTACCTCTGGGTGCACCCCGATATCTTCTTTGGGCTTTAATGTGACGCTGAAGATGCTTTCGACGCTTGGAATTTAACTAAGGGGTTGCAGATGCAAGAAGTTTGCCCTGCTGATATGCCGACATGCCGCCCACTAAGTGGAGGGTTGTGTGGAAGCATTTTTAGGGATCGAGTCATTTTCTAAAAAGTGCCTCTACGGCTCTTTGGAAGAGTGGTGGGTGACTAAGGCCAATTGTAGTCAACAGGACATTGCACATTGTAGCTGATAGATGAATATAAACTTGTTTAACTGTACTTATAGCGTAATTGTACATACTGCTCCATTAATCCTAATCCCTACAGCATGCACAAAAGTGTGCGCGGAACATGTACTGTCGGCAGCAATCAAGCCGTTGTGCGCATGAGCTGCGTACCCCAGCAGGTCTAGACTTAAAAACTCCAGATAGAGTTCACGCAGTATCACGTATATCAGTAAATTTTTGAAGATATTTATACCATGTGTGGACACTTGAATACACCTTTATTGTCTGTCTCTCATCCGATTATTCCTTGTGTGCTCTTTTTTACTTGTGGTAGCTCGATCTGGAAACAGAGGTGTCCGTTTCGGGATATACCCGCTGCATATTGGGGTCTCTATTTAGACCTTATCGACGGGTCTCGCTTATACAATAAAAGTGTAACAGGATTTTTTGAACGAGACATTTCATTGGTAGTGATTTACGAGGCGTTTTGACGAGGGTCTGCAAGCGCGATTCAGTGATTTCGATCTGCAGCTTTGTTGAACTCTGGAGCATGAGCTGCTGGCCCGAGTTGATTCAAATCAATCCCCTGAATTCATCTACCAGTGATCTGTCTTTTTCATGAGACACCATCGTCTGATCTACTGTCTAGCCATCTACCATTTTTCGAAATCCAATGTACAATATTTTAGGAGAAAGTAATAAACACGGAAGCCCAAACCCAAAGACCTGGGCTTCCAAAAAGAGACGCTCAAAACGTAAAACCAATCTAAACCTGAAGAAAAGTCTTCATAGCTTACTCCCTCACCTGCTTCAAATCTGCTTCATATCTGCTTCCTCTCCTTAGTTGTAAAGCACAAACTTGGCTTTACCACTGGTAACACCAACAGTGCATCCGTCCGTTCCATCACCGTTGTACTTACCGTTCTCGTACACACATTCTCCAGAAACGCTGGAATCGTCATCGTATGCAACAATCTTAACGTTAAAGTTGGCAGCGTCGTAGTTGTTTGGGTTTGGAATCAAGGACAGGTAGGCGATATCATTATCATAGCCTGCACCGAAGTTAAGAGGAGCCCAGTTTCCGAGACCGGAGCTAGAGTCTCCCCAGACACATCCATCTTCCCAGGAGACACCAGCGTTATTCACGTAGTACTGAGCAGATGTGACGTCACCCTGCCATTTGTAGTAAGAGGCCTCATCAACAGTGGTGAGGATACCGGTGGAACCACCGTCAACAACAAGTGGGATAACCATGTTCTCGGTACCTGGGTAATCGGTACGACAGATGGCAACTGAATCATCGATCTCAGACACAACGTAAGCCTTGTCGACACCCCATTCACACAGGTAGTCGTTGTCAGAAGACTTGTAAAGGTAGCCACCATCACAGTAAAGACCACCAACGGAAACACCGTTGGATGGCTGGTCAGAAGGCCATTGGGTCTTGGACATACCAGGCTGACACGCGTATGAGCAGTAAGAGCCATCGGTACACGATCCACCTGTAGATGTGTCATCTGGGTGGTAAATACCGGAGTAACCACCAAATCCGAGGTGGTCAAGGGCAATAACACCCTGACCGGATGGGAAATCGGAACACTTGATCGTTCCATCCTCGAACTTCTCAGTTGGGTCTGAGTAAGCAGAGAGGTCACCGTCAATGCTTCCCGAACCGGACGAGGAAGAGGTGGAAGTGGAAGTGGCAGTGGCACTTGACTCTGTAGAAGAGGCAGAGGATGACTCGGCACTTGAAGAGGAAGAGCTTGGTGTCTCAGAGGCCGAGGAAGTCTCCTCGGCACTCGAAGTTGCCTCCTCGGTTGAAGTTTCAGCCTCAGTGCTGACAACGGTGTCAGAACCGGTGCTTTCTGAAGAGGTAGAACTGGAGGTGGTAGTGGCAGCCACCGTGTTACCGGACTTATCAACAGTGACAGTCACGTAGACGTAGTCGTAGGCAATTGCACGCTTGTGCTTGTGGTGAGCGTGGTACTCCTTGGCAGTGGTGGTGCATTCAGGCTCAGCAAGAGCTTTGGCTTTGGGAGCTGGAGCACAGTTGGAAACACCTGCAAGAGCAATGATGCTCAGCAACGTGGTTGTAGAGAATCTCATGGTCTAGAAGGTTTGTTAGAAAAAATGTCCTTGAAATGACTGGTACAGTGTGCGGTGTCCTCAAGTATATTAGATGATGCTGGATGATGGATGTTGGTTTCAATGGAATGGAGGATCTCAAAGGAATGACTTGGTGAGAATGAGATCTACCTGGTAGGATGAAGATTCACTTGAAAGGAAAAGGGGGAACCAGGCTGTAAAAAAATGTTTCAGGTTCAATCTATGATTAGCAGGAATGAGTAGCCATGGAAATTGACAGGGGTACACCGATGCGAAACCAACGAAGAAGGCGTGTTTTATGTCAAAGCCTCCTGAAACCAGCCCCGAGAAGGGGCTTACTTGCAGTAAACAGTAAACAAACACGGTGTGTGCACCACCCAACACATTCCGGGCTATTTTGGTCCTGGTACACGATCAAAGCCCCGCCTTGAAAAGAGGCTGGCCCTAACAGATCTTGTAGAGAGGGCCAAAAAAGTGATTCTCATCTAGCTTGAAGCTGTGTGAGTGCCTAGTGTCGAGTCTTCTTGAGTGTCGTAGCCACCGTGCTGGTCTGCTGTAGCTTTGCAAATAATTGTTCGAGTGCACTTGAAATATTCAGGATTCCCTCTGGTTCTCTTTGTAGTTAGTTGTTCTCATTTTGTAGCCCATAGGGTGCATTCTGATCTTGCTTTCTCTTTCGTCAGCTGTAATCATTTAGTCTGTTCCAACGTTTCCTCCCTTTGATTTCCGGCCTCACCTTTTCTTGTCAATTGGTTCATCTATTGAGCAACATCCAACTTGGTCTGGCACACTAGCAGTAACAGTAGGTTTCAAAAATACATACTCAAATACGTTCTCTAGTTTCAGTGACTTGATGTGTTTTTCAATCTTCGGTAGAGTCTCAAATTCTGTTGTTGTTTAAGGAATGACTTAGAGACTTCTTGAATAGATTCTCTGGGAAATGACAACAAACAGTGAGAGTATAGCTTTGGAGAATCGCAACAAATCTGGTACTTCGCAAAGAATAAAAAGAGAAGAAGTAAAGAAGGTGATCATATGAATCACCCCGAGGCAAACAAACAAATCGAAACCAGAAAGGCTGGGAAACTCCGTTACCCGATTCAGACGTTCTTTATGCATGGAGACAGCAGAGTTCCCTATTAGGGCAACTAACTTTCCGCTTTGGGTATCTGTTGTCATGGCAACCTGTCTAAGCCGTGCTAAAGGAATGAGGTGTCAAACTCAAATCTGCCAGGTCAAATGCCCGTGCGGCTTCGTTGCATCAAGCTCGATAATCTATGGAAATGCTGATCAGCCTCACAGAGGTTTCAGGTGATTTTCTGTTCGCGATAGGCACAAACAATGATAGAAGCTGCATACATTTCACAAGCTTGGCTAATTGTTCTATATTTTCTCTTGAACACCTTCACAATCACCAGTAAGGAGACAGGACTTTGCCCCAATCCGAATGCGCAGGCTTGAGTTGACTAGGCCCCGCTTTCAGGAGGTTTTATCAGCAAAATCTATAACCAGTAGGTTGTATTAGCGTATTAGTCTATATTTCGCTATTAGCAAATGAAAAGTCATTATCTGGCGCATGAGGGGTATCGCCTTTTTGGTTTTGGCAGAGTTGACAATTAAGATAACAGAAGCCATACTAGTGACCGTAGACTCTTCATGGTCTTATAATCAAGTTGGCTGGCACCCGGCTCAATGTCTGATTTAACAATAATTGCCTCTCTAATTGCCGATGTAGTGATCAACACTCATCTCTCCATTTTCAGATACAGAACATCACAGATGTGGTTTCTGAATAAAGATATGTCATTGGTCTCGAGGCCCTTGTGCATCCAGGCCCAATTCTCCTCCTTTCTAGGCTGCCATTCCATCCCCGATATAGACGACAGTTTGTCCAGGACAAGTGTAAGCGCATCCAGCTTGGATTTGAGATTTTCTACTTGCTCCCGGTCATCAGTCGGTTTGGACCTGATGACATGGAAAGCCACCGACTTCGAAAATGCATGCAGCGAGGCAAACAGAGATGGGTCAGTGAGCGCCCCAGCATCAAGCAAATGCTGGATGATCGCCTTGCAGTCTTTGTCCTTGAACTTATCATTCGCAAAATACTTCAGATTGTCGAAAAATGCAAGGGTGGTTTGTAGAGAACCGATTCGAAACTTTTCGTAGAACTCAGGCTCCGAAGTCTCGAGAAATGAAAAGTATTCACAGACGGTCTCGTAGAAAGCGATCAGACACGTTGAGTTCACAATCAAAGCCGCACTTAGTCGGCCGCTTTCGACGCTTAGTTTTCCCTGAGCCTGGATCTTGAACAGTTGCGCCTCAAAGTCCTTGAACCTCTCAATGTGCTCGTGGCTGTGCTCAGGGGTCATCTTACCGCTTAGTCTGGCATCATCCATGTATCTAAATATCTTCTCCGTGGCAGCCAGCGCCAAGATATGAAGGGCGTAGGAGTTGATGTCTGGCATCGCACTCAGGTCCTCGCTCTCGAGGACTTTGAAAGCGTCCTGCAGAAAATACGACTCCTCCATAATCCTGCTCTGGAAAAAAAGGTCATAAGCAGGCAGTTTTGTATAGATACTTCCGTCAGAAACGGCTGTCGGAAGCCAAGTTGAGATGTAGATGTATCTGTCCATGCAAAATATTTTCCAAAAAATCCTTCGTTTCTCCTCAACAACCTCCCAAGGATCAGAGTCACCGCCATTGGTGACTATCTTCGCGTCACTGCTAACATCCAGCAGATGCAGTTTCATCAATTGCGATACTCTGACAGCTTTCGACAGTGTGACCACCGACTTCCTCGCAAGACCCTGCAAAAATTCGAGCGAACTGCAGATCACCAGAGCCTGGAGATATTCAACAGAGTATCTGAACCTGGTCCCACCAATTCCACCAAATCGATCCGTGTCACGGTTCTCGAAGTCCGTTAAAGCACGCATAGACTTGCGGTAGAGCATGGGCGCCGCAAACGAAATCTCCGGGAAAACGAATGCAGAGATCGCCCACACAGCGTACCTTAGGTACATGTGGGAAGTTCGATCTGCATCGAACTTCTTCAGATAGCGTTCTCGCAATATAATTGGCATAGACCTCAGCAGGTACTTGAAAAATCGATCGTGCAAGTCCGACACCGCGATCCGAAGCTTGCGACTGATGATTATAACGTTCTCGTGGGGATCGAATAAAATGTCTTCTTCGGTGAGTGTTTGGGTTGGCATCGGACTGTTGTTCAGCTTGGGCATTACCAGCTGATCGATCTGCATTCGTATGTCCTTCGGAGAGTCAGCGGAGGTTACGGAGTTCGTTTGTAACACCTTGGACTCTTTATCAACGAACTTGAGCATACGCATATTGTCATTCTTTTTTTGCCTTTCCAGAAATGGCCTTGGCCCAGGCTTGCGCTTGCCAACATATAGACACGCGTGGTTATTTTTCAGGCACGTCTTGCACGCGGGAAGGGTTCTATCACACTTAACTTTTCGAGCCCTACAACTGGCGCAAGACGTGTCACTGAGCTTGAGCAGCCTGAGGTCCTGCATAAGACTCAAAAACTAAACGATTTCAGCTGCTGAGACGGGCTCCGGCAACATATACCGAATGTTTTGGAAAAGAGATCAAACCTTGTGATGAACACTCGACGAAAAAAAAATCTCGCAAACCCCCGGTTTTGGCGGGTTCCGCCGTGTAAAGTGAGCCGGGGTCCAGGGGTGGAAATCGATTTTCTTATGGAACAATCCGGCCGATTCAGAGCCACATGAATTGCGCATCTAGGTTCCGGATGGGGATAAGGGTGATTGCGGCTACAGTTGGCCCACACAGCTCTAGAGATCGCAAATGAGCTTGGAAAGACGCAATTTTTAGCTTGATCTGTTCTTTTGGATTATCACAAACAGAATATCAAAAAATTATATCCAAATTCTTAGAGTTTGACTCTTTTCCTGCTGGTCTGAAGTACCCCGGCTTCTTGGCGTGCACACACCAAGAAAATAATAGAACAATTGGGGACCGCTTGTCCGAGGGGATTCGCTGTAACATATGTATGTCTTTATATAAAGTGCCTGTTGACAAGCTTTGTTGTATTGCTATCCTCCATCTCGATCATGTCCATCCTTTCAGCGCAGGCCAAAGGCTCGGAGTTCCAGTGGTTCGCCGCGTTCGCTGCAATGTGCACCCACGTCGTCTATGCAGGTGGTTATCTGCCGGTTAATTCGCGAGATTTTAGATGGTTGCTTCCCTGACTAATAAATCCCCCGGCTCGGGGTATCACCCGGAACCGTGGCTAAGTCAAAATCAATTCACAGTCTGTAGTCATCTGTGAATGGTTTACGCAAGTTCAGCTCCATTAGATGCCGCATCGTAGGTCTTCCATGTGGGCAATTCCATGGCTTGTCGAGTCCTGCAAGATGTTGGACCACCGTTTGCATCGTTCTCCTATTCAAAGGCCTTCCAACCATGATGCTCATTCGACAAGCACGCATCGCAAACATTGAGCGTATTTTGGAGGGCCGAATTGACTTGGCCGATCCACCGTCTTTCAGCATGTGAATCAGCTCATTCATATCGCTTGTGTCAAAAACAGTTTTCTTGGAAACCGGCAAGGAACGTAGCCGGATCCGCCTTCCCGGGGGTTGCTGCTCATCTATCTCAAGACGAAACCCGTTCCTAGCAAATACCTCGCGGTGGTCGATCACCAACAACTCATCTATGGGGTTCAAATCTAGATCCACGGGGACAACTAAGGGCTGACTCTCGAACGTTGTTTCTCGTTGTAGCTTCTCAAAGTTGTACTTCTCATCAGAGGCGTGTTGGTCCACAATGAATAAATCCGTAGTACCCTGTTCGCTGGACTTTCGCGTCACAATAATGAATCCAAGGTTGAATTGACCCACAATCTTCATAGACTCAAAATCAGACTTTGAAACCTTTAATGTGAGACCCAACTCCGCTGCTTCTCTGTCAGTGATGTCCTCAATTGGAATGTCTTCAGAGCCAACAGACAATTCCGTAATTGGAATATTCAAGTTGAGACTCTCATGTGAATACGATACAATCTGGTCCACATTGTGCAGCTGCAAGGAACTCGGTAATGCTTTCACCTGTTTCCTAGACAATGTCTCCAAAGTCAAGTTTTCTTTTCCTTCGTCTTCGTCTCGTAAGCGCTTCGCCGCTCTTCCCTTCGTCGGTGTCGCATCTTTCTGCTTCAGAGGTGACGACACATCTGGCTTTCTTTTGCTGGGAGAAGCGTGGGGCGTTTCAGAAAACACGAACGAAGACAGTCGGGACTGGCTGAACGGACTTTCGGGTGGTTTTGAGTGAGTATGACAACACTCCGATAAACCTTGTGCAACACCTTCTATCTGCTCCTCCTCTTTTCCTACTTCGTCCTCCTTTTCGTCTTCCTCTTCTTGCCGCAGTCCCTCTTCTTCATCACCCTCCTCGTCAGAAATGGAATGAGTATGGCCGCAAGCAGCTGTTTCTGCCATATAGGCTTGGGCTATTTCAGTTTGTTCATTTTCAGGTTCGTCGCGTTCAATGTCCTCCTCCTCGCTCAGGGGACTTGATACTATGGTCACTTCTTGCTCCTCCGCCTCATTGTCCGATTCCTGTTCCAGATCGATCTCCACCTGAGGCTCATTATACATTTGCTCTTCCATAGCACCATCAGCACCTTTCTCTTCTTCTTCTTCTTCTTCTTCGCTCTTTTCACTCAGCTCAACCATTTCAGTGTCGTCTCTGTCTTCCTCTTGTACATCTTCTCCAAAAGACCTATTCCGTGTACCCTTTCTGCTGATTTGATCACTGCTGGTGTTCTTAGGCAAAACAAAAACATTCTCCGAAAATATAATTTTGAATTCCTCCCGTACAGCCTCTATCATAGTCATTTCATTATGAATCAAAACAGTCCTCTTATCAGGAACCACATTTAGATCCAGGTAATCTGCCTCGATCCCCAGATTGATCAATATGACTGGGAATTGCAGATGATTATACTGTTTGTATTCATCACTTATTGCCTTCAAAATCTTTGGGAAGGACACAGGTCGGTTGTTGATGAATACGAGTTGTCTATCCGTTGCCGACCGACCTTGTCCGAAAGAGCTGTTTGATATGTATCCAGAGACCCTGATTTTCATCGTCTGTTTGCTTCTGATTCTGAATTTTGTACCCACATCAACCTCAAATTCAACCTTATGCAATCCGTACATCCCATTTGACCCAAACACATCGCCAATATTGCCCTTGAGATCCGTATTGTTCTTGGTAGCCAGAACCACGTTCTTGCTGCCCTTGGCCGGAATGTGGGAAACAATGAACCTGACCCCCACGCATATTACCGCATATGCTTGCAACAACATTAGCGCCTTCTGGAACTCTCGCCGTGCATTTTTCACAAGATCCTTTCGCCTCACCGGTAGAGGCTCGAAGAAGTCATTAACACACGTGACAGTGCCTTTCTTTCCAGAGACCACCGAACTCTTTTGCAGCACTCCGGATTTGCCAAATTCAAGCCTTGTTGCTCGTGGTGCCTCCTCTTTCGTCGATGTGGTGATTGTCACGTTGGATACCGCACATAGCGAACTCATGGCCTCACCTCTGAAACCATATGTCACCACCGAATTGACCTCTTCAAACGTATCCAGCTTGGAAGTGTGATGCTTCAAACAAATCATCGAATGGTCCGTTTTTGAAATTCCATTACCGTTATCGCTCACCTCTATCGCGGCCAAACCGTAGTTCTTAAACACCACCTCTATCAGTGTTGCATCCGCATCTAGAGAATTTTCCACCAGTTCCTTGACTGCCGATGTCAAATCCACAATAACCTGACCAGATGTTATTCTGTGAACATCATCTTGGCCTATAGCTTTTATCGAGCTCATTCTTGGAGGTCTATCGGAGAAAGTGATTACGCGTATTGCTTCCCAGTATTTAGTACGCGAAGGCCACAGCCTTATCGGTGGCAGCGTGGCAAACTCAATTATTTTAATAGGGTACATTCACACTTCCTTTGTAATCTCTTTTCCCCTTTTCTTTGTGGAACATGGAGAATATACTCCATGATTTGGAGGAGCCTGATTTGGAATCCAGGGTTAAGGTTCAGGAGCTGTTTTCCTTGCTAATTGAGTACTCGCTGGTATTCCTGGAGCAAATCATGTACCACCGTGGAGTATACCCCAAAGAGTCGTTTCGCCAGGTACAATCCTTCCACATGGCAGTCTACAGCACGCGACATCCAGGTGTAAGGAATTATTTGGATACTTTGGGCCAGAAGTTGATGTCGCTGCTTCTTGCAGGAAAATTAAGCCGGGTGATAATTGATGTTTGTTCCCGAAGGCTGCGTACTGGACTCTCGGTGCTAGAACAGGACAAGAGTTTTCAGTCTGTTGGTACGCAAGACCATTTGTATGATAAGAAGAAGATTGAAAGCTATGGTATTAGTTTTGCTGATTCGGCAATTATCGGTATTTTGAAGGATAATCACGGTGATCTGAATTCGGTTGTTCTCGGGGAAGAGATCACTTTGGCAGTCATATATGGAGAACTGAGATCAAGTCTGCACTCTTTGACCACTCAATTGCTGGAATTACCAGCTGCAGATAGCGATATACCCCCTGTTTTCGATGTTTTGATGGCGACGGAATCCAATAATGGCAATGATAACTTTACAGAGATGGTGTTGGACGATCAGTGGGTTCTGGCTGGAAGACTGGGTTCATCCACCAACGAGGAAACCCCGACCGTCTGGAAAAGCATCAGAGAAGCAGATATTGGTATTATCAATATCAAGGGCTACATATCAGTATTGTGATACTCAGGTTGACATATACAGAAGCTTAATTAACATAGCAGTGTTCAAAATTGGAATTCATATATATACTAAACAGGAAAACGGTCTACAGCTTCAACAACCTCAGACGAACCAATGTATCGTTGATAGAAACCTCTTCGTCTGTGACAACAGCCTTATCAGAGTCAGCTCTGGGCTGCAATGGGTGTCTACACGCTTTCGTCAGCATATCCTCGTTGTTGACAATAGCCTCTTGAAGTCCAACGGTGTCGTTCAGGATTTCATACTGCACGATAACATCATCAGTGGCATCCAACAGACACTTCTTACGCAGTCTCTGGATACGGTTGATGAGCTCTCTTGCAACACCCTCGGTCTTCAAGTCCGCGTGCATGTTGATATCCAGGATGATCAAGACATCTTGTTCAGATCTGGCTTCCATTCCTCCAGCAGTCTTAGACTCTGGCAAACCTCTCTGGACAGAAAGGTCTTCAGTCACAAGCTCAAGACCGGCAACTTCGATCTTTCCTGAGCTCATGAACTCCTTGATTTGAGCAGATGTCAAAGATGGCAAGGCATCCTTGACCTTCTTGGCGTCCTTCTTCAACTTTTTACCCAAGACAGGCCAGTCAGCCACCACCGAGTATTCGACTCCGTATTCGTCCTCGTTGGAGCTGATCAAGACATCACGAACGTTCAGCTCTTCTGAAATGTATAGTTTCAAAGACTCGACATCCTTAAGGTAGCCTGGGTCGGCATGCAAAATGACCAATGACTTCAAAGGAGTCTTCAAGGAAATGGTCTTCTTATCACGAATTGACCTTCCCAATTCGATGACCTTCTGCATGCGCGAAACAGCAAGCTCGATCTTCTCGTCAAAGTACTCCTGCTTCACCACAGGGAAAGACAAGAAGTGCACGGATCTGGTGTCAACGCCGTATTCGGCCAAAGTCTCTGGTGTGAACAAAACGCTCATCTTTCTGTAGATAGTGTCTGACAAAAATGGAGTGAATGGAGCCATGGCCCTTACAAGAGTGAACAAAGTCTCTGTCAAGGTATTCATAGCCTTCAAACAGTCTTCGAGACCGTTTTCACCCTTGAGACGACGACGATTGAATCTGATGTACCAGTTCGTCAAGTCGTCGATCATGTTCAACAGCTTGGGAACAACGGTGTACAATCTGTACTCGTTCATCTCTTGGTGGATGAACTTGATCAGGGATTGAGTGGAAGCCAAGATCCATCTGTCCATGACGTTTTCACTTCTGGACTTTGGATCAAACTTAAAGTCAACGTCGTTCAACTTCTTTAGAAGAGCGACTTGGCCTTCCAGAAACTTATAGGAGTTCCACCATGGCAACAACACCTTCGAAACAACCTCCTTGACACCTTCCTCCTTGAATTTCAATGGGTCGGCTCTAAGAATTGGAGAGTTGATCAGGTACAGACGCAAAGCATCGGCACCATACTTGTCTAGCAGAAGAGTTGGGTCAGGGTAGTTTTTCAATCTCTTGGACATCTTCTTACCATCAGCAGCTAAAACAATACCCGTAACAATGACGTTTTTGAAAGGGGCAGTCTTGAAAAGATGCGTACCCAGGATAGTCAAGGTGTAGAACCAGCCTCTGGTCTGGTCCAGACCTTCTGAGATGAAGTTAGCTGGGAAACGGCTCTCGAAAGAATCCTTCTCTTCGAATGGGTAGTGACGAGAAGCATAAGGCATGGAACCGGATTCGAACCAACAGTCGAAAACAGGCTCAATTCTCTTCAAGACACCCTTGCCTAGCTTCGATGGGATTGTGATGTGGTCAATGGACTCACGGTGCATGTCGGTGATATCTTGAACTCCAGAAAGATCCTTCAGTTCTTGGATAGAACCAATGCAGACAATCTCCTCCATATCGTCACTCACCCACAATGGGATTGGGGTACCCCAGTAACGGTTACGAGAGATATTCCAGTCACGGGCGTTGGCAATCCAGTTGGAGAATCTCTTCTCCTTGATGGTCTGGGGAACCCAGTGGGTCTTCTCAACGTTCTCCAACATCTCTGGAATGATGTTCTTCACATCCACAAACCAGGAAGGAACGGTTCTGTAGATGAGGGGGGTGTCCGATCTCCAACAGAAAGGATAACTATGTCTGATCTGAGAGGCAAGCAAAAGCTTTCCGTTCTCCTTCAAGTGCTTGATGATCAAAGCATCTGCATCTTTGACATAGACGCCCTTGAAGTCAGGGACCTCGTCGGTGAACTTACCGTTGTCATCGACAGGGTTTGGAGGAGTCAACTTGTTGTTGATGATACCGGCAGCAGTGGCTGCTTCGAAATCCACCTCACCAAACGATGGGGCCTGGTGAACAACACCCGTACCAGATTCGTCGGTAACATAATCAGCCAAGATGACTCTAAAACCAGTCTCCTTGAACTGCTCATAAAAGTAGTCGAACAGAGGCTCGTACTTCCAGCCTTCCATCTCTTTACCCTTGATGTGGCCGACAATCTTGTATTTGGCCTTCTGAGGCTTTTGGTACAGAGACTTTATCAGCTTTTCCAGTATGATGTAGGTGATGCCGGTCTCTTCGTCAAACACCTTAGCATACTCAAAATCTGGGTTCACTGCCAAACCAATATTGGATGGCAGGGTCCATGGGGTGGTGGTCCAGGCAGCCAAGACAGTCTTCGGGTCATCCTTCAATGGGAATCCAATGGTGACTGCTGGATCGTTCACATCCTTATAATTGGATTGAGCCTCGAAATTCGAAAGAGCAGTAGTAACACCCGTAGAGTAAGGCATAACCCTCAATCCTTGGTAAACAGCACCTTTCTTGTAAAGTTCCTTGAATACCCACCAAACCGACTCCATGAACTCAGGATACAAGGTTTTGTAATCGTTGTCAAAGTCGATCCAACGACCCATTCTACCAATAGTCCTTCTCCATTCGTCAGCGTAAGTCATAACAATGGCACGACATTCCTCGTTGTATTTGGCAATTCCCATGGCCATGACATCTTCCTTGCTCTTGATACCAAGCTTCTTGTCAATCTCGTGCTCAACTGGCAGACCATGGGTATCCCAGCCAAAACGACGCTCGACAAAGTGGCCAGTCATAGTGGCATATCTGGGCACAATGTCCTTAATAGTGGAGGCCAAAATATGGCCATAGTGTGGGGTTCCGGTGGCAAAGGGTGGTCCGTCATAGAAGGTGAACGGGGTCTTGTCCTTTGTAAGCTCCAAAGAGGTCTGGAAGGCATCGATCTCACCCCAGAAGGCAAGAGTTTTCTCCTCCTCTTGCGGGAAGTTGATACTCTTGTTCTCAAGTTCAGACATCGTCGCTAAAACAAGTTTAAACCGTGGAACTGGAAGATAGTCGTTGTTGGCTTGTTGGTAATGACTTGCCTTCCAAAAGCTTTGAAGGCCCAAGTGAGTCAACGTCCAAAAAGTTTGAGGGCACGTATGAAAAATGGCAGTCGCTCCATTCCTAAACTTTTCACTGAAATCGGCTGTTTGTATTTAGCGGAGGATCATTGTGATCCGTGTGGCGTTTTTTTTTTATCTGAAGTCGGTTATATAAATACTGGCGATCTGTATTTGCCTCCTTTGTTGTTTTTCTTCTTGCTTGTGATATGAATCTGGAGAATGTCGTCTGCTGTTGAAAAGGTGTTCAGTGCCAACCTGGCCTACATATTTGGAGATGCCTTGCCCAAGACAGTTGCAATTGCGCTTTCAGGCGGCGTGGATTCCATGAGTCTGATCCATCTGCTTGACAAGTATCGTCACCAGCATGGTAAGGACATGGAGATCAGCACCGTGACTGTTAACCACAACCTTCGCCAGAACAGCGAGGAGGAAGCCCATGCTGTGGGCAAGATCATGAGCAGACTTGGTGTGAAGCACGAAATCTACAATCTGGAGTGGCCTGAAGGAAAGGACAATATCAGTGCCATGGAAAAACAGGCACGTGTCAAACGTTATATGACATTGCAACGGTACTGTCATGAAGGTTCCATTGGCCATGTCATGACAGGACACCATCTAGATGATCAGCTTGAGACCTTTTTGCAACGCCTGCGCTATGGAAGTTCGGTCTTCGGTTTGAGAGGAATGAAGATGCTTAGCCACATGCCCGTGGCTGATGTTTTTCCTCCGAGTTTTGTGAAGCCAGTTCAGGTCGCTAGACCTCTCTTGAACATAACCAAGCAGAGTCTTGTTGAGTACTGCCGGGAACACAACCACGAATGGTTCGAAGACCCAACTAATAGCGATGCTAAGGTAACCTATAGGAATGGTGTTCGTCAGTGGCTGAACGATCCTGCTGGGTTTGGTGTTCCGGAAATATTGCAGAAGAATGCTCTTTTGACGACTATGAAACAAGTAGTTGCTGTTGGAAATGATCTCGATCGCAAGGTTGAGGGTCTGCAGAGCTATCTCAAGGAACGTGGGCTTATCACGGGAATTTTGAACACAATGTCAATCACTGTTGTTTTGCCAGAAGAAGTGTTTTCGAAGTATGACCATCTCGTGATTAACCGTTTCCTTTACAGAACCTGTTTCATGATCTCGCCCTCCACGCAGTTCGCCTACAAGTTCTCGAAGTTTGACTCTTCCTTCGATCTGACCAATAACAAACCGATGGATCTTGCCGACAACTTGAGACAGACTTTGCAAACAGGTGAACCGGCGAAATTCACGTTGATGAATCTCAACTGGAAGGTGACCGCTCGTCCGGACAAGTCGCTGGAGATCAAGCTCAGTCGCGAAAGTCAGAGATCATATCAAGATTCCAAGGCTCAGAGCGGATCTTCCATGACTTTGCCTATTGCTGACTCTGAAGAAGGCCTTTATCTCCCTAAAGACGGTGAGTGGAGTGAGTGGTTCCTGTTTGACAACCGGTGTTGGATGCGTATGAGACTTCTTGGGTCTGTTCCTGAGGGGCTACGTTCGTTCAGAATAAGCAATTTCTCCGGAAAGGTCTCAGATCTCGAAGGTATTTTTGAAGAGGATCTTGTGGAATTGCCTTTCTCGCAACATAAGCTCCAGAACCAGCCAATTATTACTTATACTTGGAAGGACGATGAGAGTCGCGAGAAGATTGCGGGCTTCCCCACCTGGAACACTTGGAGTAAGTGGATCAAGGACCGGGTCGAGGTCAAATGGAGACTTAAAGGCGAGTACGAGGAAGGAAAGCCAATGGTTTTTGCTGATGAGAAATGATTGAATGACATACCATGTAAATATGATTGATGAAAAAACTTATAGATAGTATACATATAAAGTATGATGATGCAGGTGGGTTCATGTAGGTATATGGGGAACTATGCGAGAAAGTCTTTTTGATGCGTATGTGGATATTAGTGTGTCTAAATGTGTAGATGTATATGGGACATATTTGTATATGTATATGTATATGTATATGTAAATATATATATTCATGTCGTATGCCTATTAACGTCTACAAGAAACAAGAGAGATGATTTTGATCATATATCCGTGTTTACGTATGTACCTCTATCCTGATTTAGTGATAATCTTACTTATAAACTCGCATAATTATGTAATGGTGTACTCACTACGCATAAGCTCATATAGTAAACTGTTAGATCTCCTAAAATCATTAAGGCCTGTTTGTACCCATTATCCATATCCCATATATGATCAAAAACAACATACTTCCCCTATTCATAAATTTCCCTGGTCAACCATACACCATGATATTCCTCAGTATATACCCCCATCTATTAATTTCCATATTTAGATTCCTCGCAATATTAAGAAAGGCGTGGACTGCAAAAAGGCGATGCCGCGATGACGCGTTCGGTAAACTTACACGTTTGGGACTATTCAACTATTCTGAGACAAACCTCTTCCCCGCTTAAATTTTTGCTCTTTCTCGCAACTGTTTTACGGTGGACTCACCATGGACAATCGAAGGCCCAACGTGGCCTCATACTACTACGATAGTGACTCGGATCATTCCGAGGAAGTTCCATATGATGTGAGGCCTGTACCCAAATCATACATTCCATCCACGTCGACCTACACGGAGCCGCAGGGGTTTCCAGAAGAACCGGTCAGAAACCAGAGTTATGGAGGTAGCAGAGATAATTTGAGAGAGCCATTGGACTCGTATGAATTGGGGATGATGAACCATGCCGACACTTCAAGAACGTCTCTATACCAGGGAGATTCTCCAGAGAGGTACAGACCACCTGTTATCCACACAAAAGCCGACCATTCGTCTAGTGATAACATATTTCAGGGATACGAGTTCGACGATGACGAGGATGATGGCTTCGTGCCGTTTCCTATAGCTGGAAACTCATTTTATCCTATCAATGCGTATTCGGCGCCCTATAATCCCTTTGATTCCGACCGCATTCCCGAGGATCACTACGAAGAAGATGACGAGCCCGCTGAGAAAGAGGTTCACGATCCTTTTGCTGAACAAGAAGACTATCTGGATGAGTACATGGACTTGGATCCGGTCCAACCGCAAGTTGTGTCTGCTGAACCAGTAAGAACCACCAGACAGGTTCGCATGGTCAACGGAAATCTTATCCTGGACTGTCCTGTTTCAGATATCTTGCTCAGCAAATATCAGGCTGAGCTGACAGAGAAGGACAGAGAATTTCTGTTCATGAGATTCCAGGCCTGTACGAGCGAACCAGCCGGGTTTGAGGCCAAGAACTTCTCGCTCCGTCAAAGATTTTACTCGCGCCCTCGCACAACAGAGTTGATGATCGTTGTGACAATGTATAACGAGTCGGAAATTCACCTTGCCCGCACTCTGAAGGGTATCTTCAAGAATATTCGCTACCTCCAGAGTCTAAAACACTCTTCCGTGTGGGGGCCAGATGCCTGGCAGAAGATCGTGGTGTGTATAGTGAGTGATGGCCGCACAAAGATCAATCCAAGAGCACGGGCTCTGTTGGCTGCTCTCGGGCTTTATCAGGATGGTTTTGCCAAAAACCAGGTCAACGAGGACAAGGTTAAAAGTCATATCTATGAATACACGACGATGGTGGGAATCTCGTCCATCGAGGGGGATCACGTAAAGCTTACTACCGAAAACCAGGTGCCGGTTCAGATGATTTTCTGCTTGAAGGAGGACAATATGAAGAAGATCAACTCGCATCGCTGGGCCTTTGAAGCGTTTTGCCCGGTCCTGAAACCCAACGTTGTCATTCTGCTGGATGTGGGCACTGAACCTGCAAATAAATCCATATACAGGCTCTGGAAGGCTTTCAAAGACCCTCGTGTGGCTGGAGCATGTGGAGAGATCAAGGTTTCCCTTGGAAAGACCAAGAGACTTCTGCTGAATCCTTTGGTGGCTGCTCAGAATTTTGAGTATAAAATGTCTAACATTTTGGACAAACCCATGGAGTCCGTGTTCGGTTTCATTACCGTCTTGCCCGGAGCATTCAGTGCATACCGCTATGTGGCCCTACTGGGAACACCTCTAGACAAATACCTGAAAGGTGAAGACCTGGCCAAGTCCAACGAGGACGGTATCTTCAACGCGAACATGTATCTTGCCGAAGATCGTATTCTGTGCTTCGAACTGATCGCAAAACGAGGATGTAATTGGCTGCTGAAGTATGTCAGTGCTGCGTCTGCTTCCACAGATGTTCCTGAAGAACTTCACGATTTCGTCTCACAGAGGAGAAGATGGCTCAACGGAAGTTTCTTTGCAGCCATTTACTCTGTTTTCCATTTCTACAAGGTGTGGAAGACCACGCATTCGGTTTTTAGGCAGTTCTTGCTTCACTTGGAGTTCCTTTACCAGCTTCTGAGTCTGTTGGTTTCATGGTTCTCCATTGGGTCTTATTTCCTGGTATTCCGAATTTTGACGGTATATTTGGCACGTTCAGAGGCGAATTTCGCTCCGGGAAACATCCTTTCTGTGTTCTTCTTATGGCTCTATCTGGCAAGTATCGTGACCACATTCGTGCTTGCCTTCGGAAACAAGCCTAAGGGAACCCAAAAGTTCTACATTGTCATCGTCACATTCTTCGCTGTGTTAATGGTTTATATGATATTTGCTGCCATCTACATGGCCATCCAGTCCATAGAGAGCATTTATGCGGAACATAAGGACGATTTCAGCTTCACCCTGGTATTCACAGAGACCAGATTCAGAGACCTGGTCGTGGCCACTGGGTCTACCTATGCGCTGTATTTGATTGGATCATTGCTGTATCTAGAACCTCTGCACATGCTCACATGTTTTGTGCAGTACCTTCTGCTCTCGCCTACCTATATCAACGTTCTGAACGTGTATGCCTTTTGCAACATCCATGATATCTCATGGGGTACCAAGGGAGACGATAAGGTGATCGACTTGGGTATAGCCAAGAAGACTAGCAGCGGAGGCGAGCTGGAGGTGGATATCCCAACCACTAAAGCTGAAATAGACGGTAACTACAAGAACAATGTGGGAGTTTTAATGCAGCCAGAAGCAGAGCCGGATGCCAAGATCAATTTGGAGGAGAAAGAGCAGTTCTACTATGCCTTTATACGGTCCATGACGGTTCTCCTCTGGATGTTCTCCAACTTCGTTATCATCGCGCTAGTTACCGAGACGGGTGGACTTTACCAGTTTACCCCAGACGATTCCAGTGACACCACGTTTTTACCCTCCACAAGAACAGACATCTTCCTCACTGTCATTCTATGGCTGGTTGCATTCATGGCACTTTTCAGATTCGTGGGATGTGTGACGTATCTGATCCTCAAGTTCTTTTCAGGGTTACGAGACCGAACTCGTCGTTCTTCCAAAAACGTCTACTCTGTGTGAAGATGATGGACCAGTGAAGGTCTATGTTTTGACAAACTTTGGACTATGATACAAGATTTTTGTTGTTTGGAATTGGTGCGACATTTTGCCTTACTCGTCATAATCGTTCTTTGGAGGAGGTGCATAGTCCGACCTCATATACATGTCGATTGCACCAGAAAAGGCAGCGAAACCAGCACATCCCACGAGTGCGGCCTGGGGTCCACTCTTTATTGCCAGGCCGGCACCCGTAATACATCCGGCGCCGACACCGTTCCAAATATCATTTTTCGCTCTCAGACTCTCGACACTGCACTCGACTCCAGCAAAAATCATGCCTATATAACCGAAATTTTTCGCACTGGACCATGCTCGCCTACCCATGTCGGTGAACTGTAGCTTCATTTGTTGTTTAAGCGGGAGATCCGAGATATGAGTAACACCGGTCATACCTACCGGTACATCATAAGCCATCGAGGCCATAAACAGACCGAAGAAACCACCCAATCCAAAACCGGCCACACCACTCATCGCAGCCTTTCCTGGACATGACTGCATGGAGTCAATGAAAAACTGGGCACCTGCCTCGGCCTGTTCTTCCTGGGTCATCTCGGCAAACGATTTCTTCGGACCAGGAAGTCCGGGGAATCCTTGCGATCCACTCATCTTGAAGGTCTGTAGTGATGATGGTGAGTATCAGTAGAGCTCTAGTTGTGCAGAGTTGGTGAAGGCGATAGTGGATTTTGAAAAATTCAGCTGAGTTGCGCACGACTGTCAAGATTGGGCCCAAGTAGAGATATGGAGTTGGTATGCTTAATTATATCCCGTTATATTGTTCTATTATTTGTCACTGAATATGTAATACTGTTGATGCTTTGTAATACCTGATGTTGCTCGTGGAGCCCGTATCTTCCTACCCATAGACCCATATCAATTGGTCTCAAACCAATACCATGCACTCGCGTTCAAATGGCAACCACAGAGCGCGATCTTCCTTCTCTTTCCAAAGGAGGGAGGTCTCTGTCCACGGTTTCTGCAATTGGGACACTTCCCATAAGACCTCTTGATTCGGCAAAGCCAGAGCTTCTTCTGAAAGAGGGACTTTCCTGGTAGAACTCGTCCAGTATAGGATGCAGCAAAACAGTCTGGTTCTTCACAGTGATCATAGAGTTTGTAGGTACCGCAATCCAATCGCCTCTCTCAAAGGTGAGCGGTTCCGAAGCAATCATGATCACATCCTGGGACCTATCAACCCTTTCCATCCTGTACTGGCCCGGCTCGTATTCCACAAAGCTAGAACCAGTGCTGAAGTGCAATGAGGCAGCCTCCTCAGTTTTTGAGGTGATATATCTCGATACCACAATGGAAGAACCATCGGTCACGGCAAAGTTCAGTAAAGAGGGCTCAGGGTTTTCAACATTCAGCTCAACAGTCCATTCCTTGATGTACTCTATCGTCTTCATCAAGGCCTTTCTCACAACTGCATGACCAAAATCGCCCCTGGGGTCTTTTATGTTGACGCCCATCTTGTGTAAAGTATCCAAAAAGAGCGCAAAAGCACACTCAGAGTCTGTGGCTCCCTGAATGTGCAACAGAAACTCGTCCTCGATATGGTCGAAGATCTTGCGCTTGATTCTTCCAAAATACGCAATCTGTCCGTTATGCATAAACATGATGTTGTGATAGGTGAAAGGGTGGCAGTTGGTCTCGCTCAACACACCGTAAGTAGAAGCTCTCACGTGGGCAAACACCAGCTCAGATTTGGTCTTTTCAGCCAACCTCTTGAGATTCAGGTTATTCCAGGCCGGTGTAATTGCCTTGAAAACGCAGGGACCATCTTGATCAAGTTCCTCGTCCAAAGTGTAGTAGCCTACGCCAAACCCGTCCCCGTTGATTGGTCTCCTCATATCCAGTCTGAGTCTAGAGTCGAATGATTGGTTGATGATCGAGTGCGCCGGACTCGTTAACAGATCCGAGAGCAACAACGGCTTCTTTCCCTTGAATATCAGAAATCTGCACATCCTCAATAATTAAATAGATGCTAACAATTTCAACCGAATGGAGGGGGCAATTTATGTCAAAGACAACACAATGAGAAGAGTCACCATCGGCATCTCAAATTTTTGCGTGCGCGGCCCAAGCGTCAAAATCGAACGGCTCTGCGCCGTTATCTGGCTTCAAGTTCTTGTTGTTTTAAGGATTGAGTCTAACAAAGGCTATCCAACGCTATGGAGCAAGTGCAAGAGCCAGTGGTTGCTCCTGAGCCGAAGCATGTGGTAAAGACTATTGACATCTCGTCGATCTTGCCGGCACCAACTTATCTTCCCAGTATATCCTCCCTGAACCTTAATGATGACGGCACCGATAAGGACAGTGCAGCCGATGGGGACGAGACAGAGCTCGACGAAACCTCCAGAAACACGCGGTTGAATGCTCTGCTTTATGACAAAGCTGTGGCTGATTTTGGGGAAGATACAAATTTTCCAAGCTCTAGAACGGAACTGCGATCGGCCTCTCCATCAGTTTATACGGCCAGTGGGCAGCTGCTGTCTCCTTCCCTGAAACCTGCCGGTTCTGCGAAGAAACCTGCGCACATACGACCCGATATGTTCGAAGTGCGAATCATGTTTGAAACGCTCTCCGCGGCTGAGTCTTCTAACCTTACACTCACATTAAAGACTCGCCATAAGGACTTCAGGTTTTCACGGATATCTCGGACTTGGCTGTGCGGGTATGATGAAAACGAATGTTCTCTGGTTGCATTGAAGTGGGCTGTTGATGAGATGATGGATGATGGAGACACAATTGTTTGTTTGCGAGTGTTGGACAAGCACCCAGACGAAGTGAGGAAGGCCGCGGAGAAATACAAACGCGAAAGTTCCAGTATAATGGACGAGATCATATCGCAGAACGTGAGTGATAAGGCTATTTCGATTGTTTTCGAGCTTTCTGTGGGAAAAGTGCCCAAGATGATTGAAAAAGCGATCTCGGACTACGATCCAAGCATCCTCATTGTGGGAACCCGTGGAATACAGAAGACCAAATTCAAAGACGCGTTCATCACCCCAAAGTCCATGTCGAAGTATTGTCTCCAGTTCTCGTCGATTCCTGTGATTGTTGTGAATCCGTGGTATGTTTCCACGCCCCTGAATATCAGTGCTAATAATAGCTCTGTGAATCTGACTGACGAAAATCCGATAGATGACTTAAGTGCGGTTTTCAAGGAAAGATTAGAGAACTACGTGACTTCCCCAATAGGTACTCCAACTGCAAGACCTCTCCTTGCACACCAAGATTCCAGTGGAAGCATTTCTCATATATCCCTCGACTCCAGTGTTGAACCCCGTTCAAGACTGTCCAAGTTCAGAAGGGCACTTTCTCCAGCGCCCTCACCGTCTCAGTCTCCTCTCATGTCACCATCCGATGAGCGGGCCCTTTCACCTGTTAGAAGTCGGGGAATGTCGCCAGGAGGTTCATTGCTGCCGAGAAATTGGTTGAAGAAGAAGACTCAAAGTGAACGATAGAAATTAATAATTCATAGTGATCATTGGATAATTCATACAGTCGAGGGTGATTAAACCGAGACCTGCCCCACCATTTCTTTTTCTGCTCCGCTACAATTTCTCCGTGATTTCTTTTATGTGGTGAAGATATCATGTAACCAGTCAAGGGTTAGATTATGGCAAGTTGAACAAAGAATATCAGCTTTGTCTGAATGGATTAAACAAGAAGGTTGTGCATTAAAACCAAAATGAGCCGCACCGAGCATTCAAACATTTACTGAAAATTCTATAAACCAGCAAAAAATAGGGCAAAAATAGCTCGTGTTTCAGCAAGGAAGCAATCAGGGAATCCTGAGTTTTGGATTGCCGTTTGTAAGAGTTTGCCAGACTGACGTGAGGCCAACGTCGTCTCATAAACTACGCTCTAGTCCTTACATTCACTTACTAGGTTCGGGAAAACATGAACCATTTGAGTATCAAGAAAGTTGTAGAAACAGTGGATGGATAAGTTTCATACATTCCAGCATAATAGACTAAATTGCGTCTAAAAACCTCACTGTCCGTTTTTTAACTCCGGTATCACCCTAAAATCCGACTGACGTTTGCCGACGAGTAAACAAACTCGCAATACCATTCTCATCGCCACATTTCTATAATGATTTATATATGGCGGGCTACCTATCTTGAAAAGTCATTCGGGCTGACACTTTACCAGAAAAGTACTTGGATTTCTTGTCTGGAGTATGGTGCGGCTGAAATTTAGGGTGGAGCAGAGATCATGCTGTCTGCGATAAATCTCCAGATTAATTAAGATTGGAAACCATTATATGATTATTGTTACGGAGAAATATGTATACATCTTTTTCGTCGGTTTTTACGATAGAGATCAAGCATATTATATCGGCTTTAGCCCCTCGCGTGAAACCCACGGAGATAAGTGTACTTCGGCATTAAGTTTTCATGTATTTTATATATATGTTTATACATATATATAAGCAGTCAACTTTCCACACACTCAGCTAGACAACCGTAAGCATATACCACCAACCATGTCTGATATAAGTATCCATAGTGAAAAGGCTAAGGAATTGTCCGTAGACGAAGAAGCTGCTGCTGCTGCACAAAAAAAGATTTTTGAAGAGAGTAATGCAGGTGATGGTACTCACCGTGAAGACCATTACCTGCATGGTACCCAGTTATGGATATGTGTTGTGGCATTGTTCCTATGTATGTTTTTGGTGGCTCTCGACCAGACTATCGTTGCGACCATTTTGCAAGTGGTGGGTAATCACTTCAATGCCGAGAGCAAAGTTGCGTGGATTGCAACTGGCTTTTCGTTTTCAATGGCCGTATTCATACAAATTTGGGGAAACATCTCGATAGCAATCGGAAGAAGATACTGTCTGTTTTTGGCAGTTGCACTGTTTGAGATCGGCTCTCTCATTTGTGCTCTTTCAAATTCCATGAATATGTTAATCGGAGGAAGAGTTATTGCTGGTTTTGGTGGAGGTGGTATTCAGTCCTTAGTGATGGTGATCATTACCGAGATTGTTCCCATCGAGAAAAGACCTATCGCCATGTCAGGATTTGCAGTCACTTTCGCCATAGCTTCTGTTTTGGGTCCGCTAGTGGGAGGGGCTTTTACCACGAATGTTTCGTGGAGATGGTGTTTTTATATCAATCTGCCTATTGGTGCTGTGGCCGCTGTGGTGGTGTTCTTTGTGTTTCACCCTCCTAAACCAATGGGAAAGATTCTTCCGAAACTGAAAATTATTGATTGGATTGGATTTTTTCTCATGGTTTCTGGATTCACACTGTTTTTGCTTGCGATAACCTTTGGAGGAAATGAGTTTCCATGGAAGTCTGCTGCGGTGATCTTGTGTTTCATTCTTGGAGGTTTGCTCATTGGTGCTTTTTGTTTATGGAATTTCAAATACTCCAAGCATCCTTTGATCCCAGCAGAAATCATCAAAGTTGGTACCATTGATATTGCCTGTGTGGGAATGTTCTTTGTGTTTGGCTACTTCATGTCGGCTATTCTCTACGTCTCTTTATATTTCCAGGTTGTTAAGGGGTATGACGCTTTGGATTCTGGTGTTTCACTTCTTCCCACAATTTTGCCGGTTGTGATAAGTTCTATGGCGACAGGTATCGCCACTACGAAGACCGGACACATTAAACCATTCACGATTCTTGGTGGGCTTCTTGGGCCTTTGGGTACTGGCTTACTATGCCTTTTGAACGTTCACTCGGGAGTATCTCAGCGTATTGGTTGTCAAATCGTGCTAGGTTTATCAACAGGTATTATGATGCAACCTTTCATACTGCATATCCAAATGGCTGCACCCAAGACCCCGGGATCCTCCATTATTGCCACTACCTTGTTTAACTTTTCCAGGAATCTCGGTGCGGCTGTCGGTTCGGATTTGTCGCAGTTGGTTTACACATCCACCCTCTCTGCTAAGATGGCAGCTCTCAAAGGAACCCCCGCGTATTATAGTGCAGGTCTGGACAAGTACGACCTCGATGCGCTAATCAACGACACCGCACAGCTAAAGAAGCTGGCAGAGCCAGCTAAGGAAATTGTGTTGAATGTATTCATGGCTGCTTTCAAAAACATATTTTATATGTCTATCGGCTTTGCATCGATTGCTTTCGTCAGCACGCTCTTCATGCCCAATCACAGACTTCCAAAGAAAAGCAAGGGAGTGGTGGAGGAAAAATCAGATGAAAGCGAAGAGAGAAAAGATGAAAATCACACTGCTGACGAGGCACCAGCGGCTGATACTGGGGTAGAGACCAAGTCCACCAGTCAAGGGAACTCGGAGTAAGTGTACATATGCGCAGAACACTAGCTAAGGAAACAGTGGACTTCAGATGATAACACAGGCAAACATTTAGTCATGGATAGAAGCTGATGAATTTCTTATAACTAAGTTGTCAACTTCAAAGGACAAACTAATTGCAACAAAATTGCATCTGTAGAAACGGCATTAGAAGACTATGCATATCATGAGCCTTTGCTCAAAAAAAGCCTTGCCAAATGTGCATTTAATTTGAATACTTCAGTCAATCAAGCGAGCTATCACCAACGCAATAGATTCCATACTCAACAACTGTATTTCACCGTGTTCCTGTCGTTACATATATATATATATAATGGTTCATGCATTATCGTGCATAAGAGCATCTGCTTGTGTATGCACGTCTTCCGGTAATAATCCGAGCCATCGCGCGTCGGATTTAATACGGCATAATTTATACTGAATATCTTCAATCCCAGCCTCTAGTTTTCAATGTATAAACCAAGCCAAGGCTCAATTTCGTGCTAATTTTTCAAAATTCATGTCTTAATCAAACCTGAGAAACGTTTGAGAAACGCTCGAAACTTCACACACCAGACCTCCATCAAACCATTATCGCTACACCTATCTACATCCTTCCTACATCTCAAACAATGTTCTCATCTATACAGTCTAAACAGTGGGCTTGACTCCATACCCGTTCACATTTTTAAATATTTTAATCTCGTCGCCATCGACAAACTGGCAAGAACGGGCGCTCTTCCAGAGAAACCCCAACATTCTCTCGTTAAAGTGCTTGTAGCTATCGCCCAAAACTGGCTTTATGGCCTCCGACACAGGTCTGGCGTTATAAAAGGGAATACGCGACACAAAATGGTGGAGAACATGGGTCTCGGTAATGTCGTGCAAGAAAAACTTCCCGATCAAACTCATGATCAATGGTGGCAGCAGCACCACGGGAAAAGCTCCAGGCCGACGCCTCGTAGTGGGGCAAGACTGGATCGGTGTGTCACAAAAAGGTAATGAACACGAGCCAGCGGATGCAGGCGACATGTGGCAAGAACCAATTGAAAACAGGTTGGAGCCGCCAAGGGTCTGTTTATACCAATCTATGCTCCTTCACTACTTATCTTTCGTATCCCACACAATCGTCACAGGCCCGTCATTAACCAACGAAACGTCCATCATCTCACCAAATTGTCCATCCTTGACATTTTCACTTCCAATTGCGCTTTTGAGCTTCTTTAGGAACTCGTCATACAGTTCAACTGCCAAATGGCCCTTCTGCGCCTTATGAAAATCAGGCTTCGTTCCCTTCTTGATGCTAGCATATAGCGTGAACTGCGAAACCGACAAAATCTCGCCCTTGATATCAACTATAGACTTCTGCCAAGGCTTCCCATACCATTTTGTCTTTGTCTCTGGTGGATTCGACATGTCTTCAAATACCCGCAGCTTCAACACTTTCGAGGCCAACTTTTCAACGTCTTCTGCGGTGTCTTCGGTGGAGATCCCCACCAGCAGCATCAGCCCCTTGGATATCTGTGAGATCACCTTATCATCCACTGTGACCGAAGCGGATTTCACCTTCTGTATGACAACTCTCATTGGGTGATTGTGGTTGGGCTAGAAGATTAGATAGCTGAGAAGAGTTGGCATATGTTAGAGGGCATCGGCTAGAGTTGCCTTTACGTCAGCAGAAATGCAAGAGGTTGGATATCGAAATATTCGAGATAAGCATAGTTGAATTAAATTCCTGGTACCTTGCTTTGTCAAAAAGACCTGATTATCAGCCAAAGTTCAACAATGTTTAACATTTTTTATCGTTTTTGACCGTTATAAGCTATGTACAGTGCTTCTATGCCGTGGCCTAATTGCCTATTCGCCTATTCTGCTCCTCGCTATTTCTCAAAAGTCCTTCCGTTATCAACACCGCTATTCTTCTCTACAATCCCCCATATTCTGTCCATAGCAACCCCACCCATATCATCTACAATGTAGAAGTATTTCTTGGTGCCGGTTTCGGGGTCGTCAAGCACCCAGTTGACCCAACCGAATCTGGTCTCGTAATCTTTGGGCAATCTCAGATTTTTGACTGCCACAAGCTCGTTATAAGTCTTGGTTCCCATAAAGTTGATCTTCTGGATCACAAGTGTCTCTTCGTCAGTCAAATTCTCCAGAGTCTGCGGCTTTGAGGTGTCGTAGAGTCTGAACACCTTGGCCACATAAGGCGCAGAAAGGTATTGAACCACGGGAAAGGGTGCCACCGTAAAAAAAGCTACCAACGTACTCGCTCCTTCAAAAAAGATGTCAGTCATCTCCATCATCGAGCTCATAAGCAACCCCAGAACTGCAAATCCAAATGAATTCCGCTTGGCACCAGCGTTGAAATTTGCCAAAGGAGCATCATACATATGCGTGTGGCCTAATCTAAACTTCTCGTCCAAAAGTCTGTTGAATATGAAAGATCCAGGAACCCTGGTGAACACTTTCTGGTCCTGCTTGAGCATGAACTCCAAAGGTTCTTGCCCCAGTCTGATCTTGTCCAGCAAGATAGAGGAACCACAGAACGCCCGACTCGGGCCTGTTGCTCGCAAAATGGTGTTTCCCCCTATGGAAGATCTCCTCATGGCACTCAACATGTTTCCCAACAGCAAAAACTGATGTAAACTGCTACTGAAGATACAGCCTCAAAGGAATTCCCTCTCTCTTTCTTCCAGGGCTCAATCAGCTCTGCGTATACCACAGACCGCCTATTGCGTAATTCTCGTCCCTCTTTGTTATGGTTTCAATAGGTTGTCACACGACCATTCACCCGATTTTTTTCTCGTTGCGAGACAAATGGAACTGGCTTTGTGACCTGTTGCCTCTTTGTCGCACCCAATATATCCAACTCAGGGAGCTTAGTAAACAGGCTCTTGTTGATACGCGGATCCTTGTTATAAGCATACCTTGTTTATAAAGACTGTCATTGTTCGCTTCCGTTGCAAGCTCATCCCCTCACAGCTACCCGATCCGTGAAATACACCCTACAACCATGGACTCGGACGCCACCACCAAATTCGTCCCTGAGTACAGGAAGACCAATTTCAAGAATAAGAACCGTTTCCAGAGCGATGAAATCCGCAGACGTCGTGAAAACCAGCAGGTTGAGCTTCGTAAGGCCCGCAGAGACGAGATCTTGACCAAGAAGCGCAATTTTGCCGGCCCCAAAGTGCTCGGAAACGACTCCGACGACTCCGACGATGAGTCTAAGTCTGATAACAACTTCATGAACAAGCTACAACATGATTTGCCGGTAATGGTGAATAAGATTCAGTCCGACGATTTGCAGAGCCAGCTGGAGGCAACCATCGAATTCAGGAAGATCCTTTCGCGCGAGCACAATCCTCCAATCGATGCTGTAATCGAAAGTGGTGTTGTTCCCAGACTGGTGAGTTTCATGAGTGACACCCCTGAATTGCTTCAGCTCGAGGCCGCCTGGGCTCTGACCAACATCGCCTCTGGCAGCTCCAACCAGACCCGCGTGGTGGTCGATGCCGGTGCGGTTCCACTGTTCGTAAAATTGCTCTATTCCCCATCTGTTGATGTCAAAGAACAGGCCATTTGGGCTCTCGGTAACGTTGCTGGTGACTCTTCGGCTTACAGAGACTACGTGCTCAGTTGCGATGCTATGGACCCGGTTTTGTCCCTCTTTGCTTCCCAGAAGGCTACGCTCATCAGAACCGCTACCTGGACTCTTTCCAACTTGTGTCGTGGCAAAAATCCACAGCCTGAGTGGAGTATCGTGAGAGCTGCTTTGCCTACTTTGGCCAAGCTCATCTATTCCCTTGATCTCGAAACCTTGATTGACGCTTGTTGGGCCATCTCGTATCTTTCTGATGGACCACAGGAGGCCATTCAGGCTGTTGTGGATGCTAGAATCCCCAGAAGACTCGTTGATCTTCTGACCCACGAGTCAAACCTGGTGCAAACCCCGGCTTTGAGGGCAGTCGGAAACATTGTCACCGGAAACGACAACCAGACCCAGATCGTGGTCAACTGCGGTGTTTTGACTGCACTTGCTCCTCTTCTGAACTCGTCTAAGGAGACTTTGCGCAAGGAGGCATGTTGGACTGTTTCCAACATCACTGCGGGTAATACCGATCAGATCCAAGCCGTCATAGACAGCAATCTGATTCCGCAGATCATAAGGTTGCTGGCGACCGGGGAGTACAAGACCAAGAAGGAGGCATGTTGGGCCATTTCCAACGCGTCGTCTGGTGGACTGGCCAAGCCGGAGCAGATAAAGTATCTCGTGAACCAGGGGTGCATCAAGCCGCTGTGCGACCTGCTCACACTTGCGGATTCCAAGATCATTGAGGTTGCGCTCGATGCTTTGGACAATATTCTGAAGGTTGGCGATATCGAAAAGGAGACCTTGGGGTCTCCAGTAAACCAGCATGCGATCTACGTTGAAGAGGCCGGTGGAGCAGAGAAGATCTTCGAGTGCCAGCGCAGTGAGAACGAGAGAGTTTACCAAAAGGCTTTTGCTATTGTCGAAAAGTACTTCAGTGCTGAAGATGATGATCTCGACAACGATGTGGATGGCCTCAACCCAGAACAGTCTGGCGACGCCTTTGGATTTGGTATCGGGTCCTCCCAGAGGGGAGAGTTGGAGTTTAACTTTAACTGATTAATTTTGCTCAAAGAATGTGGATGTTGTAGGATCAGGAGTAGATGAGACTGGTGGGAGTTATAGTAAAGTACACAATATCTGACTGTGCTACCATTTTATGGGATATCGCGCGGTATGCATGTATACTGCAGTATCACAAAAATAAGCTGCAGAGTGAACGAATATTATTCTTCAGCTGGATATGATGAAATATATGGCGCATTATAAGACAACAATATTCCACCCAATTCAATGCTCTAAAACTCTACAGATTATACGGTAAGCGATACTCCATTGTATGTCCGAGCTTGCGGCTGAGTGGTCTCCCGAACCAGCCGTGGGCAGTATACTTGCAGCTTCCTACAACGAGCCGAGGATGCCTATCAGGCACAGCAATCGGACAGGATTTACAGATGATCAATAAGTCTTCAAGTACAATTCGAACTAATATCAGAATCCTAGAAGAAACATCAATAACTTCGCGCGATTTAACCACAGCTTGAGGTGTTTATAGGGCCAAGGCCTTGGCCATGCCTTGGCTATCGCTATTTCGACATAAGCCGACGAGTCTCCGAGACCTCTCCAACGGCCCTCCACCTTACTCGGTACCGAGGTGCCCGGGCCGTCACACGCCACCTGCGCCACACCTTAATCCCGATCGGGGCAAAGCTGTCTCGAAAACAGCTCGCTCTGATATGTTCAGTGCACGATCACAGTAATCTACTTACCCAAAAGTCCTCAGCACCGCCACTCAATGTCCCAAAAGGGAATCCCAAACAAGCAGAAAATTCTCTCGGCTGCCTCTGCGTGCTTTGAGCGGTTTTACTGGTTCCCCCTGTGGGTAATCCGGCTGGGGGTCTTTCTTGAATTTGTCTTGCTCTTGCTTCTTCTGTGCTCTTTTTTGTTTAACCAGATACCATGAGAACCTCAACTCTGCTTGCTGGTGCCGTTGCGGCCCTTTCAATTGGTACGATGGCGGAAGCTGCGGCCAAGAAGGATGACAACGTTGTCACCGTCACGGTGTACGGAACATCAACAACCAACACCCACAAGTATGGACGTTTCGACAAGACCAAGAAGTCTAGCGAGTCCAGTTCTACCGGAACTCACAAGTACGGAAGATTCGACAAGACCAAGAAGTCTAGAGAGCCAAGCTCAACCGGAACCCACAAGTACGGCAGATTCGACAAGACCAAGAAGTCTAGCGAGTCTAGCTCAACTGGAACTCACAAATACGGTAGATTCGACAAAACCAAGAAGTCCAGTGAGCCCACTTCAACCGGAACTCACAAGTACGGAAGATTTGACAAGACCAAGAAGTCTAGAGCTCCAAGCTCGACCGGAACCCACAAGTATGGAAGATTCGACAAGACTGCCAGAGCCTCCACGACAACTGTTTTCGTCTTGCAAGAGAGAGGTGTTTCTAACGCCAGCAACATCACAACTGCCTCTACCGACGGTGCTAATGGCCTGATGTCTGGCTCTGCCTTCTCGCTTGGTGCTGCTGCCGTTGCAATTGGTGCTGTTTTGATCATCTAATCCGGGAACGCTGATCTGGTTGGTGATAGAATCGAAAGCTTTAGTTTAATTAATACAAAAAGACTTTAATTTATTTTGTTGTAGGAAGAACGAGAATTATGCGGAGACTCGGCGGAGACTCAGGATGGACATACTATGGAGAGGACGTACTCGACTAAACTTTCTACAGTTCCCGCTTGTACTTAATTTGCTACCATGCAATTGCGATTGGCTTTTATTGAAGTTTTAAAAAGTCATTGGTCTATTATAAAGACATTTTAGAGTCGTTTACGACGCTGGTGCAAAACCACAATTACCTGCATTAACCATGTGAAAAGAAATTCGTTATGCAAGTAATATTTATTTCACCAGTTTTGAAATTTTGATCTGCCTTCTGGCAAGTTGGTTATGCTCATGTTCTTCAAACTCATACTTTGTCATTAATTTACTTATTTTTGCGTCAATCAGAGGTCAGATCCACAATCTCTATCTCTGGTTGGCTTTTGACTCTCTTGCGTTTCGGTTCATCCTTTTCAGTCTTCTTGATCTTATCGCTCTCTTCTTTTTCAAACTCACCTTCCTCTGTTATATCAATAATCACCAATTCATCATCCTCGGGAGCATTTTCCGTCTCTTCTCCACACCATTTAGAATCCTTGAGTCTCCTCTCAGTGGCCTCTGCAATCAGCTCGCGCATGCTCTTCCCCGAATTACCATTGGGCTCACCACCCAGTTTTCGCCGCTCGCTCTTGTACCCTGCTATAGCCAGTTTCTTTAGTCTCGCACTATTCACGTTGACGGAAGCGTTACTCCTGAAAGATCCTCCGAGAACGTTGTTGAAACCAACGTATCCGGTTGTCTCAAGAGCCCCACGCACCTGGATCTCTTCAAACCGCGTCCTTAACTTGTCCAAAAACCCATAAAAAGCGGCATCGTGAGGCCCAAACCGATTGTGAGTGAGCTCATGAAGCATAGTACCAACAAGCTCGCCCATGGGCATAAAAGTGTTCAAATTATTCGCGGGCCTCAGCCGTATGCACACCTTTGATCCATGATTCACGTTGAGTCCAAGCAGGTTCGGAGACCTAGGATTAAACTCGCATAACAACCCCACTTTGAAGCCATGTTCCCGCATTAATGGCGCCACCTGTATTGCAATATCATGCAGAATCCGCAGTGCTTCGTCGCGTTGAGGTAACTTTTGTAGAGAGGCGATCTTGGAGATCTGGTCTGTCGGAGACTTCAGGTGCGGGCTCTCCTGCTTGCGAGCGCGCTTTGAGAACCGGCCCTTGACTACCATGGTTCAAGACCGAGAGATTTTGAGAACTTGTCAACTGGGCAGGCGTGGTGCAAAGACGATAAATGAGTGAAAACATGCACCTTGAAGGCGATTAAATCTCGAAGCGTGTACCGTCCATTGATCACGTGATCTCTTATCGTGTTTGGCCTGTTCGTTGGATGTTCGTGATCTCAACTGATCAAAAATACTAGCAATGAGCGCTTGAGTTGATTGCCGGTAAGCCCTATTGGGATATTGGGGGAGATTATCCGAAGTAAGCTGTTAGTGAGTGACAGCATCTTGACACAGGGTACTTTTAAGATCTCAATTGTGGTTATCAGCATGGGCAGGGTGGTGTACTATTACTACAATAACAGCTGACTATTTGCACTACGACGATCTTCATTTGTTAAAGACAGAGCTGAAAGAACCAGGACTTTAGTACCAAATTTGCGGGCTTGTGCGGCGGATACCCAATGGTCGCAATTACAATCAGAGATATCTGTTAGTCCAGATAGGAGAGCGGTAGGTAATAAACTTGAACTAATCTGAAAAGTCGAAGAAGGCGCATTATATACAAATGAAGCGTTTCTGAGAAACTGAACGGCTGACTATACCCAGTGTGTGCCGTCTTTCAACAAAGCTGTCCGTCACCATGTAGAACTGCATCCAAACTCTTATGTGACATCTGCAAAGCCGCAGCAACGCCTTCTACCTCTAAACTAATCCAAAATAATCCTGCGCAAACCACTACAAAGCCAGTGCAAATACTACATGAAGATCATTATTGCTGTATACGGCACCGCTAAATCGGCCCTTAAACGGATTCTTTAGAGAAAAAAAACTGTTGCGCGGGATCAAAGCGCCAAACCTTCGTGCAGAAGATATGTCCCAATGCGGTAAGAGCCGTTTTTCACGGAGCAGCCGAGTGTGATTTCTTTTTGTGGATGCGCCAGATTTTTTTCTTTGTCTTTATTAAACCGCTTAGTCCCTTGGTTCACCGGTTTATATTTTCAGATAACCCCTGCTGGGATAGAGAGAGATATTGACATAAACATACAAATCCTAATTTCAATTTTGCACAATGTCCAAATATGAATGCAACCACCACATGACTGGGTTCCTCAAGGAGTTGCCCAAGTGTGAGCACCACGTTCATCTTGAAGGCACGCTTGGTCCAGATCTGTTGTTTCCTCTGGCAGCAAGAAACAATGTTCAGCTACCAAGCCATTTCCCCAAGGATGTGGAAAGTCTGAACAAGAGATATTCCGAGTTTACGGACCTCCAGGATTTCCTCAACTTTTACTACATCGGGATGTCTGTGCTCATCCAGGAACAGGACTTCTTTGACCTTGCGTGGGCCTACTTCACCAAGGCACACGCAGATGGATTGCACCATGCTGAGACATTCTTCGACCCTCAGGGTCACGTGGAGAGAGGCGTCTCGATCGACGTGGTTGTTCGTGGATTCGAGAGAGCCGCACAGCAGGCCGAGAAGGAGCTGGGTATCTCTACCAGATTGATCATGTGTTTGCTGAGACACTTGCCACCAAAGGATGGATTGGCCACAATTGAGAGTGCTAGGCCTTATTACAAGGCAGGTACCATCCACGGTCTTGGATTGGACTCGGCCGAGAAGCCTTTCCCTCCCCATTTGTTTGAGGAGTGCTACAAAGCAGTTAGAGACTCTTTCCCAGAGGTGGGACTGACTGCCCATGCCGGTGAAGAGGGTGGACCAGAATTTATCACCAACTCTTTGGACTTATTGAATGTGACCAGAATCGACCATGGAGTCAACTCGTTCCAGGATGAAGATCTTTTGAAGAGGTTAGCCAAAAACCAGACCCTTCTGTCGTTGTGTCCGTTATCTAACGTCAAGCTGCAGGTGGTCAAGGACGTCTCCGAGTTGCCAATCCAGAAATGGCTCGATTTTGGAGTTCCATTTTCCATCAACTCGGATGATCCAGCTTACTTTGGAGGCTACATCTTGGACAACTACATAATGGTGCACACGAGGTTTGGTTTCGACCTCAAGACCTGGTGCAAGATCGCGGCCAATGGTGTGAACGGATCGTGGATCTCGGATGCCAGAAAGAAGGAGCTTCTCGAGAAAATTGATCAGGTGTACACCAAGTACCAGCCACTGATCGAGGCCTGATTTGCATTCATTTGTTTATTACCAGGCCGTTTACACAGTTAACCATATAATAGAATTATCATAATCATAGAGCGATAATCCAAGCCGTAGTAGTATGGTAGTGCGCCGTGCCAAAACTTTATGAACGAAAAGATTTGAAAACAACGAAGAACCACGACACGACATTCACCAGTTACTTTATCTACTGATTGCCTTTACTTTGGTTTTTTTGCCTGAATTCGTTACAATGGCCGACTCCAAAGGCCACGTATTTGGATTCTTCACGAGGGATTCCAAGGACGATGGTGTCAAGATCGACAAAACCGATCTCCAATCAAAGAGGGCCGTCCAGAAGACCAAATCAACAGGCGTGCCTACCAAAGGCTTCTGGGGATCTGATCGTTACGCAAGGCAAACTCTGGATAGTTCAAAATGGATGGGTAACCAGTATCTTTTGTTGAAAGACCCTTTGGCCTCTGAAAGAGAAGCTGCAATGCCCTCTCTCTCGACTACACCTCCATTGAACCTGGCAAGTACCTATGTTGATAATTCCATCTCCAAAGACAGCAACACGCCCATTCTGAGTGAAGTGATGACTGAATATGCAATTGATAATTACAATTTCCAGCCGATGTCTGGTTTGGCTGCCTTTTCGCGTTTTGAAAAGACCAACATCATCAGCTTGCCAGACCGAATCTTGGAAGAGTACAACTCTGCGGATTCCATCACTAATATGGGGATTTTAAAGGAGATCAAGAGGTGTTGGATTACGATAGACAATAAACTGATTTTGTGGAACTACAACGCGGAGGACCAGTTCAATTTGGGTCCCACAGATTACCTTACCATCGACCAGTTTAAGCACACCATTCTGACTGCCGCTTTGGTGAAGCCCAAGCCCGGCGTGTTTGTGGATACAGTGTCCTGGCTTTTGTTGGTGTCAACATCCACGGACATCCACATTCTAGCAGTTCAGAATTCTACCAGTTTTGAGATCTTTGACACGGGAATGAGTGTTTCGACCCATGGAATGGCTGTCAACAAGTTTGTTTTCTACGAGCCTACCCACGATATTTTCTTCAGTGGAGTGGGTGAGGGCACAAATGTCTGGAAATTAAGCTATTCCAACACGGAGGAGTGGTTTCATCGCAAATGCACCAAGGAGTGTGTCACCAGGAATAATATCTCTGCGGTTGTTCCATCTGGTGGAAACGGCTTCTTGCAGATGATCCCAGGGCTTAGTCTTCTGGCATCGTCTTCTTCGACCACAGCAGATCCCAAATTACCGCCTGTGAATCCTAAGCAGGAGACAATTGTCCAAATGGAGATAGACCAGACACGTGGAATCCTCTATACACTCTCGTCCCACTCCATCATACGTGCCTCCAGAATCAAAGTCAGACAAAGTGACAAATCTGTGACGTTGTCAAGAGCAGTGGTGAAGAATCCGTTTTCATTACATAGAGATCTCAGCACAACAACTGTGAACGTGAATTCTCCCCTCGTTGCTCCCAAAACCCTCAAGATTGTGCGGCTGGAAGCTGTCACCAACCAAGAAAGTTCTCATCTTTTCTTGGTGGTAATCACGAGTTCGGGATGCCGTATCTACATCAATGGTGGTCTTTCCATGGATGATGGTATTACCCTTTTTGCGAGACACTTGAAGTTCCCACCACCAGAGAGGAGCTTCTACGAAAGTCTGGAGGGGCAACTGGACCAATCTGATCAAGCGGGAGCTCTTTCGAGACAACTACCCAAGCAAGTGCATGCCTCCCCTGCTGAGTTGAAAAAGGTTCAAGAATCTTCTAAATTGCTCCAAAACCTCAAACTGTGTCATATCGTTTCTCCAGGCATATTCTTCGGTGTCATTCCAGATGGCCCAAGGAAGACGGACCGTTTGTTTGTATCCACGCCTGATTTTGGCGCTTTGAAGAACTCCTCCATATTTGTGGAAGACTTCGAGTTCTTGGACACTTCTGCTTCAGCGATCTACGACATCGTCCAGCTTTCAGCAGGCTTGAATGCCACAACAACTCCGGTGGGCTACAGCAACGTCTTTGCTTCTCAGTACACCAAGCCCCCATTAGACATCGCCATTCTAGCCAACTCAGGAATTCACATATACAGATACCGCACTCCAGACATGATTCTGGAGGAATCGCTGGATGAGATTACGTTCAACGAATTCGGACTTAGATTTGGAACCTCGGAAGCATGTTCCACCGCATTGTACCTTGCTTGCAAGTACGGAAAAATTGATATTGCCAAGAACAAGGCTGCACAGCTGTTTGTCACTGGTGGAAAGAGAGCAAATCTCAAGACACAATCACCAATACCCACCGTTGACAACGTCGAGCTCAGTGATAGGTTCTACGGGTTGCTTCTTCTGATGTCGAGGCTATTCCGTGATTTTTGGTCAAACGAGGTGTTCAAACTTGATCCAAGGGTCAAGTTTGGCAAGGATGGATATATTTTGGAAGCTTCTCTGAAGGAGCTGAAGGACGAGCCAATGCTCACTGGAGTCACCATGGCCAAAGCAGATATTGAATTTTTGCTTTGCTCGTTGTTGATCATCATCCAGTTTCTTGAAGACCACAGCAAAGTAATAGCTGGTCTGTCTGCTCCTGGATCCCATGACCTGAGGGCAAGAAGCAAAGACCAGGAAATATGTTTGCAGGCTGAGCACATTGGTTTGAATGCACTGGTAAAGTTGTTGAATACGGTGAAAGAAGGTTTTTCGTTTTTACTCATATTGCTCGACGATGACGAACAGTCTTCGAGTTTTAAGGACACTATGGGATTTGTCTCATTGCAATTTCAGGCAGACTTAAGTTGTCTAACTTTCAAAGATTTCTTCGTGCCTGATGACTCCTATGTTCAACAACTCACCAAGGAAATACTGACTTCGATCATCAACAAGAGTATCAACAGGGGTAACTCGGTCGACTTTGTGGCTAACGTTCTCCAGGAGAGATGTGGATCATTTTGCTCCACTGGTGATGTGCTTATTTTCAAGGCTATTGAGAGTCTGAAGAAAGCCACAGAAGCGAATAACAAAGATGAAGATTCCAAGTTTAAGTACCTGCATTCAGCAGTCAAACTGATGGAAGGAACAAGCGAGTCTTTGAACCTCGAGATCATATCCGAGGCGGTGGGCGTAATGCTCCAACTAGGATTCTATTCGGGTGCTATCGAATTTCTGCTCAATGTGGTCAACAACTCAGACTCTGCCAAATTAGCCTACAAATACATAGCTGATGGGAACATGCTCAAAGATGATCCCAAAAAGAAGGCTTACGAGAAAAGGGTTTCTATTTACGAGCTTGTGTTCAAGGTCTTGGTGGATGTTGATGAGAGAACCGTGGAGAGCATCCAGAAGGTCAGTTTGACAGGAGACCTGATCAGCGAGGGGGCATTTGTCGATGAAAATGGTAAGATAGTCTCGAGATTCACCCAACTTCGTGATGAGAGTTATCGCACCTGTTTCGAATATCCTGACAAACTATTTCACTTTGAACTGTACAAGTGGTTTGTGAGTCAGGGAGTTGGCGAGAAATTGTTGGATGTTGATACTCCGTACGTTTTGCCGTTCTTGGAGGAGAACTCCAAGAAGGGAATCCAAATGGCTAAGTTATTGTGGTTATACCATGCCAAAAAACAGAACTACTTTGCTGCAGCCCAGATCCTATACGACTTGTCGTTGAGCACTTTTGAGATTGACCTCGCCAACCGTATCCAGTTTCTGTCGCGTGCCAATGGCTTCTGCAACTGTGTGTGTCCTCCTAACCTCCGTCAGGAAATGAACCAGCTTTCCAGTCAAACTACTGACTTGATTACTGTTGCAAACGTTCAGGATGAGTTGCTGAGCACCATTTTGAAAGACCCCAGAATTGGCACTGACGCTAAAGAACGTGCCGTTGAGGACTTGAACGGGAACATTCTGGGAATCAGCGAGCTTTACAACGAGTTTGTGGAACCATTGGGTTACTACGAACTTGCCCTGATTGTTTTCAAAGTATCAGACCACCGCAATTCGGAGCACATACTCACCCAATGGGAATCTCTGTTCAACAAGTGGCAGGTGGAATACAACTCTTCGGACTCCAACAAGGGTGAGCCATTTTACGTATATCTGGCCAACAATTTCATTGCTACCGGATCTCTGGTTTCTGACTCTGAATTGTTGTTTCCAATCGCAGAGCTGTCGAAGATATGCTGCAAAGTCATGCTTTCTTCGGAAGCTGAGGGCGACAGAGCTCCTGTCGGCCAGTTGATTGATATGTTTCTGAAGTGCGGCACATCCTATGAACAACTTTACTACATCCTGAAGGGAGTTATTGAGAGCAACAGCTACGAAATCTACCCTGGTTACACCAAGCACCTGAAGGGTGAGATGGTCCATCTGATCAAGACATGGTACAAGAACGACAAGCGTTTGAGGGATATCATCTCCAATGAACTGATAAGAAGTCTGTCAGAATACTCGGTGGAAGCAGATCCTATAAACCGGTATATCAAGGCCACGGGCATACCGATTTGATAAAAGCTGATTAATATCTTATTTAAGCACAAGTTTAAGACGTATTTGTTTGAGCACGACAGTAGACGTTATCGCGGAGATCGCTCGAGCATTAATTACAGATTATTGAAATTGGGACCTTCTTATTGCCATTCTTCTCCCAGCTATTTTTAAGGGTACCTTTACGCTATTTATTCAAATATACATGGCTCAATGGGTCGGCTTAATCCTTTGGAGCTAAAAAATGACCCACGGTGGGCAGATATACCAGTTGTTGGAGCTTGTGTGGTAAGGTCAATACACAACAGCACATCAATGCCACATTCGTCATCTTCAAATAATACCAAGCACAGAATACGAAAAAAATACGCAGATTTCCAGGAAATTGACTGGAATTACGAGTATGGACTTATTCGGACATCCGATGCTGCTGTTCCAGTTGCTGGTCAAGGGTCCAGAGGATACATGAAGATCCTGGATTCTAGATGGGTTATACTCTCAGTATCGAGTTTCTTGATGGGAATGCTAGCAGTTGCAATAGATTACTTGTCAACTTGGTTCCATGACTTGAGAGTCGGGGTCTGCTATGGGTCCTTTATCAAGCTGGAGTCACAATGTGATGTCAAGGGCAGTGGATGGAGCTCGTGGTCGCATGTGATCTTCTATTTCATGAGGCCCGAAAACATGATCCATAAGTTCAACGATTGGATTGTTTATGTAATTACAGCGGTTCTTCTTGCATTCTTTGCAGTGGTACTAACTCGAAACATGCCATATGCCATGAACAGTGGAATCGCGGATATCAAGTTCATCCTATCCGGGTTCGTCGTGAATGGTTTCTTGAGCCCCAGAGTTTGGATATCCAAGATTGTTGGTCTGGTGATGGTTGTTGCTGCAGGAGTTTGGGTGGGCAAAGAGGGACCTCTGGTGCATATATCATGCGGTGTCACAGACTATATTATGTCATTTTCGCCCAAGTTCTACAACAACGAAGCATTGAAGAGAGAGATCTTGAGTGCTTCCACAGCTGCGGGGATTGCAGTCGCATTTAACGCTCCCATTGGAGGTGTTTTGTTCACGTTGGAGCAGATATCGAGCTTCTTCCCTATCGATAAGCTGATGTGGAATTCTTTTGTGTGCGCTACAATCAGTGTTACTGTGCTTCAAAGCTTGCATCCCTTCCAGGAGGTGATGAGCCAGCAAGCCTTCTTCGTGAGCGACGACGAAACCTGGCTATTGTTTGAGGCATTGCCTTTCATAATCTTGGGACTGATAGGAGGTTTTGCAGGTGTCATGTTCAACAAGCTGAACATCAAGCTTGCCAAATTGAAACAGACATATATCGCCGGGAGAAAAAACAGACAGCTCATTGAGGTATTGTTATTGGCCCTCGTGACTGCTGTTGTATCCTATCCTATCCTGATTGCCACAATGCCATTACCTCAGATGCTCGCAGTTCTTTTCAAAGACTGCAATACGGAGGCTGCTGCCACTACAGTGGTCTGTAAGATAGAGACGAGAATCTCGGAGGACGGAGTTTTCCCAGTTGGGTTGTTTGGAATGCTACTTTTAACGGCAATCCAGGGGTTTGTGTTGTCGTCCTATTCATATGGAACGACCATCCCAGGTGGAGTTTTGATGCCTTCTCTGGCAATAGGCGCTCTGATCGGAAGACTGGTCGGATCTGTTATCCACTATATGCAAGTGGCATATCCTGACCTATCAATATTCGTTAACTGTAACGGTAAGGGCCAGTGTATATCGCCTGGCTCATATGCTGTCGTGGGGGCCGGTGCTTTTGTTGCCGGTGTGACTAAGATGACGGTTGCTGTTGTAGTGATCCTGTTCGAACTTACCGGAGCACTGGCTTATGTCTTGCCTATCATGATTGGTGTGCTTATATCCAGATTTGTCAATGACATGTTCCTTGATATGTCATGCTACGAGTTATGGCTGGCCTTCCAGAAGAGACCGTATTTGAGATCCTCATTGGAAGAACTTGGCAAGCCTTCTATGTCAATGGTGGAATGCAAAAGTATTCTGAAACCAATACATGAGCTGGATTTGCTTTACTTGGACCAAGACTTGACTTTCAGAGACCTGGTCAATTTGACTGAAAGCAGGGAGCCTTCGACCACAGTTTTTCCGGTGGTGGAGGGAAAGTCAAGGCCGATTTTGGTCGGCTATCTCACTGCCTATGAGCTGGAGCGGGAACTGAGCAAGATCAAGGAGATCCAGGGTTTGTCGTTGGATACCTCGGTGGCATTGGAAGAAACCACGGATGGTTACTCCATCAACTCCATCGTGAATACAGATCCAATCTGTATGTCGCCTGATCTTCCTGTTTTGACGCTGTACGAGATGCTGAGCAAATTACAACTACCGATGGTGTTCTTCTGTTACCCCGGACAGGGCAAGCTTTTGAAGGGAACACTGACGAAAGGTGATCTGATTGAGATTCTGGATGGTGATGATCTTGAAAGAATTTAGGACATTCTACAATCACTTATAAATTAGCATTATGCATCAGAGCTGTATCTATTACATTATTTTTGTCAAAAATAAAAACAAACTGCATGAGTAATATGCACCTTTCCAAATCCTTATTCTGGTTACGAACACCGCCCTGTAATCAGATTGTTGTGTTGCGCACTCCCACGACCCACCTCGACAAAGAAGCCAACAAGTTTTATTGGACCCCCTTCTTCACCATCTGATCAAGTTCGATAAGCTATTACATCAGGCTCGGGGTTTTGTGGGTTTCGTGTTGAAGCTCCTCTTGTTTTTCTTCTGCACCTCATTTTTTGCCTTTGGTCATTTTTTTTATTCTCACGGTCATTTTTCTTTTACCCCGTCATCACTATTTTTCAAAAGTTGTGTTTACCCATACAAAAAAGCTGCATCGAAATGTCACAAGCCAGCGCCTTCCACGAACAGCTACAAGGTGAGTTTCCTTTTGAGATGTCTCTCTATAAGTCACTCTTTGCTAACACAAATCAGATATCGACCATGCTCTTGCCGCCTACAGAAAAAACCAGCGGTTCGTGAAACCTACTGTTCAGCAAAGGCTGAATCCAAGTCTGAGTAACTCAAGAGGTCTGAAGTTCACCTCTCAGTTCCAGCACCAGCCTCACCAGACGTTCCACCAAATGCCCCAGATTTCCCAAGGCTCGCATGCTGCTCATGTTCCTGGCCTGATTCAGTCCTACCAGGCTCCAGTCCAGCAGTCCATAAGTCCATTGGTGCAACAGCCGATCATGTCTCCGTTCATGAAGCCTCAAAATGGATCTGCATCTGGCTCTGGTTCTATTTCCTCAAGCTCGTCTGCCTCCACATCTGCCTCCTCCATAGAGGATATTCTGAGTCCTAGGTTTGACCCATTCTCGGTGAAGCTTCCTCGCTCAACCGAAATTGTCGACCTGAACCTGTCGACAGGGAAACTGGACGAGAACAAGCAGTTTGGTGCTTTCAGAAGCAACATCTGGGGAAACGACATGTCCGTGTGGGGCTGAAAAAAGTTTCAGAAGAGTGCCACGTTGGCCTGCCTTCAATTTTGTTTCCTTATTTGTGTTTTTGTGATATGATTCCATCTTTATTTTTACTTTTTGTTCTATTATTTGCGGTTTGTTCGAGTCTCTTGCCTGTTTCAAGGAAGGGTTGTGTTTGGTTTACTGCGTTGTTCGGTTTCTCGATGCTGGAGGAAGAGAAATCACTTGTATTAAAAAGACTACTGGACGGTTTGTTGGAGGCTATTTGTTTTGAAAAAAAAAAGACAAGAAAAGTTTTTGTTCAGAATTGCTTGATTTTATGTTCAGTCTATATGTGTGTTAACTTATGAGTGGAATGTAGCCTTGATGTGTAGTTGCTTAGCCGGTGTTAATATGAGGAAAGCTGCTGTACATGCTAATGTCGAGCCCGTCCGTAACTGCAATTTGCTGTATTTCTCATTATCAACCTTCTTTGGTTAACAAGAATGATTTTTCGTGGGGTTGAGCAGAAGCGGCACTGCTCCCTCATTTTTAAGAGACCATGAAGACGCTTCTAAATCACTACTGTGCGAACTTGCCTTGACATTGCCGTACCCCACACTTTTTGATTACCCAGGGACATTCCACCTTCAAAGCGGACAAGCTAAAGATGGTTTTAGCTGGTTGTCTGCCAGAATCAGTTAGCTGTAGAAAACGACAAAAAAATCAATTTCCTTGAAATACTAGAAAATCTGAAAATCTACAAATTTCTAACCAAAATACTTAGTGAGAGTTTCATAAAGTGAAACCTGGAAACATGCTATGCCCAGAAGATCCTTGAGCTCTTTTCCAAAAAAATGACATTCAAATAATCGCAAGTCCAGCCTTCGGACAAAGTATTGTTTCCTTAAGTCTAGACTACATGCTACATGCTCGAAGACCGTACCTGCGGTTTCAGACGGAGTCTGGTTAGAGGCGATGCCATTGCCATTTAGTTCACTCCTCTCTTCATGGTCGAAACTTATCGCTTAGAGTGATTGTCAGCGAATTAGATGACATTCTACCTAGAATATCTAGAAAGCATTAATTAGTCAATAGACACGGTGGCCTGAAAATGCCGATCGCAATCTGTTAAGAACGTGATCCCACACGCCGAGCCGATCGTAAAATCACCCAGCTGAAGGGCTCACAACCACAACTGATTAAGTGATTATGTCTGTGCACGTCTGAATGCAAACAGATAACACAAGCATCATTGACAGGTATTCTTAAACCCAAGAGACATTCGCTTTGTACAAATGGAGTCAATACCAGCCCAGCAGCTAAAGACATTGAATTTCAGGTCTCTAGTTCCTCCGTTAGTCCACAACGAGTTGAGTAAGCCTTCTATGGTGGTATACCAAACTGCAACAACGCGGCGTCGCGAGGCCAGATCAGATGAAACATCCTCAAACTGGCAGGACATTCTCAACGAGTCATATTTGCTTGATTTACCGCCCCCACCAATGTGCTACGGTGAAGACAAGAAGTTTCTGGTGGAATTTGCCAAATCGTTCGCCATCAGACATGGCTACAAATTGGTAGTTAACAAGAACGACGGCAGAAGGTGTATTCTACTTTGCGATCAACATGCCGTAAAGAAGAATGCATCAAAGTCAGACTCTGTTGGATGCTCTTTCAGAGTGGAATTACAATTCAAGACCAAAAAGAGGTACTGGCTGCTGAAACCTATTAAGCCCAGACATGGTGCTCACGGGATACGACGTGGTTCGGATTTCTGTACCAGCGATAGCCACCTGGATTGTGCTTTTGAAGTTGGACTGAACAAGTCAGACATTCCAATGGACGATCTCCCGGTAATATCAAGGGAAAAGTACGTTCTGAACAAGCCTATAGCCGACGATACTGAGATAGACGAGGTGTTGAGGAACGCAATAGCCCCGCCTCTTACATTCTATCAGGACAAAAAGAGTAATAATATTGAGACAGATGAACACAGAACGGAAATCGATGTCGGAATGAGTTTGAAGGTTGTTGTTAAGGGTCAGAACTCGGATCTGAGTAGATTGGCTTTCAAAGTGATAGAGAAGTTAAGCTTCAAGCAATGGGAGCTATGGCCACGCATTCCCGTCGAATGCTCTTTTGTGCCTATCAATCCTAGGAATTCTGACCTGATAATAGAGATAAGCTGCTTTGACGAAACAGAGAGATCTTTCAGCTTCGATTATGTTCCAGACCAGCTAGACTACGAACTGGATAAGATCAAGGGCGAGATCGTCTCTATGGTATCTGCGAGGACAAAAATTCCTGTCTGGCGTCTGAGCTAATGGATTAAATTGTATGTTTCTTTATAGATAATCATCACTATCGTTTTGGTCATTACTTTGGTAGTCACTTTCGTCATCATCATCTTCGCTCTCGACAAGCTCAACAGAGAACTTGCTTCGCATGAGTCTCACCACATAGTCGAACTCAGGCATACCGGAGCTTTGTATAGCACTCTTGAAATGACCCATGGGCTCAGCTAACAGTTTGAGATCCACGAGCCCTGAGTTGCTCATGCCGTCATCGACAATCTCCTCTGGTAATAGTTCCAGCTGGGACTTCCATATTTTGATGACACGCAAAAAAAATCCAGGATTTTCAGTCACAGCATCAACACAGCCCAAAACAACCAACATCAAGTTCATCCACTGTCTGTAGCTGTTGAAATTGTTGAGAATCATCATGAACACAAAGGAAATCTCGAACTCCGCTAGGAAGTTAGTCTGTTTGCAGACAACGTTCTGCAGATACCAGGACTTATCCAGATAGTCGTGGGTGACTTCAACCACAGTGGCATTTGGCCTAATCGTTTTTTTGAGGTCAATGGGAAAAAAAACCAATTCTCCATTGGCATTGACATCCTCCTTGAGAGAACTTAAGATTTTGTCTTCCTGGCCATTTCCATATGCGGCTGACTTTTCTGTCCTGTTTCTAGAGGCATCCCTTATTGCCAGCAACAACGAATCATTCTCCTGCTTCGAGGAATCAGTAGTTGTGACAGCTCCAGATACCTTTCTGCTGGTTGTTCCTTTGGGAATAATCTGTCGCACCTGATCCCAGGTCACATCACCAACAATGCCCCGCCATTGGGAGTTATCAAACTGCGAGTAATTGAGTAAATATGCCAAATTTGCAAGCACTTCACCACGGTACTTAGATAAGTTGATATTGTCGACTGAGTCGTCCAAATTCATATCGCTTTCGAAAAACTCCACCCCATCAACCACCTTTCCGTGCGAGTCGGCCACCAGAACAACCTCGAACGCATCCTCTTTGATATTCACCACAAATAGATCACCAGGTTCACAAACAATGAACAACCCAAATCGGCAATTATTGGTGTAATCTGAGCAATGCAGAAAGTGTGTTCCTTTGTCTAACAGTTTGATACCACGTAGTCTGGAGGTTTGTGTTGTGAAGAAAAACAGGTCTATTCCCACGGACAAGTGTCGCTGAACATCTTCTATGAAATATATCGTTATTCCATCCATTTGATGACTGCAGAGTCTTTGCCACTAGCGTTTTATATACAAGAAGTTAGCAAGGCTTCAAAGGCTTCCTTCTAACTCAGTGGGTCTCATTAAGTAAATGGTTTAAGCAGGAGCTCATCGCTGCAACGCATCTCCGGTAGTGCAAAACCAAACTACAACACCAGCATTAGTCTTTAATTCTTTCAAAGGTAACAAGGTGACATGGACATATACCCCCAAGTATTATGAGATTCAAGGTGAAGTGTGGATTGGAAATTCACACACAGTTGAAAACTCGGCTGAAATTGTTTTCCAATTCTCTGAACAAGAGCCAAGTATTATCGAACAAACCCAACACCAATGTGTCCTTCTTCGATGCCGGCCTTCCAGGAACTCAGCCAGTTCTCAATTATGAGCCTGTATTGCTAGCTTTGAAGGCTGCCAAGGCATTGAAAAGTACCGTGTCACCGATATCTACTTTTGACAGAAAACATTATTTCTATGGAGACCAGCCGTTGGGATATCAGATCACTCAGCATTACCAGCCCATTGCCAAAGGCGGATACCTCATCCTTTCCTCTAGATTTGACCAGATTTCACAAAACAAAACGATAGGAATCGAGCAGATTCAACTGGAACAAGATACGGGGAAAACACTGTACAAAGACCTCACGGGATTAGCCCATGTGGATCTTAACCGTGCCAACGTTCCTCTGATAGAACTGGTCACGAAACCCGATTTCTCCAACCCCGAGGAGATAATTGCCTTTTTGAAACAATACCAGTATATCGTCAAGTTTTCAGATATATCTTCTGGTGATCTGGAAACGGGAGCCATCAGAGCCGATGTGAACATCTCCATAGAAGGAGGAGAACGTGTTGAGATCAAAAACCTGCCCACTACAAGTGCCATAATGCATGCAACGAAATACGAGATAAAACGTCAGATCTCACAGTTTGAGAAGACAGGAAAACATATTACCGAAACGGAGACCCGTGGATGGAACGGGAAACAGACCTACAAGCTTCGTGATAAGGAGAACGCCGTTGACTACAGATACATGCCTGATCCCGAATTGCCTCCTCTGGTTCTTGATGTTGACGAGATTATGCCTCAGGTTGAAATAGAAAAACCGAGGGATGTCAGACTTGAGGAACTTATGGCTGAGCCATATGGTCTCAAGCTAAGAGATGCAATCACGCTGCTCTACAATCCAGAATTCCACAGCTATTATATGGAGCTGTTTCAGATCCTCACTACCAAGAAGATAGTTAAGCGTGACTTGATTTCGAACTGGATCTGTCACGAACAAGTTGGTGCTTTGAAGAAGCTGGGAAGACCGCAGGACGAATACCTCCCCGCAAGAGTCATGTCCGAGCTGATTTTTTCCGTGGACAAAGGCTCAATTGGCTCCAACAATGCCAAGCTTTTGTTAATGCATCTCTTAGATAATCCCCAAGACCAGGTACTGCCAATCGCCAAGCTGATTAAGCAGTTCGACCTGGGTAAGACCACAGATGATGAGCTGGATTACGCCAAAATCTGCGAAAATGTACTATCCCAAAATGAAGCCGTTATCAAGGAGATAAGAAGAACTAATTCGCAGGGAAAACTGAACTTTCTTGTGGGCCAATGCATGCGGATCTCTAGAGGCAAGGCCGATGCCAATGACTTCAGGAAACGCCTATTGGAGATGATAACGACATAACTACACACACCTTGTAAATATCAAGAATTATAGAAAAAAATACCAAGCAAGTCAGTATTCCACAAACAAAAACCTACTTAAAAACCAAATTCGTTCAAATCCCAAGCAACACGAGACACCTCGCACGGATACTGACATGTAAAACTCAAACGACGAGTCTGTATTGCCACCAGAAACACACCAGAATCACAGATTTTATGCCTTGATCTCTTCGACACCCTCTATGTCTCCGAAGGTATTTTCTCCGCTGTAAACAACGTACAGGAATCCATCCTCATCCTTCTCGTTCTCGTACACGAGAGACATATATGAGGCGGTTGGTGGTAATTTGTCGTTGACAAAAATGAAGATAGCTTTCTCGCTTGGAAGCTTCATCCTCTTTCTGATGACGTAGACAAACTGGCCAACCGTCAAATCTCTTGGAACAAGGTACTTGCGCTTATCAATCTCAGGAATGTCTGAGTTCTCGGCGCGTTCGCAAATCACGGGAATACGGTCTTCAAATTTCCCGAGGATTCTCTCTGCCTCGGCTTTTCTATGAGCTTCACATGGTTGTTAGTAAGAAAGCTTCAACTAGGCAACCGCCACGAAACACGGTATAACGCCATGGAGCAACACAAACGGCGCGATTGGCTGCTCAAATCCAAAGCAGTAAATATCACCAATATGTACTCGTAGGAAATATCACTCACCAAAAGGATGCTCGTCCTTGAATTGATGTCTCATTGGAGTTGATAGTTGGCTGCAAATGCTGATACAATGTTAGTCATCTACCCCCAGATATGGGACGTGGTTGAGGTTTGGATTGCGCGCACTGTAAACAACACGAACGACGCGTCACAAAAAAAAGCTAGAGATAATCCACAAGCTCAGATAAATTGATTTCCACTTACTTTGTTTGATCGTATGTGATAAAGATAGGCTTCAACACACTATGTTGTAGATAGTGGCGAGGGAGGCTAAGGGGATGCTAAGATAACAAAATAACATGGGGCCTACTAAAATCGTGCCCCAACTAAATGAGGTGTTTTGCAGCTTATCGTGAATTTGACGTTATCGAGGATTCGGTATCCAACAGTGTATGGTTTACAATAATCGGTATTTTACATAAATTATATAATCGGTATAGTACAGGGCGTCTTTTCAGTTGTTCCAGCATTAAAGTTGCGTAGTCGTACATTTGTGGTCCTTGCATTAATCAGACTCAATCTGACACCAGGAAGGACCACCAGCAGAAGAGGATAATTATCACAGATAGATCAAACACACCTTGAGCAGTCAGCCTGCTGGATTTTGGGTGTTCCGTTTCCGTCGTGCTCAATTGTTCGATCTCTTCGACAGTTTTCTTGAACACCTCGTCTAAACGTTCCAAATCTGGGGTGGGAGGAGAGGCAAGTCTTGGAGGACTGGCGGATTTCTGTGTGGGCGCGGTGTCTAAAGGGACCACAGAGATAGTCGGTTTCTTGTCCAGCACTGGGGTCTTCGGATCCAATCTTTTCTTCTCGGATTTCGGAGAGGCCCGTTTCGTGACGCGGATTTGTTGGAATGCGGGCTTCTTCATAGACGCTTTGCTTATTGGCTCTCTGGTCGGGCTCTGAGGGATAGACTTCTCAACAGGCTCCTTATCTATGATGAGTTTTTCATCTTCGATACCTCCATCGTCCTTGGCAATTTCATCGTCTTTTGGTGACTGCTGTGTATTTTTGCCCAAAGGCTTGATTTGGGCCAATCGCTGGCGCATCTCAAGTAGCTTCTCCCTTCTTTCCGTTAACGGCATGTGCGGTCCCTTCTCTTGTCTTTTGGACTCATTGGATTTCTTGGATTGCAATGCGAGCAGCTCGTTTCTGCGTCGCAACTGGCGAAATCTGCTGGTGTTCGGTAAGGGCTCTCCACCAATATTCTTCTCGTCAACAGTCTCAGACTTAACGGTGTATGGAAGAGGTAGAGGATCCCCCAGCGTTATCACATCACTAACCTTCCTCCTGTCCAGGATATCCGAAGCTTTTCGCACGTGCAAATTCTGCGACAACATTCGAGTTCCCGCATCTTTATGTGTGGTCTTGAAACTTATCGAGCTACCTTCTTCGCGTCTAGTAAAATTTGGCACTGACGACATTGAGTATTATTGTCCTAGCATTATCAGAGGATGAGTAAAATCAAACTAACTAAGGCCTGAGACGGACCCAATAGACAATATCAATTCAAATACCCCAGTGGAGATAATCAATTCACAGACAATCTGCTAAAACGCGCTTTATCTGGCGTGCAAAGAACTGAATTATGAAAACGGCAGACATGTTTTGTGTGTGGCACGCCCAATTTCATACCTTGGATTCTGGTTCTGATACACGACCTCATAGAGACTCCACAAGATGATTCTGATTCTTCACATGACGCGCCTTTTCTCACGTCTGTACCAGTCACAATTGCCCCACAATGTCTTACTTGAGCAAGAAATGGAAACAACTGGTATACGGATTTAGCACTGAAGATCGATATGCTGACTACAAAGCTCATGTCGGTGAACAGCCATCGGGGATAACGAAACTTTCGAATCCCTCGAGCGAAAACGTGAACGCGGCGTTGGCCGACCACCCTGAGGGCTTGGCCCAGGAATACCGAGAGGCGTTTACAGACATTGATAAGGCCCCTGGGTCGAGAGAGGTAGTTTTGGCCTGGGATTTGATCAAGGAGTGGGCTTCAGCGAACCACGGCGAGATTCTGTCATCGTTGTCAAGCAAGTGTACTCTCACAGACATTGCGCAGGCGCAGTACGACTTGGGGATTGTATTTCCAAAGTGTGTCATCCAATCATTGAGGATTCATGATGGACAGGAAGCCACTCCCAGTAGTGCGCGTCGTTTTGGTCTCATCTTCGGATTGGGTGTGATGCCTCTGGATGAAATTGTTGGGATGACCAAGACCTGGAGAGCTGTTGGTGAAAGGATGAACGCTACCCCGATTCTGAAATACTCTGCTGCTAAAAAGACGAACTTTGAAGAAGATCAAGAGCAAACTGAGGGTGCTAGCAGTGATGGCGGACTCCAGAATGTCCAGGAGGAGCCCATTCAATCGAAGAAATATAAGGAGGATTCAATTCCAAAACAGTCCTCTGTTCCCCCAGGATATGTTCGGGCGGACTACTCAAATCCTGACTGGATACCTCTGATTACAGACTATGCTGGAAACCATGTTGGTGTTGATCTCGCGCCAGGTCCAGAGGGAACCGTGGGTCAAGTCATCTTATTCGGAAGGGAGTTTGATGTCAAGTACGTGGTGGCACCCACCTGGGGAGATTTCTTGCTAGAGTTTGCTAAGGATCTTGAACAGAAGAACTGGAGACTCATGGATGAGGATTTTGCGGACGACGGTGATCTGGTTTTTGTGGATGGGACAACTAAGCAGGAGATTCCCTACCTAGACGTCTTGAGAAAGAGAGCAATTCATAGTGCAAACAGGCTAGAGGCCACTCAACCCAAGAATACAAAGAAGGTGAAGGTGGTTCCAGACTTAAAGCCTCCTTCAACGATCGTTTCTATTGAAGGCCCCAGCACCGAACCTGATCTTATCGATACTGCATCTCCGAACCCTAACGCCAAAGCGCCAATAGAAGAGAAGACAGGTGATACTGATGAGGTAATGACAGAGTCGGAAAACTTGGCCGGAGGCTCAGAAGCGCAGGATGGCGCAAAGGTGAGGCTCGAGGACGTCGACTTATGAATTGCAGGCTCATTCCCATTGACGACAACATTCATTACGAAGCTACTACCCATATATACATTCATGGACCAATATGCACTGAAATTCCAATTTAAACAATGAAGCTGTGCGCGGAGATTAGAAAGTAAAGGGTAATTGCTTGATCTTGGTTCCTTTCAGTGTGAACCATTCGATTAAACCGACGACCTAAGAAGATTTTTACGAATCATTTTACGGCTGAGCCTATCAGACGGATGTACAGGGGACCAAACTCTCTATCTGCTTTTGAAAATTAGCTGAAAGTTAGTGCAGCAGCCACGTATGATCGCAGGTTGATATCTAAGGCTTAGACCGAACGGATTACACTCGGGCATTTGAGATCTGCTTATGTTTCTTGGGATCGACCAAATGCTTTGCCCGAGCCAAAGTAGTTTCTACATGGTACCTGATTGTGGAGGCATTCTCACAATGGAGGACATTTACTGGATGATGTTGAGAAGGTAATGATTTGAGTGACTTGGATCAAAATCCGATTTCTGCTGCCGGAGTGAAAACCCTGCAGACTGCTCTAAAATTAGGCGATTGGCTCCTAAGAACAACAGCGTACGAGCAAGCGGAACGGAGAGGCAAAACTTACGGGTTCATGTCCCCGAGGGTGTCCCGGAAATGTTGGGGAAATTTGCCAAGCCACAATGCATACCGCGAAAGCCGTTGTCTGAGTCGTAATCTCTAGCCATCTAGTGGGGAGACGGATGCACGTCTACTAAAACTCCGGCAAGAGGACCCGTTTTGGGAGGGAATGAATGCGAGTACAAGGGCATTAGTGCATTGAAATCGGGTCTCGGAATTGGCTCGAAATAATATAACGGTGATATCGGTTGTTGTGGTTCTGAACTATTGACATTTCCGCAGTGATGCGGTACATTGATTGTTATGTTCAGGTAGGGGTTCCATTTGCAGATATGATTTAGATCTCTTACTAACTTTGATGAGTAAGGCAAACAAGTAATGATTCAGTTCCCGGCTTTGAATCTGTTTAAAGTTTGGCCCTGAGACGCACCTTCATGCAGGGTTGTAATGTGTTCTCCATCTCTTATTCGCTACTTCAGGTGCGGCTCGCGGACACGCAACTAAAAGACTCTCGGGGTAACCAAATCAGACTACTCTAAATGGCTAGTGTAATCACAATAGCAGATGTTTTCCTCTCACAATGACCTGATTGGGTCTAAATAATATTATATAAGTGAGTATAAGTAGACGGTCCTTCCTCCTACAAAGTCCCTGGGAATTGCTGATTTCGCAAGAATGTTTGCATCGAGAAGACTGAGTCAACTGGTGCTTTGTTCCACCTTTATTGCTGGCTGCCTGGGATATGCCTGGGATGCTCCAGTAGCGGGTTCCTGCACAAATTACTACTACAGTTATGATTTCGGATGTAACTACGCAGAAGCCTACTATCCGTGTTCCTACGCTAACCAGCCCTTCTTGGGATCACTCTTCGAGTGTATTGGTAGTTATGCTAAAGATGAAGCCGAGAAGATTGAAGGGTACAACTATATCATTTTCCTGGCCACTTATGGGGGATACGACTACACCTTGGATGATGTCTACACCATGATAGACAACTCCACTAAGTACATGAAGACAGCAGAAGATGCTGCCAACCTTACCATTGTCAATTTTCCGTTTGCACCAGATCGGGAAACAATTCTTTGGAACAGAAAGATTTACTACCAGATGACTAAATTTGCTAAGATTGATACCAAGTGGTTGGGCTGGGGTCTAATCTTTTTCTGGGTTGTGGTTATTGCATGTGCGACTGTGGTCAATGTCAACAGACGTTATCTTAAAATTCCAGTTCCTAGAAAGGTGAGTCAAGCAGTGAGAAAACACCTGACCTACCCTTCTACTGTCAGATATTTTCCTAGTCTGTTTCCAACCAGACTACACTCTATCGTCATCTGTCTCTTTTTGATTCAAACAACCTTATCGTCCGCTATTGGCTACAATTTCATGCTTCCAAACCCATATCTTACGGATAAGCTGTTTATTATGTATGTGATTCAGCACAGAACTGGAATGTTTTCTCTCTACATGTTCCCTCTCTTGATTTTTTTCAGCATCAGGAACAACCCTCTCGTCTACTTCTCTGGTCTGTCTTACAGCGATTACATGACATACCATAAGGTGACTGCAATAGTCATGACAATTGAAGCCTTGATCCATAGTATTGTCTGGACTGCTTATGTATATGTGGAAGGTGATGCAGCGCTGTTGATGGAAGATGCTTATTGGAAATGGGGAGTAGTTGCTACATGTCTTGCTGGTGTAATGATCACTCACAGTCTTAAACTCTTTAGACAATATGCCTACGAGACGTTCTTGTTTTTCCACAATGTCATGGGAATACTATTCATTGCCGCAATTTGGATGCATTTGAACGATCTTGGTTACAGAGGCTTTGTGTGGGCTCTGCTTGCAACCTGGTGTCTCGATAGAGTGGCCAGGATCTTCAGAATCTGCTTGAGTGGGGGTCTTCAAAAAATGGAAATTGAGATGTGTGATGCCGATGTGATGAAAATCACCTTCAAGAAACCCCGCTATATGCAGTATTATCCTGGGTCGTACCTGTTTATATCATTCCTCAGACCTTGGTACTCTGCCTGGCAATTCCATCCGTTCACCACCATCTCCTCTCCAGTTGAAGACGGTGACTCTTTAACTTTGTACGTCAAGGTTAAGAAGGGTATTACTAAATCTCTTTCAAAGTTAAAGTTTGATGAGAACAACAAGATGACAGTGAGGGCTCTTGTGGAAGGTCCATACGGTAGCAGGGTTCATTCATGTGATCCCGAAGAAGAGTTCATCGGTATTGCTGGAGGACTTGGTATCTCCGGTGTTCTCCCTGCCCTGTTCGACTACATCGACAAAATACCCTCTTCAGCAAAAGTCTCTATGATAACAGCAAGCCAAGACAAAAATAAGCTTGATTCGGAGTCAACCAGTGTCAATACTGGATCATCCGATCCTACCCACAATTCGTCTCTGTTTTGGATCATCAACGATGTAAGACACCTCAACTGGTTGAATTCAACTCTCAACTACCTGACAGAAAACGGCTGCAAGGTAACTGTTTTACTGTCCAAAAGAAATGCGGAGGAGTCCACCGACGCCTCATTTGTTCAAACCATCAAGTACTCGGTTCGTTATGCTGACGGCCGCCCTGACATCGGGACGCTGATTGAATCATGTCTCCTCACTAAGATAAAAAATCGCCTTTCTTTCTACACGTGCGGTTCAGACTCTTTCAATGATACAATGAGGGATGAGATTGCAAGAAAGATTGAGGTGGGGTCGAACGTTGAGTTGAGCCATTATGCCGAGGCCTATGTTTGGTAAAACTTTATTACCACAACGTGATGCTTCTTCAATCCACCTCGAATTTTTTATTCTTTTTCAAGAAAATATTACTTGTGCCTCTCAGTTTATTTATATCTATGCTTATTCAGTATCATTATGATTCAATTCAAAATAGTCTATCAAATTTTGCCGGAAACACACTCATAACAACTGGCATCGGCCAAGACCCTGTGACAGGCGCCAAGACACCTATGACAATACTCTAAGCGCCAAGCAACATCAGTTCAGTCCACGTGTAGTATGTGGAGGTTGACGAATGAAGTCCCAATATAGTACATCCGGAGTTAATGCATTGATTTGAACTCGCCCGATTGATCTATTGTACTCGACCTGTCAAAACCTTAATTCAGGCTCGGATGTGCGGCGGATACCCTATTTGTAAGCCTGGTTTATCTATTCTTAAGATCTGTTGTAGGGTTAAATATTTTATTAGAGTCATCTATATTGAATGAAAGAGTGACCTTATTTAATGGCCTCATTCTTTGATACAGAACAGTATTTGTGGCCGAAAGACTTAGTCCTAATGAGAAGCAAGTCGAATCCTGCATGCATCTTACGCCGCACAGCTTCCGTATTTGGACTTTAGGAAGGCCGTAACTATAGACGGCATCTGCAGGTCATATACTAATGTACGAGGTGGTTCGACAGAAAGCTCTATTCATATAGTCTATACTAAGACCTAGGGAAACAGATGCAGTGCGCCTAATCCGATTTCCTGGTAATATGCATATACAGAACGGGAGTATAAGAACTCGGTATCGGCCGTTCGCTGTGACTGTAGTTGTAGCTCTACGTCTGTTCTCCACTGATAACTATGAAGAAACCGGCGTGTTTGCGTTCCATTTTGTCTTTTGCTCTCATTACTAGAGTGTTAGCCTTTAAATGGTCTTCCCCCGTGGTTGGTGCTTGTTTGTCCTTCTACAAAAACTATGACTTTGATTGCGGCGCACACTCAGATTACTACGTCTGTTTGTACGGCAGCCAACCATTTCTAGGCTCCATTCTGAGTTGTATGGATAACGGGGCTAAAACAAGCAAAGAGAGAGATGAGACAAATGAGCTGGTGATGTTCTATGCACGCCAATACGGACATCGCTACACAGTCGACGATTTAGAACGATTTAGAGCGAACGCTACAAAGTACATGCGAACTTATCTTGAAGCTTCCAAAATCAGAATAGTGAATTTTCCATTCACCGCAAATGAAGGATTATTTGAATGGAATGAAGATGCTGAAAAACAAATGGAGGTGTTTATCAAACGTGACACCGTGTGGTTGGGCTGGGGTCTGGTATGGTTCTGGGTTGTGGTCATCGCATGGTCTACGGCTGTCAACATCAATCATCGCTACATTGGGATCCCTGTTCCCAGAACTGTGAGTCAGTTTTGCAGAAAGTATATCACATATCCATCAACTATAAAAATAGCGCCGACTTTATTTCCCACGAGACTGCACACAATCATCATCTCAGCATTCGTCATACAAGTCGTCCTATCGAGCTCTATTGGATATGGTTACCACATAGCAAGCCCGTATATTTCAAGCAAATACTTGGTTTTAAACATGCTACAACACAGGTCTGGAGGGTTCTCTGCAGTCATGCTTCCAATTCTGGTGCTTTTTGGCATCAGGAACAATCCTCTCACGTACTTTTCTGGATTTTCATTCGCAGACTACATGGTTTTTCACAAAGTTGCTGCGATAATCATGACGACGGAAGGTCTTATCCATAGCATCATATGGACCATCTATATTGTGTGCTTACAGAGCAATTACACTTTATGGGTTAAAGAGACATCTTTTGTGTGTGGAATTATCGCAACTGTGATCGCATGTCTGATGATCTTCGTGAGTCTGAAAATCTTCAGGAACCACGCTTATGAGGTCTTCCTAGTGATCCACAACTGTTTTTCCATTTTATTTGTTGTAATGATTTGGATTCATGTCAAGCACTTGGCTTACAACAAATGGGTGTGGGGAATGTTATCAATATGGTGCATTGACAGGCTCACTAGAATGGTGAGGATAATCATGAGCGGCGGAATACAAACGCTTGAAGTTGAGATTTGTGACGCAAAAGTCCTCAAAATCAGTTTCAAGAAACCAAGATGGTTCAAATACTATCATGGTTCTTATCTGTTTGTTTCATTTCTTACACCGTGGTTTACAGCCTGGCAGTTTCATCCGTTCACCACAATATCTTCTCCGGTAGAGCAGGACGGTACCCTGACTTTGTATGTCAAAGTCATGAAAGGTGTCACCAGAAGATTATCACAACTGGACTTCGATGAGAATGGGAAGATAAAGATAAGGGGAATGATCGAAGGCCCATATGGCAGCCCTGTAAGGTCATGCAAGGTTGAAGAGAATTGTGTTGCTGTAGCAGGGGGATTAGGCATTACAGCCGTATTGCCTGCTCTTTACTGTCGTTTTCTTCAAGACGAAACAGTTCAAACAAAAACAGAAAAACAGGCAGCAAAGGTCTTGAAGACTCTTACAAGTGACTATGCGGTGACAGCATCTCTTTATTGGATCATCAATGACATTCGTTATGTGAAATGGTTACACTCAGATCTTCAATATCTGGCAAATAATGGTTGCAAAGTTGTAATCCTCTTGACTCGAAAGCAATTAACAGAATGTGACTCAAGTCCTCACTTGGAGGCAGCAGCATATACAATTTTTCACTCCGAATGCCGTCCTGATATTGGGCTTTTGGTATCCAGTTGTGTTCAAGAGGCATTCAAAACCGGAAACGACATATCTTTCTATACATGTGGCTCTGAGTCATTCAACAATATTATAAGTGACAAGCTTTCGGAAAATATTCAAGTTGGCTGCAAGGTCCAATTGACCCACCATGCCGAAGCTTACGTTTGGTGATACTGTTTTTTTTTCATCTTTTCTACATTATCAATGAGGTCTCATAGTTATTAGGCTTTACCATACTCATTCTCTGTCTAGACTAAATTTACCGTCGTCTTCTTCAAGATCCATTTTTTGTTTGCTAGAACTCTGCAGAGCAGCCAATTGCCTGGTGGCTGCTTGTTTTTTGGCCTTCTTGGTCATCTTTTCAATCTCGCTTTCAACATCAACAGATTCCAGTTCAGCATATTGCATAACCAGCCTACGACCGAGCAAATGCACGCCTTGAAGTTGGTCCATTGCTGATTCAGCCTCTTTGGACAAGACAAACTCGACGAAAGCAAATCCACGAGCAGACTTGTCAAACTTCTTTGGAACTCTGACGGATTTCAGCTGGCCAAAAGCACTGAACAGCTCGAACACGTCCTTTCTAGTGGCCTCAAAAGGCAAATTCTTGACAATAATTTTGGCGGATTTCTTGGATTTCTCAACGCTAGAAGCCTGGCCCGCTTGTCTGTGAGATAGCTTGAGCTGAAGATTATAACCATCCAAACTGGTACCACTCTTCGTCGAAATCGCGGCTTCAGCTTGTTGCTTGGTACGGAATTCGACGAAACCGAATCCCATGCTCTGAACCTTTTTAGAATCTTTGGGGTCAGGTTTAGTCTTGATGACTGCAACGACGAATCCTGGCAAAGCTTTGAAGAAATCTGCGAGATCAGCTTGGGTGGTAGCAAAATTCAAGCCTTTCACAAATACCGAGACGGTTGGTCCATCGATCTGATCATCGTCCTTTTCTGCGGTCTCCAAGATATCAGTAGAAGAAAGAGTAGCCGGTGCTTTCTCATCTTCTTTTAGAAGTTCCACAACATCATCTGCAGTAGCCTCTGAGGTGAAAAGGTTCTTAGGGCCCTTTTCAAGATACAGAATCGACTTCTTAAATCTTCTGAATGCCAACTTCGAGAAAGCCGATCTCCCAGAAGGTGCATCCAAATATTCAACGATTGCAATCGTCCCAGCAGGTGGCATCAGCGTTCTCTTCAATTGGCCGTGCTCGGCAAACATCTCAGTGATTTCCTGTATCGTCGTACCAAAGGGGAAGTTCTTCACGAGAATGATCTTGTCATCCTTCTCTTTTCTGTCAAAAGAGGTCAAGTCGACGCCTTTTGTTTCAAAGTATTTTCTGACATCGCCAATAACATGAGCTTCCGCCAAGGCTTGCTTCACTGCCGAGTTACTGTCCTGGGCATCGATAATGTCGGATTTGGCAATTCCCATCTTTTGGGCAACGGAATCCAGGATCGCGTCCTGGCTCATATAGAGTGAGTTCCAGCTAAATTGAGCTTTAGAAGCATCAGCCTTTTTCTTGAGTTCACGCTGCTTCTTTAGAGGCAAATTCTTAAGATCAAACTCATCTAGTCTGTGGTCTTTCTTGGCTTTACCAGGCAAGATGTGCAACAGTCTGCCTTGAAAAATCTGTTTGTCCAGTTCGTGGAATGCCTTCAAAGCGGCCCTTGGATTCTCAAATTTGATATACGCAAACCCTTTGTTCGTGTTCGTCCGTGTGTCAATGGCAATATGCACCTCTTCCAACGCACCGTACGGAGAAAACAAGTCTCTGAAATCATCCTCGGAAGAAGAGTAGGAGATGTTTCGCAAAAACAAGCGACCAGTCTCGTATATTATCCTCTCAGTTTTTTCGCTCTCTGTTTCGATATGCTCTTTTTGGACTGGCTCGATCTCCTGAGCTACAACATCTGACTTGACTTCTGTCTTTTCCTTCAGTTCTTTTTCTTCATGTGTTTCATCATTTTGTTCTTTCATTCTGGTTCTTCTGGATTTCAACCAGTCTAGGTCAGTCATGCCTTCTGTACTCTCTATTTCGGCTGCATCCTCATTCTCTTCTGGAGCTGAGAACGCAGATAGGGAAACCATTGGCTCATCAATGTCCACTTGCTCAGTCTCGTCGTCTTCTTTCTTGTTGAAGGTTTCGTACTCGTCATCACTTTCTTCCTCACGAGCAGTGATCACCGGAGCAGCCTTGGCTTCTAAGACCTTCTCAAGCTCAACAGATGAAGGATTCGCGGCGTTACTGGCAGCCACGTTGGCAGCGTAGGTCTGCTGCTGAGCTGAAGGTTTCACTGCTTCCATGAACTCTTGCAGTTTGAAGTCTTGAGCAATCTTACTGTCAACAGCTGCAATAGGATTGATTCTCTGCCTCTTGCTGTTCTTCTGGGCCTCCAGCAGCTGTAGTCTTTCTTCGTCTCTGTTGGCCCTTTCGTCAGCAGCCCTCTTCTTGTCCTTCCAGGATAGCGGGACATCTGGATCAGCAAAACTTTTAGCGAGCTGCACATCTAGCCTAGCAGTGTCCATAAAAGCGCGATTAAAATACCTCACGGCCTTCTCAGCATCTTCAAAGGTCTTGTAACCCACGAATGCAAACTTTCTGGATTCTCCATTTCTCTTCTTCATCAGCTTCACATCAGTGACCTCACCCTGCTTGCCGAAGTGTTCTCGTATGCGGTCTTCTGCAGCATAGACAGGCAATCCTTTAACAATAATACGTGACATACTATGGATATGGTATCAATATAATGCTAAAGTCAATGTCAAAAGGAGCTACTTTGTGATACCAAATTTTCAGCTCCAATTTTTTTTTAGGCGATGAGGTCGTGCGCGGGAGATTCTCACGAGAGATTTTCCGAATTCTTTCTAGCTGAATGTTGTAGAAACCACTCTATTCTCTCTTACTGTCTCGGAAATATATTTATTTAAGATGATTTCTGCTCCCGAGAAAGTGGTCCCTGGACAGCCTATTGTGCCTATACTTCCAGACAGCGTTTACGAAGCTGGAGAAGGTGCTAGTATGAAAAAACTGTACGCCAACAACGAACTCATAACGTGCATAGTGTCCAACAAGCTGGGAAAAGTGATAACCCAAGAAAAGGATGGAAAAACGATTATCAGTGTGGTATCGGTAGGATCTGGATCCAACAAGATAACTACGCCCAAGGTTGGCGATATCGTAATCGCCAAGGTGGTGAGAATAACGGGAACGAGAGCGCTCTGCGATATCTACAGCATTGAGACTGCCACGGGAACAGGTCTAATTAACTCGGTTCTTGCAGAAGGTGTTGAGAATTTCAGAGGTGTGGTAAGGAGTCAAGACATACGATCTACAAACAGAGACTCTGTAAAGTTGGTGGAATGTTTCAAACCCGGTGATATTATACGAGCCCAGGTAATATCGCTCGGTGATGGAAGGGACTACTTCTTGACCACCTCTAGAAACGACCTGGGTGTGATATTTGCCAAATCAAACGGTGGTGCTGGGCAGATGATGCTCGCACTGGACTGGCAGACGATGGTGTGTCCTGAAACAGGTAAGACAGAAAAACGTAAATGCGCAAAACCTTTCTAAATGGCCTCTATACTATTTCTTTTGAACACGGACGGCAACTATTTGGAGCCTTTGGATTCGGAGGTATTTGTCAAGCGTACAACGAGATCCTCTTTCAGATTGGTCCCAACTGGAATGACGAGCTCTTCGTGGAATCCACGGAGATCGAACTCACTTAGACCGACCTCACCGCCAAACTTCTCAAACCTATCCATGTAGTGTTTTCTCTTCTCACGAGCAATCCTAACCATTTCAGGCCAGTAAATATCGTGACGGTACTGGAAATTAACCTCACCGTCGAACTCTTGGTCCAGCTGCTCGTGAGGGCAGTACATGGTAAAGGGCTCGTCAAACACCAATTTCTCCCTGGTCAGAGGGTCGATAAAAGGATGAATAACCTTCAAAAAGGTCCACGCGAGCCAGGGGATATTGGTCAACAGAGCACGACCCAGTCTCTCTGGATAATGGGTCTGTAAAATGTGCAAAACCTGTCTGCCAACACTCACCGGCGGTATCGCGGAGGACTGCAATTGCGAAGCCAGTTCAGGATGCGTCTTTGGGCCGTACGACTGGAAATCGATCAACAAAGCTAACGAATCTTGTCCAGAAGGCATGAAATCGATCACCCTCTCTAAGTAGAACACCAATTGCTGGACCTGACGGAAGGAAGTCTTCGTGTTCTGTCTTCCAGGCTTGAGATAGAGGCATGGTCTACACTCATTGTCATAACCCAAAATGACCTCTTTGCCCGTGAGATTCTCCTCAGATACCAAGTCAGCAGTGACGATATTTTTGGACTCATCTGTTTGGGAGGAAATTCCGAATTCCCGTCTCCACGACAGCGACAATTCGATACGCGTAACACAGTCAGCTGTGTTCCATTTGGTAGCACGCAGATATCTCAAAAAACACTCTCTTGTCAACCAGGCTTTCTCGTCATAGGTCAAGGGACCGACTTGGTCACCGTGCTTCTCAGTGTTCGAAATTTTCAAGTCTGGATCCTGGAAATGCCCTAGGATCTTCTGGAACTTTTCAAATTGCTCAGGAGTTAGAGGCTTCTCGGAAGGTGGTGAGAGACGAGCAGGCGGTTCCGAAAATGGCACGTAGACAACATTTCCCAAATCCTTTTGGATCTCGGGTACCTTCTTTTTTCTTCCGAACATTATTTTAGCACTGTAGCACAGGATAGAGACGTGGATGCAAAACAGCACATTGCCAATGATGATCTCGTACCGACCCGGAGAACGCCATAAAGCCGAGACCGTGGGTACACGACCCGGGATGTATCTTTTTTCTGGCTTTAGATAAGCCTTTTGTGTTTCGTGGTTGATTAGAAAGAACCTTTTATCAAATAAATTTCTGCCCTTCTGAGAGTCAAATACAACCAACGCCGATAAACTACAATGGACGTACCGAAAAGAGAGCCAGGAGTACTCTCGTTGCACCAGATTGCTCAAACACACTGTGTCAAACATGCCCACCTAATCACAGACGTGGGAACGCTGCCTTACCATTTGGTGGAGCCAATACTCAGGAGAAAACCTGCGAGCTCGCTAGCGCAAATCGAGGAAAAATGTCCTCATTTAATCGAGAATACCGAGGCCATATGGCGTGATCTTTTAGAAAAAGAATTTGGCCCGATATTACCTAGCAAGGTTGATGGTGCACAAACGTCATGCAGAGACCAGTACATGGCCTTTGATAAAAACAGGGAGCAACGCAGGGAGCGGGCCGCCAGCAAATTGCGGAATATGACCAAGAAACTGAATCAGCAAAAGGTGCAAAACTCAATCACTGCAGTGGATATGATTCCAAGCGCTTCGCGGATTTTGAAGAAATCGCCAAAGTTTCACTCCTCGTTATTGCAGCGAGCAGACTCTATCAACAAGTCTCGAGGAAAGATTTTCAACCACAACGTCAAATTTGTGCGAAACAACACCAAATCGGTGCTACAGAAGCAGCTGCAGCCGAAGTCCACTAAGTCCTTCAAATCAAGGTTGCTGTGAAAATTAACACTATATAATGTACACTAACGATGCCTATGACCATGCCTATGACTATGCGACACAGCTATATCCTATCAACTATAGTTTCCACCTTCCGCCTCTTGTGGCCAATGTTTTCTGAATCGTTCAGAATATCTGTTCCCATGACCACAGCCTGCTTGTGGCTCTTTAGACGCAATCTTCCGTTGAGCAGAGCCTTGGTGGGCTGTTCTGTGACGGTTGCCTGGGCTCTCGAGTAATCCAAACCCAGAACCACCAGTAGATTAACAGCGTCAAAAGAGCCCCGCAAACTGAGCGGGTCGGAAGTTCCTGAAGAAAGTACCATCCCCCGTTTTCTGCTGGCTCTGATAAGACCCTTGACGTTTCCAAAGAAATTGCGTCTCTTCAGGTCATCGCTGATCATGTCCCCATAGTTGATCTCGAAAAGAACACCACGGTCTGTTGCAGAACAGACCGTCTTGTGTTTTAGATAAAACGGTAATCTTTGGTGGAATGGCAAACTGATGAGATCGATCTCCAGATTTGAGGCGGCCAGTTGCAGGGCTTTCTCAGACCTCGGTATCACAGAAATGAGGTCAAAGGATGTGTTCAGCTTGGAGAGTCCCTGGTGAGATGAAACGTCGTCTATGATGAGAGTAACTCGAGTGAATATCTTGAGTCTCGACTGAAACTCTTGGACTAGCTTCAAGTCAATGGGATTAACATTTCCAGAAGGCAGCTTCACACCCTGGTCCAACGTGAAGTTCAATGCGATATGAGTATAGCCCAGCTCCTCCAAAATCGCCAGCTGCTTTTTCAGCGACAAAATCTCAGAGCCAGTGGGAGAAGAATAGTCCGTTCTCGGCCACGGCACGTTCAAATCGCAAATCATCCTAGATGGTTCCACGTATTTATAAGCGCGTGCCCAAGCTTAGGTTGTACGGAGGATGACAAAAAAAGTCTGAGATGGCCTATCTCGATAGGGAAAGGTCACGTGCCAGAGTTGCCACTTTCCCGCCTTATAAATGCCCCATGCTATCCTCATTTTGAGAATACTTTCTCGAAGTAAACGTTCACGTTTATGAAGAAAGACATAATGGCGACCCCAGAAATACAGAATATAGACAAAGGCACGACGCTCATGGAGATCGGACAGCACTGTTTCATCTGTCACGATATCGATTTCTTGCCCTATAGATGTGATCTTTGCAAGAGGAACTACTGTTCGAATCACAAGGATGAACTTGCCACCCACGTATGTCCTAATGCTCCGAGGAAATCGAGCTCGGGACAGAAAGCTGTTGCCACAACAAAGTTGCCTCCTGCTTCCTCGGTTTTTCCAGATTTGAAGGCAATTAGACAACAGGCGTTTGCCTCACCTCCCAAACCCAACAGCATCAGCTCCAAACTCCTTGCGGACTCCAAGAGTTTGGATACAAAAATATCCGAGTCCGCTTCTCAGGCCCTAGCGAAGCTGAAAAAATTTATGACTTTGAATGCAAAGAGTTCAAAAGTCAGCAAAAACACTCCTAGTCAGTTCATTATAGAGACGTCAAAACTGAAGAATACTGCCAAGGGAGACGCGAAAATTCCCGAATCAGAGAGAGTCTACATTTGGGTGGACTATATACCCGAAGACTTGAAGGTATCTGGGTCTTTGAAAGTGCCAATATTCGTTTCAAGATCGTGGCCCATTGGCAGACTACTGGACTCTGCCTCGGCCCAGCTCAAGATCAAGAATGAGAACAATAAGACCACAGATGTTTCGAAGAGATTGACCATCTTCAGAAAGGAAAGAGTTGGCGAGAAAGGTAATTCTTTCGTGTATATTCCAGCGAATGGCAGAGTGAATAAGGAGATTGTCACTGGAGATCAGATATATTTGGTGAGAGGGGCTTCTGTATGATAAAATACACACAGTATAATGAAATATGAAATATGAATTAAGAAAAAGATACCAAGCCTAATAAATGCTCAATATTATCGAAAATTGCAATGTAATTAGTTAATTAAATACCCATGTTGTGCTAGATCCATCAGTCACAACGTTAATGCAAGAATGTTTTTATGCTCAAAGCTTAATCATCCACGATATCGTAAAGCTTCTCCAAATCGTATGTTTCTCTGTAGTAGTCACCCTTCCATTTGAGTATCACCAGAAGCAACGGAATGACCGCGATTATACCTGCCAGAATAGAGAACAGTACACCAATACCAAGCGCATCGATTAGAGGTTCAGTCACAAAGGTTGCCACGGTCGCAAGGATCATCCGAACAAAGTTGTTGAGAGCAACACCTGTGGCTCCTCTTCCAGGAAGAGAGTCGACCAAGTACGTCACGGTAGCACCAATAACCATCATACTGGCAAATCCAAAAAGGGCAGTACCAATAAGAGGTGTGACCCAGTGTTTTTTCTCACCAAGACACCAACCAATGATCAACAGAGAGAACGGAAATATACCAGCTGCAAGCCAGACATTGGCCCCGATTCTTGCTTCAGGAACAATCGTACCATGTTTCTCCTTGTACTTGGCCAAAAGATGGTCGACCCATCTTCCTCCCCAGATCGAGGCTATGATATAGGTAATGGAATTGGGGATGTACACCAAGCCCACCAACACGGAACTGAAGTTGTATGGCGGACGGGAGTATGCGTATGTCAGAGTCATGTTCACGAAATAGAGAATGCAGAACGATATCGAGGAATAGGCCACTGCCAAAGAGACTGGCGTATACCTGAAAAATACCAATGACTTGGCTGGACCATAGCAGTAGATCTTGAACTTTTCATCGATCATCTGTGCTTTTGTCAACTTCTGTGAGTCCAGCTGGGATACTCGTTTTTCCAGTTTCCCCCGATCGATTTGTCTGAACTTCCCAGATCTGACAGAGTTGCTGGTTACTGACTCCGGAGCAACTTCTCCCATAGCAACCGCTCCTTCCTCCTCGGCAACTTGTGAGGGCTGCCTAGACAGTCTGGACAAAATCTTTTCAACTCTTTCATCATCACTGGTACTTTCCACCTTTGCTTCAGTATCTTGATTTTTCTTGAGTCGAGATCTCAGAATGTCCCTGACCGCATCTTTGTTATCTTGCAATCTCAATGTCTCTGGAAGAACAAACACAAGCAAGAGCAAACACAACGCACTGAAAATCACCAGAAACCATTGGGTAGCTCTCCACCCCCAACCTTCGTTCAATGCACCACCAATAATGGGTGCAAATAAAGGACCACACAGAGGACCAAGATAGTAAACACCCAAGGCCCGTCCACGCTGTGCTGGTGGATACAGATCACCAATAGTACCTGCTCCTACAGCCTGAACGGATGCACTCGAGGCACCACTCAAAACTCTGAACCCAATGAGCATTCCTATGGAAGTACTCAAAGCGTTTCCAATTGTGAATCCCAATAGCAATCCAAAACTGATCAAATAAATAGATCTTCTTCCATGTCTCTCAGAGAAACTCGACCACCACAGAGGACAGATACCAAGCGTCAAAAGATAGATACCCACTGAAATGTTGACTATTTTCTCAGAAGTGTGAAGCGATCTCGCAACGTCGTCAATAGCAGGTAATAAAATCGACGTTCCCATGGGTCCAGCAATGGCACAACATGCCACCACGAACACAATGCTGTACTTGACCTTGTTCGGCAGTTCTCTGGGGTTAGAGTACTCTGGCACGAGTGAAAAATTGGCCAAAAGTCCACGGCGTTTGCCTCTAGGCACGATTTTTGACTTGTCAAAGGTGAGGACTCTTGATATCGTCGACGATCTTCTGGAAGCTTCGACGCCTATTTCGTTATCCTCGGTGATCTGCTGTGGTTCATGGCCTTGGAGATTAGACCGTTCTGACGAGACAGATTCAAGCGACGATATCGATCCTGCGTCTTCAGAGTTTCGTTGAGCCTTTTGAAGACCTTCACTCATATCGATAAGTTGGTCATTTATGCCCTTAGACCTCAGAACTGAGTAAAAGGTCAAGTCAAGGTGGGAAAACGCCCATTCATATCTGGTATATTCAACTTCACGCTGGCATCGGCAAAACCAAGCTTTTATCCGCAAAAATCACGTGATGCTGACGAATCTGAGCCTGTTTTCGCGGGGATAAGGAACTTTTCATACTGAAATAGCCGGTCAGAAATAGCAAGTCAGGTTGATGTAGAACTGAACCTGGAAAAGCACAGACGTTGGGTTTGGGTCAGAGAACTGGACCTTTGAAGGTTGCGGCTCGGTCCTCATACTTCAGCCCTCCCAAGAATCGAAGCCTCCCCCAACAACAGCTTATCAAGACTGCCAAAGACCATCGGGCAATTAGTTTACCCGCCCTAGCCACACTCACATGTAATCATGTGCATATCACAACTATGACAGGAACAAAGGGGTAACACTACTGATCCTATATTGTGTCAAATTGGCAGTCTCAAAGTGGATTTTGGTCGGAATACTCTCTCGAGTCCAATTCGTATACCTTGGCGTTTTTTGGTTTCCCCAAATAGACGGAAGACGTTCTCATAACCATGACCTCGGAAACCGCGGTGGCCAATAGAGGGAACAACCAGCTGACGCTTTTCCGCGTGGTGAGACTCGTATTTCTGATATTAGTTTTCACGACTGGATGCCTTTCAATTCTGGTATCGCAGGTGGTGATTTTCGTGATCTTCAAGTTCAGTCCCACAAGGAGACAGCTGGGCATCAACTACACTAAGAAGAACTTTGTGATTTTGCTGACTTTTATAACCAATGTTTGCACCAAAACCCAGATAAACATCACACATGACAACTCAATTCCAGAGGGTTCCTTCTATTACGCGAAAACATGGTCTGGAAGGGAAGTTGTCAAGGCCAAGTTGGACCACAACGCGATCCTCATTGCTAACCACCAGATCTATACAGATTGGTTGTTCATGTGGTGGTGTGGGTACATTAACAACGTTGCTGACCGCTTCTACATCATAATGAAGAAATCCTTGCAGCAAATTCCGCTCCTGGGATGGGGAATGACCAACTACGACTTCATATTTCTGTCTAGAAAGTGGGAGTTGGATAAAGAGCAGATGACGACGCAGTTATCGACATTGACTGACGAGAATCACTGGCTATTGGTTTTCCCTGAGGGAACAAACATGTCCAAGTGCAGAAAAGACATCTCAGACAAGTATATCGAAAAGGTTGGTGCCGAACCCTTGGTGCACGTTCTTCTTCCCAGGATAAAGGGTCTTTACGTTTGCACTAAGGCTCTCAAAGGGTCTACTGATACGATTTATGACGCTACTGTGGCATATAGTGGTCACTCACCTGATGAATTTGCTCAAGATATATATGGGCTTCTGGCGACATATCTGTATGACAGAAGTCCGCAATCGGTAGACATACATTTCAGGGCGCATAAGATCAGCACGGCATTGCAGTCTGTGAAATTTGACGACTCAGATGAAGATTTTGACGAGTACCAGAAGTGGCTATTTGAGAGGTGGTCTGAGAAAGACCAGCTTATGGAGGCCTACTTCCAGACGGGCTCTTTCGTGGATAAGTATCACGAAACTATCAAGACGAGGCTGATGCTGAACTCGAAGCTAGAGTTATTTCATGTCTATTCGATCGTCACGGCAACGACGCTAACGCTATGGGTACTATGGAAGGTTTGGGCGCTGTTCTTTTGATGGCTTCCTCACTATTTACCTTTCCCTCGCTATGACTGCACAATTACAGAGTTTTTTTAAGGCAATTTATTGACAATAACATATGACGATGTCTAGATCTAGCAATAACTCAAAATGAAACTTATATAATTACTGAGATTGATCTACAATCTTGCAACACCACCCAGAATCTTCTGCCAATCTTCATCACCCAAAGCCTCGTAGGTGCCTGTGGCACCATTAAGCCAGAACACACCTTCCCCAGGTAACTCTGGATTGGCATAAACCTTTCTGGGTAATTTGTGATTATCGGTGAAGTTCACCTTTCCAAACTTCACAAACAACGGGCGTGCATAGTTAGGAAGAGTCGCAACAACATGTTTGGCCAACTCCTTCAACGTCTCTGCATGGTCTGCTTCTGGCTTGCTCTCAATTACGGCGAAGCCGGCCCTTCCCTCGTGTTCAGGTACCTTGGCCCCAACCACCACGCATTGCTCAATTGATGAACATAGCAGAACTTCGTTCTCCACCTCTGTGGCAGAGACGTTCTCCGACTTCCATCTAAAGGTGTCACCAAGTCGATCCACGAAGTACATCGAGCCAAAACGGTCAGTTTTGAGAAGATCGCCTGTGCGGAAAAAGGCATCACCTTTTCTAAACACATTTCTCACCACCTTTGACTCTGTTTCTTTCTTGTTGTTTAGGTATCCTTGAAATGAAGTTTCGGGTTTCTTCGGGAGCATAATTCTCATCAGTAGCTCTCCGGGTTCTTCGCAGTCAGCCTGCTCACAGAAGCCTTTGTCGTTTCTATAAATAGTCTGGTTGTCTTCTGGGTCCATCTTCACCAAAAAATGATGAAATGTTAATATGCGGTTGATCAATCTTCCGTATGAGCCACAGGCACCGATCGCGAAATCGCCCTGTTGGAAGTTGGTGACCGCAAAAGGCGCTTCTGTTGCCGCATAGAACTCACCAATGACCTCTAGACCGAACCGTTCTTTGAATTTCACCCATATATCGGGCCTCAGACCGTTTCCAAAGGCAATCTTGGCACCGTGTGTTTTCTCGTCGTTGACAGGACCCGAGTTCACCAGATACCTGCAGACTTCCCCGACATACTGAACATGTGTAGCACGGGTGAGCTTCACCTGGGTCCAGAAAGTTCTTACTGAGAATTTGTTACCCAGTGCAACAGTCCCACCTGCCCCAAACACGGGCAACACACCCAACACCGCCGCAGTGGAGTGGTAGAGAGGCATCGCGGTGAAGACGGTGCTCTTCTTCTTGATCCGCATAACGTGGCCAAACAATGCAGACGCCAAGAAGCACTTTCTCCAGGACATGATGGCACTCTTGGGCAGACCGGTGGTGCCGGAAGTATATATGAGCAGAGCAGGGTCGTAATCATGCACGTTTGGACGTCTCGTGTTGTTTGCACAGCGAAGTTTTGGCGCAGATTTGTCTATAATTCGGTCCATAAGAGACTGTTCGTCGAGAAAATTCATCTGCAACTCTGGAATTTCAGTCGAGATCATCTGCTTGGTCTCTAGAACCGGTTTCTTGGAGCCCTCCTCATAGAACAGCTGTTTGGCATCAACCACTTTGAGGCAGTGAACCAATTGCGAACCAGTAACATTGAAATTCAAAAACGAAGGAACCGATCCGATGTTCCAAAGGGCAAACCACAAAAATATAAACAAAGGCCTATTGGTGCAATCGACAGCGATCGTATCATCTGCAGTCACACCGTACTCATTCACTAGTATAAACGATAGTCTGAGAACGATGTCGTAGACGTCCTGGTAGGTATAAGACTCAACAAAGAATTGAGAATCCCCATCAGCAACCGTCCTCCCAGGAACAGGACGGGTGAAAGTCAGCGCAATCTTGTCCGGATAACTTTTGGCTGTGGACTCGAACGTATACCAGAAGTGCGGGCGGCCTCTTACCAGCAGAACAAAGATGTACTGAAGCACTTTCCATATCACGAAGGGCCCAATATATAAATCCTCACTTATACGCGTATACCCGTCAAATCTTCTCCACACACTGGAGATATAGCTAGCAAAACCCATAGCGTGGTTTAGGGATAAAGGAAGAAAGGGAGACAGACAATGCAGTATCAGAGATCATCCCAAAAAGGCCAGACAGCTTCGCGTGCCGAGGTACGTGCGGCAACCAGTGGAAAACCTAAATTGTTTTTTGGTCGCGTGCCAACCAACAGATAGTGCCCTTATCAACTTCTGCAAAGGGAAATTTCAAAATAAACATCGCCAGACCTATGTTTGCATATCTGCGTACACTGTTTTCAATTCTTTACCAGCACTGTTCTTTCTCCACGCTAAGCCAAACCACACCATGCCTAGGAGACCAATCGTGGATGCCATAGAATTCCTCAAAGGAAGAGTCTATTTGGGTGCGTACGACCGTACCCCAAAGGACACCGAGGAACTGGTGTACTTCACCGTAGAGGACTCGCTGCCATACAACCCTTTCCACTTGGACTTCGGCCCGCTGCACATTGGCCATCTTTACCGGTTTGCTGTTACCTTGCACGAGGTATTGAATGATCCTGCCAACAAGGGCAAAGCTGTTGTTTTCTATTCGTCAACCGGAGCCAAAGAGCGTTCTAACGCAGCGTGTTTACTATGTTGCTACATGGTGGTTGTCCAGAGTTGGTCACCTCACCAGGTTCTGCATCCGATTGCTCAGCACGAACCGCCTTTCATGCCATTCCGTGATGCCGGCTATTCGCACGCGGATTTCGAGTTGACAATCCAGGACGTTGTGTATGGTGTTTGGAGGGCCAAGGAGAGAGGAATGATCGATCTCAACGAGTTCAAGCTTGAGGAGTACGAGAGATACGAGAGAGTAGACCAGGGTGATTTCAACGTGATTTCGAAAGATTTCATTGCTTTTGCATCGCCAAAGCAGCCCAAGCCAGGTGCTCCTTTAAACGAGCCATTCAGGTCTGTCCTCAGCTACTTTGGGAACAACGATGTCCAGTTAGTCGTGAGACTCAACTCGCATCTGTACGATGCCGCCGAGTTTGTCAAAAGAGGAATTCAGCACGTGGACATGATCTTTGAGGATGGAACGTGTCCCACAATGGACTATGTCAAGAAGTTTGTCGGAGCTGCCGAAACAGTCATCTCCAATGGTGGGAAGATAGCAGTACACTGCAAGGCTGGACTTGGGAGAACCGGGTGTCTGATTGGCGCCCATCTGATCTACACCCATGGATTCACCGCCAACGAATGTATCGCCTACATGAGGATGATCAGACCGGGGATGGTGGTTGGTCCTCAACAGCACTGGCTTTACCTGCACCAGCACGAGTTCAGAGACTGGAGACACACCATGGTGATCGACAATATTCCAGATGATTCCATTGGTGGGCTATACCCTCTGGTTCCATATGATGAGTACCGTGCCCGCAAGAAGAAGCTGTTTGATCACGAAAACGACTCGCTATTGGTGACTCCTGTGCGCAGAAGAAAGATCTCCGGCCAAATCAAGGCCGCTGCAAGCAAGGCGGTTCCAATGGAAAGCCCCGGACAACCACGCAAGTTCTCACCAGAGAGAAACTACGTCTCTGGTGGAGAAGAAGAGTACACCATGGAGTCGGTCAAGGAAAATATCGAAGACCCAAAACGATTACTTGGATCTCCCAGAAGAGTGGTTTCGTCGGCCCAGGACCCAGCCGATAACACCCAGTGGAAAGTTCTCAGGTCTGTGACCGGCCCGAACAGCCCCGGAAACATCCAGGTCACCAAGACCAAGACCACAACCACCACGATGACAACCACGGTATCGTCGCCGCCCCCATCATACGAAGGAAACACATTGTCCATGCCAAAGACCAGAAAACGGGTTGTCAGTGCCACTGGCAAGCTGGTGGGAAATCCCGGGATCAGAAAAATTTCGCAATCCGCCAAAAGGGTCCAGTAAAAAGAAGCATATAATCGCATAGCCATGATTTGTATTTCTCATTCCTTAATTTCCCATTTTTACGTACTAATCAAATGCAACAGACACAAACCAGGCCAGCCCACTCTCAAAGCCCTGCTCCCATTCCCACACAAAGTTACTGTTTCCTTTCGCTTTGATATGATCAGCCTTTCGGGCATCAGTCCAGGCAACTTTTCTTCCAATTTGGCTGGCATTGAAGTTTGCAAATTCAACGGAGTCCTGGTAAGCCTTGCGGAAGCCGTCTTCGTATCTCCAGTGCTCGTATTTCTCGTTGGAATTTTGTGAGTTCCAATAATTTGCATGATCGTTCAACTTTGAGTTCAATTCATTTTGCATGTCATTTTCGCTTGGGATGCCTTTGAGACGGTATTGTGGAATAGCATTGGGACACATTGCTCTGAATCCCCATTCTCCTCCATCACCGTGCTGGAATTTGTAAGACCAGAAGTAGTACCCACAAGTTCTTTGCCTGAACAATTCAATCTGCCTCTTCCCATATCTCTTCACTAGTTCGTTACGATCGCCAGACGTTTTGTCCCAGGTCTGGCCATCCAGAACACACGAGAACTCACCAACCATGATGTCTGCTTTGGCTGACAAGTTTGTTAACACAGAACCTTCAAGATCGTCGATGATGCGGTCAGCTGACTTGGATTTGTCATCATCCGAGAAGCACCTATAAACATGAGCGTCAATGACCACACCAAGATTTCCCTTGGATGAGTTAGAGGAAATCCACTTGACCCACTGGTCTGGCCACCAGCCATCAGAGATCACAATTGGAACGGTTCCGTTGTGCTCTCTGATTGCGTTTATGGCATTCGAGTAATACAGCTTCTGGTACTTAGCCTCGTTGTCGAATTCAGTTTCGTTCACGATCTGCAGGCCAGAAATGTTTTCGAACCGGGCTAATTCCTTGGCCAAAAACTCAACCACCTCCAGCCCTTTGGCAATATGGCTCGAGGACCAAAATCCTGCTTTGCTCAATTTCTCACCACTATGATCCTGAGCATTTGCACCATATGGCAACGCGTGTAGATCCACCAAGATCCCAATCTGGTACTCACCAGCCTTTTTGATGAGATCAGTGTAGTACTTCCAGGCATTCGAGTAAACTCCCTTCACACCCTCAAAGTTGGTCCCGGACACGAATTTGCCTCCATCAACATGCCAATAGCCAAGGGGTATTCTAATCGAGTTCACACCTGCGTTTTTGAGCCAGTCCCAGTCCTCATTGCTAGCATAACCTGACCAATGTGACTCCAGAAGCTCTCTGGTTTTGTCCACTCCGTTCTTCTTGACCTGATTTCTGACCGCTTCCAGTTCGGTAGAAGCTCCATCAATGAAATAATCGCCAAACATGAAGCTTTCTAGCACAAAAAGACTGCCAAAGTTGGTACCGACGTTGAGTCTGGACTCGTAAATCGATTTCTTGGTGGGCTTCGATCCTATTGGCACAGCCGGTTCTGCAGGCCGAATAGACGAGGCCTTGGCCTCCAATTTGATTTTAGATAACAACCCCATTACTGAACCGTTTGAAAAATCGAGTTTAGCAACTGGACTGGTAGAGAGTGGTAGATTGTAGAGCAAGCAATCATCTTCTCCACAAAATCGAGCAAACTCCAGTGTGCGCGGGTGAATAGTGGATTTCCCATATGGTCGTTTCCTACCCAAATAAGCGCCGCACTAAAATATAAGGACCTAAGCCTACCCACCTGCATATCATCTTAACAAGTCGCAGCCTTGTCTCTCAATCCATAACTCCGAGCGCCATTCACAAAGTAGGGGTGATCGGCATATGATTTCGGGGGTTAGTTGGACTGTTCTACAAATGGAGACAGTTCTGAGGGAGAAGCATTTGCCACCTTGAATAAACCGGTATAAAAACCGAGGTAATCGCCGTAGAAAGCACTCAGAAATATGACAACCAAGAGCCAAACCCTAGATCCTCAAATGTCAATGTCAATTAACAGTAGAAATAACGGCTCAATGCCTGATCCAGAAATGGGTGAAAAGAAGCTATTTCTAGAAAGCAATGCCGGGGACGGCACTTTGCGTGAGGACCACTACTTACATGGAACACGTTTGTTCGTGTGCTTGTGCTCGTTGTTCACATGCATGTTTCTTGTCGCGCTCGACCAGACGATTGTGGCATCCATTTTGGAAGAAGTAGGCAACCATTTTGATGCTGAGAACAAGGTAGCATGGATAGCCACCGCTTTCTCCTTTGCTATGGCAATCTTCATCCAGATCTGGGGGAACATTTCAATCGCAATTGGAAGAAAAAATGCCGTTTTAGCGGCTGTTGTACTTTTTGAGATTGGATCCTTGGTATGTGCTCTTGCAAACTCAATCAACATGCTGATCGGAGGTAGAGTCATTGGAGGGATAGGTGGAGGAGGTATCATGTCGCTGGTGATGGTAATTGTTTCCGAAATTGTTCCCATTGAAAAAAGACCAATTGCAATGACTGGCTTCAGTATCACCTTTGGATTTTCGTCCGTTATGGGTCCAATCGTTGGAGGTGCTTTTGCAATAAATGTCTCTTGGAGATGGTGTTTCTACATCAACCTTCCAATTGGAGCATTAGCAGCTGCGGCTGTCTTTTATATATTCAACCCGCCCAAACCCACCGGAGACTTTCTTCCAAAACTGAAGGCAATTGACTGGTTTGGATTTCTTCTGACGATAGGCGGGTTGTCACTTTTTCTACTGGCCCTTTCCTTTGGCGGTAACGAGTTCCCTTGGAGGTCTGCAGCTGTCATCTGTTGCTTTGTGCTGGGAATTCTTTTAGTGATTATCTTCTTGATATGGAACTTCAATTTTTCCAAAAACCCACTGATCCCGGCTGAGATTGTCAAGGTTAGAACAATTGACTTATGCTGTGTTGGAATGTTCTTCGTATTTGGATTCTTCATCTCTCTCATTCTCTATGTCTCTCTCTACTTCCAGGTGGTCAAGGGATACAATGCCATTCACTCTGGCCTTTCGCTACTTCCAATGATTATTCCAGTGGTAATTTTCTCCCTCACTACAGGAATTGCAACGACTAGGCTCAGATACATCAAACCGTTCACCGTTGTGGGTGGTACCCTTGCCCCAGTGGGATGCGGTCTGCTGTGTCTCTTGGGCGTCCATTCAGATATATCCAAGCGTATTGGTTGCCAGATAGTATTAGGTATTTCGACAGGAATACTAATGCAGCCATTTATTATCCACCTTCAGATGGCTGCTCCGAAGACCCCAGGATCCACAATTCTGGCTAGTACTTTGCTGAACTTTACTCGTAACCTCGGGTCTGCCATCTGCAGTGACCTATCACAACTGGTCTACACCTCCACTCTTTCCAATAAAATTGCTGCTCTCAAAGGAAACGAAGAGTACTACAGGGTTGGACTAGATAAGTATCCATTGCATGATCTGATCAATAACACCTCTGAAATTCAGAAGCTGCCTGCCGCCGCCAAAGAGGTCATCTTGAAAGTATTCATGGACGCATTTAAAAACGTCTTTTACTTGACTACAGGGTTTGCTGGGATTACTCTTATTTGTGCTCTATTGATGCCTAACGATATTTTGCCCAAGAAGAGTGAAGGCGTTGAATAAGCAGAAGAACACACCAACGATGCAACAGAGGGTACCCAGCTGGCACTAAAGGTATCCGAACAGAAATCGAAATAGGCACCCAGCTTGCTTGGACATAGCCTCATAGCCATCTCATGTACATATTGAATCTTTCATATAAACTTGTCAAATATTAGCATTATCTGCTCGTATAAGGTCTCGTATAAGGTTCAAACCGGTTGACTGCAGCCTGCAGTACTGCAGGTGCATGAGTGTTCTTATCAATTTTCAGTTGAAAAAAAGTGATCTTGAAGCCTGCTTGTCTCTCCGAGAACACCACAAAACATAGGAGAATCCCGCTAATGAACCCGATAGAAGCTCCGTGCTAACCTCAATTTGACAACATTTCAGTTTTAAAAGGGATTTACGAGTCCGTGCTCAATATGGGCAAATCCAAAGGTGGATACTACGCGGTGAGGAACGGTAGAAGCAAGGGTGTGTACAACTCCTGGAGCGATTGCTTGAAACAGGTCACTGGATACTCCAATGCCTCATTCAAGAAATTTGATACGATGGCTGAGGCCAGTGCGTTTGTTAGTGGAGGGTCTCGAGGTGGATCTGCGAGGGCGTCCACGGCGCATAATTCACCTTCTAATGGGCCGTACAGTTTGTCTTCCTCGCGGTCCTACGCGCTTTCATATGCGCAGCGATCTCCGGGGCAAGTTTCTAAATCTCTTAAAGCTACAGATGCCACCCCAGACGGTGCATCTACTTCTCCACAAACAGTGGATCATTCCAAACACATTTACGTTGACGGAGCGGCCAGGGGAAATGGCCGCGGAAACGCTCGTGGCGGGGCGGGAATTTACTACGGCCCTGGAGATCCCAGGAACAAATCAATTCCATTGCCAGATACAACCAACCAGAAAGCTGAGCTTCTGGCAATGCGCGAAGGACTAAAGGGCGCGCTGAAGGATACATCGAACAAATATACCATCCATTCTGACTCGCAATATGCGATCAAGAGCTCCACCATCTGGTACAAACGGTGGGAAGAAAATGGGTGGAAAAATACCAAAGGCGAACCAGTTGCCAACAAAGAACTTGTTCAGGACGTGGTTCAGGCCAAGCGGGCTTTGAACGATGTTTACGAGTCTAAGGGCTGGGGTAAGGTTGAGATCAAGCACGTCAATGGACACTCAGGTGACCCTGGAAACGATGCTGCTGATGCACTGGCAAATAGAGGTGCGGATGCAGTAAAAGATTAATAATAAGCGGCCTCTGATTTGCCATGAATCCACCCTTAAATGTGTTTATATGCTACGACTATTGCCTTTGTACACTGTTTAGATGAAATTATGATATGTTTTTGCTTCTAGTGTAGTGCAGTGCCACCAACCGGTATCCCAATGGTTTCCGACCTCATAACAGATTTTCAGCTACCATATGCCGCTTAATATTCTGAGATAAAAAGGAGAATAAACTGCATTGAACATTGGAGCATCCCCAGAGTCACAACTTAAAACACCGGGTGTTTTCAACTAGCCGCAATTGCCCGTGTAGCGTAATGGTTAACGCGTTTGACTTCTAATCAAAAGATTCTGGGTTCGACTCCCAGCATGGGTGCTTTGCTACTTTTTTTGACTATGATAGCGAGAATCAAAGCTATCTCCTAGTTCTTTTTTTTTCTTTCTACTTTTCGATGTTTGATTCTTATGGTGAACAATATCTTATTGTGTGACAGATCTTGAAAGTCTTTCAAAATGGTTGGCAGGTGTTGGAGCAGCAGCAAGATCCAGCACGCTACAGTCTACAAGGGAATAGGCATGGCCGTAAAGTAGCAAGCCCACAGAAAATTGACAGAAGGCTGTCAAAGCTGTCCCAAAGCAGCAAAATAAAAGACTATTTAATAGCAAAATACGAGCGCATTAGGATGTCGTAATCTATCAGGCTTTGGGAGGGCCAAACCAGAGACTGTGCTTCTCCCCCGCCCGCCCAATGAGCTAAACATTGCCGTCAAACTGTCTCGGAACAGCCCGTTACCCAACTGTCTTCACGATAGCAACCACGATAGCAGCGAAATTAATTTTTACTTTTCTCTGTAATTAATTCCTTGATCACATATGCGGGGATGCTCCAAGACATGCTCTAATGAGACCAATTGATTCAAACTGACGCGTCCATTAGCGGACGCATCGGGTCGTTGCTAGCTGATAATCACGCTTTAACCTCACAAATTAGTAACTAATCTGTGCGATTCTGCCATTTTAGGCCAATGCCGATGTCGCCAGTAGCCGTTCGTTTCACTCAACCGCGACGCGTTTGTTTACAGATAAACCAATTCGATTAGAAATCCAAAAAGGCGACGCGTCGCCACACGACCGGCGGGCCCTTATAAATAAAACGCGGTTCGTCTTCTTTTTTTTTTCGCTCCTCTTTCTCCTATCCCTATCAACTAATATTTCTCCCACCCGCACATACAACATGCACGTTTACAAGAGGGATGGCCGCAAGGAGCCGGTTCGTTTTGACAAGATCACGGCCAGAATTTCGCGTCTGTGTTACGGTCTTGATTCCAACCACGTTGATGCCGTTGCTATAACACAACGTGTAATCTCGGGTGTGTACCAGGGAGTCACCACCATCGAACTCGACAACCTTGCTGCCGAGACAGCTGCCTACATGACCACCATTCACCCGGACTATGCCATTCTTGCTGCCAGAATCGCGGTCTCCAACTTGCACAAGCAAACTACTAAGGTGTTCTCGCAGGTTATCTCCGAACTGTACCATTATATCAACCCAAAGAACGACAAGCACTCGCCTATGGTGTCCAAAGAAACCTACGATATTGTTCAGGCCAACGCCGACGAGCTGAACTCCGCCATTGTCTACGACAGAGACTTCCAGTACAACTACTTTGGTTTCAAGACCATGGAGCGTTCTTATTTGTTGAGAGTCAACGGTAAGGTTGCCGAAAGACCACAGCATTTGATCATGCGTGTTTCTATCGGAATCCACGGAGACGACATTGCCAAGGCCATCGAGACCTACAACTACATGTCTGAGAGATACTTCACCCACGGTTCTCCAACTCTTTTCAATTCGGGTACTCCCCACAACCAGATGTCGTCATGTTTCCTCGTTGCCATGAAGGAGGACTCCATTGACGGTATCTACGACACTCTCAAACAGTGTGCACTTATCTCAAAGAGTGCAGGTGGTATTGGTCTTCACATCCATAACATTCGTTCCACAGGTTCGTACATTGCCGGAACCAACGGTACTTCCAACGGTCTTATTCCAATGGTCCGTGTCTTCAACAACACAGCGCGTTACGTTGACCAAGGTGGAAACAAGAGACCTGGTGCATTTGCTCTTTACCTTGAGCCATGGCACGCGGATGTCTTCGATTTCATCGACATCAGAAAGAACCACGGAAAGGAGGAAATTAGAGCCAGAGACCTGTTCCCCGCTTTGTGGATCCCTGATTTGTTCATGGAGCGTGTTGAGAAGAATCAGAGCTGGACCCTGTTCTCCCCATCCGAAGCTCCTGGTTTGAGTGATGTTTACGGTGACGAGTTCAAGGAATTGTACGAGCGTTATGAGAGAGAAGGTCGCGGTAAGGACACCATCAAGGCTCAGAAGCTTTGGTATGCCATCTTGGAGGCCCAAACCGAAACTGGTACTCCTTTCATGCTCTACAAAGATGCTTGTAACAAGAAGTCCAACCAGAAGAACTTGGGTATCATCAAGTCCTCTAACTTGTGTTGTGAGATTGTTGAGTATTCCGACAAGGATGAGACCGCTGTGTGTAATTTGGCATCTATTGCCTTGCCAGCATTCATCGAGTCTGACGACAAGACTTCCTGGTACAACTTTGATCGTCTTCACGACATTGCCAAGGTTGTCACCCGCAACTTGAACAGAATCATCGACAGAAACTACTATCCAGTTCCAGAGGCCAAGAGATCCAATATGCGTCACCGTCCTATTGCTGTTGGTGTCCAGGGTTTGGCTGATGCTTTCATGAGACTGCGTATTCCATTCGATTCCCCAGAGGCCAAGGAACTTAACATTCAGATGTTCGAGACTATCTACCACGGTGCTTTGGAGGCTTCCATGGAACTGGCTACTGAGGAAGGTGCCTACGAAACTTTCCAAGGTTCTCCAGCTTCTAAGGGCTTGCTCCAATTTGATCTTTGGAACAAGAAGCCTACTGATTTGTGGGAGTGGGATTCACTCAAACAGAAGATCATTACTAAGGGTCTCAGAAACTCTTTGCTTGTGGCTCCAATGCCAACTGCATCCACATCACAGATTCTTGGTTACAACGAGTGTTTCGAGCCATACACCTCTAACATTTACTCTCGTCGTGTGCTTGCTGGTGAGTTCCAAATTGTTAACCCATACCTTTTGCGTGATCTTGTTGATCTCGGTTTGTGGAACGATGGAATGAAGAATTTCATCATCTCCGACAACGGTTCTATCCAAAATCTGCCAAATGTGCCCGATGAGCTCAAGCGTCTGTACAAGACGGTTTGGGAGCTTTCGCAGAAGACGATCATTGATATGGCAGCCGACAGAGCTGCTTACATTGACCAATCGCAATCCATGAACATCCACCTCAAGGACCCTACTATGGGTAAGCTGACCAGTATGCATTTCTACGGATGGAAGAAGGGTTTGAAGACCGGAATGTACTATTTGCGTACTCAGGCTGCTGCTGCTGCCATCCAGTTCACCGTGGACCAAGATGCTGCCTCCTCTGCTTCGCTGACTGTTGCCTCGCTAGAGAAGCTTAAGGTGAAGAAATACGTTGCTAGAAAGACTGCCCCTGTTGAGGACAACTCGTTCTCTTCTGCAGACTCCAAGGAATCGACTCCAGCACCAGAGTCCGAGCCAACCTCGCTGGAAAACAGCCTTGCTGAGCTCCAGGTTCAGGACAAGCCTCTTCCGGTTCCAGTTCCGGTTGCCGAGAAAGAAGAGGAACCAGAGACTGCTGCTGCTGCTGTTGATGAAGACGATCAGACTGAAGCTGATATCTTCAGCTCCAAGGTGATTGCGTGTGCCATAAACAACCCAGAGTCTTGCCAGATGTGTTCTGGTTGAAGCCCTGACAGGCCAGTCATTTTTTTATGTTACGTTAATTCTATACAATATACCCGAATTGGAGGAAAGTTTTTGCTGTTTGAAAAGTCCGAAGATTAGATGCGAAGAAGTAGATTGTGTGCTAGCATGCAGGCCAGACCCAGCAGTCATGCCCGGCTACAGCCCACTTTAATTAAGTATGCCCACTTAAAACCTGCTTGATAGGCTATGATCAAATATACACGAGTATGACTGGCCAAAGCAGAAGAGAACATTTGAAACTAGCAGTGCAGTTCCTCATAGCGACCAAATTACGACTAGTAACTAAATCAGATCGAGCTAATTATGCAGTGAAGACCCGTAACTAGCTATAAGCATCAAACTCCACACATCCAGTTATAGCAATCCCGATATCGCTAAAGTCCTCAAATTAAACACCAATGCCACATAATCACCCGCAAAAAATATATATGTACAGATATATATCTTGAAGGATTCTAGAAAAAAATAATAACCACTGTAGTCTAGACCTTACCATCTACTCTAGTAGGCCTCTGGGGCTCTCTAAACAATCAGACAGTTACCCGGCCGGCGTCGAATCTGCGATTTGGCGCTCCCAACTTTAGACGCTTCCTACTCCTTATTAACAAATTAAAGACATTTGTCACCACAAGAGGCCGTATCAGCAACGGATAGGACACTTTGTAAGCGCAGGTCTAACATTTTTGGTCTTATAGCGTCTTGTGTGTTGGAAACCTCAGTTTCCAAGTTTTGTCACCAGATCCACGTTTGTTCCAGGTGTATCCCCCTGATCCACAAAACTTGACCTCTTACACCTTTTTGGCTGGCTAGTCTACACAGAGTACTCTAGTTCTTCCCCTGTTTTTTTGCCGGATTATACACCAATATCACCGTGTATTACGACCAAGGATATATTGCTGAACAATGTAAGTGAATTTTATTGGCGTGACCTCTGTTGGCTTCTCTTGCCTTCATGTTGCTTTGTTATGGGCACAGCATTACTAACAGAAGTGAAACGCAGGGATCTCCGGGTTGGAAGAAAGTACAGAATCGGCCGTAAGATCGGCTCAGGATCTTTTGGAGATATCTATCTCGGCACCAATATCATTTCCGGTGAGGAAGTGGCCATCAAATTGGAGAACATTCGCGCGAAACACCCTCAACTTGAATACGAGGCAAAGGTGTACAAAGCGCTATGCGGAGGAGTGGGAATTCCATTTATCAGGTGGTTCGGAACCGAATGCGATTACAACGCCATGGTGATGGATCTTTTGGGACCTTCTTTGGAAGATTTGTTCAACTATTGCAATCGGAAGTTCTCGTATAAGACGGTGCTGCTGCTGGCAGACCAACTGCTTTGCCGTATCGAGTTTGTACACGCCAGATGTTTCATACATCGTGATATCAAGCCGGATAACTTCCTTATGGGAATAGGCAAGAAAGGCTCTCAGGTCAACATGATCGACTTCGGTTTGGCCAAGAAGTTTCGTGATCCAAGGACGCATTTGCACATCCCTTACAAAGAGAACAAGAACCTCACGGGAACGGCCAGATACGCCTCCATCAACACACATCTAGGAATTGAGCAATCAAGGCGGGATGATTTGGAGTCCTTGGGCTACGTTTTGGTGTACTTTTTGCGGGGATCTCTCCCATGGCAAGGTCTGAAGGCTGCTTCTAAGAGGCAGAAGTACGATCGTATCCTGGAGAAGAAGATGGCCACTCCGGGCGAGGTTTTGGCCAGAGGATTACCCACAGAGTTTGTGCACTATTTGACATATGTCAGATCGTTGCGTTTCGAGGACAAGCCGGACTACATATATCTGAGAAGACTGTTCAGAGATCTTTTCATAAGGGAGAATTACCAGGCAGACTATGTGTTTGACTGGACGGTGTTCAAGATACAGCTACACCAGCAGCACAGACAGCAACAACTTCAGAAGCAGCAGCAGAAAGTGACGGATGGCGAGCAGCAAGACCCAGCAGAAGAAGGCGCTATTCAGGGGCAGATAGAAGCCCAGGCTCAAGTACAGTCACAAGCTATTCCCGTGAATGCAGCAAATAACAGCAACAACAAGATGATGTACTACTCGGAATCACCTCCTCAGCAGCAGGTGCGGCCGTTACTTCAACAGCAGCAACAGGCGCAAACAAGCCGTGCGATTGGTGGAGTGGAAAGTCCATACTTAGGCAGAATGACGACAAGCCAGGTACCACAGCCGGTACAGCCTATACAGTCTCAGCAGACCCAACAGGCTCCGCTGTCAACATCCGAGCAACAGGCTCAACAGCAGCAACAATTAAAGAATCTCCAGTGGTTGTGATGGAGAACACATAATAGTTGTGAACCTCCTGTGACTGATACTGTTGATAGTCCATCAGACTGTGTCAAGTCAAAGCCAGTTGCTTTTTGAGATTCGTCGCATACTCATACTCATTTCTAAAAATCACACATCGAAATAGCAGGCTCGTAGAAAGTGTATGTACTGGTGTTCATATTGGCTTATTGACTATTGTAAAAGTTTTCATATGTACGGGTATACTTGCGCACTTTCCTTCATAGCTCGCTATGGGGTAAATGCGCTGGTGCATAAGCTGACGCATAATCTTATGTACTAACTGATGTTCATATTTGTGCATATGGATATACCTTTCTATATCCTCCTATATTCTACTATAACATACGCACCCATAATCTCATTCCCCGTGAGCAATCTTGCTGATCAAGGAATACGCAATGCTTTGGCGGAATGGAAGACGGATCTTTTCTGCCTCCGTACCATCCTTTCCGGTAAGATCTTCTGATTCAGTAATGTCCTTGATAAGAGCAGTGTCGATCCACTTGACCTCCTCCATTTCTTTGTCGTGTTCAATGTTGATAACTTCGTTAACCCCGTTGAATTCAACTTCAGCAACACACCCAATCATCAGACTAGCGGGAAACGGCCACGGTTGCGAGTTGATAATCTTCACAGCAGAAGCCTTACATCCAGTCTCTTCCCATATCTCACGAATAGAAGCCTCTTCAATCGTTTCACCAGGTTCCATGAATCCAGCAATAGTTGAGAACATGCGAACTCCAGTTACAGGGTCAGCAGCATGGCGCCTATTGTGCCCCAACAGAGTCTTGGACCCGTCCGCAGAAACAACCCCAATAATAACCACAGGATCCGATCTAGGGAAACACACGTTGTTGACACTTGTACGCTTAACAGGACACGATTGATCTGGTCCTGAGGTACAATAGAGACGTGTACCCGCATCCTGCGGGATCACTACACTTCCACATCCAGGACACCTTTGGTTGCGCATCAGCCAGTCGAGATATGTCTTTCCATAACCAAACAGAGCCGCTTCGTTGTACTCAAATCCGAGAATACTCATCATAGAGTGTCCTGGGTAGGCTTTTGCACCATCGGAAGCTGATCCGGCAAACAGATAATCCTTGAGCTGTTGCGAGCGAGTTATGTCAACTGCTAGGTAGGCCACTCCCTCATAGCCATTATAGCGGTGTCTGGTGATTCCTTTAGCAGAATTCCCAAAAACCCGGAGTTGAGAGTCCAAAGGGTTAGAGCTGAACAAATGTGGCCTCTCCGCTCCGGTTTCATCCAGACCTAGGAAAACCGCGGTGATCTCTTCACGCACATCCACACTGGACTGGTCATTTCGCTCTGCCCATTGTTCAAGAACGGCAATTAGATGCGCAGGCAAAGATGCCAATTCCACAACTAGCAGTTTGGATTTGCCCTCTGTATCTACCAAAACAGGTGCAACATCGTTCTTATCACCCTGGACATAGAATGTCAATCTGGTGGTGCCGGTTCCGCTAATCAGGGAAGACACAAACTTGGAGTCGCTTCTCAGAAACGAAACCCGGTTCAATGACGTGGACGTCCCGAAGTAAATATCCGACATACTTTAGATGGGAGTTGAGATAATAAATACAAACGCAAAAATTCTACGTAGGCCTCGGTGGTTTAATGCTGTATATTACAAATACGAAAGGGTGGGGTGTGGGAGGAGCCAGGGCTTCTTGACCAGGGCGAAATTATGGTTAAGAACGATGGCCGTTCCAGTATCAACCCTAACCTGGCACATTTATCTCTGAGGGAACTGTGTGGATCGGTTTTGGGTATTGTAAATTCCGGCAGCACGTTGAGCAGCAACCTGTGGATTGCTCATCACGCGTTGCTGCATTTGAGGAGTAAGACCCGCTTGTTGGGCGCGAGCCCTCATCAAAGCCTGGGCCTGTTGTTGAGCACGGGCTTGAGCGAGATCCTGGCCAGACAGGGGAGAGTGGTGTTGCTGTGACTGTTGTGGTTGGCCCTGACCAGCCTGCTGGCGTGGAACACCCTGGTGTGGTACACGCTGGGGTGACCGAACTAAGTAGTAATAGTCGTCCACTTTATCAACATCCACCACGGCAGTTCTTCCATTGAGTCCACCGAGTGGGTTCGCGGCAATTCGCGGCAAAATTGCTCCTGCAAACATCTCACGCATTCGCAGAAACTGTGAACGACTCCGTACAGGCATAATGGTGCGGCGTTCCAGTGGCAGAGGATACGATCTCATGACTCCCTCCAATACCTGTTGGGTTTCCTCGTCGTCGTCCAGCGGGATCGAGGAAGCGTGGAGCATGTCCTCCTGTGCAGCCTGAGCAGCGGCTGCGCCAGCGACTAGTTTGGCCTGGTTTTTCCGCTGATACGCAGCCAACAACTGGTCGTATGGAGCAGACCTTCCTGGAACAGCACGTTTGGCACCCATCGAATGTGTCTTGCACGTTAGCGAACGTGCACAGAACCCATTGTTAGGTAGGGCAACACCACACTGTTTCTCCACATCAACAGGTCCTTTTTCCTTGGAGGATGGCTTTGTCTTCTCCTTCTTCCGCTTCTTTTCTTTGACGGCCTTGGCTTTCTTGCCTTTAGGTGGATGTTCAGGTGGGACAGGTGTGTTTTCTTTGGCTTCAAATTCAGCTTCGAGCCTCCGCTTTTTGGGGACTCGGGATTTAGCCGAATTTGCAGAATTTGAAGACGACCTCATGCAAGATTCAATATGGGCGGCCATATGTGTTTCGAGAAAGGGGCGGTCACAATGATTGCAAATCCTATATGGAACAGGCGAGCTCAGCGGATTCTTCACAAAGGCAGGACCAGAGTTGGACTCGCTCGGCACACCCTGAAGAGTCTCGAGGTACTGGCCGAGGTCCTTCCAGATCTTTACCTTGGAAGAGTCGGTGCTCGCGGAGTGTCCGAGTGCCGAGATCTTTTTGTCGATACTCGGGCCGAGTGCGTCGGAAAGGGCTCGTTCGGATATGCTCGGGGGTCTCTTTGACATCTATTGAGGCGGATGCTGGAGCCCAAGAAAAAAAAAAGATGAAAACCGGGAAAGATGGAGAAGCTTGGGAGCTTATTTCACACACCAGAGCTAAAACGGGATTCGAACAGCATGGTCAATGGCCCTGGTTTTAGTGTCTCACCCAATGGTGTATACACGCCGGATGTTTCGGGCACGATGTCCCTTTTAGTGCCCACGGTCACGTGATCTGCTTATCCGCAGGGTTCTTGGCAATGCGCGGCTAAATGTGGGGTAAGGTGGGGCTTCTGCATCTGACCTGCCCCTCCGCGTAAAGAAATTTTGCTAATGATCCTCCGTGAGCTCCACAATGGATGACTAGACTCTGATAAAGTCTGTGAAGAACGCGTGCCCCTCTTCTAGGGCTGGTTTAAAAACCCAGACGTGTTCTGCGAGAGCAGACTGGTGAACTTTTACGAGAAGTATAGTTCTATCACTGTTCGTGACCCTAAAACCACGCCTAAAAACAAAGCCATGGCTGAATTACAGACCAAGACCTCACTGGAACACATTGAGACCAACATCTCATCTAAGTCGCGAGGGGATGAGTATATTGAGGAGGCGCGTGCTATGGGCTTGCCAGATTTTCATCTCAAAGATGAGGAATGGCATGCTGAAATGCACAAAAAGCTCCTGTGGAAGATCGATACTCGTATGCTGCCATTGCTGATCTTGATGTACTTACTAAACTTCCTAGACAGATCCAATCTTTCACAAGCCAAACTCGGAACTTATGTCGAGGATCTGAAACTGAAAGGAAACGACTTCAACACCATCACTTCGGTGCTTTTTGCTGGTTATATTTTGATGCAATTGCCTTCAAATCTGCTTTTGACCCGTGTCAGGCCTTCCCTCTATATCTGTGCTTGTGTTACTCTGTGGGGAGTTGTTTCTACATGCCAAGCAGCAGTGCACTCCAAGGGGGCAGCTATTGCTTGTCGGTTCTTTCTGGGTGTTGTGGAAGCCCCATTCTTTCCTGGTGTAATGATGATTATGTCTTCTTGGTACAAGCGTGAAGAACTGGGTCACCGTTATGCCCTCTTCTATGCTGGATCTGCTCTGGCCAATATGTTTGGAGGTCTGATTGGAGCTGGTGTTTTGAACAACCTTAACGGTACTCACGGAATTGCTGCCTGGCGCTGGCTCTTCATCATCGAGGGAGTCGCTACGATTGGTGTGGCCATCATCTCGTCACTTTTCCTTCCAGACTACCCTAAGACCACCAAATGGCTAACCCAAGAAGAGCGTGATTACGCTCAATGGAGACTAGTTAAGGACATTGGTAAGGGTGATGAGGGTGACTCTGTTACCATTAAACAGGCTGTTATCATGGCTTTCAAAGATTACCGCATGTATCTATTCATTGTCGCCCAGCACTGCAACTTGCTTGCCCAGTCCTTCACCTACTTTTTCCCTTCCATTGTCAAGACCCTCGGTTTTGGCACCACTGAGACTTTGCTTTTGACGGTCCCAGTGTGGTTTGCTACTTTTTTGAGTGCGTTGATAGTTTCGTACCATTCCTCCCGTACCAATGAACGGTGCTACCATATCGCCATTTCCATGTTGGTTGCCATGATTGGAAACATTATTTCAGTTTCCACCACCAAGACAGGCCCACGTTTCTTCGCTATGTTTTTGATGCCTATGGGTGCGTTGCCTGCCTTCCAGTTGATCCTGACGTGGGTTGCCAATTCGTTTCCAAGACCTCTAGCCAAGAGATCTGCTTGTATTGCTACAGTCAACATGTTGGGTAACATCGCCTCCATCTATGGTTCATACATGTACCCAGACTCTCAGAAGCCTCGGTATGAAGTTGGTGGGTCCATCACTGCAGCTGTATGTCTCGTGTGTGCAATTATGGCTATCGTGATCCGCTTTGTGCTGAAGCACGAGAACCGCAAATTGGAACTCCACGAGCAGGAGGTTCTGGAAGGAGAAGATCCTCACGGTGTTGACGAGAAGGTTTGGGGATTCCGTTATATTCTTTAGTTTTTTCAGAGGTGCTAGACATGATTTAAAACCGTATTTCATAGCTATAGTGAAGATGTAGAGGGAGAACTTTTGTAGGATATGGCGATCGCCATATATTCAGGCTTTTGCATTGAAAAATGTGTGAATAATAAGACTCTGCTTGATATCAAAGAGTCCAGGAGTACTTTTGGGTCTAAATAAACAAAAACAGCACAAACGACAAAACCGCAAAAAGAGATGTTTTCTCGATAGCACCGCCGTTGGTTTGGATTTCGCTCACAGTTGCTGGAGATGTGTAGCTGGATCCAGAGATTGAGCTCGAGCTCGAGCTAGACTCAGGCAAGACACACTTGTTAGTGGTGCAGGTAATAGTCAAAACCTCGGTGGACTCGGTGTAAGAGACTGCTCCAGCAGGGTTTGTGGAGCATGGGACGACGGTGGTAACGGTCGTAACCAGCAAAGAAGTGGATTCGGATTGACTGTCTGAGCTCAATGTGGTTAAAGTATGATTTCCATAGCCAGCAGAGTAGATACTGCTGAACGTAGACATAGGATAAATAGAGGTGGAAGCCGAAGTGGTCGAGGTCGTGTTGGTGATGTTGTGTTCCAAAGTTGGAAGTTTCACTTTAAAGATCAACGATTGACTGTCAAGATTAGCACCAGTAGAGTCAGCGTAAGGGAACCTTCCAAAATTCATGAAACCGTTCTGCGTGATGAAGTCATCATCAGAAGCAATCAGCAGATAAAATTCGTCAGTGGTTCCTTCTACTGGGAAAACGTCCATAGACTCCCATTTCTCATTCAACAAAAACTCGTTGTCATCACCTCCGTTGTGTAGACCAAATTTAGTTAACTCGTTAGCATCGTTAATGTCAACTAGAGGATGGCATACAGCTGGAGTAATTGAGTCAATAAGATTGCCAGATGGAGCAATTGAGTCCGTGGCTCCGTCATAAAGTCCGAGGATGTCAGAAGCATTCGATAGTCCGTAGACACAAATCTTGCGGTAGATTGAAGTTGTGTCATCCTGGGCTCTTCCATGACCAGAGTCACGGGCTAAAACCAAAAACTTGTCGTCAGCCAGGTATAAAATCTCAGATTGGGCTGCTGTGCGCGGGTTAGCACTGGCCTTCTTCGTTGGATCAGTGAAGGTTGGCAGTTCCAAAACGTACTCTGCAACAGCTTCGAGAGTCGAGAGATCGTACTTAATCATTCTAGCGTTATTGTTGGAGGTTTTCGAGTCACCACCATCTTGAGTCAAGGCAGACTGTATCAGCAGATAACCGTACTTGGCGTCTGGTGAGATGGTCATGCCCTCAAAACCCTGATTATCCACTCTTCCAGAGTCAGTATCACCAGAGTCCAGCGATGGATCATATATTGGGGCAGAATCTGCAGAGAAGGAGATTGCGCTCTTCCTTCTCGGCAAGAACGCACTTGGTGGCTGGAAAGCTGCTTGAAGGATACCGTCCCCGCCAAACCTGTAGGAATAAGGTCCGTACTCATCGCTGATCCAGAAGCCATTTTCGATATCACCACCAATAAGCTCTACAGCCTCGGAATCAAGACAGACGGTATACCCACCGCCTCCAGCACCACCAAAACCGTCGCCGCTATATCTCACGGCTGGCAGGTCAGGGAACCCATCGAAATCAATTGTAGAGTTACAGTCTAGTCCAGACATCACAGTTCCGCTCGGATCACGAAGAAGAATAGAGTCCTCATAATTCCACACAATGTTCTGATCCGAGGATGAGGAGGCTGGAGTAAATGTTACTCCCAACTTGTAGAGGCGGTTGGCAAAATTGAGAGTTCCATTGGTATTCCAGCCTCTGTCTGGTAATCCGTATACAGTGAAGGAATACACCAAGTTTCCGTCTGAATCCTTCGAGGTGGTGATTGTGTTCTTCTGAATCTTAAGCGAGGATCCAATCGAAATGGTGTCTCCAAACTTGTCAACAGTGCTGCCTGAAAGAGCACCATAACCAACTAATCCCTCGTATACAAAGTCAATACCGTCAATGCTGATAGAGCTCACTGGATCATCCGCAGAAAGGTTGTCAGGAACAAAAGATGCTGATGAAGTTGTGACCGCGATTGCGGCAGCCAACAGGCTTCTGTAGCTCACCATTGTCTATCTGGGGTTGAACCATTGTCAGACCACCAGCTCCGGCACCAGTGCCGATATATATATATACAATATTCTGGCTTTTATGCAAACTGATATTCCAAATGGGCAACATATTGAGCCTTGAATCACCCGTTTTGGGTCTTTAAAATCCCTCGAGAATGAGCCTGATGTACCTCGTGCGTCTTCGTATATCCAAAAGAGCGATTGCTAGCTGTACATCGCACGTGTAGACCGAAAGGGGTCAGTTGATAGTGGGGTGGCTCAAAACATCTCAATCAAACCAACTGAATTGCCATATTGGGCATAAACATTTGCAAAACTCTGCCATGGTTGTATCGACTTGGAGGGTATCTGCCGTATCTGCCGCGCGGCTTAATCGACCCACGTGCTGTGTGGGGTCACCACATTACCAAATTTGGAACAATCGGTGATTTTTGAGGCTAGCAGAGGATTTTGAAATTCTTTCGGGTATAAGCGAATCACTAAGACAAATTTGGTCTCTTAGAACCGAGTCTGGGCCTCTGGGGAGGTGGTGCACGTTCAGTGCCAATGCAGTGTATGTGGGCACGACAAGCATTCATTGTTAAATTTGCTGGTTTCAATAAGGTGTTCGATTCTTGTTTAGAAAGACAACTTGGCCTTAAAATGCACAATTTGCCACAGTCTTTATTTGCAGCGATTACTTGAGGTTTGAGGGACCCGTAATCGATATATGAGGGCCACTATACCAAGAACCAACATCCGGGGTAATAGCCCCATGCAAACCCTCAGTTTCATAGCCGCTAGAACGGTATATTCTTGAAAGAGTAGCGCATCAATTTTCTCTGAACATAGCTTTACCCAGTTTGAAGTATTGTACTTATCCGAGAACTTGCCGGGACGCCATAAACGTTCTTAAACAGACATTGAAGCGATAACACGTAAGCCGCAGCGTTATGAGCCGCACTACAGCTGGTTCAGGTCCGTGTTGCCCTCATTTGTATCACGTGGTTGTCATTTGTGTTTCACACGCCCTTCATCTCATGCCCGCTGAGAAAAGAGAATTTGTCAAGCTGACAACCATAAGAGTGTCCTATAAAGAAGCTCACGAAGAAATAGTCTGCACTTGCTTAAACTGATTATTCTCTAGATTCAAATATGTCTGCCTCCGTTGAAACTTCATTGGCATACGCCTCCCTGATCTTGGCCGACTCTGACATTGAGATCAGCGCCGACAACCTGGCCACCTTGACCGAGAAGGCCAACGTCCAGGTCGACAAGATCTGGACCACTTTGTTCGCCAAGGCTTTGGACGGCAAGGACCTCAAGGAGTTCTTCTTCAACTTCAGCGCTGCTCCAGCTGCTGGTGCTGCCGCCGGTGCTGCCGGTGCTGCTGCTGGCTCTGCCGCCGCTGAGGAGGCTGAGGAGGAGAAGGTTGAGGAGAAGGAGGAATCCGACGACGACATGGGATTCGGTTTGTTCGACTAAGCGAATTATCATGATGTCAAATTTAGAAAGGAGGTGTGAAGGGATGTGTGGTGAAACACAGGGTACTGATTAGGCCTACAATGTATAGCAACTGCAATTCTCTTTGACTATCAGCGTGTAGTATCGTAAGGCTGTCATGAGCCAATAGGTATGGTCTTATTAGCTAGGAAAAGGGAAGACTTTGGCATAGGAAGCACGAAATTTTAGGTAGCGTTAAGTACCGGCATTATGAAGCTCATTTAGGGCCCATTTACGGTATAGCTCAACCTTGCCAGCCTAGATATTTTACTACAGAGTATAATAACAATTATTTTAATGACATCCAAAAGGCAAAAACTATTAAGTTCTACGCTTATTTCTTCTTGTCAGCTTCGGCTTCGGCCTTCTCGGCAGCACGCTTCGCTCTGACACCCTTGTACTTCTTGTCGGACTTGGCCAGACGCAAGGTTCTGTAGGCGGTCTGCTCTGGAACAACAACGGCTCTTGGGGTCACGTCAACAACTGGCTGGACAACTGGGAAGGCAGCTGGAGTGATGATCTGCTCAACGGCCTTGTACTCGGCAGCTGGGGTGGCCTTTCCAAAGACAATCAGCTTAGACTTGTACTCGGTGAGTCTGTCAACGTTAACCTTGAATCCCTCCTCGGATCTGTTCTGACGTCTGTGGTCGACAGCAATTCCAACGGTTCTAGCGTACTTGGCGGAGAGTCCGACAGCCTTGAGCTCAGCAAGGGAGAAACCCTTACCTTCTCTGACCTTTCTGTTGTACTTGATGGTTGGGGCTCTGACGATAGGTCTCAAAGAGTCGATTGGCTTAGGAGCCAGTCTAGCACTCTTGGCAGCTCTAGCTTGACGTCTAGAAGCCTTCTTACCGGCCTGGTCCAAGTGGACACGGACACGTTCTTGCCAGTGCTTTCTGAAATGGTTCTTTAAGAGTGGGAGATTCTTGGAGATAGCTGGGGTCAAAGTTAGTATTGAATCGGAGTGGGTAAATCGTATGACGACAATCTCTTCATCGCCTCCGCTAGACTGAATAATCACATACCCATTTTATAACAATCTTGATGTGTATGTAGTTACCAGGAATGTGTGATACCGTCAAAGAAAGCCGAATTTTTTTCACCAGGTTTGTCGTTTGGGAGGGATTTGTTCGTTGGTTGGTACACTCTGAGATGTTGCCAAATAATGGTGGAAGCACGCACTTTTCGCCCATGTTTCTATTGTCTGTGTAAATGTTGAACTGTGCCATGCGTAATCACAATACCTTGAAATTTCCCCAAACGGAAGTCACAGTCACAGCCGATTTCGAGGGAGGGCACCTCCCAATTTTTATCCTGCGTTCAACTTTTCATCTTCACGCAGGCTTCCACTCCTCTTTCAACATCGGATTCACAAAGTATCATCTTCATCATGTCTTCTCCATCTGTTCAGGTATGTTATATTACTGTTGTTGAACGCGGGCTGTTTTGTAACGTCCTGGGGTGTCTTACGGAGCCTCGAGAGGAATGTTCAAAGACATAAGCAAAGACGCCATAAGTGCTCTGAGGTGAAGACCCCATAAGTCTTACAGTCTTCCAGATATTTGGCTCAAACTGCTCAGCTCCTTCTATACATTGATCCAAATTCCAGTACTAACCCTTCCCAGACCTTCGGTAAGAAGAGAAACGCCACAGCCGTTGCCCACGTCAAGGCCGGCAGAGGCCTCATCAAGATCAACGGTTCCCCAATCACCCTTGTCGAGCCAGAAATCCTGAGACACAAGGTGTACGAGCCACTTCTGCTTGTTGGCCTTGACAAATTCGCACACATCGACATCAGAATCAAGGTCACCGGTGGTGGACACGTCTCCCAGGTCTACGCCATTAGACAGGCCATTGCCAAGGGTCTCGTTGCCTACACCCAGAAGTACGTCGATGAGGCTACCAAGAACGAGCTCAAGAAGGTTTTCACCACTTACGACAGAACCCTGTTGGTTGCTGACCCAAGAAGAATGGAGCCAAAGAAGTTTGGTGGTCGTGGTGCCCGTGCCAGATTCCAAAAGTCTTACCGTTAAGGCGTGTGGAAAGAGGAGAGCTGTGTGTGTGGCGCGGTCCACGTGGAAGAGGTACTATATCGTATTGTATATCTTATGAAAAATACATAATTTGCCGTATGAGTGGAGCGTGAAGTAGTGGAGCTAATCTGCCATTGTATGAAAAACTATTGATTCAGTCGCTTAGTGAGATTATACTGGGAATACTATGGACCGATTCGAAAAGGAGATCATAAAATTCCAAAATCTTCAAATCATAGCATAATAGTGTCACAATAAGTATATGGTATAAGATTATACTAAAGCATTAAGCTGCTATCTTCACAAATTGATATGCCTACCCAACACCAGTTTTCTATAGATCATATACATGACCCGCAATTCAACATTTCAACGCCATTGTTTCACCACTCACAAATGGTTACCAGATGGCCATAAATAAATCATTATCACCCTAATCTAAAGCTATTTGCAATTATTTTTCACTCACTTTTCATACACAAAGCCGTTAAACCACAACTCTCCAAAAACCGTGACTCTCTCCCGCACACGACCCACATGCAGGCAGAGTCACACCAAAATCTGGAAAATTACATTTTGGTTCTTTATAAAGGGCTGAAGACTCCCCAGTTTGAAGCACTTCCAGTCCGAATATCGAACTTGTTGAAAGCCCCTCTAGCTACCAGGATCTACATCTTATACTCACAATGTCCCACGACGCGCTCTCCGCCGAGCACAGAAAGATGGTCTCTGCCCATCTCACAGAGACCGACCCCGAGGTCGAGTCCATCATCAAGGATGAGATTGACAGACAGAGACACTCGATTGTTCTGATTGCTTCTGAAAATTTCACCTCAACCTCCGTGTTTGACGCTTTGGGAACCCCCATGTGTAACAAGTACTCGGAGGGTTACCCTGGCGCGCGTTACTACGGTGGTAATGAGCACATTGACCGCATGGAACTTCTTTGCCAGGCCCGTGCTTTGACCGCGTTCAACGTGGAGGCCGACAAATGGGGAGTCAATGTCCAGACTCTTTCGGGATCACCAGCTAACTTGCAAGTTTACCAGGCTATTATGAAGCCACACGACAGATTGATGGGACTGGATCTTCCCCATGGAGGTCATCTGTCGCACGGTTACCAGACTGACACAAGAAAAATTTCTGCAGTTTCCACATATTTCGAGACCATGCCTTACAGGGTTGACCTCGAGACTGGAATTATCGACTACGATATGCTTGAGAAGACTGCCATTCTCTACAGACCCAAGGTGCTCGTTGCTGGTACCTCTGCCTACTGCCGTCTCATCGACTACAAGAGAATGCGCGAGATTGCCGATAAGGTGGGAGCCTACCTCGTCGTGGACATGGCCCACATTTCTGGTCTGATTGCCGCTGGCGTTATTCCTTCTCCATTCGAGTATGCCGACATCGTCACCACCACTACCCACAAGTCTCTTCGTGGTCCAAGAGGTGCAATGATCTTTTTCCGCAAGGGTGTTCGTTCAGTGAACCCAAAGACCGGTAAGGAAGTGTACTACGATCTCGAGAACCCTATCAACTTCTCGGTTTTCCCAGGACACCAAGGTGGTCCTCACAACCACACCATTGCTGCTCTGGCCACTGCCTTGAAGCAGGCCCACACTCCAGAGTTCAAGGAGTACCAGGAGCAGGTTTTGAAGAACGCAAAGACTCTTGAAGCTGAGTTCAAGACTCGTGGCTACAAGCTCGTGAGTGACGGTACCGACTCCCACATGGTTTTGGTATCTCTGCGTGACAAGGGAATCGACGGTGCTCGTATTGAGACCGTCTGCGAGAACATTAACATTGCGCTCAACAAGAACTCTATTCCAGGTGACAAGTCTGCTCTTGTTCCCGGTGGAGTGCGTATTGGGGCTCCAGCCATGACTACTCGTGGTGCCTCGCAAGAGGACTTTGTCAAGATTGTGGACTACATCGACCAGGCTGTCAAGATCGCCAAGCGTGTTCAGTCCGAGCTTCCAACCGAGGCCAACAAGCTCAAGGACTTTAAGAAGAAGATTGTTGAAGGTTCTGAGGAGTTGACCCAACTCAAGTCGGAGATTTCCGAGTGGGCTGGCCAGTTTCCTCTTTCTGTTTAGGAGTAATAAAATTTTAGTTGTGATTCAGTATGTTTCGGGGAAGTAGCAGATAAGCCGTAAATTTGAGCTTTTTTGGCAAGTTTTAGCGACTTATGGTGCTCTGGGAAATTTTCAAGTCTCTGATTTCAAGTTAGCGATCAGCAAATGAGCTTCCTACAATATCACATGACACTCAATTCTAATTCAGTTTATATGACCAAATCTTTTAATTTGAAAGAACTATTTAATGCGCAGCTAAACTGACAATATCGTGAACAAGTGTTGGAAGTGATGTCCTCGGTCACGTCTTCGATCAAGTCTTGGACCAGGTTTCAGGCCGAGTTTCTTCCTTCCAAAAGTCTCCAATGCTTCCAAATCTTGCCAATAACATTTAAGAACTGTACCCATTCTCCTTCAATGCCTCCTGGATAACCTCAAAGCATATCTCAAGATCACGTCTTCCCTCGCCCAAGGCAGAGACACCCATGTGTCCGATACGGAAGTAGTCATCCTTAATACCCTTGTAAATACCGGTTGCCAATTGAATGCCTCTGGCACCAACACTCTTCAAAAATGCTGGTCCGTTGATGGACTCTGGAAAGTAGTAGCCAGACACTCCGTGGGCTCCAACACCCGGCTTGGCCAGACACTTGATCCCGATGGAGTCAAGGTTGGATCTGAGTTTTTCAGCTACGACCGCATTCTTGGCGATACGAGCATCTAGATCTGGAACGATCTCCTTGAGAGAAACATCAAGAGCGTGAATCAACTGAACTGGAGGTGTAGCAAAGTAAGCACCTGCACCAGACTCGTATGCCTTCATGATTGGAATCCACTTCTGCAAGTTCGAGTAATAAGTCCTTGGCTTAACAGTCTTAGCCTTCTCCAGTGCACGCTTGGACGCGAATGAGATAGAAAGACCAGGTGGAACATCGACACCTTTCTGGGAGGCAGTGAGCACGTAGTCCAGTCCCCACTTGTCAAACTCGAGAGTTTCAACTGCAACCGAGCAAACACCATCAACGATAATCAGGGTCGTTGGTGAGACCCTTTTGACGAGCTCTGCGTACTTTTCGACGTCCATAAGTACACCAGAAGAAGTATCCACATGGGTGATGGTGATCACGGCATATGGCTCTTTGTCATCAACAGCCTTCTTCAGCGCATCTTCAACCTTGCTGAAGGATACAACATCACCAAGTGGTGCTGGCAACACATCCACACGGTCAGTAAAGACCTTAAGACAGTCGGCAAATGCATCAGAGAAGAATCCCGTCGAGAGGAGCAGAACACGTTCGTTCTCGGTCAAAAAGTTGGACCCAACAATCTCCCATCCGAGAGTTCCGGAAGCGGAGATCACCAGTGGTTGGGCATCGGGGTCCGTGGACTTGAACAGCTTGCGGGTGTTCTTCAAGGCGCTTTGGAATACAGCGACAAAGTCTGGTCCTGTATGAGCCTGAGCTGGATAGGCATTTGCTGCCAGAACGGCGTCGGTGAACTCAATTGGTCCCGGAATAAGTGTGAGCTTGTGGGCTTCCTGTGTGGAAGATGGAATGTCGATAAATGCCATTGTGAGATAGATTTATATTGGTTGTGGTCGGTGTGGAAAAAGAGCGGATGGCTCCGACAGTTAAATACTACCGGCAATTGGGACCGCATCGGGTAAGTTTGCGGGGGTGGTTGGTGCACGTATTGAATGCGTGGGATGCGTGGGATGTGGACAAAAGATGGTTAATATATGGGGATATTAAGAAAATTGAGGAAAGAAAAAGAAAAACTAGTGTTTGCAAAAGTAAATGAGAAAGTGGCTAAATTAGGCCTATATGGGTGTGAAGGGTGATTTCATGAAACAATCCTGGGCGTCGAGATATCCCCAGAGTGAAATTTCTATGTCTGCATCTAAGTCTACATTTAATTGTCTCCACATACCTGTGAAACAAATACAATGTTCATATACACATACACTGCTCACGGAAATCCACTCCGTCATCTCAAAAACAGCTCCTTTTTCTACTTCACTTCTTCACTTCTTCACCTTCCTCTTCTTCTTCTGCTTAGCCTCATTCTCGTACTTGCTAACCAACCGATCGATCTGCGCCTCGAAGCCAGAGGCCCCCCGATTTTTGCTTTGAATCATCGCTTTGAGCGAGTCCTCGCCATCTGCAATCTTGCGCTTGGCCTTGATCTCCTTTAACATCTCCTCTGCTTCCGCGGCCTCTTTGTCGGTGGCCTTCAAAAGTTTGCGGATCTGTTGCTTTCTGGATTTCTGGTAATTTTTCCATTTGGAATTGCTCTCGAGATCTCCATTCGCGACTAAGTCAGTCACAATTGCAAACACACGCTTCTCTTCTTTTTCTGAGAATTCGAGATGAGGAATCGCCTCGAACAACTTGGGGAAGTCTCCATTGTAATACTCCATAGCCTGCAGAATGTCCTCTATCTCTTCGTCTCCATCCCGGTATGCCTTCTTGTCTTGTTCAATCAATTGCTCGGTGATCTCGACGTCCTGCCTCAGCGAATCAAACAGATCCTTCCAGTTTATGTCGCTTTCAATGTCGTGCTGCTCCAGCGAACCTGTCCGGTCATACTGTTGTCGCCTGGACGCATCTGAGAGAACAAGATATGCAAATTGTACGCGCTCAAAAGCGGTCTTGTCTGACTCGGTAGCCTCTGCTATCTTGTCCGGGTGGTGTTTCAGACACTTTTTGTAGTATGCCTTTTTGATTGTGGCAGGAGGGTCTTCCTTTGCCACTGCGAGAACCTCATAAGGGTCCAGATCGGGAAAAGGGACTGCCATGTTGAAAAGTTGTAGTTCTGAAAAGGGTGATCAAAAATAGAAGACCTCTGTTGAGAGAAACAATCAGTATACAAATATCTGTGCACCTATCTGCTACACGTCTCCGTCTACGCGCCTCTCTTAGACAATATCTTGATTGGTGCACTACTCAAATTTATTTTGGATCGCGCACAACCTCGCATATGCCTTCCGCTTCCGGTGCGAGATATCAACATAAAAGTTAGTCATTCTCCATTATACCTCACTTTCTTCTTCACAGCATCCCTTAATTCCACCATGGTTCACACTGCAGAATACCTCAAGGCCCACGAAACAGATATAGGCTCCATCCTGGCTGGTGGCTACAACCACCCGCTCAGCAGGGAGTGGCAGCACGAGAGACAACTAACGAAGAACATGTTTATCTTCCCACTGTTCATTACCGATGATGCCGATGAAGAGACCCCAATCCCATCATTGCCAAACATCAGCAGATTCGGAGTCAACAAGTTGATTCCTTATCTGAAGCCTCTGGTGGAAAAAGGCTTGAGAGCCGTGATCCTCTTTGGTGTTCCACTTAAGGAAGGAGTCAAAGATCCAGAAGGAACAGCTGCGGATGACCCCGAGGGCCCTGTCATTTCGGCCATCAAAGCTCTAAGAGCGAATTTCCCGGACCTCTACATCATGTGTGACGTGTGTTTGTGCGAGTACACCTCCCATGGTCATTGCGGAATTCTCTACGAAGACGGCACTATCAACCGTGAATTATCTGTGCGGAGAATTGCTGCTGTTGCTGTTAACTACGCTCGCGCTGGAGCAAACTCGGTTGCGCCTTCAGATATGATTGATGGGCGTATTCTCGAAATTAAGCGCGGACTGGTGGACGCCGGGTTGGCCCACAAGACGTTCTTGATGTCGTATGCAGCGAAGTTTAGCGGCAACCTGTACGGACCATTCCGCGATGCTGCTTGTTCGGCACCTTCGCATGGTGATCGCAAATGTTACCAGTTGCCTAGTGGTGGAAAGGGGCTTGCTCACCGTGCTCTGTTGCGTGATGTCTCAGAGGGAACCGATGGTATTATCGTCAAGCCATCCACTTTCTATCTGGATGTGGTTGCCGATGCTTCTCGTCTTTGCCAGGATTATCCTCTCTGTGTTTACCAGGTGAGTGGAGAGTATGCCATGTTGCATGCAGCTGCTTCCAAGAATGTTGTTGACTTGAAGTCCATTGCGTACGAGTCCCATTACGGCTTCCTGAGGGCTGGTGCGAGACTCATCATCAGCTATTTCACCCCAGAGTTTTTGGACTGGCTATCTGAAGATGCCAACTAGTGTGGAAGTTTGAGGGTATCTAACATTCTAATTGTACATAGGAACACGAAAAAGAGAATGGAATTGAAATGCCAATGAAATTCAAGCAGCGATGGGCCCGTGCCTTGGTGCTGGCTCTGGCTCTGTCTCTGGAGCATGAACTGGAGCCTCCTCTTGCCCTGCCTCCGATATAACTGTAGATGGAGCGTCTGGTAGAAGCGGACTTTCTGCGACTTTTGGAAACTTCTCCGCCTCGGCTTCTCTTGCCATGCGCTCGAGCTCCTCTTCAACTTCATCCTCCTCTCCCTGAGTCATGGCCTCTCCCAACAGATCGCTCACTTCCTGTTGGTACCGTATTCCTTCTTCTGTATCATCCAAAATCTTCTCAACACGATCAAGACTAGTCTCCTGATTCAGCTGCTTCAATACCTTATTGCCCTGTTCAAGCCCGTATATTACATCTTTCTCGATCAGCTTGAACTCTATTGTGCCAATAAGTTGCTCTAGAGTGTCTGCCTGTGATTGTACTTGCCCAAGCATCGATTCCTGGTGCTTCTTCTTGCGCAATGCTAATAGAGCCCGTTGCCGGTTTCCCTTTGCCACACATTCGCGTGCGATCTGTTCTTCCCTCTTCACCACCGCCGCAATCCGTTGCTGCGACCTGTTCAGCTTGTCTCGCTGTAGCTTCAGCTGCAGAATGGCCCTGTCCTGTGACGTCACTTTGGGCGGCTTTCCGCTAGATGGTGCGTTACCCATGTGTGGAAATTGTGCCTGGAAACAAGTGTGTAATGTGGCCGTTTAACCAAAGAGAACAGCACCCTTGTCCTGACCTCACGCAGGGAGATAGGCTGAATCCTGATAGCGTGAAGTTTGATAGATGCACGACCAAAGTCCCGCAAGTCGAAGGGGTTGCGTTGGGTGTATTATGTACGGACCTAGACTGTATTTATGGGGAATATACTAGAGATAAGCTATATGAGCAGTGTTTTTGTTTTCCCACGCGTTTTCAGACAAAACCCAGGGTTTTTGGGTGAAAATTGAGACCCTTTCCTGTCCTCTTCTGATGTCACTGCCACGGCACTGCCAAAGACGTGAAATCAACGCACACCGCGACGGCTTGCAGAGTTAAGATTGGTTTCTAATTTATTTCAAGTATACAAACACATTCAGCAAATAAAATACCTTAATCACACCGCAAATGACCTCAAAGAGCAGGACCACCTCTATGCATATTACGAGCCCTGTACCTTTAGAGATAGCTAATTTGGCGGTCCACGCCCCCAAATACTTTTTTTTTCCTGCACTCACAGAAGGCCTTCTACACACCTAAGACAGCACCAGACTGTGATCAGGAATTCCCAGAGTTTAAAAGACATGGCAAAGCCGGGAAAGGGCTCTAAGAAGGGCTCCATATCTCGCGAGCTAGACAACAAGGTGTTGAATCTGATCGTGGACCTGCTGAATGAGCAGTCAGCTGCCAAACAACAGACCGTCTCAGATGTCTCGGGCCAGGAGACTTATGATCCTTACGACAACATTGCGTTGGCTAAGGACCTCAAATATGACGAGATCGTAGCATATTGTCGGTTTAAGGACAAGTCGTTTGTGCGGATGAAGGATGAGCATATGAGAGCTTCTATAGAGCGCACTTGGAAAGTGCTGAAGGAAGAGGAAATTGAAGAGATGAAAAGTCTCGGAATAGAGGCAAGAATTGGAGACGAAGATGAGAGTGATGCTGAAAGACTTCTTATTGATGAAAATCTCATGGAAGTGAAAGACACCAATGTAATGAACAAGAGTGTGGTGAATCTATGGACGCTGGGCGAAACCAAACCAGAACAGGAGCCATCGGAATCCACAGAGGTGCCGAAAGCGGACGAAGACGGGAAGAAAAGCAAGAAGCGTTCTAAAGAGTCCAAATCCAGTGGGTCGAAGCGTATAAAGCCAGAGAAAGACCGGACCCCTCCTAGTCTTACGCTCAAGTCGCTTGGTGGTCTTGACGATGTGATTTCGCAGCTCATGGAGATCGTGGGAATGCCTATACTGCATCCGGAAATCAACATCTCAATGGGACTGCAACCACCTAGAGGAGTTCTTCTTCATGGTCCGCCTGGTTGTGGAAAAACCACGATTGCGAATGCTCTCGCTGGTGAACTTCAGGTTCCGTTCATCTCACTCAGTGCACCTTCTGTGGTGAGTGGAATGTCCGGTGAAAGTGAAAAGAAAGTTCGTGAGATCTTTGATGAGGCTAAGTCCATTGCACCATGCTTAATTTTCCTCGACGAAATTGACGCAATCACCCCGAAGCGTGATGGAGGTGCCCAGCGTGAGATGGAGAGACGGATCGTTTCACAGTTGCTCACGTGCATGGACGAGCTCTCGTTGGACAAAACTGACGGTAAGCCCGTAATTGTCATTGGTGCTACAAACAGACCAGATTCTTTGGACGCAGCTTTGAGACGGGCTGGACGGTTTGATCGTGAGATCTGTGTGAACGTGCCCAGCGAGACCGCGAGATTCCATATCCTCGCCTCGATGATGCAGGGAATTAAGGTCAGTGGTGAATTCGACCTTGTGGCAATCGCCCGGATGACTCCAGGCTATGTCGGGGCCGATCTCAAGTCCTTGGTAACGGCAGCTGGTATTGCAGCACTGAAGCGTATATTTGGCAGTCTGAGTCAGGTGGAGCAGATTCTTGCCCAGGAAGACGGAATGGAGATTGACGGATCAAACAGCGTTATTCCCGGTGAAATTTCAACTATACAGAGGTTTCTGACAATGCATCCTTCTCCGTTAACACCGGAACAATTGGAGCCTCTGGCTATCCAGCAGGAAGACTTCCTCACAGCATTGCCAACTATCCAGCCCACCGCAAAGCGTGAAGGTTTCGCAACAGTCCCAGACGTTACGTGGGCCAGTGTGGGTGCTCTTTCCAATGTTAGAATGGAGCTTCACATGGCCATTGTTCAGCCAATCAAACACCCCAAGATCTATGAAAGAGTGGGTATCACGGCACCAGCAGGAGTCTTGATGTGGGGGCCTCCTGGTTGCGGTAAAACGCTCTTAGCAAAGGCTGTTGCCAATGAGTCGAAGGCAAACTTCATTTCCGTGAAGGGCCCCGAGTTGCTGAACAAGTATGTGGGTGAATCTGAAAGGGCCGTCAGACAAGTTTTCACGCGAGCACGGGCATCGGTTCCGTGTGTGATTTTCTTTGACGAATTAGATGCCTTGGTTCCAAGACGTGATGCTTCTCTTAGTGAATCCAGTTCAAGAGTTGTGAATACTCTTCTGACCGAGCTAGACGGCTTGAACGACAGAAACGGTGTGTTCGTGATCGGTGCTACCAATAGACCGGATATGATTGACCCTGCCATGTTGAGACCAGGAAGACTCGATAAGAGTCTCTATATTGAATTACCTTCACCTGATGAACGTCTGGAAATTCTGACTACTCTCATTCGCTCCAACGGTACACCTGTTGATCCAAATTTCGATTTGGCATTGGTGGCTCATGACGAGCGTTGCAGGAACTTCTCTGGAGCAGATCTCAGTTCTTTGGTCAGAGAGGCCGGTGTGGTTGCGTTGAAAAAACGGTTTTTCCGAGGTGTTGTTCCGGACGAGGCCAATATTCAGGACGAGGATCATTCCAAGATATTCGTGACTGGTGATGATTTGCTGTTGGCATTGTCCAATGTGAAGCCTAGTGTCAGCGATAAAGATCGGATGAAATACGAGCGTTTGAATAAAAGACTGGGCTGGTCGAAAACGGAGGATCCGAATAACAGCAGTGTTGATCAGATTGGAGTTTGATAAGTGTACATTAAGTATAACATTGGTTGTTATAGATAGGTTGGGGCCTGATGGGCCTTGCCATATAGACTGAACAGAGCAATTGGAAAATTTCGAGCTTCACTTAAAACGCCTTACCTCGTGTCTTACTTCGTACTGGTATTACCTTCTTCTCACTATGTTTCGTCTGACATTCAACGACTTGACACCCTTTCCCTCGGTTCGACTGAGCGAAATGTAGGGGAGACCCAAGTTTTCGCTCTTGGCCTTCTTGCGCTTCTTGTTGTACTTCAAAACCACATCTCTGGGAGCAATCTCTTGAACCGGCACCTCCGACCGTCCCCTTATGATGACAATCTTGGTCTCCGGACTTGAGAGCGTTTTGGCAGCAACTGGTGTGTATATGTTCAAAAGTTTTCTATCAGTGTCCATTGAATGAACGAGTCCAAGTCCCAGGAACTTGAGTGTATGTGCATTGGTGTATAACTGAGAAGTATCGTTCAGGTAATTCGGAAAGCTCGCATGGGTTTGGACCATAGTAGGGATCAGAGACGCAAACTCCTCCAATGAAACGCTGTACAGTCCCACCACAGTTGCCTCTATACACAACTGCAGATCTTCGTGGTTTAGTCCTGCTCCATCCAAAACTCCAATTGCTCCGAGTTTCTGGTCGTACAGTCCTGCTCCGGCCAGACTCGTGGAGTACGAGATGGAGTATGGAGGGGAGGTGATTAGAGGCGACATATTGAATTTGCATCCTCCTAACGTGTGGAGATACGCAAGAGTGTTGAAATGTCTCCTTTGACTAGCTGAGTATCCAGCAGGTGCAAAGATACCAGGAGCCTTCATCATCTTTCCGAAAGAGACATCATCCAGTTCTCTGTCCAGTTCCGATGATGACGAATGCAAATAAACCGTATGTGTGGGATTTATCAGCTGCGATAGTCTTTCAAGTAGCTTCACCCCAAATCCTTTCACCCAGCCTGGAATGTTCACTAAAAGCGGCAGATTTCTGGAAGCATACCTGCTCTCATAGGTTAGACACAGCTTGGAAACTGCTTCCAGGTACGTATCTGGGTCTCTCTGTGGAGAACTGAACCCGATATAATGGCATTCGTCTGTTTTGAGAGTTTGGCTGAATTGTTTGAGATTCAGTCCGAATATTGGGACAGTCTGTTCAGTAAGCGATATAGTCTCGGAAGGAGAGTATTCGGGCTGTCCAGGATCCAAATCCAAGATAACCACATTTTGTTCATTCGAAGTGATACTGTTCAAAAGAAATCGCACAAATGTCGACTTACCACTATTCTTTGTTCCAAGGACAAATACACGCGTGGGATTCCTATCCTCACAGACCCCTTCAGTGAGCTCTGATCGAATAGTCTTCCAGGTCTTCGGCAAAGACACGCCTGTATAACCACTATCTGCAAATACAATTTCAAAAGAGTAGCCCAAAACAGCGTGAGATGAGTTTGGGTCGAAATCAGACGGTATTTCCAAAGGCAATATGTTCTTCAATGGCGGATACAGCTCACCAATGCCTTCCAGACCAGTCTTCCAGTTCGAAATTTTCAGTACACTCTTATAATCCGAGCTGAACAAATGCTCGTTCTCGCTCGTTCTCTGATCATTTACCAAAGAACGGTCAGTCACCTGGGCCGAGGCTATCATTGGAAGACTCGTGAGAGAGGGTGAGCATATCTTAACGGGAGTTTCACTAGCGTGAAACAGTACCGAATCAATTTCAACAGCACCCCGCTGAATGGTAAGACTGTACTGACCCTTTATGATCAGATACTCGTAGTTCTTGAGCCCAACTGTAATCTCATTCTCACCATAGACGAGATTGTCGTCGTCTGGTCTGAACTTTGAGCCTGTAATAGCCGGATTCGTTCGCACTGGAACAGATTCTTGCTTGTTGGAGATATCCTGTAACGAAGTACCAGGTGGTATGCCAAAATTTTCGAACTCCTGGTCCATTTCAGCCTCATCATCGCTCGAAAACGGCTGATACGTCACCTCGTCGTTCTCATCGCTATCGTTCAGCTCTATGGCGGTACTCACAGCTGCAAACGCGCTCACTAGAAAAGTTAGTATGTATTTGATAGGCTCAACGATAAAATTCACTCACTAGCGCTCAATACGTGGCCGTTTACACTGAGAAAGAGGCCGATTATGCGAAGTTTCCTGTCTTGTTTAATCTGCTTGTTCAGTGAGGCATACCCTTCAAGACAAGGATTCATCACGTGATTGTCCCGTTGTCACAACGTCCAATGAAAGACGCCCATTTTGTTGTAGTTTTTAGGTGATCCACGACTTCTCATATCGAACCACCGTTACTACGAAAATGATTGAATGAAGCAGTACTGGCATTGCAACGGCTACATCACTTGACATTACTACGATTCCACTATGTCTGACAACATCGAACTCAAGACCGTCGGCTTTGATGCCAGATTCCCACAGATGAACCAGACCAAGCACTGCTTCTCTGCTTACCTCGACTACCACAAGTGTATCAACGTCAAGGGCGAAGACTTTGCTCCATGTAAGGTGTTCTGGAGGACCTACAACTCTCTGTGTCCATCTGCCTGGGTCGAGGAGTGGGATACCCAAAGGGGTATGTATTAAGGGATTTTGAGCACTAGCTTTTGAACAACTTACTAACGTCTAAATCAGAGAATGGAAACTTCCCAGGTAACCTTAACCCATAAGTCAAGCTGGTTATAGCATATTGAGGTGTTCTGGGTCCACTCGGGATACAAGGCCTGCAAAACAGTGGCGGAAGAAGCTTCTGTTGAGATCCAGGATGTCGTTTCATAGCCTTACCACTAGAAATAATACATGTCCATTCGCACAAGCCCTTGTTTCGGTATGTTCTAGCATATTTCAACATATTCCGGAATCGTAGTATCATCATTCTTGGAATGTCCATCCCTCGCTAATCAAGGTCTCGTCTTTGTCAATTGGCTCCTTCGAGTTGAAAAACCTGAGCATGATGTAGAGAATGGGCTTCTTGATTGTTGTGTCAATCAGTAGCTCACCCCACTCCTCGAGATCATAATCAGTCCCATCTGGTTTAGTGTGTTTTTTCCTCTGTCTCTTAGTCGGCCGGGGCTGCTTTTTCACCTCGAAAAACTCCAGCCGGTTGTACTGGTGGAAAGAGTCGTATCGTATCCTGTCGGCACCAATAGCCCCTTGATTTCCGATCACTATTACCCTCTGCGACTCAGTGGAAGCGGCTGTCGTGTTCTTCTTCTTCCTCTGTTTGTTTGAAATGTATTCAACTTTCTGCTTAACTATCTCAACCACAGTAAGCAGCTTCTGTACACTCTCCGAAATGGCCATGAGCTTCACCTCCTCAAAACCGTTGTTTTCTCTTCCATCTTCCACCAAAACATTCAGAACACTGCTGATTTTGCCCTGTATCTTTGTGTGTTTTTTAATCTCGATTGGCCCTTCATGGCGTATCAGAGGAGTAGATAGAACGTCCTGGTTGGGTTTAACGTTCCCCAATCTGGCTTTCTTCTTGGGCGGCTGTAAATGCTCCAAACTGGACGAAGCATTCTGTATCTGTGAACTCATAGCTATAATCAAGCCAAATACCTGTTCAAATCGAATCACGGGGTATTCGCTTGTCTGCAGAAAAACACCTTCCATACTTTCTGTAAAGTGAAGAGGAGTATCTCTGTTTTGTAGTGTCTGGATTAATCAAACGCCGCATCTTTTGCCCGAGGGTGAGTCTACCAAGGACTTATTGAGGGCAACAATTCAGGCACAAATCTGGTTATTCCTCAGAAAAAACGTTTCGCTAGTCAATTGATCCTGCTTGAAAACAAAATTCAATATTAAATCTGAGATTATTCTTCTGGTTTGGGGGGTTCGGGCAAAAGCCCTCTGCAAGCGGCCCGGCGCGGCTCATCGCCCTTCTGAAGTTTCAAACGATACGCGTCTGTCTCAGATCATGTATTTTTCAGTAAACCAATCGAGGCTTCTTTCATCTATTTTCAACTCAGTTTTTATTGATATGCCGCCCAAGAAGGAGAAATTCCAAATTTCACCTTTTAAGAATCATACACCCGCGTTTGTGCGGGCCAAACGGGATGAACTAAACATCCTCAGGGAGACCCCCATCAGAAAGATGTCCTCGACACTAAGAGCTCGCAAGCTCGAACAAGAGCAAAAAACACATGAGCATGATGGAGGCCTTTGGCACTCTGACTTGCTCAGAAAACAGACAGGGAATGTTACCAGTGTGCCACTCAAAGAGGACGAGGCAGCTCCACTCCACAAAGGAACACCACTAGTACGGAAACGCAATAGAGAAGTGATGGTGTCGGGGGATGATGATTCTGATTACGACAATTCACATGCAGAAGATGGGTATGACGGTTATCTTTCTAGCATTGAGGGATCCCCGCTACGCAAGATTGAAATTTCACTCAGACGAAGCTCTCCTCGCGAGGGCCCTACCTCGTCGCACAACTCGTCTCCCGCTGTGAGACCCCTTCCAGGTGGAAGATTGTACGAGATGCTTGAAACTCCTGTGAGACCCAGATCTGACTCTTTGGGTGCTAAATTTTTGCAAAGGGCACCCAGTCTGAAGCCAGATGATGGTGAGGAGTCGTTTTCGGACGGAGATGGCACGCATTTCTGGACTACAGATTCGAACGAGAAGGACTCGCCTGAGAGGACCGAGGAACCTAGAAAAGATGAAGAACTGGTTGAGGGATTGCCAGATACTTCTCCCGGGCAATTGGAGAGATTGACGAAGGAGACTTTTGAGAGGGTTGAGTCTGGTTCTGGGTCTGGAAGGTTCTGGGGCTCGAGTCCAGTTTTTGAGAAACGCTTCGAGTTTGGGGATAATTCCGAAGAAACAGCTGTGGGCGTTGAAGAAGAGAAATTAGAGCCAGTTGTGGAACGAGTGGTCGAATCGGAGGCAGAGCCAGTGGCAGAACCAGAGTCGGCAGTGGAGGAAGAGCCTGAACCTGTTGCAGACTCAATTGCAAAGCAAGAGCCAGTACAAGCTCGATTGGAGTCGGAATCAGATTCGAAGTCAGACTCGGAGCATGTGCAGGAACAGAAGTCAGTATCTGCCCAAGCATCAGAGTCAATACAGGAGTCTTCTCCAATACAATCAGTGCGGCAAGATGCACAAATACCAGTTGAACCTGCTCAAACCCCAATACAAGCTGCGCAGCTTTCCGAATGGGACAAATCAAAATGGAGCAAGCTCATAAACTACGTCACCACATACCAAATCCCAAAAGATCCACATGGCCTCTCCCTCATCGATGCAGAGCTTGTCCACCGGGAATTCCAGTGTTCAGTGAGTGATCTAAGCATTCGTGTTGGTTGTGTGGTTGGTCTGATCCAGCAGAGACAGCGCAAGAAGAGAAGGTTGGTGTAGATGTCTAGCTAATGGTTGTTTGACTACATTGATAAAGAGTTCAAGTCATTCGTTATATTCGTAAAGCCTTTGTCGACCTGGGAATGAGAAAAAAATGAAGGATGAGAGGTTTGGGTAGTCTTTGGCATTCGCAGTCTGCAGAAAGCTCAGCTGAGAGTTGATCCGGGTGTAGCACCGATCCCGGTATGTGTATATTTTAGAAAAGGTAAGAACAGTTCCAGTCGTGGCAGAAAATGATGCCCTGGAGTAAAAAAGAGGTTCAACCAATGATCTGGGGATGGCTGATGAATGGGATCGTGACCCGCACCCGATGAGAGGAGGCGAGCTTAGGAATCACCACACATAGGCACATCACGCCGTTCAACACGAACAGCGTCAGATCGTAGCTGGAGTAGTGGGTGGAGATCAGAAACAGACATATGGGCACCATCATCAGGAACTTCTTTGCGGGCGTATACTGGTCACCGTTGTCGATCTGCTCCCACATCGTGAGGTTGTCGTAAGCACCGTTGTTGAAGTCAAAGGGGGTACCCTTGACCTGGTGGAACATTATGTAGCTTCCAATTCCATAAGTCAAGTTGGTGAGTGTCCAGCTGGTCTCGGTGCTGAATTGCCATGGGATGAGGATCAGGTCGTAGAACACCTTCAGCAGTATAATTATCACTATGTGGACCACCCACGCGCCTTTGAAATGGACCCAGTTGGCATTCAGGTTGGACTGGATATCTTGGTCCTGTTTGACATCAAAAGTCTCTGGCTCCACATGCGAGATGATCGACGAGGACCGACGGCGTCTGTGGTCCTTGTTGTTGGAGGAGGTTGGAGAAACCGTCAGCCTCTCTGGAGACGAGGGAAAGGGAACGGGTGAAGGGGCCATTGCTGTGAGGGGCTGTGATTATAAAAGGAGAGCAAAAAGTCCTTTGTTGGCGTATAGTCCTTGTTTGGAGGCGGATGTAGGCGAAATCAGGCCTTTTTATCCAGTTGTGACTCTTCTGGGAAGGCTGGTGATCCAGGAGTGAAAGGGGCGGGAAGCAAAAAAAAGTTACGAGCTGTGGAACAACAAGGAACTTTTTGGAAGATCGGGTAACGGCGGCAAGAGATTGAAACTTGCTATGGCGTAGTTGTGGATACCTGTCAGATGATTTAGATATCACAAATAGCTGGAATCAAATGGAAGTGAACAAGAAGTAAGAGTGGAAACATGAAACCAAGAGGAGTAAACGAGCAAACCCAAAGGACAACAGGAAAACCGGTCCTCCACAGGCGGAGTGGTGGAGTGCGTGACCCAAACACGCCTTTTTTTAGACTGAGACATACGTGAGAGGTCATTTGGGGTGAGTCAGAGTCTCGGTTAATATAGCTAGTTTCAAATTTTTTTAGGTCAAGCTCAGATGGAGACTACTAGTACTATTATTTCGTTTATATCATTAGAATCTAAGCCTACAAAGTCCTGTTTCGGGTGTTTTCTTTGTAGGTCTGGACTTAGCTGTTGCGCTTGTGAGGCTGCCATTTGGGTGCGGTTTTCATAGGAGGCTCTGTCATTACCACGGAGGGTTAGCAGCAGTAAGAGTAGGTAATACGGGCTGGCAATACTTGTAAAACTGATTTCACTGGAGTGGATTATATTTTGATATTCTCATATTATTGTCAGTGTAGGTACGACGGTTGAAGCCAGATTTTGGCAGCCAAGTTCGGCCTCCGCTGGCGCAAACTTCACCTCTACCGCATGTCTACTAAACTCTCTCTACTAGTGTCCACCCTCTTTCTTATCGCCTCACTTCTGGTCATTCTTTCAATGTTGTATTCCAGCATGTATATGATTATGAGAACTAGCAATGAACTTCAAAGAACTTCCTCCTTCTAATCCTTCTGGGTGAAGATAGGCAGCTTCTCCTTTACCTTCAAACCCGCCAGTTTGTCGTACTCACCACTCAAAATTCTCTCAATAAAAACAGAGTCTTTGTCACCCAGACGTCTAACGGCAAATGCCTCCTCTGGCTTGCCGAAGGAGTCCAACTCCTTCAAAACCTCGACGTCGTTCTCCAACTGTGCGGTCTCCTTCACTCTGAGCACCAACTCTCTGACAGCCCAGTCGTTAACACTCATGTCCTCGCGGAAAGCAATCACTATCAGGAATAACACCAGCGTGGGAACCAGCATGTACGAAACGATTCCTTCGAACCCCTTGTGGTCATCGCCTTCTCTAACGGTCAGCCACTTGGTCTCGCCAGTGGCAGTGTCCTCGTATGGGATCTTATCTATGATTCTGGCGCTCGAAATGTCCAAAGTCTCCAACAGCTTGGAGTTGGCATTGTACAGGTTCTTGTACTGGCCCAAACTGAAGGTCTCGGAAAGCGACAAGTCACGCTGGCCACTGAGCGCATTCAGCTCGGCAATAATCTTAAGCTCCTCATCAGAGGGCGCCCTTGGGGTTCCATCATCGTTCTGATATATATCCTTCTGCTTGGGCAAAATACTCAGCTTGTACGCGATGTACTTTTCTCTTTCTGGGTCGAGGTTGAGTCTCGAAACACTCTGATGGAAGAGACGGGCCTGCGACAACCCAGTCATCAATCTCGCAGAGCGACACGAGGAATTTCTCAGGGCTCCAATCATGGCGAATAAATATAGGTGTTGGTCCAAAAGGGTAGGGAATACACTCCTGGCTCAAAGGATGTCAGCCAAAAAACTATGATGAGGAATTCTGAGCTTCTAATTGGATTGACCAAATGTACTACCCTCGGTGATCACGTGATTTACGGAGTATGTGTTGCGTGGGCTCGTAACCGGAATAGAGAGCCTGAGAGGGGAGGGAATCTTGCATGTTTTCAAAAGGGCTCTCTAAACATGTAACACTTCCCAAAAAATACGACCCACATTTAGTTTCCGCTTGTGATCTTCTACATTGAGATATTACACCTCCTACTCTGTCTAATAACCCAATATTCCATTAATTTGATACTATGCGAGCTCGGCCGTGTTCCTGGCCTATTCAGAGAGTCCACTCCACTCCTCGTTTGTCTTCGTCTTCTTCCTGGACTTGTCGTCAGTTTCTTCAGAATCCTCGGAGTCCTTCATGTACTCGTCCTCATCTGAGTCTCTCTCAGCTTCTTCCTTGGCCTTCTCCCTCTCCTCACGCTTTCTCTTATAGTGAGCCTTCTTATCAACACCTCCCTCTCTGTCCTCTTCATCCTGAGGAGGTGGAACAAACCATGGGATTTTACCTCTGTTGAAATCGTTCAACACCTGTTTGGCTACTCCAGTCTCATCAGGCTCGCCACCCTTCAATAATCTTCCGAGCTTACGGGCCAAGATCTCGATAAATTCGTTAGAGTCCTTCCATCCAGAGATCTCGTACGTGCGTTCGAGATGCTGTCTCTTACACTTCTCCAACAGATCAGGAATAAACTGTTCTGGGTTGGACACATGCTCAACTCTAACAACTCCTCTGAACAGAATATCAGCCTCGGTGTCCTTCGTTGAAGGAGGAACAATTCCTGGACAGTCGATCAAGAAAATACGCTTCATCAGCGTGATGTACTGCCAGACCTTAGTCTCACCAGGAATTGGTGCCACAGTGCACACCTTCTTCCTCCTAAGAGTGTTGATGATACTCGATTTACCAGTGTTAGGATATCCAATAAACCCAACACTTACCTGCTTTCTGTCTGAGTGCAATGACGAGAACTGGCGTAACAGCTGAATCAACGAACCCTTACCAAACGAGTTGGTGATCGAAGCATGAAATGCCAATGTCGGATAGTCTTTAGACAAATGTTTCACCCAAGCAGCCTATGTGATGTTAGTAAAATTTCGAACAAAAGAAAATTGTCAATTCGCCCTAAACGCATTCCCAATTTTTCAGTCTTAGTAGGTGTTGGGCTCCTTACTACGAGCACCTCCACTGACCGTCCCTGAGAACGGAAGAGGGCTCAACTCATAGGGTCCCACTTGTCAGGAGCCGAGATCCAAAACGGATCCATGGCTTTCCAGCCCTTTCCAAAACGGAAAAGGCTGAAGTTGACGAATATTGATCTTCCAAAGTTGTAACAGACAGACTTAATGAGGTGACGCTGGACGAGTCCAACGGTAAGAATGACTTGACTTGAATCTTTGGTGTGGAAAAATTGGAAATTTGCGAGGGGAGAATCAAACGAAAAAAGCACAAAAAAAATAAACTTACCGCAACCCAGGTGGGTACCAAATCACACTTGTTGAGCACAAACACAAGATGCTTGTGAGGGCATTCCTTCTGGATGTACTGCTCCACGGTCTGACATCTTGTTCCCAGAGGGTCCCTAGCGTCCAGAACATGGATCACCACATCTGAAGAATCAATTACCTTGTAGAGCTCGTTCCAAATACGCTTGGACTGACCCTTGTTGAAAATGGCCTCCTTGGCTTCGGCAGACCATTCGTTTGTTGAAGGGTCCGCGCCCATCAAACCAAGCGTGGTGCCGAGCTCCAGCTTTTCCTGATAATCCGTCTGGTCCTTCTCGGTCAACGACGCCAGCTCCTCGAGTGACGAGGCCTGGACATTGGGCTTCTTCCTCTGGGCTTTGGGGCCGAAAGTCTTCTCGTAGCTCTCTGTCTCCAGAATATTCAGTCTGGGTGAATCGGTTGAGTCTTTCTCGTCTAACAGGGACATGGGTAGTTTGTTACGTTTGAGTAACACCTGGTACGAATCACGCTTCTTATCGCCAAGCGCTTCGCGGAAATGGGTCAAAGCATCTTGGGCAATCACTCTGGTGTTACCGAACCAACGTCTGTTGGGGTCGACACGAGCAACTGGGATCTTCGTGTCCTGAAGATTGGCAGCCTGAATGATTTCACCTTTGGCATTCCTCACAGCACGTCCCTCTTTATACATGCTCAGATGCTTCACCTTCTTTGCATCTCTGTAGAAGTTCTCACCCTTGACTCTGAGGTTACCGTCTCGCAGGTCACCCTGTCTGGACCTACGGGCCTTTTCTGTCTTCCCTGTGGCCATTGTTGATGAGGATATGTGGAAAATGCAATGTCTCTGACTACTGCAGGAATATAACCGACACAGAAATGAATACTCGTGGGGATGAATTACCTGTAGGGCGAGTTTGAAAAAAATTGGCTAGCGAAAAAAAAATTCTCCTGCAATGAGTCGTGAGAGGACGAATCTAATCTTCAAATTGTGTGCGGCGTAATATTGGTTTTTCCACTTTATTGAACTACCCGCACGTGGGCAATTGCCTAATATGATAAAACAAGAAGTGGAACAGTTTCTCTTCATTGTTCTGTGTTTCTTCCCTGTTTTTGGCTAACAAAAAAGAACATCTTTGACAAGTCAAATAGTTATCATGGCCGTACAGAAAGAAGCTCGGTTGGACCAGCCGTTGCCCTCCGAGGCCAAACCTACCATAACCTCCACGGCTCTGACTCCAGATCTAGCGAGTGCGGTGATGAATCTGACTCTTGAGACAAAGTTGTCGAGACAGTCTGGCTTGAACTCGTACCTGTTCAAAGATGTTAAGACGGTGGGACTCTTGGTGGTAATAGCGGCGTCAGTGCTGAGGTACAGACTGGCGGACTACTTCGAGCACGTACACTGGAGACTGTTGCTGAAAAACACACACTTTATCTCGGACTTGCTCCAGACTGTGCTTTTTATAATCACCATTTCTGCAGGTGTTTTTGTGTTTCTTGCAAGATACACTGAGATTCTAAAGGAGGAAGTGGAGGATGTCAAGAACAACACCCCCAAGTATTTCGGGCTGGATCTCAAGCAATTTGCGCAACTACCGCAAGACGTGAAGGATTCCAAGTACAACGAGAAGGGAAAGCTCTCCGATCTGGCTGAATTGGCTGCTCTGGCGTCATATGTCCAGGTGGTGCAATACCGTGACGTGCCGATCGCCTCCATTGCGATAGCAAGAGATGAGGCCTCGCTGCGGATTTTGTCATACGGAATCCGGAGGATCTACGTCAAATCTGGAATCATGTCGGATTTGCTACTCTGGGTCAAATTCAAGGCAAACACCATTGCTAAAAACGAAAAGAGCAAGGTGGATGTCACAGTGGATATGTACTCGTTTGAGAATTTCGACAGGAAACTGTTGGCCAGTGCAGGGTATAGTAAGGTTTCAGATGAGAAGCTCGGGATCTGGGTTTTGGATCTTTATGGTGTAAGGAAGGAGACCTGGAAATTGTCAGTTGGTGATGCATCGGAGCAATCCTAGAGGTTGAATCATTGTTCTAATAACCTTGACCGAACGGATCCACAATTCAAAAACTACGCATTATCCTCTTTCTATGCAATTATAACCGTTAACCTAAAAAATTACTAAAGAACTAGAAGAAATATGTATTTTTCAACCCCAACATCAATGTGAGGCATGGTCGTCAGATTCGTCGCTGAAGTCAAACACCGTCTCGAACTCATCATCAACAGGAATTTCAATCTCGTGCAACAAGCCGGTGCCAACGTTGTATATCAGGCCATACACCTCAATGTCACCCTTTTTATAGGCGTCTGTAAACGAAGGATGACGCTTGAGAGCGTGGACAGAGCTGATCACATTGAGCTCGGCTAGAGTAGCACATTTCTCGCGAGGATCTGACACCGACGCCAGCCTTTTGAGATTGTGCGCACGAACATGTCTGATCGGGTTGAGCCAATGGTCCAGAACTCCACCAATTTTTTTGGAAGAGAGAGAGGCCCAGATTCCACCACAATCGGTATGGCCACACACTATCACCCTCTTGACCTTCAGCACCTCGATGGCAAACTGAATCGCTCCCATAGTCGAGACATCGTTCGAAGACACGATATTGGCTATGTTTCTCAAAGTGAAAATCTCACCCGGTGCTACTCCAAGACAGGACTCGGATATCCGGGAATCTGAGCAGCCAATCCACAGAGTGTGCGGACTCTGGCCCTGCGCGTTCATGTCAAATATTTCAGGTGTTTGCTCGGCAATTCTTTCACTCTGAAGCTTGTTCTGGTACAAGAAATCGGTCAAGGTGGAATTCCTGGATAGTTTGAACGGATAAGTGTCCTCCACTATAGACCTGGGCTGGATCCGGCCCTCATTGGGGCCAGGAAGCGTGGATTCGTGCGTATTCAGCACAGGTATCTCCTGGTACTTTTGTATGTTTGTGATTCCCATGGTGATGGCAGAGGTGTGGAACGGGGCGCCAAAGCGTCTAGCTAGAGCCCGTACTGGAAGAATGGTGGATGTAAAGGTGATAATAGTGGAAGCAGCCGGCTGCAGATTGTTATGGGAATTGTAGTGATTTATAAGGTTCACCTCAAAAAAAGCTCTGCCGGGGCGCGAAAAGAAAAAAAAACCCGGAGAATGTCACAATAGCTGGCGGCCGATTACGCAGCACCCCAACATGCCCACACCCAACCAAGCACGTTGGTCCCCATTCTGAAAACTTTTCCCTAGGCTGTAATACTGGCCTCACTAAACAGCCCGCCAAGAGCGTACATGAAAGATGCTCTATCAGTGACGTTTTGAGGTGATCTCATCGATTGTGCATGGACCCAGTGAATTTCGTGTGCGCACGCCGCCTGAGCTGGAAGTGCGAATTTGGTGTCCCAGGACAGCTTGGGACAAGGGATATTCGGCTGAATATGTCCTTGCAAATTTGAGTGAGAGAATTATCAAAAAACCGAGTGGATTGGGAGCTTTTTCGACCAGAAACAGGGTGCATTCAGTCATGCTTTTGCACGTGGAATGAGGCGTTGGGTCGTGGTCCGGTCAAAGTTTAGCTGTACAACGGTGAAGTCATATATGGTGCATTGAATCAGGCCCGCCGAATACAGTATGAGTCAGGACCTTGGGATTTGGCTACTCCGAGAGTTGAAAATGAGCCGCACAAGCATCAGAATGCCAGTTCGAGGTACCAATTACTGTATGGGGGAATACGATGGTGTTGTCATTGATGAGTGTTGATGTTTATGGTTAAACCCTAAATTTTGACTTTTAACTTCTTTTACTTAAAATTCAAAACATAACGTTCGTTCTCATTCTCATTCTCCCAGGAAACAGATTCTCTCCATGTAAAACATATCCGGGAAAGAGCATACCTCTGGACACCCAAGCTCCAACACCTTGCGACCCTCATGGTGAAATTTGTCTGAATAACTCTTCAACAACGCAGATTCCTCGGCGGTGAGGTCCTCGTTGATGTAAGCAACTGTAACGTGAAAAACGGTGTTTTTGGGCTCGGGGATTCCAAGAGCTCCCGCGATCTCTTGCCGAACATTCCTAATCTTGACCTCTTCATCTTGGTCTAAAGGAACCAATTGAAGCTTCCACGTGTCCCAACCACCATGGCTGGTCTGCTCAGTATATGTTGAGTCCACAAGTAGTCGAATTGGCAGATCTACCTTGATGTTCTTCTCTTTAAGCTTGCTCACCATCCACTGGTTGCACTCATCCATGGAGACATCGTTTGCCAATTCCTTTGGCCAATATTCCGAGTCACGCTTGAATTCGTGCAAAACATCAAAAAGAGTCACGTGAAGCGTGGAAGCTGGCAACATGGTGATCTTCCCCTTGTAAGGTAGACCTGGAAAGGCCTTGTAGAACTCCAATACATCCTTGAAAACAGCTCGCTGAGGACCTTGTTGCGGCAAATGGCAGACAATTGTGTTGCCCGCAAACGGTCTTACACTTCCGTCTGCGTTAAACTTCTTTCCCATTGTGAGACTGATATTGGAGAGGAAGAATTTCTGGGTAAAGCAGTGCTCGGAAAAACCAGGGCCTTCCATTTCCATAAGATCTGCACAGCCCGGAAAAATGCGTCCGAAACGGGTTTGATACGCAAATGCATCAAAAAAGTTTATTGGTGATACGGAACAAAACTGTTTTATTTCTCAAAATTAAACCTCTAAATTATTACACCTATTTATCAATCGTGTCCTCTTCGCTGTGTGTCCCTTGCTGGCTAAGATATTCGGCAAGGTCCTTGTGCTTGACCCTCTTGATCTCCTTCCTCCAGAATCCATCTTCTCCGAGGATCTCTTCAACCTGTAGCGAGTATCCAAACAGTCTGGGCAAAATCTGAGCCCAGAAGAGCCAGTAAACAAATCCCACAAAGAAAATACCCAAAGCAGTAACACAATGCACGTAGTATGGCAAATCGTTGTAGACTGCGTGTTTCTGCGACTCGGCAGGAGGAATGTATGGGGCGATGATCAGATAAAGCGAACTCAGACCGAAAAACACCGTCACGGGGATGGTGGCCTTCAAAGGAGGTTCCCAGTGAATTTTGCCTCTCTTTGCTTGGATGTTGAGGTAGATGAGGGCAATAGCGACAAGGAAGTTGATGATGTTGAGCGGATAGGAGATCAAATTCAAGATGAAGTTATAAGCATCTCCAGGTGGTGGGGCCAGAATGGTTATGACACAAACCACCCAATGCTGGAACAGCCCAACGAATGGGGAGTTAAAAGGTCTTGAAGTCGCGAAAAACTTTGGGAAGGGCAAGATGCCCTCACGGCCCAACTGTTGGATGATACGTCCCTGGGAGAAAATCACACTCATAACATTTCCAAGAGCACTCAGAGCAACAAACACAGCCGAAGCCTTCTTGGCCGTCTTTCCAAAGGCGATGTCGAAAAAGTCAGCGGCCAAAATGGTGGACGAGGTTTTCAAGAGTTCCTTAGGCACCACTGCAAAGTAGGCAATGTTGACGAACAAGTAGATGATTGCGAGAACAATCAGCGCAGTTGGAGCTGCAATCTTCAGAGTCTTGACAGGGTTCTTGATCTCACCAAGGGCGTAGTTAGCATTGCTGTATCCGATGAAAGACCAGATGACATTGTACAGAGCATTGACAATACCGTAGGCGGTAGCACTGGTAGTTCCCTCAAAAGAATTGTGAAAGTTATCGGTCTTCTTCCAGCCACCAAGAGCAACCCATCCGGTGACGGTGATGAACAAAACAATCACAATCTTAAATAATCCCAGAATGTTCTGCAAATAAGCACCATACTTGACAGTGGTTCCGTTAACCAGGAATGCAAATGTGATGGCTCCAACACCGATTCCTCTTTCAGCCCATCTTGTCACCTCCACGCCTGCAGCAGTCAGAAGATATTGACCACAAACGATGGAGTTACCAGCTGCCCATCCCAGCAGGAAGACGTAGGCAGCGTACATACCGGTGGTGAGAAATTTGGGCTTTGAGTAGACATACTCCAAATAGTTCTTCTCACCTCCGTTTCTGGGAATGGCAGAACCAAATTCCATGTAGACGTATAACCCGGCCAGAGCAATAAGAGCACCCACAACCCAAAGGATCAAACTCAAACCGATGGAACCACATAGATTATAGATGGTGGAGGGAGTAGCGAAAATACCAGTACCGAGAATACGGTTCACCATAAGTCCGACGGCACTGATATATCCCAAATTCCTCTTACCTTTGTCGAGAGATTTGACAAATGCTTCTTCTCCTACAGCCTCCGAGGAGTTGGCCTCAAAGGTCTCTTCGGCTTTTTCGATTTCAGTCATTTTGGCAATGTCAAAATTTCACAATCGAAGACTTAACGCCTCTAACAATCAGTGAAAAGAGAATTGTAACTCCATTTTATACTACTGCAAGCTACAATGAAAAATATTAGTGGAGCTGCCACAGTATTGTGCAATAGACCCCAACTCTTTCGTTTCGTGATCTCACGAGGGCGGTTTGGTGAGGCCTTGCTATTGTGTTGATATAAGGGGTGATGCCTAATGCAGGTGAATGCCGTGCTGCCTCAAAATGGCGGACATGCGAGTTCTTGGAAAAAATTCGACATTCGATGTGGACTCTTGGCAGGGAAAACAAGCTTTGGCCGCTACAGAATATATTGCACCGTTTTTGTGGCTTTTATGTGCAGTGAAACTCCATTATTTGGAGTCAAGTTGAGGAGACACCCTGTCTGAACCACGTTATGAGACCAAATCTTCCGTGATGCCGCATCTCCGCGAACTGCATAACACTGCGCCTTAAGGCTCTGGTGAAGAAATTTTCAGTGTTTTTGTCAGAGATTTTCATGGGGTCAAATAAACCAGATGCTTTGGGTTGATTTTGCCTTTAATTCAAAACTGTGGAGATGAAATGTGTGGGTATCCGCATGTGCCTTCTTTCGCGAGCCGCAATGCAATGTCAAATGTGCATGTCACGAGGTTCTGGGCTTTGGCACCGGCCATATGCGCTTTCGCGGTTTTCGATTCTGGTGCTCCCAAAATTGAAGCTTGACATGAGCCAGAAGTTGTATTCAACGGTTCGGTTTAATATAATGTACCTACCGGTATGCTTAAATGCTTGTATGCGAAAAACTGCAAACTAATGCAAACTTTGCCTGAAATTGCGCTTTGCACGGCATTCAGCAAAGCCTTTTCTCCGAGTCTGCCAATTTGGTTCGGCTTGGGAATGTTCAAAAGAACATTTGGTCAGTATAATAAGTCAAATAGTGAGCGAATGAGGCAGAGGGTTTTTGAGCGGCGTTAATAAACTATTTTGTTATAACTGCGGTAGGCGGCCGTAGTAACTGAGTATAGAAGAGTCTTTAACATTCGTATGAGATCATTTCGATGCAAAAGACGTCAGATTTGGAGATCTGGCATAGCCTAGGCATAAGGCTCTCTGGGCACAATCACAGCTGATCATAGTGACCATTAATTTCTACAATCTACCACTTGCAATAAACGCGCGAAAATAATATCTTGATTGGTCAAAACCCCAATCTTCATGGTGCTGGCATTCTCCGGCCAATGTGCACTGAATAAATATAACTGTCAATATGTGGTGGCTAGATCTCGAGAGAGTTGACATAGAGCAGCCCACTGGACCCATCGTTTCCAGACAAAACCAGGTCCATCATGAGTCTGTGGTCTGTGACCTGGTCATCCTCGATGACTGCCGAAGGGGAAGTGGAAGATAACAACGGGAAGTAGTCTCTTTCAGAGACGGAGCGAGACGATACCGAAGACGCATCTGTCAATTGAGGCGATGACAACAATGGGTATGAGTCGAACGACCCGTCTAACAGTTCCGAGTCCGACATTGATGAAAACGACGAAAAGAAAGACGAAGATGCAGTGGATCCCGGCAAATCAGTCATGTCGTTGCTAGTTCCATTTTCTGGTACAAACTCTTTGACAGTACCCCTCGTTACACCAATCTCCCGCATCAACATCTCGCACTTCTCAACATCGCAATTGGGGAAGTGCACGCGGATGACTGTTCCGTCTTCCTCCAAACTGATGAACAACGATCCAAAAGAATTCTTGATCATTTCAATATCGGCATAAACCGCATCGAGCTCAATCTGGTAGCACTCCAAATCCGTCTTCAACGACTGGATAACGTCGTCATCCATGATCAAGGTTTTGGGCATCTGCAAGTTCTGTGCCAACGCAACGTTGAAGTCTACACATGCACCGCCATCAGTGCACCTGGCCAGAGCCAGACATTCCACCGCATATGCCTCCTTGGCTTTCATCGATCCTGGATGAGGCTTCGTGGGTGCAGAAACAAGGCTGGGCACTTGGTATTGGCCCATCCGCATGAGCCCCACCTTCATTGTCTCTACCGCCTTCTTGACCGGATCCTCCCGCCAAGGTATGGAAAAGCCTGGTCCCAGCCCAGGAAGTTGCAGTGTAACATTGGGATCACCAACAAGTCCTCTGAGGAAGTAATGGCCCGCAAAACCCGCTTTGCTAGCAGCAGCCGGCTTACGAGGAACATACAACAGTTTCTCAAAGGACTCACAGAGAGTACGTGCCACAAAATTTTGGGCAGAACGTGCACGCGAGATGTGAATTTGAAGAACATTCGTGAAATAAGCATGCGCAAACCCGCAATGGGAAGAGTGGAATCTCCGCCTGCATTCGCCAACAAACGGATTATGACGATGGGCCCTCACCGGTATACGAACCAAATGACGCTTTCTTCTAAACCCTCTAGCACCACAATCATGTCTAGCAGCAAATTCTTCTGTGAGAGCCTCCAGGTGGCGCTGAAACTGCTCAGCAACTTCTCTGGATCTCCTGATCACCTGTTTCAATGTGTTTGCCACCATCATTTGTAATCAGTAGGTCTGCAACTCTGAGTGGCGTTTTTCGTGATTCAAAATATGCGAAAAGGAAGTAGTGAATATTCGACCCTTCGGATCGTTTGGAAACAGCTACTTTCCAACAAAACAATGAGTTATTTGAAGAAAGATCAATCTCCGATATCACCTTCAGCCCCCATTCAGCAAATTAACCCCTCATCATTCTTTTGGTTAGGCGCCCTGGTCATTATGTATTCACGACTATCTCTAACCCTCACTCCTCTCTAAAGGAAGTTGCTTTTCTCGGAAACGCTCGGGATCTGGTGGATTTGAGGGTTGAGCTATGACAATTAGTAATATTTGAGCTCATTTGGTAATCCACGAAACCAAAGTACCGAAGTCTTTCTGCGAAATTAAAGAGGTAAACAGGTTATTTTGGCGTGTCTCACTCAATCGTTTAAAGAAAAATTAAAATATTTTTTGTGAGCCTCTTACAACATTAAACCTTGTAACGATTCCAGGCATTCAGTACCTTCAATTACTTTCACGCTAGCTAAAATGCAAAACTACACGTGTAACAGTTGTGGGCTTGCCTTTCCCACCCCGGAAGACCAGAGGTCGCACATGAAGACTGACTGGCATAGGTACAACCTCAAGAGAAGAGTGGCCCAGCTGCCAGCCATAGACGAAGAAACCTTCAACTCAAAGATTGCCGCTGTGATCAAGGCCGAAGAGGCTGTTGACCAGGATGCGCCCATGTCAAAGAAAGACTTGAGAAGGCAACAGAAAGAAGATCTAGCAGAAAAAAAGAGAGCTCTTTTGGAAACCGCTAGAAGGCAGATGAGTAAGCTTACTGTTGATGAAATCAGGGCTAAGAAACAATCACGTGAAGCTGCCGAAGCCAGCACAGATTCTGAAGTCGCAGCTGAAAAGATCCCAGAGACTGCTGAGACAGAAGAACAAGAACCAGAACCTACCCCAGAAGAGCTCGAGGAGAAACTGATGGAGGAGAAACTGGCCAACCGTGTTGAGATTCCACTGAATAGCTGTTTGTTCTGTTTGAAGACATTCCCATACTTGGGTGTATGTATGACCCATATGCTCAAGGCTCATGGTCTCTACATTCCCGAGCCAGACTACCTGGTAGACGTTGAAGGTTTGATCTCGTATCTCGGTGAGAAGATCGGCCTCGGAAATGTGTGTTTGAGTTGTAATTTTCAGGGCAGATCTTTGGAAAGTGTGAGAGCTCATATGATTTCTAAGAGCCATTGCAAGATACCCTATCACTCGGAGGATGAAAAGCTGGAGATTTCAGAGTTTTACGACTTCACTAGTTCTTACGGGAAGGTTACTACCGGTGATAATGAGGAAGAAACCAGTGATTGGGAGGATGTTGAAGAGGGAAGTGGATCATCTTCTGATGACGAAGAAGAAGTTCCTCAAGAGGTCATATACAACAACGGTTACGAACTGCATCTTCCAACCGGAAAGGTTGCGGGTCACAGATCGATGCTCAAATACTACAGACAGACCTTCAGACCAGAAAAGGTGTTATCCGAAGGCCAGGGTACTTTGGTTGCTGCCGAAGCAAGGCACTTTGCCACTGTCGCGGATCGCCAACAGTTACAACTCCAGAAGAGAGTCTGGAAGAGAGAATACAAGGCAAAGGACAGTTACGACAGACATGCCGCCAGGACCAGAAACCACCAGGCGCATTACAGAGATCAATTGCTGCAATAATTTGGGCGTTTTTGCGTTCTTCCTACGTTCTTTCTCTCTCTATCTAGCGTTTATAGTAGCATCATAATGGAATAGTCAAATGGGTTCATGGCAGCCGTAAAGAACCCCGAGAATAAAAAAAAAATGCATAATTACAAAAAAACAAATTTATATCGAAAAAATATTCATCCAAACGGCTGCAATATTAGTCCAAAAAACAAGAACTCCTCATCAGGGGCTCGAACCCTGGACATTTCGGTCGACTTCCTGAACGAAATTATGAAATCCTTAAAAGCCGAACGCTCTACCAACTGAGCTAATAAGGACAGTTCTTGGGCGCGATTTTTTATGAAGCCTCAGATTCAGGTAAACTGTTTTCACACTACCTTTTGAGAACTGTTTCTTGCTGTCTTTTAACAGAAATAATTTCAATAAACAAATCAAAAAATCAATAAAATGCAGGGTACTTCAAAGTCATATTAAGCTATGTCTACAATGATTTTCCGGAAGTGGGGTTGTCAGTGACGGGGCCAATGGAAAGCGCTTGAAGACGACGCGAGCGCTCCATGTCGTCTGACTCTCTTCGATCAGAACAATCTCGAATCATCCAAGACATATTTCAATGCATTTGAATCCTCAATCTTCATCTGTTGACATAACCATGAAAAGATTTGAGTTCGTCTTCTGTGTTAAGTTGGGGGTATCTCGCTAATTATTTTGCTGACAAATTTTGGATTTTTTCAGTTCTTGTACTTTTCTGAAAATACCAAGTAAAAGTTGATAGCTACGCAACATCGAGAATAATGAGCCCAAGAAATGCTTCAACTCAATAATAATAGTCATAAATCAATATTTTTGCTTTAAATCCATAAAATCTTACCAGTGTTGGCCAATTGACCGTTAGATCGTTTTTATAGTTCAACCCCAGATTTTTATATTTCCAGCAAAGCGTCCTCGTTTGACATTAAAATAGATACTACTACAACTTGACAAGTTCAAATAAATTTATATAAAATTACAGAAAATCTAATCAGAATCTATTTGAAATAACTTACGATAATATTGAAGTCCTCTGGCTGGACTGAAATATTTCCAAATTCTGCAACATAGTGTTCACAAATATGTTTTTTCATACGCACTGTTACAGTGGCCGAGTGGTTAAGGCGATGCCCTGCTAAGTCTTTATGGCGAGTGGTTAGGCATTGGGTTCTGCCTGCGCAGGTTCGAATCCTGTCTGTAACGCATATTTTTTTTTGGTATTCAAATTCTCTTGGAAAAATCAATTTTTACTCAGCAACGATCTGTTAGAGAAATCTAGAAATACATTATGATTATTATGAGGCTTATAAAGGAGTGGCCGCTCGCTCGCCATTTTGCTTCTGTCTTCGTAAAGCTCTGGCAGCATAATCGATCAACTGCTTATTTCCTTCCTGAGTAACAAAAAACCTCCTACTCTGGACATCCTTCCACAAAAGAATTCCCACTTCCTCGCCGTAAGTGCTGAGAAGCTCGAATTCCTGATCATTAACAAAGTCCTTGAAGAGATAACCTTGAAAAGTCTGGATTCTATCCAGCTCCAACTGCCACAGCTTTATCTGATCCACCACTGTTGGAGGTAAAACTTCCAGCACAGTGTCAGCAGCATCTGAGGCAGAATTGGTACTATTTTCAAAGTCCAGCTTCTTCACCAGTCTCTCTTCTGCTAGCTTCTTCATTTGCGAATGTGCATGACTCTCCAAATATTTGATGATTTGCTCTGCCGTAATCCCGTTCGTCAGGGCCTTCCTTATAGATTCTCGTGTAATTGCTCCGGTCACCATATTGGAAAACCGAGACTTCAAATGAACAAATAGATTGAGAATTGCCACTTGTAACGGTGAGGTGGTATAACAGTACAGCTTGAAATTGGTCTCCAAAATCACGTTTCCCATATCTTTTCCAGAACCGGAATCTGCCTCTGCAGTCGCCTGTGTCATAGCTGTGGATGCACTCTTGAATGTCATGCTATCCGATGTCAATGTCGTCGCTAGACGTGTGGGATAGAACAATCTGTTGGCAACCACATCATCCCTTTCGTTTTGCTCTAGGGTTTCTCCTTCAGGCCCCTCATCAACGTCCATGCTAACACTCTCTGGTTCGACAGGCTTGGGATAGTAAATCAGTCCGTAATCCACCAAATCTTCCAGCATAATGATCTGTGTATCACTCAACATGGCAGTCGGGTAACCTTTACCAAGTTCCAGAGATCCTAGCATGAAGATGAAGTTCAGTACCTCAACTGGATCCATCATCAGTTTTTCGGACATCTTCAAATACTCCAACAGAAGCGTCCAAATCTGTGAATTGATGTCCTGCAACAGAAACTGAAAACCCTCATTAGTGATCTTCATGTTCTTGAGTGTATTTAACGAATATTGAGTCATCGTGCTGGAGCTTTCTGTCTTCGCCTCTGTCTTTGCTTCTCGATCGGCTTCCAACTCCATGAGACCACTGTGACGTAAAAGCGATAGCACTCCCACACTCGGCGACGACAGCAATTCCGTTCCCACCATGAAATGCAATATGTTCTCCCATTTCATTAACGAGTAGCTGTCAAGATAGTCAATCGTCACATTGTCGGAAAACATCGTCTGCAGGTCATCACGCTTGCTCTCTACCCTATCGGAGGCATCCCCAAAAGCAGAAGCGGATCCTCCTCCGGTCACAGCATCCCTGAAACTTGCTCGAAAGATAGGATTGAGCTGAAACAAAACCACGGTGGTGGACTTTCCAGTGGTGGGATGTGTAACTGTCTTCCTCACGTCTTTGATCAAGTTCAATGCCTTCAGTCTCTTTAAACACTCGTTCTGATATAGCTTTGTGGGAGTGATATGGGGATGTGCTTTTGAAGATGTTGGTGGAACCTTCAACCATCTATTTAAGTTTGCATACGATGTGGAGTCCTCGTTGAACAGCAGTGTCATCACGTAGAACTTCGAGAGCGAAGGCAATAGACGGAAGATTGCCAAACACGTTGCTGGAGATTTGTACAGCTTTGAGTGCACGGTCTCGGACAAGCTCTCCAGGTACTCATTGACGGTAGACTTGAATAAATGGGCCTGACCGGCCATGATTGTGCTTTGTCACTCGTACTAATCGCATTCTATGTGCCACAGATCTCTGTTGCGTGAGAAATGATGGGTTGAATGGTAGTGTACTGCACAAAAAGGTTCCTCCAGAGGATTTGTGAAAATGGTCAAATTCCGCCAGAAAATCAGGCTTTTTCTTGATTGGTTTTGTGTCTACAATGTAGACTAGATCAGCTTATCTCCAGAAGTTCCAAACTCCTTCCAAATAACCAAACTTTTGGTCCTATTCTCCACCCGACCTCCCAGAGTTAAAGATGACTTCCGTATGCGGTTACTGTGCCTAGCACGAACACCGATGGGGTTGGAAAAAAAATTCCTCTTAATAAGCAGAGAGTATGCGAGACAAGATACAGCTCCCAGTTCGGCATCCCTGTCCTAAAGAAATATGGCAAAGAGAAAGGGCTCCATGGCTCAAAGTGGTAAAGCCGCTGAGAAGCCCGAAGCTGATGCTTTCAACGATCTTTTCCAGCCTGTCTACAAGGGAAAGGGGTTGACTGATGAGATCAATACTGCTGAGGACAAGTGGAACCTGTTACCGGCTTTTTTGAAAGTAAAAGGTCTGGTGAAGCAGCATTTGGACTCATTCAATTACTTCGTTGATAAGGATCTGAAGAAAATCATCCAAGCCAATCAATTAGTGCTGAGTGACGTTGATCCCGAGTTCTATCTCAAATACCTGGACATCAGAGTGGGTCACAAGTCCTCCTCGTTGAAAAGAGGAATCGAGAGAAAAGAGGTCTTGATGCCTCCTCACGAGTGTAGACTTCGTGATCTGACTTACAGTGCTCCCATCTACGTGGATGTTGAGTATACAAGAGGCAGAAAGATTATCATGCACAGAGACCTGGAGATTGGTAGAATGCCTATTATGCTTCGCTCGAACAAGTGTATTTTAGATGGCAGGACCGAGGGTGAAATGGCCATCTTAAACGAGTGTCCTTTAGATCCTGGTGGATATTTCATCGTCAATGGTACCGAAAAGGTGATTCTTGTTCAGGAACAACTGAGTAAGAACAGAATCATTGTCGAAGCGGACGAAAAGAAGCAGATTGTCCAGGCCTCTGTGACTTCCTCCACTCACGAGAGAAAGTCCAAGACGTATGTGGTGACCAAAAACAACAGGATCTACCTGAAACATAACTCCATCAGCGAGGAGATACCGATTGTGTTGGTGCTCAAGGCTGCAGGCATCACGTCCGATATGGAGATCATGCAATTGGTATGTGGTGAGGATTCCACCTATCAGGACATGTTCATTGTCAACTTTGAGGAGGCCGCAAAACTTGGTATCTACACCCAGAAGGAGGCTTTGGAGTACATCGGAAAGAGAGTAAAGACGGTCAGAAGAATAAATTCTCCAAGATTGACGCTATTGCAGGAGGGTATCGAGGCGATTGCTACTACCGTCATTGCCCACATTGCTGTTGAGAACTTAGATTTTAGAGAGAAGGCTCTTTACATCGCCATGATGACCAGAAGAGTCGTTATGGCTATGCATAACCCCAAACTGGTTGACGACAGAGACTACGTGGGTAACAAACGTTTGGAGCTTGCAGGTCAGCTTTTAGCTCTGCTATTTGAAGATTTGTTCAAGAAGTTCAACAACGATTTCAAAGCCAATATCGACAAGATTTTGAAGAAACCAAGCAGAGCATCGGAATTTGATGCCCTGTTGAGTATCAACATCCATTCCAACAACATCACCACCGGTATGAACAGAGCCATTTCGACTGGTAATTGGTCGCTGAAGCGTTTCAAGATGGAGAGGGCCGGTGTCACCCATGTTCTGAGTAGATTGTCCTATATTTCCGCCTTAGGCATGATGACCAGAATCTCCTCCCAGTTCGAAAAGTCCAGAAAGGTCTCTGGTCCAAGAGCCCTTCAGCCTTCTCAGTTTGGTATGCTGTGTACCTCAGACACACCAGAAGGTGAGGCCTGTGGTTTGGTCAAGAACCTGGCCTTGATGACACACATCACAACCGATGATGAAGAAGACCCAGTCAAAAGACTGTGCTATGCTCTGGGAATAGAGAACATAGCGATTGTGGATAGTGGTAATCTTCATACCAATGGAACTTTTGGGGTCCATTTGAACGGTACTTTGATTGGAACAACCCGCTTCCCGATCCAGTTTGTTTCGAGATTCAGATTTTTGAGAAGAACCGGGAAAGTTTCCTCGTTTATCTCCATCTTTATCAGCATGCATCATACCGCAGTCCACATTGCGGCTGACGGAGGAAGAATTTGTCGTCCGTTAATCATCGTGGAGAACGGTGTCTCCAAGGTCAACTCGGACCATCTGCTTAAATTGAGAAACGGAGAATGGGAGTTCGACGACTTCTTGCGCAATGGTCTTGTTGAGTACCTTGATGTGAACGAAGAAAATGATTCGTACATCGCGCTGTACGAAAGGGACATTGTCAAGACCACCACTCACCTGGAGATCGAGCCTTTCACCGTGCTGGGAGCCGTTGCGGGACTCATTCCCTACCCCCATCACAACCAGTCTCCAAGAAACACGTACCAATGTGCTATGGGAAAACAGGCAATTGGTGCGATAGCTTACAACCAGTTCAGAAGAATCGACACCCTGTTGTATCTGATGGTTTACCCTCAACAGCCCATGGTTAAGACCAAGACGATCGAGCTCATCGATTACGACAAGCTTCCCGCTGGCCAGAATGCCACCGTCGCGGTGATGTCGTACTCAGGTTACGATATCGAGGATGCCTTAGTGTTGAATAAGGCTTCGGTCGATAGAGGATTTGGAAGGTGTCAGACCTTGAGAAAGAATACCACCACTTTGAAGAGGTACCCCAATCACACAAAGGATATCGTTTCGGGAATGAGAGTTGATGAAGACGGAAAACCAGTTTTCCAGCACTCGTCTCTGGGACCCGATGGGTTGGGTGAAGTGGGTATGAGAGTAGAGAGTGGACAGGTCTTCATCAACAAGTGTGTTCCCACCAACGCCAATGAGAATATAATAGGTGGCCCAGCAACCAATGAATACCAGTCCCAGGAACAGCATAGAGAGACACCCATGGTGTACCGTGGCCCTGAGCCCAGTTACGTTGACCAGGTGATGATGTCTGTTGGCGATAACGACCAGGCTCTGATCAAGGTGTTGCTGAGACAGACCAGAAGGCCAGAACTGGGTGACAAGTTCTCGTCCAGACACGGCCAAAAGGGTGTCTGTGGTATCATTGTCCAGCAAGAAGACTTGCCATTCAACGACGACGGAATCTCTCCCGATATCATCATGAACCCGCACGGTTTCCCTTCGCGTATGACGGTCGGCAAGATGCTGGAGCTGATTTCCGGCAAGGCAGGTGTCTTGAACGGAACATTGGAGTACGGCACGTGCTTTGGAGGCTCCAAACTCGAGGACATGTCGAAGATCTTGGTGGATAAGGGATTTTCATACAGTGGTAAAGACATGCTTTACTCCGGTATCACGGGTGAAGCTCTCCAGGCATACATCTTCTTCGGCCCCATCTATTACCAGAAACTCAAGCATATGGTTCTGGATAAAATGCACGCCAGAGCCAGAGGTCCCAGAGCAGTTCTCACGAGACAGCCCACGGAAGGTCGTTCCAGAGACGGTGGTCTGCGTCTGGGAGAGATGGAAAGAGACTGTGTGATCGCGTATGGTGCCTCGCAGTTGCTGTTGGAGAGGCTGATGTTGTCATCTGACGCATTTGACGTGGATATCTGCGGCGAGTGCGGTCTCATGGGTTACAATGGATGGTGTCCCTCTTGTAAAACCAGTGAGGGAATCGTCAAGATGACGATCCCCTATGCGGCCAAGCTGCTGTTCCAGGAGCTTATCTCCATGAATATTGCGCCTCGTCTTAAACTAGGCGATGTATTTTAAACTGGGGAATTCCAGTACATAGAGCTCAAAAATAAAACATGGTGGACTATCCGCCGCATATCTATTCCCTTTGAAGACATCAAACGCGCGTCAGAATCCACACCTCTTGCACAATCTCCGATCTCGGTAGAAGTTGGCAAGCACACGCCCAGACAGCCTGCTATCAACGGCAACGTGTAAGGCTCTCGATTCCCTGACCTTTCTTTCGCTGGCATCATATCCAACGTGCCAATGTTTGCAAAGACCTTGGTGTTGAACGGTGGAATACGGCAATCGAGTCGTGTGCTGCCTCATGTTCGACTTTTCAGCTTGTTGCCGGGGAGACTGGTTGTGAGACCGCAAGGTATCACAAAGAGCATCGGATCTGACTCTTTGGCTGTGAATCGACTACGACTTCAAAGGGGATTTTCGTTCAGTTCTCTGTTGAGAAAAGAAACAGGTGCATCCAAAAATGCTAAGAATTCCAAGGAGACCAAAGAGGCTAAGGAGTCTCCGAAAGAGTCTGCTAAAGCCCCAAAAGAGCCAGCCTCTGAAGCCACTCCCAAACTCTCGCAGTGGAAAATGGTGCTGGAATTGATGGCCTATCTATGGCCAAAGAACCAGCCGGCAGCAAAATTCCGGGTAGTTCTGGCCCTGGCGATGCTGATTGCGGCAAAGCTGCTGAATGTGCAGGTTCCCTTCTTCTTCAAGTCGATCGTGGACTCGACCAACATCGACTGGGCTACAGAGGGCGGTGTGTTACCAGCAGCCATCATAGCGGTGATTTTGGCATATGGAGGTGCAAGATTTGGTGCGGTTCTCTTTGGAGAATTGAGGAACGCGGTTTTCGCCAAGGTTGCACAGAGCGCCATCATGAAGGTGGCCCATAATACGTTCGTGCACCTGTTGAACTTGGATCTCAACTTCCATCTCTCTAGACAGACAGGTGGTCTCACCAGGGCTATAGACAGGGGTACCAAGGGTATATCGTATGTTTTGACGGCAATGGTGTTCCATATCCTGCCCATCACTTTTGAAATATCGGTGGTCTGCGGTGTGCTGACTTATAATTATGGAGCCCAATTCGCGTTCGTGACGCTTGCAACAATGCTGGCTTATTCCATCTTTACCATCCGCACCACTGCGTGGCGTACTGGGTTCCGCAGACAGGCAAATAAAGCAGACAACCAGGCTGCGAGTGTTGCTCTGGACTCTTTGATCAACTTCGAGAGCGTCAAGTACTTCAACAACGAGGCTTTCCAGAGCTCCAAATACGATTTGGCTCTCGAAAACTACAAGAATGCATCCATTAAGGTGGCCACTTCGTTGGCGTTCCTCAATTCAGGCCAGAACCTGATTTTCACTAGCGCGTTGACAGCAATGATGTACATGGGCTGTCAAGGTGTTGCCTCGGGGGACCTCACTGTGGGTGACTTGGTACTGATCAACCAGCTGGTGTTTCAATTGTCGGTTCCATTGAACTTTCTGGGATCTGTTTACCGAGAATTGAAACAGTCTCTACTCGATATGGAGTCCCTGTTTAAGTTGCAGAAGAACGAAGTCAAAATCAAGTCTCTTACGAATGCTCCTCCTCTCAAATTGACCAAAGGCGGAGAGGTGAGATTTGAAAATGTCACTTTTGGCTACCATCCGGACCGGCCCATTTTGAACAATTGTTCCTTTACAATCCCGGCAGGACAGAAAGTGGCCATTGTAGGGCCATCTGGCTCGGGTAAGTCTACGATTCTGAGACTGGCCTTCCGTTTCTATGACGTCCAATCGGGCAGAATCCTGATAGATGACCAGGATATCCGCGAAGTCGACCTGGATTCGTTGCGCAGGCACATTGGTGTTGTACCCCAGGACACTCCACTTTTCAACGAGTCCATTTTGGAGAACTTGCGTTACGGACGCCTGGAGGCTTCTGATGAAGAGATCAAGGAGACCATCTCCCGAGTACAGCTGGACAAGCTTATTGACGACTTGCCCAACGGAATCGACACCATTGTAGGAGAGAGAGGAATGATGATATCTGGAGGAGAGAAACAGAGACTTGCTATGGGCAGATTACTGCTCAAGGATGCACCAATAACGTTCTTCGACGAGGCCACTAGTGCCTTGGATACCCACACAGAACAAGCATTGCTGAAGACAATGAAGGATATTTTCCGTAAGGGCTCCCGCACGAACGTTTCAATTGCTCATCGTCTCCGCACAATTGCCGATGCTGACAAAATCATCGTTTTGCAGAATGGCCAGGTCTACGAAGAGGGTAGCCACTACCAGCTGCTGGAGAAGCCGGACTCCCTTTATGCTCAGCTTTGGAACATCCAAGAGAACATTGAACTGGAAGAGTACTTAGAAGAAGAGCTCGAAGGCACCTCTAAATAGCCTGTATATACAATCAGTATGACCAATACTGGTCAGTGAAAAGGCTTCACATTTTTGAAAGAAACTACCGTTTTAACGAATACCCATGCTGCACAATTAAGCAAGATGTGGCTTACTTATGCGGGCTTACATATCAAAAGAACTTTCACGGTTTCTGGAGACTACTTATGGTACTCCAACATCGATTTTAGTGAAAATTGTGGAAAGCCTTAAACTGTGGAAACTATAAGTGAAATTGAAAAAAAGCTAGAAACGAGTTCAATAACGCCGATTTATACACCAAATTTTTCATCAGTTTTTGAGTGACTGTCGGCTCTAGAGGCAGACTCAGGAGTCCTTCTTTTCTCATAATCCCTTATCGCTGCGTTCCTTTTCTCACTATCTGCAAAAAGACTGACATGGTGACGATTCCCGTACGCAACGGTTGTCCACAATACATGGAAACAATCTCCCACCGCTACGCCCCACAGTGCCAGAAAGTCACTGGCTTGCTTGACATCTCTGTCATTGGTCGTAAGCGCGATGGTAAGTAAAACGGCATATACTAACACATATATTACAAAGCCAAAGAGAAGATACTCCAAGAAACTCCTCCTTTTTCCTATCACACCGCTCTTCACTAATTCATCTGTTGAGTTAAGGGTGACAAGATGGGCACCATTGTCAAGCGTGAATATGTACACCGGTATAGAAGCCATGTCGTGAATTGGGGGATCAGAATCCCCGTTTGCCAAGTATGTTTGTGATATTGATTTGATATCGCTTACTCTCAACATTGCGGTGTAACATTCATCGCCATTACATATCTCTATTGCCCCAACAACGGCTATAAACAATGCAGCTATGCAACACGGGTTGATGAAGTTATGCAGTAACATGATCGACTAACTGGATTAGTTTTGGTACCTTTAGAACACAAACAAACAAGCAGGAACAGGGCGGGCCTGTAGTAATCCCTCCTCGAAACTTTATCTTTGCGTGGATATACACCTAATTAAAGGTACATATTGAGTGCATATGCCAATATATGGCCGCATACTGATCTCAGACAAAGGGCTGTTATTCTACCTGCCCAATTATGAGAGATATATGGTCAATTTTGAGATTCGGAAAATCACATCTATCAATATATACGTCAATTACATCAGTTCCGTATTTAGCCCTTATCAAGACCGACTAATTCGCGCTAGGTTTACTTTCGGCAAAGAGCCAGAATAGGTAGTGCATGCCTAATTAGACCACAGATGATTTTACCGAAGCGGCTGTATGACCAACCTCTGTTCATCATATCTTCAACCCCTACTGAACAACAAATGCCCTCAAGCGATTCTGGTCTTAGCGAGGCTATTGCACTGGACAAATTGTCAGTGACTTACAGAGATGAGTTCAATATTCCGACTGCGGAGTCTTTTGGAGGTACTGTCCCGGAGGTGCAAGGACCTATAACTTATCTGGCTGGAAACTCTCTTGGGCTGATGCCTAAGGCGACAAGGAACGCCATCAACGATGAGTTGGACGCTTGGTCTGCCCGTGCAGTTGATTCCCACTTTAGACATCCGATTGACGACGCTCACAACTGGATGGATGTCGATCTGCCACTGGTCCCTTCCCTAGCCAAGATTGTTGGTGCAAAAGAGTCCGAGGTTGCTTGCATGGGAACGCTGACGATGAACCTGAATGCCTTACTGGCAGCTTTCTACAGGCCTACTGCCACAAGATTCAAGATTCTTTTTGAGAAAAAAGCTTTTCCTTCGGATTTCTATGCGTTTCTTAATGCGGTGAAACTGCGTGGGTTCAGTCCGGAGGAGGCTTTGATCCAGATCGAACCCCGTAAAGGAGAGTTCACTATTCGGACCGAGGATATATTAGAGTCAATTGACAAGAATGGCGATGAAATTGCTTTGGTTTGTTTCCCCGGAATTCAGTATTACACAGGCCAGTTCTTCGACCTCAAGACCATAACCGATTTTGGTCACTCGAAGGGATGTATAGTCGGATGGGATTTAGCCCATGTTGCAGGGAACATCCCCGTCAAACTTCACGATCTTGACGTGGATTTTGCGTGTTGGTGCAGTTACAAGTACCTCAACTCCGGACCTGGAGGAATCGGGTGCATCTTCGTGCATGAGCGTTGGTCGAAGGCCGAGACGCAGATTCCCAGAGTCGCAGGGTGGTGGGGAAACAACCGGGAAAAACGGTTTGAGATGTTGGAAGAGTTTGATCCTATTCCCAGTGCTTTGGGATTCAGACAGTCGAATCCAAGTGTGCTGGATGTGGTGGCCCTCCACACATCGTTGAAGATGTTCGAGCGGGTTGGGGGAATTGACGTTCTCTTCGAGAAGAGCAGGAAACTGACCAAGTTCCTCGAGGATCAACTGCATAAGAGCCCATTCTACTTGGAGGCCGGGGAGCTCGATAATAAGGTCGGTTTCACGATCATAACGCCTACGGACCCCAACAGCAGGGGAGCACAACTCTCGGTTTTATTCAGTTCGCACGCCCTGATGGAGAAGGTAAATAGCTATCTACAGGCTCACGGAATCGTTTGTGATGAAAGAAAGCCGAGCGTCATCAGAATTGCACCCACCGCCCTCTACAATACGTTTGAAGATGTGTTCAGGACGGTCGATGCGATCAACACCGGAATTTCTACATAACGGCAAAAGCATGGGTTTTCTAGGTTTAACATCTATATAGAACCATTTAGACAAAAAGATATGAAAGTCCGCCGAAGAAAAAGGTTCCAAGGACACTCATAACGTAGTAGTCTGACTGAGAGAGAGATGGAGAAACCAGGTTGGCAGCTCCCTTTGAGGAGCTCGATGACGACGAGGAAGACGATGATGAAGACGAGGACGAGGAACCCGAGCCTGTAGAACCTGAGCCTCCTCCAGAGCCGGTTCCAGTGGCTCCAGAGCTAGCAGAGGCCAAAACTGCAGAGCAGGACGAAGCTGAAGAAGCTGTCTGCAAGGAGGCACTTCCGTCAAAGTCACAAGCAGACGAGTCGGAGTCATTTTCCTCATAATACAAGTTCAAAATATAATCGAGCTTTTCCTTCGAGGAGCAGAATGAAACCCAGCCATACGTTCCAGCACTGGCATTGTTAGAAATGGCACTGCAGTCCACTTTGTCACAGACGATTCCAAAGAGATCAGAGTAGTCCTTGGATTTGACAGAACTGTCAAGAACACACGAAAGACTCTCAGAAAGACAGCTGCAAACATCCTTGTCTGGGGTTGGAGGAAGATCAGTGGTAGCTTTCCAATTGGCTCCAGTGGCAGGACAATCGATCTGAGTAGCAGTAGCTGAGACGACAGACTGAGTAGCAGAGGTTGGAGAGATGGAACCCAATTCCGACTTCAAGTACTTGAAATCGGCCATAGTAGAAACATCATCACCATCAACAGATACCAAACCGTAATCGTTGGTTTCCTGGAAATACATATAAACAATTCCACCGGACCAGACATCAGTCATATCGTCAGAGTACAAAGCCGCAACCTCGGTGAACTTTCTTGGTGTCTCTGCATTACAGCCATATTCAGAGAAAAAGACTGGAACAGACAAGTTGGCAAATTCTTCAGTTCTATCCTTGTAACCGGACGCTGCGAAACTCGAAGTTCCACACCATTCGTACATGTTAATACCGTAGAAATCGGCCTTGACGTCTTCGTCACCACAGGCAAAGTAATCAGCAGAAGAAACTCTGGTTTTGGAGTCATCATTGGCAGAATATCCAACTGGGATATCTCTGTAACCCTGGTCTTTAATATAGGATTTCATATCTCTGATAGCGGCTTTGATATAAGGAGCAGCATCGGTGTTGGTTTTATTGGTGATAACCTCGTTACCAGCAAAGAAGCCGAGAACATTGTCGTATTGCTGGAACTCGTCAATCACACTGGTGTAGCGATCGTACAGATCTGTAGTCCATTCAGGGTCGGTAGTGATAATAGACTGATCAGGAGACGACAGGTCGGCAATCACGTAGATTCCAGCGTTTTGAAGCTGGGTCATGCAGTCTGAGTGACTGGCAGAACCGTTGACTGCATACACACGGATTACGTTGGTGTGCAGTTCTTCAAGATAAGGAATATCTCTCTTACAGAGGTCTCCGTCAATCAAAGGGTCCACATAGTTGGAATCATCGTCAAGCTCTTCAGTGTTCTTCTGGTAGGCAACTCCCTTGATGTAGAACTGCGATCCGTTGTTGGAATAGAAGAACTTGTTACCTGCGACCTCGATGGTTGGGAAGTCAGACGACGCGCCCAACGCGGTGCCAGCAAGGGCAAGCAGAGAAAGTGCGACTCTTTGTAACATCTCGAAAAATCAGCTTTTGGTCTTTTTTTTCAAGCTTCGTGTGGAGAAACGTGTGTGAAATTTAAAGAGAGCCTTACTGAGTGGTAGAAAGCAAGCGAATGACACAGACCAGAATAATCTTTCCAGTAAGTTTCCAAATTATTCAAAACGTTTTGTAAACAAGAGAAGAACACAACTCGAGATCAGCCAAGGATTCTCGGCCAAGAAATACCACAATCTTACTGTCCACATAGCCAACTTCGCCATGATCCCGGTTTGCCAGGCGTGTTTCTGGGCGTGTTGCTGGATGGGACTCGGCGATCCACCACGAAACACACTAAACCAAATTTCAGACACGTAAAGGCGCTTATATCTTGGCATCGGACTCACCATTTTTAGAAACTGCCATTTTGGCGAGCGCAGTTTGTACTGGCGTATTGCCCCATCTGGGCATGCTCTTCTTTCTTTTTGATTATACCAAGACGTCATTCCGGTTTGGACGGAGACGATACCAACCAAAGTTTTTCATTGGCCTTCTGGACGTGGAATTTCTTCCTATCGATACCTGAAGGAGTCCATTTTGCTCTGATACCGTCCGAATTACTCTTCTTTTGGAAAGTCGAGGCACCTTCGAGGCACTTCTGCATTTGGCATACTGCAGTGGAATGTGTACCTTGCATATTGCGGAAGGCTCTGGGCAGGGTCTAAGGGTATACATAAATATAACAGGATAAGTTAATTTTCCAATTTCTAAAACAAGAATTTCGATATTGATGATATCAGTGAAAGGAAATTTGATAATGTCCGGTGTGAATTAAACAAAATCAGCATTATGGCTGGATCCTCTTACGTTCTACACCAGTATGTCTGGAGTTTTTTGTCTACAGCAATGCAACGCACATGCTGATGGCAACAAAGGCACCGAGGCCGATGGTGACAGACAAGTCGTTGAAGGAGGCGATTGGGGATCTCATGGAACCGGCAGCACTGCTCTTGGAAGACGAAGAGGCCGAAGAGGAAGAGCCAGACTTGGAAGACTTGGAAGATCCAGAAGATGAAGAGTCAGAGTCAGAGTCAGAGTCAGAAGTGTTGGTGGACTCCGACTCGGTCAAAGTGGCTGTGACGGTTCCAGTACCAGCAGTACCGGCTTCCTTGAGGACAGAAGAGCATGAGTCACCGGTGCTGGAGCTTCCACCGAGGGTGGCAGATCCGTCAAAGTCACAGGCACTGCTGTCACCGTCTTGCTCTTGGTAGTAGAGGTCGAGGACGAAAGAGAGCTTTTCCTTGGAACTGCAGAAGGAGTAAGCACCATAAGTCGCGGAGCTGGCATCAGCATTGATACCGACACAGGTGGAGACGAGACCACAAACGGTGCTGAAGAGGTCTGAGTAGTCGTCCTCGTCAACGTCGTCTGAAACGATACAGGACAGAGAGTTGCTCATACAGCTGCACACGGAGTCTTGAGGAGTTGGTGGTAAAGTGTTCTTGGCCTTCCAGCTGGTGTAAGTGGAGTTGCACTTGAGGGTATTAACAGCAGTGACAGAGGCAGAGGTGGCAGAGGTTGGAGAAACGGACGCGATTTCGGAGGAGTAGTATCCAAAGTCATCAAGAGTGGAAACAGAGTCGTCGTCAATGGTGACGAGACCATAGTTATTGGTTTCCTCGAAGTACATGTACACGATACCTCCGGACCAGACATCGGTCATCTTACTGGAGAAAAGAGTTCCGACCTCAGTGAACTTTCTTGGAGTAACTGTGTTGCATCCGTATTCGGAGAAGAAGACTGGAACTGGCAAATCAGAAAACTCCTCAGTTCTGTCCTCGTATCCAGAGCCGCTGAAACTGGAGCTACCACACCACTCATACATGTTGATACCATAGAAATCTGCTCTCTCGTCTTCATCACCACACGAGAAGTAGTCCACACTGGACACTCTGGTCTTGGAGTCGTCGTTGGCAGAGTAACCAACTGGAATGGTACGGTAGTCCTTGTCCTTGATGTAAGCCTTGATGTCTCTAACAGCAGCCTTGACGAAGGCAGCAGCGTCGGTGTTGGAGTGGTTAGTCACAACCTCGTTACCGGCAAAGAAACCCAAGGTGTTGTCATACTGCTGCATCTCGTCTACGACCTTGGTGTAACGCTCGTACAACTCAACGGTCCAAGATGGATCCGAGGTACTGATCGAGAGCTTTGGCTCGGCCAAATCAGCAATCACGTAGATTCCAGCATCTTGGAGCAAACCCATACAATCAGAGTGGTCTGCGTCGCTGTCCAAGGCATAAACACGAATAACGTTTGTGCTCAACTTCTGCAAATATGGGATATCACGTTCACAAGTGGACTTGTCAGACAGAGGATCAACAAAAGACGTGTTCGTGGCTCCAGAAGTGTCGGCCTGGTAGGCTACTCCCTTTATGTAGAACTGCGAACCGTTGTTGGAGTAAAAGAACTTGTTGCCTGAAATTTCAATGGTTGGAAAGCTGGCAGCTACAGACTGGGATAGTCCGGCCACGGCAAGCGTGGTTGAAATGAGTGACTTGAAGAGCATCTTAGAAAGTTGGTTTCAAAGGGATAGCTTGAAGGTGAAAACAGAGGAAGGTGATATCCTCGGTCGGATCACGGTCTTTGAAGGAAAACAAACGGGGCTAGGTCGTGTGCAGCCGGAGGGGCGGAGGGGGGAAAGAGGCGCGGGCCGACATTGGGCTCACTTTGCGAGCTTATTCTACCGAAAAAATTTCAAAAAACAAATAAATAATTGCTGCATGAGATTCAGATTTTTTGTGCTATAATTTTTAGGATTTTTAGGATAAAAACATGGATTTTTGCGCGTATGATTGTCCTCACAATATAAGGCTCGCTTACCATCGTCCGTTGGTGTCTTTGCCTAAAGCGGCAATTTTCGATCTAAAACAGGAGCAAATTTTTTTGTTTTCTTTTGGTCTAGTAGGTCGTGTACCCGGAGCGTGGTTCGATTGGCCGACCCAAGCCTAATTTTAGCCCTCGATAAATGATGCTTAATAGTGGCTTTGTAAAGGCTTAACAGGGAGGCTTAAGCCGCTAAGCAGACGCGTTATTGTAAATTATCCGAGGAAGACCAAACATTTTAGCGTAGATTTTTACTAGGTGAAATAGTCAGCTATACGAGCGAAGGCTTAATGGCGTTAGGCCGACATGGAATTCTTATTTATCCGAGGAACTAAGCCTGTGACATGGCCTAGCTGAGAAATAATTGAACTAGTCGTAGTACTGGTCAATAGTTTGGACTAATAGTCGAGCTACTAGTTACCAGCATTACCGTCAGCTATTTGTTGAAGTATTAGCTATTGCCCATTGGCTGTCTTCCCTTCTCCTCCGTTCTCCCAGTCTCGCTCACCTCTAGTCTTTCACCACAAACTGCGACCCAGTATCGTTATTATTCTGCCGGTGCGGCTGAATCAAACCCAACCCCCGATCTGGCAGATCATAGTCTACGAATTTGGTGTGACCAACTATCACCGGCACCAGCACCAACGCAATAAATACCGCGAGTATAGTAAAGAACAACATCGCGTGAAGCCGCACTCTTTTGCGCCGCAACCTAGTTTTTTTTGGACTGTAAATCCGACCACGCAACGGGCCCGTGTTCTTCATCCAAAAGAGCAATCGCGTGTGCAATGAGTCTATCCACGGCACAAATAGTATCGGACTGAGACAAAACAGCAGCGCGTGGCCCAGCGTAAAGTCTGCCGCAAAGAGGCTCATTTCTATGGTCTTAACAAGCAGTTCGCGAAAAGGTTGGCTAATCACGAAAATTCCAATCCCAGCCTTCGCCCAGTTCCCAGACCACCATGCCCTATTGACTGAGTCCTGTTTGAGCTCTCTCGTTAATAGAAGCACAACGACAGAGCGAAACAATAACTGCTGGATGCAAACGCAGCAGATAAATGCACACAAAGCTCGGCTGAAGTCCCACCCTTCAAGTACCCACGTAAGCTCAAAGGAAATCGCATGAACCAGAACAGCAATGCCGTGGGCAACAAAGGATGAGACAGTGCCGGTCCGATTGCAACAATACGACAGCAACGGCCCTAAAAGACATGACACTAGGAAGATCAATAACAAGACTAGGATGTTGATCAGAATAGGTACGATCACGAGTATTGCCATACGCACAACGGAATTGACAACCTCTGGTTCTTTCACTCCATTCTGTGCATTGATGAAGGTGTAAGCAGTGAACATGAAGATCGACTGGCCCAGAGGTGCGAGAACTTCAGCGACTAAAATGTTTGCAAAAGGAGCTCTGCGTCGGTCTTGAGATGGTTGAATTTGGCCGTCATCACCTCGTAGTTTCCCTCTCTTGAAACCTGTGTACCTGGATCTCGATAGCCTTGTATGCTGAATCCATGAACTGGCATGCCATTGGGAATTACCTCTAGTCAGCCATCGCAGAAACTCCCGATAGTCCAAAAAGAACTCGTTCCAGACGAACTGATGTGGGTTGAAGAAGAAGGGAGAAAAACACAAGGAGACAACGGTGATCCAGAACCACATTATCGAATACTGCCAGAGACACACCGTGGCAAACAGAAGTACCAGACAGAGGCGTATACCTGTGAAGATTGATGAGGGTGCGTAGTTGGAGTATAGTGAACAGAAGGGGATTCTTGAAATTGCAAATCCTCTCCCCGTAGCCATATAGCGAGCCCCTCCAAAGACGAGGACGCTCTGCAGTGAGTTGGAGTATATCTGGCAAACGAAAACCTCGAACAGGGGGGAAAGCGACATAAAGTGGGACATCAGACGTGTGATGGCCTTTTTGGCACCACGTTCTGTTAACTCGTGAACGACAAGAGGGCAGAAAGAGATGAAAAAGCAGATGAAAATGGAAATCACAAACCTTGAAATCCAGTGGTATAGAGGAACAAGATTATAACATCCTAGAGGTTGAGGCTCTGCTGTAATTGCCATATTCTTATCCCATCGACACACTATGGATTCATGAGCCAATGCTCCCAGGTTCATCAACACAAGCATGAACAGCTGTAGCGAGAGCATGATGAATCTGTTGTTCAAATGAAAGCCAGGATGTGCATAGTAGAAGGACAAGAATCTGTCCAAAGGAAGTCTTGTTCCCAGATAGTAGTATTCTCGTGACAGCATCTGTTCTCCCATACCTCCGCCAATCTTCGAAGTGAAATTCAAAATTGAGCCAAAGCCAAGGTCTCTCCCTTTGCCGCATTGGTAGTAATCGCAGTGAGTTATGCGTCCACCCCTAAGAAGTGCCATCATACCGGCGTAGATGTCTTCATTGAGATGCAGGCCTCGCTGCGACTTAGAAATCCCTCCCCTCGTGGTCATGAAGATTGCATTCAAAAAATCAGGATGACCATAGTGCAATTTTCCACCAATCTGTGCCAAAGTTCTCGCAAACAAAGTGCCAAAGGTCTGCTCTTTCCCGGCAGCTACATCTCCCAATATACCCGTATTCTCTGAAAAGATATACTCCCTGGCACCAACAATTGCAACCGGAGGTTCGCTTTCCCAGAAACAGCCAAGTGCATACGGATGAACAAATGACTTTGCTTTCCCTTCAAATTCTGACAAAACAGACCTCACCTTCAAGCATTCCTCAAGATAGTTGTCTTGATTTGCATCAATCACTTGTATGTATTCTCCCCTGTAGTAGATCAAAGACATATTTTGGTTGTCAGCTTTTCCATCCCCCAAAATGGGATTTCCAGATAGTTGCACCTTGTAAATCATTTTGGGCATACCATCTGCATCTGTTTCAGAGCAACCATATAGAGTGGAGAAGTATGTTATTTCCTCCCCATCTCCTTTCTTCTCCTGCTCCAAACTCACAATGTTTAGGTGAGGAAATGCTTGGGCCAGGTGCCTTATATCGTCTTTCTCCAGCTTGGTCATTTTCTGATATTTTTGCATGGAAACAACGAGCCTGAATTTTCTTTTGACAAATGCCTCTAGGTATGGTTTCAGCTTGCTATCATCGGTATTGCGGTAGATCTCAGAATTCTCCACGCCGCATAGGAGCTTGATAGCGATATAATAGTTCATGAAACCCGAGATAGTTCGGTAAAGCGTCTGAGTCCGTAAAGATGCCCAGATTCTGGTCCTGAGTGTAAACTCAGAAGATGAAGACTTATACCCAACACAATAAAAAGGCAAATCATCATTGTTGCAAGCTTCATCTAGATCCTTGTCAACTGGAGCCGCAGTAGCAACGAACTTGCTATCTTCAACAAAGCAATCCCAGTCTGATTTGTACAACTCTTTCAAATACTCCAGCAGTGAGATCCTTGAGTTTTCATCCTCTCTGATAATCTCTTTCAAAGAAAGGATGACTTTCTCTTCATAGTGAGGTATGAGAACGGTGAAAGTAGGCATCTCATTGATGGGACCAGGCTCAGGTATCGGTGTGGATAAGGATTGTGCAAAGAATGAAATACGCCTTTCTCCTTCAGAGTTGGCAAAAAAGTAATTGAATGTCTTCGATGTGTCACCCTGACTAACGAAAAAGGATGGAACCTTGACCTCAATCTCGCCTTGTTCGTTAGTAGTTTGAGTGAACAATAACCTCGCTAGATGCTCGCGTGATATCAGGTGGTCACGATGCATTGAATGCATAATCGCATTCCATATTTGGAAAATGAGCAAGTTTGGGCGGTAGTCTTTATCATGAGTTCTCAGCAGCTTGGAGTATATTCGTTGTGGCAACCTCGAGATGACATTCTTCCATGGTGACATAACTGAAATTCCAGAAGAAAACGCCAGAGCAACAGACAGAGCACAGTTGCAAATGATATACCATAGATAGGTATCGAGGAAAAACAGTATGAAGTCTGTTCCGTACATCAGAACCAAAACAACCCTTGCCTGTTGACGGCAGAAGATGTTTCCCCAGAAAGCCTCACCTGTACAGCGGTTCATATCCATCAACGAGAGACTTATGATTGAATCCCTTAAAGAGAGGGTTAAGAAAATGTAAGACTCCAGGAACTTGGCACCAAATACAGTCAACCACAGGCCGCAGGAGAGAATTCGTGATTTGTTAGTCAATTTGGGAAATGATGCACTGAAGGCATCATGGGTAGCATTTTGCAAGCTCCCTCTTCTCCTAAACGGGCTGAACAAGTTTTGGGGAGTTTGGAAGGAAAAGTAGAGTGTTGTAATAATCGAGAACACAAACTGAGCCACAGATATTGTAAAGCCAACCTGGGTTTGCGCATCCAACTTGTTGAAACCGAAAATGTAAACTGAAGGACCAACATTCAATGCCAAAATAAAGAGGATAGCGATGATCCGCAAAAAAACGTGATTTGCATCTGGCCATTGTCGCGGAACAAACGCCCATTCAGACACAGTAGCGGTGAGCTGAATGATGCACGCAAGAGCGCCTGCTAACGAACAAGCCGAGAGCTGAGCTTGAGGCGTTGGCTGACTATTCGATCTCAGTGAGTAGTCCTTAGTGTAAAATGTTGGAGAATTGAAGCAGTAGTAATACCAAAACACTGAGATGTGGATGATCCATATCCTGCTGAAGTTGGTTGCTAAATGCCATGATGACCTCCGCTCTTTATATGTCTTGTAGAACGCCTTATCCCACCGCACAAACGCAAGTTTGGAATACCTCAGATGAGGGTCATATGACAAAAGCTTCGAACCGTCATCAAGGACCAATCTAGAGATACCCTTAGAATGCCAAAAAAGCTGGTTGACATCATCGTAGCCGATCGTTCGGTCGTGATCTTTCTCTCTTCTCACCCATCGTCCCTGTTTGAACTTTAGTTGTTGGTCCCTGATGAAATTGTACAATGGAGTCACATATCTGTTCAGAAAATCATATTCTGGATAATTTGTTTCGACACCCTGGGTTTCCTTAAACCTGATGTAGTCCATATGATCCCAGGCACACTTAAATAGGAAGCACAAGCATTCTGGCGTGAACCTTACCTGGTTAGACTCGCCCCATATTAGCAGATAGAGTGCCAAATGATGTATCATATCTTCAGGAGAATATTGGCCCATTTTCCACTTCCATTTGTACTCTGCCATTTCGAGTGGTTTCAAGGTGAGAGTATCGAACTCGTCGTAGATGGAATCCTTCACCGCTCCATTGCTAGTGTCTTTAGGCTGTTTCCCCGTATAGATCTCACCTGGTTGATTGAGATGAGAAGCGAAGTACCATTTCCTGTAGTTAGAGTGTTCGCCGCCAATGTAGTCCGCATGCAACGAAAGCAAACTTCTCGCAGAAGTCATTCTACTAGCTCGCGAATCAAGCTGTACCATTAGATGGTCGTACATGTTCAGCACGGAATCTCGCTGAAATCCAAACATGTCCTTTAATTTCTCAAAGATCTCCCATATTTGTTCGGCACTTATCGGCGTTTTCGAGTCAGAATTCCACGCCAAATATGGGTCTTCATCCAGAACAACAGGGGAGCCAGAGAATTCGCTGGGCTTTTTAGAGTCGATCTCAGAGATCTGATCAGATATTTGATCAGAAACAGTCTCTTCGACAACAACCCCATCGTTTCTCAGAAGAGCCTCTCCCAGCCTAGCATTGTACACTAAATCGTCAGACATAGGGAAAGCCGCGGCACCGATCTATTTCCAGACATTAGTGAAAGCTCGTAGTGATAGTATTAACATTGCAGGTATAAGATACCTATAATCAAAAACCGATATAGTAGAAAAGTGGATTACTTTGGCTTGTTGTAATGGCGTCTTGTTGAACAAGAAAGAAGAGAGGATATATGAAAGAGAGCCGCACAGGTTTTGACAGACAGCATGCGCCACATTGGGGTCACCAGCCTTGCCCATCGCGGTACCAGCCACCCATCGGTTCAGCAGTGAAAAATTCAAGAGCGATACTAGATGAGACGATTGGCTCTGTTGGTGGAAGCACTGATGCTATTTAGAGCCTTGAGACGGAAAATTGAACAAAAATTGGGAAGAATCAGGATGTCTACTGTATCTAGTGAGATACTGCCGCCCTCGAACCAGGGAATGAAGGTTCTGGACCGTTCGTTGTTCCACACCAGGCTTCCTGTGGTGTGTGTGGTCTTCAAAGAGCCCAAATATATTGGCCAGTTCGCCAAAAATTTCAAGCAAGACATCCTCAGGCTTCCTGGGCTGCCATATGCTATTTCTTTGCCTGACCACAAAACGGAGCAGAATAGAGACGGTAAGTCTGTCGTTCTAGATCACAGGGTGAAGAGCACCGGCTGTGTGGAAAAAGAGCTATCGGAAGCCTGTCTCCAGACGATCAAAGAATGGGAGGGAACATTCGTGGACTATTCTTTTGATCTCGATTACGAATTTTGGAGGGCTGACCAGATTTTGAGGTCGATTCTGCCTGCCGACAGCAAGGAACAGATACCCTCTGGATTCTCCAAGACCGGGCATTTGGCACACATGAATCTGAGGGAAGAGTTCAAACCTTATGCCTCTATAATTGGACAGGTTATCATCGACAAAAACCCTTCAATCAAGACAGTTGTTGACAAACTGGATACCATAGACACCACTTTTAGAACGTTCAAAATGAAGGTCATTGCTGGTGAGGACAACTTCATGGTCGAGCAGCTGGAGAACAAGTGCAAGTTTCACTTTGACTTTAGCAAGGTATATTGGAATTCAAGACTTTCTACAGAACATGAGAGACTAGTGGGCAATTTTGTGAGCAAGACTGATGCCATTTGCGATGTAATGGGTGGAGTTGGGCCCTTTGCCATACCTGCTGCCAAGAAGCTGTGTGTGACCTTTGCCAATGACCTGAACCCAGAGAGTTACAAGTATCTTAAGGTGAATATTCAGGAGAACAAGGTGGAGGGCTTCGTCCAACCATTCAACACTGACGGTAAAAAATTCATTTGGGAGGCCCCTAGACTGTTATATGAGTTCTCGAACAAAACCAAGGTGATACACAGGACCGAGGTCAAAGTGTCCAAGACCAAAGATTCCTCGAACAAAAAGCATAAAAAGAGTGTTATAACTGAAGATGTTACTATCCCAACGTTTTTCGCCCATTATATCATGAATTTGCCGGATTCCGCTATCACATTTCTGAGCGACTATGTTGGTCTTTTCACCAAGGCCTTTCCAGACTTGACTCAGCAGCAGGTAGAAACGCTTCCTGGCTTCAGACTTCCAACAATTCATGTCTACCATTTCGAGAAGTTTTCCCCAGATGAACCAGAACCTTCCAATGTGGAGCTTTGTCATAGAATGCACGCAAAAGTGGTGAAGTTGATCGGCTTTGAGATCGCATTTGAGGAGCTCGAGTTCCACAATGTGAGGGCTGTTTCGCCCACCAAGCCCATGTATTGTATCAGTTTTAGGCTGCCTAGTGCCGTTGCATTCAGGCGGTGATTTAGAGGCAGTTTGGAGTTGGTTTAGATTTTATTCATTGGTCTAAAAAGTGACTTAATGGTGACACAGTCCGGACCTGCCCGCCTGCCCACCTGCCAATCTGCATATCTGCTCTGCTGATCAAGACAAAGGTTCAATTGAGAGCTATATACTCATAAAATACCATTCTTTCAGATCAACGCAACTGCGGCTCCATCACCTCTCATATCAGACCCTCCGGACCACACCAACGGCTCGTCTTTCGAGAATCCTGACTCTTTCTTGACGATTTGACCTCTTCCAAAGAGCGATCTCGAATTGCCCTTAGCTACATGCACCACATGGCCCAGTTTCTCGAGTCCTGCGACTACCTCCAAGTCGATACCGTCCTCAGCATTGATCAGAGTGACGGCATTACTGGCAGGTCCGTCCGCGCCTAGTCCCAGATCAGTGTGAACGTGATTTGGATGTGCTGCCAATGATATTCTGGGGGCATCCAGTGCCTTCTGCGGATCAAACCCAAATAGCACCATGTTCAGAAACACCTGGACATGGGCCTGTGGCTGGTTGAACCCACCCATAATGCCGTAGGCAGCATACAGCTCTTCGTTGGCCGAGGTGATCATTCCTGGGATGATCGTGTGGTAGCTTCGCTTATTACCAGCAATGCAGTTCTTGCTTTGGGGGTTGCAGTTGAAATTTCCACCGCGATCTTGTAGACAGAACCCGAAGTCTTTGACGAGATAACCACTTCCAAATCCTCTGTATACTGAGTTAATGAAGCTAAATGCATTTCCGTCTTTGTCAGTAACTGTCTGGTAAACTGTATCTGATTTGAACATTGGGTTGGGGACTCCATGACGTATCACCGAGTTGTCGATGATTGAGCTTGAAGAATAATGTTCGGCTCTGCTTTGGAAATACTCCGCACTAAGCAGTGAGTCGAAAGAAGGTTCAGCCGCGAACTTGGCGGGATCATTCACATATTCGTCACTATCCTTGAAAGCCAGTTTTATAGTCTCAATCACCAGATGAAGATACTCCACTGAGTTGTGCTTGAGCCCATTGAGCGTAGTCTTTCCTTGGCGATCGAGCTCTTTGATAAGACCCAGAGAAAGTAAAGCCACGATTCCGGAGCCACTTGGTGGGATTTCCCAAAGCTTTTTTCCCAGAAGCTCAATTCCAATGGGGTCCACGAAAGTAGACGTGTGGTTGGAAAGGTCCTCCAATGAGACCAAGCCTCCACGCGAGGATATCTCGTGAACTATGGCCTCGGCGATTTCTCCAGCATAATATCCTTCTTTTCCGTGTTCGGCTACCAATCTGAACGCTCTAGCCAGTTTAGGGTTTTTGTAGAGCGTTCCTGGTTGAGGGCCATGTTCACCTCCGTCAGGTAAGATAGGCAGCAGCTCTTCCTTGGTTAACCCTGCGTTTCTTGACTTGAGTTTCGATTCGGACTTCTTCCACATATAACTACTCACACTGGAGACTGGTGCTCCTTCCTCAGCCAGATCGATGGCCGGGGCCAAAATTTCAGCCATTGAAACCTTTCCAGAACCCCATTTTTCAACAGCATCACACCAGCCAGCCACCAACCCCGGAACGTTTACCTGGAAAATCGAGTCTTCTTTCAGTCTGAATTGTGGGGTAATATCCTGTGGCGCATTTTGTTGTATATGCTCGAGACTCAAGGCCGAGGCAGATCTCCCGGTGCCGTTGATCCCGTGAACCTTCTTATCGGCAGCACTGTAGAACAGTCCGAAGCAGTCACCACCAATACCCGTGCTTGCGGGCTCAATCAGGCCTAGAACCGCAGAAACGGCTACAGACGCATCCTAGAGCCAGTTAGCAGCCAATTGAGTATTTTTGAGGAATTTAATAGTCACTTACCACGCAATTTCCACCCTTTTCCAATACCTTGATGCCCGCTGCATTTGCGAGGGGTTGCGTGGAGGCCACGATGCCCTTCGCCGAGTAAACCACCGATCGTCTGGAGGGATATGTGAAGTCCATAATGAAGAGAGTTTGGACGAATAATCTGCAAAATTTTGTAGCAAAGGGATCACCTTTTGGCTGTATAGGATAAAGTTGAAAATGATAGGACATGGACATGGAGAATCGCGTCATCCGGCACGGCTCGCGCAGAGGTGGCGGTGGAGGTGGAGATTGGTGCAGGTGGGCATAACGGGGGCACAATGGGGGTGCACAATGGGGGAACATACGTAAAGACATTAACGATAAGAACTCTTGGAGTCATTTGGAGCCATCACTCTAATAACCGTATTCTAGTATTGGTGTTTAGTATTTGACCTCATGTCCAACTACATTACTTACTCTCGCTACACGATTTCACTCATGATACACATTATCATTATACTTAAATAGCTGAGGCTAGCTATAGGCCAATATGCCCTCTAAGACCATGGTCTACCTCATTTGGTGGTGTCGACGACATATCTGCCCAGAATGGCTCCCTTCTCCATCAATTCGTAAACCTTTGGCAATTCGGAAAGTCCGATGATGGTGATTGGTGCCTTGACCAGCCCTCTAGAGAAGAAGTCCAGAGCCTCAGAAGTATCCGCTCTGTTTCCGACGTAGGAACCCTTGATCTCAAGTGACTTCACAACGTGTGCAAATACAGGCGACTTGCAAACGGCACCGGCTGGCAAACCAACAAGAACAACCTTTCCGAGAGGTCTTGCATATTCGCACGACTGAGCAATGGCAAATTCAGAAACAGACACATTGATCACTCCGTGAGGACCTCCGTTGGTGGCCTTGACCACATCTGCAACCAAGTCCTTCGTCTTGGTGAAGTCGATGAAAACTTCAGCACCGAGTTCGGAACACAGGTTGGCCTTGTCTTCTCCACCGTCAATGGCTAGGATACGGAGACCCATGGCCTTTGCGTATTGGATAGCCAAAGATCCGAGTCCACCACCGGCACCGGAAATGGCAACCCATTGACCTGGAGAAAGATCGGCAGTCTTCAAGGCCTTGTAAACGGTAACACCAGCACACAGAATTGGTGCAACCTCAGCAAGGTCGGTTCCCTTTGGAATATGAGCTGCCTGTACGGCATCGGCCGTGGCATACTGCTGGAAAGAACCGTCATGGGTGTAACCAGAAAGGTCGGCTTTAGCACAGTTTGGCTCTGCTCCGCGCTCACAGAACTCACAGTCAAGACAAGAACCGTTCAACCACTTGATACCAGCATAATCACCGATTTCAAATGAAGTCACGTTTTCTCCCTTGGCAACAACAATTCCGGCTCCCTCGTGGCCTCCCACAAGAGGCAGCTTAGTGGCCAATGGCCAATCTCCTTGCCATGCGTGCAAGTCAGTATGACAAACACCTGAATACTTAACGTTGATCAGGATTTCGTTAGCCTTGGGTTTTGGCACTGGGATCTCTTTGTATTCCAATGGGCCACCATGTGTCTCGAAGACAACGGCTTTTTGGGTCTTTGGAATTTCTGGCATTGAATAGAATCTCTTTGATGTTAATGGTGTTCTTGCAGACTTGAAGGTCTGCGAAACAGTACCGGCTGCACCTCTCAATTTATACATAATCCGGCAGAAAAAGAAACTCAGCTGATCACACCTCAGCAATTACGGATTAAGGTTTTCGGTAGATAGACCGATAAAGTTGCTTCTTTGCGCTAAAGAAACTAGTTGAAAAACAGGCAACGAAAGACGGCCGGCAAGTTGGGGTGCGATACAGGTGACTAAGTGCATTAAGAGGGGGAGTTCAAGCCCGAGGACATCATCAGACCTTCATGCATGACGGGTGGTTATTCTAATTTTGCTCGTTTGCGGCAATTGACATTTTTTTAAGCTGAAATCTTCACATTTGGGATGCATTAGATTCGGACACATGCCCCGATTGCAGCTATGCTGTTTAATCATAAAAATAATAAGATGGCGGTTGGTTTTTCCTGAAGAGAATAGACTGGCGTGTACAGAGGGGGTGTGGTTTAGGAGGCAAAGAGCACAGCATTTTTCCCAATCGGGAACAAGTGACTTGGCGCCTGCATACACACACGCCACGGATCACGTGTGTCCAGAGTTTATCGGATGGTTATTTGCTGAATTGGCCCGAGAGCAGGGGTGCTTATGAAACTGATGGAGATGACGGGAATCAAAGTCCCGTTATGAGTCTTGAGACCAGTCGTGAGACGAGCTCGGAGACGCTGGCTTCGGACTTTGTCGCAAGGCTTGGGAGCATGTTCCGAGGTTTTGGAGGGCCACGAACCAGAGGCAGACCGCATTTCAGTTCTCTCATTCCGAATGCCGGCCACTAATTGGCTGTTTTACCGAAATGTCTGGACGTTTCATCGCCTGTAGCATCGCCAGCAGACACTTGTCCGCGGCGTAGACTCTCGGACCTCCGATAGCGCCTTATTGATAGGGTGAACAGGGGTGAAGAGACGGGGTGTCGAATTTTTCTCACGTGGTGGGTTGTGGTAGTGTCTGGGATAATTTTTTCTGAAAGTCAAGGGATCTGGAAGGCTGCCCTATATGTGGATCATGACAGTTGGGGAGATAACAGGCTTGCACGTTCAGGATGCTTTGAGTGAAGGAGGGTTTCTTGAAATGGATTTCGCCCTCAGAAAATATTATTCAATCTGGAGTGATTCCAGGTTTTTGCAAGACTTTGCCTCTAGTCATGCTCGGTCCATCTTCACTAGGGAGTCGGGCTCGACTTATGCCAGATCCACAATCCAAAATTTCTTTATCAACTCGCAATGCAGCGTATATACCTTCAGCGGGCCTGGCCGGGGTTCAATCGGTTATGGTGCACTGTAGTAGCGGGACCCACGGGTACGGCCGCATTTAGCAGACTTGTATGTGCAAGCCGCATGCCCATCTGCCTCTTCGGCTGGCAGGTTGAAGATTTCAATCAGGGACCACAGTCTGATTTATTTCATCCTTTGAGTAAAATATGATAAGATTAAGATACAGGTTAGAATATTACGGTGTCATATTTTGATTTTTCCTTTGATTAACTTTGTCAGATATTCTCCACACCATGACAGAGTTTTTCTCGAAATTCGAAATTGTACAGATTTTTTCCCAAATAGGTGACTGCCTCGGGGACTCTGGAGAATGAGTGTTTGTGTATACGTGGAACACAGAAAACATTACCATTTAAATCCTATCAACAAAATGTTCACCACATGTTGTATATCGGTCTCCCGAGTATCTTCTATAATAGCTCTTAGACCCTACGATAAAGTAATACTCAAAATATCAACAGCCCCAGGCGACAGCAGGTCCCATCAGTATGAGCCGCACGAAACTCGTGATACTAAAATCATGTTAAAAAATCCATTTCCAAAGCTTCAAGTCCCGTGATCATACGCCCATCCAATCGATTATGTTCCAACCGTTTGACATTATGCCAAGATCTGAGATCGCCGTTTTTAGCGTGCGCACGTCCACCCAAGCCCTGAATGATCACACGACAAGATGCCTATTTGAGAGAAAAAATTGGAGGGGCCGCTAAAAGCCTTACGCTCCCGCTGTTCTTTTCCATAGCTACAACAAAACTCCCAAGTTGGACTTTTTTGTGCCTGATTTTTTTGCTACTGGCTCATCTGAACAGTGCAAATCTTCTAGTGCAATTTAATCTCCAAAAACGCTCTTTTTGACCCGGATTTTGCGCCAACATGAAATTCGCACATTCCTTGCAGTTTAACGCAGTGCCGGAGTGGTCGGACTCGTACATCAACTATTCTTCGCTTAAGAAGCTCATTTACAAGCTTGCGGAGGAGTCTACTACTGAGGAGGGCAGTTCTTTTACGGCCAACGAGCCTTCTGAGGAGCCTTCTAGACATGAAATTCTGCAGAAGAAGCTAGCAGACAAGATCCGTCGTGGCAAAGGCTTTGTCCGTAAGGACAAGGCGTCACAGGTAAGTGCGCGAGACTCTGCTGATGAACTAAACGTTGAGACTATTGAGCTCGAATCGAATCGCCCACGCCATGTTAGGATATTCATCGAGAAGTTAGATGCCGAGCTAGAGAAGATCGACAAGTTCTACAAGACCCAAGAAGCCGAGGTGTACTCACAGGTCGAAGAAACTCTCAAAGAACTAAAGAGATACACCGAGACTCCGTTTTCCGACCAATCGAAAAGACTGAGCCACGACTTTGACGACGACGAGACGGACCAGTACAAGTCTTCGGATGTGGATCTGGAGCGTGGAATCCGCCATATCGACAACGTGGAAGAGGAGGAGGAGTTGATCCACTCCTCGTTGCTCAACGACTTGGAGATGGCCCTTCCACAGCAGCAGAAGATCACGTTCAAGAAGCAATCTATCCACTTCTACATTGAGCTGTCGCAGCTCAAGTCGTTCATAGAGCTCAACCGTCTTGGTTTCTCGAAGGTGTGCAAGAAGTTCGACAAGGTGCTACAGGCTGAAATCAAAGCCGGATACATGAGTTCGTTGGCAGATAAGACGTATATTTTCAAGCGTTCGACTTTGGCCAAGCTGGACTCCTATATGGAGGAGATCACCAGGATCTACGGCATCATCACCGAGAACGCCAGTTTCGATCTGTGTTCTCGTGAGCTCAAGTCCTTCTTGCGTGAACACATCGTGTGGGAGCGGAACACCGTCTGGAAGGATTTGATTGGTTTAGAGAGACAGACCCAAGAGGCCAAAGTGGGCTCAGAGTCAGATCTGCAGAGGCTCGACTGTTTCGAGTACCTGCTGCCAGACAGATTCCACATCAACACCAAATGGGTGAGCATCTCCAAACTCAAAATCCCCAAATGTCTCTTTGGCAAGCGCGCAGCGCTGATTGCGCTCGTGATACTCGTCACAGGTATCCTTCTGGGAGTCAAGACGTTCAATGACGAACAGCAGCATAACTGTATGGCACTTTTGGCATGCTGTGCTATCTTATGGGCTACCGAGGCAATCCCACTGTGGGTGACGTCCATGCTGGTTCCTTTCCTCACTGTGCTCTTCCAGGTGCTCAAGAACGATGATGGCACCAAGATGAACGCTGCGGACGCTGCCACTTACATCTTCTCCACCATGTGGGGGTCCGTTATCATGCTGTTGCTCGGAGGATTTACCCTGGCTGCTGCTCTCAGCAAGTACAACATCGCCAAGGTGCTGAGTTCGTACATCTTGGCCATGGCTGGAACAAAGCCCCGCAATATCCTGCTTGCCATCATGGCAGTTGCTGCGTTTTTGTCCATGTGGCTTTCCAACGTTGCTGCGCCGGTTTTGACCTACTCATTGGCACAGCCTGTGCTCAAGACGATCCCCTACGACTCGGGCTTTGCCAAGGCACTTATCCTGGGAGTGGCTCTTGCGTCTGATGTAGCAGGAATGTCTTCTCCGATCTCGTCTCCTCAGAACATCATTGCCATTCAAGCCCTCGACCCACAGCCCTCCTGGGGTAACTGGTTCTCGGTCTCGATTCCTTGCACCATTCTGGGGGTTTTGGTGATCTGGGTTGAGATGGTACTCACCTTCAAGATGAAGGATGTCCAGTTGAAAAAGATCAAGCCTATCCGCGAAAGTTTCACGCTCAAGCAATGGTACATATGTGCCGTGACCGTTGGCACCATCATCTTGTGGTGTCTGATGACGAAACTGGACGGTGTATTTGGTCAATCCGGAATCATCTCCATTCTACCAATGGCACTCTTTTTCGGAACTGGTCTTCTCAGCACCCAGGACGTGAACAACTATCCTTGGTCCATCGTTCTTCTCGCTATGGGTGGTATTGCCCTTGGAAAGGCCGTCACCTCTTCCGGATTGCTCAAGACCATTGCCGACGCTTTGGACCGTCGTATCGAGAATTACTCGGCCTGGGAGATTCTCATCATCTTTGGTGTGCTCGTGCTGGTCTTTGCAACTTTTGTTTCGCACACTGTTGCAGCTCTGATCATCATCCCTCTGGTCCAGAAGATTGGTGAGAACCTCCCCACTCCACACCCACAGCTCATGGTCATTGGTACTGCCTTGCTTGCTTCCGTTGCCATGGGACTGCCGACGTCTGGTTTCCCGAATGTGACGGCTATCTCTATGACGGACGACATGGGTAACCGGTACTTGGATGTCGGCACGTTCATCAGCCGGGGAGTTCCTGGTTCGTTGATGGTGTTTGTAATTGTGATTACGGTTGGATACGGTATCATGATCACGCAGGGCTTTTGATGAGGGTTTGGGTGTTCTTTGTTCTTACAGATGTGCTTAGACGAGGCTTTGGCACCGTCACTTTTCTCGTCTTTAGTGCTCCTACCTTTTTGTTCAGATATACATAATTTACATAGAGACTTCGGAATTCTGCTTTCGGTTGAGACTTGCGCGACTAGAACCGATCATGCTGGTATAACTCCTGGGGCCTGCCGTTCGTGTAGTCCGTGCCATTTAGCAGATGGCTCTGCAACAGAGTGTCCTGGTTGCCATACTGAGAATAGTCTATTGTCTGGTCCGTCAGCTTGTGCTGCGTCGTATCCTGAAGGTGCTGTTGTGGAGGCATCTGCTGTGTCTGTTGGCCAGGCTGCTGGGTGGACTGCTTCGAGAACTTGTCTTCCTCACGAGGAACAATGTCAATCAGAAAGTCAAACATGTCAGACTTCGACAACGCAGCGGCAATATCGGACTTTTGCAGCGTCCTTCTCTTGTTCTCCTCGGCGTGAATCCACGCCCTCATCGTGAGCTCAGTAATGAAAATATCACACCCTTTGGCGAACAGTATGGGGGCCTCGGCAGAGATCATCTTCACCTCTTCATCCGTTTTCATCACTTTTTTGATCCGTGCAAGCGGCAGCTGGTGAGTCTTGAAGTCATGATCATCGTGCTCTATAGAATTTATCGTTTCCTGCCAGTATTGCATGAGTATGTTCTTGTACTTGCCGGTGAGGCCCTGGCCAACGTTGGCAAAAGCCCCCGATGGCGACCCAAAATCGCCCTCTTCTTCGTCCTCCACGGCCTCCTCCTCCTCCTCTTCTTCCTCGTCGCCCTCATTAACCCCGTTGCCGGCCTTCAGCACGCTGCGCTGATACGCCTGGTCTGTGTCGTTAGGCACGTGTTGGGCATCCACCCCATCGTCTTGCGGGTACGCGTAATCAATGTTGGTATCCATGGTAGTGACAGGAGATAAAAACGCTAATGTACACTTTTGGAGGGTATCGCGTTTAACCCGAAAATCCCGTCCTTGTTGCTTCAACACTTCTTGCCAGGCGAGTTGCCAAAAGAGTGAAAAACGCTGGCATAACCCCTTGAGCCGGAGACACGACCTTTTGGTTGAGACACGTAAAATATGAAGGTGTGGCTGGTGCCCGTGATGTCGCTTCGTATGGCCCTTATCGGTTTGGTAATATCACAGATAAGGTTCCTTGTTGACGGGCGGAAAAACACGCGTTACCATCCAGAGCAAGGAACAATTGGAACAAGATGCCAAATCCGTTCCAGTCTTTTGAGTCCAGGGACAGACACCAGACTTTTGATGAGATCTACGGCGAGCCGGAAAACTTCCTTGAGATTGCGGTAAGTGAGAGCCAGAAGTTTTCAATGTTGTTTTAGAAGCTAACGAAATGACAGGTAATCAACCCAATAACCCATGGAACTGGATCTGGAATGTATACGGACTACGAGATAGTGTGCAAGGTGAGTCCTCTTTTCGAGAGTCTACGACAATAGCTACTAACACGCAGCAAGACAAACATCCCTGCATTCAAAAAGAAGTCAAGCAGGGTACGTCGGCGTTATTCAGACTTTGACTCGTTCAGAAAAACGCTAGAACTCGAGGTCAGGCGTGTGGTGATCCCAAAGCTGCCTGAGAAATCGTTCCTGACGACGAATAAGTTCAACGACCAGTTTATAGAGGACAGGCGCATAGGCCTTGAGAAGTTTCTAACGGTGGTTGCCGGACACCCGCTGATACAAACTGGAAGTAAGAGCCTTTTGTCGTTCGTCCAGGACGATCGGTGGGATAAGCGTAAGTTTGAGTAAGATGTTATGTAATTGGAGCAAGGTAGTGTATATCCCAGGACAGAACCACTAGATCCGAACCCCAAAGGGGCGCTCGTATTGGTAACGGCAATTCTCCAATTGTGTGAGTGAATTTTCGTCATCTGATTTATGAATCTGGTCAGGAATTTCAGACCGGTACTGTTTCACAGATCGAGATTCTTAGCCAGACCCATCGTCAACAGAATGCCATTGGTTACCATATCCTCCTCCATCAAGGATGCCCTCATCCAGAATGAAATCATCCCCACGGTCATCAAGGATGAACAATTCGTGCCTAAGGGTTTGCTGATCATATCATACGGTGATGGAAAAGACGTTGTGATGGGAAACAAGCTGACTCCCGAGAAAACCCAGGAGACACCCAAGATTTCGTTTGCCCCAAACACAGACGATTCAGCAGCAATTGACCCCAAAGATCGATTCACGTTGATTCTGACAGACCCAGATGCCCCAACCAAGGGCGACAAGACTTGGTCTGAATACTGCCACTACGTTGTGAAGGATTTAGAGCCATCCCACTTCGATGACCTGTCTTCCAACGGTGTGACGCTGGCCCCTTACATTGGCCCAGGGCCTCCACCAAAGACCAAGTTCCACAGATACGTCTTCTTGCTGTATAAGCAATTGGGCTCCTCACCCGAGGCTCCAAAGGACAGGCCCAACTGGGGAACTGGTGTTCCAGGTTCAGGCGCAGACGACTACGCCTCCAAGCACGGGTTGGAACTGTGGGCTGTTAACTTTTTCTTCGCACAGAACAAGGACAACTAAGCAGCTTCTGGCTCTTTATCGACACATACTCCATATGCACTTCTGTCTATTTACTTCCATAATGAATTGTAAAATCTGTAGACTTTCTAACCTTAAAGTCACGTGACCATTTACTACCCTGGAGTTTACACGACTATTTGATACCACAAACAAAGTATCTGGTCCACGCCAGACTAAGTCCGCCAGGTATCAACGATTGAATCCAAAACTCCTGCAATTCGGCACTTATAAATCCAGATAATGTCTCTGGAGCAGCTGGAATCTGCCAAAGCTTTGGCATTACAGGATCTGTCTCTTTTCCCTCCTATTCTGGACCAGATCCTTGCCATTTCGACGGGCTCGGATTTACATTTGACGAGATGGTGTGTGCTGTTTCTGCGGGATTGTTTCCACGGAAAACAAGTGCCGTTTGAGCTGCGGTATCAGCAGTCGCCGAAGCTGCTGGATTCGTTGTTGAAATGCCTAACCGTGAAGGATACGGTGGTGGTGTCAGCTATAATAGACATCACCACCGCCGTATACGATCTCGTTTTCAAGTACACTATCGACTACCCTGGAGACACTGAAACGTGGAGTAAGATGACTTTACTGAAGTCTGAGATTCTTGGGCGCTTTGAGACGGCAGATCCTCTTCTTCCACTGAACAGGGACGCCGACCTGTCTCGGTCTATTCCAGTGAAAGTTTCCACTCTTAAGTTCTACGGAAAACTGTTAACAGTTCATTTGCCGTTGATACGAGACCCGAGGGTTAAAGAGAATAACCCACAGTATGATCTGGACTTTTCAATTGCAATGGTGCCGCCCAACCATCCGGTTCTGTGGAACACTGACGGGGAAGGAGAAAATCTGCTAGACAATTTGTTTGAGATGTTGAGTGACGAGCTGATTCAGACCACGCCAATATTTACCGTGTTCTGTAGTGTGTTGGTTCAGGTATTGAGGAAGAGACCAAAGTACATTTTTGGAAGGATATTCAACCTGATACTGGGCTATGATTCTGTTCTACAGCGGCCTCCTGTCTACGAAACGGACATGCTAAAGGTGAAAATGGTGCAGAGGTACAACGATAGGTTTAACAAGATTCTGATTTCATTTCTGTTGAATAGGAACTTTGTGAAGGATGCTGGCCTAAAGCAAAAATTGGACAAGAAGTTCAAGGTTCTGGTGGAGAGGCAGAGAGTCAAGATAGATCAGTACTCACGGGTTGAACCAATCGCCCACCTTGCCAAGAAGTACCAGGGGAATGAGTTCTACAATAACAGCATCGTCCCCAAAGACAATACCTACAAGTCGCTGTTCACGCTCCTTCAAGACTCCAACGCACTTGCCCAGTTCGACATGTCAACTCTTCCCTTGCACGTGTTGGTAGATATGATCACCACCTCCCTGACCACCATAGATACAAGTACCTTGATCAGAGGACTCACTGTTGTTGCTGATAGGTACACATTTGAAGTTGCCAAGAGTCTGACGGGTCAGACCAACGCTGTGACACCACATCAACAGCAGCAGAACCAAGCGGTGGCCGAGTCTGCTGATTCGGACTACGAGCCGGATTTTGATGATGCGGAACCATATCAACTACCACCACCCAAAACTCTCACGATATCGGAGAAGAAGCAGCAGATGTCTAAGATTGTGGAGAACTTTATCCGACTTTCTTCGGACCAAAATCACAATCACAATAATGCCGGTGGAGCTGATGATAGCCAGAAAAAAGACTTTGAGAATTGGTTACTGATCAGGTTGATAACGAGGGGACTCAAAGACGAGACCTTGGTGGACGTGGTGCGAAATTGCATCTTTGACCATTTCGTCCAGGACATGAGGAACAGAATAGACATTGTCATCTCGTGGTTGAACGAAGAATGGTACAATGAGCATCTCCAGGACCCAGCTGGGTCGTTTCCAAACTATACTTCATGGACGTCAAAAGTTCTTGACAATTTCTTACCATTCCTGGAGAGCTCGGATCGTAAGATTCTCATCAGATTTGTGTCCGAAGTGCCGTTAATTGACCTGGGAATGGTCATGAAGCTGAAATCTCTATGTTCTGATCCAATCAGATACAAGCTTGGATTCCAAACGTTACAATACCTGATCATGTTCAAGCCTCCTGCTAAAGAGCATTGCATCATACTACTGGAGACGATGTACGAGCAGAGCTCGGATGATGTCAAAGAGCAATGTCTCGGTTACTTGAAGAAGTACAGTCCTGAAAAGTATCATTGAAGAGGATTCAGATCAACCCCTGCTTCTTTAGTTCGTTATAAATCTTTTCACTCATGACGTTTCCATCCTCGTCTTCTAGTTCGTAGTTATCTTCCTTCAACGTTTCGTCAACCTTTTTCTTCTTGCTTATCTTAGCCTTGAGTTCGAGAACATCCTTAATCAAACTGATATCCTTGAAAACGTCAATCTGGGATGACTCAATTCCGAGTAACTGTAAACCTTTCAGATGCGACTTACGCTCCAGGAAATGGGCTTCAAAACTGGCCCTACCTTTGTACTTGACGTTTCCACACACCTCACAGTTGAACTCAGTATCGAGTCCAATCAGCTTGTAGAGCCAGAATGGCAGCGGGTTTCCATCTGGACCTAGCGGAATGTTCAGAGGATTGTAGACCCGATCACCTGAATGCTCTCCGCCGTCGTTGCCCTCAGAGTCTTTGCCTATCACTTCGTATTCGTCATCGCTAGCATTGGTTACGTCCAGCTTCTCCAGCTGCTGCTCTCTGACGGTCAGAAGTTGCCGCCTCTCCACATTCTCCCTTGTATCTTTGAGTTGCTTGGAGAGTAATTGCAGAATGTTGTCAAGCTGATATTCCATATACTGCCTGGGTTCAGCCAACTTGGCAGACTTGATATGTTTCTTTCCACTGATATGACCTTGGAACACTGATTCCTTGGCAAAAGTTTTATCGCACACTTTGCAATACACACTTCCATCCTCGTTATTCACGGCCACACTGGTCACCCTTGTTTTGAAATCCTCTTTGATCTTGTCGAGAGATCTTTCAGGGCGGGACAACGGCTGGATCTTGGTCCAGAACTTGGCCAGGTATTCGTTCAACTCTTTCAGATATTCGTAATACTCCTTTGACTGTCGCACACCAGTGGCTAAACCGCCAAAGCTTGTAATCTTTTTGAGGTAAGTGAGATAATCCAAGGAGTCAACGCCCGGCACGTTGATGAACGCATTATAAAAGCTGGTGAGGTCCAGCAACTTGCCATTTTTCTCCTGTACTGTGAAAATTCCCGTAAGTTTCAAGTTGGATGCAAAGGAGGACAAAATCTTCCTCCTCTTTCCATCATCCACTCCTATTCCGTACATGGCGAAGATATTCGAAGAATCCTGTGGAGCCTCTGGGTACTTTGCGTAGTAGTCTTTGATGTTTGATAGCAGTCCATCAAACTTGTTGAAATTGAGTTCTTTGTCATCAAAAGACTCAAAATCAGAACTGAATGTCTCCAAATTCTTTTTAACAGCGTCACACTGTTTGGAATACTCGTCTAGAAACAGTTTGACCTCATGTTGTTGTAACAACGTTTGTCCTATCGTACGCTTCCCTCCTCCAAGAACACCATGGTCATTCTGCGAGTGGTGAATATCTGGATTATATTGAAGCCTCTCAGCAATCCCTGCCTCTATACTTTCCAGCTCCTCCAACGCGCTTCTGGTTTCCTCCAAAGTTGTTGTCATTGTTGCTTGGTATCTAATCAGCATCAATAGTCTGGAGACTGCTCCAACAGATTGGAGATGGGCCTTGAAATATTTCATTTTTCGGCATTAGCACGACCATTTAGAGCACGCTCGGCAGCAAGAAATATAACGTAATGGGTGAAAAATACTCACTATTAAACATTTAATACACAAGATTAGGCAAAGGGATCATCCTGATCGGCCTCCAAGGCTTCTCCTTCAATTTGGTTGAAAGCCATGAAGTGAATTGGACGGTGCAACTCATCGTAGAAGGGAAGCGGGTTGTCCAGCTTCAGGCTGTATTCCATTTCTTCGTTCCATGCGTTTGGAATGAACGAATAATTCCAGAGATCGGTATCTGGTACCAGGAAAAAGCCCTTGACTCTGTCTGTGAGAAGCACAGTGGCTTGGTTTTTCAGCTGGGAGTTGTATGATGGGATTTCAAGCTCAGAGACAACCTTGGTGTAATTTTCCATACCCCATTTCAAACCATCTTCGGTCAATGTACTGGCCGACAAAGTTATAGAGCCAGGTGTGAAAGCCACATTCAAGCTGATGGAACCTGAGTTCAGAGAATCGTTGTTTTCCACCAGATTTGCTAGAGTCACAGCCTCAGTCGACTCCGATACAGAAGCTGCCGATTCCACGGGCGAAGTGTGAATCCAACCCAAAGGCTCCAATCCCTTCAAATACTTTGAATCGGGAAGCTTATGTGGCAGGGAAACTTTATGGACATCGCCAAGCTGAGGCACAATCACTATACACCTGACTTCCTTGACTTGTTGGTTATCAGCTGGTGAGCGACCATACAAGAAACCTGCAATCTGAGTTCTCGAATCTGCCACTTGCGTAAACTTGGTGAGCAAATTCTTTGGAATTACATGGACCACTGCGTTGTCAACCACATCATTGGAGGATACATATACACGACTTGAGCGTGAGTACAGCGAAGAAGTGGCCATGGCCCTGACCCTCCAGTCGGACTTCGAAGAGAACTTGGATTGTTCTTGGTTAGTAGTAGTGACCGTGACGATCTCCTCACCGTGGACATTTTGAGTCTTGGTTTTGACGGCAGTGAGCTGAGCAGAAGCATCCTGTGGCTGACCTTCAATTTCGGCAAGCTGTTGGCGACGGGCCGAGGGAGCTCTGACATCCTGTCCAAGCATGATATCTCTGATCTCGTTCTCAGTAAGCGATGAGATGTTGACATTGTACTTCTTTGAATAGTCAGTCAAGATTAAGTCTCCCAGTTGAGACTCAACCTCCCTCCATTGGTCCTCGCTGAGAGTTGGCCATATATGGTGTTCCTGTGTAATAATCGAAGAGTCTGGGCGCAGAATAAGCTTGGTCTTTTCCGAATTGACATCCAAGGCTCTCATTAGAACAACCAGCCTGTTGAATGCAGTGTATGGAGAGGATCTCTTCATCCAGTCGTCGTACATGTTGAACAATACCATCTGGGGTTCCTTGGCTGTAGACACAATGTCCAGCAGTTTGTCAATTTTCAAAGCAGCACCAAACGGCAGATGAAGTTCAGAAGGTCTGATTGATATGTTCGGAAAGTCAAGCATGTGAACTTCCAAAGGATCCTTTATACCCTTTCTGGTGATGATGATTTGGCTAGGCTGCTCTTCTCTTGGAAGAGAACGGACCAAAGCCGCAACTTCTTCTGCAGACTTCCACTTGGACAATTGCGTCCTACGCTTCTGACCGGCGAACACAGAACTGTGAATGATCTTCAAGAACAGTTGTCCACTTCTAGGGTTGAGAATGAACAATGCACCGTTCAGCACCTTTACAGCAGTGTTACCCTCGAAAGTGCTGTGCGAGACAACACGATAAACGTTTTTGTCATCCACGAAAAGCTTTGTCTCCTGATTGAAAAGCTCAACATAGTTTGCCGAATTCAAGAATGCCTCTTGAGGCTGGGCCTGATAGAGCTGCAGTCCTTTGCGGATACGTTCTCTCAACACATACAGAGCAGGGTTGGCTTTCATGATTGTCTTCATGGCATTCTGCATCAGAGGCTTCAGACCAGGAAACCAGTTACCATAAGCATCATACATATTGTACGCCAGATCAATTGCAACCATAACACCTGTTGGAGAAGGATACGTGCTGGTACTATCCGTCGTATAATCCAAGTACTTTGCACGAACGTAACGAGAGATGTCGTGAGAGTCATAATCACCGTAGCGCAATTGAACGTCCAACCAGAAAGAGTCTGTCGAAGCCGCGTCCATTCTATCGTTCGAATCATGGAGAAGCGAGGGACGAGACACGCTCCATTTGTAGGAACTGCCTAGCGTGATATCAGCCGAGGAAGAGTTCATCTTGTACGACTTTCTCGGATGAATCTGAACCTTCTCAACACTGTCGATTTGCAGCTCATCAAGCTGAGAGTCAAACACCTGACACAGATCAACGACAACACTCTCGTGGATTTTCTGCCACAAATGGGCTCTAAAGATCTGGATTAGTGAGATCTTCAAAGTTGGAATCTTACCGTGCAGGAAGATACCTGTAAGATCAAGTTGAACCAGGAAACCAACGTATACGTTAGCACGGTTGATAGTAGGCGACCACCACAGGGTAAAACGACGATTGGGAATCTGACTCAGACCAGATCTCTGGGCATTTGTTAGTTTCTTCATCTTCAAAGAGTCTTCGAAGCCAGCAGCCTTCTCCCAGAACAGACCTTCCCAGGACTCGAATCCCGTGCCCTTGAAAAGGGTGTGCTCCAAGATGGTTTCAATACCACCAAGAGCCTGTATCACGTCTGTACGGTACGCATTGAGGTTCCACAGCTTACCATCGTGACGGTCAGACACCCACCAGAAAGGATTGAATCTGGGCAAGGAGAACTGCTTGAACTCTCTTCTGATTCTGTAACCTTTGTCCAACGCCAATGTCTGGCGATCTTTCTGGAAGAGAGTACTGATTCTGGGCAAACCTCGATCCCAACTTTCTTCGAGGTCTTCAAACGTCAAGCGACGTCTTTGCTCCTCAGCCTCGGCACGTTTATCTGTGAACTCAGCCCAGACCCTCTGGGAGTCCAAGAACTCATTTTCCCAGGTGGTGATGTATCTGAAGATCGTGGGGATCAACTTGTCGTCATCATGGGTCATACCAGAACGGAAATGCGTGATGCCGGTATCGGTCTGCTGCGACCATCTTAAATCAGAGGCAGGTATGAGAATATGGGAAGCACTCAGCATACCAAGACCTCCCAACTCCTTAGGAGTATAGAACACAGCAGGAGGAAACCTTGAAGGCATCTTAGAGTTAAGACCCAGCTTGACTCTCGTCTGTACTCTGGTTTCGGCTTTGACCAGGGCATCCAATAGCGCTTCAGTATTCACTGCAGCTTCACGGTAATAGGTAAAAAGAGATAACAGAGCAGTGTTCCACTTACTAGCAACCTTGGTGAACGTTGTGGAGCCCGAGGACATCAAAATTTGGCGGATTCTGCTATTGAACCTCTGGATTTCTTCTTCAGTGACTTGAAGATATGCCTTGGCAAGCACCTCCTTTGATGCCTCGTCTACCAGATCCCACACTCCCTCTTTCGAAGAAGAATCCTCGTGCATGCGGCACTTTGGCAGTATGCGAACCTCAAAACCACACATCGTGAATAGCAAGTTCGGATTGTCCTTACTGTAAACGGAAGCCAGAGTCTCTTCCCATTCAAGAGTTGCAAGGGAACGAGGGATTCTTCCCTCGATCTCCCAAAAGACAGCTCTTCCCAAGTGGACATCATGACGCATGAGCTTCATCCGCGAGTCTCTGGGCCAGCAACGACGGTTATTGTAGCCCACAATCTGCTCGAAGTTGGGGTCTGGATTCTCAGAAAGATAATCCTGAATAAGCTCTTCCGCCTCATCGTGAGAGAACCTGAAAAATATGTGGATCTTGTCGATGTAACGAGTGTAAAGACGTATAGGACTTCTGACTTGAGTCTCAAGGTCTCTGAATTCCATGAAATCGTTTGGCATCTGAGGGGGACCAGCAAGGTCAGTTGCTCGGTCCAAACCAAGAATCAACAGATCCAGCATTAAGCCATAATACTGTAGAACAAACGAAGAGAACTGCAAACCTCTGATAAGCCCATACTGGTTGATATGGTTCATGTCTTTGTAGGTGATGCTCACGTTGTTCTTTGCAGTGATATAGTCGGCCATATTTGAGTCCATGATCAGTCTCAAGAGACGGTTGAGTAATGTGAAGTCAACCTTCTCTGCTACCTTGTTCAACGAGGTTTGAAGCAAAACATCGCACTGACCTTCACTGGTATCCCACACGTCTTCCAAGTTGCTCATACCTTGACACCATTTGTACACCAGCAGAGGAGGGATTTCCGAATCACCTGGCTTGACCCAGTTGGGAAACAGATGACGTTTATCACTCTCATACCAAAGATACTGGTCCAGATAAGCATCTGTGATCTTCTCCAGGGGATCGATCTCATACACGGGAACGATATGGCTATAATAGTCCATCATTTCCAGACTGACTTCCTTGAAAACACGTTGTGTGAGCAAAAATTTCTTGATTCTCGCCAAACATTCATGTGGATTGTCATAAGCCTGCTCTATCAAGGCCAGCTCTTCACGTTGGCTGGAGTTCAGACGGCCCTTTGCACTGTACGCATCCTTGAGGTTTTCCAGTGCCAAAACGAGTATCTTTGTATCGTGCTTGTAGTTAACTGGTGGAAATGGGATTGGCACAAACCTCCTGCTTTCGAGCCAGTGAACCATCATTGTGAATATGGTCACAGCTTCTCTCGGAGAGATATAGGGCCCGTCCTTTTGAAAGTTTTGCTGACGCTCCTGCTCGTTTTTAATCCAGAGACGTGTAAGTCTTCCCAGATTCTTTCTGGCAACACTTTTGTCCACCGTAACATCACGCTTGAGACGTTCTCTATTGTAATGAGCCACGGAGATCCAACTGTCTGCCTTTGCCTTGACGTATCTTTCAATGATCTTCTCGATTGGCTCAGGCAACCCAGGGACTTTCCATGGAATGTTTGCTTTCCAACACCGCCATGCCTCACTCAAGTGTTGCAATATGGTCTTGGACTTATTCTGTTTGATACCCTCGGGAATCATGTCCAGAATGTCATGCATCACGGAAGCACGCAGCTCCAAATCGTAGTATGAATCCACTCTCTGTTTGGTGACAGTTTTTGCAACTTCTTTGGAATGACGTCCCTCAAATTGACGAGCCAACAAGTTACCGAGCCATCTTTCAAGCAAAGGAATGTTACCACGCATGAAGTTCAACCAAACTCTCCATGACGGTTGCCAGAAACCACAACCGGGACCTTTGCCTATGACCTTGTTGAACTTGTAGTAAATGACATGCTTCAGGTCTTTGCACTGTCTGATCTGGTGCATCACTTTATACTTGTAACGGTAGATTCCGGTCAGTTGTCCTAGATGGTTGAAGATGTAGTGCAGACCATCGGCAAGCTGGTAGGCATCCAGATTACCAAGTCTATATTGCACGTGCGCATCAACAACCAGCTTCACAATCTTCAAGATCTCACGCATCAGATGAAATGCGTGCCCAAATCTGGACTTCTTTCTCTCCTTGGTGGTGAGTGTTTTCGTAGGCTTCAGATTGAAGTTATAGTCCAGATGAAGATAAGTCAAACCCTTTCTATGGATGAGCAAATTCAGCATATTGAACCCCTGCCGACAAACTTGAAGACCAGCCTCAACCCAGTCAATGGTAGTTTCTTGAAAGAACTTTGTGTTCTTCAGCTCTTTGAGAAGGTCCGCTTTGGCTCCCTCAGATGGTGGCTGATCGTGCAGCTCATTGAGCACGTAATTCTTCATGAGCTTTTGGTAGGATACTTTCACCTTCACAGGATATTCTGAAGGAGGATGCTGCAAGTACCAGTGCTTAATCAAAGGGACATCCTGGGCTCTCACTGCCCGGCCACTGCGACGATTGAAAGGGTATGGTGCCCACCAAAGAGCAATAGAGCCATAAGTTTCTTCGTCTTCCAGCTCTTCATCTTCCAGTAATGGAGATACGACTTCAGGGAGAGTGAAGTCATCCAGGTCCTGGCCGGTTTCTTCATCAAACACATCCTCCTCGAAATCTAATTCTCGGGTTTTGGCCTTCGAACCGATTGGGATGATCGGGTGAAACGAGGGATCGAAGTAGAAAGCAGGAAGATCCGGATCATCGCTCTTGATGAACAGGACAGAAGGTGCATGGTACCAGGCCAACTCAACTGACCTAGCAATCGAGTTGTAAAGGTGCGAGAAGGCAACCCTGTACTCCGTCCTTATGGGAACTCTGTAGATGATTCTGTCAATGGCATTGAACTCACTGAAATCCTCGTCTTCAGGATCAATATCTTTGAAAAGAGGCTCAAACTTAGGACCTCCAGGAAGGGCAACATTCAATGCCTTGGCTGTCAGGAAAGATTTCTTATCGAACAGATAGTAGTAGTTTGGGTCCACGATATCCGATACCAAAGGGGTGGACAACCGATACAGATCAGCCATCTGTTTAAGATTGAGCTTCCATTTTCTGTAAGAAGGACCATTGACGAACTCCTTTTCATCTACCAAAGGATGATCATCGTACAACCAGTCCTTAACGGCCTCATCTTCAACTTCGTCAAGATCCATCTGAATAGGTTCTAGTGGCTCAACATCCTCGATATTTTCCGAAAAATCCAAAGGAGGCTCTTCATCATCAAAAGCGGGAAATCTCATTCTCTTAAAATGCTTTCTGTCCCGCTTTTCCTTTCTCATCATGGTCCAGGTGTTGGCCCATTGGGCCACATAGACAGGTTCTATTACTCTGGGCACTTCGTTCACAAACGTAATGGCTCCAGAGTTATGATACAATACTCGAACATCCTTCGTCTGTTCCCACGGCTGAGGCATATTCTCCAAGAGTTTCAAACATGCATGTGGCATATACTTCAACGACCCCAGAACAGCCCTCTTATCAGTCGAGAATCTCTTCGACGAAAGATCTCCCTGATCAGCAACAATCTTCCGTAGATGCTCAGGGGGCATTTCTGACTTCGTGGGATGGACAAAAGTTCCTTTCCTCACAGCCCGTTCCACGTATCTGCTTTTCTGTATCTGTCTCCATTTCCTCTTCTTCTGCTCAAGCAGCTCTTTTCTGCCCTGCTTCGAAGCAGGTCCTTTCAATCCTGGAGGTGGAGGTGCTGGAACAGATCCACGTGACATTCCTGGAGGAGGTGGAGGAATCCGTTTGGCATTATTCTTCATACCGGGTGGAGGCGGTGGAGCAGTTTTGGAGACTCCATTACCACCAACCTTCTCAGCAGGAGGAGGTGGAGGTGGCCTCTTATTACTCGACTCCGGTAACGGAGGAGCCTTCCTCTTTCCCGGAGGAGGTGGAGGAGGTGGAGGTGTGTTTCCGTTCATGATTGGTATTCAATGGATTCAGCTGGATTGTTGATCTGATACCACAAGTGTCAATTGACTTGATATCAACACCTCTAAGCTTTCCAGGTTAAAAAAAGTTCACGAAAAGTGTCTAAAGCGTATTATGGACTCACTGAGAGAATAAAACCAATAACCACACCCCAAAGAATCAATACAATTAAGGAAACAGATGATAACAAGGTATATTGATAACAACAAAAAGATAAATTTTCAACAGACCTTCTATCGCACCTTTGTAGTGCGACAACCAATATGTGATTCTTCGTTTTTACTGTAAAGTGCCTGGCCACCGGACGAGCCATTATCTTGCAAGCAAAAAAATAGCGACAATAGTGTCGAATAAACGGTAGATAATATAGTGAGAGCAAAAAAATAAAATGGTGAACGCGGTGGGGTTCGAACCCACGCCTCTTGCGAGACCCGCACCTGAAGCGAGCGCCTTAGACCACTCGGCCACACGTCCTTATTTTATGTTTTGGATTGTTCCAGGAACATGAAGAGCTGCAGTATTTAGTGTCACACGACATTATAAAATAACCCACTTGTTGGTATCTCTGATATTCATGTGTTATATCACCCATAAATTCTTTTCAGGGTTTAGGTTGGATGAAGATGAATATTGGAGTTTATTTGAATAACGATGAGCTTTGGGAGCGGGGTGTACCAGTCTAGAAAGAGGCAGATGTCAGACACAGCTATCGGAAATCAATGCAACTGTGTTTTTGAATGAGGAGGCTTTGGATAAGCATTCTAAGCGAAACCGATGTGCGACAGAATTGAGTAGCTTGGTACGAGTGTTATGGACAATAACCTTGACTTAAAGTCTCGCGTATATCACTACAAGGGTTTACTATCAGCATATCGCTTGGGGTTTGACAACGCAATATAAAGGCTGGAGCTCACCGTTCATGAAACTTTTTTGTCACAAAAAGTTCTGATCATCTCGTTGGAGTATTAATCTCTCATATGGGCTACCTCGCATATCTTTTGACTCTGTTGGTGCTACCTTGGCGTTGACTTCCATGCATTTCTTCTCAATTCCTCTTCAAAAATACCCCTAAACTACGCAGCTACGAAACCTCCACTGATCAAATGGAATTCTTCAAGGTTATGTATTGTGCAGAGTCAAATTTCGCAGAAATCCAAAGAGTCGCTTCCTGGAGCTTCTCTTTGGACGCAATTTTCATTGATTGACTCGATTTCCCGCCCTCGTTTTCTGGAACCTCAATCTCAGCAGTAAAAAGATGGCAAATCCATATAACTCGTGTTCGCCAAATCAATATCTCTCATACTTGATGGAGTGGTCATCACCATCCACCAGTCCCAAAGTCTTGGGTGTGAGGTACTGCTTCTTCTTGACAAATGGAGCACCAACTTCCTCCTTGTTCTTGCCGGACTCCTCGATCTGCTTCTCCATCAAAAACACCTTGTATCTTTCTATTCTCGTCTTTCTGCATTCAATGTAATCATCCTTGAGTAACTGGCATGGCTCGAACGTGGTGTGCTTAGCGTTAGTCATACACTCCACCACTCTTTGGAATTCACCAAAACACTTGGTTGGACCTCCGTGTCTGTCTACCTGTTGCAATGGAGCCATATTCGGACAATAAATATAATGATTTCGAGGTGTATCAATAGAAGAGCATTGTAAAGTCAAAGGGCCAATGAGAAACGAACGAGTTGAAAGAAATATCTGTCAATGCACGACCGCCGAGCAGAGCTGGGCTGGGGCGAGATTTGAAAAATTATTTATGAGTGAAACCTCATGCTGAGTAACAAGACACGTCAGACACCGTTAATCGTCATCAAAAATGGAGAGAACTTCTAGATGGGAAGGCCCATCTAAAAGGGAGATAGTGGCCGGGTTGAAGCTGTTACCTTCTCAAATTTTGACTGGATTAACTGCCGAACAGCTTCGTGCCTATGCTACGGTGATACGCATAGAGGAGATAAGCGCGAACTTGAGGACAAACAACATTGTTCCTACAGACCGACTCAGATCCCCATCGCCTCCACCAGAGTATGATTCATCGGGCAAGAGAACGAATACGAGAGAATACAGGTACAGAAAGAAGCTTGAAAATGAGCGCCACAAGCTGGTTACCACCGCTATATCCACGCTACCACTATATCAACCTCCTCCGGATTACAAAAAGCCCGCTAAGACCCAGGAGAAACTGTTTATACCCGTGCACGAATACCCACACATCAATTTCATTGGCCAGCTGATCGGTCCTCGTGGAAACACTCTGAGGAAGATGCAAGAGGAGTCCGGGGCCACAATAGCTATTCGTGGAAAAGGCTCAGTGAAAGATGGAAAAGGTCATCCTCAGCAGCAGAACATGGACGACGACTTGCACTGCTTGATCAGCGCTTCCAATGAGGAACAGATGAGACATGCTATCAGACTTTGCAATGAGGTGATCACCAAGGCAGTTTCCACACCTGAAGGTCAGAATAACCATAAAAGAGACCAGCTTCGAGAATTGGCTGTGCTCAACGGAACTTTGCGTCCTGACGATGATTACACGTGCAATTCGTGTGGGGAGAAGGGTCACAGACGCAACGATTGTCCCAAAAGAGAGTCTTACATCCAGAGCATCGTTTGCCGTGTGTGTGGAATGACTGGTCATTTCGCAAGAGACTGTAAGAGGAACAACCCCAACTTCACTCAACTAGGATCGAACAATGCGATACCTGACAGGGAGTTTGACCAGCTGATGAGAGACTTAAATGGCTTTCCGGAACGTAATCCCGTCGAGGAGGAACCCGACCTCAAAAGACGGCTTGAAGAAGCACCTGTTGAGCCCGAGAAGAGACAGAGAGTTCTTCCCACACCTCCACCAGGTTTATTAATGGTTCCTGGACTACCACTGCCGGTTCCTGGTATGACCAGACCACCACTTCCTCCGGGATTGAAACCACCACCTCCGCCCTCAATGTCAAGACCACCTCCTCCCCCGGCCAACGTGGTGAAACCTCTGCCTCCTCCTTCCAACGAGGTAAAAAAACCTCCTCCACCTCCTACAAAATGAGGGTATGTATTCTAGCTGAAAAATTTATTGATTTTCTCAAACGAGAATCCATTAATGTGCCTTTTGCGTAAAATCTAGTGCACCTCACTTCTTGCTTGCAAGCATCCATTTCTTTGCATTCTTCATGAATTCGCTCATAGACTTGTCATCGGGGAAGACATAATCGTTGTATTCCTCTTGAGTGCCATCTATCGTCCGTATTTTCTTCACAACGGATGGAAGTCTCTTTGAGATTGCCTCCAACGTCTCCTCGTTCCCGTAAATTTCTTCAAACTGCTTGAAAGCCTCTAGCAGAGTTATCCTGCTTTCCGTGGCAGAGGTCTTCTTGAAAGTTTTCAAGCCAGCTTCGAATATGGCCCTGGCTTTATCCTTTGCAGCCTCACTGACATCAAACTCAAATCCTTCTTCCTCGCCATTTTGTTGGTAATCTAACAATTGCTCATCCGAAGGAAGACTAAGCTCAAACAGAGCAGCTGATATCCACGTCTGAGGATCAGACTTGTTGTCCTCCAGTAGTTTACCATAAAGATGTCTGGCCTTGTCAAAGTCACTCTCCTCAACCTCGTGATCAATAAAAGCCAACCACACCTTGCGCTTGTCACTTTTGCTATCCAATTCATCGTACGCTAGATCATATATGGCGCCAAGCCGCGTCTCTTCTCCCAGCATTCCCTCGAGATTAGCGAAATTAATCCAAACATCTGCATCAGTGGGGAAGTTTTCCAGAAACTTTTCGTAGATTTTCCTGACCCGATCGAAATCCTTCATTTGCGTCTCAAACTCAATGTAATATTTGTACAACTTCTTCTTGGGGCAAATTCCAAGAGAACGACCGAGAATCTTGCGAGCTTTCGCCAGATTGTTGTTCCGTATCTCAAACTCGGCATAAGATATCCATACTTTGGCAAACGTGAAAGTTCTATGAGGTATCAGCTTGAGAATGCTCTCGTATACTCCTCTAGCATTCTCTTCTGAGTTTTCGGTCAATTCTTCCCAAACGGCATACCTGATTGGCAGGTATATGTATCTTCTCCAGTCGTCTTTCCTATGCGAGTCAGGAGAACTCGCCAAAGCGTCTTTGTAAAAACTCCTGACTTCATCTGTCGTGACCGTGTGATCGCCTTGGAGAAGGTTAAAGAGAGCCCACCAAGCATCGTAGTCTCTCTTATCCTCTTCCAGGCTCTTCAAGTACTTTTGCTTGCGCTTCTGCAAAATGACAAATTCAATTCCTTCTCTATCACCGTATTGTTTCTCAAACTTAGAATAACCATCGTAGACAGTGCTTCTGTCATCGCCGCTCAAAGTCTTCAGAGCCCACTGGAACAGTTCCCTGGCTTTAGTAACGTAACCAGCACTAGATTCCCACTCACACCAGCTGATGATCTGCTCGCCAGATACCCTCCCAATCTCCTTCATACTTGAAAATGAGAGTTTGTACACTGTTCTAATGTTCTCTTCCGAGCCGTAGGTCCGCTCAAACTGAATCCACCGATTCCACGACTCCCACTCTGGATACGCAACCACAAACCTCTCGTAAATTAGCCTGGCCCTGTCGAATTGACGATATCTCGTCTCAAAGTTGACATAGGCACCCCAAGCCTCCTTTCCCGGTTTGTACTTGAGCCATCTCTCAAACAACGCTCTCACACCCAAAACATCCCCAATGCTCTCCTCGACGGAGATGTATTGGTACCACAGTTTGTACACCATAGGGAGAATTGTGACCCCTCTTTCCAGAACATTTCTGGCATGATTAATATTACGCCCACTTATCTCCACCTGAGCGTATCTTATCCACAAGGGCACGTTCGCATGGTCCACTTCAAGAGCTCTCTCGAAGATAGACCTGGCCCTATTGAAGTCGTGTTGTTCAATCTCGAAATTGGCATATCGTTTCCATTGTCCTATATCCAGCCTTTTTACCCTCAAAGCGTTCTCATATTCAGTTCTTTTGCGCCTCTGAAACTCGTGAAGCTCCTCCAGATCGGTTAGCTTATACTCCGGTTTCGACTGTTGGGGCTTGTCTCGCGACTCATATGCTTCTAGTAGAATCTGCTCCGCGGTTATCTGTTTTTGAGCAGGAGCCTTGAATCTGGCAATCAAAGCCTTCTCCTGGTCTTCCTTCTGAGCAAGCTGCTCCATGACTGGGTTTGTAACGGTGGATATTCGATCGAACGTGAATGTAAAGCCAGAAATTGTCTTGTCTTAAGGACTTTTCACTAATCCGATGCCTTGCCGCACGAAGGTGAGAAATTGGTTTTAACACGCATAATATCAAGGCTACTATTCACCTCGAAAGTGTCTCAATTTGAATAAAATTTGTCTCTACAGTTGAAGATATGAAAGTGTGTAAACTTCTCTCTATAGATGTAATATACAGCTTATTCTCTGGGGATAAGGCAATTGCGGGTATCTGTGGTCATGTCAGACACTGGTGGGCTCCAGTAAAGTCAAGGCTAAATGTAATGAAAAAGAACATTGAATGCTCTGTCATCGACGAAATATCGGGATTTGCCCACTGTGTACACTCAAAGGAACGATGGTCAGAATGCAATCACTAATCAAACCCTAGGAAAATAAGATCAGAATGATATGTACAAACTCCTGCTATTCGAGCCGGGAATCTATATGCTTGGTCATTGAATTGTTGGTGTTGGTCATAAAATCCAGCGCACTGCCGGGTTCAAATGTTCATGTCGTCATGGAACACTGGCGCAGCTCAACTGTGTGTGGTGATAGAATATAGAAGTTGAGATCTTGAAATCTAAACATGGAGTGTAGCGTTTCCACCGTGCATGCTCAAACTTGGGTGATCAACGGAAAAAGTGGTCTTCATTGCATCTTTATTGCACTTTTTCCGGCTTTTCCAAATCCTTGTTGTTTTCCACCTTAATAAAGGCCGGCGAGTCGTTGTTCATCGAATGATCAACTGGACATGGCAGCAGCGAGTTACTCAAAACTAGCCCAAAAGCAACCACAAAAGTGGTGGAAAATATCGAGTTGGTAAACTGTTTTCTGGTGGCTGCCCTCACGTACATCTTGTGCTTATATATCTGTACTGGGCGAAAAGTTGCTTAGATCCTCGGAGAACGTTTGGTTTTGAAAAATCAGCCGGTGGTTTCTGAAGGCATCACCAAGCTGCCAGCTACGCCTGACCAATCAGATTGAAGCAAATGACAATGAGTGGTGGAGTGCTGAAAACTGAGCTAAACCTAACGATTTTTTGCCTGAAAAATCACAAATGAATTAGTTATGGCGTTTTTGGACATCCTGTTTGAATTAAATTGGATTTAGAGGAGTGGTACTTGGAAACGCAAAAATGTCACGAAATCCAAGCCCCAACAGGACTGAGATTACAGATACGTCTGATGGGATATCCCTTGTTCCAGCTGATTTTTTCGCGTCGTAAATCAGCGGTTATCAATTTCATATATTTCGTAAATCATAAGTCGATTGGACGAGCGCTCAACCCAGTAAAGCATCTTCTTGAATGCTAAGATAGTCCGAGATGTTGGCTATAAGATCCTGCTTTTTACCAGTATGACCCAACCCTTTGTCCTTGCAATATCTCTTGAGTTGGTCCACCTTGAAAGTCTCCAGCATCTGGGCTCTCCATGCCTCCTTCATGTCTCTGTCCGGCACTTCGATGGCCTCTGGCTTGGGCTTCTTCAGAGTCTTGAGATATCCCGGCAGTTTGGATGTCTGCAAATTGATGTCCATAATCATCCATGACAACCCGTCGATCGAGAAATCATCTTCATCTTCGACTTTGACACTTGCAGCATGAATGCGTTCCTTCACAGCTTTGACTTTTTGCTTGGTCAAGTCAAAGTCGCTGGTCTCGAGAAGATGAGCCTTTTCGAGCGAGATCCCTTCTTTGTAGTATTCGGAAGAGACCGTCTCTTGGAAAATCTGATCGCGAAGAATCTTAAAGTGCCAATTGAGACTGGGGTTGGGGTAGTTCGCGGGGTCATAGCTGGTCTCCAGTTCTTTGACTATCTTCTTCATACTTTCTAGACTCTCGCTCAAGTCCTCGTTTATGAAAGATGGATTCAGTTTTGGGACAGCTCTCACATCGTCCTTGAACGGAAGTTTGAACAGCAGAAGTCCTTCGGGAATCTTTGAGAAGGAAGTTTCTTTATGCGTCGAAGGAAGCAATGCATACAGCGAAAGGTGCGCCGTACCCCGTGGTTTACCCCAGATAATTGCAAATTTCTTCTTGGAAACCAAGGTTTGGTGGAGAGCGTCGTATGTTCTTCTGGAATGCGTATTTCCATTCAAATCTGGAACAATGAAATGAGGTGCACGTAAACATAGGTGAGGCATGAATCTGTCAATGCTCCTGTAACCCAATATCTCCATTGCTGGATCATCTGATTCAGCACCCAGCGCTCTTAGTCTCTCCAGTTGCCCCGGTTGCTCCTTTTTATCAAGAAACGGTATATATTGCGAGCCAAGCTTGAAAGCGGAGACAAGCTGGTTTTCTCTGGTGCCGAATTCGTTTATTATGCGATTAGCTTGCACTTCGTCAATCTTGGCTCCATTCTCCTTGAAATATCCCTGGGAGGACTCAACTGGCTTCAAATGATCATCATCACTCACATACTCAGTGGCAGGTTTGGTATGGTTGGATGAAAATATCGAGTATCCTTTCAATGAAATGACGATGCTGCCGCCATCGAGCTTGAGGACCGTCAATGGGAATTTGAACGCAAACCTCTTCATCATTCTCAGCTGCGACACCTTCGCCTTAATAGATTCAAGGTCTAAAGAGGTGAGGTCAAGCTCGTTTTCGCTGTCATCATTCTCGTACAATTCATCTTCTGAGTCAAAATCTTCCTCTTTCACCTTCTGGCCAGGATGCCTCTGGATCTGAAGAATTTCAGTGTATTCAGTTGTGTCAAACGCTTTGTCTCTTGAGTTGATGAAAAAAGGGTGAAGACTAACCGTGTAGAACGACTGTCCAATCTTATAAGACCGATTGAAGTTTCGAGCCGTTTCTTTCAGTGCAAGTTTGCTCTGAAGATTCTTTGCAAAAGGCTTATCGTAATCCGTGAAGAGAAACGCTTTCTTGTGGATGTATCTCTTTCCAGAATCCCAGGATATCGCATTCAGCATATTGTTCAACTGTTCGGAGGTATTTTTGTTTGAAGGATCTAATATTGGGAATTTTTCGGAGAAAGAGGAGTGGTTGGTCAAATTGTCTTGTAATAAGTCATGTACTCTTTTCATGTTCTCCACATCAAGCCCTCCCAGAGGGAATAGCTCATAAATTCCAGTTTTGAATTTGGTGGTATTCTCACCCTTAACTTCCGAACCTGCACAATTGAACAGATAACACCCAACGCCTGTGTCTGGAAGGGTTATGACCAAGCTGTTCATCAATTCATTCAGCGATTCCAAAATCTCACGGAAAGGGCATCTGCCATCGGTATAGCGTAGCAGAGATGGTGTTAATTGGATACAATACACCAGGCCTTGGTTATCCTCATAATGTCCAATATCATTCCCATCGTTGGCACCACCATGCTGGAAATCAGCCATTTGAATACCAGTGGAGATAAAAAGGAGTGTGTTATGGTAGGAATACCTCACTATCGCGAAATACACCACCACTAACGTGTCGTGGGTGTTACCCGGCCGTCTCATCTCGAAATATTTGATGGACATATCCTCCGAACACAATGATACTTTACTCTCTTGTACAACGGTCCGACACTATACGAAAACAATAAAGCCATGCCCCCAAAATTCTTTAAGATCACGCAGATACGCTCACAAATTGCCAGACCCCAGGTGTACAAGGACACGTTGGCGAAGCTGGGATTGCGCAAGCCCAACCAGGTGGTTTACCATAAAGTCACTCCACAACAGGCCGGTATGCTGGCCAGAGTCAAGGAGCTGGTGAAGGTGGAATTAACGGATGTTAAAGAGACGAAATCGCAGATGAGAGATGCCAGACGGACGAACCCTGGTTTCAGCGTTGAGAAGAAGTGAAGAACACGACAGGGTTGTTAACGAGCGATGTACATAGGATTGCCAGATTTAATGGAAAAAAAACTGCATTTTACAGAGATTCAAGCTTTGATCACTTTATTGGTTTTGCTTGTTAACGGGGTATAATGGTAATAAAAAAGCAAGATAGAAAAGAGAGTGTTCGGGTCAGCTAGAGAGGCTGACCGTAGGGCTGTGAGATTAAGCTCGATCTTCGGATCGGTTCCAAAATTCAAACCTTCAGCGCCATAGACTTGTAATTGTTGTTGATCGCAATTGAGTGCAGGTTCTTGAAGCCGGCTCTGTGGTCGAGCTCTTCAAGCTCTCCGAGCTTAGCAAAGTTCAGATCATCAGCACTGATACTGACGTCCTGCTCCTTTCCATTGTTGGAGCCAAAAGTCATGCTCTCAGTGTCACTAGAAACCAAAGAATCGTCAACCATACGAAGAATGTCCTTCACATTGACAGTGCGCGAGTTGTCCAGTTTCTCAATTACTGCAGTCTGGTAGCGTCTCTTCTTAGCAGACAATAGCATGGATGAGAAAGGGGATTGCGGGAGAACAACATTGGTGAACTCCAGATAATCCAAAGTTCTCTTTGACCCAGCTGGAGTGTTCTGGATTGCAATTTCAACAGAGCCAGTGGTCTGGATAGAACCGTCTTCTTGGAGAGTCACCTTTCTGGACCCCAGCTGGTACTGCTTGCTTCTGGAATTAGAGACCAGCTTCAAAAGTGGGTCACTAACTTCACCAGCTGAGTAGACCGACGATCTTGAGAATCCCGCCAAAGGAGTCGCAATTCTGAAAGGAGTGACTGCGGCGAATTGAGGAATGGCTGGAAAGTTTTCCATCGAGGACCTGCTCTTGATATCATCGTTCCAGACTCTGGGTGCTTGGAGTTCAGCAAAGTAAGAGGATCTGATATTTGAGTACACCTTGGGAGCCTCCATTTCTTGGAGCGTTCCAAATCTGGTGGTAGATACAGCTTCAGCGGGTTCCATTCTCTTCTTTGGGACTCTTTTGAAGACCTTGTTTCTTGGTGCAGAGATCTTAGTTGGGCTCGATTTATAGGACATTTTGCTTAAGCAGTGATAGTAAAAATATTGTGACACCTGGCCTAACGCTCCAACTATTAGATCACACTCAAATGGGCAGAAAGGTGGTAGTTAAGGAGGTCCTTGATGCATTTAATTAACGTCCCAAAACGGCCAAACAATAACACTGGACATCGGCCTTCTTGGGCACTAAGCATTTGCTATATTCGTGGCAATTTTTAGACTCGAATATATACATATTGGCTCAGAATAGCTACAAATATTTGAAATCTATTATTTTTATGTGGAGTTCGGCAACATGATGGTCTGATTTGATTTGTAGAGTCAGAATTCATTGCCCATATCGGTCTTTCTGCATGTGAGCATCAGCCACGCATCGACACCAGCCCCAAACGCGTCAGCCATTTTTCAACGCATGCGTAAGATGCTACAACCACACCTGAATTTAAGCCAGTAAATTTGGTCACTACAATGGAGGCCGATGAAATACGAATTGCTAGTGTTTCTGATGAGCTCTTAGAGAAATTGGATGTTGACCTGAGCAGTTATTTTGACATTGTCGGAGAATCCGATTCACAGGTCAGAGATCAGAACTCCAAGGTGCTTTCGATATGTTCTACCATAGAGCTATTCTCGCCGTCGCCGCAGCTGCTAGACAGCAAACTGCGGCATTTCATTGAGATTCTGCTGTATGAGTTCAGCACTGAGTCGTTCCAAAATTCTCCAAACAGAGTTAGAACAAGCGGGCTCAGCACTGTTCTCTACACCTTCACCAAGGTGCGTGGTTACAAAGCAGTGTCTTTGTGTCTCGATTCTGACATATACCAGGTAGAGCGGGTCATCACATTGATAGAGTCTTCATTAGATGATTTAGATGGTGGCTCGTGGAAAGAGAGGTATTTTCTGCTCTTGTGGCTGTCTATACTGATCCTGAGTCCCTTTCCACTGGAATCAATCAGTACCAGTCAAGACATTGCACCCAGAGTATGGAAAATTTGCCGCCACTTTCTAGGCGCTTCAGGAAAAGAAGCCGATGTTGCCCCTTTGTTAACAGCAAGGATGATATCGAGAGTTGACTGTAGCGTTTATCTATCTGAGTTCTACGAAGAACTGGAGAGACTGGCCGATAAGATGTTGGCCTCGGAGCAAGTCGGTTACTTGTCTACGCTCAATTCGCTTCTCAAAATTGCGAGAACCGATCAAATACGAGAGTATACCGACTTACATCTTCGAAGTGTCATAAGCTTGTCAAAGCGTAAAGATCTGTTGACTACCACACTGAAGCTCTGCATCAAAAACCTTGGCAAGCTAGGCAAGCTATTTGCACTTCTAGAAGAGATGGAGCAAGTTGAAGATGCACTTGACACTTTATTGCAACATGTGGGACACAAGCAAACCATCATAAGGTCATGTGTATCAAGACAGATTGCAAAAATTTCAATTTATTTGCCTTTGGAGTTCAAAACCGAGGTATTCTCAATGTTGGTATCCGAGCTCGAGATACCACAGGAGAACATTGAGATGGAGAGCATAGCTCTGGACTTGCCAGTTGATCAGGAACTGCTAAATGTGGAAACGTATCATGGAATTCTCTTAACAATTGCCGAGTTTGCCAGATTCCAAATTTTGCAGAGTGAATGGCTTCCATTCACTGCCTCTCTCTTGCACAAAACGCTCTTTGTCGAGCAGCACCAACTCTCACATACCACTGGATCGAGCGTTCGGGATTCTTCGTGCTTCATTGCCTGGTCGATAAGTAAAAAGAGTCACATTATTCCAACTGCTGCCTCTGTGCAGATGTTCAAAGACTTAGTGCTGACCGCCTGCTACGACCAAGACTTAATGATCAGAAGAGCTGCAGCTGCTGCTTTACAAGAGCTCGTGGGAAGACATGGGGATGAAATTCTTTCCAATTTGCTTCCAAAGTCTAAACATAATGAGTTTAAGGTGAAATTGATTGAGATGTTGGACTTCACCGCATTGGGCTTAGTTTCACGGTCATTTGCGATTTCTGTCAGCATCGTCAAGACTCTGGACGGTCTCATGCTCCACGACTTTTGGGACTTTCTATCGCTCAAAGGAATATACGCAAATGAACACGAGTTCAGACGTTTATCCGCTGCTACATTGCCTTTACTTGCTACTACTTCTGATGAGGATCTATGTCAAAATTTGCTAACATCGTTGGTGGCTCGGGTGCGATCAAACCCTGAGCGTGGACAATACTATACCATAGCAGAACTATCGTCTTCAGCCCAATTGGCAGAGCGTGATGTCCAAATACTGTTTGATGTTTTGATCACTGAGACATTTGATTTCCACAAAGATCCATTCTACAAAGGAGAAGAGATTTTATACCTGCTCTCTGTCTTAATGAGAGCTCGCTCATGCGATCTTGATGCTCGATTGTATGATCTAATTTTCGAGATTATTCGCTTACCACACGAGGCAATCGTTGAGAAGTTTCTAATGCTAGCCTCTACTCTTTCTAGCATTCCAAAGAGGTACCAAGAGAAGTGGATCTATTACATCAGACACAACAATGTTCCTGCCGCAAGGGCCATTGGGAGTTCACCGGTGATAGCTCAGAGGTTCGACGATATACTGGACATGATATCTGACGAAACGCTTGACACAACCATGAGGGCCAATTTACTGAAGTCAGTATCTTGTTTTCTAAAAAACGATAATGTTGTTAAAGATGACCAATTATGCAGACTGACTGAGAGTCTTGATGATTATACAACCACCAAACAGGGTGATGTGGGCCACGTTATACGGCTAACAATGCTCCAAGTTATCTCTGATAATCTGCCACTATTCAAGAACAACGACTCCCTTTGTCGGATTGTGGAGCTTAAGACATTGAGACTTGCATGCGAAGTGATTGACAAAGTGAAATACAATGCTCTAAGCGTTCTCCTTCGACTCAAATCTTGGGATGTCAAATATGCTTCTTTTGATTCTTCACCAATAGACTCAGCTTTTGTGGACAACGAAAAATATTTTATGTTCCTGTTTGGTGTCTTCCATCAGGAGTATCTTCACAATGACGAAGAGTCTATTATGAAGTTCATGCAAGGTTATAGTTTTTCTGCAGGTGCCATGCACGCCAGTGATCTTACAGTGAACACCTCTTTCAGACCGTTTTTGCATTATATGGAGAAGGTTTTTTCTGATGAAGAACGCAAACTAGTGCTTGATTGCCTCTTAAAAATATTAAAACCGGAATCCAAAAAAGAAAAGTTTGGAAGATATGCCAAATTGCAAACTTCATGTCTTCAGCTATGGGTTAGGATCCTAGACTTCAATGTCAGCATACCCATTGAGTTCAACTTACGGGGACTTTTCATTCGTTCTTACAATTTGCATATCAAAACTTCGCAATTTCAAAGGATTTCTATCGCGATAGAGATATTTGCTCATCTCTACCTAATTGACAAGGAGGCCTTCGCAGACTGTCAGAAGAGACTGGTATGGATATCAGGAAACCACCCCTTAACGAAGGCCAGACTATCTGCTCAAAAAGCCCTGTTGGAAATTGAAAATAGCTGAATAAATTACAACTAATATATACAAATATGAGGGTGTTTACAGGAATTTTCAATGTTTCGAATCTTTTGAAAAATTTCAGTATGTACAAATTTCACTAAACTCTCTATTTATCTTCAATCAGCTTGCTGGTTCCAAGTACCCCGTCACCCCACGCGTCCTTCAAAGAAAAGTCCTGGGTTCCTCTCTTCAAAGGCTTTGGTTGATTAGGACTTGGCTTCCAACCAATCATGAACACCAGCCTAAAAGTAGCAGGAAGCGAGCCATCCTTTTCGTCACCATGCATAGCACGGTAGATGGGCTCGGCAGCAAGTAACATATCTCTATCCAGCATGGTTGGCATTTGCAAAATCGAGTTAGATTCTCCCATAAGTTGTAAATCCCTCATCATAGACCACATATCTGGATATGCTACAACTATTTCCTCGACATCGACGGTGAGCAGGTTGAATTTTGCACGTTGCATCAGATTTCCAACATCAGATGAACCGACAAATGGAGAAACCCTCGGAGAAATACCACCTTTGCGCTCGAGCTCAGCCAATTGCAGCGCAGTACGGAGCTCAAACAGCGTATCTCCTCCGAACATAGTTCCCATGAACATCCCATCTGGTTTCAGCGATTTGTGTATCGATTGCAGGATTCTGGGCAGATCGTTGATCCAGTGAAGACTGAGATTGGAGATGATGCCTTCAAACTTGTTTTCCTCGGCAATCGCAGGATCGTTGAATAATTCCTCATCCACAACCTTCCTCGAAAGCGCGAAATCCTTTGAACCTTGTAGTAACTCCTCATCTGAATATCTGAAGAGCATCTCCTTGCAACTGTCAACCATCAACAATGACTGCAGTCTCTCTTTAACCACTCGTTTGTCATCCTTCAATTGCTCACTATCCCTGACATCATCATGGCACAAAGTCTTCACGAAATTACCAGAGTTCGAACCGAAGTCCATGAAGTTCACAAATTTTTTATCGATGAAGCTGAGTCTTTCTATGGATCTCCTTGCTATCTCATCTCTGAGGTACTCCACCTTAGAGCTCTCTGGATCACTAGCTGCCCTAGCACGTTGCTTCAATTTGATAGATCTATCAAATACCTGAAATTGTGAGCATGGCGGTATTCTAGTATGAAACCCTCTTGTAATGGACTTTGAACACGCCATTTTGTTGCTATTTTCGAGACTGAAAGAAAGCTGGTGAAAGTCGAAATTCGAGATGGGCTTGAAATTTTCCACTCGAGATGAGCTCTTTTTCTTTGCTTATCCACCATTCACGATAAAGGCCATGACTTTCAGAGGCCCGCCTATACCGAGACGATTTCCGGTTTATCTTCCGGTTTATCGGGCTGGAGGTGTTTATGGGATTTCATTGAGGGCCGAATATTTAAACTCCAATGGGTTTGGGACTCAGACCCCAAACCAACCGCATTTGAGGAGATATGCGTCAGATGCGTTGAGTGAGATGAAAAATTCACAGTACAGTTTCCGCAAAGCCAATGAAATGCTCGAGAATGGAGAAGTGCCGTCGGTTGAGGTTTATGAAGAATTGGTTGGTTCATGTTACGATACTGGAGCCAAGGCGAGCATGGCTAGGGTAGCCTTGCAACTAACGGTGGAGATGATGAAGAGATACCCCGATTACAAACTCAAGCCCTCATTTTTACAAGGACTTAGCTCATTGGTATCTAGATCATCTTCTTTTGTGGACCAGATGATTTTTTTTAACCTGCTGAAGCAAACTGGTACCAAACAGCTGTGGGCCTATGCTGGGGTCGAGGTTTCCCGGCTTCTGAACGCCAGAGAGTACGAACATGCGGTACGGGTATTTAAATCTGCTTTTGAACTCTGTTTCAAAGGGGGAAACAGCTCGAATCAGAATCCCGAGTTAATTTTGCGCGAACTTCGGTTTTTCCCGGTTCTGTGGAATGCTGCACTTCGGGGAGACATGGAGAATCTGGAGTACTTTTTGGAGATAGTCCAGGTTTACAGACCAGAGGTGTCAGAGAAACTCTTTGGAACCATATTGAGCGCCATGTGGGAAAATTTTGATGAAGCCGAGGGAGTCGCCAAGAAAGTGTTTTTGCTATGTGAGGACCGCACCATCCCCATACAATTGTCACAGAGTTCCCTGCTCCATATTGGGGGAATTATCTCTAAAAACTTTGATGTTGAGCTGACACAGCAGGTGGTGAGGAAATTGATGAGATTACGCGAAACTACAAAACTGGACACCGATCTCGCTTCGCTGACGCTTGATTCATACTGCAATCATTCTGTGGCAGATCATCTTACGATATGGAAGGTTCTTGAGCAGTTCATGAAAACAGGCGTTGATTTAAATAATGATCACACATATGAGATGGCAAGATCATACGGTTTACTAAACAAGAAAAGTCGTATTTCTACGCTTGCGAAAGATCTTGAAAAGATTGACGATACCAGAGCCCAAAGCTTGATACTGCACAGTGTGGTCACGGCTGTTGCCAATACCACCAATTTCACAGGTGTGGTTTGGTTACTGTCAGAACTCGATCCAAACCTTTTGAAGCTCATAGATCGAGAGACTTGGGACTTAATTGTTCGTGCTGCTGAGAAATCTAATTCTGCAAAACTTTGCGCCATGACATTACACAGCTATTACAAGAGAAGAGGTTTCCAGATATCGCCCAAGAACTATGCGTCTTTCATCGCCTCGCAAACCCTGGGTACCGATTACACAAAGGTATCTGCTCTTATCCATGAGTATGTTCATACATATGGGAAGGTTCCCACGAAAGTTGTGGACTTGATTAGACGTTCAAGTGACGAGAAGACATCATCAGTTCTTGAAGGCCTAGGAGAAGTGACATTGGAGAACCTTCATGACCTAGATGCCATTCTTGAAAGCCGGTCAGCACTGCAGGAGGCCCATAGGATATATCACCAGGAATACGACGAAAGGGATAACGAGAGATTGAAACTGCTGTTGACTATATAATGACTATATGATTACAGGAGCAGAAACCTGTAGCCTTTGATTTTGGGTGCGGCTATTATTTGAGCAACACACTAAGGTAACCCGGCCATCGTCCATAGCGTTGAAAAATTCACATTGAAAACGACGATTCAATCAACAGGTAAATCTTCACGCGTAACACACTCGAGAAAATGTTGTCGAGACAGTCACTAGGTTCTCGTGGCAATGCTGCCGTCAATTTGATACAGCAGAGCCGTGGTAGAAAATCCATGGCCTACCCACAGTATGGCTACAAAGCGAGGATAGAGAACCCAGGAGGTTCAACATCCCAGTTCCGCCTGCTGCTGAAGGAATTTCTAGGCCCCAAGAACTTCAGAGGTGATTACCACTTCAACAAATACTACTATGCTAAGCAAGACCACACAACAAACTACCTTTCGGCGCCATCGGAAGACGGCTCGTTGACCCGTCCCATCTACGGACATGTCAGAGATGATGCCGTCACACAAAACAGGCCCAATGCCAACCGCAATCTCCAGTTGACTCCCTTCAGGCTTAACGCAGACTGTAAAACCAATACGATGGTTTCGGAGGAGATGAAGACCGAGATTGTGAATCAGATAGACAAGGGTGTTTCGGAGAGAGACATTGCAATCAAATACGGATTGAAGCTTCCTCGCATCGAAGCCATCTACAAGTTGAGAGCAATCGAAAAAGAATGGGAAGAAAAGGTATGTTACTAACTTTTAAAATTGATAATTTTCACAGTGATTTAGGTTGTCTGGTTCTATTGGTTCAATATGGTGATGAGAACTAGCTATAAAAATGTTCGATTAGTCTTGAAGACAACTACATGGTTAAATACGCTCTTCTGATTTATTGAAAACGGACAACCTGACACAACGAAACAATTCTACAAGCTGTTTACTAACAACGTCCAGAACCTCATTACCAAAGACATCAAGACCATGAGCACCACAATGTACAAAATGTTCCCATTGCACGACCCAGTGGGTCTCAAGGAGAACCTTTCGGAAATTCCAGTTCCTGTCAAGACGCTGAAGGCCAGGTTTTTGACCATCGCAGAGAGTGAGCCATTCGGACCTATAGAAGCTGCCGAGTCTCTGGAGCTGGAGCCAGCAACTGAGACGCTTGCCAAACTAATGGAGCACAGAGAAGAGAAGAAGACTAAGAAGCAGAAGGCTTTCATGGCCCCTGTGCTTGACGGAGAGAGAGTGGCATTTAGATTCACTGAGGCCAAGGTTGGCGACGTTGGGTTCAGATATGGTGCTCCATTGAGAGACACGAAGAAGGACAGAAAGATAGAGTACGATGCTAACGGAAAGATGGTCTACGGTATTTGATCCGGATCGCGTTGCCTCAACTTACATATAAAATAATCAGACCACTTGGGGGGTATCGTGTAAATAGAAATTGAATGTGAAAAATATCAAAGTGAAATAACCCCATGCACGTTCGACTTGCCGAGGATTCCTCGGGAGTCGTGCAAATGACCAATACTCCTCCCCCGCATTTTTCACATGTCTCTCGGCTTGTGATGACTTCTTTATAAGCTGGCAGTTTGCTCGTGTCTCGCTGTTTTTTATCTCGACAACTAACAAGACCAATGACTTTATTACGCGAGAATCAAAAGGGCCCAAGACCGGCCACCTCTATCTGGGCAGAGAGAGATGCCACAGACTTCGACATCAACAAGATGCACGTATTCCTCGAGGGTTCTGAGGAGGGTGCGGCTCAAATACTGAAGGAGATGCAAGAGGTTGAGCGCGATCCCATTTTGAAGACGGACGAAACCTACTACGACATGACTAAAGCTGAGCATCGTGAGGTGACTGCCAGGAAAATCGGCCAGTTGGCTAAGTACATCGAACAAGATGGAAATTTGGAGTCTTTTGAGAGAAAGATGAACTTGATGAGTATTGTGGATCCTCAGCTCACGACTAGAGTTGGTATTCACCTCAAGTTGTTTTTGGCATGTATTAATGGAACTGGAACTGATGCTCAGTTCAACTATTGGGCCCACGAAAGAGGTGCTCTGTTCATCAGAGATGTCTATGGATGTTTCGGTATGACCGAGATGGCCCATGGATCCAATGTCGCAGCCCTTGAGACCACTGCAACTTATCGTAAGGAGACAAAGGACATAGTCATCAACACACCTCACGTGGGAGCTACCAAATGGTGGATTGGTGGAGCTGCTCATTCCGCAAACCACTGTTCTGTGTACGCTCGTCTGATAGTCGATGGTAAGGACTACGGCGTCAAGACGTTCGTTGTTCCTCTGAGAGACCGCGAGCACGAGCTCTTACCTGGTGTTGCTATTGGTGATATCGGAGCAAAAATGGGTCGTGATGGTATTGACAATGGCTGGATCCAGTTCACCAATGTTGTCATTCCAAAGGAGTATATGCTTTCTAAGTACACCTATATTGATGAGGACGATACTGTGGTTGATCCTCCTCTTGCCCAGCTTTCTTACGGTGCGTTGCTCGGTGGAAGAGTCAGTATGGTTACAGATTCCTTCAGAACTTCCGAGAGATTCATCACAATTGCTTTGAGATATGCTGTTGGCAGAAGGCAGTTTGCGAGCAAGGGTAAAGCCGAGGAAAACCAAATCATCAACTACCCACTACACCAAAAGCGACTCTTTCCTCTGTTGGCAACAACCTATGCAATGTCTATTGGTTCCTACAAGATTGAAACCGAGTTTGCTCAAACTCTCAAGCAGTTGGACGGTGCTGTGAGAGCCCAGGATTTGAAGGAGATGTCTGATGCCATCAACAGACTGAAGAATGTATTCTGTTTTTCGGCCTGCTTGAAGTCAACTTGCACCTGGTTTACTGCCCAATTGATTGACGAGTGTAGACAGGCTTGTGGTGGCCATGGCTATTCCTCTTACTCCGGATTTGGAAAAGCGTACAACGACTGGGTCGTCCAATGCACTTGGGAGGGTGATAACAACATTCTTGCAACCAACGCAGGAAGAATCATCATTCAAACTCTTCAGAAGTTCCAGGCCAAGGGAAAGAAACCAAGTGGTGACTTGTCTTTTCTGGGGAAGGCAGATCATGTCAAGGGCAATAAGCCACTTACTCTTGACTTCAAAAAGCCATCCTCTCTTGTTGATGTGTTCGAAGCCGTTGTCATCCGTCTTTCTGTAGGATCAATTGAGAAGTTGGCACAGAATGGCAATGATTGGGACCTTATTGCACCAGAAAGAGTGTTGATCTCCAAATTGAATGCTGCCCTATTCATGCTGACCCACTGGCTGATCAAACTCGAGGCCACACCTGAAGATGGAAACATCAAAAAACACCTGTACACCCTTTTTGCTATTTACGGATTATCCCAGATTGATCTTTTCGCTGGTGCGTTTTTAGCTGAGGGTGTTATTGACCAGGCGAGCCTCAAGGCAGTCCAGGCTCATTTGATGGATCTGTTCAAAGAAATCAGACCTCACATCATCGGACTTACGGACGCGTTCAAGTTCAGCGATTTCTTCATCAACTCCGGTTTAGGATTCTACAATGGAGACGTATATACCAATTACTTTGGAATCGTGAAGAAACAGAACGACAATTCTAAGTCCAAGGCGCCTTACTCTAAGGAGTTCGAAGCCGTATTGAGGAGAGACACACTGGAAGTGAGACAGAACTTTGGTAAGAGTGCAAAAACCTTGAAGAAGCTGAGCGAATAACTCGCCGATAAATAAACATATAACACATTAACACACCATGTCAGATTTTCTTGATCATAAAGTAGGGAACTTAAACGTTTAAATGAACGCAAGTACATGCTAGACGCACTCCACTATGATGCGGCGTCAAATGATCCACACACTACGGTTTTCAATGTAAACAAACCGTGCCTGCTCTCAAAGCTCTCTCCAAGACTGTATTTCCTGAACAAATTGCATTCTTTCCAAGTTTTTTTCTATTCACTAGCATATTAGCATAGTCATATTACGAGATGCTGCATGGCTCGGCGGAGTTAAATTTGACGCCTGCTGAGGCTGACCGAGAGTCGTTTCGAGCTGAGCTCTCATTATTTCTTGAGTCGCGCAAAACTGACAGGCCGAAATCGCCTGCAAAAAAGATACTAGCCGATGTTGAATTGAACAAAATGGCAGGAGTTAAACAGAATAGCAAGCTGATGCCTTTAGAGGACCATTTCAAGAATAGGCTAGAACGGTTTCTGATGACTGTTCCTCCATGCTCTGAGCAGACCAGCAACGATGACATACACCTGGCGATCCAAGGGTTCAAGGGCCTACGAGCATTGTCCAATGACAGAAGAGCAAAAAGTTACTTTTGGAATAAGGAACTCGAGTTTATACGATCTGGTATGCAATTCAAGTCGAAGTTGGCCGATGTCATTGACGACTTCACCACCTTGACATTGGCCACCACGAACGAGAGGCTTTCTGAAATACTTGCCACAGACAGTCCCTTACAGTGGAAAGCTCATGATTATGTGACCAGTATTCCGGTTGCAATCGGAAAGGCTAAAATCAGCTACGAATTTGCAGACTTACATCTACTGATCTGTGAGCTCATGATCAACAGGCTTGAACTTGGTGCAACTGTTGATATACCACTCACCCACTTCATCAAAATGATGTCGAGGACATCAAATTTCTTTGGATGGATAACGAGCCTTCCAGAGGAGAAATTACAGTTGATATCAAGAAGAGCCAGTAAGGGGTTCATGAGACTGGCCAATTGCACAAAGACTGTTCTGAAGCTTGGGTTCTTCATCAAAGCCTTGGAATTTGGACAGAAGACTGTCATGTTTGAGAAGGAGGTCTTGAAACTCAAACTTATGTATGATACAATGGTGCTGAAGAACAAAGCTCAAGTTTACCAGTATACATCACTACCGTTCTGGGATCTATGCGAAAGTCTGAGCCAGCAAGGCTGCGAGTTTTCGACAGAGATGATAATGCTTGTTCAAAACTACGACAAGATTAAGACAAACAGCTTGAATTGGCGAAAGTTTTTGAACAGAGCTGAGAGTTCGGCTTCTGAAGTTCCAATAGAGGGTGTTCTCCAAGAACTCCAAATTCAAACGGATACATCAGTTCAGGCCTTACGCGAAAAAATATTCGAGTCAGGAGAAGAGTTTATCCAGAGCAAATCTTCCTTCTCTTCAATTTCGCACAGTTTGAATCAACTCTTGAAAGACCCCGACTCTTCTAGAGCTGAGCTGTTAGGTCTTATCGATTCTATCCTGGAGTTCATATTGAGGTCGGGACAGGTAACCAGATACCACTACCCATTTTTGGATAACATTACTCTCTTACTGAAATCATTTGAAAATGATTTGGAGAACGAAGCAGGCTTCGTGAGCAATGTCTCAAAACTTATAGATATTCTGAAAGGTCAGGGCCAGTTGAAAAGAATGCGAAACTTTTCAAATCTGTTGTTTCAAAGCGGTACGAAACTACTTCCAGTTGATGTTTCGCGTGCAATAGCACACTGGAATAAATGCGTTGAAGCAGAAGTCCTAAACTTTGAAGGTAATTCTGCTGAAATTGAAATGCTCAAGGCAAAAACTGAGAGGATTTCCAATGCATTGATCGAAGCTGGAAATCCTCATGATGGTTCTTCATTTCTCGTAACACTTTTGCAAGTGTACCAAGATCGAACGGGTGAGATGCCTTTTTTCGAATTGCTGCCGCAATTCAGAGATGAAATGGCAATTCCTACCAAGCTGCTGTCTAAGGCAATCTTGCAGCAAAGTGATACTTTGTCTGTGATTTTCACACCAGAGATTCTAAGCGACACAACGAAGGCTGTTTTGGCCGTGGAAATATTAGAGACCCTAGGTGGATATGCCATTAAGAACAGAATATCTCTGTTTCTTGGTCTTGCACATGTGCTAACCACTGAAATCAAAGATAAAGGCCTTTTATTGATATGTCTTCTCAAAGTTCACGATGTCATTCCTACCGAGACTCTGTTATTTGAACAACTTTGTGATTTTGACTTTGAATCATCTGTCGGTAGTTATGAGGCGGTGATTTTGTCAAAGGCATACCTGAAAATGTGCGTTGTATCTTCGTCTTTCCACAAAACCAAGTTACTTCAGGGTATTGAGAGGTTTCTGGAAGCAGCAGCCCTTCCACCATCCCATTGCACGCTGTTTTACGAGCTGGAAGTCTTGAACGAGCTTTTCAACTATCTTGTCTACACCGGGCTTCATGCTTATGCTTCTTACATGGTGAGCCAATATCTGGACAATCGAAAGTCATGTCTCACCGAGGAAAAATTGATCGACATTAGTTTAAAACTCTCGGAGGTTAAGCTCTACTTGAAGTTCCCACTCCAAGTGTCCAATTCCTTGACCTCTACAGGTGTCATAATGAAAGGTTCAAAAGAGAAGGTTGAGATTATGCCATTGGTGAATTGGAAACTGCAGCAACTGGAGTACCTTATAGAGACTGGAAATTTGTCTCATGCAAAACAGAAATGTCAACTATTGCTGGACTGGTTCAGTGAGACTGATGAACTTCATTATGAAAAAGCACGGAATAAGTACAGAAGTGTGGAGACATTATTCGAATATGCTCGACTGCAATACTTGGTGTCAAGACTGCAATCTGAGGAAAACAGGCATGTTCAGGCAGTTAGTGGGTTGAAACGGTCAATCAAAATCCTCCAGAATATCTTGCAAAAGTTTATTCCTTCGCTCATTGCCGTTGATGCCTACCGGTCAAATCAGTTGCGTTGGAGGGCTTCCAGCTACTTGATCAACTCTTTCAAAGTGTTGATTAGCGTCCTTATACATATCGGTTCTGCCAAGGAGTGTGATTTCTATGTGAATGAACTGATGGCACTGGTATCTTTGCAAGATTTCAATCTCGTAAAAGCGGAGTTGGGATATTTCATAGCCAACTACAAGTTGCTTTCAGGAAAAATAAAAGACGCCAACGATTTGATTGCTGCGGCTGATGAAGACTTCAACTCTTCCGTGTTCACGAACAAATTCGTCGAGCTGCAAAAACTTGAGACGCATGCCTTATTGTCACAATTGACGCAAAACCAAGATCTAACGGAGTCTTATTACAGTGCCATCGACGACCTTTTTGAGTTCTTGAAATCTGACAACTCTGACGAGCATGGTCTGCGTGATCAAATTTCGGATGAGTTCGTTCACTCTGCAGAAGAGCATACTTTGATTGAAAGAGCTAGACTCTCGATTGAATTCCAGAGGTCAATGTCAGCCCTGAACGGTGCGCTTGCCAGAACCTCTTCTGAAAACAGCTGCAAACAGAGCTTCCAGTACGATGCTCTTCGCTCTGCGTCTTTGAAGGGTAAGATGATGCTCAGCAAGGGCAAGCGGTTCATTGTGGAGAAGCCGGAGTTTTCAGGATTGGAAGACTCTGCCATCGTATTGAACTCTGTGTGCTCGAGTGAAAATGAAACCAAGTCCTTGAAGTCAGCTCTTGGGGGACTATTTGATTCCAAAGACTTGCTGTTTCGCTGCATGCAGAACGGCAAATATTTCAAAGGATACGAGTATGAGGAAGTACTGAAAACATACCTATGTGCAATCAGCTACTCAGGTGCATTCACTGGTACCAGCCTGAAAGTTCCAGAGTTGATGTTCACTGCTGATTCACAAAAGTACACTTTCTTTCAGAACGACAAGCAATTGCAAGATATGGAAGAGCAAACGAAGTCACTGCTACCGTCTCCAAAATCGTTGACCTTCGAATTGGATACTCGCTCCATTTCTTCAGATATGGTAAAACTGATTCCCCAGAACTGGAAGGTGATATCGATTGATATATGTTCGATCACAGGCGACCTTTTGATATCATCGTTTCAGCCATCGAGCGAGTCGCAAATTTATGCACGTCTTCCCTTGAATAGACATGCTGCTAGAGATGTGAATGAAAGGTCGCTCACATTTCTAGATGGGCTCAAAGAGTTAAAGACCATTATTCACGAAAGCGACCAGACAACGGATGTCAGTCGTACTTCCAAAGTCAAGACCAAAGAAGACCGAGCTGAGTGGTGGAAAGAACGTGGGGAATTAGATCTGAAATTGCAAAATTTGATCTGTGATGCCGAGTATCTTTGGCTTGGTGGCTTCAGAAGCATCTTCAACACTCGCAAAATTGACCCTCACGACCTCCAAGATTTCAAGCTCAAATTCCTGGATATTCTAGCAGCCCACTTGCCTTCAAGAAACACAACCAGATCTCTCGGGAGGAGATCTACAGAGCAAGTTGAGCTGAGTGACACGATATACGAGCTTTTCTTAAAGCTTGGATTACCATCCAAACTGGAGCGCATCGAGTTCCTGGAAGACCTGATGTATTTTGTGCTCGACATTTTGCTCTTTCATGGTGAGGAAAATGCATACGATGAAATTGACCTCGATCAGCTCTACATCGATATCGAGAGTCTGATTGAGCTATCTGTATCTCATATGGATATGAAACCACACGAATCAGAAGCTGATCACATTGTCTTGGTTCTGTCGTCTGCATGCCAGTACTTTCCATGGGAGTCGCTTCCAATCCTGAGAGATCTGTCAGTGTCAAGAATGCCATCGTTCAAGCTTCTTTTGCAAGTTCTTGAAAACCATGGATTAGACCCTGTTGATGCTAATTCAGGATACTATGTCTTGAACCCCGGTGGTGACTTGAACCGTACTGAAAAGAACTTCAAGGATTCGTTCGAGGCTCTCCCAGGATGGACAGGGAGATCTGGTGAACCCCCATCTGAAAACGAGCTCATAACAGGCATTGCAAACTCGGGGTTGTTTGCATATTTGGGACATGGAGGTGGTGAGCAGTACATCAAATCCAAGACAATCAAAGCTCAGTCTCGCTGTGCTCCTGCACTGTTGCTGGGGTGTTCTTCGGGAGCTTTGAGAGCCAATGGCGTATTGGAATCCTATGGAACGGTCTATAACTATCTGGTGGGTGGCTCGCCAATGGTGCTTGCGTCTATGTGGGATGTGACTGATAAAGATATGGATAGATTCACTGGTTCTATGTTGGACCAATGGGGATTGTTTCCAAAATCAGAGGTCTCTTGTAATAAAACAATAGGGCAGGCCCTTCCCGAAGCCCGGGACACATGCACCCTGAAATATCTCAATGGTGCGGCGCCAGTGCTGTATGGACTGCCGTTGCATCTGGTCAAATGAGATTAAAAAAAATAATAATGATAAAGAATATGACAACTGTACATTTGAATCGGGATCATTGTAGACTCTAGACTCTTTCCACAGTGCTGCTAACGATCATACACTGCAAGTAAGTAGAGATGCTTTACCAGCTCGAAACAACCCTCGTTCACCAAATCAAGATAAACTTCGTTTGGAGAGTTTACAGCGGAGCTCAATTGCTCCAGCAAGTCGGTTTCCAGATATAAAGCAACGTTCAGAACAAAAACACGGCGATCCTTGATACTTTTCAGTCTGTAAGGCTTGGAATCCTCCGAAGAGAAGTTCAACGCAACCACACACTTTCGTTTTTCGGGAAATCTCTTGAAAAACCATTTTTCTGTGGAGAACCTCAAATCCTGTATGTCCTTCGAAACATTGTTCTTATAGATCTCTTTCACTACCGAAGGTGTTGAGGATAACCAACTGACATCAGGCGTTCCCCTGTGATCGCTCGACAGCCTCGGCACCAATCTTTTCCATGCTTGTTTATGCTGAAACCTACCCAGAATCTCCATCAAACCAAACGCATACTTCACATTGGTGGAGTCTTTCTCTAGTAATGATGGTATCAATAATTGCTTGGTAGGATCTGTAGGAGATGCCTTCACCATGAAAGGTATCAGCAGGTCTCGCGGTATACGAGAGTTCGTATGTGCGGTTCGAGCAGATCGTGATGGTGAACTTAGTATCTTGGCAAAGATATTGTTTTCCAGACTGGGATAAGCATCTTTAATCTTTAGGTTTGGAGAAAGTGCTTTTCGTATTCCGATCCACTTGTCGAACGTTGCAAGCAAAGGGGAGTCTTCTAGTTTGATCTTGTCCTTGGGTATTCTGAACTTGTTTTTCGCCGAACCAACCAATGGAAACAATCCTAACTTCATATTACCGATCTTAGCAACTGCTGATTAGAAGTAAATGGTGTTGTTGATACTTTGGCCAAACAAGACAATCATCAGAGTGCGGCTCCCAAATTTTTCAATTGAGTGCGGCAGCATCGAAACGGGCTTAACTTTCAATTTCCTTTCACACAACAACTTAAGCTACTTGACCAGTTGATCTCTTCGAATGACCGACATTTGACAATGTTTGGAGCTTTGATGCGATATTCGAGATGCTATTCATCATTGTCTCGGCCAGAACTGTTCAAAGAGGCAATGTCGTCTATGGGCAGTCAAGGTGAGTAGTATGAACCAGTCTTTCTTGACCCTTCAGCCAACTAACCGAAATATAGCTATGATCTTGACCGCGCCGTTCAGGGGTGAAACAGTCGTGTCTCAGTTGCATGGAATGACCATATCATCTGTTTCGTCGCTATGCGTTCTCCCGGACCCGTTGGTTCAGTTCAACCTGCAAATTCCATCCATAACCTCCGCGACCCTTCATGACATTCCCCATTTCGCCATACATATAATGCCTCCTACCCAGAAATCCGTGGAAATTGCAAGGAGTTTCTCCAAGGGAACTCAGACCACCAAAGATGACCACGGAAACGTCATTCATACGAGACCTTTCTCTCTTATCCCCGAACACGAATGGACCAGCCACAGGGTTGACGATGAGTGCAGCATTCCCATTCTACGATCGGCAGAAAGAGTGTTGATTTGCTCAAAATGTAATGTTTTCGAGGTGCTCAATCATGAAATTTGGGTTGCCAGAGTCCAAGAGATTATAGTGCATGAGGAGTTTCCGGTGAAGACAGGAGGACTGATTTACTTCAACAGACGGTTTCACGGTGTTGGAGGCCAGTTAAAGGAATAGACGAGTCTTACGAATATTATGATACATCTTTACATCTTGAGTTTCTTTGGTAGATATTTATGGCATTAAATTCGTCAATTTGGCAATGCAAAATAAAGCACTGACTGCATTCTTCTCGGCTAGGTTTTGAGGGTTTGAGGTCTTCCAAAGTACCATCATTTTCTTCTATTTGAACATATGATTTCCTGGGCCATCATTGCTAGTCTTTGGCATCGTGCTGGCAGACAAAGCCGTGGTTGTAGTCATAACAGGTGAGAGAATCTGGTTGTTAACCTGAGAGTTCAGCGTGACGGTGCTCGCGTTGGTTACAGAAGAATAGTTCTCACCCACAACGTTGGTGGAACTTCTTTCCATTTTTGTGATTTCCCAAGCAAAGGCATTCAACTTTTGCTGTCTCTTTTCAGCACGCTCTTGACGGTGAGCCCGTCTCGCAGCAATATCATCAGTCTTGAAAGACTCCAATTTGTCCTCAATCTTGGCTACTTCCTTTGAAAGTCTCTCCTTGCGACCAACCAGTTTCTCTCTCTTTTGAAGCAGTTGAGCTCTCGTTGCTTCCAGCGATTCCACAGTGGTGGTCGTCTCCTCAATCTTGGAATTAAACTCAGCCTCAAACACCTGGAGAGGTCTTAGTTCGGTTTCAAACCTCCGTTTTCCATCCAGATACTGCTCGTTTAGTTCTGTCTCTCTAGAGAATAGAGTCATGAACTCTTCTTCGATCAAAGAGTTATCCTGATCCAGCTTTGTCAGAGTCTGTCTAAGGGACAGTATCTTGCGGTAGTTTCTTTCATCGGATTTGTCGTTGGAGTAGAGCTTTTTCTTCAGAACCTCGATTTCGTTCTTGATCACGTGAATCCTCTTACTATACTCTTTTCTAAACTTCTTCAGCTTCAACTTCTCGCGATTGACATTCGCGTTGGTTGTCAGCAAACTTTCCTGGAGCGTAGACAATGGAGTTGCCTTTTTCGATTGCGTCAAAGTCACGTTTTTGGAAACCGTGCTCACAGTGCACTTTGCAAGAAGAACCCTTTCCTGTGAGTCGTCAATGTTGATTATCTCCAGGTCGTATTGAGAAAGCGGAGTCAGACCTCCAACGATAATGTACTCCTTTCCATCGACACAGCCCGAGGTGACTTGGTACCACATCACTCCATTAACCCTCACTAGAATCTCTGAGATCGAGGCACCCAGAAGCTCCAGACCGATAGCATTTTCACCAGTGTAACATATGAAACATTGTATGTAGTCCACGAGGGATCTCTTGATTCCACCCTGAGCGACTAGAAGTCCTCCCGAACTGAAATCTGACTCCAACGACTCACCTGAGTATATATCTTGTCTCGAAAACATAGTCTTTGCAGCAGCAATCAGTGACCAAACTGGTTGTTGTTTGGGAGCAGCAGCCTTGCCTCTTTTGTCCTGCTTTTTTTGTGGAGGGTAGAATACGAGACTGCAATAGTTCTCGAAATTCTGGGCAACCACCGTCGAAGAAGAAGATATGTCATTGAGATTGCAAAGCTGCTGTTCAGATGGAAAAGAAGCTGGTGTGACCTGGTCTTCTTCCTCCTGGTCGGTACCGGCAAGAATGGAAAGTTTGGCACTAGCCACTTCCGAGGATACCTTCAGACTTATTGGCTTGTCTGAGTCCACAGAAGAAAAGTAGGTGAACGAAGAATTTGAATCTTCTGTATCTTTTTCCTCTTCATTCGTCGAGTCTGTCGCCGACTTCGAGCCTTCTCCTCTAGGAAAAGAGATCTTGGAGACGAAAGTAGAGTTGGCCAAATGGTCTAGAGACTTGCCAATATGACTAACAAAAACAAATCTTTGAAATGATGGTGTCACGTTTAACAGAACTGTGTGCACAGATAGAACTGAATGGGTAAAAGCAGAAAAAACTTCAAAAACGTAGAACAACTTGACGGTCCGCAGCCTCGTGAAAAACGTCCCGTATGAGGTCAGTTTTGCAGTGGGATATGTGAAGCTTTCAAGTGACCCATCTATTATGCTGAAGTAAAATTTTGTCCAGTTTTCAAGTAACAGAAACCCCAGAACAATGAACGTGGACATCAATGCATTGAATGTGTACTTGTTTTTGGTGGAGGCTAAGCTCGCCGCGACATAAGCCTTTGCCAGCAAATGAAGAATTCTGACAAATCTTGGCGATATAACTACCAAGATTGCCGTGAATACCGTGTTTATTGCCAGAGCTTTGAACATAGCATATGAGCCTGTTTGAGCCTCGTTATTAGTATCCACAGATGCAGAGCCACTGGAAGACTTGTGGTTATAAAACAGTGAAAGCACCCTTCCTACAACCACCTTGGATGGCCCTGACCACGAGTATAGCAGAAGAATGGGACTTAACAGCCAGGTTGGGAACATGATCAGTATGCACATAATCGCAAGCGTGTCTCTCAACGGCCTGGGCGAGATCATGGAACCTGGCAGAGCACTCGTGTCTGCCATCTCGAAGAGTCACACAATCGATTGAGAATATCAGGTATCTCTTCAAAAATCCTGCTTCAACAAAAACTCCTAGCAAATACAGTAAAGAACTACCATAAGAGTAGATCCTTCCAAACAAGTGTCAGATGCGGTTAATCCCGACTCTCGGATTTTTCCTGCTGGTGGACGACCTCTTGGTGACACTGGTGAGGCTCAATTTTTCAACGGCTTCACAGTGCATGAGTTTTCAAAGCTTTTTAACAACAAACAATAATGTCTTTGGAAGCTATTAAATTTGACAAGTCTGATATCAAGCTGTCGATTCTTGACCAGCTTTTGATTCCTTACCAAACCAAGTATGTGGATGTCAAATCGATTGGCGATGGTTACGATGTCATCAAGAAGATGCAGGTGAGAGGTGCTCCGGCCATTGCAATTGTTGGATGTTTTTCTGTGGTGGTGGAGCTGTACAGGATTATTGAGTTAGGGGAATTGACCTCCTTGAGATATAATATCCAAGATCTGGAGGAGTTGAAGGAAAGACTCACACAAAGGCTGGACTTCCTGATCAGCTCTAGACCCACTGCCGTTAACTTGTTGAATGGGTGCAACGAAATCAAAGAGTTGATGGTGAAGGCTTCCTCTGTCAGAGAACTCTATAATTCCATCAAGGAGTTTAGTGTGAAACTCTTCGAAGACGATCTGGTCAACAACAAAAGAATCGGAGACAATGGTTGTGATTACATCTTCAACGAACTCTCCAAAGAGAATTTCAAGGGCGAGTTTTCCGTCCTTACCATCTGCAACACAGGTTCTTTGGCTACCTCCGGTCATGGAACTGCTCTTGGTATAGTGAGATCCCTTTGGGCTAGGTCCAAGTTGAGTGGCGCTGAGTCGTCGGAGAGTTGGCTGTCTCATGTGTACGCCTGTGAGACCAGGCCCTACAACCAGGGTTCCAGATTGACAGCTTATGAGCTCGACTACGAGAAAATTCCGTTCAGCCTGATCACTGACAACATGGTTTCTTTCCTGGTTGACTCTTTGGTAAACGAAAGAAAAGATCGTGGTCTCCCCTCTCTTGCTCCCATCAAGTTCATTATCGTTGGTGCAGACAGAATCGTCAAGAATGGTGATCTTGCAAACAAAATCGGGACCTTCCAACTCTCACTCATTGCTTCCCAATATCCAAGCATTAAGTTTATTGGAGCTGCTCCCTGGACCACTATCGACCTCAATAAAGATTCTGGAGATGAAATAGTCATTGAACAGAGACCTGCGAACGAGCTCACTAGCGTAATGGGAGGGGAACTGGACGAAACAGGAACCGTCCTTCAGAAGGATGCCTCCTCCAAAATCAAGCTCACCAAAGTCAAATTGGCGCCAATGGACATCTCAGTATGGAACCCTGCCTTTGATGTTACTCCTCACAAGTTTATCGACAGTATTGTCACCGAGGAATCGTATCTCACCAAGGACTCCCAGGGTTCATTTACGTTAGCCAGATAGTGAAACTTTCCTACATTGATTACGTTAGGTTTTCAATAACCAATTCTTTTATTATTGGTTGCATTTTTAACAAAATCACTAATTTAACTGTTCTTTTCGTTTTCATCTTTTCTAAGCTTGGTAATCTAAAATCCGTTGCCGAATCCAGCTCCTGTTGGTTGAAATCCAATAGCAGGAGGTGGTACCAAGCCTGAACCATTGGTGATCAGCAGACGTTGACCAAGAATAGGTCCGGATTCTTCCTCTTCTGCCTTTGCCTTATCTTTTCTCTCCCTGTAGTCAGCGTATACCTCGTTGATCTTTGCCTGGTTCTCCTTGGCAATGGAGATCTCGTATGGCTTGATGTAATCGCTAAGATTGTGCAACCAAGACAATTCAATAACGACATCGTAGCTGATCAAACTGTAGCACGCGTACAACGTGGCAATGAAACATTCCTTGTTACCCGTCTCCACGAAGTAGGTCAAAAGCTCGGTGGCCACCTTGCTGTTTTCAGAGATGGCTGCTGTCTCAATCACATCCGACCACAACTTGTCTGTCTTGAGAATGGCAATGGCCTTGTTCCACTTCTTGTTCTTGCGGAATAAAACGGCAGCAATTTGTCTGAAAAAGATCAGCTCATGCTTCTCCAATCTTTCAGCAAGTCCCAAAGCATCGAACTTGTCATTCGACTCAATGACAGATCTCAAAGACTTGTAGTCTTCTTCCTCGATCAACAGGTCGTGATAAGCGTTGTTGACAACCGAATTGTTTTTCTCCAAGACGGAGATCAAGAATGGCTTGATCATTGGCAAGTTGTCAGACTTTTGGAAAATACGTACAACTCTTGGGAGATCGATTCTTGGGGTCAAAACGGCCAACAAATCGGTCAGCAATGGTGGATGCTCGTTGACGTAGAAGTTAAGGGCCTTGTAGTAGATTTCTAAGTTGGAAACCTTCACAACGATTTCCTTGAAAGAAGAGTGCTCGAATGCCGTTTCCGATCTCTCCATCATGGTAAGAGCAGCGTTGTCCCATTCGTCGTAGTGACAGTACAAGAAGATCAGTTCCGGCCACAAGTGAGCGTCCTCACAGGCACGCAAAACCTTTGGAATGTTCAATCTAGACCAGAAGAGCTTGAGATGCTCCATGGTCTTTTCAGGCGCATACTTGGTATACAAGATAGCCAACTCAGTGAACATACCCATGTGTGCACGCTCAAGACCAAGACCGCTCTCAAACAAAGAGATAAGCTGGTCGAAGTAGCCAAAGTACTCGTATTGCTTGACAAGGTCATCCAACTCTTCGGCATGAACAATCAAGTTCAAACCACATATTTGTGCCAATCTGAACTCCTTGTTATCAATACATGCTTCATTGACCTGCTTCCAGACAGAAATGTTTGAGGCCTTTCTAGCGCAATCAACAGCAGACTGGTAATCCTTCAGGTAAACAAGAGTAGAAGCCAGCTTGGAGTAACTGGAGATGTTACTGAAAATCAGCTTGGCGGCCTTGTAGTTCTTGTTCGCGTACAACTTGTCACCAATGCTTTCCAAGTCAGCAACATTGCTGAGTTGCAAGAAAGTTTCGATGTCACCCAGCTTGTCAAGAGAGGCGTACGCGTTGATAATAGCACCGTCAATCTTTGGCTCTCTGAGAGTTTCTCTAGCCATCGTGAGATATGGAATGAGCACATCTTCCTTTCCGGCATGCTCTGCAATGTCCACCACATTCTCAAAGTTGGATGGATCTTTGGCTTTGATGTACGAGTCAATAGCCTCTGGAATACGCAGACCGTTCAATTGAGCAGTACCCAACTGAGACCACAATTCAGGCTTGTCCAGTTTCTCGGCGTACTCTTCACCTCTGTCCAAAGACATGACATCCTCTACCAAGACCTTGAGGGCCTCAGAGCGCAGCTCAAACTTGTCATAGATCTCAAAGGCCTCCTCATAAAGTCCACTTTGAATGACTAAAGGAGCAATCTCCTCAGGATCGTAGGCGTCAAGCTTCTCAACATAGGAGCTGACTCTTGACTTGTCAACTTTGACAGCCGTCAAGATCAACAAACCCTGCAACGATGGGTTGTCGTTAAATGGAGATGGTTCCAAAATGATCTTCTCAAGCAGCTCAATCAACTCGGATGGCAAATCAGCCTCCATAAAAGCCTTGACAGCAATGGAGATTGGTTCTGGGTCTTCCTGTTCTGGAATAGCAGTGCCAACAACCTGGTCAACCAACTGTCTTCTGTGGATGTTGTCATTAGACAATACCTTCGACCACAACGTGAGATCAGACTTGCTCAACAGATATCTGGCTTGGTACTTGTACATGGCATTCTCATTGGTGATTCTGATGAGCTCATCATCATTCTGGCCCTTAGAGTAGGCAATGTAAGCAAGGTAGGGGTCTCTTCTCTCACAGTATTTACCGACAACAAGGGTGTCGTACTGGTCGTTCTCGGTCAAGAACTTCTCAGGGTTGTTGTTGGAGTCAATATAAATCTTGGCCAAGGTGTCATAAACAGCCTTGTCGGTACTTCCAGCTTGGAGAGTAGATTCTAGGAAGGGCAACAAGATCTTAAGTCTGTTTCTCTTCTCAACCTCCTCACAAAGCTCACCAATTGGAACCTGACCCAAGACAGACAGCAGAAGTGACTTGATGATTGACTCATCACAGTCAACATCCAAAAGACCAGCAACAACTTGTGGAGTCTTGGATGGGTTGACTTGCTGAACGTACACCTCAATGAACTTGAAGAATTGGTTTTTGTACAAGTAAAGAACCAAATCGTGAACAAAGTTGAATCTATCACAGACAATGATCAATGGAAGCTGATCTTCGAGCTTGGCCTCCTTCAAAAAGTTCTTGACCTTCTCACCATTGTAGACATGGTTGTCTCTGACAATTCTTTCAATCTCCTTGACTTGGCCTAGTTTAGCCGCAGCCTGGATATACTTCAAAACAACTTCAGGGTCTTGCGAGAGATTCACGATTGAAGCCAAATAGTAGTATTCACCTTCAACACATTTGAAGTCCTCAAAAACCTTAATTAAAGTGATTGGTCCAATCAGATCAGAATATTTCGTAGCAACTTGAATCACCACCTGCAAGTTCTGGGCCAAGTTTTTAGACAGCATCTCTCTCAAACATGAAACAGTTTGCTCGACGTTGAGCTTACCGAAGTAAGCAACGAGCCAGTCAGTTGGCAGAACATTGGCATGAACAATGACACGTTTGATGTCCTTGATGTCCTCATAATGTTCAAGAGCTCTTTGCAACAAACCGGCCTTTTCACACAAAGCAGCGATGGTTGGTCTGTCGTAGTGAGAGAACATGTTGTTTCCCAGAATTGCATCAGCAACTTGAGGGGCATGGAGCAAATTCAACTCGAGAACCCGGGTTTGCAAGTGACCCTCAGCAGGCTTATCATCCTTCAAAGCATCTAACAAAAAGGTGGTACCCTGCTGAATGTAATTCTGAGAGAAGAAAATGTCAGCCACAGTCTCAATGTTGAGATCAGGCTGGGTGGTCAGCAATTGCGTTGCAAACTCAGCAGCCTTATCAGGACTAGATCTAAGAATAGATTGAATGAGAACAGTGAAGTTTGGGTTGTAATTCGCCTTCTCACAATATGGGAGAATCTTGTCAAACTGGCCCAATTCTGCCAGACATGGAACCACTTTTGTTGGAATGTTTGCTCTGAGGTAAACAGCCAAGGCCAATGTAGTATCATAGGGCTTCAAGATATCACCCAACTCTTCGGATGAGGTCAACTTGTCTTGCTTCAGATAACCCTCCACGATGGAAGTCTTGCTCTGTTCCAAAGCACGTCTAGCGAGTTCCAGGGTTTCAAACTTGTTCAGAGATCCCTTACCAAGCAAGGTGACCAAGTATTGCAAAATCGGATGTACCTGGCCTGGAGCAACTTGAATTCCAGCAAGTCTGGAAAAGACCTCCGGAACTCTCAATTGCTCAGAGGAGGCAGCCACCTTGACAGCAGAATCGTAATCACCCTTGGCAAGTGCCTCATTGAAGCTTTGCATTAGCAAGTTCTCGGCACCTGGTAGGCCACCTCTGGAAGCCAAAGTCAAAGCTAATGGGACATTAGAGTGGTTCTTGATGATGTACTCCACGATTCTGTCTTTGGCTAACTCGACCGCCAGCACCTGACCTGATTTGCTGACACAGATGATACCAGTCTTCTCGTTGTATGGAGCAACTGTGAAAACCGGATCAGCAGATATACAGTTCAAGAAGATGTTGGAGGCAGTCTCAACCTCGTAGAGGTGCACAAATGCATGCTTTGTGAGCAGGTAGATGATACCGTACTTGTTGGAGATGTTGACCGCAATTGGGAAATCCTCGGGTCTTTCTGTTGGGAAGAAGATACTGGTGGATTGCTTCTTGAATTTTTGCTCAATGTCTATGATGTGCAACTGACCATTTCCGCTGGCATCTCTGTTACCAAAGGCAAACACGTTGCTGGTGGTTCCCTGGATGTCTACCTTACCGAAGTTACAGGCATGACCCTCAATAGCCTGGGATATGTCTCTCGACTTTGCGTAAAGTTGAATGTGACCAACAACTCTCCCTTGACCTGGGGCAAGACCCGTAACGGCAAACCAGGAGTTCTCGTCATTCGACACGAAACTGAGAATTTGGTGATTATCGAGACACGCGTGTTTGTCGGTCAGCCTGGAAGGGCCATTGTCAGTTCCATCAAAAATATCCCATGTGTACAAAGCAGACTGGGTAACGAGACCAAGAACTCTCTCGTCTAACCACTCCCAAAAAATCACAGGTTCACTGAGATTGAAAGACTTGAGCTTCTGCTTCGTCTGAAGGTTGAAGATCTGTAAAGTGGTACCATTGGCTCTCAAAGAAATAACCATCTGACTTGGGTGCATTATGGCATTGTCAGCAGTCATATGCTTCCTGGTCACTTGGTTACCATTTTTGAGATCGATAATAGCAACCGAATTTCCATTTGCCGACTGTTCCCTAGCACACACGTATTGATCTGATTCCAGAGTAGTCGAACCAAAATCCAACGAAGAAGGGCTGATTCCCAAAGACGTCAATTGAGCAACCTCAATGAGGTCAATTGGAAACTCATTCGACATTTCTTGAGATTGATTCGGGTACAATTGATGGAAAGGATCGTTTAGGGATTTTCAGATCGTTGACAAGGTCGGGATCCTTATCCCACCCCTGAGGTACGTGGCGTTAACAAATGTCGTGGTCGGGGCCATTCCGAGGAGTCGGATCCGTGCAACCCCGAAGATGGAGACAGCGATCGAGAATTACAACTACAAGACCATTATATTGCAAAAAAAAATCAATTAGCAATCACAGAACAGGATAGTATACTGATTTTACTAAAAAAACCGCAAAAAAAATGACGACACTGGCAGGACTCGAACCTGCGCGGGTGAAACCCAAAAGATTTCAAGTCTTTCGCCTTAACCGCTCGGCCACAGTGCCTTACATAGCAAAAAATACAGCGCCGATCCACCATATGGGGTGCATGGCGCAATTTTCTTGCATCACGCTAACATATACAGCGATTAAATTTATGCTTATTAGTTACCACTCAACTGGTAACAGAGGTAACAGACGGTGCAAATTATGATATTTCTCCTTTAATTTTTGTCCAAGCAATTATCTCATGGTTGAATTTGCGCTGGTTATCTGCGAACTGTATTATACCGTCTCGGTATGGCAATTTGGAGAATCTCATCTACAGTAGAAGCCAATGATCTCAATTGATTGGAAACCAAGGAGAAAATATCCATCGATTCAAAGGGATATGATGATTATACTCATGAAATGCAACGCCAGTAGTATACTTGCCTCACATTGTTGTGCCCGTGATACTGAACGCGCGTTTCTCACCACTTAAAACAGCATAGGTCAGTCACTTGCTAGGCCTTCACCAACAGATTGATAAACATGTATGACTAACAAAGTTTCTATCCAACCACATGAATTCAGAACAAAAATCAAAAATTGGCGGTGAATTTTTGCACGTGCTTCCATAACAAAAACTGTAAAACTGTCAACTCTCAGAAGCGCGGCTTAGAGCCCGATTGGCGATGAGCTCTCGACGTGTGAAAATTCCACCAGAATCATATCTCTTCTTTCCCCAATCTCAGACATTCGCTGGATGATTTGAGGCGTTGATATATATCGCAACAACTCTTTTATCCAATTCCACAATGGCCGTTGTATATAAGAAAGGAACCCAGAGAACATACCAAGTCACTACACCTTCTCCCAATGACATAGAGTCTGTGAAGCTCACCACCAGAGAACGGTTCACGTTCCTTCCTCTGGTGATATTCACAATATGGATCCGCACATTCAATCTGGACTATCCCGACTCTGTCGTCTTTGATGAGCTACATTTTGGTGGGTTTGCTAGAAAATATCTCATGGGAGAGTTCTTTATGGATGTGCATCCTCCGTTGGTGAAACTGATCTATGCGGCGATTGCCCATTTCAACCATTATGACCTCTTCGACTTCGATTTCGGAAAAATTGGTCTAGCATACAAGGACTCGAATACTGGAGAGCTTCTGGCTCCTTATGTTTCAATGAGAGCATTTCCTGCTCTGTGTGGTGTCTCGCTGGTTCTACTCGCATACCACACTTTGAGATCGTCTGGTTGTAGACATTTTGTCGCGCTTTTTGGCGCTTTTCTTGTCGCCATTGAGAATTCCTTGGTTTCACAATCCAGATTTATACTTCTTGATAGCCCACTGCTTTTTGGGATTGGAATCACGGTTTACGCATTCAAGCAGCTGGAAATCTCCGTGCCTTTCTCAAGAAGGTGGGACAGATACGTCCTGTTCACTGGCATTGGGCTTGGGCTTTCGATCAGTTCCAAATGGGTCGGTTTATTTACCGTTCTATGGGTTGGAATTTGCACTCTAGACCATTTGTGGTTGCTCGTGGGTGATCTGGAGGTTTCCCCAAAACAAATCGTGAAACACATATACATCAAGCTGTACTACTGGATCTGCCTGCCTTTGGTGATGTATCTCATGTGCTTCACAATTCACTTTGCATTTTTACCCAATTATAGTGAGGGAGGTTCTCTCATGTCCACAAGATTCCAAGCTGGTTTATTTGGATCCAATCTTAACAACATTGACAGTGATATCTCGTATGGCTCTACAGTGACATTGAGGCACTTCAACACTGGGGCCTATCTCCACTCACACAACCATACGTATCCGAAGTCTGGAAATCAACAGGTTACTTTGTATGGGTTTAGAGATCTCAATAACCAATTTTTCGTGGAAAAGACCGAGAAAAGCAACATTGGCGAGTTGGTGAAAAACACCCAGTTTTTGAAGGACTCCAGCAAGTTGCGTCTGTTCCACAATACCACCGAAAAATACCTTCATGTCTCTGATTTGAGACCACCTATAAGCGAACAAGAATATAACAATGAAGTCAGTGTTATTGGAGACGCTGAATTTCTGGGGACTGTGGACGAGAACTTCCAGCTGCAGATAGTGCAAGAGTATTCCAAACCAGGCGAGGCACAGAAAAAGGTGAAGCCAATTGACACAGTATTTCAGTTGAAACATCTGGGAACGCAATGCACTCTTTTTGCACACGATGTCAAGCTTCCGGCATGGGGATTTCGCCAATTGGAGGTGACCTGTGTTGAGAAACCAACCTTGCTGAACACACTGTGGTACATTGAGACGAGTTCACATCCACTTCTGGAATCCGCTCAGAAGGTGGAATTTGAGCCAATGAGCTTCTTGGAAAAGCTCTGGGAGCTTCACAAGGTGATGTGGAGAACCAACGCAGGATTGACGGACTCGCACACTTATGCGTCAGATCCTCTGTCTTGGCCCGTTCTACTGAGAGGAGTGAGCTACTGGGATAAAGAGAACAAAAACATCTACTATCTCGGAAATTTTCTGATTTACTGGACGACGACATCGTTGATAGTAGTATACATGTTATACAAGTTCGTTAAGGTTGTCACTTTCAATCCTTTCAGATATGGCCGGAGCGTGAAAGTGGACCAGGACGAGACCAAATACGATTCACAGGTTCTGTGCTTCATTATTGGTTGGTTTGTCCATTTCGCACCCTCTTTGATGATGAAGAGGCAAATGTTTTTGCACCACTATTTGCCGTCTCTGTATTTTGCGATTCTCATCACTGCTCAGACGTTTGAGTTCATCATCTCCAATGCCAAAAAGCTGGGGTATCTCGTCATGATCGTGACCGCAGCAGGATGTGCTGTGGTGTTTTATTCGTATGCTCCGATCATATATGGACTGGATTGGACCAAACAAGGCTGTGAGGAAATGAGGATTCTGGGATCGTATGATATCCCATGCGGTAACTATATCAATTGAACGTCAAACCCTCGTCTCTGCTATTCCACGCGATATCTGTAGAATTAGCTCGTTAACCCATTCCAGTAGATCATCTTTCGTCTGTATCGTCTTTTTCTTCTTCATTTCCACATCGTATAACTCCTTCTCCAATTGTAGTATCCTATCCATCTGCTCCTTCTTGGTGACACCCACACCAGGCAAGGTATCAATGATCGTGAGAATCTGCCTTGTTTTGAGTATTATGTCTGAAGCCAGTTCGTTAATACTCTCAGTGAATTCGGCATTGGACGCCGGATGGTGATTCTGATCCACCAGCTTTGGATCCTCGGCATTCAGCACGATAGCATCGTGATGTTGGTCAACATAGTTGAGAGCTGCCGAGAACATGTCAGTCAACTTTGCGATAGATTGTCAGTAAACTCGGGTCAAAATTTACCAAATGAATGGTATGACTTACCTGATCCAAACATATCTGAAGTTGAGTCAATCTGTCTGCCATTTGGACGGTTGCGTTAGAGCTGAAAAGTCGTTATTTGAGATAAGGCTGGAAATGGAAAGCCAGATGTTCACCAGCTCCGATGCCTGCTGGGAAGCGCACGCGGCTCTGCTGAGACTTTTAAATTAGGACCCGATAAATTGGCAAAATAATCCGAATTTTGGGCGTTTTTTTGCTTGATTACAAATATGCTGACCTATAAAGCTGCTATAAATTGTCTTCAACATCAACTCTGCTGAGCATCTCCAACAATTGTCTCTTCGAATCGGCCAGTCGCACCAGACCGGCAACTGCCTGCTGAAAACTGGTCTGGCTCTGTCTCAGCTGGTAGGGAACTAAAGCTCCAAACATGTTCACCGGATTCGTGCGTTTTGCGGGTACTGTGCTGTCAATTTCGGTTGTTTCTGGGGTCGGAGAATCCGACTCCACAGTCTTGGAGTTCGTTTCGATAGCAGATGTTCTGGCAGTGTCCTCGGGATTTTCTGTTTTTTTTTGTCTTCTTTTGAGTGATGTAGATTCAGGTTGTCTGTGAGTTGATTCTAGCTTTTCTGTTTGCGAAGCCTTTTCAGAAACAGGCTCTACAGTTGTGATCGAGCCATCTTCGGTGATTTGACTATGGTCTGTTAGTGATGAAAGCTTAGAAAAGCTTGTCAAAGCAGTACAAAAATACTCACACTCGTATCTGGGCGTCAAACTCTCTCTCGTCATAGTAATCTCTTCCAAATCGTATGCCCGTGGTGGATGCATAATTAGCTCGACTCAATTGAAGAAACCCATTGGATAGATAGCCTGAAACTGACTCGGCCTGTTTTTCATATTCATCAATAAGATTCAACACGTTGATCATCAGATTATCTTCCTCAGGCAGATCCAGAGTGGTTTGGGGTTCGTAATCGAGAATGTCCTCGTTGGAGGGTTGTGCATGGGTGCTCGATGTGCTTAGCGATAGCCCAGCAAGGGAGGTGGACAAATCAGAAACAGAGGCAGTCATAGAGAAAGATGTGATAAAACTCTTGGAGTTTTCCCGCTTTTAACAATACCACAAATACCGAGTTCAGACTAAATGGAGTGATGATTCAGAGTGTTAATGGTGAGCATGTTCCATGGGTGATATCCAGATGCGATGAGCCTGCACTCTTTACAATCTCTTGCGCCATAGTTAACAGCCTTAGTTATAGACTTGGAAGCCAGATTCAAAATATAAATTCAAGGCAAAAAGTCAGGGCTGCAAATATGGCAAATAGGTACAAAGAATATATATATATATATATAGATAATTTAGGCCAAATAGGCCACAGCTAAATCCATATGTCACAGCCAATAATCGAACCTCTTACTGCAGCACAGTTAGTACAATATGAAACCACAATCAAGGTCTAAACGGAGTGAAAAAATTATTTTATGAACATAAAAAACGCCATTGCTATAAAAACTATCCAGGATTGATTGAACCAATCAGATAGACTCAAATCGTTGATTGTCTTGGCTAACATGCTTCCAGCCCTGGAAGAAGCATGCTCTGCCTCATTTTCAGCTCCTTGGTATCCAGACCAAGTCCTCTGAATGCGGTAACTACATCGTCACCAGTGGCATAAGATTTTCTTATAGACTCCCTGTTTGTTTTGGAGAATTTTCCGGCATTGAGTGACATCAATTGGGACGCGTCCTCGTCCACACCGTTGAGAGTGGATTGAGTGTATGAAGCTGGGTCTAGAGTCGTTGTAGAGTCGTTGAAAGTTTTGAGTTTTGCTGGAGAGTGAATGTTCTCGTAGATCCATGATTGTCTCACAAAAAAGTTTGAGTCTGGAGAATTCCAGGGGATCGTTTCCGTAGGTGGACCTGGCAGACTTGGAGTGTGCATGAGCTCGCTAGGTGCTCCGAACGAAGAGACCTGCGACTTGGGAGTGGCAGATAATGTCTTTGGAGGAAATTGGAAAGTTGAAGCATCATCCAGAGACAATGAGGCGGATTGTGCGTGAGTTTTGGAACACGCCATGCGCACCTGCTTTTTCTCAAGTTCCCTCAGACTTTTCAGACTGGCCTCGCTTTTGTGGGTCGGCTGGTACTCCACCTCGTCCGTGACAGAGGGTAGTCTGGATGACTGTCTCTGGTGATATTTGGCCTTGTCATTGGAAACAGCAGACGAAAGTGTCGAGTTAGAGGCCGATCTGGTGAAGAGCGAGTTCGACGACGTCGACGACGTTCTCGTGGGCGCTGCTGCAGAGGCAGAACGGTTGTGGGCACCAAGTGAGCTGGTGGCAGTGTGTCTTCTCGAGCTGGAATATCCCGTTGGAGTCGTTCTGAAAGACGAATATCCAACCTGTTTTTCGTCTATTTTCTGCTGCAGTCTGAGCTGCTCCAACTCTTCAGCAGTATGGTTCTGAGGAAACGCACTTTCCAAACCAAACGTCGTCTCCTGGTCGATGTGAGCCACATGACTGAAACCAAAAGGTGTGCTGATAAAGCAAGTCTCGGGCTCGGAGGAATTCCTCTGGTTGATCTTATTAAGACCATTTTTCAGGCGAGCCATAAATTTGGTGCTCTTCTCAATCCTAAGGCTCTGTCTCTTAGGCTCAGAGTTGGCAGCCAGATTGGTCGGCAAAATATCCAGATTCCCAAGATACTCCTGGTTCTTCTGCGGTTTGAAAAAAGTCATCAGCTTGTTTTTGGAGTGCGCGTACTCGTCTTCGGTTCCCTCCGAGTCAAACCACAGTGATCCAGTCACCAACTGTGGGGAAGTCTGCATGGTTTCAGCTGTATTCATTGAAAAACCTCAATTCGCAGCGCTCAGCAATAAAATCACAAATATTCACAAGTAGCAACAGAAATAACACCCAAAAACTAAAAAAAATCGTCTAAAGTGCAGATCAAGCCAATATATAAAACCCTTCAAAGGCACGCGTCCAGATCCCATGCCCATCTCTCCAAAGGCCTAAAACGGCTGCAGTAAAGGGGCCTGCCACGACGCGTCCAAAGTTTCAGGCACACCCCTTCACGGCTGCAGAGATGCGTTAGAGTCCTTTGAGCTGATTTGATTTAATTTGGTTAAGTTATTGTGCTTTTTTCCTAAAGGGGATAAATTACGGTTGAGCATACCGATGCTGCGCTATTGTTTTTGGCGAATGAGGTGAATGAGAGGAAAATGGGTGTAACGTAGCTTGGTTCTAGAATGCCAAATTCCGATGGTTTCTGCCAGGGGTATATCTATCGGGCGATGGGGGCAGCAAGTGGGAGCGCTTAACGAGTTTGACGAATCTTAGTATAATGGGCATGAATTGTGGAAATAATGTACGTATATATTGTGAAACCCAGGAGGATTTAAAAAAGAACCGAATGCAGAACCAAATATTTAACCAGTTACGAAACAAGTCACAAAACAGGTCGCAAAACAAATTATAAAACAAATTAAACCCCGAAACCAGCTAAGCAAACATCTATTGCTTTTTCTAGCAATTAGCCCTTTCCAGCCATCCCCAGCTAGCGCGCACCCAAATAAAAAAATTGAAAATACCGAAAAATCATCTAAATGCACCATGCCTAAACGGTCACGGCATGAACAGGACACTCATTGGGTCCCTTACGTTCGAACCAGTCCATAATGCATTTGTAATGGAAAACGCACAGACATTCCAACCGTCCAACAGTGTCCCCGGGATTGATATCCTCCAGACAAATCACGCACTCCTCTGGTTTGGGCTCTTCGAACTGCTCCTTCTCATCGAAAGCAAGGGGCTTGTATCCGCTCATCATGCTGGCACTGCCTTCTCTGGATGCTGAGCCGGCTGGCTCAGCCTGGGTGATAGTTTCCACTGATGTTGATGTTTCTGGGTTTATCGTGTTGACACTGCCACAGATAGTAGAATCAATGTTTCTCGAGGGACTCTTACCAGGTCTGTAACCTGTGCTGGTCTTTGGTACGGTGTACACCAACATCCTGTTGATCATCGACTTCCGGGTGGCATCTGGAGATCCGGAGAATTCTGCATTGGTCAAACAATCATTGATATGGGCTTCCTTCTCCTCTTCGGTCAACAGTGAGATATCTACCGCACACAATGGACACAGACCGTCATCAGCGTCTGAGGCCACAGGAATGGGTCTTGCAGAACTGGAGGATTCTGCTAAAGACTCGCCAGTGTGAATGCTCTCTTGGCTGTTGCCGTGTCTCAGTCTCACACTCCTCACGCGTGAGTCATCCTTGATGTACCCATGGGGCGCAGCTGGAGCCGGTGGCTCGTCCTGCTGTGAGTGGATGCTCCCCTCAGCCAGTGCATTGCGAAGCATTTCCAGCTCGTTATAACATGGACGACACGTTCTGTGCGGAACATGTGGTGATTCCAAGAATATTTGCGAAGGAGGGCATACCACATACGTTGATGACAGGTACTTGGTGAATCGCGAAGAACAATCCGCACAAACTACTCTGCCACATTTCCGGCAATGATGCTTTCTGTAGAACAAAGAAAAAGGAGTATGACAAATGCAACAATTATCGGCGTCTTCGTCCGGTTGCCAGACGGGTACTCCTTGTATAAGAGGCGAATCTGTTGTGTGTGTTGTGGCCATGTTTCGGAACTCTGACGAACCAAAGGAATTTGCAGACCTAAATCAAACTGAATCACTCACAGTCACAACACTATGGAACCTAGCAGCGTCCTCGGTATGTGTCACTATTCTGTCTTTGTTTGTGACCTGTTCGGTAAAACTCCGGGCAGAAAGAAGGTTCTGGGGAAATTCGGGAATTTACTCCCTCTCCAGATCGTTCAGTGCACTACTCAATCTTATCTAGACGATCTGATCAGGTATGAATTTACGAATAACATGCGAACCAGAACCAAAGGAAAAACACCATTTAAAGAGCAACAAAATACACACTATTGTGGAGAGAAAGCAAATGACAACGTTAACAAACTCAAAAACTGTACATCGAGCCGCCTCGGAACTGGAACTCAGACAGAAGCTGCTGTACACTATCGCTTTTGAAGTTCCATCCCAATCTTTCAGAGATTCTGATAGTTTTCAACCTCGGGAATCTGTTTTCTGCAATTGGAATCAGTAAATCATCTGGGTCGAGCTTGAAGCCTTGTCCCAACAATCCACTGGAGTCGATACCCAGAGATCTCAGTTTCTTTAAAGACCCGATGGATGCCAGGATATCATCGTCAAACGCTTCGCGGCTGAAGTATTCAACGTTGATGTTCAGGTGGATCAGATTAGGACAATAATACAAAACTTTGTCGAGACATGTTGCAGAAAGTCCGGGCATCGGGTAATGGATAGCCAGATGGGTCAAGTTTGCTCCAATCTTCGAAAGGAGCGCCTGGATCCCTGAGTCACTGACGTAAGGACAATGAGCGAATTCAAGCCACGAGATAGTAGACGGGAACGATGATTTCATGAGAAATGAGTTTGATATTCCTCCTGAAAGTCGTAAATACCATAGACTCGAGGGCCAATTCATCTCAAAATCCTCGCAAGATATAGAAGCCCTTGGAAAAGACAATTGCTCCAAGTTCGGCAAAGTCTTCAACGACTCGAACAATTCCTTGAGGTTGACCGTTTCCGAAACCAGACCAAGATCAAGTACCCTGATCTTTTGGCATTGCTTAAGACTGATCAGAGGAGACACCCCGAAGCTCGTTTGTGGTGCGACGAATACTTGCAGGTTTGGAGAGCATCTCCTCAAGAGCTTGGATATGTATGAATTCTTACCTGCCTGGATGATTGTGGAGAGATCCAGTTCCCTCACCATGGGACAAAGCGTTTTCTTACTTTTGTGTGATGCCATTGTATCCACAAACGGTTTGAAGTTTTGTGATGTCAATTTCGGCACTGCATAAATGTCTGGTATCAGTGCGTGGTAGAACCTCTTGCTCAGCATGGTGTATTTGAGGTGGCGTGGGTTTGGAGTGAGGCTGATTATGTGCAGTATTATCTCAAACGGAAGTTTCATTCTGTTATTTGGTGAACTTGAATGCGACAAGCCTTCCATGCTCTTGGTGATCAGTTTAACGCCATCCTCTCCTTTTCCTTGGAGGGCGATGCGTAAAACATCTATCTTTTGAGAACCGGCAGAGGTCCAAAAATGAGCAGGTGTCTGGCTCTGTGCTTGCAAGTTCACCACAACCTCAGCATCAGCTTCGGTTTCTTCGTCTTCATCGTCCCCAGTCTTCTGATCGTCACCCTTCTCCGAGGATCCATATGTGTACCTCCGGTACGGAGGACGGATCTTCTTTGGTCGTCTCTTATTGGCTATTTTGGGAGTGAAAATGCAAGAAGTGACCCCACCAAGAAGAACCAAAAACAAATGGATCAGAGAAACGGCCACGTAAAAAGAATGTGCTTGAAAAAGGAAGAAGCATAATAGCTTGAAGGTTCTTGATGAATTTGAAGGTAGTCGTTTGTCATCCCAAAATGGCAATTTGTAGAGGCACATACTTGCCCCAGACTTGAGAAATGGTCTGAAAATTGGGAAATTTATTGGCATATTCTCTTCCAGCAATGGCACAATTTCTGGTAATATTTATCGCATGAACTCATATAGCTGCTTCCCTTTGGTGTGAGGCCTTTTGTTCCAACAAATTTTCAAGCATTTTCAAAAAGATCCTGTCTTTCACCATCTGCATGATATAAGCTGGGGAATTAAAGATTAGCGTGATGACATGGTGGACTGCAACGAAGGCATTCCAAGTTCTTTCAGCTGTATTTCGCAGATTGTGATAGTAATGTGGACGACTTTTGGTGTTATTTGCAAGTCTGATAAGGCTATCAGAAAGAGCACTGACCTGATCTGCTAATCCCAGATTGAGTGATCTCAGCTCTGCCAAACACAGATTCTTCTTCTGACTATCTACCAGTGCCTTTTGCATGCTCTGTTTTTGTCTGATTTCAAGCTCCTGGATTCTCTGCTGCAAAATAGCAAAATCTGAACTGCTTACTGCTGTTTGTGTTGGAGTTTCCCTTTCGTGATCTTTCTTGGGGGAATCATTGGAAGAACTAGCTTTGGTTAGTATCGCATCTTTCGCACACCAAATTTTCTGTTCTTACCTCAGAATATACCACAGGGATATAGCTAACATCGGTCCCCACCTGGAAAACCCATTGAACCGCCAGGAGTGAACAGCCCATCCCCAGAAGACACCATAACATATAAGAATCACTTTACGTGCAAGAGAATAAATCAACGACTTTCGGCTTCCAACAAAGGTTCCCGCAATGTCCCTCATAGTTCTGGGGCTTAGGATGAAGTACATGGCCATTATCCATGCTGTAATTGACAATATCACAAGAAACACGAAGCCGCTTTCTAATGGAATGGTACTTATCATCCAACAGATCAAGATGGCATTCACAAGAAGACTGGAGCTCGACGTGTATCCATGCTCAATTGCCCATCGAGCACTTTCTGTGAACAAAGTAGTGACTTGAACAGCAGTGTTGTTGTTTGCCGTGGGTGACATCTCGCGTTGAATTGAGGCAGAACTTCTCATATTGGATGTCCCATCAACCGGCGAATACGCCTCCTGTCTTTTGAAATTTCCAATCTCGGAAACGAGAGAGGATGCTGGTGTCTCACGCATACTCGTCACAGAAACTGAGCTCCATATATTTGAGTTGGCACTTGAAGTCATAACTCATGAGGTAAAGGCTGTTGATCTTAAAAAGGAGGAAGTACCGCGCGTTCTTCAAGCTATCAACCACTGAGCCGCACGACCTTTTCATCAAATTACGATAAGACAAGCCAAAGTCGTTGAAAAAGATAACCAGACCTTACGTTTTAATGGAAACTTATTCAGTTCAGTTATATTTTTACATGTGCAAGAAAGCTGTCGCATTCTTTTACTTTGGATTAAAAAAAAAATCACGACCTCGGTGAGGATCGAACTCACGATCTTGCGATTAACAGTCGCATGCCTTAACCAGCTTGGCCACGAAGTCAAAAACGACTGTTTTTGCTTAATTCTGAATAGCAGTCATTGTATTGGTTGATGCACACATTGTTATTCTCTCTAACTCGATTTGAAGCTATTTTTCAGGCATAACTCTTTTTAGAAACCAAATTTCCGATTTCTGACAGGCTTAAGACCATTTCTTCTAGTTCCATAAGCCAACATATATTCGGTCTGGAGAGTCAATTGTCTTTTGGAAATGGCAAATGTCTAACTTTGAGGGGTACACGCAAAACCACCCCGAGCAAATCAGGCTGAACTGTTTCCATCAAGTGTACAACATCCACAGTAAATAACACCATTGCAACTCCGATGTCATTCATAAGATCTTCGTCCAAGGTAGGTATTGAATAGCCCTTTTTTGACTGTTCCTTACTAACCTCCAGCTCCAGTTCATTGCTTGCGGGATCACTGCAGGGGCAGTTTCTGTATTCCCTAGCTCGCCCATACTTAACGATTCGGTAAGCATACTTTTCAATAGTTTCTGACTTGTTCCAACTAACAATTGCAGAAACGCAACTTTTACGGAAGCGATGAACAAATTGTTCCTGTTCCTGGTACCGTTGAGGAAGCTACTGCTTCCCAAATCGAACTGTTACGCTCGGGCAAGATCGTAGACGGTGTATCTGTGCGTTCCTCTACTCTCCTCGAGGATGCTTTCAAAACTGTGAGGGAATATTCGTTTGCCTACTACCAAGCGGCCGAGAATGCCCTTTATGATGCAACTGGCAAATACTATGCTGCAGAAAGGCATGTGACATCGTCATTATCTCTGCTTCACAATAGGAAAGAGGACCTATACCCCAATTCTCTTTACATCTTAACTGCTGCTTTGGGTGGGTCAATCTTTGCAAGAAGGAGAAACATTTTGCTGAGGGCTACGCTTCCTTTGGCTTTTGGACTTGTTGCGTTCAAGGTGTTGCTACCAGAGACATTTGCCAACACTGCCAGGTTCACGTTGGCTCTTGAGAAGGAGAACCTGCCGGCTCTTGCTGAAAACCAGGAATTATTGATTACTAAAGCAGACGAGCTTGTCAAGAACGTTGAGAATGTGAGTCAGAAGTCTGTTGATACTCTCCAGACATATACTCAAAAGACAAAGAGATTTATTGGTACTTACACTGGTTTAGATGTTGACCAAGAGGTCTCTAGCAAGAAGAATTAGACAGCTATATATTTCAAGCCAGAGTGACGAGATATATTAAACCATGATTTTAAATTTTAGCAGCGGATTCAGATTCCGAATTCGAGTCTGAATCTGAGTCAGTTTCGTCGTCGTCGTCAGTATCAGTATCAGATGCTGACTCGTCGTCTTCATCTTCCTCAGACCCCGAACCATTTTCCTCGGCATTGGGTAATTGTTCAACACTAACTTCGTACCCATGAACCTTCTCGAGATTTTGCCTCAGCGCGGAAGACTTGGCTGGGTTTACGCAAGCAAAAACTGTGGAGGTCTTGCTCTCAAATAACGGCACGAAGTACTTGGTAAACACTCTCAACAGATCCTCTTCAGTGAGCTTCCTCAAATTTTTCAGAAGGAACTTGTTATACTCGGGACCTCTCTTAACGAGTGCATCATCAAAGAACTTGTAATATGCAGCCGTGTAGTAGTTGGACTCGCTATTTGCAATCCCATTCACAATCGAGCTGATAGCACCATTCATGGACATCCTGTCGATTTTAGTCTTTCCTGAAGAGTAGTCATTCACAATTGTCTTAGCCACCTCAAAAGCCTTTTGTGCGTCAGCTCCTCTGTAAATGCTGAAAACCAGCTGGCCATGCTCTGGCTCTTTGTACACGTTAGCTCCATATGCCAGACCAGTTCCTCTGATTCCTCTCCAGAAAGGACCCTCCACTGCCTGTAAATAAGCTGCTGCTAGCGAAATAGCAGGTCCATCAGCGTGAAGATAGTCTGTTGGTATTCTGTGCACAGAGTGCAAGTACGTAGACTCAGAGCCTGGTGCCTCAATAAGGTATGCTTTCTTCTCCAGCTTCAAACCAGCGTCTGACAAAAAGTTGAAGGATCTAGGAATTTCCTGGAGGCTTGTCGAAGTATTCAGTGTCAAGAATTTAGACCACTCAGACACTGGATTTTTGATATTTTCAACCTCTCCAACGATAAGAATCCGCATATTCGATGGCTCAAATAGTGCTTTTCTCACTGTCTCAAGCTCAGCCTCAATCTCTGAATATTTGCCATTCTCAATCAGGGAAAGCTTTTCCTTCCAGAAATTTTCCGTGAAAAGAAAGTCGGTTGACTTCTTGGTGGACCTTTCCGTGAACACAGTTCTAGCGAAAATGGAGTCCAGCATGTCAGTTCCACTTCTCTTCAGATCGGGTAATCCCTTCACCAGTTTCTCCAAATATACACGGATACGAGTTTCGTCAAATTTGGTTTGATAAAACAACTTGTAGAACCAATCGACCGCATTTGAATACTTTTCTCTTTGCACCACGATCTCAACATCCACCATTTCATCGAGATGAGACTTGTACGAGAGCCTCATGTTCGTTGATACTGTCTCTTTCTTCAATTGCTTCACAACCTGTTCGAATGGGATCTCAGTACCATCTTCAGTCACCAAAGGAAGAGAAAAGATGCTGGACATCACGTCCAGGTAGGGAAGCAGTTCTGTCGGAACTGCTGTGGAGGACAATAAGACATTCACGGCCAAAAACTCACTAGGAATGCGTTCAAAGTCGAAATACAGAGGGAGATTCTTGGGGCTGTCTTCTTGAATGTGTTTGTAGGCAGGGTGGGCTCCATCCTGTGGAACATCCTTATTCAACCCAGCCCCAACGGAAGTGGTGATGTTGAAATGAATCTTTTCTGGATCTGGTTGTCCAAATTTCAGGAGTATCTCGTCTGGGATTGGAGCATCGTTCATTTTCTGTGCCTGCTCAAGTCTCTTCTTGAGCCTTTCCAAACCTTCCTTTCCGTTGACCTCTTTCCTCTCCTTGAGTAGCTCCTTATTGGTCTTTTTGAGTGTCTTGTACAACTTCTCGCTCGGTTTTCCAAGCAATATAGCACATTTATTCTCAACAAAGTACTCGTTCAAAGCAGCACACCACTGCTCAGCAGTCCAATTGTACAGTTCGTCAAGCTCCTTGAGATCCTTGGCCAGCTTTGGCAAATCCGAGCCGTCAACATTTCCGTACAGGAACTCCGATATCGCAATATTCGAGAAGATATCAGGATTAACCTCCGCAGAATATATGAACTTCAGTTTCATTTGATCTAGGACATCTCTCACACGAACAAGGTCGAACTTTTCAGGCGCAGTGTGCTCCTTAAGTAATGACAGAACGCTCTGACTCAAGTCGGCAAGCTTCTCAGTAGGAACACTGGAGAAATAAAGGTTCAGTCCTGTTCTAACAAAGTCATCAGTGTAGTACTCAACACTAACCGCAAGTGGATTTTCAATCTCAACAAAAGCTTTTCTCAAAAGAGCAATTGACGAGTTGGTAAGATACTCTCCGAGGACATCCACAGCCTGGTTCATAAGCAAATCCATTCCATCAGGTCCTATCCATGCGAGAAGGATTTCACCACTGCTTTCATCTTTGTCTGGGAACTCCACTGTCTCTGTGATAGAACTGGACGGAGGCAGGTCAACAGGTGACTCGATGAAGGGTCTCTTCTGTGGAATAGTCGATATTGGGGGCAGTTCGTTGTCAAATTTCTCCATTATTGAAATAAGTTCATCCTCATCAACAGAACCAGTCAAGATGATACACAAATTGTCAGGTCTGTACATGCTTTTGTGGTAGTGACGGATATCATCGTTGGTCAACGTCCTGAGGTTCTCAGTAAGACCTCCCGTTTCCGATCTATAACCCGATTTTTTGTATAAAGCTCTTTGAGATGCAAGGGTGGCCAAAAAGGATGAGCTGGTCTCGATAGCCTGCATCTCACTGAAAACCACACCTTTTTCTTTGGCTTCCCCGTCGATATGGTAAACCTCTGTATAACAAGCATCGTCTGTGAGCGTAGGGTTAAGAACGTGATCCAAATATATAGGCAGCAACATCTTGAAACCATCCCATCCCGCAGTAGTCAGGGTATATACTGTCTGATCGGTTCCTGTCCAAGCATTGGTGGAAGAGTAGGCCAGATTACCCAGTACATCCAGCAGGCCCTTGTATGGGTACTTTTTGGACCCCATGAAGATAAGATGCTCTAAAGTATGCGGACAGCCGGAATCGTTGTGAATCTCAGTGGCAACCGCAAAGTATCCATTGACTATGGGCGAAGCCTGGTTAATGTAAGTCACTTGGAGACCGGTTCTCGAAGACCTCCACTTGGTGATACTCGTGGGTGCATAGTCAACCTTGAACGAGGTCTGCTTGCTGAGACCAGATGCAGCTCCGGCGCCATCAAATATTTTCTCAAACATGCTAAAATTTCTTAAACTCCCAAACGAAGATCTGCCCCAGATCAAGCCTTTCAACATACACTGAGCAAGTCTTGTGTAGAAGCGTAGCTGTTCTTACTATTTGTGTGCCCGGCCGGAAAAATGAATACCCAATTAAACGGGATATCCCGCTGCTAAAGGGATGCATGGTGCATTCAAATTCTCGTGCGGCTCAGCGGTTATCAGCCAAAGAGACTCAGACTCAACGAACACATAACAGTTTTGATGAGAAGATTCAGTATTCTTAGGCCCAATCAAAGATCATCAGATCTCAGTGGAGGCTCCTCCAGTGTCGGTTTTTCAGGGGGAGGTTTCGTTCAACAGTCTTCTGCGGCAAGGTTATCTGGGATGTCATACCCAAACACCATGGATTACAACCCGTTTTCCAAGCTGTTGGGAATGATGCCCAAAGTTGACGCCACAGCTACAGATGAGATAGTCAAGACGTTCAGCAAGCTAATTCGGTTTGAAAAAAAAGCGCAGTCGCAGAGAGCCGAGCTTCACCGCCAGATCTTCGAGTGGGGGAATAAGCTCCAAGATGAGAATGCCAGGAAACTGTTGAATGAGTTTGCCAAATGTATTAAAGAGAGTTATATTGCTGAAAACGATTCAATTCACAAGCAAGAAAATGTTTGCTTCCAAGTGAGCAACGTCCAGAAACGCGAGAAGAAGGCGATGGATCTCAACACCAGGAAACTGAGGCTCTACAAACAGCTCCGTGCAAGGGAGGGCAAGAAAGGTGAAGATCTGAGCGTCTCTTTGGCACGTGAAGAGTTGGAGGAGCTCGATATTAGCATTCAGGTTGTCGAGGAGCAAATGATCCGTTTTATCAATAGTGCTTTAAGAGGCTGCTTGGCCGATTACGTCTTTACAGTTCAGGCTGGTTGCATGGATGTCAGAGGAGCCTGTGATATTTTCTTTGAGTGTTTGAATTATGACAGTTCTGGATCGTTCAAGCGTCATACTCAAGAGGTTATAGAGAAGACGCCACCTAGAAGTAAGAGCTCCAATCATGGCATTCTGGGAGACGTATCCAAGACCGTGAACAACCACCAGAAGTCAAACGACATCAAGAACGAAAACTGTCTTGAGTGTGAAGTCACTGGTCATAAGTCGAACAGCACCAAGAATCGTGTTACCAGCAAACTTTTTGGTAATACGAGACCTGTTACAGTTGATAGTGATGCGGCTGCACAGTATCCCGGTAACCTTGGACTGAGAATTCCAAGTAATCTTGGTATGGCAGATCCTTGGGTACGTCATAACTGAAGGATTGGAAAAATCACCAGATAAGCTATTTAATTAAAAACCAAGCTATATAGACAAATATCTGATTTGGTACTAGTTCAGAACTGTTCGTCTCACTCTATAAATGGCTGAGTACTATGCACGAACTCAACACTATGTACAGAAGAATGATTCGAGTTCTGTCTCAGTCTCAATTGCTCAAATTCTGGCTGTTGATACTGCTGAATGTTCTTTTGCTGACTTCATAAATTGAGATCATAATCGCACACGCAGGTGCTATTTTCAAACATCTGGGAAATAGTCCAACGTATAATGCACCCACACCTTCGTTCTTGACAATATCAATGAGAAATTTGAACATGTTCTCTCCCTTGTTGGTCCGTCTTGGATTGATTGATTCACCAGACACCTGTAATCTCGTTTTGCCCACGTCAAACGGATTTGTAAAGAGAGCAGCAATAATTCCACCCACAGACCCACTGATGAAAGAAGAAGCAAACACCTTCGGGTCCATAGACCAACCCTTCACAGAAGGATCGATTTCCGAGGGTTTCAGGTATGGATGTTCTTTCAATGCCCTGGAGATGTACTCGTATGACGCCCAGTATATTGCGCTGAAAGGGACGTCTCTCCAAAGGGTCAGCTGGAGACCAGTGAAGATGCTGCGTGCACCTTTGGCCTGGATATCCTCGTAGGCTTTTTTAAATACCAGCTTCATCACATTCGATGACTTGCCTATGTCTGCTGGTATTGCCTGCATTCTTGTCTTCAACAACTCTATCGGCGATACAGCAGTGGCTGCCATGATACGCGCGATACCTCCACACATCAACGGATTGAGTACTGGAAAATCGTTGATTGGCGAGTGATCTCGCAAATACTCATAACCACTGAAATATACTATGTTCGAGGGCACTGCCATCACGAGCATCAGACTCAAGCCTCGATATATCGTCAAAAACCCTTCATCCTTGGCTATTCTAAATAGACCTTGGAATGTGCCCTTGATCTTCAGGTCTTGTGCGCACGCATGTGTCTCGCAAAACTTATCAAGCACAATCCCTCCCTTTGCATTTGAGACCGGCACTTTTGTTAGTGGATTTTGCTCGAACCGTGAACCAGCGCCGCTCTGTTCCGCCCAGAATGGCTGGCGACAGCAGTTATCGGAGATGTTCAACTTCTTCGGAAAAAGAAGGTGCTGCTGCTGAAGTCGAATTCTCACGACGTCAAACGGTGTAACTACCAACGATGTAATCAATGAACCGGCACAAGCACTCAACATTCGCTGGTGCAAGCGTATATCTGTATCAGTCGCTTGGTGTGGTTTTCGACTCAAATACGCTGGCGGAGCTTGCAACTCCATCTCCGCCGCGGAGGTGGCGATTTCTGTTGCCGACATTAGTGGTCGTCGAGAGCGTTATAAAAGTCTCACTAAACCAAAAACAAATATAATCTGGCGAATCTTCCACTTTTCACTGGCCCAAACTCAACGCCGCCTTGAAGTGAACAAGACAAGATTATTCATAGCGGCATATACTTGTCCTGTGCACGACCCGCACAGCCATGCCGCCTGGCTGTTGGAGCTGAGGGATTGGAGATAACCGTTTAGTAAGTGGTGTGTATTCCATCGAGAGTCTTTCACCATTGCAGGCCAACATTTGAGGATTGACTGCTTGTGTGATGATTCAAGTTGATCGTCCACCTTCTGTGCTTGCTCGGCATGCCGAGGAGCAGGGCAATGGGAGCAACGGAAACGGTGTCTACAACATGGATAACAGACAAGACGGCAGGCCCACCAGCAACGGTTCAATAGCTCTGAACACCGAGATGAGACATGGGTTCGAGGATGAGTATACGTCACAGAAATACATGGACATGCTTGCAAATACGTTTTACAGCCATTATGATATGAAGAGACATACTACCTCTGGAAACCCAACAACCGATGAGGAGAAGCGAGCCAATTACAAATACTACCAGCCGATGACGGATTGGAAAATCATGAAGGATCGTCAGAAAACTACAAGTGCGGCATTGGTCTTGTGTTTGAACATTGGAGTCCCTCCACCGGATGTGGTGAGAACAGACCCATGCTGTAAGACGGAAACGTGGGTCGATCCAACGGCCTTTCCAGATACTAAGAAAGCGATGGAAAAAATCGGAAAAAATCTGCAGAGTCAATACGAGACACTGTCACAGAGAACGAGATACAAGCAGTCGCTAGATCCTTCTGTGGAGGACGTCAAACGGTTTTGCAACACTCTGAGACGAAATGCCAAAGACGAGAGAATTCTGTTCCACTACAATGGCCATGGTGTTCCGCAGCCTACACAATCGGGTGAGATATGGGTCTTTAACAGAGGTTACACTCAGTATATTCCCATTTCTCTCTATGATTTGCAAACGTGGCTGGGAGCCCCGTGTGTGTATGTGTTTGATTGTGCCGCAGCAGGCAACATCATAGAAAACTTCAAAAGGTTTGTCCAAAAAAGGATTGATGACGATTCCAATGGAAGACATGATATCAGTGCCCCATCTCCAACAGCTTCCTACATAGAGAGTATTCAGCTTGGAGCTTGTCGTTCCAATGAGACTCTGCCTTTGAATCCTGATTTGCCGGCAGATTTGTTCACCTGCTGTTTGACATGTCCCATCGAGATTAGTGTCAAATGGTTTATCCTTATGTCTCCTCTCAACAAGCACCACTACTATGATATTCTCAAAAACAAAGAGGGAACCATTGATATCCCAGGAAAACTCACCGATAGGAGGACTCCCTTGGGTGAGCTCAATTGGATTTTCACAGCTATTACCGACACAATCGCATGGACATCACTTTCAAGACCTCTTTTCAAAAAGTTATTTAGACAGGATCTTATGGTTGCTGCTCTATTCAGAAACTTCCTTCTTGCAAAGAGGATCATGCCTGTGGTTGGTTGCAATCCCATCTCGGATCCTCCTCTTCCTGATATCAACAACCACTCGATGTGGGAGTCTTGGGATCTGGCCATTGACCAGGTTCTTTCGCAGTTGATCAAAAACAAAAAGACAGAGACAATTTCGGTTCTCCCAGATTCGGATATCCCGCAGTTTCAAGTTCCTTCTTCTACAAACCTGCCTCAGCAAAATGGTCAGCCAGCGAATGTACCACCTCCAAACGCCGGTCAGTTTCTACTAAGCTACCAGCATTCGTCATTTTTCGAGCAGCATCTTACTGCGTTTGAAATATGGCTTCAGTATGGCTCAAGTACCAAAGAGCCTCCAGAGCAGCTCCCTGTCGTTTTACAAGTTCTGCTTTCGCAGGCTCATAGACTCAGGGCCCTGGTATTGTTGTCCAGGTTCTTGGATCTCGGACCGTGGGCAGTTTATCTTGCACTTTCCATTGGAATTTTCCCATACATTCTGAAATTGCTACAGAGTCCTGCTCCTGAGCTGAGGCCTGTTTTGACCTTCATCTGGGCACGAATCATGTCTATCGACTACAAAAATACACAGCAAGAACTTTGCAAGGACAAAGGCTATATGTACTTTGTATCCATCTTATCGACACAAAACAAAGCCGCAGATCATCTGGCGCAGTCCACGGATCTGAACTTTGAGGAGCGCAAGGCCATGAGTGCTTTCATATTATCCCTCTTTGTCAAAGATTTCAAGACGGGCCAAAAATTATGTTTCTCACCTGAGTTGATCAGTACCTGCTTGCAGTACATGGAGAACTCGGACCATCCACTTCTCAGACAATGGTGCGCTTTGCTTGTCGCACAGTTGTGGGATATGTATCCGGATGCCAGATGGATATCGTATAAGGACGGATATCTTGATCGGCTGATAGCCATTCTCAACGATCCAATTCCGGAGGTGAGGGCGTCAATCATACTTGCGCTCACCAACTTTTTGCCTGCCAATGATGCTGAGGAAAAGGAGGCCAGTATTCATACAGGCCACGAGGAACTGGGGCAGCAGGAGATCAAGCTTGCCATAGAAATGTTGAACCTGATCTCGGATGGGTCTCCTCTGATCAGACGTGAAGTATCTGTGTTTTTCAGCAAGTTTGTGCTCAAGTACCTGCAATTTTTTATAGTGAGTGCTTTCGGGCAACTGGAGGAAGAAATCACTCTGATCGACAACCCCAATCTCATCGATGAGGTGAGAAGGCAATCACCTGCCTACGGAACGATTTTCAGCTCCACTTGGAAAGTTTTGCTGATCTTGAGTGAAGATCCTCATAACGAGGTCAAGGATTATGCTGAGCAGGTTGTTGACTTTGTGTTGATCAAGTTGAACGAGAGCCCATTGCATGGTATAGTGAAGGACATGGAGCAGTATTTGCTGCAGAAGCATGCCAGTAACATTAATGAGGGTAACGGCATTCCTCGGAAAAACACAGAACTGGGTGCCAGAAGAACGCAGTCTCTTATGATGAGCAAACCCAATGACAGTGCCACGAATATGCACGCTGACAGAAGAGTGACATCAACAGCATCTACAGCCTCTACTAGCTCTATTTCGTCAATTACAGAGCGTCTGAGAAGCTCTGTCACTCTCAATGCAGTTTTCAGAAGCCTCGGGCTGTCCAGTGAAGAAGGATCGCAGAGTACAACAACCCTTCGTGATCTGTTGCCGCAATCAATTCAGCCAATGGTGGGGTACAATACTGCACCCAGACCTACAACGCCGCGGTTCAAACCACATAAGAAAAATGTCAGGGGAATATCTTTGCCTTTGCAGAGCAAGTTCTTCGAGTACAGCTGTGAGTACTTTCAAGAGCCCCAGATTGGAAACGCAGACGTTGATGAGCCCGGAAGCGAGGAATACACCAGACGGTTGTGGAGGCGCAATCGTAATGAGAACATTATTGCGATGACCCAGGTACAAAAGGAGCTTGCAGTTACGGGGAATTGGACAAATAATATTGCCACGCTTGATAACAAAACGCAGCCAAGAATCCTCAAATTCACTCAGTTCGAGAACTACGTCGTTGCGACTGATGAAAGAGACAATATCACCTGTTGGGATTGGGAAAAACAAGTACAAATGTCGAGGTTCTCGAATGGCAATCCGTTTGGTACCAAGATCACTGATGTGAAATTGTTGAACGAAGACGATATTCCGCTACTGCTGACTGGTTCCTCGGATGGTGTAGTGAAGATCTACAAAAACTTTCACTCCTTGGAGAACTTCCAGTTGATCACCGCTTGGAGGGCGCTGACGGACATCCTCCTGACCTCTAGATCAATGGGTTTGATCTCGGAGTGGCAGCAGTCAAGAGGATGTCTTCTGGTGAGTGGTGATGTTAAGATTATCAGGGTTTGGGATGCACCAAGGGAAAGATGTGTGGTGGACATTCCTGCCCGTTCTACCAGTTCTATTACGTCTCTGACATCAGATCAAGTGGCTGGAAGTATCTTTGTGGGAGGATTCGGTGATGGGTCTCTCAGGGTATATGACCGTCGTTTGGATTCCAGAGATTCTATGGTTCGAATGTGGAAGGCCAGACCGCGCTCTGGAATGATAACTAACGTGCACATGCAACGTGGTGGTTACAGAGAGCTGGTTAGTGGCACCAGTGATGGACAGGTGAACTTGTGGGATATCAGACTTGCCGAGCCCGTGGTCAGTTTCAAGGCGTTTGAGAGATCAATGACATCAGCAATGATCCACGAGCATGCACCGGTGATTGCTTGCGGCTCAAGAGAGGTCAGCATGTACAACACTGCTGGAAATTGTTTATCTGTGGTCAAGAACCCACACGCCTACCTTCCCACAAGAACCTCCAGCTATCTGTCCAGTCTGACGCTACATCCTCACAGAATGATGATGGCCACCAACTATAACCAGGACTCGCATATTAACGTTTACCAATGCGATGTCGTCGAGGAATATTTATAAGATAGACAGGAAGCCATTGAAAGGATTAGATAACAATAATGCATCTTCATGCAGGCCAGCAATCACATTAAGTCGTGGATCACTCAGTAGTGGATATACTTTCCCGATATGGACGAGGGGCTCTTCCCGAGATCATGCGCTTTTACTCCACAAGCACTCAAAATTGGTGAATGCGGGATTTCGAAATCTTCTCTGGAAACTTTTCCCCTTTTCTTGGGCTCTTTTTGCAGCGTATTTTTCGGATATCAGGCTGATTATTTGCTCACTTCCTGTTTCTGGCATTCACTGCAGTCTTAGATATATATACAGTTCAGCATGTCCGGGGTCTTTCAAGAATCTTGTGGCCCTACCTCGGCTCTTGGTAAGCTCAACTCGCATGTGGGTTCCGACAGGTCTCTTCAGCAGTCAGTTGGCAGACCGCAACAAGGATTTGGTGGGCTGAATGAGTTCAGATCGAAGTTTCAAGTGGATGAGTTTGTCCAGAGCGATTTCCAACGGTTTGGAAGTCAGCAAAATGGCAATATTAATGGGTTACAGTTTCAGCCTCAGCCCATACAACACCCGCAGCAACCCGGTTCGATGATGCTTCAAAGGCCTGAGATGGATATTGGAGAGTTCCAGGCTCATATGGGAGCACAATACCAACAGCCAGTTCAAGTGCAAAATCAATATCAACATGAGCAAGCATATCAGGGCCAGCATCAACAGAACCAGTTTCAACAGAACCAGTTTCAACAGAAGCAACGTATGCACCATATGCAGAGTTTGCCAAATCAACAAGTCCAGCAGTTGCAACAAAGCCAAAACCAGAATCAGCTCAAAACTCAACCAGCTTGGGTGACTAGTTTCCAGAACTTACAACTCGAAGAGAGCTGGGATGAGCCTATTCACAAACTACCTATGTTCGAGTCGAGAGTCTACGACCAAGGTTTGGGAGTGGCTCAAGAGCAGAATTTGCAACCACAGCAGCAAGTACCGGTTCAGTCACATGATTCGCTTGCTACGGACTTCACCCGCGAGTTTGACGCTTTGGAATCAGAACTCCAAAAGCCGGCCTCGCAGGAGCAGCAGACCAAGGACTTCGAGGCAGAAAAGATCAAACTGGCAGAAATCGCCCGCAATGTGTTTACTTCCATGACTACCGGAACCAGCACGACTGATACGATATCGAAGTTCCAGAACTCTAATTTTCTAAAGCTCATGGAAAAGGTAGCACAGAGGCAAGTGGAGATCAACCCCGAGGGAAACAAGTTCATAGACCAAAATGGAAACGATATAAGGGACTTGTTGCCAGATCCTTTGCGTGACATTAAAGAGGCAGCTGAGCCCTTTCAGAGTGCGAATGAGGCTCAACCAGGTTTGAGGCCTTCACAATGGGAGGAGGTGTTCGACGATGCATAAAGAAATGATGACATTTTTACGATAATATGGTGTACTGGCGAAATATAAGGTATACTCTTTGTTCTAGCGAGAACTGACTTTAATTTAGATTCAGTATGATAGCATATGAATCCTAAGACTAAAACTCTAGGCAACTCCTTCCTTAAGGAGCAGGGACTTGATGAACGCCTTTGACTCGTCATTGAAGTTATTGAACGTGTTCAGAGTAAAATCAATTCTAGCCTTGGCTTCTGGAATCTTGTCCAAGGCGGCATAATACGCGTCTTTGTCTCCAATGTAGCTCTTTTTTTCAACTTCTACCACAGTTTCTTTGGATACACCAGGCTCGAACCCTGCAGGAACCGGTAGGTCTTGCAGCATCTTAGCTGTCAATGGTGGGATGGTCATCTCATCAACGCCAGATAGACCAAGACAAATATCGAGACCAACAAGAGCTGCAATACAGACTTTTGTAGGACATTTGTGATACCAGAAGTAGTTCTGGATCTCCTTGGTCATGACATAGCCGTAGTTGGCGTCCACTGAAGGGAGAGCAACGTAAGTGGATGGGTCTAATGCATACTTGAGCTCATCAACATATGGCGAGATGTACTTGCATTTAGCCTCCGTAGCAAGAACTGCTTGGACCAGAGAATGAACCACAGTTCCCAGACACGCAATCCCGTGTTTGGTGGTAAGAATTTCAGCAGCTAGCATTGCTTCGTAAGTGACTGGAATTTTGATTATGAACTTGTCTTTGGGGATACCAATGTCTTCAAATGCAGAACTCAATCTTAATGCATAAGCCACGACTTTCTCGGTATTATAAGAGTCAGCAGGGTCAACTTGCGCCAGTACCCTTCCTGAGATCAGCTTTAGCATGTCGTTCCCTGCAAAAGCAGTGGCATAAAAGATAATCTCCTGGACAAACGTCTCGTCCAAGGAAGGAACCACGCCCTTGGACTGGAGATGGGCCAGAGCAGTTCCGATTAAAGATGGGTTGTGTTTCCAGATTGCAAAGGCGATTCCCTGGTTGGAGGTTGCATTAACAAATTCTATGGTTGGGAAAGGTGCGGCATCTGAAAAGTTAGTACTTGTATGCTGTCATCTTCTAAGTTGTACTTACCGTCCGGGGTAAACGTGTCAATGCTTAGAGTGGTGTATTTTCCGATTTCTGTGAGTAGGTTGGACATTGCGAAACGTAATATATTTTGATTTATTTCTGTAGTTGGATCAGAAGAAAACAACAACTAATCGAGTAATTTATTGTTTTCGAGGGCAGGATTTTACGATCTTTAAGCAGATTTAATCCTCATGCAAGAAAGGAATTCCGGGGTACATATAGTAAAACAGATGCCCTTCATTACTCCTTTTGGACGCGTGTTTAAGGTTGAAAGTGGAGTAAGCAGTACTCCACGGATATTACATGTAATGACGGTGAAAGGTTAATAAGTATATAGTTGATGACCGATAAGTTATATTATTCCGATGTATCACCTACTCTTTGATGTTTTTGGCGCTATACTGGTGAACGTGGTGTTTCATGCACAGTGTGCAGAGTGCAGTGCATTCATTCGACAACTCCAGAACTAGTTTATATGAAGCAGTATTTTGTGTTTGTATAAATTTCCTGTGATTTGGCCTCATGCTTGGCTCTGTAGCTCTCCAAGGGGGGTATCTCTATTCTGAGCTCGTCTCTGCTATAGCCTCGCTTATTTTTCCCTTTTCATGCCTTCCTCTGGCGTTCAACTATATCTCTTATCACCATGCTGATGGCCTCTTCAATGTTCTCGCCGTTAGACCCGCTCACCTCGACAAATCCACAGTCCCACATCTTTGCAAGCTGCTTGCCTCTCGAGATCAGTTTTGGACTCTTCATGTCGGAATCGGAATGGGTACATATAATGCACATTGGGGGTAGGTCCCTATCTTTCAACTCTCTGTCAAACATGTTTTCGCTTGGAACTTCTTCTGGGATCGATGATTCTTGCTTCTTCTTATTTCTCTTCCACAAGGTCTTGACGCTGTAGCTCAAGGAGTATATATCACCCTCTTTGCCCAAATCCCACGCGCTCTTGTACCTCTTAAACTCTCTCCATGCTTCTCCCACGCAAATTTTTATCATCTTGATCAGTTCAACGGGATTTGAGTTGGCACTTCTGACGTCCACACTTTCTAGAAAACTCACGTCAGAATTGCGCTTGCCATCAGCTCTCGTTGTGGATGTCGGAGAGACTTCATACGAGGGAGGCAGTATGTTGGGAACACTGGAATAAACTAAGAAGTAGCCATCAACGGCACCATTTAGATCGCCAGCACCAGATCCGACAATTAAAGGCTTGACGGAATGCTCTCTCCGCATATCGGTGGCCAAATTATGCAGAATGTCAGGAGACAGCTTGATGTCAAGACTGGCCTCGATAAAAGGTATTAATTGCTCTTGCTTTGCAGGGGAAGTGTCAATTAACTCCAACAAAATAGGAGTAATCTCCCGGGATGATTCACCTTGAGTGTGTCGTATGGCGTATATACTATTCTTCAGCTTGCTCTGTTGTTTTGTCGACTTATGGGGTGCCTGAGTCGAATTGTCGTTCACAGGTATATGCGCGGATCTGGGACTGGTGGAAGAAGTTTTGTCATTTCCACTGTCAGCCTTCAAAATTGAAACAGGCAAAACCATTGTGTTGTCTTCTAAAAGCGGTTGCAGGTCATGTAGATTGGCATCGGTGTCTAGCAACACTCTGGATTTCTGGGAGCGCGGGTAGAACTCGAAGAGGGTCGGTCTATTTGTTGTAGTAGGGTAGTACGTCTCGGAACTCCTCCCTGTTGTTGCCCGGTATATCATGGAGGTTTTTCCCGCCCTCTCACCACCAAGGATAGCAATCCTGACAGGTTTGTTATTCAAACACGGATGCATACTAGTCATGGAGTGGCAGTATGAAGAATATGACTGGTTGGGAAACAAATAAAGGTATGTGTAGTAAATTGAAGTTTTCTTGTTGTTTTAAGCCGTTTCAACGAATATTGTTGTTTTCTGTCGCCTCTTTGAAAAGACCTTTGCTAGTCTGGGCTTTGATGCAAGTAAAATCCCACACTGGCGTCGTCAGGTCGACAATTTCTCTCTTAGAAAAGCAGTTCCCGAGCTTAAAAGCAGCTGTATAAATAATCTGATATTAACCAAAACCTTAGTACTCAAGAAAAGAGTTTGGTTCAGAAAATTGAGCCACAATGGAGAATATACAAAAGTTCAAGATTCGTGAATTTCTTTTTCTTGCACGCTCTGGCACTCGGTCTTTCTCTGCTCGGGCAGTTAGCTACGCTTTTAACAGTTAAGCTTGCTTTTTGGCGGTTCTGCGTATTTTAGTTTCGGTTAGCCTGAACTATGCCTTCGGTAAAATATTAATGGGATTTGACTCCGAGTGGGAAAATCTTTCTTTTAGGTTTTTGCATGTCAAGTCCGGGTGGGGATATTCTACCGGGGAACCCAGACCCTTACAATTGTACACTACGGCGGAAACATGCTAGTGAAGATAGAGAAGAAAGATAAGAAGCAGGTTTGCCGTTCACGTTTAAATTACAAAAGATAACAGCCCCGTCTATCGCGTACATTTGTCTCGTTGAAGTGATTTCCAGACACAATTGCAGTAATGTGGTACCCTGACGGCCTCGCCGCGCCGCCGGCATCGGTGTGCCGGGTCCCTTCCACTTTGGGCGGCTATGATCCTGCTCACTTTGACTTTGAGCGCCTTCCGTTTTTAGAAGAGTTCTTTTTGACCCTCCACTTCGTTGCGTACTTCGTGCAGCTTTTCTGAATATGAGGCTGCATGGGCGGAGAAAAAGCAATGATCCCTGCTGACCTTTGTTTTTGGAGTTGTCTCCACCTTTGTAGAGATGAGGAGGGAAATGGCTGCGCCGCACCCTTTGTGTTTTCGACACCCCGTTACTCACACTACAGCATGAATGGCGTGCTCGTATATGAGGGTGTAGCAGGTGCCGTAATCTGCAGTGGGGTTGGACACTTGGTGGGGGAATCCTTTCATTACGGACAACGCCGTGTTTCCATATGCCTGTCAGATCTACGCCAGTGGGTTCAGCTGCTCTTCTGGCCACCTCTGGACCACCTCTGGACCCTAGCGGCAATGTTCGGCTATGATGTATAATATCACGTGACACTTGCCGCATTGATTCAAGAACGACTTTTATGGTTCTCCCGCCGCACACGACCATCACGATTATTAAAGACGCGACTTGGGAGTGCAGCAAGGTTGGAGTAGTTGTAAGTGGAACAAGGCATTTGGAAACATTTATAGGGAATTTTCAAAAACTCTTCCTGAGATTAATACTTTTTGATTAGACTTGAGCGATGCCGCCAACGATACGGCTTCCGACGAACACAAAGAGGAAGTACGAGCATATAGCGGCATCCGAGCCTAAGCTGATCAAGATTTTAAAGCTCGCAGATTCATTGAGCTATGATGGCCTTCAGCTTCATCGTTTTCAACAGACAGCTAGCATTTATGTGCCAGTATCTCTTGATAGCGAGGAATATCGAGTCTTTAACTACCATCCCAAACTGGAGGAGATTATACGAGCTTCGGACTCTCAGTTGGAACAATATCAAGAAAGCGAATCTGAGCTGGATCCACTGGAAAAGTCCCAGGAGTCTGTCTCTGAGGACGAGATTGATGATGAGGATGTGACGGAGGTGAAAGTTCCGGATTATTGGAGCAAAATGGCTAAAATTGATGATGATGATGATGATGAAACTGATGAGGACGAAGAGGAGCAGCAGGAACAAGACGATGATAGAGACCAGCCCGTTTCTAGATCAAGTAAAGTTGGCATGCGGCCCAACACTGGCTCAGAACTTTTTTCTCGCGAATTTGATGCAGAGGTCTCCTCCGTTAGCGAAGAAGGGACCGTTTGGGAACTGAAAGAGCCAGATGACTCAGTAGATATTCTTGCTCGCTCAGAAGGGTTGCTTCCCAGCAAGGAGGTATTGCCTGAGAATGAATCTGAATTGTTGCCTGTGGAAATTCCAATCTTGGAAGATCATTTTGAATTGAACCCATCCAAAGAGGCCGGTGAGGAATCCGATGCTTTTTTCACAGCCAATGAGTTGGATGACGATGACAAAGAAGATTCACCGCATTTGCAAGTGAATGCAACCATGCTGGACCATGAATTTTCCGGCGAAGACGACCAAAGGCTTCGACTTACTAGACAACAAGATATCAGGGCCATTCCGGAAGACCAGGTCAACTCATCTTCATATGAGGTCACCACTGACACCAGTAACAGGCCAGCGCACGATTCCTTGGAAAACAACGATGATTTGCAAATCATAGCTGAGATCCAGAGTGATAAACTCGACGGAGATGAGTTCAAACACGAGTTTACGGAGCCACAATCTGTTCGCATACAAGTGAAAGAAACGCCAACATCTATGCATGTTCGCGGCCAGAGAAATGACCACGAAATTGGCAGTTCAGAGTCTCAGAGCTCTGTTCACAAGTTGACCCCATTGGCTCTTAATATTGTCACTTTGACACAGTCAGACGACCATTCGGGTAAGAAATCTGACAAGTCCTCTCATGACCTCTCTTCTGGAGATATCATAACTTCCACACAAAGGGAAGGCCCCACAATGGAAGCCGTTGTGGTTACCTCTACTCAAAAAAAATCTCCGGTCACTTTACATTCTCTAGTCGCTATCCCAACTCCGGCCGTTGCTGTATCTCAAGATGATGACACAAGCTCTGGTGACGAGGTCTATAACCTAGGACCAGGTGATATCAAAAGGAGTATTGATATTGATAGGGAGATATTCAAAGACCTGAGAAAGAAAATTCTTCAGAAGAAATCAAAGAGTGCTGCGGCTCTAAAAGACGACACCTCTTCGCAAACATATATGTTTGCTTCAATCTTTGTCATATTCACGCTGTCGAAAATCCGTTTCTATGTGAAATGTATCAATTGCAATTTGCTAAAAAACCAATGTGCATGTGTGTTGCCAGACCTGACTGACTCTTTTGAGGTTGGTGTGTTTCTAACGTATGACAAAGTCTCTGCCATAGAATGTCGCGTTGACGAAACGCAGATCCGTGCCAGCGGAATACAATTTCCAAGTATTGGGCCAAATAGGCTTCAATTTGAGAAGCTAATCAGGACTGGTGCTAAGAATGGAGAGATAGTGGCTACAATGAGCCAATTCGATTGGTCGGGTCTAAGAAACTTGCTCTGTGATCTCACTGGGAAGCTCGAGAGCGATGGATTCAAGATCACTAAATTTGCTAAAACCGGCATGCGCTCGCTGTATGGCTAACTAATCAGGGACAATATTTTTAATGCTATAAATAAGAGATAATTTTGGAAACAGCTTTAGGATACCAATCAACTAATCACGGCTTGAGTGTGAGCCGCATTGTTTATGTTTGGTTTAGGCAGGGTAACATCTCCAGGACTTCACTCACTCTTTTTTCAGCCGAAGTTTTTTCCCTTCCTAACTCTTCTTTTCAAAAATCGTACCAAACCATCATTCAGACAGTGCGTTGTGATCATGGGTGACTCGAACTCGATTCGTTGACCAACTCGTTTTGAGTTGGTCGGCAGTCACTTCGCTCTGGCTTTAATCAGCTTTGAGCGGAAAGGGTTCACATGGGTCGTCTCGCCAGTGATTAACCAATCGCGATACTTGATGGTAAGATCGAAACTATTGTATCTTTTAAGAACCCGTCTGGATCTACGAAATGAGAGATGGGTGTCAGTGGATGCAGACATTAAAAAAAACGCAAATTCTGTTGTAGTTTTGTAAATTGTTATAAGGTGGAAAGCTAGAGGCTGGCAGGCCCAGAACTGGCTAAAATTAATGCATCTTCAAGTAAGGTGAAACTAGATATTATTAGCGAAAAAGTCGTTATCCAAAATTTGAGAGCTATTTGTTGGTGGTTGCTAGTATTTGCAAGATGAGCTGACTAGTGCCTTGTGGAATCGTGAGTCGTAAAAGCGTGCATGGTGCCTGGTATGATTGATAAAGCTCTATAGCTGTGCGAGTGGTATGAAATGTCCTCGTCAGCGTTATTAATTTGCCGATCGTATTCTTTCAGTTTCATCGTCCTGTGGCTTTTTCGAACCTGCTAGTGATGACCCGCTCACTGGGGGTTTTCTAGTAGAATCAGCATATCTTGACGGTGGACCCGAAGACCTTTGAGGTGTAATGCTGGGTCTTGGGTCCGAGGGACGAGCTATAACGTTAGCCATGGAGTCCGCATGTTTGTAGTAGATGTAATTATGCAACGCCATTTCGAAGATTCTATACCCAAGTCAAGTGTATACTGGCTTGTTAACGAGGATATCTTGACATGTTTACAATGCTACAAATAAAAGTGACGGGTTCATGCTTCTATATATCGGCGAAAAGTGGCATGCATGTAGCCTGATCCAAGGTGGTTCCACTTTTTTGGAGCTTCCACGTTAGTGGATATCTCACATTTGTCGGTGCACGTAACCCGATCTAAATTGAATCCTAGGTTCTTAATGGTTGAGCGAACGCGGTGACGCGAATGTGACTGATCGATCCGGAGAGATTTCTGAAAAGCGAGAACTGTTGCATCAAATCGGTCTCTTGACCAAAGATTGCACAGGTTTCGCGTGTCCCCGAAGGTGTTCCAGAGGCATTCTCACCACAAACAGCCACACCATTTCAGGCTTAAACAGCCCAGAAAAATACATTGAAATATCTCAGAGCACTTTTTCTTCAGGTTTTTATGTCATATTTGACCTCCAGTTATTTACCCCACTACATCATCGTCAATCGCGGCGCAAAGCTTTTGAGTTCTGAATTTCAGGAACCATTACTGCGGCTACTCTTTGAGCATCACACTTCCTGATCTGCAGATAAGGATTTGGCAAGAAGCAGCTTTGCGCCTAAAATGAATAGATATCTGATAAGAATCAACCTTTAGTCACTGATCACTCGTTGAGAATGTACTGTGTCTGTTTATGCTTGATATGGACGATTCTCCGGTTTTTTCCGCCTAGAGTTACTTATCTGGTCACAGATGGCGCCTAAGTCGCCTAAGTCTCAAAGTGGTAATCTCTTTATCGGGAACCCAATTCGTAATCCTTACGCGCCAGATGATTTAAATAACACATCCCGCACCTAGATTTGGTATGAAAATCATCAAGATCAAGACTGAAGTGTTACTAGCATTCAGTTTCCAAATAATCACCAAAATCAAACAATGTCAGAAGCACCTGCAGATCCAGTGCTCTTTGAGTCTTGGAAGCCCAAGATCGCCAAGTACAATCAGGAACTGGAAAATTCCATGAAGCAGGAGTACCGCTTACCCAAGGACAAGTTCCCAGCCGCTGATGAGATTGATATGGTGCCAATTGCAAAGTCCAGTGGACTGCTTACCGAGTCTGAGCTTACTATCACTGAAACATCCGCAGTTGAACTGTGTGCGAAAATGGCCAAGGGCGAATTAACGGCAACTGCTGTTCTGGATGCTTTCGTCAAACGTGCTACTATTGCGCATGAGTTGTTGAATGTTGCCACCGGGTTCATATTGGAAGACGGTTACGCCAGAGCAAAGGAACTGGACGAATACTATGCTAAAACCGGCAAAACGGTTGGTCCATTGCACGGACTACCAGTCTCTATTAAAGAACATATCGGCTTCAAAGATAAGGTTTGTCATGCTGGATTTGTCTCGTTGATTGAGAACGTGACTCCTGACGATGCCGTCACATTGAAAGTGCTTTACAAACAAGGTGCGGTATTCTATGTGCGTACCAACGAGCCGCAGAGTCTGATGCACCCAAACACCACCAATTACATCACCGGCAAAACTGTAAACGCCAATAACATCAAATTGAGTTCCGGAGGTTCTTCTGGTGGTGAAGGCTCGTTGGTAGCCTTCAAGGGCTCTCCAATGGGAATGGGTACCGATATCGGTGGTTCCATCAGGTTTCCAGCTGCCTTCAATGGTGTGTATGGATTCAAGCCCTCCAGCAAGATAATTTCCATGATGGGATGTGTGGCTGCTGGAGAAGGTCAGGAGAGTATTCCCTGTGCAATGGGTCCAATTTGCTCTTATTTGGACGATATGACCCTCTTCATGAAAGCATACGCTGAAGCAGAACCCTGGAAACTGGACCCAAGTCTGATCCCACGCAAATGGGAAGACGTTACTCTGGACCCTTCCAAATTGAAAGTGGCTATAATGTGGGATGACGGCGAGGTCAAGCCTCATCCTCCAATTCAAAGAGGTCTCAAGTTTGCAGCAGAGAAGCTCAAAGCAGCTGGTGTTGAGTTGGTGGATTGGAAGCCAGTCATGCCTGGTAAGGCCTTCGAGACTGTGGGTCCAATGTACTATGGAGATGGCTGCAAAGCATGCAAAGATTTATTGGCTATTTCTGGTGAGCCAATTCATCCTTTGACAGCTTACGCGTTCAGCATGAACCACTTGGGAGACTATTCGGCTGCAAAGCTCTGGGACTTGAATGCAACCAAGGATAAAATCTACCTGGAGACGTTCGACCAGATGAATGAATTGGGAGTCGACTATATCCTTGCACCAACATATGTTGGTGTCGCTGCCGAGCAGGAGAACATTCATTACTGGAACTATACGTCTTTGTGGAACCTCTTAGACCAGCCATGTGTGATCATTCCAACCGGTCTCAGGCAGGATCCTGCGATCGACCTGGTCGAGGATCGTGAACCATGGAGCAAATGGGACGCTGAGCAGAAGCAGAAATACGACAAAGACCCTGCTCTTTTCACCAACGGTCCAATTGCGTTGCAAGTCGTTGGTAGAAGACTCCATGATGAACATGCTCTTGCTGCTGCCAAGATCATCGACGATATCTTGCATGGGTGAATCGATAGTATAATATCTTGCAATTAAATCATGTATAGATGTTAATATATGAATGTGCCGGTGCGTATGTGAATGATTGTCTAACTGGTACATTTGGGGGGTTTCCTGCAGAAACTGAAGCGGACAGTTTGAGACACAGACATGCAGTCTTCCATCTGATCCTCAGCTTCTGACCATCCAGGATAAACTCGATCTTTCGAGTGGCCTAATCCACATCCAAGTCCAATTCCTTGTACTTCGTCCTGCTTTTCATTCCAAATGTGATCAACCCTCTCAAAAGCTCCCTTGGATTAAGTTCGTATCTCTTGATCGTACGTGAAGACTCGTGGATGATCACCGAGTTTTCGCTTGATAACCATGACTGTGGGAGTTCGTAGTGCAGTTGCGGATCCTCTTCGAGAATCTCCTCGAGAGACTCTAGAGAGATATTGAACTTCATAGGAGAAGAAGCCGGTGTTCCTTCCCACTCGTCGGCCTCGTCTCCTCCAAAAGACGAGCCATCGCTGGCGGTATCCTGTCTGAACCTTTCTAGTATTATAGCAGCATCAGATTTGCGATGTTGCAGCGGAGTCGCATCAAAATTCAGCGGCCGGACGGGCAACGCACTTGCGCATCGAATGACTTTCTTGAGCGTTTTGCGCGCACTAGCTATGTTTATGGCATCCGAATACTCAATATTTTCCTTGAACACTTCGCCGTTCTGTGGGTGTGACTGCAGCAGGAACCCGATATAACTGTGCAATTTTTCGTTTTGAAGCTGTAGAGATTTCAGTTCGAATGTGATCTTCATCAGCTCCTGTTTGTGAATGTGTGCTTGATTTTGTAGCTCTATTCCATGGAGCATTTGTCCAAAGCTGGATAGTCTGTTTGATGTGGAGTTTTTAGACGAAGCAGAAGTTGACCTGGGTATCGTCGAGTCTGCGGAGGGCAGCGAGTTGAGCTCCTCTGCGAGAGATGTGAAGTTCTGGGAGTCCGACTGATACTGACGGAAATCATGCGGGCTATGAGCCTCATCATCAGACTCATCCCATCCGTGGTGTGATTGCGAACCTTCTTCCTCTTTGGCCAGCTTGTCATAGTCTTCCTTTAGGGAATTGTATTTCTCCTCGAAATCTTGGAGCTGCAGCTTGAACATCTCAAACTCATCAATGATCAACATCTTGGAGCTCTTTTCGAGTTCGATCTCGCGCTCTAGGCCCTTGATTCGTTTGCTCAACCTCTCGGTGCTTTGCTGCTCCCCTTCTATAAACTGCGAATGATGTTCATAGGAACGACGGTGAGGTTGCGCTGAATCGACCACTTCTTCCTTATCTTTCACCCTTTCCTCATTGCTATGCACCAAACTTGTGAGCCGCTGTATTTTCCTCTCATAAGTCTGCTTGGAAGCATGCCAATTCACGAATTCCTTCTCGTTGAATTCGCGCTCCGAGACGAGGTCGTTCACCAATGTCTTGTTCTCCTTGATCAATTCGTTAATCCTCTGTTGCTTTAACAGTGCCTCTTTTTCATTTGCCAGCAATTCCAGCTCAATCTTCTCCTTTTCGCGTGTCAGTCTTGCATTTTCAAGTATAAGATCAGCACACTGCCTTTCTAACCTGTTTGGCGAAACGGATACAGACCCGCTCCGTTTACGTCTCTCTGGTGTTGTTACTGCAAATCCCGAAATGGACTTCTTCTTCACCACTTGAGCTTGTTGCAATTGTTGGTGCCGACTGCTTCCAGAAGAGACTGGTTTACGGCTCAACGGTGTTTGTGGTTCTGACACGTTCTCGTCCTTGGGCCTCAATGGCGTGGAGCACGCCGACCGGTCAAGATATATTGTGGCCAACCCCTGGTTCTCCTTGTCGTCTATTACCATTTCGACATAAACAGCAGCAGAACAGAGTGTGGGTGCAGAGATGGTTTTGCCGGAATGGTAAGGTTGATGATTGTTTATGTTTTGAGTTGGTGGGGCGTGCTGAACCAAGGAATCTGTATCTGCGTGCCCCGCTCATTTTTTGGTGCACGCCCCAAAAAAAGGAATTCGCGTCGATCCCAAGAAACGTGCCTAGGGTCCACGTTTGACTAGCTGTGTTCTGTTCCTTCAGTCTTTCAACAGTTCTTCTTGTCTAGCGAGTTTTTTTTTTTGACAATTTTCATCAGGAGTCAAGCTAGAGGCTGAGTCAGTTGAGTAGGGCTCATACCGTTTGTCGAATTTACAAGCAAACGCTCTCCACTTGATACCCAGGGGCTATATTAAGCATAGACGCTCATTTGACCTGTGTCGTACAGTCTTTAGTGAAACTAGGTATCATTATGGCACTTCTCATCTCAAACAGACACTATAAACTTGTGTTCGTACTGACCGTGCTAGTGGTGGTGATTATCACGCTGGTTTCAGCTCCCGTCGGCGGCGCAACCAATTTTGCAAAGCCCCAAATCATAGACGATGTCAAGCAGAGTGTGAACGACATAATTGGTTCCAGCATCGGCACTGTGGCGACCCCATGGACTGCGGACGATGCCCCTGAAGAACCCAAAGCTGGTGATGCACTGAAAGAGGCCAAGGAGCTGGATGTTGTCAAGGTGTCTCCTGGAAGTAAAGATGTCTCTAAACCAGCTGCAGCTGCTGCTCCTGTTGCTGCTCCTGTTGCTGCGGAACAGCCCAAAGCTGGCGGAATTGAGGCCAACAGAGATCATGCACCTGAAAATGACGTTGGAAAGACCCCACCTGCCACGGTTGCTGCCGCTGCTGCTGCCGCTGCCGATGATGATTCGCTGGACGACTCTCCTTTGGCGGAGAAGAAGCCTGCTTCTGGGTCGGGAAAGTCTGAGGATTGCGGTGAAAAGTATGTTGTTATGATTGACGCTGGTTCCACGGGTTCCAGAGTTCACGTGTACACCTTTGACACATGTGTCTCTCCTCCCAAGCTGCTGAACGAGGCCTTTGATATGCTTAAGCCGGGCCTTTCTTCCTTTGATACCGACACCGTTGGAGCTGCGCAGTCTCTGGACCCCTTGCTTGCTATTGCTCTCAAGACTGTACCAAAAGACAAGCAGTCGTGTACCCCAGTTGCAGTCAAAGCCACTGCTGGTCTCAGACTGCTGGGAGAGGATAAGTCAGATGCCATCTTAAAGGAGGTCAGGCGTCATCTTGAAGAAGACTTCCCATTCCCTGTGGTTGATGGAGACGGAGTTTCCATCATGGATGGAAGTGACGAGGGTGTTTATGCGTGGGTCACCACCAACTACCTCTTGGGTAACATTGGTTCTGCCAAGAAAACTCCTACTACCGCAGTGTTTGATCTCGGTGGAGGATCCACCCAGATCGTTTTTGAGCCTTCCAAGGGTGAGGAGATGATTGAAGGTGAACACAAGTACAGTCTGTCGTTTGGCGGTCGTGATTTCACTCTCTATCAGTTCTCGCATCTGGGATACGGTCTCATGCAGGGAAGAAGAAAGATCAATTCTATGGTGCTTTCTACTGCATTGCAAACAGAAGAGCACGCAAATCTGAAGCCTGCTGTGGATAAGTCGGCCAAGGCGGAGGTGGAAATCTCGCACCCATGTATTCCACCTGGGGTTGTTGCCGAAAACATCGAGGTTGAACTTGACGATAACACCAAGTACGTGGTCAACTTCAAGTCTGCTTCCGAGGGCGCAGATGAAGGCATCGTTTCCTCCGTTGCCACGCAGTGCAAGTTCCTAGCCGAGTCGATCCTCAACAAGGATCTGGAATGTGAGTCAAAACCGTGTTCTTTCAACGGTATCTACCAGCCTTCGTTGAGACACCAGTTCCCAGAGGAGAGCGAGATGTACATCTTCTCGTACTTCTATGACAGATTACACCCACTTGGAATGCCATCTTCGTTCTCTCTCGAGGAGATGAAGGAGATGACCAAAGTCATCTGTTCTGGCTCTAAGCATTGGGAAAGTTATCTCTTTGACAAGAACGGAATCGAGCATCTCGAGAAGGAGCCCCAATGGTGTTTGGATCTCTCTTTTATGACTTCTCTGTTGCACACCGGATACGATATCCCACTCAAGCGTGAGCTAAAGACTGCAGACAAGATCAGTGACAATGAGCTGGGTTGGTGTTTGGGAGCTTCTTTGCCTCTGCTTGAGCCTGGTACTGCTTCTGGCTGGAAGTGCAAGGTCTCTAAGGATGTGTAAAGAGATGGTCATAGTTGGCTTTTGCACTGCCATATATATATCTTTGTTTGTGGCCAGTTATAATTAGATTTGTTTTAACTACGAAAATGATTCCAGTTGTAGTGAATAAATCGTGTAAAATCACCCATTGAACAGACGCATCTGGAAAAAGCGAGTCCCAATGAGGCTCTTAGTAATCTCGCTCGCTCTTTCTATCTCTATATCTCTCCTAAGATGTGCCTAGCTGGACGAATAATGAGGCTCTTTTTGAATGACAAAAGGCCTATATCTCACAATTTTATCTCAGATATTATCTCAGATGTTATCTCTAGCAGAAAGTTGATATATTTTTTCAAAAGAAAAATTCCATTTCTCGAAAATCTGAAACTTTACTCAATTCTGCTCAATTCCCTTCCAAGGCTTTACTTCTGTATCAACTCCAGTTTCCACTCAAGTCACTGCTAGCTAAGCATTATTTCCCCAACAATAAACTTTATCGTAATAATCATGACAGAATATTCCAGATTATAAATTATAAGCCCACTTCTATTATAATTGACCCAATTCCTCCCTCCACCCAAATTCTGGATTTAAGGTGGAGATACCGGAGACTGGAGATAACGTGGGGAGACCAAAAATTCGCAACGTGATAAGTGCTCAGTTGAGAGAGAGAAAATATGTCTTGTTGCATTATTTCTCCTATTTTCAGCACCACTTGCTTTTTTGAATCGTCTTTAATCAGTCCAAGAGATCCAAATTTGCACGGTGAATCTGGTGATCTGAATTTCAGGCCAATTTGCGCTTAACAGAATGTCGAACCAGCAAATCATACCAAACGACGACATGAACACACCGGAGCCCGCAGAGGTTACTAGCACCACTTCCTCGTCAACCCCTTCGCCAATAGAAGGAGAGGCTGGTGAAGAAATGCAGCGCTCAGACTCATTCTTTCCGAAACAGCCGGTTCTGCACGGGTCTCTCTACTGTGATGATAACCCACGCTGCGCCCTCACTGATGAGAAGCAAGCTGAGGATATCCCGGCTTCAACCGCATTGAGTCCCATGTTGAAGAAGTTCCAGCAGCTAGGACTGACCAATCAGGTGTCTCCACCAAGAAAAACCAAGCGGAACGCCAGCCAGGACCTTCTGAATCTGTCGAAGAACGATCTCAAGGCCGTGAAGTCGCATGCCCAACTGGCTAAGACCGCCAATGGGGTCAGAATACTGGCAAGAAATCTGGATAAAGCTACCATCAAGATCCAGCTGCGGTCAGTGATGATTGTGACCAAAGCCAGAGACAATTCGCTGGTTTATCTGACAAGAGAGTTGACCGAATGGTTGCTACGATTTTCTGAGAATAACTTCAAGCTGGACGTTTACGTGGATTACCATCTGGAGACTTCGAAAAGGTTTCATGCCGAGGGAATTGTCAAGGAGATACCGAACTCCAAGGACAGACTCAAGTACTGGGATAAGGCTTTGATCAGGGCCAACCCAGAATTGTTTGATCTGGTCTTGACTCTCGGAGGAGATGGTACCGTTCTTTACGCATCTACTCTGTTTCAACGGGTTGTTCCACCGGTGATGTCATTTTCCCTTGGATCTCTGGGATTTCTAACCAACTTCAAGTTCGAGGACTTTCGCAAGCTTTTGCACAACGCTGTGGTGAAGGGCGTCCGCACCAATCTAAGAATGCGGTTTACGTGCCGGGTTCATGCGGCAAATGGGAAACTTTTGTGTGAGCAGCAAGTGCTTAACGAACTTACTGTTGACCGTGGACCTTCGCCATGGGTCTCAATGCTGGAATTGTATGGTGATAACAGTCTCCTGACGGTGGCCCAGGCGGATGGACTTATCATTGCCACTCCTACTGGTTCAACAGCTTACTCTTTGAGTGCAGGAGGATCTTTAGTTCATCCCAGTGTCAGCGCTATTAGTGTGACTCCTATTTGCCCTCATACTTTATCGTTTAGACCGATCTTGCTACCCGATTCGATGGTGCTGAAGGTGAAGGTTCCGCTTAGATCTCGGTCCACTGCTTGGGCCTCTTTTGATGGCCGGTCGCGTGTAGAACTTTTGAAGGGCTACTACGTCACAATTGCTGCTTCCCCGTTCCCATTCCCTACAGTGAGGTCTAGCAAGACGGAGTACTTTGACAGTGTCTCGCGTGTTTTGAACTGGAACAGCAGAGAGGAGCAGAAATCGTTTGTGCATCTTCTGAGTGACAAAAATAAGAAGAGTTACAACAAATATGAGCAATTGCACAAGAACACGGAAGTGGCCAAACGGAGGAGTCGAGCGGTGTTCGAGCTAGATTCGACTGATTCATTGAAGCCCCAACAAGGCACCGAAGACGTGCGCGAGGACGTGACAGAAGAAGGAGAGGATAAAGATTATTATGAAGCGGAAGACGATGAGGATGAAAGTGTTTACGAGATCGATTACAACGACGAAGATGATGCGGAAGATCATCTTGACCCAACAAACAGTCTGGCACAGGACGTGCCGGATGATTACGACGACTATGATGAGTCATCGCTAGAGCTGGACGAGAACGAAGACTACATGAACAATTACTTCCATCCTATGCCAGGTGAAGAGATCTGTACTCCGCAGGCTAAGACACCAGGTGATGCCACCCCAGACGGAGGTGCCCACCCGAACAGGACTCCTCACGAAGCAGAGCGGGCGCTGCATCTGGCGATGTCTAAGCTTCAGCACGAAGCAAAATAAGACTACCAGCGGGTGTATAACATGAATATTGGAAAGGAAACCCGATTATGTAGACTTCAAGCCTTAAATCAGATCACGTGATTCTGCCTGTCAGGTCGTGCACGTCCACTCCGGACTCGCGTCCCGCCTTCGCAAGATCCCATTCGCACGTCTTGGTGGGGAATCTATTAGTCAAACAGTGATCGCAGCAGAGATCTTTGGTTTTAACTCTGACATATTCACATTCACAGAGTGGTTTTGATCTGTTGTAGCAGCGATCTTAATATTCAATTTGGTGCATACAAATCGGGATACTTGAATCTTGTTTGACCCTACCCTCTCTGGCGTCTCTTGCTTCGCCATAGTTGACATCTGCGTGAGTGAAAGCTTATATTTTTTTTTGGATTTAGTGTTGTTTGATGGTGGCATGTGATTTCACAATAGTATGCCCTGATTAGGTTAATGTTGTGCACGAAAGTACTCTTGGTACACTGTCAATGACAGCAATACTGGCCCTCAAGGGGCGAAACCTGGTCTGCGGCAAATTGGCATTGATGCTACCAAATTAACACGATATCCCATAATGAACAAGAAATACCACTAACACCATCACAGAAGCTTTATATCTCGAAACGACACAACGATGGTGATGGATAAACCATTCACCGAGGCCGACCCTGATGTCATTGATCTGACGGGGAACATTTCGTCCGGTTCTTCCACCTCGAGTTCGCTTGCATCCTCACCAGCAAGCGCTCCTTTGGAGTCCGCAGATTCCTCCAAATTTGATCTGATGCAGGCTAAATTGATGCCTCCTCCGCCGGAGGAGTACCAGGTTGACATCGAGGGTTACTTCACTTGGGAGATCAAGCAGTGGAGTAAACTTCCTGAAGATAAGGCACTCAGTCCCAGATTTCAGGTAGGAGACTTTGAATGGAATCTTTTGCTATTCAAGAAAACACAGACTAGTCTCAATCCAGCAATATACCTGGAGCCTCATCCTCTGAATGCCAATGGAACGTCTTCGGAAAAGGATTCAGAATGGCACGTTTGTGCCCAATTCGTCATTGATGCATGGAATCCCCACGATCCAACGGTGCACAGAAGCAGCGTTTCCCACCACCGTTTTAGCAGCCAGGAGACCGACTGGGGTTTCACAAATTTCCTAGAGAAGAAGAATCTGTTCGGCACGAGCAAGCAGACTGGCTTTATATACGAGGATGCTATCAACTTTACTGTCTATGTGCGGATCATGAAGGATCACACGGGTGTTTTGTGGCACAATTTCATGAACTATGACTCGAAAAAAGAGACCGGCTTCGTGGGTTTGAATAATCAGGGTGCCACATGCTACCTGAACTCTTTGCTTCAGTCGTACTTTTTCACGAAGCTATTCAGAAAGAAGGTTTTCAGTATTCCTACAAAGGAGGAGAGTATAACTGATTATACAAAGAAGCATAAAACTGTGGAGTTGGCTCTGCAGAGGCTTTTCTACAAGTTGCAGACTTCTGATCACCCAGTTGATACTCTCGAGCTTACAAAGTCGTTTGGGTGGGACAGCAGCGACGCTTTCACCCAACACGACGTGCAAGAGCTGAACAGGGTTCTCATGGATATTTTGGAGAATAGGATGAAGGGAACTGCGATTGAAGGCTGCCTTACTGGTATCTTTGTGGGCAAGATGAAGAGTTTCATCAGATGCATCAACGTGGACTTTGAGAGTAGCCGCGTCGAAGACTACTGGGATATTCAACTGAACGTAAAAGGAATGGGCAATTTGGAGCAGTCGTTCGCAAACTATATTGAGCCAGAGGTGCTTGATGGTGATAACAAATATGAAGCCACTGGCTATGGGCTCCAAGATGCTAATAAGGGTGTTGTTTTCGAAAGTTTTCCTCCTGTTTTGCATCTTCAGTTAAAGCGCTTTGAATATGATTTCCAGACACTGAACCTCATGAAAATCAATGACCGCCATGAATTTCCCGACTCGATTGATCTCAAACCATATTTGGACAAGAGTTCAAGCACAGTGGACGAAGACTGGGAATACGAATTGCACGGTGTATTGGTTCACACAGGTGATATATCGACTGGCCATTACTATGCGTTGATCAAACCGTCCTTGGAAGATGAATGGTACAGATTTGACGATGACCGTGTTTGGAAATGCGTAAAATCCGAAGTCTTTGAACAAAATTTCGGAGCCAACAGACGACTGGACTCGGAGATTAGGACCATGACCAAGTCGGAGTATGTCGATTATCAGCAAAGAAGACATACATCTGCTTACATGCTTGTGTACCTTCGCAAAAGCAAACTGAACGAAATCATGGATGAAGTTACGGATGAAGACGTTCCGAAGCATGTACGCACCCAAATTGATTTGGAATTGGAGGCATACGCTCGTCGCAAACGTGAAATGGAGGAAATGCACCTCTATGTCAATTTCAGAGTTTACACGAATGATACGTTCATGAAATTCCAAGGCTCTGATTTGGGACCTCTCCACTCTACTGCGTATGGTGAGGATCCACATGATCCTGAAAGCAATCCTATAGCCTTCAGGTTTTTGAAAGAGGAGAAATTCTCCAAGGTTTTAGATACTATTTCGGAAGCACTCGGAGGCAAAAGTGTGGAGCAGTTTCGCTTGTGGTTCATGTCTCATCGTGATAACCGTACAATCAGGCCGTGTGTGCCTGTTTCCATTGATTATGAGGAGGCAAGAAACAGCTCTGTAGAGACTGTTTTCGCAGAATACGATAAGAATCCAAGGGCATATACTATGAGACTGTTTGTCGAAGAGCCTGATAAGGAATTGAGAAGAGTTGCAGAGAGTGCCTATAAGCTGCGCTCTGAGGGCAAGTTGACCTTAGATGAAAAAGAGCATGTTGACTCACTGAACCTGATATCTCACTTCAATCAGTTGGTTGAAGCCACTAGAGCACCATCTCCAACACCCTTTGTTGATGTTTCCCCAGAAAGCAACAATCTGATTGTGTTTTTGAAGTTTTTTGACGTTGCTAATCAACGTTTGGTTGGATTTACGCATGCAATTATTTCGGCAGATCAACAGGTATCTAAGTTGACGAGGCTGATCAACTTTCTTTTCAACCAAGAGCTTGAAGCACCCATTAAGTACTATGAAGAGGTCGAACCTTCTACCATAGAGACGATGAGTTTGTTCAACTCTTTTGATAAGAGCGAGATAGGAAATGGGGACATCATATGTTTCAATAGTCTTCAGCTCCCAGACGGTGTTTTGGAGAGAGCTGAATACAAATCGCCTATTGCTTTTTATGACTTTTTTAGAACGAGGGTTCACCTTTTCTTCAAACCCCTCAAGAAGGCTCTGGAAGATGAAGAGAATTACGTCGCTGAGACCCCTGCTGGTCTTGAAGAAGATACTACGGATGGAAACTCAGGAGATGAGAAGACAGGTAAGGAGACAGATCTTTGGGTTTCTCACAAAACTGTTTTCCCTGTGTTGTTGGAGAAACTGGGCAAGGCTCTTGGTGTTGACCCAAATTACATCCGTCTCTTCTATATCAACGAAGAGGACAAGCGCGTTCCTCTCTTCAGATCATCCCAGTACTTGCTTGCAAATCTCCCTCCATATCGCAGGTTTACTTTTGAGTACGAAATCCTGAGTATAACTCTCGAAGAACTGGAAACTATGAAGTTGGTGAAACTTTCTTGGATAGGATCAGGTATAAACCATGAACAGAAACACGAGTTCCTGGTTCCTGATGACTCGACAGTTCAGACTGTGGTTGACCGCCTTCAACCACGGGTTGGGTTTAACGAAATCATCAAACAGGATCTAATGATCTGGGCTTCCTATAACCATACATTCCAAAAGCCGATTTCGTTAGACTTCCCCGTGATCGAGCTTGCCAGTCATGAAGAGCTTGTCATAGGTTTGTTTCCAGAGTATACAAGCTTGTGGCAGGAGTTCAACTGGGGGAAGATCGGTGATTCTGACGGAAACTTGACCCTGGACAACACAAAGTTCATTCCGGTAGTCCAATATCAGGACGACCCTCACAGGGCAACACACGGGTCACCTTTCATATTCTTGCTTATTCAAGGTGAGAAGATTGAGGCCACGAAGACACGGATTCAGAAGATCATGGGGTTGGGAGCTAAGGAATTCAGCAAAGTTGGCATATCACTACTAGGAAGGAACTTTAAACCGGTGAATATCCCCACGGATAACCCCGATATTATTCTTTTCAACGAAGCGAGATCAGACACTTCACTTGGTCTGAACCATCCTGACCCGACCGCCAAAAGACATGAGAGAGCAATTTTTATTAAAAACTGATGCAAGATAAGCATACCACCACACTCCTTTCTTATCATTTCCCTAGACTTGTAGTAGGTCCCTCCGGTTTACCGTACTTTTCATCGTATTCCAGTTGACGTAGTCTCGTACTACTCAACTTGTCCTTCCAGTTGTCACCAGCGGAGCCTCCTCCAATCACGCCAACCTCGAACAGAGCCAGCTCCGGAAACCCCTTTTCTAGTCGTATCTTATTAACGGTAGCCCCTCCAGCAGAAGTTTCCTGGCTCAACACCAAAACGTCGATATCTGAGATGAACCCGGTGGGTCCCGCAATATCACGAAGCTCATAGCAATCAACCTCAAGATCTGGCTGAATCTTTTTAAGAAAGTTTATAACAGCTTCTTTCCTTGTATGGTACGATTGCATCACCTCCTTGAATTGTTTGTTCTTGAGAAGCTCGTCCTGAGTGATGCCAACAATGAGTTTTTCACTCGCCAAAAACCCCGCTAAGGTGAGTAATATTTTGTGACCATCGTGCAAATGATCAAAAGTACCTCCTAATGCCGTAACCCTGAACTGACCACGCTGAGCATCAGATTTTGAACTTGGAGTCTTAACGTCATTAGATAGCGCCTCGTTTGAATGAGCCTGTGAGCTCAAATATATGTCTGCGTTCGGAGAAACTATACTGGAATCGTATATCACAGTAGTAAATACCTGTGCATTTTTTGTCTCTTCCTGTGCTTCTCTGGCAATATTATACACGCTGGCCAATACACTTTCAAGTTCTCTCATGTGTGTGAACTGATGGTTCACCACGATATCGAGCTTCCCCAAGGGTTTCACCTGCTTCAATGCTCTGATTACATCGTCTTTGCAATACCCAATTGCATTGAGCTCAATAGTGAGAATTGCATAGTCCAGACTCATTTCAATGCAAAGGACAAATAAAATCAAGAAGCAACCATATACGCCATCGAAGGACCAACTCCAGGTTCTGGTCAAGCCTCAAGCCTTATCGAATCTCGATTGTTCTGCGCACGCCCGAAAATATATCATTTTCAAGTTCCACAACAATACCGTTGATTAGACTTGACTAACGTCAGGCCGGTAACCCTATTTCTCCAATGTCCGAAAAGCATACAGATGCACAGAAGGAGTACCAGAGATTGGTGGCGCTTAAGTCCTCTGGCACATATGTTCCTCCAGCCAAACTGCGAACTGTTTTGGCCCAAATCAACGTATCGAAGGATTCAGAAGAGTACCAGAAACTTCAGTGGGAAGCATTGAGAAAATCAATCAGCGGACTTGTGAATAAAGTCAGTGCTTCTAATATCAAAACGATTGTGGTGGACTTGTTTAAATTGAATTTGCAGAGAGGAAGGGCAATATTTGTTAGGGCAATATTGAGAGCTCAGATTGCGTCTCCTACTATGACTCGAGTATATGCTGCTTTAGTTGCGATAGTGAATTCGAAAATTCCTGAAATTGGCGAGTTGATGCTGGCGAGGTTGATTCTGCAGTTCAGAAGTGGCTACAAGAGAAAAGACAAACAGCAAGTGCTAGCCACTACCACACTGATTGCTCATCTGGTGAACTACCGAGTTAGCCACGAAATTGTGGCTCTCCAGGTATTGCACTTTTTGTTAGAATCGTCCAGTGATGACGCGGTGGAGATTTCTGTGAATCTAATGACAGAAGTTGGGGCCACTTTGACTGAGACAAGTTCTCGGGCTTGCGGTGTGATACTGGAGAGGTTTCGAGTAGTGCTTCAGGAAGGTATGGTGAACAAGCGTGTGCAGCACTTGATACAAGTGTTGTTTCAGGAGAGGCGAGAGGAATTCAAAGATCATCCTTCTGTGGTAAAGGAGCTGGACTTGGTGGAGGAAGAAGACCAGACCACGCATCTCGTTGGGTTAGACGATGAGCTAGATGCCAATGCTGGGTTGGATGAATACAAGTTTGATGCAGACTACGAGGAGAACGAAAAGAAGTATAACAGATTAAAACATGATATTTTGGGGTCAGACGATGAGGATGACCAATCTGGCTCCGAATCTGGCTCCGAATCCGACTCTGAGTCTGGTTCCGCTTCTGAGTCCGAGTCTGAGTCTGAGTCAGATGAAGATAAGGACGATAAGGTCAAGATGGAGATCACCGATCTCACTGCTGCTGATTTAGCAAACTTTCAGAAAATGGTGTACTTGACCATAATGTCGAGTATGTCTCACGAAGAAGTTGTGCACAAGTTGCTGAAGCTGAAACCACTTGATGAGAACAGAAAGGAGTATATGATGGTGGATATGGTCGCTAAATGTTGCTCACAGGAAAAAACTTATTCGAAATACTACGGTCTCATTGGAGAAAATTTGGCAAGGTTAGGCAAACGTTGGGACTTGGCCTTCCGCGAGTGTTTCCAGGAGTATTATGGCAACGCACACAGACTAGAGAACAACCCTCTGCGAAACGTTTCCATGTTCTGGGGTCACATGTTTGCCAGTGATACCGTTGGATGGGAGGCGTTGGCTTGTGTGAAGATTACAGATGAAGATACAACTTCTGCTGGCAGAATTTTTCTGAAATTCATGTTTGAAAAGATGAGGCAGGAGCTGGGTTTGGAAAAGATGCTGGTTCGTATCAAGGAGCCATACATTCGCCCGTTTTTAAAAGGATGTTTTTACCCAGAGAAGGAAGACGATTTGAGATACTCGATCAATTTCTTCACAGCCATCAAGCTCGGTGCGTTGACAGAAGACATGAGAGAGACGCTTAACAACCTCCCGGAAGCTATTGAAGAGACTGAATCAAGAGGGAGATCACGCTCCAGAAGTGGATCATTTACAGGTTCTAACTCTTCTTACTCACACTCGTCATCTCGGTCCGGGTCTTATTCACGATCGAGGTCAGCCTCGTATTCGCGGTCACCATCTCCAAGACCAAAAAAATCAAGATCCGGTTCAAGATCTGGTTCACGATCGACTTCAAGATCGAGATCATACTCTCGTTCAAGGTCGCCTACATCTCGCAGGCCTGAACTACCGCCGCATCTCAGAGACCAAAAAGATGCATTTGAAGAGTACAGCAGAAACCGCGAGAGATCGCCGCCTAGAAGAAATTTTAGCAAAAGCGGCCGTGGAAGAGGAAATTTCAACCCTCGCGCCAGAAGATAATCACAGAGCTGGAGATATTACTCATCAAGCGGCTGACGAAATACAAACCTGCCGTTCCGAGGAATGTTTGTATAGTATTCTAATATAATCAGGTACCCTCGAAACTAATCTCGAAATGTAGGTCGAAATGAAAAAACCCAGACCAAGCCCTCCATGCACCTCATCGCTCAAATAGGCAATTATCTGCATTGGGACAAATTGGTAACGACTTAGCGACCGTTAATTTTATGGGTCTTTTTTACCGTAGTTCTAGACTGTGGTGTCTTACGATTGGATTGCGATGCAGTGAATCACAAAACCATTGTATGTATGGCTTGACCTTGGCTGTTGCCCTGGTTCCTGGTGATTTGGTTGATTGGGGCTATTGACCCCAAACCACGGTGAGGCGTTGATTTCAGATGAACCATCCACACACCGTACTTGGCGTGAAACTTTCAGCTTTATAAGAGTCCCTACAGCCTCTAGACCTTTTTGATGAAACCTAGAACCTTCATCGATGTTCGAAATTTCAAGTAGTTTGACCGGACCGACTGTAGTACAAACTGGCCATATCGAAGCGTGAGTCTCTCTCACTTGGATGAAACGCATCGTGTGGAACTGAGCATACGAACTCCACTTGGAGTCTACGAGGACGATACGCGGCCTTCAGAGGATATAAAATTCATTTGAGTTTGGCTTCTAGCCAAGGGTCTGTTTGGTTCCTGAATTTCATTTTTTGTAAGGTGGGCTTTGAGTAGTGAAGAACTCTGCAAAACTTTACCGCTGGGCAAGGTTGCTGGGGAAATTTTAGACGCCCTTGCAAAAAAACATTTTTCAGGGCTTACAACGAGATCTGCAGCGAGATCTGCTTTTTTACCAAGTAGAGCTCACGAATTAACGTTTGGCACATGCTCTGGCGGCTAAATGGTGCTCCTTAGGGCACGCTATTGGCGCGCGGGAAAGACCCCGATTGCCTCGAAGTGCACCTACCAAAACGAATTAAAGTATTTATTTTTCGTCATCCGAGGCCCGGGTTTTGGCTGAAAATTAACGACGAGAATTGACTACGACGAGGCGTTGGAACTAAAACATTTGATAAAGTTATAAAAACGTTCAAGAAGCTTGTCACGTTGGACCACAAGATAAACGGTCTCATCAGAAGGTCAAATATTGGAAAATCAGAAAATCAAGTATAATAAGCCTGGCTCAGGTATAGTAGGACTGGGTCCTCATCGCATATGGCAAATTTGGTATGGGGACAAAAAGGTATAGGTATTTTTACTTCGCCTGCCTTCTTAACTAAAAGAAAGCAAGTTTAGTCGGAGTAGAGACCCCAGTACTTCTCAACACCGTAAGATCCATCGGCCTTCCAGTAGTCGTTGAAGGCAGTGAAGGCAACGGCAGAAGAACCACACTTGTCTTGAATAGACTCAATTGCGGTCTTCTGGTTGGACTTGGAAGGAACAGCGACACCGTAGCTGTTTCCCTGAGATGGCCAGCCGGTCTCGGTAACAAAGACATTCTTGTCACCGCCACAGGCAGACCAGACTCTCTCGATCTGCAATAACAACCAGTCACCGGCACCGCTTGGGTAAATGTAACCATCGAAGTAGGCATGGGCGTTGATGGCAACGTAGTCAGAGTACTTACAGAGACCTGGGTTGTTGATGATGGCAACGTGAGTGTCAGCAGAAACGATGTCACCAGAGTAACCAGCATTAGAGAAGGCAGATCTGGCAGTAGCAATGTACTCACCAACCTGGGAAACAGAAGCCTCACCAGAGTTGACGAGTTCGTTACCAACAGAGATGGAGTGAACGTCATCCCAAGAACCATACTTAGAAACGGCATCAGAGATTTGGGAAACGGCATCATCAATGGCATCGACGAAGTAGATTCCGAGCAAAAGCTTCTGTCCGGAGGCCTTGGCAGCGAACACGTTCTCGACCTGGTTACAGTCAACACCGTAAAGTCTGATAACCGAGTAGTCAGTCAAATAAGCCAAGTCAGAGGCAACCTCATCGGCAGTCTTACAGGCACCAGAGGCGGTGTAAGGCGAGTAGGTAATACCCTTGGTTCCAGCAGAGAAAGAAGAGTCAGAATCAGACGAGGAAGTAGACGAGGCGGCGGAAGTGGAGCTCGAAGCGGAAGACGAAGACTTGACCTTGGAGGTGGTGGTTGGGACAACCTGAGCTCCCACGGTGGTAGAAGCAGAAGAAATCTCAACGGCGGAAGAAGCGGCATGGACGTAGTCGATGGTTGCAGTGGCAGCATCATCACCAGCTCCAACAGTCACGATCTTGGTCTCGGTAACAACAACCACGTTTCTCTTAGCGTGCTTGTGGTGCAAGTGTCCGATAGGCTGGGCTGAAGTGAGTCCGACAGCAGCGGCCAGGGCAATAGCCTGGGTGATCTTGGAAAAAAGCATTTGATTTCAAAAGAGGGTAGTGCCAATGTTCTAGACAAGGGGTTAAACAAGCGAGTGCAAACGATTGGTAGTAAACGTCGAAGGTAAAATAAAGAGACTATTGAGACTCAATACTTTTCAAAGGAATGACTAGAGTTGGAAACTCAAACGTTTAATAGCAAATAATGAACTCGTGTTGAAGGAGAGTAAATGAAAGTGTGGTTCAATGATCAGATGGTCGACAACAACGTTTCACAAAATTCTCCCTCCTGGGCGTCTTGGCTCTGGCCCGGTTTGTTGACCTTTCGTTTCCAAATCGGGTAACTCGTTGTCGCCGTGGAGATTCGCTCAAGTCGGTGGTTGAAACACTACCCTCGGTATTGCGTCGGAGGCTCGAGGGTTCGCGGTGCAACTGCCACTTCGGTGGCGGGGGTGGCGGTGCTTTTTAAACTAGTGCCGCAGTTGTGGTTGATGCATACAGATTTGCATGAATATGGCTGATACTTGTTAAATAGTACTACTGTATAATGCTAATACCACTGCTCCATCGCCATTATGCTTCAATAATATTCTCATGAACTAACGGCGTCATTGTAGTAATCTCGTTTTTTCTTTCAAATTATTCCCTGTTTTGGTGTTGTTGTGCCGTTAGTTTACATTGAAGTGACGATGTCACTAGCGTGCATGCATAGCGCGCGCATGGGTATTAATATCATTAGTATTAGTATTAGTATTAGTATTAGTATTAGTATTAGTATTAGTATTAGTATTAGTATTAGTATTAGTATACACACCATCACTTCCCCCTCGTACAAAGATACACAACAGCTCCAATTGCCCTGAAAAGAGCCATAAATGCCACCGTCCATAGAACAACCCCTAAGAATATATTCGCGTTGGTCAGGTCATCAGTCTCAGTGTTGGTAACCTCACGTAGTCCACCAGTACCGAGCACCACAGAGATGAGAGCAAAGTTACATAGCATCCACACAAGCACGACACCAGATCTGATGTTGGCAAACTTGGCATCAGTGATCTCTTTTTCACTTCTCTTCTTGGTTGAAGCCATCCTCGTCTCTTGTAACAGCTCTCTTCCAGCAAGATAAAAATGGTCCACCTCGTCTGGCCGAGTGGGAATACGAACTGCTATTTCTTCTTCGCCAACCTGCTTGGCAACACCAAGATCATTTTTGTCACCGGTATCACCCTTGGTTCCCCACGAGAAGTCATGCATGTTGCAGAACGCAAAGATACTGAGGACGTTAATATAGGATGGTGATAGCAGCAGATAGGGTGCCATGCACGTAAACATGTGGTAGCAGTCCAGAAATAGCAAAGACATCACGAAGTAGAGCACATATGTGGACCCAAGTGATATCACCAGGTTGATAAACACCTTGTTCTTGAAGATCTCTGATGCGCTCAAATGCTCATGCTCAAAGTTGATGATGGTCTTTGCTGTGATGTAGATCGTGGCCACCAGCATGTAAACCATGACTATCGCAAAGAACGATACCACAAACTTGTAGAAATTTTTCGAGTTCTGTGGTTTGTTCCCAAATGCAAGAATGAAAGTGGCACAGACGAGCATTCCATAAACTATCGAGAGGACGTAGGTCACTATCTCTCCACCCGTAAACTCAGTCGCAAAGTTGAGTGCCAGGATACGGAAAACTAGGAAGTAAAAGCTGATCTGGAACCACGAGAGAAGTTGATTGAAAGCCATGTACAGCAGCTCAATGTGCAAAAAAATCTTGCGGCTTTTTGAGTGTGAAGAACTCCACACTCGGAAGAAATACATCATCGAGTAAAGAGCCGCAAAGAATGAACCGTTCAACCATCTTCTTCTCTGGTTAATGAACTCGGGTAAGGAATCTGGGACATCTGTGTATGCAGCAGCATTTTTCACATACTTTAATGTCCAAGCACAATCCCGTTTCGACACCACCTCGAAACACAGAATTCTGTCCTCAGCCAGATACATGTTAGACTTGAGGATGCCGGCCTCTTTCGGGTTGGTTGTTTCAGCAGCGAAATACGATACTAAAGGACCACTGGCAACTTTCAGTCCCGTCTTGGGATCATCGTGGTATTGGTTCCGCAATGCTTGCCAGCGATATGCTGAGAATGCTCCAGGCAGAACGGAAACGAATCCGAAGGCCGACTCCATGGGTTTGTCTAAGATATTGGAGATTTTGTACTCAAAATTCTGGGCAGCAACAAGTGGATTGGTAAGACAAACTTTGGCGTCTGATCCCCAGTCTTTGAGCCGGGCATTTAGCTTCCCCATATTGGATGAGTATGCATGTTCGCGACCAAGCATGGTTCTGATCTCACCACATGCTCCACCCACCTGGGGATTTTTGAACGCTTTCCATACACGGTAAATAGCCTTCTTCTCGGGCTCAGTTCCAACATCAAGCAGCATCACAACGTTTGGATTAAGAACAGGACACAAAGCCTCGAAACACCATCTATGCGAATTCACTTTCTTCTTATTCTGCTCTTTGAGACAGAACATCATCTGGATTGGCACTGTGTTACTCTTGGAGATTTTCACCTTCTGAACCTTCTGTTTCTCATCTTTCATGATCTCCTGTCCATTTTTATCAGTCTTACCCGTACCAACGGTCTTCGTCACGTTCACCGTCTCCAGAGGGTTGATACCAAACGTCGTGGTGTACTCGTACATATGGGCTTCCACATCCTTTCCCATAATTCTGTTTTTAGCAAAACCGTCTTGATAGCAGCCTAGAACAGAAAGAAGTGAAAGCGATCTTGGATCAATCACTTTGCGACCATCACTCACAATACAAACAACGATCTTCTTCCAGGCCTCGGGCCCCCATTCCTCTTTCTCGTGCATGTACCTTATACCCTTGAAAACACCCTTAAGTGTTCGGGCGAGTTCAATCTCAGATTCGTTGTACATTGTGCAGACAATCAACAGCTCTGTCTGTCTAGTGGGCATAAAACCGTTCTGTCTAACCTTGAAACCGCAAGATGAAAAATCCTTGGGCTGACAGGTTATGGCCTGGTAACGCATAGTTGTGAACTCGGCCAAGCCCTTTGTTTCTTCGAAAGGAAGCTCATCTCTGAGTGTTGGAGGAATCGGACAATCAAACATAAAATTTCCATCCACCAGCTTGACCTTCTGGGGTAGGTTTCGAGGCTGGCCCTGGTCATTCTGATCATTCTGGCTACCAGGCTCTTCCATTAAAACAGTCCCCATTGGTTTCACTGCATTATTCAAAGGCAATTGTTCATTTTGGAAACCTGAAACATGCACTTCTTCATTGTCAAACTCGTCATAATCAGGAACAAAATCACCTATAACATAACCGTGGTCTTTCTCTGGATCACGTTCAAACGAATGGCCCTCGTTTCGCCTATACGTATTGTAGTAATCGTCATCCGAGAGACTGCCCTCGTATTTCAGCTGTGGCAATTCTTGCTGAGAAACTGAGCTTCTGGGCGAGCTCCCAAATGGATCTTCCTGGGGAACTTGCAAGAATGGACTGCTCTGATGGGAGCTTGGTGGAGGAACCATACTGATAGGTCTTGAGTATACCGAAAAAGGGTCTTTGTATTCGGCATAATAACTCTCAAAATTTTTCGAAGTTCCTGTATAATCTTCCTCATCCTCATCCTCATCTTCGTCTCCATATGCATTTTGAGCAGCAGAGACAGTGGGCTGTCGTTGTGGAGAGTAAACTCTGGAATCTCTTATCGACTCTTCCTCGTCTTCATCATCCGAGTATCTGTAAGTCTGATTTGACATTGACTGGGTTCGTTAAGTGCAATTGAATAAATAAAAAGCCTGAAAAGCTGACTTTAAGGTGTTTCAGTCAAGCTTGATCCAAACCACGGAAAAAAAGGTTTTATAATGAGGAATCAGAGTGTTCTAAATATAATCTGTATGGGCATCTCAAGGCTGTGCTGGATAGCGCATCTTCAGATAAGCCGCACGCGACTTCGCCTGGATTCCAGACCGAGGCTGCAGAATGCTTGCGGTTGGTTATTTCCGGTCGTGGTGGCTGGTCATTGCCGGGCGTTCTAGTGTTAGTTGCACGGAGTGATTTCTATGATGTGAATTTGATCCGATATCGGAGAACATTTTTGGCAGCACTGATATATGGCCTGGTAGCCTGGTGGATAACAGACGGTCCGTCCTAGGCCATGCTTGGGCTGCACACTGCTAATGCGCAGGCCAACTTTAAAGTGCGCGCTAACTGGCATATATTAACACTCCGGAATGAGAAATAACGGCTTTGCTTGAATTTTCCATGAAATATTCATAAAACTGTGGACATTTGGTCAAGAATCTTAGTGCGTACCTGAACGGCACGAATTTTAGTTGGTTCGCGCACGATTTTTCACTCTCCGCCATACCGATGCATTTTGGTGAACGAGTAAAACGTTTTGGGTTGGGGTATTTAGCACAGCTGAATTATAAATCGCACATAAAACCACCATGGATCCCAAAATTGAGATGCAGGTGGATCCCAATGAGGACACGGAGTGGAATGACATCCTGAGGGCCCACGGGATCATCCCACAGAAGGAGCCAGATCCAACCGAGGAGCTGGAAGAGCTGTTGCAGGAGGCTGTTCAAAAACAGCATGAGAATAGACTCGAAGGCAAAGATTTGGACGAGCTGGAAGCCTTGGAGGATGAGGAAGATGAAGATTTTCTTGAGGAGTACAAACAGAAGAGATTGGCCGAAATAGCAGAGCTCACAAAAAAGTCCAAGTTTGGCTCAGTGTATCCTATTACCAAGCCAGAATATAAAAAAGAGATCACAGACGCTTCAAATGAGTCCTTCATCTTTTTGCACATGACGCTTAGCAGCAACCAACAATCCAGACTGTTATCCGCGATAATGCAAAGAATTGCGCCGAAATTCGCTGAGATCAAGTTCTGTGAGATCCCAGCCAACCGTGCCGTTGAGAACTACCCAGATGCCAATTGTCCCACCATACTTATCTACTACAAGGGAGATCTGGTTCAGCAGTACATAACACTTACACAGCTGGGTGGTAGCGGTGCCACCATAAAAGATATCGAAAAGGCCTTGGTTGGTGCCCAGGCTGTGAAGGACGACGATAAGAGACTGGAGATCAACCAGCAGGATGAAGACCTGGCAGAGAGTCGAATGCTGAGGTTTGCCAAAAAATCGATAAGATCGTCTGCGAAAGATGACGAGGATGATGACTTTTTTGACTAAGCAAAATAATGGAATAGTTATACTAATAAGTTGTAGCTTATGTATTTGAATGCTATACGAATGACCGTTTCTTCAAGGAAGCCTGTGAATGATGTAATACAGCAGATAGGCTCTCACTTTGAGCACTTCCTCGGACGGAACCAGCGTTACAACCGCATCGTCAAACTTGAACCATTTGCCCTCTCTGCTCTTCACATAGCAGATATAATGGCCGGTGTTGACCGAGCCGATATGGCACACCACGGCGAACAGCTCGTAAGTTTTGTCTCCAGTAATATTAGAACCGTCCAGAGTGTACTTGGCAACATCGAGCATGAGCGGGAACTTAACATGGGTGTCGATCTTAGATGTGGTTGCTGAAAAATGTTCGAATCTTTTGAGCTGAATTGCTAGAACAGGTGAGAGTCTCTTGATTGTCAGTTTCTTCGTTGCTGGGGTCCTCTTTCCACAGGTATCACAATTGTACATCATGTCAAGACTCTCGATATTGGTGAACTTATCAAGACATGATATGAGATTGTTGTTGTCATCTTCTTTCTTGGAAATCTCCAGAGACAAATCCAGCATGGGGTCTGCCGTCAATGTCAAGCTTGAGCATTTGGTGCACATGATTGAACTCTGCAGCTCTCCCGCAAATGTCTTATGGGTTACACATGAACAATCAAGTAGCATTGCATGGGGCGAGCTGTTCTTCTTCTGTCTTTTTGAAAGCTCTATCTTGTCCTCGTTCATTGCAACATGTGCTTTGTGGAGCTCATCCAGTGTGAATTGCCAGAATTCATGAGCATCTTGTTCTGAATACCCAGCCAGCGACCTTTTGACTTTCCATGCAGCAGTCAGTAAGGCGGTTGGCCCATAGCCATTTGTCTTATTGGAAGTGTAAAACTCGCTGAAAATCTCCCCTACACAGCACGCAATGCACTCTCCAAGCTCCTTGTCGCAATCAAAGTGTTCGCCGCTCATGTAGTAGTCTCTGATAAACGGATTGTGCACCATGGTTTGCAATATAGAGCTCATGAAACAGGTTGCCCCCATGTTCACAAAGCCACGCAGCCCGGTGCTGGCCCTGTAGGTGGGTATCCGAGACCATTGGCTTATGAGTTCCTCTTTTCCTGAGTCGGACTCTTTCTGGTATATGGGCATTCCCGGGTAATCTTCCACTGTTTTTCTGTTAGTTAATGCTGTTACGGGCATTAAAAATTTCAAGCTGGTTCACTTACACTTCATGGAGCGTATGATCTTTATGCGTATCTCCTCCAGACTGGGGTCGCCAACATAGTCCCCACATCTAAAGCACAGAATGTGTCCTCTAGCAGCATCAATTCCTGCAAAGTTAGTATGGCCCTATATCATCTATCTGGCGGTTAAAATTATCTTACCAAAAACATGGCCATCATGTTTGGCGTGGGCATGAGCATGGCCCTTCTTCCAACAACCAACGTAGGAACACTGCAAACACATAAACGAGGGAGAAAGACTACTCGAGCACTCCTTGCACTTGAGAATTTTTGCCCTCAACTTTATCAGTCTGGAATGAGGAAGACTAGACCCGTCCTTTGACACAAACCGTTCTGGGGTCGCCGAACCTGGTGACGCCAACAATGACACTCTGATCGCCAGACCGTAACTGCGCAGGACGGTATCACGGGCATGCGACGAAAGAACCTTGGTCATATGAACACATGGCGAGAACGTGATCTGGGATCTGTTCAAGCTCGTAGCCTCCGGTGTGGATGGTAGAGATTTCCGCGAACTCATTTGCGGTGGATGTGACGGTGTAATGCAGTAGATGAGATATGGTGTAAGATTCCAAGAGCCTTGGAAACTGAGATTTTCAGAATTTTCTCGTTTCCAGGCGAAATGTGCAGCCAATCAAGCAAAGTGCTGAATCTGTTTCGATTTTTCAGTTAGAATTGGAAAAACTTCTGAAAGACTGCAATAAGCGAAAGTAGGTTATACTTGCATGGAGGACCAGGACGAGTCAGCTACTCTAGTTCAACAATCTCGAGGACAGCAATCTCACAAAAACTGGTTAGTAGTCCAGGAAGCACGCCAGTAACGCTACTGCTTTTCCAAATCAAGATGCTATGGCAGGTGCAAAACTTGAGTCAACTGTTCGGCTATCGAGAAGCCCACAGATCGGATAATCTGTAATACCCTTTGGCTGTGGATTCTCTGTCACGTGATTCCTGGGCAAAATTCTGGCCATCACGTGACTACAAAGGGATGAGACAAGGGAAAAAGCGTGAGGAGCATTTCACGCTCTTACAACAAGTTTATTGGTCGTTTAACGCGTGCGTTTCTTCGCTATATTTTTCTGCTACTTCGTTTCCATTCACCAGAATGGACGTTTACGAGGGTTTGGCACCGCTTGATGCTGGAAAGTTTTTCTACGAATTCATGGAGCTACCACATCTGGTGCGGAGAGACGAGGATCTTGAAGAGGACGAAACGGAATCCTATGGTTTGAAGCTCGCCTCGTCATCTGTGAACCATGACAGTTGTATCACATGTCCTACTAGTTCACCATCGTGTCCTTCTTGTGCTGATGATGAGGAATGTGTACAGATCACGCAGACTTGCACATCGTGTCCCAAGACCTATTGTGCTAAAGGGAGCAGTTCTCTGGGGAATTATACCTCGGGTTCTTCTTCTTCGAGCTCTTCAACTTCATCCTCTTCATCTTCCCATATGAGTTCGGCGAAGATCGGTGGAATAGCCGGGGGTGTGAGTGTGGGTGTGTTTCTGATCTTTGGGGCGCTCATGTTCTTTGCATGGAAATACTACTTCAAAAACAAGTTTTTCTTTCATCGCGAACAGCTTTACGATCTCGATGAGGACGAGGATGGGAATAAGGTTGGTGATAACGCTGGTCTGCTTGATGGTACGGAGAAGAGAATGTCTCAAGTGACAGTTGGATCTAAGGCAAACTCCGTACTCACCAAGGCTTCCAACATCATCAACGTGGCCTACATCCCTGGTGTTACAATCAGAAAGGGTGTTAGCCGTGCTCCTGCAAACTCGATATATAGCCGAGAGTCTTACTTTTCCGATCTGGAGAACGCTTCTATCCATGGTGCCTCGATAGGCGAGAATAAAGCAGCCGATACCACCACCACGGCCATCAGGGCGGTGCCGAAACTGGTGAGTGTGAACGGTCTTGCTTCTGAAGAAGATGATGGAATACCGATGACGGCGACCTCTGTGGCAAGTTTGGGGGGTGTGAGACTCACGCCTATGAACGGAAAAGCCTCGAACTCGAGGTTCCAGCCTGGTTTACAAAATGACTACATTTTGGAGGACGAAGAAGAAGAAGATGACGAACATGATGACGACCACGATGTTTTCTCGGATCAGGATGAACAGGATGAGGACGAAGACGATGACGTCTCTGACTCGGCCTCTGAGTCAGACTCCGATGACAGTTCGTACCTGCGTTCTTCTGATGAAGAAGACATCGACTTGATTGCCGAACAGCATGTGGAGAAGATGAAAAACAAGGCTTTGAGCGAGATGGGAGGTGGGTCTTCCCAGTTCAGGACTTTAAATCCATCTGCGGTTGGTTCGTCTGGTACTACCATCAGGGGATTCGGGGGTTCTCAGGGTTCGCACGGAGTGTCATCGAATCTGGCTCAATTACGCGAAGGTATACCCATTGAGCTAGTGGTTTCTGATGAGGAAAATGACAAGGATGATGACAACACAAATGGCAGTTTTATGTTAACGGTGGACTTTGACCAGGGCGCTTTCCAAAGTCAAAGTAGCCACAATACTGCTGCCCAAAGTCCGTTTGATGACAAGTTTAGAACTGATTGAAGTGGACTTGGCACGGTACATTTAGGGTTATTTCAAAATTATTTAAGTTCAATTTATTACGATTTGGGTGGTTTTTGTCATTAAGCGTAAATTTTTATGCAGTTCGATCATCTCCATGGTCTTCTGATGGAGGCCGAAGAGGCTTCCCGGGTGAGAAACGGTCTTGCTTGGGTTCTTTCACCGTCTCTGGGTTTTGCTTGCGATAGCGTAGATAGTCTCGAAGAAGTTGAGCACCGTGGCAATCTCGGTTCGGTTTGGAGTTTCAGGCTGGCTGAAGAAACCGAATTTGAGAGAGTTGGTCTTTTCGTTCCCGGAGTGGATATGGCCTGCATGGTTGTCGATCTCGAGATTCTGGTTGGAGCAGAAGTTGAGGGAGAGGACAGTCGAGTTCTTAGCGGCTGAGCCTTTCTTGCAGAAGTAATTGCGGGTCTAGTTATTCTTGACTGTGGTTCGTTTTCCACTGATTTCACAGGAGCGGCAGCGGTCACTTCTTGGGTTGCACCCATGTTGGTTCTTCTTCTCTTAGCAGCGCTCTCCAGTTGAGAGACGTTATTCCTCTTGGAGTTGTCGCAGTTTTTCATCTCGTTTCGTTGATGAACATTCTCAATGACTGCTCTGTGACCTGTCTCTATTGTCCCGTTTGCTGAAAATGAAGCGGGAGTCTTTCTGCTGGCAGCATAGTGAGATGCTATAGAGTCCATTCTTTTGAACTTGGTCTGGTGAGCAGACGAGAATCTCGAGCTCTTTCTTCTGTGCGCTCTCTGGGCTCGTGGACTATTTTGTATAGCTGTATTTTCCACTTGTTTGACTCTGGTGTTGAGCTCTTCAAGAACGCTCTTTGTGACATTGGTTGGGTACGTTTTAGTGAAAATGCCGCTGTTGAAGCTGAAGCCCGTACTCTCAGAGCTCTTCTTGGGGTCCAGACTGGGGTATAGTGGAGCCTTTAAATCAAACAGAGAGGTGTTGAACTTGAAGCCATCTGATTTGGTTGGTGTCTTATTTTCTTTGTCTTCACCGGAAAGATCTGCTCTTTGCTCTTTGCGAGAAGGAAAGATGAACGATCCTGGCATGGTGAAGTCCATCTTGGGAGGCCTGTTCTCTGTAGATATCAAAGAACTTTCAATTCTCTCCGAGCAATTTCGACGTCTAGCCCGCAAATACAATTACACCGAAGGGGGTCCCTGACAAAGCAAAATTACCGCCAGCTTTTTGGTGATCTTTTCAACTCAATTGTGCGATGCATCGATAAGTGCATATGCAATGGCAAGCGAAGTGTCCCGATTGGGGCAAATGTAAACACCCGAGCCGCGCGTCTAGATTAACAATGGAAAACTATCAAAAGGCGTGAATATACATAGATGGCTATTAAGGTTTATTCGAATTAAAAATGCAGATTAATAAGTCTCGAGCTTGTCAAAAGTCCACAAAGCTGTCATTTTGATCTCCCGCAAGCGATAGGTTGGTCTGCATGTCAGTTCCCAAATTACCATCTGTGGGGGTGAAAACCCCAGGACCTCCACCCCCAGCTTCAAAGTCGAGAAAGTACTCGGCCAGGTTGAAAAGATTCGAATACGAATAGGTCAAATCATGGGTCATTAGGTTGTTCATGCTGAAGTCGCTCACGTTGGACTCACTGCCGTTTGTATTCGGAGAGTTGTTGGAATTAATGTGGCTTCCAAACGCGCCAGGCATCGTTTCTGCTGCAGTTACAACGGCAATATCCGAAGCTGACAGAGCCGTATTTCCAAACTGTGGAGTTGAATAGGCTTCTGCTCCACCAGAGGCGGTGATAACGTGCTCTATAGAAGGAGCCGAAATCGACGGGAAATGGCACAAATTGGAGCGGCTCCTGTGACGACGCTTCTCAGACGCCTGGTCAGGCATCTCCAAATCCCCCGCCATCCTTCCCTCAAAGTTAGAGTAGTCAATATTAGAGGAAGAGACATTACGTTTGATGGGCTGCGACTTGGATTTGCAGGAACGTTTTTTCTCGTCCTCGGCGATCGACTTCACCTCATCCAGGTAATCTCCAACATCGAACATGCCCTTGCGGCCTCTTGCCTCTTCCACTGCTGTTATGACTATGAAGAGTAGGTTTCTCACAATGATTTCTACCAGTCCCCATTTGGACCTGAGGGTCCTTTCCCCTTCAAAAACGAAAAAACCACGAGCCACTTTGATCATTTGGGTCACATCACCAAGAACGTAGTTCTCAGAAGCATTTTGAATACAGTTTCCAAAAAGACACAGGAAAGCAGTGAAAGGATAGAACAGAATCCAGTTACTGAAACATGAGAATCGCGTGCCAATGGCATCAGAAAGAGCCAGAATAGTTCTTGAGGCATCCAGACAAGTAGCAGCAATTTCCGACCTAAGATTCTGGTGCTTAGCGGTTCCAGGCCAGTCCGAGTTGAAGACGATTCTGGTGATGAGAATCTTCAGCGAGTAGTACCTGAAATGTATGAAGAGAACCCTCAGAAGTCTGAATGCATCTGATCCGTTGACACTGTCATTGAGCTTTTGCACCAAAGATCTTGAGCCGGGTCTGAGAGTTTCTGGAACCAGCATTCTCCAATTTTCCAGATCTTTCAGCAAGGAGATAATGGTCTCGTGAATCTCTTGCGATGATTTTCCAATTAAAACAGATCCAGAATAAAGATGTTCGTAAACTTTTCCTGTTATAGTCGACAAATCGTGGAGTATGAAATCCTCCACAAAGTTCCATGAACTGTCTTCAAAAACAGCTTTGGTCAATTGGGCGCAGATTTCATCTCTCATTGTTTCACGTCTGTTAATTCCACCTTTGTAGTATTCCAAAGAAGGAGGATAGTTGTAGCTCCAAAATCTGCTGTACGCTTTCATTCCAGGACAGGATATGTCAGAGTCTCTAATCATCAGGGGAGAACCAAACTTGAGACCCATGTCTCTATCTAAGGTGAAACACCACCAAAAAAGCCTAATTCGGTTCTCCTTCTCGCGCTCAGGAAGTCCTATCAGGGTTTCTGCTCTGTGCAAGCCCAGTTCCTGTGCCTGTTTAATGGCAACCGTAAGAATGGTGGTGGCAGACTTGGAAAGTAGCGCAGAATCCGCATATGTGGCTAGTAGCAGAATACACTGGATCCCCAGTAATCCGTCATTCACCAAACTCACGCGTTGGAAGTAGTATAACGAGTTGATGAGGTATTTGTTCTCAGCCTCGCTGATATTTTCCTGGGTAAACTCTTCTGGGATCTCCTCTGTCGGCACAGAGTTGAACACCACAGTTCCATGGTGCAATGCCAGTATCACAGTCGTAGTCATGTTCATGAGAAATAGCTCCGAATATGAGAAATGAGGGTCTCTGATCTTTCCCTCTCTGAAGTTGTTCAGTCGACCGAAGACAGCAACCACCTGGTCAACGTCCAGATTGAAGAATCTTCCACACGAGTTCTGAATGATATATTTCAGCAAGTAAGCCGTCAAATCTTTCGGAGGAAGCGGGCTCAGCTTGGAACTCTCGATCGGCTCTATAAACAGCGCTGATGATTGGTCCTCCACCCTTCTAGCCTTCCTCATCAACACATGCAACGGGTACATCGCAGTTTTGTCCTGAAGTCTGCTGGCTACCCAGTCTATCCCCTGTTCAGAGAATACGGAGAAAGAACTGTGTCTCGCCACATAATGCTGTTTCAACGTGCCTTGGTTGGCACGTGAGACCTTCTTTCCGTCGGTAGGCGGTGTGGGTAGGGCAGCCAGAACAGCGTCAAACCGGTCTTTAAAAGGTTCCTTTTTGGCAGAAACACTATTCAGGCCACTCTGGTCTGACTGATGTCCATTCTGGAGACTTTCTTCGTGCTCTTCGGCCTCCTCCTCCTCGTCCTCGCCATCGTCCTCATCCTCGGCGTCACCATCATGGGAAGTATCCACATCAGTGCCATCCTCCTCTTCCTCTTCATCAGCAGTAGTAATACTTTCTTCGGAAGTACTTCTGACGTGTTTGTGCCTCAGTTTCCCAACGTCTTCAGCGGAGATCTTGAAAACCAGCTGCTCTATCAGAGATTCCATCTTGCCTAGTCGCTTTTCAAGCTCCTGAACATTCTTGTTCTTCGAGGTGTTTGGCCTCTTCCGCTTCGTAGTACGCTTCTTGGTCACATACGTGTACGAGCACTCGGTCTCGTAACTCGTACAATTGGAACACGGTGAAGTTCCATCACACTTGATCTTCTTCTTGCGGCAGTAGTCACATGCCTTTGCGGTGCGGGCTCTCTTGCCATACACAGGTTCTTCGGCTTGGTTGACATGTGCCATCGTCTTGGAAGTCAAATGAAGGAGCCACGACACCGTACCAGAAAGAAAATAGAAAAAAAAAATATGAATTCACTCCAGCCGGAAATATAGATCCTGACTGCAGTAGTGGCAACGCACGTCTAGACAAGCTCCAAATTTACTAATTGGCACACTATTCGCCGGAATCGAGCCTCCAGAGTTACTGCAAAGTCTCGGTCTAATTTGTACGGCTCAGCGGCTTTAAGCAGACCAGCCGTTGTCCGAAGTGCTATTTATTGTGTTTAAGCGGTTAAAAAGACGTTGGGGGGTGCTGCTTTTTGTTACGCCTCGGTGTTACGCGAGCCTCCGAGGCGATTACTGTCCGAGGGCGATTCGGATTCGAGCGTGGGTGGATTTTTCTGTTTCTTCGGCCATTTTGCGCCGTGTTTAATCTTCCGGTAAGAAGCCGAGCTTGACCGGTCGGATTACGAGGCTTGTGGATTCGTTGCGAGGTAAAGTGGATTTCACCAGGTGTGCCCTATCTCGGTGTTTCCGTCGGTGTAACGTTTTAGGTGGGTATTGCACGATAAAAATATGTAAGGGATGCGGCTGGATTTTGGTCGGGCACTTCGTTATGCAATGCTAGGGTCACTTTGCATCTTTACCTTCGAGCTCGATCTCCAGCTCGATGTCGTCGTCGTCGTCAAACTCGTCAACCTCGGTGTCGACATAATCCAAGTCTTCGTCCGGATCCTCGTCGTTTAGATCCTTGGCCACAAGCGCCTTGGTTTCTTCGGACCACTCGAATTTCTCTTCCTTGGTCTCTGGGAACCCACTGTTGTAATTCATCAATTGCCCAAGCTCACCTTTTAACAGAGCCAATCCGGCAACAGAGGCCATCAGCATCGGGCATATGTACAGAAGAGCCGGCTGGCTGCGTTCGAACACCGTCATCATGGTGACAGTGATGCCAAGACTGAGCGCGTACGCCGTCATGGCAGCCGTGTAGTACGGCTTGGGAAACTTCTGTGACATATAGAAGTGAGTGTTTGGATTGCGTTCGTGGAACAGCCAGAGGTCAAACCTGAGACACAGGGAGATGAAAATGCCTGGAACGGTCATGTCCCCAAGCCCTATCATCCACTTCGGAACGAATGGTTTCGGTAGCTTGGACCCGTCCAGTACAGACTCATCGTAATCGACCATCATTGGCACTTCTACCATCAGTGGAACGTCCAATCGGGTAGCAACGGCCACCATTGCCTCAGAGAAGAAGACAAAGTACACGTCGTATACAAACAACAGTACAAGCAACAGAAATCCGTATTTGAAGCGAGATATACTGATGCTCCCGACACCGTAAACAGCAACAGCACATGAACTAAGTGACGACAACAGCCAGTTGTTGGGGCCATCAACTCTGTAAAATAGCCACGTCTGTAACGCGGCCAATATCAACGCGTAAATCTCGGCGCTGGAGAAGTAGAAGTTGAGAAACTGGTCGTTTTTAGCAACATCCGTCTTGGCCTCTTCATTCATGGCCTCGTACCTCTCCTGCGATATTGACGTGTGGGGATACGCCCTCAGATTATCGAGTCCTGTTGGGTGCACTTCGGGGTCTAGCGATAGTGTCAAACGGAATCTGCTCAAAAATTTGACAGGCGTAACTCTATTCGCGATTTTCAAAAGGTTTCTGTAGAAATGCTGAGCTGATTTGGCATTATAGTACCTGAAAAATACCGCCAGCCAATAGGAGAGGTCCTTTTCGTGACCACTTTTGATAAGCTGGTAGAAGATAGTTAAAGACGCACAAGCAAGCACGAAAATCATCGCCACGTTGCCGGAATCGCTGACCTCAAGCTCTGGAGACGGTAACCTGTCCATATCCGAATCATCGTATAATGGATGGCCCTTGACAGGATCTAATGCATTTCGGGGTTGGACAACGCCAAAGTTGGCGCCAATTGCTACCACGGTCACTGCGGTTAAGATCATGATAGTGAATGTGATCAAGGTAGGCGGCACAACATTGCCGAACAAATCACCTCTGAAGACGAGCGTGGCGACTTTGATGGCAAGACTGTCCGTTTTTTCTTTGACGTAGTCCATTGAGTAAAATAGGGCGGGTATGTTCTTAACAAGCGTTGAATTATTGGGAAACAAGGGAATACTGGTATAAAGATTAAGTAAAGGCGTGTGTAGACCACTTTGGGCTTGCACTATCTATTTGGTCTTGACTCTTGATAAGAATTGAGTCAACGCTTTCATGCGATTTTTGGTGAACAAACAGACAGGTAACGCCATCTTGGCCATCTTTGCTTGTTTGTGGTAGCTACAGTCTTTAGAAAGCATACCCAAAGGCTCATCAGGGCACACTAAGGCACACTAAGCTAGACACTACGCATGATCTTGTGCACATGAAGATATATTCACTATTCGCTTTGGAGTGAGTACTTACAGCATATTGAGCTCACTTTTCAACCCATTCCAAACTGCTTCATCATTTGTTTCATCTGGGGGTTGTTCATCATCCCCATCATGTCCTGTTGACTAGGCATACCATTGGGGAACATTTGACTCATGTCAGGCATGGCTCCTCCAAACATATTCTGCATGTTCTGCATGATACCTGGGTTCGATCTCATCTGCTGCATTGCTCTTTGCATATTGGCGGGGTTCATTGCTCCGCCAGGCATTCCTGCTCCTCCTGGACCACCCATCATTCCCTTTGTGCTAGATGCCATCTTGGCCATCATCTTCTGCTGCATGAGCACCAGCTCAACTTCGGTGACTGAAGTTCCCGAACCTCTAGCAACTCTCAGAATTCTAGTTGGTTCTTCGATGAAAATCTTTCCATCACTCTTGAGCTCCTGTTTCGTCATAGAGTCCATAATGTAGATCATACGCTTTAATCTCTTGGACGTCTCTTCATCGCCAACCTGGCTCATCATCTGGCCAAGGCCTCCTGGCAACATGCTTGTAAGCTTTGAAAGAGGACCCATCTTCATTATGTTGCCCATTTGGGTCTGGAAGTCCTCCAGGGTGAATTTTCCCTCCGAAAAATTCTTCATAGAGTCCTTCTGGTCCAGGTCCAAAGACTGAACATGTTCCATCAGACCTTGAATATCACCTATTCCCAGTAGCTTGGAAATGAACTGTCTTGGCGAGAAAGTTTCCAAGTCATGGACGTGTTCACCGGTACCGATGAAGGCAATTGGGGTTTCTGTAGCGGCAACAGCAGAGATGGCTCCACCTCCCTTGGCATGACCATCCAACTTAGTCAGTATGATAGCACCAAAATTCGAAGACTCCTTGAAAGCCTTCGACTGGGCTTCAGCGGCCTGACCAATGGAAGCATCCAGAACCATGATCGTCTGATTGGGCTTGACGGCCTCGCCAATTTGAACCATTTCCTCGAACAACTCGGCCTCCTGTCTGTGACGACCAGAAGTGTCCACTATTATGATCTCAAACTTCTCTTTCTTGAACTTCTCAACACCATCGAATGCAACCTTAACGGGATCAGTCTCCGTGTAAGAACCGTAGTATGGAATCTTGGACTTGGTGGCATTCTGTTTGAGCTGATCAAAAGCACCTGCTCTGAAGGTATCAGCACACACCAAACCAACCTTGAATCCTCTTCTTTGGTAGTAAACCGCCAGTTTGGTACACGACGTAGTCTTACCAGCACCTTGAAGACCCACGAACATCACGACATTGGTTTGTTTCTTCTTGGGTTTGAAAATCTCACTCTGGTGACAGTCCACCAAATCACATAGCTCGTCAAAAACCGCCTTCTGGATCAGCTTCTTCTTATTCACACCAGGCTTGTCTTGAGCGTCTATTGTGGCCTTGAGCTTGTTTCTGAGTCTAGAAACCAGTTTGACGTTGACATCCGACTCCAGCAACGCATTACAGATCTCTTTTAAGAGTCCACTAATCACGCTTTCATCCACCACGTTTGCTTTGGACACATCCGCCACTGCAGAGTTGATTCTGCGTCCCAAATCGGCTAACACCATGATGAGATGATTATGAAGCTTATTAGAAGAAATGAAATGTGGAGGAAAAAGAACATTTTAAGACTATTAACCAACTCAACCCCGAGCTCAGCGCTGCGTCCATCGAGGCTGGTACAGAGTCCCGTGTCAGTAATACTGGCTTAGCGATGTTATCTATGCTTAGATAAGCAGGCATATGATTTTTCAGTCCGATCTGATCATAGACGTTGCTGGCGACGTATGAATTAAATGCGGTCTATATATTATTGAGCTTATCAAAGTGGCAAGGGGGATTGCCGCTGAGTCATTTTATCTTCTTTTTGTGCATTTCCACCTACCAACTGGCGACATCCTCAGCTTCACCAAACACACTCTCGGTCTTGCCCTCTTCCTTAAGCTCGTCAGTCCACTCGGGATTATTCCCCTCGGACTCCATGATTTCCTTCAAATGCTTCCGCTCAAAATCCAGGATCAACTTGTTGATCTGTTTGAATTCCAGAAGAAAAGCATCATGGCCCTCTGGAGAGTCGATTCTGTGGAGCTCCGAGTTGGGCAGGTGTTTGGCAATGAAAATCTGCTCGCTATAAGTGAACAAAGCATCAGACTGAATTCCCACAACCAGAGCAGGCTGCTTGAGTGATTCTAAAGCCTTTTCTGTGCTGTCTCCAAACTCTGGTCTATCTCTGCCCACATCATGGGTATCCAATTTCCTCGTTATGGAGATGTAGCAGTTCGCATCGAACCTGGAAATGAACTTCTGGCCCTGGTAACGCAGGTAGCTTTGGGCTGAGAAATAGTGAGGTGGGCGCGAACGTTGGCGTTGGGGAATGGGTCCATCCGACGGCGAAACCGGCGATTGCGAGAGTGTATCCAGGCTGGTGGAGGAAGCGGTTGAAGACGATGGTCTGTGACGGTCCACAGAACTCTTCTTAGAGTTTCCATCGTTGTGGATCTCCCAATTTTCCTCCTGAGGTGTTTTTGGCGAGCTACGTTCAACCAGTTGGCTCTCCACATCAACCGTGGCACTCACTCCAGATGCACTAACCGTGACACTCTTACTCTTCTGGGCCTCGGTCAGTGTGGGAAGACCTCTTCCAAACTTGGACTCAAACGAATTCCGAGACCTGTACGTGAGAAGAGCCGACATCCGAGCTGCGCCCAGCCCCGCTGCCGGAGGCTCACTCAAAGGATAATATCCATCGTCGTACTTGGGGTCTGAATATATACACTGGCGTTGAGCCTCACCCCACGATATACACCATGCTGAGTGTTTAGCACTTGTTGCCAACGCAATGCACGCTTTCACGTATTCTGGGCCGTAGAACAGGTACTCCAGAGTGAGCATTCCACCCATTGAGCCCCCCACCACTAAGGCAATCTGCTTTATCCCCAAATCGTCCAAGACCAGCTTGTGAATCCTCACATCATCCCTGACAGTGCAAATCGGAAATTCCGGTCCGAAAAGCTGGTTGACCGTCGGATCAACTGTAACAGGTGACGCCGAACCGTACGGTGAACCCAGGGAGTTCAAACAAATGATGAAATACTTGGTAGGGTCAAAAGCCTTGTCTTTGCCCAGTAATGGGCCCCACCAATCAGAAACATCTGCAGATCCCGTCAGGGCATGGCAGATCACCATACAGTTGTTCCCCTCCTTGTTCAATTTCCCCCAAGTCTTGTAGGCCACAGGTACATTCCGCAAGACGTCTCCGCATTCCAGCTCGAATTCGGGGATTTCCGCGATCGTTTGGCCATTCACCAATTTGGAGAACGGATTCTCCGGCTGGGAAGCCAGCCTTTTGAACGTCATCGGTGCTGTTTTCAAACGCAAGCAGACGATTCTTAGCGGCTCAGGTTATCGGGTGAAAAACTGTGGTCTTCCTATTCAGTCACAACTTAGCAATTTTCTAAAGTCACGTGATGCAAATGTAGCGTATTGGTTGGGGCACGTGGAAATAAATCTGTGTCTTTGTAGCATGCGTCAGATATGGATCAGGTACATGTATTATATACCACACATTCACTTACCATGTTTCCAACGGCGCATTGCCAAGTTAGGGCTGCTAAGATAGACTCGAATTCTGGCAGAAATCTGCTTGCCAGAGTGAGGGAACACAACTATGTGAACAAGGTGGATCTTCTGGCTCCCAAGACTTCCCAAGGTGCGGTGCAAAGTTTACCACTCTCCAAGATGGTGTGTTACAAGGTGCGGACAAAGCTGCAAACCTTTATTTCGCGAAAGTTCCTGGACGGTTTGTGTCAAGAGGACCTTCTAGATGGACTCACTGTTGTTTCTCTCTCCTCCATCCAATACGAAGACAGTTTTTCAGTTCACAGTGGTACTTTATATGTGACATTGTGCTCGGAGAGCTACTATAAACTGGGGCTCAATGGTGAACAGTCGAAGGCATTTTCCGACAAGAAAAGGGCCAAAATGTTTAGGTTGCAGTTCAAACTGTCGGAATTTCTAAAGAAGGACAAAGAAGTGCCGCATGACCATCTCAAGTTTCTATGGTTTGCAGAGAAGATATACGATAGGGATATCGAACTCGTTGTTTCCTTGCGTTCTCAGTCGGAAATATTGACGAAGACCTTTGAAAAAGTCATTCCGGCTACTCTGACCGAGGCGCACACAGACTTGGTCAACTTGTGTCATCCAGACTTATTGTCTCCTCTGCAAGACGAGTCCTGGGCCGAAGAAACACTCGAATGGATCACGTATGCCTCAATCCACGGAAAACAGCTATATCATCCCGAAGACCCATACCTGTCATCCTACAGGCTTTCTGGTAATTTTGTTGAAGATTCCACAGTTGATGTCTCGATAACCAGCTGGTCTGGTGCATTGTTTCCCAAGGGACTGGTATCTGACAACGTAGTGAGACAGGTGGTTGAAGGTTCCTATCCTTGGGCTGCCCTGGTAATATACGGAGTGAAAGATGCGAACACAGCATACAAGTCGGTGGAGCATGTGTATTACGAGAATGGCGAAAATGTTTTTGTTCTATTGAAGAGTGGAGAATGGATAGTGGTGTGGGAGATCTTTGGAGGTGGTGATTCTGTTTGACGGTGGACCTAAATGCTTCCACGAAATATTCGGAGGATTTCATTTCACCAACTGTATACTACTTACAGTTTTGAGTCTGAGCACTAATTCTCAAAAGTTTATGCTTTTAAAGGCAACATGACTTGAACCTGCTCCGTGAAGAAGCTCAAGCTTCTAGTATCCATGACAGAAGATGAACATGGATTTGTCTTACCATTGCAATAATGCAAGATTCAATTAAATAATGTGAGTGAGGAAATAGAGTGGGTCCATGAGAAAAAAGCCAGAAGTGATCAAAAAAGCAAGTAAAAAAAATTATGATAATTCAGTTTCCCTCAAAGTTTATTCTTTCCGGTCGGAGTGGGAATAATAGGATGCAATGACACGGATTTTTTGTGATTTTTCAATTTTTTGTTCTCTCAGTCTGTTTTGGTTCCAGAGAATGGATTCAGGGTACGAACAGTCAAACAAGGCAACGCCATTCCAATTTCGGCTCTCAGCAGAATTGGAACCGTCTTGAGCTCCCTGATCTCCTGAATGTAGTTGTCACCGTCAACTCTTGTTATGCAACTTTGCAAGTAAGGATTCAAAACGGTATCCTGGTTGTTTGCAGCAGAATTCTCGGAGCGAACCTCAAGTTCCGAGGTACTGCGAGGAGCATATTTCTGCTTCTCAATCTGTGGGCGAACTGGAGTATTTGGCATGCTCTTTGGGGATGATGCAATATCAGTGAGTGGGGCGCGAAGGTGGGCTGACTCGTTATCGACAGGAACGATGATCTTGGGAGGTGTCAATCCCAGTTTTGCTAGTTTCTCCGCAAAAGTCTCCGTAATTATGCCTCCAGACTTTTCGAAATGGGCTTTACTCTGAACCTTAGCGACATCCAGTGCTCCAGAGCGGAACTTGTTCTTGATAGAGTTACGATACGATAACGGCTCGTTCTCGTCAGCTGGGACATATGTTGCAGAGTCAACACCCTTCTCCCAAAACAGTTCCAAAACACGGGACTTCTTGTCAAACTCGGCCTTACGTAGCGGCAATTGGTCTCCGTGAACACGTTTCTCTATTCCAAACTCGGGCAAGAACACATCAAACGCAGACTCGTAGACTTGTATCACAACACCCATGCACAGCAAATGGCCAGTTGCCTGACTCATATCGTTGATTGTCTGGCACAGAATTAAATGAATCGCCTGCTCCTGAGCACTCTTAGCACAGTCTTTCTTGAAGTTGCAAAAATCAGCAACCTCCTTAAGCGAATGAAGATCTTTGGGGTAGTCATCGGTTTCGTTTTTCAGAACTGCCTTCAACTGCCTGTGAACGATCAAGTCTGCATACCTGCGCAAGGGAGCTGTAAAGTGGGTGTATATTGGCACATTGAACAGATAATGAACGAGATCTTCCTTATCAGACAATGTTCCAGCAACAGCGTACTTGCCTCTGGGCATACATTTGACCAAAATTGTTTCAATACATTCTCTTGTGACCGGGTTCTTGATATTCAGAATCGAATTCAAGACAGTGGAACCCATAGTGGTGTCCAATTGGACTCCCAGGTTATCAATCTTCTTCTGAATGGATGCGATTTTCTGCAAAGTGGGAGCAGCATTTCTCCTCAAAAAAGCGCGATCTCCCAAACCAGCGTGAATCTTCTGGGCAACTGCAACATTCACAGTGTGGAAAATTTCATCGATCAACGAGGTAGATGGCGATGGGTCAAAAATATTCAACGAAAGTTTTACCTTTTCATCATCCAATTGCTCGATCAAAGGTAAAGTTGGCTCGTTTTCCAAAGTGGGGTTGAAGAGTCTCTTCCTTCTGAACTCTCTTGCAATTAATGAAAAGGTTCTGACATAGTCAGCCGTGGCACTACTGAACGAATCCAGTTGTGGGCCCTTAATACCGGTTGACAGTCCCAAGATATAATCAATGGAAGCATAGTCAATTTTTTGTTTTGGGAGAACAACAGCCTCGCCCATCCACACGTTATTGATCTCAAAATTGGATGTGTCAATCGCAAAGACAACTGACATAGACAGACCCTTTTCGTTCTCCTTGAAAGAAATCAACTCATTCAACTTCTCCGGAAGTAAGTGAACCGCTCTCTGAGGAAGAAAAACCGAATGAGATCTCTTTCTAGACATTTTGTCAAGAAATGAATCCTGCTTTATAAAAAATGTGGTATCTGCGAAATGAACACCAAGTTCAATCTTTGTCTCGGAGATGCGCTTCACGTGCAACGCGTGGTCGCAGAAGCTGCCCGTCTGAGTGCATGCTATAACATACTCTCTGGTAAAGTCCCTCCTATTCGCCTGAACAAATCCAGATGCTGGGTCTGGGATGTCTTTGAGATAAAGAGCTGCTTTTTCGGGGTTTCCTTCGGAGTACTCGTCAGACATGAAATTATTATCACACAGAATAGCAGAAATTTCAGTCTCCACCTCGTTCATGGCTCCGATCTGAGAAACCAGGTTTCCAAAGGGGTGCAAAGAGCTGATTGGCCATCTCTTGATCAAACCCACGAACAATTGGTTCGAGTACTTCTTCTCGTTTTCTATGAAGTCCTTTGGAGCCTGTTCAACAGGAATGGCAATAAGCGGCACTTTCTTGTCGGTTGGCTTGAACCAGACAATTTTGAGACGTTTGAGGTCTTCAGGAGAGAAATTTTGTTGCGAGGGTCTATTCACCATCAACGTTCCAGAAAAGCATTGGCCCGGTGTACGCTCGACGATGGCAACTACCTGGCCAGCATACAGAGGCTTATACTCATCACTGATCTCTTCCTCCTCAACAAGCAACAAAGATTGACCTTCGACCTCGACATCATCGTTCTTCTTTTGGGTTGGTCTCTGCTTCAAGGAGCCTCTTCTGGTCAAAGAACCTGAAGTAGAAGGAGATGAAAAGCCATCTTTTCCAGCATCCGTTTGCGAACCTGTAGATGCAGTGTAACTGGTTCCCGCATCGTTGTGAAGATCATCACCAGCCTTGTCGGCCTGGTTGTTGTTATTATTCTTACGACGCTTTTTCTCCTCTTTTTCCTTCTTGGAGTTCCACACTTCATCGACAACAAGAAGCTCAACGGCAACAAGGTCGCCTTCGAGTGATCTGTTACGATCCTTGGACCCACAGATGAAGATGTCAGCATCGAGAACACCATCTGTGGACACGTATGCGTCTGATCTGTTCTTTTTATTAACACGAAGAGTTCCCACAACCAGCTTTCCCTCGCTGATTAGCTCAGATAACGAGCTTTGAGGCAGATAGTTGGTGAACAAGTTTTTCCTCTGAGGACCAGAGCCTCCTCCCTGAGAGCTGAAAGAAGCCATAGAGGAAACGGAGCCGCCATAGGAGAATCTAGAGCGATGTCCTTGAACAAAGCCGCCCTCGGAGTTCTGAGGGGTGTGCTGCTTTCTCCAGCTGTTTGACGTATTACCACTGTTGAAGTTGTTACCAGACTGACGTCTGCGATGGCCAGCAAAGTTTGGATTTGGTGGGACTAGCAGGTTATTGGCAGGATTCGTTGAGGAGCCAGTCAGGGAGTTCTCCCTCGCTGGAAACTGAAACTGTCTCTGTGGTGACCTCTCTGTTGAAGGCAAGGCACTTCTTGAACGACTATGAGATGGCTGTCTGCGAAACCCAGAATCCAGAGAGTTGTCCTCCAACTCAACTGGAGTTGCTGGAAACTTGAAGCTGGGAGGGGCAGGGGGGTTGGAACCAGCAGCCGAAACAGTTGAAGATGAAGAACCGCTGCTTGCACTAGCCAATGGCGAAGAAGCTGGTGGCGGGATCTTTGGGGGCGAATCGCCAGCACGTTGCATTTGCACCATTGCAGCAGCTCTTCTGGCCTCATTCAAACCCAGGGAGTGTCTTCTGGAATGACCTCTAGCCTGTGAGTTGGCGGGATTCGCAGCTGCCGAGTATGTCTGAGCAGGCTCCACTGGTGTAGCCTTGAAATTTGGAGCGTGGCCCAAGGAAAAGTTTCCCATGGATCCTGCATTGATGGAGGATTGGGCCCGGCGGTGAGAACGGCTCCCAAGACCTGGTGGGGGCGTGGGTGAATGCGACTTATTTATGACATCAGCCCCACTCTCGATACTTGAGGACTTCTTGTGCCGGGGGATAGTCGAAGGGGGTGGCATTGAGATTGGCATTGCTTGGAACTGGCCAAAAACACCAGATCCCCCAAAGCTCTGTTGCTTGGGCTGATGAGGCATGGGAGCAACGTAAGTGGACTGCGAGAACTGCTGTTGTTGTTGCAAAATATGTTGTTGTTGTGCCTGAACCAGTTCAAGCTGACGTTGTAAGTTGAGCTGTTCTTCTGTAAGAGGGAATCGTTAGTAATTGTTGGAGAAAGGATAATGAGGGGGTGGCTAAGTCAAGGGGTAGTCAATGGTAGAGTTAACGTCAACGAACACCATGAATCCATTCGTGATTTGTAGGTATTCACAAGAAAATATCAACTTCAGCACAAAACAGTGAGATTCACGGTACTCTCAGTAGTCACCACAAACAGAATTCCGAGAATCGATGCTCTTTTTGCCAGACTGTCCCCAAGACTCGTCAAATGTGGACACCACACTCGCTTCTGCAGGGACGCTCCACACAGACCCCACGACAAAAAATCAACTCTTGAAAAGACACTTACGCATCAACGAGCTCAGATCACTCATGGTCTGGTCAGTATTGATCTGTTGTTGGGAAGAAGGACGCGACACGGGATTGGAATCTTCCGGGCGGAGTCTCTCAGGGTTCATGATTGAATATATAAACTGGACAAATCTGGTAGGAAGTGGGTGAAATATGAAATAGATAAATATGGAATTTGAGGTATCTTTCCGTCCAAAAAATAAAAAAAAATTCAACCTCTCCTTGTTCGGCTGGATCCTTTTAGCTCTTCTACCAATTGGTGTGTGCAAGGGTCGGTGTGTCACAATAAAGAGGGCAAAAGCAAGGTAAAAGCAAACCTCAGGATTCGACGCAAAAGTGTCTCAACCCAAAGACTCAATGAATGAATTGAACTGAAAAGGTGATACCAAAGAAGTACTTGGAGAGCGTTGCCAGATGGTGGTGCCCGCTAAAACTCTGAGTCGTTTGGCTAAAGAGGCCTCTGTTACGCGGTGCACACCCTCCCCACACGCACGCTCGGGATTCTAGACCTTTTTGGGTGGTATTAATAGACTGCGGAATAAGGTTAAACCCTGGATAAACAGGTTGAAGTGAGGTTTGAAGGTTGCTAAACAGATAAGATATGGAGTCTACAATCACATAATATTCTCAGCGTTAATTCGCCTAAAGCGTCTTGTTCCTATATACAATTCTCTAACTCTAGCCAACTCTGGCCTACTTCCTGATTCCTCTCTTCTCCAAAAAGTCCTTGGCTTCGTTGATTTTTGTGGCCAAGAACGGAGAACCACCTTTATCCGGGTGATTCAACAGCATGATTCTCCTGTGGTTCTCCTTGAGCCTGTTCTTGGTGAGGTTACTCTCCTTCATGTTGAGAATCATCAGTGCTTCCTGCGCAGTCATCTTAGGTTTGAAGCCACCCTTGGCAAAGCCCTTGCTGGAACTGGATTTGAATACAGTACCTGCCAAATATGCAAGTGTGAAGAATCCCACCGTGGTGATCACTGGATGCTCGCCCATGTAGTTGGACATCTGGTCAAAGTAGTACTCCGCGCCGCTGGTGGCTGGTGGCCGCTGCAACACCTGCTGGGGTGCCTCCACCTGTTCAGGCTGGTCTGGTATGGTTGGTATTTCAACTTGCTGTAGTGACGACATCGAAAAAACTGGCAACCAATCGGTAACTAATGGGTGTTTTGCACCTGAGTGTGTGTTCTTGGCCTCCGAGATATGCTCTTTTTCTCCATCACCTAGGGCCGGGTAACGGTCGTCACGTGCGGCGTTTTGAGACGTTTCAAACAATAGTTAATGGGCTCTCGAAGAGCTCTGGAACTTCGGTACTTACTCAAAGACTCATCAGTATGACTATTGCTTTCGGGCAAAAGATACCTCAAACTTAAGTCTGGTGACTGGTGTCAGCTAACTGTTTTTCTGATTCAGTTAACAAGCAATACATTGTAAGCACAGTCACTCAAGACGAGACATGGCTCTCCATCTCTCTCTTTCTATCCCTCTCCCAGATCGTGATCCAAGCCAATTCAGAATGATTGATAATGAGATTTGTTGATTGAGTTAACTTGTGATTTTCTTCCTTGGCATGCCATTTTGACAAATGCTTCAACTACATTCTCTCACGTAATCAAGCCCATCGATAGCGACACGGCGTCCGAACCCGGACCCAATTGGCAGACGCAGACGGCTTCTCCACAACAGCACCAGCTGACCAAGCAAGGTCTTGTTACAGGATAGAAGTGCCAGGCCAGAACCGGGTAGTCTTTCTTGCTGCAGTAAGTTCTTCACGGCGGATTTTTTGCTTTGTTACCATTGCTACGACCTATATAACCAGATATGGCCGGATTCGGTGGTCCAGATAGCGATCAACCTCCCGTGGAGAGTGATGGCTTGAAGACAGAAGCCCGTTATGGTGAAGACAATAACCGGTTCGTCCAGCTGCCGCACACACATTCTGTGGCTGTTGAGTCAGCTCCGTGGACTTCAATTCATCCAGCTCCGGTGTCTGAGTCGGGAGCTGTGCCGATATCCCAAAGTGGCCTAGAAGATCGAGGAAGCGATATCCAAAGAGCCAAGAACGCGTGAGTGAAGTTGAACCATACAAGACTAAATCAGCCTTTATACTAACCTCCTCTTAGTTGTGTTAGATGCAAACAGAGGAAAACAAAGTGCACCGGGGGAACCGTGTGCAGAAACTGCTACATATCAGGCTCTGAGTGTGTGTACAAAGAGAAGGACAAACGAGTTGCGGTGACGGAATCGAACTTGCGAAACCTTAAAGAGAGAATTAAATATTTGGAGGAGCAGTTGTCTGAGCTACGAGAGAAAAATAAGACTAAATCCGTGGATGCTGTCTTTTTCTCTGGTCAGGATGACTCCCAGCTTCAGGAAAATGGTGGAACCAACAAAAAACGAAGACGCTCGTCTTTGCTGAACATGCAGAGCAGAAAGGACTTTTTGGAATCGGGCTCTTCAGATATGGTCATCATGAAGCTCACCGCTATGCAAGAGCGTTCCAGAGGAAATTCTTCTGTTGGTGATGTCAACCATAACAGTAGCTTCAGTGAAACTTCGAGACCGAAGAAGGGGGATCAAATTCCATTTCACGCTAAGGTCTCTGATGATGAGACTCCTCGGATCACTCTGGAAGAGGCAGACAGGTTGCTACAAATCAGCCACTTCTTCCTGAACTCTGTATACTTGCCCTTTGAGCTCTCTGCTGCGAGACTCAAACTAGCTGAGTTATATGCAGGTGGAGAGCTGAGTTTCCCTAATAGTCCCGAGAACAAGTATTGGAAACCGCTCATTTTGATTCTTTTTGCACTCGGTCACCATTATTCAGGTTCGCATTATGATGGCGCTCTTAGCAAGATACCCGAGGCGTTGATCCGTGTTGCGTTCGAGGAGTTCTTCCCGTTGCGGGATATGGACCCACAGGCTGCAGAAGTTGCTCTGGTTGCTTCCCTCTATTTCCGTGCTATTTCGCAGGATAATGATGCCATGTTCTATTCCAATCTCTCTATTGAGATTGCCGTTATGTTGGGGATGCACAAGAAGGACTTATCTACCGAATACACAAGAGAAGAGATCGAACACCGGTCCAGAGTGTTCTGGGTGTCATTTGGGGTGAACCGATTCTTGGGTGCAAAGATGGGCCATCCTTTGCTTTTAAGTAATAAGGAAATTGACAGGGATTACCCCGATATGGTGTTATTTGAGGGGGGGGCCGAAATTGACGTTCCATTTCCAAATGCCCAGGATTTCAAGTTTTTCGTCGAGCTTGCGAGGATTGCAGAAGACATAGGAAACGTTATCTACAAAGAGAGACAGGACAATTATGGTGATTCGCCAGATGCGGGCTTCTTGGAGTCCATCGCGGATTTGATCCAAAGACTCATCAACTGGAACGAGTATGCCCCTCCCAATCTCAAGATCAATCTTAATGAAGTAGTTGTTGGAGATGGGAAAGCAAAAAGACTGCGGTGTTCGATTCACCTCAACTACTGTTACTGTATCCATCTCACTACCATTCCCATTCTTTATCGTCTGTTGGAGAAGAGAAATGCCGAAGGTGATGCATTCATTTCTATCGACGACCTTCCGCAGAACATCTCCACCATGTTGTCAATTTGTCTCAACGCTGCCCAATTGACTATCAACATCCTTGCTACGTGTTTCAACGAGAAGATGCTTGCTGTTTTTGGTGTTATGGACCTGGATTACGTATTCAGTTCAGCGCTGACATTCTTCATGGCCATGATCTTGGGTGTGGATGTTCAACTATACAGTCTGGAGGCATGTCTCAATGCGTGCTTCAACATTCTGGGTGAAATGTCTAAGAGAGGCAACGCTAGTGCGGTTGCCAAACTTTCCAAACTAGTGAGTCTTATAAAGGGCTACGAAACATCTGCTGATGCCCATAACAACTCAGTGGTTTCTCGTCTGAGAAGCTTTGAGGCTTTGTCCTCCAGGCAAGAAACGGAGCGTGCTGTTCCAGAGGAACCAGCGGTCTTTGAAGCCGCAAAGCCTTTGTCTATTGCAGACATTGACTCTGTGATTAGCATGCCTGCCCAGGTGGTTGATACGTCGTTCTTGCCCTCGGCTACCGAGGATAAACTGGACTTTTTGAAGGACACAGATCTGGAATTCTGGGAGAATGCCTATAAAAGCGCACATACTGCTGCAGACTGGGATGAGCTTCAGAAATATTTGCAGATATAGAGGAAATGGACTGTTTAGGCTGTATTATTTATTATCTTTATTTATTATATTGATCGAGGAGTTAAAAAGATGAAAAAGTTGAAAAATTGAAGATACATTGTAGTATGCTCATGCATGCGTGCATTTTGCATTTTGTAGAAATTTGTAAAAACTGAGTTTTTGAGATAAATTGAGTATATCCCAACCAAATTAAAAAACATGTTTTCGGTTGAAGAACTCATTCAGACTCTGAGTAAAGATCATTGTTTATTAAATCTTGCGAGATCTGTTATAATATTCTATCATCCATATCTATCCGCTTCTCTTCTGCCTCTATGCAGCCCTATAAGAATATCATGCTAGAAGGGCTTATTTCAAATGCCATCATCGTCACCTCAAAAACCATAGTGAATATCAAATACTCTTCTTTCATCTCAGCTGCTGGTCCTTAACCTTTAATTGAGCCCCCAGATGCGAGGTATCACCAAAACTCTGGATGATACCCTTCTTGGAACTCTTCTCCACATCAACCACTGTAACACTCGTGTTGAAAGGCACTTTTAAATCATCCTCTGTGATCGAATCACTCAGTCCATATTTCAGATCAGAATAAAGATGGTTTATGAAATTGGTAATCACTCCTCCATGAGTGCATATCAGCACATTAGTGTAATCATTTTCAACGCCATAATCCACTATTTCGTCCCATTCTTTCCACAAACGTGTCAAAAGTTCTTTTCTGGTTTCCCCAAGGCTTCTAAAGGCTGGTCCGTATTTTTCCAGTGCGTCTTTGAGGTACATTCCTTCCACTTCGCCCATGGCCCTTTCTCTCAGATTAGGCGTGAGTCTCAAATCAATGCCGTCTTTGATCTTGTGATGCTGGTAAATCTCGCCCACTGTCTGTTGACATCTGGTTAGATCAGACGACACAAATGCATCGATCGGAACGTCTTTGAATCGTTCACCAACTAATGCTGCCTGGTGGAAACCTTCCTCATTTAAGGCGGTGTTCAGATGGCCCTGCATGATCTTCTTCTTATTATGGTCTGTCTGCCCATGTCTGACTATGAAGAAACGTAGCACGTTCTTGCTGTCATTTGTGAGTTGACTATCAGCAATCATTATTGAAAAAACAAACAAACAAACCACTTTCAATATAATATAATGTAGTATTCCCAGCCTTTAAATTGCCAGAGCAGCTCGTAGAAGAGTCAGATAACCAGCTTGTCATTTTCAACCTCGGTACACGACCACTTTTTTTCTGCCATTTGTCGCGCGGGCGACCATGCTCCAAATCTTCAACATCGTTGACAAGACCTGAACTGCTAGACGAACAGTGCTCACTACTTTTCCATCATCACCATGTCTCTTAGGATCTCACGCATGTCACGGGTCACTCAGATATCCAGATCTTTGCAGTCTCTGCAGGCTCGTAAGTTTTCCACCACAGCACAGACCCAAGGTCTGCTGGACTACTTTAGCTTCACCAGAAAGAACAAGCTCAAGACCGCTGAAAAGTCCACCAAGGAGGTTATGCAAGAGTTGGAAACCCAGGATAAAGATCTCACCACTCAGGTGGCTATTCCAATTTTGGGTAGAACTGACCCCAGAAACAAAGATTGGAAAAAGAAGATGAACGGGTTCTCGGGTGAAAGCTGGATACCTTCCCAGACCACCATCAAAGCAGAACTAGAGGGAAAGCAGGACGCCGAAAAATCCGAGATTATTACCAAAAGGGTCTCAGAATTACATGCACAGTATGCTGGTTCCTCTGATGGAGCCCTATCGGATCTTTCCAAGAGATTCACATTCCTAAAACAGGTGCAGCTGGAGTTCGGCGTGGCCATTTCTGATATAAAACTCACACAACTCAACAACCTACACCTGGTAGAAGACTTTGTGGTTAGCAATCTGCTTGGACCCAAATCCAGATTCAATGAGAGATTTCCCAACGCAATTTACCTCGATCCAAAGGAGTTTGAGGGCACTAACATCAGCGTTACTAAGTTTGTGGGAGCAAAGGAGAAGCAGAAAAAGTTTGAGAAGTTGGTGGAGCAAGCAAAGTTGGCAGAGCAGGAAGCTTTGAAGGCGGCATCTGCTTGAAAGGGAAAACAGTTTAAGAAGTGCTCACGGTAGGGAACTGGTGTAGTCTTCGTCTATCACCATGTATATAAGTCTAACATAGTCCACGATATTCTGGATAGCTACACCAAATTTTATGATTATCGAATTGAAATCGCAACATCGAGCACACACCTGGCCCTGGTATATAAGGATAAAAGGTAAAAACAAGCATCGCGTGCTTTCGAGAACATTACTTTCTGCTGAAAGTGAAAACGACCACAACAGCGGCAGCCAGTGCAAAGATCGCGCCCGAAAGTAGAACCTCATTAGGCAGACCCTTTGATTCAACTGAAGACTTGGCTACCCTTCTGGATGGAAGAGTATCAACGTCTGGAGTGGTTTCTGGATGGTGGATATACAGATCAGCCTTTTCTCTCTGCAATTGCTTCGAGATCAACACACAGTCAAGTAAGTCCTGGTCGGTAGTGATGGCAACCACGTCTCCTTCATCATCGATATAAGAGATTGCAAAGTCGAAATTCTCGGTAAAGCTCTCATGCTGAGATCTCTGAAGGGCCAGCTGCTCCTGCTTGTTGAACTTGGAGCTGACCAGATCTCTCAACGATACCACACCTTCAGATGGCTTGAAGCTGATTCTGTGAATTCTTCCAACTGGAGACTTGAATTTGAAAAAATAAGCTTCATCGAAGTTGATCTTGGCGGCTTGAGGATCGCGCAGCTTAGCTGGTGACTTCTCTTCCATTCCCGTGACAGAGATGCTATCTGAGGGCCCAATGTCGTTGTTTATAGCAAACTGTGCCATCTCAGATCTTGAAACGTCCTGAACTTGAACATTCACTTGACTGTCTGAATCCAGAGAGTGCAAGGATTCGGTCTCGTTGTCCAACGAGGTCCAGAATTTGTTCCAAGCGGGACCCTCCCTTTCATTAGCCCCAGCAGCAGAGCCAATCTCGCTTCCGCTAACAGAGTCTCCTCCAAAGGATTGTACTGATTTGAGCTGGTTCAGAGTTGCATAGGTAAGTTTCAAAACTTCAACGATTCCAACGATCTCGCTGCTATCTTCGTCGATAACTGGCAGATTCAGGTAGTGACCGTCAAACATCTTTCTTAGCGCCTGATGAACAGAAAGTCCTCCGCTAGCATAATCTGGTTTGGGGGTCATGACCCTGATAACAGAGCATGTTCTGGGGTCTAAACCAGCTGCGATTACTCTCAAAACCACATCTTTCGAGGTGAAGATACCAGTAACCTCATCAAATTTTTGCGAGTCCTTCACCAAAACCGCGGTGGTGTGATTGTCCTTCATCGCGTTGGCAGCATCAAATACTGAAGCCCTGATATCAATGTAGATTGGAAGTGTCGAATCGTCCAGCACAGAGTTAAGAGTAGGCCCATCAATGAGAGACTTCAAGTTATCAAAGTATTTGATCACATGGGCCGGCTGGGATGAAACACCACCCATCTCAGCATTAACACCCTCCATGGCATCGTAAAGTTTCTTGGAACTTTCGTACATCCTCTCCAGTTTGATCATGGCCTCGTTGTAGCACTTGGTGATGTCCAATACACCGACAATCTGGTTCGAGTCGTTGATAACTGGCAAATGTCTGAAGCCTCTTCCTACCATTAGATTCAGAGCATCTGAAGCCAAAGTCGAGGTCTTGCAACACATTGGATTTGGAGTCATGATTTCCTCGATCATGGTGGTGTTAGCATTCAAATTGGAGCCAACAATACGGAAAGCCAAGTCCTTTGCAGTGAAAATTCCCAAAAGCTCCTCATCTTCGTCAACAACAAGAATGCAGTTCTCTTTTTTCAGTGACATCAACTGGGCAGCCTCAAACACAGTGTAGGAAGGTCTGCACACGATTGGCTCAGAGGGCTTAAGGAACATCACGGTACCGGGAGTATAATTACCCGGTCTTCTTCTTAAATTTCTGGGAGACCCTTGCAGATCTGTCATGTTGGTGTTTTTTCTCTTTCTGAGGTCATTCTCAATTTTTCTTCTAATAGCCTGGAGGTGTTAGTATGGCGGATAGATGACCAAAACGGTTTAACAAGGGGAAAAAGGTCAAAATGTTTCAAAAAACTTCGTAGAAGGAAAGCAATAGCTTCCCAGCATAGAACTGCTCTAGGATAGCTCAAAATTCACCTCAATTTTCCAAATAAACCGCTTGCCAGAGACTTACCTCGTCCTTCTTCGACTGCCTCTTTCTGGAGTCAGTGAAGTCGGCACCAGCTCCGTTGGAGGCATTCGAAAGCGCAGACTGAGCCCTCTTCGGGGTCCTCATCATAGATTCCGGAACAGTCATATTGAAACTAAATCTCACAAATGTTACCGGTCAAATGTAAGAACAGTAAGGAGAAAGGAGCTCTTCGAATGAGAATACAGATTTCGGGCAGATCGATCGAAAGGTAAACACAGACTTCCGTTTTGGGAAAAGTGAGGTTGTTGAACCGTACATCTGCCATTACAACAATAGGATGTGTTGTAGCATTGTAGCTGCAGGATTCAACAGAGAACAAAGAAAAATCTGTGAAAACTGCTCGAAAAACGATTTCATTTTCACAGATAGGTTGGAGATAAATGTTTTGATATTTGCTGGTTTTTCAGGCGAAAGCTCGCTGAAGCGGCCGATCTGAGTGGGAAATTGGTGGATGAGGGGCTCATCTTGGTGCACTACAGGGATGTGTAATGGGTAGTTTCGCCTTTTCATTTTTTGAGATTTTCCCTTCTTTCAGGCTTCTCAAAACAGGCAAAATGTTTGCATATTCTTTGGTCAATTTTCCCTTCGTCATCTATGCAATCTCCTTTTTAAAGGATCTTCTCGTCAGCATACTCAAATCCGGTCCGGTTCCTGGGCATGTCGCCTTTGTGATGGATGGAAACAGAAGGTTTGCCAAGGTACAAGGGGTTGCATTGAAAGAAGGACACAAGGCTGGTGCTGAAACATTGGCATCGGTGAGTCTGATTTAAAAAGGATTTGTGTTTGCTGCCTTCGACCACTAACCGCACAGGTGCTGGATACTTGCTACAAAGCTGGAGTCAAAGCGTGTACTATTTACGCGTTCTCGATTGAAAATTTCAACAGATCTGAGGAAGAAGTTAACACCTTGTTTGATTTGCTGAGAAATCGGTTGATCATGCTCAGCAATTCTGAGTAAGTCATAGACGTTTGTGGAATAATGTCGTTTTCTGGTCAACTAACCCACTAGCCCTGCCTCATATCTGTTCGATGTAAAAATAAAAATCGTGGGAAATAAGACCATGATTCCTGCTGAAATTCTGGTCGATTTGGAGAAAATCGAAGAAAAGACTGCCAGACACACGAACAAGATCCTCAACGTGTGTTTCCCTTATACCTCCAGGGATGATATCGCACACTCAGTATCCACCATTGTAGATAGGGTCAAGAATGGAGAGATGCAAACTGTTGATATTACCGAGCAGGCTTTGGATGAGAATATGTACTTCGGAACAGACTCGCCAAAGATGGATATCCTGATACGCACATCTGGACACACAAGACTGAGTGATTTCATGACATGGCAATGCCATGACCAGTCAATGATAGAGTTCGTTAACGTTCTATGGCCTGATTTCAACTTTGTGAGCATCTTCTGGGTTCTTTTCAAATGGGGTTATTACAAGTCTCTCATACTGGAAGACACACAAGTGATGCAACCAAACAAGTTTGCGAATGAGGGAAGTGTTCCCAATTTTAAACATCCTCCATTCGCGTCCGTGAGCGAGGTATAAGAGATGCAAAAGTGATATGTCCATGCTATAGAGAAAACTGCTATCGAATGGAGAAAAGCGTGATATGAGATAATTGAATGTTCATCTATTTAAACCAAAAAGAGAAATGGCCGTAGAACAACTCCTCTGAAGGTTTGGCAAATGAAAATACTCCATCTTACGGAACATTAAAGAGCTGGTTCTAGCCCAAACTCCACATACAACCAGGCGTTAGCAATGTCGAGAAAAATTAAGCATTAGGTCACGAACGATATAGGGCGTAAGTAGAAAGAGGGCTATCAAGCGTCATTATGGAGCGATGTGATATTCATGGCTGTTGGGTGCATGTCTTCACCTTCATATAGGCTGAACAATCCAGTTGGTGTCTTTGATCACTTTATAGTCTGCAGACTCGTCATGCGTGTGCACGCTTGCGCTGGATTCAACAGTATTAAACGTTTGGATTCCTGACCTGAGATGGGATTCTGAAGGCTGGCTATTCTCTTGTTCTCTTCTCATTAGATCAAGCCGGGACACGATCTGTTGTTTGGGGTTCGAATTTTGCTTCTTCTTTCTCAAGTTGAACTTGGTAATGATGCCTATGAGGCCGCAGTCGATCATTTGCACAGCAGAGACGATTCCAGTAACCATTCCAGTAACCATTCCTGATGGTTCCAAAAGCTACTACAAGTTAATCTACGTGAGATATTAGGCGCTGAATCTGTTTAAGTAGTTGAAGGCAAAACTTTGGCGCGCTCTAGCCGAGGTGCAGAAACTACAGCGAAAACCTTAAGAAATCTCCCCGGATGGATATTATGTCCGAAAGATTGTCCGGCAGCTGGGGTATGCTACCAGAGGGTGATGCATCTACCGGAGGCAAGTGACTGCCGACATCGGGCTGGAGCTTCAGGTTATTTTTATTTGTCTACCTGGAAACGTTTGTCGGTTTCGACCCGTTATTTCGCACCTTTGTCCGGTGTATAAATGGTGTTCACTCTGTTGTATCACTCTCTCGTACTTCGTTTGGTACGGTACTAAGCCGAGAAAAATTTGACCTCGGAGCCTCGGCAGAAGTCCAGGCCCGAAACTTTTTGGCTACTGATCCAGTTTCCACTCTGGGATGAGGTGTAACGGTTGGGTGGTGCACACGACTGGCTGAACAGGCGTTACAGGCCTCGTATAGCCGTATTAGGGCATTGGGTCCATGCTGGTGAGTAGACTCTTTTGGAACTAGATTGGCTAGCCGCCTCAATTGATTAGACTATTCTTTTGGTTGTTTCGGCTTTAAAGAGACCCTTCGTGCTTGCGGATCAGACGGCTGAGGGGATGTCATTCTCAATCTATTGTCCCATCTTAAACCCCATCAGACCCTGCCGGTATGCGCATGCTTGCCTGCCTATCCCCGGAGTATGACTGGCTTGCTACGAGGCGCACGCTCCAAATGATAAGTCTGATTGGTCCCAGACAGCAATCTCATGATTATAAATATATAAATATATTAGGCTTTATTCTCCACTTTGAGTTTTCTGCTTTACATTTGCCCTATTGACATTTATCCTGCATCCTTCCGAACATGCCGTCCATTACCGTCCACCAGTATGCCTACCTATCTTCCTTCTCAATGATCTAAGACTATTACTAACGCGGTACTTTTTTTTCAGCCTCAACGATTCTAGATCATGGAGACTGGTGTGGCTGCTTTGCAAACTCAAGCTGGATTTCGACATCCAGGCGTACCACAGAGCCGCAAACATGCTCGCACCAGAAGCATTCAAACAGCTGACCAAACCGTCCAGATCCCCCGTTCTGGAGATCGATGGTAAGAGATACACCGAGTCTGGATTTCTTTTTGAGCTGTTGCTTGAAAAATACAACAATGTGTACACTTATTCACCTGAGGAGCTGGAGCGTATTAAGTTCTTTCTCCACTTCACTGAGGGTTCGTTGCAACCTCCATTGGTGATGTTGCTAGTGTCATCAGCTGCGTCCACCCACGCACCCGTGTTCATTAGATTCGCCATTAAAGCCTTCATGAATAAGATTGACCAGGCGTACGCTTTGCCTGCTGCCGTCGAGAACTTTGAGTACCTGGAGTCTGAATTGGAGACCCATGACTATTTCGTTAACAATAAAATTTCTCCGGCCGACATCATACTCAGTTTCCCCATAATGACCGGAGGAAGTCGTGTTGAAAACTTTGACGCGAACTACCCTCGCCTGGCCAAGTGGAAGCGTTTGCTGGAGGAGGACCTTGATTATAAGGAGGCTTCCAAGAGGGTTAGGGCTGCGGAGGAGAAGGCTTTCGGGACGAAACTGTGAGGTGGTATCTAAAATATATGCTGGAATCAGCAAAAGAATGTCAACAGGAAAATATAAGACAACACACCTATTATGACTATATTACAATCAACGTGTAGACGAATTCTAGATTCTCCCGATTAAGACAAATTGACATCATGCATGTATGCGCCGCACGATGCCATAGCCTGCAGATAGCCTCCCAATTAACGACATCTCCATATATATACGAATATGTTCCTCAGGCCAGCTTTAATTTGTGATAAATAGCATCTAAAATAGATTGGACATGGCTTCCGTTGATGTTGCAATAATTGGGTCAAATTTACCGGGATATGCTATCGCCAAACTGGTGTCACCTCATCTTAGAACACTGATGATCAAGACATCAGGAGAAGAGCTATCAGAAGCCCTCAGACCGATTAACCACCATTCGCATGCAAAAATGGTTTCCAAGATTGGCAAAGATTCTGCTGCAGAGGTAGTCAACTTTGCCCACGCCAATCTCGAACATTTGCTCTCAATTTTGGGGCCTGCTGGCTTGGCTCAGACATCAGTGGAGTCTTATGGAGATATGGTGGAGGACTATTGTGAATTCGTGAAAAATAGATCAATAGCCAGCACCGTAAAAAGATCGACCGAGATTTTGTTTGGTGACCACGCGAAAAGAGAGTATGGCAAACCTGGCGCCGTTCGTTTCAGATCCACGAGAATCACCACAGGCGAACTGCAGGAGCGGTTTAGAACAGAAAGCCTAGCCAATGGGCTTGTGGAAGTGGACGGTGTAATTTCAGTGGAGAACATGGGCGGGTCATGGAAACTACAAACAGCTCAGGGTACGGTTTATACAGAGAAGTTGATCTTCAGCTCTGATCATCACGCTGCTGAGTTCTGGTCAGTGCTCAAGATGAAGAACGAGTCTGTAGAGTTCACGTTCACAAACGAAAAACTCAGTTCGTTCAACAGGGGATTGCTGCAAAAATTGGCAGACTCTCAGCTACCTTTGGTGGCTCAATTGTCAAATACAGTCTATTTGAATGTGAACTACGACACCACCACTATGCTGAGTTGCTTACTAGCCAGCTTTGAAATGGTGAAAGCGATCCTGTTCGGATCCAAGATGCGTGTTCCTGTCGCTTTTAACCTACATGAAGAACCCTCGTTAATGGCGAGATTGTAGTAAATAACTAACAAACTTAAAGCACTCCTATGTCTATTTTGCTTACACAGTACCGGAAACGACAACGGCTCCGGATCTGGCAGTGATCTTCAACTTGTTCTCTCTATCGATGCTGAGAATCACCTCGACCTTGGAGCCAGCACCCACCTGTGGCAGCACCAATTCGGCCAAGAGCTCAGCTGGCTTGTACTCCACAGACTTGACGACCTCGGGCTCTTCGTCAGAGTAGTCGTCTTCCTCGTCATCAGAGTACTTTTCAGCCTCAACAACGGTTTCCTTGACGTGTCTCTCACCTTCGTAGATCTCCACCAGAGCATCCTCTGCACTGGACTCAATAATCACAGACTTCTTGATGGGGTAGGCAGTCTCCTGGGACAACACAGAGATGAACTCACCAGAAGCACCCTTGATACCAATTGGCTTGGCCAGGTGCAAGGTGTTCACAACAACAGGCTGCAAGGACTCGGAGATCTCCTCCTTCTCAAAAGAGGAAACCATAGAGGCTTGCAAGGCAGCACCACGACATGCCAATTCATTAGGATCCACGCTCTTGGAAATCACGGTAGTCTCTGGGAAGATGGCCTCCATGTTGGCAGACACCTTCGGAATGTGGGAAGTACCACCAACCAGCAAGACCTCGTCGATATCGAGGTTCTCCAAACCAGCCTTCTTCACTGTGCTCTCGACGAACTCAGCCATCTTGGTGAAGACAGCTCTTCCGACCAGCTCGAAACGCAATCTGTTGATGGTGGAGTGGAAGTCAAAGCCATCGGCAAGAGAATCAATGGAAATAGTCGAGGTCTGGACGTTGGACAGAGTCTTCTTGGTGATGATACAAGCAGCCTTGAGCTTGGCGAGCGAACGCGCACTGTTTCTAGGATTGGCACTGAACTTCTTCTCAAACTCTTTGGAGAAGAACTCAGCAAGGGCATCGTCTAGGGAGTCACCTCCCAGGTTAAAATCGTGCTGAGAAGCAAGGACGGTGAAGATACCTCCTCTGACGGCAATTACAGCAGCATCGGATCTGATACCACCAAAGTCGGCAACCACAAAAATCTTGTCCTCCAAGAGTCTGTCAGCTGCAGACAAATGTGCCAGCAAAGCTGCAGTTGGCTCGTTGATCAATTGGATGACATTGAGACCTGCTTCGGCAGCAATCTTGACAAGCTCCTCCTTCTGCACCTCGGTGAAGTTGGTAGGAACCGTGATCACCACGCTCTCAACCTTTGTTCCCGTGTAATCAACGGCAGCCTCCTTAATCTGAACCAAGTGTCTTTTGACGATTTCATCCACACTGAGAGAAATTTCCTTGTCTGCCGGGTTGAGCTTGTAAGAGATCTTACCGTTGACATCTACTGGCACGGCAGAGGCCTGGCTCTTGGACAGATCGATATCCTGGAACGATTTTCCAATAAAGTCTCTGAAGTTGATCACAGTGTTCTTTGGGTTTCTCACCAACTGAGCAACGGCCTGGGCTCCGTGGTACTCGTCATCACCAACATACGACAGAGCAGATGGAATGGCTCTGTCTCCGTCGGGGTTAGCGATCACATCGACCTTCCCATCGGGAGTGGCAACAGCAATAGAAGAGGTGGTGTTACCGAAGGCAATACCAATAACTGACGACATGGCGAATATATCTGTCTATCAACACAGTGCTTGGAAGCAAGAAGCGGTCGAGGTTGAGATTTTTAAAAGTTTTTCTATGAAAAATGATCACGTGACCCCATTGAAGTCTGGTTAGGACAGTTTGGTAGCTGAGGCTGTTGTTGTTGTGTGGGCCAGTTGGACTGATTTTGCCGGAAAAATTGCCCAAATTTCGTTTAATTGATGGCAACTTTACTCGTTGCAATTGAGGGATGCTGCCATGGAGAACTTGACATGATATACCAACACCTGGGCAGGGCCGCTGAGAAACCGGACCTTCTCATCATCTGTGGAGACTTCCAGAGTGTCAGGAACGAGAAGGACTTGAAGTGTATGGCCGTTCCAGAGAAGTTTAAGAGACTGGGGGATTTTCCGGATTACTATAGTGGTGCCAAAAAGGCGCCTATTCTGACGATATTCATTGGTGGAAATCACGAGGCCTCCAACTACTTACAAGAACTAAGACACGGTGGATGGGTGGCACCCAATATCTACTACCTAGGCCGGTCAGGAGTAGTCTGGTACCGGGGCTTGAAGATAATGGGGCTTTCAGGAATATGGAATCCGCAAAGTTTCATGAAGAAGCCGGTGAAGGTGGAGCCCCCATACAATCCTTCAGAGATACGATCTGTGTACCATGTGAGGAAGGAAGATTATTGGAAGATGCTGTGTTGCAAAGACACCAACGATGCTGTTATACTGTCTCATGACTGGCCAGAGGGAATACCGAATTTTGGAAATTTAGAGTATCTTTTGAGGAAAAAGCCGTTTTTCAAAACTGATATTGGTACGGGCAAACTCGGGTCGCCTGTAAACAGAGAGCTTTTGTTTCGGCTCAAGCCAAGATTTTGGTTTAGTGCTCATTTACATGTCGAATTCATGGCTACTGTGGTACATGCAGCCAAAAGAAGGGGCAGTAGTTTGGAAAGCGAGGGAGATAAAAAGTCAAGGGTCGTGAAGAACGTTGATGAGATAGAGTTGGACTTGGATGATTTTGATGAAGAGGAGGAGAAAGAAGAGGTCAAAGAAGAATTAGAAGCAAAAAAAGAGGAGACTCCCGAGAAAGAGCAAGTCACAGAGTTCCATGCGTTGGATAAGTGTCTCCCAAGACGGAAATTTCTCGCATTCAAACAGGTGCAGGTAACCAATATGCATCACCCTTCTTTCACAGATAAAGAAAGCTTGTATCTTGATGAGGAATTTTTATGTGTGGAGCGCGCTTTGCAGAGTCTGCGTTCTTCGGAGGTCAAGTCACCATGCGTCGAGGCGATGGATACCATTCACAAAGCATTGAATCCAACCGACGAATTTCTGGAGGAAATGTACTTGCAAATTGATGTCGAGTGTGTGAAGTTCAATAAGAGGTTTGGTTTGGATGATCTGAGATTGAGTAAGGAATCATTCCTTGCTACTGCTCCGAATGAGGCCAGTAAGTTCGAAGCGTATGTTAACCCTCAGACGGAGAAGTACGAAAAGTTACTAAGTGAATAAAGGAGTTGTTCATGATGAAATCACCCATTGCAAACTTGTTGCCTCGAGATATTTTGATAGATTTTCTGTAACCGGTTAGCATGTTTTTTTTCGTATCGTCTTGCATTGATATAAGTGCGGCTAAAATTTGGTTTCAGTGCACATTATTTGCGTGCACTGAAACCAATCGCACTTCCATCTCAACTTCTGGGAGGCAAACCGTCCAACAAGCTCCACGAAACACCAAACACGTTTGATCAACTCCACCAATTAATTGACAAAATATGCCGCCTAAGAGTGATTGGGAAAAATATAAGCCTTCTGTTGAAGAGGACGACAAGGCTGATGAAAAAATCACGCCTCTGAGTGAAGGAGACATCCAGGTCTTGAAGACATACGGTGCCGCCCCGTACAGCACATCCCTTAAGTCTATTGAAAAGGATTTGAAAGATGTGGAGTCCAGGATAAAGGAGAAGATCGGAATTGAAGAAAGTGACACTGGACTGGCCAATTCGAGCTTATGGGATGTTGCTGCTGACAAACAGAGAATGTCTGAAGAACAGCCTCTACAAGTGGCAAGATGTACCAAGATCATCCAATCAAACGATGGAGGTGAAGAATCCGATCAACCAGACGAGAAATCAAAATACGTCATAAACGTGAAGCAAATTGCGAAATTTGTGGTTGGTTTGGGCCAGAGAGTATCACCAACAGATATCGAAGAGGGCATGAGGGTTGGTGTTGATAGAAACAAGTACGAGATTCAGCTACCCTTACCTCCCAGGATTGATCCCAGCGTGACGATGATGACAGTGGAAGAGAAGCCAGATGTGACATACAGCGATGTTGGAGGGTGCAAAGAACAGATCGAGAAGTTGAGGGAAGTTGTCGAGCTTCCTCTGCTTTCCCCTGAAAGATTTGTCAAGTTGGGTATTGACCCACCGAAGGGTATACTGTTATACGGGCCACCTGGTACCGGAAAGACGCTATGTGCCAGAGCCGTGGCCAACAGAACAGATGCCACGTTCATAAGAGTGATTGGCTCTGAACTTGTACAAAAGTACGTGGGTGAGGGAGCCAGAATGGTTAGAGAGCTGTTCGAGATGGCGAGAACCAAGAAGGCTTGTATCATCTTCTTTGACGAAGTTGATGCCATTGGAGGTGCCAGATTCGATGATGGTGCCGGTGGTGACAACGAAGTGCAGAGAACCATGTTGGAGCTGATCACTCAATTAGACGGTTTCGACCCTAGAGGTAATATCAAGGTCATGTTCGCCACCAACAGACCGAACACCTTAGATCCCGCTTTACTGAGACCCGGAAGAATTGACCGTAAGGTGGAATTCTCGTTGCCCGACTTGGAAGGCCGCGCCAGTGTTTTCAGAATCCACTCCAAATCCATGTCCTGTGAGCGCGATATCAGATGGGAGTTGATCTCCAGACTGTGTCCAAACTCTACTGGTGCAGAGTTAAGATCTGTTTGTACGGAGGCTGGTATGTTTGCCATCAGATCGAGAAGAAAGGTTGCAACTGAAAAGGACTTTTTGGCGGCCGTTGAGAAGGTTATCAAGGGAAACATGAAGTTCAGTTCCACGAGTCAGTACATGCAATATAATTAAAGAAAAGAAAGAACCTTTTCACGGTTTATACTTGCATTATCTAAAGAGAATCTATTCTTTTCATAGTTAATCATCAACTTAGTTATACACGGTTTAAATTCCTTCCATAGTACATAATTGGCCCAGTTATACACGCCAAAGTACCTTCATGAGCCACGAGACGTTTCGTAGCCTAATATTAACAAACCATCTGTAAATTTGTTTCCTTCATGGTCCATCGTCTTCTATAGTACATTCATTCCCACCAACTCACACAGCCCATTCCGTCCGTCTGACAACTGCCCACAATCGCATATGGAGGAACGCTTTCCTTCTTTTCTCCAGTTTCATCGTCAACGACCGTATTGGTAGGACCCTTTGGTTTCACGTTGGTGAACATCTCTTCCTCCACTCTGAAGTTGATCTTCTCGTTAACGTCTAAGTAGAGCTTGGTGCTCTCATCAGGCTGCCAAATCCAAGCGTTGTCTTCTTTCGAAAACACTGAGCCCTCAAATAAATAGTCACCAGGTATAAATATATCGTTAAAAAACTCCAATTTTACCTTGAGTCCCTGTTCAGATGCTTGATCTATCCACCCAGTAAGAACCTCTCCTACAAAAGGCTTCCAGACAACGCACCGGAAAACAACCTTGATGTAAGTGCACCCATCGCCCGGTTTCAGCATTCCATCCTCGATCTTCGAAATATCCCATATCGTCACCACCAACCCCAGGTTGTGAATGACTTTGTTAGCGTATTTCTCGTTTAGTTCGTTAAGCACAGCTTCGTCAGTAGGCAGGTTGAAAATGTGCGGCGAGATCCGTATCAGATCCGATATCACAGACAGCTGGAACATGGTAGAATACAGATATGAGCTGACAGTTCTGAAACAGTTCTGAGACTGTACGTTGAATAGGTTTGAGTGCACCTGGAGTGGTCTCAAAATTTTCAGTTACAATTCTTGCATGCCTAATTTTCTTGACTTATATACGTGCGAAACTCAAAACAACTTCAAAAGAAGCTGGCAACCTTTATTGGAGTCTGCCTCGATTTCGATGGTTTTTGCCAACGACTTGATCTGTTTTGTGTATTTCTTCTCGGATTTACCGAACGACTCGAAGAGAGAAACTATCACGAATGATGCGGGAGATTTGACCCATTTTTCAAGGTTCTTTTCATCTTCTGCAAACAGCTCTTCGTAGAGCTTCACGGCGAAGACGTGGCCCACTCCACTGACTCCTTCCAGTTTAACGATCTTACCCTGTTTGGCATCCCAGCGACCACCCTGAATGAGACTTCTGAGCAGTCTTGGTGTAAATGGCTTGTTGACCAAGTGAGTCTCTTCTTTGATGTCTCCTTTGAGAGACTCAATCAGTTGGTCGATGGCCTTCTCCTTCAGGTCATCTGATTCAACCGAGTTCATCAGCAACTCTTGCATGAACTGAGATCCGATGTTTTCACCCAGAGATTCATATGGATGTTCAATCAGAGCAGTGAAGAAAGAGGGCGCAAAGTGCTTCAACAACTCTGCTCTTCTCTGGTCCTGGGGTTTCTTGGAGGTTTGAAGTGACATCTGCTCATACTTCACCAACTCCTTGGTCACAGTGGGAGAGAAAAAATGAGGATCAAGACCATTCAGGATGTAAATGAAAGGTCTTCTAGAAAATTTTTGTGTCACCAATTCGTGCATTTTCTCGGCGTAAACTGCAGAAAATGTCTTGGAAACAAGAACAGTGTCATCCACAGTCATGAACAGTGTGATAAGGACAATGTTACCGAACTCGTTTGTGGCAAGGTTATCGGCATGGTCTCTCAGGGACCTGACAATTGACTTTCTCTCTTTGGCATTAGCCTTTGCAATTAATGTACAAGCGACTTCGCAACCTTCTGGCGTATGCACCAGCTCGGCAATCTGCTCATGCAATAGCTCGATGAACTCGGTCACTTCTTTGTCTTTGAAGATCTTGGTGTACTCTCTCATGGCAGCGTGCAAAATCTGGAATCCGGTGGATCCTTTCTCCACAGATGCCTGTATCGTGGATATCAGATTACTGGCAATCAGATTTCTCTTCTCGACAGACTCCTCGCACGTAGCGACAATGTCTTTGTCCTTACCAGCGTCTTTGAACACAGCGTACTCGGCACCCCAAAATTCGCGGATCATCTGCTGTTTTTGCTTGTTGGTAGCATACAAAACATACAGATCCTCCACCACGTAAGCACCTTCTCTGTGTCTCATGAGCTTTCTGAGCTTTCCATGGAGTTCGTTGAGAATCAGCTCTCTGGATTCTTTGGAGCCATAATGCAACAGCTTCACCAGCAGGTACTTACCGTACGAAGAGGTGGCCAATTCGTAGTATTTGCCCTTCAATGAGGCAACAACAGCATCTCTTCTCTCTCTGTTCGAATATTTCACCAGAGTTTGCACCACTCTAGAGGCATCATGTTTCATCACCAGGTCCGTGATCACATTCTTGGCCAGAGACCAGATCTCGTCACTGAGTTTGTCGCGCACTTGTTTTGGAACGGGTGGGGTTTTAACTCTCAGTTTCTCCCAAAGCTGTTTGATTCTTTGTACCTCGACTCCGGATTTCCGCTGCAGCTTTCTCTCGTTCAGCACTTTCTTCTGCTCGGCATGCTGTTCTTTGGAAGACTGCTTGGGTAGACCATTGTCTTCAATTTGTTCCTCCTCACCGGACTCCTCGTCATCAACGCTCATGTCGTTATTATTTTCAAGTTGATCCAACTCATCATCACTGGACTCAACTTCCGCATCTAGTTGCACTTCCTCATCTTCTTCGTCTTCGTCTTCCTCTTCAGACTCAGAAACAACCTTTGGCTTGGGAGCAGGTGCTCTGTAGCTGGACTTGACTTGCTTTGCTTTCTTTCTCTCCACAGAAGAGCTCTTTGCCTGTCTTTGGCGCTTTAGATCAGCAGGATCAGCAGACACCATTATTTATATGAGTAGTACAGGTGGAAATCGTTGGTGCTGTGAAACTTTTCAGCCTGTACGGTTATCTATGCATTAAAAAAAAAAATCCTTCCTCATCTTGGTGCTGAAATTTACACTGACGGCACGCCAAAAAAGATATTTGTACTGAACATCTGAGCATAACACCAGCCAAAGCGACTCTTTACGCTGGTTTATGTTTCAAGGCTTGATAATTATATATTATATTCGTAGTTTGTTCTTGAAAAGATATTGAGATAAATCATTCAGGAATAAATATGCACATGGGTCGGAAGCTTAGTAAGATCTGATGGCTGGTGGAACAGTCTTACATTCGTTTGGATCCAATGTTTCACTGATAACGTGTCTGTAGGTCACTTCTACTGGAGCACCAAACTCCTTCTGGTAGGTCAGCGAGTGCTTCATCCAGTTCTCATCGTCTCTGGTAGGATAGTCCTCTCTCGCATGGGCACCTCTGGACTCCTTTCTCACACAGGCCGAGTTGGCAGTCTGTGTGGCACATGTCAGCAAGTTCTGCAGCTCCAAAGTCTCAACCAAGTCCGAGTTCCAGATCATAGATCTGTCCTGTGTCTTGACTCTGGCAAACTTCTTGTCAACCTCTTCTATCTCCTTAACACCTTCGTCCAACAGCTCCTGAGTTCTGAAAACAGCACAGTGCTTTTGCATGGTTCTCTGCATCTCGAGTCTCAACTCGGCAGTAGAAAGATCACCATCAGCAGTACGCAGCTTGTCCAAGTTGGCAATGGACTCGTAACCGATATCAGCAGGCAATTCCTTGTGAGGAGTGTTTGGTTTCAACGAGTCACGGATGGTGTGCGAAACGGCACGGCCGAAAACAACCAAGTCGAGCAACGAGTTGGCACCCAATCTGTTGGCACCGTGGACAGAGGTACACGCAGATTCACCACAGGCAAGCAGGCCCTCAACAACCTGATCGTTACCGTCCTTATCCAAGTTCAAAACCTCACCAGTCCATTTGGTTGGGATACCTCCCATGTTGTAGTGGACGGTTGGCAGAATTGGGATGGGTTCCTTAGTAACATCCACACCAGCGAAGATGTGAGCGGTCTCAGAGATACCTGGCAATCTCTCCTTCAAGACACTTGGTGGCAGATGAGACAATTGCAAGTACATGTGGTCCTTCAATGGACCGACACCTCTTCCAGCATTGATCTCCATGGTGATGGCACGCGAAACAACATCTCTGGAGGCCAGATCCTTGGCGTGAGGAGCATATCTCTCCATGAATCTCTCACCCTCGGAGTTGATCAAGTATCCACCCTCACCTCTGGCACCCTCAGTGATCAGACAACCGGAGCCGTAGATACCTGATGGGTGGAATTGCACAAATTCCATATCCTGCAATGGAAGACCGGCTCTTGATGCCATGGCGTATCCATCTCCGGTACATGTATGGGCAGAAGTGCACGAGAAGTAAGCTCTTCCGTATCCACCGGTAGCGATGACAGTCTTGTGCGCCTTGAATCTGTGCAGAGTTCCGTCCTCCTCGTTGTAGGCAATGACACCGACACACTTTCCGTCATGCATCAACAGATCCATGGCAAAAAACTCAATAAAGTAGTGAGTGTTGTGTCTCAAAGATTGACCGTAGAGAGTGTGCAGCAAGGCATGGCCCGTTCTGTCAGCGACAGCACAGGTTCTGTAGGCCTGACCACCGTGGCCAAAGTCCTTGGACTGACCTCCAAAGGCTCTCTGGTAGATTCTACCCTCTTCCGTTCTCGAGAACGGCAGACCAAAGTGCTCAAGCTCGATAATCGACTGAGGAGCCTCTCTAGTCATGTAATGGATGGCATCCTGGTCTCCCAGCCAATCAGACCCCTTCACGGTGTCATACATATGCCATCTCCAGTCATCCTTGTGCATGTTTCCCAAAGCAGCGTTAATTCCACCTTGGGCAGCCACGGTGTGAGATCTGGTTGGAAACAGCTTGGAGATACACGCGGTTTTGAAACCGTCCTGGGCCAGTCCAAAGGCGGCTCTCAGACCGGCTCCTCCGGCACCAACAACCACACAGTCGTACTCGTGGTCAATGATGTGGTAGTCCTTAGCCATAGCAGAGGCAGCGGTCTTTCCGTTGAGGTCATTTCCCCTCGAAATCACCTGTTTGGCGACCTGGGAGGTGGAAAACAAGCGGGAGTTGGCACGCAACGATTGGTGGACACGACGTAGACCCAACATGTTTGTGGAAAAATAGGATAGTTGTGGTAGTCAAACTTGGTTTGCTTAAGAAGAAACCGCACCAAAAATCGAATAATCCTGTTGTGAGAGTAAAAGTTTCTTGTTGCAAGAGAGCAAGAATGGTGAAGGATGTGTTAAGAGGAAACCCCGGGGCCGTACTCGTTGAAATTTTGGCCAATCACAGCATGGTGTTTTGGGATTACTTATGGTCGTGTGTGGAAAAAAACGGGGAAATGGGACTCAGTGATAGCGTGGGAACGCAGCCTTACGTAGTTAAGAGATTTCAAATATATGTGTTATTTGTGTTGTTTATATGATATTTATGAATATAGATATGTTTGTAGATATGTTTGTAGATATCTGTGCAATTTACACAAAGCTCTTTGTTGCCCGATATGTTTGGTATCGCACGGACCATTGAGGGTATGAGTGGTTTATGTAAGGTTTATGTCTGTGCATACAGACATTATGGCCCTGCGTGACCCTCTGAGATCCACAATTCAGCGAGCACCAGCTTTTTCGAATAGAAATTCGACTTGTTTGAAAGTGAGTGTATTTGGGAGTTCTCTATTTACCTGGATACATTTTTTTCATTTTTTTAATGTGAAGAATGTATAAGGAACTCTGTTATTCCATAATATGCCGATAACACTGCATGATCATGTACGACATTGATGTACGATTTCAGTTGTCTGAGTACATCTATAAACCACGACCTCGGTCAATTTTTTAAGCAAATTTGAAGGTCTAAGAGTCTATGAGTCTCATGTCAGTATTATACTGCTTAAATCATCAACTTTATTGGTTGTTTTGAGATGCATGTACAAGTATTCTTCAATTATCTACAAATCATCCTCCACTCCACTTGTCTTTTTTTACCAAACGCATGCACATTTGCATATTTATAAATGTGAATACTCACAATCCCATCACTTCTTCAACCTCCACCACTTGTACCAGTGATTCCGTCTTTACAACTTTGCTTGGCTTAAACAACCTTAAAGCAAGACTGCTCATGACCACACTCACACTGGAAGCTGCCATAGCCGCACTCGCCCAAACAGGATTGAGCCTAGAATTATGATACGGATAAATCACACCGGCCGCAATTGGGACTCCGATACAGTTGTAGACCAAAGCCCAACCGAAGTTGAATTTGACTCTATTGAAGACCTTTCTGGACAGCTGGAACAGAGTCAACAGCGACACCAACGGGTACTTTGGAGGAAGAAGAATGAAATCACAGGAATTAAGAGCCAAGTCAGATCCCGTACCCATGGCAACTCCAATGTCTGCGGCTGCTAGTGCTGGGGCATCATTCACACCGTCTCCCACCATGGCCACAATAGCTGGCTTCACTGTCTTGCCCGAGCCCCGGTGGAAAGTCGACTGTATCCACTTGACCTTGGCTGCCTTTTCTTCCGGAAGAACTTGGGCCACTACGTGATCAGGCGAAATTCCTACCTGCGCAGCTATAGCCTTAGCGGTGACCTCATTATCACCACTGATCATCCAACTAGTGATCCCAGTGTCCTTGAGACTGCCAATAACACTCTTGGCCTCGGGTCTGAGCTCATCCTTGGCAGCAACCATCATCACAGGAATGAATTGCCTCTCACCAAGTTTGACGGCTATGACCACGACACTATTTCCGTTGCGTTTCCACAGATCCAGAGTATCCTTCTGAGCAGTGGTCAAGGGCTCACACTCGCTTTCTGCAAGAAGCAGCTCGTTTCCGAGTATGGCCTTTAATGGCTTGCTTTTCATCCACTCTGCATTCATGGAGCTGTCAAGAACAACGTCTCCACGTAAGCCTCTTCCAGGAAGTTCCTCAACCTCAGGAACGACATTGCCCAACAAACTAATCCTGGAGTCACTCTGGGTCTGTGCAGCAACAAAGTTCTTGATAGCAATGGAAAGAGGATGTCTGGAGCCCAGTTCGAGATCCCTGCACAGTTGGAATGCTAAAGATTTCGAACCTTCCAACTTATCTGAGTTCAGAACTGCAAAGCTGGTGACCTGAGGGTTCCCACCAACAGTCAAAGTTCCCGTTTTGTCAAAACAAACAACTTCCACACGAGCACCCTCCTGGAATGCAGCACCACCTCCTCTGGCCAGAATACCGTACTTGGCAGCCAGTCCAGCCCCCACAAACAGAGCAGTAGGAGCAGCAAGACCAATCCCACATGGACATGCAACTACGAAAACAGCAATAGCAAACTCAAGGGACCAAACCACCCAGCCACCAACGTCGATATCCAAATACGAATCAGGAAGCGAACCCGAAACTCCAAGAGCAAGCCACACGATCCACGTCACAACGGCCAGAATACAAATCAGAGGAACGAAATAGCCGGTGAGAATATCGGCAGTTCTCTCGATTGGAGCCCGGTTTAGTTGACCGTCTCTGACAGCATTAACGATCTGATCAATCAGAGAAGTTCCGTCAAGAGTCGAGATCTTAGCCACCACAGTGGCTGATCCCACATTCACTGTTCCAGAGAAAATCTGATCACCAACATAATGATCAACAGGAATAGACTCTCCGGTAAGAGCACTTTCGTCAAACTGGGACACTCCCGAGACCACAATGGCATCAGCAGCAGGTGATTCTCCAGGCGAGATTCTAATGTAGTCGCCTATCTCCAACAATTCCACCTTCACATCTTCACCTTCAATTGGCACTTCCCCGGAGTCTGTGGTTCTCTCCAGAAGATGAGCTTTCTGAGGTTTCAAAAGTCCCAGCCCAGATATGGCATCTGCAGTGCGACTCTTAGAATATGCCTCCAAAAGCCTTCCGGTTAGAAGGAAGAAAGTTAGAAACACCACGGAGTCGAAATATGTGGTCATATAGCCCATTTCCTGTCTTGGAGATGTAGCAGCAAGTGCAAGTAAGGCAATGCTGCTGAAATATGAGACAGTGGTACCCAGACTCATCAACAAGTTCATAGATCCAAACCTGAAGAGTCTTCTTTTCCAAGGCAAAGTGGCTTTCCACGACGAATAGATCTCTTTCAAGGCCTTTTTGTGAAAAATATCAGCTGCAAAGAAGTAGATAGGCGTGGACAGTATCAATAGAATCCAGATGGCTCTTGAGACATTTCCCTGCCAAATGGGAGACTCTAGCCATTTTCTGAAAGCATTGTCCTTATGAACCAAGGACATCCCAACAACACCAAAGACGAAAGTTGGAATCACGAAAAAAGCCGTCAAAACCAGCCTTTTAGCAATAACCACCAGATCATGTTTAACCATTCTCTTCAACCTTTCATCCATGCTTATGGGCTTGACAATCTCAACCTTGTATTGCGGAGAGAGATCGTTAAGGTCTTTGAGAATAGATCTGATGGTGATCTGGGAAGGCGTAGGAATGTAGGTCAGTCTAACATAAGGTCTCTTCAAAGAGACTGGATCATTAACCACGACGGCATCGCCATAACTCTCGAGCTGATTGTTGATATTACCTGGACAGTGCTCGCAAAACATACCCGAAATCTTCAAGTTCACGGTTCGGGACTGGGTCTGGGTAGCTGCATGTCTAACCTGGTTTACCTCTATCTGTTGATACTCGTAACCGATGTCCTCAACTGTCTCCTTGAGAGTATCGAGGTTCTCCTTAGAAGCAGAATCAAGAACAAAAGAGCCCGACTTGGAAACAAGATTGACTGCACAATCCACAACGAACGGTAGATCTTGTACTGCCATGTTCACAGCAGTGGTACAGGCAGCACAAGTCATGCCACCAATGACGGCAGTGACCTTAAACTTATAGGATCTTTCAATAGGAAGAAGCTCCAAAAGCGAGCATTCATGGCCTAATTCGCGAATCTCACTGATCAACCCGTTCACATACTGCTTATCAGGAAGAAGAGCGGTCAGAGTGCCAGAGACCTCGGACAGAGAGATAGTAGATTGGCCATTTTCGTCTTTTTGAGGCAATCCAGACTTCTCACAGAAGCTCGAAACAGCCGCAGAAACAACCTCAGAACTCTCTTGCAAACCACTAATGGCCACAACTGCACGGTACTCTCTAGGACTAGCAGTGACTATGTTTGGAAGGTCGGTCAAAGTATCTTCATCAGACGACGAGCCGGATTTGAAAAGTTTATCCGTGACATTCTTGAGCTTCGAACCCGTAGCCTTGTCCTTTTCTTTTTCCTCACGAAGTTTCTCCTGTTCTTCACGACAAACGATACAGTTGTCCACATGTCTCCTCTGCCTCTTCTTGGCCTCCAATTTCTTCTTTCCGCCGTCAAAAATCGCCCTAAAAGGTGCAACCCAAAAAGAGTCTTCTATATCCTCATCAGACTCCAAAGTTGAGGACAAGCAATCGAAACCCGCGGACTCTAGCTTGGAGAGAAGCTTGCGCTCATTGGACGATAGTACGCCCTGAGGTCCAAGTAGAGTGAGCTGGTTGAGACTCAGATAAGCAGTGACACCTGAATCAGATGAACGTGTGCCCGAATCGGCAAATTCCTCGGTACTTACCCATTCGTTATTGAACTGGGCCTTTGATAGTTTGAGAATGCTCGAGAGGATCTTGTAGATGGTGGAGCCACATTCCGAACAATGGACATTATCCAGAGAAATGGTTAGCTTTTCCATTGTGAACACTCTAAAAGCTCTTGAAGGCTCTAAAACAAACAACGAGTATGTAGCGAAGAAAACAACCCGTGCAAGTTTCGCCCCTGTTTTTATACAAGAAGCCGGGAGATCTGGGGCAAATAGACCGCACAGCGAAAAGTCCGCAAGATCTCAAAAGATAAATTATTTGGCAGCACACGTCAAACGCGTGTACCAACAGTTTGGGCTACAAAGATGTTTTCACGGATATAGATATCATATATAGATAATTCCTCTTAACCTGATCATGTCGTAAATGCAGCTGTTTATAAATATGGTTGCCGGTGGCTAGCCGTATGCGTTAGTGTGCGTTTTCGTGGCCCTCCTTCGTCTCAAGTGTGGGCTCCTCTTTTGTCTCGGACTCTTTTGCCTCAACATCAGACGAGACCGCAGAACTCTTTTTATAATCGAACACACGCTCGTCAAACTTAACCACCATAACTGTCACGTTGTCAGTGGTCACGTTGTCCACGGCGTAGTTGCACAAGATCTTGGAAGCTGTCTGCGGATTTTTCACCTTTCGAACTAAGTCAACTGCTTTTTGGTCAGAACACACATCCCATAGTCCGTCACAGGCTATGATGAGGAACTCATCCTCCTCTGTGATCTCCGTGGCTGTGGTGTAGGGGTTTCCGATCACCAGGTTCTTCATGTACTTATCACCTAATGACCTGGTCACGGCCAGAATTCCGTTAACCCTTCCCTTAATCACCACTCCTCCAGCCTTGCTTATTCTGTAGCTTTCCACAGGATCGGAGCCCTTGTGGTCGTAAGAAAGCCTCACTGCTTTGCCGTTTCTGGACAAGACAAGCCTAGCATCGCCGACGTTAGCCGTGTAAAGCATTCTTTTGTGGTTCGCCTTGGGCAGGAAATCGAACGGAGTGGCAGAACGACGAATCTTGGGCCTTTTCTCACCAGACACCTCCGTGTCGTCTTCTTCCTCCCACCTCAAAACAGCAACAGCAGCCGTACACCCACTGGAGCCGGTGACATTCTCACAGATCAAGGAGTCCGACTCGCAAAACGCGTTGTTCAGGTTCTGGCGTAAATCCACGTTGTCGTTCTTCAATATGGCCTTTTCTAGTATTGTATGCATGTTTGAACCACACCAACTGGCCACCTGGCGACCAGCATGACCATCAAAGATCCCGAAATAGCCCCAGTCAAGCCTCTGAGCAAAATTAGCAACGTAAGTGTGAACATCTTCCATTGTGGGCCGAAACTTGCCGTTTTTGGTCTCTGATGCTCCAACACTGAATGACAATCGGTGGCAGGGATCATCTGATGGGACAGTCTGATCTTCTGCTGAATGTCTATTCATTTTGTCACGGGTTTTTTCACTCTGATTATGTTTGTTTTTGTGTATCCATGTAGGTTCGTGAAGAGACGCTTGTCTAAGCAGTTTGTCCATCTGAAAACACGATGGAAACAAGATGCAAGATATGAGTTCTTACCTCGGAACTGGAAAATTGGTTAATTGAGCCAGTAACAGTCACGAAGACCTAGAATTCGGTTCTTTTCCTGTCACTCTATTATCAAAACTCCCAAGTCCGCGTTTTAACGGGCCGAAACAGATACGCCACTGATGTATCTGCACAAGGTCCAGACAGTGTAAACCAAACAATCCTAGTTTTATAAGTATATTTGGCAAAATTCACACCAAATCACGAATCAATTCAAATTGAACCAAGTTTTCAAACGTTTGAGATCGACACCTGAGCTTGGCGTTTACGTGGTGATTCCTCAGGAACTCGCATCTCCACCGTTAAATTCAGCTGAGAATGTGAATGGATTTTGCGTTTGGTACACGACAGCAAACCCGAAGTCGAGACCGCCTGTATAGCGAAAAATTGAGTAATAGAATGGCTTGACATTAAGAGGTGGATGTGGAATAGGTTGGGATAGATATTGCAATGATTGCAGTGGTGCTACTCTGAAGAAAATGTTGTAGCCACGTTCTAAAGTTCATAATTGGAAGCGATTAGATTGCTGGTTTAGCTGCTCTAGCAGAAAGTTGGCTAGTTGGTTTCATGATTTATTGGTTATCGCTATTGATAGTTTTGTGCTTCTAAAGATATAACCCCTCCAAGTTCTCCTCAATCTTATTCTTCAACACCCGCTCTTTCGCACTCTTGAAGTCCTCCGCAATCACTTGCATTCTTCTTTCTCTCAAAGCCAATAACCCGGCTTCCGTGCAAATTGCTTTGATATCAGCCCCAGACAAATCGTCTTTGGCATTTATAAGGTCATCAAGGTTCACATCCGCGGCAATGTTCATCTTGCTAGTGTGAATGTTCAAGATCTTCTTCTTAGTAGTGGGGTCGGGGTTCTCGAACAAAATCTTTCTGTCAATTCTACCAGGCCTGATCAGCGCAGGATCCAGCGACTCGATCTTGTTGGTGGCCATGATGACCTTGACATCACCACGATCGTCAAAACCGTCCAACTGGTTGAGCAATTCCAACATGGTTCTCTGGACTTCGCGCTCGCCTCCGCTGGTGGATTCGTACCGTTTGGTTCCAATAGCATCGATCTCGTCAATGAAAACAATGGAAGGTGCATGCTCAGAGGCTACCTTGAAGATCTGGCGACAGAGCCTGGGACCGTCACCCAAATACTTTTGGATAAGCTCTGAACCTACAATCCTCAGGAAAGTGGCGCTCGTCTGGTTGGCAACTGCCTTCGCCAATAGCGTCTTTCCAGTACCTGGAGCACCGTAAAGAATGACACCCTTGGGGGGTTTGATTCCCATCTCCTCGTAAAGCTCTGGATGGGTCAAAGGCAGCTCTACGGCCTCCTTGATCTCCTGGATCTGCGACTCCAATCCACCAACATCTGCATAACTTTCGGTTGGGGACTTATCCATCTTCATAACACTCACCATTGGATCGGTTTCGTCTTGCAAAACACCCACAATGGACACAGTCTTGTGGTGAAGAAGCACAGAACACCCAGGCTCAAGTAGCCCCTTGTCCACAAACGAAAGAATGGATACGTAATACTCTGGACCAGACGAAGACGATACGATCGCATGATCATCATCAATGATTTCTTCGAGTGTGCCAATTGACATGGGAGTTCCCCTGATTTCGTCCACTTTCTCGCGTTCTTCGAGTTGTTTGGCTTCTGTTGGCTGGAACGTTTCCTGATTTGTCACGAATTCCTCCTCCAATAACAGATGATCCTTGATCCTCTCCATCTTCAGCAACTTCAGCTTGCATCTTGTCGTGGGGTAAACGTTCGGTAGTCTCGCGGCAGTGTCTGGTCCCTTCCGACGCTTCTTGCCAAACTTGGATTGCACGGGCGGCTCGTACTTGGGCTTATCCTTCTTTTTATCACCCTTTTTCTTGTCAGCCCCACCGGGCATGGACGCTCCTTGGCCCATAATGAGATGGTTCTAACGAAGTGTGTACAATTGATTGGAATCAATTGGAGTTGGTTGTGGCAGATAATGGTGATGTATGAACGTTAGTGTTAAAGACAAGTCGCCACCAGGAGATTTTGGGAAGGACACGCAAAGTTAGGAATACTCGATTGCTGCACGACAATCACGGAAGTGTGTTACACACTACGACAACGATTTTCAAATCGGTATATTCAGACTAACAGAAACCAACTCTTTTCTTCCATTAGGTTTGCTTTGCTGAATGTAGAGATCACAAAACAATGTGGAATGTTCTTGGAGGAAAAACGTCTCAAAAAAACGAGAAAGTTGCACATTTCTGCAGAAGAAACACTGGCTGCTCAAAACGCGGGGAAGATACTGATGAGCTTACTTGAAGCCTATTGACGGCCATTGACATCGAAACACCGTTTCTTGTTCTGAATTTACCTCGTCACGCTTTGAAGAGTTCTGATGAGATTGCACTTTGAGAACCCCAATGCTCAGCTTTTTACGAGCCCAATCTGATGCTGAGTAATTTCACTTTCATTGGCCAACAGTCCCGTCCTTGCATGAATGTCACTCTAGACTCGTTGTCAACCCGTTGGAATTAATCCTAGCTGCATGATTTCAACCAATCAATATGGCGACACGGAGAAACATGCCTTATTTGCGATACTCACCCCCTGCGGTGAGCATACAATGAAAGAGGAAAAACTTTTATCCATTTTCTTGCAGGTTCCCGGCTTTCATCTGCGCCAAGGATCCACCCACCAAGGGGCTAAGTGGGCACATTTTGCCGAGATATTTGGAAAATAATAAGAGCTTAGACGTGCAAAGTTTCGTTGATCGCCGACAGCAACAGGTATAGTTTTAAGAAGCTGTAATGAAGTGATGAAATTAGGAAACAACGGAAAAGAAAGAAAAATCCTGGCACTGTTGGCTGCGCACTTTTATATGGTCGTCTACTATGGTCAGCTTACTACGGTAATTGAATCTCGCAAAACTTAAGCACTATACAGATTTCAAACTCTCAGCAGTTACTGAACAACAAAAACTCTTCTTAATTTTAGGGAGTGGGCTGGAGCTTTACTACGTGCTTTCAGCACCTTGGCTGGCACCAACAATCACCAAGCGCACCCCGTAATGTGCATAGGGAGAATCATATTTCGGATCGAAAATTATCAAAGAATTCCGCGATCCCGCAAGGATCAAGGAGGTCCAAAAATTTTGGTTTATGAAAATTACAGGATTGACCGTGTGGATGCAAGTGTTATCAGCTTGTTGTTTCCGGACACCATCGAAAAATCAAAGAAGTATCGCCAGATTCCGTTTTCTGAAGGGACGACGAGCAATCAATTCTTCAAAGTAAAACCTCGTTTGTTTACGCGTTTTGTGTTGTGATTGGTCAACTGATCCTTCAATAGTCAACGCATGCCTCTTCCAGAGCGCAATTAGACTACATGGTTCAAAAATATTCAGGAACCTAATTAAGAACCCCGGAAAGGGGGGACTAGTTCGAAAAGAACCCCTTGTGGAGCTTTGGGAATCAAACCCCGGAACGAGTAAATGCTGCCAAAGGGAGGGTGGAAATTAGAATAATTGGTTTTGTCGATGGAGCTGTTGCTCGTGCTGAATGATGCTTGATTACTAAAGTTGCTGGCTTATTTATGCAACACCTCTAAGTACGGTTACTTCGTCTATTGTGAATGATTGTGTTTGTCTCATCAAGTATTCAGCGAGATTCAATTATCCGATTTTTGCGCCGCCGTAAGTCACCTCCTCTTTTCTTGCTCGGAACATTCAAACCGGAAAAAGATGCGCTGGCCCGGGGTCGTCCATGCACGGCGCTGAATCCTCCACCAATCACAGCTTAGCGCTCATTTCTAGGCCAGATTTCTCCGCGACGTGCATAGATCGTGGGGTAATTTTGCTTCCCTTTTTGGATTCCGGGTCTCCGTATGCGTGCCACGGGCAGCAGCTTTTAAAAATTCGGCGATCCCAAAATCGCCGATGAGATCCAACCCGACTGTCAGAGTAAGCAGGTCATAGCATCGCAGCAACCGTAATTGAGACAAACATCCTTTAGCATCAACCTCATAGCGGGGTCTAAAAAAAATGAGGAGATTTTGAGGCCAAGCAGCAGCGCAGATCTCGAAAAACTCACGCCTGAAACACCGCTCTCGACTACGTCACTGGTCCACGGATTATCCTGCGCCACCTGCATTCACCCCGCATATTTGCATTGCACCGCCACACAACTACCGGAAAAGTATCATGCGGAATCTTGCACGACCAGAAGAGGAATCGCGTGGCTGAAGATACGCATACCTGCATACTATTATCTGGGGCCCCGCCTAGGACAATCCCACTGACGTATAGTGTCACATAATGTAACCTTTTTTTATATGGGGTGCATCTGGTAGAATAGCTGGTTTCTGGGCGAGTTTTTGCGAGTTAATCCTTGAAAGGTGAATGATCACCCCGCTCCAGTTAAAAAGATCCGCCAATTCTGAGGATTAGGTAAAGCTACTTAAACTGCCTCGTTTTTCCCTTTTGAATAGGTCTTTTCTGTGAAAAACAACCAGTTTTCTAAGAGATTTCTTCCTAGAAAATCCATTGACACTTTACCTTCTTTCCTTAACTCTTCGACTCTATCATGGCTGGAGGAGGAGTCGCTGCCGCAGATGCTATCGATCTCGACAGAGTCGAAGCTCCTGTCACGTTCAAGGCATACCTTATGTGTGCTTTTGCATCCTTTGGAGGAATCTACTTTGGTTATGATACAGGTTATATTTCTGGTGTTATGGGAATGGACTACGTTATCCATATGCTTACCGGGAAGGATAAGGCTACCACACCATCTGCTGAATTCGTTTTGCCAGCGTGGAAAAAGTCTTTGATTACATCGGTCTTGTCTGCTGGTACCTTTTTCGGTGCTTTGCTTGCTGGTGACTTTGCTGACTGGATTGGTCGTCGTAGCACGGTGATCTTCGGGTGTGTGGTATTTTTGGTTGGTGGAGTTCTGCAAACTGCAGCCTCTTCCTTGGGACTTTTGGTTGCGGGTCGTTTGGTCTGTGGTTTCGGTATTGGTTACGTTTCTGCTACCATTATCATGTACATGTCTGAGATCGCTCCAAAGAAGATCCGTGGTGCTTTGGTCTCTGGTTACCAATTCTGTGTGACCATTGGTTTGCTTTTGGCTTCTTGTGTTGACTACGGTACTCAAGACCGTACTGATTCTGGTTCTTATAGAATCCCAATCGCTCTGCAAATGCTGTGGGCCATTATTCTGGGTATTGGTTTGTTTTTCCTTCCAGAATCACCACGTTACTACGTCAGAAAGGGAAACAATGGCAAGGCTGCGCATGTTCTCTCCAGGCTCAGAGGAGAATCAGAGGACTCCGCATATATCCAGGATGAATTGGCCGAGATTATTGCCAACCACGAATACGAAAGATCCTTGGTGCCTTCTGAAACTTACTTCTCATCTTGGGCTGCCTGTTTCAAGGGTGGTTTGAGAAAACCATCTTCAAACCTTAGAAGAGTTATTCTCGGAACATCTATGCAGATGATGCAGCAATGGACTGGTATCAACTTTGTGTTTTACTTCGGAACAACTTTCTTTCAACAATTGGGAACCATTGACAACCCTTTCTTGATCTCTCTGATCACCACTTTGGTCAACGTTTGTTCCACTCCTCTTTCCTTCGTTGCAATGGAAAAAGTTGGTCGTCGTCCTTTGATGATCTGGGGTGCTCTCGGTATGCTGGTCTGCGAGTTTATCGTTGCTATCGTTGGTGTTTCTGATGGCCAAAACGATAAGGCTGTTTCTGCGATGATTTCCTTCATTTGTATCTACATCTTCTTCTTTGCTACTACTTGGGGACCTGGTGCCTGGGTCGTTATTGGTGAGATCTTCCCCTTGCCAATTAGATCTAGAGGTGTTGCTCTTTCGACTGCCTCCAACTGGCTGTGGAACTGTATCATCGCTGTCATCACTCCTTACATGTGTGACACTGACAAAGGTAACCTCGGGGCCAAAGTGTTTTTCATCTGGGGATCTCTGTGCACTTGCTGCTTCGTTTACGCTTACTTGCTTATTCCAGAAACCAAGGGTTTGACTTTGGAACAGGTTGACAGAATGATGGAGGAGTCTATTCCCCGTAATTCTTCTAAGTGGGTTCCTCACTCTACTTTTGTCAAAGACCTTGGCCTTGGTGGAGACGAGAAGGAGGGTTCGTTGTCCCATGAAGAGTTGAGAGTTGCTTCTGCTGCTGGCAGTGTTTGAGTTTTTATGTTATGAAAGCCCCCAGCTTCTTGAATATTTTCTGTTTAAAATTGCTATGATTAACAATAATTTGAAAGTTGAAATAATAATATGTATTTGGCTTTGTTATTGAATTTTTTACAAGGATCCGTCGGGTGAATAGAAAGCCCAGAATAATGAATTATAACAACGCAAAGTGCATGCTTGTGCATTTTCTGTGGTTATTATTCCGAACTATTGTTATGTTCGGATAAACTCAGAGAACAGTAGGGTTAGTTAAATGGGGTGACAAATTGAAAGTGATCACACGACCTATGATTGCATTCACTATCGATCAATTCACATGTTATCATGCTGATCAGCCTGGCATGGCCTGATGACTTGGAGCCAATCAAAGCCAGATAGACAGGCGACGACAAATCATGTAATGCAAACAGGTAGCACAATGCGCATCAGCCACTTAGTCAACTTGCATGATCCATGTAACAATAACAAAAATTTAAGTGGGGCCATTCCAACTTAGAAGACGGCCTGCAAAACCTTTTAGATCTCTCCACAAATTGGAACTGCGGAGAAATTGAGAAGGTGCATTCCGGTCTCCTTCATGCAAAGACTAGCCTTTAAAAATGATGCCGGCATTGCATTTTCCTATGAGGTCGAGGCTAAGCTTCTTAAAGCTTAGCCAACGCTAAACTCATTTACGAAGATCGGGCAATGTTATTAGGAAAATTATAAAGAGTTTAATGAATTCATAGAAATAAATATAGGATAAAATCAATGGAAAGGGATCTTTCAAGTTTGAATCGAAAAAACTCCAGGATGGAACCGGCAGGAATGACCGTTAGCTGCCGGTTAACGAATAACCACCTGACTGCGGAAAATTTTTGCACCAGCCCCCACACGACCGGGTAACGGTTTACGGAAATTATTCCGGCTCAGATTGGAAAGCGTCGGGAAACTTAGGTTTGTGCCAGAATATTTCTACAGGAAGATGACTTGTGATTAAGGATAAAATTCACTACTTTTGATGATGTAGTCACAAAAAACAAGCAACAAACATCTTTTCAAAAAAGCTCGATCCCAATCTTTTGAAGCGGATAAATCGCATTGAAGGAAACTCAACAGGTGCGTTCCGGAGACCTGCATGACCCGGACTAATTTTGCGTGGCCCCGCGCACATCACTCTGGAGAAACTACGGACACGGTGGGGATGTTATGCATCCCCCCGAAAGATTTGCACTATATAAAGGCCCTCGATTCCTCCTCTGGGTTAGAAAACTTTTCACTTGTTTCCTATTGTGTTTTCCAATACAAATAAAAAGTTTCTCTACTATCTTACTATTTCAAAATGGCTGGCGGAGCTGTTGTTGTTAATGGGACCAGCGACCTTAACAGGATCGAGGCCCCTATCACTTTCAAGGCATACATGATGTGTGCCTTTGCCGCCTTTGGTGGTATGCTTTTCGGATATGACTCCGGTTACATCTCCAGTGTCATGGGAATGGACTATGTTATCCACATGCTTACCGGGAAGGACAAGGCTACCACTCCATCTGCTGAATTCGTTTTGCCAGCATGGAAGAAGTCTCTGATTACTTCTATCTTGTCTGCTGGTACCTTTTTCGGTGCTTTGCTTGCTGGTGACTTTGCTGACTGGATTGGTCGTCGTACAACCGTTATTTTCGGCTGTCTCGTTTACATCGTCGGAGTCATTCTGCAAACCGCCTCAAGTGATCTCGGACTTTTGGTAGCTGGTCGTTTAGTTGCCGGTTTCGGTGTTGGTTACGTTTCTGCTACCATCATCATGTACATGTCTGAGATCGCTCCTAAGAAGATCCGTGGTGCTTTGGTCTCTGGTTACCAGTTCTGTGTGACCATCGGTATGCTGATTGCCTCGTGTGTTGACTACGGTACTCAAGACCGTACTGATTCTGGTTCTTATAGAATCCCAATTGCAATCCAATTCCTCTGGGGTCTCGTTCTGGGAGGTGGTTTGTTGTTTTTGCCAGAATCTCCCCGTTTCTTTATCAAGAAGGGCAACCCCACAAAGGCTGCGCATGTTCTCTCCAGACTCAGAGGAGAGCCAGAAGACTCCGCTTTCATTCAGGACGAGCTCGCTGAAATCATTGCTAACCATGAATACGAACAGTCTTTGGTTCCTTCTGAAACTTACTTTGCATCCTGGGCTGCCTGCTTCAAAGGCAGCATTAGAAAGCCTTCTTCTAACCTCAGAAGAGTCATCCTCGGAACATCTATGCAGATGATGCAGCAATGGACTGGTATCAACTTTGTGTTTTACTTCGGAACAACCTTCTTCCAGCAATTGGGAACTATCAAAAACCCTTTCTTGATCTCTCTGATCACCACTTTGGTCAACGTTTGTTCCACTCCAGTCTCTTTCTACACTATGGAGAAGTACGGTCGTCGTCCTTTGATGATCTGGGGTGCTCTTGGTATGTTGATCTGTGAGTTCCTCGTTGCTATCATTGGTGTTACCGACGGTCAGAACCACAAGGCTGTTTCTGCCATGATTTCCTTCATTTGCATCTACATTTTCTTTTTCGCGTCCACCTGGGGACCTGGTGCTTGGGTCGTTATTGGTGAGATCTTCCCCTTGCCAATTAGATCTAGAGGTGTTGCTCTTTCGACTGCCTCCAACTGGCTGTGGAACTGTATCATCGCTGTCATCACTCCTTACATGTGTGACACTGACAAAGGTAACCTCGGTGCCAAAGTGTTTTTCATCTGGGGATCTCTGTGTTCTTGCTGCTTCGTGTACTCCTACTTTCTGATTCCAGAAACCAAGGGTTTGACTTTGGAACAGGTTGACAGAATGTTGGAGGAGACCAATGCCCGTAACTCTTCGAAGTGGGTTCCTCACTCTACCTTTGCTCAAGACATGGGTCTTTCCGACGACAAGGGCAATTCCTTGGAGCACGATGAGAAGGCTACCCCAGTGGAGAGCGTGTAATTTAAGCTTTTTTTTCGTTATTCAATACATTTCGACATACACATAAAAACCATCCAAAGTAGACTCATTCACTTGTTTATTGTTCCCGTTGGGCTTTTATCGGTTATGGTGTGCTTTTTTAGGCAAAGGACGAGGGTTTTGAAGTTTTCAAGGTTGCCGGAACATTGCTTCGGATTATTATTAACCCGTTTTATGCACTCCCGCATATAATATGCATATCGGACTAATCTGGTTGCTTGGCAATAGGAGCGTTCGGAGAGACCTACTATAATAGTTCGTTTCCGTACACTCCCACATTTCTCTAGGAAACATACGTAAGCGGCGCGCTTGAAAGTGGCTTTTCCGGCAAAGGGTCTGGCCCCAACTCATTGCTCCAGCGTCGGTTTGAAAATCTCGATTTCACTGGTTGTGATTTTGTCCGCCCCGCGGAGAAACAACATATTGTGTGGGCAGCAGACGAGGAGAGAAACACCTGTTCAGCGATGGTTTGGTGGTGACAATTACAGTACTACTGTGCTAAGATCTAAGTATGATTTTCGAAACAATGGTGGTCACCATACAGTGTTGGCCTGTGATAGTCTGTGCACTAGTCCCTATAAAGCAACCAAGCGAGGTGGATAGGGATCCACAAGCGCCAGCGAGTCTACGTCTTGATTTTACCATGAAAGCAGCTCGCCAACATTCCCGAACTCAGCTTGAAACAATTTTCTTCCACATCAAGCATCTTATCATTTCGTGAATTTAGAATATCAATCGTCCAAGTAGTGGACAACTCAATAAATCAAACACGTGACACGACTCTCACGAGCGACAGGAACGAAATCAGCACAGAACCATTCGATCTGATCCAACTGTACTCCACCATCACACACCACTTTGGAACAATCATCATGGATTCAGTACTTCTAATTGGTGGAGCAGGTTTCCTTGGATTGCATCTTATTGAGCAATTTTCGAAATTAGACCCGCAGCCAAAAATCAATGTTTTTGACATACGCCCGCTTCCAGACAAGCTGGCTACCTACTTCTCGTTTGACCCTTCGTCAATTGGGCAATACACTGGCGATTTGACTTCCGAAGATGATCTCAAAAGGGTCTTCGAGATTACCAAACCTGATGTGGTGGTGCACTCCGCTTCCCCCATTCACGGAATGGCGCAGGCCATCTATGAAAAAGTCAATGTCGAGGGCACAAAGACCATACTAAAGGTCTGCCAGGACTTGAAGATCAAAGCCTTGGTGTACACATCCTCAGCTGGTGTGATATTTAATGGTGAGGATATTCATAACGCGGATGAAACCTGGCCAATCCCGGAGGTTCCTTTGGACGGTTACAACGATACGAAGGCTCGGGCCGAGACGATGGTGCTGGGTGCGAACAATTTCACCGGACTCAAGACTGTCGCGCTCAGGCCAGCCGGTATATTCGGTCCTGGAGACCGTCAATTGGTTCCTGGACTGAGACAGGTGGCCAAATTGGGCCAGTCTAAGTTCCAAATCGGAGACAACAACAATCTGTTCGACTGGACGTATGCTGGTAATGTTGCGGATGCCCACATTCTCGCAGCCCAGAAGCTTCTGTCGCCCGATCCCGAGGTGGTGAAGGCTGTTGGGGGCCAAACTTTTTTCGTGACCAACGACGCTCCTACGTATTTCTGGACATTGGCTAGAACCGTGTGGAAGAGCGATGGCCATATCGACAACTACAATATCGTTCTTTCCCGGCCTGTTGCCATATTGGCGGGATATTTGTCGCAATTCTTCAGCAAACTGGCGAATAAGGAGCCGGGATTGACTCCATTCAGAGTGAAGATCGTGTGTGCTTTCAGGTACCACAATATTGCCAAGGCGAAAAGGCTTCTGGGATATAAGCCCCAGGTGGGATTAGAGGAAGGAATCCAAAAGACGTTAGAGTGGATGGACGAGACCAAGCAATAAAACTTCATTTGGAACAGATAGTGGAAGGGATTTGAATGAATGCTTTATCTGTGATTTTTGTTGAGCCTACACTGGTGAGATATTCGGGATAAGCGCTCCAAACCCAGTGTCAAAACAAATCCGTTTCACTCACTCAAATTCCTATGGTGGATAGATTTTTCAATCGAACAATGCTTAGTTTTGTTATGTGTGGCTATTAGAATGTCAGGTAGAAGAACAATGGCAGCGCCAACAGGGAAAGCATCTTCCAGTGGGATTTTGTACTTGCCAATGACTCTATTGGAAGATAAAAGTTGTTAGTAATTTGTTCTGATGGTAAGTGAATGGTATACGTACCGCTTGTGTCAACCTTGGTCACATTCTCCTTAGTCTTGGCCGATTCGATTTTCTTGTGCTCAGCGACAGTGCTCTTGTTCTCGGCAACTGCAACATCAACCTCTAGATGTGATTTCACAATCGAGTCGCTCAAACCTGGAACAGACTTGATTTTGTAGATGACCTTCATTTTGTCTGAGTCCTTTGGTCTCTTTCCGAACTTCTCTTTGGAGATCTTAGCCTGCTCGTTGTCCGTCTTCTTGAAAGGCAAGGAACATGCGTTAACATCTCCAAGGGTCTCACAATCATCAAACATGACAGTCATGAACCCGGTGCTGGGAGAACCTGCACACAGCTCAAAACACTCCGCTTGTAAGCTCTGCAAAGCACAGCACTCGCACGCGAGATCGTCTGGTTTACAATCGTCCAGTCTTTGCAGTAAATCTCCCGCACAAGAAGCTAGCTTGATCATGTCCTCTCCGTCCTAAGATGTCAATTAGTAACGCGCCCAGCGATATGTTGTAATGGTATCTCGTACACAGCGGTGGTACAGCGCTTCTGAAGGGTTGATGTACGAACCCAGTTCGTGATCTTCCAGAGCCCTTGAGAAGCCAGCAAAGCAAAACCAGGCAATAATTGCAATTCTAGTATTCAGCATTGTTTGTTTAGTTGAGAAGATAGATTTGCAAGAGGTAACGAGTGTTAAATGTACTTAAGCGCTACACAGCATCGAATTTAAACGCCGCACCACTTGGGTGGAGCACGCAATATGGACTTGCTACCGTGCGGCGTCGTGGTAGTCCGAAGTTATGCGAGTTCATATAACCATTCATATCTATATTATACCATATATCAGTCCCATAAAATTCAGTACGCTCAGAATAGAACACTGATAGCCAATTCAGTTGATGCGACTCAGTGGGTTTCTCAGCTCAAACCGGAACAGGCGGATTATGCACCGGCTTCTCGTCCTCCTTTCTCTTGCTCCCATTGCGCAGGCTCAGGAAACAGTTCCACGCAATGCTTACCACATTCACCGCCAGCAACCGAAACTGTACTGGAACGACGTAAAAGTTCACAAACTGGAACGCTGGCCATACCTGCCAATTGGTCACGAGCGTGGCCCACCAATTGTGGCGAAGTCTATCTTCAACATCAGCTGTTCCCCCACCCTCCATTAGCACCATGCAGCTGTAGTATAGTGGAATACCCACAGGTGCCCAGCATAACTGATCAACAGCTACTCGGGCAGTCGTATCCAGAAATTTCCTGGTGACTGAGTCTGCTGCCAAAGAAGCCGTTCGAGCTGGGAACTTGATGGAAGCAAGTAGCTTGTACCACTTGTCTCCTATGAAGGCAAAGATGCACCCTCCATAGATTGCAGCCCTGAGCGTTCTCTTGAAGTCGTAGCGGTGACTCTCGAAACATGTCTGAGCTATGACATCGCCAGAGGTGAACAGAAACTAGACAGCGGCGTTAGCATCGGAGTTTGCTGCTTAGCAGTTCCGTGACCATCATGCCACGGTAAAAAATTCCTCTCTTACCCCTGTGGTGATCGCATTCGTGAGCAATGGCCGATTTTTCAGTAAGTGGTTGTATCTCACCCAAACCATAGGCAAATGGCTGAAGATTTTGGCAAAAGACCCTTATCGAACCCCATTCTTCACCAGCCTGACGAAAACCTAAAAGTAACTAAGCCCTGGATGGAGCAGAGTACCATCCCAAAAAGGAAATTATCCCAATCGGGAAGATGTGAAACAAGTGATAAACACGTAGCTTTGACCCCATATAAGCACCTTTTTTCAATGTCTTATACACTTATTGAAGTCAGGATACAGATGATATGCCATATTCCCGACAAAATTAAAAAACACGGATTTTTTGTTACCAAACTCGTCCAATCAACCCATATTTGCACTGCTTTTCATTGGGTAGTTCCCCAACCAAGATGCCCAATGCCCCCTTAAATTTCATTTCACGTTGCCCCTTCTGAGTCCCCCTTATTGCTGTCTTGTCTCTTCTTCTTCTTTCAGTTGAAACAAGTCCTTTTTTGCGTCAATTGATCACCAAACCACTCAAAATGCATCGCACTTACTCTATGAGAAACTCCAGGGCCCCTACTGCCTCGCAGTTGGCCGCCCCTCCACCACCTCCTTCCACAACCAAGACCAGCAAGTTCTTTGGCCGTGGCTCCATCACCAACACCCTGAGAAGATCCACCGCCGGTTCTTTTGGCCCTGAATTGGCCAAGAAGCTGTCTCAATTGGTCAAGATGGAGAAGAACGTGATGAGAGCAATTGAGCTTTCCGCCAAGGAGCGTAAGACTGCTGCTAAGCAGCTTTCCCTGTGGGGAGCCGAGAACGAGGACGACGTTTCGGACGTTACCGACAAGTTGGGAGTCCTCATCTACGAGATTGGTGAGCTCGAGGAGCAATTCATCGACAGATACGATCAATACCGTATTACCCTTAAGGGTATCAGAGACATTGAAGGATCTGTTCAGCCTTCGCGTGACCGCAAGCAGAAGATCACCGAACAGATTGCTTACCTCAAGTACAAGGACCCACAATCCCCAAAAATTGTTGTTTTGGAGCAGGAGCTTGTTCGTGCCGAGGCTGAGTCGCTTGTCGCCGAGGCCCAACTCTCCAACATCACCAGAGAGAAATTGAAGGCTGCCTTTGTATACCAGTTTGACTCCATGAGAGAGCACTCTGAGAAGCTTGCATTGATTGCCGGATACGGTAAGGCCTTGCTTGAGCTTTTGGACGACTCCCCAGTTACTCCAGGTGAGACCAGACCATCTTACGATGGTTACGAGGCATCCAAGCAGATCATCATTGATGCCGAGAACGCATTGGCCTCCTGGACTTTCGAGACCGCCCAGGTCAAGCCTACTCTGTCTATCAGAAGAACTGAGGAATACGTTGATGAAGACGACGATGAGGAGATGGCCGAGACTGAGCAGCAATGGGCCGATGAACAGAAGGTGGCTGCCTAGACGGTAGGCCCTTCTTTAATTGTCTTTGGTGTAATATCCGAGTTTTCTTTCAAAAAAAAAGTTGGAGAGTCTCGTTGAATTCTTATCTTTCTACCAGCTCTGCTGTTGTCTTTTTATAGCAATTACAATTTTGTATTCGTTCAGTTAGTGTAGCTGGTCAAGACCAAATCACTGTTTGCAGATAAGAGCATTAAGTTTTGTTAACCAATAACGTTTTGGCAACGGCACACTGTCCCAACGGTCATATTTCCGTTTGTTCGTGAGTTCATGACCATGCTCGCTGTAGTAATGGTGATTGTATTCAACCAATAACATTCTTGTGTTCGCGCTTCCATAACGATTGGTCAATCGCGTTCATAATTTCGTCACTATATTGCTGTGACTATTAGTCGGTATCGTTCGTGTCTTCGTCAAAGTCTTCTTTCATGCTTTGCGTCTTCTATTTGTCCGTTTCTCATGCTTTAACTCTTCTCTCAGGCCTGCCATGCACGTGAACATCAATCGAATGTCCTAGTATCTGCAAATGGTGATACTTGGCTGTCATCTGCTTTTTGGCTGGGATATCTCTCAAATTCCCATTTTCCTCGCCTTCCTCTTCTTCCTGCAGTATCTGAACTTCTCCAGTCAGAGCCTCTCCTATACCGCCTCCTCTAGTTTCGCCTTCTTCCTCGAGTATCTGAGTTGCTCCCGCCTCTTTGTCTGCACTCCAAATATCCTCTTTGATCAATAACCCTGAAAGCTTCTTAGACCCCAGAATCAGCGGGTCCAGCGCATCTCGTATCTGCTGAACAGTCTCAGATGTCATCACCAAAACACACTTCCATCCATTCTGCTCCAACGGAATAGATATCTGGTATTTCCCCTTTGAGGCAGACTCGGCAATATCCCGCGCTGTGCTTATTATCAGCAAGTTTTCAAGCGAGGTGTCTAGCACGTACTTAAGTATATCGCCCTTCAGTTGCTCCAGCATAAGACTAAGCTCGCGTTCTCTTATTTTTATCTTTTTCGGAGCTCTCCTCAGTCGAACAAGCACTTTTCGATTTTTGTTGTGGGTTACAGCGGGTATCGCCGCCGTTGCTGCGTTCTCCGAGGCCTGACGGATGGCCTGGTGATTGATGAACACTCTCACTGGGATAACTTTATGAGCAGAAACTCGTAAAAATGCGCGTCTAAGGAAGTTAGTGGAAAATTAGCTGCATTCCATAGTTAAATCATTATACTCACTTTGGTGCCATCTCTACTTCTTTGTTCCTAAAGTATGCGCATCCCACAGATCCTACAACTTTCAATATTCAACCCCAAAAGGCAAAAATGGCAGATGCCGTGTCATTATTCCAAAGTGGCGATAGCTGAAAGAGGACCACCTATTCGTCTTCCACGTTCCTTTCCTCTACTAAACACTCAATTATCACTGAAAACCACAGAAATGGCCGACAGATACTCGTTCTCGTTGACCACGTTTTCGCCATCGTAAGTAGAGATGTTGATTTTTTTGTTCTCTGTTCGCAGACTGCTAACCCTTCATAGTGGCACTTTGAAGCAGATCGAACATGCTCTCAACGCCGTCAAACAAGGAGTGACGTCGCTGGGAATCAAATCCACTAATGGAATTGTCCTTGCGACTGAGCGCAAATCTAACTCCGCATTGATCAATGTGGACCACATTGAGAAGATCTCACTGATCACACCCAACATCGGAATGACCTACTCTGGAATGGGGCCAGATTTTCGCGTTCTCGTGGACTCGTCGAGAAAGGTGTCCCACACTGCGTACAAGAGAGTCTACAACGAGTATCCCCCAACCAAAATTCTGGTGAGTGAAACTGCCAAGATCATACAGGAGGCGACGCAATCCGGTGGTGTAAGACCATATGGAGTGTCGCTGCTTGTAGGTGGCTACGACGATTCCAATGGCTACATGTTATACCAAGTTGACCCTTCTGGAGCTTACTTTCCTTGGAAGGCTACGGCAATTGGAAAGGGGTCCACCGCGGCGAAAACGTTTTTGGAGAAGAGGTGGAACGAGGAGCTGGAGCTTGAAGATGCCATCCACATTGCACTGTTGACTTTGAAGGAGTCAATTGAGGGCGATATGAACGGTGACACCGTTGAAATCAGTATAATTGGCGAAGAAAACGAGCACCTGCTTGGTTTCACTGGAGATTCACGCGTTGCGGGTCCACGTTTCAGGAAATTGAGTGCACAGGAGATAAACGACAGGCTAGATGCGTTGTAGGTGGGTACAGACGAAGATTTAAGGCCCGGGGTGAGAATGCGAAAAGGCTCTTGAAGATGAAGCGAAGAAGAATACGAAGGAACTGAAGAGTTACAACGTTGAAGTAGCACACAGACAGGTAGTTCATGTTAGAATACAATCAGGTTCTTGAAAGATACGAAGAAGCTAAAAAGTGAAGACAGATACTTGGTGTAATACAAATACACTCGAAACATGGGATGCGAGTGAGTTGGATGAAATAGGCGGCACTCTCCAGAAGTCTGGATGTTATAACTCCGCTTCTTACGAAACTTCAACACTGCTCCTATTTGGCAAACTTAAAACAGTATTTTTATAGTCTAAAGAACGGTGATAAAGAATGAATATAAGAAACAATAATTGTTGGTAGGAAAATGATTTCCAAGATTGTGGAAACGGTAGTGAGAGGGTTCGCATGGCTGGCATGGCTGAAAGCTTCAACCCGCACCATTTTCCGAAATTGCAGCAATTGAGCTACTTCTTTTGCTCAAACAGAGTTGCACATATCATATACAACACTTCCGTCTTTACCAATCAAGTCTTCAACATAGTCCACAAACTTCCCCAGTGGAATCATATCGATGGTTCCCAAAGGACCAGTGGTATTCAAGGGCTGGCCTCCATATAATACCCTCAAAAATTTGTCTCCGTGTTTATCCCACATCTCAAAACTGAGTTCTGCTCCCATTCCTGGCCATCTCATAAAATCAACCTGCAATATGCCGAGCATTGGCCCGATGGAACCGTCATGGCCGACATTATGCATGTACCTCAATGCAAGAGCTCCCTCCTGCTTCTGGACCAGTCTGTGTTTCAGTTCATTCAAAAATGCTCCGTAGTTTGAAACATCGTAAAGAGTAGAGTTTTTGGAGGCACGGTATTGGTAACTCCATTCGAAGTCTCCCAGGCGGAACACCTGCTCAGCATCCTCCTGGGTGACACATTTTGTGGGGTCGTCAATGCTGCATGGCAGATCATAGCCGTGACAACTACGGAACGCGAAATTATCGAAGTAATGATCGAATGACATGTGAAATCCCTCAGATTCTGGATCAACACCAGTGATGGAATCCAGTTTTGAATAAAGAGAGTCTGCCCGGGTGAGGTGCTCGACCCATTCGTCAGATGCATAGATCCATTCCCGCATGTCGGTTGCATAATCACAGGTGTAGGCAGGTTCCAAAGAGTCAATGGCGTCGAGCTGAATTTTGGCCTTGATTTTGGACTCGCTGGGATAGATCGCTTTGGCAACAGCAGAGAGAACCTCGGAGGTAATCACGTTGTTGGTGACGCGAAATTGCACCAGTTCTGGATCGTACTCAGCTGGCAGAAATCCAAGAAGGTCGCGGTACACCTTGGCAACGTCCTTGCCGTGCTGGTAACAATCTTGAAGTCCCTGGTACGAGATTTGGGGTAGTTGACAAGTTCCGTTGTATCCTGTTTGCTCGGAATAGGCGAAAGGATTTTCTGGGTCAACATAATTGGCCCAAGCAACCTGCAGAGTAGAATCGTTACCCGCATTGAAACCGGAGTAGTAGTAGTTGGAACTCTCGTCACAGTAAAGAGAAATATCCTCAAAAGGCAGCGTATTGGCCAAATAAGGAGTTCTCTTGTGGTGACGGTGCATCAATTCCACATATTCGAGCGTATACGAAGAGTTTGGTGTGGGGTATTCGGTGCTTCTGACGTGCGGCATGTTGCAGAAATTGTAGGCACCATATTTGGAGTCCGCAACATGCGACGTGTTGTAGAATCCTCCATTGGTCCCACTCGACTTATTGAACACAGTATCCAGGTCAGAAAATGGACTATCTTTTGGCTCGTAAAAGTGCTTGTAGGTCGAGGTGTCGTAAGTCTTGATAGCAGACACCATCGAGACCAGGCTCAGAAGAACAGTCGTAGATAACATGGTTTAAGGTTGAAACCAACAATTAAAAAGATGGGAGCGGATAGGTATTGAGGGTATAGATATCTTCCTCGGAGCTTAAGGCAGATTTCGCCCTCTTTATATACCCAGCACCTCTTGACTCTGATCAATGCGGTATGTACTGCCTATTGAAGACTTATGTCCAATTAATGAGCAAACAGCTCACCCGTGGTGTCTGGATCAGGAAATTGCGTTCCCAAAGAGGTATATGCAGCATTCATGCAACCGATAAGTTTTTTTTCGAGAGAAGACGAGGGTCCCTGGCTAATGCTCGCTGCGTAAAATGGAGCTAGGTCTACATGTATGTGCCTGATTGGGGTTTCCCAGTCACGTGAATACCATGCGCTTGCCCACGTTGGCAGTGCATTCAGCCGGAAAAGCTGGTTGATTGGTTGAAAAGGGCGAGGTTTGAGTGGATTGGATGAATTTTAAGATATTAGCTCAAAAATTTCATCGAATAACCAGGAAAGTTTTTGATTCTTCCTATTCTTGAGAGATGTTGTAATTGCAATCTAGGACTTTTGAGTGGGGCAGGCGCCGGACTGCATAGCTAAGATAAGGAGTGCATCGGATCGGCATTGCGATTCCTGGTGCGTTATTTATGGTGTAAATAGTATTTCAATTATTTGTGTAGATACCACTTTGAGAATTTGTTTATGAAATAAGTGAGTTCAATCTGGGAGTGCATTGAGTGGTAAATTGAGGAGTAGTCGAGAGCCCCAGTGGATAACACGCTGAAAAACTCGATTCAATTCCCGTTGGAAACTCGCAATGGAAGCTCCAATTCCATCAACCAGACTTTTACCTACTCTCTAAAAACAAAATACCTGGTCGTCCTGCTTGGACTGATACACTCCCTTGGCAAACCCAACACTCTCCGCAAGCTCAATTATGAGCTTCTTCATGGGCATCGGACCGCATACAAAAATCTTGGTGTCCTCAGATGCTGCAGGCATATACTTCTCGAACATTTCCTTCGTAATGTATCCGGTTTCTCCTTCCCAGTTGGCTGGAGGATGGGTCAACGTGTAAGCTACCTTAAAGTTAGGATACGCGGCAGCAAGTGAGTCAAGCTCTTGTCTCAGCAAGATGTCGTTCTCTGTCTCGTTAGCAAACAAAAGCGACACTTCGGTGAGGTCCTCTGGGGTGGTGGTGATATAACTCATCACCTGGAGCAGCGGGGTGATCCCGGATCCACCCGCAATCATTCCAATTTTGCGTGCCATGTTCGGCCTGTAGGCCATGCGACCTACAGGCCCGCGGAATGACACGCTCTGACCCTCCTTGAGCCCGGCAAAGTACTTGGATACGGTTCCGTCCTTGTACGACTTGACCAGAATATCGAAAAACCCTTCATCGTATTGACCAGAAACTGGCGTATAGAAGCGGATTTCATCCTTGCCATCAATCGGCACCTTACACGCGACATGGTGGCCAACGGGAATGTCCAAGTTCTCTGCTTCACTGTACAGCTTAAAACGGTAGATGGCCGAGTTCTTGGAGATCACTGTCTTGTCAATAAGCTCGAATTCCTTCCACTTCTCGGGATGCAACGACTTTCTTCTGACTATAAAAGTTGTTAGTGATTAAAATTGATAAAGATAACTCGAAAATTGACTCACGGTAAGCCCTGAACATCCTGATCGAAAGGAAGATGGCCAGACCAACGGCAGCATAGGGAACGTATCTCCAGTCGTGCACGCCAACCCCGAATAGGATCAGACACGAGGGAATCACAATTCCATGCAGCGGAGTCTTTAGCAGATGGGACGTATCTTTTACTTGCGACATTGGGTTTGTTCGGAAAGAAGAGAGCGCTTGAGGTTGATTTGTGAGACGACGGATCTATGTGGTGTACATGTCGTGTCACACTCAACAACTAATTCTGTCAAATATTTCACGGGTATATAAACCTTCACGTGACTTTCTTGAATCCCGCACCTCAACCTATCCCGCGCTCGGCATTGTGGGGAAAAGTCCAGACTGTGCCAATGGAAAGCAGATCTACACACAACTGATGCGGAAACTTTAAATGAAACTTCCAAATTTTTCATATTTTTTAATGACAGCCATAAACTCTCTCATCCATTTCCTGTTCCTTTTTTTTCCGCACATTTTTTCCGCAATCTTGGTCACCTTACTCCTGGCTCGTTCTCCTCCGTCAAACCCCAACGCAGCAAAAAAAAGCAAGTGTTTCCTGATTGGGCTTAATTGAGGCTTCCAAAAGAAGACGTCTTTCCCGATTCGGCGGTATATGCCATTCAAATACATCATTCTGCTAAACTCCATTAGCTCAACTATGGCAAATTTGACTCGCAATTTCCACCGGAACAGTCTAATCGATGCGATGAGGTTTTTCTAAGTGGGGTTCCATATATTGAGGCATATCCCCATTGTCCGAGACGACCAAAGCTTCCCACTCAATTGGCAACTCTTACATTGTTGCGAAAAATCACCTAAAGGGTAGTCTATACTGCTCCCAATGCTGTCATTATTGCTTCTGCTTAGTGCAGTTTCTGCCACTTTGCTCGATGACCATTCGTACTATGACGCTTCCAATCGTGTTGCGGGGACAGACCTGTACAACAAGTACAACCACTTTGCCAACCAGCCATATGTTGCCAATGGCTATATTGGGTCCCGCATTCCTAATCTGGGCCAAGGCTTTACGTATGATCAAGCTGCCAATACTTCAAGTGCCTTGCTTGACAATGGGTGGCCATTATTCGACAAAAGGTACGCCGGATCGTTTGCTGCTGGGTTCTACGATCTCCAACCCAACACCACCGGGACCAATTTTCCAGAGCTTGAAAAATTGGGTTATGAGTCTGTCATTAGTTCAATTCCCGAGTGGACCACTCTTCTATTGCAACTGAACTACACGGACTCCGATGGCGCCTTCCACTCTGCTACCTTGGACCCTCAACTGACAAACACTACAAAAGTCGGTTCAATCTCAGATTATTACCAGGAATTGAGTTTCAATAAGGGGACTGTCACTACGGGATTCTTCTGGGAGAAATTGGTTTATGTAACGATTACGGTTTTTGCACACCGTTTCCTACCCACCCTCGGTGTGGTTAACATTGCACTTGAGTTTAACAACTCCACCGAAGTGTCCAATGTGACCCTTTCTGCAACGGACATTCTAGATTTTTCTACTAGTCAACGGACCTGGCTGGAAGACATTGGTTCCACTGAGGATGGAATTTACATTGTGGTGAACCCGCTGAACATCGATTACAAATCAGCCACAGTTTTTTCACGTCTTGTGTATGACGATGTGGCTAACGCCTTTGACGTCCACAATTCCTCCACCTCGGTTTCGGCTACTGCCGTTTTCGATGTGCAATTGGACTCTGAGTCTTTTGAACAATTGAACATTACCAAGTTTGCTGGAGTTGTGTCCAGTGATTATTTGAACGACAACTCTACGGATGACCCGTTCACTCCGTTCGATAAGGCCCAGGGTATAGCCTATAACTCCTCCGAGGTTGGTTATGACATAATCTACTCACTGCATCTGGAAGCATGGAGCGATCTTTGGGGAGACTCTCGAATCTCAGTTCCTTCGGATGCAACTCTCACGTTGGCTGCTGAGGCTTCTATCTACCACCTGCTAGCAAATACCCGTTCTGGAGCCTCTGGAGTGACCTCTGCCCTTGCAGTTTCGGGACTCTCTTCCGACTCATATGGTGGAATGGTGTTCTGGGATACAGATCTTTGGATGTTGCCAGCTCTAATACCTTTTTCACCAGAACATGCGGTTGCAGTCTCGAAGTTCCGTCACGAAACCCATCCACAAGCCATTAGAAATGCAGAGTCACGTGGTTTTGACGGAGCCGCATACTCGTGGACTTCGGGAAGGTTTGGTAACTGCACGTCCACTGGACCCTGCTTCGATTACGAGTACCACATTAACGTGGCTGTCTCACTGAGTGTTTGGAAGCTGTTCCTTGCGGGCGCTATTGACGACGATTATCTTGCCGAATACGGATATCCAATTATCCGCGATGCTGCCGACTTTTTTGCCAGTTACGTGGAGTTCAACGACACGCTGGGTGCATATACCACTAACAACCTGACGGACCCAGACGAATATGCCAACTTCAAGAACAACGGTGCGTACACCAATGCCGGAATTTCGCAGGTCATGAAATGGGCATCTTTGATCGGAGAATATTTGGATACCAATGACACAAACGCGGATTGGCTGGATATCGAGCAGAATATGTATTTGCCGGTTTCGGACTACAACGTGACTCTGGAGTACTCTGGAATGAACTCTTCAGTGGAGATCAAACAAGCTGATGTGGTTTTGATAACGTACCCACTGGATGATAATGATCATGCTTTTGTCCAGGACTTGGACTATGACAAGGACCGCGCCGTTTTGGACATGACTTACTACTCCGAACACCAGTCGTCGCAAGGTCCAGCCATGACTTTCCCCGTATTCAGTGCTGTTGCAGCCAAATTGAACGACTTTGGATGTGGCTCACAGACATATCTGCTAAAGTCGATTGAGCCATTTTTGAGACTTCCTTTTGGGCAAATGTCAGAGCAAAACAATGACGACTACTACACCAACGGAGGAACTCACCCTGCTTTCCCCTTTCTCACTGGCCATGGAGGTGTCTTACAAGGCTTTGTTTTTGGACTTACGGGACTATCGTTTGGATACCGGGCCAATGGCTCAGATTTCGAGCGTCTCTTGAACTTTGATCCGGTTGCCTTGCCCTTGTTCCCGGGTGGTATCTCGATAGAGGGAATCCAATACAATGGGCAAGTTCTGGATGTCATCATTGATGATGATGAAGCCACTCTGGTTCACCGTGCAGGCAAGAAATCCGTATCTGTGTATGTGGATTCGCGCAACCCACAGGGAGGAGTCACGTATACCCTACATCCAGACGCCAACCTCACGTTGCCACTTTTCTTTCCAAACGAGAACTTTGCTGGATCCATAACCGAGTGTCGGGCAAGTGTTGTGGCAGTCTCAGCGTCGTTGGACGGTGATGTTCCTGAGTCGTTGATCGATGGTGATAATTCTACCACCTGGCAGGCTAGTCTGAAAAACGAGACGGCCGCTGTTCTGCTAGACCTTGGCTCCATATATCAGGTGTCGAGTGGAATCATTGTTTGGGGTGATAGACTGGCCAAAAGCGTTTCTCTGAGCGCCGTGCCTGAAACACTGGCTCGTCGGTATCTCCAAGGTTCCTTGGCGCAAAATGCCACGGCTTTCGAGGCGAAAGCAGAGGCTAGGGAGATTGTTTCTGAATTGAAAATAAAGCCCAGTTACAATGCAACCGGGATTCGGGATCCCTATGACGTCCAGGTTGGAACGGCTAACTTTACTCTGTTTGACCTCGAGAAGCCCTCGCATGTGCGTTATGTGCTCTTTGAAGTAGATGGAGTATATGACGAGTCTGACGACACTACTGGGGCTGTTATTGCCGAAATATCGTTGTTTTAAATGATATTTTCTAGGAATAGAAGTTATGCCCATGGCGCATGTAGACATAACTGATAAGCGATAAGAAGCATCCTGCAGATACTGAAAAAACTTTAGGTTAGTCACTACCAAATGATGAGCCCTAAGAAGGAGACGTAATAGACCATCACCATTGTTGGTAGTTACTGGACAAAAGCATTTTTCATTGTCTTTATTATATTACTCATCACGCTCCCTAGTCATAACCTATTTTGCTCGTTTTCTAGAATTCCCGTCACCGATCCACCGGACCTGGTGGCTCGGTTATAAGTCTCGTCCCTCTTCGCAGTAACTCCCTCCTTTTGGACAATTTGTCCGCGATGTGGTCGTGTGGTACCTAATTAGGGTTTCTTTGCGCTTTTCAACAAGCCGCCTTTAGATCCCCCAACTTTGCAATCCCATTCTTTGCCCCCAGCAACTTAATATTGTGCCTGAGAAGACAGAGTCTTGGAAAATGAACGATATTCTTCTTCCTTCGAAAATAGCGTGCAGTTCATGTCGCCGCAAGCGGGTCAAGTGCGACAAGCAACGACCACTCTGCTCTAGGTGTTACAAAGGTGGCAGCGAATGCCACTACCAGGAACCCAAAAAGACAGGACCCAAGCCCAAGATCCCAGATATGTTCCAGATACTTGACAATAACCTGGATTTTGTTATGAAGGATACCGGACTTTCTTTGAGCACGACAGGGTCGGAAGTGGACACAGAAACGCCGCTTTCTGCCTATTCAGACACAGACATACAAGCTGGTTTGAGTGCTGAAGAGGTGTTTGCTCTGTTTTTCAACGAAAACGCTCATATAAGCCAGATTTTACTCCGCCCGAAATTTGAGCGCAATTTCTATCGCGGAGTGTTCGTGTACGGAGTCCTTGAAACACTGATGCGGGCCTTGGTGTATCGCCAGCATCCAAAGTATGAACAGATAGCGGACCATTTCTACCTAGAGGCCCTCCAGGGGTTGGACTCGATTGAAAGAACGACTGATAGGTCGCCCCAGTCGATTCATGCTTCCATGAACTCGGTTGCTTATCTTCAGGCATGGTTATTAATCTGCGAATATGAGTGCCATACGCTACGGTTCCGCAGTTGTTCTATCAACATTGCCAGATGCAAGCGTCTAGCCCAGCAGATGAACCTGGATTTGATAGATAGCAAAGTCAGGTTCAGTTGGCGAGGCGTTCTTTTGGAGGATGTGGGATCCATTGATGGTGAGGACGGCAGCTTTCCAGAGTGGAGTTTGATCGAGGAGAAACGCAGAACGTTTTGGTATGTGTTCATGGTTGGACAATGTCCTGCTGAAGTTGCATCGGCTTTTGTTATTGAGTACATACATACCAAGATGCCGATGACATATTCCTCGTTCAGCACAGCCCGCCATGCGGAAAGGGGATTCATGGGTGCGGCGCTCGAGAGTCTCCGGCGAGGCGAGACCATCCCGGATTTGGACGAGTTTTCAGCGCTGGTTCTTCAGATGGGCGTCGTGCAGCACGTGTGTGATTGGAACCGATCTTTTGAAATTGAGCCCATGAGGGAATCGCTCGATGCGGACTACTTGGAAGCCTTGAAGAAAAAGGCTGCTGGTTTCGAAAACAGCCTCAACAGTCTTCACTCTGTAACCATCTCTGATGGTCCGGGAGGGCACCTCCTGAACTTGAATCGAGTAGTGGGCGCTCTGTGTACATATCACCATCTATATGAGCATCTGTACCAGCAGATCAGCTTTGGGGGTTCCAAACAGCTCTCACCTGCCATTACCGACTCTTTTGACTACTATCGCAAGAAGAATCTGATCTATTTATACCTTCTGATTGACATTTGCAACGATGTGCAGACTTCGCGGTTGCTCAAATGCAACCCGCTCTTTACGCTTTTACTCAATGCTGGAATACAATGTACTGTGGGGATTGTGGACAAGATCATGACAATGAAGCCTGAATTCCGGTTGCCAAAAGAGAATATCGAAGGGTTTGTTCAAAGACTCCAGCAGACTGCCGAATCGTTGAGGGACTCCACCAAGCGTCTCGACCTCAACGTCAACGACTACTTCTCCGACGGCTTCAAAGATGCGCTAGAGGAGCTCGAGGAGCTGTGGGAGTCAGGCTGTGATTGGACACGGGTTATCATGTGAGTGAAATATCATCTCAATACCTTCTCTTGAACCTCCGAAAAATACCCCAGATTTCACAGCTTGGGAGAGCTTTCTATCTCTACGTGCTCCAAATTCCGCCTTATGACCACCTCAACACCCCGTCAATGCCACTATCTGTTTTATGCACTTTTACTATCTGCTTTATAAACTTTTGCCTTTTTTTTGGCTGCGCAGTACTGGCTCCGTTTGCACGCATTAATTTCGTTTTCTCGCGTTTTTCTCATATTGTAGTCCGGACCCAGATCACTCTCACGTGACCCGACGCGATCTCGGTTCGTCATTACCCCGCCTGGCCCGTCCACCCCACAGTCGAGGAAGTATAAAAGATCATGAGTAAATCCCTCGAAATAATGACTTGATCTACAGGTTATCTAATTTAACCACAGCTCAACATGTCCCTTCCATCACCACCACCAGCCGGTGTCTACACGCCAATCCCCACCTTCTTCAAGAAGGACGGATACGCCATAGACTATGATGCAATTGTCGCCCACTGCCAGTTTCTCCACAAGGCCGGCATCCAAGGTGCTGCCATTCACGGTTCCACCGGTGAAGGTGTTCACCTGACCCGTACTGAGCGTGTTGAGGTCATCAAGCGCGTCCGTGCTGCTCTGCCTGCAGATTTCGTGATCCTCGGAGGTGTTGTACAGAACTCCCTCCAGGAAGCCTTGGACGAGGTGGAAGCCTTGAAGAGCGCTGGAGCTGCCTATGCCCTCACTCTCGGCTCCAACTACTTTGGTCTGGCTATCAAGCAACAGGGAATCATTGACTGGTTCACTTCTTTTGCCGACAAGAGTGCTTTGCCAGTGCTTTTGTACGTGTACCCAGGAGTTTCCAACGGACTGTCGCTTTCTCCAGAGACCATAATCCACCTGAGTGCCCATAAAAACATCGTTGGATGCAAGATCTCCCACGGAGACGTTTCCCACCACACTCTGATTGGTCTCTCGCCTGAGATCCAGAAGAACAACTTCCTTCCGCTGACCGGTCTCGGTCAATTGCTGCTGCCAGTTCTGACTGTAGGCTTCAAGGGAACTGTCGATGCCATTTCAGGAGCTTTCCCAAAGATCTACGTCAAGGTATTCAACTTGTTTCAAGAGGGCAAGATCGATGAGGCCAGAAAATACCAGCTCGTGATCAGCAGAGCCGAGGAGATCGTGGTGAAGTCGGGTGTCATTGGTATCAAAACTGCCATTCACAAGGCCACTGGGTTTGGAGAGTCCGTCCTTGGAAGAGCTCCTTTGAACCAGGATGTCGACGCAGGTGCTTGGGCATCTACTCTTGGATATTTCGATGCAATCACCGAGGTGGAGAACTCTTTGTAAGTAAAAATATGCGACTTCAACAGTAGACTTGATCGCAGAGATCAGGCTTAAGTCTTATAGGGTTAGTTCGAAATTGGGATTGCAACTGTAGAGATAGAAGATCAAGCTGGTAAGCGGAAACTGCCACTCAATAAAACACCCATGCCATAAAGGCACTGCTTAGCATTGTCCTGCTGTTGGTTCCTCGTGTTTTTTTCAATTGTCACAACTATAGGCTGATACTCACCAATTGCAAACGACCGGCTTCCTGCGGGATTAACGCAACCATACATCGTAACCTCTCAACATTGTTCAATCATCTCGATTGATGATCACAGAACAGGATCCTTCACTAGCTCAGCTTGTTGCCTGCAACCAGAACATGACTTGGCCTCGGCCTATTACATTGTGAAGTTGACGGGCCCAGGTCAATCCCCATGGCTTAACTGTCGTTTGGCTCTTTGAAAAACCTTATTAGAGTAGAAACTGAAAACGCTAACTTTTGATAGTGGTGTGATCTTACTGATTGTGACGGATCTCGGACTGAGGACCGTTATGAACGTCCCCTTGATTCTGAAAAGTCTTGCCCTTTGGCTGATTCTTAAAGGCGAAACATAATTTGACTTCATCAACTCGTCTTGTGAGCCTTCTTCATTTTGCCCATCTGCTCTTTTCATCATTTTAGTTCTTTCCTTTAAACTTTCCACTGGACTAATGAATTGTCTCCTCCTTCACTGCTTAACCGAATTATCAAGCCAGTCTCGCGTAGGGTCCCACGATACCTGCGACGGCGATAGTTCAAACTCCACGTCAAACATGTTAAAGTTTCTCAACCCATTGGTACGAGAATCGTTCGGTGGTTGCTGGGGCGGTTGTGGCTGCTGGGAACTGCCCATTCCGGCAAACATTACTGGGTAATCCTGTGAAGTCTTGCGGCGCTTTGTACGTGATTTCTTGGGTGATCCAATCTGAATTCCCTCGTCGTTACCATTTGGCTGTGTTTCATTCGAGAGTATTCCGGGATCGACATTCAGGTTCACAGGGAACTTGAACCATTGGAAGATGTTCTCCAAAGACTCCACTGGTTGGATAAGCTGTGATTGCGGCAATCCCGAGAAGGATTGCGCTGGCTGTGCAGTTTTAGTTGCTGTTTTCTGCTGTTTCTGGAACTGCTGGAGCGACCCGAGGGCTGCAGTCGGCGAGTTGGCCGCAAAGTTACCGGAATAGTACTGGATGTTGCTCAGAACGCCATTGTTGTTTTGGAAGCTGAACTGGTTGGGTGGTGATGTCGTGATTCCTGATCTCTCCTCCGCATTTTTGAGATTAGGAATCTTCTGAGAGAAAATGAAGTCGAGCACAAACGCATTGTTCCGCATATCGCTGAAGATCTTGGAGTTCTTGGCGTGTTCGTCGCTCTCTTCCTCCGATTCGGAAGGATCGCCATGAACACGCTTCTTCGTAGAGTAGATGGTCTTTCTCCGCACATTCATGGTCTCGCCCATCAAGAACTTGATTATCATAGCATACCTAGCAGCACAGCCCCAATGAGTACCAATTTTGAGCATTGAGCTCACCAAAACATCCTCGTCAGGAGGAGACGGAATCTCCTTATTAATGGAATCCACCATCACCAGTCTCCCGGCAACCCATAGGGTGAATGCGAAACACGGTCCGAGTGACCCGAACGCATCATCTGTTGTGTAAAATATTGTCTCTATGGTCCGGATTGTCTTTGTCAAAGTGTCCACCTCCAGGAGACAACGGTCCCTGGCAATCTTTGAGGAGGAAAGGTAATCAGATTGTGCGTGTGGATATCCAATCGCGGAATTCAGTCTGATCATGGCTGTGTGGTACAAAGAGGCTAGGTTAAAGTCCATTTGGGTCATGCCATCCCACGTGGTAGCCCTATCCATGAGAGCTTGATACCTTGGAGGAATCGTGGATTTCCACTTCAACAGTCGGTTGTACAAATTGAGGAAGTTCTTCTGGAATGAGTACACTTCGGTCGAGTCAAAGATGTCCACCTGCTTGCGTAGGAACAAATGAATCTCACCCAAAACATGCAGCAGTTCAACGTAATACGCAAACGAATCGTACAATTCCTCGGTATCGTAAAAATTTTCGCCTTCAGGAGTCAAACTAGGAGATCCCTTGGAAGAAGTTTGCCAATACCACAGCGAATGCTTCACAGGCAGCATACAAGTGATCTCATCGCCGGGAATCTTCAGCGAAAACGAATTGGAAATGGCTGAAAAAACGTCCAGAATGTAGATCCCCCAAAAAAGCCGGCGTCGACTCTCTTCCTCCACCCAATTGTCCGGTTTCCGGAGAAACTTGGCTGGATTCGTACTCAAAGACTTGCGTTTCCTGCTGGATGTCGACTGTGAGCCTGGAGTAACAGTGTTCGGGGGCGAGTTCGGCGAAGCTTGCTCCGACGAGGTCGCGATAGATGGTCGCCGTACCTTATTTTCCAGGAACTGCATGTGCTGGGAGTTATTCGTTTCCTTGGTGAGCCCTAGATGGGTCACGGCAGAGGAAATCAGTGAAATAAACGACCAGGTTTCCGGGTTATTGAGCGAACCAAACGATTGGTAAGCAAGCAGAGTCATTGCCTGCAGCTGCTCAAGTGTCACCATCGATATACATCTCAACACGATCTTCTCCTTGCACAGGGCAAAATATGCAGTCGAATCGGACTTCTGCAATTGAGAGTCCACATATTTAAGAGTAACCAAGATTATGGCATACTTAATCACGCAGTCCTTGTCCTCTTGGATTTTGTGGAGTATGGAGTCTTTGTGCAGAATTGGAAAAGCAGGGTGGACTTTTTCAAAGTAGATTGCCACCAGTCTGGTGATAGGCGGCAAGTTGGGAAATTCTGGCATTGACTCGAGCGGAGACGACTGAGTCAAAGGAGTTTGCTGGTTTATTGGCATCGTTTCTGCCGTTTGCTGGCCCAGCTGCAAGGGCACACCCTGACCACTCTGATCAAATTGACTGAAACTTCCACTATTTCCACCATGTCTATTCGGCTGAACCGTCTGCTGGCCCGTAGTGCCACCACCCGGGCGGTTGGACGCCTCCAAACGCACCATCCGCTCGAATAGTGCCACCACATCTGACTTAACCGAGCCAATATCGTCCTCCACGCGCGTACACGCGTTCTCCACCGACTCCAGCCTCTCATTGAACTCCTTACCATATCCACGCTTCAGTCCGGGCCGCTTCATCGGCGAATAGACACACTCCATCTTGTTCTTCACGCAGTACGAGCACAGAGGCCTGATTCCATCGCACTTGACCTTGCGCACTTTGCAAGTGTCGCAGGACTTGGAAATTCGCCTCCCGGATACATCGTCGTCGAGCGGCGAGTCTAAATCCTCCTTTTTGAACATTTTCGCGAGAGTTTCGCAGTTTTTTTGCGGAATCAAACGCTTGGAGTAAAGCTATTCTGCTGGCCCAGAGGCCAAAGGGGCTCAAAAAAGATGGGGAGACGGGAGAACTTTCGTCCGATATTCTGGTTGAAACACGACGGGGGGACCAGGGTTTATAAACCCATCTAGATGATGAGAACTCCTTCTATGGGACTGATTGAAAATTTCCGGGACTATACTCGGGTGTTGGTGCGTTTGAGAACATATTCAAATACCGTTTGCCCTTATTTTGGATTTTGGCATTGGTATTTCACAATGGTCATCGACTCTCACGTCCATCTGTACTCTGCGGAGAACAACGAAGACCTAAGATGGATGTCTCCAGACCTCTCCATTGCCGGAGAACATGGTTTGGCCGCGTATAAGAAGGCAGCCGGCAAGGAATTTACCGGACTGGTGTTTCTGGAGGTTGATGTGAAGGCAGACTCAGACAACTGGGATCTGGCTGTTAAGGAGTACGCTTATGTGGTTGATGAGTTTGAGAATGACAAAGACCTGACATACAAGAAGATCGTGCCGTGGATACCATTGGCGTCTTCCAGAATGGAAGAGTTTCTCCAGCAATTAGTGGAATCGCGTGGACAAGCCTTGTATGACAAGTACGTCTCTGGGTTCAGATACCTATTCCAGGACAAGCCTTCGGGAACGATGAAAAATCCCACGATTGTTGCGAATCTGAACAAGCTGGCCGGGCAAAAGCGTTACACCTTTGATATTGGTATTGACATTCATTCTTACGGGGTCTGGGAGTACCAGGAGTGTCTTGAACTACTGGAGAAGGTTGACGCTGGTTTGGTCTGGGTGTTCAACCACCTTGGTAAGCCCGACTTTGAAAGCGCAGAGAAGTTTGCCCAATGGAACGACTACGTTGACAAGATGGCTGCGGTGCTTTCTGCCAAAAAAGCCACAAGTTACATGAAGATTTCTGGTGGTTTCTCGGAGATTCCAAGGCACATCACAGACGTGCAAGCCATCGCCGCATTGATCAAACCGTATGTAGATAAAAGTCTCGCAGTCTGGGGGAAAGAGAACCTCATATTTGGCTCTGACTGGCCCGTTTGTGTGCTCAATGGCGGTTCCATAGAGAAATGGCTCCAGATTCTGGATATACTCGGCCTGGATGCGGCCGTCTTCGATCGTAACGTGTGCGGCTGCTACGGCTCGGTCTCGGGTTGTTGTTGACCCGAGAAATCCGGGGTCGCCTGCCCCACCCAAAGAAATCCTCGAAATATAAAAAGAGATCCTTCACGTTGATTTGCACGAATCTTCCTCCGTAATTTTTGTAAGTTATAGATAGATTCTTTTCATAACATACACTTCAATGTTCGAACTACTCAAAGGAAAGACTGTTGCCATTACAGGTGCCTCAACCGGAATTGGGCGCGCCATTGCCAGAGGCATGTACCAGCAAGGAGCCAACGTGGTGATCAACTACTTCCCCGAGAACAAGGAGCAAATCAAAGAGATCCTGGAAAAGGACTATGACAATGATACTGAACGTGTGGAGTTTGTGCTCGGCGATGTTAGCGATCCGGCCACGTCTACAGATTTGGTGGCTAAGACTGTGGCCAAGCACGGCCGTCTGGACGTGTTTGTCTCCAACGCGGGAATTTGCAAATTTTACGACTTTTTGGAGATCCCAGCTGATGAGTACCGCAGACACATTGACATCAACTTGAACGGGTGCTACTTTGCTACGCAAGCAGCTGCCAGGCAAATGGCCAAGCAGGAGCCCAGTGGAGGCTCCATCATCGGTATCTCGTCCATCAGTGCGCTCGTTGGTGGTGGATACCAGACCCATTACACTCCAACTAAGGCTGGAATTTTGTCCATGATGCAGAGTGAGGCCGTCGCCCTTGGAAAGTACGGAATCCGTGCTAATGCCCTTCTTCCAGGAACAATCCGTACCCAGCTGAACGATGAGGACTTGGCTGATGAGGTGAAGAGAGACGCTATGAACAAGCGTATTCCATTGGGCAGATTCGGTTTGCCAACTGACTTGGCTGGACCTGCCATTTTCCTTGCTTGTGAGGAATTGAGTGGATATGTTACTGGTGCTCAGATTCTGGTAGACGGAGGGTTGTTTGTGAATCTGCAATAAAGAATGAAAGAAAAATCGTAGAATGAGGTTTGGACTGAGGTCGAGAGTGCGAGATCTCAAAATCTCACATCAGACCTGTATATAAATCCTTTACATATGAGTACTATGGTGCAGTGCATAATAAAAACATTTCGAATAGAACAGGCCGTGAGAAAGTTGATTTGCCTAAGTTGCATAGAGGTGTAATGAGGCGTTCCGAGGCGTTTTTCCTGAAAATCAACCGACAAATGGATATTTTATCAATAGGAAACAATATTTAATACGTTGCATTACTAGGTAATCGTTTTTTGGAGTGAAGGGGTTGGTGTTCGACGTACTCTGGATACTCGGCAGATCACCACCTCGATACTGGATAGAAAGAAATGATCAATACCGCACAAAAGCATAGAAATGTTCACACAAAAATTGCAAAAGCAGATGGACAGTGCTAATTGACAATATGAACCTTTTTTTTACTAGTTTTTTGGTGTATTGGTGGTCCCCTACTGATTAGCACCTCAGTTATAACGAAACGAATGGTATGTGTCAGAGGAGGACATGCCATAGGAGGTCCAAAAAAATAGAGAAAAATCTGGAAAATTATCCTTCGTATAATTCACACCCATATTGTATATTTTTTACTCTTAGTTCGTTATTTATGCTCCGTATTGTGGTGTTTATGTCTTAACAGCCCACAGCTCAAGGTGTAGTTGCACAGACTTTGTGACCAAAGGCACGTGAAGTTGACTTTGAACGGCGATATACTATTTTTTCCATTGTTGCACAAACTCAGATAGACCCAGCATTCCTTACGAACATTTCCATTTTCAGTTTCAATAAGAATGGCATTCTACAACTATTAATATGCAATCCGCACAACGTAGATGCATAACAACCATCTGCTTTCAAACTACACCATCTCTTCACCAAGAAGCATTAAATTATAATTTATTTGAAATATCAAGCAATTTTGGCCTCCTCGTCATCAGAAGATGATGAAATCACACCACGATTGGTATTAGAGTAGTCCACCTCGCCGTGGAGCTCCTCGGACAACTGCTCGAGAGTCTTGCGCTTAGTTTCTGGGATTAACAGCGTGGTGAAAAATCCGAGCAACATGAACAGAGCGAAGATCTGCATCACGTGAGGCAACCAACAGTTCTTGTTGTCAGGGGCGCAGCCTTTATTTTGTAAAGTACCAATGGCAGTCTGGGCAATGATGGCACCAACCTTACCAGAGGCAGCAGAAAGACCATGAGCAGTGGATCTGTAACGGGTTGGGAAACACTCTCCGGGCACAATAAAGGTGGTTGTGTTAGGTCCGAAGTTCTGGAAGAACTGGGCCAGAACGTACATCGCCAGTTTTCCATGCTCGCCAATTTTGTGGTAGCCAAAACCAATGATACACAGAATGGCTGTGAGCAAGACGAAGCCCATCAACTGGACAGGCTTACGGCCAAATGTGTCAATAGTCGCGACTGAAAACCAGTATCCGGGAATCGAACCAGCACACACCAGAATCAGGTTACCGGCAGCAGAGTTGTAAAGCGAATGGTAAACGTTCTTGGAACTGGCATAGCCAATGGTCTGGAGAATAGTAGCAGTGTTCAAACCCAGTCCGTAGTAAGCAACATCAAGAGTGAACCACGAACCAGCGGTTCCAAGTAAGATCTTTCCGTGCTTCCACTGGGAAAAGTGGCCGATAAAGTCCTTAAAGGAAGCCTTTGGAATGTCAACGGCGTAGTCGTTCTCAGACTCGCGCAGAATTTCAATCTGTTCGGCACCAGCATCCCCGTGTTCACCAGAAACAAACTTAGCAACATCAGCAGTACCCTTCTCAAGCTCACGAGAAACATCGAACGTGTAACGTGGTGATTCTGGAATAGTCAGCCTGAAGTACAGCGCAATACACCCAGGCACAGCACCCATTCCAATGAGTATTCTCCACGTAGTGTCGCAGGCATGGATACAAGCCGCACCACATTCAGCAGCGGAGTCAGCAGTGATCAAAGAGTCCTTATAAGCGGCAATGCAAACGATGGCCACGATACCTGCAAACAGCTGTCCCCAACCCTGGTTCGCAAACACAGCACCCATGATGGCACCTCTCCATTTGGTGGTTGCAAATTCCGAAGTAATAATTGAAGACAATGGATAGTCTCCACCAATACCAATACCCTGAATAATACGGTAGAAAGTAAGGATGGCTGGGAACGAAATCGCCGAGGACTCTCCAATGGTGGTCTGTAGGACGGTAGCAGCAATGATCACGATAAGTTCGGTTCCGTAAATCTTCTTACGGCCGACGTAATCGGCCAACCATCCGAAGCCTACCTGGCCAATAACTGTTCCGACAGAGGTGGAAACTTTGAGCATTGTCGTGGTGGAGTCTGGAATGTGGCCTCCCCAGTAGACGTAAGCCATGATGGAGACACCCAGGTTAATGGCGAAAATGTCGTAGGAGTCCGTCAAGAAACCAACACCGGAAACCATGATGGCGCGAATATGGTACCAGCCAAATTTGGCGTTATCAATCTTTTCCAGGGCCAATCTTCGACGCTCTAGGGGATCCTCGATGTGTGCAAAGTCATTGATGAAATTGTGGTATGCGGCGTTTCCGCCGGCTGTCTTTATTCCAGACATATAAGAGGTCGAGAGGATGAGATCGTGGACTGGAAAATCATTTCAAGGGGCATTTCTAGGGAGTCTCCCCCATTTATATACGAATCAAATGCCATGCACATGAAGGCAGCAAACCCATTCACAATAGAATCTCTGATAAATCTGCATCAACGTGGGCCTCCACGTGCGGTAGTGTGCTTCTCAATTCCCCGCGACGCGCAGAGCGTGCGAAGTTTAAGCGCTAAGGTTTTGACATGAACAATCAATATAGAATGGTCCGCTGAGCGGTGCTGTTGCACTGAATGGCTGATGTACAGGTAAAACGTATTGTTGAAGGAATTGTAGAGCAATACATGGCAAAAATCTGCTGAGAACTTGCAATCTGGGGGCTTCCTCATAGCCCTTCAACCCATGCCTCTTACCCGTTTGGGCGGCTGTCAGAGTCGTGTGAGCTTGGCGGCCCCACGTGGTCAAGCCTCGTCTGGGGTTCTCAAACAGTCTAAATTGCACTGGCATATCTTTGTCTAAGCCAAATTGGGGCAACGTGGGCCTGAGGCTCGTGTGCAAGGTGCGTTTGAGCCTTTAATGAATTTGAGGCGCAATATACAATGAACGCAGTAGTCAACGAACTTATTCAATGGGGAAGGCTCGATTAGCCGCGGACCGGAAAGTGGACTGAAAATTAGACCTAAGATTTTTTTACGGTGCCGTGCTCGACTGCCTCGTGGCTGGCTGACTGGGACAATGTTGCCTATTTTAGAGGCATATCTGGGAGGCTCTTTCGGATAACTCAATTGAGACTGAAGCTTTCGAGGCGCGTTAGGGTTTGTTCTGCTAAAGCCCATTCTCGGAGTTTCGAATTTAACGTCTATTTTGAGTTAGGAGCTTTTATTTTGTAGAGGGAATTTAAAATCAAATGTGTTTGAGGATAAGCTGTGGGCCTGTGACAAGTTGCTCGCTTTTCTTCTTATCTTTGAGTCATTTAGTCTCCACTAGCTCTTGGCTCTGGTCTCAATTCAGTCGCAATTAGCAGTTCGCTCGGTTTTAGTTCCAGCTTGCTCCGCAGACAACCGTTACATCATAATTTCTCCTTCCCTACACCCGTTTTAGGTATTCATCATATCTTAATCATATACACATGCATCTCATCACAGCTTATCCCAACAGAGACTGCTTAAAATCAATCATCTCACGTGGAAGCTGGACATAGTAATTGTCCAAATCTTCGAATTCTGCCCTAACCACCTTTCTCAAATACTCCGAAATCTCGGCCCTCTCTGTAACCTTCTTAATTCCATAAACATTGTCACGTGTCAGTCTAAAGCTCTCACATGCATCCCTGAAAAACTTGCTCTTGCAAATTTCGCTCACCTCAGGGACAAAGTCAATCACTGCAGACAAAAACCCGTTCTTGTCCACCGCGCGTTCACCCTGGGCAATTACAAGCATTTGGATGAGGTTGTTTGACTCAGGTCCCCATGATTTGAGGTACTCGACAACATTGGCAACAGCTTGCACCGGCAAAACGAGCGATTTCTTCTGAACCGCGTCTCTTGCCAAACGCATTACATTTGAACGGTGATCAAGCATAATCATCTTGTCGACAAGGCTGCTAATCACAGCACCATAATATTCTCCATTTACACCGCGCAGAATGCTTCCAATGCCTTCAACATCCGACACGCTTGCGTCAAAGTCCGCACGGGAAACCGCCAAAGTCCAGAACCGCAACGCGAGATTGAACTTCTGCTCATCCGCACATCTCTCCGCAAGATGGACGAGACAGTGCACATCAACATCTGGTAACCAGTCAATTGAATCGAACTTTGCCACCGCTTCGCGAGCAAGACCCAGTTCAACATCAGCCAACGCAACCACAAACGAGCTCAGCATTGGCGAAACTGTCTGAGAAAGTTGTGATTCTGTAGCTTTTGAGGCTTTGATGACCTTGTCCATGAAGGCTGTTGCCAGTGCGGGGTCCCGCGTAGAAGTTACCAAACCCTGTACAAATGCAGCGTACACTTCTGGCTTGGCCCGTCTAACCTCAGCATTTTCAGAACATGAATGCGTGTATTCTGCATAGAGGTCCTGCAACAGTGAAAATTCGTGCTGGCAAAGTCTCATCATCCCAACAAAATAAGCACCATCTTGAGAAGCCTTTCCAGTGCACATGCGGTGCACTTCACGTGCAGTCAGGCTTCCAGGACCGTAAGCATTCATGCAAAACACGAGATCGTTGTAGACTTCAGATTCAAATTCTTGCTCCTTGCGAATTGTAAGAAGCTCCGAAGCAACCTGGTAAAACTGGGCGCCATTTGCCGAGTCGTTCTCGGCAAAACTGCGTCTTGATCCCTTAAGGAGTGAAGAAATGACTGTGGAATATACTTGAGCATTTGGCTTTTTGCCAGACTGAAGCAGTGCTGAGTAAACCTCAAGTAACAAAGTCAGCTGTTCCTCGATAGTCTCGCGAGTTCCGGTGCGCTTCGCAATAGCGGCTAGAACATCAGCATAGACCTCCACTGGAAGATCCGCGCTCTCGTGGCTCGCTAGGTGTTGGTAAACCGCATACACCTCATTGAATTTCTGAGCTGCCATGTATTGCGTTATGGCATCTGTTTGCACACAGACGAAATCCTCAAAAGATTCCAAGGACGAAGGCGAAGAGTCCAGGGAAGGGGGTTGGTCACTTTTTTGCTGCTTGTCAAAAATCGGAGCTGCCTCCTGAGAAACTTGTATGGGTGAAGATTCTTGAAGCTTCTGTGCTTCTTCCAGTGGTTTCTGCACTTTCTGGAACTTTTGATTCTGAGGCTTCTCCACAGCGGCAGCAGCAGATTCCTTGTCTTCGGCTATCTGCTCCCTCTCGTAAATCGTGAAATCGTCTTTAACAACCCCCTGGTTGTAGCTCATAGTAGTAAAGGCCCTGCTGAACACGGCAGTATCGTCACGCCGCAGGTTCGAAAGGTAGTGTAAGCCTTTTGGCTGAAGTCCTGGCCGGCCGTTCACGAGCTTGCGGTTCGGCACACGATCGCGGCTCTGTTTAAACTGGTCAAAAGACAAGAATGAGGGATCATAGATAAACACGTAGTTGGTTACCACGGACGAGTGGGGCCGCGCAAAATGCTCCCAGTAATCGTGAGAAGCATAATCGTCCTCGTTCTCACGGGCAACGTTTTCTGCTATAGTCAAATCCCTGTGGGTAGCATAACTTGGTTTGAAAAAAGGATGAGGAGGACGAGATTCATCAGTCCATGACTGACGGCGGTGTGGATTTTTGATCGGTGTGAAAGGCGAAGCACTGCATTTGGTAGCCGTCTTAGACAAGCTCACCAAAGTTTTGAACACCATCTTTGAGCTATACGGACCTCCTAGTATATGGCTGTATATAAATAACAACCGGCACACTAACGGGCAACTCTAAATGCAACTCTAAGCCCAGATCAACACTGGAGGACTGTATAATACAAAAGAGCAAATGTTACAACAACTTGACAAGATATGCAACAGGAAGGCAAAGGAGGCTCAACTAGTCGTGTCCTGGCGATATCCCTCTCCCGATTATCCCCGGTCGCTTCCGAATTATACTGCACATTTCTAATTGGTGCTTGTATTTACCCTGGATCTCTGCGTAAACTTCCGCACGTCCCAAAACGGAAATCCCTAAACAAAAGTGTAAACACGTCGATTTGGAACAAGCCTTTGACTCCCTTGTTTATTCTCTTTCTCCAACTACGAAACTGATACAGCAATGAGAGAAGTTCTTAGTGTTAACGGTAAGTGACGATGTTTATAACGCGTCTACGTGTTTTTGCTGATAGTCTAGGTGCTTTTGACTCGTTTTATTAGCGCAATTATAATGGTTGTTTACTAACGCGTGACTACAGTTGGCCAAGCCGGTTGCCAGATCGGAAACGCATGTTGGGAGCTTTACTCGCTCGAACACGGGATCACTCCAGATGGCTATCTTCAAGAAGGTTTAACTCAGCCCAAGGGTGGTTCTGATGGATTCTCCACTTTCTTCTCAGAGACTGGTTCTGGAAAGTATGTTCCAAGAGCTTTGTATGTTGACCTTGAGCCAAACGTGATCGACGAGGTCAGAACTGGAACTTACCGCAATTTGTTTCACCCGGACCAGTTGATTTCCGGAAAGGAAGATGCTGCCAATAACTACGCCAGAGGACATTACACTGTCGGACGCGAACTGCTTGATGACATTCTCGAGCGTGTGCGCAAGATGGCTGACCAATGTGACGGACTCCAGGGATTCTTGTTTACCCACTCGCTCGGTGGAGGTACTGGTTCTGGTCTCGGAGCTTTGCTTCTGGAGCAATTCTCCAACGAATACGGGAAGAAGGCCAAGCTGGAGTTCGCTGTTTACCCAGCCCCACAGGTCGCCACCTCCGTAGTTGAGCCATACAACACCGTTCTGTCCACGCACATGACTTTGGAAAATGCAGACTGTACTTTCATGGTTGACAATGAGGCCATTTACGACATGTGCCGCAAGAACCTGGGAATCTCCAGACCAAGTCTTGGTAACCTCAACAACCTGATTGCGCAGGTGGTTTCCTCTGTTACAGCCTCGCTCAGATTTGACGGTTCACTCAACGTTGATCTGAACGAGTTCCAGACCAACCTGGTGCCATACCCAAGAATTCATTTCCCATTGGTTTCGTACGCTCCGGTGCTCTCCAAGTCTAGAAGCACGCACGAAGCCAATTCTGTCCAAGAGATCACAAACGCGTGTTTCGAACCTGGTAACCAGATGGTCAAGTGTGATCCTAAACAGGGTAAGTACATGGCCACCTGTTTGCTCTACCGTGGTGACGTTGTCAACCGTGATGTCCAGACCGCTGTGGCCCACGTCAAGACCAAGAAGTCTGTTCAGCTCGTCGACTGGTGCCCAACAGGATTCAAGATTGGTATCTGTTTCCAGAAGGCCACCCCAACTCCAGGCTCCGAGCTCGCCGATGTCGAGAGAAACGTGTGTATGCTCTCCAACACCACTGCGATTGCCTCCGCCTGGAACAAGATCGACGCCAAGTTCGATCTCATGTACAAGAAGAGAGCCTTCGTCCACTGGTATGTCTCGGAAGGTATGGAAGAGGGCGAGTTCGCCGAAGCCAGAGAGGATCTGGCCGCTTTGGAGAACGATTACATTGAGCTGGGAAGCGACAGTCTGGGTGACGACTACAAGGAGGAGTATTGAGTCCGGACTTGAATCTAGAGCCTTGTTTCTGGTGTTTCCTGTTTTTTTCTCGTTTATTTTCATCCAATAACTTTTGCCTTAATTCTTTTACCTTTGATGTGAGGGGTGCGGTGTGATGTGGGGGGTCGATAACTGGTATTCTATCATTGTTATCTGATATGATATTTGATAGCTGATCTCGGATTCGTCAAGTCCTATCTAGTCCCAGCTATCTCATATTCGGCTTTTTACCAGTTATCTCATCTCTCATCCCTCTTAATCCTTCTTTGTCTCTTCTCCTTTTTTATCCCGCTATATACCCCTTTTCAATTGACCGTGATTAATCATAGGCATGCCGTACAACAGAGGTTGGCGATACCTCTTCCCGATCGGGAGGGGCTTTTAGCTCACGCACGTAAACCTGCAACTGTTACTGCCCCCAAAACCAGCACACTGCTGTCTAAGGACACCACTCAATTGCACTCATCACCGATGTCGTTTAACCAGAAGTTCAATAGAGGTCAGGGTAGTGGTCCTTTAAAGATTCCGTCGTTTGTGCCAAAGTCTGCTCCGCAAGCGGCAGTGAGTACCGACAATGCCGAGGCCGCATACTCTTTAAGCAGTGCTAATGAGAGAGCCCAACTGTCTCCACCAAAAGAAGACTTTAATACCGCCAAACCAGCTCAAGAAGATATATCAGAATCACCTACAAGATCCTCTGTTCCCACACTAAGATCACTACTGGGGGAGAGCGAATCCGACGATAGGACGTTTGCGGCGCTATTTGAGACAAAGGAAGCACCTGTTGAAATATCAGCAACGGCTTATGATAACGAACCATTGCTTGACGAAGATGATGTAAGTAGCGAAGACGAAAGTTCAGCTGTTCCAGAGTCCAGTGAGATGAATGCTCGCGGTTCCGGCCAATCATACGAGGAGCCACTCGATGAGAAGAGAGGGGTGTTAATGAGCACTGAAGGTACTTCTGTTTCAATCACAACGGAGAATGCAGAGAATAACGAGTTGGATGGAGAGTCCAATGTGCAAGTCAATGAGGAGATTAAGGGGGTTATTGATACTCCAAAAGACAAGCCTGTTCCCGCTCTGACGGCTCAGACTTCCCAGGTTCAGGCTCATACCCAGGCGCAGTCACAGGCTCAGACCGGTAAACCACCTCCTTTCGACTTCCAAAAGTTCCTTAAGCAATTCAAAACGAAAGAGTGCGAGCCCCTACACAAATATCTCAAGTCTTTTCTATACCAATTTGGCCAGAAGAACTGGACCGTGGAAGACCAGGCCAAGCTCATCAGAGACTTTCAGCATTTTATCTTTGACAAATTGCTTACATATCCTCCGTTTTCTGAGATGACGAGCCAGGAGGAACTGGATAATTGCAAGGAAGGATTGGAGAAGCTGGTGACTTCTAGACTGTACAATTTGGTATTCCCACCTGCAGTACCTATCCGCAAACTCACGGATTCGCATCGTGAAGAGCTCACAAAGGACAGAGTGGTTGCACAGAACATGAGACTATATGGCTGGATAGAGCCAAGGCACTTAGACATTCCCATCCAGCTTTCGGCTGAGTCTTCGTTCTTCAAATTGGCATCCACGGAACTCATAAAGATCAACAATTACAGATCACCCAGGGATAAGACCATCTGCATCCTTAACTGTTGTAAGGTGATTTTCGGACTTATCAGACAACAGCAAAAACAGCACCATATTGAGGAGAATGCCGATTCGTTCGTTCCCCTTCTGATCTACGTGATTCTGCAGTCGATGCCCAGTCACCTTCCTTCAAACCTGTCGTATATCGAGAGATTTCGCAATGAAGAGTTTCTCGTTGGTGAGACCAGCTATTACGTCAGTTCTCTGCAAGTTGCCTGCAATTTCATAGCCACCGTGAACAAGAGTCTGTTAACCATCGAGGATTCAGAGTTCGATCCAAAGTTTGCCCAGGCCAAACTGGATCTGGAGAAGGAGAAGAAGGAACGCAGAGAAGCCAGAAGGAAACAGCATGAGAAGACTGTTTCGCCAATTCCAAAGAAAATTGCAGATTTGCTTGGAACGAGCACAGTTGCAGGCTCCAGTGGTGGAGAAGCTCCTTCCCAAGTGTTGAAAAACTCGGCTGAGATGCTTCAGCAATCACTTTCGAACCTGTTCTCAGCGTCACCTTCTCCGGAACCGTCGTCTCCTGCTGAACAGGACTTGATGAACGTGAAACAGCTGTCTATTGACGAGAACAGGGAGGCAGAGCGCCGCAGGGCAGAGCTCTCAGGTAACGTGGAGCTTCTACAGCAGATGTTCCCTGGACTGGATAAGGAGATTATAGAGGACATTATACAAGCCAAACAGGGAAATATTGGCGAGGCTGTTGATACGTGCTTGGAGTTGATGTGATCAGGCCCTGATTCCAATATCTGCAACTATACATAGATGATCGCTTGGATACTGGCCTTGCCTGGGCTGTCCAGATGGTTCTGGTCCCATTTCCTCGGGCGTGGGCAGATACAATAGCCCGTTCAACCTCAAGTTGTTTTCGGCCTCAAATTCGTCAACGGTCTCAACTGCAGTTTTTGGCTCTCCATTCCAGGGCTTTATCAACATGATATAATCAAGAAGACCCCTCCATGTGTGTGCCCAGTTGGAAAAGAAGGGTTCTCCTTTCTCGTTGTCTCTCCCAGCGTTCTCTGGATGGACATGTCTATATCCAACCGCATACAGCGATATGGCTCGGACGGGCAACGAGTTGTGCAGGTCTTCCATGTCCTTGACCAATTGGACTTGCTCCTCGGTAGCATCAAAATTCTCTGGAACAGGATCTTGTGGCTGACCTTCGCCGAACTTTTCGACATTTCCACCTTCCTCATCCTCTCCGTCTCCACCGGCTCTAAGCTGAGAGTACTGGAACGAAGTGCTGCAAGCAATCACCTTCTTGCATCTTCCGTCATATTTAACGGGCTTGGATGTTACTGACAGATATGGTGAGTCGAATGGCTGGGAATTCAGATCACCACAGAAAAATTTCAGCCAACTGGAGGTGTCTTCTCCTCTGAGACTTTTCACTCGATCTGCAAATTCCTGACATTTCTTCAGGGCCAAATACGTCTGTCTGGTTCTCTCATAAGTTCCGAATGGATGCCAGAACAGATGTGATGTTCCAATGAATAAACCCTTGGAAGTGAGTTGTGGATATTTCACGTAAACCTCTGGTGCAAATTTCAGAGCCACAATGAGGCCGACGTTCTGGGTAAACGTCCGACGCTGGACCTTTCCCGTATCTTCCAGATCGTATTCATAGAAGGTTGAGTCAACGGATTCAAAAAGCTTGGATTTCCAAAATATGGCAATTCCGTGGTTTTTAACGCCCTGTCTGTAGAACTTGTTGGCATACCCTAGTTTCTCGAGCTCTTTGCTCCAATAGGATTTGTACTGGATGTAGTCCATTTCCTGGAAACACATGATATCGCTATCGTAGTACGCAATCTCTGATAGAAGCACAGGTGCTCTGTTAATCCACTTCAAAATGGACCCATTGGTTGGGAAAAGCGAGCGGCGAATCAGCGATTGCGCAAGTAGATTGTAGGTCATGATCTTGAAGTTGAAGTACTGATCATCTCTGGGTGCCGAATGGATTGGCTTCAGATCACGTGTGATAAACGCAAGTTTCTGGGGTTCCTTGGCCTGGGCTTCCCTTTTCAGTCTTCTCTCCTCCTGTTTCTGCTTCCTCACTTCCTCTATCTCTTCTGGTGTGAGTTTGCGACGGGGAGCCTTCTTCTTTTTCAATTTGGGCACCTGCTCTTGTGGAGTGGCCTCAACGGCTTCTATTGACGAAGCGGGGGTCTCAGAGCATGTCATTGGTGGTGCGAATCTGATAGGTGAGGTAAAAGAGCTAAGAAAAGCTCTGTACTTCAGAGTAGACGCAAAGTGAAATAAAAATCAATATATACCCTGTGGTTTCGGGAGCCTGTCAAATTTTTTGATTTGGTGGCTAATGCGTTCTGTTCTTGTCTTCCAGGGTGAAAAATAAAAATTGATGAGCAAATAGCGTTCTTTCAAAGGTCTCCCATATTATGAAAATTCTTATTTGCTCCTAAATCTACATTTCTAGATGATTTTCACGTAAAGCATCTATACCTGTCAGAACGGGATACGGACAGGGTGTGTATGCCCACAGAGTCCACTCCATCATACAAGGCAACGTGGCCGAGTGGTTAAGGCGAAAGATTAGAAATCTTTTGGGTTTACCCGCGCAGGTTCGAGTCCTGCCGTTGTCGTTATCTTTTTTTTTGAATCTCATCTAGAGGATTACAAGATTGCTCTTTATTGCAAGAGAAGTTTTGGCTCTTACGAAATGCATCAAAATTAATTTTCTTTTTTTGTTCATTATGCAATGACGGGAGTCTCCACAGAAGCAAAAGTTTCAGTCTCTATGTCCATCGTCCCCCAACTTTCAGAGATACTCTCCGTTATACTCTCAACTGTCTTGACTATAGTTTTGGAGATTTCAGACGATATCAGAGTTTCAGGTTCAGCGGATGCGTCTACCGAGGACGCTTTTCCGTAAATAAATCGAAACATGCTGAAGGTCTTAAAAATAGTCCATAGCAACAGCATGACTGGTCTCTTCAACAGTCTTCTCCACACAACCCATGCCACGCAAGCACCGAAAAAAGAAATCGCCATATATATCTCTCTCCTCTCCTTGCTACTGGACTTGTTGATTTCTTTGACCAGTCCATTAGTCTTTGCTAGTATGTCGTTGAAGAACTCATACTGGGATCCCAAATGTTGGACGTTTCGAGTAGATGCCTCTAATTCTTCCACATTGAGCTCGGATCTCATGACAGTTGCCTCCATCATCTGTCTCGACTTCTGTAGGGAGGCCGTGATGCTCATGTTCTTATCAAGTAACTTATCGCCAAAGGTTGCATTAGCAATACTATCCTTCTTCCCACTAGTTTTGAACAAATCTTCTTTGCCATTCTCATCTCCGGCCGGATTTTGATAATTGTTGCTGAAAAATTTCTCTCTCTGATTTCGTATCACCTCCTCTTCTCTTTCCACAGAAACCAACTGGGCCTTTCTGAGGTCTACTCGCAGGTCACCGATCCTCTCAGTGAGCGTGTCGTATTGTACGATGTAATCAAGTCTCTTCTCGAACTCTCTTGAGCCACTTTCCAATTTGAATTTCACCACGTCTAGCAGCTCCTGGCTTTCCCGAAATAGCTTCAGAGCTTGTTCGACATACTCGGTTCTTATTGCAGAGAACGACTCTTCTTGTATGTTCTCAAAGACATGGTCGCTTTTGAGCTGTCGTATTATATTTTGGATTTTTGACGTGGCCTTGTAAACATCTTCCAGGTTTGATTCCAGAGGCTGATCCATTAGTGACTGTAGCAATGAATGGTAAAGGTGCAATGCATTGAGTTTGGTAGAGTGTACAAACATTTAGGGTGTTTGAATATCATATGGTGTGTATTTATTAAGTTCACGCCGCATTTTCAAAGTGGCATTTTTCAAGTGGATTCGGTGGAACGATAGTTCATGAACTTATAAGTAGTTTTATTGAAAAATATACTGGAGATTGTTGTGTTTAACAGTAGGCCCCCCAACGGGTCAAATGTGGTTCACATTAGTAAACCTTTCCTTACCAATTATTTTGGGTACTTTTTTGAAAAATGTACAGTATCCTGAAAAATAGCAGATCTAACCATGTTCACTTTTTACAGTTTATATAACGTTTTCGATAACATTTTATTAAGTACAATTGCTCGACATGTTATCCTTTAGACGTCATCTCTAAAGTGTCTGCCAGAACTCATAATTTTGCACGATTCAGGTATTATCCCTCAGTCTTGCCAACGTCTCAAATAGATCCGTTGAACCACCACCATTTCTCGGAGGTTGTTGAGGCGGCACGCTCTGGTTCTGGTTCTGGTATTGGTTTTGATACTGGTTCTGATATTGGTTTGGAATTGCGTTTGGTGCTTGGTTTGGAATACCAGTAGGAGCCTGGCTGGGAAACTGTTGCGGATATCCCTGGAAATTCTCAGGCCGTGGCTGAGGTGGATAGCCCTGTGGAGGCTGTCCGTAGCCAAGTTGCTGCAATTGGGCTGGTTGTTGTTGAGCAATACTCAAAACGGTTTGAAGAGTATTGGGGTCCAAGCCTTGAAGAGCCTGTACAAGTTGCTGGGCTTGAACTGGAGCGGCCGGGTACTGGGAACCGTAGGGCTGGGCATTATAAGGAGGGTATTGCTGGGGCTGAGAGTAAGAGGGTTGAGAGTGAACTCTTCTTGGGTTCACTGGAATCTGATTTGCTCCAGAAGTGGCAGCAGGAGCGCGGTTCCGGTTTTGATTTTCGCGGTATCCGTTTCGTGAATAACCTTCCCGGTCCTGCCCTTTGGGCCTCTTTGGACCCAATTTCCTCTTGAGTTCTTCAATGATCCCCATGGCTTCGTCTATCGAGATCCCAGAGTACTCGTCAAACTTTATGGATCCCTCTGGGGTCTTCTGGTAAGTGACCAGATCTAGACAACTGTTCTTGGTGACTATTGTCAAGGTCTTGCCGTCGTAAGCAGCCTCCGTGACATGGTCAGGATCAAGCATATCTGAATGATTTCCAGTCATCTCTTTCTCAAAGGCAATACCACTCTTGACGAGATTTAGCTCTAAGGCCGTGTTGTACTTTGGCCTCGAATCAGCTGTCAAAAACACCTTTGCCTCGATACCAGAGTCGTTGCGTCTGGATCTTTTGTTAGAGTTCGATGTCTGATTCAGACCATCATTACTGTCGCCCTTTATGTTTTTGCGTGTCGCAGTGGACACCTCTGGAGTCACCGGGGAACCCATCAGTGGAACGTTCATCTCTGCCTTTAATGCCAATGCAGCCTCCTCAGCGTTTGAAAATTGCACGAAGCCATATCCTGTTTTCAAAGAGAGTCTGATAACAGTTCCATAAGGATGGAATACACGGAACAATAACTCATCGTTTAACCTTGAAGTGGCCAGTTTGCCCAGGTACAGCCTGGAATTCTCGGGGAATTCCTCGTCTCTCATCTTGGCAACTTTAGCCAGGTTGCTCTGGTACTTTGCATACGCAACTTCCTCATCGTAGCTCATCTTCTGATCCAGATCGGGTCGTAAACACAGTGGATTAACAGGAACAAGCGGTATTTGACTGGAATTTGGTTTGTTGAACGAGGTGGTTGCGTCGAAGTTGATATGAACGTTGACGTTCGAACCTTTTGAGGTGTTGTATCTTTCAAGCAGCTTGGCCTCTTTCTGACGAGGGAGCAGACTCAAAATTGTGAGATCAGAAAACATCTGCTCGGTGAGATAGAATCCGACAATCTCGTTGAACCATTCGACATACGTCCTTCCTTCAAGGGTACCTGCTGACTGTGACGAGAATGCTACACCGGCCGGATATGGGGTGGAAGAAGCCTCTTCAAATCCTGGAGGTTCGTACTCCTCATCAGAGCTCTGAGAGGGGGATTCGGTGGGATGAGTGGCTGCTACTTCAGGCACATCTGGAAGGGACTCTGGACGAGATTCTGGCAGAGACTCGGATATTTCCGGTGGAACCTCCGACTGACTTCCAGATAAAGTTTCAGCATCTGAGAGAGAGTCTGCAGTTGGTTCTGTTGGAGGGACTTCGGGAATGGGCTCGGATACAGCTTCCGATTTGCCTTGAGCAGAATCTGGTACAGCTTCTGGAAGCGACTGTGCGGGTGACCCTGCCTGGCTTGCTGGTTGACCTTCTGGCAAAGATTCCGGTTGCTCTTCTAGTAACGATTCGGATTGGTCAGCTGGGATTGGCTGAGCTGGTGGGACTTTCGACTGGTCGGATTCGGATTCTGCTTCAGCACCAACGCTTTCTGATGAGGGGTTAGATTGGGATTGTTCTGACGAGAAAGTCTGCAAACCATCTTGAGCAAGTGACTCAGATTCGGATATTGACTGTGGCTGCAGCTTTGATTGCTCAGGTAGAGACTCTAGTTGAGAGGGTGACTTCGGTTCTTGTTCAGACTCTTTGTCTTGTTCAGGTTCTGTTTGAGATGGGAGTTCGGGTTTAAGCTCGCTGGGACTAACGGAGACTTCCTCAGATTTGGTGATCGGTGGAGGCAAAATGGAGCCACCACCGGTCAAACTGTTTTCAGACATGATTAGAAGACTGGTTGGGACAGTTGGTATGATGCTGGCGGATGATTACCTGGGAAGGCGTCTTCGAAGAAGATGAGGGAAAATTAAGACGTGCAACAACAAAATTAGCATGCGGCTCAAAACCCTTGGGCTCGAAACTCTGAAATTACTTTACCTAATATGTGATCAGTAAAGATATACTTAACATGGAAAAAGTTTTATAGGAATTGAATATATTTAGAACAGTTTCTCACTTCACTTTGTCCGGGGTTTTCACATCTTGTGCGCTTCTATCGAACCTATAACCCAATGTGTAGGTGTGTAAACCGTTAGTGAGCCGCACGAACTCAATATTTCACTCCGCATATTAAGCACCCTATATCTCCGTTATCTTCATTGCGTCCTTTATCATTACACTATATTACAGTCTATTACAGTCCGGATGCCTAAGAAATTCTATCTGTTCCCTTCATTCTTCCTGTTCCCTTTTCCATCTTCGCGCTCCTCGCGCCGAATTGGATGGCTCTCTTGGGCTCATTCACCACCCAGTCTAGCTCCAAACGGGCAGCCAGCAGACGAAGAACCAGCTTTCTGGTGATCTCACCGGTGTCTTCGTTGAAGTTAAGTTTAAGGTCAAGGGAAACGTGGTCACATGCTAATGATATCACGCCGGTATCAAGGAATGGGAATCTCACTTCCTTGGACCAGCAAGACATCACCTTGTCATCTCTCGTCAAATTACGACGGTAGATGTTATCCAGTTCTCCCTGGAGCTCTTCTCTAAGATCTTTTTTCAAACTCTGCAGCTCAGTCTGTGAAACCTCGGGTTCAGTATCCTGTTTAAGAGCTTTCTTCGTCCTTTGGCTGACTCCAGTGTATATCCTTTCGTGTCTGGTATACCCTCCAAACAGCTCATCAGCTCCCAGTCCACTTATAAGTACCTTGCAATCACTACAATATGGTTCTCTTGACTCACCAACTACCCTTTTGCCTTTTCCTCTTGCGGCAAAGTATAGGGCAATGGCAATCGACAGATCCATCTCTGTGTTGTTTGGGTATATCAGATTGACAACTTTTTCCTTATGGGCAAGATATTCTTCGTAGGAAACGTCTTCTTCCACAAAATTAAAAGTGGTAGCAGGATACCTTCTCTGAAGCTCAGACCACCCTTTCAGTGCAAGTAGTCTATCAGGTGTAGAGCCAGGTTCGACACCCGTTCTTGGGTTGAAAAACGAAACATTCAGAAGGTCAATCTGCGTGCCTGGAGGGCAAGTTTCTGCAATAATGGCAGCAATTAAAGTGCAGTCAATTCCACCACTATAGAGAATGGCAAATGCAGAATTGGTTTCATCGAGGGCAAAGATGGTCTCGATTCTCTTTTTGATCGCATGAGATAGTTTCTTGTGAACGGCTTTCACCACATCATCAGACAACATGTCAGGAACATCCTCTTTCACTAGGAACGGTTTTGGGATCTCTGGGTGGTCAGTGTGGGCAAGTACTTCCAGATGGGCTGATTGTCTATCCCATACATACACCTTTGCATTGACACATTCTTCAAAGTTCGAGCGACACTGACAGGTTGGATGCACGCTTGACACATAAAGCTCACCATTGGCCTTCACGGAATATGCGAGGGCTTTTTTACCCAGGATATCCTTTCCAAAGTACACCTTTTGTTCCAGTTTGTCCAGGATGCAATAGGCAAACTCTCCTTCGAGCTTCTCCACAACTTTGAAGACATCCCCAAGCCTCTCCAGAGACTCAAATATATACTCTGTATCGTTATAATGCTCGCCATCGTGGTCCAATTCATCGTTGTACAGCTCGCCGTTGAACTGTACGATCCACCTCGAGAATTCCTCAGTACGAGGTTGTGGGGTAAACGGCGCCCTCAACGAAAGAACGGAAGAAAACATTTCAAAACCGCCTCCCTGTGAGAACGCTTCGCTTTTGAAAGAGCAATAATTAGAGCCACGAGCCACGATCTTTGGAACCAAATCATCAAATACATGGTCTTCGTTCGTGCAGGAACTTTTTCCCTCTATATCTCGCTCCATAGCTGCCGCAATGTCCATGCCACCACGAGGCAAATTGGTGCCACTGGGAACAACATGACATAGTATTCCGCACATCTGTACCTTCTCCAATTTGGACACTCAGAGCTTGTCAGGCTCAGAAATGTCATTTTTGGGATTTTGAGATTGGTGTTATGAGCCTAGACCAGAAAAATCGGCCAGTACACTCTTTTTGGATTAGATATCCCGAGAGATACCAAAAGGCCGATTATACTTAGCAGAACAACACTGCTACCGTTGTGATTATTCTCATACAAACTTCGAATTCTGGTATTTAATAGACCGCTTATTGACGATGGCAGGAAGCTCTAGAAAGAAGCTCCTTTTGATGGTGAGTTTCGGCGTTTTGGCTCAGGCCCCTATAACGCTGCACATTACTAACTGATATCTATTCAGGGCCGCAGTGGTTCAGGTAAATCCTCAATGAGGTCCATTATATTCTCAAATTACTCTGCATTTGATACGAGAAGACTGGGTGCTACAATCGACGTTGAGCACTCCAATCTGAGGTTCTTGAATAACATGACCTTGAACTTGTGGGATTGCGGTGGACAAGACATCTTTATGGAGAACTTTCTGAACAATTCTTCGAACGCGTCGTCTGCGAATAACATTTTCACCAAGTGCGAGGTGCTAATTCATGTCTTTGATGTTGAAAGCAAAGAAGTTTCCAAAGACATTGAGATCTTTCAGAGGGTACTCAAGAACTTGCACCAGTTTTCGCCAGAGGTTAAAGTGTTCATTCTTGTTCACAAAATGGATTTGATTCAAGTGAATAAGCGTCAGGAACTTTTTGACATCATGATGTCGAAACTACAGGAGATTGCCAATGAATACAGCTTCAAGCTGACAGGTTTCGCCACGAGTATTTGGGATGAGAGTCTGTATAAGGCTTGGTCGTCTATTGTTTGCAGTCTCATTCCAAACATCTCGCTATACGAACAGCATCTTTTGAAGTTCAACGATGTTCTCAACGCCAAGGAGATAATTTTGTTTGAGAAGACTACGTTTCTCGTGATATCGTCTACAAACAGACTCATAAGCATGAACCGCGAGGATCTGGATCCAAAAAGATTCGAGAAAATTTCCAACATCATTAAAACCTACAAACAGAGCGTGAACAAGATCAGAACCAATTTTACAAACCTTCTGGTGAACGGTCTGAATTCGTCGATATACCTGGATGTGTTGACGAGTAACATCTACATCATGATCATCATGGACCACAGTAAAGACTTTGACCAGGACCTGGGCGTTCGGATCGATGACCAGAATCTGATTCTGGAGAATGTGAAGGTGGCAAGAAAGCTGTTCGAGAGAATTGAAGCTTCTGGGAGGTGATAGGTGAGGCTGTAAATCACTCTAACGGCCCTGGCCAGCCATATCTCATACCGCTAAACGAGTAAACGAGTGGTGATCCTGGGTGAGCCATTCAACTACTTCACCACTGCCCCGCAAAACTACATAATTTAATTTTTAGAGTACTCTCGATCGTGATATCTGTTTCTAAGAGTTAAAACCATTTTTTTCCAAATTTTTTCTACCAAAATGCATCCACTATAGCCGATTTTTTAACCAGAACGGAATGGTAGTGTGCCCCACCAAGTAGGCTAGTTAACCTCGCCATTTTTCGAGATCAATCCAATCGCTTGTTATCCGGCACAGCTACAACACGCTATATCGCTAGCTTTTCAATGGGTAAAGTCACACAGTTGCTATCACATCCCAGCGAGCTGGTTGCTGCAGTTCAATTGTGAGTGTCGAAAATAAGGACCACGCGTGATGTGGTTGAAGGTCTACAGGCTGCTCTTTCTTGTTCTGCCTTGTCCTGTTCGACCAGTTATCCGATTTCCTCGTCTTGTTTTCCTTTTCTAGCTTCACTGACTAACATCTTTCCAGCAAATATATCAGAAAACCGCTTTTCCAGAGGGATGAGGCCTCTGAGACTGCAAATGAGAAGCGCTGCTACGAGCTGCTGAAACTGACGTCGCGTTCGTTCGTGGCTGTCATCTTGGAACTGAACCCCGAGCTTCGCCAGGTAATTACGGTGTTTTACCTCGTTTTAAGAGCTCTTGACACCGTGGAAGATGACATGACGCTTTCTCCCGAGGTAAAGATCCCATTGTTGCGCGAATTCGACTCTAAGCTCAACACTAAGGACTGGACTTTCACAGGCAGCGGCCCCAACGAGAAGGACCGTGAAGTGCTTGTTGATTTCGATGAGATCCTCACCCAGTATCATTTGCTCAAGCCAGTTTACCAAGACGTTATCAAGGACATCACCCACAAGATGGGAAACGGAATGGCCGACTACATCGTCGATGAACAATTTAACCTTAACGGACTGGAGACGATCAAGGACTACGATCTCTACTGTCATTACGTTGCTGGTTTGGTTGGTGAAGGCTTAACTAAGCTTACCACTGCAGCTGGTTTCAGTGACAAAAAGCTTTTGGATAAGATGGAATTGAGCGAGTCCATGGGGCTGTTCCTGCAGAAGACCAATATCATAAGAGATTACAAGGAGGACCTCGATGATGGAAGATCCTTCTGGCCCAAGGAAGTGTGGTCACGTTATAGGCCTGCTCTTTCGGATTTTGAGAAGCCCGAGTATCTGGAGGACGGATTGCATTGTATTTCCGACCTGGTTCTCAATGCTTTGGAGCACGTCAAGGACTGTCTGTTGTACCTTTCCCTGGTATATGACCGTTCCTCCTACAACTTCTGCGTGATCCCACAGGTAATGGCAATCGCTACTTTGCACGAGGTTTTCAACAACCCCGAAGTGTTCAAGACCAATGTCAAGATCAGAAAAGGAACCACCGTCAAGCTAATTTTGGACTCCAGGACCTTTGAGGGAACCTGTAAGATCTTTTCTGACTATGTGCGTAAGATCCACCACAAGTGCCCTGTTTCCGATCCAAACTACCTCAAGATTGGAATGAAGTGTGGTGAGATTGAGCAGTTCATCGAAGAGCTATTCCCCGAAAAGAACCTGCCATCTGGCGTCAAACCTCAGCAAACCGAAGCGTACACCAGTGCCCTCTACCGTCGCAGTCTCGACAAGGACGTTCATTCCGAGATCGCCGCGGAGGCAGCTAAAGTGCGCTTTGTGCTGGGATTGATCACGGCCACTCTGGCATACGGGTTGTATTCTGTCTTTTTCTAATGTCACGGGTCAACATTGATCTGATTACGGCACTTATATGTTTTAAATTTAATTTTATTGTTGTATAAACAACCAACGAAAATAAATTCAAGCAGAGAAAACTAAGAATGTGAGTAATGAGTAGAAGTACTAAGCAGAAGTAGCCTCCGGCTCAACATTCGTAGCGTCCGCTTTGGCAGCATTTGCTCTCAAATCTGCTCGATCTCTTCTGCTATCAATGACCTGCCTAACTGAATCGCAAATGGTTTTTTCAAATGAGATTAGAGTAGCATCCGCAAGCTCCAGAGTCTTGGAGTTATCGAAGTTCATTACTGTCGTTTTCAAAACATCTTCTCCAGCCTTTGAGTCGCCTTTGGGAACTTGACTTTGCAGCTCAGGAAAGTTTCTTCTGATCACATCGAGAATTGTCTGGAGACAGAACTTGCTCTGGGCCATGAAGAGTCTGGAATTGGCAAATTTTTCAGGGTCCTCCAGAGGAAGTACATGAAACAGAGCAACGTCTCTTACGTCAACTGCCAGCCCGGAAGGGCTGTCAAATGGACCATTGGAAGAGGGATCCAAATTGAGAGCCTGGTTAATCAATTGAGATGCTGCGTTCAGAGACTTGTCTGCTTGGGCTTCCTGGAACAGTTGAGGTCCAAGAACATAGGTAGGATTGACAGTTGAGAGTGTAAATTTAACATCCTCCTTTCTCACAAATTCTCTTGCAGCCCTTTCTGCCAGGGTCTTTGCTGCACAATATGCACTCGTCTGATTGGTCTTTGCCTCATCCCAGTCCATGTCGTTCCAGGTTTCTTCCGTGTGGACGAAACCCGAGTCCTGAATCTTGTCAGTGAGCATAATGGCAGCCAGAGAAGACGTAAAAACCACGTGTCTCACGCTTTTTCCCCACTTCTTAATCGACGCAAACATGTTTACGGTACTATTAACTGCAGGCTTCAAGAAAACTGATTCTGCATCCTCTCCAACCCCAAAGGCTATGCTGGTGGTGTGTATCACATACTCGATCTCGGGATGGCCTCTGAGAGCATCTTCGAACGCAAAATTGGCAGCAATATTGGGTACAATCTCGAAGGTGAGCTTGGCTCCCGGATGGATCTGCTCGAATTTGGCGTGCAGGGCAACAGCCTCTTCCGTGGTCCGCACGGTAGCGATTACAGTGTAACCTTTCTTGAGAAGTATGTCCACAATGTGGAGAGCTATGAAGCCACTAGCTCCCGACACCAATACTGTAGCCATGTTGAGAAGTGGTCAAAAACTGAAAATTACAGTTTTGGAATACAAAGAATAGGTGGCTCCGATCAGTATGGCAGCGACGGATACCGGCAGGTTTATATAGCCTTTGCTGAAAAGTTTCCCCACACTTTCCCAACACCCTCTCTTTTTAGAAGGAAGAGGTGATAGGCGATGAGGGGTGCAATTTACGGAATGGAAAAAAATGTTTGATGAGAGTGCAGAAGTAGAAGGTAATAAGAGACTCCATATTTCTTCCAAAGTGAGTCTAGCCTAGTGTTTGGTACTCCCGATGGACCAGTCCGAGGAAGCCTAAGACGCAGAGTATCAGCACCCCAGACGGTAGCGGCTAATGGGGTCATGCGGGCTTTGAAACTGGAATCAGGTGGATGAAAGAAGCTGGAAAAGGAGCCACTCCGAGGCATTCAAGTATATCAGGACATTATTAATGAATTCAGGATATTGATCTGAATTTTTGCTGCATTTGGTGAAACAATTCCTTTGATGGAGATAGTTTTTTCAATAGCCTAACTCTCCTTATACTAGGCGTGGTTGAGCTATCAACCACCGCCACATTTGCATAAACGAATTAAAATACCGGTCTTGAGGCCCTCAAATCTAACAGAATATATCATTACCACGTATACATTTTACACCCTCTATGTGTTGTTAACTTGCACATCATGCTACGTTGACAAGCCCTGCCGATTCACCCTGCAGATACGCCTGCGGCTCTAATGCTCCCTCTACACCGGTTGCTCGAGAGAAGCCGAGTGTTTTTCCATCCACCTGAGTCTCGATTTCTCGCCTCGGAATGCCACAAAAATAACACATAGTAGACCTGCAATCACCACAAAGGCAGTGATCGTGGAGTTCCATCCGACTCCTATGGCATTTATAGCGGGCAGCGCGCTCGCAGTGCCTACTGCAGTGCCGAGATATCTGACAAAGTAGTTGGAGCTGATGCTCCGAGAACCCATTGGTGGATAAGACTCAATCACATATGCATTAGTACTGGTGATGGCCATTGTCTGAGAAAATCCGTTCAAAAACATGGCGACTATCGGGAGTGCCATTCCGCCCTTTTCTTTCTGCAGACTCCAACCATAGATCAGGATGGTGGGTGGTACTGCTGCAAACGGGACTATCGCTGCCTTGAGTCTGTCTTCAAACATAACCTTTCCATTTCGCTTGGTCTTCTGCCTTATTAGAATGTAGTCAGACCATTTTCCCGAGAAGAACGTAGCAGTGAGATAGCCCATTCCTGGGGCTAGATAAAAGAGCGAGCCATACACCGGAGACGTCAGATTAAATCTCGGGTCAACGACATAACGAATAGGGGTTAATAAGTTGAACATATTGTACATCAAGGCCACCGATGAGTAGCCGATCAGAGCTAAATTTGATATTCTCAGAGCCACTATTACCCGGAAAGGATTGACCACGACAAGCTTAAACCTCTTTCCAGACTCCCTCTGCCACTCGTGAAAAGCAAGGTTATATCCGGTCTCTTTGAAGAAAATAAAGAATGCAATTGCTACCAGGCATGAGAGACCTGTCTGTACCCAAAAAATGACTCGCCAATGGGACCAGGTGATGATGATTCCACCAAGCACCGGGGCCAAGCCTGGTCCAGTCAACACCCCAGTGAGACACCAACTTAAAGCCCGACCCCTCCGTTCAACGGGATATATATCAGGCATACAAGCACCTGCCAGCGAGACAAAACAGGTACCAAAAAACCCCATTCCTATCCGGAAAACCCAGAACATGGCCAGGTTCTGCGAAACTGCAACCAGCAAAGAGCACACCGCTACTAGCACGCTGTTGATGAAGAATATGGGCTTTTTGCCGTAAAAATCGATATACGGCGAAAAGAAGCACGGAGCAATTGCCATTGCAACACAGAACACCGCGTTAGAGGAGTTGATCATGGTTCCTGTGGTATGGAATTCTTCGGCTATGCTCTGGACTGCTGGTAAAAACGCTGTTGAGGCCATAGGGCCTTGAAAAGCTGCGATCGCCAGAAGTAACACAAATACGCGTTTTTGAGACTCAGTAAACCGTGCGTACTTGACTTGGTTTATCTGAGCATCGCTCAGCTCTATGATAGCCTCGGTTATGTTTTTTTCATCTTCCTGTGGTAGCACCATCTTTGCATACTCTATGGAGCACAGAGTGTGGGAAGTAGTGAGCACTGAGCTAGACCCCTCAATTACGACTACACACGATTTAGCATACCAGAAGTACAAGATCCTCGAGAGTTGGCGCGGGATTTAATGGAGAATGAGCTTTTCGGCTGATCGAGAACCCCTCACGGCTATATGAATGCAATGTTCCGTCTTATACGCAAGATATTCCCAATCGGGGCAGAGATGACTGAGGTGGTGTGCACGGACAGTTTTCAGATTGAGGGTAATTGTGGGGATGAGTTTCGAGGAATATGGGCGAATGACAGTAAATCAAGGTGAATCAAGGTGTGAACAAACGAAAATCAAGATGAATGGTGCTATAATATTTTTATAATGGAAGCTGGATCGCCCAATTCATGGTTGCTTGGGTGGGCAGGTAGTGGAGTCGCCGCAACAGAGGCATCTCAAAGAAGCATCTTGCACACTTGCACACTTGCAATTGAAGCTTAGTGCTTGAGAGGGTTGAGCTTCAAATAGGGGAAGAGATTCAAAAGACTGGAAATTGAGCTTGGATGATAATAGCTCTTCACTTTCAGGACACTCGTGGTGCCGCGCAGTCTCAAACATTCAAACATCCAGTCTCCCCTCAATATTGCCCCAAAACTCCTCCACAAACACCTTCTGCTCCTCAGCAGGGGCTCCTCTCACAAACAAAAATACTCTATTCTCAACGTCAACCTCCTTCCAGTTGTTCTTGTTACCATCAACAACGATTCCTCCCGTCTCATGACTGATGACCCATGCTGCACACACGTCCCAGGACCAGCAGTTTGCCCAATACGCGTCCATCTGGCCCATAGCGACATAGCAAAGGTTCATCGCTGCGGAACCGAAACACCGGAAACCGTGGATGAATGAGCCAGTGTCTTTGGCCAATAATCGCTTGAAGGTGGCAAATTTGACGTCGAAGTTGTTGCCGTGTCTGTCGGTACCACCTTCAAGTGCAACAAGCGAGGACTGGATCTTGAGCGATCTCTTCGTTTGCATGGGCAATTTGATTCCGTTAAGGAACGCACCATGCCCAGAAATTGCACTGAACATCTGGTTCAAGTGTGGGTTGTAGACAACTCCGATCACGGGCTTTCTACCCACCATGAACCCCAGAGAGGTGCACGAAAAAGGGAAACTATGGATGAAATTGGTGGTACCATCTATTGGGTCAACCACGAATGTTGGTTCTTCAGTTATCTTGGAAACTCCAGGAACAAACGATTCCTCTCCAAAGAACTTGAATTGCGGAAACGCAGTCAGCAGTCGCGAACGGATAAAATCCTCTACGGCCTTGTCAACCTCAGTAACAAGATCAACAGCTGGTTGGGTTAGCAACGGAAAACTTGCAAAATTATGGCGATCACGTACAGTTTTTCTTGTCGTCAAAAATCGCGGTTCCATTTCTTTGTCTGATAAGCTCTCCAGCCTCCAAAGCAGTGGATACTAGCACATCTCTAATTTTCTCAAGATCCAGGTCCTTTTGCATCTGAATTGCAGTATTAGATGTTAGCTTGGGAAGAACAGAAGAGAGGAAAAGGAGAAAAAGGAAAGGGCTGGCAACTCACTTGGAACAAGACAATTTTATTGAGCAGGCAACGTGCGTTATCTGTACTGTCATTTGAGCAACGGTCAAGACCTGTTATTGATAGATTCGTCTATTAAGGCTGGCAAGGCAACCGTATCGATTGAACATTATGCATTATAACAATATACTGAAATTGTTTCTGTTTTTGCCAGATCTGACCTCCTTCTTGGATCTGTAGATATTCGGTCCCTTGGCGTTTTTGTCAAATTCCCACAGCCAATACACCACCTTGGTGGCCTCATGATATTTCAGCTGCTTGAAGCCAAGCGATGACATCATCGACAGCAAGAGAGAGTTATCCAGATAACGCGAGTTTGTGATACACGGAAGCGGCAACACCATGAAAAGCAGCTTTGGGGACTCGGGATTCGATTCAGTGAAAAATAGTCGTATTCTACGCAGCATGTCTCCCCTTTGGATAGGAGTAGGCACAAAATTCAGCACCAGAGAGCACGAGACGAGATCGTACCTATCTTCTTCCTTTGGCACCGCAAATTCCATGAAATCGCACTCGATGATCTCCTCTGGCTCCTGCGAATGGAGATCGACTCTGGTGACGGTTTGAAACAATCCGCACGTACTGATGACATTTTTGGAGCTCAGACTGCCAATCTCAAGAGCTCTGTAGGTACCCTTTGACATTAAATTCAACTCTTTCAACCATTCGATCAGTTTTCTGGAAGAATCGCCACCTCTTGATACCTGCTGACCCAATGTTGATGCCAATTGGTACAATTCCAAACCACCTTGCGATTCCATCTGTCTGTGCACCTTGCCTAGTTCTCCTACCAGCACCGATTTGGCATCTATGTTTGACAATTTGTCCTGATTTTCAAAAACAGACTTCATATGACTGTCACTTCGTATTATTTCCATGTAATTCTCCTCATTGATCCCGTGGAAATGTTGAGTCAGGTCGTTGATGAGTTTGGATCTGTTCTTCCGTAGCGTGTGGAAGCTCCTTATCACCTTTCTCGCCTTCTCCGGCTTGATGTTTCGCACTTTAACATTCTGATTCTTGGATTTCTCCGTGATCCCAGTGACTCGTTTTCTATTCAATAATCCCATTGAAACAGGGTGTATATCGAGGGAATACTCCGTAGACCATTCCAGTACATGTGAAAATAAAATTTAGTATTATCGGGTTTACACACACACGACTAACAAATTTCTTTTCATGCGAAGAGCTGAAACTTTTTTTTGAGATCAACTTTAACACTAGAACCTCAGAACTATTACGCTAGCAATGGGTGTTGGAAGTAGCATAAAACAGAAGTTTCTGAACAAGAAGAAACAACTGACTCCTTCGCAAAAAAAGGGGAAAAAGCAGGAGAAGCCCAAGGCAAAGAAGGCTACCCGCCGTGAGATAAGAAATGCTGATAACTTGGGATGGAAGAAGGTGAATATTCCTGACACTTTGGATGACTTCGAAGGTTTCTACGGATTGGAGGAGATTGATGGTGTTGGTGTGAAGATTGTGAATGGTCAGGTGCACTTTGAGGTGAACGAGGACAAGTCAGAGGAAATATCAGAGGAACGTGAAGAAGGTGCGGAAGAGGACGAAGAAGAACAACAAGATAACAAGACAAAAGAGACCAAATCACAGCCGAAGAAGAAAAAGAGTCTTGAGAAGACAAATAATGAGAAAAAGGAGAAAACTACTGACAAAAAGGGAGGTGACGTAAAAGAGGAAGCGGATTTGGAACAAGGTACCTTCAACGCTCTAGACGACATAGAGGATCTAGATCAGGATGACGTTGACATGCCCGAATGGAATGATCTCGAGCTTTCGCTACCTACGTTGAGATCTCTACAGAACTTGGGATTCACCACGCCAACTCCCATTCAAAAAGAGACAATCCCAGTCGCCATGCGTGGCCAGGATGTCATTGGTAAGGCCATCACCGGTTCGGGTAAGACGTTAGCCTATGCCCTACCAATTCTTGAGAAGATTGTCTCACAGAAGCAGACAGTAACGACCACCAAGAGCAAGCATATTGCTCCACCCACGGCAATTGTTTTTGCGCCTACTAGAGAACTGGCCAAACAGGTGTACGATCACATACAGAAGCTGCTCAGCGGTTCGTCTTCGTTAGACCCCAAGGCTGTGGTGTCCATTACAGGAGGATTATCCATTTTGAAACAGGAGAGACTGCTGCGTTATGGGCCTCAGATTCTGATTGTTACTCCTGGTCGTTTCTTCGAGCTACTGGAGAAGAATGAAGAGATAGCAAAAAGGGTCAGTCGTGCCAAAATCTTTGTTTTTGACGAAGCAGACAGGTTGCTTCAAGACGGCCACTTTGAAGAGGTTGAGAAGACGATCAAGACTCTGTCGAATGTGAGACCCAAAGAGATGGGCAAATGGCAGAGTCTGGTGTTCTCGGCCACATTTTCGAAGGAACTGTTCGGAAAGCTCGACAACCAGAACAAAAAGCCCAACAAGTCTGAAGAAGATAAGGAAACCATTCTGCTATTGGCCAAGAAGCTCAAGTTCAAAGATCAGGGTAATGCTAGACTGATTGACGTGAACCCCATGGAGACCGTGAGTTCAAGAGTTACCGAAGCCATGATTCCATGTGGACCTACAGAGAGAGACTTGTATCTCTATTACTTCCTACTGTTATATCCCGGATCCACCTTGGTATTCGCTAACAGTATTGAGTCCGTCAAGAGATTGGCCCCATTTTTGAACAACCTGAACATCCCAACGTTCTCGATCCATTCTTCAATGATCCAAAAGCAGAGACTTCGCTCTTTGGAACGGTTCAAGGAAGCTGCATCCAAAGCCAATGGGTCAACAGTGTTGATCGCATCTGATGTGGCTGCCAGAGGTCTGGATATTCCCGGAGTGACCCATGTGGTCCATTACCATTTGCCTAGAACAGCAGACGTGTATGTCCACAGATCCGGAAGAACGGCTCGTGCAGGCAAAGAAGGTGTCTCTTTGGTGCTATGTACGCCCCAGGAAGCCAGTGGTTCCATGAAGACCCTTTTGAGGGTCACCAAGCACAAAAAGACCGAGCTGAAGATGCTTCCCGTGGAGAATGACATTCTGAGACAGCTGAAACCAAGAGCCACCATTGCCACAGAACTTGCCGAGTCTGAGATCTCCACCATGGGATTAAACAAGGAGAAGAGCTGGATGTCCCAGGCTGCTGAAGAGTTGGGAATCGAGGACTTTTCAGACATGGAGGAGGACGACCATGTCAAGAAGCAGAGAAAGAAGAGGGAGTGGAAGAAGCTTGAAAGACCAGACTTCAAGAGCAAGCGTGCGGAGCTAAGGCAGTTGCTCGCGGTGCCAGTGAGGAAGGAAGGAAGAAGAAGTTACGTCTCCAGCGGATTGGTTAATCTGGCGGACATGGTTGTACGCGGCAAGACGCATAAGGATATCCTAGGGTTTACGGACCAGGATGCTTTGCACACGTTGACTACGAGCAAGAAGCAGAGAAGAAGCTAGAGGAGAAGCTAGAAGAGAAGCTAGAAGAGAATCTAGAGGGGAAAGAGGTGTCACCATCCACCAGCAGTCATACGTTACGGTCAATAATGTAGATCACAAATTTTAAGACGACGAAACCAACAAAATACATTTTCTAGACATTAATCGCTATCGTAATACTCATCATCAGAATCAGAGGTCAACTGCTCAAAGTTCAAGTTATATCTCAACAGAGCACCAACACCACCGAAACCTTTCACGAACTGAGCACCTTCAGACGACCTGTCTGTGACAAATTCCAGAGTGGCACCGTACTTTTTGTAATTTTCAGCTAACCATTCCAAGAAGGTGATCTCCTCAACGACCTCCATCTCCTGACCGGTGGCCGAGTCAATCATCCATTCCTTGGTGGCAGCTGGAGAAGCATGGACAATCTTCTCGTTACCTTCGGAGTCCTTCAAGGTGTATCTGACAATGTCCAAGTTCTCGTAGACAATGAGGGTATCACAAGCACCGTTCTCGAGGGCCTTGAGAGTATCGTCGATACCGTAACAGAACTTACCAGTATCCTGGGAAATTTCGTCGAAATATTGGGTGATCAGCTTCTTCTCCTGGATGAACTTGACGTTGGCAAGAGCCTCTGCCGAAAGCTCAATGGCCTGGTTGAAACCGTTCTCACCACCGTAAGAGATATCCACAATCTTGACGATCTTGGCTTGCAATCTGATGTCAAACATGTCAGATGTCGATAGCTCGGTTTTGAAGTCGGCAGAACCAGCCAGAATCATACCGGTCACGTTCACCTTATCGTTGGTGATGAAAAACTGGACTGCCAGTTCACCCACCTTCCTGACGTAATTGTGTCTCTTTTCGTCTCTCAAACGCGAGAAACGCAGTGCAGATTGACCACCTCTTCCGTGCTTCTTTGGAAGATCAACGGCGTACTTGTACAGGACCTCTCTGGTGTTACCGGACAGGGTGCCCAACAGAACACCATGACCGTCCATGACGATAAATCCGAACTTGTCGTCAGCCTCCAGAAGAGCAGAAAGCGGCTCTGTGTGGAATCTGTTATCACACCAGTACAGCGACGTGTTAATGGCCTTGAAAGGCTCGAAATCGATGTTGAGCTTCTTCTCCTTGCCTTCCTCCGTTATGACATCACCACAGTAGATCACCAGTCCGTTAGGTGGAACTTTGCTGTACAGTTTCAACTTCTGCTGAGTCGAAGTGATTGCCGAGAGGACCGAGAGACGGTTGACACGCGATTTGATATTGGAGGCAGTTCCGTATTCATCTGTCAACATCTTTTGCGTGATTGGGATCTGACCCTTTGGAGGCATGATCAGGGAGATCATCGAGGTACCGTTACCTCTGGCCTTCTCGAGGTTTTTGATCAGTTTCTTGATCTTCCACATCTCGATACTTTTTTCGGGATCGGCATCTTGAGCTGCTGGCGCCATGACTGATATGTAGGTTTGAAATGTAGTAGGCGTCTGCTTGCCTTGTGGTGTGGGATATGCGTGAGAGCTCTTCTATTAAGAAGTGTGCGAATTTCCGATTTCTGCTATTAAAAATGCAGAACTAGTGATCTCGATGTCAATGAGCGCCACTAACAATCAATATCAACTAATAATCTCAAACGCTTACAACTGGACTTGGATGTGGTGTCGGAGCAATTTTTTCGGACGTGAATGAAAAAAATTCGTGAATGAGGATGAGCGGGGCACGACCTAAAGATACACGCCCTCCAGCTCCGCAATTCGGGGGCCTATAAGAAAGGGTTTTTCGGATTTAGGCAAGAAAAGCACTTTAGAATCAAATCAGATTGTTTTATCTCAGCTATTCGACGCGCAATTGCCAAATTTCAAGCCGTTTTCGGTGCCGCAGAGCACTCAATCGTTGATTCTGCCAATATTCTGCCGTGTCAACAATCATCCAGCCGGAGTGACTAAGAACGACTCATAGAATGAGATCTATAATGCTTTGAGCTGCTAGAGCCAATCCAAACTCTCCAACAGATGAGTGATTCCGGCCCAGCTAAACCTGAGAGTGCCTCTGGTACCTCTGGTGCTACTCCAGTGGTACCAGTTGTGCCAGACGCCGCTAACTCAACTACACCAGAGCCTACAACAGAACCTAGTGCAGGCAACAAGACACTCACTAATAAAGAACTGAAGGAGTTGAAAAAACAGGAAAAGGCAGCCAAAAGAGCTGCCGCCAAAGCCGTTGCCGGTGGTGGAACTGCTGAAGTTGCCACCAGACAAGAAGCTGCAGCTGCCTTGAAAGCAGCTGCTGGAAAGGCCAAAACTTCTTCGAACATCAAAAAACAGATGGATCAGGCAAAAATCGTCAAGGAGGATAAGAAAAAAATCCCTGCATTATTTGGTCATCTTGATACGAGAGAACAGAGGAATAGCTCTTCGCCATATGTTGCTAGTGTTGTGCATCCTTCCATACTATCGTTGTCTCTCAAGTTTTCCACATACAGAATAGTTGGATCTACACCTAGATGTGTTGCCATGCTGGAGGCTTTTAAGGACGTCATTTCTTCGTACACGACACCTGATGGAACTTCTCTTTCTAGAAATCTCACGTCGCATTTGTCGCACCAGATTGAGTATCTCAAGACATCGAGGCCGCTTTCTGTGTCCATGGGTAACTCTATTAGATGGCTGAAACAAGAGATCTCGTTGATTTCGATCGACACCTCTGACGAGGTTGCAAAAAACAGTCTCATAGAGAAGATCGACCAGTTCATCTCCGAAAAAATTGTGTATTCGGATCGTGTTATCGTTCAAAGTGCATCCAACCATATCAAGAATGGAGACACGGTTCTGACGTATGGTCACTCCGAGGTGCTGAAAAAACTGTTCATTTATTGTGCTGAAGAAGAAAACAAGGACTTCACCGTTGTGTGTGTTGACTCTAAGCCGTTATTTGAAGGAAAAAGGCTTGCCAAGGAGCTTTGCAACCGCGGATTGAAATGCCAATATGGATTAATTAGTGGACTGACCACGGTGATGAAAGACGTGGATACCGTCTTTTTGGGTGCACACGCGATGCTTTCAAACGGAAGACTTTATTCCAGAGTGGGTACTGCGTTGATAGCAATGAGTGCCAAAAGGAGGAACATCCCAGTGCTGGTCTGCTGCGAGTCTCTGAAGTTCAGCGACAAAGTACAGCTCGACAGTGTGACGTTGAACGAGCTTGGAGATTCAGAAGACATGTTGGGGATCTCAGGTAGCGCTTTGACTAGAAAGGGATTTGCACTGCAGCAGTTCATATCGCAGAAAAAGCAGGAGCAGGCCAGCACAACCACTGCTTCTCAAAAGAAGAACTCAGGCAATACCACCACCACCACCACCACTAGCACTCTGACTATCAACGAACTCAAGGACCCCGTTCTGTCCAATTGGAAAGATATCCCCAAGTTGAATATCCTAAACATCATGTACGATCTGACCCAGCCTGAGTGTATCAAGAAGATCATCACTGAGCTGGGAGCTCTGCCGCCATCTTCGGTGCCTGTCATTCTGAGAGAGTATAAGTCTACTGTGTAACGGGAGAGTTATTCTGTTGAGATATAGATATGTGCTTAAGTTATATCACAGACATAATTAAAGATGATAAACTGTCTGGCGTCCAATATGTAAGCATAACTACCGGGCAATACTAGAGACATGATGACTCTAGCATAAGACTACTGGGAGGTATGAGAGACTGCGACTCAGCTATGGTATTCAAAAAAAGCGGATGAGGCTTAACACAGACCCGAAACTTCACAACAAGCTCTAAGAAACTGTAAAAGAACAGTTGTAGGCGTTGGATCAACAATTGCACTACAGCTGCATTGTCTGTTTCCTTGTTGAATGCCAGCTTCAATCCCTAGACTCAACCGCTCAGTTAGCATCAACCATAGGATCGCTGTCATTTTCGGTTGACTGCTGAGATTTGACCCTCTTTGCGTAATCTTCGAGCTCTTTCCATTTCAACTTCCTCATCTCCGACCGCTGGTTCTCTTCCTCCACTTGCTGCTCATACGCCATTGCACATCTGCTATAGAAAACCGGGTTTGCATCCATAAAAACTTTGAGAGCATTGCATGCCAAAGAGACAATGGTTCTATTCCAACTCATTGTTGAGTTCTCTCCGTTGAAAGAAAAACCGTCAATATCGCTCATGTCACCTCTCTCCATCATCTCCATCTCTGGAGCACTCAATTTATACAGAGAAGCGAATATGATTGGCAGGATCACTTCGGCGTTTTCCGTCACCAGGTTCAGAAAAAATTCGTTGTTCCAGAAACAGAGCACTTTCTCGGATACCTGGAAGTGCAGCGAGGAGATGCACTTAGACAGTTGTGCAAAGAGAGGAACTTCGATTTTGACAAACTCATTCGCATCAATCATCTCTATGATATCCTCTATCTCGTTCAGGAACATAACCTCCTTAGGGGAATTGAATTTGGGCCAGAACCGCAATAGTCCCATGATCACTTCTTCCGTTAAGGAAGGATCCTTCTCCAGAAATTGCACCACACAGTAAGCCAGTTGAGGGTGATATAACGATAGACATCTTGGCTTGTGCATTGGGATCAAAACCTTCACGAGAAACACTTTGTGCTCTTCCTTCAAAGGTAGGGCGAATCCGTTGATAATCGCACCCAGAATTTCAAGCAATTCAGCGATTCCGTTGAAACGTTCGGTGTCATACACGAACTGCAGGAAAAGATGACTTATCGATTTTCTGATGAAAGATCTTAAGCTGAGAAACTTTCCGTAGATCCGGTGAAGGGTGGTCTTCAGTTGGTCTCTTTCTCTGGGGTCCTCACTGTCAAGAAGCTCCAAAATCGTCAGCACAAACTTGTGATCAATGAACTGTTTGGCGTTTGCGTGATTGAAGTCAGCACTCTCGATGAACTTCAAAAACAGTTCGTACACACGTTGCATATGCGGCCAAGCAAGCTCGTAGACAGGCTCGTCTTCATCTGGGTCGTAGATATCACCAACCGGGTTGACAGGAGGAGGTATCGGCCTAAATATATTCGTTTTGAACATGTTCACCATGTGCGAGTATATCTCTTCTGTGTATGTGAACCTGTGGGAAGAGATGAATTCAAACAGCTCATCCAGCGTCGTTTTCTTTAATGTCTTGCCCTGAATATCTGAGGATGGATCGTAAAAGTCAAACATGATATTGCACTGGTCAATCTTCTGCACGAAGAGCGAGATCTGGTGCTGCTCATCCACTTCCGAGAGTAAAGGAAGAGTCTCGAACTTGGCGTGGTTCGAGTTTGGCTCGAATCGGGAGGAGCTGTGTCTTTTTGGAGTCTTCAGCAGATCAACGTCGCCCTCCAGCTTGTTAGGGGTCGGTAATCTTTCAAAAGAATGAGAGTTTCTGGGGATGTCAACTGGCGAAGCACTCAACTGCGAAGTATCGTGCTGCTGCGAAAAGCCATTGGAGGCCGTTGTAGCCGAGTTTGGAGGTGGTGTAGTTGCCAGGATCGGAATTGGCTGTTGGACCTGGCTCTTTTCGATGTCCGATGTGGATGATTTTTTGGAACTTTGACTTGATAGACTGGAAGAAGATGAATTAGCCTTCAAATTCGACTGTGATCTTGGTGTTTGCAATTTGGAGTTATCTGAGGTGTTTGGAGAGCTCCCGGGGGACTTCTTCTTGTCAGCGGATTTTGAATCTTTGTCCTTTTTCTTACTTTGAGAGCCCGATGAAGACCCGGAAGAAGAGGAGGACTGCGACTTAGAGCCCTTGAACCTCTGTTTGAAACCTTTCATCATCTTTGAAGATGGATATGCGGAACAATGGTCAGATGGACTAGTATCAGCGGCCAATCAAGCACTAAAAAAAGCGATCAAACCAATCAGAGCAAAGCTGGAATCACGCTTAACACGAGTGTGAACGGACAGTGTCGGAGCAGCGCTGGGTATATCGAAATCTCCGGTCGTGGAAGCTCTGTGTCGAGAAGGGGCGCGAATACTGTTAGCTCTATGGAAAAGTACTGGCTCCTCGAGTAGTGTAAATCAACAATTCCGGCGAACTGAGACTGATAAGACGATGTGATTGGTGTTTTCGGGATGGAAAAATGAAGCCTGCGGCGAATTGGCGTTGCCGTTTGACGTGATCGAGAAGTCCCGTACAGGGCAAACAACAAGACAGGCTGTCAAGGGAGTGGGAGACTCAATGTTAAACCAATCACGTGACTGCTCTGAAAACGACGGGTCAACAAGCTGAATTGTGTTATGCACACATATGTCATATTCACAAGTGTCACATTTGCCGTTTCTTGCACCACACGACGGCGGCCGTTGTGGATCGGTATTCCGTACTTGATCCCCGCAAGAAATTCGGGCCAAGTCCGGTCAGCATAATTGGTCTGGCAGATACACGGCAGAAAGATGTAGTCTCAGCGGGCTGACATTGGCAGCTTGCGACGCCATCCGGCAGATTGACGCTCCTCGCTTATGAAACCGCCCGGCGAAAACTCGGAGTGCGGAGGTTACACAATAGAGGGGAAACAATCAAGAGAACGGAGATTTTCCACCTTAATTCATTACCTCAAATGCTATCTTTCTATCTGACTTGGCGTGAGCTCCCCTGCTTCTAAAATTTCGGGCGTACTTCCGGGGAATATTGCAGCCGTGTGCACGGCCTAAAAGTGGGCACCCCGCAGATTGTGGGGTAGGCGTCTGACCTGCAAGAGCTAGAAGTGTCTTTTTACACCCCCTCACGTCCCACTCTATCCGTTAGTTATTGAGGTAGTTGGCCGTGTAGTAGAATGTAGGGAGCTCTCGGAACGGCTATTTGTTCACCAGAAGAACCCTATTTGAAAAGAGAAGAAACTGCTTTTCGGACTCACCACTCGAGGTGTATATCTGGCCAAAAAAAACATCATTGAGAAGAGAGCGAGCAACCTTTCCCCAGCACCGCAAAAGCATCCCGATGGATAAATGATTGGCCGAGCCCCTCCAAAGGACACCCCCGCAATACTAATGACAGGCACCAGTAAGAACGTTTCGGAGAGTATTCCCGCGAGGTTTTCCCGCTCGACCATCAAGAATGACGCACCGAAATGCCTCAAATTGTAACAAATCCGGTTGAGGCCCATGCATTTATTAGCTAAGAATATCTTTGGACCACGAGATGCGAAATATCTGGGGAATCTAATGCATCTTCCGGGTCAAAGATAACTAACTGAGGCCAAGAGGCTGCGTAGCCTAGAAATTCTATTGGTAGATGTGACATGAATCATGCATCCGAATCCAGTACATCCTTCCGCGGCCTAGATGTAACTAGTCTGAGATCCATAATATTGCGAGCAATGGTCATTAGAATCGTCTTCCCCACACTTCAAGGAAACAAGCTTTTTCCACGCTGTATAAAACCAATCTGGTTTTCTCGTAGACTTGAAGATGCATAATTTCTCCGAGATGCCAATAGATAAGACAATACTAAGCGTACATTAGTCCTTCTACATATATCTTCATGGGCTTTTTCGACTCGCGCTATTTTTTGCGCGGAAAAGGGCTCAGGCTCTCGGTCACCTTCTGCTCATGTACTGGTTTCCTTTTGCTTGGTTATGACCAGGGTGTGATGGGTTCCATCATTGGTGCTGATAATAGGTTTGGCCAGGACTTCAACCACCCCGATGCCACGAGACAGGGTTTAATCACTTCGGTCTACGACTTGGGATGTGTTCTCGGGTCGATTATTTCTTTCTTCATTGGTGAGGCCATGGGAAGGCGGAAGATGATGCTTTTTGGTGCTTCCATCATGATTGTGGGAACCATATTGCTTGGTTCGTCTTACTCTCTCGGACAGCTCTACGTGGGTAGAATTGTCACAGGACTCGGAAATGGATTTAATTCTTCGACTATTCCAGTTTATCAATCAGAGTGTGCTCTTGCGGCCTATCGTGGTGTTTTGCTCACATGGCAGGCCGTGGTGACCATTCTTGGTGTCGTGATTGCGTATTGGATCGGCTTTGGAACCTCTTTCACAGACAGCTCTGTCCAATGGAGATTTCCAATTTCGTTCCAGGCACTGTTCGCTATTTCTCTTGTAATTGAGTGTTTTTTCCTCCCAGAAACTCCTCGTTGGTTGATCCAACAGGGCCGTTCTGAGGAGGCAGCTCAAGTGCTGGCCGACTTGTTGGGTGGTGATACTACTCCAGACTCTGACGAGGTGGTCCGCGAGCGTATTGAGATCGAAACCGCTGTGGAGCTTGAATCTCGTGGAGGTCCATTCAGAATTAAGGAGCTTTTCGAAGGAGGTCCAATCCAGAATTTCAGACGTATGCTTCTGAGTATCGGTATCAACATTATGCAACAGTTCACGGGATCGAATATGATCAACTACTATGCGCCAATCGTTTACCAGGAAACAATGGGTATGGACAGAATCACCAGTTTGATCATGGCAGGATGTACTGAGATCGTTTATCTGATTGGTTCTCTGATTCCCTTGTGGTGCGTGGAAAAGTTTGGTAGAAGAAACCTGCTTATCGCTTCGTCTGCTGGACTTTCATTCTGCTTCATCATGGTGTCCATCCTACTCTCAATTGGTACTGAAAGGTGTGCAATTGGAGCCTCTGTATTTGTGTATCTTTACCAGTTGTTCATGGGTATTGGCTGGTTGCCAGTTCCATGGTACTACCCTGCTGAGCTGAACACCACCAGACTGAGATCCAGAGTCCAAGCCATTGGCTCGGCCTTTAACTGGATGTCTGTGTTTGCTGTGGTTCAAATCACTCCTATCGCCATTCAGAATATTGGCTGGAAGACTTTCATCATCTTTGCCATTCTGTGTGCTGTCTGGATTATCGTGATATTCTGTCTCTACCCTGAGACCTCAGGTCTTGAGCTCGAAGATATCGACCACATCTTTGAGAGACCAGGTCTCACCAGAGGTGTCTTTACCACTCGTGGTAAGACAGTCGAGAAGCATGCTCACGCCAGGGCTATGCACTTGCTCGAGGACGAAAAGGCCTCGGTTGAAGAGATGGAAAATGGCGACGGCGACGCCTGATCTCCACACGGTTGTGTTGCTATATTCTTTTTACTGCAGTAAGAGGCTCAATTGGTATGAATTTTCTGGGAAAGACCAATTCAGGGTCCAAGGTTTTGAGTATTTGAACGATTAGATTATGTGAAATATTCTTTTTCTAGGCAATACTGTCTTTGACTAATTGCAGACGATATTCTATGTCTTTTCAGCTACTTCACGTAATGTATTTACATTTCGATGTAGTTCTATGCCATAATATTTTTTCTTGTCAAAATTTGATTTTATGGGTTTAAGTATAATTGTTCGTTTTGGTTTGAGTCTATGTCTTGGCGTATATATTTCCGATTTAATGCAATTGTATGCAATCGCACGCCTCCACATGCGAGTTCATATGTATGTTCATGCGTGTGTTCATGTCCATGTCTATGACTTGTAAAGTCTACGTCCTGAATGGCCCCACAAGCCTATCATCAACCACCTTATGTTTTACAGGCATTGTGCAACCCTCAGTGATATTCTCCTGAGTTAAATCAACATCCTCCATAAAACCATGGAAAAAACGGCAAACGGGGTCTGCATACCATCTCTGGCCGTTCGGCTTGAAATAGCCCAGGTGACCGCCATGGGTCGTAGTCAGCATCAGAGTGTATGGGTTGACAGCCACTTCATGATAGGGAAGGCACTCATGACCCACTATGGGATCATCCAGAGCGTTTAGAATCAGGCAAGGGGTCCTTATGGCCATGATTCGGTTAAATGAACTACCGAGACGATAGTACTCCATGGCAGTGTTGAACCCGAACATGGGGCCCGTGAACTGGTTGTCAAACTCTATGAGAGTCTTCACCTTATCGATATTGGAATGATATCTCTTTGCGAATGCTTCATCTTCCAAAAGCATCTTTTCGTGTTTCTTGAGGAGACTCACCAGGGATTGCGTCATTGCTGGAGAGTACGCCTTGGATCCGAGTATCGTTCTATTAATACAGTAGGCCGACCCAGCCAAGTCCCACGGATCCGCCATGATGCACACAGCCTTGAAATCGCAATTATCAGACTCTTGGCCAACATAGTTTGCCAGAATGGAAGCTCCAAGAGAAAATCCGATTCCAAAAAACGGTCTATGAGGAAACAGCTTCCTGAGATACTTCATGGTGAACCTCACATCGTCAGTCCAGAACCCGTTAAACAGCTGAGGAGTCGTGATCTGAGACAAAGCACATCCTCTGGCATTCAGAACAACCGCCTCAAATCCATATTTGGCATCTGTGATTTGGGACACAACCGCTCTTATATATCCCTCGTAGCTTCCACCACTAAGTCCATGCAATAGCACCAACAGCGGTCGAGTATCTTGCGAGGCAAGCCCGTCCAGTTCTGACTTAACAAAAAATCTCGTTCTAGGTGGTAAGACCGCACTTTGACCCTTTGGAACATCATCTTGACTGGTTTCATATTCACTATATCTCCTTTCGGAGATACAGAAATCAAGACATCCTGCTCCACCATTCGGATATGTCATCACGTCTCTTCCATAGTAGACTTGGTCAACCGAGTCAAAGTTACCTATACCAGCATATATGGTCTGGAGATCACCTGAGAACAGCAACGGGTTCAAAATAGCAGAGGCTTTGTTTTCGAACTCAGGGACGTGCTTGGATATGATCTCTTTCATAGATGTGGCTGGCCCAGACTTGGAGGGCAACCGGACGGGCCTCTCGGGACCGTAGTGAGTGACTTCGGAGACAAATCCAAAACCGAAGGGCATAGCAAATATGAGGGCTCTGGCCTCTATACTGGCGGCTTGAGTCTAACTCGAAATTCCACTTGAATCCTAGGCTCAATAAGAACGATTTAGTGATACGTGTGCGAAACTCAATTAATAATGCATTACCCGGCTCATCACCTTGTTTTTCTCGGAGGCGGGCATTGCCAACAGGGGCAGACCGTAGCGGGAGTCATACGCGAGCCAAGGTTGAAGCACCATCAAGGCTATTAGAAGAAAGCTAGTTATTGCATAGTGACAACATGTTCACTCGTACCCCTGCGAGACTAATACGGAGTTCTGCGGCGAGCTCGGTGCGTTTTCAGTCATCATCCTCATCGACCTTGAAGATCAAGAAACAGGTCATTCTCCAAGACCAACAGAAGCAGCTTAAGTCCACCAAAACTTCCAAAGCTTCCAGCAAAGACGTCGCCAAAACGAGATCTAATGAGTCGGCGAAAGGGTTATCGGAAAGACCAAAAAAGGGGTTTAGCTCGTTGCCTAAGGTTCCTTCCACACTAAGATTGAGCCCCAAGAACTTGTTGCTGGACAATCTCTTTTCAGGATACAGGCCCTTGACATCGCCAATAAAGCCTCTGTCGAAACTAAACAAATCACCAAAGACTTACTTGTATTTGGAGCTAGACTCGGCCGATTATCTAGACGAGCAAGTGCAAAAAGAGCCAGAGGAGAGAAACCATTCGAGATATCAGTACTCTAATTACAGCTTTGCGAAGCCAGAGATCATCAAGAGTCCAGTGACGGCGAGTTCGACGTCTGGTCAGAAGGGATCTAAGAGATTCACTGAAAGAGAGGGAAAAAGAGGAAGGAAGAGACTGGCGACACCAGCCAACGACAAGAAGCGTTCATGAAATGTTTGCTGAAAAGAATAGCATAACTGCATTCGTTCCCGCTTTTCATGCTGCTTTTGATGCCAATTTCCCCAATCCATATCCCTTTTTCAGACCATGGTCTGATATGCTACGATTCGTTATGACCCCTACATCTCGTTTTTTCATGTGATTTCAAGATACACTCATTCACCCGTTATCCATTGTCTACCTTGAGCAATTCAACCTGTATATACAATTATCAACTATCGCTCTAATCGTTCCAGAAACAGTAGACTCTGAGACTAATATGGCAATCGAGCTCCAGTTCGAAGTTTGTCCCTTTCCACGACCTGGGGTTATCTCATCTCTTAAGAGTTTAGTTCTAGCATTTTACCCTCCAGCTGTTCAAACGCCAAAGTGGATCACATCTCAGCAACATGACCTCGCATGATTACATCCAGCCAGTAAGAAGAATACTCACAGAAGAAGACCTCACGAGGTGGCAGTCCTCTGAAAGCTACAACGGACTGGTGGCGTTCATCGTCAGATTGGCAGACTCTGTGAAAGGCAAAGAGCTGGGGACCGAGTGTGAGCTGACGCCATCGGTGAAGGATATATTAAAAGTACTTGATTCGATACAGACGATAATAGGACGTCATCCAGTGGTTACGGATAAGGATATATCCCGGTTTGGAAAGGTTGAGTTTCGGGACTTCTACGATGAGGTTTCCAGCAGTGCTGACAAGTTGATCTCACTAATAGACAAGACATCTGAGCTTCCAGGAGTCTCAAAAGAACTAAAAGTATACCTGGTGGAATCGTGGGGAAACAGAACGAGAATAGATTATGGGTCTGGCCATGAACTAAATTTTATGTGTTTCCTGTACTGCCTGTATAAGGTAGGCATACTGGATCTGGAGTCGGACTCTGAGGCGCTGGTATTAGTTGTTTTCAAAAAATATCTGGACAACATGCGAATCTTGCAGACAAAATACTGGCTGGAGCCTGCGGGATCCCACGGGGTGTGGGGCTTGGACGATTACCATTTCCTGCCGTTTTTGTTTGGAGCGGCCCAATTGGCTCCCATGGAGAGAATGAGGCCCTCCTCTATTCACATCCCCGATTACGTGGATATGTTCAAGGACAAGTTTTTCTATTTTGCCTGTATCGACTTTATCAACCAGACAAAGACCGGAGCGCAAAGTTTGCGGTGGCATTCTCCGATGCTGGATGACATTTCAGGTGTCAAGAAATGGAGCAAGGTGGCAGAGGGTATGATCAAGATGTACAAAGCTGAGGTGCTGGGTAAACTACCGATCATCCAGCATGTCTTTTTTGGAAGCATCATAGCTGCCCCAGAAGGCGTTTCTGCTACCAGGGATCTGAGTGGTATCGATGAAGAACATGGTCATATCCACATAGACCACGATCCAGACTCGAACCTTCACCTAAACACTTTTGGTGATTGTTGTGGTATCAAGGTGCCCAGTGCGGTGGCAGCCAGTGCAATGGAGAAGAAACATTTCCGGCCCGTTCCTTTTGACTAAGACGGTTGTCGGAGAATTTCAGCTGAAACTACAGGCGCAAAGTACATATTAAGAAAACGTCAAATTGAAACTCCCTATACCCCAATATCATAAATTCAATATACAATTGACCTCTCGCTTTACCAACCAAAACGTAGCTGAGATGCTGTGAACACAGGAGGCCTCCAAACAAGTTTCGATGGGTCCAGAAGATGTCTCTTCTTCTTGGTCAATTTCTCGTAAGACTCCATCACCTGATCAGTAAGACAGATGATATGCTGGCCCTTGTAGTATTTCAACATGTTCAAAGTCTGGAGAGTGTGCAGAATGTCTGTTGTAGTCATGGAGGTTTGCGAAGAGATCTCGTCAATGCTCATCTCTGCAGTTGAAGATTCCGCTAGCAACGACACTATCGTATCTGCCCAATAAGCTCTATACGAAAGTAAACCCAGATCCGACAGAGGCTTCTCAGGTGAGCCAGTCTTGCCCTCAACTTTCGACAACTCGTATGAGAACTGGATCAACAGTTTACCATAACCGTGCCTCTGGTACTGAGGAAGAGTCAAAATACATGCAACGTTATATGCATCTGCACTCTCTTTCTCCTTGGAAAAATAGCCCACCAAATGGTGTCCGAGTTCATCTCTCCTGGTCATACAATAGAATAGGAACGGATCAACGTCGTAGTAAAGAGTCTTGTGGTCCAGAAAAAGTTTGGACAAAAGACACAGGTTTCGACACCACGTTCTCTGCTTCCTGCCGTCAATCTCGAAAAACGACACATAGTCGTCTCTGTAGATTTCGTTTCCGGGAGGATGTTTCAAGGTACACTTTGATCTGAACCTCTCAAACTGCTTGCGCGAACCAAAATAGCTCATAGTGAAATCACAAATGTAGAGCTCCTCCTCATCTGTAAGCTCCACTGGATATGGCGAAAAGTACCATGGTTCAACCTCGTGGTTTCCGATAATAATCTTTGAGAAATTCCTCACCTTGGAGACCTCACTGTGGGATGTTTGCGCCATAGAACCTCCAGTTCTCAGTTTTTCAATCTCATCTGCTCTACTCAGTTCCTCACCTTCTTTCCTGAGACCTTGTACATCCAGGTTGTCCAGATCCATGACATCACCGGTTGCAGGCGTGTCCTCCTTGGAAGTCACTTCCGACTTTGAAGTGTCTCTCTTAGATTTTTTGCCCACTTTATTCTTAGCAGACTTATTCTTGTCTTTGTCCTTCTTCGAAGATGGTGGTTTGGGCATCTGCAAGGGCCTTCTGTAGTCAACCCTGTCTTTTTCGATCCACTCATCCAAACGCTTGTTGAACTCTTGATAATGGACATAAAACACCAGTCTGCCCTTTCTCATGTGGACAGAGAGAATTTCCGCTAGCCTAAACTCGCCATCCTTGGACACATAACACTTGCACCCGACTTTGATGTCTTCGCTCTCGAAAAGATCTGAGTCGGCCTGTTCAGGGACAGCCTCTCTGATTGCGGGCTCCGAAGGAGTTCCTTCTGTGTCTCCGAAATCCTCGCTCACCATGTGCTTGTAGGATCCGATGGATTGGTTTGCAAGAATAGACAAGCAAGATCCAGAGGGTAGCCGTTCTGAGCTTCACCAGCTGGGAATTTTGGAAAAATATTGAGTCAAGCACACTACCACCCAATCGGGATACCATATCGAAAGCACAGAAAAGTCTCACTTTTGATGCTAATAAAGTTTACATTAATATACAATTGCGCATTAGAATGTTGCGGAAGGAGGCGTCCAGGGGATTCCAGGGTGACTTTCGGGAGTCGCGTTCGGATCTTCACGCCACACTTTGATGCTCTTATCGGCCTCTCCAGTGATCAGTCTCAGGCCAGATCTGTCAAAAGCGCTTGCAAATATTCCGTTTTCAGATTCGATGGAACCCGGAAGTTTAGTGGTGGTCAGCTCTTGGAACTTGTGACCAGACTTCCAGTCCCAGAATGCCATTGTTCCGTTGTCTGCACCGCTAAACATCACGTTTGATCTGTTCACAGAAAGCGTGTTTATGATAGCGTTGTGTCTTGGGGAAAAGTCACGCACATACTCTCCTTCGGGGAGCGTCCAGAACTTCACGGCATCAGAAGAAGCAGTCGCAAAGGTGTTGTCTGTGTCATGTAGCGTTAGTCCCCTAACAGCTTTTCTGTGGTGAGTTAACGTCTTCAATGTCTTACCAGCAGCCATGTCAAACAGCCTCACCGTACTGTCCATAGAAGTGGAGATTATATGGGGCTTATCTTCACGAACGCGAACATTCATGACAGAGGCCTTATGTCCAGTCAGAACATGAATCTGGTTCTTGGTCCTCACATCCCAAACCCGCACGGAGGAATCACGACCAGCCGTAGTCAGGAGATCTACTGAAGGATGAAGGTCGATGGAATATACCGAGCTCAAGTGTCCATGGTAGTCCCTCACTACCTTGTTCTTTTCCAGATCCCAGCATTTCACGGTCTTGTCCTCAGAACAAGAGAACATATACGGATGCCTGTCGGAAACAACGAGTCCCCTCACTGCCATGATATGACCCGTAAGAGTCAGCCTCAGTTTTCCGCTTGCTAGATCCCAGATCTTGATGGTTCCGTCAGAACTTCCAGTAGCAAACCAATCGTTCTCAGGCTCAACAGTGACACTGCGTACCCATCCGGTATGTCCCGCGATAACACGCATGAGTTTCCAGGGAGCATGCCATTCGGGTTTCACGAAAGAGTTGTTCATGGTATCTTCCTGTTGCTTTTGCTGAAGAGCACGAGAGTACAAGCTGTATGAATCGTGCTCGGCGAAGGGAGAATCTTTTATCACGAGAGCCTTGTTTGAACTGTCATCTTTGGCCAACACCAATGCCTGAGTAATTTCCTCTATATCCCCCTTTCCAGCAGTTTTGTCTTGTTCTGGGAACTCCAATTCCTGGATGGCCCTCTGTGTGGGCAGATCCGCATTCACAGATAGCTCGGGTTCTTGCACCAACTCCTCCTTCTGTCTTTTCAACTTATCCAGGATTGTGAGCGGCTGACCTTTCCCGTTATTCTTTGTTTCAGCAAGGTCTATCTTGTCTTGCAGGTGTCTTGGAAGCTTCCTTGTCTGAGCGTATTCAGACTCAATTATGGACTGCACATACAGTTTGTTGCTGGCATCATCGTGAGGTGCTATTTCTGGATCAAATAGAATCTTCCTTTTGTTGGATAAATCCAGCATTGCCAAAAAATAAACAAAAAACACTGGTTTTGGAGTGTGCCTCTTTCCAGAATAAACGATGATAGAGAGAGAGAGTCCCAAATTAGGAGAAGAGATGAGGTGAAATTTTTTTTGGGCTCTTCTCACTACTTAGTAATCCTAATTGTCTTGTTTAATTGTTCTTTCTCTCCCTTTCTTATACTCTTTGGAAAGCCCAAATAAACTGTACAATGTCCCAGCAAGAAGAAAAGGACCAATATATTGACCCGAACGAAGTTCAGGAGGTGGTCGAAGAGACCGGAGATGCTGAACCTATTGAAGAGGACGACGAGGTAGACGAGGTCAACCCCGATGGAATGGAACAAGACGACGACGACGACGGCGAGGACACTATCGAGATCGACATGTCCAACAACTCGAGCGGTTATTTTGACACGCACACAGACTCCGTTTTCACGGTTTTTTCGCACCCTACACTGCCGTTGGTGGTGTCTGGAGGAGCAGACAACACGGCCTATCTGTGGACCACACATACTCAAGAGCCTAAGATCGTTGCTGAGTTGAAGGGCCATGGGGAGTCGGTGATAGCTGGAGGATTTACTGGAGATGGTGCCTATGTGATAACCGGTGATATGGCCGGAAAGGTCAATGTCTACAAGTCTTTCAAGAGAGGTCAGAAGTGGGAGCCATACGGTTCTGTCGAGCAAGTAGAGGAGGTGACCTGGATCAAAGTGCATCCTAAGCAGCCATTTTTTGCCTTTGGAGGAGCTGATGGTTCAGTATGGTGTTATCAGATTGAGCCCTCTTTGGAACAGGTGTTTTCTGGTTTCTCTCACCAGGCGGACTGTACGAACGGCGAGTTTGTGAATGTTGATGACCTGGACAGTCTGGATCTGGTGTCTGTTTCTGAGGATGGTTCTATCATCTCGTGGAACTGTTATACAGGTCAAGCGAACTACAAAATTGCACAAGAACAGTTTAAAGGACAAACACCCGCGTGGGTCAACATAGCTGTTCACGAGACTGCCTTTGCGGTGACCTCAAGGGACGCCCAGGTTGCCGTGTTGAACGTGCAGACCGGCTCCATAATAACTGTATTCAAGGCAGTTGACATGAACTCCTTCAACGATGAGCTCGATGCTAGTATCGAGGCAATCTCGTGGTGTTCTTTGTCCAACCTGAGTCTGATGGCTGTTGGCTTAGTGAGCGGTGACGTTGTCATCTTCGACACAAACACCTGGAGACCAAGAAGAAACATCAAGGTGGGTGATGCAGTCACTAAACTGTTCTTCATTCCGCAAACTCCGTACTTGGTTGGTGCTACTATAGAGGGAAAGATCTACAAGTGGGATGCCAGGACTGGTGAGGAGCTGTTCGTGGGTGTTGGACACCACATGGGAGTCTTGGATTTTGCCGTCCAAGAGGGAGGAAATAGACTAATTACTGCTGGAGACGAGGGTGTCAGTCTGATATTTAACATTTAGGCAGGATACGAATGCGATTGGTGACAATTAGACAGTAGAGGATGAATGGAGAGAGGCGACTATTTAACGAGTTCCGATACTTTCTTCTCCACAATTTGCGTAATCAATTTCACCAGGGAAGAGTCCTTATTTTCAATCTGGTTTTCCAACACTGCTCTAACCTGGTTCTCCACCAACTTGCCGGTCAGATCAACTTCAACGTTAACAGTATCTCCCACCTTCTTCAATGGCATCACCACCTTACTCTGAGTATATGCAACCATCATAATCGAAAACTCCTTCTTTTCCTGATCCACGTCAGTGATCGTCAAAGAAGTACCATCCAAGCAGATAAATCCTTTATGGACGATGTAGGCAATGAACTTGGCATCGCGCAATTTAAAGGTATAACGCAGAGAATTTTCGTCCGACGTCACAGATTGAATCGTTGCAATTGTATCTACATGTCCCTGAACGACATGTCCTCCGAAACGAACCTCGCCTGAAATGGCTCTTTCCAAATTGACTTTGCTCTGGGCCTTGAGATCACCTAGATTAGTCAACGCCAGAGTCTCGGGCGAAACCCCCACCTTGAACCAGGTCTTCTCCTTATCAAACTCAGTCACAGTAAGACAGGTCCCATTCACAGCAATGGAATCTCCCAGGTGGACATCAACCAAAATTTCAGAGCACTCCGTGATGGTGATGGACACTCCGCTTCCCCCAGACTCAGAGGTATCGTACGCTTGGTACTCGGAAACAACTGTTGATTATTAGTAAGTAATTTTTTTTACTCGGACATGATCTCAGAGTGCACTAACCGCCTATCACTTCAACTATTCCCGTAAACATTTCGAGTTGGTATTACTAATTAAACTCGGCATGGAGAAAAGTGACTAATGTGAAGTATTTCTCTAAAATCCGAAAGGTCGTGCGATAACGAATCACCCTCTCACCGGGCAGGACACCAATAATGAGTTGTCAAGCAAAACCAAAGCTATACCATAATCCTTTTAAACAAGGCTAGAAAATGGCGCCATACGAGCTGCAATTGCCCATAGACTCTTATCGTTTAGTCTGATATCTTTGATACCAAAATTCGACCTTTTCGGATATACCGGAACTTCCAGAAGATTCCATCATGACCAATTTTTCTAGAAGCTTCTCCACACTTCTCTTATCTTCGCCACCCAGAGACCACCACACAGTGTATAAAAAGCCCTGAAAATGGCCATCAAAACTGAAGCTTCGTTCAAATCATTGCGATTAGTTTCTACCAACTCTTATCAACACAATTATATTTTGAGTCATGTCAATGTTTCTTCCATTTCTAGGACAAGTCCTCGATGCCCCAGCTGACAGCTGTGCGGCTCAAGGCAGTTGCTCGCCTTTCCCATTTTCAGTGCTGCAAAATCAACCGGTCGGAAAACCCAGGCAAAACTACAAGAGACAACACGTTTCAGTGATAGCTAATCCTCCTGCTCAGGTCAAGACTGGAGAAGACGCGAATAACTACTACATTCTACTGCAGAAACAGTCCGTTCAACATCCATTTCTGAAGTTCAACAATGGTTTTGAAAGTTTTGAGATCAAATATTTGAAGCGCGACAATGTGGTGACAATTACGATTGCTTCCGCTCTAGATGAGTATAAGAAGTCCTACGAGTTCGAGGCCGGTTCCGTCAATGAACGCAGTGTTTCGTGGGAATTGATGGACTCTACTTCCATGCTGGTGAAAATTCCAAAGGTTTCTGCTGCAAAGAGAGAGCAGATTTCAAGAGAACAGAAATATTCGGCTTTGGTGCAAGAACTAGAGCACGTCAAGGCTGAATTGAGAAAGCATCAACAACTGTTGAAATCTCAAAAAGCACAATTTGGGCAGCAGCTCGCAGTCGAAAGAAGACATGCGGCCGCTCAGAGAGAAGCTTACGAGAGAAGGTTATATCAACAGAGTCAACAGTTTAGAGACCAGCAGGTGGCCATGGAACTACAGTTCAAGAATGCTTTTCAGGAAGCTGCCGAGATTCAAAGTGCCCTATTCCAGCAGTTGGAGAGGGAACAGGCCAAACAGACGCATAAACAACCAACAGAGGGCTCATCTAAAGAAGCCTCTGCTCGTGAAACCAAGCCAACTTCCCCAGTTTTGAGATCCAGAGGAAGTGTTTTGGATGATATAGATGCCGCTTTTGCCAAGTTTTTCGAGTCAAAGAGGTCCGCAGAGGCTGCAAATCCACAGAATATCGTTTCAATCCCCATTTCTGAGCCAGAGAAGCAAGAACAGAGCAAAGGATCACAACATGATGACCAAGAGATGGACGTCGAGGACCCTCCAACTAGCTCATTGACGGAAGATGTTGTGTCTTCTACTGACGAGTCAGGACCAGATACCCCAGACTCTTCTGATAACGAGGACAATGACTCAGCTTCTGAGGCGGACTTTGTGGTTGTTAAAAAGTCACAAGCACCTTCGGGCTCGGACTCCCCATCCAAGCCTGCTGAGGATGATGGCTATGAATCGTCTGCATCCACAGACTCGAAAAAAAGATCAAGAACTCCTTCCTTGGAGGATGTACAGGACGAGGAGTTTTCAGCATTCAGTGATTGATTATAGCATTCAACTAGAACCATTCTAGCTCTTTCTGAGGGACATTTCTTTAATGAACGTTTTTTTTTTTTACCATTTCCTTCATTGAAAACCGTTCATTCATATCTGAATAATTCACGTAGTATTTACATAGCCAGTAACGTCTGCTGGACTCACATCATACGAGAGTTCCTCGTTGAAATCTGATAAATTCCCTTTGGTGACTCCATCACCTTCAGGCCTTCCTCGTTCTTCGTTTCTACCATTGGTCATTCCTTAAGTGCGGTGGTGGCGGTCTAACTTCTCAACCACAAGCTTGTCGAAATGGTACATCTGTGAAATTTCAGCCTGTCTCTTCAACACTAACAAATCTTGTCTAGCACTTTTGATGAAATTGGCAATCTCTGCGGGGTCAGAAACATCCTTGTGCTTCTTGAACTCATCTCTGGACTTGCGTAAGAAGTAGTTCCTGAAGTTGTAGTCTTCGAACTTGCTAGCGTTACGCAGAAACTGTCTGTACAGCGACAACACCTGTGACTTATTACCGGCCATTTTATGATATTCAAAATGATGAGCGTGGAAGAGTTAATGGATTGAAAACCTGGACAGAAAACTTGAACTCACAGTTGCCTTCCGAAGGATTGTGGCGGGTCGTGTACCGGCTACATTTATTTTGCCCGATTATCGGTATATATCGATTTTTTGCGTAGATTATTATAATTGATCGGACAAAAGGTGCAAAATCTGACCAATAAAGTTTGGCACCGAAGAGTATTGGCGGTGCACTCAAAATAACCGCGTGGAGTTGCCCAAAATCGGACTCCAAACCAGAAAGCCCTCGCTCCAATGGGTTGCGAACTTGCGATAAAGAGAGGCACTAATAATATTGTTTATACTTGTTGAATTTTGCTTCCTTTCCGCTCTTACCACGCTCTTTTTGGACTTTTCCAAGAAATGGCTCTCATAAACGACAATGTCGACTCGGTATTGGCTTATCTGTGGAGTTGGTTCATGCTGGGCCTGCGGTCGTTATGGTCTCTGATACTGACTTATCCTGACGAAGCATCCATAGTGATCACAATGGTGCTGGCAATTTCAGTGTTCTACCTGATAAGGAATTTGTTCCGCATACTATGGAAAACCTTCAAGTTCATGGTGCAATTCTGTTTGATATTGACCGTTGTGGTGGTTGGCCTGAGATGTTACTCGCGTGGTCCAGACGCCCTTCTTAAAGATCTGCCCTCGTTTGCAATGAATGTGTATGCCCTGACGACGTCTTATTTCTACAGACTATTGTATATCTGGGGTGCATTGAGTGCGAATGAGGCTCAAGGGTTTCGGTTTGCGTATAGTCAGGTGGACAAGATATTACAGAGGTACTGACATGTGAGTTTAAGCGGCTCCAACCCTACTTGATTCGAGCGAAAGACACGGGGTTGGCTCCAATATATACTGTTTGTAATTTGAGACCTTTATTTATACAAATAACCTCAATTGGCAAACCATTAAATTCACCGAAAGTTTGGAATTCATCAAACTTTTCAAGCCCCTCCAGCCCACCAAGCCCACCAGGCCCACCATGCTCATCAGGCTCATCGAGCTCATCAAGCTCACCACCTCGCATCACGCGTCTTCCTTCTTAGTTACGCCACCAAGCCCTCAAAAGCCACTAACTCAATCGGATTTTTTCCACAGATTGGTGCTCAATGAGTTCTCCAAACTCTGATGCGTCGATCTCCCAGGTTGATGCGGAAATTGCCACCATAGATCAATCAAAGAGAGATGAGACCTATACGCGTAACCTTGCAAAGGAGATCGAACAGAAGAAGAAGTTTTCCAAGGCCATCGAACTGGTCCTGGTCAGCGAAGACTACCAGAATGAGGCACAACAAGTTGACAAGGAAACAGCCTTGAAAAAACGTGCAATTGCGCTATATGAGACGCTCAACCGTCAGCCCTACAATCCAGAGCGAGGCGAGGTGTTGGGAATAGCACTGGCTCAGTCCAACATGAAAGCGCAAATTCAAGCTCTCGAGAAATATAAGGAGCAGTTGGTAAAGAAAAAGGAGCGATTGAACCAAAAATGGAGGTTTCAAAAGGGAACTTCGGTTGACCTAAAGAACCTGGCACGGGCTATTGACGAGAGACATTCAGCAGAAACTGACAAAAGAAGACAGTTTGTCACAGATCGTAACCCCGAAGCCACCAGAGTGCGAAAGGCTAGACAAAGACTGGAAGCTTTAGAAGAACGAGAAGAGGAAATGGTTGCACATCTTCGATATACCCTGGATACGTACTTCATCCAACCGAAGATCGACCTGCTCTTTTCGTCTCAGAGCGAAGCCGAAATTAAACGGGTCAGACAAAGAGCCCTCAAGCTGGTGGAAAAGCTGATCAACGAAATATTCGAAGGGACGTTCAATTTCATTTCAGTGGACGGATCTGATCCGTTTGTGAGGCACTTGGTGAAGGGCAATGTAGTGGAGCAGAAGAACCAGATGACGCAGATCAGGCTTCATCGGTTTGATACGAGTTAATACGCTTTGTGACTACGTCATGGTACTTTTCCAGGAACTTGTGCTTACTTTATCACTTCATGAGGAACATCCTTCTCAATACTGAGACAGCACTGAACACATATGTCACCTCCTGCTCTGTGTATGATCTTGGCAAGGCGTTGAAAGCAACGACCAAATACCCCCCGGATCTGTGAAAGAGATCGATCGGGGTTCTAGTGTTAGTCTGGTGGTTCTTGGATATCCTCTTCTTGCGGACGAGACGAGAGGTGTATCTGAAGAATGGCATCAACATTCCAGTCTTGAAGACTGGTGTGGTTTCTCTGGTGGAATACAGCACTCCAAATTCCGACCGCAATGCCTTATAGTGGAGACTGGGATCCAGCTTCACCGGGTCAAGATTCTCAGCACCGTATATTCCTATGATCCTCATGTTCACGCTCTCTTCCCCAATACGCTGCAGCTCGTGGAGACTCTTGAAGGTGTCGGTTTCCACTTGGTTTTGTGCTGGAAACAGACCTGATTGGATCTGGAACAGTTCGGATACCCTGATCTCTGCAACATACACCAGATCCAGTCTGCACTTCTCGGCTATCAGCCTGCTCACTGTTGCGGCTGCGGTTTTGATATTGGTGTTTCCGGTGAGTGATTTCCAAACATAAGGATCTACGTCCCTGTACGCAGAAGAACTGTCTGATACCCTGAACTTGCTGGATTGTGAGTATGCGTTTCCCGAGCCATCTTTCTCAAAAATCACGCTTGAAGAGCGAATGTTTCCACCGGTGGCTCTGCCCAGTTGCCTCAACAACGAGGGCTTCTGTTGGACCAGACTGACATCCTTGGCATAGGTCATTTGCAGCAGGGCCACGACATCCTCGGCCATTTTCTTCAGGTTCAAGATGTGAGACTCGTCGATCTTGTCTCTGCAATACACGTCAAAGACCGAAAAACAACCTATGGCTGATCCGTCTTTCAGAACCAATGGTACAGAAGCATAGAACTTGATGTGGGGAACTCCCTTAACGAAAGGACTCGAGGAAGTTCTCCAATCCTTAGAGGCATCGAGCAAAACCAAGAAATCGACCGACAGAATACCATGAGCGTCGATAGAGAATCTTCTTGGGCATTCCTGAAACCCCAGCGACTTCTGGTGCTTGACTATCTGCTTTGTGTCATGAATCAAACTGATCGAGGCCCCATTACAATCGAAGTTTCTCATGGCCGATTTCAGGACGTTATCGAAGAAGGCTGTCTCGTCCCATTGTGGAAGGTTCATGACCGAATCAACAGCACGCAACCGTTGAGACTCATTGTAAGCTTCTGGAGGTGAGAGAAATGTGGTGCCTCCAAAACAACTGGGACATGGAACAGACGACAGGTTCCACTTACCCTTAGAGTAGGCATCCATGAAATGTGATTTTGTCAGAGGAAGGGCTGTCAGATACCGGCTATCAACAGAAAGAAGTGGTGCAACAATGGCGCCATGGCTGGTTAAGTATTAGTAATTTGTTCCATCAATATTAAAGATGTTTGGTAATACGAACCCTTCTCGATAGTCCCCAGGGTTTCGATCTCGGCTCATCATCCCGTGCATCGAGTTCATCCTCGACTGACCGCTGGGCTGCGCAGACGGCTTTAAACAGGATGGTAATCGGAGCATGAAAATCTGTTGTTAGCAAAAAAACAAGGCGCAAGTTATTGGGCGAATGGGAACTGTCTACGATTAAGCGCACATAGATCAACAGATATATTTAGTGCGGCGGCTAATTAGTCTCCACACTACCAATGCAATGGAAAATGATTAAACGGTCTAATCCTCGGCATCCTTCATATCGGTATCGGCATCCTTTACCTCGCTAGAACCCTCGTTTGTCTCCTCTGGGACATTTTCCAATGTACTGGGCTGATTCTTCTCGCGCTCGGTGCGTTCTCTCTCCTGCCTGGCCCTGTCTTCCTCCAGCGACAAACTTAGCGCTAGAGCCAGCTCTGGGTCCATGCTAGCGTCACCAAAATCAAATCCATCGCCTGCGCCCATCATTCCCATTCCATTGTCATCTTCAAACATAGAAGAAGATCCAACACTCTCGTAGAGTAGCCTTGGCCCTGGTGGTACAGTCACCAGGTTGGAGTTATCATGGTTGTTGACCACCGAGATGAATTTCTCCAGCTTGGACGTGTTTTTCGATTCCTCGCCAAAATTGATGAAGTCAACGGCTACGTTGTTCTTCTTCAGTCTCTTTGCCAGCTTTTCTAGTTCAGATTCTGATTCATCAATCGGACTGCCCACGAAACACACGATTCTCTGGTGCTGCACTTTGTTCTGGCGATGTTTTAAGGCCAATGCTGCAACTTGCAATCCAGTCAACAAGTGAGATTTGCCCTTGATGTGAGTTTGGTGGATTCCAGACAGTATTCTCCCGAAATCCGTTGTCAAAGTAGCCAGAACCTGCACGGATTCTCCAGACATGGAGATCAACCCCACCGAAGATTCCGGATTCGATCCAATCTTTCTTCTGAATATCATCTCAACAGTGTCTAATTGTGCGTTGAACCTGGTGGTCAGATAATCTCCATTTCTCATATAATCGGAGTTGTCGATACTGCTTGAGTTAGTGGTGCGCTTTGGACGACAAACCCAGAATTGTACCTCGGCACTTACATTATCATAGTAGCCTCCAACCCCATGATGCCCCAAGTTCAAATTTATGTGATAAACGTGATTAATGTAAAATGTTGTCAAGATAACAGATACAACTTAGTTGTCCATGTTGGATCTAAGTGGTGTTAAGAGCATAGTGGCGACAACACATCAGCCACATTGGTGAGTACACTCAAGTTTGAATCCACCAGCCACCACCGAGGACTACTTATCTTGGTCTCTATAAATTGTTCAGTATCTTTTTACTAACTATTGCACGCTTTTCAAAGCTTCAACAACCTTTTCTGCCAGCGCAACGCACTTTTCTTCCTGGTACCTTCCACAAACCAGCTGCAGAGTCACAGGCATTCCGTGTGTTAATTCCGGGTCATAGTTCTCGTAATTGGCTCTATCCAGCTCGTTGGTAGGCGAATACGTGTGGGGAAGGTCAATCTCTTTGTCCACATGTGTCACTGGGATAGTGATCACGGAATAATCCAAGACGTTCAGGTATCTGGTGTATGTAGATGGAGATCTGAAATTTTCACCTGATATATACGATGTGGAGCCCCAGCCGGGAGTGATAAAGCAATCGATAGGTTTCCCCGATTTGGTCGAATGTCTGGTTTCCCTAACTCCTTCGTCGTAGGCCAACTGAATCTTATACTTCTCCTTGGACTGTTCCCAAGTTTCAGCAACATTGAGAAGAGTTTTGTTCTTCACACCAAACCCAGAAAGCAAGTCGTTCATGGGTTCGCCTGACATTGCACAGTACTTTTCAAGCTCGAGCAATGAGTCAGAGGTGAAGATTCCAATCAGCAAGTCCAGAGGACCGCCTGAACCCTGATGTTTTATTGGAGGAACAAAATCGATAGTGTCGTATCCCACAAGTTGAAGAGCTTTTTCAACCATTTTCAATGCCCTAGTAATGGGAGGATGAGGGTAAACCACTCCGTCCCATTCCATGATACCGAAACTCAGGTCGTTTCCCAGCTCAGTCTCTCTCCATGGAATTGGGATTACTTTTGGGTCTTCTTCCCACTCGTTGGAGTTGATAATGGTTTTGGATACCAGCTTCAAATCCTCGAGATTTTTAGCTATCGGCCCGATAACAGACTTGAGAATGGGCTGGTGGGGGTAGGAGTTCGACACGTTCAGATACGAGAATCTGTCTGTACTAGCTCTCAATCCGTATAGACCCTGGAATGCAGAAGGTCCTCTAATGGAACCTCCAATGTCTGTTCCCAGTCCCACTACACTTCCCAATCCACCAATCAATGAGGCTTCTCCACCAGAAGATCCACCGGGACTCAGCTTTCTGTTGATGGAATTCAGAGTCTTACCAAACAACGTGGTACGAGTATCGTAACCCAGCATTGCCATTGGAACGGTGGTCTTAACATAAAATACCGCACCTGCTTTAGCAAGTGATTGGGCAATCAGTGAGTCCTTATCGCGGTTGGAATCGTCATAGCCGCAGATGGCATCAGCGTACTCCTGGGCCATGAACGGTGCGATGAACCCTATCGACGTGGAGACTCCTTTCAAATTCACCTGATCCTTGAGCGATATGGGAAGACCATGAAGAGGTCCAACGGTGTGGCCATTCTTGTTAAAGTAGGCATCAAGCTCGGTCGCCCTTTCGATGGCCTTATCAAAGAACAACTCTGATAAGCACCTAGTCAACTGGTGATTCACGGCCGCACTATGGCAAAACGCCTTTGTGACCTCCAAAGCAGTCAATTTGCCATCGGCGATCGTAGCCACGAGTTCTGTGGCGGTGCTCGTGATTATCGCCATCTCCTGATCGGATAGTATGTTGGGAAGAAACTTGGAAACATTGGGAACTTCTTCTGGTGGGGGGATCGATTTCAACAGCCATTCTTTTGGGATCTTTGCGAGATTCGACTCTCGTTTAGATGCAGCAACTTCCAAGTACGAATTTGACATTATGGAGAATTATATAACAAAGCACTAAGTGGATTTGTATGAAAAGGAGCAGTTCCTTGATATATAGGGAGTGTCAGATCTACGCGATTATAACGAATATCTGCCAGAGTGGGGGAGATGCATGCAGATGCAGACCCACATCCGAGATCCGTACCTGAAGTTTAACGGTGGCTTACAAATGGACCTTTGAGCGGCTAATTGATTTCCATTTGAATATACAAAATATAAGGGGGAAACTAACTGAATTTACACTTCCATGGCTAGCTTCCTTTTTAACTTCTCCTCTTTGCGGTTAAACCTCTGGTCTTGGGGGTTGAACCCAGCTTGCTCTGATCCCCAGTAGGCCCATTCAGGTGTGGGCGCGATGTAGTCCATATCAGTGAATTCTTCTCCGCTCTCTAAGAGCTCGAAGAACCTTTTGTAATCTATATGTGTGTACCATTTGCCCTCTCTTTGAAACTTCTTCTGAGCAATAAGAATACAACAGGAATGGGCGTGTTCGGCGGCAATGTCATACTCCAATCCCCTGGAGTTCACTTCCTTATTCAGCGCCCTAACGAAATTCTGACATTCCTCGTAGAACGGAATGTTCTGCATGGTCAACGGATTACCGTTTCCAGAAGATGAACCACAGAAAGTGGCACCTTTGATCTCAATGAGAGAGGGTAATCCTTTCTCCACCATATCAGCATAACCCTCTACTTCTCCCATATTGAACCCTTTAACTAGAGTTAATCTGAAAACGGTTCTCTGGTGAAGCTGAGTCGTGCTGAGTATCTCAAGACATTTTTGAAGTCTGTCCCAGTAGTCTTTGTAGAGAGGACGGTCCACTCTCTTCAGCTCGTTCTTATTAGCAGCATCGATGGATACATACAACTGAGTCACTTTGTTCAAAGCCTTCAATTGATCAGGATGCTGCGCATTGCACACCAAGAATGACGAGATGTGCTTTGCATGCAACATGCCCACAAACTCGTTGATATGAGGGTAGAAGATTGGCTCACCAACCAATGAAAGTGCACAGTGACGAACAGTAAATGCCTCATTGAACCGGTCTGAATCAACACCAGGAACACCTCTCATTTGCTTGATCTTTTTGTAATGTCCCTCCAGGGCTCCCTTCAAGATGACATCCGGCTCATCCACCTGCCAACGCCAGGTCGTACCGACAGGGTTGGTTCCGTGTCTCCAGCAGAATACACACTTATTCGAGCACGAAAGAGAAGGTGTAGTCTCCATACAAAGATGAGAGCGAATTCCATAGAAAGCGAATTTGTAGCATGAACCACGTCCTCTCAAGGCAGACTTGGTCCACCGACAGATCTTGACTCCAGAATGAGATCCAACAACGGTATATCCTTGCTTAGTTAATGACTTGTATGTTGGTGAATCTTTTGCCACCATTTGCTTGATCTCAATTTTCTCGTCGGAAGAAGCAACATTGAAGCCTTTGGTAATATCCTCAACGTCAATAAGCGTATCCTCGGACGAAGCGTTGGAGTCTTCGTCTTCGTCATCGCTCTCCATTTCCTGGAAAACAAAAGGTTCATCATCAGTAATGGATTCTCCCAGTCCTCTTATCCATTCATCAACCTTAAGTTCCCCGCCTGTCTTAATGCAAACGGTGCCGACCGGGAAGATACGTCTTCCACCAAGAGCGCTGAGTCTTTTGTCCGCAATCTGGGCTTGATAACAGAATTTTTCGGGCCAAGATTCCGAATCACCCAATCCAAGCACAGCAAACCCAGCGAGCTTCTTGAGTGGGTATTTATCCACCCGGAAGTCGTTTGCAGTCTCCTGCAAAGTATCCAGGAAGTAGTCTATGGGTGAGTCTGTCTCATAAGACGGCAGCACCAAAATGTACACCAGTTGGTCTTTTTTAGGGACATTCACAAAATAGTCATCCAAATCGTCCACATCTTCGTCCAAGTTCAAAATCTGCGGCTTGTTCGTGAGACCAAGACTGGTTATGTGCTCGTATAACCTTCTCGCAGTCCGTTCGCTGGCTCCCGTAAGGGATGTGTAGAATATGATGATATTCGAGTTCACCAGAGTCTCATGGGATTTAGTTAGAATCTCCTTTGCGGATTTCCGCACTGGTCTTGTGGCTTTGATCACTTTGGGCACTCTTTTGGCCGACTTCTTCAGAGAGACTGCTCCTTCAGTTACCACCTTGGTAGCGTCTGGAGCCTTGCGGAAAGTGGGCTTGGTTTTTGCAGCAAAGTCCACAGTTGTAAAGTCCATAGCAAGCTCATCCGGCTGAGGAGGTGATTTTGGCTTTCCTGTTTCATTTGTCTTGTGACTCTCTGAAGAAACCTCAGACTGACTACTGGAAATGAAGATGAACGCTAGCAAGATCAGCAGCGTCACAGACCACCTTCCTCCGTTCAACAAATAAAGCACAGCACATCCCGCACCAACAGCAATCGTTGAGCCAGCCATTCTTCAAATAGGCGGGTCCGATGAAACTGTAGTGAAAGAACTGAAGTCAAGTCTTGTTCAAAACTTTTTTCGGGCCTTAATAATCATCGATCCAATCCTCATCGGGAACGTTGATTGATGCACGCAATCAATCATCTCTGGCTGATAGGTAATAGAGAGAAGTTGCTCTAATGGGGGTTGATCTTTCTTTGTCCCAGTGGTGTATTCGGATATGACAGATGCGTGAGAGGTGATCTTAAGTTTACGCAATGATCATAAAAAGTCGTTTATGTTATAAATGCGGCAGGACTGGAACCGCCGGCTTCAGCCGCCTTGTCCCCGCGTCTAGCGGCAAACCAGTTGGTAACAAACAAGACAGTGCCATGAGAAGGAGACTGGAACAACTGGCTGAAGATGCGTATCCCTCCAGTGAGAATCCTGAGGCTGGAAAACCTGTTGATGCGTTGCCGTACAATCGTCAGACACCAGCAGTGACTGAGTCCGCACCCAGCGCCATGGTTGATGAATCAGACATAGAGAAACTGATTCGAAGAATCGAAGGTTCGGAGTTCACAAACCAATATCAGAAGGAAATTGGGATCAGTCAAATCCCTAAATATGTGGGTAAACAGATCAAGGATACTGCCATGGATGATGTGTGGACTGGTGATGAAAAGGCTGAAGACACTGTATTGCGGTTGTTAATGGATAAGCATAAGCCTAAGAGGACAACCAAGGTGCGGCCCTTAATCACACCTCCTGTGCCCTTGAGGGAACGAGTTGGTTTGGCCAAAGAGAAGAGCCTTGACTATAAGCTACACAAAATTTCGAACACCGATAATGCCAAGGATGCGGCCAAGACCAAGACGTCCTCAGAGGAAGAAGACCGGCATTTCGCGGAACTCTACAAGGAGAGACTTCTAGGGCCAAGTTTGCTGCTATCAGACTCGTTCGTTGGAGTGAACAACTCCATTACAGCAATGGCTAATCAGCGGATAGAAGAAGCCAAACAACGCGGTGAATTTAACAACGTTACGCGGGGAAAGCCTTTTAAGCGGGATTTCAACACGGAAAATGCATATCTTGACAGAACAGAATACCACCTCAATAACATCTTGAAACGCCAAGATGCGATGCCGCCCTGGATCGAGAAGCAGGGAAGTGTGGATGCTGCAATCAGAAAGTTCAGGGAATCGCTAGATCAGGCTTGGCGCAAAAGAGCCATAGTGCTGTTCAGTGACAGGTTTCCGAAGTCGGATCTAGAAGAGAAACTGAGGTTTTTGAACAAGTACATCAAGGCAGAGGACAGGTCCAACAGAAGCGAGCAGTTACGCGATTTCGAATGGGAAGAGAAGCAGCGCAAATACTTGAAGGCCAAGCTGAGGTCATTAAATGACAACATAAGAGGATACAACCTCCAAGCGCCATTGCCGTCTCAGAAAATGTATCTTGATATTGAAAAAGAGCTGAAGTTGGCGTACAAAAGAGTTGCACCAGCTTTACCAGAAGCGCTGAAAAGGCACGTTTTGGGCGGCAACGAAATAGACACCCAGCCCCAAAACACTTCAATTGCAAGTGTAAGTCTTGGCTACAGAGACCTGCACCAACGCACCGCACAGAGCACGTACCAGGTACCCTCTGAAAGCCTCGGAAAAATGATTTTGGACTTATTCCGGAAAGAACGGTGATGCTTCATCTCGAAATGTAAATTGGTCTCGGCGTCTGTTTGTTTACTTTTGATGACGCGGTGAGAGCACGACCTTCTCAAACGCTCCTGCCGCGGAGGCTGGGTTGAAGACTAAAATCCCTTGAAGGAACACGGCAAGGGGCTTGTAAATATATTTGCCCGAGGACGATAATCAGTTTGTAATAAGTGATAAAATGGTATAAGTAACAGTAGAATTACCAATTCTCCCTGGTATTACAGCTCGTGGTTGAGAATTTCACTGAGGCTGGGCGATTGCCGCTTTTGGACAGAGGAGGCTGGTTTGCATTTCGCGGCCGGAACACCTTTATAACGCGACCGAATGTCCCAGGTGACAGCAGACCTGCTCCGAAAATCACAACATTTGATCTGTGGAATCATCTTCTAGACTTTTGTTCGTATACGAGTCTTATACAGAGTCAACAGGCTACAATCTGTCCTAAAACCCAAGAGTTACACAGTTCACCGTCTAGAGCTGCTCTTGATTCCATTCCTTTACTCGCTGCTACATTCCTTCGCAAATCGCCGTTGTCTCTATTCCTCTGAAAACTGAGGTTTCATCCGACTTGATCACTCCTTTATCCTAGCCCAGTTCCTTTCACAAAATGCTCTCGGTGAAATTTGCATTCTTGATGCTCGCTATGAGCACCTTTGGATTGGCCTTGCCTATTCATTTCGTGACGAACACCAGAATCGTTGCCACTACTGTCTATGTTGGTGAGCAAGCGTCTTCAACTTCCACTTCGAAGTCCAATGTCAATGTGGTCACCGTTACAAGGGTTGTTGACCAGAACGGGCAGCTTTTGCCTAGCCAAGCCACTGGGGTTTCTTCGTCTTCTTTCTTGATTCCTGCAGTCACATTCGAGAAGCCAACCACTTCGAGCACCGTCTCATCCAGCTCCACTTCTTCTGCTTCCTCTACCGCTCAAGTTGTGGAGATTGTGATCACACCTTCGAGTTCGAGTGAATCATCTACGCTTCCAACAACTTCGTCCTCTTCGACTAAGACTGTTCCTACCACTTCCTCGTCCTCGTCCACTTCGACGGCTGCAGCTACCACTACAGCTGCCTCTGACGACTTCGCTACCGAGATTCTGAACCAACACAACAAGTACAGAGCTCTGCATGGAGTGGATGATCTGAGCTGGGACTCTACTCTGGCCTCATACGCTCAGAATTATGCTGACGAATTCGACTGTGGATCTCTCGTCCATTCCGGTGGACCATACGGTGAGAACCTCGCCCTGGGTTACTCCACGACTGGTGCCGTTGATGCTTGGTACTCCGAGGGTGACAACTATGACTATTCTGCTGCATCTGTGTTGGACCACTTCACTCAAGTGATCTGGAAGGACACCACCAAGTTGGGTTGTGCCAGCAAGTACTGCAACAGCTACTGGGGAACGTATATCGTGTGTGAATACGACCCAGCTGGAAATGTTGTGGGTGAGGCAAACTCTGAGGTTTTGCCCCTAGCGTAGGAGTGCTGACTGGATAACTGCCCTAGCAAAATAAACGAAAAATCAATAAATTATGACATTGTGTTCACAACAACAGAGTAGATGTAGTAGTTTTGAAGATGGCATCCGACATAGGCTTAGGTCGGGCCCCTCATTTGTGTAACCTATTGTATAAATGACAACTAACGAATTGCTTTGATGAATCAGTTTGATCCCTCAGACTAGCATGTAACTGAAGCAAAGAACCGAAATGAAGAAGATGTAAAGGACAAGGCATACGAGAGGCAGACAATGCAAGATGCTAGACAAAAAACACTGCTGACATAATCAATGAAAAGCCGCCAATGCTGTGCTCATGTAATATCCTATTATATTTTAACCGAGCCACGCCCATCCTGCATGCCTCTCTTATCCAACCAATAGGAACTTTGGATCGCAATCCTATCTGCATGTACCCAAGGGGATTAACCCGTTGCAAATTTCCCAAAGCATATTCCCGCTACCGAATGGGCTTGACGCTACGTCTTTCCCTCAGACCATAGGGATCACATCTGAGCTTAGCCGTAGTTAAAACGGAGGTCGGCTTGAATAAAGCAGAGGTTAATCATCGATTTCTCTCGCCATGCTCTCCAACATTGACATATTCAATCAGGCGGTCTCGATGAACCACAACTCGCTCTCGCAAGGCGACTTGGCCTCGTCGCAACTCGCCAATAAGTTCCAGTTTGCGGACCTTCATACAGCTTCACCAGCTTCAGAGGCACCAAATGACGAGAATGCCGCTACCGCACTATGGAGAATGTATGCCAAGGCAAAGGCCTCGTTACCGTACCGCACCAGAATGGAAAACCTCACCTGGCGCATGATGTCAATCAATTTGAAGAACTCTGGAAGGATAAAACCAAGAGAATCTGCCGAGGAATTTCTCAACAGCAACGTCTCCGATCAAGACGGCGATGCCTCTAACCTTTTCAACAACATGAACGGCTGGCCCGAACACCCAGCTCTTGACATAGAGCTCGTTGATAATACCAAGATGTGGACGCCCAGCATGGACGCTGCGAGTCCGGGCCGCCCTGCTGTGAATGCCGGTCTCGGTGCTGAAACGGTCCAGCAAAACGTCACAGACCCGACTGCTGAAGACTTCGACTATGTGGCTCATATCAAGAGAATAGGCCAGGAGGAGTACTCTGCCAAGACCATCTACGAGCCCTCAGTCGCCCACCCGTACCAGACGCACCAGGTTCATCGCTCGCAATCACAGATGAACAGATCACATTCGCAGTTCGACCTGGACATCCCGAGCCCGAACGATGTTTCCTCGCGATTGTCTCAGCAGACGATGGTTGGATCTGCTCCTCCGTCGCTACACCACAATCCCAGCTTTGTGAATTTCCTCGGCAACAATGGCGATATGTACTCGCCGAACTCATCCAATGTGCAGACTCCAAGCGCAGAACACCGGGATTCTAGTACGTATTTCGATACATATTTCCAGAGCAATCAGTCGCCGCAGAAGAACCCGCTGCGGAAGCAGCAGCCGCACACTTTGAAAATGGAGCAGCGGCAGCAACAGCAACCGCAGCACATGGATTCGCACCAATGGAAGGGACTGTGGGAGCAGAACGGGATTGACGGGATGGGCATGAACATAGGCGTGAATGGAGGATCTCAGCAGCAGCAACAGCAGCAGCCGTCCCATTCTCAACACCAGCAGACACAGCAAGTGCAGCCACAATCCCGGAACGAGATAAAAAAGGAAGCCGAATTTCCCTACGCAATTGCTCAGAATACCAAGAATCCGCTGGCCGAGTATGCCCAAGGTCTGGCCATAGATTTCGACGGAGATACCAACATGGACCCGTTCCCACAGGTGTCCAACCAGATGATGTCACAGCCTCAGCAGCAGAGTACGCAGCAACAGCAGAAGTCCAAGCTGAAATCGGGCCAGCCAATGGTCCGCAAGAAGAGCGTAGCTGCGTCTGGGTCTGCTAAGACCGTCAAAGTCAAGGGCAAGGCCAGAAGACTGTCGATATCACCAGCTGATAACACACCACAGGCTGTGACTCCTACCTCGGGAATGTCGTCTAGCGGAAATGCCAGTGACTTCAACAATACTTTGAATGGCCAGCCCACAAGTTGCACGAATTGTAATACGAGAACTACTCCACTGTGGAGACGCAATCCCGAGGGAGAGCCTCTTTGCAATGCGTGCGGGCTGTTCCTGAAGCTTCACGGAGTGGTGAGACCGCTCTCGCTCAAGACTGACGTGATCAAGAAGAGGCAACGGGGAGCGAGTAGCTCTGGACCTGCTTCTTCGGTAGGAGGCTCGGAATCGGTTGCTGCCTCCAGTCCTGCTCTCAGTACCAAACTGACCAAGGCAATTGAAGAGGAGAGTGCAGATGGTGATAATCTGAACCCTACTCCAATTCCAAAGTCGGCCAAGACGAAGCCTCCAACCAATGGACATCAGAATGCGGCTGACATGATGGTGACTTTCAACGATAACGATATTCAACTGGAGGCTCTGGAGTTTGACCAGGTGTTGAACATGGATGCTGCAGACGGTTCGCAGAACAATTGGGAATGGTTGACCATGTCGTTATGATAGAGGGAGAAAATAGAGAGGGAAGGTGATACAACGGATCTGTGTTAATTAGCTTGGGGTTTACAGATATATAAAAATATCAACAGCGATACTTGTTTGGTCCCAGCAATGACGTGACTCTGTCGTTCAATGAAGGTGCAGAAGATGCTGGTTTGGAACGTGCTCTGGCTGGCTTCAACATCGACTTGGTGAACTGAATCTCTTTTTGTGAAGACCGCTTCTTTTCAAGTTGCAAGACCCGCTCAAAAGTTGCCAGGGTGCACTCCAATGCAACCACTGTTCCACACTGGATGTCGTCTGAGAGGATTAACAACTGAAGAAGCGCAATTCTCACGAACGTCTCTCTTCCGTTCTGGAAGTTGAACTCTGTAAAACTGGCATTCAAAGGGTCGTCCCTGACGGTGTACTTAGATTTGTAGTTGGCCACCAAAGCGCTCAGATCAACGTTTATTTTCTCGACACCCAGCTTCAGACCGATCTTGCACAATTCCTGGTAGACTCCCTTAAGTACAGGCGCAAGCACCGGGCCCTTGGAGTCGAACAGCATGTCATCGTAGATGGCATGCAAGACATGGCAGCACACAAAGTTGACTATATGTTTCCATATCAGGGCGCAAAAACTGGGCTTTATGGTGAGGGAAGTAACCTGAAATTGGCTCAACTCAGCCATGTCAGCAATTTCGCACAGTGTGCGGAGCTTCATACCAACTGAGCTCTTCATGTTTAGACAGTCGGTTTGCAGTTTATCCAATCTTTTTACCCCAGTTGACCGAGTAAGCCCCACGGTCATGGAGACATTTTCTCCAATCTGGAAGTGACAATTGTTCTGGAATTTCACGTCCACGCTGCTGAAGATCGCCAAAACGGAGGATTTTTGCTCGAAGATCTGGAATACGAACGCCTCAAGCCCCAAGGCAAACGAACAGTCCACGAGGATCAAGGTTTCATTGGGGATGATGTAGAGCTTGAGTGACTCGCACATCAACTTGAGGTCTCTGTGGGAAGATGCTCCCAACAGCAAAACGTCTATTCGGGTGGATTGGGTCAGCCGTGCGGCCAAATTGGCCTGCGAGTTGATCGGGGTTGTGGGTGTGAACAGATGGGAACCATATTTGGTGGAGCTGGCTATTAGTTAGGTAACAAAGCTGCAAAACATTTGTAATAATCTCGATAATTACCTCCACATTATCTGGCCGTTTCCATTGAAATTCGGATACACCATTGTGGTTGGACATTGCACCGTTGATAGCCGCCAGGGCAGGAACGTGCATAGTGGGGTTTCCCCGACTGAACTGTTAGAAACACACAAGACTCTCTCACAATTGAACCTGTCCAAAGATACACACCTGACATGATACTCAGTGTATTTGCATTTGCCTCAAACATGTTTGGTTTTCTGTACAGTTGGTTGGGCGCGTATCTAACGGCGCCTCGATAAGCCGCACGCATAATCAAGCATATGGACGCCGTGCTCATAACTCGTGCGATGCAAAGGTCGTCCATTGCGTCACGTGATGGAAATGCGGGATTCACTCGGCTGTGCCGTATTGCTCGGCAATAATTGTTTTACTTGCATTTGTCTCGTGATTACAGCTGAACGCTAGATTTTGATTATTCAGGCCCCATATGCAGCTGGAGCGTGGGGAAGTGGTGGGGTGCCGGAGTGGTTCGACGTGTGACCGTTTGGCATGCACCGCACGCTAATGCTTCACAACAGGTGATTTCTTCGGGGTGGTGCGTCGTGGAGATCTGGGGTTAAGTCAGCATAGTTCTGGAAACGATGGAATATCTTCAAATTTGTGCACCACGGGGGTCCCAGATTTTAGCTATGTTCTCCACTCCTCAAGTCCATATTTCGGACCACAATCGTCAGCCCTTCGGAGTTGAAACCGCATTCCAACCTGTGGGTTCCACCCGCACACGAAAGTGGACAATCAGGACCATAACACGTAGAAAACAATTGAACCAGATTTAATCAGATTTTATCAAAATCAAAAAATCTAATTAAATATTAACCATCCTCATCCATCCCAAATCAACCATCCCCAGCCATGCCAAGCCATCCTCAGTCATTCCCTACCAGAACTAGTTTATCCGGAGACAGTTTCTCCGTGCCGCCAACAGCCCATCACTAGCTTTTTTCGGCAAGGTATATAAGTAAGTCTTCCCCTCTCTCTTCTTCCGTCGTTTGTTTCTTACAACACAACAATTGTGATATATTTCCAATAGCAAATATATTCGGTTTAAAACCAGCCACGTGCTATATATTTGGAATATTTGCTAGTATTTACAAAGATGACTGAACTCAAAGCTGCCGTTGCCGAGATCGCCGAGCAGTTCGCGGTGTCGCAGGAGAAACTCCAACAAGGAGTGGATCTCTTCATCGAGCTTGCCGACAGAGGCCTTGCCTCTGACGAGGATGTTCACGGGCTTCCCATGATTCCCACATATGTTAACACGATTCCAACTGGCTCCGAGCGTGGAATCTACCTTGCTGCCGATCTTGGAGGAACCAACTTCAGAGTGTGTTCTGTCACGCTTGCTGGAGACCACACCTTCAAGCTTGTTCAGTCCAAGAACCCAATTCCAGTTGACTTGATGTCTGGTTCTGGAGAAGAGCTTTTCAGCTATCTGGCTTCGAAAGTGGCCAGTTTTGTTACCGAGCACCACGAGGCCAAGGAGACCGATGAAAAGTCCAAGTTCAAGCTCGGATTCACGTTCTCCTTCCCTGTGACCCAGTCGAGTCTGAACTCGGGAACCCTGTTGAGATGGACCAAGGGCTTTGATATCCCAGACCTGGTGGGAAAGGACATTGTTTCTGTCTTCCAGGGCCAACTGGACAAGCAGAACGTTCCCGTTGACGTTGTGGCCCTTGCCAACGATACCGTCGGAACATTGCTCTCCAGAGCTTACTCCTCGGGTGCTGTTGCTGGTGGTAAGCAGGGAGACACCCTGATCGGTGCCATTTTTGGTACCGGTACCAACGGAGCCTACCCAGAGGACATTGACAACATCAAGAAATTGCCTGCCGATGTGGTGAAAAGTCTGAAGGCCAAGGGTGTGACACAGATGGTGGTGAACACCGAATGGGGTTCATTTGACAACAAATTGCAGGTTCTGCCAAACTCGAAGTACGATGTTGCCGTTGATGCTCTCACCAGCAATAAAGGATACCACATGTTCGAAAAGAGGGTCAGTGGAATGTTCCTCGGTGAGATTTTGAGACAGATTCTCATTGACTTCCACCAAAAGGGTCTTATCCTGAGACAATATCCTACCTTTGACAAATTGCCACATCGTCTTCGCACGCCTTGGGAATTGGACTCGGAGGTGCTGTCGCTGATGGAGATTGACGACTCCTCGAGTCTCAAGGCCACCGAGCTCACTCTTAAGCAGAACCTCAGACTGCCAACCACAGAAGAGGAGCGTCTTGCTATCCAGGACCTCACACGTGCGATCTCTAAGAGAGCAGCTTATTTGGCTGCCATTCCTCTCGCTGGAATCCTTGTCAAGACCGGTGCCTTTGAAAAGGGAGTCCATAAGGAGATTGATGTCGGTGTCGATGGCTCCGTGGTTGAATTTTACCCTGGCTTCAGAGCCATGATGAGAGATGCTCTGGCTTTGACTCAGATCGGAGACAAGGGTGAGAGAAGGTTGCACATCAACATTGCCAAAGATGGTTCTGGTGTTGGTGCGGCTCTGTGTGCTCTTGACGGTGCCTAATGGGTACCCAGCCGGTCTGCGATCACTAAGCTCACCCTCACTTCTGTATAACTTAAACTAGACTATGTCGAAAAACTATTTAAGATTTGCCCATTATAGAGGACGTGAAAAGTAGGTCTAGTTTGATGGGTAGTACACGCCCTTTTTGGCAGATTCCCCGAGGAGTCTTGTGATAAGTGATGTGTGCAGACTTAACACGCTTACTTACCGAATTCGCATCACAAGGGCTCGAAAGGTCACATGCTTTGGCCAATATCCGTGTCGCAGGTCATAAAGCTGCCGGAACTGCCGAGTCCAAAGCCCGGCTCCCAGCAGGCTTCCTATAAACCGCATCCACATCTGGATCCGATAAGACAGGTTTGCCAAAACAAGCGCAACAACCCGTTTGTTGCAATCACATACAGGTCGATATTTCTGTTCAATTACAAAGTAAGCTTTGCGTGTGTTTTGATTGTACATTTTGGCTTGGTTTTACTGACTTTTCTTAGACAAATGCTGCTATTGGAGCCCATGTGAGGTCTGAAGAGTCTCTTGAAGCTCTTGGCGAGAACGTTCATGTCGAAAGGTCCCAAGATGGATCGAAATTCGTCGTTGAGACGGGGAAAAACTTTCTGCTTATATACACCATTTCCACAAATCCAGAAAATTCCAATGGGACCAGTTTGGAGGAGACACTCACGGTGTTTGGTGAGTCCCAGAACAAGATGCTTCAGAACGGATATATATTGGACCTGGATGATACCAAGAACGTCCAGTCGTATTTCAGCTCGATATTCGGAAACAACGTGCCGATGTTTCCAAACCACGATCACACTTTGCGAATACGGCTGGTACTAAAAATTCAGTCGAAGTTGTTGGACTACTTCCTTCTGGATAAGCAGAGACTGATCATCTTCACTAAAGAACCGCATGCCATCCAGATTGTGAACTTGGGCGAGACCAAGGAGGACGGGAAGCATATAGAAGTGCACCAGTTTGACGATTTGGAGTGGTACTCCGATAAAGAGGCCTTGGTGAAGAAGTGTGTGTTCAATCCGGCGCTGGGGCTGTTCCTGATCATCAACGATAAGAATGAATGCTGGCTTTGTTTGCTCAAAGAAGGTCCCCAATTTGAAATACAAGGACAGAAGATTGTCTTGAACACAGATTCGGAGATTATAGACGCAGTCATCAACGAGTATTACAGTCTGTTGACCGTGGCTACAAGAGACGGTCAACTGTTCATCTACAAACTTGCCCATGGCGGCATCCAATTGGTCCGCAGGGTCAAGAAACACATTCATTCTGATGATCTGATTTCGATAAACCCCGTTGGCTCGGAAAAACAGTGCGTTCTGGCACTGTTCGAAAAAGGTTGGAACCTCTACTCCAGACTGGGCAATCTGAACTTCTCCACCTTTGATTACGACAATCTCTCCTCTGTTCCTGACATCAACTGGTGTTCCTCGCTGGTTGATGGACAATACTCTCACAATCAAGAGCTGATCTTTGCAAGCAAGCATCGGTTGTTTGTCGTTGAGCTAGCTGCGCTTAACCACTCCCGAAATTACAACTCCATTAATTTCAGAAGACCGTTGATAGTGAGGAAAGACACTGTTTCTGTGTTCAAGGGATACGACAAGGCGCTTATAGATTATCACTCCAACTTCGAAGACATGGATTTCTCAAAAGATACGAACCTGTGGATCAACTTGGAGTTGCCGGAAAGGTTCAAGCTGACAAACCTGGATATAGTGGCTTCTTCCGTGAACGACGATGGGAACTGTCTGTGCATAGTGGGCGATTCCAACACGATCGTCCACAATCTCACCAAGAACAGGTGGAAAGAGCTGATTGGGCTCAACTACAATCCGGTCACAGAGTCTGGCAAAAATCTGGTGGTCAATTGCCTCTGGTGGCAGGGCTTTCTGTTCCTGGCAGTAGCCAACTACAGGCAGGACCAGCTGGTTTCCGAGATTGTTGTATATTCTCCAAACATATTCAACAATGACGAATATTGCGATGACCACATTGTGTGGAGGTTCAACCTCAATGAGACCAAGGTTGGCGAGCAATTCTTGCTGTTTGACATTGACACTTTCACGGACGAGTTGATTGTTCTGACGACGCAGTTGAACTGCTACTGCTGGAAAATTTCGCACGAGGCCAACAAAATTACGATCAAGAGAACTAGGGCATATCAATTGAAGGACAGTTTTGTCAATCTGGCCAACATGTTTCACATCAAGTGTATATCGCGAGTGGGAGAAGACGACCTGCTGATGCTCGTCAAGGGTTCGCTTTATTACATCAAAAAGGCAGCTGGTCGCTCCAAGACGATTTATCAGCGTTTCACTCTTCTGGAGAACGTTGAGTATTACCAACGCCCTTCAGCAGACATACTGCTTGCTTTCAATGGCCACAAGACTCTCTACTACGATATTGCTCATGGCAGAGATCTCAACGACTTGGAGCCCGTCTCCATCCAATGGCAATCAATGGGCGGAAACGAGCGTGACGATGAAGTCGAAGCCAATGCTACCATGCCTTATCCCATAGTTGCAATTCCCGAGAAAAGACTCATTCTTGGGCTCGAGGTGGACATTTCCCGAATTGGCGTAGTGGATGTACAGGACACAGTTGACGAAAGCATGCAGGTAATAAAGCTGTCCACAGTCAAGAAGAACTATCTGGTGAATTTGGTTGACTATTACGTGATGCTGGCCGTTCAATTAGGAGACGCAGACAAAGGCTCGTTGGAAGAGGTTTACAAGAACTTTCACAGATACAAGCACTTCAACTTCTGTTTGGAACTACTGCTGTTGAACCATATTGTGGACGGGAAACAATCAGACGACAACGAGGATATCACGGATTTGGTGATAAAGGACCGTTATTTCCAAAAGTTGAACGAGTTGATTGCTCTGACCAAGTTCAAACACTCCATCTACCTCAACTTCTTAAAGAAAGTGGAAAATCAGAATTGGATCAGATTTTTCGACAAGGTCGGGGAAACTCCAAGAGACATGCTCCAGGAGATTCTGGACGACAAGAACTACAAATTAGCAGCTCATTTTCTGATCGTGGTGATGAACTTTGAAAAGGAAGACGACTCGGTGATCAGTCTGCAAGATCAAGAGATCCTCTTGGAGATCCTGAATAAGCTTGTCATCTATAAGGACTACGGGACTTCCTTTGAGCTCCTGAGGTTTATCAAGATTGTTGATGATAAACTATGTGATTCCATAACTAAAAAGTTGCTGGTCAAGGATAAATAAAGACGATTGTGTGGGAAAGCCTCTCGTTGAATTTGACACTTCGTTCTATGTTTTTTTCGTTCTTATTTCTCGTGATCTTTCCCTTGTATTCCTCTAATCAGAACCCTTCAAGAACTTGTCCACAAAGGTATCATTCTTGGTCTTATCATAGTAGGTGTGAGGGTTCTCGAAGTACTGCATAACATGGCACTGTTGCTTCCAGAAGTTGACCAGCTCTTGGAATTCCATTTGGGCCTTCATGAATAGCACGTTTTGCACGGGCAAATCCTTCACAAATCTCTGTCTCTCGAACTCCTGTCTTATCTTGGTCTTCACCTGTGAAGCTGGTATGTCCAAATCGTAACTGTTCACGAAGTCCCTCGAATGTCTGAGGTATCTTCTGTACAGGTTCAGCACCCTGATGCGCATCTCCGGTTGGGAGAGCGTATATTTTGTGGTCTCTGCAAAGGCGGTAGCGACAGTCATTATTGGTCAGATATCGGATAACTGAAGTATCGTATACACCACAGTTCAGTCGCTAATGGCTTACGACAAATAAAATGGGCTCTTCTAATTTGTTGGTTTGATACATTTGTCGGGGGACGACCTTTTTATATTTTGTGTGGTGCACGCAACAAACGTTTAGCAGGATTCAGGAACGATAAGATAACAAAACCTGTTTGCAGTTTCCATACAATCGCTTTGCTGTACGGCTGATTGTGACCAGATTTTAGATGGATTGCTCAATTTACGAAAACCCAACGGTGATTGGGTTTGCCTCCTCGGTGCTATTTGCATTCGCCATCTTCTTATCGTACCTGCCACAGCATCTGCTTATCATCAGCAGAAGGACCTCCGAGGGACTGTCACCAATATTCCTCTTGCTGGGATCCGCTTCTGGAATTTCATCTCTTAGCAACTTGATTCTTGTCACTTATCCAGGCAGAGTTTGTTGCTCGGTTATCTCCCGTTTTGGATGCCTGAGCTCGCAACTAGGGTTGCTCCAAGTTGGAGTCCAATCAATATCATACTGTTTGATACTGGTGTTGTGTGTGGCGCTCGCTCAGGATAACTCCGCAAAGCGCAAGCAACTTCTGTTGGTCTACAGAGTGTTTTGGGTATATACACTAATCAGTTTTGGTGCTGTGGTGTATCTTCTGTACTTTCAGAATGAGAGCTTTTCAAGCCTGTTATGGTTTGCCAACTTCTGTGGAATTTTGTCCTCAATACTGGGAGGAGTGCAATATTTCCCACAAATTGCCACCACCTACAAGCTACAACATGCGGGCACATTGTCCATATCCATGATGTTCATGCAAACGCCAGGAGGCTTTCTGTGGAGTTTCTTGCTGTATAGCCAACCCGGTTCCAGATGGAGTTCGTGGCTGCCGTATCTTACAGCTGCAATTTTGCAATTGGTGCTATTGATAATGTGTCTTTATTACAGGCACTTCACTATCGTCGAGAGTGAAATAATACAGGAAATAGCAGAGGATATGGTTGACGAGAGAACTCCATTGGTTTGAGACCCCAGTCACTCCACTTATCTGGACAACATTCAAAAGATCCTTTGGCTTTATTAGACTAACTATACACTCACTGTCTTCCAAACGTTCAACCCATCGGTACCAACGCTGCAAAGAGTACCAGGGATCTGTTTGTGCCAACGGACATCCTTGACATCTTTCTGCCAGTGCACAAACATCAATTGAGCTGGAATATCCTCCAGCTCTTTGGTCTCCTGTCTCTGTTGTTCGATCTCTTCATCGTCAGCTTCCACAGCAAGATCCCACAGGGTGACAGTATTGTCTTCACTCGAAACAGCGACGATGCTCTCGTCCAGTGGGTTGAATTCGATCGAGGTGATCGCGGACTTGTGGAAGTCAAAGCTGACAACTGGCGAGTAAGTTTCGGAATTGGGCTTGAACTGCCTCAAGTCCCAAACACCCCACGAACCATCGTCATGACCAGACGCAATCAGATAGTCAATTTTATTACACCACGACAGCACATTCACGTCAGTAGTTGAAGCCTTGCAATTGATAGCAGGCTTGTGTTTCTTTGATCTGATATCCCAGATCCGTATGTACCCATCTGTACCTCCTGTAGCAAACACGGTCTTTTCGTTCCTCGACCATTGTATGTCCTCGATGGACGCCTGCGATGCCTGGTACTCGAACTTCTCTGTGACCCACTTGGAAGTTGTTCTCTGAGTATGGTACACTCTTCCTGACATATCACCAGATAGTAACGCACCGGTTTGCACCAGTGGAGACCAGTCCAAACCATAACCCTCTACGTTACCGTGGTTCCTGATTGTGTGGATGGCTCTTTTGTTTGGCTTGGGGATCATGTAGCCTGGCGAATCAAAGGCCTTGAACTGTGGTGATATGTCGAAGATGTTTACATCTCCGTTCTCAGACATGGTTGCGGTCAAGTACTCGCCAGTCTCTGCTGCGAATGGTGACACCCTCAGTCTGTTTGTGGTGTCTTTCAATGCAATCGTCTCACTTTCCAGGATTGGATCATAGTCCACATCATCGTCTTCCTCTTCGTCATCGTCATCGTCTTGATCGTCCTTTACAAGGGTTTTGGCCAAAGATGAAAGTTTCATGATGATAAGCTCGTTGTCCTTGCTTCTCTTCGCCTGGGTAGCTGTGGCCAAGTACACGGAGTGTGGCCAGCTTCTTCTCTCAGCACCAAGAGTGTCTGGAAGAACATCAAGCGTCATACAAGGCCATGGAAGGTTCATTCTGTGCAACATCTCGTACACAGTTGGATCTGGTTCCAGCATCTCATCCGGACCTAAAGGTCTTGATTTATGGGGAAGATACAGAGTGTTCTGCTCTTCTTCTTCTTGCTGTCTTTCCTCGTCTTCTGCAATTTGGTCGAGGTCCTGGCCATCGCCTTCTCCATCGGTGTCTATCTCCACTATTTCTCCGTCGCTCTCAATGTCATCGCCGTATGGGTCTTCAAACTCACCCATTTCCACGTCCTGTTCCTCGTCTATGGACCGATCTGGGTTAAACCCGTCATCGGTATGCTTAGCAATCTGACTCTTTTCAGAGTCATCGTGATGTTCACCAGCACGCTTTGACATTGTTTGGTGAGAGTTGCTTCGTGGAGAAACAAGAGGCTTGATCATACAAAGATGTTTTGGAAAAAAAAAAAAATTAGTATCAGGAGTCACGTGATTGTGTGGTGCACTAAAAATGGTTTGCCTATCTTTCAGACAAGAGAGTTCCTTCACCAACGCATTAACTACACGTCATGCTCTATGGATCGTAAGAGTTTCTTGGATCAAGAGGCTCCCGTCGGGTATGTTGCTGGTCTCGGCCGTGGAGCAACAGGCTTCACGACGCAGCAGGACATAGGAGACGCCAGACTAGAGTTTACGAACATCGAAGACGGATACGACGATAAATACCAGGATGTGTCGGGTGATGAAGCAGGTTTGTTGGGAGACGACCAAGTAGATGAGAGTGACTTGATTTATGAGTCTATTGAGGCCAAATTAAGAAACAAAAAGAGAAAGAGGAAAGGTGGTGATGAAGAAGTGGCCTTGAACAATGAAGGTGAAGATGTGTCTTCATCCATAAGCGCGATAGGGCTGCAATTCCAGGATCTGAAAAGGGACTTGTCTCAGGTGGATAGAGAACAGTGGCTCAATCTTCCTGAATCTGGAGATTTCACAAGGAAAAATAAGAGGTCCAAGATGTTGTTGCAGGAACAACAGCGATTCTACCGTGCTCCTGATAGTGTGATTGGAGGCGACCAGACGATGAACTCCGAGGAGACTGATCTCAGGAAGATTCAGCTTGCAAAGGACAGATTATTGGAGTTAAAGCTGGATAATAGCCAGTTGGCTGTTGGTAATGGTAATGCCTTCAATACTGGTCAGAACTTGGATTCCTCAAAGTACCTGAATGACCTCTCGTTGATAGAATATAGACCACAGGAGGTTGGTGACTACCAAAGGATGAAGCTTGCGCTGGCAAATTTGCGAAAGGTTGAGCCCAAAAACGGAAACGTTTGGATCTCGTCAGCCAGACTGGAGGAACAGTTCAAGAAGTTCAAAAGTGCAAAAAGCCTGATTTCCCAGGGTTGTCAGGTTTGCGTTCATTCTGAGGATGTGTGGCTTGAAAATGTTAGGCTTAATCTTTCAGATATTGCAGTTGCTAAGTCAATTGTAGCCGAGGGTCTGCGATTCAACTCAACCAGTTTTAGGTTGTGGTTCCAGGCATACATGTTGGAGTCGGCGGAATTAAACAAGAAAAGAGTGCTCCAGAAAGCGCTGGAGAATATTCCCGACAATGCTGTCCTTTGGTTTGAGCTTATTAAGTATCAGGACGATGATGGAGTCATTAGACTGTTGCAAAAGGCCGTGGAGCTGATACCCAACGAACTCTCGCTTTGGTTGAAATTGATTTCTGTCTCACCCTACGATGAAGCCAAAGCATTGCTCAACAAATCACGCAAGCAATTTGGCGAATTGAAAGAGATCTGGATGAAGGCCTTCCAACTGTGCGAGAAGTTCGACCCATCTCATTTGCCAGGCTTGGTAACGAGAGGTGTTTCCAAAGCGAGCGACCCCGCCATCAATTGGCTAGAGGGACTTGATAATGAGTACCCTGAAACATGCAAGCTACTTATATCGACTGTTGAGGTGACAGTAGAGGAACTGGCTAAGCTGGTGGAGACTTATAAGTCAAAGGACGAACATGACATAGTCAGGTTATTGTACCAAGAGCTCAGCAGGAAAGACGCAGATTATTGGGAGGACTATCTCGAGTTTGAGCAAACGAATGGAAGTCTTGCCGACCAAGATGCTTGCTACAAGGAGCTGACCTCTACTCAGCCACAATGCATGAATTATTTAAGATACGCCAAATTCAGATGGCAGGAACTTGGTGATCTTGAAGCCACGGCAGAGACGTTGTACAGTTGTCTTTCGCAGTTCCCTGATGATGAAGAAGTATACTTTGCCATAGTTAAGTTTGAAAATTCACGTGAGAACTGGGCTGAAGTGGAGGATACCTTGGTGAAAGCACTGGACCGACTAGGCACAGAAAGAAGCTACTACAAACTGGTTAACTTCTACAGGTGTAACGACAATGTTCCAGAAGCATTAAAATTAGCCAACGAAGGCCTGACAAAATACCCACAGAGCTGGAAGCTTCATCTGCAGAGGCTGCAGATGCTGCAAGGTGATGGTGGAGTTGATGCATACGAAGACGCAGTTAGCCAATGCCCTCATAGTGTGCCCATATGGGTCGCCTACTCCAGATACTACGAATCCAAGAACATCACCATCAGGGCCCGATCAATTTTGGAGAAGGCTGAGATTCTTAATCCGCAAAATGAGGCTCTGTTACTGGAACAGGTGATGCTTGAGAGTAGGACCAGTGGACCAGGCCAAGCTCAGTTCAAGTTAGTGAAAAACCTCAAGAGCTTACCCAATTCACCAAAGCTGCTGGGGCTACAATTGCAATTTCTCGACACCAAATCCAAGCGGAAACAGGCGTATATCAGCGATCTGAAACTCACCCAGGAAGACTCTGTGGTCATTCTGGAAATTGCAAAGTCGCTCTGGCTGAAAGATGCCAATGTCGGAAAAGCAAAATCGTTCTTCGACATGGCACTTTCCAAAGATGAATATAATGGCGATGTCTATGGATGGTACTACCTGTTTCTGACAAAACACGGCGACGAAGAAGAAAAAGAGCACCTCTTGGACAAGTTTGTGAAAGCCGAGCCGTTTAGAGGTGACTCTTTCAACGCTTTCAAGAAACAGATTGCCAACCAGAGAAAGACACCGCAGGCTCTGTTGATTGAGTTTGTTACGCAAATCTCAAAGCACTAGACAGACTTTTATATATATAACCCTGTAAATTGAGTGTACATTATGATGTCGTAGCCAAACTCCCGTTAGCCCAGACGCATGACTCTGGTGATGACTCTGCCCCGGCCTGAGCACTATGGTTATGCAGCCCCGATCTGTATATCCCGCGTTTTTGGCCCACACCCCCACCCGACCGTTTTTTTCCAGCGAGTTTACATAGTTAAGCCGCTTTTGGCGCATGCGTTATCTGTAGCAATAAAAAGTGTGATTTTTGCCCAGATCCTCCCTCCAATTCATGGACTCTGAACACAAACAAGGGTTAACAGTCCTGTTATTGTCTCTTATCCCAAGATACCAATGAGTTGGCAAAACAGCTCGATATCGAGACTACTGTCTAACAAAGATGTAAGTAGGGACCAAGAAGGAGCCCCGCTCGCGGTACCCCTCCGTCTATCAGACGAAGAAGGGCCTGGTAATTCACCAAGTATACTAACTGATTTCAGATCAAATACCTTTTTCGGAGCTATGCGTTGGTTCCGATTGGAATCATCCTTTATCTGATGATATTATACGGGATTCAGAGGATCATACAGGTGATAGGAATACGATTTCCCTCTTCTGTGTGTCTCATGTTGATCCAATTTATAGGGTTGTCTCTTCTAGCTCTCATTTTTGGAGAGAAAAAAATTGAGGTTGTGTTGAAAGTGCTGGAGGTTCCTTGTGGATTCAGTTTGCGGTGGATGAACGTTTATTTCATACCCGCGTTCGTGGTGCTTCCTCTCAGCAAGCACATTGGAGTCGGAGGTGCTTTTACTATCTGCGGTATATTCGTGATAGGTTATTTAGCCATGTTTGCTCTAATTGCATATTTGACGCTCGGACTTGAGATCGTTCAAAATTATTTGGCGGGTAAGATTAGCAAGAGAAAGACACCCACAGACTCGGAGTCTGGAGCCCAGGAATCGAAGCAGGAGTTGAAACCGGAATTCAAAGCTGATTCTAACGGAACTATCCCGGAATTGGATTCGGCAACGACTACGGCTTCTGAGGAATCACAGGATATAGCAACAGACTTGGAAAACCACATAGAAGGGGAAGCGTTAATGGAGCAACTCACGCAGATAGACCAGATCGATACCAATGCGGCCGTTGACAGGTTTAGTCGCACACACGGAGTTGTCGTCAGAAATTTGTGTCAGGTGATTGACTGGAGTCTTTACACGATCTGCTTCATTGTTGGAATCGTTGTATATTTCACCACGGGCTATGAGTTGCCGTATCAACTGGGGGTGACTGTTCTTTTGTTCAAGACGTGCATGTTGATCCCACCTCGTTGGAGACGTTTTGCACACCCGATCTTGATTTCGTTTGCTGTTGAGCTGTTGATAATTCTGATATTCACCGAAATTAGAGGCCAAGGATTTTTGGATAGTCTGAGGGATTACAAGACGGGAAGAACGTATCTTCATCTCTTTGATGGAAAGAACTATCCTAAGCTGCCTGGATGTGGTGATCTGCTAAGTTCTTTAATGGACGTTTCTATCGTGTCCCTCTCCATTCCCATGTATCGCTATCGGATGGACCTCAAGAAGAATTTCTTGGTTTTGACTGTTCCAATCCTCGTCTGTGCCGCCATATGTTTCTTCTGCTATCCTCCTATAGTTAGCAGACTGGGACTCTCTGATTCCATGGCACTCGGCTTCACCGGGAGATCTGTCACACTCGCGCTGGGGACCCCTCTGGTTGCCAACCTCGGTGGTAATCAGAGTCTTATGGCTTGTTCTACTGTCATAAGTGGCATTATCGGGGTCATCAGCGGTGAGGCCATGCTGAAGCTGTTGAGATTGGACTCAGATATGGTTGAAGGTGTGACTCTAGGGCTCAACTGCGGTGCCGTTTCCACCTCGCATTTGCTTACCGTAAATCCAAAGGCTGCCAGTGTTTCTTCGCTGAGTTTCACGTTGTTTGGAACTGTGATGGTTATTTGGTCATCCATCAATCCATTAGTGAGAACAATCAAAGACCTGTTGGTTTGACATGCAGGACTTGCATCTTGAGGAAGATGGGGGGATTGATTGAGTAAGTGACCCTGGCGACATCACTTTGATCTGCATATTGCATATAATTGAAGATACTGTATAATATTATGTTGCGAAGCTTGTTTAATGGTGCATGTAGCGACAGACGTATGCCGTTTCCTGCATGAATGTTTGCGGGGCAGTGTAGGTGGTGGTGCGACTTTCAGGACCAGCCGGAAACTCTGTTTATTGTAACGGGCGTTCTCGATTTCCATTCTTGTGCCTTCTACGTAAATATTGAATGTCTTTGACACGCCACTCTTGTTCTGCTTCGTACAATATCGACAACTCGAAAAGAGGAGCAGTAACTTTCAAAGTTGCTTGGCATAATATAAACATCAACTGTTCCAAGTGCGGTAAAGGAACTGCTTCTGCACAAATCAAATGAGTTCTAGTGCGTGCCATGAAGACGCGACCTCATATAATACCATTCATGATCTCAAAGCCAGAAGATTGATCGACAAATTCACTGCACAATATGTCTGAATCTAGTAATATACTTGGTACATTGAAAAGAATAAAACAAACTGCATATGAAATGTATGTTACTTGTTCCTGCTATGAATTACCCCGAAACATGCAGTTACAGACGCGACTGGCGACGCTGGTCTACAAATCGTCCGGGTTTCACACTAGAAATTCGAACGAGAATTCTTGAATCAAAACGTCTCCAGTCGCAAATTCACCCTTTTTGGTCATTAAACTGTGATGCAGGCGGTTATCTTAGTCGTCAGGACTAAGTCGGGTACGTGCAGACACTAAAGAGGTCATTCCTTTTCGTTCTCAGTAACCCCGAGGTTAAGAACAAGTTGGTTTTAACATGAAACGCGCACAGAAAAAGATACGTTATCAGAGAAGAGTACAAAAAATTTCCAGCTCGCATTTCCAACTAAATTCTACAAAGCCTTGTTCGTTTGTGAAAGCGCTCGTTACATGCTATGGAGCCGCAAACTTGGTTTGCGTTACCCCCACGCGAGTCAGTGGCTGCGCCTCCAAGCGCAACCACCAAGAAGAACAATACTGGTAGCAAGTTTATCTATGGACAGTTAGCATGCCCGTAGCATCCAATATCTCAATACTCGAAATTTCAACTTGCCATCAACCATGAGTTATATGCAAATTGCCGAGCCGGTGAGTGCGCATGCCAAAATGGCCCGCTGAGCCGGAAATTTCTTGCCCCTCCCCCTCACCCTCCACAAATATCTGGGGAAGCGCATGCATGCACCCTAAAAACGGAAGACGTCTTTCTCGCAGCACCGGGCTTGACGCAACATTTGCTCAGCAAGGCCTCTCATTGGCTGCATATGGTCATCACTCTTAGTCGTAGCATTTAATGGGCGTTTCTTTTTGGGTGATTTTGCTAATCCCCCTCGGTCGGTTTGTCCAATGAGAGATCCGGTCACTCTGGTCTGTTGGGCTTTCCCACAAAGGGTTTTTAATAACCCTAAACTGCCTGAACACAGTTCATCCCCCTTTTCTCACCTTCTTTCTAAACCAACAACTCGCTTGTTTGCTGCAATCCTGCTGTTATCTGTGCCTATTGTCCCCATAAAGCAGATTCATTTACCCCATATCCCAGAACAATTACCCGCTTTGATCGCAATGCAGTAAGTATTCAGTATTCATACCCCACACTTCTCCACCTTGTGTTTACGTTTCGCTTCACTGAGCTGTCACTGCTCAAAACTCCCATTGCTAAGACACATGCGGAAGAATAATCCATGCCTCGGAGTACTAACAGTTATGCAGTGTGATAACGCTTCCTACAGGCCAGAAGAGAATCAACCAGGCTTGCGACAGGTGTAGGGTCAAAAAGATCAGATGTGATGGTCAACTTCCATGTGGAAACTGTCAGAAAGTTCACTACAAGTGTGCTATAAGTGATAAGCTGACGAGAAATTCGTTTCCAAAAGGTTACACCAAGAATCTGGAGAGAAAAATCATTGACCTGGAAAATGAGCTCATGGAATGCCAAAGATATCAACGCCCGGTCAGACTGGAAACTGTTGACTCACAGCTCAGGTTCACTAGATGTACTTTTGAAGAATTCAAGGTGAATCTTTTTGATCTGGACTCTGGCTTTTCCAGATTTTCTAGCCGGTTCGGATACTTTCCGTTCACTAAGTTGGACACTAAGCTTTATAAATTGGTCTTGATGAGATTTGAGGACCCAAACTCGATTCCGCTGTCCAAGCTCGGATTTTTGTCGCAGGACTTTGTGATCTCGCCTGACTCGCTAGACGAGATATGTCTTCTATTATTCCACTTGGTTTTGTGGGAGTTGCCTAACCCTGAGATTCTGAATTGGATTTCCCAGCTTTTGTCGTTTGGAAAGGCACTCATATTTTCGCTAGACGTTGACAATGACCATTTCTTTATTTTCAACTCGCTGCTCCTTTGGTTCAACCGGACTCATGATTTGGATATGAAACTTCCACGGAGAAAGGAGACTGCGGAGTGGTTTGAAGACTACGAACTTGCACTGCAAGCCTACAATCCCGTGTTTGGATCGATTTCTCTGCAATTCGCAGACTCTGCCATCAAGGTCGACCATTACAGTTCTCAGACTGAGCTCAGATGTAGACTGGATTTGCAGAATGTGGAGCAAGTGAAGAACGAAGACAGCAAACTCAACAAACTCTGTCAAGATTTCAGACTCAAGTATGGTATATCTGAAGGACCCATTGCAACGCACAAAGTCCGTGCTCCCAGGACCTCACCACCACCTCAAAAATTCACCCACCAACTCACAGATATCACTTGCAAAAAGGAAGATGACGATTTTGACCTTCATTCTTTTGGAGAAACCCACTTTGATGACTTGGATATCTTTAAATGGAACGAACCAAAGGATACGTTCAGTCTCCATCTCAATACAGATGTTCCCAGCAGAAGAACCACCAGTCTGCCCAGTCTGAGCGAGGACGATTCCACCCTCTCGTCAAGGTCAGAAGAGACCCCGTCCTTGTTTGGCAGACCAACGTTAAGTGACGGCTTCAAGGATGGTTTCAAGCAGACTTTCAAAGAAAGCTTGCTGGAGACTTTTGCTCAATCATTGACCTCCAATAAGCTGAATTCTATCCAAACGGTTGATATGAACGATATTCACGCGCAAAAGTGTGATGATATTTTGGGCCTTGGTGATTACGAAGACCTCAGAAATTTGAAGAAGAAGGTTTTGAACTTGTGAAATTTAAGTTTTACCTCATGACATCTTCATTCTGCTCACGATATTCATGCCATGCTCATTATTTTCTTCATGCTCACCACGCTCACCATGCTTGCCATGCTAACACAATATTCACAGAACATCCCACACGCATCTCTTTTTTTATATTTATCCACGGTCTTTCTACTGCTTGCGCCTATGCATTTGATTTATGCCCATTGTCACAACTCGGGTAACCTTTTTTGCTGGTCTTACGCTGAGTCATCTTTGTACGGTTATTTTTTGTATTGGTAAATACTGGTATTTCACAACTTTAAAAAAAATTTGGTATTGGATTCACTCTTCTTCCTTTAATCCTTTTCTTATCTCCCACTTGTTGTGGCTCACGACCACCCATCTCAAGAGAAGATGGAACAGATAAGCAAACGACCCCAAGGCTCTGAACAATGCAAAGCCGAACACACTCCACAGGATCGTCATAAGATAGCCATTAGTCTTAATAGATCCTGGCTTGTACACCTGGGTGACAGTCATGATCAACACCAAGTTCAAGATCAGCCAAATGAGCACGACACGTGATCTCAGGTCCCGGTAATAGTCCTCGTCACTTGGTGGTGGTGCTTGGACGAATCCTTCACGCATTTTCAAAGGCTGCTTTCTTCTCTCCTTCAGTTTATAGAGAACCTCGGCGTAGATTGAGTCGATATCTCTCTGATCACCAACGATGTCCACCTTGATGACCTCCTCTCCACTTTCGGTCTGGGTAATGATGGCACTGCCCAGGTTGGTTTTGGGGTTGTTCTCTCCCTTAGTACCCCAGGACACATCGTGAGTGTTGCAGAAGGCATAAATTTGCAGCAGACATGTGTAACTGGGAAGAAGCATGAAATATTGTGGAGCGGACGAAAGGAGATGCCAAGGGTCCAAGTACACAATACTCATCAGAACGTACAGTCCATAGGTGGAACCCAGAGAAACAACGATGTTTGCGAACGAAAGACCACTCACTTCACCAAGACTGTGGGCCTTGATCAATTGACACATGTACACAAAGCCACTGATAATTGCAAATGACCCACAGAATGTCAAAACAATCACAGAGAGCATGTATAACTTGGGGGCTCCCTGTGGTCTGTTTCCCATAGAGATCACGAACATCGAGGCCAGGCAGCACATGCAGATGTAGTTCATGATCTGAAAAATCCAGAACCCACCATTGTTAGGAATTGACTCGTTGGTGGACAATGATCCTACCATATAGTAGAATGCCAGATAGAAATTTGCAACCGAAAAAATCGAGAATAAAGTGGTGAGGAACTGGTATATGAACTCGATATGAAAGAAGAACTTGCGCATAGCAGAGTGATCAGTTTTCCATATACTTCTGAAATGGAGTTGAGAATAAATAGCTGCAAAAAATGCTCCGTTCAGCCATCTTCTTCTCTGTGAAATAAATTCCGATAAAGTCTCGGGCACATCAGTCTCACCTTTCGCTGCTCTGACGTACTTCAAGACCCACTTGGCATCTCTCTTAGAGACCAATTCCCACGCCAGAATTCTGTCTTCGGCCAAATACATGTTTGCAGTAAAGATGTCTGACTTCTCGTCACTTTGGTAGCCTCTTTCTCCTTTAAAGTAGGAGTGGAGTGGTCCTGTGCCATCTTCGTGGTTTTGAAGAGCACTGTATCTGTATGCAGACAGAGCACCAGGCAGAACACTGATGTAGCCGTACACTGACTCGCACGGTTTGTCCAAAATATTGGACATTTTATACTCAAAGTTCTGGGATGCAACGATTGGGTTCAGCAGGTTTTTCCAGTATTTTCCCTTCATAGTCAAAATCTCACCTGCCGCACCTGCTACGTTCGAATCCAGATCGAACGACTTCCACAGATGATAAATGGCGGAATCATGTGGAACGGTACCAACGTCCAGCAAAATGCACACATTGGGCTCCAGTATTGGGCAAACACCATTGAACAACCAGCGATGAGAATTGATTTTTTGGGCATTCTTCTCTTTCATGCAGAAGACGATCTGCACAGGAACGAGTCCCTTTTCGTCACTCTGGAACACGAGATTCTCGTCGATGCTCAATTGGGTGGTATATTCGAACATGTGACAGTTGACAGGCTTACTGTTCACAAAAGACTTTGCAATGCCCTCTTGATAAACACCAATAGCTGACAAGAGTTCAAAAACACCCGGCTTCACCTTGGTGCGGCCATCTGCAATGATCATGACCACGATTTTCTGCCATGAATTAGCACCCCACGTGGAACTCTGTTGTCTTTTCTGCAAATATGCAATATTCTTGAACACAGCATGGAGAGTTCTGGCCAGAGCAACCTCGTCTTCATTGTACATGGTGATGGCAATCAACAGTTCTGTGGACCGGTTCATCTCCTTTGCACGAATGTTGAAGCCGGACTCCTCGAATTCGTCGGGTCCAGAAGTGACAGCAGAGTATCTCATATATTCAAATTCATCTGCGCTCTTCTGGGGCAAGAACTTGGCCAATGTTGAGGGAATTGGGTTATCCAAGACCAGATTACCGTTTTTGGAGTGGAAGGTCTTCTGGGTCACCTTGATCTCTCTTCTTGGCTGGAACTCAGTAGGCACATCTTCAAACATATGGCCATCTAGCGAGGACGCAAACTTGTTCATGGCATCCTCATCATCTCCAGCAGTTGTAGTTGCATCGCTGAAAACAGAGGCTGCAAAATCGCCCTTCTCCTTGAGATACCCGTTGGTGGCATAGGTGTCTTGGGAGGAGTAAGAAGCAGTCTGGTGCAAGTCCAAGGGCTGGTCGTGATTGGCTGCGGCAAAAGTTGATGCGGAGAAAATTGGCTTGGGAGGTGGCAACACTCTCGAGCTTTTGTCGGATCCCACTGACTTGCCAAAATCAGTCTCTCCAGTCACTGTTCTCTTGAACCGGGTGGGAGAGGCCACCACTGGAGTGAATCTCTTTGGCGACTCCATTTGAGTGAATTTCGACCTCGGAGTGACTGGGGGTTGCTGCTGTGGTTGTGGATAGAGATCAGACTCTGCGAATGAGCCTCTATGACCCTGTTCACTGGCTGCCATCACAAACCGATTGGCAATGGTACTATTGGAGAAGTCGTCCGCAGCTGCCATTGCAGACGAATCACGTCTCCCAAACTTGACAGCTGGACTGTATCTCATGGCAGTCTTTGAGGGAGAGTCTGTTCTCGAAGTACGGGTATCGAATGATTCAATAGCAGCATCATCGTCGAACGGGTCGATCTGCTGGAACCTTTTTGGTGAGGAGTAGACGGGATCCGGCTTGGGTATTCTGAAAGGGTCCGGCATTTTGCGACTAAACTCCAATTGATAGCAGATACTCAAAAAGAGAACGGTTAAAGATCGTCCTTTTGAGTTTTAGGTGAGATCTCGGGTAGAAACCAGGTGCCTTGGGTGTGTACGTTTGGTATGAGAAGTGTTTACATTTAGCCCAATCGGGTAAGAATATTGAAATTCTCTCAAAGAAGTAAACACGAGAGTTTGGGCTGAGCTACTTTCTGAGCTTGACCGAATTTGTCATATTTGAGCCGAAATATGGAAACGTCGGTTTTTTGTTTGGCAGTTTTGATTTTACAAGTGCTGAATGCTTCTGTCTGTAGCTTTAATCTAGAATTCTCAGTTTTTTCAAATTTGTACGCAAGTCTGAATGGTGAAGACTATAGAAGGTACCTCTCCACTTCTCCCATGACTCTATTAAAAACAACTAAACTATGACCCATGGCACCCAAAAAGTAATTACAGTTCAAATTTTTTTTTTTGAGTATACTTCTGCAAAACATCCTGTAAAGACGCCCATATCGCACAATGCGCCCCACCATGGCATCTGCTCGGACTGGACCGATAACGACGTGTACCACACAATCCAGAGCTGAGGACACTACCCCAATTGCTCTGTAATGTGTCAGGATCACAGGGTTGTAACCTCTTGTGATGCCCACAACTGCACCTGTGGACTGAATAGTGGCACCCAAAGCTGAAAGATGGCCTCGCCTGAGTCTAATTGGTTAATAGTCAGACTGTTCAGCTCCTTTACAGATGGTGTGATGGAGCAGGCTCTCCAGTCCGATGCCCCACTGGGCAGGTCCAGATCAATGGTGTCGTACTGCGTATCTCCGTATGCTGCAATGTGCATGTCGACTGCCATGGTTCTGAACAGAATTCTGGTGTTTGCCTCGTCAAGACGGAATAGGAAATTACCTTTGGTGTCTATCGTTGTCCTGCGTGTCTTGGCTTTGTTCATTCTCTTCAAAGGCAGTTACGGAGTGATCTCATGTATTAAATCATATACCCATTCGCATCTGGTGTTCAGACTGATACCGGATTATTACCAATTTGATGTCAAGACGTTCTTTCAAAAGACTTTTTTGAACATGAGCTACGGGACTGCTTCTTGGGAGGACAAAGGTCCCACTCCAACGGTGTTGAAACCCTTCTACTTGTCGCTTTGCCTGTCCCAGATAATTGAAACTTTTATCGCAATTGCGTCTGGCAACGACCCTTCGGTTGAATCTGGAATTACGCTTTTTGAGTATTCTTTGGCGTTCCAAGAGGTGCAAACCTCGAAGAGACCATCTAGAGAGCTGCTGACTTTGGCATTCGCGTCCCTCGTCAACCACTCTCTTATTCACATCTTGAGCCTAGGGAACCTGGAAAAGTATAGACTCATTCCTAGCTCCATTGTTGGACTGGCAGTGCTGTACTATGTTGCAGACACCATATTGTCTTTGAGATTCAGACTGATGCCGTTTGTGCTAGTTGTTGGATACCTACCCCAACTGATTACGCTTTTCATTATTGCTCTTTGCACTGTCATCTTTGTACTGGCTTCTGTCTTCAAAGGCTCGTTCACAGACTCGACATTTGCTACCTTGAACAATCTCGAGTCCCTGAACATATCTCTCTCGGATGACTTCCAAAGCACTCTGATGACCCTTGGCGGATTTGCAATCAATGCCACCGGAAGAATCTCCTACAACAGGGAGATTTCTGGGATCAAAATACCACAAACAACTTGGGTTGATATGAAGCAGTCTAGCGCTCTCTTCTTCGAGGATGCACAAAAGACCAAGAAGAAGCTGGGTTATGCCAACGATCTACAGTACCATCCGGACATGGTGAGTCTGGGCGACCTCAACGCCTCAAAGCTCAGGCACTGGAAACTGCTCACCAGAGCGAGACAGACCAAGGATCTCCTGGTGGATATGTGGGATCTTGTGCTATCTCTTGCCTTGAGACGAACGCCGAAGTTTCTGGAAAGAACTACAAGTGATGGGGCAATTCCGCCAATGACAGATCCACGGGGAAGTGGACAGATCTACAATCAAAGAAAGAGTTACGTTAATGCAGACGCGTTTGACATGGATAAATACTCCTACGCGCAGTTACTATTAGGTGATGACCTGCAGGATGTCGACACTTCGCTGGATTTTGACGAGGCCACGGCAGACGAAAGCGACCCAGACAATGTTGCAGAAGAATACCAGAGCGATTACGAATCCGATATCGAGATTATTGGAGCGTCATCATTGGCATTGGCCAGGAGGGCGGAGGCACCAAATTACTCGAAACAGACGCAACCAGAGGCAATCATGTCGTATGAAGAACTGTCTGCGTTGTTATCTCCTTCGACCCAGCAGGAAGTGAGAATGGCCAGGATCATGAGTGCCCATTTAAAAGCAAATGACAAGCCACTGACCAGATCAAGCTTTAGTTCGTCGGCCTGGAAACTGGAGGACGTGATACTGGAAAACCGTCACAGACATCAGAGCATCGAGGACTCCGACGACGAGGACTTTGGAATAGGCACGTGCGTTGTTTGCCAAACGAACCCAAGACAGATCATCCTATGGCCGTGCAAATGTCTAGCAGTATGTGACGTTTGCCGAGTTTCGCTCGCAATGAGGGCGTTTGACGAATGCGTTTGCTGCAGAAGAAAAGTGCAGGGCTACAGCAAGATTTACGTACCTTGAAGTTGAGGAAATCTCATCTATTTGGATATATGAATCTCACAGAAATGTATAGATATGCCCGATTCGCCCAGGTATATACGCAGTCCTAAGTTCTCTTGACACTATTGTGCAACTTGGATTCCTGCATGAAAAACACACACAAATAACCGAGGACCAAGATCACCGCACTGAAGTAGAAGACGGAGTGGCCTGCGGCGTCATAGCTCTCTAGCAACGGAGCTTTGGCCCATTCTGGAGCCACTTTCAAGTAGTCAGGGCTTTCCAAGGCCCTCTTCACCACCTCGGCACCAGCAAGCGCATCTGGTGCCGCAGCCGCAACCAGGCTCTTGACCTTTGCTCCCAGAGTGTGCTGGAAAAGTGCACTGGCAACCGTGACACCGAGGGTAGACCCGGTGGACCGGAAACAGTACTGAATGGAGGTGGTAGAGGCCTGGTGTTTGACGTCGACAGAAGCAATCAGAGCCAGCAACGTGACTGTCAGCATCATGGAGTAACCAGCACCTGGGACACTCAGTATGATGTACTGTCTCCAGGTGCTTACGTTAGGCTTCAGGAACCACAATTGGACAGCCCCGATCACCAGCAATAGACCAGTGATTCTGGCCATCGCGAGATACTTGCCTGTCATTCTCATGTACATACCTGCTCCGACAGAAGCACCAGCGGTGATGATACAGTTCGGCACCGTCCTCAGACCGTTCTCGGTGGCAGAGAGACCCAGAACCGTGGAGAACCAGAGAGGAACATAGTACATGACCGAAAAGAGTCCCATTGTTCCAAACCAGTTGGCCAGGGACGACGTGAGCACAGTCCTGATACCCAGTAGTCTCACGGGGATAACTGGTTCAGGCGAAACGTAGGCCTCGACCAAGCCAAACCCAATAAGCAGAGCCCCAGAGATCACACACAAAGCTACAAAGACAGGGCTCTGGAAAGGAATCTCGTGACCACCAAACGCAGCCGCACACATTATTCCGGTCAAACCGGAAACCAACAGAACACTACCCAAGTAGTCGATCTGCTTGAGTTTTCCCCAGATACCCGAGCCCTGAACACCGAGACCTGCTGAACCCTCTGGAAGCTCCAAGTGGATGTAGATCATGGCAGCACTCGCAAATGCCAGTGGGATCTGCAGATAAAACACATATCTCCAGCCCCAGTGGTCCGCAACCAAACCACCAATCACACCTCCCGAAGCAGCACCCAGACCGTAGAACACGTTGGCAACTCCCTGGAACAAACCTCTCTTTCTCAGCGAAATCAGGTCGGACATGGTGATGGTACTCAGCGTGGAGATTCCTCCTCCACCAATACCGGTGATAAATCTACCTAGAACAAGCGGAATAAGCGAAGTGGAGGTGGCACACATGTAGCAACCAACAACAAAACAAGTGTCGCAGAGCAAAATCATGGGCTTTCTGCCAAAGATGTCGGACAACTTTCCAAACAGTGGTTGAAAAGTTGCACACGATAATAGATAGGAAGTGGCGATCCACGAACTTTTTTCAAGAGCGCCCAGATCAGAAGATATCACAGGTAACAATGTTGTAACCACAGTGGCATCCAATGCTGAAAGATAGGAGCCCAGATACACTGAGCAGCAGATATAAAACAGTTTGTCTTTGCTGACGGCAAATCCGTCCGAATCGTCTATGTCCTCCTGCGATTCAAGATCTTCGTCAATGGCACCGTATGTTGTCTCAACAAAATCGCGATCATGAGCAAGTTCGTTTGCAATCACACCGGCGGAGGCAGTACTTGGATCGTTGAAGTAGGTTGGAGAGATTGCTGGCTTCAAATCCAGCAAAGAGTCAGTTTCCCCAGTCATGTTGAAGTTTGAGCAAGACGCCTAAACAATAAACACAAGAATGAAATCACAAGAACAAGAGAAAGATCTTCAAAAGGTTCAGAAGAGATACAGAAAAGAAACGCAAAGTCTGCGAGGATGGTTAATTTTGTAGGAAACCAAACAGCTGTGGTTCCCACAGTAGCCACATGCATAAGCGCCCTTAAGATAGCGAGCAGTTGGTTAGGGCGCTTATGAGTTTCCGGGAATATTCCGAGGGCGAAGTATTTCCGGAATGGCGCCTTATCTGCGTCAAATCTTCCGAGGTGCGTTTTTGCCGAGGGCATATTCCGACCCTTCGGCAACACAAATTGGGTCGGCCGATACTGAACTGGTTGGGAGAGATAACTAAGTGCCAGGCAGCAGAGTCAGAGCGAGTCAGAGCGAGCCTGAGATCCAGACGTATGCTCACTGGGTCACAAATGAGGGGGTTACATGACTACTTCCAGATACCGTTCAATATTGGCTGACCTGCATCAATTCTAGTAATCGGAGAAAAGACTTAATAAGGGGGGTATAAAAGAGCAAACACAAGAGTCGAAAGTAAAAAAAAAAGGGCAAAGATAAGAGTAAGACAAAGAGAGTCAATCAAGATGGAAGAGAACAGAATGAGGAAGACACCGGGCAGGGAGACCAAGCAGGCGGCACATCAACAGGGGGAAATCGTGTGTACAAAATTATAAAGGACCATACGAGCATTAAGATATGACCCTGCGGTTGTCGTTTGTCTTGCCCGATCTCTCTGTTCACGCGGGCGCTCCGCATTTTCTTTCTCTTTCAACGTCGAATTGTCTCAATAGGAAGGATCACAGAGAAAAGTCGTGTAGAAAAATTCCTTACTCCATCATGTCTTCCATTGGAACCTCATCAGCGTAATCCAGCTCCTCATCCACGTCCACACCGTCTTGGTACTGCTGATATTCGGCAACGAGATCGGTCATGTTGGATTCAGCCTCAGAGAACTCCATCTCGTCCATACCTTCAGAAGTGTACCAATGCAAGAAAGCTTTCTTTCTGAACATGGCACTGAATTGGTCACCAACTCTTCTGAACAGCTCCTGGATAGAGGTGGAGTTACCAATGAAAGTAGCACTCATATCCAAACCCTTTGGAGCGACGGAACAAACAGCAGTTTGGACATTGTTTGGAATCCACTCGACAAAGTATTCCGAGTTCTTGGTCTGAACCTTGTGCATCTCATCTTCAACCTCCTTGACGGAAACCTTACCTCTGAAGAAAGCGGCAACAGTCAAGTAACGACCGTTTTTGATGTTGGAAGCAGCCATCATGTTCTTGCTGTCAAACATCTGTTGCGCCAATTCAGGCACGTTCAGAGATCTGAAAGACTGGGACTTCATCGATGTCAATGGGGCGTAACCAACCATGAAGAAATGCAGTCTTGGGAATGGAACAAGGTTGACGGCAAGCTTTCTCAGGTCTGAGTTCAGCTGACCTGGGTAACGCAGAGAGGTAGTGACACCAGACATAACTGAAGAAACCAAGTGGTTCAAGTCAAAGTAGTCTGGCTGGCTCAACTTCAGGGTGTTTACACAGATATCGTACAGCGCCTCGTTGTCAATACAGAACGTCTCGTCCGAATTCTCGACCAATTGGTGGATGGACAAAGTGGCGTTGTATGGCTCAACAACGGTGTCGGAAGTCTTTGGGGATGGAACAACCGAGAAGGTGGCCATCATTCTGTCTGGGAACTCCTCTCTAATCTTGGAGATCAGCAAGGTACCCATACCGGAACCGGTACCACCACCCAGAGAGTGGGTGATCTGGAAACCCTGTATAGAATCACAGCCTTCAGCTTCTCTGCGCACACAGTCCAACACAGACTCAACAAGCTCGGCGCCCTCGGTGTAATGACCCTTGGCCCAGACGTTACCAGCAGACGATTGTCCGTAAATGAAGTTGTCTGGTCTGAACAGGTTCTTAAGGTTCGAGGATCTAACACTGTCGATGGTGCCCGGCTCCAAGTCGACCAGGACAGCACGGGGAACGTACTTGCCGCTGCTCGCCTCGTTGAAGTAAACGTCCAGCTTTGCCTTTTGAATGTCCTGGGTACCATGGTAGACACCATCGTTGTCCAAACCATGCTCACCACAGATGGTTTCCCAGAAAGCAGCACCCTGTTATATAGTTAGTACGTATTCCGGTGAAGGTGGAGTAAACAAATGGGCACGTTTCAAGATTTTGGAGGCTCAGACGCGTAAAATAGTACAACAAAGGACGACCGCGGGTGAACCATCTTCCAATTCGTCACAAATCTCAGGGAAGTGGGTTACGAGCTTGGATAAATTGAATTTCTCGTGCAGAATCATCAACTCCAAGAGTTGCGTATTAAGTTGCTATAGTTCATCTTCCCAAATCTCCAAGTATCCCGTATTGCACCTTCTTGTAACTTACAATTTGGTTACCACATTGACCAGTTGACAAATGAATCTGAAAAATCACAAGTTAGTAAACGTTCAAAAGGTATTCCGCCAACGAAAGTTACTCAGCGTCTTCAACTCCTTCAACAGAAAACACGGAGAGAAAATCTCTTGTAGTTTCACGTGTTGGAATAACAATAGCTTGGGCAACGAAATAACTTAAACAGCGGGATTGAATTCAAATAGTATTGACGTACAATTTCTCTCATCTTAACGGTTAGTCCAAACGGAAATTATAGCTTTGCGTGTGGTTTTGTTATATCGTAGAGGGAAAAACAAGACAAGAGACGTAAACAAGAGAATGGATGTGAGAGGGCACGTCGGATTGGGCTCCAAAAACAATCGTTGTGTGTCCCAATCGGGAATCTTGTTTACAAAATCGACTTTTTGGGTCGCCATGGCGACCAAGACGCGTAGTAGTGCACGAGTGAAAAAGTGCGACATATGGTTGATGTTGTAGGAGGCAATCATGAATTACACGGCGTATTTAATTGACGGTGATGCTTTTGGGTGATTTTCAAAGAATAAACAGTTGTCACACCATTCATATCTGCTGCATGCAACCACTCGGGGAAATTGTTATCGAGAATCGCAAGTATCTCGCTTCGAGATCTCCAGAATACGAAGTTGAGTACACGGATACTGAGGAGATGGAGAGGTTGAACAGGTTACAGGAGAAGAATTGGTATCTAGAGTCTTTCCAGGTTGAGAGTAGGTCCCGCCTGAAGGCTGTCATTAAAGCGTGCATGAATGAGTTTAAATTTTTGTGTTGAAGCGGGTCGGCTAGATGATGTTTTCGGAATTTCTTCAGCCATGCTATGTCAGTGAATGATTCTCTATATCCGTCGCTGTATAGGTCGACAACTCAGGAAATATGCTCACCAACAACAAATCCAATAACGACCACAGTAGCACCTTGTTGACGGTTTTATTCTGCAAACTTTCCAGAAACATTTCCACGGAATCCGCATTCACCTCAACAAGATAGGCAATGAGATTTGATGAGGGCAATACCTCCATTAGTCTGGTCACATTATCACGTGTCTTTTGTCTGAACCTGATCAACTCCTCGTTACTTTGCGGGACCCATCTCTGGCCCATGTCGAACGTTTGGTCTTTAGGAAACATCATCCTTCGCAAGACTGAAACACAGGTGATCACATTGGATTCGGTGATAATCACTTGGTAGATAAAATTGTGAATGAGGTTGTTGAGGATATGAGATACCCTAGACAGTCCTATACCATAGGCCTTTAATGTGGTCAGCAACATGTACAGCATTGGACTCACCACGGGAATCTCAAATAAACACGCTAGGAAAGAGAATATGGAATACTCCAGAACGGACTTAATATGATCATCGTCACCAGGAGAGGGCCATATCGAGAAAAGCGACGTGGTGTATGCTATTAGATGACCAACCATTCTCCCTACAGATATGAGCCGTTCCCCAAGAGACTGGCGTTTTGCGTTTTTTTTGCCCAGCCGATCGATCCCTATATCGCACACCTTGTTGATAATGCCCCAAATGGCAAAACTATCGCTCAAATTTTCAACCACGTTCCTCAGCACCAGGTCGTTCATTATGGCTGTGATTAGCTTTTGGCTTAGCTGAGAGTCAAGCTCCTCAACAGGAACCAAAAGGCACACAATGCTTCGAGATAGAACAGTGCAATAAAGCCGTTCCAGGTACGCGTCGTTTTGATCGATAGCAAAATGCGAATTCAACTCTAGGAAGTCGGCAGTCCAATCAGGATCATCATACCAGTCACATCCCGGCGACGCAACGGTTGCTCGGCTGGAACTAAGTCTAGACCCTCGTCTAGATTTGCTTGTTCTGATTGCGCTCACATGAGATTCCAGTACTACTGGCAACTCGTCCAATAACAGCTTAGACCAGTCTATTCTCTGGCATCGCTGTTGCAGGTTTCGCGTGATATGGGCAACGACCCCGAGTAACTCGCCCATGAACTCCATTGACGTATCATGGGATATCCTAGGATACCATCCCATTACAAATTGACGAAGAAACAGGCCAATCAAAGCGTACGTCTGGATATCCACGTCCTGGGAGGACGTCAGCGCAGGTAGAAAGTCTTGCAGGTCCGTTTTGTTAGTTAGCTTCACATTTGGATTGGAAAAAAGCTTTCGTATTAGATTTTCGAGATATTCTTGTGAGTTTGTGTCCTGATTTGAGACCGAGAATGAGTTTTTGGATTGGCTAGACAACGACGGAGAAGGGGAAGGGGAGACCTCTTTCGGGGACTTCTTGGAGTGGTGTAACACGCTTTTTCGTATCACAGCTTTTCTCGATTTTCGAGCCGATGATAGGAGGAGTTCCGACTCCATGAAAAATAAGATAACCAAAAAAAGCTTTGGAATATCGCTGGGAAACACGTGGAATGATCTACACTATGAGTACTTGAAGTATGCAAAGTCGTTACTCGTGCTTATCTCCCTCTTCAGGCTCATAACCTACGCGAGGGTGCCGCACCTATTTGGCAGAGCGATAAGACAAGACTCTACAATAGTTCCAAAATATTACGACTTCTATTCGTAAAACCGGATATTTTAAACTCTGTTGCGCCAATCAAAGAAAAGAAAGTCAATTGTGATTGCTCATGTGTATACTGGCTGGCCCACATATGATGTTCTCAAAAAGTTCCTTTGAAGACCCAAAACGGTAAATAACGTAGTCATACTGTTGCCTTTTTCGACAATTGACAACCAAAACAGCGACGAAGAAATTAATATGCCTGAAATAGCGTATTTGATGTTAATTTATAAATAACCTTAAAGTTTTCGGTATATAAAAGGGCTTTTGCAGTTACCTGTACCCGTTTCTGCAATTTGACTTTCTCAGCATTCCCTCCCCATGATTTTCGCAAAGGGACTCTTTATCCTGGCCATGGCCAGTTCAGCTTTTTCAGAAGATACCGAAGAAGCCAAGACTTTGGCTGCTGAATACGACTTTGACTTCCTGGTGGCATTCCTGAATGACTTTTCAAGTAATATCGCCAGATACACCAGCTACATGGTCGATAACTCGATGACCTACCCGAGGCAGTTGGTCCAATTTTACAATGATGTTTACACTTATACTGACTATGGCTTCACCACCTTGGTTCCAGACCAGTTTCCCTTTTCTGAGTTTCAGACCTTTATCTCGGAGTTTCCCTGGTACACCACCTTGCTGAAGGAGGGTGACATCACGGCGTTCGCTGTTCCTGCCGATTATTTGACTACTGATGTCACCACCAGCACTTCTGAGTCTTCTGAAAGTAGCACAACTACTACTTCTGAGTCTTCAACATCAAAGTCTTCGTCATCGAAGACTTCATCGTCAAAGACTTCGTCAGTCCATTCGAAGTTCACGACGTCATCATCAAAGAGCGCCGCACCGAGTACCAGCCTGACGTCAATCACCACGTCAAGCTCCGTTTCACTATCCAAGTCTCATACGATCCACTCTAGCCTGACTTCTTCAATTTTGAGTGTATTGAGCAGCTACCAAAGCAAATCAAAATCTTCAACCTCCTTTTTGAACACCTCGTCCATACCAGCCACCGAGTCATACACATCCAATGGGGTATCCAGAGCAAGAGTTTATCCATGGATCGCCCTGGCAATTCTGCTCATGATCCCTTTCATTTAGCCAATAAGGCTTATGTGAGAAAGAACAATACAGCCTTGCCATAAGCAAGCCTTTCATTTGAATACTGAATCTTCTAATTTTTTTTCCAATTTAACAACCTGTTTGGTTAGTAGATAGAAACCCACAGAGTAGCAGTTTAGGACTCACCAGTTCCTTGAAGCTAGGATTTTTCAGTGTCATTTCAATTGCAAGATCCAGATCCTCATTGATAAGATCTTCAGTGACCCCAATCTGTTTAGCAATGGATGAACCGGAATGGTCAACGTGTTTGAGATCTTGGCGAACACTGATATCGTGGTCAAAAATATCAGCAAAACAATTCCTGCTGAATTCATCTGAAAATTTGGGAACTTCTGGGAATATCGTGTGAGGAATATCCTGCTGAGTTTGCGAAAAAGCCAAAATTTTTGAGCTCTGCGAATCAGGCGTACCCAAAGAAAACGCTCCCTGGTAGTTCATTTTATGATTGGGGATATTCCAGGATTGCTGGGGTACATCCAGTCTCCAGTAAGGATCCTGGGAATCACAAGCCAGTGAATACTGAAGCGTACTGCTCATGGCAGAATCTCTTGAATCTCTAGCATTGATACCCCACATTCTAAAAGTGTTCAAGCATAATTCATACTCGATTGCAGACTCGAAACTCAGCTGGAGTCGTTTCGAGGTCTCAAAAGTAACAGGATTCTTGCACTTGATACCCACAGAAGGGTATCGTCCAATAATCTCAAAAAACGCAACTTTGCTATCGTTTCTGGACATGTAGTCACACATACATATCTCATCCTGGAAGCATCAAAGTGTTAGTCCCCAATCTTTTTGCCAATTCAAGGTATGACCAACCAATTTCTCCGATTTCCATGTAATTTGGAGAACCAAATTTTGGAGAACCAAGTTCTTCAACTCCAGTTGAGACTTGTGGTCCTTCTCAAGAAACACTAGACTTATGTCAGACCTCATCGGAAAGTGGACCCAATCGTCTGAATTCTTAGTTGCACCATTGGAGTCCGAAGCCACATAGGAATACTTTCTTGCCTTGACAATCGTACAGTTTCCGGAGGAGAGCATTTGTTTACAAAATCAATGATCACAGAAGAAACCACAGAAGAGTAACTCAGAGTCCAAATCGGGCCAGTTGTCTTGTTAATGTCGCACTCTGCCAAATCATATCGTGCACGGTAGATATCCCTTATCAGAAAACGCCATGTTCAAATAACCGAAGGTGACAACAGAGATTGCATCTTGGCACGGGATATGGGAAGATCAAGTAGAGTTTTGGACGGAGTTTTGGAACAACTTGAACCGTCCCCGGAACCCCTGGTGGGTTCTTCTTTGGATCTGAATCAAAACAGAATAAACGACGATAGGCTTGATCAAGATAGTTTTGATCAGGAGAGATTTGACCAAGCCATGTCGGAGACGTCAGAATTACTGGCCAAGAGCTACATGGATGATTTCGAGACGGTGATTTCTAACGATGAAATGCAGACGCTACCGAGCAAAGACAATCTCAAATTTCCTGTAGGAGTTGCCGAGCACGTGAGATCGTATAGCTCAGCGGAAGAGGAGGAGGAGGTATCAACAACAATACGACCTGCGGATCCAGGAGTGGTCGAATCGTATCGTGACGTTTCTCATTTGCAGGAGCTGGAGGATTTACCACATGGAAGACATTTGGGAGTATTCTCGGTTATGATCCTCCTTATTACGCGAATTGTTGGATCTGGAATCTTTGCGACGCCAGCCCTTATATACAGAGATGTGGGAGGATCGCCAGCGTTGTTTTTTTTGGTTTGGATAACAGCTGCATTAATGTCGTTTTCAGGACTGTTTGTTTTCCTTGAATTGGGATCCATTCTGCCGAGAAGTGGAGGAACAAAGGTGTTTCTTGAGTATGCCTACAATAGGCCGTACATGCTGATGAGTGTTGTGTTCAACATCTACTCAATTCTGTTTGGATTCACCATTACCAACACACTAATATTTGGAAAATATATCATTTACTCGCTTGGCTTTGACGATGCCAGTGAGACGAGTGCGAGATACGTGGGGCTGACCCTCGTGGTGTTGGTCACAGTGATACACGGAGTTTCCACGAAATACGGAGTCTTGATCCAAAACTACACCGGTGGACTGAAGCTGTTTTTGCTCGTGGCAATGGCATTCATAGGACTGTATGTCATGGTGTTGCCAAGTTCGTGGACCCATATAGAGAACCAGATGGAGTCTGTGAATTTCTTTAAGGCCACATCCGAGGTGAGCTTCTCCAGCTTCATATCAGGGCTGTTGAAGGCCATCTTCTCGTTGGCGGGATGGAACTCCGCACACGTGGTTTCCAGTGAGATGAAAGACCCAGTGAAAACCATGAGAATTGCTGGACCACTGGCCATGGGCATTGTCGTCATCTGCTACATGTTCATCAACATTGCATACCTCATCGTTATACCCAGTGAAGACCTCATGGGATCGGGCGAGCTGGTTGGCAGCTTGCTCTTTGAAAAACTGTTTGGTTACAAGATTGGAAGACAATTTTTGACTGCCACAGTGGCTGCCTCGGCAGCAGGCAATATTGTGGCTGTTCTGTATGGAGTGTCTAGAATGAACCAGGAAGTCTTCCGTGAGGGCTTCTTGCCATTTTCTAAGTTTTTTGCTTCAAACAGACCGTTCCAGGCGCCATTTCCCGCTTTGCTCATTCCGCTGGTGATATCGTCTGTTTTTCTGCTTCTTCCAATACCAGGCGATCTATACGATTACATCGTGAACCTGGAGGGATATCCAGGCCAGATTTTTATTGGACTTGCATCAGCGGCTGTATTCCTCATTCGAAGAAGGAGACCAGGCTATGTCGCGCCAATAAGGGCTCCATCTATTGGGGTCATCTTCATGATATTGTTGTCTGTGTTTCTCTTTTTTGGCCCATTGGTACCCCATAAAGGTGGAAAGGAGTTCCAAGGCTATCCCAACTACGCTGTCACTGGGCTCGTGATTTTGGCACTCTGTGCCTTATACTGGGCTGTAATGTTCGAAATCATGCCTCGCATACGGAACTACGACTTGGTTCAAACCCAAGAGGTGCTTAGTGACGGAATGACCATCAAAGTCTGGAAAAAGGATTTTAGAGCGCCGCACCGTGGTTTGGTATAGAAAATTCAAAATAACAGTTTATTATTATTCAACGGAAAATTTTTTGTACGTAGTTTTGGGATAATATAGTGTTTTAATTTCTGGAGTTGGTCTTTCTGGCCACAAATGCTTCCTTTGCAAGCTGGATCAGGACATCCACCTCACCTGTGTCATTACACAGAGAGCGGAACTGTGAGTTCTTGTCGATAATAAGAGTGTAAGGATCGGCATATTCAACGACCTCACCAGCGTCCATCACCAAGATCCTATCGTAGTCGATGATCGATCTCAGACGATGGGCAATGGTCAAGATAGTGCTCTGGGAGAACTCCTGTCTGATAGTTTGTTGGATTTGGGCATCCGACTTGTAATCAATGGAGGCAGTAGCCTCATCCAAAAGAATGACCTTTGGTGACTTCAACAGGGACCTTGCCAGGCAAACCAGTTGACGCTGACCCTGAGAAAGGTTCTCACCTCCTTCGGTAATTTTGGCATCCAGACTCAAGAACTTGTTTTGATTTTCGGTGACTTCAGAATCCGAGGCTGCAGCAGTGGAGTTAAGTGATTCGGTCAGCTCAGCCTGAGTGATCAAGTTGACTCTTCTCAAAGCCTCAAACATTTGGGCGTCCGAGTACGTTCCGAAAGGATCCAGGTTGGTTCTGATGGTACCAGTGAAAAGTGTTGGGTCCTGAGGAATGATGGTGAGGGCCTGACGAAGAGTCTTCAAACCAATGGTGGTGATGTCAACCCCGTCAATCTTGATAGACCCGGTTTCCGGGTCCAGGAATCTGAAGAAAGCAGTGATGATGGTGGACTTACCAGCACCTGTTCTGCCAACAATACCAATTTTCATGTTTGCCTCTACGTCAAACGTGACATTTTTGATCACTAGCGGAAGAGAAGGGGCATAACGAAGAGAAACGTCCTTCACCTCAATCACACCTTTTTCTGGCCAAGAAGCAGGAGGTTGAGTTTCCAAAATCTCGGCTGGGGGCTCTTGCTCCAGATCACTATACTCCAGGAAACGCTCAACAGCATTCATAGACATCTCAATGTTAGCGTAAAAACGCACAACCCACAGAGAACTCTGGGTGAACGCAATAGCATACGACAGAGAAAGACCGGCAAGACCAGCGTCAATGCTGTCTGAAGCTAGGAGAACAAAAGCCGATGCAAAGAACGAAATAACAGCACCAATCAAGTCAGACCGAAATGCCAGCCATCTGTTAGCGACCCACAAATAATAGAAAGGCCTGTTATTCTCATCAATCGCAGCGAGGTTCTGTCTCATGAAACGACGCTCATCACCGTAGGCACGAATGGTGGTGATACCAACCAAGGTCTCGGTGAACTGCTGGTGAATTGGGGATCTAGTAATAGACTCGAATCTCTTGAGTTCACGGGAGGAACTGGTATAGAAAACACCAACTTCGTAATAAAGGAAAGCGATGAGAGCGGCAATCACCAGGAACTTTGGAGTAATGAAGCAAATGAGGCCCAAAGTCCAAAGACATTGGATGATACTCATGACAAAGTAATCAGCATACGGAGCCAACTCCTGGTCGATTTCTTCAATGTCTCTGGAGAATCTGTTCATGATACGACCGACTGGGGTAGAATCAAAGAATCTCAGCTTAGCCCTCATAACAACACTCAACGTCTTTTCGAACATCTGACGAGAAGCCCTGAGACCACCCCAGTAGACAAGCGCAACACGCATAGACGAAACCACTGTGTAGAAAACACCAATGCCAGCATATATCAAGATATAGTACATCGTATCATGCTGCTCACCTTGGATTCTGAAAGTGTCTCCGCCAAGTGGCCTGTTCCAGTCGATATTGAAAATGCCGGTTTTAGTGTCACGAACATTTGCAGACGAAAAAACCGAAGTAAACGAGGCCATAACAACAGCCTGGCCGCGCTTGTCTTCAGCCAAAGCCCAGACTCTCACCCACCATGATTGCATGAAGGAAACAAACTGACTGAAGATCAAACTGAAAAAGACGACGGAGGCAAAGACTACACCACCAAGCGCAATTATATACTTCTTGTATACGTCCAATGAAACAGCACCATCAGATTTGGTCTCTTCTTGGACGAGCTTTCCATCATCGGGTTTAGACACCTCCTCTGCAGCAGTCTGAGCAACAATCAACTTGTCAACTTCTTCCGTATTCAACTCATTCTTCGCAAGGGACGCGAGTTGAGTTGAAGACACAGTACGTGAGCCCATCACACTAGTCTTGACCATGTCTTCATCGCCAAGATGACCTTCATCAAACAAGACCTCTGGAGTTCCCTTGGCCTTGATTCTACCGTTGTCCATGACAACCACGAAACCTGCCTTTTGCATCGTAAGAGCGATGTTATGGGATACCAAAACACATGTACGGCCCTTCATGAGTTCTCCAGTGATACACTGTTCGTAGATGTGAGTGGAAGTATGAGAATCAACGGCACTTAAACAGTCATCCAGCAAGACGTACTTGGCATGGGAATAGAGAGCTCTTGCTAAAGAGACACGTTGCTTCTGTCCACCGGATAAGGTGATACCCTTCTCACCAATCTCAGTCTGGTCACCAGCAGACAAAATTTCCAAGTCACGCTTCAAACCACAAGCATCGATCACCTTCTGGTAACGTTCTTCGCTGAATGGGGAGGCGAAAACAATGTTTTCCCTTATAGTTGCGTTCAACAACCAAGCAGACTGACTGCAGTAAGCAACTGACTCGGTCAATCCGGTTTCAGGATCAGCAACAAGCTCGTCCCTTGGAATAGAACCGGGCAAAAACACCTTACCTTGAATCAAGTTCATTTCACCCAAAAGGGCCAACAGCAGAGAGGTCTTACCCGAGCCTGTGGCACCAATGATCACGTTCAAAGAGTTCTCCTTAAACGCTACATCGATGTCTCTCAGCCGGAAGTCTGTCTTCGAGGTCGTCGACCAGGCCATAGTAGCATCCTTGAAACCAATAAGAGGCGAATCAGGCGATCTGGGACTAGTCAATTGTTCATATTTGTCACAGTCCTCTTCCTCCAAAAACTCCTGAACACGGTCTAGAGATACCTTGGACTGGACGACAAAAGACAACATATCTGCAAACTGCTCCAGTGGAGAGCGCAGCAGAGTGAATAGCGACAGGGCAGTGAATGCAACCGGGGTGGTCAGAACTTCTCCTTTAATCTGAGTGTAGCAATAGAACCCAATCACGGTGACCAAAGATGGAGTGATAAAGTACGTTGCAGAAGCAATAACCCACCACATACATCTCTTGAACAAAATCGCTAACTCCTCGTTACGGATATTGACAACCTGGTCAAAGATCTTATCTTCCCACGCAAAAAACTTAACGATCCTCATGCTCTGGAATGTTTCGTTCAGCTTTTGAATACGCCTGTCAGTGACAGCAAGCATAACTTTCTGGTAAGAGCCCATCATATCCGTGAGTTTATAGTTCAATGGCATCATTGCAATGATCATTGCAGAACCAGCCAAAGCTGGCCATCCAAGCAGATTGTAAAGCAGATAGATTGCCACTGATGCCATGATTACCGCGTTGACAAAGAAGTGCAAATAGGCGCAAATATCGGCAATTCTGAAGGCGTCAACAGCCATCAGGTTGATGATGGCACCTAAATCAGCGTTTTTGCGTTCTTCTGTTTTGGCTTTTGGGGCCGGCGAGACTTCGTCGGCGGTTCCCTTGGCCGTTTCTTCTTCCGAAGGAGCCTTAGTATCCTTAGCTTCCTCTTCAGAAGGAGCCGTAATACGCCTCCTCAAGGCTTTGGCGTATATTTCACCAATTACAACAGCCTTCATCCTGACACAGATGGTTCTGCCCAAGAAGAGGGTTCTTCCAGAGACTACAGCAGAGCCGAGGGACATGAAAAGCATACCAAAGACATACAACCAGGCCATGGCCTTGGTGGTTCCCTCGGGATTGGCAACATACTCCAGAATGAGCTTCAGGAACACAGTAGGTCCAAAGACCAGGAGGGAGTCCAATGTGGTCCAGAAGGCCTGGAGGCCCACGTAAAACCCAAAATACCTGATCAGTTTGCGAGTTAAAGTGGCCGTCGAGCGCATCGCATGGAATCCGGTGATGACATAATACGCGTAGTTCTCACGTCTGAGTCCCCAAACGGAGTCTTTTGTCATTGGAGCTTGGTAGGCATCCCAGATCATCTTATCGATCCACGAAAAACTCACAACCTCGAACAGATTGATGACTTTCTCGGGCGAAGGCACCATCTTGGCATCAGTCACGAATACAGTGCCCTGTCTTTCAGTAATACGAATAGTTCCGGCAAGGAAGAACAAAAGAGTGTTCAACGCAAACTGAGCGTAGTAGAAGCTAGGGATGTTCGTATGCCCCAAAAGAGCAGATCTAAACAGGAAAGCAGACACCGGCCAGATGAACACATATGCAGCAGTAGAAACTATCCATAAGTTAGGCAACCTATCACCCAATCCCGTGCTTGCACCGAACACCCTGATAGTTCCAACTACCAGGAGATACGACCAGAGCGCGATATTGACGAGTGGAGTCCAGGAGTCGAGCCATTCAGTAGCCAGATCCTTGACAAAAAACACGGAAACAGAGAGCGAGAACTGGACCAAAAGGACCAAGAACTCAGCAGTCAGTCTGATCTTATCGCCCAGAGATCTCAACACAATCTTGGTGACACCCAACGGGGTGCCATCCTCTTTGGTGGGTTCGATCTGAGAAATGTCAAAATGCTGCTCAGAAATGCTGATCTTTGTATTTGCGGCATTCGCACCGGTCGAACCGTAGCCTTCTACAGTATCATCGTAGTCTAGACCGGGTCCTGTTTCGTTCCCCAATAAGGGTTCCTCCTCTGGGTTAGGCCGTATTTTAGCCTTTGACTTTCCATGTCTGATGACGAACTGAGCCAACACAAAAGATAATGAGACAAAGCCTACGACGGTAGGATAGATAGTTTGTAGTAGTCTGGATGAAAGTTGTTAGTAAGCTTATCCCTTGTTCCCCTAAAAAAAGGCTCAATCGCCAACACATACCGCTGCCTCTGGCATTCAGACATATCATCAACATCCCACAGGGGACACGATGAATTCAAATTAGAGCCTCGAAAGTCCATTATCGATGAAGTAACGAAGGTCGATCTTGTGAAGTTCTAATGACGTTCTAATGACGTTCTGGTATGAGATCAACGAGTAAATGAGTGCAAGTTATGAGCAGTCTCAAGTAATAAATAATTTTGCGAGTTCAGATATTCTCAGCCAATTGAGTTAAACCAATTCCTCGGTTTGTTCAGTTTGTTCTAATGAACAGGAATTCTAAGCTCGGATTGGCCCCCTCTAGCAATGAAAATAGTCACTGAGTTTATAACTATTCAAACAGGCACAAATTCAATCTAGAAATTGAATATATGAAAGCTTGCGATTGTTTAACCAATTCAATGCTGGTATCAACAAAACTTCGAAGCAATTCGCTAAAGCAAGTAAGAAACAGTAGTAAGAAGCACATCACTAGGAGGCGAGCCGCCGTATACATATGCGGTTTAACTTTTTGAGCTTTCCGCGCCTTGAGGTATTCGCACTACCGGCACGTTATGCAGGCATACGTAAAAAAACTGATATGAAATTTTAATTTATGGAATGCGGCGGATTTATTTCTGCTATAAACGAGACCTTTGGTATCAGTTGTTGGCCGTTTTAGTTGAGTGAAAAGCCATTCAATGGCGTGTGTGGTATCCATTTCGAAATGGCTCGGTTAATTGTCACCAGTGGGACCGACTCTTGGTAGTACGAACTAGCTAATGGTTACTGAGCTAAGTATAGCTTTACTAAAAGATTGACCCGACTGCACCGGATTTAATAACTCAGAAGCAAAAATCAAGCAAGTATGACTCACAATGTAGATAAAGAACCCCTTCAAAAACAATTCAACCTGGAAATGGATTATGCAAGGTAATCTCTGTCCCAATCTTGCAGCGCCATTCGAGCCATTCGTGCCATTCGAGCCATTCGAGAGCCATTCGAGCCACTCAAACCACCGAGCCGTGCCATGCTTTTTGAGGTAATAACATTGTAAAACATAGAAGTAGATCCTGTATTATCATTCGTAGCGGTCATAATTATATTCTTCGAGAAAGCTTTCCGACCTTCCCGACTTTTTCCGATCTGAAGACCAAGCCTTTCAGAATAAAGCTCTATGGGGCTTAACTTAATTTTTCAGTCCACCCACTCCTAGCGCATTAACCGTGCGCAGCTACTACTCTCTTTCAATTATTCGTTTTTCAAAAAACTGATTATCAAATTTTTACACAGCTTCCCTCAAATCTCCAATATTTCAAATTTAATCTTGAGTCTTTTGGGTACCACGCAGCAAACCGGTTCTTCTGGCAGCAATCAAACCAGCCTTTTGACCTGGAACGGCACCTCTGGAGATGGTAGAGGCCTTACCGATATGTTGATGGTTACCACCACCGTGAGGATGGTCGACAGGGTTCATGGCAACACCTCTGGTCTTTGGCCAAGAGTTTCTCTTAACCTTGTACTTGTGGAACGCTCTACCGGCCTTCAGCAATGGCTTGTCAACACGTCCACCACCGGCAACGACACCGATGACACCTCTGGCGTCAGAAGAGATGATCTTCTTGGCACCGGATGGCAGCTTGACTCTGGTCTTGCCTTCATCTGGGTTGTGACCAATGATGATGACGTAGTTACCGGAAGTTCTTCCCAAAGCACCTCTGTCACCTGGCTTCTCCTCAACGTTGGAAACGATGGAACCTTCTGGCAAAGAACCCAAAGGCAAAACGTTACCAATGTTCAAAGAGGCCTTCTTACCGGCGTAGATAAACTGACCGGTGTAGACACCTTCGTTGGCAATGAAGATCTCCTCACGCAACTTGTACTTGTATGGGTCTCTGAAGGCAACCTTGGCCAATGGAGCACCACGACCTGGGTCGTGGATGATCTGCTTGACAACACCACGGATGTAACCGTGACGCTCAGCATAGTCCAAGGTTCTCAACTTGGCAGCACCCTTTCTCAAACGAGTGTGGGATGTGAAGATCGAACCAGCACCCTTTCTTTGGTTACGAATAACTCTACCTGTGGGAGGGAAGGTTGTTAGTAAACGGTACTCTGGGAAACCATAGGCGAAAAGTTTTCAGTTAACGATGGCAAATGTCATGTGTGATCTAATGGTGACTTCGATATTGATTCTGAGGATTCCAGCGATTTCTGTCCTGTGTTTCTACACAACTGGAACAGGAAAAACTGTCATGTTCATGATGGACTCGACAACGATTCATTCTTGAATATAATCAACCACAAAAGATATCACAATATTTGCCAGTCATTAACTCAGCTTTAGCCGTCATATTGTCTTAAACATACCCATTTTGATATAATGTTGTTGGTGTTGTAGATGGTAGAACAGGAGAGTGTCTAAGCTTGAAAAAAACCTGGCTGAAAAAGTGTAGTACCAACGGGGGCCCACCCATTTTGGGGGAGATCATGTGACCTTGCCATACTAAAGCCAAGCACAGTGCTCGTAATATCAATGTCACACAGTCACATACCTAAATCAGGTGACCACAAAGAGGGCTAAAAACCCAGTCAATAATTGAGATCATGCACTACTTTGGTTATTTGGCCTACACTACCTTTTAAGTGTACCGACAAAATTAAAGATAAGCTCAAAAGAAGATAAGCGACTCCCGAGAGTAGCAAGACCTGTTTATGTGGGCAATAGTTCTTCTTATGGGAATCGATTTCTGGGTGGTATCGACTCAACAATTCACGAACCACTACCTCAACATTGCGTTTTAGCAAAACAAACAACTTTTAGATTTTCTACTTATTCTCAATAACGTAGCAATAATTAGGATGAGGGTGTAATCTCGAACACACGTAGACCACAATTTTGGACGCTGTGGTACTTCATTCATAAATCAAATTCAAGCTTTCATTAACCTTCAACATTTGGAACTCAGGCCTCGGCTTCAACTTCCTGGACTTCTGGGACAATCTTCTCGTTTTCTTTTCCTTCCTCTGCTTGTTCACCTTCCTCCTTTTTGGGGTCAATAGCAACCGTGATCTCAACTACCTTACCCTCGATCTCAGTACCGTTGAATTTTTCAATAGCTAATTTTTGTTGTTCAGGCCCAGCAAACCTGACGAAGGCGATTCCACGGTTTCTAATGGGGACATTTTCCTTGATCAGCTTCCTCGCGATATACCTTGGGAGCTGTTTCTTTGGAACAGTCACATAGACAGGTTCCAATTCAGCAAAAGTCTCACGCAGGGTTTTAGGACCAACGTTTTCCTCCAAATTACTTATGAAGATGGTTGTTTCCGATGGTATTCCCTGATCCAAAGGGACTTTGGGGGATCTTGCTGCCTTCTTGGACTCCTTCTTGGGGGCCTTCTTTTGTTCTTTCGAATCAGAATCATCGGAGACTACAGCCTCCTTCTTGGGCCTCTCCGTCAGCTCGTGCGGCAATGCATGCTTGGCCTCGATGGTTCTCTCACCAACGGTCTTACCTTGCAAAGCCTCTATGGCCTCCGTAGCAATCTCCTTTGTCTTGAAAGTGACAAAAGCAAAACCAGACTGTCTGGTAAAACGCTTGTTACCTCTCTTGACGGTCCTGGTTGGGAGCTCGACAGATTCGCTATTGTTGTTAGTGTCATGGGTGGGGAAAGCCGCTTGAACCCAACGGAGACAATAAAGCTCCAGGAGAAAACAAACGGGAATAAAACATGCTCCCAGCCTGTGATAAGATACTCACTATTCAAAATCCTTGATCAGATCCTCCAATTCCTCCTTGGTCGTTGTAAAAGGCAAATTGCCAATGAAGACCCTCTCCTCAATGATTGTTGGGGTTTCGGCAGTTTCGGACATGCTGTGATTAAATGATTTGGGAAAGATGACACAACAATTGGACACGAATGATACGATTACTGGAAATCGAGAAACTGGAAAAGTGTATGAACCGTGTAAGAAACCAAATTGGAGTAGATGTTTGTCCGGGAAACCACCGAGACTTTGGGGGGCGATTTTGGGTGGCCAAACGCAAGTTTATAAGGCGAATCCCAGAAAAATCATCCGACGTGTCAATTAAGGAATTTTTGGAAATTACTGCGACAATGTCGATGTTGTGGTTTAGACGCTATTTATTTTCGGAATACAATAACACACCATTGTAATTGATCAATAGTGATGGTGTTAGTTGGGATAGACCGAACACCAGTTTTATATGGGTCTGGGGGAGTGAGCTTAAGCGTAGGCCGAGTGGCCTAGTTAGGCAGCTGGGAGCCTGATGAGATGTCAAATCTGGCCGCTGGAAGGGCTGTCTCGCCCAGTTTTTGGTTTTCTTTCAAACGGAATCTTGCGCGTCAAGACGAGCAACTAACATATATCCATAGTGCTACTCAATTGGAAAAATATGCATTTTCCGGCTGAAATGTCCCCTTCTCCCAAACCCAGATCGACCCTGGCGCTAGCTTCGCTCTATAAAAACTATGTCGTGTGCAAACAAACAAAAACAACCAATGAACGATTACATTTTACAAGACCCGTTGACCGGTACACACCCAGTGGTAACGACTGATACTGCCGTCGAAGGACTTGTTAACAAGCCATCTGTTTATCTCGATTCAATTGAAGAAAACCAGTTCAGAATTCTTTTAGATATGTCTCTTTTTCGCGATTTGATAGACTCTCTGTTGCCAACCGTGGCTTACGCCGAGGAGGTGAGTATACTTGCAGGCATAGTGGATTCATGATCGATGAATTATGGATCGTGTTGAATTCCATTTTTTATGCGGGGCGTAATACTAACAGTTCCATGTTTTTCCAGCCTGAAGAAGAAGAAGAAGTCGTTGAAGAAACCCCCGCAGAAGAATCCGAAGAGCCAGCTGAAGAACCAGCTGCTGAAGAAGAGGAAGCCTCCGATGACGAAGAGGAAGAGGAGGAAGACGAAGACGACGACGACGAAGAAGAAGAAGACCCCATGGTGACCCTGAGAAAGGAGTGCGAAGAGTCCGCTGCCTGCAAACCATTTGCACACCACTTCCACGAGTGTGTTGAAAGAGTTACCAAGCAGCAGGAGGAGCCAGGCTACGAGGACAGACATTACAAAGAGGACTGTGTCGAAGAGTTCTTCCACCTACAACATTGTATCAATGACTGCTCCGTTCCAAAATTGTTCTACAAGTTGAAATAAATGCATTGAATCACAAAAACTACGAATAAAATGAGAGAAACAATGACATACCATGATGTAGTGGTGTTGGGGCAGATACAATCTGTGATATGGATATCGCTAATGACGTTCCTCTTGGTGGAAATCTAGGGCTTGAAGCAGATGGTTGCTTGGGCTCAGATTCAAGCCAGTTGAACAAAGATATATCCTCGTATTTGCATTTGCACTTGCATTTGCACTTGTAGTGTTTCCAGATCCATGATCGTCACCTTCCCATAACCCTACAACTATATCTACTACGTACTTTTCAGTTCAGATTATTCAATTTGGTCTAATACTTAGTTAGAAGCAATGGCCTTGGCCCTCTTGGCAATCTTAGCTTGGGCCTTAGCACCCATGACACCACCACCCCAGTGTCTTCTGCTGTCCTCGTACTTCTCAGTGAAGTTGGCGTTGACAGTGGAGATCAAAGTGGCGAAAGCAGCCTCGTCCTCGGCTCTGACCTCAGTCAAAGCAGCGACGGCAGAGGTCTTCTGGTGAACCAAAGTTCCCAATCTAGCCTTACCCTTCACAATGGCGTATGGAACACCCATCTTCTTACAGAGAGCTGGCAGGAAAACAACCAACTCGATTGGGTCAACATCGTTGGCAATCAAGACGAGCTTGGCCTTCTTGTTCTCGATCAAAGAGACAACGTGGTTCAAACCGAACTTGACAACGAATGGCTTAGAGGAAACGTCCTCCTTCTTCTTACCGTCAGCAATGGCAGCAGCCTCCTTGGTCAATCTCTCCTTCTTCTCAGCAGCAGTCTCTGGTCTGTACTTGTTGAAGAGCTTGAAAGCCTCGGCGGCGGTGTTTCTGTCCAAAGTGTTGGAGAATTGAGCGATGGATGGAGGAACCTTCAATCTCAAAGAAAGGATCTTCTTTTGACGTTGCAATCTAACGTATTCTGGCCATTTGACGAAACGGGACAAGTTTCTCTTTGGCTGAATAGCTTGACCAACACCGAAGTTTCTTGGGGTGGACTCAAACAAAGGGTTCTTGGTAGAAGCCTTAGTGGAGGACTTAGCAGCCAATGGGGCTGGAGCAACCTTCTTTCCTTTTGGGGCCTGAAAAGAACTGTTAGTATGTTGGACACAACAAGAATAAACTGCTTTCGATTTTGGAGGCATTTCTGAACAAAGTTGACTGATATCGGGATCTCGTTAAGCTCTTTGGGATACCCTGATCAACCCCGATTAGACATGGTACCGGTACCATCATATCCCCAATATAAAGCATCAGAAAATTCACCAGGGCCTTGTCACAGATGATGCAAAACGAAAGCGAACATTTTCACAAAAATACATACCATTTTGAATGTAGTTGTGGATAGGAACTTTTACCTAAACCTTCAAAATCTGTTCATGTATAATTTCTTGTAGGGTGTGTGCACTCTGCCAATTTTCACCCTGGCAAGAAAAAAAAGATTATTCTCACGTGATACAACAAAGGGCTAAGAAACCTTTTGTGCAACACACTATCATATACAAAAGATAAGATAAGGGGTCATTGAATATTTATATATTTCAGGCCGTAGACGTCACCTAGATGTTATTCCACGGATTCTGGCTCAATAGTTTATTCCAGTGTTTGTGGCATCTTCATCATCAGCACCACCAAAGAGGTCCATCCCAGGAAGTGCTTGGTCCTCTTGCCCTCACCTGTAGCCTCGTCGTATTGCTCCCAGGCATACCCAGTTCTAGTATACTCTCTGTATACATTGTTAACCACATTTTCACGCAGTTCTCTGTATGCCTTTTTCGCCAGAGATTTGGCCTGGGGATTGACCCGTTCTGCTGTACCGTAGTGTTGCAAACTCTCTAAAACCAGGTAGTTTAAGTTGATCCAGATAGACCCTCTCCAGTAGTCTTCCTCAGTATGGAAGAACTCGTCCTGTTTGGATAAAGATCTGATACCAAAATCGGTCCACAGCTGCTCGGGATCGGTCAAAATCTTTAGCAATGGGAGAAGGTGACCAGAATCTTCCGGTATCAGTTTGTGCAAGAATGGGAATAAAGTCACATATCCGGTATGACATACGAAGAGATCCTCATCTTTATCGTCCACCGAAAGATCGCAGTAGTTTTGATCCTTCTCGGACCAATGCAAGTCCTCAATGTTTTGTGTGATGTCGCTGAAAATCGAAGAGTACTTAATGGCGTCCTCCTTCTTGCCCAGTAAGGTTGCGATGCTTTTCATTGATCTGGTCATTACACCGATCCAAGATATCAAGTCCACATTCAACTCCGCGATATCTGCTTCAGCACGGGGATAATCATCAATACCACTAGGCAGACAAAGCTTTCTGGTTCTGCCTTTCCACCTGTAAGCCTCCGTCATGCTATGAGGGGTTCTATCGAACTCCCTCAATTCTCCACGCTGCGTTCTGCGAAACCACTCATAGTGTCTTTGGAGATCGGGGTATATATTCTCAGCATACGAAGCAAGCAAATGTGGGTATTTTAGGTGGACGTCACCGAGATCTGTGAGGTCATAGTCGTCCAAAGACTTCGTGTTGTAGGTGCCGATGCTACCCACAGCTTCCTGGTTTTTGGAGGCCATTTCCAAGAGCTTGGTAAAAACCAACATCAAAGTTGGAGGATTCGCTATGTTTGCGTTTTGGACCTGGAACTCCTCAGGAACTTTGCTTCTGGCCTCTGGGCCTAGAATCTGTTCTCTTGCTATCCAACCATCTTCATCTATTTGCGAGAACCAACTTTTCAGAATCTCAAGTGCAAAATCTGTATCATACTCAAGTATGGGGAGTAGATGAAAACCTTCATCCCAGTAGAAACCTCTTGGAAAGAACGGTCTGCTTGGTACTGCAGTGAAAAGCTCATGAGGCCCATCCGGTTTGCCCACAAGTTTGACGTTGTCGAATGACTCCTCGTCCAAATCTGCTTCAGAATCAACCAGATGATCACCATAGAAGTAACTAACACCTCCCATCAGCTGTGACAGAAACTCTTTCGCGAAGATGGTGTGGTTCACAGTGTTGAAGGGGGCTTGCAACTGGAACTTTTGGGCAAACTTGTCATCAAACGAGTCCACAGAGCTCTTCACCAAGTCTGCAATGTCTTCCTCCTTGATCTTATTTAGAGACTCCTCCAGGTTGAAGATGATATCAAATTCAAAGGCACCCTCATAAATCTTCTGGACAAAATGAAGGTTTCCCTCAAAGTTCTGGGTGTTTCTGAGTGAGAATAACTGCTCTGGGGGTATACGTGCCAGGTCCTTGGGATCAGTCGCAAATTCACCAATAGACTCCTGCAGTAGAGTCAAGTAAATGTCCTTCGCTTTCCAAATGTTGTCGTCTGGAACCTGAAGAGAAAGGTGATGAGTCTTGGAGGGATCAAATGCTGGATGAAGCAACTTCGTCTTCGACCGCACATGTTTGTTGGAAGAAGGACCGTCTGTTATTTGCACATTGAAAGGCCCTCCGATAGTCTCAGCATATCCAGTGAGCTTAAAATTGCCATTATAGAGGCTCAGCTCGTCCTTAAGTCCAGCGTGTGCCAATAAGCCTTCTCCTTCCAGACCTGTATAGAATACCAATGAAGTTTTCACCTTGTCGAAACCTTTGAATGGGGTCCCCTTGATCCTCAGAGCCCAATTGCCATCTTTGGTCTTCACAAACTCGGATGTGAGCGTAATATGAGACTCGTTATCTTCGATTCTTTGAATGCCTCCTTGTCTGGGGTCGTACTTTAGCCAGCCAAATCCGGCCAAATCATCGCCTTGATCACAGAAATGCTTGATCTTCCTGATTGGTGCATGCGAATCTACGTTGAACCACATCAATCCACTGAGCAACGATCTGGGTACCCTAGGACGAACTCCCACGTAAAGATTGGATCTGTATGGCCCCCATAGTAGAGAGTCCTTGGACGCGCTCTCGTAAAGAGCGTCAATGGGATCCTCGGAACTGGAAAAGGCAAAGCAAATCCCGGAAAACCAAATCAGAACAGCAAGCCACTGAAGACCTGATACCCTCATTATTCTCGTACTCTCATATAATCAGATGGAGTGTAGTCCAATGGTATTCTCGATTGAAATGACCGAGCTCGCAGGTGGTGAGGCGTGGCAGATTATGTACACGATATCTGCCATTTAGCATAAGCCGCACTGATGTTGAAAAGTACGCAACTACTCGTGAAATTCAGATCATTAAATATACTATTTTACATGAAACCACCCAGACGCCTCTTCTGTTTCCGCTTGGAGCTGCCTTTTTTGTCCGTCTTCGATTTTTTTGGTCTCGGAGCGCTTTCATAGGAAGATGTCGACGCCAAGCTAGACTCTATTTGCGATTGCGGGACAGATGAAGGCATCGAGAAAAAACTATCGTTCTTCAGGTTGGAAGGTTTGTGGAATTTTGTCTTGCGAATCTGTGATTTGAGCCCGTCATGTTTTCTCTTCTGTGAGCTTATAACAGTTGGGATTAGCTGGCTCTCTAGTCTTTGTGTCAACCTTACGTTGGTCTCCTCTTGCTGTGTGTAGGGGTCTCCCCATTTCTCCAGAATGGTTTGGTATCGATGGGCGAGCTTCTTCTGGATGCGACTTATCTTGGTGCGTGTTGTGTCAGTCTGCAAGTGAAAACTGGTGAAGCTGAGACCCACATCCCTGGCAACTAAGCTCTGCTCCAGAGGTGTGAGAGAGTCGGGACTCAGAATTCGAGGGAGGAGACTGCGAAGAGACGCTAAATCAAGAATCTCTGGACTTGAAGACGTGATTGACGAAACAAAGTTCTTCAGTAATGATTTGTTCGTTTCGAAGTCAATGTTCTCGCCTTTGAAATTTTCAAATAGCATCTTCAACATGTAGTCCATTTCCGTCAAGTCGTCAATTAAGAAGGACCTGTTTTCAGTAGCTTCAAACAGGGTTATGCTTGAGTTACTTTGGCTCTTCGAGTTCAGCATTTCAGCTATTGAAGTAGTAAAGTCTGAAGCCAGCTCTTGAATCTTGTCTCTTTCGTCCTCTTCCCAAAGAGTATCGTCCGATTTGATATCAACCAAGAAGTCAAATAACTCCTTGAGCTTCTCATATACTTGGTCAGAAACTGAGTTTTCCCCTTCTTCAACTGGTACAGCATCATCTTCATTTTCGTCCTCCTCGAGTTCCTCCAACAGCGTGTCCTTCAGTTCCTCAGAAAAATCAAACCAACGCTTGGATTCAGGCAACATTTTGAACTGTCTGTCACTGGTGGAGATCGAAGAAACCAAATCACCGTTTGCAGAAAGAGTAAATGCACACATACCAAGAGATACATCTGCCACTGAGATTGGTCTGCTAACCTTGGCATCTGTATTAACGGCTCTTCTTCGCCAACTCTGGATACTAAATGACCCTGTGGAAGCAGACGTCATATTCTCTCTATATCCACGTAATTTTCCAAAAAGTGCACTCTCGTCAACATCGTAGAAATAATTGACCATCCCTGACATGGTTTTGTTAAAAGAAGGTGTGATGAATGGCTGTCCCAACAACACTATGTTATCAGCTTCGATGCCAATTGTGACATTCCATACCAGTCTCGATGCCTTGGATGTCACCGTGCAAACGAACATCTGTTCAAGTGAAATATTGTCCTTCAAGGCATTGGGAACAGGACTCTCTGAAACTGACAATGTCATGGACGGATCGTCATCGTCAAGGCAATGCTTGAATGCAAGAACCTTCTTGACACCGTCTGAAAAATCTGCGATTACAAGCTCCCTGTCTGTCAACAATGCAAAATATTCTGTCATAAACGGTATTCTGCGAAGATCCAAAATCTTGGACCAGGCCATCGCAGTAACGAGTTCGGTGAGTCCGTGCGCAATCGTGTCGTACTTGTATAGTCTGGATCGAGAAAAAACCAACAACTCATTAGGACTAGCTCCCCATATGACTCGTTTGAACTTTGACAGTACTAAGGGATCATAAATGGTACAATTGGAGTATTTCTTCGGGATGAACGGAGTACCTTTTTTCTGGATCTCGATGATGCGAAAGTCTCCACGAGCATTCACCACGGAAATCTCGGTGGAGTTGAACGGACTTGCTGTGGCATAAACCAGTTCAGAGATTCCAATTTCTTCAGGAGTCCATTCAGCATGTTTAACGACCTCCAGAATCAAGTTGTTCTTGGACATTCCGGCCACAGTCAATCTAAAAAGCACCAATGACTCTCTGGTAAGGACCAGGCAGTTTCGACCACCCTGTTTGTCAAAGGGCTCTTCAAACGATATCTGTAAGATATCCGAGCTCATATTCACAACAACAGATTTTGAAATCCAAGGGACAGACATCCTACGGATATCTTTCGTCTGGACCTCGAGTACTGCCCTTTCTCTCCACATCAGCAGTGAAAAGTGTAGTCGTCTCATGTTCTGGACATATCCCAAAACTAACAAAGGAATTGCACGTGAAACTCTAACATTGGCGATTATCAGCTGATCTGAGATGACGGGATCGTGGACCCCCTCCACATACGCTTTGGCTTCGTGTTCCAGTTTCCTGCCTAACCCAGTAGGAACGAACACTTCGGACTGGACCCTCTGCCAGTCTTCTTTAATCTGTGTTAACCGCTGTCCATGTGACAAAGTGGCAAACAATGGCTTCCTCAAGAGCTGGTTCGATCCTTGCACGAGGGTAAAGTTAATCGGGTAATCCAGCTCATTAGCAAAAGACCAGTATCTGTTTGGGTCATGTGCCTCGCGATAAACACCAGGTCCCTCGATCCCATATGTAAGCTGGGGACCCACTTTTTTCTTTGAGGGCCACATTAAACGTCAGACAGCTTCATATCATTAAAACAGCCGGGCGATCAGTGGTTGTTGTGGTTGATGTTGTATACGTTATGAGAACAAGACTCGGGACCTCATATAATTTTTTAGTGTGGAGTGCCAAAACCGAAGACCAAATCTGGGTACTCCATCAAACGGATTAAAGAGAATGGGATTTTGAGACTGACCTATACAAGACCACCACATTCGTTTCAAACGTTTCAAACGAAACGTGATTTATGATATTGAATAGACAGAGATCTGTTTTTGGGAGGTCTTTGCGATCTCCCCATACGTGTCTACCATGCATACCCATAAGACACAAACAGACATCTGCCTACAAGGCCTTCCTGGAAGAAGCCAAGAAGAAGAAAGACAAGGAGGAAAACGAGAGAAAGTACCAAAAGAAAAAATCCACCAAGGCATTTAAGTTCACCTCCTCGGCTTTTATATTTGTCGCTACACTTGGTGTTGGTTATTCGCAGGGCCGTTTGCAGGTATTGAACCAGCCTCCGAAGAGCCTGTTCCCAGAAACATCAACCGCCCCGGTAGATGACATACGATCGCCTTATTATGCCAACGAGGGTGAATTTGAAAAAGCCTGCAAGCTGATAGAGAGGGTTGTAGGGCCAAATGGCTTCACCGACTCTGATGCCGAGATTAACGGCCACGCTGACTCCTATTATAGTTGCATGCACCCCGAGCCGGATCAGAAGCCGGATTTGGTGGTGTATGTGCGGTCTACCGCTCAGGTCTCGAAAATTATGGACATTTGCCACAGATTTAATGTTCCTGTTGTTCCTTACTGTGGTGGTACTTCGATTGAGGGCCAATATATCTCCACAAGAGGGGGGATAGTGCTTGATTTTTCTAAGATGGCTGATATAGTGAAGTTCAACGAGGAAGACAGAACTCTCACAGTTCAGGCTGGAGCCACATGGCAGGATTTGGAAGAGTTTCTGAAGCCAAGTGGGTTACTTTTTGGTCCGGATCCAGGACCCGGTGCTCAGATCGGAGGAATGGTTGCTACCAGTTGTTCTGGAACCAACGCTTATCGATACGGGACCATGAAGGAGAACGTGGTCTCACTGAAAGTGGTTCTATCAGATGGAACTGTAGTAGACACGGGTTCTTCCAACTCAGGTTACGATCTCACTAGGCTGATTGTGGGGAGTGAAGGAACCCTCGGACTTGTTACGGAAGCCACTTTGAGGCTTGCTCCAAGACCCAAAGCTGAGACTGTTGCACTAGTGTCCTTCGATAACGTTTTCAATGCTGTTCAGGCTGCCCAGGATATTATATCGCGGGGGATCCCATTGAATGCGATTGAGCTTTTGAATGCCAAAAGCGTCTTCTACGTCAATCAGTCTGGATTATTGCACAAAAAGCTAGAGGAAAAACCCACGCTCCTTATGAAGATTGGAGGGGCCTCGCAATCGTTATTAGATGAGACGGTCAAGATCACTCGGAAGATCACAAAAACCCACAACGAGACCGCGTTCAAGTTTGCATCCAACGAAGAGGAAATGGACCAATTGTGGATGGCCAGAAAAGTGCTTTATTGGTCAAACCTAGAGTATGCCAAGAAAGCTGCCGGTCCAGATGTGAATGCCTGGACCACCGATGTTGCTGTGCCTATATCGGCTCTTCCCAAGATGGTTGATCAGTTTGAAAAAGAACTAGATAAGTCCGGGATTATCGGAAGCATCATTGGCCATGTTGGCGACGGAAATTTCCATGCTTTATTGATGTATACGCAAGACCAAAAAGAAGCTGCAACCAATCTCGTTTCGCGAATGGTTGACCAGAGCTTGAAGCTGGAGGGAACCAGCACCGGAGAGCATGGAATTGGCTACCACAAAAGAGAGTTTCTGATCGAAGAGGTTGGCCAAACCTCGGTAGACACCATGCGGAAACTCAAGATGGTGCTTGACTCCAAAAGAATACTCAACCCGGACAAGGTGATTGTGGTTGATCGTTCTGAGCCGCAGCCCGATAGAAGTGAATAGAAATTTCTAGAAGGCTCTACGCTGGTGCAAGAACGTGTCCAGAAAAGAACCTGCAAGCCTGTAAATATAAACAAGAATCCACATCATACTTTAAGACCTAACCTTCCAGTATCTTCTACAACAACCTTAGACTTTCAAATTTTTCTCAGTCTACTACTTTTCAATTCTTCAGATCTGTTATGTCTCTCAGATTTCAAGACTTCGTCGTGCCCACGCCATTCCTCCCTAAACGGAAATTTGCACTGCGCACTTCAGGAAATTTAAATTCTAAGCAAGAGACAGGTGATACAGATGATGGCATAGAAGAGATTGTAAGGGAAGATCGTCTGCCCTTATATCCCAATTTGGTCGGAAATTCGCAGACATTTGAAACAGAACAGCCAGAAATGAGTTCGGGAGATATTCCTGTGGATCCGTTCCCATCGGTGCTGTTTTCCGACCCGCCCGCCGTCGATGGCGCTCACGATGCCCTTACAGGCTTTCCAAACGATGTTATACCCAATGGGTTTACGGATGGCTTGACTGCGGACGACGTGATAAACAACAATCCACAGGCATTGACCACATACTCGAATGGACTACTCCATGGCGTTGACCCGTTGTATAGCAACAACATCACCGAGATACCCGCTAGATTACAGACTGTTAACAAGGACGGCCGCTTGTCTCCTATACAAGGAACCTCTGAGGAACGCACTTATTTCAAGAGACCAAAGCCAAAGAGACTCACAAATGGTACCAACAAGAGGCCTGCATTTGTAACCAAGTTGTGGGATATGGTGAATGACGAGAAGAACAATGACTACATTAGGTGGATGCCCGATGGGAAGAGTTTCCAGGTGCTGAGCAGAGAGACCTTTCTGAAGGATGTCTTGCCGAAATATTTCAAGCACAAAAACTTTGCAAGTTTTGTGAGACAATTGAACATGTATGGATGGCACAAAGTACAGGATGTGAGCAGTGGGTCGATGAACAACGAGGAATTATGGCAATTCGAGAACCCTTGTTTTCTGAGGGGAAGGGAGGATTTGTTGGATAGCATTGTGAGGAATCGGGCCAAACCTGAGGAGGATGAAGAGCTCGATATTCAAGTGCTGCTCAGTGAATTGGAGACAATCAAGAGCAACCAGAGATTAATTGCGGACGACCTGCGCAGGGTAAAGCACGATAACGAGACCCTCTGGAAAGAAAACTTCATTGCCAGGGAAAGACATAAGAATCAGAGCGAGACGTTGGACAAGATCTTGATGTTTCTGGCATCTGTTTATGGAACTTCCAAGAACGATATTCAGAACATCACGGGCTCCCAAGAACCAGTTGCTCATGAGCATAAGCCTGTCCCCGCCCAGTCTTTCAACAACAGACCGATGTTAATGATTGCGCCAAACGCCCACAAAAGAACGCCTTCAGAGTCCAATGCGCCAGCCGCAAGCGGAATTTCGGAAATTTCCAAGACTCCCAACTCTGTCGGCGAAAGCCCCATCCAGGAGATATACAGAGGCCCAGAACTCAAGCAGGGATTGCCATATGTGCCTGATTCGATAGACCCTGCCACCAATCCTTACCGCAATCTTTCGCTCCAATCAGATGCTGCTGCAGGTAGGGCTTTGTTTCCGGAATTCGCTGATAGCATACAGTCTCCTGCGAAGAATGTAACGGACCTGGATATTCCATACAGTTCTCAAGGCGGTAGCAAGTATCACCGCGATAGCTTGCGTGGCTTGGAGAACACCATAGCGAAGCAAGGTGATTCCATCAAGCATGTTCAGGATTGGATCAGCAAATTGCACCGCAATTTCAACTCCGCTGACAGAGACTACAACGAGGCCTCGTCGAGGGTGTCCGATTCTGCTTCCAGGCTGGATGACAACTTCGATGTGGACGATTATTTGAACTCAGGAACGCCATTGGGAATTGAAGAGATCGATAATGATTCTGACAGTGACGACGACAGCCCAGGTGCAGAGGCGGGTGCTTCTGCTCAAGATCCACGCATTGATGAGATTTTTGACGATAAGTCTGTATCTGCCGACTCAAATACGTCTACCGACTGGATGTCAGGATCAAAGAGAGCAAACCCAGTCTCCAAGACTGGAACTCCTCCCAAGAGGCAACACAGAAAGACTCGCAGCTAGAAGTTGTTCGACAGGGGTCGAAGTTGACGCTATTCATTAGTTTACTAGCAGGCACTGGCACACCATAGGAAACAGCCTGCACTTTCAACATTCTTCGCAGCATCCACAATATCCACATTATCAACAATACCGGAATTTCTCTATGGATTGCTTTATTCAACCATAAATAATTTGGACATCCTATTTAATATTTGTAATGCAAATTAACCTGCAGAATACATTTATCTCTTTGACATATGCCGGATTCGGCTTAGCGTCCTTCGGGCTGCAGCGCCTCCTGATGAGGCTGTGCATGATACCTAAGGCTGGTACCCCCGTGTTCTGCTTACGAGTGTTTGCATCGGAGATCTTAGTGATACGAGTTCAGATATTGATCATAAAGAGTTCTGAAATGACACAGTTGACCTTCAAGACCAAAACCGTAGGGTGGAAGGACGGGTTTGCGGGAGAATGGCATCTGAACAACATCCTTCTTCAGAATAACAATGGCCCATGCTTTATCATCTCGCTGATCAACTCAATGGTGATTTCTTCGGAACTGCGTTCAGTGAGTCAGTCATGGACCACTGTGACGAAATCCAAGTCAAAGACACAGTTATCACCTCCAGAGGACAATTTGGATCTTTTGAGCTCAGATCCAAGCTTACTGGTTCCATTAAAGAGCCTGCTATCTAATAGAGAAGTGACTTTGGAATCCCTATTGAGCCATCTTACCAATTTGCTACTGGTTTTCTCTGAAAATGGTCTAGATCCAGAAGATTTGACTGGAATGCTCAACACGTTTCCTCTTCTTCATACGGGATTGAACACGGATGTGAATTTCAGTTCGTGTATCATTTCGTCTACGCAGTCTGATGTGGAGGCCCAGGTTTTCAAGATGCTGGAACTGTTTGGAACTAGTATGGTACATGGCTGGATTGTGGATCCTGATTCGGACGACAGACATCAGTATGAGCTGGTGAAAAAACTGGGTCATTTCGAGAAGTGTCAGTTGTTTCTAGTGAACCAGCTTGATGAGATACAGAACTCTTTACCGGACTCCTTGAGGGCCAAGCTGAAGGTATCGCAGGTGGAGTCCTTCACATATTCGGATTGGTCTGATGTGTTGATTGGTCTTGAAAATGAGGAATTTGACGAAAGGTCTGAATTGATAGCTAAAATCAAAGATTTGATCGCCGTAAAAAGGTTCCTTACTGACAATCAGACCCAACTCACGGAGTATGGCCTGAAACAACTGCAGACCTCTGAGATGCTTCCAAACAATTCGGTGTCTATATTTTTTAGAAACGACCACTTCAACACGATGTACAAGCGTGATGGAGCTTTATATCTGTTGCTGATCGATGAAGGGTATGGCGAGCAGGACAGATACGTCTGGGAAAGTCTGAGCTCGGTTTCAGGCGCTGACAACGAGCTCCTTGATGGAAATTTCGTGAAAGCTGAGACCACAGGCAAATCAGACGAGCCTGCTTCAAACACGATTGAATACTCCGACTTCATGTTCGACGATAGTGAATTGAACAGCCAGGCAGTTTCCGACCAGCAATTTGCGAAGGAGTTGCAACGGAAAGAGGATGAGAGGTACGCAAAACAACTTCAAAAGTCTTTTGATGAAACGCCTGAGCCGAGATCAGGTCGAGGAACCAAAAAGAGCAAAACCACTGCGGACTCAGCGAACGCGAACTCGAACACAAAATCCGCCAAAAGCTCCGGTGATTCGTGTATGATAGTATGATCAGTTGTACTTAATGAACTTCATCGCAAAGGCCATGTAACTGTAGGTATTTCGAGGTGTCTAATCGCTTTCAAAAACAACTGGGGCGTGCGTTTTCGCGTGCTAGAAGACGTATGTTCCATTCGGAGAGAATGTTGCGATAGGTTGTCCAAACTTTGTTCTGTTGTTCAGTCAAAATGTGATAGTACTGACTCTATATCAAACTGTCAAACAGCGTATCATTAGCATTTGGTTTGTTGGTGGCATTAGCATTCTGGTTTATGTGAAGAGTCGACAGCTGCGGTGTTGGACTGCTGACTCTTTTCGTTGGTTGTAGAATTCCACCTGTAAACCCCTGTGGGGCGCCAGGCACTGGCTTTTTGAAAGACGAGTTCATGGGGGTTATTTTTGGCGAGAAGCTTGATGTAGTGGGTGACGGTGAGGCCTTAGACCAATCTATTCCCGAGGGCTGAATCACTTGGGGCTGCTGTGTAGTGGAATTGGATGGAAGCATAGCGTTGAGCGAGTTCATCGGAGCAGCTGTTTGGAGTGAACCGTTGCCATTCAGCCTCTGAATCGGGTTGTTTCCGGATTGCGAAGAGGTTGCACCAAATCCCAGGCTCGAGGAAGCTGTTTTAGGAGTGAGTGAAATCACGTTTGATTTTTTCAAGGGCACGATTCGTGATGGTTCCAATTCTGGTTGCTTCTGCTGTGGGAACGGCTGTGTGTATCTAGGAGTTTCCTGAGGCCTGAAAGCAGCTGGGGCTTGGACAGCTGGAGGCTGCGCAGAAGGGAATGTCGCCGCGCTATCGAAGTCTCCAAACTCATCCTCATCGTTGAGTTCATCGTTGCTAGTGACTGTGCTCAATGCTGTTGAGTTGGCCTCCTTCTTCACGACGGCTTCAGTACTCTTTTCAACTAAAAATTCTTGGACACTGCGAATGATGCTCAAAACCTCATCAAGGTCTCTTTTGCTATGCACGAACTTGGAGAGTTTCCACAACTCAAAGAACACTTGCTCCATGATAATATCCAGAATAGAGCTCCCGTTGCGATCGAGATTCATTGACTTCATCGTAGAAGACATCTTCAGGAATATGTGATGATAAAGACTCACCATGTTCGTGAGAATCTGAGAGTTCTTGAAGTTCTTCACTGAAGTCTTCTGAATCACCGGAAGAAGCTTGTCAATGATTAGATAGTTGTCCAGAAACTTGTCATCGGTCCTGGAATTGACTTTGCTGCCATCTCCAATGAGCAGAATGAAGGACTTGATGGTCAGATTCTTAACCTTCAATGAAGTTGTTTTGGCAAAAATATCACATATCAGTGGGAACAACTTGTGTGTAATTGTAGTGTAGGATTGAAACTGAAGAAACAGAGAAAGATTCAAAAGAGCATGCTCCTGCATCTGCAACAGCGCTTGTTGCTGATTTGGACGTAAAACGACAGATTGCTCAAATAGCTGAACCAAGAAAGCAGCGAAAGTTTCTGATTGTCTGCCAGACTCCACCGTAGATAGTCCAAGCCTGTCCTGTATCAATCTCAGATGGTCAATCATGGAAAGCTTACAACTGGCAAGGTCCAACTTGAGTAGCTTTTGCAAGTTCGTGAACACCTTATCGTTGAAAGACAACTGAGACAAGTCCTTGCTGAGATAAAGCAGATTGTCTAATACGAGCGAGATCAAAGTCTCGTCATCAGCTCCAATTTGGACGGCTGCGGTTTTCTTAGACCTAGATTCATCGGGAAAGTATGGAACTAGGACGTCTGTCAGCACGGGAAGAAACTTATTTAAGAGCAAAGCCTTGGGGAAATAATTGATAGACTTCTTGAGGTTTCTGAAAAACACAATCTTCTCGGTGATGGTCATGGTCTGAAACTCATCGATCACATTCAAGATCTTGATCAGGTCATTGTTGAATATCTTGCTCTCGATGAGTTCATCTATGGTGAGATGGTTACCCAGATCAATGGAATCTTGTGAAGACTCATATAATGATATCAGCCTCACGAACATGTCCAGATAGTTGTTAGGGATGTTGCGGAACATTGTCTGGACCCCCGGAACACTGATCTGCCCCGAAATAGCAGTTTTCATCTTCGTGACTGACCTCTCATATGTGCTCAGAGAAGTTCCATCATATTTCAGCAATGTACTGGTATCTAAATCGGTCTTTGAATTAAAGAGGTAGAATATCAGACAACCCAGAGAGAACAGGTCTGCGTTGTAGCTCAATGTATGTCCCATCACTAACTCAGGAGAGCAAAAGCAGAGGTTCAAACTCAAGAAAGAGGGCATTCGAGAGTCAGGCTTGTCAACATAGTACTCTGAAACTGTATCCGGTTTCACGAAGTTGAAACCCGAAAGTTTCCAGTCGAAGCTCTCATTCACGAAAATGGAGGATGGCTGTATATTCAAATGAACCATATGAGCGTTTTGATGCAGAAATTTGACACCATTCGATATTTGCAGAAGCCCTTTGGATATTATGATCTCATCCAAATCTTGTTTTGGGAAATTTGTCAGATCGCTAGTGACGTATTCTGTTACAAATAGCATTCTTGACTTGTGGTCTTCCAAAGGTTCCAGAACAGTAAGGATGTTTGGATGTTTGAACCTGGACAAGTTGGTGATATAATTCTCTAGCACTTTATAACAATCCTCCAAAAAGACACTCTTATTGGACTTGCCGAGAACTCCCTGCCTCACCATCAAGGACTCGAAGTTCTTCTTGTTGAAAGAGAATACCGAGCAGTTCTTCTTGGAGACTTTGTGCTTAGCAGGATATATCGTCCATGGATCGCTCACAAACAAAGGATTCGTGGACACAGCATAATTAGATTCAATAGCAGAAGACCTGAACACTTTAAACATGGTGACGGTTAGCCGTTGTTGCTCTGGCTAGTGTTTATTGATTCAAAACACGTAGTCCACTGTTCAGCTGGTCCCAAAGGGTGCCAATGTGGTTTGTAGCCCCGAGGCGATGCCCTGGGCCTTTTTTTTTTGCTTTTGATGAAAAACTTTCAAAGCTTGACCAGAAGCTACATATTGTTAGATTTGTGTAAGATATAAACATGGGAGAACACAAGTTGGAAACAAAAAAGAGAAAGGCTGATGAGAGTGTGGGGGTTGCCCCAGTGAAGAAGGACAAGAAGGACAAGAAAGACAAGAAGGAGAAGAAGGAGAAGAGAGATAAGAAAGACAAGAAGGATAAGAAGGAGAAGAAGGATAAGAAAGAAAAGAAGGACAAGAGTGACAATTCAGAGATAGCACCAGTTTCTACCACTGATTCCGTCATTATCCCACCCTCTGCTGTCAAATCTGAAGATGTCAAAAAGTTCCTCGAGGAAAACGAGATCACCATTGAGGACCCTCTTAACACCAACATCATACCAGCGCTGGAGTTTTCCTTGCTCGCTTCTACTATAAATAAGAAGATCCTCAAGGTGTTGAGTGAATTTGACAAGCCTACACCAATCCAGTCAGCTACTTGGCCATGTATCTTGCAAGGCCGTGATACAATTGGTGTTGCAGAGACTGGGTCCGGTAAGACTTTTGCCTTTGGTGTTCCAGCCGTGGACCATGTGGTCAAGTCGGGAAAGACTGACAAGCTCTCTGTGCTTGTTGTTTCGCCCACCAGAGAATTGGCTTCTCAGATTTACGACAATATGGTGAAGCTTACCGACGCAACGGGACTCAAGTGCACGTGTATATACGGAGGTGTTTCCAAGGATGACCAAAGACGCCAGGTCAAGACGTCGAATTGTGTGATCGCTACTCCAGGTCGTTTGCTTGATCTCATGGAAGAAGGTTCGATCAACTTGAGCGCTATTGACTACTTGGTTCTGGATGAGGCTGACAGAATGTTGGAGAAGGGATTCGAGGAGGATATCAAGAGGATCATGAACAATGTCAACGCTAACAGACAAACCGTTATGTTCACTGCCACCTGGCCGAAGGAAGTCAGAGAGCTGGCAGCTTCGTTCCTCAAAGAACCAGTTAGAATTACCGTCGGTGACAGAGACGAATTGTCTGCCAACAAGAGAATCACACAGATTGTTGAGGTTGTTGAGCCCTTTGATAAGGAGAAGAAGCTTATCCAGATTTTGACCAAGTACACTTCTGGATCCAAATCGAATGACAAGATTCTCATATTTGCGCTTTACAAGAAAGAGGCCACCAGGGTGGAGAGAACTTTGAACTATAAAGGTTTCCAAGTTGCAGCCCTGCATGGTGATCTTACCCAGCAACAGAGAACGCAGGCCCTTGAGAACTTCAAGAGTGGGCGCTGCAATTTGCTGCTGGCGACCGATGTTGCAGCCAGAGGTTTGGATATTCCAAATGTCAAAGTTGTGATTAACCTGACTTTCCCATTGACCATTGAGGACTATGTTCACAGAATTGGAAGAACTGGTAGAGCAGGAAAGACTGGTATTGCCCACACTCTGTTCACTGAGCACGAGAAACATCTCAGTGGTGCCTTGATGAACATTTTGAGAGGTGCTGATCAAGCGGTGCCGGATGAGTTGTTGAAGTTTGGTGGACATACGAAAAAGAAGGAACATAGTGTTTATGGTGCGTTCTATAAGAACGTTGATCCTACTCAGAAGGCTAAGAAGATCAAGTTTGATTAGAATACCTTACGAAAAGTTGTTTAAATATGCTGAAATAGTTTCAGGAAGATGAATTAGAAGATGGCATTGATTCTCGTTTTTGTTTAGAAAATCGTAGCATTTAGCGAATATCTTGAATTAGTCAATATATTGCATCTCCAAGACACTGCTTATTATGCGAAAACTTGACAAATCACTATAACCAGTACTACCGAGCTTTCACAAAATCACCCTGAATATACTCCAAAAAACACTTTAAAGTACTATTTAAAGCCCCAATTTTCATAATATGTCCAATAAAAACCTAAATTTCAAAACCTATAGTACTATATTTCAGTCTCTAATACACCTTAACTTAGGTAGTGTCCCTCTTGAAGAAGATACCCCGATTGGTCCTGCCCCGGCTAAAAAAAAAATGAGACAGGCCGCAGAGCCTCACGCTCTCTTGTTAAAAACGATCCAATTGTCTTGGCTGTTGTGTTTGACGTCCAGACACTCAAATGACCGACTTGAACTCGCGGAAAAAAACCTTCTCGGGTTGCTGGACATGTCGATCCAGAAAGGTGAAATGTACTATGGAAAGACCCATGTGCCAGCGGTGTGTTAGGGCGGGGGTAGAGTGCACTGGTTACGACATCAAACTGAAATGGTCTATTCCCATCAAGTTCGATACCAGCGGAAATTCGTTGCCTCTTGAGGTGTCAGATAATGATTACGTGCGGCGACGGACGGTTGATTTTGTGAAATACACCGAGGATCAGACATACGAAACTTACGATGACATTGATAAAGACCTGAGCGATTTGCAATCATTCTCTCCGGTGCCTGTGGATACCACCAAGTTGAATGGACCTTTTGGGGTTTTCAGGGGCTGCGAGGGTGTTGATAAGAATGCGAAAAGACACCAGACAAGCTCTGTGAGCGCGCACAGAAGTGGTCTTCCAGATAAGGCTGTTTCGAATGTGCCCACTGCGGAGTACCAAAACGTTCTTTCTGGTCCGACAGCCTCCACGCCGAATAGCATTTCTCAATACTCGCCGTCTCCTTCTCTGGGGTCCTCAGGTTACTCTATGAGACCAAAGGCCTTCAAACGCAATCAGTCGGTGTATGCAAATCCTTTGGACGGGTTTTCAGGCTCTGCAGATGGAAATGAATGGTTGAGTACTGAGCTGATTGGCGACGCGTTGTTGACTGCTTCGGCTTTGAATGGTGATATGTACTTTCTTGATCTGTTCAACGGTACTGGTAATGATTTGGGAGCAGACCACAGCGAGCCTCAGACGATGAACCTCATGCCGCAATCAAATGCTCGTGGCCTGGATCCTAAATCTACGGTAGCCCAGCAACACTATATGTCTGCCCATGTTGACCCTCAACAACCGGAATTCATACCTGATGAAGTTTTACAGCTACTATTCCACAAAAAAGAAAGTGTTGATAAGACTGCGGATGCTCAACATACCATTTCCCAACCCAATTCCAGAAGAGCCACCAGAACCGGCGAGGTGTTTTCAATCATGCTGGATGCTGATGAAACCACCACTATGCCTTCACAAATAATGACTGTTTCAGAAACCGAACATATACCTCCAACCTTGGCGATTGACAAGTTTGGCTTGCCTTGTAATGCACTCACTGTCAAGCCCATGACGCGCTATCTTATGAACTATTATATTGACCAGGTTGCTGACATGATGACGGTTATACCACTAGCAAAAAATCCGTGGAAGTTCATCTATTTTCCCAGAGCTATAATGGCTATTGGCGAACTTGGGTCTCTGGGGAGAACTTCAAACGCAAAAAACTGTCTGCTGAACGCTCTTCTTGCCGTGAGCGCGTTCAACTTACAGAGCAAGTTCACCAGAAACAGCGACGAGATGAAACATTATTTGAGTCTTGGTATTCAGTTACGGCAACAGGCTACTCAATACTTGAAAGTCTGCTTAGACGAGGACATCTTGACCCAGAAGTACAAGGACGTTCTCGTTGCTGTACTTTCCATGGTTACTATTGACGTGGTATGGGGTACCATGTCGGACTGCAAAGTTCATTTGGACATCTGCGAAAAGGTTATCGAGAAGAAGATGAAGGTCAAGAAGAAGCTTTCGTCACAGGCAACGATTTTGCACAGAATTTTCAGCTCATTGAAAATGATTCAAGACTCCACAAGTTTGGAGAACATCCAAGAATCGGAAATCTTTTTGAATGAGCAAAACTACAAGGAGTTCATCATGGATGTGAACAGTCCGTCTGATGCCAATATTGCAAAAGCAAGGTCTGAACCCCACCAAAGGAGAGGCAGTTTCGACAGTGTGGCGTCCACCGATTCCCCAGCTCCAAGAGGTGTGTTCCACGAGAAAATCAACGATCAGGGCAAAATTAAGATCGAGTTCATAGTCAATAATACGGAGAACGATTCTATCGAGTTAAACCCCGATGCCAAGGATGCAGAGCAGGGCATACCTTCTTTCATCGATATCACGAGATCGAGTTTCCAGCCTTCAAAAAACAAAGTTGACGACGATGTGATCTCGAGTGATGCAATTTACGGCCTTCCGAACTCTCTCATTCTATTATTCTCTGAAGTGGTGTATCTTTACAGATTCAAGACCTTTCATGACCAGGAGAACAGATCCCTCCCACCATTCTTTGGGAAATTGGCACAAGATCTCGAGCGCAAGATCTTGAACTGGAGATTAGAGTGGAAGCTCATGAGCGAAGATCGAACCCTCACGGACTCAAGTTCTCAATCCACTGCAGACTTTTTATCGCCCAGGTATGAAGGCATCTATCATCATGTCATGTCCTTCTACCATGGGCTTGCCGTGTATTTCTATCGGGGAGTTCGCAACATGAACCCTCTATACCTGCAAGAACGTGTTGAAAAGGTGCTGAACCATTTGAATGAAATACAAAGCATAGTTGAGAAGAACGAGGGCACGTTTATCATTCCGTTATTTTGGCAGGGATTTGTTGCTGGAAGTGAGGCCATGACTGTGTTCCTGCAGAAAGGGTTCAACCTATGGGGCCAGAATATCTCAAAAACAGGTATTGGCTCATATTGGGTAGCTAGACAGATCATGCTGGAAGTATGGAGAAGAAAAAATTCGAACGCAAAGAAACATACTTGGGCAGATGTTATCCATGACTGGGGAACGAACGTGATGTTGACATGATTCGAAAAGTTTACGCTACAGGTGATGCCTACTGTGAAATTCCACACTTGGTTCGATTGATGATGCTACTAAATGATATCACGCTTACTCATGTTTCCCACTGAAAAATCCCTCTGTTTGTTATTTTTTATGAAGTCGGAGCGCTGTCGTCTGTTATACCCAAATCCAGTACGTTCTCTCTAAAATGACCCAGTGACATTTGCGACTTCCTGATACAAATTTCAGCATCCTTTCTGTCTTTTACCTGCATTTCATCTCCACTACTTATAAACGAATCGTATGTGTCGTAATCAGTAGTGTCGAAAGTGTTGTTTTTGCTGGAATTGTCCATTTCAGCAGGGGTCTCTTTGGCCATTGGCGATGCGGATGGTAAATGAATGTTGGTGATGTTTACTTTGCTGGCTGTTTCTTTATTCGCCAATGCTGTCTCGATGGCCGTTTTCATGGTATTGTTCTTTTTGCGCTTGAAAATCCCGAATAAACTGAATTTTTTATCCTTTTTTATGCCACGGGACTCCTTGGTATTGGGCTTGGGCTTGGTAACCCTGGTTGCCGTAGACCCAGTCAGAAAGCTTTTCAACACATCTCTTGAGAGCTTGTGCTTTAGAGTCTGTCTCTCGGGAAGTTTGATGTAAGTCCTGTACTCCACCGGTTGCTCGACTATTTGCTCGACTGGCTTTGGCTGCAGCAGCTTCTCTGAACTTTGAGCCCCATATGTGGTTGGAGCTGTGGGTGTGCTAGAGGCTTCTGAAAAGATACTCGTTGTTGATCTTTTTTCCCTCAAAGTTGAATCCTCAAGGATCACGGGCAGTCCACCAGAGTCTGACATGGTGCTCATTGTTACGACTTGGGGCTCAGATGTGTCATTGAGTTAAGCTTAAGTACTCGTATCGAGGCTTCTGCTTCAAGGTCTCGGTATATGTTGATATTTTGCCGTTTTGGGTATATTGCATGAGATGCGTTTCAACGAGCACACGACCTGAAATTAGATCATGTGAGCCGCACGTGGTGTCTCAGGATAAATTCATGAAATCGCAGAGAACTGCGCAAGTCTGAAAATATTCTGAGAAATTACCAGATGTAGCTGAATCAATGTAGTGATATCACACAGACTTATTACGGAGAAAGCAAAGTCCATAAGTTCTATCGTATCTGGGCATAAATGCGTATGTAGTCGAGTGCTCTGAGCTGCCAATGCAACTCGCTTGGTTTTATTCATATACCCCCGAATGTTGGCCAGTTCCTAGGGTATTATTGTTATTGTACTGCTTGCTCCGAGTCCAGCCGTTGAACGCTTGATGTGTCTTTTGCGGTGCATTCACGTGGGCCATGTCAGGACTGCCTGGCTGGTTGTATCCTTGATACTCGTTTGAAACCACTTGGAACGGATCCGTAGCCAATTTGGCTCTCATTTCAATCCTTCTGCGGAGTTGAGTGTGGACAATGGCGGCGTTTCGGGTGGAACATCCATTCAACCAGGTGAGCAATGATCCAATCACGGGTGGCAGGGAGATCAGGAAGTCAAATGCTATGTTCGCTTCCATTTTGGCAATCGTTTTCCCATCAAGATCAATTCCTCTTTGAGCCATCCTGATGAGTTTGGAGTGCACCAAGTACATCAGTATGGATCCGATACCGGGCAGCAGAATCACCAGTGGTCCAAGACCAATGCCACAGTCTACAGGATAACATCCCATAAAACACTTATCATCCAGCCACGCGCGTTTTTGAATCTTCTTCCAGAGTTTAATCTCTTCTTTGGTGGCGCCCTCAGGCAGTTTCCTCTTCCTCTTGGAACCGTCCGGAAGCTCCTCCACGTACGGGTCTTTGGTCTGCATATGATCCCCCGCGAAATCGTTCCATTTGTCTACAGCATAATCCAAACCGGCATCTTGTAAATATCCAGTAATTAGTGAAGTCATCTCCCCTTAGGGTGGTCTGGTTCGATTGACACAGCTTGCATCAAAAGTTCAAGTTAAGGCTGTCTCCCGTACGGATTGCTAGAATAGGTCGTGTACCTGACTCGGCCCCGGTTCCCAAAATGGGATTAGATACGAAGACCTTCTAGGATTCGTTTTGGTAGATCTAGTTTGCAATCGCAACGTGGTAAATTGGAAAACTCTCGTCCTTTGTAATAAAGAATAGCATGTCGAACCCAAAAGGTTCCAGGATCTGGGTTGATGGGTGTTTTGATTTCGCGCATCATGGTAAGAGGTTTTTGCTTTGTTCAGATGAAATTTCAGGCCGCTAACAATTCAGGCCATGCTGGCGCAATGCTTCAGGCGAGACAGCTGGGAAAAGAGTTGTATGTCGGGGTTCACTCAGACGAGGAGATCCTCGAGAATAAAGGGCCAGTCGTGATGCATTTGGCAGAACGAGTCATTGCTGTCCAGGGATGCAAATGGTGCACTGAGTGTGTCCCCAATGCTCCGTACGTGACTGATCCAGATTTCATGAAGGCACACGGGTGTAATTATGTTGTTCACGGAGACGATATTACTACTGATGCAAATGGAGAGGACTGCTACAGAGTGGTGAAGGATTTGGGGATGTTCTTGGTGGTCAAAAGAACTCCTAACATTTCCACCACGGACTTGGTAGGCAGGATGCTGGTTCTTACGAAATCCCACCATATTCCGAGTATTACGCCGTATGACTGGCTTTCATACAAGACTGACAAAGAATCTTTGGCCTTGCACACACTTCTCCTCAATGACTCAGTGGAAAGGTTTCAGATGTACTCCAGTGCTGAAGACGGACTCAGTCCAGGGTCTGCGGTTTTCGTCTACACCCCAGAAGACCAGAAATTAAATGCGTTGGTGAATCCCGAGTCTCAAAAGTGGTCGAACTCGCCGAAGATTTACTATATAGATGGAGGTTTTGATCTGTTCAACCCCGGTCATATCATAGCTTTAAGGATGGTCAAAGAGATGGCAGCCAAAGAGGATGCATTGGTCTTGGTGGGTCTAAATGATGATACTACCATTAACAAAGCCAAGGGCCTGAATTTTCCCGTTATGAACCTCTTTGAGCGTTCTTTGTGTGTGCTGCAGTCTAAATACGTCGATGGTCTGATTCTTGGAGTTCCGTCCGTCACCTCGTTGCAGTTCCTCAAAACGATTCCCGGCGAAGTCGTCAAGGTGTGCCATGGCCCGACTGCTGACGTTGACTCCTACTATTCAGAGGTGAAAGCGGCCGGATTATACCTGGAGCTTGGGCCTCACGAATATGATGACATGTCGACCGAGGTGATCATTAATCGTGTTCTGGACAACAGGAAGAGCTACGAGGAAAGGCAGAGAAAGAAGGGCTGGAAGAGCGAAATAGAGAAGCAGTTGCTAGAACAGGAAAAGACCGCATAGTTAGATTTTTAGTTTGAGCCATTTAATTGAGTCAATATTGTAAACAAGTATTATCATTTTTTTCAGCCTGTTGAAATGGTTGTTAAATTGGCTGTTGACTATGTGCATGATATCCGATAAGGCGATAAGCAAGACCTCGTGATCTGCTATCTGAATTTTTCACTCATCGAGCTCGGTTCAATTCAGAGAATCCACTCCTGCATTGCTCCCATTGACACGCCTCCGAATTTCAATGATTTCTAGAATTATCCTCTAGAATGAATTTGTTTCATCATGCCAAAAAATATGCTACTTCTACTTTTGTGAGATGTTTTGCCAGTCATTCGCCAGCGCTCTCCAATTGGGTGCGGTCCTCGGTGCATGAGCTGAAGAAATCTCGATTCCAGGCGTATCTGACTCGTTTGGACTCGCCTGATGAGGTCCCTGGACTCATAGACAATCTACTACAAGAGAAAAGTATTAAAAAGGCCACCCATCCCACCATGTATGCATGGAGAACGGCCACATTTGAGAAAGGCAAAATCTCTCATTTACAGCAGGGATCCCATGATTGCAGAGAAGGTGGAAGCGGAGATAGAATATTGACTCTATTAGAGCAGATACAAGCGATAAATTTGTTGGTAGTTGTGACGCGATGGTATGGTGGTACGCCCTTGGGCCCTGCTAGATTCAGGTGTATCAGCGACGTGAGCTATGAGTCGTTGGAAAAAGCTGGTATTTGGAAGCCTCATGACACAAGAGGTCAGATTCGTGATGCAGCGAATATTATTTTGAAAGAATGATGGTGATTGTTTATGGCAATGGCAGTGGCTGAGTTTCTGCTAGACTCTCTTGCTTCATGGTCTCGAGCAAGATATCCTTCTCGAACCAGGTTTTCTCGATCCATTTCTCCATTCTCCTCCTCTTCACAGGAAGTCTGGATGTGAGTCTTGCCTTGACGTGAATATGAATTTTAAAAGTCGAGGGCTTTGAGCAAAGTATTTCAAGCAGACTAGGTGGTTTGAAAACTCCTTCCATTCCGGGACCATCAAGTTCATCCCAGTCATGTGTTTTCCTGGAGTAGAGGATAGTCACGTCGTATAGTCTGGTGAATGCAGTACTCCTCAAAGCTGAAAGAGTATTGATTGTTCCCGAAAATCGTGGATACAACACATTGGTCAGCTGGGGAAGATAGTATTTCTGCCACATAGTGTTTTGTGTGTCAGCGTCTGACCTGGTCCATATGTTCACTTCAGGAAACAGCACTATCCATTCGCGATTCCTAGTGTTTCTCGTTGTGGAAAAGAGCTGCACCACAGAAGCGCTATCCAGCTCCCAATTTTCATCGCAACTCACGATGTTTTTGAGTAGCTTGAGACTTGGGATTTTCCATATCAAGAACCAAGAGAAAAACTGGACCTTCGGTAGCGTTAGCGAGTTTGGTATGGAAGCCTTAACCTCAGAGTTGGCAAGTCTGCTCGCTTCGGTCATTGCTGCCCTTTGGGCTAAATACGCAAAGAGAATGTGATCAACCAAAGAGCAATGGTTTGCTGGATGAAGTCAGTATTTTGACATAGAATATCAAGAGTGTCTCAAACTCACACATCATTATGGAACAATCGGGCTCCATTTCATCGCCCGATACACTGACTTCGACTTTGTTCAGCTCCTACTAGAATGTTAGCCCTGAGCGGAAATGCAAAGACAAGAACAATAAACATCACACACAAGAATATAGATACAGATGTTCCAGAACCCCGTGATTGTGGATTGTTTGCAATCCAGTGTGATCTGGGGCATCACAACGTTTGCTATGGCTGTAAACAGCGCTAGAACATGGTACGCGGTAAGATAGACTAGGAGGAATAACAACAGGAAGATTCCTCTCACATAATCGCGGTTTCTATTGGGCGCCAAAGGAAATAATCCAAGATGGTTGATGAGTTCCATTTTCGAAGTAACCTGGTGATCTATTGGAGATGAATAATGATAGAAACGCCGCACGCGCGAATTCATTCAGAGATGGGCGTATCTCGGCTAAATAAATGTCCGAATCAAATTAGGGTATACACGCCAAATCTACGCTTCACTCATTTCGTCAAATCGTTATTTGATTATTTAAACCAGTCAGTCAACCCCTAATACCTGTTATTACTACGGCTTGAGGAGTGGGAATAATACCCGTTGTAGCCATGGGCCTGTTTGGAGCCGGGCCTGGTGTTCATCATAGGAATCACGCCCGGAACAGGCGAATATGACATGGGCATTCCCGGCATAGGAACAGCCTGGCCTGTAGGACTGACTCCTCCTTGAACTGGTATGAAGCCCGGTTGAGCTCCAGGTATAAACTGACCGGGTTGCATGTGGGGGAAGAATCTCTGCTGTCTATCATCGAAAACAGGCTGTGGCATCATTTGCATCATGTGAGGCATCATTGGAGGCATTCCCGTAGGAGAAGCAGAGCCCATTGTTTGAGGCATGATTGGGGGAGGTACTCCGTAGAACTGTCTAGCTTGGCTTCCAACGACACGCTCTTGAACCACTGAGAAAGCCTTGGTGTAGGACTCATCAACGGTAGTGTGCCACGTTGGGGGAGTCACGAATGGCTTCTCAACAGCAACGATGGCTGTTCCGTTCTTTGCGTTTTTCTTCGCGGTCAAGAGAACGTTGAAAGATGACACAAGAATCTCGCCTGTATTTGAGCTCTTGGTGGGGACTTTGGACCCAAAGAAAGACTGGGATGTTCCATGCTTTTTCGGACGAACACTTGGAGTGGACGGCTGTGAAGCAGGCGAATTTCTCGAGCTTTCTTTGTAACTCGCCATTGGGGAAAATGACATGCTTGAAGGGTTCATCTTAAATGGGGTGACATTCTTGATATCAAGCTTCTTCTTGACCACTGGTTTGGTTGAAGGCGAAACAGAACGTGCAGCTGGAGAGACATCATTTGGAGTCTCGGCAATCTTCTTCACATTTGTAGCAGCCGCCTTTTCGTCTCCCTTGGTGGCTTCTACCTTTTTCAAAATCTCATCCTGTTTCACCTTATCCTTGGACAGGATCGGCAGCAGGTCGGGAGGGAACTTCTGAGGAACCTTGAAGTTTGCAGCAAACTCTTTGAGAGAGTTGATCTCGGACTGGGCATTGATTCTCATAGCTTCAGTACTGAAGTGTGAAGGCCCTCCAGGTGTCTGGGTCCTGGCGGTCTTCTGTGCAACTTGCGGTTTAGATGGAATAGACGTAGACACCTTTGCAGGTTCGACCGCCGAGCTGGAAATGATAGCCGGATCGTTGTGGAAATTCGCAGCTCTCTGCTTTGGTGTAACATACTTCCCCTGAACAATCGGCTTCAATTGGGACGGAGTTGAATTCTTGGAGTTGGACTTTAGGATGTCCATCAAGGCATCACCACCGTTTCTGTCTACTCCAGAGTACTTGTCTTCCTCGTCCATTCCACTGTCATCAACCACCAATCCTCTTTCTTCAGCAAGGTGGATGTTTCCGTCGTGAGCTTGGCCTTCGATCTCCTTGGCCAGTCTCTCTGCCTCCCTCAATCTCTCCTTGTAATCAGGTGCATCAGTATTGATTCTGGTGGTGTAAAGATTTTCGTCAAATGTGGAGTCAATGCCAAACTTTTTCTTGTTGACTTCGAACTGATCCCACTTTGAAGAATGAGAATTCTCCTCTAACCCCCCAAATGTCAGTTTATCGCCTTCTTCGGGAACCCATCTCTCAAGCTCACGTTCCTCGGTCGGCTTGAATCCAGAAATATCGGTGTCAGTCTTGAATCCCGCTGACCTTTCTTTGGTGAGCGATTCCTCTGAAGACGACACGGTTGTGTCAGACTTCTCCAGATTCACCTCATCAACCTCAAAAGACATGATGTCGTTTGACAGGATGACCAGGGACTCGGGTAAAGTCTCTCTTTCCTCACCAGGAGCCAGATACTCAACCTTGGGGTATTTCAACACGACAGACACACCGCTGGAATCGAGGCCCGAGGTGCTGTAGAGCAAGCCCGCGTAACGGGTTCCAGAGCCAATTGTGACAGTGGCCTTGGAACCAATGGATTTGACCAGCGCATAGAGCAATCGGTCCTCCATGTGTTTGGCAACTGAGTCAGCATCGTCTCCTGACTGACGGTTTTCTGGGGTCGAGCTGTTGGACTTCCTTGACCCGTTACTGTGACCGGTACCAGCCACGGAACCACTAGTCCAGTTTCTGGAGCCGGAGCGACGGTGCGAGCCCGAAACCCCAGGCTTGCCTCTATCACCGTTGGAAGATGTTCTTGGCCCTGACATTGACTTAATAATATCAAATGAATGATTATCCAGTCTGTTGAGCCAAGAAGGATTTGTGTTGCCAAAACTAAGCCACTGTGTGAGTGAAAAAGCCGATGGAAACTGAACAAAAAAAGACCCAATAAACTGCCAAAACCTTTTCCAAGTCCTCTTCGTCAAGCGACAATTAACCGGAAGTTAATTCTGGTTAATCGGGTTGATTGGACACGAAAGGTATCTGGAGTGATGACGGCTCTGGACCCCTCGACAAAACCCACCATCGTGGTATGAGCCCTTACCCCTGGGAAATTGCGTGTGTGCGGCTCGGGCTGGTGAAAAAATGGTACATTGAAATGTAAGTCTGAGGCAATTTACTGTCATTATTGCATTACCCATTATCTTGATATTTTTAATTTTATTCCTATATTTCATGTCTTCTTACTCACCATCCCCACCAAATTCCCCAGCCGCGAACAATTATCAGTAAGCTCCACCACCGAAGGCATATCGTGGTAAATCATACCTATCTTCCCATCAAGTCTCCGTAACAGATCAATGATCTCCTCATCATTGGACGGGTTGTATCGTTTTTCATCTGTTTCCAATGATAATTCATGCCGCAGATCGATCGCAGATGAAGATATTGACTTCTGGCTGATAACAGGTGGGGTTTTCATGAGGTTGCCCTCATTCTTCTCCAACAACCGTATGTTCTCCGCTGCATTGCGCGAAAAGTTGTTTTTATAAGCCTCGGCTCTTTTGAGAGCCCTCTCCTCTCGTTTCAGAGTTTCCTGGAGAGCCTCCACCTGCTGGAAACTAGTTGAGAGTTCGGCCTCTAACCTCAACTTTACCCTCTGTAGCTCCTGAACATCGAAATCCCGTATCTTGTCTCCTGGAGGCAATTTTGTCCTTTGTAGTTTTGGAACAAGGTCATCAAGCAGCTGTTTCAGCACTAGACCACTTTTGCTTTGAAGTTTTCCGGATCCCCCCATTTCAACAGAAACAGCAGTAGCTAACATTCTCAGTCTAGACTCTATGCTATCTGCCAAGTCCGGACTTATCACATTCCAGATCCGTTGCACTTGGGCTCTGGGTACCACTTTCGTAAAGGTCTTCAATTCCACCGTGTTGGCATTTACTTCGTGCGAGTTAGGCTTTTTTTTGCGGATGTGCTCCAGATCGCCATCTGTATCACCTTGCCGTACTGTATTTCGGGAAACCCTCTTTCCAGTCACTAAATTCTTCCGGCTCCTCTTTGTCGAGACAACTTTTGACGAGGGTGATACAAGCCCCGAATTGGGCGTTTCTTGTGTTGCTGTCTCCATTAGCGTATTGGATGGCTATATCTATAATGTTCCAATCCCTGTTTGGCAGATGAGAACATCATATACCAGACGCGTCTGATGGAGTAGTGCTATTTCCAAAAGTACGCCGCATATACTGCATAAACCTTCGACAACGAAAATTAGGTAACTAGCTAGATATACATAAATAACTTCTGGTCATGTAAAATACTCGAGTCAGGAAAGTCCAAAAATCTGATTTCCGGGTCTTCTCCATCATGTAGACTGTTGAGAAGGGCATTCGACTGAACTGGTTGCACCTTTTCGGAAATGGTTCCAATAGTGATGTGTGGGATCTTTGGAGTCTGGGCACCAGGTTTGTTCGCGACAGGGAAGTTTGTTGGATTTCCATCTGCTTTTCCCGACAAAATCTCGGCTTCAATGCACATGAGTTGATGGTTCCAGACCAATCTCTTAAGGCAAATATCTGCGGTCAGTTTTTCGTTGAAGAGCGGAGCACGCTTCGATGCGCCATGCATGTTCCTCTGCACTGCAAACAATTCATTACCATAAGTTTTCCAGACTTGCGGGTTTGTCCTCGATTCTAGTCTGTGGATAAGAGTGACGTGGAATGTCTCTTGGACCCTGTTATTCTGTTTCAAAAACGGCAAAAGAGAGTCATCCATGGCTCCATTCGAGAGCAGGAGCTGTTCGATATGTTCAAGCACTTCAGAAGAGATAGAAATCCCATAGTACTGAGGATTCAGTTTTTTCTCGCTCTTCACGATTTTGGTAATTGTGGGCTTGTATTCCAAAGATTTCGTGAACGCATCTAATATTCTTTCGTGAGAGGGCATGGTGGGTACCAAGTCTGGATAACGCTCGTTTAAACAGCTCAGAATTTTTTCAACATTATTCAATGTCGAGTTTTCGTTCTCAACAGAAAGGTCTATCACGAGATCAAATAGCTTATCTGGATTTCTGCGTGGATCAACAGGCTGGTACCTGTTGAAGAAGCCTTTCATGATTCCGTTCACCAATCCAGGGCCATCCGTCTCAACCTTGATAGACTGGTGATTATCTCCCCTTGATAGTACTCTTTTGGTGGTGATATCCCACACTGTATCTTGATCGTCACGTACCTTATAGTTCAGGCAAATGAACTCGAACGCGCAATGAGGCAAGTCCCTTCCAAATTTTTCAAATTGGTCGAAAAGGTGTTGTCTTTCTCTAAACTGGTGATTGTTGCGGTCTATAATGACTGCAGGTGAACAAATCAGTAGTTCCAACGCTCCTCTCACCAACTTGTCTCCCACAGGTGATGGTATATTATCATTTTGAATGTGAGACCATGAAGGAAATAAGTTCACCATCGTGAGAGCCGTTGTGGTTTTACCACATCCAATAGTTGCGACTGGAACCAGAACATACTTGGTTTCTTTCGACAGCTGAAGCTTTGAGTCCACACTGTTTGCCAGTCCCTCAGCACTTTCTTCAAGGATGAGCTCAATACCACGCTTTCCACGATGGTTAAGATATTCTTCTCTTAAGCTGATAATTCCATGGTTGTTGAGATAATTCTCCTTCAACTCAGGGCTCGCAGATAGTATTGGAATCACAAAGTTGAGGTAATCAAGAACAGCCAGTCTGTGCTGCTTAATCTTCATTTCCTGTACTTTTTTCCCGCCGATAAACTCTTTCGTTACCTCACGAAACTGTCTATAGAGTAGATACGGCTCCTCAAATTTGTACTTGAAAAAAAAGTCCAGACCTTCGCGCTTGCACCTGACGACGAATCCTTCCGTCTCTCTCCCTTTGTAGGTGCCCGTCTTAGAGCACTCCTCGAGAAAAGCAAACAAATTTTCGACATTAGATTCCTTGAAGTAATCAACCTTCATGAACCCAAATTTCTCTCCAAATTTCTCCACGTAGCTCATAGGGTACGTTTTGAAGGTTGGCATATTATAGTTTAAGCCATGCAGGTAGAGCCCAGAGTTATCTCCTTTGTATGGCAGGACATGCTCTTCGAATTCATCGTCGCAATACTCAACCACAGCAGTACATCCCAACTCTTGAAGAGCTTCGGCAAGCTCCTGGCGCTGAATTCCGTGCTTTTTCAACTGGTTTTCTAAAGCCGATTCAGCTGTGGTGGCATGGTTCTTCGTGGCATCGTCTCTTTTTCCAGTTGAGTGTTTCGAACAAACCACCAGACTTCCATCGGGTAATGTCGAAATGAACGCTATACACCCATTTTCCTTAATAGAAACCTCGTAGGGTCCCTGTGTAGTTCGCACTATGACTTCCTTCCTGGTGCTCTTCACCTCATCCACACTGAAGAATTTGTCGTATCCTCTGACTGCAACCACATGAGTGTTTCTGCTCTCGTCAAAACACGTGAAAAGTCCCCTTGCGTGCGATGGCAGTTCCGTACTATCATACTCCCACTCGTTGAACTTCCATGAGTCCAAGGTATATTTAGAACCATCCACCTTGAAGTTTGATCTCTTGGCCTTTCCGAGAACCCTTCCAATCTTGCGGGAAGCCTCTTCTAACGCATCGCACAGTTGATCGGGGCTCCTTGCCAGCTCACTTGCCGTTGCCGGAATCGGCTCGAATGGTATCAAAGTTGACATTGGCGGTAGTAACAGGGTCTAATTGCGATAAATCCAAGCCATTTGAGAAGGTGAAAAATCTAAGTACACCCTCGGAAAACCAAAGTAACATTTACTCATCGCGCAGCCAAAAGGCTGTTATCGCCCTCGGTTTTCCGAGGGTATATCCGAGGCACCATCCGCTCATCGCGACATTCCCCTCGTCGCGATCTGATGAGACCTATTCCAACACAGTGTTGAATCAGACATAAGTTCATGGCTATACGACTTTCATTTTGCTCATGACCACCGAGGAATTACTCATTGATGTTGACGAGGCCGATGTGGCGGTTTTAGATGACAATCTGAGGTCGATACGGCAAATTGGCCAAACCATGAGCTCCTCGTTAAAAGATATACAGGATCGAGCTACTAGTTCATCCAGGAACATCTCGCCATTGGTTCGCAGTTCGAAGAAACTGGGAATGTACCATACGAACATAGTGGAGAGTTTTGAGGTGATAAAGGTGATAAAGAGCTATGCGAAGCGGGCATCACAGCTGGAGGCTGTGTTAAACGACAGCGAATCGATCAGGAAGGTCGGGGTGAAGGGCTTTGTTGATATTCTGAACAAAACGAACGCGTTAAAAGACGAGATTCAAAACGCCGGACTACAAGATTTTGAGGGCATCATCAGTGGATTGAGGAGCTCTGTTACCGAAGGATTGCTGTACCTGCGGCTATACTACGATGACGTATTGGCGAAATATTCTCAGTCGTTTGACCCAATTCCGTATTTGGAAAAGAAAGAGCATTATCCAATTGTTCAGAAGAAGGCTCTAGATGATATGAGAATGATATTCCATTACTACTCGAAAATTGGATCTTTTGCTGAAGAAAGGCTAGTTTCGCAGAGGTCTGATATGGTGAGAATGAGTATGAAACCCCTTGAATCGTCCACAGTTCCTTCGAGTATCAAGGCAACATATGACCGTGGAAGTAATGGAATAGCGACATACAGCGAAGCTCTTATTCAGTTTGTGACTTCTGAGTCGCAATTGTATGGTGCTATAGCTGGTGAAACCGACGACGTCAAGCGCCTGTTTTCATCCGTCTTCAAGCAAGCTTTCCAGAGCTACAACGATGTCCTCAACAAGATCATAGATTTTAGTGTGACCCACACAAGTGGTCATGGACCATTGGTCTTTGAAGTCTACCACTGGGTGAACAAAGTACTTTCGAATATCCGTGCGAATATTTTTACCCCACCCACGTTCTTAGTGGAATCGATGTCCAAAGCCAAGATTCAATCTGAGAATTTCTTCAAAGAATTTTTGGTCGCCATCGACGCGAAGTTTACAGAAGGACCCGGTGCTAATCCTGTTGGTGAATCAGGTATAAGTTCTCGTGCAAGCGAATGCTTGACACGGTTGACTAAACTGGCTGACTTCCACGATCTCCTATACCCAGTGATACAAAGTATAGACAGCGGAGGATGGTATCCGCATCCAAAACCACTCTGGGCTCAAACTTTCTCTACTGTTTCTGGATCCCTGTCAGCAGATAAGGCAGATCCTCGGTTTTTACTGTCAAGTTTTTTCAGTGATGTGTTGGATGCGATTTTTGTGAATCTCGAGATTAAAAACAAGCCTTTACTGAAGAAAGAAAACCTTGGGATAATGTTGTTGGTGAACATATCTGTGGCCGAAGAGTTCATGAAAAAGACCAAGCTTGGCCTGGTTCTCGGGCAGCCTGGTACCGATAGACTCGAGAAGCTGAAGAAGAGAGCGAGAACGTATTTCAGAGACGCATGGAGTTCGTGTGCTCAGTATCTCATGGATGTGACGGTTATCAATGGGTCTGCACACGGCTCGTCTCTCACCTCAAAGGAGCGCGAGGCCATTAAAGAGAAATTTAAGAACTTCAACCACGAGTTTGAAGAGAGGTGCAAAGCGTTCAAGTCATATCGGATAACAGATCCAAAGTTAAAGAAGTATCTTGTCGACGAGATATCCTTCTTAGTGCCACTGTATGGCAGATTCTACGACAAACACTCCGGAGGAGATTTCACCAAGAATGCAAGCAAATACATAAAGTTTGACAAGTCCCAGTTGGAGCAAGCTATTCGAAGCTTAGCCAACTGATCGATCAAACATGTTCTATAATTCTGTTCGCGAATTGCCGTATTCTCTTTGATAACCAATAGCCAAACCTATAAAAACAAATGAGGATCTAACGACCCAAAGCAACACTGGGCTTTTCGCTGGATATCCGACCTGGCAACTCTTTTTCCGGCCGGTTATATGCTCCTGTGCCATTTGATGATCCTTGAAGTGTAGACATACTGGAGCCACTATTACCACTACCCTTCGATATCACGGATCGTTCATCGCTGGTTACCAGAGAGGTGGTATCTGTATTGTCTGGCAGAGCCAGCGAGTCTTGATTTTCCGCAGTTAAATCAGCAGAAAGGTCTGTAGGTCTTTCATGGTTGTCTTCTATAGGCAATGTCTCCATATCGCCCCGATTGGATCTGAAGAAAACCGATTTTGATGAAAGCTGAGGGGGTGATGGTTGCACAGCTTTGTTCCGGAATGCATTTCTTGGAGGATGCATTCCGAAATCCATTGGCTGCCATATGTTGTTGTCTAAATATGTCGCTGAGTCGTTCTGGATGTTTTGAGAGTAGAGACTGGTGATGTCAAACGATTGTTCTCTATCTCTGAAAGAGGGTGGTTCAACCATCGACCCACGACGAGAGTTTCCATATGCCGAATTTCTTCCGCTTCGAGATTCGTTCCTGAGCAATGGTTCAGCCAAAATTGGGTCAAATGCAGATAACTCTGAAGCAATGGAAAGTGGCACCGATCTCTCTGAAGAGAAGGACGACCCGCGACGATGCACATCTGCAGAAGAAGTGTCCAAAGCGGTATTTAAATTCACATCTCTTTCTGGAGAAACAGAAAGTTCCTTCTGAGCATCGTTGACTCCCAACATGGACGAGATATCGCGGTGCGTTCTGTTTGCAGGAGCTGGTGAAGGTGATGCGTGCCTAGATCTGGGAGGATTTGGCGATGTGGCACGAGCAATTGGATCCGGCATGTCAGGAGAAAGACCCTGGAAGTTGAAATTTCCAGCCAAATCGCCATTAGACTGCTGTCTCCTGCTTTCAGGGTGCATATGTGGGATTCCGTTTGGCGGGATCGAAGAGTAAGCCGGTGGGTCGGAGAACGGAGGTGGTGCAATATCTGCGTCAAACGGAGGAGGGTCAAACGAAGGTCTTCTGATAAGCTGAATAGGCCTCGTTAATTTGGCTGTGACAGACGTGCTGGAACGACCACGAGCAGCCAGCTCCGGAGAAACCATCATCTCCGGGGTAATAGCTGGTGAAAACGGCACTGCCTGTGGTGACTTCAGCTCCTCTGGTATATTCGAGGGTTGATACAGATTTGCACCCAGATGAAAGTCTGGTGACATAATTCCGTCCAGCGAATTCTCAATAGGCACAACCCCAGGAGAAAGAGGGATATCGTCGTAATAAGCGTGTGTAGATGGGTCTGGTGCTGCTTGTTCAGCATATGATGTATACGCCGGCAATAGCGTATTTGCATGGACCGCCAGCGGTGAAAACACATGCATTGGTGAGTCAATGGATATCTCAAAATGTTTTCTTTTCTTTGGGTCTGCAGCTGTCGGATTTGCCTTGGAGACCCTGATGCAGAGCTTGATCCAGTGATGGGACTGGATATCCGTATGAGAAGTATCGGGATGAAGACGATGTTTATCGTTCAGTTTTTCAGGAACGTACACCTGGAACTCAAATTCCCGCGCAGTGATTTCATTATCGTCAACTGCAAGTAGCGAGTCGACACCTTCGGGAGGTTTGTGCTCCAATAGCAGGTACTTCTTGACGGGCTCCATCCTGTGCACACGCTTACCCCTGCAGTAATATTCCATGTGCTCTGTGAGATACACGCGCAGTCTGTGGATCTTTATCTTGGCCAACGGGGTGAGCTTGAAGGCCATGGGCAGGAACGTGTTGAGTACCACCACCTTGGATGAGATGATGATATCGTAAGCTAGCTGGTTGTCCCATTCCTTACTGATGGATATAGGTTCACTTTCCTCGGAAGACTCCTCCGAAGGAGTCCTAACCACTGTGACCGGCTGGGTAGCAGAAAGCGAGCTCTTGAAAGCGCCGCTTCTCTCTAAAGTGGCCTCCAGGTTGTATACGACCGAGCCAAATGTCAGATCGATGGACTCAGGCAAAGAAGAGGGTATCGGATGCTCGAAATTGTAGATGTAGTCTCCGGGAATGAACGTCTTCATAGCACTTGCATCATCGTTCGATCTCACAGAGGCCAGGTCGCTGGAATCGGCTAGCTGTTTGAAAATGTTGGGAGTCGACCTTATCGGTGAAGGAGAAGCTGCTCTTCGCAGCGAAGCGAACATGGACGAAGCAGTGGGCACAATACCTTGATCATCTCTCCAACTGGTAATAGGTGATATAGTCGCATCTAGCGACAAGTTTGCCACGTCTGCATTGGGCTCATCCTCCTTCAGTGGCAAGTATACGTCAGCATTGTTTCTGGTGGTCTCCGATACCGGATAGGCCTGGTTCCAGTTGAAAAACGGCCAGTTGTGTTGCATCAAAGTGTTGGATTCCACTGTTTCGGATTTCCGTGGAGGGATGCCTTCCGGCCAATCTGTCCTGGAGGTCCCCAGGAATTTGAGATTGATATTCTTCACCTTGACGGGTTTGAGGACCCGTATAAAGAGGCATCCTCTCAGCAAGACTGGCGGTCTTGATTTCAACTCTGTCTCATCGAAACCTTGAACAAACAAGGTGGGTTCTGCCAGAATGATATAGAGCTTGACCGAGGCAGACTGGGCCAACGGCTTTGAGGGCAACTTCACCAGCGTCTCGTGACTCAGGGCTTGTCTCGGGAATAGGGGGGACTCCGGGTAGTCACCGTTTGTGCCCACCATCTCTGGAGAAAGTATGCAAAAGAGAGGCACAGAGGTCTTGACGGATTTTCCGAAGTCTTTGAAGAACGAAAAAGCTTTTTATTGTTCAAGTGGGCCGTGCCGATAACGGCAAAGACCGGTAAGGAGGAACGGCATAATGGCGATGTTCCAGGGGACGTGCGCAGCACACTGAATCTGTCAGATAAGCGTAATCGGGTCTATTTTCCGAAAAGAGAGAAGAGGCTGGAACTGGAAATTATTAGTAGGGCATATAAACGATAAAGGTAATCTAGAGGCATGAGGACTTCGGCCTCATAAATGAAGCAAAAACTGAATAATTTTGCATAGCGGCAATCATACCGTCTCTATTTCGTTAATTGTCTCCAGAAAACTGGAATTTTCTGCAAATTAGACAAGTATAACACACTAGTTCGCCAGCCGTCATTCTTAGTTAAGAGCCTTCCTCTTCAATTCATTCATCTGCAGAATCAACGATTCTCCGTTCAGATCGGGCAGCATGTCCTCAATTGTTTTGAGACTATCACGAGGAATCCTCGGCGCCACCAGCACGCCGCCAAGGCTCTTTTGCAATGACTTGTTCTTGGCTGATCCGGATGGTATCACGTTCATATCCATTCCCCTCAACTCAACAACGCGCGACTTTATCTTGCTGAGATTGCTGATAACGTCATCCGAGTCCCCGTCCGTCGTTCCTTCATTTCTTTTCTTCATATTCAGCAAAACATCGTTGATCTTAATCAGCTCGTAGTAATTGTTGTAGATGATGGATTTGATCTCCGACTGGTTGGAGTTGAGTTCCTCGCATATTTTGTTCTCCACCTTCAGCAGCGTTTTGAATTCAGAACTTTTCACAAACTCCTCAAAGTCTTCAAGGCTGGGCTCTTTTGTGTCGGTATTGGGCCCGTCATCCGGTTCGTCCGTTGTTGCTTGTTGGATTTCTGTGGGTTGAACTGGTTGTGCTTCTGCACGCTCTTCTGCGAGCTCCTGAAGCCTCTGTTTCTGTGACTCCTGAAGTTTATAGAATTCCTTGAGGGCCTGTCGCCTGTTAGTACTGAGATTTGATGTAATCTTTATTCCCTTTTTGTGCGATAATGTCTCCGTCATTGTGATGGAAAATGTAGAGGAAAGAAGCGCATTGCAGAGTACAGCGAAGTTGATGATGGTATCAAGCACTATCAAGATTGCCCTGGGTCAAATGGCAGAGGATTAATTTTCAAAGACTGCTGAATGAATAAAAACTTAAAATAAATTATAGCACAAACGATTTTATATACACAAGCCTAGAGGTTTTTTCTTTGTCTAGAAATAGACTTGGGGGGCACCTTCCGCGATATGGGCTGCAGGGGCCTTGACATACTTCATCAATGAGCCGAAGAGTCTCTCCAGCTCAACTGTGGACTTCCAGAACGGCAACTCGAAGAACGAATACTCGTTGTTTTTCAAGAGCTCTGTGAATGTGACTACCAATCCCCATGGATGAGGCTTGTTGCAAATGGTTCTCTCCAACAACACCCTGGTTATAAGCTGCTGGATATTACCAATCTGGTTGCCCCAAAGAGTCTGTGAACCAAAGAAGTGCAAGATTGCACAGCTGAACCAATGGGTGTGGGAGTTCGGATATCTTAGTTGATTGGCCATGGCCTCAAGGATTTGAAATTGAAGCTCGACATTTCCTTCCTGTATCAGTCCAGCCAGAAGAGTGACCTGGGGAGCCCTTTGGTTGAAGATCGTTGATCTTCTTTCCTCGACTGCCGAAATACCCAAGTACAGCACCAAAGCGTTAATGTGTTTGACGTTGTATGAAACAGTTGAGTAGCCGATACCGGCTTCCTCCTTCGGATCAACCAGTTTCAAACCAGCCACAATGGTCTTGATCAATGAAAGAGAAGACGCACGCAAGCAGCTGTCCACAGACTTCCTCAGTGGCCCAAGATCCTCGCCTGGGTTGCCCTCGTAAAGGGGAGGAACTGTCACCTCTTGGAATCTGTCCATCTTGAGATCGGGTTGGAATGGATCAGGAACGGTCAGACCACGAGGGAACGCTGACAAAATGAGGTTTCTAAGCTGGACATATGAGGGGGAGAGCGACGAAACAAGCTGGTAGGAGTGTCCAGCAAGCAGTTCTGGAAAATCGTGTGCAATCACCAGAACAATGCGTAGAGTCCCCTTGTAAACAACAGTGATTGCTTCGGGAATGTTCTGACCCTTCACATAAGTGGACTGAAACTCGAAGAGTGCAACCAATAGTGAAACAAACTTGGCCTTGGCCTCCTTCTGTGGCAGACTCAGGATTTCGGGCAAGAACAAGCGATGCGATATAAGAGACATCCAGGCGAAAGTGAATCCAGGGAAAGCGGATGGCTGCAATGTCAAGAGAATGTCAGCAAATATGGAATAGAATTGGCTATCAAACGACGCAGCACTGGGCTCCTCTTTTCTCACAACCGACCATTCCGACAACAAACTAGACAGAAGTCTAAAGTAAGGTCTTTCGTTGAACGAGGACTTATGAGTCTCATGATCATGAGCAAAAGCCAAAAGCATGATGGTCAGTATCCCGTTCAAAGATTTTGCCCTCGAGTCATCGAGATCCTCTTGCAAAACAATGATCTTAACCACAAGTTTTGCTAACGCATCAGTAGATGTATAGGTATCAATGACAATCTTTCTGTAGTTGTCCAACTCCCTGTTGAAGGAAACAACAGCCATTTCAACACAGGTGGTGATAAACATGACCAAGTTTTCAGATTTGATGAGGATATCTGATTTCAACAGTTGAGCAACAAACGCAACTTGGAGCTTTCCGGTTTCGTTAGAGTCACCTCCATGTTCAACGAGTTTCACCCATTCGGCAAAAACGTATCCCATACGATCCTTCAAAGTTGGGTTCTCGACACCGATGAGTTTCACCAAAGACGATGATGACGAAAACCCAATCTCATTGAGCTTGGACAACAGTTCAACAGCCATGGCATTGGCCTCGCCCTGCTTAACGACTCTTCCAATAGCGTCAATCACAAATGCAAAGTCAGAACGCAAAGCAATAGGTGATTCACCCAAGACCAAGTCCGTGACCAACTCACATCCAAAGTTGATGGCATTTTGATTCCTTCCCAAAATGGAGCTTGACAAAGAAATATCGAGCTCGTTAATTGGAACTAGACCAACGATGATTAGCGAACTCATAACCTTGGTGTTGAACTTTCTTTCATCTTCAGCATGAACCAGCCACCAAGTGACATCCTTGGCTGTTGATGGAGAGAGGTCGCATAGCTTATCCAGTAAGAATACCAGAGTTTCACAAGCTAATTGGGTCTCGCATGACGTGAATAATGCATTCACGGTGAACTGGGCCACTTGAAGTAAAACGTTATCACGAGAACTCAATCTTCCGCAAACCTGTAGAATGTCTGACACAAAAGCACGAAGAGGATGATCGGGACCCACTTCACGAAGATGCATCTCTCTGTTGTCATTGATTGTCTTCAGTAACCCTTCAATAAGTTGCTGCAAATAGGCAAAACTCTGGTCGATTGTTGACTGCTGAGCATCAAGTTGTTGATCCAAAGGTTGGGGCTGTTGCTGCTGAACTGCGGGAAGATTTTGAATACCTTCGAAACCCGCTCTCTTCAAAGATGCAAGCCCGACTTGAGGGGACTGTTGAAGCTGCACATTTGAGGAGACAGGTACAGAACCTGCACCTGTAGCAATGGCAGTGTTTCTTCCAAACTTATCGTAGATCAAAAACTGATCTGATGATACACCACCAAGTTTCAGTCCCAATGGCTCAGGCAGTTGCAATGAATACCTTGATATAGACTGCTGGTCGAAATATGGTTGCTCCGTTCTGGCTTCCCTATGTTGACGACGAGCAGCAATTGCAGGAAGCATCATATCATCCAAGTCTTGGATCGCCTTTTCAACGGCAGCTCTTTGAATTATGGAGCTAGCCAACTCCAAGTTGTCGTTGATGGCTGTTGGAAGTTCACCAAAAGCAGATGCATCATTGACAAGGTTTTTCGCCAATTGCACAAAATTAAGGTGAACACTCTCTCTAAGAGGATCATGAGAAGACGCCTGCGTCAGAGATTCGGACAAATAACTCACCATATTGACGTAAGCCTTTCTAAGCTTGTTTTCATCCCCTTCCATGGCAAAGTCCTTCAATATTAAGGATTGTGTAGTCACCAAAGCAATTGAGTTGGTGCGCTCGACAACCAGAGGAAGAATCTCCCTGACAGACTTGGTGAGGGCAGCTTGGAAAATCCTTTTCCACTGAGGATGGGTGACCAACGAGGTAGATCCACGCAGGTTCTCGAAAGGACTATTGATTCTGGCTTGTTCGTTGGAAGGCGAAGCTTCGTTGAAGATAGGCGCAGCACCTGGGATCTGTTGATGGAGTTCTTGGTCATCCTCGATGTTGGCTCTGGCCATTTTGTCAACCAAGCTTTGTATGGCAGCAGTCTTGCGGAAATCATCAGGGGTGTGACTTCTCACAAGTGTTGAAGGCTCAATCTTGTCTGGTGAAACTTGAAGCGAGTTACATAACACTTCCACCTCAAACTTGAGCATTAGTTTCAGGTCAGCAACAACATACAACTCTTTCAACACCTGCAAAATTCCCAAAGTCCATGGATTAGGGTATCTGAAGACTCGAGAATGCTTAGTTTGATCGATAATCTTGCACACGAAAGGAATGATGACATCCAACTTTCCTAGATCGTATGCTTCAATCAAAAGCAGCTTCAAGGACAGATTCTTCTGTCTGATGGGCTTGTTACGAGCCAAAGTAACCAGTCCCAACCAAGCACCCAAGTTCTTCAAATGAGTCTTTTCCGAGGAACCCAGTTCGGAGTCGCTGGAATGAGAGCTATTCAACAAAGCCGCAATCTGCTGGAGTGTGATCTGAATCACGTGAGAGTCGAACAGAGCCGAATTTATACCGTCAACCAAGCCAGCATACAGCTTGTGGTTGTTCGGCTCAGTCTTGGCCCTTTGACGAACAAGATAAACTGAAAACCATTCGTAGTACTCTTTCAGTAACAACGACTTCAGTTCATCAACTCGAGACGAAAGATTCTTAGAAGTCATGTTGTTCACAATGAAAAGAACACGGTCCGATGTGTCACGAGGAGGCGTTGGATCCTGTTCAACATCGCCAACAATGGATTCGTCAACCACCAGTGAGAGGTAGAGAGACTTGACCGGGACTTCTGCTTCATGGTACTCTGTTGTTTCTGACTTCTGTTCTCCAGATGTACTTGGTTTTTGCGCAGATGTGATCCTTCCGTTGGCCACATCTCTGATGATATCGTAAATTTGAGGCTGGGAAGCCAATGCAGGTATCTCAAACAGCAAAGAGCAGTATTTGGGGTACTCGTAAAGTCTTTGTCTGAACGCATAGAGAGACTGAACAGCAAATTTGAACATGTTCGACTCTGCTGGTTGACGACAAGAGTCCATGATGAATCTCAGAGCAATTGACAGGGCTGTCCCCTCGATGAGACCAAAATAGATGGTCGAACCGAACAACACCGAAGTCGATGCTAAAGCATCAATAGGATATTCGGGAAAGAACCTATATTCGTCCAGCAAAGAGTGGATCATGCAAGCAAAGACATCCTGGTCATGGGGGTTATCAGAAACCTTGAGCCTTTGCAACATGGAAATCACCTCCTTTATCTCGATACCTCCGTTATACATCTTTTGGTAGTATAGCTTCATCTCCTGCTCAACTTGGACTGAGAAAGAGTTTGTAGCACTATTCATGAGGATTGCCTCATCGTGGCCATGGCCAAAGTTGATTAGTCGAGGATAAGCCTGCAAACACAATGTCTGCACATGCTTGAAACGTTCAATCAGTCCAGGAGCAAGCTGGTTGTTTGTGAGTAACTCCAGCAGGTAGTACGCAGTTTTCAAGTCCAAAGACCTACGTTTTTCGGTCAACTCGTTTGCCTGTTGAGCACGCTCGTACTCAAGAGTAGCCTGTTTATCCAAGAACTCTAGAACACTTCCCGTCACAGACTCTGGGTCTGTCGCTAACTGAGAATCAACAGTATCTTTTAAGTGGGTCCAGCCAAAATGGGACAGTTCAACCTCCACTGGAAGCGCATCTGCAAAGTCAGTAAAGTAGGACAGAAACAAAGCTGCCAATTTTTCATGAGGCGCAACGATCTGTGCAATCACACTGAGAAGGTCTTCCACTTTATGGGAAAGGTAGAACTGAGCGATAATCGATGTCAAATGGCTTTGCAGTTGAGCAGGAGCAGTCTCAAGTCTGTGTAAAATCACAGGGAGATAGGGGGAGTTGGATGCCACCAAATGCACAAGGAGTTCATCCAAAATTGCCAGGTCTGCAGTCGTTGTGCCTTCTTTTGTCACCAAAAGAATAGCTGCTAATATTGAATATTCTGGCACCTGCGATATCATTGAGCGTAAGTGTTCATCTTTCGAGGTGAGAAATGATTTAGCAAAGATCAAAGAAACATTCTTGAAGTAAAGAATTGTAGAGTTTGCATTCACATCATCAGCAAAAAGCGGCTGCAGCTTGAATTTCAGCAGATCAACAGCCCCTTGCATGGGGTCAAGTTCGCTCAGCAAAATGCCGATCTTGGAAATCAATCCAGTTTTCATCTCCAGAACAGACTGTAAGAATGGATCGACAATTTCTTCCGGAATGGCTGACAGAAACTCGCTCAACGATGAAAGAGTCAACCCCTTCAAATCGGCATCGGACAGCAAAGTAGCGATTTGGTTTAAAACAGTAGGCCAATTGGGTGAGATATCCCTCTTTGCGAATTCTGATCTCAAAAGAGCACCAGAAGCTGTAGCTTGAGGCAGCGATGGCACTGAAGTACTGCTTGACACATCCTGTGAGCCAGCAACCAATATTTCGGCTAGCACCGTCGACATGGCAGTATCAAGGTCTGCGCCAGTCTGTGTAGTGAGAAAATCGGCCATTGCCGTTTTATTCTTGAGCTTTAGAACTTCCATCAAGCCAGATATTTTCAGTTGGGTCATATAAGTTTGGAAAATGACCTCGTTTTCCTTAAATCGAGTCTTGCAGAGTAATAAGCAAGCGGGTTTGGAGATAACGTGATCAACAGGCGACTTTACCAGAGTAGTGACCACCAGTAGCACTCTTGGTTCGTCTTCGTCTGTGGATTCGTTCTTGATCCAGTCTTTGAAGTCGAGGTAGAGCTTGTAGAGCTCCTCGTTGAAATTTGGCGTGGAAGATGCAAGCGATGTTCCACGGAATAGCACTATCTCCAGTCTATCTGGTATAGGGATGTCTATTCTCTCGAAGAAATCCGCAAAGGAAACACCAGGGTAGTAGTATGATAAACCGTACCGGACAAAAACGGAATGGTTAAGTATCAAATGTCTTAAAAGATCCCTTGTGGCCTTTGTATCTGTTCCTTGTCTGATCTTCGGCGCAATATCCACAGTCACACACCTTTGGAGAGCGTAGCCGAAAACAGGTTTTTTGAATATTTTATCACCTAATCTGGTGATGGTCTGTTGAAGGTTTTCGTCCGTTAGATCCTTGAAAAAAATGCCGACCTGAGAGAGGATGATTTCTAATGAACGTGGTGAGCAGCGAAAGGCCTCGTCAATGGCCGGTGCAGCGTTGAACGTCTGTGCAGAAATGGTTGAAATATTCAACTAGAATCAGAGGCAATTGATCTCAACGATTACGCAAACTGCCTCGCTATTAACCGTCAATTTAATTGAGATCAAGTATTCTTGTGAAGAATGAGTCTCGGTGGATTCAAGGGAAGTCTGAAGATGGCGATTTGTGTCGAAGAGAATCAGTAGTGGCACGGGGTGGTGTGACAGTGGGTAGACACGACCTTATGGTCTGTAGCCATTTCCACACATTCCAATAAGAATATGAATGACGTATTTCGTTTGATGCTGTATACTTCGCTGTTTTCTTTGGCATAATGAAAGTGTTGCTGTTGTTGTTATTGTTGCCATTGACTCTGGCAATTCACGATGCTAAGAATATAGTGGGACCGCTGTCCTTTCCCGACACTATTGATCTGAAAGGTGTGTATAAGGTGCTGTAACTTTTGAGACTTGTGGGACTCCTTACTGACCTCGATTTAGGATTCCAGCTTACTGGTGATGCCATATTGGACACTAATAGGATTGTTCTTACCCCTAAACCGGTCATTTCTTCGTCGGATGAGGCAGGACTGAAGATTGACGGCGCCCTTTGGACTGCGCATCCACAACAGCTCGGTAAGTTTACCACCGAGTTTACTCTGAGATCGGTAGGCAACTACGGAAAAACAGGTGCTGAACTCGATATATTTCTGGTTGAGTCTATCAGTGATGATCTAGCTACATTTACAGGTATTAAGATTCAAATTGACTCGAACGGTGAGACTGGCTCTGCCATTAAGAGTTATCTATCAGACGGATCTTCCGTCCATGACTCCAACAAGTTCTTCTCGTCGTGTTTGTTTGCATACCAGGGCAGTCAGGTTCCCATGATTGTGAAACTTTCATACGATTTGAAGACTTTGAAACTCACTATCGATAACAAGATCTGCTTCGAATCAGACCAGATCAAGCTTGATCTTGGCAAAATTCATCTCGGGGTGGTAGGATCGTCTCCCAAGGACGTTTTGAAATACGAGCAATTTGAAGTCTTGAAGCTCAAGACTTATGACGAGGTCTGGGCTGAAGACTCGCAACAGTTGCTCCCACAAGCGAAACCCGTTTCCAACGTGCAATTGTTCAGAGAGCAACAGCAGAGGCTTCGCGAGAAATCCCAGGAATCACTTGAGTCTAAAGAAACACATGATTCCAAGGACTCACCTTATGATACGTTGGTCAATGAGCTGCTGGCGAAATTGGACAGCCTGGGAACAGGGTCGGGAGCTGCCAGTCAGTCGAACTTGGTGAACATGAACACGAACAAACAGCTCACGGAGATAACCAAGGTCATCAAGGTTCTGCAAGAGAAACACAACGATTTGTCGCAAACTCTGACTCTTTTGGTCCAGTCCGTTTTGAAGGTGGAAGCCAAGGTAAATGCTCTTGAGGGTGCATCTTCCGATTACCTGGGAAGAATGGGCAGCTTTGATACAAGATTACTCCAATTCAACTCATTCATGAATTTCCAGAAGGAGGCCAACGGAGTGGAATTGTCCAAGCTCAACTCCATTCTTGGAATTCTGCAAGACTTGGAAGGTCACGGGAAGCAGGATAAGTTCCATGACAAAATTGACTCGTTGTCGTCGTTCATGAAGTTTGTGCTGATCCCAATCTTCATTGTGTTGATTGTGCTCTTCATGGCTGTGTACAGGCTGAGGAACGATATCAAGCATTCAAAAATCTTGTGATGCCATTGAAACGTTTTATGCAGCACTTTAGGGACGCACTGTTTGTTCTCGTGAACTTGCTGTAGTAAGTGATATAGGGCATTATCTAAGTCTCATAATTATCGTGGCCTATGTACTCTGGTCTAATTCCCCCTTCGTGGTATTTAGGTAGTTTTCTCTCCTCATAAGTACTTCGGCTTTCGAATTCTGATATTCGAGTGACCCAGCGAGTTCGGCGTTGGTTTCCTCCTTTTGGTCACGATTTTGCTCTTGATGATTCCCGGAGACGAAAGCATGGCATCACTCCTCCTCTCCACGGGAATACGATTGATCATCATGTGTAAGTCCGGACTCTCGATAGGGACATTTTCGCGTATCACTGCTTCACCTCCCTGCTCCACGATCTTCAGGTTTGGCGTCTCCTTCAGCTTGGACACGATTCCTTTACCACCCATTCGATCATTGTAGTACAGCTTCCACTGGTAATCTCTGAGCATCCTCTTACTGTTCAGGAACTGGTTTAAAACCACGCATCCGTGCAGGTATTCAACATCATCCACATAAGAGGTCTTATTCAGCATTTTCACTGTAGACGTGACAAAATCCTTGGAATAAAAAGGCAACCCATTTGCGGCACGGGTCTGGGGGATTTGGTCCTTGCTCTCTACCACCGACAACTTCAGCAATTGCTGGTTCAAACTGGCATTCGAGGCTAAACTTGTGACTCCACTAGAACTTGCGTCATTGGATACACCCAGGCCATGTAATATCGTTTTGCCTTTCTGACTGATGTGATGGGTGCTGTTGTTGACATCCTCCTTTGTTCCCAGAGAGTAGTTTGGGATCTTTGAAATGGAGGCTAGTTGAATCCCGTGATTGTTCTTGATTCCTTGTCCTACAATAACGTTCGATAGATTTGCCGAAGATGAAGATATTCCCCCGTCAACTATGGACAGACCAGACTCTGTGTAGCCACTGAAGATGGAATGATGGTACTCCTCGGGGCTGTTTGTGGATGACTTGAACATCGACAACGAAGGGTTGGAAAGATCCAACTGGTACATTCTAGCAACATCGTTGAGTACCCTCGAATAATCTTCTCCTGAGGCCATTGGAACGAATGTGTGTTTTAACTTTGATGGATACCTGGAAAGAACGGAAGACAAGGATTGAAACTGGGGTCCAGGGTGTGGATAGCACAAGGGGTTACCCTGCTCAACTCAAACTCTTAGATTGTTGCCTACCGGCTTATCAAGAATAGCGGGGCAAAGGAAGTCTAAAACCCCCGAGGTAATATATATATATATCTGTCTTCAAATGGACCAATTAGATTTTGCCTCTGTTGTGGAGAAATCTCAACGTGGTTGCGCCTGTATTTGGCATGTGAAGAGTTGGAGATGAGATCACTGAGAATGCAGAAATGGGTGCTCTTTCTTTAGCCCTCTCTTGTTCTCTTACCCAAGTTTTTGTTACAGTTGTTAAAGGTTTAAAATGCCATCTTGTGGTCATTCTCATAGCCATGGTCATTCCCATGGACCACCTCCTATTCCAACAAATAGCTCACAATCTATCAACGACAGGGTTAGTCTTTCCAAACTTGCGGGTCTAAACATGGCAAACCCACCTAGTGATCTACAGGCTCTATTCAAAACCAGAGAAACAAAGAATTCACTAAGACCGGCAATCAGAAGCGACGCGGACAACCAGCTGATTCTGAAAGTTCCTTTTGATGGAATTGTGAAGCTTTACTCTATCATCTTGAGAACCAACGGTCAGCCGGACCATTGTCCTTCTACGATCAAACTGTTTAAGAACAATGATGCTCTGGATTTTGACACTATTGGATCAGTTCATCCCACCTCAACTTTGAGTCACCCTCTTGTGGGTCATTTGGAGGACTTGTCGGCCATTTCCAGAGATGATGAGCTTGTGGACGAGACTGAAGACCAGTTTGTGGAGCATTATCTTCCAAGAAACCAGTTCAATGGCACTACGAGTCTCACGTTGTTCTTTGAGGATACTCATTCCCACGATGAGGATGAGCCTGTGATCATTTACTCCGTAGAGCTGAGGGGTGAGTTTGCGGAGCTGACCAGGGATCCAGTCATAACGTTGTATGAATCAGCAGCCAATCCTGCTGATCACAAGCTGCCCTTATCCCAGCAGAACTTGAACAGTCAGGGATTTGATTGAGCGGAAAAAAAGCATAGCTCTGAACCCTGCGAACTCGAGACCAGCTATTCAGCGTGTTGGCCAAAGTGGCTGTTTCCCGAAATTGTCCCTTGTTGTGTTTGTCTCCTTACCTTCGCGGGGGCAATTCCAAATCAGCCGCTTTTGTTTGCTACATAAACCACTATCTCTAGCAATTTTCTCGGAAAAGGTCATGAACTTTTCATGTTTCCCCAGAGTTTCCCAACCTTTTGCGTGCGCACTCCAAAAATGACGCGACGCGAGGTGGAAGAGAGAAGGTGCTACAGACCAAACATCCACAAACCACCAGATCAAGCGCTGAAGCTCGAGATTGCTCAACTTTTCAGAAGGTTTACCGAAATGGACGATATATCTGTGGGCGAGCGCCATATAGACGATAGTCAATCCGTTATATCTTCGCAGGGTTCTTTGCAGTCTCCTACCGAATCCTCTACAACAACAACACCTCCTGGGCTGCACAAGGAGGTGGATGGTTTCAGACGCGTCTATGAGGAGGGAAAGTTGCAGGGAGTGTCCTCTGAAGATATTATAACCATGGATGAGGATATTTGTCATTTTTTCGAGTATCTGAACGATCTTCTGCATACCATTGAAGAGAGGTCTGATCTGAAGGAGAATGAGGATCGCAAGGCAATAGAGGGGCTGATTGAAAAAACACGCGCTATGGTGTTGAAGTTGAGTTTATCTCGGAATCTTTCGAATTTTCACACCAAAACAAACCAGGAGCACAGCGATATGGAAAGGACGATAATGACCAAGAGTCTGGAGACATTCCAGAAGAATTTAAGCATGCTCCAAATGAGCAACGAGGCCCTTCACTCCAAGAACATCGAACTGATGAAAAGATATCGTACTTTGAAAGACAGGAAACTCCGGAGTCTAAAACTTCAGAACTTACAACAGAAGAAAGAGTTGCAGCAGTTGCGATCGCAACTGGGTCAGCAGGGTACGGAGACGAATGATTCGCAGAATTTGTTGAACACATTGGGGATGTTGGCATCGCATGTTCTTGAAGATGGCAAAACATAAAAAAGAACAAAAAGAACGAGAACAAGAGAACAAGAACGAAGAGGATTCCATGGTGTTTTGTCCAGCTCAAGGTTGTATAACGTCAAGCTATGCCAAAACCAAACCACTAGCTCTAAAGCGTAGAGTAATCTTATAACCTAGAACTGCCAATCTCGGCTATTTTATTTCATTAATGTACAAGCTATGAAGCCCAAGATATACTCAGAGTCATAAACACTAACTTGACCACGATGGTATTATCTTATCTATATCTGCCAAAATTTTACGTGCCAGTAATTTCGCAGAACATCGACGCTGGAAGTCCAATGGGATGGAACTACAACATTACACTATTCACATCAAAATTCCGCAAATATCTACGCGAAGTTTGTCATCTGTCATGAATAACCAGACTCATCAGAGTGTTCAGGGCCAGCTGAACATGAGGTTTGCCCCGCAATATGTTCAGGGGGGCAATAGTAATACGCCAACAGAACTGCTTCAACAAGCTCAAGCCCACGGCGTGGTGAACGGATTACAGTTATCTCAGCAGCAAGCTCTCAAGCAACAGCAACAGCAGCAACAACAACAGTCTCAGGCAGCACTTGGGATGTTGATGTCTCCACAGAGTCAGAATAGAACATTCCAACAACAACAACAACAGCAACAGTTACTCCTCCAACAACTGCAGCAACAGGAAGCAGTGGCTGCTCTTCAGGCCCAACAGGCCCAACAGCAACAGCAACAGCAACAGCAGCATCAGCAACCAACATCTGTAAGAGAAGTCTGGGCTCAAAATATGGAAAACGAGATGATGTTGATCAGGAAATTAGCTGAAAAGTTCACATATGTGTCTGTCTCCACGGAATTTGCAGGTATAGTAGCGAGGCCAGTTGGATTGTTTAGATCCACAAAAGATTACCATTACCAGACCATGAGATCGAATGCGGATATTTTGAATTTGGTGCAAATCGGAATAACTCTGAGTGATAAAAACGGCAAAAGGCCAGATCCGTGTACCTGGCAGTTCAACTTCAAATTCGATCTGGAGAATGAGATGTTCTCAAAGGACTCCATTGATGCCCTTCTATTGGCTGGAGTGAACTTCAATAATGCCAGAGATCACGGAATTGACCCATTTGAGTTTGCTCAGGTGTTAACCGACAGTGGATTATGTTTACTGGACAATGTTACATGGATAAGCTATCACGCTGGTTATGACTTTGGGTTCCTGATATCGTTGCTCACGAACAACTCGATGCCGGTTGACGAAGAGGAATTCTCCTGGTGGTTGAACGCTTATTTCCCCAATCTTTACGACATAAAGCAAGTCTCCAAGCTGCTAAAGAACTTGTCCATGAGCAAGAGCTCTTTGGAAGGACTTGCCGAAGAGCTCGGAGTCGTGAGAAGTGCAGGGTTGACGTCATTGCAGACTGGAGGCCAGTCGATTCTGTCTCATCTGTGTTTCTGGGAAATCACGAGGCTCGTCGGGGAGTCGTCGCTAGAGGCTTGCAAGAACCAGATCTGGGGGCTCAGTACTGCTAAAGACGAGGTATCTGGACCTGGTGATCTGGGTCTGTCTTCGCCTATGCAACATCCCAGCTCGGAGAAGCACCATTTGCACCAGGGTGGGATTTTGTCTCCCAGAATGGGGATGATGCAATACGGCAGGCAATTATAGGTGCTTATTTTTTATAATAGGCCATTTAGATGCCAATATTAGAGGGTAATTGAGTATTTGACATCTGGTGAAATGCGCGTAAGTTTCAGTCCGCTTAGGTAAAACACAGACCGGAAATTGGACGAATTCTCGAAGATTCAACTGAAGGTGGAAGCCTCAGCGGTTTCGACACCTCTTCTTGTTTTAACCCGGGCTCGATTTTTTTAAGCGATAACGCTGGAAAGTGACTTGGTGACTTCAACGAAACTGTGTGACTCAACAGGAGAGAGAATTCTGGAGACGCGTCTCAAAACACGCTTATAATTCGCCCTGTTCAAGTGACCTCTGAAGCAGACAAGACAAGCCACACTTAGCTTGATCTCCAGACTAAAAACTGCACGCTTCCTTATAGCAATTTCATAGTGCTACAGATTTTAGTTTTGATATCCCTGTCAACATGTCAGTCCCAGAAAAGTCGGGCGCAGACCCAAATGCGATCGCATATGCATTTGTTAACCATTACTACACTCGGATGAATGCCAAGGATCCAAAGTTGTCTAGCATTTACCAATTGAATGCCGTTCTCACACATTCCGACCCTACCGACTCATTCAAGGCAGCGGTATCAGTGAGTGGTAACAAGGGCATCCAGGAGTATCTTGCAAAGACGCCGCTTGCTGGATGCAAGGTGATGATTTCCACGGTTGATGTCCAGCCCTCTTTTCAAGACAGTATCCTGGTGATTTGTTACGGCGAACTGGCTCTGGACGATGAAACATCGCCTGCTTATAAGTTTGTCCAGACGTTTGTGTTGGTTTCCTCGAAGCCTGGTGTCTATGACATCTTCAACGATGTGTTGAGGTTCATCCCTGATGTTGATGACGAAGTTGACGTGGAGGAAGTTGGCGACAGCACAGAAGATAGTAAGGTCTCCAACGAAGTGGAAGAAAAGGAGGAGTCTGCGGTTTTTTCACCCTTGCAATCGAAGGAGTCTACTCCGGAGACCGGGTTGGAGGAGTCCACCACTCTGGAGCCTCCAAAAGAGCAGCCAAGAGAAGAACCAAAAGAAGAGAAAAAAGAGGAGCCAGTGAGCTGGGCAAGCAAAGCATCTGCTGGTATAACCAACTTTGGAGCCCCGGTTGTGGTTGAGTCGCCCAAACGTTTGGCCGCCAAGAGTGCTCCAGCTGCCTCTGCATCTGCTCCTGCTGCTGTGGAGACCAAAGCAGCTCTCAGACCAGCATCAGAAGAGTCGAAGAAGCACAAAAAAGCCTTCTTGAACGGCAAAGGGGAGCCTGTATACCCAATCTACGTGAGAGGTGTCAAGGACATCTCTCAGGCAGATCTGCTCAAAGCCTTGACTTCCAAATTCGGTAAAGTCGATTCGTGCCGCATCGATAGACTTGTTGCTCTCGTTGATTTCGTGAGCATAGAGTCGCAGAAGCAGGCCATCAAAACCGGGGAGATCCAAGTTGGCACATATACCATCAGGCTGGAGCCAAGGGCAAAGAGGGATAAGGTGACTCCAAAAGAGTCTCCCAAGCAGCAGAAGCCGAAGAAGAAGCGCAACCAGACGGTTAATGATAATGATGGATTTAAAAAAGTTGGCAAATGATAGCATACAAAATGAGTCCGAATGTTATGAGATAGCACTAGAGACATAGCGTACGAAGTTGTGTGAAAATCCCTTTATATACTATGAGAACTGAGTGTAGACCGATAGTAAATAAACTGCACAAAGTCCCCTTGATTTCATATCAGCTCTTCAATAACACGCTGCTGCGTATCAAAGTCCCTTTGGCTTACATACTTCAAGTTCAGCTTCCTCAACCCAGCAATGATCTTCGATCTCGGAAATCCCATGTCCTCAAACAGCTTCATTGTTGAGTCGTCGATTCCGTACTTCGCTGCCTCATCCACCTCGGGAGTCGCCTTGTTGCTGGATTTCCAGGAAGGGGTGGCCGAGGAGTCGGGCTTGTAATCTGGATTGGGCGCGAACTTCTTGGTCCAGCTGGCGGCGGTTTCGTTGAATTCATCCAGGTCCTTCAGGTAAACCGCAGCGACCTGGGCATCTTGTGGGTCGCTTGGTTCGGGTGATTGGAGCAAAGACTGTAGCGAAATTAGAGTGCTCTTCAAAGTCAAGATAGGCGTCCATGCGCCCTTGAGGATGTCCAGGCAGATGGCACCGGTCTGCGAAGAAATGTTGGGATGATAGATTTTTGTGTCAAACTTCACCAATGGTGGCTTGAACGGATACTCGTTTGGGACCTGGATATCCACTTTGAAGAGACCGCCCTCGTACGGAGTGCCGGGAGGTCCAAGGAACGACCCCGTGAGGTGTGACAAATCATCCTCCGAGATCACATCCAGACTAACACCGGCAAGTGGGTCCTTTTTAACGTCCTCCAGTTCCTTAGAGAGTCTTTTTATGCGTGACGACATTGAAAGTGAAAACCGGTAAAATGGTTGGAAATCGGTTGAGTGTCCAGTGCTGTCGTTTCACAAATCTGGAGTACAACAAGGTTACAAATGGAGTGGCAGTTGGTGAGGGTAACTGTTGGGTTTGTGCACTACCTTCTCGGGATTCGGTGGATTGAAAAATGGGACTGTAGTATATGTGATAGGTCTCTGTACATACAGATAGTTTAGTTATGAGATAAACAGATTTAACCGTTGATGTTCCTCCCTTGATCGTTTTTGTATCTTTTTTGTATACTCGAAAGCCGGGTGCACGAGGCACACAGAGTGCACGCACGGTGCATTGCAAGAGCCTCGGTCCGGGTTTCCTAATCGATATTGGAAAAAAATGGCAGTACCATAGCAGATTTTGCCATTTGAGTCGCCTTTAGTTGTTGGCTCTATAACGCCTCACGCCTCTCCTCAGTCAACAAATACCGATGCGTGTCGATCTTCCGCTTGCTCAACACCTGTTTGAGGAAGAAGGCTATCAGAAAGAACAGCGAAATGCCAGCCACAATCAAATAACACACCGCCAAACTTATATGTCTTCCACCCAGAACACTGCTCGTGGATATCACGAACGACTTGGTGCCACCAAAGATGGTCACCGGGTAGTTCAGCTCTATGTCCACCTGGTAGGTTCCTGATTGCAGCGTTGAAGAGGTGTTTTTGCCAGCCAACTTCATAAAATTTGGCAACGCAGCAGTCCTCATCCAATTCATAAACAATTCGTCCTGGGACAGGTCGGGGATGTTGTCATCGGTGTATCCGTCCGGGTACTTCTTGGCCCAATTCTCTGGGGGTACGATCGAACTGGCGTTATAGTGTGTCTTTTTGTACTTGTGTATGTCCGAATTCCACGCAATTCCCTTCTGGCTCATCTCGTAGGTGTCGTCACCATCAACGCTTTGCAGCGACGAGAAAGTATCGTTGAAAAGGGAGTTCGCAACCAGTCCACATGGATACACCACTTTGTCATCTCTGTATCGCAAAGGCTTGCAGTCTGAATCCAGATCATCGTATTCAACAGCTTCTCCCTTCAATTGATTCCAATCATAAGAAGACACGTATTTGCGGTGGTTCTGGTAGAAATCCGTCAGCTTATAATACAGGAACAAAGGAGGAGATATGTCGTTTGGGATCTGGAATCTCACCTGGCATGTTGTGGTGTCGTCGTCAGTCTTTAGTTTCCAGCTAGGTTTCGTGGAAATGGACTTTTTGAAGTGATTGGAGTAGTATTTCGAAGGGATATCAGTGAAGGAATCCGAACTGGCTATGGATTCACACTTGGAGTAGTTCACCTCCACCACTTCAACACCGTATGTGGTGTACATGAATCCGGCACCTATTGGCCCACATATCAAGAAAATCAAGCACAAAAGCGGCAAAACTGTACGCGGAGCGAGTATCGGCTGCCACGCCTTTAGTCTCTGTTGTCTGAAAGCTGTGTTGGGGGGACGTCTGGATTTGGTCCTCTGAGATCCGGCATCTCGACCGGAAATCGTGACATCACTGTCTGAAGAGTTCCTTCTCCGTAATCTTGATAGCATTTGGAGGGAATATTGAAGGAAACAAGCAAGAACTGGGGACGGAAAGGTCAAGGAAGACTGGCCTCGTGGTTGTACTGGAGAAGTACGTGCTCACAAACGAGGCGATGGTTTGTCGTGCGTGGGCAAATCAATCCACAAAAGAGGTAGTGCGCTTCTTGAATTGCACCATTCTCCCGTACACGATTCTGTTGCATGTGGAGATGCACGGCTGCCTTGACAGGATCACTCGACTTTAATTCAGGGTCCAGCGGACAAACTTTCCATCTTTCTTCGTTCGTTGCATCTTTTTTTTTCTGGAGAATTCATCTGCGTTGCAGTTATCATATTATCATGGCCAGCACGCAATACACCCAGCGAGTGTCTTTCATAGACCCGTATCCCACAAATATTGATCCTTCCGATCCGGCACACTTCCCCCCGCAATTCAGAGGCTTCGAGGACTACCATCCCAAAGCCCAGCCCGCTAAACCCAAGCATACATTTAAGGACCTGGAATCAGATCTCGGGTATGGGGGTGGGTCAATCAACAACATTGCACAGCACTATTCGACGTCGTCGCATCCTATTGGTCATAGGCGTTCCAGCATAGCCGGGATTACCCCGAGAAGGCTTCCTGAAGCCCCTGCAAAGTCCATTTTGAAAAAAGAGAGACCCTTTGAGAGTGGTCGCTCCCTTTCTGATGGATCTGTTCTCCTGTCTAACACGTTCGGGGTCGCTTCTTTTGGCTCCAAGTTCGACACTGGTAGAAAGAAGTCCATAGTCGAGATGACGGACGCTGAGCTGCTTGCTATGGACGCCCAGTTCTCCAAAACGTCGTTGAACGTTGAAGATTTCAACTTTGAGAACCAACCGAGTTACTTTGGAGGCTACTCGTCAAACAAAAAGGGCAGTAACACGAATTGGAAGAATAAGTTTGATGCTGTCCTGAGAGGCTATCCCACAAGGCCTACCATATCGCATGGATCGTGTTGCATAACAGTGAAGCACAGAGATTTCCCAGTTCTGGTATCGAACCCTGAAGTAGAGGTCCACCAGAGAAGACCCAGTTTATCCAAGAGTTCTGATCAGGCTGCTTATCTCAAGAAGCTGGGCAGACTGGAGACTTTGGATTTCTACAACCGAACTCTGTTGATTCTGATATCTGGTCGGAAGCACACTTGGAACTCAATTGACTACACGCTTTCGAATTTGGTGAAAGATGGTGACCGTGTTGTTATTGGCTCTTATGCAAATATTCAGGAGGTTGAAGGCGCCCATCCTCAAGTATCTGCTGCCTACAACGAACCTAACGATGGTAACGAGAAGGACGATTTTTACGAACGTTCCCACAACTATAGCATTACCTATGATGAAATTCACAAGTCTGCACAGAATATCATGAACTATGCTTTGGAATACATTGATTCCAAGGACTTGAAGGAGAGACTTGTCATCACTGTTGATCTCATAAATTGCACATCTTCCAAAGATGTGTTCAAGGATTGCTTCAAGCTCTACGATCCCCAGCTGGTTATTTGTGGTATCAAGAACAACAAGCCCGAGGTAGGTGATTCTCTTCTTTGGTACAAGAAAAAGGTCAAGACAGTTGCTCTTCCATACTTTCTGATAGACAGGTGTCCCACGCCAGTGCTTTTGGTTGATGGCTACCATACCCGACTCAGCCTGCCAAAAAGTAGTCAACCTGGTGTTACTGATAACGTATTCAAGGCCAGTTTCATCCACTCAGACAAAATCCCTAGCTTCAAAATTGTGTCTGCTGATGACGATGAAAATGACTCAATCAATTCGCTGGACGACGGGGTTTTCCAGGTGGACGAGGAATACGACATATCGTCCATTGACTCGGCTGAAGACACTCCCGAGTTAATTTCTTCCAAGACACGGACCACCTCTTCGAGTATCTCCACCTTGAAATCGCCGTTTGCATTAAGACTCATTTTGAAATCTGACGAACTGGTGCACGAGCCGGAAGACGAATTGAGAAGAAAGACCTCGTCGTTGATCCAATCGCCTCATCTGGAGACCTATTACTCGGCAACGGGATCGATGCCCAAGGTTTCTTTCAGTAACAAAATTCAGAAGGTCAAATCGCTACTGCCACCAATTGCAGATGTGGTCAGTACCTCGCAATCTGCTGCGATGATACCGCCAACATACAGCAAGAACGAGATTGACCAGTTGATGAAGTCCAAATCTGGCAGCTCGGCTCACACCAGGGATTCGGCTGGTTCAGTGAACGGAACCAGGAAGAGGAATAGTTTGTCGAGGTCTAAAAGCAACAATGATACGCCAAAGAAAGAAGAGTCTGGAGGTGGAATCTTGAAGAGATTTTTTGGTAAGAAAAAGTGATGATAATGCAAAAGGAACCACACGATTATACTTATTTTTTTGTGAATATGAGAAACGATTCGACCGGTGAAATTTATTCGAGCCGGACTAAATGATCAATTTTAATTTTTATATAAATTTTAATGAAGCGAAAATGAATTTTTGAGAGTCTTTTTTATATTTCTGGTAACACATTAAACAGCAACCACCTTACCAACTTCGAGACCCCAGTCCCATAGCTTATCCTTTTCAAAGCTGATCTTTCCATCTTTATCCAAGAGATAATATGTGGCAGGAGACTTCAACCCTTCAACTTCACTTGAAAAGCTCAAAATCTTTTGAACAGGTTCGATCCATTTCTCAACCAACAAGCATTCTTCCTGGCTCAGCCCGTCCTGTTTGGCATACCACCATAAAGGCATGTCAAAAGAATGGGTAACTCCATGTCTCTTGAAAGGAGAATTTTCGTATATGGAATTCAGGTATTCTGTGCGATATCTGTGGACTTTGTCGACTGGAAATCCACCTTTGACTATTCTATCCAAAAAGGTCCTGATCGAAGCATACACCTGGAAATCTGCAGACGCTCTTCCGTAGACATCCTTGATATGCTCTTTTTTTTCTTCTGCTGAAGAACCCTCGGAAATTTTGGGGTAGGCTTTCAATATTTTTTCGACCAGTGGAGGCGGATAATAATTTTCCAGCCTCAAAGTAAGCGTTTCCAAGTCTTCGGGTGTATGAATGTGGGCATACATTGCGGCCTCGTTCGCAACCTCGGTGAATATGAGTCTAGTGCCCTTCTTGGCTAGGAGCTCACCATACTTACCGCTATGGATGTCAGGAAAAAGATCGTGGGAGATAAAATCGTTATCGGAAATTCCCCTGAAATAATACTGGCTCATTTGATAATTTGCAGCAACTAATTTTTCGGCGCTGAACTCCCTCAATCTCGCCAGTTTCTCCTTTCCTGAAAGACCCTCATCCACGCCTAATGTCTTGCAAAGCTCGTCAAACTGTGATTGCGACTCCTGCACCGTTTTTTGTCTGGTAACAACACAATTGGAAATACAAAACACTTGTTTAATGATCTGTCTTTCCTGTGGATGGTATACCTCGTATGCCAGCTGCAGAAACGTGGAATACGAGCCAGCACTCAGTCCTCCAACGGTGATCTTTTCAGAATTTCCCCCGAACTTTGCGATATTATCGTAGACCCATTCCAATCCCAACCGTTGGTCCCAGAACCCTTGATTTACCGAGCCACATTCTTCCAGAACTTCTTTCCCACTCAAAAACCCAAAGATGTTCAGCCTGTATCCCACAGAGACCAGTATGTACTTATTCTTAAGGTTTTCAGATCCATGCAAGGTCCTGCAATCAGGCCCATCTGGCGTTCCAAATTGCAGCCAGCCTCCATGAATAAATACCAAAACCGGCCAGCCTCCTTCTGGCTTGAGCGAATCGTCCGCAGGCACCCAGATGTTGAGATAAGTCACGTCCTCTGTGGGGTCTGCAGGGTAGGCATACATATCGTGGCCATCCACGATTGGGCGACCCTGGGGACATTGCGCTTTGTAATTGGTGTAATCCCCAGAATAGTCGAAATCTTCAGGAAGCGGTCTGGCCTTTAGAAATCTGTGATCCCCGGACGTAGATTGGGCAAATGGCAAGCCTGTGAATCTATGGGACGAGGGCTTACCGCTTTCGCTGTCGATTACGGTGATGCCCTTTAGTATACTGTCCTTGAACTTGAATTCATACGGCTGCGACTCAATTGAGGCGGTTTGACCCATTTTTGAGGTGAAATTTGGAAAATTGGGGAGAGCCAAATATTCTGCAAAGCACAGAACAATTGAAAACTAATGTATATATATCCTTTACTGGGTCTTGAGCCGGGCGCAATTGCCCATGAGAGTTTCAGACGTTTTATGCGCGCACCCCTTTTTGCAGGTCCTGGATACCCGATTTGGATGACTTATCGGTTCAAGATAAGAAGCGTATATCAAAATTAAATAAAAAGTTTTTGGATATCGCTGCTCAGGAATAGTTGTTTTTTTTTTGAGCTGCTAGCCTGCAGGTGTTATAGATCATATAATTTATAAAAAATTTGGCTGGATATTTGTTAAGTAGAGAGGGGAATCATGTTTAGTACGGTTGATCTGCCACAGATTTTTTTGGTTAAAAATTCGCGATTTTTTGAGATTCGACGTAATTTTTGGTAAAGTGACAATGATTTGAAAATGCAAAACCTTTACGTAACTTTTTATTCGAGCTCTAACATTGCAAGTGGTTACTGAGTTCAGAAGCTATTCTACTATGTGAATTTTGATCAATGCCATTGATGGGAAAGCACTAAGATCATTAAGGTCGCTCAGACGCTTTGATCTGCGGACTGAATGTGGCTCTACGATTTGGTCCATCTTTTTCTATCGGACCCACGTTTCATACTCTCCCAGCATGATTAAACTAGAGACAGGTTTGTTATCTGTTTACCAGTCAATATTTTATCAGAACTCCTCCTTAAAAGCAGAAAAAACCAGTCAAAACCCTTAGGTCGTTCTCCAACCAATATAACAGCATGGAGTAGTCCAAAAATATATTCAGTGATAAAATGGTTGTATGGTGTAGTGGTTATCACTTTCGGTTTTGATCCGGACAACCCCGGTTCGAATCCGGGTACGACCTCTCTTTTTTTTTCCGTGTTTGAATAGCCGGGTTTCCTAAGACGTTGCTTGTGAATCTTTGTTACGATCATTTGTTGCTTTTTGTTTTAAGCCACAGATTGGAAACTGTTCTCATTTTCTATGACGCAGTCCCTCATGCGAGCCACGAAATCCCCGGTCGGCCTTATTACCTCATACAGCAAAATCTGAGTTTGCACGCATGCATACAAATAGTGGGTACTTTACCTTATACCCATGTTAAACCTGCAAAGCTTACCTGTTATTTATTTACAAGTGTTAACCGAAATTCTCTTGTTAGTTTTATCACTCAAAAGTTTTGACCTTTAGACTGTTTTGAACTGGGATAATCTGTTGGCCAGGACTAGTGCAAATTCTGACCAATATCTGCGGGTATTTGCTCCCCCACTCTAGCCGTGCTACAAGCTTCACAGACTCTGGCTTTGACTTTTAGTCTTACTGACCCCTGACCACAATGGAGACGATAAACTCAAGGGAACATGCCAAATCTCTCAGCTCGGGAACAGAGTCTTCTTTGCACGAGAATCTGCGCGTTTGCGGTCTGCCGGGTGTGCAAAATGAAAGAGACTCCGAGAGTCAGGTGGGGCTGGAGAGATCAGATACAAACTATTCCCAGTACCCTGATCAAGCCTTACTGGATGAAATTGTATTGATCCACTCGACAAGAACAAGATCTAATACGGAGAAAGGAATCACTGTCGATCCCAACGAGGTGACCATTGAGGATGGTGATGCTGAAGACATGTACTCCATTCCCATGGTGAAAAAGGTGGTGATCAGTTTTCTCATGTGCATGACGGCATTGAATGTGACAATGCTCTCATCATGTTGGTCTCTTGTTTCTGAGAAAATCATGTCGGAATTTCACGTTGGTCACGAGGTGTCTACGCTAGGAGTTTCGTTGTTCATCTGGGGAATGGGCGTGGGTCCATTGTTTCTAAGCCCAATTTCTGAATATTATGGTAGAAAAGCCACTTATGTCGGCGGATTAGCGCTGACTGTGTGCTTTGAAATTTTGACGTGTTTTTCGCGCAATTTGGGTGGAATGTTGTTTGGTAGGTTCATGTCCGGTTTCTTTGGATCGGCTTTCCTTTCAGTGGCTGGTGGTACATTCTCGGATATTTTCGTCAAAGAAGACATTGCAGTTCCAGTCATGCTCTTCAGTTTGTGTCCGTTTATGGGTCCGAGTCTGGGACCATTGATAGCGGGATTTATAGCTGATTCCAATGCTGACTACAGATGGTTGTTCTATTCCCTGACTTTGTGGACGGGAACACTTCTCATTTCTATGTTAATATTTGTTCCAGAAACCTACAGACCGGTATTATTGGCTAGGAAGGCTGCCAAACTCAGAAAAGAGACGGGAAATCAGGACTTTTTTGCTCCTCTTGAAAAGGTTGAACTAACTCTGTTCCAATCGACGATATTGTCTGCCAAAAGACCGCTGCTTTTGCTGGTCAGAGATCCTATGATGCTGGTTCTATGTGTATATACTGGTCTCATTCTTGCAATTGTGTACCTCTTTTTTGTTTCATTTCCATATACTTTCAGGACGGTATGGGGGTTTGGAATCAGTGCTCAGGGCATGTCGTTTCTTGGTTTACTCACTGGAATGGTGGTATCTTCGCCTTTTTCTCTGGTTTTTGGCAAAATTTATCTTCATCTCACGAAGAAGAATAACGGTATTGCCAAGCCCGAGTTCAGGTTTCCTTCCGTGATATTGGGAGGTTTATTGTCCCCGATAGCTCTGTTCATGATGGCTTGGACTTCGTACGCCAATGTCCACTGGATCGGTCTGATCGTGTGTTCGAGTCTTTATGGAGTGGGAACTTCCTTTTTGTTCTCAGGTGTTTTTACCTATACTGTGGATGCATACCGGTTGTATGCTGCCTCAGCCATGGCTGCTAATTCCTTTACCAGATCCACTATGGCCGGTGTGTTTCCACTATTCGGTTTGCAGATGTACGAGAAGTTGGGTGTTCACTGGGCTACGATGCTTCTTGGGTTCATCTCACTGGCAATGTCTCCATTTGCATTTATATTCTACAAGAAGGGGGAGTATCTGCGAAGCAGGAGTCCGTATGGATGGTCTGAGTGAAAAGGATGCATGATTATGGGAATTGCGATTTTCCGGGGCATTTTTCGTTAATAGGACAAAGACAAAAACTCTATAATTTTTATGGTAATTCATTTTGCTAAAAAACTCAAGACTCCAAGATTCACTGGGAGATTTATTTTGATCACGGTGAAGAGTGTAGAGATTCACACTCGCTTGGGTTGCATTGTCAACTTAAATTTTCTCGTAACACCCAGCAAAAATTGAATTTTCGGTACTTTTATCTGTCTGCCTTTCTCACCACTCACATGTGGCACTGATTTTTTCCACCAAAGCTTCCAGCAATTTTTGGTCGTCCTCGTCAAACCCATTCAGGACCAAACAGTCGATGTCCAAAACACCCCTTACCTTTCCCTCGAAAACAATAGGTACCACTATTTCGCTATTGGTCTCTCCATCACACGCAATGTGACCAGGAAACTTGTTGACGTCTCTGACCAGTTGAGTTTCCAACTTTTCAGCCGCAGTTCCACACACACCCTTGCCAATCTTGATAGTCTGGCACGCAACCTTTCCCTGGAACGGAGCAAGGATTAACTGAGAAGGATCCTTGGGATCTACGACATAGAATCCTGCCCAGTTCACCGGCACCTTCAAAGAGTGGTACGCATGCCACACCAGCGAAGAAGCGTTGCCCAGGTTGCACACCCAGTTGGACTGTTCGTAGACTAGGGCCTCGTACGAGTCGACGACTTGCTGGAGGACCTCCTTCTTGTCGGTAGCATTTCCAAAGGAGGAATAATCTGCATGGTGCTTCTCGTCTGTCATGCTGTTTGAAATGGACTATTTGCAGTGGAGAAAGAGAAGAAGAGAAGCTTTAGTAAGATTTCCCAATGATTATAGACTGTGGGTTAAATTGAAAATTCCGAAAAATCACGTGACCAGTATTTTTTATCCCAAGCCTTAGATAGTAGACCTTAAACATGACAGATGGTTTATTAGCCAGTCTACACCGTATCAACCAAAAATTATGGTGACAGCGTGAGTTAAATTTCGTCCATGTCATATCTTGAGGCAATTTTCAACTGACTCGGTTTTCAGCGTATTGTTCGTGCAGAATGCTGCCCCAAACTCAATAACACAATTCCACGATCTCATATCGAATGAACTACCTGTTCCCCTAGGACCCTGGTCCTTTGATCTCAAAATCTTTCTCAACAACAAATATTCCAAGCCTTCGAACATTCATCCTAGTCAGGTGCCCAATCGCTATCTCTATTCGTTACAATTGTCCTATCTGCCGCAGAAGACCATCACCATAATCAACAACACGAAGTCTATCACCACTGTGACCAGTTTGACCGCCAACGTTTCGGAAAAAGGTTCAGAAGTCTCAAACTCGAAGGACTCCAAAGATGTGAGTAACTCCAAAAATGCCAAGTTGAAGGAGCATTTTTTGAAGGGATGCTCGCTGAATACCACCACCGACTCGTTCGACTTGTTCGTGATGAACAAGCTACAGAATCTATGGGCCTTGAAGCAGGTGATAAAAGGTGAGAGCGGTTACGGTTATTTGATAAACGTTGCAAACATAAACAGTGAGGATTCTGCTCGAGGCCACGAGACTTTCAAGATACGGACGTCCAACTGCTTTCTCCATGGCACATTCAAGGGATTCCTGATAGAAATCGAGCATATAGAAACGACTGCCTCTGAAGAGGCTCAAAACATTATCATGAGCTTCAGCAAAAGCATCAGCAAGATCAAAACGTTAATTGAGGTTTACAAGTTTCCGCAGGGGAGACTGTGTTTTAATGTGCTGAGCGATTCGAAGCTAGACTACGAGAGTGATCTGTGTCAGCAGTATTCGGATGCGTTACAGTTCTGATTTGCTGCCTAGTCATTGCTTCAATTCGAATCAGCATATTTTATAACCAAGTTTGGTTAGTGCGTCGTTTTTGGAGTGTTGATGAACGTTGATGGACGTTGATGTTATAGAATGTTATTATGCATATTTCCTGTGTATATTCCGTGCGATTGACCATAGCGATTGATCTTTGGCCCCTTTACCTGTTCTCTTGAACTGCTGCGTTCATTTTTTTCCTAATCAGCTGTTTTTCCCTTTCAACCCTGATTCTCACTGCACACTTGCAATTATCGTAAGTGCCCTTCTTTTCCTCCAGGGTCATGGCCATGAAGATTCCACTAGACACTCCAGATCCACTGGTGACCGAAGACGCTGATCCCTCATTGGGAGGGTTCGAAAAGTCAGAAGCATCCTCAAACCCGGAAAGAACACTGCTGTCATCCGAATCGTACTCAAGGAAGCTATCATGAGCTTTTTCTTGGGTCCTCTGTGTCTGAGACTGCGCATACAGTTTGTCCAATTTCAGGATTGACATGGATGGTTTCTCCCTGAGTGTCCTCTTTGGAGATGCACTTGGGACTTTCGTCCGAGGTGGTGAAGTGGCTTCGTTCAGTCTCATTCTTGAGGCCCTGGCTTTCAGAGTTGGAGCAGCAGGAGGAGGGGGCAATGCCGAGTGCATCTCCTCTGCCAGCTCCGAGTTCCTTCGCTTGGTTGGCGACACAAACTTGGTTCCATTGGAGGGAAAAAGAGGTATTGGTTTGGTCACGAGCCCGTCGCCCAGTTTAAGCGTGGATTTTTGCTGCTTGAGCCTTGGAGACGTCTTAGGACTCTTGAATGGAGATATCATCTCCGAGTTCTCGTCTAATGGTTTCAGGATGTTGATCTGTTCCTTGGAACGCAACGTCGCTTTGTATATGCGTTCGACCTGAATGTGGAACCCGAGTCTCTGGACATACTGCTTTATGATGGCCGATCTGTCGGATTTGTTGAAATAGGTCGAACCTGGTTTTTGAGATCTCCTCTGGCCACTGAGCACTTTGTTCAAAATTCCGAGTTTGACGTCGTACGGCGTCTTGTACTCAGAGTAAATGTGGGACTTGTTTATGAGAACGTCAGCATAAATCTGATCAGTTGAGTCGGCTCTTAAAACCACAAAGTTGAACGTTTTGCAGGGAAATTTGGGAATCTGGTCGATCTCCTTGGGGAAGTCACTCAGAATCAGCATTGCCCTGAATTTGTTCCTCACATAGTCAATCAGAATGCGATACTCGTCTTTCAAAAGCTCCTCCTCGAACTGCGACTTGTTGTAAATGATGTCTAGTTTGTCGTTTCCTTCGCCATTGGTGATCGAATCAACGTATTCAAACTTGTAGTAGCCCGGCTCAACACACGTCAGGAATTGGGTCAACTTGTCCACTCTGTATCTGTTGAACATGTATATCAGGGACTTGATTTGAAGGTCAATGGAGTCTTCCTGGTTCCCACCCAGATACGTGGGTATCGTCAGCGCAGGGGATGATGATGAAGATGAAAGGGGCCAAAAGAGTCTAAACATGCTTCCACTTCTGTTCTATCCTTGGTTCTTTTCGTGCTCCTCTCAATCTGGAAATGATCCGTTATAGTAACATATATGGATAGTTCAAGCCTGGATCTTTCCAAACAAAAACGGTTCTGGAGAAAGTAAAACAGGAATGAAACGGTTTGTACCTTGGTGCAGATGTGAGGGCCAGTTTGTTTACAAATGCCCCTTTTGGGACTCGAGATAATGTCCCCGGAAAAGGTAGTGCATATACCATATTATAGCCGTTCTGCTGGACTTATCTTAAATAATCTGCAGGATTATCCATTTCGCTCATCAAATTGGATCATAAATGGTGAACGCCCTTACAATGCTAGCTTGGATTATCGTATTCCATCTGTTAACAGAAAGATAGCAGATCATGTCCACAACAATCACGACCAATATTCAAACCCTCAAGACCACCTCCACAGGTCAGACCAACGGAGTTTCTCAGAAGTATTGAAAAGGGCCCAAGATAAGGTGTATGGAGATTGGAAAGACGATTTCACCTGAGATGGATATGTAGTGGTGAAATCTGTTACTTCAGCTGAGAATGCCGAAAGTTACAAAGACGGAATGTTCGAATATTTGAAATCGCAAAATTCCATTTTCGATATCAATGATAGATCAACCTGGGTTGAACGAAACCTGCCATTTCACAGTCCTCATAACGTCTTTTTGCTTTATGAGTGCAGTCATGAGGATTTTATGTGGGATGTAAGAGCAGAGTCCGGTGTGCTTGAAGCGTATTCAAGACTCTGGGATACCGAAAAATTGCTGATATCTTTTGATGGGTTTAACCTGGGGTTTCCCCACCGTCCTGATCGTGATGGTGTCAGTCCAGCTTGGCCCCGGAATCAGATCCTGAGAGTGATATGATCAGGAGTGCTTTGTATGCGCCGTGTACACCAGTCGATTTTGCGACTGCAGAAACCCTGAAGCTGAAATGAGAATTTCAGCCAATGGATGGGTGCGTCGCATTGGGCACATAATAACCTCAAACCCAGGAGGCAGATCCCGAAAGTTGCTGAGCCATTGAGAAGGCTGGATTCAAATGATACAGCGCTGAAACTTGCAAGAGTGATTCCGTACCAGATAAGAGAGTAGCGGAAGTCGACATTAGAGTGATTGACAGACTTCACACTGTCTATTATTGGTTGTACAGCGATGAATTCAGTGGGAGGTTTCAGCTTCTAAGGGATAACGCTCTCAGATAAAAATATGCTTTGAGTCACTACTCATGCGCGATATGTGTGTAAATTCGACTAAAAGTAGTGTACTCGACATGATAAGCGGCTGAGAGCCTCGAGCATCTGCATGCATGAAATAACCTTAACCCGTGAGACGCAAGTCCACTTCTTTCAAGGGTTCTGCAGTTATGTCAATAGAAATCTCGAATTCTGATCTTCCATGGTAGACAAAAAAGCAATTCAATAATTAGTGGACCATGATGCTAGGTTAGTTGTAGTTGTATACACTGCCCTCTGACCCTTTTGATTATTGCGTGTGCAATACAATTATATCAAAGAAAGGCAACCTCATGTACCGTCAGCTGGACAATACTCTTTCACGAAGTATCAAGCAGACTACCAGGTTGGTCAATGGCCATAAATGGAGCTTCAGTGGATACTATTTGGGGTGTTGTTCAGCTTTGCATCATGCGTGCTTGCGGAAAAAGCGGTTCTCACTAATGACTTGCCTCAGTTTTGCACAGGCATGTATAGTAAACAAGACTGGGATGGGGATATCGAGCCTCACATCGAAATGGACTTTCAATATTTCAAGTCGGGGGATAATAATGTGGATTCTTATCTTTCTGTCGTCATTTTTGAATTCAGCGATATGGATGCACTGGGAGTGAAGGTATCTGATATTTCTACACACTATGTGTGCACCGAACAGCTCGTGTCCAAAGGACTATGTGACACTAGTGAGCTGTATCAGTTCATTGTCGACAAAAATGTTACTCCGAAGACGGAAATATTGTCCAGTGTCCTTACCAGTTATGGTGGAAACGGCTTACTGTACAAGATTTCGAAAACAGGCTATTACTGTGTGGCATGTTATTCTCCACCGGAAAATAGATTTAGACTTCAGGTGAATTTCCAAAATTCCTTTGGAAATTTGCCAGCATCGGCGATTCCCAGACTAAAGCTTCATGGGTTGATGGCCATCGCGTATGCCGTCTGTCTATCTGTCTACCTGTATAGACTGTTCATTCACAGATCTGAGGTTATCTTGCTACAAAAGTACCTTGGCAAGCTTTTTGTGTTTTTGACAATGGAAAGCATTATCACTTGGTTTTGGTTTGCATTTCTGAATAGCAACAAAACGCACACATTATACCCAATGCAAGGTGCTACTAAATTTTGCCTTTTTCTAGTGTCTGTGCTGAACGCGTTTAAGGTGGCCTCTGCGTTTTTCGTGTTAGTGATCATCTCCAATGACCACAAGACTCAATATTCCCGACACACCCCGGGGCGTTCTGAACCTTGGCAACTTTCGTTGTATCCCATCTTCCTCTTTTGCGATTTCGCATTTGGCTATCCTTTTATCATGTTATCATTCTTTAATACTATATCCCAGCCGCGCTCAGGCCCCTCTGGATATTTTGAAAAAGATGACAGTGAGATACTGCTCTGGGGTACAGGGATATTAGCTACTATTGCTTTCACGGCATGCTATTATCTGGCCTTGTCAATTTTATGGGGTACTATAAAACTGCTGGCTAAAAACAAACTCAAGGACAAACAGAAGCTATATCAGAAGCTTTTTGGGTTATTATCGTTATCAGCGCTGTTGCTAGTTTTTGCCATTGTGAGTTCACTTATACTGAAGGCCAACAACTCATTCACAGAATTAAAAAACCTCACCAGCCTCTGTGATCTCTGGTCGTCTTATATTTTTTTTATGGCGTTCATTGGTGTTGCCTTCTTGTTCAGACCCAGTCATTCATTATACCTTCTGAGCCGCAAAAACTGGGAGCTTGACAATCAGTATTCGGAAGGCCAACTTGATGTGTATCGTGGAAATGAGTTTGAACTCGACGATCTGCAAGACGATCTGCACAGACTAGAGAGGGCTAGACTTGTCGATTCTTCTAGCGACCCATCTAATGCCGTACAGAAGTTTTGATTTAAGTAGGGAACACCACAAGGGCAGACATATACAGATAAGCTCTCTTCTCCTTAGATATGGCAAGCTTGAACTAGACAAATCAGAGAGCAGAAAGATAGTTTATTAGTATTTTTACTCCGCTATCATAATGGAACTGCTTTACTAAGACAACAGACAGTATTGGTAATGGAATACTGTCGCATTCTTTATCATGAGCACGTGAGTTGACCTTGGAATGCCGATGATCAACCGCCAGTACATATTTCAACATCAAAGTCCGACTTGGAGAAAGTACTCAAGGTCCGAATACCTCGAGTCATTCTTTTTTTGAAATCACCTTTGATTCAATAATATTGTCTCCCCACAAGAATGCCACACACATTATGGAGACACGGAGGTTGATACTGACGCAATTATTGTTAGCTTGGAATCTATCAAAAGAGCATGTCGATATACGGAAATTTGATATACTATACAAAGAATGTCTTAATTTGGCTCGGACCCTTTTGAAGGGGAGCTATATCGGAGTGACAGTCACAAAACAAATTTACGCCTTTGGATCATTCCTCCTTTATAACCTTCTCTGGTTCGAGAATAGTATCCTTCCACAAAAACGCCACGATCAGAGTAGCTACTAAGTGGAGAATGTGCCTGATAGATCTGGACCGTTCAATTGTCACCAGCAGAAAGCCCATTGAAAGAAGAATGAGCTCGGTAATTCTGTACCCTCTAATCATCCTCCATAAAACTGGCGGTATCGGTATATCAAGGATGCTTTTAAAAACGTCATACGCGACAGGCATGAGAATCAGTATAGCAGTTGCCATAAATCTGTTTGCGATTGGTTTCCTTCCGTGTGAACATAATTCAGAGTAGGTTTTAAGCAAAAAGTAGGGAAAATAGATAAACATGATCCAATTTTTTCCTGTCACAAAAACACTTCCAACCACCTCCCGACCATCACGATATATAGGAAACAAAGCGGATGCTGAGCCTATGATAACATTCCCAATGGTCGTCCACCTTACGAACTGAAATAGAAGCTGAATGGTGGATTCCGAAGAAACAGGAGAGCCCGATGATACTAACAGCAAGCGGTACAAGCCATTGGAAAAGAAAGCGGCGACCAAGGCCATATTTCCAAGTCTCAGAAATGTCCCTAGAAGGGTGGGATTATCATCACCTGGGCTAACCATGTAAAAAGTCACAGCTGCCGAAAAGGAAGAAAAGGATTCGCGTATCATTTGTAAAGAAAATAGTCGATTTGGTAAACCCGAAGAGAAAGTAAAGCCCAGGGACATCAACATCAAGTTGTACAAGGCCCAGCTAGAAAGAACATTGGCTAAGATCCGAGAAGCTATTCTCAAACAGGCTGCTAAAAAGTTGGGCTTGTAGGGATCAGCCATATTCAACTTGTATAAACGAATGGCCTCTAAAAAGTAATATAAGGAAGTTCCGACCATGTACATCAGGATCCAAACTTGAGTCTCCCCATTTTTCATTTTGTGTTTCGGGCCAATAATCACGGAGAAAGATTTGTTCCGAAATAAACTCCAAAAAGAAACATAATAACTGTACAGGAATGAACAGATCATGTAGATGAGGCCAATGGCAAAGTAGATGTGCATATACTTGTAATCATCTCTGTTCAATTCACCATGGGAATCTCGGAAAGTGACGTAAACATATGCAAACATGTTATTTTTAGGACAGTGAAAGTCTGCGATAATGCAGTAGTTCCCTGGGGATCCAAGGGGATGTTGTCCAACGAGGTTTTCAGGAGAGAGGGTGAAGGATGAAATCAAAGATTGGTTCAGATTTTTGGCCAGGACTTCATCCAGACTGTATTGTTCTACGTCTGGATTAACAGTTATGTCAGTCTCATAAGTAGAATACCAATATCTGCGATCCGAATCATAAGGTAGCTTAACATCTCGTCTAATATCTTTGTCGAGTTTGATGATTTCCAAGTCCTGTTTGGTGAGAACCAAGATATCAATATACCATGGTGTCAAATCTTCGTTCAGATAGTCCTCGACCTCGTTCTTATAATTTTCGAACTTATCAACTTTGAGCTCAATGACCTGCTGGAGTTGCCGCGAAACAAAGAATGCAGGAAAGTCGTAATCAGATACCTCACCATCCATCTTCGTCGCATGATTTGACTTTAGGCCAGCATTGAATCTCCTTTGCTCAGCATAACTATAAGAAGCACTGACAAGCGTGCATGTGAGAAGCAGATGGATAATATATCTCGTGTATCGAAACATTACAACGCAATTTACGAAATGATGCCGCAAGATCTCAAGAGATGCTCGCCAAGATAGAGAACAATTGAGAACCAAGGGCTATGTATGCAATGCAGCGACCGAAGATGATGCACAATGTGCACGTGACTCATACATGCGAAAGAGCGTGAAAACTGGGAATGGCAACTTGACGTTGACATTTGCGAGAGGTAACTGCATCTCGAATAACCATTTTATTGATTTGCCTGACTTTAAATACTCATGTTCAGTAAGCTACATGAAGATCTATGTGTAAAGTCAAACTAGTGTCTCCTGTGTAATAATAAGCGGCTTGGACGACAGGCATCTCTGCATGCAAAAAATAAGCTGAGCCAGTAGAGGCATGAGTCCACATCTCGCAAGAAATCACTAGCTACACCCAAGTTCGTCTTGACCTGCATTTCTGATTTCCAATGGCAGATAAGAAAGCAATAAAATAACAGCTAAACCATCTTGTTATTGACGCACAGGCGGTAATCCGTTTAAAGCTTTTGAGTTTTGCCTCCGCAATGTATATCAATAGACGAGCATTTTGACGCCCTGCACTCATCTGCCAATGTCAGGCCGAGTGAGTAATTTCAGCAAGCAGCGTACAAATCTCGACCGTGGTTGTTCCTATATGTGAGTCACCATGCTCGGCCTCCACATCTGGTCATGTGATACCGCTTGACAGCTTCTGATGAGCCTGCAGGTTCCTTATGAGTAATTTGTAGCCGATCTATTCTAGAGCCATCCGAACCAACCCATCGTTTACTCTGATTATTCTTTACATTTCATAGCAGCCTGTTATTTGAATAGGATCTTCGCAAAATGTATTTTGAATGTAATAATCCCGTCGGTTCCGGCAATGTGCAGGGCGCTGTGGTTTCAACCGCTTTGGCTACAAAATACAAATACCTTGCTCTGCTTTCGCAACCCTTGAGCCCGTGCATCAAAGTCGAGGTGACCGGGGCTAATGAACGTGGCTTGAGGAAAGCTTGCAAAGTCAAGGACGAATCCGCGCAGTGGGAGTTGACGGTTATCATCATGAGTTTTCAAGACTATCAACTAGTAGAACTTGAAAATGGAGAGAGGGATTTTTGCTATGGTTGTTTCGATGGTCTCCGTGAAGTCAGGAATTCTAAAGGTTTTGAGGAGCCTGTGAAATACAGCGTGGATGAAATACAGTCTAGGCATTTGAACAAAAGTCCTATTGCAGTGTTCAAGCTATCAAACAAAAACGTGAATCCTGTAGTATATCCTGTTGATTCTACTGGAGTATATTGTGTCTATACCTATCTGAGTTCGTCGGAGAAGGATTTGGATCTGGCGCTCAAGATTGACTTCCAACAGTGTTACGGGAAATTGAATAAGTGGGATCACTGGGATATGTATCAAAATGCCGCAATTTCCCTGATATACCTGTTAAGTTTCATCTTGTATTTTTATTGCATTTCCTCGTCGCTTCAAAAGGTGTATGATGTCACTGAGATGAAACTACAACAAAGAAATATTTCCCTTCAACATCGCATTTTGGTTTATATGCTTGGACAATTTTCAGTGTACTTTTGGAGAACTAGACATTTGTATATGTTGAACAAAATCGGACCTGAAAATACCAGCATTAGCGAGGCTCTGGCATACTATGCTTACGAAGTTTCAAACAGTGGATGTCTAACTTGGGGCCTGTATAACTTGCTTCTATTTTCATCTGGAAACCTCTTCTTTTCAAATCTGGAAGATTCAAAATATCTTTTGTTCATCAGGCTGTTGTCATTGGTTACTTTTATTTCATTTCTTCGGGCAATGCTTGAAAACAGACAACTCTATGAGTGCCCATACTGGTACGAAGATATGTCTGGGAGAATGTTCGGGGTGTTACGCGTTGAGTGTCTAGTCAGTGTCATTTGTGTTGCTTACTGGTCCATGAAAACTTATTCTCGCCTATGTGCAGAGGGTAGCTCTGGTGTCCCGAACAGGTTCCTGGCAACCATCATCCTGGCTCTCGTACCTGCGTACTCCCGTGCTTTTGAGTGCGAGATTATCCCAGATTACTTCGAGATATGGGCCAATAACTGCGATGCTTTTAACAGCTTCTTCGATTACAGTTACGTCCTTGAATTTATCACCGTTGTTTTGATAGCATACCTATGGGCATCTGCCTAACATTGACCAGTCTGTCAACGCTTTTGTGGGGAAGCGGTGAGTTGTCTCCTTTTACGGGCTCACTGTGGAAATTCTATACAATTGCAATTCATACATTTGAAAGGACACTACGAGACACACTCTCCACAGATAAGGAGTCTTTCAAGGGGTAGCCGAAGACCCTCTTCTCGAGAAATTAGCAAGAGTTTGTGAGGAGTTCATAACAGATTGTACAGAAATCACAGCGAACATTTGCTTTCCAAACAAAAAAATACTAAGCTTGAGAGACTTCCAAAATCATCTGAACTTTTAAATTTTGTGATCTTTCGGAAAACGGTCGATGATATCTATGATCAGTAAATTGCATTGATTGATGTTCTCTGACAATGAGTACAACTCGGGTCACGTGTGCATAATGCAGCTGCGGGCAAACACACACACACATCGCCATACATAAGCCCCCTATTGTCTGTGTTATTTTTCTTCTTGGCTCGCATGAGCTTTGATTCACGAAGCCATGACAGGTTACACAAGATTTGTTACACCTTTGTTGTTTCTATTCACTCTAGCAAGTGCTGCACATCGTGTTATTTTTCTTCGACCCAATAGCACGAGTTTATTATGTCAGTTTGTGTCGGGCTACACTAGCCCTACGCTTTTTCTTTCGCAACACCAAGAACCGTTCATCCAGGCTGAAATTAAATCTACTATAAAAAGATTTAAAGGACTCAGAAATATCTATGTTCGTGAGGAAATGACTTTCCCGTCACTGGTGTGGGACGTGGATGTCATCTTCGTCTCCAAGCCAGACTTGCAGCTCGCTAACATTGACACTGGCACAGAGCTTGGAAAATTCAATCTGGATGAAGTTCTGGCCGGGAACATCAACCAATCAGCGATTATGTCTTTCAAACTTACTCCAGAAAATAATGTCACTGGGCGTTATTCCGTACCTTCCACTGGAGAGTACTGTGCGCTGATGACTTTGAATTTGAACACCAAAGTGGACGATGCATACATGATAACTGTGTTTGACTATCGACAGTCTCACGGAGAGTTGGAAGGAGAGGATCACAAGCATATGTACATCTATGTTTTCAGCAGCTTCGTCTACTTCGTCGGTTCTGCCTTGTATTTCTACTACGCTTTTCTCGGCAGAGAAAATACGGCAAATGATCGGCCTGCTATTGGCGAGAAGAGAACACAACAGCAAAATGGGGAGATTCGGCTTCGTATCATGGTATACTTGCTTGGTAGCTCCCTAGTCTATCTTTCATCAGCCTGCCACTTGTACCTCTTGAACAGGGATGGTTATCTGAATATCAGTTTCAAAGGAGATCTGCTTGAGTTTGCTACTTTGTCATTATCGACTTTGTTTTTTTGCTGGGCACTGTACAATCTGCTGTTGATGTCATCGGGATATCTTTTGATGTCTGGAAGTGAAGGCCAGCACCTTAGTTGGTTCATGAAATTGATGGTGATCACCACTTTTATCGGTGGCTTGATTTTGGATTATCGGTCTCTCTCTCGTGAGCGGAATTTCCACCCCGAGTTTTCGGACACACTGGGGGAGTTTTTAGTGCTGGAATATTTTGTTTGTTTTGTCTTTGGGACCTACTTATCTGTCAAGACATTTTGCGCTTTACATTTGCAAGGAAGGGACGCAACTGCGAACAAATTCATGGCAGCGGTGATAATAGCATTTTATCAATTGGGCTTGATGAAATCGGCCATGAGGTAGCACTTGATGCTTTTTCTTCTGTGGTTTACGACATCATCCAGTTCAGGTCTGCTAGCCTCGTCTTACACTTGGCCGCCATTGTCGTGGTGACTTTCCTATGGGGGACACATGACCGGAATCGTAAATTATTTGGAAGCAAGAATGACTTGAATGGAAAACCAACTTTGACGGCAGTTATTGAAAGGTTGATTATCCGACAAGGGACTTTCGATTCCAATCGTAAGAGTTGCTTGCCAAGACCAAACCCAATTGAGAGCCAAGAAGTATTTATGCGATGCAGCGACAGAAGATGATGCACAATATGCACGTGACTCCTACATGCGAGCGTGAAATGTGGTAAGGGATCACTTGCCGTTGGAATTTGAAGGGTTCTGCATTTTTTCTAATGTCAATCTCAAACAAACATTTTTTGAATTGCCTGACTTTGAATACTCATAATGTGTGAGCTACTTGAGGATCTCTGTGTAAAGTCAAAGTAGTGTTTTCTGTGTAATAATAAGCGGCTTAGACGACAGGCATCTCTGCATGCAGAATATAAACTGAGCCCGTAGGGACATTAGTCCACATCTAGCAAGAGAGCAGTGGCTATTTCCGTTATCGTCTTGACCTGCATTTCTGGTGTCCAATGGCGGATAAGAGGGCAATAAAGTAACAAGTAAATCATGTTGTTAACCTCGCACGGGTGGTATTCACAGCGTTTTGGTACTTTTAGTTCTTGCGTGTGCAATGCAAATGTACATCAAGACATGAACATTTGATTAACATCTGCATGCTTTTTCGATGAGTACCCCCCCTTACTCAGAATATCAAGTCCAACAACCAAATTAGATAGCGCCCTCCAATACAAATAGTAACCATATGAAGCTTTACCAATCGATATGCATGATTCCGTGCATTGTGGGAACATTGTTTCTTGCTGATAAGGTGCTGCAGAGGAGGTTTTCGCCTCTGATCAGCACAGGAATCGTGACGGCTTGTGTTTATATAGGCGGTCTCTACTGGTTTTTTGCAAAGCTTCTGGAAAAGCAGAAGGAGTTGACGGGCAAACAGCGCGCAAATTTCAAGCTGCACCAGATTTTTTTCCGGGTTGTATGTTTTACTTCTTTGATGCTGATTTGTTTTACAAAACTCTTTTTTCGTGTTGAAAATGAGAAATTCGTTCACCGAATTCAGGGACCCTGGAAGCTACCTCTGCAATTCGTTGTCAATATTCTCTTTTCCGGTGTCATCTTCAAGTATCAACTTTGTGAGCTGCATCGGCAATAATATTGAGAATGAGTTTCCTGAAGAGTCATCTGTTGGGTCTGGTGGCGACGATCTTAAATTTGATGATCT